CTTCATCCAGTTGCGTTCTTCTCCAAGAAACTCGAAGGACCAAGGCTCAACTACCCGATCCACGACAAGGAGCTTCTCGCAATCATCGAAGCATTTCAGGAATGGAGACCATACCTCAGCGGCACGACACACGAAGTTCAGGTGTACACAGACCACAAGAACTTACGATACTTCACCACCACCAAGGTGCTGAACGGACGACAGACTCGATGGGCAGAATTTCTGTCCGAATTCAACTTCACGATCCACTACAAGAAAGGCTCAGAGAACGCACGAGCAGATGCCTTGAGTAGGAGAGCGGATCACCACGACAACACGTCTGAAGTCTCACCACCATTGCTACATCAACAGACAGACGGATCGCTACGGCACGCTTCCCAACCGACTGAAGACTACGAGATCGCAGCACTTCAGCAACAGTCGGAAGATCCCGAAGCCAGGCCTCTGCAACCGTTTGTAGAATGCTGTGCGGCCTTCAGAGAACAACGACTGGAACGAGACTTCCAAGGAATCATCGCGGACGACGAACGCGATGCATGGCAAGAAGAGCCAGAATCCAAGATCGCGGGATTGCGACTTGAAGGAACGAGACTCTGGTACCACGACAAGGCCTATGTCAGGCTGGGTGACCAAAAGGAGCTCATTCGAAAGATCCACGAGTCGAGACTCGGAGGACACATGGGAATCAGCAAGACAATTGCGAAAGTCAAGCAGAACTACGACTTCCCAGGAATCAAGCAGACGGCAGAAGAGGTCCGGGCGGAATGCGACCTCTGCAAGCGGAGCAAGCCAGGACGACACAAGCCGTACGGGCTACTACAGCCATTGCCAGTTGCAGAACGACCATGGAGTTCGGTGACGATGGACTTCATCACCAAACTACCAGCCTCCAAGGACTCAGTAACGGGAGTAGAATACGACAGCATCCTCACGATGGTGGACAGACTCACCAAGTGGAGTTACTTCCTCCCTTACAAGGAGACATGGTCAGCAGAACAACTCGCAGATGTGATCTACCGCAACATCACCTCGGTCCACGGCTGGCCGGAGGAATGGATCACGGACAGAGACACCAAGTTCGCATCAAAGTTTTGGCAGGCTCTGATGACGAGACTGGGTACGAAAAGTAAGCTCTCAACCGCTTACCACCCACAGACGGACGGACAGACGGAACGACTCAACCAGGTCGTCGAACAATACCTACGGTTGTACGTCAATTTCCAGCAGGATGACTGGGTCGAGCTGCTGCCGACAGCGCAACTCGCCTACAACACCACCGTCACGGAGACCACCAGGGTCACACCATTCTTCGCGAATTTCGGCTACGAAGCAGATTTGCGACAAGGGCCCGAAGTTTCGGTGCCCAGAGCGGCAGTCAAAGCCGACAAGATGAACTCGCTGCACGCGATGCTCAAGGAAGAACTCGAATTCGTACGAACACGGATGAAGAAGTTCTACGACAGAAACAGGCTCGAGGGACCTCGCCTAGAAGAGGGGGGCAAAGTTTACCTCATTTCTCGAAATCTTCGCACAAAACGACCAAGCAGGAAGCTCGACTTTCGCAAAGTCGGACCGTTCAAGGTCGACAAGAAAATTTCGGAGAACAACTACGCACTCGCGTTACCCTTGACAATGCGACTACGGACCAACGTCTTCCACATCTCGCTTCTAGAACCAGCGCCCAAGAACGCACGACTCGACAAGGACGCCGAGGCAGAAGACGAAGAGGAGGAATGGGACGTTGAGGAAGTCCTAGACTCACGCATCACGAAAGGACAGTTAGAGTATTTGGTCAAGTGGCTGGATTTTGGCCCAGAAGACAATTCATGGCAACCAGCTACAAATCTCAACTGCCCCGAGAAACTTCAGGAGTTCCACCAGAGGAACCCGGATCGACCAAGGGAGGTATCGAAGACCAGTCGAACCCAGCGGGGAAATCGACGAAGGAAGAACTAGGTAATACGTCAGGAATCGGTGAGGGAAGAAGGGACGGATTACGAACCTCTGGATCCAGGAAGGGTCGAGGAGTGGCTCGTCGGGGACTGGGTCCGTTGTCGGCGGGACGGCAGCCTGGGCCGCAGTCCCCTCCGCCTCTTGTCTCCTCGCCTCCTCCGCCTCCTGACGTTCCAACTCTTCTAGCTCTTCGACCGAGGTGACCCCACGAGAGACAGCACGAATCATCTTCTCCGACCACTTCCGCTTCTGCTGACGCAGGCGCTTGACCTTCGCGGCCACCACGGCCAACTCATCCTCCGCTTCTTCCATTTCGGTTTCCAGCCGACGGAAGTTGGACGCAATCTTGCGCAGATGTTGCACACTCACACCCTGCGCGTCGCATAACGATTGATTATGGGCGACGCATTCAAGGCATCGGCTTGAGTCAGAAGGGGAGGCTTCACAGGGGAGTTTATGGTCCTCGCAGTAAGAGCAAGGATGCTTTACTGGGACGGAAGAGTCGAACATTGCCGCCAGGAGCTGATCGCGATCGACAGTTTTAGGGTGGGGAGCGATGGATTTCGGTGTTGTTTTTCTTACACGAGACGACATGATGTCAGCCGACGCATACGACGGAAAGGGGGAAAGGGCCGCGCACCTAAGGATGGGCTGTTGGCGCTACTTAAGAACAGGAAGGTTGGCGAGTCTTCCGGGACGGAAGACGTGGAGGAGGGGCATCGTGTCACGGATATGGTCGCATGCAGACGGCCCGGCGGGGCACGCTGGCAGTGCCCCGAGCCAATCAGCAAGGAATGGCCTTCTCCAATGAGAGCTGGATCGTGAGCTCTGGCCGCGATCCAGGAGTGACCAATCAGGAGTGGATCATTGGATCGAGAAGCGATCTAATGATCCAGGACGGATCGCAGGATCATGAGAATATTCTTCGATCCAGGTACAGAGGTACCTGAGGATGTAGATAGTATATAGTCACTCGTTCTGGAGAGCTCTGGGAGTTCTCCAGTTAGCAATCACAACTACAGTTCGCTACAAGCTCGAGAGCCTACTGTTGAGACAAGTCTTTGTTGTGCACCCTTTGGCTGCACCGAACCTAAGCACCCTTGAGAGAATACCTTCGACCGATACTGAACCCTAACAGGACGGGTCCAGAGACAGGTTCGTCACATGCAGCCAATTAGAATATTCCATCCACCTGTTTACCCCACAACCCTGAATTCGGCCAATGCTGGTCTGAGTGTATTTCCAGAAATTTAGGGGTATTAGAATACAGCTCGCCAGGTTGAATTTCTACAGACAGTAATAGTATTATCAAAACGATAGATAGAAGTAAACTACTATTATCGTCTTAATCTCCAAATTCAGAGCTATCGAACTATACCAATTTCAATATAGTAACTAGCTCGATAGGTAGTTGGAATTGTAAAAGACTTTACCGCTTACACCCTTCTAGCTAGCAAATATCGAAAACAATACTACAAGTAGGTAAAAATAGCTCCCGGAGGTTGATATACACTATAGCAAGGTCTATACAAATTTACATCTCAATTAGAATTCTTTTACATTTCTTTGGAGGGGGCAATCGGACAAAGCTGTTCGCGTATTCTGATCAAAAATTTACCTCCGCACTAATGTTTATACAACGAAAAATGGTCTCAATAATCAAAGGATACCGTTATATACGCAAAGCAATGGCGATCTTCAGTGTACTATCCATTTCCTATAGCGATGTGTGGTTGTAGAATTATCTGCGAGTGTTCAAAGGGTGTTTTTCCATTTTGTATGGGGACGCGTATTCTGATCCCCCCCAAATCCTGAGAATGCTCTCAGACCTCTTCGTTCGGAATTCTGGGCCAAAGTGGGGCGCCTGTCACCTGCAGCCACCTGGTACAGCAAACGGCACCTGCACGAACAAGAAGAGGGTCTGAGCACTGAGATAACTTCCAGGTGGGATGAAATGTGTTGAGAGTCTGCACTCGGATGACGCAAGGCCCTAGTGTTGAACCACACTCGGCTTGACTGTGTAAACAGAACGATGGAGGAAGAATCCCATCAGCCCAGCCCGGTAACTCTGTACCAACATCACCTGAAGGAGCCCTGTTTGTGGGCCAAGTTTAGCGCCGTTGACTCCCGGGTTGTGTGCCCCTCCAAGCCCCACGTCCGCAACGTCGTCAGGGTTTACTTCGACCATCCGTGCCGTTGACGGAATCCTTTGGGGGACAAGTTCATTTTCTTTTGAGGCGTTTGCACAGTAAGCCTCGTTCCTTCCTCTTCGGGCCATAACGAAGCTTTGTAGCCGCCCGAGGGCTTTGCCGAATTTAACAATCACACAACGTTTCCAGGCCGTTTGTCACACACTCCAGATTACTTAAAATTCAAAGCGTCGGATGTGATGCCAGTTAATCCTTGTCAACCACGCGAGGGCCGGTCTGGGCATGCAGCACACCACACCTGACGCCCCTCTTTCTCGCTTTCTTCCTGTCGATCCCACTTCAAGGTTTCCACGTCCCTGCTCACAGCCTCCTCAGCCGCCAGGAACAGAGCCCTTCCACGGTCGCCCCTCTGCATTGTGCTCCATTTGGCTGTCTCCTATGCAGTCGATCTTTTCTTTCACACCTCAACGCTCCTCCTCGACCAATCATCAACCAACCTTATTCTTGGTTCCCCGGCTTCTGGTGACCACTCTCCACGTGGACTCTTAACGTCGCATTCGGCATCGCCTGTTCTGAAACAGTCTGACGCATTCCCCAGGGGATCGAGTCCTCCCGCGCGCTCCATCTGGTGTCTCCCGTCTGTCACTGCGCTCCCGAGAGCTTCCGTCAGGCTTCTTCGAGGCCCGGGCCCAGTCATCCCATTTTCTCGGTTCCGCGCACGACCCCGGGAGAGTCCTGAGAGCAAAGTACATACAACCATCCCATCACACAAGAGGCAACTTCGGTACCCCTGACGCCCTTCGGCTAAGCTCAATCGTTGCCGCCCGCGTCCGTGTGCTGTGCTTGGTTAAACATCCACCCACACGACCCGACCTCTCGACCGGGCTCGCCGTGCTCCGCCCAACCAGGACTTTACCCTGTTACCACTCTGCCACTCCGACCCTTCCCTGCCTTGGCCTCAAAACAAGGCACCTTCCGGCCTATAAATCAACACCACCCACCCTGTCGCTGGTCCTTGCACCCTCCTGTCATCATGTCGAACCCCACGCCGGCCCAAGAGGAATTTGCTGCCTTTCTCGACAAGAATAACCGCTCCGACCTTGACGGAATCCACCCCGAGGACCGCAACACTACGTCTGACGGCGAACGAAGCGAGGACGAGGAAGACCGCTACCGGGAATCACAGATCGACGCCGCCATGCGGATGCCCACCAGGGATTCCCAGTCGGAGGTCAGGCTGCCCCCAGCCGAGTTCGACAGAGGCCGCTCGACCGGCGTGAAGGGCGTCATTGCCGATGCCAGATCGTACGAAACTGCCCGGCAGTCGAAGTGGAAGGAGAGAGCGCGGGCCGCCCGCCGTAGCGTATTCGGCCTGGACAGTGGCCGCCAGGCCCAGAGCAGCGAGCCAGATAGCGACGCCAGCGGCGCCGAGGACCCCAACGAGGCCGCCTTTCTAGAACAGTGGCGCGAGAGCCGGAGGCGCGAGCTCGAGGAGGAAAGCAGAAACCCCGTCCGGAACCGGAGGACGAGCCCGAGCATCAGGCTCTACGGACGCTTCGACGATGTCGATGCCCTCGGCTACCTGGACGCGATAGAGAAGGTTGGGAGGGACACGGTAGTTGTCGTCTTTGTTTACGACCACGAGGTGGGTCACCATTTCGCCCAGGTGCTTCCTAGCTGCCCGTGTACTAACTCGCGAAACAGTGCGACGTATCCGCAGCCATCGAGTCTGCGCTCATCCCCCTTGTCACCACCTACCGCGCCGTCCACTTCGTCAAAGTACACTACGAAGATGTCGAGTTCGACAATGCTGGCGTGCCGGCAATTCTCGCATACCGAAACCAGGGCGATCTAATCGCCAACCTAACTGGTATTCTGGAGATGATTCCTGACGATGCCGACTTCGACACCGACTCCCTCAAAAAGCTCTTCATCAAGAAGGGCATCCTATAACCGGTTTTCAGACGGTTTTTTTTTGAGTTTCTGATCGGTAGCGTTTGCCCCTTTAAAGCGGATGACCGATCCGGTTATGTTTGGGATGTCTGGTCGGGATGTTTACTATGTTTTCGATGCTCTATTGATTTGACATGGCCATGGAAATAACGCCCTTGCATCGCGCATGATGGTCCTGGAGGTGGGAGTACGACATATGCAGAGATACCACACGCGAGTTTGTCTGGATTCTGGAGTTTATTCTCAAGAGGCGTCGGTTGGAAGGTCGATGCGGTTTTCTTTGCTTTTTGTAGCTAATACTTGTAATCTCGGTCAGAGCCGTGGTTGCCTGCTTTGCATCTCTCGTTAGACGGATAAAGAGGGAGATCCCATTGGTTCCTTGGGTTTGCCACTCTTCACAGTCGTCCTCGGTCGTGGGGGGGTTGCGTGTGTTCCGCTGATGTGGGTGACGTGGGCCCGAGCCTGTGAGTGTATGGAATACCGTCGATACGGGTTTTGGTACGAAGTATGGTGGATGAGGGGATGGTGGATGAGGGGATGGTGGATGAGGGGATGGTGGATGAGGGGATACCAACACAATCAGCGAACATGTGCCTCATACCAGAGAGACGGTCTCGCCCCGGAGCCATACGAGTGATTGGTAACTAATCTCCTGGCTTTGAACAGTTCATACGCACACAGTGACTACCTAATTTGATAGGTATTCTACAAACAAGCTGGTTGGTATTGCTTCTACTGCTGTGTCCGGAATATACTTGTTGATCCCCCACCTGTGTTTCAGGCAGTCCGTTGGCGGGGCTGTATTTTACAAATTGCCCAGGCCGTTGAGTTCTCCATAATAACCCCCTGCACGTCGTCATCCATTCGTTGCTTTGCCCCGCCTTCCTTATCACTAACACTTCAACACGGGAATCCGAAGCACCAACGGCAACCTAAGCTTCAGCCTGCTGGCGCCAGAACAGACAGCAGGTGACCTCATTCCAGGCCAAAGACTCCGGCGGGGGCTCTCCCACCGTTACATCCACTCACCCGCAGTATCCCAAGCCTTCTTCCCTTCTGCATCCCGCACCCCAGATCACCTCAGAACTGGACATCGCCATTCCACTCTCCAGGTTGTCTTATCCGCATCCGTCGGACTGGGCTCAAACCAACGAAGCCCGAACGACGACGCGCTGTCCCTTTGATCCGACTCCCTTGTACATACCATTTTCCGCGGCTGACTACGGGCTCCGAGGCCCTACAAGCTGACACGACTTTCTGCACTTCCATGCTGCATTCCCCACCCCCGCCTGTCTAAGGCAGCTTCGCCAGCTGGACGGGCAGAAACCCAAACCCAGGAACCACAACCACGAGACCGGCCTGGATTCAAACGAATACCCAACGGAAGCCCGCAAGGGCTTTGGTGCTCTCAGAGTTAGTTCTCTTCATTTTGATTGCCCGCACTCAGCCCACATTCACCAGTCACCTTTAATTCTTTAATTTCCTTGGTTCTTTCCTCCACACTACACCTAATCAGCAAAGACCCCTCATCGCCTTCCACGTCGGATGCCCCTCCTTCCTCTTCGCATCTCGATTTGACCACGCACCCTCCAACCTTGGTCCATCTGCATTTTCATACGCCTTGGGAATCCATAGGCATGCGCTCGGTCGGCTGACGATTTCCTATCGTAATGGAACCGCAGACCACAGAGTCCCCCCCGCCACGAGAACCACCGAACAACATTCGGAGCGACGACACCATTCTTCCGCCCGAACAAATTTCGTTCTCTGTTCCAGTTCTTCGATTCCCTAGACCGCAGGGAAGCCAACTTCTCGCCAACTGGGTCTCTAGTAGCGCTCCAGACATCCGACAACCGCTCAGACAACCGCTCAGCATGTCGGATAACGGTAGCCTGGCCGACTCGGCCTATGAAATCATCAACGGGGCCGACAATGAAATCATTCATGAGACCGACAGCGAAATCATAAACGGGACCGACAACGAGAGCCAAGACGACCGTATGACTGAGTCGACATGCTCGCTCTCTGCTTCCCGACCAGATGACGTCCATAGCTTAGACGGGTCGTCCGTGGACCCTTACAACACCGACTCGGACGACGAGTCTGACCACCCTTCACGTGCATCTTCGATCAGATACGCCGACCAAGCCCTACAAAACCCATCGACTCAGTTTACAACCAGCAGTCTCGAACATGGGTCGTCTACTGAGGGGTCTGGCGTCGTCGTTCGGTCGATCCATTTCCAGGAGTCGGATGTCAGCGACACGGTTCTCGAGGAGAATATCTCCGCTAAACATGCCATCCGGGAGCTCAGTGAGGAGGACTCGTCTGCCATCGCAGAAAACCTGGCTTTGCAGAACCCCCCAAGGCGCTGGGTTGTGTCGATTCGCCAGACGATGTCACAGTCCTACCTCTCCACCAAAGAACCTCTGAGGGTTCTCTACGTGGGCCCCCCCGAAGCTCAAAGGGCCATTGTGCTCAAGATCTGCAGTGCCATCTGGGAATCACCGCAGCCTAATAACCAGGATTACCTCAGCCGACACCGGGAAGGCGTTTATAACATCGTCCCTATCTCATCGTTCGGTCCCTCCCCCGAACTCGACCTGATGGAAGCGTCTCAGTATCAAATCAAGGTAGAGCACTGTACCTCCGCCGAGGAACTCGTCGGCCCGGAATCCTCGTCTCTCGGAGAAGTCGGCTATTCCATCACCATTGAACAGGAAAAGGATTACCGGTCCTTCGTTTCCCCAACTGGTCCCGCTGTCATTCCAGAATGGGATCTGCCTCACATCGCGGTATTTTACTGCTCCACTTACGATGATGCTGAGTCTAGTGGAACAAGGCATGCTGCCTGGTCTTTCATGGAACGGCATGGCGTCCCATCCATCTTTATTGCTGACCAGCAAGATTTCGGCAATTCCGATTGGGGAAAGTACATCAACGAGCACTCGGCCCATCTCTGCTTAGAGTCCCGGGACCCCGAAAGGCCAACAGCGCCCCACCGCTTTCCGATTGATTACGCCTCGTTTGCGGACATCGACGCTCGGCAGATGAACCGCAACCTGGCCTACTTGACTGGTTTGTCGGAGACCGAAGACAACCTGGGCCTAGGCAACACGAAGACGAAGGCAGGAGTGCCAAGGCCGGAGACGATGAAGAGTGCGAAGGGACGACGACTTGCTGCGCGAGAGGAATTTTGGCGGCGGATCCGTTCCATTCTGCCCGCGGTCCTGCTCCTGATGGGTCCATTCTTCGCCCTCTCCATGATCGACTGGCTGTGGCCGGCAGGCCTGTACCAAACACAACCATCGTCTTTCACTGGGGTTTGTGTTTCCTCACCGGTCTCGCCCGGCTTCACGACCGGCAGAAGTTCATCTGTAGCAACATCCACAAAAACGGTCGTGATAAACATCACTTCCACCAAAACCGTCCAGGCAACTCAAACGCAGCCGTCAACTAGTACTTTCGCTTCTGCGCTGTCGTTGGCTGGATTCCTCTCAGACAAGCCCTCAGCTGTCCCCGCCGACATCGAGGCAAAGGACAAAAAGCCCAACAACTCGAACAAGACGGCTTGTTCAGTACGCGTCCACAGCTTGACCGAAATTTTGGTGGGTGTCCCAAGCCGAAACAAAGCCGTGTGGCTTGCGGCGGGATCGATTGACATCACCGTCCGTCGCAATGACCACCTCATCAAGACCAAAATCTCTTGCGTAGATGAGGGGGTTATTGTTGAGCTCGATCAGAAGGACGCATATGGTCTCGTGAACATCACTGTGGTTACAACCCGGCGACCTAGGATCAACGAGACGTTTCAGATTGATTTCGGCAAGTCTGCAATTGCTGAGCTCGCCGAAACCATCGAGGCAGGACTGCACCTGTTGCAGGGCGCTATCAAGAATGTGGCTTGGACCGACGACGCAAGCCAAATTTTCGACAACGCTTGCAGGGTGTCTCGCGAGCTCCCCGGCGAAGTTTCCTCTGCCTTCGAACATGCTTCTGAAGCTGTTCAGAATCGCGCAGACAGGTTCAAGCAGGCTGTGGGTGATGCCCGGAAACACCTAACTCATCGGATTGGGTCGAACGATTTGATCCGGAAAGAGCTTGATCTCTCAATCCTCCAAGCACAGATTGCTTCCAGACTTTGGTGGCTGAGGATGCAGGGGAAGACCGAAGAATACAACCAGTATAAACGGAACGCGTCTCGGCTCCTCGATGCGAAGCACTTGGAGCTCCAGGCGGCTAAGACCAAGCACACGCCGAACCAGTCTCGGTCATTCTACGGTTTTCGAAGCAGGCTGTATTCGCCCTGGAAAAAGGACAGCGGCCGGCAAAACGAGGACGTCCAAGACTCGACTCCGCAAGACAGAAGCTGGGAGACGACATGGAGGAAGATCATGCAAGGAATATAACCCCTGATCTCCCTCTGTTTTAGCATCTTCTTTTCTTATTTTTGGGTGGGCGGGTTTGGCGGATGGTACAACGGTTTAGGGGATGGAATACCTGCCTATCATGGCCGCCCGAGGACCAGGGCTGGAGGGGTATGGAGTTTTGCTTTCCCGACGGGATAGGGTGTTATGGCATGGAACTATCTTTCGCTTCGACTCTCATATGTCCCACACAACAACTGCTGTATTTATTCGTATCAACTGGTGGCTTGGGTTGGTGGTATGATTCGGATCAGTCCTAACCCGGAGCAAGCGCTAGGCGATTGCGAAATGAATCTGGGGAACGGGGGGTAGAGTGATAAGATTAGAGCTATTAGCAATACGATGGTGTTCACAACGTTTTTGAGATCGACCAAGTGGGAGCTCCTCAACAACATCTTCAATCCACGTTACCCATTCACGTGCCGTGATGGCCCGACTTGCCCAAATAAACTGAATATGCTTGTAAACAGTATGCATCACAACCAATCAGAGTCCTCAACGGTGGCTACAGGATCCACCTTTGGCCCACCTACCCACGCCAAATTTATTTTGGGCCGCAGCCCCTGCTGTTGATTTCAGGGAAGTGAGGGGCAGTCTTTTGCAACAACACCACACAACCACCACCCACCTGCTGCCTGCCTGCGACCTCGCCTTATCCACTTCCCGACCCCGAGACGTCTTTCGACACCACTGCAAGGCACACAACACTCGCATTGCGCCCTTGAACCACCCTACAGATATCTGCAGCATCTGGTACGTTTCTCTCTCTCTCTCTCTCTATGCGCCCTAGCGTGTTTGCGTGCCCCGCGGTACCCCGCCTGGTGTTTCGGCTTTTGGAAAATCAACCCTGTCAGACGCTGCGAGCCGGCACCACGCCATGGCGGGGGCGGGGTTATTTGCGACTGCGATGGGCGGGGTTGGAAGGGCGTTTTGATTATGGGGAGGGGGTGGGAGATGGAGGATGGGAGATGGGAGATTGGGGGCTGTTTTCTTTTTGTTTTTCTTTTCCGGCCATTTGCTAACGCGCTTCGTCCGTTCGTGGGAGGAATAGTTTTCACTACTACCCGCCGAGACGAAGAGTTGACAACCAACCCGCCCGACATGTCTGCCGAGAACGATAACAAGCCGGTCGAGGAGGTGAAGGCGCCCGAGGTTAAGGGTGAGGAGACACAGGAGGTATGTGCAGCGAGCTGCGACAGGCTGGGATGCGCCAGGCTTGATTGGGGCGTGGTTTTGAGGGATGCGCTTTGGCTAACACTGGTATTTTGTTTGTGTCACAGACAAAGCCCGTTACCTCTTCTTCCGTTTTCTCCATGTTTGGCGGCGGCGCCAAGAAGGAAAAGAAGGACGACGATGAGGACCGCGGTGATAACTCTGGCAGCGCCAAGGCTCAGCGCGAGGCTGCCGCTGCTGCCGCCGCCGCTTCAAAGGAGGGTGGCGAGGAGGTTGGTTATCCCCAGTTCTGATGGGGGAGATGTTCGTGTGTGGGAAGTTGCTAACGGAGGGCTGGGAAATACAGGAGGAGCAAGCCCCTGAGTCCGAGGATGTCCACTTCGAGCCCGTCATCCACCTCACGGAGAAGGTCGAGACCAAGACCAATGAGGAGATGGAGGAGCAGGTCTTCAAGATGCGCGCCAAGCTCTTCAAGTACGTGTCCGACACCCGCGAGTGGAAGGAGCGCGGTACCGGCGATGTGCGCCTGCTCAAGCATCGCGACAACGGCAAGACTCGCCTGGTCATGCGCCGTGACAAGACCCTCAAGGTTTGCGCCAACCACTATGGTATGTATCCTGCTCCCCTATGCCCCTTACGCGTTGGGATGTTGAATGCTAACCCGACCCAGTCGTCCCCGAGATGAAGCTCTCCCCCAACGTGGGCTCCGACCGGAGTTGGGTGTGGAACGTCGTTGCCGATGTGAGCGAGGGCGAGCCCGAGGCTCTCACCCTGGCCATCCGGTTCGCCAACTCGGACAACGCCAACCAGTTCAAGGACGCCTTCATCAAGGCCCAGAAGGAGAACGAGACCCTTTTCAAGAAGGCCGAGGAACAGGGTGATGAGGAAAAGAAGGAGGAAACCAAGGAGGAGGCCAAGAAGGAGGAGGAGACTGCTGCGTAAGGCAGCCGGGTTTATTGGGTCGATGGAGAGCGATGAGCTCAGAAAGAAATAAGCACCAACCCTTCCACACCTCCCACCTCACCCCCAATCCCCGTCACACCACACGCATCACCGTCTCCCCAAGGAGGCCGAGGGTGACGACGACCACACATGAACACAATCCAACGCCCTCATGACACATCTGCCACCCAGACAAAGTAGGAGAGGGCGATTCTTTCAGGGATGGAAAGACCAGCCATGATAGCTGTAGATAGACCAAATACCATGCAGTCCCCTTGTCACTCCGCCTGGGCTCACCGGGCCAATGCATAATTTGCCTTTGTGACAATAATTTATTCTCCGTGAAGTGCTACAAATTGAAGTGGAAGGAAGAGAACAATGGCACAGACCGCAAATATAATCGGCCTCTTCTGGGGAGAATTTTGGTCCTTCCTGCATGTTGCCCTCACTTTCTATGTCCAGTCTCTTATAAATACAAAGTTTCTTGATCGATCTTCAAATTCACCCACAAACATCTACAACATGTTGCCTTCACTTTCTGTGCCCAGTCTTTTATAAATACAAAGTTTCCTGATCGATCTTCGAATTCACCAACACCCACAAATCCGTGTGAAACGCTATTCACACGGACCTTTCGCACTCAGCACAACCATCGCACGGACCATTAGCACCGCCACAATCATGAGAGGTCGTCGTCGTACCCAGGCACGAAGGGCCGCCTCGGCCGCCCTGCTTACGCCACCGTCAGGTACGTACCATGTTCAATCAATCAAGTGGGCAGACGCCGTCACGCCCGGCAGTCGGTTGAAGTTGAATGCACCCGCGACTGTGAACCCCAGAATCACCAGCTTCACAAATCTCCCCGAACCAGCGATCACACGCGATTCAATCGCGTATTCATCTTTTATTGTATCTTGGGTTCAATCTCTCCTTTCGCCCCTCTAGCGCGATCTGCCTTTTTTTCCGCTGCTTCGAGCCCGACGACGACCAGGTCCTGGGCGGTTGCGACTGACAAGACGATCTCCTCGGTTGCCTTGCCAATCGCGCGCTTTGGGAGAGGATCTCTTGATCTGCGGAATCGCAGCATTATCTCTCGTTTCGGAGAAGGAACGTGGCAACCCATCTAACGGCGACCAGTTGAAGACGAGGCCATCGTCGTTGGCACTCCCGGTGTCGTGTCCACGACCGTCGCTGCGACTGCTACCCCCCGCTCCGCCACTACTCCCAAGGGCAAGAAAGCCACAACTGTCAAGATGATTGTCGAGGTATGTTTAAGAGCGGCGTGTTGGAAGGAAAGCGAGAGCGGATTGCTGACGCGATGCGATGGGGTACAGCGTAAGATCAAGGTTGTCACCGAGCAGCACAATATGTAAGCGACCGATCCGACCGCCGGCGCACCAGACGGGAGACAAGGGGTGGGGACATCGTGGGACGGGTAGCTGACCAAGTCCAACAGCAACAAGCCGGCCGTCAATGAGGGCTTCCCGATGAAGGAGTGGACCGTCGAGGTCTACATCCTTGATCAGGATGGCAAAGAAAAACCTGCTCGCTGCTTCACCAAGGCCGTGTACCACCTACACCCTTCGTTCGCCAACCCCGTCCAGAGTATGTGTCCCATACGGGTTGAGACGAAGATGTAGCGCTGACTTGGGATACAGCGTTCATGGACCCCCCGTTCAAGTGCACCAACGAGGGCTGGGGTGAATTCGAGATGAGCATCGATTTGTTCACTACCGAGAAGGGCGGCAAGCAGACCGTCATCCACGACCTCAACTTTGCCGCCGCTCAGTACGACAACGTGCACACGGTGACCTTCCGGAACCCGTCGCAGGCTCTCCAACAGATCCTCCGCGAGACGGGCCCGCTACCCTCGGACGAGGAGCGCAAGATCAAGAAGGCCGACGGCGGCAAGAAGAAGAAGACGTTCGACGTCGAGAAGATGGCCGACGGCTTGATCAAGCTCGGGGAGGATGATCTCCTGCAAGTCATCCAGCTCATCCACGACCACAAGGATGACAGCACCTACGTGCAGAACAACATCGACGCGGGTGAATTCTCGGTGGACCTGTATACCCTGCCGGATTCCCTTCTCAAGATGCTCTGGGACTTGCTGGTAAGTCTATTTTTTCTTGCACGGTGCACTTATTTTGGCGAGTGTGATGCTGACCGTCCCACTCGACGTCTAGCTCAAGCAGGGCGTTGTCGTTGCTTAAGCGAACCGGCCCTTACATTCTGCATTCAACGGCGTCTGGCGTCCGGGGGTTGGGGAAGGTTGCGGAAAAGCATTGGTTGGTTGGATGGTCCCGTCATCTCGCTCTGGGTGTCGGTCGGCAGTCACCCGATGGTTTTATCCCTCTTGGCCCTGCTCATTTGACGGGGCTCCGGCTTGGTATCGGCCGGGAATTATGGAATGGGACACCATTGAGTTTTACGACCTAGTCGGCTGCACGGGGAAGAGAGAGCTTTATATCCTTTTCTCGGACGTGCTGACTAGGGTCATACTCGTAGGTCCGTTAAATGCATCAACATGACTAAGTCTGGTTCTAATTCGTGCCATTGCATCAGTGCTTGGTTCCGTAGTTTACTGCTGTGCAACTCGGGAAATTATTTGATGCTGTGCTACTCGGCTGGGTGTGTGCAGGTTGTGGGACCTCTTTCACCACGGCAACACCAGCGCCGTCGGTTTAGCAATCATGAATTTACGTGAGGCGCGAAGCACACGCGAACGTATCGAAATGCCCGGTCTGTTCCAGTATGCCTTCAGCCAGGTTGCATGCAGCGGCGGACCGATCCCGGTGGCATGCTGGATGCCGTCCGTCGGGCCCTGACATGAAGACAGGGTACGGTACCAGCCTAGGTAGCTTCCATTCTTCGTGAACATACCATTGTCGACCACACCTTAGGTAAGACGATGCGACTGGGCAGAGTTACGCAGCATTGTCCACGGGTTACGGGGTCTGGACACCGGGCTGCGGGGTCAGAAGATGGTTTTGGGGCTGGCTGTGGATGCGAGGATGCTGAGAATCTCACCGCTCTGTTCCAGGGAGAGCCTGTATCTGACGTTTGTGCTCACCGGACGAGACGGAGGAATGGAGCCAGTGCCCCGCGTGACCTGTTCAACGTGACCTGCCAACGAACGGAATTGGCGAACCCCGGCAGCCGGGACACGCACGCTTGTACCCCCCGAGTTTGTAACAATTTCGATGTGATGTTCACGAAAAAGAGAGTGATCCGGAGGGAGGTGGGATCAATTACGAGAGTAGTTTGCAGGGGATTCGATGTCTGTCTGAATTAGGTTGTAACGGCTCCGTTGATTTGCACGATTGGCTTCCGCGCGTCAGGCGGGGTGAAAATTGTCTCGTTCTCGTCTTATCATTTCCCCGCAGCGCAGGCACGCAGGCTGCATCTGCATCCGACCCACGCGCCATTCGCCAAGGGGCTATGCCGGGTGGCTCCAAGGCATTCGTTCAGCTGCTTCGGTGTGCACTCGTTCGTCCCATTGCTCCAAGGGAGATGGTGAGACATTCGAGTCCACGATAACTCCGCTAGCTTCTAGGAGTCGAGGGGTGGGAGACAATGGCCAAAGGGACGCCACCGTCTCGCCTTTCTTTCTTTCCTTGTAGTGTAAAGCATTTCCATCACGGAAGCTTCGAATCGCACCGAGCATTGACCTCAGCCCGTTGGTACACCTTCCACATCGAGATATCGAGATGTTCGAGGTCGCGAGGAACAGGGAACAGGCAATTGAGTATGAGCTAAGGGAATCCACTGGATTGTTCGACCTTCGGGATTGGGGAACTGGGGTTGCCGTTTTGACCAACGGCTCCTGCTGATAGGCTGGATGTTGCCCCACACACCACCTCGTGGGTCGCTGGTGCGCATTTGCCCCACCTGTCCGGCAAGAGCGAGAAGCGTCATCCCGAGATTCAATCTCGGGGCCAAGACCCCTCAACTAGCCCCAAAAACTGGCCCGTTCCCCAGTTTCTTGAGTCTTCACCCACCGCAAACCGCTTCCAGCCGATAAAGCAAGCCCAAAGCTTATGCTCGCAGATCGGGGGTTCTGTTTAACGTGTTGAGCAAGCAACGTTTTGCGCCCATTCGGCCCGGCTCTTTTTTGACTGCCCGCCATGTCACAGTACGGCGCGCCAGCCCTACAACTTTCCTCCGTGTCGCCCATCTCCCCCGTTGCCGCCTCATCGACGTCGTCTACGGGCCCCGCCCGTCCCCCTCCTCCACCTTCCGTGAGGGGCGGTGGAGCCGGAGCCGGACCCGGATCCGTGCCGGGACCCTCCGACGACGCGGCTTCATCGCAATCCGCCCAGCAACTTCAGCAGGCCCAGCACAAACGCGTCTATCAGGCCTGCATTCCCTGTCGCCGCCGCAAGGTTCGATGCGATCTCGGATCTGTCGACGACCCCCACGACCCTCCATGTGTCCGCTGCCGTCGCGAGAGCAAAGAATGTTATTTCAGCGCTACGCGCCGCAAGCGCAAGATTGATGACGACCCGCGAGAGGAATCTGAGGAACAGGATGACTACATCCTTCGCAATGGCCGTAAACAATTGCGCACCGCGGCATCGCCACCACCCGTCTTGGACCGTCGGTTGTACAGCGACGTACCCCTCACGCCGGGGGGAAGTCACGGACGGGCGCAGCCCTTGAGGCGGCCTGGCGACGCGTCAAAAAGCGCGCGCAGCAACAGCACGGCTGGCGAGTTTGGCAATGGCGAGCCTAACACCCCGCTGGAGAACCTGGAGGCTCGGAGCGTCATGCGGAGGGAGGTTTATGGGCCGCACGATGCGCTAGACCTGCTCTATAAGGCAGCTACAGACAAGTGAGTTACACATCCCCGCGCGAATCTCTCAATGCGAGGTGGCCTAGAAGACTGACAAGTTTCTGATTCAATCAGCGCATCGCACAAGCCCGACAACAACCCGGCGCCGCCACATAGTGCCAACCAATCCGGTCCTCATCACATTCGTCACGACGTTGAGCCACCCAGGTCAGCCAACACCAACGCGTCAGGGGGTTATCACAGCCGGCATGTGTCACGCCAAGATGGTCCAACCGCGGAGCAGGCGATAGATCCGGAATTGACGAAGCGAGACCCCTCCAGTGAACCTGGGTACAACGAGGCGATCAAGGCCTGGGGCCGATTCCGCTTCGTGCGTGCTGGTTGGTTCACGGCCCAGGAAGCAATCGACTACATTGACTAGTAAGCTGCTGCTCTGAATGAATCTCTAATAGGTAGGTTTTCAGACTGACGCCGCATAGTTATTACAAATATCTTTCCCCCCTCACTCCCATCTCGCCCCCGACGTTCAACAATCCGGCATCCCACTTAACGCTTCTGACAGAGGAGCCGATCCTTACCGTGACACTTTTGACCATCGCGTCAAGGTACCGTCGCATGCCTGGCACCGGAGGCCACTGCCGTTCGCATGCCATCCACGAGCAGCTATGGATGTACCTCAGGGGCATGATTGAGCGCGTCGTGTGGGGTCAAGAAGCGTTTGGCGGCGGCTTCTGCGGCTCAGGGGCCGAAGATCCCCAGAGCTCTAGCACGGCCCCCTGGAGGGGCTTGCGCAGGGGCAGCTTGAGGACTCTCGGAACCATCGAGTCTCTGATGATCCTGACCGAATGGCACCCGCGGGCACTCCACTTCCCACCGAACGAAGCGACCGACGAGTTGATGCTGCCCTCGTATGACCCGCCCAGCCCTGGCGATATCAATGGCAACCAAAAGTCCTCGACTGGGTTTGGCGGGCGAAGGATCGAGAGCTGGCTAGAGCCCGCCTGGAGGAGCGATCGCATGTGCTGGATGCTGCTGAGCACGGGCATGGGACTAGCTTACGAGCTCGGTGTTTTCGATGATGTTGACGAGCTGCTGGCCGCCGGTGCTATTACTCGGCCTGAGTACGAAGATGAGTCGTATCGACTACGGGCGAACCGCATTAAAAGGCTACTTTTGATCTACCTGAGTCAGCTCGCCGGCCGGCTAGGCTGGACCAACATGGTACCCGAGCGGCTGCGAAAGTCGGATCCGGCCGTGTCGAGGAGGAAACGCCATTCGGTCGAGGGTAACACACCGGGGACGAACCCGTCTTCGTTGTCAAACACCTTCAACTACATACCAGACTTGGAGCTGGACGACCAGATCATCCACTGCTGGGTGGGGATCAGCAACGCCATGCAAGTCGGCAACGAGAGGCTGTTCAGGTCCCGGAAGCACACAACAGAAATCATCCAGACTGGGAAATACATCGAATTGCTCGCAGAGTTCACGCCCATGCTCAAAGATTGGTGGAACCAGTTTGAGCGGTACCGGCTGCCTCCTTACATCAGGCACGTCCTCACCATCGAATATGAATACGTGCGCATCTACATCAACTCGCTCTCCCTGCAGGCGGTGGTCGAGCGGTGCACCAACAACGCCGGCGGGGGTACGGGACCGGGTGGGAGCGTATCGGGTCACTCGGGGCCGCAACTGTCGCCGCAGACGCAAAACTACTACGGAAAGCTGCCGCTCGGCCAGCTAGGCGGCTTCGGTGCTGAGGATCAAGAGTACGTGAGGGAGGTGGTCAGCGGCAGCCGGAACCTGCTCCGGACCGTCGTCGAGGGCCTGCTCCCCGGGGACTACCTCAAGCACGCGCCCGTGCGCACCTACTTCCGCATCATCAGCGGCGCCATGTTCCTGCTCAAGACGTTTGCGCTCGGCGCGCCCAAGTCGGACGTCGAGATGAGCATCCAGCTGATGGACCGCACCGTGAGCGCGCTCCGGAACTGCGTCGTCGACGACGTGCACTTGGGCATCCGCTTCGCCGACATGCTCGAGACCTTGACCAGCCGCCTGCGGAACCGGTTCATCTATGCGCCTCCACCTGCCTTGTCGACGGATGGCAGATCGCCCGGAGCGACGCACGGCGATCTCGCGAATGGGGGTGGCTTGAACGGGCTGTCGCATACAGGGCATCCTAATGAGGTGTGGCTGAAATTGAGGGAAGGGCCTGGTCCTGGTAAGTTCTTTTCTGTTGCGACCACCATATTCACGACTTTTTTCTGCGTTTGAGATCACACTCTAACCCCGTCCACAGACCGCTCCACAACCCCAGCCAACATCTCCGCCACCCCCTGGGACCTCACAGCGGGAACGTTCCCCTACCCCACAGGCTCAACGTCCATGTTCGGCCCGTCAACCCCCGCCGCCACCACAGGGCTCGACAACACCAACACTAGTAACAACAACAACCCCAACCCCAACGTCAACCCTAGTAGCAGCATAGGCGACAACAGCGGCCTGTTCGACAACCCGGACTGGGCCAACCCCAACAACGAGATGTGGTACCTGCCCACGGGCGCGGCCTTCTTCCAGAACATTGATAACAACGCCGTCTCGATGACGGCCGAGGGCGTGAATGTGGGCGGCCTCGACCTGCTCGAGTACATGGCCATGGACCCGATGGACCATCATAACTTTGGCATGGACGGGAACGGGTTCTGATTTTTGTGTTGTTGTTGTTTTTCTTTGCTTCCTGCGGTTTTTGCTTTTTCTTACCCGACGTGCGGGTCGACGGGGGAACCGAAAATATCGGGGAGAAAGGAGGAGGAAAATTGCTTGCTTGCGGGACTATCGTTTTTTGTTCAATGCGCGCGGCTTAACAGTTAATTTTGCTAGCGATGGATTTTAAAAGAAAGGGAAAAGGAGGGCGCGGTTAAAATGTCTTATGTTGAGCAAGAGGTGTTTCGGGTTTATCAGACAGGTTGTCTTCCGGGCTATCAATCGAAATGCGGTGGGTATTAGGAGGATTCGTTGCTGAGCGGCGTGGTGGTTATTAGTTGGTCTTTGGTATCAGTCTACGTTACGATAGCCTTGAGTCTGTCTATCTCAATGCATACTTACGTAGCGTAGCATGCCTAGCTTAGATGCCTGGCGCTGAACTGAAATCAACTAGTGTTACCATCGTGAGATGGGCATTTGAAGAACTGAGGGTGGATGTCAGCGAGCTTTGTTCTGGTGGCTTTACTGCCGCGGAGGAGTTGACGATGATAGTGTTGGTGACTGCTAGGGTAGGTCTTGCGTGTTCCGCGACTAGGGCGGACCATGACAGTGCTGTAAAGCCAATCGTATTATTATCTATTAACCTCTACCAAAGCACCGCCTCTATCACCATGGTAGTTCAGCATCTCTCCCCTCATTGCGCACCCACTCCCCTCCCTACCCTCCTAGTTAAGGAGGGCCTCCTCCGCCCTCCTCGCCCACTCCCGGAACCAATCCAACGCCTCCGGGTTGGCCACACTCGCGTTCGTCCTGACCTGCATCCCCGACAGGATCTGCTTGACAGCAACCTCGATCTTCTTCCCGTTGCCCGTCTTGGGCACGCCTCCCTTCGCCTCTTCAACCACCCCCGGCACGTGGCGCGGGCTCAGCTCGCGCCTGATAACCTCGCCAATCCTCTTCCGCAGCCCGTCATCAAACACCCGACCGCCGGCCATGACTACAAACAAACACACGGTCTCGTCGCGGTCTGCCTCGCGGCGACGCCCGACACAGACGGCATCCTCAACGTCGGCGGAGAAGAAGCGCGTGAGCACGTTGTAGATCTCGGCGCTGCCGAAGCGGACGCCGGCAGGCTTCAGCACGCCGTCACTGCGACCCAGCATCACCAAGCCGCCGGTGTCGGGGTCGATGCGCACAAAGTCGCCATGGTGCCACAGGCCGGGAAACCGCTCGAAGTAGGCGGCACGGTACTTGGCGTCGCCGTCCGCGCCGAAGAAAGTGAGCGGCTGGCAGGGGAAGGGCTTCGTGCAGACCAGGTCGCCCGGCGGGGGCGTGTCGTCGTCGGGAGAGGGGTTGACCGGCTGCGGGGAGTCGGGCGGCGAGGCGGGGTCGACAACGCTGATGGCCATGCCGAGGCCGGCGCACTGGATCTCGCCTGCACGAACGGGGAGGAGAGGGCAAGGCGCGCCAAAGAGGGAGATGATATCCGTGCCACCGGTTATGGAGGTGAGGTTGATGTTGCGGGGAAAGGCGGTGTATACGAAGGTGAATGTGGAGGGAGGGAGAGGGGAGGCGGTCGAGTAGATGGCTTCGAGGGCCGAGAGATCCAAAGAGGGGTCGGTGACCGGACGGATGTTGTTTGCTTCGAGGGCGGTGAGGTAGGCGGCGGAGGTGCCAAAGTGGGTTACGCGGAGGGAGGAAAGGAGGCGGGGGATGGAGTAGTAGCCATGTGGTTTGAACGGGGAGCCGGCGTACAGGACGAGGGAGGAGCCGCAGGCGAGAGCAGAGACGCTCCAGTGATGCATCATCCATGAAGTTGTGGTGTAGTAAAGCATGCGGGAAGCCGGGGAGAGAGAGCAGTGCAGGAAATGCTCCTTCTTGTGCTGAAGTAGAGTGCCGGCTGCGGTATGAACGATGGCCTTCGGGAGGCCGGTCGTACCGCTGGAGTAGAGGACGTAGAGGGGATGGGAAGAGGGGAGCTGAGCGAAATCTAGTGGCGAGTTTGGTGGTCTGGGACAGTTAGGAGGGGCAATCATCATTACGGTAACGGGGACTTACGAGTCGAGGAAAACATTGAACTCCTCGGCGTGAACCCCCTTTTCCCGGATTGCGTCAAGCCCAGCGTCGACGTTCTCGAGCGCCTTGATGACAACAACCTGCTCGAGACCATGCTTCTTCAATTCCTCGACAACGTCGAGGGTCTTCGCCTTGCCGGACCACTCCTTACCGTTGTATAGCGTGGCATTGTCGGTAAAGAGCACCTGTGGTCGGATTTGGGTGAGGCGGTCCAGCACTGCGCTCACACCATTGTCCGGGCTAATACCCGTCCAAATAGCACCGACGGTGGCAGCACTCAGCAAAGCAACCAAGGCTTGCACATGGTTGGCGACGAAGCCGGCGACAACACTATTCTCCTTGACACCGATAGAGCGGAGAGCATTGGAGCAGCGGCGGACTTGGTCCCTCAGCTCGGCCCAGGAGGTTTCAACGAGGTGGCTCTCGTCTTCGGTGGCCGTGATGACGGCTGTGACCGACTCATCAATCTCAACTTTGGCAGGGAAGAGAAGGTTCTCTGCAAAGTTGAGGCGGGCGCCAGCAAAGAAATCGGGCCTGGGAAACATGGGGGCCTCGGAAGGCAAAACCTGGAAAATGTTTAGGGGCCTGCCTCTTCTCCGAATGGAAAGGGGGCTAGTTGTATTCACGACAACCGCACGCACCTGATCATAAGTTTTAGAGGCCTTGATGCCGGCAAAGTGCCAAACGTCGCCCCAGAAATCTGCTACATTGTCGACGGACCACTTGTACAGTTGTGGGTAGTCTTTGAGATCCAGGTTGTACTTGGAGTTCACGTACTCCAGAAACCTCCACATCTGGGTACCCTCGGGGCGTTCATGTCTCCAGAGCTCGGCGGCCGTCATCTTGCCGCAGTTGCGAGTGAATGCAGTGCGACTATTATATTGAAGGCGTGTGTGCGTGTGTGGAGGAACAGGTGGATTTGCCGCGAGGTGACTTTTTTTTTTCTTTTCGAGATAAACAGAAGGAGATCTCGAGGTTGTTGGGTTTCTCTGAGTGGAAATGGAAGGTACGAAGTACTACTTGCCCGTCGTCTGTCACTCTTGCCCGAGGTTCCTGCCCAATTCGGGCCCTGACTTCCCCAAGCAACTTCCGACGGGAACGGTCGGAATTGACCTGACCCGCTGAAGGGAGAAGCCGCAGGCTCTGAAGACCCGAATCTGCCCAAAGCCGACAATGGCCACATCCTGGAAGCCGCATTATCCCTTCCATCGCTTTCCGCCAACATGCAGGTACCGGCCGGGCTGGCCCGCTGGATTTTCACAGACGACCCACATCCGTTTTTTCCATGATCATCGAGGTGGTTTGATACCTATCAGCCATTCCATCGACGTGCCGTAAATGTCGACGTCTTTCTGCGCGGGCGCTTGCAAGCGCTGTGCAGAGAGAATACTATGTAATCATTGGAATGAAGGGAACATTCAATGTGGATCGTCATACTGCACGGCCGTCTCGGCGTTGCGAGCAACAGACGGATCGCCGAGACTCCCGTCCATCGGCCGGCGATATGAACCGTTACGTGCCGTTCTCTCGCCCGGGGATACCGCGCTCGCTTATATTTATATCTGCGGATGCGACACTCGGCCCCGAGTCCCGAAATCACTCCCGTTGCCGGGCCTGCCGAGTTGATTCACAGGGAGCCTGGCTTGGTGGCGCGATCCCCTGCGATTTCTCAGCGCCCACTGTGTGTACCCACAAGAAGAAAGAAGCATGCACATACAAGTTTGGTACACTAATATTTCGGAACCGGCACAATACTGTGCACAATGTTTGGAAGCTGGCTTGCACGGCGCTCTCATACCTGACTGCCCATCGGATCATTGGCGGGATTGATGGCTCAAGTTGACGGTTTCCGTCCCAGTTTTCCTTTCCGCTCATTGTCAAAACTAACCGTTTGCTAGCATTGACCTTGAAACGGTCAGCTCATTTCCCTGGATCCCACTGCCCACAACGAAACCGAAAGTCGCGAATGGACCCCTTCGCCCATAACTACTTGGCACGCCTTCGCTGGGTTGGGTTGATGGGCGTTAAGTTGCCGGAAACGTTTTCCATGCCGCGGGTAGGTTGGGTATGGACAACCCATTGCAGACCTGATAAATTGAGACTCCCAAAATACTTTCAGTCGATGATTTTATCACCCCGCAAACTTGGGAGGGGCGATTACCCCTTGTCTTCATCGTGATGATCGATCCGGGCGAGCCAGGGACAGTCACAGCCGGACCCGTCGGCATCGGCGAGGATGAGAAACCCGTCACCTCAGGGGGTTGACGGAAGGCACTGGGCAGGGCAGCAGGGCTGCTTTCAAATTGCGATGGTGGGTTTTCCGCCAAGCGGTGCCCCACAACTCCGTCCCTGGCGCCCCGATTCGTCAATCTCGTCACTCAGGCCAAGTCCGTTTCCCTGAAATCCTCTGCATGTCCACCTTCGCGCTCGCCCTGTCCCTTTCCGGTGAACTTGATCTCTTGTTCTTGCAGCTTGACAACCCCCACTGAAGACAAGAGCCCCCTTCGCAAATTCGTCCAGAACCCAGGGCGACGGCGACCTCGGCCGTGAGGTCCTTCTTCCTTCCTTTTCTCCCCGCCGAGATCCCGTCGACAGCTGCCCCGGCAAGCACTCGTCCGACCTATCTCATCGCCCCTTTGCGGCTTTCGACGCAGCTTCCCATTCGCTAGGTGGAGGAGCTTTCGGCTGCACCGGCACGTCATTCTCACCTCGCTACACCGACGACATCAGCTCAACGCCTACACGTTCAACTCTGCAACCGACTCGGCGAGCTTCTTAATGTGAGTTGTAATCTGTTTGGATTTACCATGGACCGACCCCAGGCGCTGCAGTTTGCGATCTGGACTGGGCGGCCGCGTGTTTATTGGGGCTGTAAAAGGGGTTCCCAGCCCCCAACTATCCCCGACCGACGCCCGGAATCACACCGCTTGGGAGTCAACCTTGGACCCAGAGTTGCGGCCAATTGCCGCGTCACCTTTTAGGAGGCTCCAGAAGACCCCCTGCTAACGACCAGCTTTCCCTAGTATCCATTGGCGCAACCCATCTTCAATCGCGCTTGCGATCAGCGTCGAGGCCCCGTCAGCTGTACTGTTCAGGAGCGCCGCACGCGCCGATAGCGATGCCTCGGAAGCTCTCGAATCCCTTCTCAACGTCCAGCATGCCATCGTCTGAGAAGGCAGGCGAGCGACGACCTTCTCAGTCGAAAGGAAACCGCCTCGCCGGCTTCTTCTCGTCCAAAGCAAAAGAGCAAACCCTGCACCACCAGGTGGCATCGCCCAGGATGTCATCTCCCAGCCCCCTCCCGACCATCTCATTGTCGGCCGCGCACGGAGCCGAGCTCAACACGGACGAGACCCCCACCACCCTTTTCGAGCCCCCTTCTGCCGACGAGGCTAAGAAGCAGGAGCGCCGTGATGCCCAATTCGGACCCCTCCTCGACCAAAGCCATCTGTACATCAGCGCCCATCAAGGCAAACCCCTCGAGACGCCCATCGAAGACGAGCCGCCCTACTACTTTGTCCTCACCACATATATTAGCTACTTGCTCCTTATTTTCTTCGGCCACGCGCGAGACTTTTTCGGCAAGCGATTTGGAGACAAGAAACATTACCAGAGCCTTAAGGTTTTCAATGGCTATGCTCCGCTCAACGATGATTTTGACAACTTCTACGTCAGGAGGTTGAAGCTCCGCCTTGACGACTGCTTCGCCCGGCCTACCACCGGCGTACCTGGCCGCTACATCACCCTCATTGACCGCAAATCGGACGATTTCAACCGTACTTACAAGTACACGGGCACCTACACACAAACCCTGAACGTGAGCTCGTACAACTACCTGGGTTTCGCCAACTCGGAAGGTCCCTGCGCCGACGCCGTTGAGGAGTGCGTCCGCAAGAGTGGTCTCAGCTTCGCTAGCCCGCGTGCCGATTCCGGTACGTCGGAACTGGCTCTGGAGGTCGAGCGCGAGGTTGCCGATTTTGTCGGCAAGCCCGCCGCCATGGTATTTTCGATGGGTTTTGTGACCAACGCGGGCTCGTTCCCAGCGCTCGTCTCCAAGGGCTGCCTCATTCTTTCCGACGAACTCAACCACGCCTCGATCCGCATTGGTGCGCGTATGTCCGGTGCGGTTATCCGGTCGTTCAGCCACAACGATATGGAGGATTTGGAGCGGAAGCTGCGTGAGGCCATCTCTCAGGGCCAGCCGCGCACCCACCGGCCGTGGAAGAAGATATTGGTCGCCGTCGAGGGCCTTTACTCGATGGAGGGCACCATGGTCGATCTTCCCGGAGTCTTGGCCTTGAAGAAGAAGTACAAGTTTTTCTTGTATGTGGATGAGGCTCACAGCATTGGAGCGCTAGGGCCTAAGGGCCGCGGCGTTTGCGACTACTTTGGTATTGACCCAGCTGAGGTCGACATTCTTATGGGAACTCTGACCAAGTCGTTTGGTGCCAACGGTGGCTACATTGCCGGTGAGAAGAACATCATTGACGGGCTCCGGATTGCCAACGCGGCCAGCCTACTTGGCGAGTCGGCGACTCCCCCGGTCCTGATGCAGATTCTTACCTCGCTCCGGCTCATCACCGGCGAGATCGCACCCGGTCAGGGCGAGGAGCGCCTGCAACGCCTCGCCTTCAACTCGCGGTACCTGCGCCTCGGACTCAAGCGACTCGGCTTCATCACGTACGGCCACGACGACTCACCCATCATCCCCATCGTTCTCTACCACCCGGGCAAGATGTCGGCCTTCAGCCACGAAATGCTCAAGCGCAAGATCTCGGTCGTTGTCGTCGGCTACCCGGCCACGCCGCTCATCAGCTCGCGAGCCCGCTTCTGTATCTCGTCGGCTCACAACAAGGAAGACATGGACCGTATCCTTGCCGCCTGCGACGAGGTTGGTGATATCCTGCAGCTCAAGTACTCCACCGGCATTGCCGGCGGCCAGGAGCCGCTCCCCGACGGTGTCACGCCCGAAATGGAGAACGAGTGGCGCAAGGCGAACGGTCTCGAAGGCGTCGTCAAAGCGCCTCGGTGGAAGCTGGACCACGTCATTGAGCGCGGTGTGCAGGATGCGAAGGAGCAGCTTCGATAAAGAGCGAGCGGTTTCGTATCGGTTGGTGTATATAAATCAAATAAGGGGCTTCTTGAACGGAACGGGGCGGGTGGGAAACTCGCTTTGTATAACGCTGTCGTCAAGGTCTCTTGTGTGTTGGTCCTGCTACTGATGAGAGACCCGGCGGTGATGAGTGGACGTCGCCACGGTGGTAATGTCTATAATCTGAAGGGGGTTGTGGTTGTCGGGTCTTGTCTTGGGAGGGGGCGGTACCAAACATCTCGTTCTGGCCGGAGCAGGAAGTCGCACACACGTAATGTACTTTTCCGCCACATACTTTTTTTCATGTGGGGGTTTGGAGTTGGGGTGGACGGTCAGTGGCGTCAGGAGGGCAACAGCCGGTGGTTGAGGACTTGGGTGATGAATGGATCACAATAATGAGAGATACTTATGGGAATAGAATACTGTACCTTGTGGAGCTTGTGTGACACTACATATTGGTGTGCCACTCTTTTCTTCTGCATGCAGCGGCAACAATGATGCTAACTAAAACAGCTTTCATCTGATGTTTAAGAGTGTGCATCATGGTAGTCACGTGCCACCGCGTTCTGTTCCGCGCGCCGTTTGTAGAAACTCATCGTACAGATTACTTTCCGTGTAACTCAATCTGTTTGTTCTCGTTCTTGGCCACTGTGCATCCGTCGTTTTCCATCATCCACATTCTCTCCCAACCACAACCAACTCTGGATATCCCACCAACAGGCTTATCCCCTTTTGTTTTTATAGCACGACAACCCTTTTACACGGCATTCGCACTCTCCCTCTCAGCATCTTACCTCCTTCTATTGAAGTTCGACCTTTTAAGAGTACCTCGTCGCTGTCCAAATTCGGGTAAGTGCATCCGTTTGCAGAACACGAATACCTGCTTGCTCCAACCCATACCACCACTGCACATTAGATGCACGGTCGTTTGGGTTTTGGAAGATGGGGAATAGCGCATTGAAAAGGACTCGATGCGACAATATTTACCATCAAACTCTAACGCATGAGGAGCTCTCGGCTGACATGATATCGTTTAGCCCGCCGACCTACAACAGTGACGACGGGTCCGGCTGGTTTTGCCTCTTCCTCCTGTTGATGTTAAGTTGACAGGATGGTGAGGCCTAGGAAAAAGAAACAGCAGACACTGGAGGCGACGCTTGGTGAGATTATTCCCCATGACCTGTATTTCGTATCAAGAAGCATGCTAATGCGCCTCCAGGCCGCCCGCGGGTAAAAACCATCATTCGGCCCCGTGGGAAGAGAAAGGACAAGGCTGCCTCGGGAACTTCGGTATTGAGTTCGCCACCCAGGAATGCGGCTCCCTTGGACAGTTCACCGCCGGCACCTCCGTCGTCGTTTATGCACTCGTCCCAGGTACCTGGGAGTACGAGGAAAAAGACAGTCGCATTCGAGGATTCCTCTTCGGAAGAGGCGAGAGAGGATGAGCAGGAGCGGGTATTTCCCGTGAGGGGGACGCGACGGGGCAAGGGACGTCCAGTTGCCGGGCCCGGGTGGGAGTCGGATTCGGAGTCGGAGTCCAGCATCCTATCATCGGGAAAGGGCGAAAAAGCTCGGGAGGAGAGTGATGACCAGGAAGACGACGACGACGAACCCCTGGCCACTCCCATAGCTAGGCGTAAGAGACATTTGGCCCCCAGCGAGAGTGATGAGGACGAGCAGCCCCTCGTCTCCCCACCTATCAAGCGGCGCCGCCTCATTCGGAGAAAAAATACAATCTCCAGCCAGGAAGACAAAGAGGACGAAGACGAAGAAGAACCGCCTGCGCCATCTTCAGTTAAAACTGGCCGCGCGAGACGGAAGCCGCTCACACTAAAAGAGAAAGCTCGAGAGCTACTCCGCCGGAAGCGTGCCGGCGAAGTGATCAACGAGGACGAGAATTCGTCGTCTTCGGACGAGGAGGAGCCCGTAAAGGCTATGTACGACAGCGATCCAGATCATCTCGTGCTTGATGAGTTCGAGGACGACGAAGAGGGTATCAATGAGCCTGTATTGGAGGACTCCGCCACGGAGAGAAGGAAGAGCAAGAAGGGCAAGAAGAAGCAAAAGCGGAACGTGGTCGATGGCGATGACGGGTCGGAGAGTTTGGACGATTTCGTCATCGACGACGACGACGCTCCCCTTGGTGTACCTGATGAGGCCTATCAGGACATGCCCCTGGAGTTCACAAGGCACTCACAAAAGTCGCTGAAGGAATATTTCCGGGATGCCATAGAGTGGCTTGTGCAGTTCATGGTCAATCCTGAGTTCCCCAAGGAACATGCGGTATACCACATGGCGTGGAAGAAGCTGGATGATGAAGTCCAAGGTCTCGCCACCTCCAAGTTTGCCTCTGCTGCTTGGAAAAAAGAGTTTATCATGGCGCTCCGGGCTCGACCATACTTCAACAACGTGGAGCTTTCCAAGGGCGATATGGCCGAGGTTCAACACTGCGGCGCCTGCGGCAGGACAGGCCATCCCGCCAAGTAAGTGACTGGAATCATCTTTAGGACCGGGAAAAAACTCAACTAACTTCGTCACCTCAGATACTTGATGACCTTCACCGGTGCCCCCTACTACAAAAACATCACGAACCTCGAACGCTTCCTCCAGCCCGTCGATATGGACAGCGAGTCCGACTCCGGCTCGGGCTCCAACGCCCATGACGATGATGAGAACGGCAATTCAATCCCTAAGGAGGACACAGAATGGTTTGTTGGCGCGGTCTGCAACAGCAACGCCGAAACAACACATGATCTCATGCACTGGAAGAAGGGCCTCCTCGTCTTTGTGGATACCCGCCTTCACATCGAAGGTTACATGGATTCCGCCAAGGTGGTCGAGCGGGAGCGCATGGATCCTCAGGAGAGGAACGACCTCGTGGACAAGATCATGAATCATTGGGAGAAAAATGGCATGGTGAAAGCACTTTACCAGGAGTTTAAGGGAACTATTGAGAAGGCGAGGAATAAGCCCACTAGTGGGAGATATCGGTGAGACGGGCGCCTAAAAGCCGGGGTCGTTGGGTTGCTCAAACGGGTTGACATTGTCTAAGTCATGGACAGTCAACCACCTGGCAACGCTTCGAATCCAAGGGCAAAGAAGGGCCGCAAGTATCATTGGAGTAATAATGCTTGGAGGGACTGGGAAGAATGGCGTACACAGGGCAAGAGCGGTGTTTTTGCAGGGTTACGCTACACCATAGCAGTCGTGGTTTGGGGTGTTTGGGGTGGTCCATTCTGGCGTTTATGGAACACGGATAGGGAAGCTTAGCTGTAAAGGTACTCTGTACAAAGTAGTGTATACCAAGAATATCTTTCCCCGCCCCTCTTCAGTTAGTGGGCAACACAAAGCGGAAGTCTTTGAACCCCTAGGGAAATGCTTGTCCATAACGGCCCCCCAACGTGACACGGCTCATTTGCAGCACGTTGACATGCGCCTCGATGACTTCACACAACCATGCACGCGAGAAAGGTGAGATATGGACAAGAAAAGCAACGAAAGGGGAACGCTTGCCCAGGCAATGTGGGCAACCAAATGCATATAGACGACGAAAGACACAACACCAGGCCACCCTGCAAACGAACACTACCAGACTACCGAACGAGAATGCCCCCTTTTGTTTTTTTTTTGGCTTCCAAACCCCTTCCTTACTCTCCAAAAACCTACACTCCACCCTATATCCCATCGCAAAATGCCCAACAAACCCGACACCCATCTACCTCTCCCCCGTTCTCGCTCACTTCTCTCTCGAATGATAAAAAGATCCCTCCCCCCTACAGACGATCCAACTTTCCCCCCAACACCCAAACAGACAAACCTTCCTTCACACATCCCAGAAGCAAAAGTCATACACACACACAAAACCCGACCCCATCCCAGCCCCATCTTCTTCTTCTTCTTCTTCTTCTTCTCCCCCCCGCTCAGTCTCAGGACCCCTTCCTTGCCAGTCCCGAGTCAACCCCTCCCCCCCCCACCCCGCACTCCTCCGTCCACCCCACACGCGCGAGTCAGAACGGCCGCAGGAGTCCACCCAAACCCCCCCTAAATGATGCCTCCCGGCGGGTCATAGCCGACGCCGGCACCGGCGCCCCTCGCGGCGGCGGCGGCGGCGGCCGAGGCCGAGGTGCTCCCGGGCCCCATGAGCCCGGCGCTGCCGGGCGGCGCGTCCGGGTTGGCGCCGTCGGCGGAGGCGTTGTTGGTCTTGCGCAGCATGAACATGGGCTTCTTCCCTTCCTTGTCCAGCTGCTTGAAGAGGATGAGGGGCTTCTCGTCGAGGGCCAGGCAGCGCTCCTGGTCGCCGTAGACGATGTAGAGGGCGTACTGGTCCCAGGGGGCGTTGATCTGGTATTTTTTGAGCGCGGCGGGCAGGACCTTGTAGCAGGGGTCGTCCATGCTGACGCGGAAGGACTTGAAGATTTCGACCGAGGCGTTGCTTGCGGCGCCGGGCGTTTCTGGCGCGGGCGTCTGCATCCTGCGCGGGGCCGTGTTCTTTGCTTGGTTGTACGAGTCTTCTGGTGCGAAGGTGGAACGGGATGAGGGCGTCGGTTGGTCGCCGCCGGCACGGTAGGAGCGCGCGCCGAGGGTGGTGCCGGATAGCATGCCTGTAGGTGGCGAGGTCGGGGAGGGCATATTGGGAGAGGGGTAGGATGGTGATGGGGCGCTTCCTCCGGACCCATTCATGGCGGCGAGGTGTGACGACGAGAGGACGGCTCTTTCGGCGGCGCTGGACGGGTCGAGGGTTTGTTCGACTATCGACCGATCGTGGTTTGTTTGTAGGTGCGTCGGGGACGTGGCTTTGGGAGTTGTTCCAAGCATGATCTTCTTGGTCGAGTACTGGCGCTTCAGTCCCGCGGCGGACTGGCTGGTTGATGGTGTCGGCGCCGGGGGCGACAAAGTGCTCTCGTAAGCCGGGCCATTGCTCAGGTTGGGTAGAGGCTGCTGGGCATCTTTTACCATGCGCACTGCTGGGAGCACATCTTCCCGTAACCTCCTGTAATCGTCCATTAACCTGCGGATGTCCTGCTCAACTAATGATATTCGCTCATCCCGAAGGCGAAGTTGCTCCACGAGGAGCTTAATGTCTTTTAGCGTGGCATACGACGATTGGGCTTGCGTCTCGGCCGCTGCGAATCCCGTGGGTTAGAACATGGCATATTTGACGGATATGGGCGTATTGGAACAAGGCCTACTTAGCGGCATATAGTGGTCGGATTCGATGGGAACATCTTGGGCCTTCTTGACATCAAACACCGACTTAAGGATGGTTAGTCTGTGGCCCACACTGTTGAGTCCCATAGCCTTGAGGTCTTCATGTTGGAGGGCGATGAGGGCCTCGCCAACAATCTCATTTTCTATAGCAAGCTGTGTCAGCAGTTGGCAGCCCGCCGGAGCCTGGGCAGGGTCTGCTTACCGAGAAAGATGTCTGCGTATTGTTGCAGGCCTATGCTGGCGACGAAGTCGGCGCACTCGTCGGCGGTCCACTCGGATATGATGGTCTCGGGTAGCCTGTCGGCACTCGAGCGGTAGCCGTAGGTAGTGGGTGTGTGCTCGGCTGATGGGGGGTCCGAGTCGATGGGCGAGGTCTCGAGGTCGGTAGCGATGGGCGAGCTGCCATGCATGTCTCTCTCGTACTCGTCGTCGGCATCCGACTCGGCGTAGGCGGTCCCCGAGTCGAAGTTCATGACTGGGTAGATTGGGGCCCTCACGGCCTGGGCTGCAGCGAGGGCCAGGGTGACGGTTTGATATCGCTCCGAAAGACGACTAACGGGGAAGAAAGCAGGAAGCGCGAGGGCGTTCCTGTTTGAGATGGCAAGCCGGACGAAGCAGCGAGGGCGTCAAGCAAGGCGGGGTTGAGCGAAGCGTCAGCGTCGACAAGGGAGGAGCGACGGTTTGGGATCGGCGCTTGTGGGATGCGGGTGGTAGCCGATCGATCGGGTGCGGAGGGGGGAGGAGCGGCAGCAACGGGTTCTCACAGGAGGGTTCGGCCCCTCAATAGAGAAACGGAGAGCGGCGACGGTTTATTGTGGCGGCGGGACGGAGGTAGTTACCGGGCGGGTTACGGGATTTGGAGTCGGCGGTCGAGTCGGCGGTCGAGGGCAAGAACGGTAAAGGAGAGAGCGAGAGCGGGCCTAACGGGATTTGCTTCTTTGGTCGTCGATGCGGGCGGAGAGGTTGTTGATTGCGGGCTCGGGTAGCCGCTCGCTTGGTCGCTTGGAAGTGGTGCCCCTTCCCAACCCGTCCTAGCGTCAAATTTGCCCTGCCGGCTTACCGGACCCCTGTGGGCCCTAACCAGGGTGACCCTTTCCAAAGCAGTGACAGGACCTGATTCAACTGATGTGAACAAGGACCAACCCGCGCCTGGAAGTCCCGAGTCCGAACGAGTCTTTTCGAGTCCCGTCTCTTTCAACTTTTCGGCGCAACCCACGTCAAATCTGCCGAGTCCCCTCCGTGGGGTGCATACAGTACTTCGTACGTGTACATAAGCAGGAGTGTACTTGTATTGTATGTTGACCATTCAGTTCAATGCTCAAGGTCACAGTTGGTTACAATATTACAACTAGTTCCCGCCGTAAATACCAACGCGACGATTTGCGTCATGCGCATCAGACAGCGGCTGCATCTGTTTTTCTTTCACATGGTTCGAGGTCTCACGAGGCAGACTCCGGCTTCCAACTGCACCTCGACGATCCGGCCGCCGTCTGAGAGGATCGTCAGCTGTCCTCGTGCTTCTGATTTCATTATTGGCGGACCTTTTGTCGATAAAGCTCCCGAACCACACCCTAATAAACTCGGTTCTCGCTGCACAACCCCGCTCAATATTCCGACGCACGCTTTCCATCTGCTCTGCTGCGTGTATGCATGCGTACGTTACGTCCATACACAACCTGTCCCAATATAGACCCTACGTTGGGTGCCTCTTCCTCATGATCCCACCCGGGCGGTTTGGCCATATTCCGTCTGAACATACCCAGCAACCCAGCAACGAGTTGAATCCTCTTTTTTGTGAATCCCCCTCGCCCTGCATGCCACACACAGCCCCAGCCCGTGTTACGCCCCCTGCGATCCAATGACAGCCACAAGATGCCCGATTCATCCCTTCACCCTTCCCGCCGACAAAACCCATGCACCCTATCCCCTTCCGTTGTCCCTCCCCAGCAGCAGGGGGACACGCGGCCCCGGGCAAGCCAGGCTGTCCCAGGCCAAACCCTCGAGCACAGCCAAGTTGAAACCACCGGATTTCTGGGCCGCCCTGGCAAGCTCCCACCGCCGGGCCACCCCGCGTTTCACTTCGTGGCCGGTCCGGTCTCTCTCCCGCATCACTTACATACATACTAGCTCCGCCAGCTGGGGTAGGTGCCTGTTCTCGCCGCGGAGACCTATGAGAAGGCGGTCTCCTGCTGGTGAGGTGGGGGAGACGAGACATTCTAGAATGATTCCTTTGGCCGATGCGACGCCAGGACGCTGTTTGAAACAGGAGCGGAGCTGAAAGAGTTAATCTACGTCGAGATGCAAAGCAAACACGAGGTTCGAGACAGCTAAGCTCGGTGTAAGTGCCTTGTTGGGTTTTGCAGGCATGCCTGGTCCGTGTTTGTTGGGAGAGATGACAGAGGAAATAATGCATGGCATGGAATTGGTTGTGATCAGACGAAAGGGGGAAAGAAGCCGAGATGAAAACGAAGATGGAGGAAAAGAACAGGTCAAAGTTCCAATTCCTCACTTGCACAGCAATCGAAAGTTCGCGGTCTGAAAAGAGGACAACCCGTTGTCCGGCTCCCCTTTCCAGGTAAGACATCAAGAGACTTGCTGCGCTCTGTCCCCAAGGATTCCCATAACTGTGTGCCAAACAATGTATCGTGCTCGTGAACTTCGCCGGCATGGACAAAAAAGTCGCTGTTGCAAAAGCTGTATACCATCTATGCATATAATCCAAGCAACCAAGCAACGCTCATACTTTCGCTCATCCCTTCATCAACCAGTCATACCCAAAACAAAACCCTCCAAACTCCCTACTCCAACCTCCCACATCCCCAAAAACTACCAATGCGAACTCCTCTTCTTCCTCACCTTCGCCTTCTCATCCTCAGACTTCCTCCTACCCGGCGGCCGCTGCCCCTGATTCTGCAACTGGTGCAGCCCGCCAGCAGCGCCCTTCCACAGCGCATTCAGCGCATTAGAATGAAACGGCCCCTGCCCCTGCTGCTGCTGCTGCTGCTGTGGATGCTGACTCTGATGCGTTGGCGGCCTCTGACCATGGCAACCCTGTCCCGGAGGGGGCCCCGGGGTCGTCGGCGACGACGAGTGCTGCGGTCGCGATTGCGGGCCCGCGCTGACCGGCCGCGGGGGTAGCGTCGGCGGCGGACCGTGGCCCCAGGGGCCGAGCTGCTGCTGCGGGGATCCGGGTGCGGGTGCGGGCTGGGTGCGGGGTGGGAGGGACGGCCGGTCGGACGGCAGGTCCTGGCCCTCGACGCCGTACATCTTGCGGAGGCGCTCCGTCTCCTTGGCGATCTCGGCCTCGCGCCGCCGCCGCTCCTTGTCTTCCTCCTCGACCATCTTCTTGATGCGCTTCTGCTCGGCGCGTTCCGCCTTTTCGCGCTCGCGCTGCTCGCGCTCGACCATGGCTTGGAGGCGCCGGGTTTCGGCGTCGATTTCGGGCTTGACGGGGGGCGGGATGGTGTTGGTCTTTTGTTGCGCTGGTGGGGGAGGTGAGGGTGCCGGTTGGGCGGGGGGGACGTTCGCCAGCGCGCCGGACATAACGGGGGCGGCCGGGGAGGGGTTGACGACTGGGCGGGAGTTCTTTCTCTTGGCCACGTTCAGTGCCGGGCCTCCTCCACCCTGGACGTTGAACGTGTCGGGCTTGGGGATCAACCAGAGGTCTTTGATGACTTCTGATGCTAACAGAAGGACCAATTCCAGGCCCTTGCGGTCCTCGATTTCGACGCGGTGCAGGTTTGGCTGATAGACGGTCAGAATGCTCTCCCGGGCGGCCTTGAATAGTCCGATGGTAATGTCGGGCTCCTTGTTCTTGCGTGCGCCGAGTCGCTGTCCCGTCATGTAGCATGTCATATCCTTGCTCAGCAGCCCGTCTTTCTTCCACCTAAACATGACCCGCGGGATCAGGTCGGCAGCCGCAGTAGAGCTGTCCTGTTGTTCGCGGTCTAGCGCACTGATAGTGGGCTTGCGGAAGGTCTGGACGGGGAGTTCAAACTCCCAGGTATCGCTCTTGCCCCATGACCCAGTCACCATCTTGACGGCCACCGACTGGTCGGGGTTGTACAGCTGAACTGTGAAGCTGTCCGGGACAAGCGGCATAGCCGGCGCCGGGGCCGCGCCGACATGGGCTTGAGCGCGGATCTCAGCAGCGGAGAGGGTTGGCTGGGACCACTCGGGCTCGACCGTCACCTCTCCGTACACCACGTCAGTGTTATATGGGTCGCATATCGCAATCCCGTACTTGCTGCGCGAGGCGGGCAGGGCCGGGTCCGCCCGACGTATCAGGTACTCGGCTGCTGGTTCGGAACCGTTCTGGGTGAAATAGAGGAGGCTCGAATGCGGGTTATCGGAGGACGGCTTCAACCGAAAGGTTGGCAAGTTTTCGTCGAGCATCTTGCCCTTGGATGAATGGGGAGTGCGCTATGTGTTTTTGGTTGTTGGTTGAATGAGAGCTTGGGGTTTGGTTTCTCTTGGTTTCACTTCTGAAGTAACTAAAGGACGAGGCAATATTCTAGGCTTTATGGATTGAAGAAGGGCGAGACAAAGTAAAATGCTGACGAGGCCATGGTGGGTCAGCCGCAGCATCCATCACGAGGCTGAGCGGGAGTCCTGGGACTGCTGCAGGTCAAGCATCAACCCCGCCATCGTTCATGTTCTGGTTCTGGGAAAGCACATGCGAACCCCTGCAGCCCACCGCACTCACGTCACCCATTGTGGTGCAGCCACAGCGCGTGGATCCGCCAAGACTCCCGCCTAATGAGGATTTGCTTGCTTGTTCGAACTTGGCAGTGGTCTGAACTCTTTTCTCCGAACTACCAAACCACAGTTGCAGAGAGAGCTAAGAAAAGATGATTGCGCCTCCTCGGACTTTGTGCAGATACATCAACGTGCAGCGTCTAGTTAATCACTACTCCATCCAGCCTTGAAGCTGGTATCCCCAAACGGCCACCCCACAAGATCAACATTGAGCATCCGGCTCGACTCCAACTCGCTGCGGCGAGTTTTGAGTTCATCCACATCCCAGTTCGACCACAAAAACTTGCCCGTCAAGAAACGCGCCTCGGGGCTAGCAAGCCAAATAATGAAGGTGGCCGGCAGGGAAACTAAAACCCCGTCAGTTTCATGATTCTTGAGCAAGCACGGGAAAGAAGCACCATCCTACTTACCGTGGTCCTCGTTGCCCAGAGCCTTAACACCCCCCACTTCCTTATTCATATCCGTATCCACCACCCCAGGCTGGAGATGGAAGACGCTCAGCCCGGGGTTCGCAGAACCCAACGAGTCCCAGAGCCGCACGGCAGCCATCTTAGCAACACTGTAGGCAGCAAGGCCAGGCCCAAAGTTGACATGAGCCGCTGACGACGAGACATTGACCACCACGGCATCCTTCGCCGCATAGCGCAGAAAACGCCTGCGCAACGAACAAGGCGCCCCTGAGGTTGGCGTTGACGGTGTCGATGAGTCGCTCGCCGTCGACCTCGCCGACGGGCTCGAACGGGCCTATCACGGCCGCGCCGCTGACCACCACGTCGAGCGTCCCGTCGCCGCCCAGGAACCCGGCAAAGGCCGCGTCCACCTCGCTCTTCCGCGTGACGTCGGCCGGCGCCACGAACACGGCCACGCCGGGGAACTCGCGTTGGATGGCCGCTTGCGTTTCGAGAAGCGGCTGCTCCCGGCGCCCGACCAGGGCGATCCGCGACGACCCCGCTTCGGCAAAGGTGCGGGCTGTCTCGGCCCCGATGCCGGTGGCCCCTCCTGTTATGAGCACCGTCTTGCCCTTGGCTGAGAGCTCGGGGCGGGTTGGCGAGAGGGACTCGTACGTGTTGTTGCGCCACGTGGAGGTTGGGGATGGGTAAGGGGCGGCCATCGTGATTTTTGTAGGTGTATGGGATGACAGGTGAGTTGGTGTAGAAATTGAGTGTGTATAGGGTGTGTAACCTGCTTCCAAGCTTGGCATTGTACAATTTGTTCCGCCCGACGGAACTCATTGAACAGTGGGATTTCTGGCTGTTGCTGCTGACAAACTGCCTGGGTACTGAAACGATGACGTCCCTTTGAAATGACCCCGCAACACCACGGCAAGGTATCGCCAACTTCCGTCTTCACAACTCGCCGGTCGCGGAAGGAGGGTATTACTACCCGGTCCTGGTCATGTATCGCCTGTGTAAAACGCAAGGCTCGTTACGATAACAAACAACCTACCTGCTCCGGCTGTGTGACCAGGGCCATCGACTGTCAATATCCAGCCGGCACACTCAGGGGGGCGACCAGGGGGTTGAGCGCTCAACGAAGTAGTGTTACGACGGCGGTCCAGCCATCGACATCATCATCTTCACCGGTGCCCGATCCTCACGACAGCGACCAGCATCCACTTCAAGACGACCTTGCCACACCACTTCCAACCGTCCTAGACAATCTAGGAAACGAGTGGTTAGACTGGGATAATCCAATCCTTAGCCTCGCCGAGTCCGCGAGTAACTGGCAGACTAAAGCAGATGCCGTTCAATTTTCACCAGCCCTGCCACCCACGCTGATTCATGAGCCGACACCTTCGGACCTCCAGACTCTTTACGTCAACATGAGGCTTCCTTTCCATACGTGTCGATACCAAGACAACCGCATGATATTCTTGGATCCCTCGTCTAGAGACCGAAATTGGGCCCCAAAACACAAAGAACCGCCAGTCTTATCCTGCAAACCCTAAAGTCATATCCTCTCATGATTTTACGGCATAACTCGCTGCCACCGTTCATCCATGCTCGCATGATGGCGTCTTCTAGTGCCGAGAACGACAACATGGAGCCACTCAACAACTGCATCAATATGATCCGCAGCGGGGTTCCGGGGAACCGGAAATTGTTCTGGAGAAACGTACGGATGGAGTGCAAACGGTTCTATCAAGAGGTACGCCAAGTTCCGTGATAAGTCAAAAAACAACCGGGATCATGTTCTGAGGGGCTCACGAGTGCTTCCCTTTTAGTATCACGGGTGGAACAAATGGCAATTGCTGGCTGCCATACAGGCGGTTCTTGTTTATCTCATCTTCAAGGTAGATGAGGGCCAAACGGATTACAACAACAGCCTTGATTCGCTGTTGGTTGCGGCTATAGTTGTAGGTCAAGCTTTCTTCTTATTTTTGCTGGGCAAACACTGAGCTAACAACACAGGCACTGGCTACACAACTTGGTACCATTGAAAATGCACCCGAAAATGATCTGGAATCAGCTTGGGATAAATGGATCTTTAAGGAATCGAGACGAAGGTCAGTCCCTTTGCCTCCAATGCGTTTGTAGAGCGCAGCAAGAGTAACGGCAACGGCTGCTAACCAACCCCCAGACTATGCGTAGTGTACCAGGTCGTTGACATGCTCGTTTATTTTGAGCCGGCGGGCATGTGCAATGTTCGGCGACGGACAGACCTTGTCATCGCACCACTGCCGGCCAAGAAGCGGCTCTGGGAGGCAGGAGACCTGTCGGCGTGGAAGGCGGAGAACGAGAAGGAAGAAGCCGAGGCCCGAGCTGCCTTTGCGCTGGCCGGCAGCGGCGAACTCGTCAGAATCGACCCGGCCGAGCTGGAATGCATTAGTGATGTGGCGCGGCTGAGGCACACAACCCCAGATGCCGATACCCCGGACCCGGTGACTGGTGCTCGGGGATGGATGGGTTTGGAGGCCTTGTTATGCTTGCTGCATCGTTGACAGAATAGTCCTAGCAAGCATTTGATCAGGCGAGCCAACCGCCAACGTTTGGATCTCCAACCCTGCTAGGAGCCTTCAAGCTATCGTTGTTGTCAGTGTCACTGAGTGCGAAGTACTTGTGCTACCGGTGTTGCTTTCCGGTCTCGGGACGGAAAACGGGAGTGCTCGTTTCCAGGGGCGGATTCGGTCGCCCCAGATGGTTCAACGCCATGCGTTACCTATTCAACAAACAGAGATAAATTGATCGCTTGCTCACATCTTGTCCCAAGTTTGTGAAGTAAGTGATTTGGTACATTGCCCAGAAGGGTACCTAGTAGAGGGTAAATTGGTTCGAGCTCAAGACGGAATCACAAGAAGTGGCGAATGATCAGCAGGAGAAACAGAGGCACTTTATAGACGAGTATGTGAAGAAAACCTTGTGGACACTCGGCTCCCCTCACGACTTAACAAGGGGCTTAATGATGAAGTTGAGATACAGGTGGGTGGACTCGGCAATGGTTGCGAAGTTTGTAGATCGAGGGTTAGGGTAAGCTTCAAAGTTGCGTGAACTGGGCAGCTGGGGCATTGGGGTCAATGCGTTTATTGTTGCAGGAAGCTTGCCCCACCACGTGACCACACAGAAATTCGAAAACCTATCGCGGCACAAATTTACTGCAACTCTTTCCCACGATCTCGGACAAGCAAGCTAGCAACGAGTGCCGACCAAGTTGCCCAACATGTCTCTCGTATCGGGCGAGAAGGTACGTGGACACATCCAAGATGGTGAATTCCATCGGCTTCCCGTTGTCTGCGAATTCCTGCTGCCGGGCATGTCCCCGGGTTGCGACGTCGACGACGATTATCACCCGCCACGATCGACACAGACTCGGCTCGCGAGTGCATTCGACATGACCACAACCGAATTTTGCACGGCATCCGCCGGCCAGCATCATACGACGGGGCAAAAGAGGCGGCATGATATGAGGGAAGATGATTGCCGAGATCCTCGCTGGGCGGCAGACCATCAGGAATACTACGCTGAGAGATCATGCTTGGAAACTGCTGGCGCACACGCCCGGAAGGGCAGTCGGCCGTGCGAGATCATGGTCCTGAAGTACGGCCAAAGCGTTTCGAACTCGCAAGAATAGCCTAGGATCACCGGAACGGCAGCAGGAAGCAGACAACGCTCGGCGGATGCATCGAATGAATGCGCGTTCTATGTGTGATAGAAGCTAACGGTATCTCCAGAGCAACTTCAACCACATTCTGCGTCTGCTCAACACCAACGTTGACGGCAAGCAGAAGGTCGTCTACTCCTTGACGTGAGCATCCACCAAATCGCAACATTTGAGATTCCAGGGCTGACCTCATGTGATCTAGTAAGATCAAGGGTGTTGGTCGTCGTTACTGTACGTATCCCGTTAGCTCCGCATCACGACGATTTGCAAGCAATCGCTCGCTCTACCGAAATCGCACATTCACGGGAATACATGGCTGACCAGGTGAACAGCCAACCTTGTGTGCAAGAAGGCCGATGTCGACCTGAACAAGCGCGCCGGTGAGCTCACCTCTGAGGAGCTTGAGCGCCTGGTCACCATCATCCAGAACCCCACCGCCTACAAGATCCCCTCGGTACGTGCACCCTTGCGATCGTCCGCAGGAGAGGTAGACACTAACGGCGCCATAACAGTGGTTCCTCAACAGGCAGCGTGACATTGTCGATGGCAAGGACTCGCAGATCCTCGCCAACGGTGTCGACTCCAAGCTCCGTGATGACCTTGAGCGCTTGAAGAAGATCCGCGCCCACCGCGGTCTCCGTCACTACTGGGGCCTCCGTGTGCGTGGCCAGCACACCAAGACGACCGGCCGCCGCGGCCGGACCGTCGGTGTGTCCAAGAAGAAGGGTGGTTAAGTGGGTTTCTCTGGCGTGCGGATTCTTTGACACTGCTGTGCTTGGCTTTCTGGCGGTGTTATCCCAAGGCTAAGGGGTGGTCATGGACGGGACGGGTTGATTTTTATTACCTTGCGAATATCTCGGCAATTCGTTGGGGAGCTCGCGGGGTCGCTAAAGGGAACCACCATGATTCACAGCATGACAATACAGGCGCGGACATGAAAAGGAATGATTTGTGACAAATTGGCATGTGCCATGTTGAGTGATGAATTCGCTACCTGCTTTTTCTCTTTTGGGACACCAAACGCCTACATAAACCGAGATGATCAGGAAAAGGGGTATCCGGGATACAGCCGTTATTCTTCATGCGTGACCGTCATGTCGAGAACCTCGACTCTCCCCTGCCCTTTCGTCTCGCCTCCCACGAAGTCAGACAGTCCCTTGTAGGCTCCCGGTTCCACGAATCCGACGATCTCCCATTCGGAACCCATGACATCCTGATTCTCGACCTGCTCGATGAAGCTGATGATCTTGTCCTTGACCGTCCCGGGCGCTTTTTGTTCCCCGTCCCCTCCTTCCGCATCCTTCCCGCTCGCTGCTCCCTTGGGCGCCTTGACGGCCTGCTTCAGCACGCTGGTCGGGCAGGTGATGCGCAGCCGCATGCGGGCGCGCGCCACGGGGATCGGCTGGTGCGCGATCAGCGCCTTCATCGCGTCCAGCGCCTGCGACTTGGCGCTCTTGTTCGCCGACACCCCCGTCCACGTCGGCCGCGGCTTGCTCTCGCCGGCCTCGCCCGTCGCCGGGGTGCCCGCCGCGCCGGGGTTGTTGCCAGTATTGCTGTCGTTGTTATTGTTGTTGTTTTTGGCGTTGTCTTTGTCTTGTTGTTGCTGTTGGTGCGCCATCGAGCTGAGCATGTCGAGGGCCTTGTCGATCATGCCCGACGTGTAGACGCGCTTGGTGCGCGGGTCGACCAGCTTGCTGGCCACGATGGAGATGACCTCGTTGTGCACGCGCTCCAGCTGCGCCGTGCGCTCCTTCTCCCCGACCTGCATCTCGCCCTTGCGCAGGATCTCCAGGATGATGTCGTCCACCGGCGTGTCCTTGCCGAAGGCCTTGGCCAGCTCGGCCGACGGCGCCGTCTGGCCCTTGGACACGTTCAGGAACACGGACGGGATTTGTAGCACGTTGTCTAGGTCCGTCTCGATCCCGGACCGCCATTCTAGCACCTTGTTCTTGTAGCAGGCTATTTCGAACCGCTTCTTGCCCTTTTTTAGGCGGACTAGTGAGACGTTGGTGAGCTTGATCTGGTTGGACGGTTGCTGGATCACCATGGTGGCGGTTGCGGAGAGGTGCTCCGAAAGATAGAGGGTTTGGCTGGAGGCTTGCCGTGAAGGAGTGGCGGTTCTTTTATTTTTGGAAAAAAGGCCCTGAAGAATTGGTCTTTTTGTTGAGCAAGACAAGCAGACTCTGGGTTACTTTCACTGCTCGGTGCTACCGATATCTCTCCTGCTCGCGGGGACTTTTTCCTTATCAATCTACCCCGCCAAACCGCTCGGATGGGCACCAGCCCACTTGTGGCTCCTTGTGTGGATGAGTCGAGATGACTCAGGCGGGTCTTTTTGCGGGGATGCGCGTTGGTGCATGGCGACGTAATCGCTCACTGATCGCCCCCGGGGACTTCTCGCCTCTTCCCATTCTTGCATCTTCCATCTTGAACAATGTCCGCGCATTGAGTGAGTAATTGTCCGAAGTATAACTATGGCCATCCTTGTATGTTTGACCTTTTCGTCCGCATCATCGAAGCCCTGCGGTTCAGCTCCGAGGGGGTTGGTCTGTTGTTCTCGCCTTATCTCGGCCGATGACGCAGCGCGGAAGGCAGGGCTGCGACGGAGTCGGCTTGATGAAGTGTCTCAGTTTCTATTGGCCCTTTTTGGCCAAGGCTACACAAAATTGGCCACTTGATCTCCTGATCAGGGCGATAACCAGTTCCGTTTTTTGTGCAGTCCCACTCTGCTCTGTTCTCGTGACCCGGCCTGCAAGGTACCCAAACAACCGGTGTGGCGCAACCAATGCGTGCCTGGATGTGCCTTGCGGGTGCGCTTCCCCGAGTCTGGCAGGTGCGTCGCTCCGAGGTGCTTGTTTCACTCAATCCCAACCCCCCAAGCTCCCGCTTCTTCCTTCCCATCCCATCCTCCTTCTTCTCCTTTCATCATCAACTCCCAATTGTACATCCGCATTGCCATCTTTTCATCTCACAGACAGAAATCCCATCGATCCACATCCGCAATGAGGATCGCAGCCTCGACAGTGCTGTTCGGCGCGGTTTCAGCCGCGTCGTTCCAGCAGCAAGCCCAGCATGTGCTTTCCGGTGGCTTCGGAAAGGCCCAGGAGGCCATGAAGCCCATCTCGGATACCTTCAGCGATGCTACTAGCGGCCCTGTTGAGAGCTTTGAGGATGCCTTCGCTGGATTGACCGCTGAGACGAAGGCCCTCTGGGAGGAGATCAAGCTCCTTGTTCCCGACAGTGCCTTCAAGGACCTCTCGTGGCTCAGCAAGCCCAAGCCGCATCGCCGTCGTGATGATTGGAACCACGTCGTCAAGGGCGCCGATGTCCAGGGTATGTGGGTTCAGGATGCCGACGGCGAGAGCCACCGTCAAGTGGACGGCCGCCTCGAAGACTACAACCTCCGCGTCAAAGCTGTGGACCCGTCCAAGCTCAACGTCGATTCCGTCAAGCAGTACAGTGGCTATCTTGACGACGAGGCCAACGACAAGCACTTGTTTTACTGTACGTTTCTCTCTTCCTGTTTGTCATCACCACCCACGATATACTCATACTGATTCAATGCGTAGGGTTTTTCGAGTCGCGCAATGACCCCAAGAATGACCCGGTCATCCTGTGGCTCAACGGTGGCCCCGGTTGCTCGTCTCTTACCGGTCTTTTCCTCGAGCTTGGTCCTTCATCGATCGACAAGAAGCTGAAGGTTGTTAACAACGACTTCAGCTGGAACAACAACGCCAGCGTCATTTTCCTCGACCAGCCCGTCAACGTTGGCTACTCGTACTCCGGCTCCTCTGTGAGCAACACCATTGCTGCTGGCAAGGACGTTTACGCTCTCTTGACGCTCTTCTTTCACCAATTCCCCGAATACGCAACCCAGGACTTCCACATCGCTGGCGAGTCGTACGCGGGCCACTACATTCCTGTCTTCGCCTCCGAGATTCTGGCCCACAAGAAGCGGAACATCAACCTCAAGTCTGTCCTGATCGGAAACGGTTTGACTGACGGCCTCACTCAGTACGAGTACTACCGCCCCATGGCTTGCGGCGAGGGCGGCTATCCCGCTGTCCTCAGCGAGTCTGAGTGTAACAAAATGGACAGCGCCCTCCCGCGCTGCCAGTCGCTGATCAACAGCTGCTATGAGAGCGGCAGCGTGTGGAGCTGCGTTCCGGCCTCCATTTACTGCAACAACGCCATGATCGGCCCCTACCAGCGCACTGGCAAGAATGTCTACGACATCCGTGGCGAGTGCGAGGACTCCAGCAACCTCTGCTACAGCGGCCTCGGCTACATTAGCGACTACCTGAACGAGCAATCGGTTATGGACGCCCTGGGCGTCGAGGTTTCGAGCTATGACAGCTGCAACTTTGACATTAACCGCAACTTCCTGTTCCAGGGCGACTGGATGCAACCCTTCCACCACCTTGTGCCTGGGCTTCTCGAGGAGATCCCCGTCCTCATCTACGCTGGCGACGCCGACTACATTTGCAACTGGCTTGGCAACCAGGCCTGGACCGAGGCGCTCGAGTGGCCCGGCAAGAAGGACTTCAACGCAGCCAAGATCAAGGATCTGAAGCTTGCTGGAGCTGACAAGGAGTACGGCAAGGTCAAGGCCTCGGGTAACTTCACCTTCATGCAAGTCTACCAGGCCGGCCACATGGTCCCCATGGACCAGCCCGAGAACTCGCTCGACTTCCTAAACAGGTGGTTGGGCGGTGAGTGGTTTTCCAAATAAAGGGAGACTGCTGTAGCAGCATCTGTACTGTACATGGGAATGATCGGTATTTAGCAGGAATTATTATCCACGTCGTCTTGGAGCATTGTTTTTTTGGACGAGGTGTTGGAGCTTGAATGTGCAGCGTGTAGGACGGAGGGTGGATCAAGGTTCTCTCGTGCAAGATGCTCGTTTCCTAGTCAAATTGAATTGGTCATTAATTAGCAAATCTCCGAGCGCGAATACATGTGTGACCTTATGTTCACCCCGGCATGAAAGTGGATTTTTACTACTTATGCTCGCAGCTAGTCGCTGTACGCGTCTACAAAGTTTCCATATTACCATCCACCGCGTGGAGAGAAAGAAACAACGTCGTCAATCGTGTGACCGACGCTTGCCAATTGCCGGGATGGAGGCCTTGGGCTCATGGGGGTAAATGGAGGGAAGTAGGTAATGGAGGACACAGCCGCTGATATTGGGGAATCTTCAGTACCCTGTGTGTTTGGAAACATTTAGTCAGTCACCCCATGATCGTTGTCCAAGAGGACCGTGGGACGGATAATCAAGCATCATGACCATCAAGGGAGGGAGGTAACACAAGGGCAAAAAGAAGAGTGATGCTATCGAAGCTGGCTGGGAAGAACAGCCCCAAGAGCGGCGAAGGTCGCGGCGATTTATGATCATAGAGGGCCACGAGGTTGTTGTTGTCAACGGGGATTGCTTATTTGTACAGCTCGCATCACACTCAGGTATATACAGCCTGCCATCCCCTCTCTCTTTTGCCTGGGCCATGGTATGGACCCATCCGGCCATCACGCAACTTCCTCCCACAGTCCCATTCCTCCTTCCCCATGCTTCCTTTTCTTCCCCTCTCCTCCCCCGGGCCTGAAGGGTATGAGAGCCGACAAGGGAGAGAACACTATAACCCCCAAATAATTCATCGTTAGACCGCCAACTCCGCCAACCCCATGATTAAAGCCAGACCAACAACCCCCACGCGCCGTCCGCCCAACGTGCCCCATCAGCCCCGTCATTCTTTCCCATACCAACCCAACCAACCCTAGGGCTTTGAAGAGAGAAGCCAACCCCCGACGTAGAAATCTTGACTCGCCACGCTCCGTCGCGTCTTTATATAGCCGGGGATAGAAATCGAAGAAAAAAGTGGACAAAAAAAGAGACAGCGAAGAGGGCCACGAGCCAACTGCCCACCATCATCATACACGACGCTCGCCAGTTTCAATTTTCAGTACGAAACAGAACGCTGAGGGGAACCCGCGTAGAACGGTTTCCCCACCCGACCTCGTCCCGCCCCCACCGAGAAGAATGGGCACGAGGACTAGACTCGTGCTCGCAGCAAACGGTGCTCCAACGCTACGCTACCCAGCGGTATCAGCCGCCTGCATCGGCGGACTCGAGCTCTTGTGTTTCCTAAACAAGTTTTGGAACCCATTAATCCTGAATCGGCTCGGCTTCTTCTTAAGCTGCCTGCTGGTTGTATCAACGGGTTCGGGTCCGCTGTTCTTCTTCACCGCCGCACCGTTCGTGTATTGATGGTGGCCGTTTTGTAGAGCGTCATGCTCCCCATCTAGCGCCAGTGGAGGCGGCGGATAATTGGGGGCGTTGTTGTCTGGTTTGCTCTGGGTGGTAGCAGCCGAAACTGGAACGGTGGTGGGTGATTCGTCGGGTGCCGACAAGCTGGGGACGGGCACGCTCGTACTATAGCTGTGGGGCCGCTCAAATGAATCGCGGCTCACGATGCTGGTGCCCTGCGTGCTGGGTGACAGCGGCATCCGTCCGGTCGTGGCGCTCGTTGCCTGTGAGGCCCAGTCACCGCTGTTGGGGGCGGAACTGCCGTCCGTTGTTTCGCTGCACCTCTGCCGGGTGTGGCCGTGGTGCTGGCTGCTACCGTTCGCAGTGAATGGCCCGTTTTGGATGAAGTCGTTGCCCGGCGAGAAACTAGTGACAATGTCGTTCACCACCCGTCCATCGGCAGGCCGCCTGTAGCTTGGATACAGTCTTTGGAAGGTATCCGCCTGCTGGGGAATAGCTGGTTCTGGCATCTGGGGTTCAATAACCTTTGGTACTGACCCCATTGCCCCCTTGGCTGGATGCGCTTCCGTCGCCGGGTCTGGCGAGGTTGTGAAATTTATCGATTTCGGGGAGAGGTCGATATTATTGCCCCGTGGAACCGGTTCGGTAGGCGACTGCCGCTTTTGTTCGTCTAGCAAGGACTGGTCAAACAATTCCTTGTTCAGGAGGAGCTCATCGACGCAGTACTGCATGGCCGGCATGATGTCCGCAACGCCTTGGAATAGCGGGAGGGCGAACAGGTTCATGAACTTCAGCTGGGAAGTGGTCAGGGACAACTTGTCCTGCTTCGGCTCCGACATCAGCGATGTCTTGATCTCCAGCTCGGTCTCCATGCTAGCCTGTCGCGAGAATTCCTCCGAAAGGATGTTCATCCATTGAAGGGCTGCGTCGTGCCCGCGACTCTATTGCGCGGGGATCAGAATCATGGCCAAGGACAACGGTTTTTGGGGGGTGAATAAACTTACGACGTTGCTAATATCTGCGCATTTGATGAGAAGGGCACATGCCAATGCCCTTTGCTCGTTCTTGACGCCCTCGTCCCAGTTCTCGGTGGAGTTGTTGGGACGCAGCTTCCCCTGTAAATCGCCGAGCTTCTTCATGTAGTCGAAGTGCAGGCCCATATCTGTGGCCAGGATCGAGCTGATCATCAGGTGACGCATCTTGCTGTCGCTAAAGGTTGCGGGCCAGTAACGACGCAGAATCTGCGAGTAGGCAGCGCAGTGAAACGATTCGAGAACAGAGCGATCGTTGTACAGCTGAGCGAGCGGCGCATTCAGTGTCACCAGGAAGCCGTTGTTGACACCGGGATGGCCGACATCGTGACCAATAGCCGTGATGAGAAGCGTCAGGGCGTCAAAGGGTTGAAGAAGCTCTGCGATTGGTGACTTGTGGCAGGCCTTGGAGAGCAGACCATCAGCCGAGGGATAGGGTGGTAGTGCACCAATGCGGACGAGGAAGTGGAAGGTTGCCTGCAGGACATCAACCACGTGGCGGAAGTTATGATACGGGACAAACGTGTTGTAAGCCGCCCGGCAGGCGAGAAGAAAGCGGTGTAGCTGGTCTGAGTGAATCGGTTAGTCGGTGGATAGCGATCGTCATGATAACAAGACGTACCTGTTGGTATCCGCCATGGCCCCAACTCGGGCATGGACAATGCGTGCTTAAACATGACCAAAGCCGCCACGACAAGCTCGTCCTCGGTGAAATCGTGGGCGCAAAAATGCCATTGGCTGACTGCCGATGTGACTTCAGCCTGCTTCTCAGGGGTGATGGACAGCTTGACGCTACAAGCCACCTCGTCGGTCTCGCTCCCAATGCGGCAAATCCGACCCATGAGCTTCGAGACCATGGCTTCCCGCAGATACGAAAACGGTTTCTCCTCGCAAATGCCAACCCACGAGCGTTTTCGGCCCCGGCGAAGTTCCACCAAGGCCTTCTGGTCCCGAGCAGCGTCCAGTTGAGCGCGGTAGGCGTGAATCTCGAGGTTGGTGACGCATTTGACGTTCATGGGGTTCGTCATGACATCCGTGGCGCCCACGTCGAGGCACTTCCTCAGCATCCTCTTACCGACACCGCGGCCCCTAGCTTCGCTCGCTCCATTCTCGGCAACAGATCGAGAGGCAACAATGGGAACCGTGACAACAAGCTTGGACATATTGCGCACATAAGACTCGGAAATGATCCTCCGCAGCAATGCCAGCCCGTATAGTTCCTCCTCTTGGTTTTCGCCAGCGTTGGTGAATATGGATGGCGGCGAGGGAGACCTCGAGCGGGCCGGCTCGGGGACGTCGTCTTGATGAGGGGTGTTCAATACAAAAACAGTCGGTTTGAGGGCGGCCATCGAGGTCTCTTGGAGACTCAGCCATTGCGACAGGCATGCGCCTCCCGTGCTGCACAAATGGACTGTATCCGGCAGTCAGCAAATCCATCCAGCATCACATTCATTGGGCGAATCGATTGGATCAAGCGGGAGACGGCATGCATACCTTCGTCAAACACGTCCAAAAGAAGCGCAGCATTTTCCGTAACGTGCGCCGGTTCTACCTCACTAACACTTCCGTCGCTGACATGCTCGCCGGCCTTGATGCTCCGGTCCCGCGACACGGACCGATCGACATATATGACATTACACGGGACATTCTCCATGGTGGGCCTGACAAGCGACCGGTCTCGCGACCAGATACGCTTCCGCCACGGAGGTTACTGGTTCGGAGGGCCAGGCAGGGGCCGGATACGGCTGCTGGGCCTGCGAACGTATCCGGCGGTGGTACGGGCCAAGCCGAAGAGAAGTCGGCAGGTCGGCGCCGATCGCGTTCGTCGAGGAATGGCGAGGAGCGTTCCTCCAAGGAAATGCAATAGCGACGCGGTAGTAGGATCCGAGTTGGCGTCGGTCACGGAAACTCAGGAGCGCACGGATCGGCTCTCCCTCCAGTCAAATCGGCGCAAAATCTTCGTGTTTGCCTTTCGCGTGGCAGAGCTGACGTCGTCGGTATAGGGGGGCCCTCAAGTCAAATGAGGCTGGAAGAGTCTGTTGCCGTGAGGTTAGGCCTGGCGCGCATATGGCTACGGAAGGCTGTGTAATGTGCGTGGTGTGCGTGGTGTGCGTGGTGTGCGCGATATGCGTGGAGGAAGGGTCGGCGACGGGGGAAAATGCGCGAAAGCCAGAGCGCCGGGTCTCGGTGCACTGGCTCGTCAGAAGATTTGGGAAGAGGGAGGTGTGGCACTGTGGGTTTGGCAAGGAGCAGGAGGTGGAGACGAGGCATGAAAGGAAGGGGGGGGGTGGGGGAGGGAGAGCACCATGGAAGAAGGCACGAAGGCAAACTGGAGGGGATCGAACGTACTTCAAGGAAGGTGCCTGCCCAGGATACAGATTACACGCCATCCAATGTGCCTTCCTCAGGCTCTTTCCGAAAGTGGTTGTTTTGACGCTTCAATGTGAGAGAGTGCCCGGGCAGCGGTGTTCTCGGGCTCGAACAGAAGAAAGGACAAGGTGACCAAAGGGTGGAACGGAATCGGGGAAGCAAGCCTGTGCCTCGAGAGAAAGAACCAAGCAAATCCTCGGTCTCGCCTGCTCTCGGGGCGCTCGAACCCATGGGGCGAATTCGCTATCACTAACTTGAACCGAGCCCTAGGAGAATGCGAATGGGCAATTGGAGCGGAAATAAAAGGCAGACCCCACGATTGGTCTTGGGTTTTGATGAAGGGTGGTAGGCAAGGACCTCGCAAGGTGTTCGGCGCACACACACGGGCACTCACACACCGCACGCACACAGGCGGAAGGCAAGCAGGTGGGTTGGACGAAATGGGTGAGTGGAACACCACGAAATGGAAGGGAGCATGGAAGGGGCCGTCAATCGGGGGGAAGCGCGGAAGGTGTGGGTGCGCCCCCCTCCTTTTGGTGGCGGGAGCCAGTCAAATTGGTCGGCCGGGGTGGGCCATGCTGCGCAGGCGGGAAAGGTTCAATCTCAGGAAGAGCCGGGGTGGACTCTGAGTGGCCCATCTCGCCCTCCCCTGGCCTTCTGGCTGCCTTCTCGAAAACCCGTCGAACACGCTACTGCAAAGGCCAAAACCTCGAGCTCGGTCGCCCGTGCCCAGGCCGTGCCCGTCCCCGCAGCAGAGGTTGCAGAGGCGCAGAGGCAGGAGTTGCCCGTACAGGGAACTTACCTATTGCGGGCAACGACCGCCAACACAGTGCCGGATGCCCAGCACACCAATAAAACCCTTCGCTATCACCTTTGCTGCACCACACACAAGAACTGCAACCGCGCTGCACGCACCACTCCTCCAGCCGCTCGGGCCCTCTTGTGTTCAAAGACTGCTTTTCACTGCGGAGACGAACAACATCAAAACGACCAAGGCGATCCTCGGACAAAGATAGCAGAGTGGGGCGAATCTTACTCGGGAGAAAAGCAACTCGGACGAAATTGGGCCCCGTGGCAGGGATGTGGAGAAGAGCACCGGGGCCCCATACCAACCCATCCCGACCACGAAGTCAGGAAGTGGATGAGATGGTTTCGACTTTAGACACACAGGATTTGTCCGTCGGCCGCTCTCTCGGTCTCCAGCAACGGCCAGAGATGTGCCAGTTCGCCTAGCCGTTGTGCCGTTGTCGTTTGCTGGTTAGGATAGTTAGGTAGTGAACATTCGGCGAATCCGAGCGAATGTGTAAAAAACGCACGAAGACTAAAAATATCAAGACCCCAACGATTCTTCCTTGCAGCAGATCGGTAGTGTTGACATTGATAAAAAAAAATAAAAAAAATAAAAAGAGAAACCAACAAGTCGTCGCGGGGATGGGGGATCGTGGAGGACACGGGCCCCTGGTAACTCGTGAACAAGAGCGCCCTGTCGGCGTTTCGCGGTTCGCAGGGCCGGCATGAGCGCCAAACGATCAAACCGAACGAACCACGACGAACCACACAAACCACAGAAGGATCATCGTAGTCGCCCAACGCCCGGCTGAAAACGCTGGGAGCCGTGCCTGTGCGCCCGGAGCACGAGTTCGAAACGCAGATCGATACCAGCAGCAGTCGGGCTACCAGCCCCCGGGCCGTCCGGGTCACCTCCGACGTGTCAATGGAGCTTTGTCGTTCCACGTTTCAATCATTGACAACGGGACGTACATATACATAAGGCACAGTGAGGGCCCTCCCGCTGGCCATCCGACGGGCAGCCCTAGCCTTATCTTGGGACCAAAGCGCGAGCAATTGAGGTAATCCATGGCAATGGCGGACCGGGCATCGCTACATACCCGGAGAAGGCCGCGGCGGGCATCGGCCGGCGATGTTCTCTGGAAAATGGAACAAAGGGCCGGCCCAGGAAGTTGAGACGGGCTCATCCTTCCGTGGCTTGGCCACCCCACACACCCGGGCTTGGGCCTTCTTGAAGCAGGCAAATCAGGCGAAGAGGATTCGGTACTTGCGCCAAGGGCCCCACGAATGGCGCAAACGTGCACCGAGTCGCCCAGCCGTTGCCGCGAGGGAAACCCCTGCGTCAAGTCGGTCCTTCCAGCCCAGGCCAGGCTGCCCAGGCTGCCCAGGCTGCCCGGGCGAACCCAAAATTCCCCACAAACCGCTCGCATCCAGCAACCCGGCCATGCATGTTGTTGTTTCCCGAGGAAGCACTGTGGCACTTCAGCAATTTGGGGCAGTGACGACAGACATGGGCGAGCCCAGAACAATCAAAAGTCCAAAACTCGAAAACTCGATGCCGATCATAGAAACGTTGCTCCAGAACCACCTACGAAGTACCGCGAGGCACTTCGCATGTTATGTTGCGCCCTCAATGTGCTTTTAGCCGTGCCGCTTCCTCCCACTGCGGCGTCCTGTGCCCTTCCCGCACTCACCAATGACGTTGCCATGTGCCACCCCAAGATCACAAGCTTCAGCTCGGTGGCAAGCGGCTCAAATAAGGCCCAATCTGCATCGGGCCTATCATGGGGCGTCTTCTCGACTGATCACAGGGGCACAGTTCGACATGCGATGCGGCGGGTGAAGTCGATTGGCCTCACTCGGCACTGATCTGCCTGACAAATCAACAGACGATACACAGTACATGCGGTCTGCCGTGTATGGAGGAGTGTCGTCAATAGTAAGGCCGGCCTTTTTAGTCCCGGCAGCCGACGCCATCGCCGGCGAGCCCGGAGCCTTGGGTCGAACTGGACGACTGAATTACCTAACCAACATCATCCCGCCGCCCCCAAGGTTGACTCGCAGGACCAATCCTCCGAGACATACCATACATGTGTATCGGTTACGCGCGCCATCCCGTGCTGCCTGCTGCTTGTCTTCTCTGCGACATCTGAGTCACTTTCCGTGTTGTGTCTCTCCACCCAGCAGCAGCAAACATGTTGATCAAGCCGTTTCAACAACCGACCTACGTAGCACATACCGAGACACCGCAACCGCTGCAACCGCCGCAATGTTTATCGTGTCATATCGACCTAGAGCCGCCCAAGAAAAGGAGACATGCACAAAAAGAGTCTATAAATAACCCAATCCCATCGCCCCAACCGTTTCAGCCCTGTTGATCCGGCTCTGGTGGCCGATGGTGATGCAGCGTAGTATGGACACAGTAGACATGCACAACCGCTAACCGCCGCAACTGAGCATCACCAGTCCCAGGCCCTTGTTTTACTTGTAAGCGATGCACGCACGGGAGATCTCAAAACCCGAAACACGACTAATTCGGTACTCAGCCTCCTGTCACACGGCTGGGGAAATCCCTGGTCACAAACCGACTGACGTTTCTGGTCTCGTGGATCAATTATGCGATGCTTAACTCTGACAAGAAAACGCATCTATCCAGGGTAGGGAGGGAGAAACTAAAACAGGGCAAAGAACATGGTGGGGAGGGGAGAACACCATAATGCGCTGGGTCACGAAACACAAACTGTGGACACAACTCTGATGTATGGGTCAAGTAAGTATCATGTCTCGGTCAAGAGACTGGACAGACGGCCCTCATAGCATAACTCGCAAGAGATAAGACTCCAAGAGGTGACCCAGTCTCCATACTCTCAGTCCCCAACCCGTTAGCATACAAACCAGCAACATTAACCTTCACTCTTGACTAACCATGAACCATTCCACGTCACGCCAACCTCCCAGCTAGAGGGGAAAAAAAAGAAGTCTACAATCAATTACTTTTTGTACTCCATGCTCGCCGCCTTCTCTGTAACCCCCTTCGCAATGAGCCCCTCGCCGCATAATCCACTGAACCCCATCTATCTACATCACCATTCCCCATTCCCCATCCCAGTCATCGCTCATCACACCACCCCTTGTATCCACCTCCCCCCCCCCTCACCTAAACTAACCGGCACGGTAGTGCATGTATGCAAACCCCCTCCTCCATAAACCCCTCCCAAATCAAGCCCCAGAAAGTGTGTCATCGTTGCCCCCCCCAACTTCATAACCTCGCTCTGACTGAGCTCAGGAGGTACTTATCCCACCCCCCTTGTACCACAGGGAGAAGAAAACAAAGCAATGCAGCAGAGTACGCAGGTGGGTAGGTAGGCAGGGTAGGCGATGAGATAGATCGGTAGTGGGTAGCGGGTAGCGGGTAGACGGATGAATGGGTGATAGGCCCAAGGAGAAGGAATACCAGCCAGCATAATAAATAGCCCACCAGAAGAACCAATCCCTTATTGCGCCTCTCCCTCCCTCTCGAACCCCCGCGCACGGCAAGGCAACAAGCCTCACTCTCTAGACGCTCGCCAAGCTAACGACAGAAGTTAAGAGCGCTTCACACATGGACCAGCGGGAAAAGGTTGGGAAAGAGAAAGGGAGGAAAGAAAGCAAAATTAACAAAACCCTAAACGCCACATGACCAGCCACGACACCACCCACCGCTCTTCGCTTCCAAGCCCGCCCCCTTCAAAGCGTAACCCTCTCACCTGAAGGCCATCCATGACAACCCTCCCGGCCAGCCGCTGGCTCCACAGGCACCATCCCGCCACCACCGCACCACTAAGCCGACGGTTTCTCCGCGGCGGCGGCGGCGGGGCGCGCATCCGCATCCGCATCCGCATCAGCCGCGGGCCCCTCCGCGTCCTCGACATGGATCTCAGCCACCCTATCACTGGCCCGGTCATCCTCGACGGGGCTCTCGGCGACGGGCGGGACGGTGTGGATCTGCTGCTTGACCCACGACTGGGCGGCCAGCTTGATGATGAAGTCCTGGTCGTCGGCCGACGGCGGCGGCGGGAGGCGGTAGTCGTCGTGGTCGCCCATGTACGTCGGCTCCGGCGGCTCGACGTAGTCGGCGCCGGGCTCGCGCTGGTCTAGGAGGTGCTCCATGCCGGGCGCGTCGTCAAAGACGTCCGTCATCTCCCTCATCTCGCCGTTGACCGACGAGCCGTCGTTCTGCGCGACGTCGCTGGCGATGTCGTTGTCGTCGTCGTCGTCGTCGTCGCCGCCGCCGCCGGCTTCGGAGCCGGCTTTGCTTGTCTCGATGAGGTTGTCGAAGGTCCAGTTGCTGGAGCCGATGGCCGACGTCGAGCCGGTTTTGCTGGTCTCGATGAGGTTGTCGAAGGTCCAGTTGCTGGGGCCGATGACCGACGTCATGCCGGCCATGCCGGGGGTGTCGAAGTCGTCCGAGAGGCCGATGCCTTCGTCTTCGCCGTCACCCTCGATGCTATTGTGCAGGGTGTCCTGGTTGCTCCACGTCGTGCTCATGTCGGCGTCGTCGTCGCCGACACGGTGCGACGGCCGCTCTGACCCGGCGCGCCTGCTGTCATCCCAACCACGGCTACCCCGAGGGTGAGCTAGACCTGCTCCGACTGAAGCGCTCGGCGATCCACGCTGGGAAGAGCCTTGGCCGAGACGCTGGCCTTCCCCCGACTCTGACATGCCGTCATCGGGGCTCTCTTGGTTGAAGCGGTCGAGAACTTCTTGGAACCTGGGGCCGCCCAGGGGGGCAGCCGAGCGGCGGCGGTAAAACAGAAGGTACGCGGCCGATGTCACCATCCGAGCCGTGTCTCTCTGCTTGGTAACGGAGGCGTCTGTGTGCGAATGTTAGCAGGCGTGAACATGGTGCATAATTTATAATTTTGCAGGGTAACTCACCATTGTACTCGTACCACTCGCCGTCGACGAAGTTCTTCGCAAATGCTGTGTAGTGGCCACCGCCCAGGCCGCCCCAGTGGTCGTCCACGGCGATCAAGTCGTAGATCTCCTCCTTGCCACCCTCCTTATCGATGACGCGCTTTGTCAAGTCGAGCGCTTCAACCGGGAAGTCAACAAGAATGTCTAGCTTGTCACGCCTCCAACCGCTCGAACTAAAGCGCTTCAGATGGACGACTAGGATATCCGGCGTTTTCCAGAGATCGAACTTCTTGCTGGCGCGGCGGTGTTCTTTGCAGCGAGGACAGTACCAGGTATCTTGCTCTGACAAGATCTCTTCCTTCTCGAACTCGTCGAGGCAATCATCCAGGGCGATGCCGTGCTTCTTACGCAGCTGCCTTGCCTTTTGCTTAGCCTGCAGAGTCGGGTCCTCCAATGTTGGCGCCTTGAGGTACGTCTTCATGTTTTGCGCGTCGTTGAGCGATAAGCCACCGAAGACACGGTCAAAGGCAGCCTCGCTCCATTCAACCATGATGCCCTCGCCCAAGCCAATCAGGGCACCACTCGGGAGGGGCTCCTCGGCTTCGATCGGGGACTGCGTTGTCGGCTGCCGGATACGGGCACCACGTTGCTGCTTGTCGAAGTGTTTCTTTCCCTTCTTACCGTAAGTCTTTTGCCTCCCCCCCTTCTTCTTGCCGCGACCGCTTACTTGGTTGGGTCGCGCTGGCAGCTGCTAAAATTATGCTTTGTCAGTCCAACACAACTTGATTTCTTTTTTCCACATGGCGACGTTCACGAACCTTGCGCTTGGAGGAGTCTGAAGTGTCGTCGCTGGACTCCTCAGCCATCCGAGTGACGACGGAAGTGGATGGTTTTCCCGACCTCTCACTTCCACTGTCGTCGGAGCCATCGAGCGGCTCGGGACTGCGCATCTCAACGTCCGAGGCGGCCACCTTGGGTTGCCTGGAGCTCAATGGAGGCAGGAGGCCATCGTCCGTAGTCGAATTCCAGCCAGTTGGTACGGGTGTTTCTGACTCGGCGAAGTAGCTCAAGCCAAACAGGTTTTGTAGCTCCGGCTCCAGGAACTCCAGAGGGTTGACCCACTTGGGCCGCCTGTGGTTGAGTTGTCGCAGTAGCTGCGGCGATCTTGTTGAAAAGTTAGTGACTGGCATTCTTAAACCAAGATTTGATGTAGAGCTTACCCTTCGGTTGTCGCGGTAGCAGAGGCGTTCCGTGTATCGGAAGCCTCACGCATGGTAACATCGACCATATCATCCTCGCCCTCAACCGACTTGGCAACGATCTTAGAATCGCCCGCGGAGTCTACGTCTGATGCTGTGTTGTTAACCATTTCCGAGTCGGTGGCCTCGGCGGCGTCCGGATCCTCGGGAGGTGACGAGAGCTGGGACCACGTGGTATAGGTGGCAACCTTCTCGAGAATCTTCCGGCGGATAGCCTCCATGTCGCGAGCTTCGTCGGGCGTTAAGATGATGAAGTGCGGCGGAGGAGAAATATCTGCATTCTTGCGCCCGAAACGCCTTTTAACGGAAGGTTCTGATGGCTCAATCCGATGGAGGACTGGGACGAGCATGCGCTCCAACCTCGGATCATCGATCGGAGACGACTCGTCCGGCTCTTGTGACGGTGACCTCTGTCGTTCCTTCTTGGCCTGCTTCTTCTTGGCCCCGGAGGTGTTGGTGGGGGCTGCTTCAATCTCGTGCACAACGACGACGTCGCTAGCCTGGATCTCGTCAGAAACCGCAGAGCCGTCATCGTAAAGCTTGTAGAACTTTGAGTGGAACTCTTCGCCCGCAAACAGGCGCTCCGTAGGGACACCGATCCGCGTGGATATGTACTGCTTCATCGCTCTGATGCTGCTGTTCTTGTTGAGGTCCACTACCATATCGACAGGTGTGTCATTGAGAGGGTAGAACTTTATAGTGTGGGACCAGACGTTGGCCACCGGGAGCGGGAGGGTAAGGTTGTTGAAAGGATCGAAGGTGATGCTGACTTTATCACAGACGGGACACACCAAGGTGGACTTGTACATGCCGGTGAATAGATCGGCAATGACAGAGTCGTCCCTCTTTTTGGTGATATCCCAAACTTTTGCGGCCATCTCGCGGACCGCGGCCGGGTTGTTGACCATCTCGTCAGTAGAATCGGGCTTCTCGATATACGGCTTCTTCTTTATACGGTTCAAGTCTTCTTGGAGACCGTCGAGGAGGAAGCCAAGAAACTCTTGCGAGTCCTGTTGCCCATACCCAGAGAAAGCGGGTGCATACCTCCCGATTATGCTCTTGAAGTGCCTAGGAGAAATGGAGCCCGGTGCCGGATCTTTGTAGACCTCCTCTAGCAAGCGGCCATAGGCAGCGGCGACCTCGCCATTGTGCGAGAGGGGATTATCCGGATTGATTTCCTTGTGCGCTTCGTGCGTCAGGAAGTATTTTGTGAGCTCTTCGACACTCCTCACACACTGCAAAGCCGAGTTCATGTAGCAGGTGTTGCCTAGGTTTTGCAGACCGACACATCCCAGAGTACGCCCTGATTTCTGTTGGGCCCGACCTCTAGTCAACGCCCCCTGAGGTGCAGGGCTGCTGCGCCCGCTCGCACTACCGCGCACCGCCATGAGGCCGTTTGAGCTGCCCCTAGTTGCCAGCGCCTTGTCCTTGATGGCGCTGCCCCTGTAGGTGGAGACGTGGGCATCGCGGTCGATCTGCTCGTCTAGAACAAGAGTCTGGTCAACGGCTAAGCCTACTAATGCCAGACTCTTCCTGCCGTTGTAGTTGGCGTTGGTAGTAGTATCCTCGGCATCCACCAGGCCACGATCAACGTCCTTCTCAAGCTTTAGAAATGTGTCCACATCGACAAGCATTTCTGGCCAGGCCCCCGGGATTGAGGGGAAGCCAGTAAGAATTCCGGCATCACGGCCAGGCGAGTCTGGCGGGGTCTTGATTCCTGACGGCTCCGAGCTGGGATCTGTGGCCGGGATGGTCTGCAGTATCCTCCATACGCGCACTTTCTTGTCGGTCGCCACGCCGGCAAGCTGCTTGGTCTGCTTCAAGAAGTTGTGGTAACCAAACGAAGTACTCTGAACTATGACAGGAGGCGCAGGCTTCTTGAGCTTGATTTCCTGTTCGATCGGAATAGGGCTATTCGCGGACCATAAACGGTGGATAGTAAACACCGGAGGATGGAACTCGAATTGAATGGTCGGCATGCTCACGGCATCAGGGGCTGTGTTGTGGGCTAGGCGGATGATGGGTGATTGCCCCGGGACCAAACCGTACCATGACAGGAGGAGGTCCCACGCGTCTTTCGGAAAGAGCTCGAAATTCTCGGTGCCCATGCCCGGCTTCAGCTTGACGCAGAGCTCGCCGGCAGAATCCGTGAAGATGGCTTGGATAATGTCCGAGTTGTCGACGGGTCCGAGTGACGCATCGGAAGATTCCTTGCTTGCGTGCTTCGTGTCTGAGCCGAAGGCCTGGGCCCTACCGAGCCATTGGCGAGATACAAGGTATGCCTCATCGCCCTCCTTTACGGGTGTCTCGGCGAAAGCGCTGACGAGGGTCTCCATCGTTTTGATTTGTTGCTCGACCGGGGGGATGTCTATTCTCGGAGTTAGCACAAAAGCATAGAGCGTTTGTTGACGACGGGCCGGCATTACCAGTCCGCAGAGGCAGCTCCGGCCTGGTGCAGGTCGCGGGCTCCTGGGATTCCCCGATCCCGTTCGGGGCCTGCCCTTCGCTCGACCCCTCTGCTGTTTCCGTCGCTTGGGAATCCGGAACTGTGCTCATGTCCACATCCTCCCTCGCCTCCACGGCATCCTGTTCTGGTTCCATGCTGGATGCCCGGCGCTTGAGGGGGGAGGATGAGCGTTGGGGAAATTCGGCGGCGCCCCCCATCAGAGCTCGGCGAACGGATTGGTGGACCGGTGAGTGGTCTCTTCCTGTCCCGTAATCCGGCGGCTGCGAGGTCGAGCCGGGGTCAACGAGGTCGGGGTTCCGGTCGAAATCGATCGACAAGTCGGCCGAGGCAGCACAGGGGGAGCTCGCAGCCGAGGACGGGGAGTCGGCGAAGGAGGCGCCCTGGCTTTGTAGGCGGGGTGGGACACCCGAGGCGGGAAGCGAGTCACCACGCAGGTAAGTGGGCGTGCTCAAGTCAGACGTGGAGGGGGCCGAAAAGGAAAAGTTGAAATCGGTATCGTCTTCGGTGGAGGGCAGCACCAAGTCCTCGAACTTGTTGTGCTCCCTGTTCGACTGTCGAGTAATCCTCCGTTTCTTTTGGGAAGACGTGGTGAAGGCGAGCTGCCTGCGCAGCTCGAGGGATGCCTGGTCGCTAAACGCGGGGGTAAAGGTGCACGTAAGGCGGTAATGGTGGAAAAGGAGGAAACTAAGTCGGAAGAAGAGGTGGCCAGGTGCTGCTGCTGGTCACGGTGTTGGGAGTGGATAGGCGCAGTCGCAGGCGGGCTGACGGCAACGGTAACGGAACGGCAACAACGGAGGGCGTAGTTAATGGGGCGAGTGGCCGGTGCATCGGCGACCCAGGACCAACAAGGCGATCCAGAGTTAGAGACGAGCGGCAAAGCGAGGCGTCGGTGTGCCCAGGCGCATCTCCCTGCGATTCTGGTGACAATTTTATTTAAACTCTCCAAGAGACTTGTGAATGAATGTGACACTCGACTCTCGAAAAGCAAGCCTGTGCAACGTGAACATGCGGTAACTTGAAGCAGCTGTTGCACAGTTTTAACTCGAGGCTGGTCCTTTTTTTGACTTTGGTGAGGGAAAGCAAAGTCCAGACTGTGTTAACATCCACACTTTCACACGGTCCATATTTTGGCACTCGGGTCATCGGGTTTGCTGGTGGGGACAAAGTTTGACTGCGCTGAAAGCGTCTCTATTCCGTACACAGTAATGACCTAATGGAACTTGTTGCCTCGTCCCGTCCTTGACCAAAGAGTACACAGTAAAGATCACAAACAAACTTCTGAAAAGATGAATCAACCCCGGATTAAGACAGACAAACTTGGCAGGTTACGCATAGAGAACTTGAGAATGAGGTTCTTTGCTCCCTCAAGTTTCCCATCTTCAACCCTGCCCCACCTTGGTAGACATGCAGGTATCTCCAACCACCTCGCACTGTGACCCGGGGGAAGACGGAGTGGCCACCAGTCGGTGTGTGCACATGTTTGGATGAGATGGGTGGCTGGCCTGGGTGGTGGAGAGCTCAGACTTTCAGGGTTCGAATTGCCCCACCACCCACGCTGCCCTGCACTGGTCCGCCCTGTCACAGCCGCGTGACGAGGCCACTCCAGCTGTTGCCTGTCCTTCAGTGCCTGCCCCCGGTTGTTCGCTTTGGAAAACAGACAGATATGTACTGTGTAGGTACTTGTAGTGTACATAAATTGAACGTTACACAGCACATGCTTTGTTTTGTGCCTTACCAGGGAGTCCTGACAAGAAGTTCTTCCAGAACAGAGCCCAACCGCAAGAATCAATTAATTAGTTCTTTCTCTTAGCTCCCTCCGAAATACCGAAATAACTGAATCTCTCTATCTCGTCTTCCCTTTTTCCCCTCTATGAGTTGACTTGCCCGCATGCGTTACCCATTTTCCCAATTCCTCTTCCCTCTCCCAAGATAGCCTTCCGATTCCCCAGCATGAATACCTAGGTAGAGGTACCTAGCCCAGACGCGGGCAAAAATCAAAGCTTTGCCCCATGATCCTCATATTCGCTGAGGTCCCTCAGAGGCTTGGCCCCGTTGCTAGCGGGGAGGCTCGCCCTGAAAGACCGCACATCGTCGATGAAGACCGGGGTCGTTCCGTTGGCCGAAGGCGGTTCCGCGTCCATGACGACATCGCTTCCGGGCCCATGCTCGGCGTGGATCTTCTTCCATGCCTCGGCGGCCACGTCAATTTTGCCTTCGGCCACCTTCAGATCGTGGAGCAGATAATCCCGGAGGCCTGTCACCTCCTTCTCCACGTCTTGATCGGCCGCACTCAGCCGGGCCTGGAGATCAGACGCGGCCTTGGCAGCACCCGTCGAATCAAGCTCCAGCGTCTTGATGAGTTCCGAGATTTCTTTGGTTGACACGTCGCTCTTGGCCTGGGCTTCGAGGTAAACAGCCAGCTTTGCCCTCGATGGCGAATTAGGGTGGATGTACTGGTTGAAGAACTCGATCATGTCCGCCTTGGTCAGCGGCTTGATGTGCTCCGCATCTTGGGGAGCTATATTAAAACAAGCGGTTAGTCTCGCGAGCATGGGCGTTTAAGGGGGGACGAAGGGGACGTGGTCTATGGCTTACCATTATCAAAGGCATAGAACTCGGAGTGGATGTGGGTCCAGTGCCTGTTGCTTTCTTGTTCCATGTACTTGAGTCTCTCCAAACGTTTGTCGATGATGCTGCGCTTGTTGCTCTCGAACTCGGCGTCGCTCATTTCTTCCAGCGTCGTGGCCACCGTCTTCAGAAACTCTTCAATTCTAGTTTCCAAGTACGGGGCAGTCTTCTCGCTCTGAATGACAAAGTAGAAGCCGTACTGCGTGATGCTGGTCCAGGTGCCTGAGTAGACAATGTAGCCAAGTTGTTCCTTGGTACGAAGCTGGTTGAAGCACGGTTCGTGGACAATCTGATCCAGCAGCAACACCTTGGCTCGGACGTTGTAATCACCCCTATACCCCGCATGGAGGAAGTATTGGATACAGTGGTTGACATTCGCAGGGTCCTTAAGTTTCTTCTTCCAGATGTAGTTGGATCCGGGGGGGAGCATCAACCCACGGCGAATTTTCCACTGCGCTTGTGGGAGGACCCGAGGTTTCAGCGTCGTCTCGACCATGTCTGTCAGCCTGAGGGCATCTTCCTTATAGATGTTGCCGTGAACAAGCATCTCCATGTGCATCTGCGCCAGTAGCTCCTTTTGGAACACCCGGAGAGCATCGGGTGTGATATGAGGCAGCTCAGCCTCGAGCTCTTCGACTACATAGCCCTGGTCGATAGTTAACCAGGACATGTAATCGCCGATCTGGGTCCACGGCGCGGCGAGTTCCCAGTTGCGGTATCCTCTGCTGATGCGTTCCTTGATGATGGCAAACCGGTCATCGCGGATCTCGAGATCGCGCGTGGTGATGAGCACATGCTGCAAGAGGACTGCCAGTTTGTCGTTGTAACCGGAGATCTCAATGTACAAGCCCCGCGAGTCGAGGGTCACGGTGTACTCCAAGCCAGCCAGCTCGGCGTCGTACGAGTACTCTTCGAGCGCGTCTTTGATGAGGTCAGTAAAGAGACGTGACTTCACCCGGCCGGCCGCCGAGCCGGTAGCCACCGGGCTTCTGCAGCTAATGATGAGTGTCGCTTTCGGGACCCAAAATGTGTCGTCCTTCTTGAACCAGGTCCGGACCTGCGAGTCGTTCCGGACGATGCGCGGTGCCAATGCGGGTTCCTTGACGGCCTTCTTCTCAACCTCTAACTTGGTCGGCACGAACTCGTTTGCGTGCGGGAGTCGGAGCTTAGCCGTTCGGTTCTGAGGCCCACTGGCCGCCGCCTTCTTGATCTCGTCCCTAAGCTCAGCCGGGATAGGCTGGCACGTGTATTCGGTCCCGTACCATTTTTCCTTGTTCTCCCATGTTCCAGGGAAGTCGCGTGAAACAATCGTCATGCGGAAGTTGTCCGGGCGCAGGCAGTCAAGGCCTTCCTTGATCACACTGGGGTCGAACTTGCGCAGCAGGCTGTACCCGCTCAGCAGGTACTCCCTCGGCAGCGGCTTTTGCATGAATGAGCTGAGCTTGCTCGTGAAGCGGTATGACTGTGTCTTCTCCTTGAACCGAAAGTTCACCTCGGATAGGCCCTTCTGTTCGTCGAATATCCACTCCTGGGGCTCGGTCTCGCGTAGAAGAGCAATGTATTCAAAAACGACCTTCACCACCTCCTTGTAGTTCTTGAGTCCCTGTTATGGGGTTAGTAAACAATGTGTGGCACATCTCCGAAAGGTTGGGTTTTACACACCTCTTCTGTTAACGTAATCTGGCATTCAAAGACTTCCGGGGTGCCGGGGCTAACGGGCCAGGCTCCAGCATATAAGCCGTTCGCCCAGCCTTTCGACTTGATGTACGACATGATGCTCCCGGGGCCCTCATGGCCGATCAGATGGCTGATATACCGGCTGGGCTGGGAGTCATAGAGGTGGTCCTGCTCAATGAAAGGGAACGTAAGGGTAAGGTCCCGCGTGTCCATCACAGGCTTTGCAAAGATCTGGGTTCCTAGCTGCTCCTTAGTGAACGGCACCTCTTGCTCCCACTTGTTGGGCGCAAGGTTCTTGTTTTTGACCGAGGAGAAGTGTTCGATGACCCAAGTCTGCAAAACATCCAAGGGCTCCCGGCCAAGAACAACAAGCTTCATCCGGTTGGCCGAGTAGTGCTTCTCATAGAACTCGATGAACTTGTCGCGGACGTTGATACCTTCGGCCTCGGGGGCAGTCTTTAGGGTTTCGAGATTGCCGGTAGAGAAATGGCAAAACGGATGCTTGGGGTTTGACAACGACTTCTTAAGTTGATGCAGACGCCACTGGTCGCTCTGCAGGTTCTTCTTGTTCTCCGAGTCCACGGCCCTGAGCTCGCGGTCCAGGGTGCTCTCGAGGAACAGCGGTTCGATGAAGAATTGGGCGAAGCGGTCCAAAGCACCCAGTAGTGGCGAGGGGTTCGTTGCCGACGGTTCCTCTCCATTGCTGGGTTTGGCAGAAACCTCAAAGTGGTAGTTTGTGGATGTCGCTGCCGTATAGGCGTTGGTCAACCCGGAATGGGCTGATATGTACTGATGGTACGCATTTTCCACCGGGTATTTCTTGTTGCCCATGAAGAGGAGCTCCACGCCAGAGTCAGCATCGGAATCAACCCAATCTCTTCAAGAAAGGTGTACTTACATGCTCGACGGCATGAGCCATGCCCGGCATCTCATCCTCGTCGCTGAAGCTCCCGACATTGACATCCATGCCAGCGCTGGCCTTGTCTGTCTTGGGATCATGGACTATGAGGGCTTCGAGCTGGTTTGGGAGGCAGATGACCCGGTAAGACCGGTCATCTAGAGACGGCTTCTCCAGGCGGTCTGTGACGAGCACAACATCACGGGGGACCGGGGGGTCTGCCGAAGACTGCGGAACGGGGGGTGGGGGGGCCATGACTGAGTTGCCGGCGTCGACTTGGGGGAGAATTAGGTAGTTGGTGGTGTTTGGAAGAGAGTGCAGTTTCGGTCCGGGTAAGTAAAAGAAAGCGGTCTGAATGACCCGTCGGCGGCGAGGGACAACTCAGAAAGCAACAGCAAGTCCTTTCAAGGGCACAGTACCAGTAATAAAGGCACAGGCAATGTTGGTGGGGTTGGGGGCAAGTGGCCGAGACCAGGTTGGGCGAAGAAACGGCGATGACGGCGCAGCAGCGGCAGTAACAGCCAGTAACGATGGTCGTGTCTGTGCGACGGTGTGGGGAAACGATGCAGCGCTAGGAGGCGAGAAGTGAGGGTCAGTTACCGACGAGTTGGATTCGAGGAAAGCCGGCTGGGTCGAGTCGCACCCGGTGGGACGGGGAGCTAACTACTAGTGGTGGTGGCTTGTCCGCCCTAGTAATGGGTCCTCGTGGTCGAATTTGTTCCACCCAAGCGAGGCAAGGTAAGAAGGAGTGAGGATTTTTGGTAGCGACCGCGTGACGGCGCAGACGGGGGTGACAGTAGGCCAAGAGCTCTGTGCTGTGTAAGGAAAGACTCCAATGCGCTCATAGGTACTTCGTAGGGCGGGCTCCAGCTGGGGCATTGGAAAGCCGATGCCAGGAATCCCCGGCAAGCAGGGCTCTTTATATGCGCAGGCTGACGCAGATTCTTGAGTACCTGGATGGCCAGCTGGAGACACGGGAGGAAAGCAACGATAGGCCACCGTCATTTTGCGTACGTGCGTCTGTTACTCGGGGACCCGCAGAGGCAACGAGCCGCTCAGCGCGTCGATTTCAACAATTGGAGTATCAATAATGCGCGGGTGTTAGAATGAAGCTAGAAAGCATTGAAGCTGTGGATTATCAGCGCGCCAATATCGACAGGGGGGTGGGAGCGGGTGAAGGAGCCGGGGTCGGAATGGATCTGTAAGCCTGGGAAATCCCGAGTGACATCGATCAAGCGGACAATAACTTACCGGGTACTCAATGCGCCTCAGGCAATGCGTTCATGTGCTCTACGTCCAGTGTACTCGGGAGTACCTGTACGTACGTAACGAGGTCCAAGAGACTTCAACCGTGGCATCAATCTGATCTCGAGCTTCCGACGTCCATGTTTAGCAAGTCACCGGTGGATCCATCATATCAGAGACCGGAACCACAACAGCCAATCTGGGGCCAACACACAAAGAACTTCGACTGGCACATTGAAGTGTGGCAATGTGAGGAGAGCGCGTGGTTGCCCGGAAGACTGCCGAGAAGCACACAAACCAACAGGCTACAGAATTAGTACGAAAGCAAAGTGCGAGAGGCAGGCGCAATGAAGAGGAAGGAGCCCAGGTGGTAGGTACCCGCATACACGCCATGTCGGTCATCACCCATCAGGCCCACGGCTCAGCGCTAAGGAAAACAAATCGACAGAAGAGAGATGAAAGGGCGAAGGACGGCGCTTGCGTTCATCGCCCACCGATTACTCGATGCTGCTCTTACTTACTGCGCAGGATCACAATACGACAACCTCCACAGCTGTGCCTGTAATTGAGGCTTAGGCGGCCAGAAAAGCGGCCGGCTGGCGGCTCCACGGTTCCAGATTTTCAATACCCGTTAGGTACCAGATGGAAGGTGCAATACATGCCTATTTTAGCCCAGAGCAGAAAGCCTGTCGTCCTCAGGCAAGTTAGGCCGCAGGATGCTGCATGTGCTGCATGCAAGGCCGCTTTTCAGGCCGCTTTTCAGGCCGCTGGTTTCATTTGACATGCAGCACCGTTAGCGGACCTGAGGCCAGGCAGGTACCTTACTTACTGTATGTACATTCAGGAAGGCGCATTGTCACACACACAACTTTTGCTACTCACCCACAACTCCGAAGCAAAGCAGATAAATCTCCCCGCGAAGACCAAAACTCAACCTAGGTGCTCTTGCCGGCTTCCGGGTTCTGACGTTACAAGCAAGACTCGTCGTTCTTCCATCAACGCCCCCCGCCACCTGCTGTCTTACGTCGTCCAGTCCCGAAACGGCATACTTTACCCCCAAGCACCAGGAAGCCATCATCTGTCTGGATCGAAAACGGCTCGTGATCTTGATTGAACGTGTGTCGTGATTCAAAGGCGGCAAAGGTCACCTATTGGCCCGTTCAGCTAGCCCGACTGGTGGAAATTCTGTCAGAGGGTATGCAGCAACGTCTCATCCCAAGTGCACGTCGACCTGAGCAGGTGGGTGGACACTGGGTATAGTTAGTCCCCGAGTCAACGTCCCCTTCCGGTGTTCCAGATTGAGGGGTTTGACGACAGTTGCGTGCAGGACCGGGCACACCATCCGGACCGGCTCTGTGTCCCGTCATCGAATTTGCGGATCACATCGTGATCACGGTTGGCACTTGGCAGCGATATGGTTCTCTTCAGCACAATCACGACAATCTTTCCGTCGACCGGGAAAATGATTGCTTCTGGACTGTGCCGCAAGTGGGTACATGCCTACATATCGTTACACCCGACATCGACCGCGGCACTCGCCCGGCCGCCACTCCACCCCCAACTCCCGCAAAATATCCCCCCTGGATCGACAACGCCGTCAAGGCCTGCCAGCCGCGGAGGCGCTTGCCGTGCCTGATTCACCGGTTCATAAAGCGTCTATGGAGGATTGTCTTATCTCCTCCGCCGCTATACACCATCCCCACGGCCTGGTCGGGTACAGACGTCCCCCCCTGCTCCAGCCGGGTTGTCTCACCGGATCAAAGGAACTACCGGGCACCGAATGAGAGGTGAAACAGGAGGGGCAACCCGGGCATCCTGCATCGGCGCAACAGGGGCACAGCCAAACGCCATGATCTGGCGGGTGCTGGAATTTGACGTTGACGTTTGCTGGGAGAGCAAAACACATGATATTGCGACTCATGCGACCGTTCTGGTGTCCACGGTGCGGCTAACTCGCAACCAGCCGCGATGCGACAGTGATGGGCGAGCCGAACCAAATATGGCTCAAAGCCGGGTCGCACCCGGATGATGTCCCTTCTCTCCCGCCCTTCCATCGGCTTCTCGGTGAACCTTGGCTTTGGGGCACGGACGACGGGCCAGGGGTAAGAGAGGGTTCAACCCGCAGCAGACCTTGTTCGGGAACCTGCGGCCTGGCCGTCGACGTCGGTTTATGCACGTCGATGTCTGTGGAGACCCGATCCAAACCTGCGATCGCCAGGAAAGCAACCCACACACACAGCACCCTGCCCGCGACACCGAAACTGCGGAAATGCCAGCCTCACGGCCTAACTTGATGGGCGGGCCTGGCCCTGCCTGAAATGGCACCGGGAGCCGAGAGCATTGCGCGCACGCGCCTAGGCGTGGCTGCTGGCGTCCGCCAGACCCGGATGCACAGGAGATCATCCTGATGCCGAAGGTCCGTCGGTCATGGCCGAGGTGCAGAGCCAAGGGGCGATCCGGCCCGATGTCGAATTATCCCCCCCCGCGATATGCAACGAGTAGTCTGGGGAAAGGGATGATTCTGCGAATCTCCCGGCCCCGGTATTCTTCCACTCCCAAGATAACGACACGGCCGTGGCGTTGAGGCAAGCCGAAAGCGTCAACCAAGACGTCCCAAAGGGGCGAAGCTCGGTCCCGCGGACCACCATGTTGGAATTCCCATACAACCCCAGCCCGGTTCAACAGACTTTACCCGGGATGTCAGAACACGGCACGGCCGGCTGGCCCGCTCTCGATGGCGGAGCGGAGAGCCCCAGCCAGCGTCGCCCGTGTGGTTCAACACCCGGAGGCGGCGGCAAAAGGGGCAACCTGCATGCAGCCGTTTCTGCCTGGGGTTCTGGTATAAAATTCAAACATTTCCTCCCCTTCCTTGTCTTAACCACCCCCACCCCACCCCTTTCCAACCATAACGGCGTAGCCCATGGGTTTCGCAGGCCCCGAAACGAGCTGGCTCCGCTTATTGACAGAGACACCAGGGCTACCTCCTGTCCATATTCAGGCTCGCCGAAAGGAACCGGGCCTCGAAGCTTCGGAACCAAGGGCCTGCCTGTGGCGGTTCCTTCAGCCGTGCTCATGCATGGTTCGTCACACATCCTCCTGTCCTCGTCCGGCCTACCGGCATGGATAGGCGTGTGCCGCCCGCAAGGGACGGGATCGGCTCTCGTTGCGGTTCCGTGGTTGTCTAGAACCTGGGCCGAAGACTTGGTTCGGGGGCGGGAGTTTGTGATTATGGTGGTTGCCACTTCGAAAACATGCAGGTCTGATGGTGAAAAATCTCGCATTCGTCGGCGGAGCAGTTATCTCGAAACGCCGCGGTCTCTTGTCACTAAACCGGGTATTGTGGAAGCTGCCGCTTGTAATGGCAACACTAGGCTATATCCGGAGCCACTTGACGATGCCGTTGTACCCTAGCAAACATCCAAATACGAGACAGGCCTCGGTCAGGAAGCACACCGCTTGGGGAAATGGATGGAAATCAGGCACGGGGATGATCAGCGGGGTTGGGGGGCCGGCACTCGGGAGATACCTAGCGAAAGCCAAGTTCGAGTCAATGACGAGCATGCCAGCAGCGTTCTGCCCTCAGCGCTTCTTGTTCGGGCAATCGGCAACCTTGTGACCAAGTTTCCCACACCCGTGGCAAGACATGGCGGTAGAGGGCCGCTGGAACGCCTGCGCGCCTGCGGACGAGATGGAGGTCATTTGGTTCAACTTGATCTCCTTCTTCCGTCTCTTTCCGGCAAGCTGCTGCGCCTTCCTGCGCTCCTCTTCTCGTCTGCCCGATACGCTAGATCTCGCGCGCCTGCGCTCTGCGTCGCCGACGGTACTCGTCCGGCCGCGGCTAGGCTCTGCGCGTGCTTGCGAGGGCTTGTCGTCATCATCGGAAACCTCTCCCGAGTCCGAACCGGAATCAGAGTCACTGTTACCACTTTCATCGTTTTCCTTCTTGGCCGCCTGTAAACCTTGTCAGCATAACCCGGAGACGGAATCCCCACTAGAACTCAACCTGCCTTTGACTTCTTCATGTTGAACCTCTGAACCTGCGGCTGGGTCGGCGCGCTGCCCAGATCGAACGGGTCATCGTCCTTGCCCGACGTTCCCGCGTAGTCAATCTGCGCAAACCCGACTTCGACCACGTTCAGCAGCGGCCGGGATGTCCTCGGCGGCAGGCTCGCGGCGCCCTCCAGCACCCAGTGCGAGTCGCCCAGCTCGGCCGCGCGCTTCTCGATCGCCGCCCGGTTCCGCTTCTCCTCCTCGTCCACGGCCGCCTTTATCGCTTGCTGGTCGAAGAGCGGCGTCGCCGGCGAGCTGGCTGCCGATGGCGTGTGGGTTGTCTTGCGCCGCTTGGCTGAGCCGTCGTCGCTCCGCGGGGTCGCGGGCGAGCTGGCTTCGGGCGTGTCGGTCGATGCTGCTGCCGCCGCCGCTGCCGCGCCCCTTTGCATGAACTTCATCGTCATTAGACGGGAAGACATGGTCTTGGGCGTTGATTGTTTTGCCATGGCTGGCAATCCTGATCCTGGTGTCGGCGCCATGTTTGTCGCGTGCGTGGTAGGCAACAAATACGCGCGTAGTTGAAAGAAGAAGTTGCTGATTTCTAAATGTTGGGTTAGTAGGTCGCTGCGCAGAGATACACTCTGTTCCTTCCCAGCGCGTTGTCGTTCCCAACTTGGCGGCTCTCCCTTCGCAAAGTAAAATATCAAACACAAGCGACGAGAACCGTCAAAAAAAAGATAAGGAAAGAAGCGATGAGCGTTGCCAAGACGCCAAGACATTCCCGTCGCTGTCGCCAACCCGAAAATCAGCCGGCGCCGCCCGGAACTCCAAGCTTCCAGCACCGAAGCCAATTGAGTCCACTGCTAGGTGAGAAGCGAATCCCTCAATTGACGCTCACTCGGGCCCGTCCCGCAAACCAACCACCACCACCACACCCACCACCACCACCACCACCATACCCACCAAAATCCCACCACTCCCCCCACAACCACACACCAGGATGTACGTCTCGCGCCTGCGGGGCGTAGCAGCGGCCGCCGCCCGCGAGCTGCCCCGGCGACAGCAGCAGCACTCAGCGGCAGCGAAAGCAGCATTCGGCACCACAGCCCGGCGATTCCAGGAAACGCCCGCCCCACCGCCGACCTCGACGACCAGCACGACCGCCAACACCCAAACGGCGCCGCAGGTCACCGAGGGCCCCGTCCCGACTGCCGTCGCCCAGTCGCCCAACCGCGCCGACGTCTGGTCCCGCACCCAGCAGCCGCGCGCGGCGGCTATGACCGGGCCGCGGTTCGAGCAGACGGATTTTGAGTTGCAGGTGCGTTTTTCTTTGGCCTTTTTCTTTTTCATGAGAAGGGTTTGGGGTTTGGGGTTTGGAGTTTGGGGGGGGAGGGGTATTGGGGTGGTGATTGGGGTTGGGACTGGGAGGAGTGATTGAGACAGCGGGCTGACTTGTGGTGATATCAATCATACAGCCCCGGCCGTACGCCGCCATCGAGCTCATCCACCAGCAGCCGGTGCGGTGGACGCACGACCGCGTCGTGGCGTGTGACGGCGGCGGTGGGCCCGAGGGACACCCCCGGGTCTTTATCAACACGGACAAGCCTGAGATCACCCCGTGCGGGTACTGCGGGCTGCCTTTTGTAGGTTCTTCTTCTTCTCGAGTGCTACCTGTTTCTGGGTGGGTGGGAAGGCTTGCTAATGTGGTGGGAATTGTAGGCAAACGAACATCATAGGCACCACCTCGAGTCTCTGCCGGAGACGTCGTATCCGCTGTCGGGTTGAGAGGGCTGTGGCAAAAGGGCGGGATGGGAATGAGACTGGGCTTTGGGGACGTTGTACATATGTATCGGGGCCAATAGATGGGTATGTCCCTAATCCAGCTGGTATACGAAACAGTCGAGGAGTGTTGAGTGGGGTTGATGGGCGTATGCCAGATCACGCACGTGAATATCAAGATATTGATCCTGCCCCAGACGATACGGCCCGTTTTGAGGCGGCCGTGGGAGTCTTTGGTAAGGCTGTCGTCACCCGCCTTTTCTGTATGCCGCTCACTTCCCCTTCATAATTCGATGGAGGTACAACAAGCACAGTTCCATCCCCTCTTCCACCTCCAATTACCTACCTCCTACGCGTGCTAGCAACCGCCGCCTCATCGAACGTCATCACACTCCTGAAACACGGTGTGTGACGGACATCTTTCTCCCCCCTCGCTCAATCAATCACCCCAATAATAGTTCCATTGATGGGGCCAGGATGAAAATGACCTATCCTGTCCGTGAGCGTTTCTTCCTTAGAGAGATGAACATGGGCATCCCCGAACGTCGTGGGGTAATCCCAAGGCTTGGTAAAGTTCCTGTGAACCCGCGGGCCCCGTCAGTGAGCCCCAACAATAATAACAACATCCAGATTCCGGAGGGAGGCCGGGAGATGGGGACGGGAGACGGGGAGCACGTACTCGTCATCCCGGTAGCGGTGGGCCAGCTCGAGGGTGAAGTTGCCCGGGTGCCAGAAGCCCGGCACGGCGACCTTGAAGTAGGTTGCGTCGTCGTCGATCCAGCATGACCGGTAGCTGGCGACGGGGTCGCTGCCGTCCGGGTCGGCGTCGTGCTTGGTCACGCCGTCCCACGCCCACGACGTCTGGCAGCTCCCCGACGTCACACTGTTCTGTCGCACCGAGTTGGGGTCCGACCAGGCGACTGAGGGGGTCAGTCTCTCCTTGCTCTTTTCTCGTTGGGGTTATCCGGGCAGGTTGTGTTTTGGGGAGGGCGGGTGCTCTTCTCTCGCTCTTACATGTCAGATTGCAGGAGTAGTCAACCGTCGGGTTGAAGCGGGTGCAGAGGATGCGGAGGTTTGTGAGGCTGAATGGGGCAAAGTTGAACTGGGCTGTGTCCGTCATCATGGATCGGTCTGTGATCGGGTTGCTGATGTCGTAGAATACTCGTCTTGAGTAGGGGTAATAGGGGAATGAAACAACCGAGGAGAGGGCGACGGGAGAAACGGGGAGAATGGAGAGGAGGTAGGCGAGTGAACGCATGGTTGCAGTGTTATGGTCCAGGTTACGACTGGAAGGAGCTGGGAGGTTTGAAAGGTACGGAGGGGTTCTTGTTTGATGGTGGAGGGGGCGGAATGGGGATAGGAGGGAGGAGAGAAACAAGATGATACACTCCAGAGAACACACCGGCAGGGTGCTCTAAATGTCCCGGCCACGAGAGGGTAATTATAGAATCGCCCGGAAGCCCCTGTCGTCGTACTAACACACATGCTAGTTGAAACTGTCCACAGGTCTGGCTTTGGGCGCGAGGGTACAGAGTCTAAGCCGCAGATGCTTTTTTTTGGACTCTAGAGTGTCACCTTTCTGCCATCTGCTAGATTATGACAATGTTATCGAGGTGGGCTGAAGAAGCTCAATGGACAATCCTCCTCTTTCAGCATGGGACTCATAATATACCCAACTGTTATTCCATACGATGTGCTCTGTTGCTGTTACACAGTCTCACAGTTTTATCATCAGAACACCACCAGTCCTGGATTTGCCACGAGGCAATCGCTAGTGGGCTGATTTAGGCAAACCGTCCCCCCAGAAACCTGAAGGCCGACCTGTCCATTTACCTGGGTTCGTTAAGTTCGTGGACCAAGATTGCTCCCTTGTGTGGGAATATCATTTCGGTGAATTCGATAATATTGAGTGTCTTAGCCCAGCTATAATAAATGCGGATATGAGTAGTGGATTACAACCCAAGAAAACACGAAGGAGATATGCAGTTCCCAAGAGTAGATACCCTCAGCCATAGTTCGGATCCGAGGTGGAGAGATTTCGTCAGCTGTGATGTAAACGGGACCAAGCTATAATGAGATCAGACCCTATGGTGATGATGCCAAGGTATCACAAAGAGTACGTTGCGCAGTGGGCTTTCAAGTGCATGTAGTCGGCGACGGGACCGGCCCCGACTGAGGTTGGTATATAAGTTTCTCCTAGAGAAGAATGGGTCGCACCGACCGATTCCTAAATCAGTCTTGTACCTGCATTGGGCGTGATGTTATGGTTGGTTAGAGATGAGTGTCTTCAATCCGAGACATGATTAACTCGGGTCCGAGGTCCCGGCCATCCAATCCCTAGACGATGCGGAAGTGTATGTACATGCATACTTAAAGCTTGTAAGCCTCGGGTCCAGTTTGAATCTGGCGGAGTTGGCGGAACTGTCTGGGTCGGGACGGTTGCCTTCTCCTCCGAACCATGGCAAGAAATACAGCCAAACACTCAGCTGGCCCGCGGTCGGTCTCCGGGTCCCGGCTCCCAATTCCGGGCTGCAAGAATGCGGCCCCTTTCCGAGGGCTCGCCTCCCGCCGGCATTTGGATCCGGCCCCCAAACTTGCGAATCTGCTGGGTATGTACCACACACGTAGGTATGTATGTACTATGTAGTGTAGGTGGAATCCAGGAACAAGGAACGGAACGATGTGCTTGCTGGGTGTGCAGGAGGGTCCTGTGTCACCGTTGTAATTTCAGAAGCCGAAAAGCGGACGCATCTTCAAGGGGTTTGAGCTCGCTGAGACATGTCAACGGCTCAACGGTCAACCCAACATGCACGATAAATTGAATTTGGCCTAACTAATGCCGAAAACGGGTTTTGTGCTCTCCGACGATAAGGGTGTTGAATCGGTAATCTAATCAGCTCTCTCGTATTTCCTGATTATCGACATGTGGTCATCGCGGGCTGAAAAGTATGGTGTTGTGGTTTACTTTCAGCACTCGCCACCCGCTCGGCTGTCCCTTGCCGGGATAGGAAATTCGAATTGGATGTCGGGTCGGATCTTGGAAGTCGGACTGTTGTGTGAGAAATGGACCCTGATTTTCAAATGGCTTGTGAGTGGTTCTCCGTTGCTATTATTAGACGTAATTACAACGTTGAAGGCCTGATATTTCAGGCTCAAGGAAGCGAAGACTCAGGAGACCCACCAGCCCCGCTCGTCCAGGGATTAAACAAGGCATGATCTGCAAAGACCGGTTTTGAAAGAAGCTTCTTTTGGCCTTGGCTGTGATCCAAGCTCCCAAAGCTGTTGTGGTCAGGGGGATTTGGGGTAACTGAAGATGTCCAAATACCTAGGCAAATCCACACATAGCACCGCCGCTTTACAGCATCACCAAACGATGTAGCAGAGAGGCACACAGCTCGCTACGACAGCTGCGGGTTGTATTGCCATCAGGCCGGATTTTGTTGGGGGATCAACAATCAACAGCATTTAGGAAGGTGGGGGAGCCATGCAAGACCTGGGCACGCTGGGCTGACGAGAACTCGGGTTGTCAGATTGGTGCGTGGGGAAGAGGTGATGCTGTGGAACAGCCGCTCAGCAGCGGAGTACCGGAGATCAGTGAATGTTGATTGATGAATCTTTTCCCAAGGTGTCTTTCGATCAGACGCTGCACCGTTTTGACAGGACGACTTCATCTCGCAAAGCATACCAACATTTCAGCCCTAGAACATGGAGATTGACTGCTGACCAGAGATCATCACGCTTGGTTCCCTACGAACTCACGGATGGGGGGTTCCTATCCATCACTCCACCACTCAGAAAATAAGCTGCCAACCCCTCGGTTCCACGCTAGTGCATGTTGAAGAGGAGCTCGGGGGTCTGCCGTCGGATGTCCATGTGCTCCCCAGTTCCCCAGTAGGTGGTGGCTTTCATCTGGCTCGGGGCCCTCTAGGAAAAATGGGAGCGAACCACGATGCGCTCTAACCGCACCGATACTTGGAGACCCGAAAGAAAAGAGGAGCCTTGACAAAACGGACTGTGTCATTGATCGATAAAGGTCTCGGCGGCGACAACATCAGGGAAGAGCCGCGCGCACAGCCCCGACCGGCCCCGACGAGCAATTCTCAGAGCTTCCAATGTCGTTGCCGTCCCCCGCCGCTTGACCCTTGCTGCTGCCTTGCCCCAATCCACTTGGACCCTTGTCTATTCCCCCCTGCACTGGTGAGGGGCAGCCCGACAGGTGGAAAGCCAGAGCCAGTGTGCCAGTCACGCCAGTGCACACAGCCTGAGCACTTGCATCCTCCGATGTGATTTCGTCTCATCTTTCCTCCACACGATCCCGGCGTTCGTCCCAGTCGCTGACACCCGCCGCGCGTGCGAAGAGTTTGCTTCTTTGCAGTTGGAGCCGCTGACCGTTGTTGTTGGTCCTGGGCATTGCAGCCGTGACGGCCCTTTGATTGCGCGCGCAGCAGCGTCCCTGCTCGCCTATTCGCAAGTCGCTTCCGGCTTCTTTTCGCTTGGCCGTTTTGGTCACGATTGACGGTGCGGTTTGCGCCCTTTGCGAATTTAACGCCAGCGCATTCGTCCGGTCTTTTTTGGCTCTCCCCGCACGACCGTCCCGCCCGGCCCTCTGAAACTCGGAGAGGTCGCTGACCGCAGCCCAAGACCCGTGGATACCCCCTTCCCCAGAATCAGCACCTCGCAGTAGCAGGAGCAGCAACAACAGCCGTCTTCTGACCGCTGACCGCCCGCACACAGCAGCAGCAGCAGCATCATCATCTCATCTAATCCTGCCACCGGCGCAAGTATGCCGTCCAGGATCCATTGGTCTGGCAAGAACAACCGCTCTCAGCACAACTTGGTGGGGTCGACAGTTGCCGAAGACCCTGTTTCTTCGGTGCCCGCATCAGCTGCTGGTGCGAACCCCCCGAGTGTAGCAGGTGCGGGTGCGGGCGCTGCAAACCCCCCTTCAGCCTCGCCCAACCCGGCCTTCAGCTCCAGTGAATCCTTTCAGCCCGACACCACCGCCGGCCGGGGTAATCACGCACAACAACCCCCTCCTCCGCAGTCACACCTCGTCAATATCTACGGCACCACCAGCACTGCTGCCGGCGCCAATCCCGCGACCATCCCACCGCAGCTGCAGCACTCGAATAGCGTTTCGAGTGCTTTTGACGCCCGCCAAAGGGAGCAGCAGGAGTTTGCCGACCAAGTGACGCGCTCTCAATCGTACCGCTACACACAGCCGTCCCCCACCTCGACCCAACTACTGCTCCAGCAGCAGCACCAACAGCACCAGCAGCACTTGCACCAGCAACAGCAGCAGCAACAACAACAGCAGCAACAACAACAACAACAACAACCACACCAACAACAACAGCAACAAACTCAATCATCGCCAGGACCTTCCGTTGAGGACCTTACTACTTCTCCTGGTCACCCAAACATCGTGTCGCCCATTCTTGCTGCACCTCCACCTCTCTACAACCAGCAGCAACAACCCCAAGCTCAGCCCCCAAAACCGAAACAGTCCACTCGCAGGTTGATCAAAAACATACTCAATCCTAGAGGCCAGGATTTCGCACCCCCGTCGCAGAATAACCAATACGGCAACAGTGTAGGCCCAACTCGCCGGAACTCGAAGCGCGTGAGCCTTCCTCCGCCGTACCCCCCATCCATCCGCACTGGTGTTTCCCAGGTCTCGCTGGATCAACAACAGCAACTCGAGTGGCAAAACCAGGGTCCTCCGACACAGCCGTCCCCTCTGCAAGGTGTAGGAGATTTCCACGAGTCGTACGTAATTGAGGATTCTGACCAAGCGCTGCGCCCGCAGAATTCACAGGACAATCAGCATCCCACCATCCGGCCTGTTCCTTCCTCGGACGCGGAGACGGCTCCCTATCCTACTGAGGATACCGCATATCGCCAGCACCGAGGACACGTCTCGTCGCAGAGCCAGGTACCCCTCGGGCTGCAACATCAGCAGTACGGCCAGGCCGTCTTCGAACCTGGTCCGCACCAACAGCAACAGCCGCAGCAGTACCAGTTCCCGGACCAGCATCAGCAAGCCCAGTACCAGGGCGGCAACCAGCAGGGTTTCTCGGGACACCTCGTCGCCAATCCGCAGCAGCAAAACCCCGAGACGGTGTCGCAGCTGTCGCATGAATCGCCCATTACCGACTCGGACCAACCTTCTACTAACAGCATTCCGGCACCCGCGGTGCAGACGTCAACCGCGGTAAACTACCCGCCGCAGACACAGGATCTTCCCGGCCGGCAGAACCCACCACCGGCTGCCCAAGCTCAGACCCCGCAGCAACAGACCATGGCCCCACCATCCGGTGCGCCGCCCCCGGCACGGAGATCGCAGGAGACGGAGAAGATGCGCGACCAAGCCCAGCCGCCACCCGGGCCACCGCCTAGCTACCGGCAAAGTCAGCAGCCGCCCGGCATGAACCCGCTACCGCAGCCCCCGAATGCGGCGGGGCCGCCGAACCCGAATTTCCGCGCGAGCAATGTACCGGACAGGCAGCAATTCGAAGGTCAAGGGGAGCCTCAAGGGCGCAACAGCCCGCAGCCTACATCCGACCGCGGCGGCGAAGACCCTGAAAAGGCGTTTAAGGACCTTTGTACGAGCAAAAGTACCCTTCCACCTCCGATTGTGCAGACGCCGCTGACAGGTTGGCGTTTTAGTGACCAAATACAAGAATGTCAAGCGACTTTACTTTGACGGCAAAAAGGAGATTGAGCAATTGAACGGCCAGGTAGAGCAGCTTCAGAACGCTATTGCCAACCAGCGTATGTCGCAGAGCCGGACGTCGCTTGACGACAGCGAGTACGCGACACGTTTCAACCGCCTCAACGGCGCCATTAACAACCTATCTTTCAATATCCGCAAGGATTGGTCCAGCGTACCAGCGTGGCTCGCTCCGTTTGTGAGTGCCGACGCGCTTAAGACGGGCAAGCAAGAGATGACGGCCATTGGCCGGGCTGTTATCACGCGCTGGATCGTAGACGAGATATTTAACAGCTGCTTTCACCCGGGCTTGGATCCGGAGCTCAGCAGACAGCTCAAGGTTATCGAGCTTAACATCAGGAACTTTAGCTATACCATGAACAGCCAGGAGGAATTCGATGCCCTGACCAGCAAGGTGGTGAGCTGGCGCATGGCGACGCTCGAGGGCCTGAAGGACGTGCTCAGCAGCCCGGAGAGCGCCAACCACAGGAACGACTTTACGCGCCGCGCTACCACTAACCTGACGGCGTCGCTCTTCCAGCACCTGACTGACCCCCCGCCCGCGGGCGTCGATGGCAGCGCTAGCATGATTGTCGAGCTCGCCGTCGGCATCGCCAGCAACATGCCGCTCGAGAGCCGTGACGTGGCCGTTGTATACCCCTTGCCGGAGCAACCCATCCAGTTGGAGCTGATGGAAGTGGAGAAGACGGGCCTGCCGGCACTCGAGGCGCGGCCTTTGGACGCGGGCGAGGAGGGTGCCGCAGAGGACGCGAGCGGCAGTGCCGCCGGGGCTGGGGGTAAAGAAGGGCCCGCCAAGGACGGCGCCAAGGACCGGCGTGGCGACAAGAGAACGGGTATGTTGAGTGTTTTGGGGGCGGGCGGCGGCGGTAGCGCACCGGGCAGCAGGAAAGGCAGCATTGCTGACGGAAGCATCATACAAACAGCTCCCCTACCGCCCAAGGACTCGGGTAAGGTGCGTTTTGCCGGCTTCGTCGCCGTGGAGGTGCGCGGCCGGCAGGTGCTGGTCAAGGCGCCCGTGTGGACGCTGGGGTAATGCGTCGAGGGTAAGACCGCTCGTTTATGAATTGGTTCGGCACGGCTGGATATTTACTTTCTCTCTCTTTCTCCTCTAGGGCTTGGCGCGGTATGAGAATGAATGGCAGGGCGAGCGAAGAGCGGGCAGCAAGGGCTGGGAACAGAAACACGCGGGTTGAGAAGCCCGACGGCTACCATGTGAATAAAACGGAGCGCGTGATGGTACAGAGGGTGAGCCACGGCTGGGGCGACAGAGATGCACACAAAGGGGCGCCTGTAGACGGATGGGAAGGGGGGAGGGCTGAGATTGGAGCGAGCCCGTGGTTCCCTCGCTTTTACTGACGACTCGGATGACTTGCCTCCTGCGACGGAGGACGGATTTAATTTCTTGTCCATGCTATGCATGTCTATATACCCTGGGTACTTGAGTGATGACTGGCAGGCCAAGTGGGAGCTGGGGGCTGATTCCAGTACATAACATATTGCAGCTTAAGTTCACTGTAGTAAAAGTGTAGAGGGACGGAGGGGAGAGGCTGGCTTCACCGCCTTCCTTTTCGGCGCAGGTCAAGCTGCCCCTCCATGACCCCGCCATGCAGGGCAGAATGGGAATGGAATACAATGCCGTCTTGACAAAAACCTCGCCGTCTTACACGAGATACCTGACCACGGTTACCAACCCAGTTGGCCATTGAACGACAACCACCTTCTCTCACGTCTGCCACTTCACATACCATCCTCCAAAATGGCAGACCCAGCGCCAGCACACCTCGATCCCTCCGCCCTCGGCACAAAAGAATAGTTGGTCCTCCCACCCTCCCTCCCTCCCTCTCCCCCCCTCCCTCTCCCCAGCACTGAGTGTCCCCCCCCCTTCATCCATCCATCATCTATCCATCTACCCCCCAACCCCCCCAAAAGCCCACACTAACACAACCTCCCATAACACAAGCTGGGACACCCTCTACACCCGCGAACTCACAAACCACGCCGCCAACCCGCAGGACGAAGGAACCGTCTGGTTCGACGACGCCGACGCCCAGGCCAAGATGGTCGCCTACCTCGACGAGCACTGCAGCAACCCCGACCACGAACCGCTCCACCACGAACCGCTCGACCCCTCGCGCGCCGCCGTGCTGGACCTCGGCTGTGGCAACGGCAGTCTGCTGTTTGCGCTGCGGGATGAGGGGTGGGAGGGGAGGCTGTTGGGGGTGGATTATAGTGCGCGGAGCGTGGAGTTGGCGGGGAGGGTGGGGGTTTCGAGGAGGGAGGGGGGTGGTGAGGGTGATAAGGAGGAGGGGGAACAAGAAGGGGGAGGGGAGGGTGGGAGGAAGGGGGAGCGCGAGGTGGAGTTCAAGGTGTGGGATGTGCTGAACGGGCCGCTGAGCGAGGTGGCGGTTGCGGTTGCGGTTGAGGGTGAGAGCGAGACTGAGACGGCGGCGGGGTGGGATGTGGTGCTGGACAAGGGCACGTTCGACGCGGTGTCGCTCAGCGGGGAGCGCGACGGGCAGGGGCGGCGGATCTGCGAGGGGTATGGCGAGCGGGTTCTGCAGCTCCTGCGGCCCGGCGGCATCTTCCTCGTGACGAGCTGCAACTGGACCGAGGCCGAACTGCGCGACTGGTTCGAGACCAAGACGCGGCCGACCGAGGCCGGCGCGAGGCTGCGGCTGGCGGGGAGGATAGAGTACCCTAGCTTTCACTTCGGGGGCGTCAAGGGGCAGACCATCAGCACGCTGTGTTTCGAGAAGGCCAGCAATTAGGGACTGGTTAGGGCTAGCGAAGACAACGAGTGATACCCGGCGAAGTGATAGAGTAAGAGTGTGTTAATGCTGGCGATATCATCATTTTCGACGTAAATCGATGGGTCTTCGCCCTTCCCCTCGAGTGTCTACCCCACAGGTCATAATGCACCTGTTCTTCCCCTGACATACACATTTACCAAACATGCCCATGGCCGGTCTATTAACAGGAACCCATGCGTTTCATACCCTACAGTACTCGGACCATCATCTAACCACCCGCCGCGACCTTATGGGGGGGGGGACCAAGAATAATAAACCTGGCCGAGTTGAGCGCAAACGCAGCGAAGCAACAAAGGCAAGAACGGGCTGGCTTCATTATAGCTCTCTCTTCTATGGTGATGTGTTCATAGGCTCGCCAGCAGTCCCGACCGCCCCCGTCGCTGCGGCCGCCGCCATGGTCGCAAAATACCGCACATCCACGTCGTCATCCTTCTGGAGCTTCTCGAGGCTGGGCATGATCCGCTCGTCGACGAGTTGCTGGCCCTTGGGCGATGCCGTAAACGGCGCCTTGGCCTGCTCTAGCGTATAGATGGTGCCCTCTTCCGGCAACCGGCGCAGCGACGCAATCAGGGCCGAGTACGTCTTTGCGACGTTGAACCGGATGTTGGGGATCTCGTCGGCCGTGAGCTTTTCTAGCATGGGCAGGATCGACTTGGCGATGACGTCCATAGTAACGACGGTAGCCAGTGTCTGTTCAGACTGTTAGTTCATCACCTGGAGATCATCTTGATGGCGGTCCACTCACCGAGATGGCAAAGCATGTTGTCATCCTGTAAAGGTAGTTGGGGTGCGCTCCCATCGCCATGACCTTGGGGATAATAGCCTCATTGGCCCACTCGACACCAAATACCTCGGTAAGCTTCTTGAGGTTATGGGTCGCCGCCTCGCGGATGGAGAACACGGTGTCACCGAGCCAACCCATGCAGAGCTGACTGAGCTTCTCGTCAAAGAACTGAACGCCCAGCTGGCCGGCGAGCAGGGGCATGTGGCCGATGATAGCGAGCCGCACGCGCCATTGCTTGTCCTCGGCGAGTTGGACGATGGCGGGGAGGAGGGATTGCGCAAGCAAATCGATGCCAATAACCTGATTTACCAACTCCAGTTTTGAGATGATGTGCAGGCGGACTTCGGGGAACTCGTCCTTGAGCATCTGGAGGAACATGGGCAGCAAATGATCGATGGTCCTGTAAACAGTCAGCGGGTGGTTCCTTGTATGGCTGTGTATAAACCATACTCTTGCTTGCCCAGGATCGGGGCGAGGCCGCTGATTTGTGTTCCGAGAGCCGCGCGCACGTGCTGCGAGCTGTCCGACACTAGGTTCTCTACCGTACCCATGATGTCGCTCAGGAGGGTGCCCCGGTCGACCAGGGCGCAGAAGCCGGGAATTTGGCCGGCACTCGCAGTCCGGACCTCGGCCTCGCCGTCCTTTAGTAGTTTTACAAAGGCGGGCACCAGATCCCTAGCAACGACCTCCTCGTCGACCGCCTTGGCAATCTACACACCAAGTTAGTTATCTCCTAAGCAATCCCGTCGCTCGGTTTGACGGACCTTCTCGAACCGATCGGCGATCATGTACCGCACCCGCCAGCTCTTGTCCTCTATCAAGCTGCGCAGCGAGGTAAGAAGCACACCGTGGCTCGCCTGTTGCTCCTTGGGAACGACTTCGGCAATCGAAATTAGGATCTCGACGGTGAGCAGCCGGACGCTGTCTTGGTCGTCCTGAACGAGGTGCTGGAACATGGGTATCATCTCCTCCACAACAATCGCGGCGGGCATCTCCTTCACAAACTTGGCCATGTTGGTGGCGGCCTGACGGCGCACCATGGGGGTGTCATCGTGGACCAGCTGGCTGAACTGCTGGCGGAGTTGTTCTTGGATAGGGGGCGAGACCTTGGAGTATGGGGCCGTGAACAGGCCGCACCCCGAGACCTTGGAGGTGAACCAGTCGGCCTTGGAGAGTCGGATCGTGAGAGGGATGAAGAACTCTTCGACTTGTTGGGGTGAGAGATCGGCGCAAATCTTGTTTAGCGACTCGACAGCCTGCAAAAACGGGCGTGTCAGTCAAGGCGCAGGATTAGTGCCGATATTGCGTCCCCCGCGCGTACCTTGTCCCGCACCACGGGCTCCTCGATGGCGGCGAGGTTATCGAGCGGGGAGAGCAGGACGTGACCCCACTCGGGACCGCCGACATAGTCGATGAAGCCCCCAAGCTCCTCGCTCAGGGCGACGAGAACCTCGTCCTCGTCCTCGACGGACTCTGCAGCCGGGGTATGTTAGCGATGGATAGGTCCGCGATATCGGGCGAGAGGCGGGGCAGGCTGACCATCAAGAAAGGGGATCAGCTCATCGCGGGTGCGCTCCGCACCCAAAGCGAGGGCAATGGTCGAAAGGCGGTGGATGGCATTGAGTCGGAGCAGGACGTCGTCGTGCTAGAACACGCGGGATTAATCATGGGAACCGTCGGGGAGGGATAAGGGGGGAAGGGAACGAGGGACCAGGGGGGCAAGGGGGGGGCTTCGTCACCGCCATACCTTCAATTCGTCGATCAGCACGGCGATGGGGTAAAGCTCATCGTTGGTGTTTGTCGCGTCAGCCATGGTGGGCGACTGTGGAGAGAAAAAGGGCGCGGCTGTCTGTCGCAGGAAAATCGGGGAGTCGGTGTTTTGTTCGGGGCGAAATCAAGGCTGATTTTTTGGGCAGGCGCTGGGCAGAGCGGCTGGGATCGCGTGTGGTGCAGTGTGGGATGTGATGCAATGGGAAAGTGGGTGTGGGTGTTGGCCGACCGGGCGTCCTTGACGAATGCACTCGCAGCAAGAGTGGGCTGCCCGCTGAGCTGGTTGCGCTGATGCTAGGGAGGGAGGTAGCTTTCGTGGTATTGTATTGTATTATCGGCGCAACCCGTGGATCGGAAAATGGTGTTGTGTTTGATGCGGAGCCGTAGTGAAAGCACCGGCAACCGTGAGAAGCTGTAGCAAAAAAAACAGCAAGCAGAAATCAAGGCGCTCGGCCGTGTTGGCGGGATTCGCTGCTGAGAGGGTTGAGATGGGAGACCTCCAGCGAGCAGCGGGTGGGAAATGCGGGCAGGACGTCAAAGGCAAGCTCCCGCCCAGTCAAATACCGGACCCCCCAGGAACACCCCCTACCAAGTAGCAAAATCCAGGCGTGCCCCGTTTGGGTCGCCGCGGGCTTGCAGCTTGGTTGGTCAGTGCGCAGTCAGTGTGGGAGCCCAGCCAGCCGTGTGCGGGGCTGCTGATGGGGTGGGGTAAGGCTGCTCGCGCTTCAGGGGCCTCTCCAGTGAAGGAAGAAAGATGAGGAAATATGAAAATGTAGAGTTCGATATTGTTGAACGAACGTCTCCCCGAGAGACTATTCGCCTGAAATAAACTAGTGGGCGCATGGAATGCAAAGAGGAGGGTCCAGAAACGGTTTCTTTGGTTTAATCTCTCGTTCTCCTTAAGTTTATGTTGGAGAAGAAGTCTACCTCCCTCCATTGGGGGTGCGAGGCGATGAGAGGGGTCCCTCAGCCATCGAGGGTACCGAGGTACATTTAGCATCGCATCCAATGCTGCATCTCTCGCCTCCCGTGTAAAGAACAGGGGTAAAAACCATTCCTTTTTATCATAAACCCAGTTTCATATCCATGATAGGTAGACCATACCCTTGCCGATGCCGCTTCTATGCCTTTCTTACATAGAGAGCATGCCCAGTCCACCCAGCTCCCATAAACAAAATCGCTGGTTAGGCAAACAATCCCGCTTCATGCCGCCCGATCTAGCTCAATCCATACTCTTCATCTCCTGCCCTCCGCCCACCTCTTCCGACTTCCTGCTGCCCTGGTCCTCAACGAATCCATTAGACTCTGTGTTATGCCCACCCGGACGACTCCTACCCGTACTCGGACCAGCAGCAGCACCGCTAAAGACGCCTTTCCCGATGTTCAGGCCGGAGAGCCGGTCCTGTAATGCCCCGAGCGCGCCGGGCATCACGCCTGCGCTTGCACTGCGGTTGAACGACGCCGACGTTCTCAAATCTGGTGTGAGAGCCTCATGGGCGGTTTCAACACCCGTGAGCACTGACTGGCTGGCAGTCAAAGCCGGCGGCTGGGCGTGATGGGATGAGCTCGCAGCGTCCATAGATGCGATCTCAGACTGGGTCCCTGCGTTGTCACCACCAACGCCTTGCTCTGACAATCCTGTTGAGGCTTGATATGCCGCAACACGTTCCGCCGTGGCGATAGAGGCATTGATAGCATCGTTCATCTCGTCATCAGTGCGGTTAAACACCTGATGCCACCACCGCACCTCGCCTAGTCGCGGAAAGATGAGCCGCTCCCGCCCCTTGGTAAGATCATCGATAGTCGCATCATACTGATCGTTTGTGAATTCCTGACGGCGACTCAAGAAATAAGCCCATACACTGCGCGTGCGCTCATGGAGCTTCGCCTCGTGACGCTGTCGCTCGTTGTTGAACAGGAAGGTGCCGTACTGGCACGAGTACAGGTGGTAGAGCAAGCGCCGGAGGAGGCGTTCATTAAACTCGAAGCGCGTTGGATGTTGTCGGAAGAGTTGATATGTCGCATCGAGGAACTGGTGGAAAACCGGCGACACGTCCCGGGGTTTCGTGGCCTGGTCCTCGGCGACGGGAGCGGGTCCTTGTTTCGCCTCGTCAACCGCAAGAGTTTCCTCCACTTCTGATGATGATGATGCATCTTTTTCGGCTCCCACACTCTTGTTCCAGAACCGCTTTGCACTCGCCAAAGCATTCTCGATCGCATCCCCCCTGCCTTCGCTCTCGCCCGGTCGGATTGTTGAACCCGCTAGCGCCTCACTATCCACGGTAAACCAGCTCTCATGGCTCATGTGGCCGGACCGCATTTGGAACATGTGTCCAAACGAGAGCCATTCCTTCTCAACCAAGACGATGAATCCGTCAATGGTGCGGTAGTACGGATCAAGCATCAGCTGGGCCAGTGCACTCAGCTGGCTCGTCCGATCCCAGCCATCGGAGCAGTGGATGAGCACATGAGAATGTTGTATGCCAACCTGCCGCGCGATGATAGCCGAGCCGTCCAGGATGCCGCGGATGTGCTTTAGCCACTTGCTTTTGGCTAGGAGGTCTTTGTTGGGCGGGAAAGGGGAAACATCGGCGTCCTTGATGGCGCTGATTACCTTGTCTAGGGAGTCCCTCATGACGTGAATATTGTCTATATTTAAAAAGACTTTCTTGGCAAATCTGTAGTAGTCCATGTTCTCCGATCCCATTCCGATTGCCTGCATGGCATAAGAGTTGAGCGCGGGACGGGCGTCGACGATCAGGTTGTGCTGCTGCGCGCCGTATACTAGTCGCTTCCCGGTCTTTTCGTCGTACTGCGTATTAGCACCAGCAATAAAATCATCTTCCATCTGCATGCGCTCCGTCTCGGGCGACGTTGTGTCAACATCCGCCCCCTCGGCGCTCAGGTCCACGTGGCTGGAGGAGGGGCTTTCCTCAGTGGTCAACGCAGGCCCTGCGTCGAGGAAGTCCATATTGGCAGAGAAGCAGGCCCCGACAAGGCGCTCGTCTTGGATGCTGCGCTTCATCCGCAACCCCACAAACGGCTGTGAGCTGCGGGTTATCGTGCAGTTGTTGACAGGGTGGAGGTAGCTGAGCGCTGGAATCCGGGAGCGAGAGCGGAAAGCGGCAGCGTACTTGAGGGTGCTGTCTGAAATCTTGGACGGCACTGCTAGTACTGCTGGGTACGTTGGGGAGAAGGAGTAATCCTTGTTGAGCATGGTTATCCTCCACCCCAGGTCTGCCGACTTTTCGCTGATGCCCTGCCGCCTGAACTCGGCCCTCGCATCGTACAAGTCCCAACCGTTGATCTTATTCTCTGGCGAACCTGGTGGGGGACTGTAGTTGAAGGCCAGGAGGTTTTCTATGCTCCCCAGTCTGCATGTCCTCGCGCGGATGAACTCGAAGGCATCACGAGCCTGCTTATCGTCGGGAAAGTTGAAGCAGACATATGTGAAGTCCCGGAAACGGATTCGTATCGACGAGGGGACACCGCTCGAGGGGGTAGTCGGCCGCAGCGTGCACTGGGAGATAACATGGAAGGCAAACCAAACCTGCTTGACTGGCTTCTTCGGGTGTGAGTCGGCGTCGGCAGTTGATTCGGGTGGAAATCGGAAGACGAGATGGAAATCATTAAGTGCAATATCGCCCAGCTCAGGCTTCCCGCCTCGCAGGGCGTGCACGTTGTGGTACACCTGAGGTAGGGTTTTAGTACAATCCTCCCCAAGTTCCAGAGTTGCAGCTGAGGGCCACGTACGTGCTTGCTCTGAGGAGCCGACATGGTTAAAGAACGAGGATGGTACTTTTCGGGCGCAGTAGTAGAGGAAGCTTAAACAAGCAACTCGCTCGGGAAGGCAAACCGAGAGGTGCGAGGTTGACAGGGAGAGTTGGAGAATCGCGGGGCAGTCCCGGGATTCATCCGTGAACAGCTTGTGTGGTGGACGAGGAACTGGGACCGCCTGGCATTGTCAGCACATGTTGGCAGTCAGTGATAAGCTTCCTCATTAGCTGTTGTGGAAGGCGTTGGGGAAACAGCATCACAAGACCGTGCCTGCCGACTTGCGCTTCCACCCAGTGGAGCTGACTTCCAGACCACAGAAGCCCTTGACGTCGATACATCTTAGCGCCCCACATGAACAGCCCGGCCGCAAGGCTGCAGCATTCCGTTGCAGCCACGCCTGGCTTTCCAGATGTCGCCCCACTCAAATAAAGAAGCATTTGATTGGTCGAGGTAAACCCTACTCCACTTCACAACCAGAAGGGGCAAGACAGCCCACTAACTATTCGCAAAAAGCCCTGTGCAAGTCGAATTTCCCCCCCATCTGTAAAGTTGAGCGAACATCGCCACCAGATCGTGCCTCAACCTTTCCGACAATTGAAACAGCGACGGTTATCATCGACAAATAATCGATCTCATCGCCAAATCATAACCATGGCTGTCCCCGGCACTCAGATGTAAGTCGCGGAATTCCCCTTGCAATTCGGTGGGTGGGCAGTCGGCCAGCGCAGAGCGAGAACAGCAAAATCATGGTGCACAGGTGGTAAGAGGGGAGCTCGAGACTGACCATATCCGCTTTCTGCAGCTCCAAGCGGAGAAAGTTCGTCGCCGACGGTGTTTTCTATGCCGAGTTGAACGAGTTCTTCCAGCGTGAGCTGGCCGAGGAGGGTTACTCCGGCGTCGAGGTCCGCGTCACCCCGACCGTTACCGACATCATCATTCGCGCCACACACACCCAGGAGGTTCTGGGCGAGCAGGGTCGCCGCATCCGCGAGCTCACCAGCCTCATCCAGAAGCGGTTCAAGTTCCCCGAGAACTCGGTCTCGCTCTATGCCGCCAAGGTCCAGAACCGCGGTCTTTCCGCCGTCGCCCAGTGCGAGTCTCTCCGGTACAAGCTCCTCAACGGTCTCGCCGTCCGCCGTGCTTGCTACGGTGTGCTCCGTTTCATCATGGAGAGCGGTGCCAAGGGTTGCGAGGTCGTTGTTTCCGGCAAGCTGCGCGCCGCCCGCGCCAAGAGCATGAAGTTCACCGACGGCTTCATGATCCACTCCGGCCAGCCGGCCAAGGACTTCATCGACAGCGCCACCCGTCACGTCCTGCTCCGTCAGGGTGTGCTCGGTATTAAGGTCAAGATCATGCGGGGCAGCGACCCCGAGGGCAAGGCCGGCCCGCAAAAGTCGCTCCCTGACGCCGTCACCATCATCGAGCCCAAGGACGAAGCCCCGGTTGTTCAGCCCATGAGCCAGGACTACGGCGCTAAGGCTGCCGCTGCCCAGGCTGCTGCCGAGGCTGCCCGCCAGGAGGAGCAGGCCGGTGAGGAGGAGCCCGCCCCCGCCGAGCAATAGGAGAGCAACGGCGGTGGTGATGTGGCTTCTGCTCCCGGCCAGGGAGGCGACACCGACTTGGTGAATCCTAGCGTTCTTGACTTCGGCGCCGCCGATAATAGCGTCGACGATACTGACCACGATGCTGGCTTCGGGCACGCCATGGTCGATTCTAGCGGCTGGTAATCACAAGAGAAGGCACGTCCCGTGGCCGGGAGGTTTTTTTCGGGCGCGCCACACGCTCGATAGTACGGTTGCGGATGGATGGGTCACTCGGCGTCAACATTGAGCATATTGCATTGATTCTGAAACGGGGAAAAGGACGGAATGATGCTTGGGGAGGGGGTTTGTTGGTCTTCAAGCAAACCCGCCCCGGGCAGTAAACGCGAGACCGGACGATTCTGCACTGGTACGAGGAATAAACCTCTGAACATACTTGCCATATCCCGTGATGTGATTAATGCTGGCAAACTGGACCGCCTGTCCGTCAACGTCCTTGCTCACCCCCATGCGTAAATATGTTAAAGCCGCCAAATAAGAAGCAGGCAAGCCCCCATCATATTATATTGTACAACGCCACAAACGGCAGACTTGGGGAAAACGTACGGAAGCAAAACCCCCAAAAGGCCAAGTCAAATCAACTATCCCAAGAACGCCTAAGACGTGCAATGATGTGCTACGCTGCCTGCCCGCCTGCCCGCCTGCCTCCAGAACAAACATCATGAGATTTTGGCATCAGAAACCATCCCCCCCTTTCCCTCCCCCCACCACCAACACCCGTCCAGTCCTGCACTACCAGCATGTTTCCTTCCTCCACGCCCCCACCCCTCCCGCTCCCGCCCGTTTTCATGAGATTTGCCGAGACTCCCCGGCCCATTATTCCCCGCCACCATAGAAAGTGAAGGAAAAATAAAGTGTACATATGGCCAACGCCCTCCTCCACGTATAATCAATCAAGTCTTCATCTCGGTCTGTCTTCCCGATGCAGATCAAAATCCGATGCCGAGTTGGAAGCGTGCGAAAAAGCAGGTCTTGTCTCTTCACCTGTCTTGTCTGTCTGTCTGCTATTTGAGACCAACAACAACAAACAAACCGAAGTGATGTAGAGAGCGCCGTCTGTCTGACGGGCGCCTGGGAGAACAGCAAAGTAAGAGTGGAAGGAAGAAACAAAGGGAAGGCAACAATAAAAGAGAACAACCGAAAAAAAGCCAACAACGCAATGATCACCTCTCCCCCGACTTGCGATTTTGCAGTTCTATCGCCCCATTCCCGCCCTTGACGGCGAGATGCGCGGCGCCCGCGCCGTTTGGCGGGTGGCCGTTGGACCTCTGGGGCTGGAAGGCGGGGATCATGGGGGAGCGGGGGTCGTCGGAGCTGCTCTCCTCGTCGGTGTCCTCGGCGAGATCGTTCAGGCCGAAGCCGCCGCCGGCGGCCTCCTCCTCGTCGTAGGCGTGGATCAGGCCCTCGCGGTCGCCGCGGTCGCCACCGCCGCCGCCGCCGGGACCGCCCTGCGACCGGCGCGCCTCCATGCTCATGCGCGTCTGGATGCTCGAGATCATGTCGGTGCCCGTGGTGTCGCCGTTGCTGCGCCGCGCGAGCATCTTGGTGCCGTTGGGGTCGTTGCGGCTGAGGTTGAGGAGGTAGACGCCCGTGAAGGTGACGAGGAAGCCGCAGATGAGGGAGAGCGTGTTGACGGCTTCGGTGGTGTTGAAGCCTTTGAAGAGGATGAAGGAGGCGCAGAGCGTGGCGGTAGTGAATGTGACATAGTAGAGGGGGTTTACGCTATTGGGGGGTCAGTCAGTGTTGCCGAGCTGCTAGAGGATGGAGGGGTATCGTACATGTTGGTGGGGAACTGGCTTAGCGCTTTGTTGAAGTAGTTCATCTGGGTCAGGATGCAAACCACGGTGATGATCATGAAGACATAGGTCGAAGGATGCGAGAATTGGTTGTGGCCCGCAAAGGTCAATTTCAGCGCGATGCCGAACGCCTTGACGGCCATGACCGAAACCGACCCCACGGTAGAGCAGATGCTCAGGTAGATGAGGGGGTTCTTTTTCCCGTAGACCGGGGCGACCTTGTAGATCATGACGCCCGCAAAGACACAGACAGAAATGGCGTACAACAGAAACCCTAATTCAAGTTAGAAAGGGCACACACGCACTCAAGGTGGCCAGGATGGTAGGGCCCAAGACCTACCTGGCTGAATCGCATAGTTGAGAATCTGGTCAACCGTTTCAATCTCCTCGTCAGGGGGTGCGTGCAAGACAATGATGACAGCCCCGATCAGGCAGATTGCGCTTCCCAGCTTGCCCAAGGTCCCCAGCTCTTCTTTGAGGATGTAGGAACCCAACACAGCTCCTATCAAGACGGACAATGCGCCGAGGGGCGTGACGAGGATAGCGGGGGCGAAGGCGTATGCCGCAAAGTTGAAGATCTCTCCGAGAACCACTGTGAAGTGCCGTCAGCGCGTTTGTTCGAAACCTAGCTAGCCAGCGCCGGGTCGGCCCGTACAGCAGATGATGCCCGCCCACCAGATGGGACTGCGCAGGTAGACGAAGCCATCGCCCTCAAAACCATGCCGTTCCTCGGCGTGCATTAACCCCTATAGCAGACGAGTTCGTAGTCAGCACAACTGTTTTTGTCCGGCAAGCGCGGTATGTTGGCCCCATGGCGCGGCCCGTTTCGGCTTTCGAGGTGGGGGTTTGGTTGTCCTACTTTCTTGGTGATCACGAAGCTGGTACCTATGATGCAGAATGTTAGCGCTCTAATTACTCTCATCCCGCCCGACTAGAGGACGAGGCGCATACCAATGGCTAAACTTGAGGTCATGGCTAGCGCCAGACCGATGTACCTGCCGGCGGATGTCAGCGAAACTGCGCCCCCTCCATTCCCGTGCCGTGGCAGCAGGATAGTTTGGACCGGGAGGAGCCGTACTTGTCTTCTAGCATTTTTCCGACAGTGAAGGTTCGACTTGAAGCGACAGTCGGGGTAACGACAATGCGCTACCCGGTCGAGTCCTGTCGAGGCGACAGGCCGATGCGGAGAGAGAGAGGGGCAGGGGGGGCGCTCGCGCCGGGCGAGGAGTCGGGGGGAAACAACGGGAGAGATTTAGCAGGGCCTCTGCCACCGATGCATCCGGGTGCTACCGATCGTGACCGGTGGTTCCTCGAGCGACGATATGTGGCGGGGAAGTGTTCCGTTCGTTCGTTCAGTTGCTTGTTCAATCGTCGGAAGAGGACAGAAGTCGAAGCCGAGTCTCGATTGTCCGGCGGTTGGCTGCGCGCTAAGGCCCTTCTAGCTTGTTTTTTCTTCCTTCTTCGAGTGCCACCTACAAAAGTGGAAAAAAATCAATCCTACTGTGGTCGTTCAAAAAACGAGCGAATCCGTGCTTCCTGTTTCGTGCAATGATCGTGAAGGTGGCTCGAAGCAGATGTTTTGCGCCGTGGAGAGCCAAGTTTCATTCAAGGCCCCTGTTACGCTGGAGTGGTGCGAGGGAAAGTCTGGGGACTGGCGGCGGTTTCAAGAATCTCGGGAAACCCCTGTCAGAACGATGGGACCCCTGTTTTCTGCCGCGCCCGTGCCTTGGAGTTTGGGGAGCGGCCAGACTTCTTGTGTCCCAAACAAGCCCTGCAGCCACCAACTTGCCTTGGAGGCCCGGTCGCACCTTGGCACGCGCCAAATCGCAGCAGGGACTGGGCTCAGCCACAAAAATCAAAGAGATTATCTCGTTCTTTCCTGCCAAGAGGCCGCGAATCGTGGTCTTGGCCAAACTCGTTCGAAGATTAAACAAAAAGCCAAGTCTCTTTTCCCGCTCTCCCACCATGTATGTCCATACCAGGTTTCTGACTCAGCGGGCAACTGTTACACACTCTCACACTGTTGAGAGTCAGGGCGCTTTCCACATAGGGCCCCCTTCATCTCATCTGGGGTTTTGGTTGGTTTGGTGATGAGAGCGGGGCCTGATCACAACCCTGCCTCGGCTCTTCACCCACCGTTAGGGCCATCGACCACGTCAGCCCCCCCACTCTTTGCTTCCTTGAGGGAAACTGAGTGGCTGGAGAGCGGCATGTTTGTGCGCGAAACTGCTCGGGTTCACTGTTGCTGTCACTCTTTTTAAAGATCTGGGAGACATGGAAACAGATTGCTTGCATATTGTGTGGTTCTGGTTGGGATGACGCTTCAAATCAGACAGCACCAACCTTGCAGTTGGTTCCGAGACCCCTGAGCCATGCAGATCCGGAGGTTAAGCCCGCTCATCAGTTTCAACCTCTCGGCTGTCGTGGATGTATTCTCACGTGTGAATGCCAAGGGTAGGTTCAGAGAAGACTCGTCACTTTATGTACCTGTCTCATGATTTTCTTACAACCACCGAAAAACGACCTGGGCGATAGCTAGCTATACTCTCAACTAACAGGTTCAGAGTTCATCGCCTCGCCCCCAAGCCGGAGCAACAAGTCTCTGACAGCAAAAACTGGGGTAATTAAAAAGTAAACAGCAGTGCCAGCTGAAGAATCGAAAAAGGAAACCCGTCCACCCCCTCTCTCACCGACCTCTAAGTGCCAGTGCCAGCCCATCTATCACTCCCGGGTTTGGAAGGTTAGAAGGCCAACTAGGGGAAACCCTAAACCAACCGCCCGAGCCTCCATCACAGAAAAATGACTTCGCGAATGAACTCCCCGAATGGACCAACTCCGAGGTCCAAGAAGCCAAAGTGCCATCCCAAATCCACGTCCGAAAGCCTTTTCCGATCCACCAACTCCGGGAATGTTCAATAGTCCTACACGTGAAAAGGCGGGTAAAAATGCTGAGTTAGATGGGATGTCGTGGCGCCGTTTCGGTAAGTTGCCAATCTGATGAACCATGCTCGTAAGGGTTGTTTGTGTGCTGCTATGTCCAGATGATTTGGTCTCCGGTGCAAACTCCGGTCATGTCGGCCGGGATTCAGAGTCCAGAAGAGTTGTCATTTTGAACTCGTCGTTGAAAGACCTACCTACCTATAGCAGTCGCCGGGATGGTGATGGCGGTGTTGTCGAAAATTACCTGTCAGACATCGGGAATGGAAAAGGGTTAGAAGGGGTTAGGGGGGGTAATAAATAGTCAATGCGAGGTTGAACTACAACCCAAGCTTGGATGCAAAAAGGAAAACGTCGAGGGGGCTGCGGCGAGCCTTCCGTTCAAGTCCGGCGACGCTTGTAGTCTGTGTTGCCATTAGTGAAGGCGCATCCTTTTAAAGGGGGAGGCCGTCATACCGGTCTCGTCGGCAAGACTCTCTGTCTCGTCAGCCCTGCTTCGTTTACCAGCAACGCTCGGTGAGGTCAGAGGAACCTCCTTCGATTCCTCGTAGTCGACACCGGTATTTTCAATCGCTGGTTGCTGCTCGTACTCATCCTCATCATTCTCCCAGTCGATTTCGTCTTTCTCGTCACCAGAAGCCGCCACTGACTGTTCAGCATCGTTGTTTGCTGGTGCAGAGGAGCCGTCTGCGACATCATCCTCATCGTAATCAATCTCGTCGCCGTTGATAGTCGTGCTCGTGTGAACAGATGCCGTTTCCGCCACATCGGTGCCCTGGCCTAGTTTCTCTGAATGCCCAACGTCGAATTCGTTGAGGGTCCCGGCGGCAACCAGCTCTTGCGCATCTTCGGCATCGTTGTTGGGAATCTGTAGGTCATCGTAGGTGATCGTGTCCTCGTGTTCGTCCTCTCCTTCGTGGATGGAGGGTAAGCCGGGCTCATCATCGAACGCGAGTATGAGATCGTCATCTTGATGAGCATCATTGTCAGTACTAACATCGACGGAAAAGGTTATGCTGACGTCGCTCGGTTGGGAAAAACTGCTGGTACAGGAAGACCCGACCGAGCTGGCACGAGCCCGGTTGAGGCTCGTCCCAAATACCCGGGAAATTGTGCTCTGCGCTTGCAGTTGGGGCACTGGCGAAGTTCTGCTCTCGGAATTGCCGCTGGGCGTCGGTTCATACTCTTCATCCGAGTAATCAATTTCCCAAAGAGCTTCCTCGTCAATTCTGGCGGCGCTTGAGGCTTGCATTAAAAGTTGCGATGTCCCGAGGAGCTTTCCCGCCGCCCTGAACGAAGAGGCTGGTGCCGAGAGCGCCTCGTTGACCGGAAGCGGGGAGTTCATGGCCGGTGATTTGTGTGTAGATATAGGCGATGTCGGGGAAAGGAAAGAGGGGAATTTACCGTTAGAATTTGCTTCTTGTTCGGATTCACCGTTGTTGGGCGCAGCCACTCCATCAACTGCACTGGGATCCGAGCTCTCGGGGACCTCATCACCTTGCTGTTCCGCCGGCTGGTTGAGCTCATTCGTCTCCCCAGGTGTAATTTCGGGGTGCTGCGGGACGACCTCAATGTCGCCTTCTGCAACCTGTTCATCCCAGGCTTGCTCCTCATCAGCTCTGTCCTCCTCAATGTCATGAGAGACCCCTTCAGTTGGAGGAATCTCGACATGTTCCTCGCCTTCAGCAGTATCGGAGGGCTGTGGTCCAGTCGCATCAAACTGGTTATCCTGCTCTTGTTCTCCCGACGCATCATCGCGGGGGGCAGATATTTCGAGTTCAGCTTCCTCCTCGTGGTCGGTGACGGTATGTTCGCCTTCGTCATGATACTCGTCCATGTTTCCGTCTTCAAATGCCTCGTCTTGAACCTGCTCATCATCAAGATCGTTGGTCCGGGATCCCTCCTCATGGTTCTCTGACATTTCAGAATCTTCTGCGCTACTCGGAGAGCCGTTGACCTGAGCCACATTGGTCAAAAGTTCGAGGAAATGCTCCTCGCTGTCCCGTCGCACTGTTAGGTGGAGGACAGGGTCTGCCGACACGCTAGGTACTTGGCCGAGCGTGGAATGGCAATCAAGAAGCTCACGAAAACTGCGATTCAAAAACTCCTCGTTCGACCGCTCCCCAAACTCGAGATCGAGGGGGTCAAAGCGGACGACCAGCTCATCTGTGGCCGCAATCTCGTCGGAGATTACAGCGCGGAGAGCAGAGAGAAATTGTGATAAAGGGCAGTCAAGCTTCTCGACTCCAGAAAGGAAATACGAGTCAGGGTCGTCACCCGGGGCCCCAAACAAAGAATAGTACTCTTGGTTGTACAGAACTTCTACGTCCGGTACTTCGGCGAGAGAACGCGTGAGGTCATCGAGCTCTTTGTCTAGATCAACGGCATGGTGATCAGCATCGAGCTGTTCGTGTGCAGTCTCATCGTCGAAGCCGCCGACGGTGGGGTAGTTTCCTTCTTGTTGGTGGGCGGTTTCTTCTTCATCGGCGTCGTCAAGCGCATGCTGCGCGTCCTGTGGCTCTGTGCTCTCACCATGATCCTCAAAGTCGATGTCCTGGCCCCAAGATACATCGTTTCCATGCGACAACCCTTCGAGCTGGCCATCATCATCGGCTACCGTCCCGGGAGCCGGATGGCCCTCGGACGAGGTGTCTGCCAACGCACCCTCTGTCTCGTCAGCCTCTGTAGTGCTCAACTCGGCGTTGGTTTCAGCAGCCAAGGCGTCATCATCCTCGTATCCAATCTCGTCATGGTATTCCACGTCGGCTTTGGAGTCATCTTCGGCGTTGTTGGTGGCTTCCGTTGTCTGGGCCGTTTTATCATCGGTATCGGCAGGATAAACCTCCAGATCTGCTTGATCAAGTTCGGGCTCGGCAGCGCCGTCGTCGAGGATGGGGTCGAACCCCGCGTATGAATCGACGGGGACCTCCTCAGTGGAAACGTGCTCAAATTCCTCGTAGGCCCCACCTAGCCCGAAGTCGAGCCCCTCAGCCTCGAAAGCCTCGAGTTCTGCGTTGGACTCAAAGTCCAGTTGAAACGCTTGATCCAGCTGATCTGGGGGGCCGGCCTCCACCGATATCCCAGCGTTCTCCATCGTAGATTGTGTGGCGCGTCGGTGGTTAGTTTAAAGGGGGGGACAGGAAAGGTCCTGTAGAAAGTTGGGTAGCCTTGTTGTTACTGGGAGCCCATCGGCATTCAGTGTCGTTGGAAGGCTCAGTCAGTCGGGCAGTATGGAAGGAAGACACGAGGGAGGATAATTCGGGATGCCGAGATGGGGCGGCCGTGTAAAGATCGGTTTTGGTGTCTATGAAATCCGCGAGGGTGATGATCCGAGAATGTCGGTGTCCTCGGGCTCGAGGCGAGAAACTTCGATTCGATGGTTCAATCGCGATCGAGAAGTGTGGCAAGGATGTCCGCGGGTCAATATTTCGTGATGGAGAATCGTGCCGTAGACTGGGACTGTGGGTCGCGTAATATAGACCAGTCTATGAATGAAATCGGTAGTTTCGACTCAGTTTTACTGATGAAGTTGGCGGGTTTGCGCTTCTGAAGTTGGTTGTCGAGGTTGGAAATGGATCGGAAACGGAAGCAGCCTGGTGACAAAGGTGCCTGCAATTGGTTACAAGCCTCTTTAACCTTGTTGGCCCGTGCACGCGAATGCGCGGCGCGCTGCCAGCTGCCAGCCCCTCGATTCGCAGTGGCAGAAAGCCAGATCAACCACAGTGTGCCAATGCCAATTACAGCGGCTTCAGCCTTCAAGGAGTTGAAGCTAGGGCAGCTGCACATTCGCACCACAACTACCGCCGCTACTACTGTCACCACCCGCAAGCCCAGTCAAGATGGTAGGTTCTCTCCGTTGTTCTGCGTACATGCGAAAAGGTTGACGAAACAATAAGGTTGTCCTTGCTGCGTCCATTTGCACCCGCGGCGGCAAGGCCGTACTCGCGCGGGCATTCCACGACATCAAGCGGTCGCGCATCGAAGCCCTCCTGGCATCCTTTCCGAAGGCCGCGAACTCGGGCACCCAGCACACGACCGTCGAGCAGGACAATGTCCGATTTGTCTACCAGCCGCTGGACGAGCTGTACATGGTGCTCATCACCAACAAGCAGTCCAACATCCTCCAGGACATCGACTCGCTGCACCTTTTCGCCCAAGTCGTGACCAGCACCTGCAGGAGTCTCGACGAACGGGAAATTCTCAGAAATGCCTTCGAGCTTATTAGCGCCTTCGATGAGCTGGTGACGCTCGGATACCGGGAGAACTTGACCACCAGCCAGATCAAGACGTTTCTGGAAATGGAGAGTCACGAAGAACGGATCCAGGAGATTATTGCCCGGGTACGTTGGGTCGGTATAATGCGGATTGGATCTCGGTTGCTGACGCAGCCGCCTCACAGAACAAGGAGTTGGAGGCTACCGAGGAGCGCAAGAGGAAGGCCAAGCAACTGGAGATGCAGCGCAAGGAGTCTGGGAGGAGCGGCCGCAGTGGTGGTGGCATGAGCCGGCCGCCCGTATACCCGACGTACACCCCGCCGGTGCGGCCTGCCGTCACCGAGACATACGACACCTACGAGGCCGAGAAGAACAAGTCCAAGTACGGCCATCTTGGGAGCGAACGATTGGGTACGCGAGCTAACCAAGGCAGGTTTACCGCACCGAAGGGCAAGGGTATGCAGCTGGGCAAGAAGTCCAAGACCACAGACATGTTCGAGCGCGTAAAGACAGAGCTGGGGCCTGTGGACGACACGCCCCTTGTTCCCGTCGCCACCCCATCTGCCCCAGAACCGGCCGCTGCTCCACGGATATCGTCGACATTAGACCGAGATGCGATCCACGTCACGATCAACGAGGCCATCACGGCCAAGATTTCCAGAGAGGGCGGGTTGAACTCGTTCTCCGTCAGCGGCGACCTGACGCTGCGCGTGACGGATCCATCGCTCACAAAGGTCAAGTTGAACCTCGACGCCACGCCGTCGCATGGCGCGCAGTTCCGGACCCACCCCAACGTCGACAAAAACGCATTCAATAGCTCCAAGACGATCCAAATGGCCAACGTAGCGCGGGGCTTCCCCGTGAACAACGCCGTTGGCGTTCTCCGGTGGCGGGCGGCTCCCAAGGCGGACGATACGAGCGTATTGCCCATCACCTTTACTGTTTGGGTTAACAAGGGCTCGGATGGCAACTGCACGCTAACGATCGAGTACGAGCTGACTGGAAGCGACACGTTGAAAGATGTCAGCGTCGTCGTACCATTCACAAGTGCCGAGCCCTCCATTTCTAGCTTCGACGCCGTCTACGAAGTGTCTGGCGACAGCCTGGAATGGTCGATTGGCACGGTCAGCGAGGAGAACCCCAGCGGTGCGTTTGAGTTTGAGGCGCAGACGGATGACGAGGACGAGTTCTTCCCGATGCAGGTGCGGTTCTCGAAGACGACGCCTTTCATGGACGTTGATGTAAGTTTTCTTGGTCGGCAGGGCGGCGAAGAGCGTTGGCTAATCTATTTACAGGTCCAATCTGTTGAGCTGCTGGAGATGAACGAGGAGGTTACCTTCTCCAAGGAGATCAAATCGGTTGCCGAGGGCTACGTAATCGAGTAGAGGAGTGAGAGGCTGAGTTGAGTTAAGGGACGAGGGAGGGTGGGCGCTTGAGCGGGCATGTATCTTTGGTGCGTGGCGTGGTTAGAGGGGGCAGGAAAATTGTCCCATTTATGAACTTCGACTTGATGCCGGCAATGGAATGGATGATAAATGTTTGCAACCTCCTGAAGTCGGGTTTCTCTTGAACGCACAGTGCGAGTATGTGAGCCATTCACATAACAAGATCCATTGGAGGGCAGAACGGTCACAAAACAACATCACGATCGGGCAAGAACAACCAAAGCCAAAACAACACCACCTCAGGACCGAATCCAACTTAGTAGCTTAACCACTTTTTTTTTTCTACAACCGCACTCGGATTATGGCATTCAGCACCCAGCCCAACCATCCGAGTACCCTTCAATCTCACTAACCAAGGAAACCCAAAAACTACGACCTGTCCCACATCACAAACTCAACTCCCTTCCCTCAGCAACAACCCCCCGCGTAAAAAGGAACCCCCCTCCCCCCCCCTTCCTCTCAAAAAAAAAAACCAAAAAAACAATGGCAACCCCCACCCCCGCACCCCCCCAAGAACCACCCCCCAAACTCGCCCTCCTCGGCACCACGCCCCTCTCCTCCCCCGCCGTCGCCGGCCACCTCGTCTGCAACCCGGCCATCGACCTGACCGCCACGGTCGGCGAGGCGGGCGCCGCGCTGCTCGTCTGGCGTGCCGGCGACCAGGGCCTGGTGTCGAAGTGTGTGGAGCGTGGGAAGACGGTGGATGCTATCGCCTGGAAGGCGGATGGTAAGTTTCCTGGCTTCTTGTTTTGTTTTAGGGGTTTGGTTGTGATGTGTGGCTGACGGGTTGGTGTTTGGTGGTGTAGGGCAGTTTTTGGCGGCGGGGTGGAGTGATGGGGTGGTGAGGCTGGTGGGGTTGGAGAGTAGCAAGGCGGTGCATCATATCAGGGTGGTGGGGGGGCGCGATGGTGGTGGTGGTGGTGGAGCGAAGATTGGGTTTATTGCGTGGGGGAGGAATGCCACCGGGGAGAGTCAGCGGAGGGATCGGGGGCTTGGGAAAGGGGGCGAGCAGGAGAGGAGGATACTGCTGGATGGGGAGCGGACGGGAGATGTGGCGGTTGATTTGCCGCGCGAGTTGGTGTTTCTGGAGGCTGAGACGTCGTTGCCAAAACTCAGTCCGTTGCCTGCTGGCGGGTCGGGGTAAGTGATCGCTTCTTTTTCCTTAGAGATGAGGTGTTTGCTGACTTGGGCAGAGATGACATGTTCCTGTTTTCGTCAACAGCATCGCTCGAGTCTGTGTTTCGGCCTTCCAGGGCTGAGGAAGCTGATGATGTGCATGTCATGGTTGTGGGAATGACTGACGGCGGGATACATCTTAGTATCAACGACTCGTTCGTCATCGGTACGGCAAAACCCTCGCCCCGTGGCGACGACGAAATATTCCACCTCTGTGGGCACAGCTCACGCCCGGAGAGTTCAACTCACATGCTGTTGCTCAGGCCACAAGCAAGTGATGGTACGACATTGTATCTGGTGCCAATGAACCTCGCCTTTCTGGACTCCTCGCCGGCCAACCTGTCGCTCTTAGCCTCCAAGACAACCACGTTGCAAAATCTGCTGCGATATCTGAAGTCTACACAGTCACACATGGTTAGCGATTGGCAGTCGACGCGGGAGTTGCCTCGGCGATTTATGGCTGGGGTTGAGGATGATCTCAAGAAACTGCCCAACGGAGATATGACGGTCGTCCAGGCCCTCTACCACACGGTGGTCACCGGCCACGTCTATGAGCCCGTGAAGGAATGGCTTGTAGACACCCTCGGCGAGCGAGTAAGTATGACTTGGACAAGTATGAACCGTAATCCAAAACTGACTATAATTTTAGGGACACAAACGCTGGGAGAAGGCGGTGGTAACCGGTCTGACCAGTCTTCGCGGCCTAGTCCACGGGAATTTTATACCAGCACTAGAAAGGTGTGGCGCCATCCTTAGCCGCCTCCTCGGCATTGCACGCTTCCATGGCCCCAGGAAGAACATCGGTTTCGATGAGGCCCAGATTATGAAGCTCATGGACATTGTTTCGTGTCTAATGATGGTTTCTCACAAAATCTTGACGACCGTTATGGACGAGCTGGAATACTTCAACGCCTTCTCGATTTGGCTGCGGCTGGAAATTGACAAGCAAGGGTCATCTTCAGTCACCGAGGAGCTCTCTGAAAAAGAGGCAACGATGGACAACCCCAGGGTGCTGTCATACATCCAACATTACCTGGCTAACAGCCCTCTGTCGGTTTATTTTGACGAGGTTGCCAAGGAGGATTACATCAAAGATCAGGAGATGGTCGCGCCGGGCGTGTCTCTCCTAGATCTGTTAGACAAGCAGTTAAGGGAGCAGGAGGGAGGCCGGCCATACATGAAGGTGTTTCCTCGCATCGACTTCTTATTGAACTACCTGGTCACCAGCAGCAGCGCTGTGTTTGATGGTATCGCCAACGCGGAGAAGCAGGGTGTCAAGTTTGGCCAAGCGACCGAGGTGTCGGTCGGGGCAAAAATATGGAAACATGATTTGTGGATGGGCCGGCCTTACAAGAAGGTGAGTCTGCTATCCTGAGCTCGGGTTATGGATAACTGGCTAATTGATGTTTTAGGACCACTCGGCACCGACGTTTACTGCGATAGTCGCAGAAGATGACAAGTCCAAGAGTTGGTTTTAGGCGTCTTTAGGGATATGGCCCTCTAAGCTAACGTATCGTTTAGTCTGTATTATTCGTACCGACGTCCCGCTTGAAGCAAGCGCCAACAACCCAACCTCAACGAGGGCTTGTGTGCTAGGGTTACCCGATGGCGTAACTATTGTTGACCTCGAGTATCTCGACGACAAGTCATTGTTGGTATTGTGTAACCGAAAAGGTAAGAACGGGCCATCAAGCAAAGCAGCAGGTCGTGTTAACAACAAGCCAGAAGAGCCGAGGTCGGTTCTCCTACGAATCGCATATCAATCGCCCCATATGCTTTATCAAGGGTACACAAAGGGGCAAACGCCTCCCGTGTTAGGGTTTAACGGCACGAACAGCGCGGGGCTTGGCTCATGCATTGCCTTTTCCCACATGTCCAGCTTTACCCCTATTCAGATGGTGGTTCAGAGGCCGAGCAAGCTGAGAGGTGAGATTCCTGCCAGAGTTTGTCTTCTGGGGCGAGACAAGGCCATGTATAAGACCTATGCACTTCCAGATGACTTGGATGACGGCAATGAGCAATCTTAGCAGCATACATGGGCATCTCTCGGACGATAGAGTGGGATAGGCGCTGGCTGAAAGAGTCACGGTGCGAGACGGAAAACGACTAATGAGGCATGTATCCGTTGGTGTAATTCGTGGCCTAAATCTAGCAAAATATTAGTAGCATGCATGCCCGGTTTGCCTGTGTGCCTGGGTCCCAATTGTTGTTGAATAACCCCAAGTCGGCTTTCGGGGTAAAGGGGGAAAAGGCTGCCGAGTGCCGCACTGTGCAACCTGGGCGGTCTCCAAGGACGGGACGCTAACCGTTAGCGGCACAACCCCGGACCACCTCACAGGCGTTCTGGAACGGTTCTGCAGCGGCTTGGCTTTGAGCTCCTTTCAACTCAAAGAGCCCGAGAAGAGAACGTCATTGGGTGCCCGTTTCGTTCACATTGCCGCGATCCGCCAACGAAACCAACGAACCAACACCAGACTGCTCTTGAGCATCAGCACCAACTTGTGATTTCCGGTCGGGGATATACACAATACTACCCACAATGACCAAGCTTGGATAGCCATACTTTTATTTTAAATGATTGATATTCATTGTTGCAGGAGTCCAACCTGAAGCAACCCGTCTTGGTCTTGGGATCGCCCGTGGCTGCACAGCAGCTCCCGACGGGAACACAAGATACGACCTCAACCTCCGCTCTTTCCGCCCCGATCCCCGAATTCGAGATGAACGAACCGACAATCCCACCGGCGGCAGCCCTAGGAGGTTTACGACCGGCGGCGACGATGCCGGCTACAGCAGCCTCCGGGCCGAACCAACCGTCCTCCCAACCATCATCCTCCCAAACCTCTCAACAACAACCACAGCCACAACCCCAAATTCAACTCCCTCCTGCCCCTTCGCACACCGGCCCGGCCATCCCCGTAACCCTCACCGAAGCCGCCCTCGACTCACCGACCTTCCGCGCCACCGCCGTGCACTTCTCCGACCAGCTCGACGCCATCGAACGCTGGCTGGAGAGCTACGCCCGCAGCACCTCGAAGCTGGTGCACGACGTGCTCGCGCTCGAGGACACGCTCGGCACGTACCTGTCCAAGATCTCGCCGCCGGCGATCGCCTCGCCCGTCGACTCGCACGTGCTCGACGCCGACTACACGCTGCCCGCGCTGCGGCGCGCCGGCGACGGCGCCCGCGACTGGTGGGGCGGCATCCTGGCCGTCGTGCGCCGCCTCGAGCCCGCCAGCGTCGAGCCCATCCGCGCCTACGTCCAGGGCGAGCTGCGCGCCTTCCGCGACACCCGCCGCGTCCTCGAGGCCGCCCAGAAGACCTTTGATGCTACCCTCGCCCGCTACGTCGGCCAGAGCAAGACCAAGGAGCCCAGCTCGCTGCGCGAGGACGCTTTTGCCGTCTTTGAGACCCGCCGCGCGTATCTGAAGGCGAGTTTGGACTACTGCCAGATGGCGCCGCAGGTGCGGGCCGGGCTGGATAAGCTGCTCGTGCGCGTCTGTGCCGACGTTGGGCGGGAGATGCGCCGCGCGCGGGAGTCGACCGGCGTTGTTGGGCAGAGCGCATGGGGTAATGAGCTGGAGAGGATTAGGGGTTGGGCGAGAGAGATGGAGATGACCGAGGCTGTGTTTAAGAGGGAGGCCCAGATTGCGAGGCGGGATATTGGCGAGAGTACCCTGGCCGTGTATAAGCCGTCGAGGGAGCTCGAAGACTACAGCATCTCGACCGTGCCGTTCCTGGGCTCCAAGGGGCCGATGAGCATCCAGCGGAAGGACCAGGTCGCCGTCATCTCGGAGAAGCAAGGGTGGCTATTTTTGCGCGTGCTAGCTGGGAAGCCCGTCAGGACGACCTGGACACGCCGGTGGTATTATTGCCGCGATGGTATCTTCGGGTGGTTAATCCAAGGCCCCCAGGGCGTGTTACAGGGTGACGAGATCGGAGTGCTGCTGTGCAGCGCAAGGCCGGCGGTCCAGGAAGAGCGCCGGTTCTGCTTCGAGATCAAAACCAAGACGCAGACCATCATGCTGCAGGCCGAGACGCAATCGCAGCTGATTGAGTGGCTCGAGGTGTTTGAGGTGGCCAAGAAGAAGGCGATCGAGGCTAGCATGGGCCGGGATCAGAGCTCGCTCGTTGGAGGGACCGACCCGGCCTTCTCAATTACTCCGCCGTCGATTCCGGAGTTCTCGGCCAAGATGCTCGACAACCTTGACGAGGCCGGCGCGGTAGAAAGGCAAACGACTCTCCCCGTTCCTGGCCAAGACGGAAACATGGTGCGCGCGAGCTTCGACGCTCCTCCCCGCAGGGCGATTACTACACACCTTGGCCGGGAGGATGGCGAGAGCGGACGGGAGCATGCCGCGCGCATCATGCAGAAGCTGGATTTGCACCGAAAAACAGCCTTTGCGGGCTCGGACCCGTCCGGCACGGGGACAACAGGAGCTAGCATGGCCTCGAGCACGGCGACCTCTCCCCATCTCGGACACCCTCCTCCGCTGCGCGTCCCCAATTCCCTGCTCGACCAGACCCCGGGAAGCCTGGCTCCTATCACTTTGGCAAGGCCTCCCGTCGCGACAAATCTGAGTAAAACTGCTATCCTAGCAAGTGCCAACGCAGGATCCTCTCGGGGCCTGCCGAGCGCGGTCCTCGCCAACTATTGGGGAAGCAGTCCATATACGTCCATGTACTGCCCCGGCCCCTCGATCCCTAATACTCCCAAGCCGGACATGAGCGACCCCTTCGTGGCCACTGCTATGCCTCGGACGCCAACGGTCGAGAAGCTGCCCGCCCCCGCCAACTCGCACAGGAAGACGGTGAGCGTGGATGCCACGGCTGCAGACATCCGAATCCGAGAGCAGGCGCCGTCAGAGAAGTTCCCACTCAACTACCCTCCCGAACTGAGGGCGCAGTATGCGCAGTTCCGGCTGTTCTTCCCGACAGCGCTACCAGACGACAAGCCCGTGTTGGTATTCAACGCCGCTTGGTCCAGCGCGTCGCCCGACAGCAAAGACGCGGGGATGGCCGGTAATGGGCGCATCTTCGTCACGCCGGACCGCATGTACTTTTACGGTCACCAGATGGGCTTGGTTGTGGCGTACGCCATCAACCTCGACAGCATCACGGAACTGACGGCTGCCCCGGGCCGGGATTGCGATTTCATCTTCCTGCATCTAAACCAGGACATGCCGGACATTACATACTCGCGCATCACCATCAAAGTGTTCCTAGAGGACTTTTCGCTCCTTCAGTCACGCCTCAACCTCTTGGTTGATGATCTCCAGGCGGCAGAGCCGATGGAGCTGTCCGAGATTATCGCGACACTGTCAACCCTGAACAAGGAGCAGGACGACAAGCGGAGCCCCAGCGTCGAGAGCTGGGAAGAGATATCATCCAACACGCCGGCCGACAACGGCACACCATTTGGCAGGCCCGTCCTGAGAAGGGGACATGAATCACACAACCGATCCAGGTCGGGACGCGGGCTGAAGAAGTCGAACCATAAGCTCCAGTTGCCCACGAACCCGGTAATATACGAGCCCGAAGGAATGGGCAAAAGCGTGGCCGAGCGGCACTTTGAGATTAGCGCCAAGTCATGCTTCCATGTGCTCTTTGGAGACAAGAGCTTCATCCTCCCCAAGCTTTATTTTGAGCGCGGCGCGAAGGACATTACCCAAGGACCTTGGGAGCTGAAGGACCACGGTCTCATGCGGCGGCAGTTCCGCTTCAAGGTTGATTACGTCGACATGCTAGGCCGCAAAAAACCCGTCGACGTCACTGACTCCCAAACCATTGACGTTTTTAACGACCACATCACCTACGTAGTCACGCACATCAAGACCCCATGGCACCTGCCACACTCGCACGCCTTCAAGCTCGTCACCAAGGTGGTCATCACGCACCTCGCCAAATCCAAGTGCAAGCTGGCCATCTACACCAAGGCCGACTGGTCCAAGACGCCCACCTTCGCCTGGAAGAACATGGTGCAGCGGCAGGCGCTCGACGACGCGGCCAACGATGCCGACGAGGTCGCCGACATCGCCACGGACCATGTGCGCAAGCTCGGCCCGCACAGCCGCACCAAGCGCGCCATCCAGGTGTACGGCAACATTGGCCAGCAGACCCAGATCGTCGTCTTCTCGCCCGACACGACCCCCGAGGGCCAGCAGCTGCTGCAGAAATCCGGCGCGGCGGCCGTGCGCCCGCGCACGCTGACCGACATGATGCTGGAGACGGGGCGGTCGTTTATGGAGAGCGCCATCACCAGCGTCATGATGTGGGCCTTTGCCGCGGTCCGGCGCATCTTCAAGATTGCCAGCGCCAACAGGCTCATCCTGCTGCTGCTGGCGGCGAGCGCGGCGTATAACCTCGTCGTCATCTCCCAGGCCAGCTCGACGTGGTGGGTCGAGCGCAAGTCGGCGCGGTACATGAGCCGGCTGGGCGTCGGGCCGAACCTGATGATGAGCAAGGCCATCTACCTGGCCGACCTGGACGAGGCAGCGGGCAACAACAACACCACTCTAGTCCCTCGCAAGGGCGGGAGCCAATGGTACGTTCCATCCCCTCATCTCCCAATAACCCAGCCACCACGTAAGATACTAACACTACAACCAAAAAACCAGCTACGACACCTTCCAAACCCTCCTCAACGCCACCGCCCTCAGCCTCGACGCACCCTACCAAGACACTACACCGCGCGCCGAGTTCGGCTCGGCCACCAGCCAGGCGACGGCGCGCCGGCTCCGACGCGTGCGCCAGCGCATGGGCGCCTACCGCCACGACCTGCTTGTTGCTATGCGTGTTGTTAATAAGGTCGAGCTCGAGATGCTGCACTCGGAGTGGGAGAGCTGGCTGGCGGGGGAGACGCGGCGCTGTGAGAGTGTGGGGGATTTGTTGGCCAACGGTGGGGGTGGGGAACAGAGGGGTGGTGGTGGTGGGGGTGAGAGGGGGGAGGCGCCGGTGCAGAGTGTTATGCAGGGTGAGGAAGGTGGTGGTGGTGGTGGTGGTGGTGGGGAGACACAGCGCCGGGCTGTGTTGAGGGAGTGGTTCGCAGAGTATTGTTCGAGTTGTGCGGCGGAGGAGAGGAAGGCTTTGCAGAGGATGGGGACGACCTTTTGAGGTTGGGAGAGAGAGTGTCAAATGGGATAGACGGGGGGCTGGGGGTGTTCTGCTGCGGATATAACAAGTTGTAATCATAATTCGCGGCTGGATAGCATAGCATTAGTTAGCGGGAGGCCGTCTTCGCTGAAGGACTAGGGCGTGGCCGGCTACAGAGCGGAGTATATCAAGATTGTTTTCTGCTATTTATCTTACACCATTCTGGGGTGTGTGTCTTGCTTTGGATTAGTATCGGCGGGCTACGTTTACAGGGTAGAACCTCGCCCGACCCAGGTGAGCTTGAGCATCAGGACGTCCGAGAAGTGAAGTAGGTTTGGTATAGGGGTAAATGCTGCTCTTTAGGATATCTTCAACTGCCGCAAGCTTTCTGCTGCGCTATTCCATGAACTTACTGTCTCCTCCGTGTCCTGCATCTTCCGAGTCACCGTGTCCTGATGATCGAAGCCCCGGGGGGACCAAGCGCGGACTGCTAATGGCCATTGCTCGGGATATCAGCAACCTCGGTTGGTACTCTCGAGCACGTCACCTATGCCCTCCCGATAACAGAGGGCTGTGCACCTCTTCACGTGGTAACGGTCCGAGCTCGATCCTATTCTCAATCCTTCCTTTCTTGATAACGAGGACCGGGCTCGGGAAGAGACCAACCTCAACCGAGTAACCGTCCACATCTACACCGCGGAATTCCATTTGACTTCCAGCGACATTCATATCTCTGGATTTCTAGATCACATCATGTTTTGGCTACTGTTCCAAGCCCTCGCGGCTCTCCCGACCTTACTATCAAGCGTCCTGGCCGCGGATGAGGCGAACGGCATCACGGCTGTGGACCGGACGGAGGAGCCGGTGGTGGATGAGCCCGAGGGGCTCGGGTTGGTTTGGGTCACGGTCTGGTGCTGCCTGATTTTTGTGTTGATGAAGCAGGAATGGAGGGCTATATATCGCGAATGGGTGGACATGCAATTTCGCTTCAGACCGGTGATGAATTTCCACTGGTAAGGAGGGCGGACACCTCATGGCAAAGGGTAGCATGTATGTGTCATTGGATAGACACGAGTACTGTGTCCGAGAAGGACCTGGATAGGAGATGTAGCAACAGATAAATTACGAGAAATCCTCCAGCGAGAGGTGAGAAGGTCCCGTACTCAAAAAGCATTGCAGAGTGTGATCTTGTCTAGTACGCTGCTGCGCTCCGGGAGGAGACAGCGCGCATCCTGGCTCAAGGACAGCCCCGGGGCGGGATGGCTGAACGAATCAGGCAGAAGACGGAGGAAGAGAGAGAAGTTGGAGGTCGTGATAATATAGTCAATATTATCAAACACAGTAGATCCAAGGCGTCGTCGGCCTGGGATGTGTGTTGGGAGTGCACGGAGTTGAAAAAAAGAACAATTCGTCCATGTTATCTCGGGGTCTTAAACACCAGCGAAAAAAAAAATATAACGCTTCCGCTACGCCTCCAAGGCAACGCGGGGACTATATATGTCGTGTTTGCGAGATTGTTGTCGTCTCCAAGCCCGAACGGCTTCCGGGAGATGTTGGAGTTGGTCGGAAAATTTTGGTGCAAATTCCAACACAAAAGACTGGGCTTGAGAAGGAGCTATTGGCAGCTGACAACGAATGACCGCAGTTTGACGTGTGGATACCGGGGTTAGGGTTCTTACTGCCCGAGTGCCCCCACCCCTCCTTGTGACAGACAAACACATACTACAACAACATAACCACGAAGAAGCCCATACAAACAAGCAAGTCAAATCAAATCTATTATCTACCATGGTCGACCCACTATCGTAGAGGCCCTTTCCCGTTTCCTCTTCAAGCCTAAGGATCCTAGTCAACCGGTTTATCCCGAAGAAGCTCAACCCTGGGGGCTGCTCAACGGGTTTTGCTGGGGGTAAAGGCATTGTTCTATGCTGTTTTTCGCGGAAAATGCGGCCCGAATGGATCACGCCGCCCGGTTTTCCTTGTCCTAAATCCGAAATATCAAACGCTTGCCGCTGAGCAACCATGTCGAGTACCATCTCGTCGTTCCAACCCCGAACGCAAGTGGCTGCTCAAAGGTAGATCATGTCGTCACGCGCCGCTGTAACATGTCAGAAACACGAATCTAAAGGAGGAAATACTGGGGAAAATAAGGGTTCTTACGGCCTGTCCCGATCCACTTCACCGGAACGCCAGTGAACTCCTCGACGAACCTGACGTACACCTGCGCTTGCCGCGGGAGATCCTCCTAGAAGATATTAGTAACAGGGATATCTCGGGATATGAGGTGGGCGTACGAATTTCTTCACCGCTGTCGTCGGTTTCTGCCAGCCCTCGAACTCCCTGTAAACAACTCCGCAGCTCTCAAGATACCCAAGATCAGCCGGGAAGTACTCGAGCTCCTTTCCTGTCTCGGGGTCCTTGTAGGCTACGGCGACTTTGAGGGTGGGGAAGGTATCGAGGACGTCGAGTTCTGTAGGTGTGTTAGTGCCTCAGCGAAATTGCTCGATTCATGGCGGGGCATACTCGTCAAGTTCCATGCCGTGTAGTAGTTGACCGAGGCCGAGTACTTCAACACGACGAGGTCGAGCCACCCGCATCTCCGTTTCCTGCCGGTGGAGACACCCCATTCGCGGCCAATATCCTGCAGCTTCTTGCCGGCCTCACCAACATCTTCTGACTTGAAGATGCCCTCTCCAACTCTTGTCTGCGAATTGTTAGCGGTAGCTAAACTGTAAGGCTAAGGGTAGGACATACTGTGTACGCCTTGGCAACGCTATCTCGAGGATTAGCAACCAACAAGGTGACGCAGTGGTCGGAGAAACTCACCCAATGATTTCCCTGGGAACTAACTGTTAGCAAGTGGGCATGCCTAGAGCGACGAGTAGCGAAAAACTTACTTGATTCTCCTCGGGTTGACCGCTAGGCCGGTAATAACACCGCCCAGCCCGGTATTGCTGCTGGTGACGAACGGGTATGTGCCTGGATCACCTATCAGCGCTCGCTCTCACCGGCGACTTCCAACAGGGCGTTCCCACCGTAGTCGATATCCAACATCAGCGCATTGGCACCCTCGATCAGGATGTCCACGCCGCTTGCCTGCGCCGCCTGCATGTAGTTGACGGCGTCGACAACAAACTCGGGCAGCTTCTCGCGGTAGTCGCGGAAGCGCGTGATCTCCTCCTCGACGTCGTACTCCAGCAGGTCACCGAACCGCTTCTTGTAACCCTCCGCTAGCCTGCGCAGTTTCGTTTCGAAGTTCTCCTGGTCGAAGATCTCGTGCACCCGTATCCCGTTGCGGGCCGCCTTGTTCGAGTATGAGGGGCCGATCCCGCGGCCGGTCGTGCCGATCTTGTTACCGGCCAATTCCCTCTCCTCCAAGCCGTCGACGCGGGCGTGCAATTCGAGGTTGACCTGGGCGCGGTCACTGACAAGTAGGTTCTTGCGCGCGTGCGACAACCCCTTCTCCTCGAGGGCGGTAAGTTCCTTGAAGAAGGCCTGGACGTTGAAGACGACGCCGGAGCCGATCAGGTTGGTGCATTGCGGGTTGACGAGACCCGAGGGCAAGAGATGGAAGCTGGCGAGAGGCAAGGTCAGAATCGATTCAGGGGTAGCAGGAAACCGAAGATCTCGTACTCGTAGGACACACCATTGGCACTGCAGACACGGTCAATTAGCCTCGTACAACATTGGAATCACACATTGGAAGCATACACGACAGAGTGGCCCGCATTGTGGCCGCCGGCAGCGCGGGCGCAAACGCGCGCCTTCTGGCAGAGGATGTCGCTGAGCTTTCCCTTACCCTCGTCCCCTAAATCGCGAATCTCTGCGTTAGCGGAACAGTCCCAAGAATTGTCCACTCGAGCACCACCTACCCCATTGGGAACCTAGAATGATAGTCGCCATGTTCAAAGAAAGCCAAAAACGGCAAGGAATCAGTCCCGAATTCGCGATCCGCTCGTCAAACGGAGAAAATTTTGTTGCGAAGTTTAAGCACCCTTTTTCCAAGGTGATACGCGGGGTTGGTGGGTCCCTGAGTCACCAGCGGTGTCGCTGTCGCGGTATCGCCAAACGCGGGGCAATTGCGACTGAACATGGAACGCGGGGCAACGCCTGGGTCTTCTGTAAATCCCTCTCATCTCGGCTCCGAAACCGGGTAACCACTCAAATCACTTCTCCGGCCGCAGTGGTCCAGTCATTGACCGCCGTTTGTCCGCAAAGCTGCCACCGATGCTCACCGACGGAAATGGTAATTTGCTCATACTTCCACGAAGCGGCTTGTTTGAGAGGGGCAGACCTCGCTTGAATACCGAACCACGCGGTGAGTGCAGCCAAAACGTGGGGGATGGTTACTGCTCTTGGCGGCGGCTTGTTAGCGCGCACGTCATCCGATCTGGCCGAGATCCGACTCATCAAACATCATGAGCTTCATTGGTCCAGGAGGGAGGCTCCTTAGAGCCGAGACCGGTTTGTGTCACCAGCCCTACGGCTTCTTTACCTGTCGGCTTTGGGCCGTGTGCATACCTATCGGGCCTCGCCGGGCTCCGCCACCATCGACCAAAACACGCAACTCATGACGGTCGGGACATATTGGCAAGTCCCATGAGGTGGCGAGTTCCCCAAAATTGAAATGGTTGGGTGAGGACTGGACTTTATTTTCACCCGAAGTGAGATGCCGGGAGAGAACTCGTGATATCATAGACTCATCAGTGCCATCCCATACTAACGCAGACCCCGACTTGAACCGGAGAAAGACAATAAATGACAGAAGAATTCGATTTGACACACAGTTCATTTTGGATGTACAAAGGAGGCAAGGTCAGTTGATGAATGATCAAGAAGTACGTATCTCAAACCCAGTTTCCATTCCCATTACCTGTGAGCAACACATTCCTGCCGCAAGGCTGAGCGTGTCGTCTTAAGTATCTTGTCCGTTGCATCATCACTTTGAACATTCCGAAAAGAAAAGAAGAAAAAGAAGAAAAGGTCTTCCTTGTCATCTGCAATGGATCAATATACAGCGATTATAACCATGCCATCTTCTACCTCGAATAAGCTGCGGTCAGCCGCTAGAAAACGGAATGAGGCCCATGTAGGTGCGTTCCGAGATGATTTAAACCGGCGCCCAGGTAGAGGGGAATGAAGCTGGGAAGCGATAACGACAGGAGAAGGTCTTCTCACAAAGGCGAGCACTCTACATTACCAATAATGTTTTTAAATGGCCACATCAAACATGTAATACCTGATGTGACGATAGTCCATTAAACCCGAGCTACTTCTCGTCGCACATCTACACGAGCTGGGATGCCCCTTCGAAAGCGCGAGGCTGGGATTATGGCCAGATAGTAATCTGCATGGATATTGCCGTTTCGCATTTCATTCCAAAGAAACAATGTGCCAGTTTCCTTACCACCGGCACCTTGATTGGTAAACTCGAAACTCTGACTGGCTTGGGGTTGAGAAGGTGGCCTCAAGGTCGTGTAAGTGAAAGCACTGACCACCACCTGCCTTTTTCGACGCTCACCCGGGGCTTAAGCCAATCACGAGCCACCACTTTACTACTGAGGAGGGAGCACCGGGCCGGCTGGAGTTGCTCTTGTTGGCAACGGGCCGATATCACGGGCCGATGGATGGGCACAAGAAAAGGTCGGTGAACAGTCTTTCCAAAGCCGAAGCCGAGGATAGCGACAAGTACTTGTATACAGTCGGGAATCACATGCGAAATGTAAAAAAGTGTTGAGGGCAACTGGATGAGAAAGGTGCGGGGTTGCACTCTGCGTGGCGACGTGCCAATGCTTCGCTGGTGTGCCCATCGGCTCGACAAGTGTGATTCGAGGTGCGGAGACGTCTCATCATCACGGATCTCGCAAAACGAAGGCTGAATATGGGCAACGTGACGGCCTTCCAGAATCTGTGCCAAGCCATGAAGTCCCGGGGAAGCGGAAACTTGCGGTGCAATCATGCAGCCGCTTGCGGGTTTGAGGCTGTTGGGGAGGAGTGGGGACCTTTTACTTTTTTGTTGAATCCAGTTATCCAATAGCAGTGGCGCCTCAACCCTTGTACGACATCGCCCTGAGCGCCCTGCCTCGGTCGATCAGCTCTGGATGGAGACCCCGACCGGCTGCAACATGGATCGCGTGTGTTTTTTGATTTCTTTCTTGGGTCATGGAGCATGTGACAGTCGCAAAGGTGCTGAAACCCTTCATTTACACTCCAACAAGAGGTTGTCGTTGGTCACATTCTCTTCGAATCTTGACCGAAGCACGGTGGTCGAGCCCCGACTTGCGGGACGGCCCAGCTCGCTCCACTCCCATCCCTCGGTTCGGTCTGCGAGCCTTGGAGGAGATCACACATTCCGGCTCTTCGTCATTGCCAATCGATTTGCCTTGTTGGGGAAGAGCCAACATCACTGTCACTGCGCCCGCAGACTGACGCGACAAGGTGGTACCGGGCCAATGAGGAAGTGTTCTCTTTCATGCCAGGTCCGCAGTCCTGGCCCTCGATCTTGATATTCGCTCAGGTTGGTATGGACGAAGTACCGGATGAGCACCCTCAGACCCCAATGCGGTGTCCTTCACGGCCCTCTGGATATATGGATGTACACACTACACAGCATTGCTATGGGGCCACGCACGCAACGGGCGATGTGCATGCTCGTAATTGATTGCCGGATTGTGACCGAGGCGAGGAGAGGTTCGCAAGGGAGGAGCGTTCCAACGGAAGGTGAGAGAGGAGAGAGGAGAGAGGTACATGCCAACCATCTGATGAAGCTGCAGCAGTGTTTTTCCGTCTCTTGTCAAAGCTGCTCAACCCCTACCCATTTCTCATCGTCCGTCTTCTTCCCCCCTCCATCCCTGTTTTCACGTGCCATTTGTTTATGTACTCGTCGCCCTTGACCTCATCAGAGAGCACGGAGGCGAGTCCACAATCAGACCCCGGCGTGTGACGTGCAGATTTGGCGGGAAAAGCGTTGAGGACTTTTTTCGTTATTCACAAAACGAACTGCTCTTCCACTGCGCACTTTCCTTCCCAAAATCTCTTCGGCAATCTCGCAATCGAGTTGATCAGCTCACGAACCGCGAAAATGGCTTTCGAATCAGTCTCCATCTCGCTGCCGCAGGCTTCCCTCTTTCAGTTCCCTCCCAATCCCAATTCGGGATTTGTACCACCACCACCCGTTGGCAGCACATCCTTCGCCCCGCCGGTTCACATCCCGGATCACATTTACAACGCCGTCCTTGACCCCAAGGTGCCCATCACAATCGCCGCCGTTTATGCCGTGACAGCCAAGGCTCTCAACGCCTACAACAAGTCCACCGGCAAGAAGCCCTGGGCTATCAGCAAGACCCTGGCTTTCCGCTGGTTCGTCATTGCTCACAATGTCTTCCTCGCTGTTTACTCGGCCTGGACATGGTGGGGGATGATGGGCACCATGAAACGCAGCGTGGTCAGCCCACTCGGGCCCGAAGGAGTCTCTGGCTTCGTCGATTCCATGTGCCGGGTCAACGGTCCCGCCGGTCTGGGCAATGCTGCCTTCTTCAACGATGACACCAACTCGTGGCAGACGTTCTCTCCCGAGCCCGTGCTGGATGGCGAGGGCGTCCCTAGCCGGTTCGCCGCCGGGCGCATGTGGAACGAGGGACTTGCCTTCTACGGCTGGCTCTTCTACCTCAGCAAGTTCTACGAGGTCGTCGACACACTCATCATCCTCGCCAAGGGCAAGTACAGCTCGACCCTGCAGACCTACCACCACGCCGGTGCCATGATGTGCATGTGGGCTGGCATGCACTACATGTCGGTGCCCATCTGGATCTTCGTCTTCTTCAACTCGTTCATCCACGCCCTTATGGTGAGTTTTCCCCGTGAAATCTGTTAGCTGTGAGGGGGAACTGTTGTCCTGACGAAATGTCACAGTACACCTACTACACCGTGACTGCTTTCAACGTCCGCGTGCCTGTATTCATCAAGCGCACCTTGACGTCGATGCAGATCACTCAGTTCCTGGTCGGTGCCTCGTGCGCCATGGTGCACTCTTTCATTAACTACAGCATTCCCGTCATCTCTGGCTCCCAGACTGACGTCCCCGCTTCTGCCGCCTCCGCCGCCGCCAACGGTTCCGTGGTTGCCGCCACCGGTGACGTGGTCGACAGCGTCAAGGGCACTTATGCGCGCCAATCCATGCCCTGCATCACCTCGAGCGGCGAGACCTTCGCCGTCTGGCTCAACGTCTTCTACCTCGCCCCGTTGACCTACCTCTTCGTCTCCTTTTTCGTCGAGAGCTATCTCCGCCGCAGCAACGCCAACCAGTCCCAGAGCCGGGGTGCTAATGCCGGCGTCGCCGCTCGCCGCCTGAGCAACAATGTCCAGCTCGCCGAGAAAGCCGGCTGGGAGGCCGCCAAGAATGTCGAGCGCGAGGTGTACGGCGAGAGCAACGAGGAGGCCATTGTGTCCGAGACCAAGAAGACCAGCGGCCGGGTGCTGCGGAGCCGGAACTAAAGGAGTTGGGTCGACGGTTATGACGACGGCCAACAAACCAGCAAATCTTCCACCAGGGGTGGAGGGTTGTACTATTCATAAACTCGCCAAACTACGATACGGCGAGTAACGGAGATAATGCAAAGGGAAGCAAATCTGGTGTTCCCGGTCGGCACAACGAGCACACGGAAAACGGAAAAAGGGAAATGCCGGCCTGATTTACGAGCCATGATGATACAAGTCCACGCGATGGAGTGGTACACAGGTACACACCTGTGACTGCTCGTAGTAGAGGGATGGGATGGCGTCATGTTGGCAGAGAGGGGCCTCACGTGAGGATCAAACGTGACATGGGGCGGGAGAGATTAAAAAAGTTCATTAGCATCTGATTTATGGTTACGAATGAAGATGCATGGGGGAGTACAGCGTCGGGCGCAGGTGGGGGGTGCATTGCATTGTTACATTATCTTTCTTGTTATTTAGGAACGGGGACTGGGGAAAATGGAAAATGGAAGTCATGTTTGCATCAAACGTTTCGCCATCAAACCAAACCTTATGTCGTGATGCCCGGTCATCATGTGACACGGATACGAAAAGAGCGCCGATACCGAGGACGCAGTGACAGCAAGAGAGCATGGGCGTTGGAAAGACGCCAGCCGATCTGACCGCATATGTATGTACTCGATGGTCACGCAGGTTACTCCGTTGGCTCGGGTCGCTCAGCATATGGCAGATGAGGCTCTCACCTCCCGACGTCAGACTAACCGTGCCTCCACTTCCCCCAAGTAAGCTACCTAGTATTCTACATATCACGGGTACCAGGGTCAGACGCAATGATGGTGGTGTTATCCGCAATTTATTTCCACTCGTAGCACACGCGTCATTACAATATATGCTGTGCCATCGCTCATCCCATGTGCAAACCTGGAGGGCGGCCCCCCTAATGGGATTCGCCATCCTCAATCTCCTTCCCCATTCATCCCCTTCAAGCTCCCGTTCTCATCCCCAACGCTCATAGGTGAAAACAACCATACAAGACGGCAGCCTGCAAGAAACAAAAAACAAGCACGCCCAACGCCTTTCTGTCAAAGCAAACGCCGATGCTGCCCAGATGCATGCAATGCCCCGAGCGGCCCAATGAATCGACCCAATGAAACAACAACCTGGCCCAACCAGAGGACTCGACAAGAAAAACAAACTGACCGGGTTATATCAACGACATGACTGCAAAACCCGGAATAAAAAGCCAGAGGATAAAAAGCGAAAGATAAACCGGAAGATGCAAAAACATAACACAAACAGTCTCCCCCAAATCATCTTCTAAACCCCCTTCTGCTCCCACAAGGGTATATCCTCCAAAAACCACCCCCCGCTCCTCCGTTTGCCTGATTGCGCCCATGCATGTCATACTAAGAAAATGGCCGGACGGATAGTGTCCCGTCCCACCCCCCGCCCCTGGCAATGAAAAATCTAGCAAGTGCTCAAAACCAAGCCGTTCTATGCTGTAGCCGTTCTAGTTTGCCTGTTTGGGTATGCCCGTGCAATCTCCGGTTATGCGAAATCTCCGTCCTTTCTCAGTCTTGTTAGTCGTCGTCGTCTACGCCGCTGTTGCTGTGTGCGGTTGATGACCAGTTCGGTCGTCTCGTCGTTCAAGTGTTGTTGTCTGCCGCATGGCCTCAGAACGTGCTCCAATTCCAGTCTCGGGGCACGCTGTGCGCGGCATCGGGAGTGTGCAGCGGCAGGCCACCCATGGTGGCGGCGGTGGGGGAGGCGGCGACGGGAGTGCTTGGGGTTTCGAGCTGAGGGTGGTGGCGGGCGCCGTTGGGCGAGTCGGCGTTTGGTGGTTTGCCGATCGCTAGCCTCCGCCACTCCCTGAACTGCGCGTAGCAGTGGCCGCACGAGCGGCTGGGCACGCCGCGGGGGTTGAAGTTGGTGTCCTGATCGAGCGGGATCTCGAAGACACTGTGCTGGTCGCAGAAGATGTTGCCGCACTTGCGGCAGTGGTGGCGGCGCGTGAAGTAGCTGAAGTACCGCTTGCAAGTCGCGTGGTCGCAGATGGTGGACTCTTGATCGGGCTGTAGTACATGTCACGTTAGCGTTGGTCATGACGGTTGAGCCGCACTCCACGCAGGGAACATACCTTCCAGTGCCTCCGAGTGGGCGCACCTGTGGGCTTCGGGAACTGGTCGAGATTCCAGATGCTGTCGACGGATTTGGCGCTGTCGCCCGTAGACCGCCTGCTCAGCCGCCCGAATGCGCTTAGACCACCGAGGCTCATGAAGCTGCTGCTCGGCCGCAAGCCATCCTCGAGAGTATCATTCTCATCCTCGACGTTTGGCTCGAGCGGTGCCGGCTTGGATGGGAACTCGGTGGGGCGTAACACGGCGGGGACATACAAAGGCCGGATTTGGCGGGTGATGTAATTCTTGGAGGATGTTGGTGAGATGCTCCCCGGGGTCCCAAGAGGCGAGACGGGGGAGTTGTATTGTGTGGACGCGGGGTAGGTGGTCGTGATCGGGGATGGCTGGAATGGAGCTTGTTGCTGAGGACGATACTGCTGGCGCTGCTGATGGGCAGGCGCATAGAAATGATTCTGTTGCTCTCCCGGTAGCCGTGGCATTATGAAATCGGTCGCCATGAGGGGATCGTGGTCGCGCCCTCTCTATCGCAAGTGGTGATACGCCGCAACGCGGGTGTAGCGATAAGCAAGACAGTGGGGGTCAAGAGCACCCGCGCCGAGGCGATGTACAGATCTGGAGTTTCCGAGTCCTCTCCACACTTTTTACAAGGGACCCGGGAAGGAAAAAGAGGTACAGGTTTCACTCAGAAACATGCCCTCATATGGAGGCGCGTTGATGAAAATGGTCGAGTGTCAAAGATTTGGATCGAAAGACAAGAGTGGCGAGGAACGGTCAGGACGGCAACAGCTAACCGAGATGGGCTCGATGCCGAAATACGCTGTGACAAAGGATAGTTATCGGCGTTTGCTCGGTCGGCACTCTATTGAACTGCCGAGGAGAAATCCGGGTTGTCTTCGCGAGGGGTCAGGTTAGGCGGCGAAAGCAAGTCGCGTTGTTCTCGAATAATGTGTCAGGGAGCTGGAGAGCACGGTGGCTGGAGGTGACGGTCAGGGAAACAGCCCGAGGGCGTTATCTTTTCTTATTGCGGGTGGGTCGGGCGACACCGAATAGGCAAGGGTCCATTACAGAACGACACGAATAAATGCGGGATCCGAGCTTGGAGCACCAGATCTCATCCCAGGCTGGGCAAAAGTCGCGGTGGAACCAGGGATTAGAAGCCGTGGGCGGAAGGAACGTCGTCTGTGAAACCCTAGCCCCTGTCATGATCACGAACGGCAAGTGCTCATGCTTCTTACTCGAGAGAAACGGAGAAAGGCCTGCCTTCCGGCTCAAGGCCAAAAGCTATTACCTGGAAAATCCATCGAGGTTCTCTCATCAAGAGATCATTCGCATGTCGCCGGCACGAGATCCATCAATTGAGGCGATGACGACCGTGAACCGAAAATGAAATGTTTGCCGTTTGGTTTCCAGGTTGCGCCGTGTGTGGAGGTTATAAGTGACACTGTGCCGTCACCGTCCGCCGCGGACACATCCAATGTATACCCCTGATCCCTGCAACTCTTGTGGTCGTCGTGGCCTGGATGCCCTCGCTTTGGGGGAATGTCTCAAACCAGCACTGACTCGGCTAAGAACGTTCAACGCTCCTTCCTGCACACATCTCTCGGGACGCATTCCAAGATTCTGGGGTACTATCGAAAAGACCTTCAAATCGTGGAGGGCCGGGCTAAATCGCGATTTGCCGCCTTAACGGGTCAGAGCCGTCATGAGCGGAAGGATATCTCCGGCCAAGAGGTCGGCGGATTTTTCAGCCCACAGAACAACTCGAGGACTTGACATGCTATTACCGAGTTTATCCATGAACTGGTAGGTGCATCTCTTGGCAATGTGGTCTTGACGTACCGTGGCATATGTACATAGAGAGTTAAGCGGGTCCATAACCTGGCTGGGCCTTTGGTCGGTTCCGGGATCTGGCCATTTTCGGCGGCGGGGAAGCTTTTGGCCGATGTAGCCTCGCTGCGGAGGTCTCTTGTTTAGCGCTGGCGTCTGACCTGCGCAGGCCGACGTCCAGTTCGCCAGGATCCCCATCAGACGGCATCACACCCTCAACAACCTATTAGCAAACTGTACTGTCATCGAGTGCTACAACAACAACACCTCTGAAGCTATTTTGATTTTGGAACCCCGCCCCCGACGACCGCAATTCCGACAGATACGAGCCGCAGAATCGACCCGGCGTTGACCCCGTCCGACTTGCCCCACATCCCCGAACATTGCCGAAGTCATCACCGACTCGGACAGCTCGCGCATCTGTGCCGTTTGCTGCAAGCGATCCACTTCCCGCCCCAGCTGTACATAGCGGCCGGGTCTGCAAGCAAATACTGCCAATAGCACACCCATACACCCAGCATCATGAAGCTCTACTACGTCGGCGTATGTTTCACCTGCCCCTACTCTCAGGGGCCGCCGGCTAACGGCATGCCAGGTCCTCGACAACACGAAATCGCCCGCACTGCAGCTATGCGCGGCGCACGAACTTAGCGACTTCTCGCGGTTTACCAGAAATGAATATGGGAACTTCATGACCATGATCAGCAAGACCGTCGCCGAGCGCACGAATGCCGGTCAGAGACAGAGCGTGGAGGAGCAAGGTGCGTTTCAGATACGATAAACCACTAAATGCCGGGCTATTCTCACGCGCGGATTAGACTATGTTGTCCACTGCTATGCTCGGTCCGAGGGCGTCGCTGGCGTGGTCATCACCAAAGACTACCCCCACTTGGCGGCCCACAGCGTCCTCTCCAAGCTCATGGACCAGTTCCTGTCCGAGGTCCCGCTCGATAAGGTCAAGGCCGCCAACAAAGACGGCGATGTCCAGTTCCCTGCCCTGCAGGATTACTTGAACAACTACCAAGACGCGAACGAGGCGAGCAGCATCGCCAAGATCCAGCAGGAACTGGACGAGACCAAGATTATTCTCCACGATGCCATTGACAGCGTATGTCTCACCACAACCGGGACTGCGGTATGCGAAGTATTAACCTTTGACAGGTCCTACAACGTGGCGAGAAACTCGACGATCTCGTAGCCAAGAGCTCCGATCTGAGCACGCAGAGCAAGGCGTTCTACAAGTCGGCCAAGAAGCAGAACTCGTGCTGCATTGTGATGTAAATCGGGGCGGCGGACAAATATTGCCACGTCTGCATCCGCTACATCTCGGGCCGCGATAATTCCGCTTCCGTTTTCTAAGCCTCTGGGTTCTCGTAAGGAACCTCAACTAGCATCGAGCGGGAGCACGTCAACTTTGGGGTTGTAGGCCTCGGGGTCCGCTTGCCGGCTTGAATAAGGGGCGTTGAGTTCGTCCCGCTAATTCTTGCTGGTGCCCCTCTGCGATGACCGTTTTGCGGTCGAGGGTCAAGGGAGGGGCCCGTCTCCTTTCGGTATGTCGTTGGGTAGGCTCGGTGGACCGTAGCCAGGGCGGCGGAGGGAGATGGGACCGTTGAGCGGGTCTGATATAATGATACCTCACTGAACATAGCAAGATAACGACGGGAATTAAGGAACACGAAGCCAATACGCGTGTAGAGGGCGCACGTACGTGAACGACGGAGGAAACGCTATTGCTTTCCAGCGAAGCAAATGTGAAGAGGTTCATGCCGGATGAGGACACTGAGAAGAGACCGATATATTCACTTACCGCGGTAGCTAGGTACCTACCTCGATATACCAATTCTTCAAGCCTCCTGCATCAAGCGTCATGCAAAAGCTGCATCTCTTATTAACACGGTTACATTGCATTTCTCCAGATTCCCAGATGGCACACCACCACATCCGCGAGAACCGCCAGTCCCAAATATTCCATCCGAATCATCGTCGTCACTCATATGAGTGTGTTTGGGTCATGACGGTGTCGATCGGGCCGTGGAAGATGCTGAGAACTGATTGGCGCACCTGTGCAGTTCAAGTTTGTTTGTCTCAATTGTCTGTCTCTGTCTCAACTTTAGAAATGATCCATCACCTTTCGACTTGAGAGCTTGGCCATGTACAGATGTACCAGGGATAGTGTAATACGGCGGGTTTGTTTCTCCTCTTTCTTATTCCACAACCCCCACCTTCTGGTCCGTGACATCTTTGCACTTGGAGCCCGGCTTGCCCATGGGGGTAACTCAACCCCATCGTGAAGCCGGAGCAGAGCGGAGCGGATGTGGGACATGCTCGCACAGTGCACGGCGATGGCAAAAAAAAAAAGGCCAGTCAGTGTGCGCTCGTCCCTCTCTTTCCTCCCGCCGAGACGTGCCACTGCATTGGTTGGATCTCCACCGGTCGATGGCCAACTCTGGGAGTGGTTGGAAGGAGGAATGACCGGTCGGGTGTGTGATTGGCTGGAGGGAGGAAAAAAGGTTATCGTCGGATGCTGATTGGCGAGTGAGTTTGGTTTGGGAGATCCAATAACCCGAGGGCGGCTCGGCGGGCAGCCTTGGAGGGGGCGAAAACACAAGGGCGGGAGCCGCTGGGATGGAAGGCAAGGGAGGCGACCGAGGATCGGATGGGTAGCTTCAGCCTCCACCACCTTAATGAGACGAATGGGGCCCGAGGGGGCTCGTGTCCGATCCAGCGAGTGGGAAGAGTGGGAGTGAGTGAGCGAGTGAGTGAAGAGGAGATGAGGTGCAGGAAGGACGCGCTCAATGTCACATTCCCCCTCGCTGCAAAGCGCTTGTCATCGGCGCTGTTTCCGACTCGACAGAGGGGCTCTTCAGTTCTTGTTACGTCATGACAACAGGGGGCGGGCGAGGCCCAGGTGCGGGAGAGTGCTCGCTGACGGCGGCTCTGGGGGGGCAGCTTCCGATTGTCGGTTGCTGAACGTGAAGCCCAAGTTTGAGCGCGGGGAGAGGAGGGGTTGCTTCGTGAAGGTGGTTGAGAAGAGGAGAAGCGGAGTTGCAATTCAGGGGTTGTTGACACAAGCCTTGTCAGATCGACAACTCTCTTCCCCCGCCTACGAGGGAATATCTCCTCTTCCAAGGCAAGAGCTTTTGATTTCCTTGTTTAAATGTAAACCTGCCCTGAGAAGAAAAGCCATACATCGTAACTCCAACAAAATGGTGTGATGAAGTCGACGGGAAAATTCAAGGGTATTACCACGCCGTTGAGTTGGGCTCGTTAGGGCCTGAGAATGCTGAAACCCTTCGCGTGCCCCTTTTCCAAGTAAACAACAACCACGCCCCTGACCAGACACACCCATCCACGGGTGCCGCCAACAACAGCAACAACCCCATCACTCTGACTTCTCCCCCTCCACCCACCGCCCACTCTTTCCTCCCTCCTTCAACACCACCCTCAACCCCCCAATAACCATCCCCTTATCCACCGCCTTGCACATATCATAAACCGTCAACGCCGCCGCCCCCGCAGCCGTAAGCGCCTCCATCTCAACACCCGTCTTGCCATCACACGACACCGTCGCCGTAATCTGCACCTCATCGGCCCCCTTCCCTCCCACCTCACCCCCCTCCCCTTTTCCACCCCCCTCTTCATCACCACCACCACCACCTTCACACAAAACCAACTCCACCTCCGCATGCGTCAACGCCACAGGATGACACAGCGGGATGAGATCGGGCGTGCGCTTGGCCGCCATCAGGCCCGCGACGCGCGCCACGCCCAGTACGTCGCCCTTGCGCATCTGGTTGGCGCGGATCAGCGCCAGCGGCGCGCGCGACGAGAAGCGCACCGCACACTTGGCCTGCGCGACGCGTCTTGTGGGGGTCTTGTCGGCGATCGAGACCATGTGTGCTGAGCCTGAGGCGGTGAGGTGCGTTAGTTTGGGGGCTGATGGGGGTGGTGGTGGTGGTGGTGGTGGGGTGGGGTTGTTGGTGTTGCTGCTGCTGTTCTTGTTGTCGTCGTTGTTTTCGTTGTTGTTGAGAGGACGGTTAGCGGTGGTTGAGAAGAGGCGGTACTGGAGGTAGGTTGTGGTAGCATGTGAGGGTATCATGAACGCCGGTAGCTGGCCTGCGGGTTTATTGAGTTGACGAGGAGTCGATGGCAGACCAACGTGACGTCGCCGTAAGTGACCCCTGGGACGCTGTTGAGATGGTAACCGATCTACAATTCTACTTAGCTAGACTGCCCATACATCATGCCATGCAAGCCGTTTCCAATATTCAATAAATGTCATATGCCCAAAATATCGTGCCACACTATGCCCCAACTCCGCCCAATGCATAACGAAAAAATGTGACAAAGGATAGTTACCCACCAATTAATATCATCGGCCGGTTCTTCATGTGTTCCAGCTCCCCGATGCCGGCATGTTTCTCTTTCTTCCCCTTGACGGCCGTGCCGATGACATTGAGAAGCTCCTCGGAGTTGGGCACCACTAGGGCCTGGGAGTCGGCGGGAAGGCTCGCTACCTTCTCCACGGCGGCTTGCTCCAGCGCTTCGAATGCCGCTTCGTCGATGGGCTCGCCCTTGTTGACCTTCCGTACGATGTCCCGCAGAGAGACCTCGGCATTCCCAAACAAGCACACTTTCAGGTTCCCATCGCTCGTGATACGAAGCCTGTTGCAGGTGCCGCAGAAGTTGTGTGTCATGCTCGTGATGAATCCAAGTCTGCCCGTGAATCCGGGCACTTGAAAGGTCTTGCTGGTGTCGTTCTTATGACCTTGAACTCGCTCGAGACCTGGGTACCGAGAACGGATCCGATCCAGCATTTCCTGGTAGCTGAACATCTTGCCCTCATTCCATTTGTTGCCATCGAACGGCATGTATTCGATAAAGCGCACCTCGACATCCTTTTCCCGCGTCAACTCCACAAACGGGAGGATTTCGCGGTCATTCATCCCGCGCATGACGACACAGTTTATCTTGAACTTGATGCCCGCCCCGGCGCGGTTCAACTCGAAGATGCGGTCGATGGTTTTCTGAACGGCGTTGAACCCTGCCCGCCGCGTCATAAGCTGAAACTGCCACGGATCCAGCGTGTCGAGGGAGAGATTGACGCCCGTCAGGCCAGCCTCGACCATGGGCTCGAGTTTGCGGTGTAGTGAGAGCCCATTGGTAGTCAGGCACAACTCCCGCAGTCCGTGGGTGCGTAACGCCCCGATTTGCTGCATCAGGGGCACAATGTCCCGCCGGACTGTCGGCTCCCCTCCGGTGAGGCGGATTTTGGTTACGCCCTGGGAGACGAAGAGGGAAGAGAGCATGACGATCTCGGGCGTTGTCAATAGTTCCCGGGAGGGTGAGAGGGGCACGCCCTCCTCGGGCATGCAGTACAGGCATCGTAAGTTACACCGTTCTGTGACCGAGATGCGCAGATAGTCGTGTTGTCGATGGAAGGTATCCGTGAGGAAGTCGGAAAAGGGCTTGGCATCCCGGATGCGGTCCCGACGCGGGGCGACTGCCGAATGCGCCGGAGAACGGGCCGAGCCATCAGGATTCGAGTCCTCTTGCCGGAAGGGAGCCGGGTCTTCGGTAGCGCGTATTTTCGGACTTGGTGGTGGCGCCGGCTCGGCAGGTGTGCGGATCGCGGCAGCCCCAGAAGCGCATCTCACTTGCCACGAGACCGTCCGATTTGTCGGAGCTACCTGCAGTTTGCCGGCCCGGAGGCTACGGGCGACGCTGCGTACAGCAGCTGCCATCGTCTGAATTTAAGCACTTTTAGTACTTTGGCGATTCAGCGATTCAGCGATTCCGCCGTAGATGACATGGAAGTTTTGGGGAAATTCCGAATGCAGCTGCGCATGTCGTGGATAACGCAACCTTTGTTAGAATGTTCTCTTGCCACGCCGGCCCTCGGAGACTCCTGTCATCGCTCTATCTTTCTTCGACGGAAATAGGTGCTCAAGCCGATGGCAACGGTGACTCAGCGTTGAGCGCGGGGGGTTCTCCGCGGGCAGAGGCGGGATTCGGAAGTGGCGGGTCCCCTCTGATCGGCTTATCTCTCGCCGGACAATGGTCTTGGCACATCCCGAGTCAGCGGGGCCACGGCAGGCACCTTCCGGACACGGCATTCCATCCATTCCATGTTGTTTTGTTTGCACGCACAGACCGTATCTAACACTCAGAAGGCACCACCGACCTTCCTTCCTACCTAATTCGAGTTTTTCCTTTGGAGCGGCACAGGCAGCGACGGGGTGGAAGCTCTTCCAGATTCAAGTTCAGTTGATTCAAGTGAATCTGGCAATCTCTGACTTGCGAATTCGCTGGGCACCTTCCTCATTTATGTCCTCAGTTTTGCCCGCCTCCGCAGAACTCGGGCGAGATCCACGATGCAATTCTCAAACCCACTAAAATGTAAGCTCTTTGCATGTCAAGGCGAGGCCAATCTTTTAGAGTTCAACTTGTTCAATCGTTAACAATCAAAAGCATCGGCCCACTCCCTTCCAAGCCCAGATGGCAAACATCTTGCGACTGTTTTCGGGTCCGTTGTCAATGTCCGAGCCGTTGCCGGACTCAATGTGGTCAATGTTGTTAAACTCGGGCAGGACTTTGCGGGTCCGGTGCTGAGCTTTCAGTGGTCGCTCTCATCTCGTCTTTTGCTCGTTGCCGATGCCGAGCGGATTCGAGTCGTGTCGGCGTTGGACGACAGCCTCAGCGCCACCATTCAAAACCACACGACCGCAGGTACGAAGCCGGCGTACATTGGCTTCGGCGCGTCGGACGCTGAGATTTGTGTTATTTCCTCATTCGGGCTGAAATTTTCCATTTTCGACCTCGCCTCGTCCAAAGCGACTGAGATCGGCAGCCCTAAGGTCTTCTCTTCATCGTCTGCCTCCAAATGTTTCTCCTTTCGACCCGAGACACGTCACCTTGCGGTGCTGACGAGGACCTCGGGTAAGGACATGGTAAGCATACACGGCTATCCGACAAGAGAACTGCAGAGGTCCTGGGCACCCGACACAATCGATGCCCAGGCGCTGGTCTGGAGCCCGGACGGCCGGTGGCTGGTAGTGTGGGACTCGCCCGCCCATGGCCACAAGCTCCTCTTCTACACATCCGACGGGCACGTCTTCAAATCATGGTCGGGGCCTGCCAACCCCCTCCCAGAGGACCGAGATTTTGCCCTCGGAGCTGGCGTCAGGTCGGTCGAGTTTTCTGCAGACGCCCGGTACCTTACCGTCGGCGATTTCAGCCGGTCTGTCTGTGTGCTCAACATGGCCTCGGTTACCGAGACAATGCGACTCCGGCACCCGAGAACTCTCGTACCAAAAGATACCCTCCAAGTGAGTACCCAGATTATTGGTTTTGCCAGCGCCTGCCCTGACTAACTGGGCGCTGCAGGTTTGGCAGGAGCAAATTGCCGTGTCGCATGCGAGGCCTACCGTCCACACCTTTTTGCGAACGACGCAGGGCATATCACCCGCCCCTGCCTTAAGGGACAACTCAGAGCCAGTCTCAGGATGCGCCTCCATTTCGTTTGATCCCTCTTCGACCCTTGTCGCCACGCGGCAGGACGACTCTCCTAGTACCGTCTGGATCTGGGACGTGCAGGCCGCAGAGCTCCGCGCAGTTCTCCTATTTCATGGAAATGTGGCTAGCCTCTCGTGGCACCCAACTATCCCGGAAACACTGTTGGTCAGATGCGAAGGGGACCAGTACAACGGCTTAGTCTTCATCTGGGATCCCCTCTCGGAGGGGCCCCGGTGTGTTGACTTCGCTCGGCACTTACCTGGCGGCAAGACAGGTGGCAAGCTCCGAGCCTTGTGGCTTGGGGTCGAGCAGTCGAGCCCTCCGTCTGTTTTCTTCTCAGACGCCCACCATTACGTGCTTGCATGTCTTGGCGAGACGGCCCAGGGCCCGGCTCCGTGGGGCGACCACGAGTTATCGGGACCAAGTCTGTCAGTAGATGGACGCAACGAACGTGAAGAGTCCCCCCTCCACCTGATCCCAGCATCTCATGACAGAGCTGAAATCCCGGCTTTGGAAGAGGACGATGACTCCAGTGAACTGGAGGACACCTTTGTCTACAAGCGGTAGAAGTTTGTCGCCGGTCTTTTTTTGACAACAGTGTTGAGCCTGGCCTCGGCGACATCGTTCTGGACAGAATTCGGCCTGGCAGCGCGGGCCTGAGGGCTTGGGGGTGGCCCTATTGAACAAGGCTTGGAAACACAGTCGAGTCAGCTGTTGACGTTAACAGCTCACTCGTCTCTCAGTCTGTGATGCAAGTCGACATATGCAAGCCCTGTCCCATTGGGAAAGGCTCTCGGCGCTTCGAGTCAAACAGAAGGATGAGCGTGAAACCCCGCTCATGGCCTCGTTGCTTATTCTTCGCTTTCCCCGTTTTGGGACAGGGGGGTTGAATCGAAACCCCAACGTCACCGCTCCCCGGGACCCCCGATCTTGTAGATCGATCAATACGATTGGTCGTTTCCGGTTAACCGTCGACGACGCCGAGCCCCTCGCCGAAAGCTTCCACTCGACCAAGCTTCTCATGACCAGATCCTCACTTCCGTTTGTCCCCGGGGAACTGATAGCTCCAAGAATGGTAGACTCTTCTCCGCTCGAACACACCAACACGGACTGCTGGGCGCAGCCTCAAGCTCAGGCTTCTCCGGGTGAACACACAAATGACCCTTCCTGGCGTAGTGCGACTCTGCGAGTGAGGCAAACATCACTGGTCCCCGTTTTGGAATACATGTGCATCCAGGGAGCCGGGAACCGGCAGGACTCTCGCGTAGCGGTGAGAGTTTATTGCTCTGGGTTCATCTCCCTTGTTAGCGTACCTCAGGCGCTTGTGCGAAAGCGCGCGCCTGGTTACAAGACGGAGTTGAGGTGGCCGCCGGCATGGTGGCTTGTTGTTCTGGAGCGCCACGCCAAAGTTTCTTCCGCTTAATGCACCCTCGGCTGCGCTTGTGCAAGTCTCCGGCCCTTGTCTGTGTCTCCCCGAATCTATCACACATGCCGGGCACCCAGCACCACCAACTGCATTACTACTCTCGCTCGTTGTCGCTTCTGATGACAAAGTCCACACCACACGACCCTGTTGGCGCCAAAAACCCGGTCGGTGTTGCCGGACCCGCGCCCAAGCCGACCCGGTTGATTGGACTGACCGGGGGGCGGGCGGGGAGACATTGACGCCACTTGGTGACCAACAAGTTCCTTCTTTGTAACCTTCTCGGGTGCCAGAAGATTGTTCTCGGGCCGCGTATTATCTTGTCTGGTTTGGGGTGTTGGGATATACCGGCATGTTTGGTCCCTTAGTCTTCCTTCGTGCCGTTCGACGCATCTCGGACCCGGGATGGGCCGCCATTGCACAGCTCGAGCAGCAGCCATCAGGTGATTGGGGCTGACCGGTTCTGCCTAATCTGTTTATTTGTGTCTTGGGACTTGACGTCCGGCATGAAATGTGATGGCTCGTCAAACGCGGACCATCTCCGGATTCCCGACACGAACAACTGTTTGGTATCCCTGACAATGGGCGTCGTCCGCAGCCGAGTCCTTTTGGCAAAGCTGACTGCCCGAGAAAGGCAGTCGCTTTCCCGGGAGGTACGAGGCTTTTCCTTTATTGATGTAGTTCCCGGGCATCTTTCTGGGGATTTTACGACGGCTTCGTAAAGCAGGTCCCCTTGTTCAGCCATATTATACCTAACCCTGCCTTGGTCCGGAGGCCACTGGCACTACATTCCCTCGACCAAGCATGTGGCGATAACTCAACGGGTTTCCTCGTTTCTATTTTTATTCACTTGCGCGTTTTGGGGTTGAGCCTCGAACGAAACAACAACTCTGCCCAGCCGGTCGGGACTCCTGGCCCCATTGTTGATGGCGTGCCATCGTTTCCAGCATCTCGATACCTTCCAAGATTCCACGGTATCCTGTGATCGGTACCTAGGTTCTGGGATACTCGGCACATCATCGTACCGCCGTGTCCTGGTCTTGTTGCCGCAGCGTTGAAGACGGTTTCGGTCGGCGCCGCCCTAGTCCTAGCCGCCTTCCAGTGAGCGGAAGGCAACTCAGGATGCATCGAAACCAGCAGAATAACCGGATCCTGGAGACTTTTACCGTGAAACCGGGACCAGAAACGGGATTGTACTACATTTTAGTTGCCAACGTACGTCAGACCCGCGAATTAGCTCCCGGCTGGGCATGACTAACTGCCCATATATAGCTTGCTCACCGGACGACATGGAGAGACTTGAAGGCGTTTGCTTCCCAAGCTTGCGAGGTAGATCATGCTGAGGTCTACCCTCCAACCTCCGGGTTCGTCCGGGTGAAAGGACGAGCCAACTTTGAGAAAGCATTCAGTTAGGTGAACTTCAAAGCCTCGAGCCAGGTCGGTTCTAATCGTGATCGGTGATAGAATATCTCGACGGCAACACGCTTGAGTACCGCGCCCTTCAAGCGGATGCCCGAAACATGCATCAAGCTACCGTCGTCAAGCTCCTGCCAACCGACTACCACGCGACGAAAATTATGCGAGGAGACAATGGGAGGGTTGTTAGCGAACCTGAAGACCCGGTCACCGACTCTAACGAGTCATCTTCTCAGGGCGTAGGCGCGGCAATGGGAAGCCCCTACCTGGGTTATAATGGGAACGCCAGCCCAACATTCAACATGGGGGATGCACAGTGGGGATATGTTACTTCGCCCTCATATGGCGCCGGCGGGGGCTACCAGCCAGCTCCGACCGCGCCTCCCACGCCGCCTGGCTCTTTGGGATACCATCAAGTGGCTATTTCGAACCATCGTTTCATTCCGCAGCTAACAACCGGGCCTCCGCCCACATCACACCAAACCATGGCAAACCCGACACCCGTTTTCGCCGCATCCGGGGTCACGCAATATCAGTACAGTGACCCTGCCGGGTATTATCCACAGGGGACGGCCTACGGCGCGAGGGGGCCGGGCTATGCCGGATTTGTCCAGCCGGCGGCGACGAACGGCGGCCACGCCTATGCCACGGGAAACGGCTGGCTGTCCGAGGCGACCCCGTCGCCGCAGCCGGACCAAATACCCGGCTACGACTACGCCCGCCCGGCCGTCGTACTCGAGCAGCGCAAGATCATCATCCGCGACCTGGAAAGAGAGGGCCTCTCCGAGGCCGTGGTCACGAACCTCCTCGTCCAGCACGCGGGGATCGGCGTCGCGCCGGGCCAGGTCGAGAAGCTGGAGCTCCCGTTCAACAAGGACGGCAAGGCCAGGGGCACCGCGTACGTCACCTTCGGCACGACGGCGCTTGCCAACGCGGCCGTGGCCGCCCTGGACGGGCGGAAGATGGGCACGAGGAGGTTGTCGGCGCGCCTGGTCGTCGAGGGCGTCTCGCCGGATGGGTTTGACAGCAGTAGGTCCGGCCGGCGCCAAGTTGGCGGTGGCGGTGGCGGTGGTGGGAAGTCTGCTGGCCGGGGCTCGAATTCGAGGGTTGATGCCGGAAAGCCGCCGAGGTCGACACAGTCGCAATCACAGCCCCAGTCTCCGTTTCAGTCTTCTCAACCTGCCGAGGGGTTGCCGCAGCCTTCGTACCTGGCCACCTCTGTGTCCGTACCCACGTTCCCATCCACGACTGGCAGCGGCTGGACGAAGACGAAGGAGGAGCGGCCGGTTATTGTGGACGGGAGTGGGGGGCGGTTCAAGAAGGAAGCGGCGCCGGTTGTGGTGGACGGGACCGCGGGCAAGAAGGGTGATGGTGGGCACCGGGGTTCTCGGCGTTGATTTGATGATGCCTCTGTCACTTCCTTTTTGTTGCTAAAGGTTTAGGGAAAGGAGTGGTGGTGTTGGGGTGGGGAAGGAAGGGGAGTTTTGGGAGTGGAAACGGTCGAGTAGAAAAAAAAGGAGACGATGGCGTTGTGACAGTGGGAGAGAACCTTCATGTAGTTGCCGCCTTTCCTTGGATTGATAGACACTCCCTTTCAGACAGCACGAACTCAATCAACATATCACCCTCCCTTATTATCCACAAACTTGACCCCCACCTCCACCTCACACCCAAGCAAGCCCACCATCCTCCCCTAGAACCTCCCCGAGAGAAACGAGGGGCATGAACAAAAGCCTCCACCGGGGACGCTCAGTCGGAACGGAACATCGTCACCCCCGTCCCAGCTCGAGGGCGTGTGGCTCAGTTGGTAGAGCGTTCGCTTAGCATGCTTTCCTCGGTATGCGAAAGGTCCTGGGTTCGATTCCCAGCTCGTCCATGGAAAGGAAGCTGGTAAGGGGGTGGCGGCGTTTCGTCTTTTGGTGATGGGGTTGCTTCTTTTTGTGGTCTGTTAAGTAAGGTAGGTGTTGGCTGGGTGGGATAAAGGGGGTGAGGGGGATGACATGGGGTGCTTGGGTGGTCAAGGGAAGGAGAGAAGGGGCGACGACAACTCTCATCATAACACAAAGCATACATTACACCCGTATGTCCATCCATTCATTCACCCCCTCTTACATATCCCCCCAAACCATACACACACACATCCACCCACCCCCACATCCCCTTACAAAAGCTCACCCAACCCCTCCAACCCGACCCCCTCCCTCCCCAGCCTGGCCACGAGCCTCGTATTCTGCCCCTGCAGCTCCCCCACCCTTTCCCGCAGCATCTCGACCTCCTTGCGCGCCACGTCGCGCTCGGCGCGCGCCCGCCCCAGCTCCATGGCCAGGTTGCCGCGCTCCTCGCGCTCGGCCGCCTTGCGCCGCCGCTCGGCGGTCTTGCGCTCCTCCGCCGCCCGCTTCTCGGCCAGCCGCTGTAGCTCGCGCTGGTATTTGGCTTCTTGCCGCGCTACCTCGCGCGCGTGCTTCTCGTGGAGGCGCGTCAGGGCTTGGTCGTCTTGGTCTTGTTGTTGTTGTTCTTGTTTGGTTTTGGAGTCGGTGTCGGGGTCGGTGGTGGTGGCGCCGTTGCTGTTGCTGTTGTTGCTGTTATTGTTGTTGTTGTTGTTTTGTTTTGCGAGGCGGCGGGCTTTAGCACGCTCGAGTTTCTCTTGGGCTTTGTGCATGCGCTGCTGTAGTTTGCGCAGTTCTTTTTCGTGCTGGGCCTGGGCTTGGGAGAGGCCGGCCGAGGGGGTTTGTTCGCGGGAGAGGGCTTGCGAGGTGGTCTCGGAGAGAAGCGAGTGGGTGGAATGGTTGGAGGCATTCTCGGCTGCCGGAGTGGTGTCGACTTTGTTGGAATTGTCGTCTTTGCTGGACAGAGACGTATCGACCTGGGTGGTGGGACCATCCTCGGCTGAGGCGAAGCTCCCGTCTGAATTATCGCTCTCATAGTCGCTGATATCGGAGTCGGTTTCTATGGATGCAGGTGTGAAGGCGGCTACCCTGCTGGCAACCGCGGACGTGGCCATGCCCAGTGCACTGCTCAGCATGCCATAGATACCGCTGTTGTTGGCCGACGGCCCTTCCTGATAGCCGGCCTCACCATCCGGAAGTTGATCCTCAGCTGCAGTGTCCGCCGGCAGCCGACCCGGACCCTCGTTAACCGGTGACTCCCCAGTTGGCTTTGTCCCTTTCTCTCTCCCCTTTTCCATTGTTGGCCGTGGATTCATAAGCTCTTCCATCGACTGCGAGGAAAGCCACTTGACAAACTTCCCGGCATCGTTGATAATTCCCCCTGGCGTCCCCTTCTCCACCATGAACCGCGGCACACTGCCTCCGGGGTCGCTGCGAGTGACCATCAGCCACTCGATCGCCATCTCCATGTCGCTGTCGGCGTCGTCAGACAGGCGGAATGACACGGTCTTGGCGCCCTCGCCCTCCGACTCGGCCTCTTCGCCCACAGCTTGCTTCGCAGCACGCAGCACGGCCTCCTTGCTGATGGGCTCGCCGGTTACTGCCGCGCTATTTGCGTCGTCCCTGCTTAGATCAACCGAGGACCTCACACGCCGGAGCGGTTTCTCAACGGGCACCTCGCGGATGACCTCGACCGACTCGTAAGTCCCGCGGACAAAGCCCGGCCTGGGTGGGCAGTCGGGGTGGTCGCAGGGCCTCGAGACGACCATGAACTGTCTCGGCGCGCGTTTCCTACCGCGGGGTTTCTTTTCCTCCTTGGGCGTCATAATCAGCGTGATGAAGTCCCGCGGCGTCGTCGGGCCTGGGAACCTGGCCGAGACGTGATACACTTTTGACGGTTAGCGCCCCTTTCTTGAGTTCGGCAGACGGGGGAGAAGTAAACAAACTCACCACCCATCTTCCCGCCCTCAAACTCCACCCCATCAACCTTCCTCTCAGCCCCAATCCCGCGAACATTCCCCGTCCCCGGTTCCTTCCTCGGTTCCGCCTCGACCCGTTCCAGGGTGACTTGCATCTCCCTCCTCAGCGCCGCTTCCCTATGCAGTTGTCAGTTCAGTTCTCCTTCCCTTTACACACCCCAAACCACACCCGAACCCCATCAACCCCTCCCGAACCCCATCAACCCCCCATCAACTCCCCTTCCCTTGCCCCCCTCCGTCCCCAAAAAAAGGGGGAAAGAAAAAACAAAAGAAAGAAAAAAAGAAAAAGGACCTACCACCGCTCAAACCCCACGCCCCCCGGCCCAACGCGATGGAAACTCCTTCTCGCAAACCACGCCCCCCTCCCATCCTTGGCACCCATCTTGTACATGGCAATGCCATGCGGGTTCCCATTGCTGCTGCCACCGCCCTGCTGCATCTTCAGATCCTTCCACTCACGGCTGAGCTTTGTCAGCGTCGCGTGTCTTTCATTGTCGTCGGCATGTTTTGTGGTGTCATGTTTTGTGGCGGTGGTTGTGGTGGTGCCTGAGGGAGGGGAGACGGCCGAGTCGGTGTGGGAGCGGGCGCGGCCTGGGGGTGTTGATGGTCTTGTTGTTGCTGGTGTTGTTGGTGAGGAGGTGGATGGGGGGATGGAGTCGATTAGGAGCTGGGCGTTGGTTAGGGTGGAGGTGAAGAGGCTGGTGAGGGCGGTGGTGTTGTCGGTGTCGTCTTTGGTGCTGGTGGTGTGGGGGGCGATGTCGGTGGCCCAGGAGAGGGGGCCGAGGGATTTGAAGGGGTGGTGGTGGGACATTTTTTGTGTGTTTTGGTTGTTGGTTTTATTCTTCCCCTTCTTGTATTCCCTTCATGCGAATAAGTGGCCCGGGCAATGAGAATGAGATCGAGTGAGGTCAAGTAAGGTATGGCTATGTTGTGGTGCTCAGTGTGAGATTTGGCGCCTCAAACTGAATGATCAAAGGATCTGGGAGTGATGAGTGAGATGTGACACAAAATGTTCGGCGTGTTTGCCTTCTCGTGGTGTTGGGCCTTGTTTCCAGGTTGGCGAAACAAGGGGCGAAGCGGATGTGCGTACGCGTCATCCAAACCTTAAAATGATTGCTGCTCCGTGGGGAATTACACAGCAAATCGGTTATCTAATGTGGACAAAAAGAGCGAGTTAAATGGTGCCTGGTTCCTGAATTGAACATACTGCGGAAGGTGCTTACCAGGTCCCAATCCCTTTTTAAGGTCACTTCAAATCACTGACAGTTGTTTTATAACTCAGGTACTGCGTCGTGAGGTGGGGTCTCTATGAGTTTGGGTTCCGTAACCAGTCAGTAATTTGTGTTGGTGCGTGACTCGATCTGCATCTGAACCGTTAAATGTTAAATACACCTGATATCAATATCCCATTTGCTGCCATTATTTAATCGATACCTAAACTCTGGGCCGACTTCATCACAGCCGCCATGCTCGGGTCTCAATCAGGTGTGGTTGTTGGTTGACGTCATAACCAGGGCCTCCCTGTCGTTTCAAAACGTCACCAAAGCCAGGCGCCAGGCACACCAAACAAAACGTTCCACCGAAACACGAGGATTGCGGTGAAGGCAATGAAATTTGGAAGAGAACGCAATAAAACTCGGGGTGGCTCATCGATTTGTCTCGGACCCAGCAACTACAATACAGGTACAGATACACTGATACAATCCAACCACTAACCCCACCCATGATTCCCGTTTTGCCTTGTCACAACGCCCCCCCACCCCAATCCAGCCCGAACCATCGGCGCCCAATACCGTCGTCGCCCCCCTGAAACCGATATCCTGTAGCCCTGTTCCAGGGCATTCCAACAAACTTGAAAATAATGATAATAATAAAAATAGAGTCGAGCCCATAGACTACTACTGCATGGTCTTCAAGAAACCATCCAGGTCAAAGCTCTCCTCGTACTGCGTGTTATCCCATAGCTCCCCCAAGCCCTCGAGCCACGCGGCTTTCTTGCCCGGCTGCCGGACGTCGCCCGTCTCAATGTCCACCATGTCCTCCTCGCGCCCTTCGATATTCTCCTTGCCCTTCTCTGCTATCAGGCTCGGTCCCGACTCGCCGAGGTTGAACAGGTCGAGGATCTGGTCCGTGTCCATCGTCGCCAGGCCCGCGTTCTGCTGGTTCACCACCGTGCTGGCCACGTCGATCTTGAACCGCTGCAGGCTGAGGATCTTCTCCTCGAGCGTGCCGCGCGTGATCAGCCGGTACACGTTGACCACCTTCTTCTGCCCGATGCGATGCGCCCGGTCCATGGCCTGCAGGTCCTTCTGCGGGTTCCAGTCGTGCTCCACAAAGATGACCGTGTCCGCCCCCGTGAGGTTCAGCCCCAGCCCGCCCACGCTCGTCGTTAGCAGCAGCACGTCGTACGACGGGTCGCTGTTGAACTTGTTGACAATGTCTTGCCGCTTGTTCGCCTCCACCGAACCGTCCAGCCGGAGGTATTGCGTTGCCGGAAGCATGCTCTTCAGAACCGTGTTCTGCACCATGTCGAGCATCTCCTTCATCTGACAGAAGATGAGAGCTCTGTGCGGCTTGATGGGCGTGTACAGCGGGTCCGACGACTCTTGCCCTTCGGTACCGATGCCGCAGTCGACGAGAAGATCCCGGAGAGCCGTCAGTTTGGGCGCGTGCGTTGGGTCCTCGAGGCTCGTGTTTTGCTTGGCCAAGAACTTCTGCGTATCGTCGTAGGACCTGTGGCCCGGCTTCATGACGAGCGCCGGCGAGTTGCAGAGCTTGCGCATGTACTGCAGCGCCTGGAAGATGTGTTGCTTGGCGTCCTTGTCTTCCTTGCCAGCCTGCTCCGAGAGTTTCTGTCCTTCCCTCTTGGTGAAGTCCTCAAACAGCTTCAGCTGCAGGTCGCTGAGGTCGCAGTAGTAATTCTGGAGGATCTTGGGCGGGAGATCGTTGAGGACCTCCTCCTTGAGACGGCGCAGGAGGAAAGGTAACACTTGCTTGTGTAGAGCCTCGATGGCTAGCGCCCCCGCCTCCTGTTCCTTCGACGAAGCCTTGCTGTAGCGACTGTTCGCGATCGGCTTCGCAAACCGGTCGAGGAAGACCTTCTCTGCGCCTAAGAAGCCCGGCATCAAAAAGTCGAAGAGAGACCAAAGTTCGAGAACGTTGTTCTGGATCGGAGTCCCCGTCAGGATGAGCCGATGGTTGCTCGCCAGTCTCTTGACCGCCATCGTGATTTTCGCCTTCGGGTTCTTGATCAAGTGACCTTCGTCGAGGACAACGTAGTTCCAGTTATATTTCTCAATCGCATCGATATCGTTCCGGCAGACGTCGTAAGAAGTGATCACGATGTCCGTCTTGTCCAGTCTATCCTTCATGGCCTTGCGCTCGGCTGGGGGGCCGACATAGGCCGTGACGCTGAGGAACGGAGCGTACGCTTTGATCTCCTGCTGCCAATGCCCAGAGAGTGTGGGTGGGCAGACAACCAGAGACGGAAGTCTTCTGACATCGGGTGCGCCCGTCCTGGCAAACTCCTCGGCACGTTGGTGATGATCGCTGGCCACCATGCTGATTGTCTGGAGAGTCTTGCCGAGGCCCATGTCGTCGCAAAGGATACCATGCAGGTGGTACTTGTTGAGGAAGTGGAGCCAGTTGACACCGTCTTGCTGGTAGGAGCGAAGCTCGGCCTTGATAGCCACCGGGATTTTGAACGGTTCGACCTTTTTGGGATCTAACAGTTGGGCGATGAACGTGCGCTCGCGATCGCGGCCCTTCAACAGCTCCTCCGACAGGCCAGGGGGGTCGGGGATACCGGCCTCGAGCGGAACCAGCTTCACTAGCGTAGCGAAGGACGTAGTAGCAATGAGCCGGATCTCGTTGTCCGAATCGCTCATCCGACCCAGCACGGGCACGATGAGGAAGATGACATAGGGGAGAATGGCGTCGCCCATTACGGCGATGAGGTGATATATGGCCTCGATCGCGCCCTGGCGGAAGTTGAGATCCACGGGATTGTTGATCGTCGGCAGAACCTTCTCCACCAACGCTGTCATACCCTCGACCGTGATAACGCTGCAGATAGTCGCCACGCATTTGGCCGCCATGTAGCGGAAGACGGACAGCTCGGATTGTAGAGCCTTGATCACCAGAGGCATCTGCCGCATGACGAAAGGATGAAGGGCCGAGTGCAATGTTGGGGTCATCGTCCGGATCACAGACATGGCATCAACGACCTCCTGGCCAAATGTGTTCTCCGGATCCCTGGCCTCCGGCGGCAGCTCGCCGGAGAAGGCTTTTACGAGGGGCTCCTCCATGAAGGCCTGCAGGCTAGGGACGCGAGTCAGGAGATCGGACCCAAACGTCTGAGAGAGTATCTCCAGTGCTTCTTTGGCACCGCGGCGAGTGATTCGGGCGGCTTTTGCTTCTCGCGCGAACTTGGCCGCATCGGGATGGTCAACACGGTCCTCTTCCTTTTGCATCGAGAGAATAACGCTCGTCTTAAGGGCATGATTGGGAAACTCGGGGGTTTCTGCAACCTCGACGCAAGAGAACTTGACCAAGTTCGCAACCACCTTGTCGGCTGGGCCGCGGCGGCCAGACTCGGTAAACAGCTGCACAAGGCGCGCAATTGTCGAGGCGGAGCGGCCCTGGAGCTCTTGGTTCTCCTCCGTCTTGATGCTGTCCATGATGGCCTTGATGAGGGGGCTCGGCTTCCTGGGCAAAACCTTCATGGCGACCAAGGCGCAAGCGGCCGCGGCGCGGATGCGGGCATCACGAGCTTCCTTCGCCGCTTTTGCCTCCTCGATCACCGAGACCGTCGCGTCGCGAGCCTCGTTGAGCTGAGGAAGCGCTATCAGCCTCTGCCCAGGCGCCATTGCCTTTTTGAGCTTGTCAAAGTCATCGGCCACAACCTTCTCCGCGTTTGCGACAGAGAATGCGCCTGGACCTGCCTCGGGTTCGCCTTGGACCACAACAGCAAGCGTCGGTAGTTTGTTGTGAGAGATTTTGCCGTGATCACGGAAGAGATTGATGAGCTGCTGCGACTGCGAGCGTACCCTGTGAACAAAGCTCACCAAGTCCCGATAATGCGATGGCCGCTCCTGGTCGATCATCTTTTGTAGGGGATCGACAAAGCGCGCGGCTGCATTACTCGCTGAGCAATTACTCGCGTACTCGCCGATAACCATGGAGGCAGAAAGCTGGGTCGACGCGAACGGAGAGATAAGACCTTGCAGGACGTTGCTGTCATACGATCCCAGGTCGGGGGTCGGGATGAAGGACATGATGAGGCCCATGGCCTTGGCGGCGGAGACACGGGAGCGGACGAGGACATCCATGCCCACCAAATCAACGTCGCCTTGCATCATGTGGCCGTCAACATCGTGGCTTTGCGTGCTTGCGGGAATGTCGTCCACCTTGGTCGACTTCCTACGCCGTTTTGTGACTCTCTCGCCCTCAGGAGGCGATGGCCGCCTGCTTGGGATGGGAGCGAGGCCAGGCAAGGAGTATGTTCCGCCTGATGGCTTTTGGAAAAGGGTCCCGTTCATGGGGATGGGATGCCGCGGGACACCGATGGGATGGAGTGTTAACTGCATGAGCGGTTCCACATGCGCCTCGAATTCGTCGGCGAGAATGGCTGGGTCCTTGGCGAGATTGCGCACAAGGGCAGCCCACAAATCCAAAGACATGCTGAGCGTGTTCTGGTCTCTCTCGACCAGGATATTCTGGAAGATGAGACGCAAGATTCTCCCGTTGAGCCAGCCTTGAGACGTCTCGCCGCCGAGGTTCGCAAAAGTCATCAAGGCCTTCAGCACGGCAAGTCGCACCGACGTGATGGTATGCCGCAAGAAGGGGTAAAGTCGGGGAACAAGCAGAGTAAACGATCGCTCCTCATCTTGCGAAGCGGAGACTTTCATAGTTTCCAAGACTTCGGGGAAGCTGCAGAGGGTCGCAAGCAGGTCCATGATCTTGCCAGTCGAGGCGCTCAAGTCATCGCCCAGATTCGAGAGGCTCTCCCAGACGATGTTGATAAGGCCGTCTAGTGCTCCTCGCCGCATCGTGACGAATTCCTTGGCCATCGGAATTAGGGTTGCAGCGCTGACTGAGCGGACGTCATCGTCGATATCGCCCAGGCCTTTCATGACAGAACGGATAACGCCGTCGATCATGTCCCCGTCTTGGAGGAGGAGATCCTTGCGCACGGCGACAACATATCTCAGGCCGACCATGCCTCCATGGCAAACGGCCCAGACGTTCTGTTCAAGCTGTAGGTCTTCTTGCATAACCATCTGGTATAGCAATCGATAAATGGCGTAAACCGACTGCGTCGGAATGTGGCGGAGAACGGATCCAAGGGTCTGACCAACCGTCTCCCGAATTGGAGCTACCGATGTGTCGGAGCTGTAGTCGGTGAACTTGTCGAGCATGAGCACACAACAGAGGCGGCTGGCCAAGTCATCTAGCCACTGACGGTTGAGCTCCGTGTTCCCCTTGCGCGATCTGTCACGACGCCGCCCGGCGCCGCCCCCGTGAACCCGAATGATCTCCCGTAGGCCCATGGCGGCACCGTGGCGTGTCTCCCACTGAGAATCGAACAAATCGATCTTCAGGAATTCACAGAGCCGCTCGTATGGCCATTCGCCCCCCTCCATGTCCTGGTCGACCTCGAGCTCGGATTTTATGGGGAGAATGGGCCCTTTGAATTCGGACACGACCTTGGACTCTTCGTCCACGTCGCTGGGCCGATCGAGGCTGAAGTAATCGGACATCTTGCCGTTCTTCTTCGAGTCAGCATCGGGCATGGAGGTGTCGTCGAACCCGTCAGATCCCGCGGTGGTCGTCCGTCGGAGGGTCAGGTCGCCGAACCCGCTCTTCCCTTGGGCGGCCTTCTGAGCCTCCCGCTTGCGTTTCCTCTTCAGGACGTTCAGTTGTCGTGTGCTCAGTTTACTCTCGTCCTGGTTTTGGCCTTGGCTCTCGTTGACCACGCTGTCCTGGCGTCCAAAGCCGTTTGTGGTGCCTGTGGCGTCGTGCAGGGCTTCGGGGCTGATCGCATGCTCGGCAATTATAGGCATCTCGTCGTCCTCGAATGCCCGGCCAAGGAGTCCAAGCCGGCCATTTAGTGTTTTTTGTTGATGAACCAGCCGCTTCTGCGGATCTAGGGCGGCGAGCGCGAGGTCCACCGTGCCACCACGGAGCAACGGTCGGCCATATCTAAGGATGGCGGAGACGTCAAGGGCATCGAGGGCAAAATATTCCTCCTGGTCGAGGATGGAATCCTTTTGCTCTTCCTTCTTGACGAACCCATTCTCCTCTTCTGGGGGGAATGCGTCGTCCGCATTAGGGTCATAAAGGGGCGCATTTTCGATGATCTTGCCTATCGCTTTGGCGGCAGTGCTCCTGGTTTCCCAATCCTTGTGTCGGAGGTAAGGGACGACCCGAGTCAAAAGGTTGAACAGCTCATCGGGGTGCTGCTTTTGCCAGTCAGCAAGCTGGTTGACAGCGGTGTCCCGAATTAGTCGGGTGCTGCCGGTTTCGAGGATGCTGATACGGCGTTAGTTTGCTTGATCGGAAACGGTAACAGTGCAGGCAACACTGCATGAAACACCGCAGGTAATGATGCTCCCAGCTAGCCATTGAGGTACCCAACTTACGTGACGAGTCGGTCAAGCCTAGTACAAATGTCATGTTAGCACAAGAACCAGACAAGGACCACTAGGTCATTACTCACCGAGAGGCCATCCTTGTTTCATGTCAACGAATTCCAGAATAATATCTAGGCAGTGAAGACCATGGCACTACACTTTATTGGTTAGCGGTGTTCTGCATTTCGTCTCGAGGATTGTGATGCTGTATGAATATGAAAATGGGAGGGTCTGGATGAATGAGAGCGACTGTTGATTGCCCCAGTTGTGCCATCGCAGAATTGTGATTGGCGCATTGTCTGGAGCAGTGCAGGTGGGTCCATGGTTGGCGGTTTGCTTGGACTGCGACATCTGAGCCCGCCCAAATGGCGCTCCCAATACCGATCCAGACAAAGCGAAAAAGGCGATGACACCGAATGCGGACGAGGGGCGCTGGGGGCCTGGATCCCGGCTGGCGACAGCTGCTGGGTCGGGCTGAAAGACGAAATGCAACAACTCACCCGTACCTGGCCTGAAGAGCTATCTTGAGAGAGAAGATGATTAAGTGATCCGAGACTCGATGGTTGAGATAATTAATCCGTTGCGCACTATGTGATAGAATCTTAGCAAAAAAACAGGGTTGTGACGATCATGCAGAAAATTGTAGCGATGAATGGCATTGTCGCCAAAGAGGTCTGCCGAGTGATAAAGTACATACCGAGAAAGGTGAGAGAAAGGTGGGTCGGGCCAACCCAGGATTACGCGCGGCAGCACGGCGAGGGTTGACTGCCTGCCAGGTGAGACCGGTCTGTGGGTGGGGTGATGGGAATTTGGCAAGGCGGAGGGTGCGCGCAGGGCAAGCGGGTGCGGTGGGAGGATCGGGTGGAGGGCAGGCGCCCGTCTATAAAGAAATATTGGTTTAAATTTATAGACAGCCCGGCGTTCCCAACGCTCCTCCCGGGGCCTTGCGCATTTTAGCGCCATTCTTACATCCCTGTCCATGCGCCGCCCACCCCAAGTCCCGTGCCCCCTTCCCCCCGGTCTCAGAATTTATCAACGAACAAAAGAGATGGAAAGCGCGTCCTGCACTCCAACAACCCACCCACTTATTCTCTGTAACCATCAAAGACGAGGGAGGGGTGAGAGTGAGAGATGCAGCAAGCTTTCATTTCACTTTCCCCGCCATTCCGCAGCAAGGCCGTGCGGCCTTTCACGTCCCCTCGTTCTCCAAGCTGAGCAGTCCACATCCCGCCACATTCCCAAGGCCCCGCCAACTTGGAACGTGTCCAACTCTGCTTGCAGTGCCTCTCTCTGCCTGCAACCCCATCATCCAGTGCCCGGACCGGGCCTTTCCACACGTTCCATTGTTGCCGTTGTGTGCGCCTGAACTCGATAGTTGCATATATAAATGAGAAAGTTTCGATCCACCAACAAAGAGAGGTGTGGTATTCGTATTGTGGCAGCGTGGCCCCGTCATCACCCCATTTAGAACCACCTGGTGGTTTGCCCGTTCAAAGCCGACTGTCATCACCGTAGCACATAGGCTCTTGTTACCGTTCGTGATAGACAACTCGCATCGTGGGGAGGACAGAGGGCGACCATCGACATGATGCGTAATTGCCTGGAGGGCAGGTGCATAATTTGATACCTGATCGTCTGGAGGGCTGGAACATGCCGGTCTGGATTGGGCCGATGATGCATGCAAGGGCAGTGAGTGCGAGATCTGCTTGAAATGACTGTGCGTTTCTGATCCCAACCTAAAAAGTGCAACGTTGAAAATTATGAGGTCACGGAAACAAAACAGTTTGCTTGCTGGGGTTTGTTTGATGTTCCTCTCGTGCATCCTTGAGCTTTTCTTTCTTCTAGAGGATACCATGGACTCAACTGCCAGTCTGAAACATCGTCCATCCAGAGAGATCGCGATTTCCACAGTGAGCGAAATGCACAGTTCGTCTAGTATTCGTATGTCGATCGACCAGGCCCAATTGGCGACAGCTATCGGTCTGAATCACGTGGAATGTTGTGAAGTGGTCCAAGCTTCGGGAAACTGCGAGCGGCGCGACGAGACGCGTTGTGGCAGGTCCCCCTCCACAAGCGCCAACCCGCGATTTTGAGACGGCGATTTGAGGATGCAGACGGCAATAACGCCATTTCACCGATTTTTACAAACTCCACCCAGATATTGATGCGCATACAGACTGAATAACCCTGGTCGCAATACTCTGGATTTTTTGACTCTGCTGTCGAATTGACAGCGTTGTCGCAAAGATGCATATCAAGCAGATCATCATCCAGGGCTTCAAAAGGTAGGCCGAGACCCCACTGAGTGTAATAATCTGTACCTCGCGCCTGTAGGGGATTTCCAGAAGGTGTCTTGGATTCGCTGACGGCACTCTCCACATCATAGTTACAAAGACCAGACGGTTATAGAGCCCTTCTCTCCTGGGACCAATGTTATCGTCGGGCGCAACGGCTCTGGCAAGAGTAACTTCTTCGCTGCGATCAGATTTGTGCTCAGCGATGCCTACACCAACATGAGCCGCGAGGAGCGGCAGGCTCTTCTCCATGAGGGGTCAGGATCTGCCGTCATGTCCGCCTATGTCGAGATTATCTTCGACAACCAGGACAAGCGCTTCAGCGAGCCGGGCGACGAGGTCGTAATCCGCCGGACAATCGGTCTAAAGAAGGATGAATATTCAGTGGATAGGAAGGTCCAGACCCGCGCCGATGTTCTCAAAATCCTCGAGACTGCTGGGTTTGCGAAGGAGAATCCCTTTTACATTGTACCCCAGGGTCGCATTGCCGCAATCACCAACATGAAGGAGTCCGAGAGGCTCAACCTCCTCAAGGAGATCGCGGGCACCAACACATACGACGATCGGAGGATACAGTCGCTCAAGATTATGGCCGAGACCAACAGCAAACGCGAGAAGATCGACGAGACCCTGGTGTACATCAAGGAACGGCTGAGCGAGCTTGAGGAAGAGAAGGACGAACTCCGCGACTTCCAGGACAAAGACAGGGAGCGCAGGTGTCTTGAGTACGCGCACTGGCACCGTCTGCAGGCAACCAATGCCGATACACTAGAGCAGTTGGAGGAAGCGAGGCAGGGAGGTGCCGGGGCTTCGACGAAGGACCGTACGCAGCTCCAAAAAACGGAGAAGGAAATCAGCAGCTTGGACCAAAACTCGCACGAGTTGAGGCAAGACCTGGATCTGCTTGCCATGGAACGGCAACAGCTCGACGACGACCGCAAAGATGCCGCTCGGTCGCGGGCAAAAGCGGAGCTGAAGGCGAAGCACCTGGACGAAACTAGGCACGCACGGGAACAAGCGCAGCAGAAGCAAGAGGCAGAGTTGCAACACGTGAGGCGGGAAATCAAGGCTGCCGAGTCGGACGTGGCCAAGATCACCCCTGAATACGAGGAGCGGAGGAGCGAGGAAGCCCAGATCCGACTGCGACGGGACGAGGCGGTGTCGGGGAAGAACCGCTTGCTCACCAAACAGACACGCAGCTCCCAGTTCAAGACGAAAGCGGAGCGTGATAGCTACCTCAAGCAGGAGATCGATGACGCTACCACGTCTCTGGGCGTGCAAAAGGCCAACGCGATGGATGCCGGGGAGCAGGTGAAGTCAGTCGAGGCGTCCATTGCGCAGCTAGAGAAGGCCATCCAGGATATCCGCCAAAACATCGAGGGCTACGGCGGGAACCGAGGCACGCTCGCCGAGAAGCTGACCAAGGCTCAGGAGGCCAGGGAGCAGCTGCACGAAGAGCGCAAGAGGCTTCGGCGTGAGGAGGACAAACTTGGCTCGCTTCTTTCCAACACACGATCGGAGAGGGACCAGGCAGAGTCATCACTTTCACACTCGATGGACTCGGCCACTGCCAAGGGCCTCGCATCGATCAGGCGACTGAAGCGGGAGAGGGACATTCCCGGGGCCTATGGGACTTTAGCAGAGCTCATGAGCGTGCCAGTCGAGGCATACAAGCTGCCGGTAGAACAAGTGGCGGGGAATAGTCTTTTCCATTACGTTGTCGACAACGACAGAACAGCCACCATGCTCTCGGATCATCTCTACAAGTCTTACGGCGGGCGGCTGACGTTCATGCCACTGGAGCAGTTACGGCCGCGGCAGGTCAAGATGCCCAGGGCGTCAGACGCGCAACCGCTCATCAGCAAGCTCGAGTATGAGCCAGAATACGAGAAAGCTTTCCAGCAAGTTTTCGGGCGCACCATCGTCTGTCCAAACCTCTCGGTCGCGTCCCAATACGCCCGGTCTCACGGCCTGGACGCGATTACGCCAGAAGGTGACACAACAAACAAAAGAGGTGCAATGACTGGAGGTTATGTCGATGCCAGGAGGTCACGCCTCGATGCAGTACGGCGAGTCGGCCAGATGCGAGATCTGTATGAACAACAGTTGGCGGACATCGACAAAATCCGCAAAGAAATCGAGGTGGTCGATCAGAAAGTGACGAGCGCGAGCGGCGAGGAGCACAAGCTGGAGCAGCAAATGCGCCAGTTCGAGTTCGGGTTCGAGCCACTCAAGATGGAACTGCGAACGAAGAACGCCCAGCTAGAGCGCGAGCGAGCTCACCTCGAAGCGGCTATCGAGCGGCAGGCCCAGGTGGAGAAGAACCTCAAAGACTTGGACGACTCCATCTCGACATACCAGGCCGAAATTTCCCAGGACTTTAAGAAGGCTCTGTCAGCAAACGAGGAACGGCAGTTGGAGGAGTTTACGGCCGAAGTACATCGGCTGCAACGGGAGCTGAAGGAAGTCAGCAAGAAGCGGTTTGAGCTCGAAGGCCGTAAAAAGACTCTCGAGACCAATTTGCAGAGCCATCTCCGGCCACAGGAGGACCAGCTTCGGAGTCAAGCCTTTGAGAATTCGACGGCTGGGGGCAGCGAGAGCTTCAAGGACGCCCAGAGGGAGCTCAAGAAAGCCCAGCGAGCCATGGCCGAAGTTGAACAGCAGCTGGAGGAGAACGAGCAAAAGACGGAGAAGGTGAGCGGCGAACTTGCCCAGCTGGAGGCTCAGAAGTCCCAGAGGGAGCAGGAGCTGCAAGAGTTGCAAAAGCGGATCGACCAGCACCAGAAGAGGATGGAGAAGAACATCCAGACGAGAGCTCGCCTAGTCAGCCAGGCTGCCGAATACGCCAAGAACATCCGGGACCTAGGTATCCTACCGGAAGAGGCGTTCGGCAAGTACGAGAAGATGAAGCCGGAGCAGGTAAGCTTTTTGGTCACAACGGTTCCAAGACAGCCCACTAACGGCAGCAGATCGAGTCAAAGTTGCGGAAGGTCAACGAGGCCCTCAAGAAATACAAGCACATCAACAAGAAGGCGTTCGACCAATACAACAGCTTCACCACACAGCGCGACCAACTCCTGAAGCGGCGGAAGGAGCTCGACACGTCGCAGATGTCGATCGAGGCACTGATTGAGCATCTCGACCAGGAGAAGGACGAAGCAATCGAACGCACGTTCAAGCAGGTCTCGCGGGAGTTTACCACCATCTTTGAGAAACTGGTCCCGGCAGGCCATGGCCGCCTCGTGATCCAGCGCAAGGCGGACCGGGCGAACAAGAAGCGCAACGCCGAGGAGTCAGACGAGGAGCCAACGGGTGTCGAGAGCTACACGGGCGTGGGCATCTCGGTCTCGTTCAATTCCAAGGTCATGGACGAGCAGCAGAAGATCCAACAACTGAGTGGTGGGCAAAAGAGTAAGCATTGACCCCCTTCCCCCTCACACTCCCACCAGAAACCATTATCATGTTACTAACAACATTATCTAGGTCTATGCGCCCTCTGCCTGATCTTCGCCCTCCAGGCTGCCGAGTCCAGCCCCTTCGTCATCTTCGACGAGGTTGATGCCAACCTGGACGCGCAGTACCGGACGGCGGTGGCCAGCCTACTGATGAGCATCTCGGAGGAGCAGAAGACGCAGTTCATATGCACGACGTTCCGGCCGGAGATTGTGCTCGTGGCAGACAAATGCTATGGTGTCACCTTCCACAACAAGACGAGCACCATTGATTGTGTACCGACGGAGGAGGCGCTGAACTTTGTTGATGGGCAGAAGAAGTGAGGGGCACAACCTGGGTCACGGCAGTTGTTGCGAGCTGTATATGCGAGTCGCACGGCCGGGGGTTGGAACTGGATCGGGGATGTATTTGTGGTATCTGGTGGACGTACGGGCTGTGTGGGAAGAGGCGTTGGGCCGGTTTGCTTCAGCACCTAGGTGGGACACCCGGAGTCTAGCCTACATTATTATTACCTCGTTAAGGTAGGTAGGAGTGCGTGTGTATCTTCGTATGAGTGGGCGCGGCTTGTTGCTTTGATTTGGACTATACCTAAGATACCTCGGTATCTGTATGTACATACCTATTTGCTGAGCTCTTGTTTCTTACTGCAGTACGAGACAGGGGGAACGCAGCTCCCTACCCCTGAAGCTATGAGCTGAGTGACAGTTGACGTCGTGAGCCCCACTTCAATTGCGATGTGATTCTAGAAGCTACCCCACCATTCACGGCTCCTGCTAAGAGAACCAACGACGACAAGACATGAACTTGACTCAGTGACAATATCCATAAATTTGCAAGCTTTGACGCTCATTATCTTCTACGAACCGAGCGAGAAATCTCGAGCATCGCGGAGACACCGCCAACAAGCACGATGCCGGTTGACTACAGCAAATGGGTAAGAAAAGAAGACGAAAACAACCCCGCAGAAGACCACCTTCTGTCTCTCCATCCCAAGGCATTCATTCAGTTAACTAACCCCCTATTCAGGACGCGCTCGAGCTCAGCGATGACTCGGACGTCGAGGTACATCCCAACGTCGACAAACGGTCCTTTATTCGCGCGAAGCAGAGCCAGATCCACATGGAACGCCAACAACGGAAGCGTCAGATCGAGACCCTCAAGTACGAACGTATCATCAACGACAGCCTTATCAAGCGCATATCATCCCTCCTCTCCTCTTTAAAAGCGCATGCCTCCGATGCGAAGTCAGGAAACCCGGGGGAGGTGGCCTTCCGGGCGGTCATGGAGTCGGCAGCCGGACTAGACCCCAAGGACGACCAGCCCCCGCCCCGCCCAGAGGCCGTCCACGACGCCGAGGAACAGCTCCCCTCGTATACCAAGATGATGGCCACGCTCCTGGACCAGGTAAACAAGGCCCTTGACGAGAAAAAGATTAGCCAGGATGAAAGATACGATGGCATGGTGGCCGAGATCGGGGAACACCTCCAAAAGGTCACCGACCTGCAGGGCGAGCTGATCAAGAAGCTCGCCGAGCTCGAGAAGGAAGAGTCGAGCAAGATCACCAGCGAAGGAATCCACACGGGCTTCGACAGCTCTCACGTCAACAAGTACACCTCCTCCGCCTCCGGCTCGGGGGCCAAGGACTCCTCCAAAGTCGAACTCCTCAACCCGAACTTCACCAACACCGGCTCCGTCCCCGCCGCATCCACCTCCGCCTCCAGCTACGACGACGACGAAGAAGTCACCGCCTCCCCGCTCGCCAAGAAATTCGCCCTCATCAAATCGACCTCCTACCGCGACTCCCTCGCCTTCCTCTCGGAGCACCCGCAGATCCTGACCGAGAAAGAGACCGACGGCCTGCTGATCCTCGCCTTCGACGCGCAGCTGGAGAACCGGTCCGACTACGCGCGCAACTGCGTGCACCAGGCGCTGCTGCTGCAGTACTGCCGCTCGCTGGGCCGCGACGGCGTCGCCCTCTTCTTCAAGCGCATCTCCACGCCGGGGCACCAGGCCCAGGAGGTCTTCCACAAGGACGTCCAGGACACGTACGCCCGCATCCGCACCCGCACCCGCGAGATCGTGCTGCAGCGCGCGAAGGATGAGGCCGAGGGGAAGGGCGGGCAGGAGGGGGTCGAGCAGATCCAGCTGCATGCCGTCGAGCCGGGGACGGTTATTAATATTAAGATTCCGGATGCTGAGGGCGGGGATGAGGAGGCCAAGAGGGGGAGGCAGATCTTTGAGGGGTTTACGGCGGATATGAAGCGGGCGTTGGAGACGGGGAAGCTGGACGAGGTGAATAAGGTGCTGGGGGAGATGAAGGTGGAGGAGGCCGAGGATGTGGTCGGGAAGTTGGGCGAGGTGAGTTTCTTCTGCCCCCCCCACTCTCGGGAGGGGGTTTGTTTACTATGGGTGATGTGATGTGGCGTGATGTGCTAACGGTTGAATAGGCCGGTATTTTGAGCCTCGAGGAGGAGATTATCGATGCTACTACAGAACAGGGCAAGGAACAGTGGAAGAAGCTCGAAGAGGAGAATGCGGCCAAGTATGATGACCCGGAGTGAGGGGCCGAGGGTGGGTAGGGGTGCTTGTATGTGTCTAGGATGTCGTCAATACCATCGGTTGTCTGTCACTCGGGTTCGTGTGTCGAGTGAGTGTGATGTCCTTGACGACTTCATCTGCGTGGTAAGTGTCTACCCCAAACCTTGATTGCTTTGTTTGAACGTTAAGACGGTTTCTGCCTCGGGAATTACTTCATTTCCGTACCTTCCACTCCATCCATCTATCTATTCTTTTGTTGTTTCGAGTGGGTGGGTGACCCTCCGAACCACCAACCTTCGCAAGTCTCTTTTCCCACCCACTTCTCCCCCTTTCTCGGTCCCTCCTTGTTTACGTGTGCTGGGAACGAAACCCGCTTTGTTACAAGCTGGTTACCAAACTTCTACAGCTTTACGTATCAGCTTTATATGCCGGTTTTGTTTTACACCACACGATATCTATTCTCTTACTACCACTCCCACGACCCATCCACGTTTCCGGGTTACATTTCTATCTCCCACCTTTACCCATATAGTCTTCCCTCTTTCTTACTCTTCCTCCCCCCTCTTCCTTTTCATCTCAGTCTCTTACGTTTCTCTATCTTTGCCTTCTACTGGCTAATCTCGCAGCATCCTCACTCCTAGTCACCGTACCTGACTTGCACAATACCTGTTCACTCGCCGGCCAGATGACTACTGACTTGGCTGAGGACGTTCCTCCGACGTCGCACGCAACTATTTCGCAAAGCCACATCTTTACCATGCAGGAACCAACCCAGATGGTGACCGACCTCGCCTTTGCCCAGGGTTGGAGCTTCACTAGGGTCACTGCTGACGTAAAGTCTCAAGAGTCTACATCGTCGGCGACGGCTGACGCCTCGCCCCAAGGGCCAGTTCCAGAAGTTCCTTCCCCGGACATAACGGGGAGCGAAGCCAGGAAGACCGAGGCCCCAGCCCAGACTGCAACATCCACCGGTTTGTGACAAAGCTCATAAGTAACGCGGAGCCCGGTACTGACCGTCTCGGACATCACAGCGGAGCCGTCCCCGTGGAAGGACTCTCAAGCCCCCACATCCATCAATGATAAGTCTTCGGACGACGAGGATGGCGATTTCTTCGTAGCCATCCGCCGCTGCAAGAGCAAGAGCGTTCTTGCGTCACAGCCAACTACAAAACCAATTTTGTCTGTCCCAGCAGGGGTTCTCGCAGCTCATCCACCAAGTAACCCGGCTGGGAACGGACTCCCGGAGCTTCTGTCTCCCGACGACTCGGCGGACAATGGGACGAAACCCGGAACCATTTCACAGGGGCTGTTTGGTGTTAAGAGCAGCGGCTTCCTCACTGGGTACGACTACACCGGCCACAAACGACACAACCTGAAAGCCGGCGAGCCCAACACCCTTCAAGGGTCAGACAAGACTACACTCCAACACTCGCGCAAAAGACCATCTCCGGAAGTCATCGATCTCACCGATCTTCCAGACAACCCAAACAGCCCGGGCAACGGTGTCGTTCCTTCGAGCCGCAAAACCAAGAGGCGCCGTCTCGATGAGCAGGGCCGCGAAAAGCGGCACAGGTCCCAGCGGGCGCATTCACAGGCTCACGATGATTCTCGGGACGCGAGGAAGCGCTTGTCTTCGGAAAAGCGCAAGGCCAAACACTTGTTTGGGGACAGGGGCAAGTCAGTCCCACGCTCATCGGCCTCGCGAAAGAGCAAGGAGTCGTCACGGCGTCGGCATCTTCAGGGTCTTCATAAGGACGATCGGCACAGGGAGAAGGAGAGAGCAAAACCTCGGGATCAGCAGGTATCCGGCGAAGATGCCCGTCAAGAGGCTACCCGGGGTGTTAAGCAGACGCCTCACGGACAAGGTTCTCAAGAGGCTTCTCAGTTGCTGCGTGGTGGATCACTTCCTGGCTCTAAGCAGGGAAACAATCAACAAACGCGGCCAACAGACCGCCCGCAGCCCCATCAAACTCTCTTGGGGCCTTCTGTAGGGCCGTCCCAAGCAGCTCGCCAGCAGCCTCGTCAGGGGCCACGGCAGATATCACACCCATTTCTGCAACCTAGGCACGGGCGTGCCGGGGCAAACGAGTCAGACCTGATATCGCGTCAACAACCGCGTTCACAACTGCTCCAGACTCTAAGTCAGCAACAAAGTTCCTTATCTACCCAAGCCGGCCACCATAACAAAGTTAACACTACCGGGCCGAATAAAGAGCCCGTCAATACCAAGAAGGGTCAACAAACTCAGTCAAACGGCGGCGACTTGCCAGCCACCAACCAAGATGATGTCGACTTGTTTCGAACCTACGCATCCAAGGTACCCGAGAAAAGAACTGCGCAAGTTGTCTCTGGTTTGCCAAACAGCGGTAACAGGAACTTAGAGCGGAATAGGGCGAGTCAAAGAAGCGAACCTCCCGCCCCCCCTCAACTACTCAATCGTCCATCTCAACTAAATCCAGCACCCGTGCCCAACCGCCCGGCAAACCAACCCTACCAACCCCCAGGACCAGCAGGTGGGCGAAAGCACCAGACCAGTAGTCTAGGCCAGTCGAGGAACGTTTTCCAGCCCAAACCCAGTCAATCCCGCTCCAACCGCCAGTCGCGGGCCAACTTACTTTCTGACCAAGCTATCGTTCCACCTGACCCTCCCCTTTTTTCTCAACCATCCCTTAACTACCGCCGACCACGGGCTGCCGCATATTACCCCCTTCACCACTTCCAACAGCGACAGCAACAACAGCGATCCTTCCATGACGATTTCCCGCAGCAGCCCGTCCCACCGCGGGAATCAGTATCCGCCGTCGAGGCCCTAGGCTCAGACCGCACGGTGATCCAGTACGTGGTGTACCGCACGCCGCGGTTTACCACGCCGTCCGGCAGCGACGACGAAGATGCAGAGCAGCTCCTCCAGCAGGTGAAGAGCACCAAAGCCGTCCGCTGCAGCCAGCACTTCTCCCTGCAAGCAGCCAACTCGCAGGCCGCGGCACACCAGGACCGGCTGCAAAAGGGGGTTGTGGGGAAGAGCTGGTCTATGGTCCGGCCGCTACACTCTTCCATCAACACCACCACCAACACCTCCTCATCCACCTCCTCCACCCCCTCCCTACCAACCTCCACCGCACCTACCCAACCCCAAACCCAACCCCCAAACCACCCCCAGAATCAAAATCAAAACGAACCCCTCCTCTACTCCGGCCGCGTCACCTTCACCAACAACACGACCCAGCTCTTCTGGGTCGCCACCGAGACGCGCGACCTGGTGGGCGAGGTGGCCGGGGTGGCGGCACGGGACATGGCGCGGGCGGGCGGGTATTCGAACTTGCGGGTGGACCGGGCGGGCGCGGGGATTTATACGCGGCGGCGGTTTGATGTGTGGTCGCGGGTGTATTTTGGGAGGGGGGTTAGTGGTGGTGGTGGTGGTGGTGGTGGTGGTGGCAGTAGTGGTGGTGGTGCTGGGGGGGAGGGGGTGGTTTTTGAGTGTGGTGGGGAGGGAGTTGAAGGGGAGGGAGTTGAAGGGGGAGTGAGTGGTGATGGTGAGGAGAAGGGGGAAGAGGGTGGGGATGGTAATGGGGAAGTTGGGAGTGGGGAGGATAGCGAGAGTAGGAACGGTGAGGAAGAGGGGGTTGAGTCCGGGGAGGTTACAGGACCTGATACTGGAGGCGGCAAGGCAGATGAGGACCAAACCGAACGAGTACCGGAGAACGCGGCCATCTCTCCCAGCGCCCGGCCGGAACCAAACCACCAAAACCCAGAGCACGTCACAACGCAAGAAACCCACAAGCAGACAAACGAACCTAACGACGAAAGTGACAGCGAACCCGACTCTGAAACCGACTCCGAACCCACCACCACCACAACCACCCCCACCTCGCCAAACCCAACAACAACAACAACAATCACCCTCCCCCCCAACACCACCCCCCTCGACCTAATAACCACCCACACCCAACTACACTCCACGCACACCACCCTCCCATCCGCGAACCTCGCCGCCCTCACCACCTTCCTCTCCCTCGCCCGCCCGCGCAACAGCGCGATCGAGGACCACCACCACTACCGATACGAAGTCGAGCCCGCGATGACGGCGCGCTTCGCCGAGGCCGGCATGGGCTTGCCGGGCTGTGAGGCTCCGGTTGAGTTGGAGTGGGATCCGCCTGTGGGGAGGCCGTTCCGGTGGGGGTTTTGGAGGGTGGTGGTGGAGGTGGTGGAGAGCGAGTTGAGGGGCCCGGTGGATTTGGGGGATTTGGTTGTTGAGGGGGGGGAGGGGGGTGGGGGTGGGGATGGGGATGGGGATAGGGATGGGGGGTTGAATGGGGCGGGAGCGAGAGTGGGAGGGGGTGGTGAGAAGGGTGTTGAGGATGATGGGAGGGCCGAGGCGGGAGGGAGGGAACTGATGACGGCTCTGCTGGATTTGGTGGAGGAGGAATTGGGGGAGGAGTCGGAGGAGGAGTCTGAGGGGGAGGTGAGTGAAGAGGAATGAAGTGGAAAGGGGGTTGGGCAGCTGAGCTGTGGGGCTCAGTCGAATCCCATATCGCGAACAAAATGGAGTCTGGGACTGAAGGAGGGAGACGGGCAAGATGAGACTGGTAACTACTGGCGGAATCAACCATCAGCCGAGCTTCACAACCAGGAACAGAGCCATGCAAGTGAAAAGAGCGTTAGTTAAATTGTGCCATGTCTCGACTAAAACCCATACACACGGGCTCACGCAGCCTGCTTGAACTGCCACCAGTCAAAGTTGTAGTTGCTGCCAGAGAAGTTGAAAAACAGATCCTGCTTGCCCTCGGCGCCAGTAACAGGGCACGAGATTGTCTTCCATGTCTGCGCGCCACCAGTAGCATCAACAGCACACGTTGCGATGACCGTACCGGTCTGGCTGCCCACACGGAGCTCGATCTTTCCACCACCAGCCGCGGCAGCAACCCGGAGGTCGACGGAAGCGGCCCCGGTACCAAAGTCGACGCCCTTGACCTTGATGTAGTCGTTGTCGCTGATCGAAGTCACGTAGATGCCGCCGTCACTCTTCGCCGCCGTGGTCAGACCCGACGAGAAGGCGATGGTCTCGGCCTCGACCTGCTGGTACGGGTTCAGGGGCTCGATCTGCGGTGCGCCCGCGTCCGTCATGACCATCTTGGGGATGCTGCCATCGGCGTCGTAGGTGAACTGCTCGACGCAGACGGAGCGGGCGTAGGTGCCACCGTTGGGGAGGGCGCCGTTGTGGTAGAAGAAGTACGAGCCGCCCTTGTAGTCGATGATACCGGCGTGGTTGGTGAACGACTTGCCCTGCGGCGCCATGATCTGACCCTTGAAAGCCCAGGGCCCGGTCGGCTTGCTGCTCGTCGCGTACTTGATGTCCTCGTTGGCGCCGCCGAAGCCCGAGTAGGTGAGATACCAGGTGCTGTTGCGCTTGTGGAGCCAGGGGCCTTCGATAAAGTCCTGGACCGAGGTGCTCGTAATAGCACCGCTATACGACAGCATATCCTCGTTCAACTTGACGTAGTAGGCACCAGAGTGGCCCCAGTACATATACGCCTGGCCGTCATCGTCGATCCAGACAGTCGGGTCAATACCTCCGTTGGCCAGCAGCTCCTTGCCCAGGGCGTCCTTGTACGGTCCCGTAATGCTGTCGCTTACGCCGATACCGATGGCATAGCCTCCGCTGTTCTTCGTCACCGGCACGTAGTAGTAGAACTTGCCGTCCCGCTCGATGACCTGACCTGCCCACGCATCTGCTCTAGCCCAGCTAAACGTCTTGAGGCTCATCATGACGCCCCAGTCCCTCCAGTTGACCATGTCTGTCGACGAGTAGAGGCGCCAGTCTCTCATGTCGTAGTTCGTCGCGCCGCTCTCGTCATGGCCGGTGAACAGCCAGACCGTGTTGTTCCACACGTAGGGTGCCGGGTCGGTGGAATAGAGGGTCTGGATGATGGGGTTATCGGCCTGCGCGACATGGACGCTGCCGCCGAGGAGGACGCCCGCGATAGCGATGCCCCTGAGCATCGACTTGGTAGGGCCGAACATGATGAGAGGATGCTGGTTGTGTGGCTACTCGAATCCGGTGGGCTTGGGCTTGCGTGCCTGATAGCTGAGACCCTTCCCCATGTTCTGCCTCTGCGGGCGGTTGCATATTTGTATTCTCATGTCAGTGTGGTCATGTGTGGTATACTGACCTCTCGGGCAGTCTGAGAATGAGCCGCATCGTTCCCCGAACGAATGAGGCTCCGGATTGGAGCGCAAGAAGCTTCTTTCTCTGAATAGCTTTCGGATTGGAGCGCGAGAGCTACCCGTCGAGACAATTACCAGTCCCGAGCACCGTCACCAGGGATTGGTTGGGTAAATTGGATTTGCGTACCAGGTAGGCATGATCATTCCCCAAATACCGGGTTGAAATGGAACTGTACCTCCCTGGCGGGTAGCAGCCTTTTCCCTGAATAAACCCGGAGAATCCATGAAAGGAATTACACGGTGAGGCTCTCCTCTGCATGGAGGGTCAAAGCGAACAAACCTTCACCGATGAGACGGACCGGCGTGTATCCTGTTGGATTGGAGCGCCTACACTATACATTGGCTAAATTCATGGTATCATATATATATTGTGTGAGCTTAGTTGGGCACAGATACCCACTGGCCGAGACCCACGACTCAGGGGCTCATCTCCACGCCGATACCTTTTCCGTCGGTGTCGGCAAGATGCGCGGTAGGTAGGACTAACGAGACATCCTTGACTGATCCCGCTCTGGTGGCCCAAGCCGCATTATCGTTTGAAGAGAGGAGTCAGTATTGGATGACGGGCTTGTAATGTAGAGGGCAAACTAGCCAACGGCATGAGCGAGACGGATTTATGTTAGATAACAAGGAACTACACAGTAGAAGACTTGTTGCGTGGATCATATCGCTTGTCTCATATACCTCGCCTGCAATCAATATATAAGCAACTACTTCGTACTACACGTCACCCAGTAGTATTCGAAAACGAACCAGTCCAGTTAAGAGTCAAGTATAGAAGACCTTTACTGGAAAAGCAGTGGGATTACCACTAGAACGTGGAGGGAACTGTACCTATTCTATCCTAGATCTTGTTATTTATAGGCGTCGGTAATGAGTCTTCTAGCAAGTTCCTAACTTTGAGGCAGTTTGGGATTGAGGGTGAAGTAAAACTTACCGTCATCGCTATGCATTTTAAATATCATACCCGACTTCAACCACAAAGAGAAGTTCAAAAGGCTCGGTAAGGTGTATGTACCTTCTTTCTTTCCTTCTCTCTCTTGCACTTATATACGACTAAGTCCCCTCTTAGACAGCTTCGTGTGCTCCGGCAGGATGTCGTTCCGCTCGGGCGGGGGGACTTCTTGCCGACGAGCAGCTTGCTTATCTAGGTAGTCGAGCGTCCACTGTGCAAGGTAACATTACCCCGAGGCAGCAAGCTCAGGCGCTCAAGGCTCAGTAGGTATCTCACTTTCAACATCATACGGTACCTGGGAAAGATACAAACCCGCTGCTTTCGCCATGGCGGGCCCTCCACGCGCTTACGGTACCATTTCCGTGTCCTCGGGATGCCTCTGCTTTGGTGAGCTGCACAACATTTGGAATGGCGTATCGATGCCTGTGCAAGGCTTTCCCACGTGTCGAGCCCAGGTATCTGGGACCGTCATGAAGCAGCCTATAGAATTCAACATTGCTGCGCGGAACGGGACGTGGAATGCCTTTCGACTCATCGACCTGGACACGAGGGAGGTAGCGGCATGGTTTCTTGCCCACTCCGACGTCGACCCGAAGAGAGAATTCGACAGGATCAACGTTCCAGCGAGAGACAGTGGTCCGACGGCGGCGCGTGGCTCCATATCCCCGGGAGTGAATACATGTTTGGCCGCTTTGGTTTCGACGACGATGGTGCCGCAGCTCGCTCGTTTCTCTTCTTCGCTACCAACACCAGCTTCGCGTGGACCGTTTTCGAGGGATTGGAACCGGCCCTGGGGAAGGAAGAAACTCCAAGAGAGAGGTTAGAGCGCAAGCTACGGGAGGGCTTCGACTTCTCCGGACTCGACACACTTCGCGAGCTATCTCGAGTGCCGGAGTACGGTATATCGTCTCTGTTCCCACCACCGCCGCCGCGGACCGATTGTCTTGGCCCGTACAACCGGAGCGATCATGTCTTGAGGGCGCAAGAGATCAACGCAATCCGCGTGTATCGAAATGCCGAGGAGATGAAGCTAGTTCTCCATGGACGCGACCTGACCTTTATCGGTCTGGGGACAACGATTGGCGAGTTTATCGAGCCTTGGACGGAGCCATTGTACGACCTTGTGAACGAAATGCTCCTGAGCTATCTGCAGCGGACCGTCATTCCACACTCTGCTGCCGTCGAAGTGTTATTCCCTAGGCACAGAGAAGACGGGCAGTTGGATGTTTGGTGCCACCGCCATTTCAGACAGCCAGGCGCTCTGCCCATACCCAGCTTCGACAGCGCCTACGTGAGCAGCCGAATCGCATCGTTCTTGTCTCGATTCGGAGATGTGCCTGTCGTGTTGGAGGACGAATGCGTCGCGGGCATCACGAGGGCGGTGGCCTACATGCTTACCAGGGTATTAGATTTGGCTAACCGTCGTTCGATCAAGGCCGGTGAGCACGCGGGGATCATGCCAACTGACGTCCGGATGGCCGTCTACCATGATGCCCAGCTGCGTGATCGCTTCCAGTTTTCAAGAGTTTACTGGGAGGGAAGGATCGGCTCAAGCTCCCCGGAATAACAGGACCGGGTGGCTGGAAAGAAGGAAGCGGGTATTATTTGGACATGGCTCGGTTGGGACACCGACCAGCAGGAGATGGTTGATTCCTAGGTAGCCATTAGGGAACCGGGCGGAGTGGGATGAATGAAGTTGATGAGATGAGACGGCGGGGTTGTATGTCGGTAGATACGAAGTAGGGGAACGAGAGTTTGATCGTTGTAGGTCATACCTAATAAATATGACCAGGCCGACAAGTAGAATCTAAAATAAGTGTATCCTCCTCGTAAAGAATATTTTATTGTTTTGGGAGGGATGAACGACCGGTCGGCATCGTAAGGTTGTTACGAACCGTTGAAATCAGCTGTGCAATGCAGTGGCCAAGCCAGGGAATCCAGTGGGGCAAGGCCGCTGAAAACGTCCCAACTTGGTTTGGATTGGCGCTATCCCCGCCGGTGGGGACACCTGGATTTGGGACGGTTGCTGCTGGTCCATGTGTTTGAAGACGGCCCAGACGTCATCAAGCAGCCGTTTAAACGAAAAACGGCTCAGGGCGATTGAACTCGACCAACCACCTAATTCGCCAACCAGCAACTACCTCCGCCAATTGACACAGGCAAGTTTGCGGCAAGCTCCCCGCAGCGGCAGGTACAAACAGCGAGAACGTTTACATTTCATATGGCACAGGAGCGCATTGCCTACATAGCCTGTGTTCCGTTGTTTGTTTTCGTCGATTGGATCTGAGAGAAGGGTTGAGATTACGGAATAGTGTTTCACCACCATCACCCGTCCCGACGCCATGGCTGAGAACTCGGCTTCGGAGCATACTCCCCTCCTCGCGACCGATCCCCCTTCTCCCGAGACCGTACGAGCATCGAGGCCCCCTCGAACCGTCACCTTCAACCCCAATCCCGTCAGCAAAACCATCGAGCCCGAAGCTGCCTACCAACAACATGTCCGTGGACATGCGCCGCAATCGCACCGCCCGCATACAAGCACATCCCCCATAAGTCCATCTACCGTCACCACCGGTGGGATAGGCGGCGGCCCGCCCATGTTTTCTGCCCTCAACAGCAGACTCCTCCGCCGCAACAGCCATGGCGGTGTCCCGAGCGGGCACCCTGGTGGCCTGCCACTAGTCGCCGCTGCCGCCGGCTTGCCCAAGATCGGCCCGCAACGCAGCACCAAGAACGCCCAGAAGCTCAAGCTCCTGCCGACCCCCGAGCACGAGGGGGACAGCGACGAAGAGAGCGGCCGCGATGTCTACTCCCAGTACACCCGCATCAAGGACCCAACCGCCCGCCGAGATGCCGCCCGCCTGGGGAAAGCAGACCGCGACAAGCTCCCGCGCGTCACTGCGTACTGCACGGCGAATAGATACCAGATGGACGGCCTACAGCGCTTCATGAAGGGGAGGGGGAAAGGAAGGGGGGCGAACCCCAAGCTGATCGACGAATGCATCTACACGCCGTACAGCTACAGCTCCAAGCAGGTGCAGAACGCACGCCAGGCGAGTTTCCTCGAGGTCCAGTCGAACCCAGAAAGACGGCACTCGACAGGGAACCTCCACGACGACATTCCTAGCGAATCCAGCCATTCCGCTCTTGGTAACGGCCTTGCCGAACCCCACGACGCCGCCGCCGACGACATCCTCATCCAGGATATTCCCGAAGAAGCCCTAGCCGACGAGATCGTCGAATTCGACATCCACGTGCACACGCCCGAGGTCTTCCTCTTTGAGTACGGCGTCGTAGTAATATGGGGCATGTCGGCCACGCAAGAGCAGCGCTTTCTCAAAGAGATCTCCAAGTTTGAGCTCGAGAAGCTCGCCCCTGACGACGTCGAGACGGAAAAGTTCAACTTCTACTACACCCACGAGTACCAGGCCCGCATCTACAACGACTTCATCACCCTCCGCGACAAGGGCAACTACATGACCAAGCTAGCCATCTCCCACGCCCTCGCGCAGAGCGTCAAGGTCAGCCCCCCCCCCCCCCCCCACCTCCCCCTTTCCACTGTAATCCAACCAAAAAAAGCATCGACTGACTCTACTCCAGACCTCCCTCTTCGAAGAGCTCATCGCGTCGACGATCGACACGTGCAAGAACATACCCGCGCAGCTGGCGCTGACGGGCAAGATCGCGCTGACGCGCAGCGAGATCAACATGCAGATCGGCGAGCTCTTCATCCTCCGCATCGGCGTCCACCTCAACGGCTCCGTCCTCGACACCCCCGAGCTCTTCTGGGTCGAGCCCCAGCTCGAGCCCGTCTACCAGGCCGTCCGCAGCTACCTCGAGATGGACCAGCGCGTCGGTTTGTTGACCGAGCGCCTGGATGTCATTGCGGATCTGTTGGCCGTGCTGAAGGAGCAGTTGAGTCATGGCCATGGGGAGAAGTTGGAGTGGATTGGTATGTTTTTTTCTCTCTCTTCTTTTCTTTCGCTGTGTTGGAATGGATGATTAAATACTGACCCCTTATAGTGATTATCCTAATTGCGGCCGAGATCGTGGTCGCGCTAGTAAATATCGTCGTCGACCTGTGGGTGGGGATTTGAGGTGTTGGCTTTCCGAGCGTGAAACTCTGGCATAAGGGACGGCTCTCCCGCCGTTCCCCAATCCTTGGAGTATCGCATCGCATACCTGGCGTATTATAACGTGTGCTCGGAGTTCCGGGCCCTTGGGCTGGCGTTGGTTCGGAAGATATCGTTTTGGAGTGGCAAGCAGATCGGTTCATCAGCGTCAACTACATGTACAATCAACTGTATTTTTACACGCAGCATAAATTGCGGATAGAGCAGTGCTTCACGGCTTGTGTCCGTGTTGAATACGATACCTGGTATTGGAATAGTCGTTGAATGAGCCAGCCCTTTACTCCGATATGCTGCCAAGGGATAGATATACCTTCAATGCCAAACGGGGGGTGATGGGTAACAATAGGTGTTGGCAGGTGGCATCCTGTAGTAGTTGAGCCTGGGGTTGCTTGACTTAAGTCTAGGAGGCCGCCGTCGAATACGGTTTCATTCTTCCCTCCAAGTTAACATCATGGTAGCCACACTGATATAGAAAGCCTCGGTGTATAATTACTCAGTAAAGCCCACCCCCTTAGCAAAAGAAGCGGAAGACCATGTCCGTTGACCCACACACGCCTTGCCCTGATATCCATCCCAATCCGCTCGAAACCAACCGCAAAGAAATAATGTTACAAACAACACCTAACGAAACCCTATACCGCTCCCATTGTCGCAATTGGTCCTGGAAAAATGCGGACAGCGGGCCTCCCCAACCGCCGAGAAACAAATGCATGTCGCGGATGGCGGACTAGCCTCGGAAGTTCGCTTCGATGTGATAGAGACAGACCCGGGCAATCTCACCACTTCGCGTAGCTTGTGTGATCCTGCCGTGGTCAAGGCTCACCACACCGGGGTTCTTCGTTGACCAACCGGGGGTTTCGTAGGCCCCAGATTATCCTCCACCCTGGCGGCGCCGCCATTCTTCGTAATATCTCCGTTGGTAGCGCCCACCTCGATACCCAGTGGACCGGTGAGGCCGAGGGGCGGTCCGGCCCGGGGGTACCCGCTGGTCCGGGGGACTCTACTCCTCGGTCCTCTCCCCCTGCGTCTCCTGGTCCGTGTCGTAATTTGTCATCTCAACATCCTCCTGCTGTGGCTGCTGCTGTGGTTCCCGTTCCTCTCCCGCCTCGGCCGCAGCCTGGTCCGACTCGGTCGACTCAGCTTTATCGTTACCCTCCTCCGCGGCCTCCTTGGCGCTGGCTGCGGCTGCGGCTGCGGCTTCCTTCTCCTTGGCGTCCTCGTACGCGTCCTTCTCCTTCTCGTACTCTGCCATTTGGCGGTCGGCGCGAGATTGGTACTCGTCGCGCTGGCTCTCGGGCAGGTCCTTCCAGCCGCTGGAAAGCTCCTCCTCCGTGGTATCGCCTTCCTTGGCCTTGGACCTGGCGTCTTCGCAGTACAGGTCGAATGCGCTCCCGGGCTTCTTAGGCGCGTCCTTGTGAACACCGTTGGTTTTGCCGGCGGAGTAGGCGTCCGAGCTAGGCGAGTGGACAAGCAGGTTCTGACTGATAAACGTCGTCGAGCCGGGGGTGGCGGCGTTGACAGACGACGGGGCTTCGAGGTTGGCCGGAAACGCCGAGGGCTTGCGGTGCCCACGCTTAATGCGCAACGGCTTCTCCTTGGGCTGTGATGGCGAAGAGGTTGGTGTCAATGATGGTTGTCGGTGCAGGGTGCGGGAGGGGGGCGTGGTTGGCGATCGCCCGAGACTTAGTTGTCCGGCTGGGAACTTACTGTCGGCGGTGGGCTCGGGCTGCCGTCTGAATCCTCCACGTTCGCGCTCGTTCGCTTCACTAACTGCTCGAGCAGGAAGGCTCGCTCCAATCGCATCTTCTCGACCTGGCGCTTAAGGCGAGCGAGGCGTAGCCTGGCTGCGTCGTTGGCTTCTTCAACCTCGCTGGTTCGTTGCTTAAGTTGTATGCATTTGCGGCGGTACGCTTCCTCCACCGAGGGAGGGAGCGCAGGCGGGACGGACGTGGCTGAGGCGGGAAATATCGTAGTTAGTAGGATGTACAACACAAAGTCAATTGTAATGAGGGCCATAAGCAGGAGGTGAACGCAATCCTCCAATCGATACCATCCACAAAGTCGCACTGGGAAATCATCGCTTCAACGTACCAGGAGCCATGTCGATCAAGGACAAGTGGTCTGCAGTGCCGTGCTGCGTGAGCTCAAAATAGAATAGTTAAGACGCGGATAGTAGAGCGCGCGGGGTGCTGGAACCGCGTGGTTTGATGGATACTCGAGGGTGTGGGGTTTGAAAAGGTAGGTTGATGCAATTGAAACTCGCGATCTCGGCTCGAGTTAAGTTTGGAGTCGAGATGGCAACAAGGCTGACACCCGCAAACCCGCTCATCCCTGTGCTCTGTGGTGGAACCTGATCAAGGGGAGCCACCCGTTGTTTCTGGAGGGTCTGGGTTCCCATTGGGCCTGGTACTGCGGGGCCAAGGCTGCCGTGTGTGTTGACTTCGATTTGCTTCACCAACTTTTTTTATGGATCTCTAGAGTGGGCAGCAGCGGGAAGCTTGAGTTAGCAAAGGTTGACTCGTGAAACGGCGACACTTCCGCCGAATTACCCCACGATCACCTCAAAATCACCGCCAATATGTCGTTGAATATTCCCAACGCGCCAAATGCCGGCTTGTTTAAGCAAGGCTACAACAGGTGAGTTAGCAGTGTTCTCTTCATGGTTCTTTTTTGTCCCTGTCTCTACCCCGCCATGGCAAACGCCCCCAGGCCCTAAAATGCGAGGTCATGGAAGTCCTGAGATATCTATCTCCATCACAACCCGGTACAATACAGTACTGACCAGCTCCCGTTCGCTCATTATAGCTACGATTCCGAAGATGGAGCTGTCCTACGAAACATCGACGCCTGCCGGGCCATCTCGTCGACAGTCCAGACGTCGCTGGGACCCTACGGCCGCAACAAGATCGTCATCAACCACCTGCAAAAGATGATCCTCACCTCCGACGCCGCCACCATCCTGCGCGAGCTCGATGTCGTCCACCCCGCCGCCAAGCTACTTGTCATGGCCAGCCAGCAGCAAGAGTCTGAGATGGGTGACGCCACGAACCTCGTCATCGTCCTTGCTGGGGAGCTGCTCAAGAAGGCCGAGGATCTATTACGCATGGGGTTGAAAGCGTCTGACATCGTCACGGGTTACGAGCGGGCACAAAAGATTGCCCTTGAGACGCTCGAGGAGCTCGAGGTTGACAAGGTGGAGGACCTGCAGTCGCAGGAGGAGATCAGCAAGGCCATACGGACCGTCATCGCCAGCAAGCAAAACGGAAACGAGGAGTTTCTTGCCAACCTGGTCGCCGAGGCTGTGCTGTCTGTCCTTCCCAAGAACCCGGCCAACTTCAACGTCGACAACGTCCGCGTCGTCAAGATCATGGGCGGTAGCCTAGAGCAGAGTCGTGTCGTCAAGGGCATGGTCTTCCCCAAGGAACCTAATGGATCCGTAAAGAAGGCCAAGAAGGCCAAGGTCGGCGTTTTCACCTGCCCCATCGATATCACCCAGACGGAGACCAAGGGCACCGTTCTATTACACAACGCCAAGGAGATGATGGATTTCACCAAGGGCGAGGAGGAGCGCCTCGAGGCCGCCATCAAGGAGCTGCACGACGTCGGCCTGCGCGTCGTCGTCGCCGGCTCCACCGTCGGCGAGCTAGCCATGCACTACCTCAACCGCTACGGCATCCTGACCATCAAGATCCTCAGCAAGTTCGAGTTGAGGCGGGTATGCAGGGTCGTCGGCGCCACGCCGCTCGCCCGCTTGGGCGCCCCGATGCCCGACGAGATGGGCAGCATCGACGTGGTCGAGACCCAGGAGATCGGCGGCGACCGCGTGACCGTCTTCAGGCAGGAGGACGAGGCGACGAGGACGGCGACGCTCGTCCTCCGCGGCGCCACGCAGAACCACCTGGACGACATCGAGCGGGCCGTCGACGACGGCGTCAACGTCATCAAGGCCATCACCAAGGACCCGCGCCTCGTGCCCGGCGCCGGCGCGACAGAGATCGAGCTCGTCGAGAGGATACAGGCCGTCGGCGACAAGACGCAGGGGCTGGCGCAGTACTCCATCAAGAAGTTTGGCGAGGCCTTCGAGGTGGTGCCGCGGACCCTCGCCGAGAGCGCCGGTCTCGACGCCACCGAGGTTCTCAGCCGGCTGTATGCCGCCCACCAAAGGCAGGATAACTGGTCTACGGGCGTGGATGTTGAGGTGCGTGGTCACTAGTCGCCAGACAACGGAGTTTATGCTAACCGTCTCTCTAGAACCAGGATAACACCGGCACGCTGGACGCCGAGGAGGAGGGCATCCTGGACCTGCTGGTCAGCAAGCAGTGGGCGATCAAGCTGGCCACCGAGGCCGCTCGCACCGTCCTCTCGGTCGACCAGATCATCGTTGCCCGGCAAGCCGGCGGGCCGAAGCCCCCTGGACCCAACGCCGTGAGTTTACCCGGCCCCTCTTTGAGCGATGCGTGTTGCTAACCTGTGTGTGTCTCGGGGCAGAACTGGGATGAGGACTGAGCTTGACGAGTGCAAGTAGGGGGGTTGTTTGCCTGTCTGTCTGGCGCTTGTCTCGGGAAAATGGGGCAGGCCTTGGATTCGGGCCGAGGCGAGTCTAATGTTGGTGCTTGTCTAGACCTCTACATATCTTGTCGGGTGCAAACCTCCGTTGGCCTTGGTTTTACCCGTACGATCCGTGTGATTGTTTGCCTTGTGTCTCGTTTCGTATCGATAACAACCTGTCGCCCATGGTAATGCCAACGGTAACCTCGGGGTTTCTCTGGCGTGGCATACCGCCAGCTGGATTACTTGCGCAAAACGATGCTTCGCTTTTTGGGCTAGAAACGGTAGTAGATACTTTGTACTCAGCACCTATGCCATTTCCCCCAACCTCTTGGGTGCCCGGCTGGGAATAGCACACCGTCTCGGGCTCAAACTGCCCAGATGTCTATGCTAGCTTTTTATCTGCCCCTCACGGCAAAGCCATCGGTTCTGTCTCGTTTCACTGCCACCCCCCTCCACATCTTCGCTTCCCCGCTCGCTTTGGCCCCGGGCAGCGATGTCTGAGATAGAAAGAGGCTGAGACTCGGGTAGGGGATGCGTCTTGGCGTCCTTGCGCGAGAAACTACCTGACTACTAGCCCACCGACCTACGATGTGGCCTACGATGTACGTACTTCTGTCGTCTAAAGGTGTGGTGTTTGACTGATAGCGGGGGTATATGGCCGTGCGCTGGTGTCTCAACTCAAGTTTTGCTCTTCCTTTCCAAAGGGGAAGTCCGAGAGCCAGTGCTGTTGCCGTGGCCGTGGCCGTGTAGAAAGATCTTCCCCATACCCTCACTCACAGTCCTACACATAAGAGTAATTATTCAGGGCTGTTTTTACGAAGGTCAAGAACCGGCCATGACCCGCTAGTTAGGCGGGCGTCCATGGTTTTCCTACTTTCCTTCCCCTCTGCCTCCGTTCTTCGCGCACCCTCGCGATGGTGTCGTGACGGTGCTTTGACCTACCTATCTACCGACCTACGGACCTACCTACCTACCCATGAGGGGGTTGTGCGGGCGGGCCTCTGTTCTATCTGATCCCAAGGCCTGCACTCCTGCGTCGACCTGGTCCCCTCCCGCGTCCCATACCAACCTCAGCCCCGACGGCTTGGTCTTGTGCCACGGCCTGGGCGCACAGACCGACCGATCTTGTGCGTGTGCGTAAGTCATTGCAGATAACTAGTGAGTGACGGCATGGGGATGTGCGTCTTCATCGCGGAGATGGTTGCTTGCTCGGTTTGGCCCACTTGTTTGCGGTGTTGGGCTGCTATTCGTGGTTGTTACCTGGCGAGTTTGGGTTGTTTGTGAGCATCATTACTCTGTATGACCTGGATGGATTTCGTATCAAGGATAAAACCTTCCGAGACCTAACCTTTGGTAGGGAGTATGTAAGCTCACGGATGCCAAGGGTGTGGTGGTTGACTCGACGCGCTTTGCTCATGACTCGATCTCGACCGGGCCTGGCTCGTGGTCTGACTGACCGCCAACCTCTGATCGAGCGTTCCAGCGGCACCCGTTTTTGACATGTCTTGTTCTCTTACTCGAGATCAACGAGACCCCATCCACCCAGACCGGAAGCGGTGGAGTCTCCACGGGGAACCATCCTCATGTTCAACACACAGACATTTGGGCACACCGTCACGAGGCAGCGCGTTAACCGATTCCAGCCTAGGGCGAAGATCTGGAAGCCGGCATTCGCTGGCGCATCCCGCACTCGCAGGAAGGCGACGGCATGCCGAGCCACTGCACGTCGTCGAATGCGTTCTGGCATCGTTGCTGTCTTCGCAAGCTTGCTCACATGTGGCAAGTGTGTCGTGGTGAACCCGCTGGGATGGGTCAAAGCAACCTACCCACCGCCATGCTTCTGCGGGCTGACTGGTGTGCCGTTGGTGCGCCGCCCGCCTGGCTCGGTCTGGATGTATGGAGTGTGATGGCCCCGAGGAGCGCATATCGCTGCGCCGGGGTGGAGGAACGGCGGCCGACTTCGTCCACCAACATGCCAAGAAGAGAAGAAAGATGGACCTGATGCTCGGGCCCTGTTGAGGACCTTCCCAAACCAATCCCTTGCCCAACGGGTTGGGACCTGCTTCTTTGCTGTTTGTTCGTCCGTAATGAGCGGCAAAATGACCCGCTGCGTCCTGCATTCGGCCACCGTTGTGGATGGGTCAATGGCAACCGAAGGACACGGTAACAGTGGGAGGGATTGGTTCGGCAGTCAGCCCGCGGCCAGCGGCATGTCCAGCCGATCCGAATGATTGAACCTCGCGATTAGGCTGGCCGTTAAGATGCCCCTGAGTACCGTGGCAGCGGTGCTTTTGGTTGCGCGATGCCGAGCCTGCCCCATGGCGATCCCTTGGACGATCCTGATGACGGGTGTTCAGATTCGCTGAGATTGACTGCTGACCGGGGCAATTGACATGTCCACGGTTCCACGGGTAACAACTCTGGAGGTTGGTAACGAGGGTCCCACCTGCTCGGGGCCATCCACGGGCAAACAAAACACAGGACCTCTCATTATTGTGGGTTGCTTTTGCGCAGTAAATAGGTACATGCAACTATTCTGTACATCTGGACGTGCCTGAAAGCCCAAAACACAATTCCATGATGTGCTGTGATGGTTTGATGAACCCGGTTTGACGATGTTTTGGCTAACTCAGCTGGGAGCTCCCCCTCATGGATGTTCTGTGCTGAAACGGAAACGGGCGAGGTGCGGGGGGATGGGCTAATTTCTGGGGCCTGAGGGTTGGGTTATTTCTCGCCGTGTGCACGGATTACGATGCATTCGCAGCGTTACAACGGCCTTCCTCTGCAGGAGCGCTGCTGCTGCACTGCAACTCGAAAATCCCCGTCGTGGTGCCATTCTGTTGCTTCTCGCCAGTCGCCCGTTGCATCCTGCTCGGTGACTCGACCAGGCGAGGCCTCAACTTTGGCCTGTGGAGGCTCCCTTCAAATCCGAGCGGTGAGAGTTTCTGTCCTTGTCTTTGCAGACCTCCGAGGAGTACCGAAACCGACACGGTGCGGTCCTGCTAGGTTGTGGGAGCCTTGACCGTGTAACTACTGTTTAATAACTATAGCTCTGGAAATGAGCATGTCGTGTAGTTATTGCAAGCAATCGACGGTGGAGAAGAATGTTTCAACGGCTCTGCTTCGTGCGAGACGGGGATTGAGCGCCGCCATTGGTCGATCTTGACTGGGCAGACCCGAAGTCACGGAACAGCTTCCGTGCGGGATTCCCATCGATGCTGAAACGAATGCCTGACCGTTCTTGTTCTGGAAGGCTGAAGCAGGAGTGGCAGGCTGGGACATGTGCCGGGACGTCGTTTCAAACGGACCAGGTATGACTTTGTGAGGCTTGGGAGTTGAAACCGTTCTGAACCCTCAACCTGAAGAGGGTTGATGAGTCGTCCTTTCGCTGCAGCTTGTCCACCACAGTGCGGTCTCCGTAATTCCTCACAGGACCGCTAGGCTATGGAAAAAAGAGGGTTGAGTGGGTGTGTTGCATCAAAGAAGCTGTGCCCCCCACGGAAAGGTATCTCGAGACAAGGACGGATGTACCGTGGCGGCGATGTTGACGGCTCGACCTCACCCCGTATGATGCGGCTTCCGCCCGACCGAAGTTTTCGAGAAGGTCGCTGGCGTCGGCAACACCAAGGTGAAGTTCCGGCAAGTTAATGTGCTTCACGACGCAGTTTACCAGGCCGTTTTCACCGTCCGTTTTCGGTTTCGCGGGGGGGGGGGGGGGGGGGGGGGGGGGGGGGGGGGTGTTCCAGCCAATCCAAACTGCAGGTGACGGATCAATCTGCTTGCTGCTTTCTGTGGGAGCGATGCCGATTCGACCCAAGAGGCGGGATCAACGAGACCCTCTTTTGACGTCTCAGTTTCGGGGGATTTCTGCGTGGGGTGACTGCCATCACGAAGAAATTGGGAAACAGGCGAAAAAGTGAACGAAAGAGCGGGGCGGCAGGGATCCTCAACTATGTTTCGTTAGGAGAATAACTCTCGCATTCTCCTAAAAGGACTGCTGTAACTGAAATCGGAGGTTGGCAACCCCTGTTTGACAAGATCGCTTGTTCGCGAAGAGGAGCTGGCTTTCGAAGAGCAGAAGCCTTCTAGCGTCTCGATTGGCTTCCCGAGCCCGATCTCAGCAGCACTCCGAAGGCACGAGACGAATTTTAGCGCTGTCTTTCGCCGGTCCTGCATCACTAGGTCCTCCACCAAAAATCATGACTTCGCCGGAAGAGGAGGGTCTATTGATCTAGCGCACGGACGGTGCAGCGCACGGCTCTTCCTCAACCTGGATTATCCCATCACCTGGCTTCCATTTCGAAAAATGGAAAGCCGATGGAGGATCTACCGCATCTCGAACGATCTCCCATTGGGGAAGGCAGTCGAATGGCCAATGATGGACAGGTTCTCGAGCCAACGAGAGCAAACTCGCGAGGGATGAAGAGGCGGATCGCCGCAAGCTCTCAAGAAAACGCGAAAAGGGCACGGCAAACTCCGATTGGAGCTCGCGAGATATTGGATAATGTAAAGCCGATACCCATGGAATGAGGTGACTCAAGTAAGGAGAGGTGAAAGCCGCGTAAAAGTAACTAACCAACCAAAGCCGTGAGTGAGGTCTTGGAGGCTCCGAGCAGACATGGAATGTCGTGGGTGCGTGGCTGCATCGGGTGGCGATTACACGAGTCGGGCAACCGAATCGTCTGTTGTTGCTGCTTTCGGGAACCTTGCACAGCTAACTAGCGAGGTTCGTCCGAACACAGGCATGGCTTGTTCGGAGAGAGAGAGAGAGAAGGCGGATTGCGTTCGGTCAATGATTTTTGACAGAGCTATCATCTTACCAGGAAGCTTCGGCTCTCAAGCGACAAACTGATACTGGACCATCACTCGATAAGGGCAATAATTCGATTTCGGCAAGTGCTCGCCGAGACCCAACGCCACGTGCGACAGCCACGAGCTGACGCTTGCTCACAACAAGGAAGGGTTCGTCCCGAGACAACAGCTAGCGTAAACCTTGTCATTTTCGGATACCGTCAGGACGGACATCTGCTGCTCGGCTTCGAAGCACGATTCGCTCCGGCCATTCTGGAATTTTCGGCACTGGGAAAAGAGGGGCTTGGCAATTATGCAACTCTGATGACGCCTCCATCGCGAAGGCTTTTCTTTCTCGCGTGCGAAAGAAATCAGCACCCTAAGGAACAAGCAGCAGGGCGTTTCTCGGCTTTGTTACTTCGTACACGGTACGGTGGGTTTCAGTTTTCGGTAACGTGTCTTAACCGCCAGGATCACCCGCCCAGACGGATTGACCAAGACCGGTGGTGATTTGCCCCCGCCGACTTTCACTTGGCTGCAGAATCCTGCGTCAATGTGCCGTGGTTGCGGTGCTGTCCGAGGCGCAGACGCGGTGGGTTTGGTGCAAGGAACGGGGTCATCAATTTTGTCGGCCTTGTCGTCCAGTCGTCCCCCTTCGTTGAAGCAAGCAGTGGGGATAGGCTCAGAGGATGGGCGTTCTCGGGTGGCGTCAGAGGAACCCGCCGCAATGATTGCTCCAGCATGTGCGCCTCCCCCCATCCATGGGTGGTTGCACCGGCACCGTTAGCAAACTGCGCCGCGCGCCTGGGGAGCCTCCAAGTTAGGGCCTTTGCCGCGTGCCTGCCGTTCCATGTAACTTGCCAGTCACCCAGTGTCTCGAAGGAGTAGCAGAAACGGTGAAAAGACCGTTTCCCACTTTCCCAACTCAACCACCGCGCTGTTCCCCTTTTCTGAAGGGCAAGGGAGAAAAAAAACAGACAGCTGCCCTTCATGTCCCTTTTGCCTGGGAACCAATGATTTCAACCCTGCAATCCTGGGCAAATATAAGAGGCTGTTGGCCCTGGCAGAGTCCCCGGTAATTATGTCGTGCGAGGAATTGACCCAGGGAACCCACCACGGAAGCAACGACGAAGCTGCGAGCAGGGGACAGGGCTGAGAGCTCCCTTGTTCCTTATTTGACCCGCCCAGCCGCTGACCCCAGACCGGCCACTGAGCTCAGGGATTGAAGACTGAAGACCCTCCACCACCCCCCAAACTTTCCCCTCTGCTGCGCTGCGCGATGCTGTCGGAACGCGACCGACCACGCCCTTGGTTCGGAGTCGCCTTATAATACTATTCTCTTATATGGGTCCCGGTTTGAGCTTTCTGACCACTCGCGACACTTCCGACCAACACTGAGCCAATCCATTGACCAACGACGGTCCCGGAACTCTCTCTCTGCTCTGCGCTTCTTTGCTTTTGCGAAGCGCTGCGACCAAGGACAAACCCCCGTTTTGCCGCGCCCCCAAGACCGAAAGTTCGAAGAAGGCGCGACTGGCGGCTGCTCACCCAACGGGCAATTCCATTCTTTTTAGAGGTTCCGTTGAACACTACACACCACACCACACCACACACCAGACCACCCCAACAACTCAACTTACACGCAACGTCCCTCCGACGAAGTCACGACTTTTCGGCTCACTCAGCCACAGTATTCCGTACACAGTACCGACACACTACATACCTAGTGACGGGGATTCCGAATTTCGAACACCAGGCGGACGGCCTTGGATCCCCCCTATTCGTCCTTGGCGCACAACCTCTGCGGCGCATTCTGCAGATATAACGGCGCAAAAAGAAAAAACGGCCGCTCCACGACCCCCAAATCGACTGAACTCGTGGGAGGGGCAAAAAGAAAGGCGTTCTTGTTTTTTGCCTCTGCGACAAGTCAGCACGGCAATGTCCCGACCCCTGCCCTCAGATCGGTTTCCGCATTGTTGATAGCGCCCCTGAAACACGACCTTCCAAGGGTGTCTACCCAAGGATTCCCATCCGGGACGGGAGCAAGCAACACTTTCTCGGTCTGCGACAATCACAGGCCAACACCAGGCAGCAGATCTTCCGGAAACCTAGACACCGAGCCGACGCCGCAGCTACATACTCGGTTGCCACTTCACCTGCAACTCGTTCCATAGTTGACGTGGAGGGTGCATGTTTGCTCATACCTACCTACCTAGTTGCGGAAACGAGACGGCGAAAACAGGTCAACTCCAGCCCAGCATCAGCGCCCCCGCGCACATACCCACACCCACATGTTCAGCAGATCCCATAGATCTCGCAACAGCAAGGCCCAGGGTTTTGCAAACGAGCAGGAGCGGAAGCCACCTGGCGTTCACCGGTCGTTATTCTCGGAGCTAGGGCTCGGCAGCTCCAACTCGTCGACCGTGCGGTTCGGTGGGAGCAGCGCACGGAGGACGGACTACGACCGGTTGACCTCTGATTACGCCAGCAGCACCGCTTCTGCACGCTCCTACGGCGCTCCTGCGTCATACCCAGAGAAGAGTAGGTTCGGTCTGTTCGCACGGGTTTATCTGGCTTCACCTGGCTACATCCTGGCTACGTCTTCGTGACCGTGTCCCTAAATATTTGCCATCCACATCCCACTCTGACCTTCGCCACCGCTCGGTTGCCCACGGGTGGCCTACAAAGTTTGGGCACCTGTCCGCCGCAGCGAGCGGAGAATCCTCACCCAGAACCAACCTTTGACAGACTTTGACGCCCATGAACCGGCGGCTAATGCTTGTTGTGAAGGTCATTCTATCGCTTCTGGAACCCTCGTCGGTACACCATCGCTTTCTTATCAATCAGCTGCTTCGATCAACACAAACCTATCACACGAAACCAAGTCTATAGCCGCATCAACGGCAAACAGCGTGATGTCGGACAGGACTCGGACGCGCCGAGAGCGCACTTTCGTAGGGAGCGAGTGTGCCGTCTGCGAGGAACCCCTCGAACACACCCTCCGCGGCGAGAGGATATTACAATTTTCATGCTCGCACGTCTCGCACGAGGCCTGCTTTTACGAGTTCATTCGGGAGTTCGAGTCACAGTACTGCCCGTCGTGTAATGCACCACTACATCTCGATACGAGCCGCGGCGGCAATGTCCTGGATATCGGTGAGTTCCAATGAAACCCAAGACGGCTCTCGTTAACCTGATATGTGCTGTTACTGACTTTTAGGCTCAGAGAAAATAAGTAGCATGGTACGCGCGGTATCTGTGAATGACACACGGTCCCAAGCTACCCCAACACCTACGCCATCACATTGGGACGACCAACAAGGACGGCCTAGTCCCAGTGGGCACGGTCACGATAGGCACCCCGGGCACGCTGGATCCAGCGGACACGTTGGACCCAGTGGGCACAGCGTGCAGCACGGGCAGCACGGGCAGCACGGGCAGCACGGGCAGCATGGGCAGCACGGGCAGCATGGGCAGCACGGGCAGCATGGGCAGCACGGGCAGCATGGACACGGTGGTTCACGTGATGGCTCATCTCGAGGGTAACATGCGTGACGATCGCGACAGCCGTGATGCTCAGTCATCAGAGCATCGCTATCATGGGCAACGACATGCGCGGAACGACAGCGAGGCCACAGGTGTGGCATCTTCTGGAGGATACCCGGAGACAACCCAGAGCGGACCGCCACGACGGCACGACTACGACGTCCAAGCCATGGAAACGTCATTATCAAGCCCGCGGGCGGTAACACGAAACCCCATACCAGCCCCGACCGTGACAGTTCGGTCCGAGTTTCCGACAATTAACAGATCACGGCAACAACAAACCCTTACGTGCCTCGTCACCATCGAGGTACCTGACAACAAATGGCGGCCAGATCCCGAGGATTTGCAGAGTGCACCACCGCCCCAAGCGCCGCCGAGGGTGGAAGAACCGGTACGGGCACCATCCCCAGCTCGCAGCGCCCCCCGGTTTTATCCCTACGAATCCCCCGAGGTGCTTCTCGAGATGACCGAGAACCTACGGAGCCGCGTTGATAACTGGCATGGCCTGGACTTTGGTCGGTAAGTGAGACGCGGGCTCAGCCCTAGTGTCCTGACCGGGACCCCGTGAGACAAGAATGGTAGAGTGACTAACACGTGACATCAGGTTCGGAAAGCTTCGCCTCTACGGCACTCTCCGTGTGGGCAAGGACAAGAAGTCATGGCAGGAGCTGGAATGTTTTCTCTTCGCCGAGATGCTCATCTGCGTCAAGGAAAAGAAGCACCCCCACCCGCAGCAAGAACAATGGGACGATATCGCCTCGCGCAAGGCGACCCGCTGTACGCTGAAGGGGTCTATTCTCATCAAGAAGCACCTCAATGAGGTGTCTGAAACCGGCAACATCGACGAGAACGTTCTAACCCTTAGCCTGTCGGTCGCCGAGCTGCCGCAATTTCACCTCCGGTTCGAAAACCGGAATCAGCTCAAGCTATGGCAGCAAGCCCTCCTCGATCTCAACGCAGTCGAGACATCACCAGTCCGTAGCCCCGACTACGACCGAGGCGAGTTTTCCGAGACGGAGGAGGAAGAGTGGCAGCGATCAGGCCGCCCACAACGCGTGTCATCGCTAGGCTCGTCGTGGGGCGGTGCGAAATCGGCCACAACTGCTCCCACCGAGTACACCAGCCTTGCTCGGAGCCCGTTGCTCCCGTCGATTCACGTGCCCGTCGACGTGGTGGTGGTGGTCCCCATCTCGGCGTCTATGCAGGGGGTCAAGATCAACCTCGTGCGTGACGCTCTCCGATTCATGGTGCAGGCGCTCGGGGAGCGCGATCGCATGGGCCTCGTGACGTTTGGATCTTCGGGTGGCGGTGTCCCCATCGTCGGGATGACCACCAAAGCGTGGTCCGGTTGGGGGAACGTGCTCAACTCGATCAAGCCCGTGGGGCAAAAGAGCCACCGCGCGGACCTTGTCGAAGGCGCCAACGTGGCCATGGATCTGCTGATGGGCCGCAAGTACAACAATCCCATCGCCACCATTATGCTCATCAGCGATGCCTCGACATCCGACGCCGACAGCGTCGACTTTGTCGTGTCACGGGCTGAAGCTGCCAAGTAAGTAACTGGTTGCATTCCGTTTTGGCATCTGCAACCGAATCTAACAGGACCAGGATTACCATTCACTCCTTCGGCTTGGGGATGACGCACAAGCCAGACACCATGATCGAGCTCTCTACTAGGACAAAGGCGTCATACACGTACGTCAAGGACTGGATGATGCTCCGTGAGTGTCTGGCTGGGTGTCTCGGTGCGATGCAGACGCTGTCACACCAGAATGTGAAACTGAAGCTCAGGCTTCCCGAGGGATCGCCAGCCAAGTTCCACAAGATCAGCGGCGCGCTCCAAATCACAAAACGGGCAACAGGGCGCGACGCCGAGGCGTCTCTCGGTGACCTCCACTTCGGCGACAAGCGAGACATTCTGGTACAACTCGTCATCATACCGGACACGTCGTCGCAGGAGCAACTTCCCCAGGACCCCTGGGACAACATCGTGTCGGGGCTCGAAGCGCTAGGGGGGCCAATGGACCAGGACGAGCAACGGGCGGTCTCGGTCGAGGAGGTGCCGCTGATCCAAGCCGAGATCAGCTGGGGCGACATCCTCCGCGACGGGTCATCCCAACACACCCGACCCAGCCTCCTGGCCATCACCATGCTCCCGGCGGCGAACTCGAAGAAGCCGTGGGGGAACGCGCCGCCCATCCCGCCACACCCGCATGTCGTGCAGCGGCGCATGGAGCTGCTAACCTCGGACATGCTGACCCGCGCCCTCACGCTGGTCAGCCGCGGCCAGCACGACCGCGCGCACACGCTCCTAAACGAGACCCGCTCCATTCTCAAGGGTCTCGGCAAGGGCGGCCTCCCCCCCGTCCCGCCAGCAACCTCCTCCAAATCACAACCATCGACACCCCACCCGGGAGGCCCCGACGGATCCCCCACAGCCACCGGGACACCCGACCGCAAGAACTCCCCCTCACCAACATCAGCACACGCCACCACCCCAGGCGGCCTCCTCCCGACCCCCTCCCTCCCGCGAACGCGGTCCAACGACGGGCTCGGCAGCCTGGGCGCATCATCGACGGGGATCGACGCGGCGACGGTCGCGGCTCTCGACGCCGAGCTCGAGGCCTCGCTCGAGTGGATCAGCCACCCGGCCGTCTTTGGGCGCGACAGCCGCAAGGCGGTGCTCCAGGCCATCGGCGTCGTGAGCTCCCAGCGCGCCTTCACGTTCCGTACGCCCGTGGAGGGGCTGTGGGCGGGGCGGGTGGCCGGGGTAAGGCGGTTGACGGAGCGGAGTCGCGAGTGGAGGGCGGAGGGCGCGGGGGAGGGCGGGATTATGGAGGAGGCTTGAGGACGCTCTGTTTTTGAGTTTTTCTGCCGGTGCCTGGTGATTTGGGGCGGTCTGTGGGCGTGGGTAGGGGAGTTGTGGCGGTTGGGTGCTGGGGGTAAAGGGATGGGAGGAGGGGGGATAGGTTGGGTCAAAGGCATGGGAGGAGGGAAGGAGGGAGGGGTGGGTGGAGGAGGCGTTGGGGGAAAAGGGGAATATCCTGATGCTTTATGGCAATGGTAATGCAATGTTTTCATGTTTTGGTCATTTTTGGGTGGAGGGGTGGTGTGGCCGTCGTCCTTTTTTCTGCCCTTCTTGTTTTCCCCCTTGTTTGGTCTTCCTCCTTGCTCCGGCTTTTTATATTTCTTTCTCGGTGGCTGTTTTATTCTTCTTCTCGATATCCTCTGAGTTATCCTTTTTGATATCCTTCTCGTTCTCCCCGTTTTTCTTCCCCCCTATAACTACTTCTCGGCGTCATGGCTAGGCATGAGTGTGTGTGGTTCGTCGATATGAAGGGCATTTGTATATATTAGATCTGCCGTGGTGGATCTCTACCTTAGCCCTTAGAATGACGGCGATTGTTTTGTTGTGACTATTCCTGTGTAGACTTGCCGACTTGCTTTGACTTCAGTTTGATCTGGTGGTTATTCGACGTTCCACAGTGGGAGTTATGGATTCTGTGCCCGGAAATAAGCGAAATGATCCAGGAGAGAGGGAAAGAAAACAGTCAAATCCTCGAATTTGGAGGGATGTGGAGGCTGTACCCTTCCGCCTCTATTTATCTGACGTTCTATTTTTCCTCCTCCGAACTCCATCTTGAAATACATAATCGACCTTCAACCGGGTATTCCATGCAACGGCCTTCCCGTTCCTCAAAGTGACGATCGCATCCCAATCGACGGCTCGGCACAGGCACAGGATGCTCCACAACCCGGTAACCAGCGGATTTGGGCCGAACACGCGAGTGGGGATTTCATGGGAAGAGCGGCAACGCGAAAGCAGGCGCAGGTCCCGCGACCCCACAAACTGGTGAGTTATCAGATCATTCCGATAATCTGCGGCCAATCACCGCAATCCACCCGGCAGGATCACGCATGGCGCACCAGCCTGGTGACCCCACGGGGTCCGCTCGTCCGCTGACTGCCCAGTGACTGCCTGACTGCCTGCCCCCAGTTGCTGCCACAACAACTGCTCTTCGCATCTAATTTGGGCCAGGTGCCCGATTGAGGGGCATGGGTTCAAGTTGGGCAGGTGCCCTGGAGAGCGGTGGGGGCCTCGGTTCCCGGTTCAACTAAGGTAACCTGCAGCGGTGGGAAGTTGCCATGAGGTAAGGATTTCGGGTTCTTTCTTCTTCAAGTTTGGTGCTTCGGGTTGCCTGCTGGATCGGCCCTGCGAGTTGCAGGTGCTTTTGAGTCGGCTGAGGTCGGCAAGCAGCTTCCGTCGCTGGGATCGACCGCTACTGGACAAGACATCTGAAACCTGCGTCCAATCCGGCCTGTTTTGGGCGTGGGGGACACAAGGGCAGAGCTGAAAGGGGCTCAGCGGCGTAGTGAGTCAAATAATGTCAGACCCCGGATTCAACAACCGATGATCGCTTTTCAAGTCAGCTTTCGTCTTTCTTCTGGTCTGGGATTTGGGACTTTTCTTTTTCTTTCTTCCCCGTCTCAACTCATCGCCCCTTAGAAAAAACACTCCGTTCCGTTTTAAACGCCATCCATATTGCAAACCGCGGGTTCATGGGGGCGCCAGAGGCCATCTGTCAGCCTGGGAATCCTCCTAAAAGAGCAGGCACGGGAGCAACGGATGTGCCTGGTGGGACACAGCGGGATCAACCAACTTGACCGCCCGAACGATGACCGCAGTCGACGATGACGCCCGGGCGTTGCTTGTCCCGGGACGGTGTGATATCCGTGAATACGGCGCGGTAACGGATATCCCGAACAGCTCCGGACACAACAGTGCCAGCGACTCCGAGTCCGATGTCCAAGATGGTGTGCGGCGCATAGAAGCGGTTGCCCGGACGTGGTCGAAATGGGGGTTGGTGATAGCTTACCTGAGGTTGGTGGGCTCGATGATAAGAAGTACTCGGCGGACTTGCCGCTAACCTCCATGGCGACAGCATCTTCCTCATGGCCTTTACCGTGTCACTGGAGGGTCAGGTGACATACTCCCTCGCAGCCTTTGCCGTCAGCTCGTTCAACAACCACTCGCTACTGTCGACCGTCTATGTTGTCCAGGGAGTCGTAAACGGTGTGTTCGAGGTGCTCGCTCTATCACCACCACACTTCTCGCTGACTTGAATAGCCGTCATTAAACCTCCCATGGCGAAGCTCGCGGACGTGTTCGGCCGCTTAGAAGCATTCTGTATCTCCGTCCTCCTCTGCGTACTGGGCTACATCCAAATGGCAGCTTCGCAAAATGTTCAAACATATGCCTCCGCCCAGATCTTCTACTCGGCCGGGTCGACGGGTCTCCAAATCCTGCAGCAAGTCTTCATCGCCGACACGAGCGACTTCCTCAACCGCGCCCTCTTCTCCAGCCTCCCGGATAGCCCCTTTCTCGTCACGGTATGGATCGGGCCCGCCATCGCCGCTTTCATCTTGGCCAATTCGACCTGGCGAGTGGGCTACGCCATCTGGGCCGTCATCCTCCCCATCGCTTTCCTTCCGCTCGCCCTAAGCCTGTTCCTCAACGGCCGGAAAGCCGAACGGATGGGCCTCCTTACCAAAAGGAGACGGCGAAACTCCACCGGTGACATCGACTCCCCGCGGGTAGCAGCAAAACGGCTCTTCCACGACCTCGACGTCGGCGGAACTCTCCTCCTCTCCGGTGGCCTCTCCCTAATTCTCATCCCCTTGACCCTTGTCTCGCGCTCACCCTCCGGATGGCACGACCCCAAACTCCTACTCATGATCCTAATCGGCTTCGTCCTCCTAATCCTCTTCCCGTTCTGGGAGTCTCGCGCACCACACCCCCTCCTCCCCCTCCAACTCCTCAAATCCCGCACCTTCTGCGCCGGCTGCGCCCTCGGGTTCTTCTACTTCGCCGTCTTTTACATCGCCGTCCAGCCCTACTTTTACTCGTACCTCCTCGTCGCCCTGAACCTCCCGGTTTCACGCGCGGGGCCCATTACGCAAACGTTCTCTTTCGCCTCCACCATCGCCGCCCTCGTCGCCTCGCTCATCATCCGCCGCCTGTCCACCCCGCGGCCCCGGCCCTTCATTCTCGCCGGTGCGGCGCTCTACACGGTCGCTATCACCGTCCTCCTGCACACCCGCACCCGCGAAGCCTCGACCATCACCCTCTTCGCCGCCCAGACCATGCTTGGCGCCGGCGCCGGCCTCGTGCACGTCGCCACGCAGCTGATCGTGCAGGCCGCTGCCGCGAGCACGGATATCCACGGGCCCGGGCACGGGCACGGACACCCGCAGCAGTACGTCGGCGTCGCTACCGCAGCCTTCCTGACCCTCGTCCAAGTCGGCGCCGCCGTCGGATCTGCGGTATCGGGCGCCGTGTGGGGCCGCTTGGTGCCCGGAAAATTGAGGGAGTACCTGCCCGAGCACGTGCGCGGTGAGGCCGACAAGATCTATGCGAGCGTCGTGGTCGCCTGCAGTTACGCGTGGGGCAGCCCTGAGCGGGAGGCGATCGCGCGGTCGTACCAGGAGACCATCACCGTCTTGTTGTGGGTTGCGCTGGTGGCCTGCGGGCCTGTGTTGGGGATGGCGTTGTTGGTGGGGGATTACCGGCTGGATGGAACGGGGAAGGGCGTTTCCCCGGAGGATGACAGGGGCGTGGAAGGGGAGGAAGAGGGTGAACAAGAGGGGGGAGGGGAGGTGAGGGTGGTAGGGGAGACGGACGCCCCGAGCATGTGGTGGTCTAAGTGGTGGAGTCGGCCGAAGGGGAAGACGGCATCTGTTTCTGTTTCAAGCGTGCATAGTTAGACGGGGGAGAGCATTTGTTCCTAGATGATACCCTGATTTTTTTGCTGTTTAGAACCATATACATACAATACAGTATCCAACCGTACAAAGTCACTCTTCTTTACTGAATCAGAATCTAACGACCAGATCGTACAAACAACCCTCTAACTCCCCAACACAACTCAATCCTCCAAAAGCTTCGTTTCAATGTGAAACCCGCCGCGATCCAACCGGTCAATAAACGGCTGGCCCAGACAGGCAGCAGTATACACGCCTCCCGGGAGATCAACGTCGTCCTCAAGCAGCGTCGACGCAGCCTCGGCCAGGAAAATCCCCGTCACTGTGTGTGTACCGCACGTTAGCAAACCCACTTCCCCCTCACACCAACAACAACACAAAAGAAACCCCCCCAAAATAAAAAGAAAACTCACAATAATAAGCACTCCCCGCAAACTCCGCCCTACAAACCGCCCTCTCCCCCTCCCCCCCATCCCTCCCCGCCACCCCCCTATACTCAATCTCATCCCCCCTCGCCACCTCCGCCTCGGGCCCCTCCCCGGGCTGATACAGCCAGCGCGCGGCCGCCCTCCGCAGCCACGGCGTGATCATGACCAGGCCCAGCGCCATCAGGCCGTAGTGCACCACCACGCCCGCCAGCCAGCCGCCGCCGCGCGGGCGCAGGTACTCGCGGAACGAGAAGTTGGGGCCGTACCATTGTGCTTGCCGCGACGGGACGGTGCCGAGCAGGCCCCAGGTTCGTTGCACGATGGCCGCGTCCGTGCCGCCGGCGGGGGAGGTCGTGAGGAGCCCGAGGGTTGGGTGGTGGAGGAGGCCGGTGAGTTTGGTGAGGAGGCTGCGGCCGGGGTTGGGGGGGCTGCGGTTGGTGGTGGTGGTGGTGGTGTTGGCTGGGCGTGGGAGGGGGGAGAGCGCGTAGGGTTTGAATGCGGCGCGCAGGTCCGCGAGGGTGAAGTATTCGAAGATGGTCAGTGCTGTGGTGAGGGTACCGCCGGATGCGGCGGATCTGGAAGGGGGGTGTTAGTTTTGGTTGGGGGGGTGAGGTGTGAGGGGTGAAGATGGGGGAGGGGGGGGTTGTACTTGAAGTTGTGGATCGACACGGTCACGTCCCGGATCGGCGAGGAGAACTCGGAGCGGATGAAGGAGGCCAGGGACCAGGTGACGAGGTCGGCGGGCGCCGACTCGATGCCGATCTGCGGGAACATGAGGGCGCCGGTTTGTTTAGCGGTGGACTCATACTTTTTGAGCATCTTGGCGACGAAGGGGACCTCGCCCGTCACGTCGAGGTAGTGCGTGCCATTCTCGGCGCAGGCTCTGAAGGCATGCTCGCCCAGCTTGCCGTAGGGGCCGACGGTGGTGATGAGGATGAAAGTCTTCTTCGCGAGGGCGCTCAGGTCCGAGTCTGTCAAATTGCAGACCTCAATGCCCGGCTGCGCGCGGTCGGCGTTGAGTTTCTTGCACTCGGCAACCACATCCTCAAGCTTGGAATGGGAGCGGCCTGCTACTGCCCACTTCAGGTCGGTCGGGAGGTGCGTGGTGATGTACTGGGCAGTGTACTTTCCGGTGTAACCTTAGTAGGCTGAGTTAGTTATTGTTGAATTCCATATTGGGATGTATGCAAGGTGAGCTCACCGGTAGCACCGAAAACGACAATGTCGTATTGGCGGTCGTGTTGTTTGGATGGCATGGCGAAAGAATCTGATGTAAGATGGCTCTACCCACTCTGAATTTGAAGCTATTCTAAGCTCCGAAACGAGTTCCACGCTCAACAGCTCCCGTCTACAGATGTACGGGATCTCAATTCAGCACGTTTTTGGTGTGTTCTTAACACAGAGGTTCATCAATAAAACGGTAATGAAAATTTGAGTTCGTTAAGCTCTACGAAGTACAAAATTGTGTCCTCGTTTGAAATTGACGATCAAGTCGGAAAGGGAATCGTCTCTGACCCGCTGTTTCTTCCTTTGACGACATCATCGACAGACAGCCCCTTTCACCGCCAAGAGCAGCCGAGGTCCAGGGCATGGCGACCGAAATGTTTCTTAACTTTGCTCGATTAGGAAGCCACCACCGTGCTAGCGGTTGATTCAAACTCGGGGGGATTTATTCTGGCGCTCTTGTTGGCCGATGTTTTTATAGGTAGGAGAACCTCACTGGCTCAAGCGCAGCTGCATCGCCGGCAGGCAACGCCCAAATTCGAGTTCAAGTTCCCGAGAGGCAGCCCCGCCGCCAAGTGGTCGGCTCCCACAGAAAATCTTAGCTTGGCACCCTGGGGCTTTGGGTTGAAGCCCCGCCCCGCTTTCCTGGCAACTCTTCGGGATAACGGTTCTGCCAGATCCCGCGTTTTGCACCCCCCCCCGGCCGCACACCAGAAAATTGCAGTACACATTTCTCAAAATCGTCGACGCCCGCCAACACCCAAGCGAGTCGCCCATTTGAAGTTTACGTACCACACCCTTCAAACCAGTCAAGATGTCCAAGCGCACGAAGAAGGTCGGCATCTCCGGCAAGGTAAGTCGTCGCAATGCTCCTCAAACCATTCCCATGCTGCAATTCAAGCCCGCTGACGCTGGAAAATAGTACGGCACAAGGTTCGTGATCCAACATTTCCTAAGTTGACTTCCGGATGCGCCTTCGACGACAACACTACTTTTCGCGCCCGATCGGTCTCCAACGGAGGTGTGCTTGCAGAAAAAATTGCCAGCGTGGGAACAGCAGGGGAATTTATTGCTGTTTGAATCGTCCGGGGATAGTGGGGGGGCCGGCGGATGAAGCGTCCGACTTTCAAAGTCGTTGCTCACGAGGTGGTCGGATCGTGCGGAAAGGAGCGTCGCGCGGTACCATTGCCCGTTCTCCCCGGACTGAGCTGGGCGGCACACCTTGTTAAACCGCTACTTGGGATCGATCGGGATACTCTGTCGAAGGCGCAACGAACATGTTGACCAGGACATGATGCTAACGCCACACCAGATACGGTGCTTCGCTCCGTAAGCTCGTCAAGAGTAAGTTCTACCACCCCACCGCCCCGGCCAGAATCATCGCTAACAACCCCGCAGAGCAGGAAGTTTCCCAGCACGCCAGGTACACTTGCAGTATGTACCCCCGGGGATAGATATTCGTCACGGCGACCATGTCGTCTCTTAACAATGGCGGCATACGTCACGAACGCTTATCTTGAACGCTTTTACTGACATACGCCTCCTTTGCCCAGCATTCTGCGGAAAGGGTGAGTGAATTTGTCTGATTAATTACCGAGTTTAAGCTAATCCGGCAACAGTCACTGTTCGTCGTACGGCCGTTGGCATTTGGGTAAGCCCCCCTGGTGTGGTGTGCCGAGGGTCACGGGCGCGGATGGCATGCCGCTCCGCGACACTCGGCCGCAGCAGACGTTGGTGCCGGCATATGACTAACTCGACCTCGGCAGAACTGCAAGGCTTGCCACAAGACCATGGCTGGTGGTGCTTACACTGTTGCGTGAGTGACTGCCGATTTCTGGTACCGGGTGGAGCCAAGTCTAACCAACAATCCAGGACCCCTGCGGCGGCTGCTATGCGGTCAACTCTCCGCCGTCTCCGCGAGATCACCGAGGTTTAGAGAAGCGTTGGGCGTGCTTTTGCTTTCGGGTTTGGTGTCAAGGGAAAAGGACAACGGAGACAGCGGTACACATTCAGCCGTTGGGTACGGCCGGTCAAACAATGACAAGTCTTTTAAGAAACGACGAGTCCCCGGATTCGAGTCACGATGTCACTTATATGATGCGGGCGAGAGCCAAACCGGCACTGCGGTCCCCCTTTACGACGATACCTGGGGAGAGACCATCACGGTCGCCGGACTCTAGACCTTGCAGTTGTCAAATGTCCATGACACATGCTATTGGCTACGCACTTGGTAGCGCCCTCGGTGCCCTCTTGGTGAAGCCTGGTGTTAACGACGAGCTTTGGCTCCCCACTTTAGCATGGCTTGACCTGCCAGGCCACGTCAGTCGAAATCACCAAATGGGTTTTTGCGTGAACGCGGTGCTTGTCTCTTCTCGGCACCGGGGAAACAAGAGCCTGCACAGTCAGCAAACATCCCCCACGCAGAGGCACGGATGGCTATGATTGGGGAGCTCTTGTCTCGGGTCGAGGTCGGGCTACCGAACCGACCGTGTCTAAATTCACCGACACCTAGTACCTGACATCCCGTAGGCGAGCAACCACGGGGATTTGGTGCAAAATGGGATGACGGAATCAGACACTCGGTGTTGGCTTGGCAAGTACCACCCACACAGCAATACGGGGGTGAGAGTTCAACGTTATTGCTAAAGTGCGAACTTGGGCCAGCCGTCGGTTCGCTTCGACAAAGCACACTACCTCAGGTACTAGTTACCTACGTATCCCATACCCTAACAAGCGGTACCCAAAGTAAGGCGGTCATTAAAAGAGAGACACCTCGGTGTCGGGGGTTGATGGGCTGGAAACCTCGCATGGCACACTGACGCGGGACAACGATGCATTCAAGAAATCAACGAGTGGTGATCGGTTGACGGCAAAGTAAATGGTTTATTGTAATCCAACCCACAAACCAGCTCATGAGGGTTGATTGACCCTCTCCCTCGCTTGTAGGTACCATAATTCTCTCGTACTCGCCGTTCACAACGGTACATAGGTACCTACTTGGCAGTGCACCTCGAGGATCACCGAGGTACGTGAATGACGTGCGGCATCATCGCCATCGTCGCCATACTCTGGAGTACAGCCCCAAATAGACGCAAGCTCCCCCCGGCATCCGAATGATCACTTAACTATTCACACTCGTCTGTTTCCATTTTGACCAGGCTTGGTAGGGTTGTCCTGCCACATCCTCCGCCCTCCCCCCGCCTTGTCTTGTGCAAGAGTCAGTCAGCTGGCCCGGGAATTGCTCGCCAGCCTGCCCGGGTGCTCAGGTGCTGCCACTGCTACCTTGCATCGCTAAGACCGTTGATTGGCTGTGACCCCGAAGCTTGCGGGACGACGCAAAAGGGCGAGCACCTCTCTGGCCAGCACTCTTTCTCCCTTTCTCTCACTTTTCCCGCTGCGCTTCCCGCTGCACCCCAGTGCCCGGTCCACTTTCGTCCCGTCGCCTGTGCTGCAGTCGTTTTGCCATTTACCACTCTGGAAACCCGCTGCGGCCACCACTCAGCACCTTCTGCATCCATGTGCAAGCGCCCTAAGGTTTCGACCTGCCTAGAAGCAACACAACGCGATTGCGATCCGAGACTGGGACAGCAGCACCTATCAATACAGCTGTCAATTCCCGGCCAAAATTGATACCGACATAAAATTCAATTTTCACGACCTTCTTTATTAATTTGACGATTTGGGTTGGTCACGACCCGCCGTCAGCCATGGCTGATCAGTGCATCGTCTGTCTCGACCCCCTGGAGGTCGAGGTCAGCGCCGCTATCTCAACCCCGCCAGCCCCTGCAGAAGAGCAGCTGCTAAAAGACCACCACGAACGCCTCGCCATTGAAGATGCCGACGCACTCGACAAGCCAAACCAAGAAAACGGACCGGAACACACCAACCACGAAAATGTAGCCAAGATCGAGGTTTGCGGCCACATGCTGCACGACGCCTGTCTGCGGGAATGGACCGAAAAGGCAAACAGCTGCCCCATCTGCCGCCAGACATTCCATACCGTCACTGTTTACGACAAGGTTGGAGGTAAGTTCGCCACCCAACACCGGACCCCAGCTAGCTCCCACTAGTTGTTGCGGGACGCTATCGACTAACACACTTGGCTGCAGGCAAGAACCTGTCCACCCGTCAAGTCGAGGACAAGAAGCAGGCACCCGTGGTGCCCGACTACGATCCCCGAGAATGGATGGAGGAGATGGTAGAACAGCCAGAAGTCAGGCGCTGTCCCGTGTGCAACTCGGCTGGGGATGAGGAGGTGCTCCTGCTTTGCGATGGCTGCGATGCCGCCTACCACACCCAGTGCGTCGATCTCGACGACGTTCCGCGGGGGCCCTGGTTTTGCATGGAGTGCGAGCACGCCCTTGGCCCGGACGTGATGCAGCCCGTCGACAATGTCCCCAACGGGGACGGTGGCTTCTCCGGCCGGGGCTATTACTTCCCGCGTACCCAAGCTAGTATGCGGCGCGCACGGCAACGAGCACGGTCCGACGAATGGCAGGGGGCTTGGGGCAGGATCACAGGTCGCGTCTGGGATGCACTCGAGTTGGACCTCGACTACCAGGATGAGGACGACTCGGCCGTGTTCGAGGGCCTGCAACGGTCTCGCCAACTACGCGAGCGGGAACGGGAAGAACACGAGCGCTGGCAACAACGCCTGAACATCGCCGCCCGCTTGGGTGCGAGAGACGTCTTCTTGAACAACATGGCACGGTGGGTGGAACGCCCCCAGCCCAGCCCACCGACCCGCGAGGAACGGCTTGCATGGGGCGCCTTGGAAAAAGCCAGGGATATGGACTCCCGAAAGCGCAAGTCTCGCTCTGCCACGGCCGAGCCAGGCGAAGAAGAGCCGCATCACGAACCTGAGAGAAAGTTGAAGCGGCCCCGCACCAGGCGGTTGCCACTCACGAATGGCGAGTCATCCTCGTCTGCGGCTCGCGATCCCGCCTCATCGTCAAGCCGGCAACAACCTCAACAGCAACAAGTAGTACAGCAACAGCAAGTACAACAACCACAACAGCAGGGTAGCTCAGCATCGAGTAGTACGGCTGGTGCGGCTGGTGCGCCGCCTTCATTTTTGTCTTCATTGCTTAAAGAGGTGGAGATGAGCACGCCGTCGGACGAGGAAACCTTGTTACAAATGTTTGGGCCGATCCCGGGTGTTAATGACGCCCCATCGCCTGCACATAGCCAAGGCTCGATCACGCCGCCACCCAACCGCGCCAGCTCTCCAGTGATGACGCTGAGCTCACACATCGCGCCCCTCTACGCCCCGCCGTCTTATACCCCGACACGAGGGTTATCGTTGGACACGGCAGAGAAATCACGATCGTCGTCACCACAGCGAGCAGCCCAACGAGAGGCCGCTCAGTCATCGCCCGACAACAGCGACTCGGAGCACCGGGGCCGTAGGCAGCATCCATCTCGCCGACACGGCGCGCTGGAGCTCCGGCAACCGCAGCCCCGGCGGACGCACAACGGCATCCTACCGTCCCGATCACACAACACATCACCCGCGCGGCCTCTGCCCTTTGAGATGAAGGAGAACATCAGCAAAATCGTGCGAGGCGCGCTGAAACCGCACTGGCGCTCCAAACAGCTGACGGCGGAACAATACGAAACCATCAACCGCGACATCTCCCGTAAAATCTACGACGAGGTCAAAAACCCGGAAATCAACGAGGATATGCAGCAGAGCTGGGAGAGGCTGGCGACGCAGGAGGTTGCGCGCGCGGTCGCCTCTCTGAAGGCCTAGAGAGTCGGCGAGCCTCCCTGACCTGTACTGCGGAACAACGGAACACAGCACACATAGCATGATCATGACACAGCCATGACCGGGATGACGGTTGACGATGGGATGGTTTCTTTATCTTGAATGGGCCCTCAGCGGCGGCGTTTCAGGGCATCGGGGTCGGGCTGGTTTTGTTCGTTGCAAGAGAGACAAAGGGGATCTGGATAGGATACCCGACGGACAATATCTGGATGGGGTTATGGATGGGACGGGGGCGGATTTCATGAGGGGGCACCAGCGATTTGTATCTTGTCTTTTATTCTTTGATCTTGTGTTTCAACCGAGAAAGGGTCGGCGGTGATGGGAGTTTGGGCATATGAGTTTCAGCTTAGCTATCTGGTAAAACATGCATACTAGCAGGCGCGGAATGGCTCCGTGGTGTTTTGGTCGGGGTGGCGAATGTGTCGATGTCTAAGGGGAGGGGGGGGCAGCTTTGTGCCTGTATGTATTATACTTTGCAGCCACAGTTATGCAGTGGCGGGTGGGTGGTCGGCTATCCGGGTGGTCGGATGGAAATCGCGCAGTCGCGCTGCTGCTGTCATCTACTTGGTGTTCGCCCGTGACGATGCCGCTTACTGCACGGAGTGCTCTCAGACCACCTAACAACAGCTTTCTCAACTCTGGATATGACACACATTGAGAGCCACGTGGTAATCAGTGTCTGCCATGGTTCAAAAAACCTATAAACCTCGGTGTTGACCTCTCCTTAGCATCACCCGCTTCACGAAACAGTGTCTCTAGATCTCTACACAACCAACCCGCCTTTACCACTCACTACTCATCGTTCGGGCCCAACCGTCGTCGAACTCAATCCCAAAGTAAACCAACCCAGGCCGCAGCTCCACCTCAACGTAAACCGATTCCGGTCCCGCCTCCATATACAAGTTGCTCAGCTCCAAGTACCGCGTCACGAACAAGTCCGCCTCGTACCTAGACAAGATGCTAGATTCCAGTCCCGGCGGCGCGCCGGGGAAGGCGTCCAAGATGGAGACTAACTACACGTGTGCCTGTGACCAGTGCTGCTGCGCTAACAAGGTCGCCGTCAAGGGGGGTCTCTGCCGGGAGTGCGACTGAACTGAACGGGGCTTGGGGGTGGTTGTTTGCGATGAGTTGGTTTTTATATCGTGCGTTTGAAACACATCCCGGGCTTTTGATGGCGAGGTGTGATGCCGGACTAGCCTGGGGTCGTACTTCCTGCGTCTAAGTTAACGTGGTCATGGCATTGGCTTGACTGCTGGCAAGCCAAGATTGGGAATCCTGGAGAGTATAATCAATGAAGCATTATCTTGTTCGTAAAACCGGGCATGTCCCCCGATTCTCATCCCTTGTCCTCAAGTAGTGCCTGGTATTTTTGGTCCGACCCGACCCGGTTTCAACTCTGGCCAAGGCACTCGAGGCAACTGCTATAAGAAATTCGCTGAAAGCAAGCCTCGTGGCAGGTCAATCATTGCTAGCAAGGCTCGTGATGACACAAGCCAGCGGCGCCCGTACTTTCTGAAGCTACGTGTAGTGTTGCAACATGATTCACACACAGTGAAAACATACGTGGCTGAGGGAGCACCCCTCCTACAAAGATAGCTATAAGTATCCCCCATGAAGTAATGCCTTCAAGTGTTGGCGTTGAAAATGCACTTTCCAGCACAAGCAGCAGCCCACCCCATCACTACTAACCCCACAAACCATGGACGAGTTTTCCCGCCGCACGCCATACCGCGCGAGGCCCCGTGGGAGGCGCACCGAGACCAACGTCATCGTGTACCGTCCCGGGACGGAGCCGGGGCTGGACACATGTATCTGTAGGAAGTGTGGTCCTTGTTACGAAGACGCCGCCATCGGCCGCGAGTGGTGTGCAGAGTGCCTTGAGAAGGGGTGCGGGATATGGAAGCGGGTTTGGGAGAAGTTGTGTGGCTGGTTTGGTGTGGGGAAGAAGAAGGGGGTTTCGGGGTGAGAATATTCTGGTTCATCCGCCCTCGACGATGGGTAGGTCGTGATCGCGAGGTTGGTTGGCGCGGGATATCGTCAGCGTTGGTTTAGGATTGGCAGAGTCCGTTAGGTGGGTTGGGGTTTCTAGGCCCGGATTTACAGGTAAATCAAGGGACACCCTGAGCCCGTGGTCTGGACCTTTGTTCACGGTAAAGTTGGATCTCCAGTTGGAGACGAGGGGCCACAATCAACGGTTCCGCGAAAAAGGCCGCCATAGAAGGTAAAAATATCCTGATGGTTACACAGCATCGGACCGGTGCCGGTGCCCGATTAATCAAGGCAATTACATTTTCCTACTTAGGCAAGCCCTTGCAACAATGGCATTGGAATGGTTGGACCGACCCGACTCGGAACACGGAGATTTTCAGGCATTGGCATGTTCACGGCAACTATCTAACAGCAACCCGGTAGGAGTAAAGCCTCTCGGCACAGGCACCGCTAGCGAATCAGCCGCATATCCCTCTGGGCACCTGTAAATGGTCAGGACGTTTTGGAGGTGAGAAACAGTCTTGATGATAAGGATTGGTGCCGTGAAGAGAAAAGAAAAAGAGAAAAACTTTTGGGCTGCAAATCGACAAAATTAACATAGCAAGTGGGAGCTGGCACGTGCGTCAGGTTAGGCGCTAGGCGAAATGAAGAAGGCGGTGTGGGTTCCGGCACCGCGGAAAAGTGGGGTGCGGTCCCGGCATGGAAAAAGTTCACGGTTCGCTGCCGCGATTTGAAGAGGGACGGAGAGGTCCATAGTTATTCCAGTGTTGAAGAATTGGGACTACAGCAGCTGACCGCGTGGGCGTTCGACCAAGTCACAACACCACCACCATGATGTCGGCGCCAGGTAGAGGGTCAGCCCTGGTGAGGGGTAAGCTGCCTTCCCTTTTCTCTAAAAAAAAAGACACCAATTGAGAATGTTGACTGACCACCACGACCACCCAGGCTCTTACCGAGTCTGCACCCAGTGCGCTCGCCCAGCACCCCGGCCTAGGATAGCGTCGACGATAACCACAGCCCCTCGGGCTTCCGCCGTCCTTCCTCTAGCCTCCCGCCGCTACTACTCCGCCGAACCGGCCACCGCGCAGACCCCCACTCCCGAATCAACACCACCCCCTCCCACAAGCACAACACCCACGACGGCCCCCAAACCGGATCTCTACCGCATCAAATCGGGAGTTATCCTCACGCGGGCGCCGCTCCTGACGCGGGAGCAGACACCGTTCGAGTCGGCCTTCTACTTCTACCAGAAGCGGCTCAACGAGCGGCTAACGGCCCCGTTCCGGCGGCAGTTCTACTTCAAGCAGGACACGGCGGCGGACCTGGACTTCCGCATCAAGCTGGAGGAGCGCCACGGCGTGCCGGCCAAGGACATCGGCCGCTACAACCCGCGCGGCCGCAAGGCCTGGAACGACGAGCTGCTGACGGGTAGCTCCACCTCGGACCCGGCCGAGCTCGTCGAGAAGCTGCTCGCCGACGCCGAGGTCCGCGTTAGTGAAGATGGCGAGCCCATCGCCCCCGAGGAGCGCGTCCCCGTCGAGCGACCCGTCCCGCGGAGGAGTGAGGCCGATGAGGCTGGGGATGTGAAGAGGCTGGATCGGGCTATGGAGAGGACGCTGTATTTGGTTGTGCGCCGGGCGGGGGCCGAGGGGGAGGAGGCCGTGTGGGAGTTCCCGACGGGGCTGGTACCCACCGAGGAGACGCTGCATGAGGTTCGTTTTGCCCGTCCCTATTTTTCTTTTGCCCTCTCCTTTTTCGTTTTCTTTTTCTTTTTTTTTTTTTTTTTAATTATTCACCCCCTCTACCAACCACCACAGACGGTACGTACCAATACTAACTAATTCCAGACCGCCGCCCGGGTCCTGACCGAATCCGCCGGCCCCAACATGAACACGTGGATCGTCGGCCGCGTGCCCGTCGCCCACCACGTGGTCAAGCCCGTGGTCGGCGACGACGGCACATCCGTCGTCGAGCGCGGGGAGAAGACCTTCTTCCTCAAGGGCCGCATCATGACGGGCCAGGCCGACCTCACCGGCAACAAGCACGGCCTGACCGACTTCAAGTGGCTGACCCGCGAGGAGCTGCAGGAGGTGCTGCCGGAGGAGTACTACCACAGCGTGCGCGGCATGATGGAGCTGAGGTAGAGACGGCCGGGGGGGGGGGGGAGAGAAGGCGGTCAGAGTTGACAAGACATACCAAGCGGGCCGCTTCTCGCTCTGTTTTGTGTATTGTAATCTAGAAATGTACGCTATGTATCAATTGCTCATTTCTGTCCCCCGCCGCCGTCAGGGAGGACAGCATGCGAGGCCCGTCATGCCCAGACAACATCAAAAAGTGGATGCAAATATAAAACAGTGCAACGACCACCACACACCCACCCCTTCCCGCCTCTCCCTCAACCCTACCCCCGCGCCAAATCCATCACCCCCGCAGCGCCCATCCGCAATCTATTACCATACCTCCTCCAAACCTCACCATCCCATCGCGGCGGCGGCGGCGGCGGCAGCTCACCACTTCCTTTCCCCGGCCCCATCTTCGCACCCCCCTTTAATCCTCTCGCCGCAAACGGACAGAGCTCCCGAAACAACTCGTCCCCCTTCCCAGGCCTCGACCCGGCCGCCGTCACGCCCATCCCCCCTTCCCGACGCAGTCCACGCAGCGACGGCGGCGGCACCGGTGGCAGCAGAGGTCCCCCACCCTTTCGGGCCAAAACCTGCGCCGACAGGGCCACAAACACCGCCGCCGCCATCCAGCTGTCGAACCCCGCGCTGTGGGCGGCGCCGCCACGCTCGCGGGCGTCGAATCCAGGTTCGGGGATGATGGGTGGTGGGGGTGGTGGTGGCGGCTGGTGATGCTGGGGGTGAGGGTTGGGGTGGTGGTGATGCTCGTGAGGATTATGGGGGTGATGGTGGCGGCGGTCCCAGCCGACGACCAAGTCGTCATAAAGTTGCGCGAGGTTGCAGCTCGGCTCCCAGTCGAGCTGGCAGGCCAGGTGCTTGGTGTCGATGATGCGCGGGAAGAAGCGGCGCGTGGCGCGGCGGAAGCCGAGGGCGTCGGCGGGGAGGGTTTGGAGGAAGGTCTCGTGCAGGAAGCAGAGGTCGAGGAAGGGGTTGTGGCCGATGAGGGTGGGGCGCCGGGTCCGGAGGCGGGCTTCGTAGAGGTGGAGGTCCTGGCCGAGTTGGGAGGCGGCGGCTGATTGGAGGGCGGGTGGGAGGTGGTTGCTGAGGAGCAGCTCCGGGTTCAGGGCTGAGGCGAAGGAGCCGCCGACGAGGGCTTCGATTATGTATCGGAATCCTAGGTGGTTTGGTGGTGTTAGCTCGTGACTCCGTGGGGTTGGGGGTGTTGGTGTGTGCTTGCCGGTCTGCCTCACGACCGAGTCATGCCGCCTTTTGTATTCGCTGTCCCATAACTCCTGCGGCTGGGTATCTTTGCCCGCGTCGCTCCAGTTCTGGGGCTTCGTCAGGTACAGGCTGCTGGCAAATATCTCCTCGGAACGGCTCAGGTAAGGGACGCCCTGGGAAAAGGTCTTTTCGAATGAGAAGTTGTTTTCCTTGAGAAACAAGAAGCTGCGGTATGAAAGCACCAGTTTCCGGTCAATGAGCTTCGCCAAGGCAGTGTTGGGTGGGAAGAACTCAGGGGTAAGTTGAAAGGTAAAGGTTCGTGCTCGGTATCCTGCTTGGGGTGATGTTAGCCATCTTGAGCGAGGAGCAGCAGTTCCATCCGGGAGCAGACCTTTGTACTTGCAATCGTAAGACAAGCAAGTCAAACCAACTTGCAGGATTTGGAATGTCCTGGCCGCTCCAACTGCGAGGTGGTAGAAAACTGATTCAGTAAATTGGGAGGCCCCGACTGAGTTAGGGATTCCGCTCATTTCCAAATCAAACGAAACATAGTCAGACAAAGAAATTGCCTCGAGGACAGTAGGTAGAGACTGCCAGAAGTTGAAGCGGTCTACGTCCATGGTGAACTGCCTACATTCAGTCACATGCGTGTAGTTATCTGTGAAAGTGGTGGCTGAGAGACAAGGCCGGTGTAGGTTGTCTTGTCTTGAGTCAATTCAAAATGACACTGAGCATATCCGAGTACCCCACGGGTGCGTCGTGGTACAGCGGATCGATCAACAGCCAAAGGTGGACGAGACTAGCCCTTGGAATGGTGAATAGGAAACCAAGCTGTAACTTGAGGTCTGGAAGAGTTGAAAAGGGGGAGTTACCAGGGCGGAAGTATGAACTATAGTGGCCAGCAGGATGCCTCATGTGCTGAATATAAAGACGTTAAGATGCCTGACTCTGCATGGCAAAGCCTCGGCGGCAGGTGAAACCAATCGGGTTTTGTGGCGGGTTGTTGCGTTGTTTAGTACTTCCACGTCCTTTATGCTTTCCAAAAAGGGGGTAAACAAAATCCATGATACCATCCGAAGCTATATCAACCGCCCTCGTTCTTTTCTTATTTCAAGGAAAAATGGGAAGAACTCTTGATGTATCTACCCTTAATATCCTCATCATTGACCAGGAATTTTCCGGCTCGTTTTCCAGAGTCTAGAGCGTGGTTTCGCCCCGGAAGCCTCAAGTCGTGCTTGCGTTTGCACCACGCAGCAGAAAGGGATATATTAGAAAGATTGACACGCTAACACGCTACAAACAAGTACCTAACGTAAAAGCCCACAAACGAAAACAAACATTAAAGCCAATGAGGGAAAACCAGAAAAAGTACAAAGACATAACGGCGTATTATTACCCTTCCATCTCGAGACACAGCCAAGCACACCGACCCCCCTCCATCAACTGACGGTCTTCCCTCGCTTTCTCCCGTTTTCTCGGCCTGTAACCTTCCTACTTTTCCGCTACCCCATTAACCAGAGCAAGCACCTAAAATACCTGGCTGTCCGTAGTCCAGCATCTCTACATCGCATCACCTCACAGCATTCTGTATCGAGCCACCCTAACACTCTCCCACTCTTAATAACAACGGAGCGCGTGATGGCTCCTCCGCCGCCGCCTGCACAGGAGCAACCAAGAAGAAGTGTGTCACCAACATATTGCAGCACATGTTGGGGTTCAGATATATTGACCCTCGGAGAATGTAAGTCTCTGCCATGCGGTTGAAGCAGGTGACATAGTACCACTAACACGACCACAATCCCAGACGACTCCGACGACCAGGGTAATGGGGGACTACCGAACAGCAGAGATGGAGAAGCAGGGCCCTCGACAGGCGTCAGGCCCCCAAGCCGTCCGGAAGCCGAAGAGGAACGTCAACAGCCTCCCGAAGAGGTTCAGTCGTCGGGCTCGGACGATGACGACGGAATCGTACCTTGGGAGTACGTTACCGGCGAAAGCAGAGCGTGGATTCTCTCCGTCGAGGGCAGCTATGTATGTATAGTATACCTACACCCTCTAAACCACAATCCCGTGCACTCAAGACGCTCACAGAGACGTCAGGGCTCCGACTTCCGATGGTGCCGGATGCAGCCGCCCTCGCAAGAGTCGCACTGCCAGGCCATGTGCCACTCCTCGCCGTTCAAGAAAGGCATATTCTACGACCCGGCCGGCCCCCCCCTGCGGCCGACCTATCTCGGCCACACCCCCACCTCCACCGTCGTCGTGTCCGGCAACCCGGAGTGGTTCGCCCTGCCCTTCTTCCACCGCCACGGCCGCTCCTTCTTCCACCTGATCGAGCCGCACTGCCCCTTCGACCCGCGGGGCCTAGTCTCCAACCACCACCACCACCACCGCGAGGTCCGAAACACACCACAGCACCACTCCGACACGCTAAACGCCCTGGTGGCAGCCATGATCTACCTCTGCGGGCAGGTGCGGCTCGGCGACCGGCAGTGCGTGCGGTGCCGGCGGCGGCGCATCACGACGACGATTCCGGGCGAGGCGATCCCGGTGTGCGCGACCGCGGGGCGGTATTTCCACGGCGTGTGCGCCAACTGCCTGGCCGCGGGCGGCACGCTCGCCGAGATGCTGGACCGCTGCAGCGTGTCCGGCCGGCTGAGCCCCGAGGAATACCGGCGGCTGAGTCGGGGGCTGGGCGAGCCGGGCTGGGTGGGGCGCTCGCCGTTTATTGGGGACGATGCTGGTGATCTGGCGTTTGCGAGGAATCTGTTGTGGAGGAAAGCGCTGCCTCCTCCTGCGCCTCGCAGAAGTCCGGGGACGGCAGCAGGCGGTAGTAGCAGCAGCCAGAACGCCACGGCGGTGGGGGGCCGGGAGAATGTCATTGCCAGTAGCCTGAACCCGGAAGCAGCCAGGAGACCGAACGTTGCCATGGATCGCAACCGGGATACGGCAACAACCAGCAGCCCGAGCATGACAGTAGTTAGAAGCCGGGACACGATAACACCCAGAAACCGGAACACTACTGCGGTCGTCAGTCAGAATATGGCAGCAGCCAGCAGCCCAACGGCAGCAGCCAGGAACATGGGTACAGCAACAACCAGTAACCGAAACACTGCAGAGGCCGTCAGTCAGAACACGGCAACGCCTGGTAACCGAACCACGGCAAGAGCCAGCAGGTCAAGCGAGACGGGACAGCGTGAATGGCGTTAATCAACAAGCGAGATGTGAGAAAGTGAGGGTAGGTAAGCAAACTTTTAATTAGCGAATTGACAGCTACCCAAGTGATACATCGTCATCAGTCATTACCGTTACAACAAGCCAAACCAACAAACAAATTTGTACAACTAATAGCCATCCACCCCGTACACTCACACCCGCCCCGTGCCCGCCCATCCCCCGAGCCCAGTCCGCTGCCCATAGGAATTCAAGCCCCCAAACGCCGGACCGACGTCAATACCCGAATCTCTCCGTCGAATGTAATCGTCTGCCCCTCGCTCCCCTTCATCCCGTCTCAACCTCTCCTCGTCTAGCCGGAGCAACTCGGCACGAATATCCCTCTCTCTGTCAGCGTTCCTGCCAGCGCCCGCTCCCCAGGTTCCAGTACGTGGCCCATAAAATTGTCCGGTTCTGCCCGGACCATAGAACTCATCCTCGTCTGCCAGACCGAGGCCGTCCCGCTCATCAACGCGCACCCAATTCAGGTCCCGTTCTAACCCCTTTCTGTCTATACCATCGCGCGCCAGGCGGTACCCGCTTGGGGGGTGGACAGTCCTGACACCGGGGCGCGGGCCACGGTGTGGTGGTCGAGGAGAGAGGGGCCGGGCACGGTCGAAGCTTCGGGTTCGGCTTCGGGTTCGGCTTCGGTCCCTGTCTCTGCCCCTCTCTCCGCGCCGCCCCTTTTGGCGATCATCATCCCAATCCCGCTCGTTGCGGCGATAGCGGTCCCCGCTCCGGTACCGATGCCGATGGCCGTCCCGGTTCAAACTCCTGCTCCCACTCCTGCTCCTGGTCCGGCGCCTTCCGCCCCGCTCCCTATCGAGACTCCGGGTTCTGCTCTTGGTTCGACCCCGATGTCTATCCAAACTCCGGGTCCTGCTTCGGGCCCTCTCCCGGCGCCGTTCTCTGCCCTGACTTGGTGAGCGGTCTCGACCATGGTTATAGCGGTGATGGTGATCACGGCCTCTCCCGCCCTCGCGATCCCGCCGCTTCTTCAAACTCCGGCTCCTCTCTCGACGCTGATCTCGCGTATGCCGAGTCCTATCCGGGCTACGAGAGCGAGACCCAGATCGGGATCGGGATCGAGATACAGATAGAGAACGAGATCGAGACCGGTCTCTATCCCTATCGTCGTAACCGTCACGGTCACGGTCACGGTCACGGTCACGGTCACGGTCATGATCGTGCGCCCGCCCAGCACGCTCTCGACCGCGATCCTGCTGGATCACGATGGGCGACGCCCCTCGCCTTTTGCCCTCGGTCTTGAGCGGCACGGCGGCGGCGACTACGCGTTCGGCTACCCGCTCTGCCATATGCAAGGCTTCTTCGTGGGTGTCGGCACGACCTTTCGCGTAGGCTTTGGCGTAGAGGGTAGTGGGGTTAAGGGCGGGATTTTGGGGTGGAATTTGGGACCGATCACCCGCCGGGCCTCCCGGGCCTCCTACATTTCCCGGGTGCCTTGAATCTGTCGCCGGGCTTGGGCCGTTTACCGGGTTACCGGCCGGGTTTCCGGGGTGATTTTGATTCACCGGATTCACTTGGTTTCTCGGGTCCATCCCGTTCATGGGACCGGGGCCGCGGGGGGCCGAGTTTGGAGGCGGATGAGAGGCAGGCCCCGCCGGAAAGCCTTGCCCATGCTGCCCGGGCAGAGGTCCGAAATTGTGTTGACCTGGTGCCGGGGCTGGATTGGGCTGGCCTGGGAAAGCGGCTGGGTTATGTCCTGGTGGGACATGCCCCGGCGTCCGCCCCTGAGACTGGGCTCCCGGTGGTGGTGGAGGGAACTGGGCTGGCCCCGCTGGTCTTGGTTCAGCTGGGATCTGGACTATAGGTGGCACGGCACCGGCCATGTTGGCATTGCCCGCCCTCGGCTGAGAGAAGCCTTGCCCCAGCGCTGGATCCGACGTTTGTCGAGGGAGGGGCGCCTGATTGAGAACCGGGATTGTGTGTTGAAGCCCCCCGATATCTGGTCGCCGCTCATGTGATCGGTGGGGCTGTATATGGACCTCCCCTTGAGGCCTGCCGCGGAGATACCCGGGCTGGATGCCGTAGTGTGCTGCGCTCTCTTTATACCGTGGCTTTTGCCGCGGCCGGCGGTCAAAAGCGTAGCGGCTCGAAACATACGAAGGGGTCGAGGGGGACGTGTGATCCGTGTCGTCGTCCGCGTCGGAGAAGACCCTTGAAGAGACAGACTCATCTGTGCTGAGCGGGCTACGGGCGCGGTTACGGACGGCTGGGGATTGGCGACGGTGAGGCGGCGAGCGCTGGCGGGAAGAAGCTCGCCTAGCGGCGGAGTTTGGTGTTTTTCGAGACGCAGGCTGAGGCGGATGGTTCTTCGGTTGGGGTGGTGGAATGTGCTGCTGGGGTGGGATGTTCTTCTGGGGCGGTGGGATGTTGTGCTGGGGCGGTGGGATATTGTGCTGGGGCGGTGGGAAGTTCTGCTGAGGCGGAGGGAAGTTCTGCTGGGGTGGCGGGGGATGGTATCCGGTCACTAGTTGGGTTGCCGGTTGTGGATATGCTTGTTGTATATCCTCGTGTTGGTCTTTGGGTGATCGTGGAATAGAGAATGTGTCGACTTCAAGTCTCGGCACACCCTTGAAGTAAGCGGTGATGCTAACTCGCTCAACGGCAGCCTTCTTTGGTTGTTTCGACTTGGAATGAGACTTGGAGTATCCCCTGGCGACGCCAGACCGGCCGGCGTCCTCCTTGCGGTGCCTATCCTTTTTTCGCTCCTTCTCTGTACCCCCCTCTCTCTCGCTTTCCTTGGGTTTCTCCTCGACTTGCTCATCCAGCTGGACCAGCGTCGTTTGGAACCCCTCATCATCCCACTCTCGCTGCTGGTCATAAAAAGCACGCTCGACCTGAAGTCTCTCGTTTTCGGTAAGGTCCCTCATCTTCTCCGACACCGAGGGGGTAGCCTGATCGAGCTTCCGGACTGCGCGTGCCGCTTCTTTCTTTGTGATGATCGGGTCTGGGATGAATTTCACACAAACCCAAGAGAGATTTCGTTTTGTGCCATCACTGACGTGGCGACTCCTTTCGTCTGGTACGATGCGAACTACCCGGTATTGGGAGCGCGCCTCGCGTTTTTCCTCATCCGATAAGGGCCGCGTCTTGCGGAGATCGGAGATCTTGATGTGGGAATCGGGCTGGGTTGTGGCATTCTGCCGGTGCGGCAACTGCGATGATGATTCGGGCACTACCCTTGGGTAGTACTGCTGACCGATTGGCGACTGGGGGTGATATTGTTGCCCGCCAGCATTGACGGTCCGGGCTGGTTGTTGGCCAACTTGAACCCGGGCTTGATAACTAGGCGCCGGAGGAAAGGTAGCCTGGTGGGTAGCCTGGTTGACTACCGGGTTGTAAGCAGGCCGCTGAGGCTGAGGCTGGGCCTCGCGGAGGGTGATGAATTCTTCTCCGGCCATTCTGACTGTGGTTTTGGCAGGTTGAATGAAGGGGACCTTGGGAGAAGGTGAAATTCCTTCTGCCCCTTCCGGCAAGGGTGCCCACGGCGAAGTGCAAGTGACTTATACCGGGTGGGTGACAGGGGAACGAATCGATGACACTAAACTTGGAGCCCCAGGGCCACGGTAAGGTGATGATGGGGTATATGGGGTAGATCGAGGCGCAGCAGGGCAGTCAGGGACGGTCAGATCTAGGAATGCGGAGAAAGAGAGGCATAGAAATCGGGCACCTTCGTGGAAGCTAAATATCCATGGATGTTGCCCGTCTTCAGGGGGGCGACGAGTCTTCGAGGTTACGCAACCCGACGGCCAGTCCGGGTGAAAGAGTGTGAGCCATCATCTCGTCTGGGCGATCGTCAACCTCGGCGTGTACGGCATAAACTAATAACGAGGCAACCACATACCATTCCGCTAGTGCATTCATCAACCGCCGCAAATCGTGTATTGTGGCGGAGGATGGCGCCGACACCGAGGCTGCAGATCAAGTATCTCACCACCCAAGTTTCACTCTGACGGAAACCGGGCGAAGGAGGTGCATGCATGAGATGGAATATGATGGGCGGACCAAATTCAAAGATTGCTACGTGGTTGCCTCTTTCGGGTGAGTCCTGCTTGGCTGGGCAACGACGAGGGAGACACGGAGAGAGGAAGGCTCAGATCGGGCGTAGAGCTAGTGCGGCAGGCTGGGCCGGGCTATGCCTTGTTCACTTTATCGATCACTGCATGTTGAATCGGATATGTTCCGGGAAGGAAGGCTCTGGGGAACCGATAGAAAGAGCCACGCGGAAGGTGTGGCGTGCTGCGCCGGAGCTCTTTCTCTCTCTGCTCTCGGGCAACCCCGCATTCCCAAGCCGAGCCCTTCTTCCTTCCCTTTCTTTCCACCTCACCCCATTGAAACCCATGAGTACGGCATGTTCCAGACCCAGACCTGCAGGTGCAGCCGGTCAAAACCTGCTCAGCCGTTCAAACTGAAGCTTGCCGTATCTCGCTTCCATGGCCTGGGTCAATACACGCGATTATTACTTGCTTGATTACTCGAGCGATGCGGCTCTGCAAGGTGAAGTGGTTGATGACCGCTTCTGGCTTCCCTTGGGCTCTCTTGGGTGATACATGTTGCGCGGCAGAGCAGTTGCATGCAGTTGCACAACAGAGGCAGGTTTGGATGGTGAAACAAGGGGCGTTTCTTGGGATGGATGTTCTACTCGCGGTTGCTGGACCATCGAGCCACCGATGAGCCGGTGTTGGGATTCGATTCCTCCGACAGCCTCAACTTTCTCTGGATGTCGGAGCACTCCCGGACGAAGCCTCAGACTCGCTCCGTGTTGATGACCGAGGTGAGGGGGGACAAACTGGAGAGCCAAGCCCGTATGGTCCTCACCCTCCTTCTTCCATCACTGCCCGCTCTTTTGCCACATCCCAAATTACTAATGCAGACACCCACCCTGCAGTTGACGGACTCCTCAAGAAGCGACCCAGTGACTTCGTCTGAGGCTGGATATGCCTTGGCATGCAGAAGCCGCATAAGGGATGCAGCGCCGAGCAGACGCATCCAACGAAGGCACCTGGTATCTGTATGTACGACATTGGCATCCCCGCCGTTTCTTGTCCGGTTATCGTAGCCCGTCACCTGGCCTGGGTACCGTCGTCTCCCATTGCATACCATCATGGCAACAGTGAAGACATACATCCGTCTCTCCGAACCCGACCAGTTCCTACTCAGAGATTTATGGCGCCTGAGATATCCACGCAGTGAGTCCTCCGTCTCGAACGACAGAGGTTGCTCCCTAGATATCTCGGCTGCCATATGTACCACATTGAAGGGTTGAAACCACGCTGTTTGGTTTCTCCTTTTATTATGCTCGGCGCTTGTGATGTCTCGGCTGGGCTGAGGCCGGAACGCCGAAAGGGGGCATAATCAAGGACAGAGTACGAGAACGGGAGCATCTGATTAGCCCAATCCAAGGCCGGCGGTCGTAGGCTGCCTCATCCGTGAGGCTCGAGACGTTCCATGTGCCATGATGAGGAAGCAGAGCAGGCCTGATCGTGACTATCGTACGACTCTTTTGACGCCACTGAGGCAACTACATCAGGGTTTCTTTCGGTTTTTTTCCTCGTCTCAGCTCGTCTTCTGGATCAGGAAACGCGGCCACAATGGCGGCCGCGGTCATCTTGTTGCCTTCTTTTATCAATCGTCAGTGGTTCGCGGCCAGCACGGGGAACAGAGTGGTGAGGTGCATGATGCAGGCCTTCGTTGCGAGTCGAGCGAACCAAGCTGACCAAGTTCCAAGGTGTGTTGTCCAGTGAAGCCCCACCCCAATAGTTACACCGCGTTCGTCCGTTTAGGTATGAGAATACCGAAACAATGGTTGCCGCTTAAATATCACTGTTCAGGCAGGAAGGGAAGTATCCGACGGGATAAGAGACCCGGCTTGGTCGATCATCTCTGGCATGGCCCAGCTGGGTCGGGTTGCCATGCGCCCGAGGAAACGCAGCAGACGAACCCAACGCTGTGCAATAATAAACGGGAAAATACGCTTAAACAGGGTCCCATCCACCTTGTATCACCTCATGCGGAGAGACCGAGCATCACAGACGTGACAGGAATCCAACCCCCTAACCCCTTTCGGTCCGGTGACGGCGAGGCATCAAAAGATCAACTCCTGCATCACCACGACATACTAGACGCGGGAGCACTTAACAAGAACAGAGTTGATGCGGGGAACCCAATGGAAAGACGATGCTGTCCGACCCCTCCCTCGAGTCCAAGTCGGACAGCATCAGCATCCAGCTACAACATCCAGATCGGTGGTGTAAGAAACTGGGCTAGCCGCATAGCATCACCGACAAACGCATCAATCCCATCCTCTCACACAACAATCCCATCATCACATGCAGCCCAAACCCAAGCCCAAACCCAAACCCAGCCTCGGTACGGCACACTCAACACTTCGATACGACCCTCCCAACGGTAAACCCACGGTTCCAAAAAGACTACTCAGAGATGACAACCTGCAAACCAACCAACGAGTTGGAGGAGCCTCGGACACGCCGCCCCGAGGAGAGAGACACGACACTTGGGCATCCACAAGCAGTCCGATCGAACGCAAACTTAAAACGCTCTCATAGCAGGTAAACGAGAAAGCAGGCAGGCAGGCAGGCAGGGAGACAGACACACATGTAAGCAGACCGATATGCGGGGATCCCAATCGACGATCGAGCGTTGCCAACTCAGCCCAGGCGGCCAACGAGAGTGAGCAGCAAGCACAAGCAATAGACGCTCCCTCGGATGGACCGGTTACACAACGATTTTCATCCTGTCAAACCCCACCATCCCACATGCGCCAGATCGCTCCCCTATACGACACACCCAAAACACCAATGTTGTGCGTCAACCCGACCGAGCCCGTCACACGCCTACCCCTGACCCCTTGGTCCTGATGTGCTGTCATGCAACAAACCCAGGCCCGGTTAGGCTTACCGGTCCCTTGTAAACCCATCACGCCAACATCGACGATTGCCATCGAGAGTATGGGAAAGAGTTTGAGAAACGGTGGACTTTGGTCACGGCAAACGCTCAAATCAAGGTCCACTGTGCATGTTGAGGCAAAGCACTTGAACACCACAAACAAAGTGTCTGATTCCTAATCCTAGACCACTACCTAATGAACGCCTACCCACCATAAGAATAACCTAAGCATTCCCAATCTCTGTACATGTTCATGGTCAAACAGTTCCATCAATGCTCACTCTTGTTCTTGCAGGCCTTCTCGTCGCAGTCGAATCCGTCCTTCATGTCGAAGCCATGGTTTGAATCGTGGCCGTGGTTTGAATCGTGGCCGTGGTTTGAATCGTGACCGTGATTTGAATCGTGGCCGTGGTCGGAGTCGTGGCCGTGTTCGTGGTCTAAATCGGAGTCGTGGTCTGAATCGGAGTCGTGCTCTGAATCGGAGCCGTCGTCATGGCAGACATCCTCGCAGTCGTCGTCAGAACCATCGTCCGAGCCGCTGTTGTCACCGCAACTCTTGTCACAGTGGTCGTCTGAGTCCGAGTCATGGTCCGAGTCATGGTCCGAGTCGGAACCGTCGCAGGACTCATCGCCGCAGTCATCCTCATGGCAAGACTCTGGCTCGCAAGCATCCTTGTCCCGGTTGCAAAACTGATCATTGCAGCTGTGGGTAACATCTTTGCAAGAACTGTTATGGCAGTTGCTTGAATCCGTCTTTTTGTGGCTGCAAGCCTTGCTGTGGCAGCTCTTGTCATCATGGTGCTTGTTACCGCAAGAGCTGGTGTTGCAATCCTCGGAATTCTTGCCCTTCCCGTTGCATGATTTGTCATGGCAGTTGTCTGAGCCACAAGAGTCACCCTTGCAATCTTTATGCTTTGAGCCACAAGAGTCCTCGTGGCACTCCTCCTCACAAGGAACAGGATGGGGAATATGCGGCTCGCAGGTTGACCAGCTGGGAAAGTGGAAAGGAATCGGCAGAGTCGCGTCAATCTCTTCCTCGTGTCCCTTCTTGTTCCCCTTCTTCTTCTTCTTCTCGGGGATGACCTGGTGCGAGGTGACGTGGTGCTTCTCAAAGACCCAGCAGGAATGAAGAGTCTTGGTGTTATAGTGACCTCCAAACTTGCGGTTATCTTTGCTCACCGACGAGCGATGGTCTTCTTCGTCCTTGTGGGCTCGCTTGTCATTCTTGCCTTTCTCGTTGTCGTGTCCGTCATCGTGGTGCTCATCGTGTCCGTCGTGTCCGCCGTGTCCGAAGTGTTCGTGACCCCATGTGTGAACGAAGTCGTTGCCATGGCCACTGTGGATCTGAGAGTGTAGAGTTAGTGAGTGGTTGTGGAAGCAGAGCATGATCGAACTCACTTCAAGTTTGTTCATTGCACCATGGTCAGCTAACTCGTACTTGGCGCCCAACTCTCCCGACCCAGTGAACTGTTCGGGGCGTTCAAAGCTCGCGTGCAAGGGCCACTCCATTTTGGCGGGTAAAGAAAGCCAGTCGATGTGGCCGTGGCCAGCGTACTCCCACTGTGACTGGTTCCCGGGGGCACCATCGTGATGTTCGATGGCGCCGTTGTGGGAGTCGCCCGAGGCTGCATCGTGCGACTTCTCATGTGCGCCATGATCAGGGGTCCAGCCGACCTCAACTGTACACTTGACCCCGTGGTGGGTGCTGGCAAGCAAGGGAAGGATTGTTGACAGATGCGCCGTGGTCTTGGGGCAGTCATCCTTGGCGATCCAGTTCCAGAAAAATGACCAGGTGTATACGCTGATGGTGCGTGTGGTCTCCAGGTCCTTGTGCTTGCTTGATCGCTTGTGATGATGGCCATGGCCCTTCTCGTGGACCTCGGTGTGGTCAATCTCACTGAAGCAGGTAACGCGGTGTGAGCCGCGTGCTATCTTTGGATGACATGTCGGGCCTGCGATGACAGCGGTGGGACCGAGGAGGGCGGCGACGAGACCGGCCGAGAGTGCCGACTTCATGGTGGCGGTTGGTAATCTGAGAATAAAAAAGTTGAGAGCAAACGAAGCAAAGGAAACAATGATGAGATGCTCAAATGACCAAAAGATGGGATTGATGCTGTGGTGTGGACGAAGATTATTGGGATGGAAGAGGAAGAGGTCCAGGAATGGGATCAGAGAAGATATTAAATGCTCGCCTCTTCGAGGTATAAAACTCCTTCCAGTTCCATGGCGCGCTCTGAGGATTGGAAGGGGCAGGCTCACATCAGGGGAGGTGAGCTTTGAGGTTCCCAGGGCTGAGAAGGAGCAGCAACACCCGAGCACTGAGAGACGGGACGGGGTGTCTCAAACCGAGCCTTCCTAGAATAGGTATAAAAACCACGCGAGCGTTCCGAACGCATCTGCAAGGTCCCAGGCACGGGCAGCTTTTGTTGAGTGACCACCTAGGAAGGCGCGAGGCATGGGTGCCTAAGAGTTGCCTCTAACCTGGAAGTTACTGACAAACTCGGAGGCATGTACGACTCACCGAACGGGTACTCAACACCACCAGTTCCTGCCCGTTGTGTGTTCAGACTTTGAGCCAGAAAGCTTAGGTCTCTGGGTAGCTGCCGGGATATTCCGGGCGATATTCCGGGCCTTTCTTGCAATGGGATTCCGCACAACGTCCATGCGAGCAACCACAGAGAGAACAGCTCAGGAGGCCAGGCAATTTGCAAATCTCGATGCGTTTTGGTTGTTGATATGATTGACCAGTAAAGTGCCCCCTTTTCGTCCACTCAGAGCCTTACAGCGGGCGAACGTGTCCGGAAAATGACAAGTGTGGCTATCACAACAGTTCCGCCTTGACGGGCGCCTCCATTTCGACGGCCTGCCCCTTATTCCCCTTCTCACCCTTCTCCCGGACAAAGTACCACGTATCCAAAATCCTATCCTCATCCGACCCCGTCCGCTGCACAAAAGCGGCGTACAACCTCCACTTGTGTCCCTCCATCAGCTCAAGCAGCCGCATCAGCATGATGCGCACCGTGTTGCTCGCCTCCCCCCTTGACCGCCACGGCTTTCCCTTGAGCTCGAACTCAAACGAGTCGTGACTCCAGTCGCCCTTCTCAAAACACCCCATCTCCTGCAGCGTCTTCTTCACCCCCGAGACCAACACCCCGAGGTGATCATGGTCATGGTCGTGGTGGTTGTCCTCCTCGCCCACCGCGCCATGCAGCTTCACCCCTTCCGCGTCGTACACCACACGCAGCTTATCCGTCCCCATAGGGGCTAGGGCGAGCCACTCCACCGCGGGCAGCGCACCCGCACCCGCCCCCGCCCCCGTTGGTCTCCCAGCCTGTGCCCGGCACCGAAAAAAGAGGGTATCCTTCGCGGTATAGCGGCGGCTGCACAGCACGGAGGTGACGAGCTCCCAGCCGTGGCGGTAGAGCACGGCGAGCACGTCGCGCACGAGGCGGATGCCGCCGACGTGCTGCTGGGTGCCGTAGTAGCCGAAGGGGCGGCCCTTGCACTTGTACTCGACCGCCGGGCCGGGGCCGGGGCTGGTGGCCCCACCACCACCCGCGGGGGACGACGAGTCGATGCCCGGTGGCCAGGCGGCGAGGATGGCAGGCTCGAGGGCGGTGGTCAGGGTGGCCGGGAAGTTGAGGAAGCGGAGGGTGTCGGACTTGTGGAGGGAGAGGGTTGCGTAGCTGGAGGGGAGGGTTGTCGAGGTGGAGGTGGGGGAGAAGGGGGTGGTGGGGTTGGGGGATGAGGGGGATGAGAGTGGCGAGGACATGGTTGGTTGTGGTGTCTTGTGGTGTTGTGAACCCAGGTTGATGAATATTCATGAAATAAATGATGGGAGATAGAGAGAGATGGGATGGATGAAATGGGTGATAAATAGGACTAAATATTCTCGAAACCAAGGCGTGAGGCTGTCTGCTAAACTCGCATCGATCCTATCATTTTAATCCTTGTTTGTGAGCCCTGCTGAGCACCGCGGGAATTGCTCACCGGGTTCATGGGTCCCTTCAACATCAAGAGCGAGCATCACTGCGAGGCTTGAGGCTCAAGGTCGGTCACTAACACGGAAATAGAGCTCGGTTACGATGTACACATGCTTAGAATGCGGACCTCCCTCGCCATTTTCAGGCCCCTGTGGTCCTTGGGCCAAGGTCCCTTCGCAACTTCCTCGGCTGCATCGACTCATTCGAAACAGCTCTGGAAGCACCCCAAGACCGGCTTTTTCCCCAATCAAGTTCAAACCCGACAGCATGTTTGAGGTGAAGGCAGAGCTGCGCAAGAACGCCAAGAGGGCTGCTCCCCGTATTTCGTTTCGACCGCTCATTGGATGGCTCATCCCATGGGAATTTGGTCCGAAAGCAAGGTGGCAAGCTCGAGGCAAGCCACTCAAGCCACTCAAGCTTCGGACAGACCCACATTTAGTTCCCCGCAGATGGGTGAGATGTGGAGGTCCGAGCTTGGTTCCCCGGCAACCAGTTGTTGGCCTTGGCATCCCCAGCTGAGAAAGCAGGGCCAGCGCATCGAAGGGACCCGAGGACACCACCAATATTCTCAACTTTTTGGAGGTTGCTCCGCCATGGGCAAAATGGCGATGCAAATCTGCACCACGGCCGTCCTCTCTTTCTAAGACAACCTAGAGACGAATTCCCCACGAGCACTATCAATGTGCAAGACAGGAGGAGCACAGCAGCGTCCAATCACTTATACGCCCGACAACCCGATTGCCCCGCCATTCCTTCCACCGCCAGATTGACGGCATTTATTGCTGGGCGTTGGTGTTTGTCGAGGGTCTAGATCAAAAAAAAAAGAACAGCATTCCACAGCCACCTACCACAATCTTTTTAACAGGTCGGCATCCCGACTGCGGAATACTCGGCTGCTTCGCACCACTCCCCAACCCGCCCGCGCTGGGCTCCATCGCCGCGCATCGCCGCAATGGCGCCGGCAGACAGTCTCTCCCCGCCGGGGTCGAGTTCCTACTCGTCCGACACCTTGACGGTGGGCGACGGGACATGGGATTTTACCAAGAACACATTCTTGCTACCGAACCTAGTGGGACTGAACTTTGAGACTATGCGGTACAATGGTATGTGGCCGGAACCCTCCCGAGACATCCTTGGCTAGCACCACTAATACCTGAGCCACATAGGAATGGGGAATCGCTTTGCGACACTGACGGAATATCACTCCCTAATTCTCGGGCACGGCGTCCTTGCTGCGATAACGTTTCTTTTCATCGTCCCCATCGCCGTCTTGCTAGCCAGGTTCTATACCCGCCAACCAGGGAATGCCGTCCGCTACCACGCATACTTGCAAATCCTCGCCGTCGGCCTCAGTACCGTTATTTTCGTCCTCGGGTTTATTGCCGTGGGTCCACCACGCAACCTGACGAACCCTCACCATGGCATTGGCGTCGCCATCTACGTCCTCATCCTGCTCCAGGCCTTTGGCGGTCGCCTAGTCAGCAAGCTCACTGGCCGCTCGTTTCGGCTGCACGTCCACCGTTGGTCTGGCCGGGCTATCACAATTCTGGGTATCGTGCAGGTTCCCCTGGGCCTAACGCTCTACGGGTCGCCCAAGCACCTGTTCATCCTTTACGCCGTGTGGATGGGCTTTTTGCTGGTGCTCTACTTCATCCTGGACTACCGCGACTACGGCCGTCGGGATTTCAACAGGGGTCGTGCTCACAGCAGCCATGTGGGAGCCGGAGACGAAAGCAGCAGAGTTACCGAGAAGTCCGGCGGCGGCATGATGAAGTGGCTCGGCCCACTTGCCGCTGGCGCCGGCGCATTGGCACTACTCAAGGGCCGCAAGAAGAATAAGGACACCGAGCGAGGTATGAGTCGGAGCCCTAGCCCAGTGGGCCGGCCGCACCGCGCGACGGTCATTTCCTCGCGGCGAGAATCGGATAGCTACTACGACGAGAAACATCCGGACCAGCGGCGCGTCAGCCGCGTCAGCGGCGGAGACGGCGGAGGCGGCTTCATGAATAAGATCTTTGGGGCCGGCGCCGGACTGGGTGCTGCAGCGCTAGTGGCCAAGATGATGAACCGCGGAGACAGACGCCACGATGATGAGTATTCGGCCGTCGCGACCGACACGCCAAGCCGTGTGCGCAGACATCCGCCGCCGAGGAGTGAGTTCACCGAAAGCGAGTATACCGACTTCACAGAGGACACCCGCAGGTACCCGAGCCGTCGCGACGCAGATTCATCCATCCTCCCTGCTCCTCGCCCCCACGCCGGCGGCGGCAGACCCCCGAGGCCTATGACCCCGCAACGTTCGCACGCGGCAACATCCCGATTTGACAGCACTATTGATGGCTCAGATTATTCATCGTACGTTAGCCCCTCTAGGAGAACCTCGGAGCCTCCGCGAAAGAACAGCGGCGCTGGAAAGGGGCTCCTTGCCGGAATGGGGCTGGGGTTTCTGGCCAAGATGGGCAAGGACAAGCGGGATAGGGATAGGAGAGAAGAGGAGCGGTTGAGGGATGAAGAAGACAGACGGAGAGAGGAGGAGGAGGATAGGAGGGCAGGTCGCCGGAACTCGAAGTACACGGGCGACGGGTACCCCACCCCAACTAGGCAGGGGTCAAGACGACGACCACCTAGGCCCCCGCCGTCCGGAGTCACCATGACCGAGACTGTGACTTCAGTATTCTCGGACGAGTCTTCCATTGAGCCCCGCGGCAGTACACCATACGACCCAGCGCCGCCGGGTATGCGGCCGCCTCCACCAGGCCCAACCCAGGTCTCTGGGGCCCCTCCTGTGCCGGGAGCCTACGGGGGGCCGCCCCCGGCCCCCAGGCCAGCGCCCATCCCAGTCGCAGGTACCATACCTGGGCAACCTCCGCGATACGATCCTGGCGACATCACCGACCCAGTGTCGATGCCGCCAATGCCAGCAGACCCCCACGGATTCTTCCACCGCGAATCGGACGGCAGCGAAGCCTACAATTCCACCGCCCCTGGCCGTAGCCGTAGTAGCCGCAGACGGCGAGAGCGAGAAGTCGACCCGGCCATCGCAGCCGCCAACGCCTCAGCCAGCGCGCTCGCCCTCGAGGAAGAAGAGCGCCGCCGTCGCGGCGAGCGCGCCCACCAGAGCCCCGTCAGCGTGCACCTGAGCATGGCCGACAACAACCCGGGCCGCTTCACCCTGCGCCGCCTCCCGGAGGGCGAAGCCGTCGCCCACCCGGGCGGCGGCAGCAGCGGCCGCCACCGCCGCCGCGCCGACTCGGTCAGCAGCGAGTCCGGCAACGACACCCCCACCGCCGGCAGCGCCGGCAGGCGCTACCGCCGCGACCATGGCCGCTCCTCCAGCCGCGGCCGCGCCGAGACGGCCGCCGAACAGCGCGTCGAGGCGGGCAACACCACGGGCGCCTCGGCCGACGAGCTGGACCCGCCCAACCCCGCCTTTGCGCGACGCGCCGGCGGGAAGGACTCGGCGTACTATTCCGGCGGCGCTGCCGGCGCTGCTGCTGGTGGTAGTGGCGGTGGTGGTGGAGCGGGAGCGGGAGCGGGCCCGTCGGGCGCCGTGCCTGCTGCGGAGGCGACCATCTCGACGCTGGACAGCCCGGCGGGCCTCATGAGCCCCGGCGGGAGCCATGCTACGTTTACGAGCGTGCCGATGACGGATGCGGGGGCCGCGGCGGATCGGAGGAGGAGGAGGAGGTTGGAGCGCAGGGATGGGAGTCGGCAGCCGAGTGTGGATTATACCTGAGCTCTCTGCGGGGGGTGATGTAGGGTGATAGAGAGGTGGTGGGAAGGGGGTGGTTGGTCTGTTTGTTGTTGAAGGGGGTTGGTTGTCATTTGGCATGGCGTTGTTTTTTTTGCGAGGGATTGTGTTGTGCTAAACGTACGTACAGTACAGCTGCTGATGATGAGGGAATGAGGAGATGGGGCTGGGTTTATTTCATTTGTCTATATATAGGTGATCGGGGGGCAGTGAGGAGATGTTTGGTATGATGCGATTGATGAGGGGGGGAAGGCATATAAACGTGTTCCATGTCGAGATTGCAATGATATTTTCTAATACCCGCTCTGTATTTAACTAGATGAATTTCCTTGCGTTGAGTTGGGAGCCAAAAAGGTCAAAATGGGATTCACAATGTACAACTATCTTATCCCCGACAAATTGTAAAAAAGAAAATGACGGAAAGAAAAAAAACACAAAAAAGCTCGCCGGACCAGCTCCGCGGACGGCGGTGGTTTGGCTAGGAAAAACCAGCGTCTCCCGTACTGCCTGCCCTGGGTGGTCAGTTTTGGCCTGCCTGCCTTTCGGGGGTCAGTTTTTGGTGGGGGGACCAGTTTTTACAAACATCAGCGTATCTCGAACCCGCGACCTCTCGGTTAGCCCGATCGGTTTGAGGTTTTTGATTTCTTGAGGCTGGTTGTGACCCCAGCCAATGACCGTTAGGCCACCAGGGAGGTCGTTGGAATTTGAGGCGCGGGAACTTGTGTATCTAGTCCGGGCTGCACCTTGGTTGGTGGCATCGTCAGATGGAAGACACGGGCAGCACAGTATGGCGATGGTGGTGGTTTATACAGCCCGTGCGCACTGCAGGCTCGGCGCAGCCAGCAAGCGAGCTGCCCGCTGTGCCCCGCGTTTTGCTCCCCTGTCGCTGCACCCCGCCGCCAAGGGCGAACGCGCCGCATGGATGGAATTCCAGGCGCGACGCGACAACCAAGCATTTTAACTCCAACAGGGTCAGGTCGGAGTGGTCAACGTCCGGCCCAGAACTGCGCAACTACTGTCCCCGATCAATCGCTACGCTGCCTAGTCGGCGGTTATTGCAGAATTCGAAAATGGCCTCCGAACAAGACCCCGTCCCCGCCCCGGCGCAACAGCGCCAACCGCAACCGCAACCACAGGACCCTGACACCGAGATGCTCGACCAACAACCGCCAGCACCGCCCGCCCAAACCGAGCCTTCCGCCACTTCCACCACCGAAGACCCCGAAAACACACCCCAAAACCAACAAGACCAATCCCAAACCCAACCCCAAAACCAAGACCAAGACGCCACACAAGAAGAAAAACAGCCAACCCCCCCACCAGCAGCACCCCCTCCGCCGCCACCACCGGGCCCGCGCGCGGCGCGGCTGCAGGCGCTGTTTGCGTCGACGGCCAAACACACGCTGGACAAGATCAACAAGGAGAACTTTGGGGCGTGCTTCCCGACCATCTCGAACAAGGCGCCGGGGACGCTGGAGTTTGTGCAGCGGCAGATGGTGGAGCGGTTAGGGGGGTTGTGGAATGTAGGTTTCTTCTTTTTGAAGTTTCTTTTGTGATTGGGTTTGTGTTTGAGCTTTGGGCGGGGTGTTGTTTTGGGAGATGGGGAGGTGGGGAGGGGTAAAGGGGGTTGTTTATGTTCCTCGAGTTCAGGGGTGAAGGGGGGGTTGTCAGGTTGCTAGTTGGGGTGTTGGTTTTGCATTTCCAGATTGACAAGACAAGCTAACAAGGACTACAGAAAGAGTTCGAGACCATTATGGCCAACCGGCAGGTGGTGGCACGGTTGAACGAGCTGGAAGAGCTGGTCGGCGACGCCACCCGGCGGAGAATGGAGGCCGACGACCCAAGTTCACCGCCAGTCCCGTATGTTTATTTACCTCCCCCTTTTCCTACCTCAATTTTTTACTCCCTTCACCAACCCCCTTTCTCACCTTCCTCACCTTTACCATCCCCTTTCCCACCCTTGCCCACCCTTGCCCACCCTCTTACCCACCCTCCACCCCGCAAAACAACCCCAAGTTGCCAACTAACCCACCCCCCCTTTTTCCCCAACAAACAGACCACACACCCTCCCCGCTCCCACCATCCTCCAAGCGCACCTCGCGCCCCATCTAGCATCCCACCAGTCCCAGCTCAACGCCAAACTGCAAAACACGCAGGCGGCCAACGCGCGGCTGTGGGACGAGATCCGGGCGCAGCGGGCCGAGATGGAGGCGCTGCTGGCGGGCGTGGAGAAGGCGGTGCGCGACACGGACGGGGCCAACGGCCTGCTCGGGGAGGTGGCGGACGAGCTGGCGGCGGAGACGCGGGCGGCCGAGGGGGATGTTAGGGCCGTTACTGCGGGTGGGGGTGGTGGTGGTGGTGGCGGTGCGAAATGAATAGGGGTTGTTGTTGTTGTTGGTGGTGGTGGTGGTGGTAGTGGTGCTGTTGTTGAAGGGGAGAGGAAGATAGTGGGCCAGATGGGAAGGATGAATGGGATGGCTTTGCTGGCGGAATCAACGGCCGAGCGAGGAAAGGAAGCATATCGGCGTTGTGGGCTGGGTTTGTTGGATATCTAGGCGTTGACAGAGGGCGTTGCGTTCACATATGGGAAACTAGCTGTCAAAAATAATCTCACGAGACCAAGACAAATCAAACCAAGTTGGTATCAATTATTGCTGTGTCCCTTCCCATAGCTCCCGATATATACTGGTGGTATGTCCATCACAAAAGAACCCCCCCAGCCTCCCCGGGATTCCCGTTTTACACGCAAGAAAAGTGGTATATAATGCTCGACCCGCCCCACCGGTCCGCGACTTCCGAGTGCCATGCCGAAGGATATGCAAAAGAAAAAGCTCGCCAGATGCTCCGCCTGTACCCAAAAACTCCACGCCGCTGGTATGACAAAAAGAAAAAGACAAAGGTATATCGCAGGGAGTCGCTCGTGGCGCACGAACGAAGAAAATGGCACAACCATCACCGACGACGCAGCCTCAACAGACCACACGCTTAAATCAGCCTGTTCTCCGGCACGATGACCTGCCACGGGCCCATGACATCCACCTCGCCGTACGCCGGCGGCAGCACGCGGACCATGCGGCCGGTGCCCCAATCGACGTACCAGCGCTTGCCGCGCGCGATCACGTAGTTGCTCTTGCGCGGGCTCTTGAACAGCAGCACGCTGTAGCATAGGCGCGCATACAGCAGGTCGTGCGTCGTGCTCCAGCCGTGCTGCGGCTTCCACTTGCCCGTTTCGGGGTCGATGCTCTCGTTCGGATACGACGTCGTCGATAGTCGCCCTATGATCGGGTGGTCGGTCCGTGGACCGTACACGGCGGCGCCGTCCTCGTCCCCTCCGTACTCGAGGTCTGGCGGTTCTCCAGCTCCACCGCCTCCGTCGCCGTCCTCGTCCTCGTCGCTCCCGTCTTGCCGGCGCTGCTCGGTCAACCGCTGGAAGCCGATGCTGTCTTCGGGTTGTGGCCGCTGCCCGCGTAGCCATCGTATCCTTTGAATCCGTGGTACGCTAAAGTCTCGCGGGAAGTCGCGCTCGTCTATTGGTGGTGATACGTTGATGGCGGCGAAGATCCCGTCGAGCCATGTGACAAACGTCCCGAGTTCGACGCACGACAATAGGAACTGGTCTGTTTCTACCCTCATCCGGATGACGTATCGTCGCCTGGTTTTGGTCAGCTTTTAATCCCTCAAATCGTTTCCTTATCCTTAGCGTACGCACTTTCTGTAGTCGGCGGCTATCCCCGCATCCGCATGGAGCAAACTGTAGCTCTTTTCCAACGTCGACTTCTTCACCCACGGCGGGTTATCGGGCATGATGTCGGGTCCGTCATGTTTACTCGACGACCACCACCCGCGCTCCTTCTTGACCGAATATACGTTGAGCGCAGTGCCCCGCAGTTCGACGTACACCATCCTCCAGTCGCGGTACTCGGCCCGCTTTGTCGTCTCCTCAATCTCCATCTTGCGCATAAACACCCCCTCCAGATGCACAGCGCACGAATACTGCGGCAGCACGTCCTCGGGGATGTGTCTGGCAGCGTTCTGCCCGGCAGCGGCCTGAGCCCTCCTCTGCGCGGCGACGACGGCCTTCATGGCCGAGTCGTAGCTCGGGGGCTTGGCGGGCCGCGACGTCATGAGCTCCCGGTAGAACATGTCCTCCTCCATGGACATGCGGCGCGGGCGCCCCGACGGCGCGTCGCTGCCGACGCTATGGTGGGAGAAGGCATCGCTGGGTCTTCGCGCCATGGGACGGGTGCCTCCTCTCGGCGTGGTAGGTGGGGGGTGCTGTGGCCTAGCGCACTATGGCGGCGGCGGCGGCGGCTTCGTCGAAAATGGGGACCAAGCCCGTTCCGTCTCCCCCTCCCCCTCCCCTCCTCCCTTTGGGTGTGTTGGTGTTGGTGAAGTTGTTGTTGCTGTGAGCCCTGACTCACTCGGTTGCTGGCCCGGTCCTCTCCGGCATGACATGCCCGGCTCCGGCACAGCGTCGAGTGGAGTCCTCCGACGGCGCTGGGCAGCCGCTGTGGGAATTCCGTGCTCACGGTCCTGGGGTGCGGTTTTTTGATTCGGTCGTTCGCTCCTTGGCTCGGACAGGCCCTCTCCTGCTCCTGCGCGAAACCCGGCTTACACGAGATGCCGAGATATATCGATCGTTCAGATGAGATGGTCGCCAAGGCCACGAAGCTTGTCATCCAGAAATCACCAAATCCTAGAGAGGCCGTAAGGTCGTATGCAGTAGGCAGCAGTGGCGTGGTGTAGATACGTAAAATCTCGTAAATATTGAGGCCTCAGGCGTTGGTGTTGAAAAGCTTCGAGTTTCGTCCTTGGAAGTCGGGATGCCCAGATCGGATGACTGCAGGAAGGTACGGAAGGAAAGGTGAAGAAGGCACAAAGTAACGAGCGGAATGCGACCGGAACAGGCGCTAACGTTATGGACAGGAGCGGAACACGGAAAGCGGAAGGGGCAGTGACTTTGACGTGGCTAGCAAGGTAGGTGCCAGTTGAAACTACCAAATTGGCAAGAAAGTGGAGGAACCAAAAAGCGACGATGGAGAACGGGCGAAGTGACGGGATGCGGAAGCTGTGCCAATTAGTTATCCCAAGGAAACCATCAGTGACTGCTTGGCAACAAGTTGAGGGGCTGAAAGCCACCCCGGCTCGTCAGCATTTCAGTGGGTTTTGAGGGCGCCCGGATCCCTGGAGCCGTGCCAAGTGCCCTGGCTCGCCTGGCTCCTCTTAATAAGACCTGGCTTTCATGTTCAATATCGATCTCCCATTTCGCACCGTTGAGGAAGGCGGGCTTCTATCCAGTGTCGCCGGTCGCTCACGACCTACACAGTACTAGTGCAGACAAGCGACAAACATTGGATGAAGCGAAGCATCCGGATTCGCGGCAGAGTACCTCGGTCGCCGGCTAGTGAGGGCTGGATTGTCGACCGAATGGCCGATCTGGATTACACGAGAGTGACGAGAGAGCTCTGGTCTTGCTTGTCCTGTGCAAGGTGTGACAGCTTTCCCAAATGCTGTGCCGGGTTGCTCTCTTTTACCCGACTGGGTTTCCAGGAGCCGTTGGCGTCGAGCAATTGCATTCCATCAAATTTCATTTGGCTCTGCATCTCTCTGCAACGCTGAGAATAGGTCTTCTCGGCTCCCGCCTCATGTCTGGCATATAGTAGATTGCGAATAAGAGCATGGCGCGATGCCCGGCCGGACCCACGTCTCTTTTGTTTCTTCCCAAAACGATGCGCCCTCCACGTCGGGGAGGTGCTTTGCGCAACTTCATCCCAACCCGGCCCCGCCGTGTCGGTCGATGGGCGAGCGAGGCGTGCAAGCACCAATCAGAAGGCGTGGGCGTGGCCTCACACAAACCTGGGCTAGGCTGTTCCGGGTAGGTGGTTTGAGGGTCCGCATGGAGTCGGACAGCAGGGTTCACGAAGTCGAGGCCGAAGTTGGACCCGTTTGAACAAGAATTTGGTTTTCGCCTTTCTTTTCGCAGGCCGAACATGTTTCAAGACGCCGAACAGCACAACACTACACAGCACACAGCCTTCGCATGTATCTTGCAAGAGAGTCGTCCGAACCCAACTCTACCCGAAACATCTGGCACCTCGTGCAGCTGGCTGCATCGGGTCGAGAGCTGGAGCCTGTGCCGCGGACTCGCGCCCCGGTTTGTCCTCCCTCGTCGTTTCTAGAAGGCAGTCAAACCAAGCACTCCAAGCACTCTCCGTCGCTTGTCGCTTGTCGCCACACGACGGCAGGGTCCATTTCCCCAAACTCCGTGCAGCAGCTGAACTTGGCAGGTCGGAGCCGCGAGGTGGGAGCTGACGAAGAACCTCTTTGATTCGATCCGGCTTCCCCTGTTTACGGCGTTTCTTGGACGGAGGGCCCGACTGCCACATCGCTCTGGCTCGTCTGGCCACTGCCCTGCCAGGCTGTTCTTGAAACCGCACCTTCCTCTCCCATCTGGGCTTCTCGGCACCCGCGCCGTCATCTCCCCTCGAGGCTGAACCGGCTGGTGGGGACCGGGTGGGTCCAGACCATCGATTTCCGTTAGTTAGAGTGCGGTCGACCTTTCGGGAAGGTGGGAGCAAGCGCTGCCAGGCCCGACGTGATCTTCGGCAAGGGCGCGGTAACGATTCGCCCTTTCCGTTTTCTTCCACGAGTGGCTGGCCGAAAGTTGATCGTCACCGGACAAGGAAGGCGAGAAGCTGTGCAGCGAAAACCCATTCGAGCCATTCACTCTCAAATACACGGCGCAAGTGGAGAGGGTTGGGCAGGGCAGGGCAGGTACGTGGCCGTCGCCACTCTGCCAGAGACGCGATGTGATGGCTCGGTGGTTTTTTGCTGTTGTTTCACGGCTGTTTTGCGGCCGTTTGTTTTACCGCGTGATGGATGCGCGAAATGTGGTGAGAGAAGCTGGCGCCCAACACTTCTCATGGTCCAGTCCGGTCTCCAAGTTCTCCCCCTCCCCCAACGGACGCGAGCAGCCGGCCTCGCTAGTGCCCGGAACTCGGCATCGGGTCGAGTTGATATCCGCATCCTTCGAGCTTACTCTGCACCGACCGCCTCATAGATGATCCCGAGCGACGGTGTCGACAAACCGTCGACTACCCATTCCCGAACCGGCCTGGCGGACGCGGGGGGGGACAGGGTCATGATCAACCCCATGGAGCCCCGTGGTTCTGCCCTCCACCAGCGCTCCGGAGCCGGCGACGAGCGGAGTTGCCGGCCACGTGGAAGCGCTATCGGACGTCAGCACGGGGGAGACTTCCCAATGGGAAAGAATTGATCAGTCTGCCGTCTCCGAAAGCCTTGTTTCAGTGATCCATGCCCGGTGCGGCTGGTGAAGCTGTGGACAATGCCTCGGAACCACCTGTCGGCACTCGAGGGCCGATCCCCAGACACTGGCGGACGATCGCCCAGACGATCCAAGTGACGTGATTGCCCTGACCGTTCACCGGTTGAACCGGGTCATGGCATCTTCCGTGGGGAATGGGCTGGCATTGCCTGGTCTCGACTCGGTAAGCGGTGGAGTTGTCGATCCCCAGGGCAGGACTGGGGACCTCGAGGGACCAGTCTGCGATCGACAGCAACATCTTCCCCAGGCAAAAGACGAACCCCGCCTTCCGGCCCTTATCAAGGTGATCTTGCCCCCGTGAACATGAAGAGCGCTCGATCGTCTCAAAACACATCATGAAATTCAAGATCCTGTGAGACAACACCGCCGTTCATGATCGCCATCATAACGGCCCTTCCTATTGCATGTTGTTCAACTGCCCGAAACCCCGAGGATCCATGAAATCGCTCTGCCAGATAACTACTCCTTTGCCAAGTTCAGGGGAATCATCTCGCCTCCCGGAGTTGTCCGTGTTCCCAAGTTGTTCTGCAAAACGCAGCCTCCCGTTTCCATTCGTTCGAAGCCAATCCAATCTTAAGCCACGATAATCAACTTTCCTCGACGGCACCACAAAAAGTGTCCGTCCAGAACAGTTGCCTTCACACGTCTGACACTTGGAGACTACTTATTTTGTTGTGGTCCTTTACGGCGGTCGGCACTTTGTAAACATGCTCTCTTATCAAACGGAGAGTCACACATCTCCCCTCCTTGATAAGCGACTTGGTCTCGAAAGATCCGAGGTAAACCTAGGTTGAACACACTTAAGTGCACTAAGTGATGGGGGAAAAAGAATCTGCTAAAGAGGAGAATCTGCTCATAACGTTGCGGATGCTATTCATATTTTGCTTTGAAACCGTCCTGACGCGTTGTAAATGCGGAGTGATGGGGGACAACTCATGCTCCTTTGACCCCCTGACGCCCTATTGGCTATATCACCGGTACCGAGCGCTCAAGGTCGCCAGAGGTAGTTAATTTGAGCAAGTGCACACGCTCTCATATCACTCTGACTTAAGCAGGTTGTTCAGGTCTCATGGCTGTTCATTATCAGCAGGCAGTGGGCACACTTCTTCGACGGTCCACGCCACAACATCGAGGGTGTCATGGCCCAGCCCACTCCTCCATTGCACAAGAAGTCGGATTACGTGTTGTAGTTATTATAATACACATCATGTCTAAGCCTGGCGAGCTACGTTGGTCTGCCCGTACTACCTACCTACTAACGTATGTTTGCCTATCCAGTACCTCTCGGTCGTACCGTCTGTCCATACCGTGGGGAGAGGACAGTCAAGGCAGAGGCAGAAGCAATCCTTCATCTCATGGCTAGCCAGCCGGCTCAACCAGACCTTCCCATTCTTCGTTATACAGGCCACCTAGTACCGCTGTGCCTATGCCTTCCGACTCCCAACACAAACGACGGGAATGCCGACCGTTAGCTTGAGAGGTGGGAAAGGCATGGGTGCAAACAGCGAGGCAGGAAAAAAGCAAATACAAGAGCCCGTCAGATCCAGCTACCATAACACAACGCACGTCCCTAGGTCATATAAAGCACAACCTTTGCATCGAAAAGAGACATCCATAAGTGATTCTTTTGGCCGGTTTTCCTGTCCTAACCTCATCCATAATACCCCCGTTACTCCATGACGCACCAATGAATGCCTTCCCCACCCACTCATAAAACCACCCCCGCCGTGATGTCGATACGATTTAACGAAATGTCTACGTGGCGGTCGCTCGCTGCGGAGACCAGCTTTGGTCCTCGCGAGCAAGGCAGCGACGGCTCAGACGTTAGGCGGCGCTTGCCAACTAAGCAGCACCGGCCTGGGAAGTTCCCCGTCCGCGGGGGCCGCCGCCGCCACGACCCCGAGACTGGCCGGTGAAACCACCGCGGCCACCGCCCTGGGCGCCGGACCGGGAAGGTTCGAACCCACCACGGCCACCGCGCGTGGAACCGCCCCGAGAAGCGTTGTAGTTGGCGCCGCCGTAGGCGTTAGCCTTGGGGCGGCGCTGCTCAACGATGATGTTCTCGCCGTTCACAGTGTGGGGATTGGCGGCGATAGCGGCGTTGTAACCGGCCTGGGTCTTGAACTCGACGAAAGCGCAGTTCTGGGGTCAAAGTCAGCCAGTCAGTCACTCATGGTACGTATGGGCTCTGAGCTCGTACCTTTTGGCGGTTGATGTCGAAATAGGCGAGCTCGCCAAAGCCGTTCAGAGTCGCTTTCAAATCCTCTTCCTTGACCTTATCAGTGACGTATTTGATGTACGCCATGGCGCCCTCCTTCTCGGGCGGAGCGGCAGCGACGGGGTGAACACGGCTCTGGCGCTTGGTTTCCGCGGTTTGCCATTCGCTGCCTTGGTCCTTGGGGGCGGCAGGCGCAGTGCTCTCCTGCGGCTGGACGGCGGGTGCAGCTTGTTGGGAAGCGGTAGGGACTGGCGCGCGCGCCTGAGCCGGAGCGGGGGGCGTGGCGGCCTTGGGGATGGGGACAACGGGCCGCGTGGCTCCAGCGGCCACGCGGTTGGCCCAGGACATCGGCTTGGGGGGCTCCTTGGGCCTCTCTGGCTGGGCGGGAGCGGGGGCGGGAGCTGAAGTACGGGCCGGAGCGGGGGCAACGGCGGGCGTAGGGGCGGGGTCCTTGGGCTCCTCCGGCTTCGCAACCTCCTCTTCGGCAATCTCCTCGACCGTCTTCTCAACGTCGGCCTGGGGCTGCACCTCCTCCTCAACAGCAGCCTCCTCCGCCTCAGCGGCAGGCTCGGAAACCGACGCGGCGGTAGCGGCGGGGGTATCCTCGTTAGTCTCCTCCCGCTTCTCAGTAACGGCCTCGGACTCCACGGGAGCCTCGTCCTGGGCGGCCTCCTCGGAGGCGGGAGCCCCCGTCTTGGCTTCGTGCTCGGGGGCGGCGGGCATCTCGACACGTGCTGAGGACTCCTCAGTAGCCGCCTCCGTCTCCTCCTCCACATCGTCGTTCAGGAACCGCAGCATGTCGTTGAGGACGAAGTACCCGGACGGTTGTTGAGCAAGGACGAATGTTTGCACGAACTTCTTAGGCTCGGCGTCCTTGTTGGCCATCTCACCGATGACGGTGATGAGAATATTCTCCTCGGAGCCTTGGGTGTCCACGTTAGAAATCCGGACCTTGCAGTCCTGGAAATCCATGCTCTTGATACGGTCCTGGATTGGCTTTTCGGGAAAGGTCAATATGGGCTTGCTAACTTGGTTACCCTGCCGTCGGCACTCACCTGTCTACCGAACGAAACGTTCACAACCTGTGCCTCGCGACCGCAAACGAACTGAGCCTTCTTGCCATAGTACAGCTGCCGGGATGGTCAATTCGATTCCACGTCGGAATTGGCGAGGCGTTGGACTCACATGCAGTCTCCCGGGCGACCTGCTCATGGTTGTGTAGTACTGCTCGACGAAGTACCAGCCGACCTCGTCCTTGGGAAGGTTGTTGGTAGCGCCCTCCACGTTGGCCGGGGCCTCTGTTGTCTGGACCGGAGCGGCATACTGGTCGTGATTAAGATTACCGTTGGTGGACATGATTGCTAAATGTTCCCAGGTGGAGAGAGAATGATAGCTGTCCAAAAGCGAGTGCCAAAATTCGGCGTGTGTGTGAGAAGTGCGTCGGCGAGGCGCAAGGGCTTTTCGGTGATCGGGGAAGCGGAACGATATGCCTAGCAAAAGAAGCTCAGCGAAAGCTCAACAAATAAGTTTGTTGGATCATTGAGGCGGGGGCCATACGGTTCCAGAGCGTGAAGGTCAATGCCGGGTTCAGAAAGCACCAGCCAGTTCCCGGATGGATACCAGGCACGTCAGGTTCCAGTTACCTAATCTCGCGCGGTTTCGACTTTGACGTCGGGAAAGTGCGAGAGAGGGGTGAAAGAGGTGGCGTGGGAGAACGGGACAGAGGGAAATCCTGCGGAAGGGAGTGCGGGAAGAGAAAAAAAAACTGCTCCGACCGAGTGGGAGATGGGGGAAAGAGACGCTCGTTTTGCAGCTTGTTGCGCAACTTCCAAAATCGCAAAACTGTGGTGGTGCTCTCAGAAAATTGATTTGGGCGAGTTCGGGCCCGGCCCACAAGACCAAGCAGAGCACGGAACTTGCCTTGGCAACAGACGACACCCAGCGGCGTTGCCTTGGGTTTGCCACCACCCGCTGCGAAGCCTCCGCACTTGCCTCGTTGCCTCGACCACTAATGGGACGGAGAAATAGAAGAGAGAAGAAGTCCATGACTTCATTGTCTAGGTACCTACGTTTGTTTATTTATTTATTTCTTCAGTCACCAGCACACCTCATGATAAATACACGTCGTCAATGGATGGATGCACAGAGGCAGACTAGTCCCACGGTTAGGGTAGGGACGGGAAATAACACCGGCAACCACCGCACCCGAGCGAGTTTGCTTCTGCATCCGAGTCCTATCAGCTGAACCGACGGTCTCAGGAAGGTAAGCCTGACCCGGGTCCGGGCCCGGTCCCGTTCGCATCTCCCGGGCGCCACAAATCCCCGGGTGGCTGCCGATTCGCACATCTGGCTGAGGTCGGTACCGCCGCCTACTTTGCCGGGTGTACATACCCACTTTGCACCCGGGGAAACCCACCAAGCGACCTATTTGATATTCATCGGGAACGGCATAGAGGTCGGCGGATTCCTTCGCGGTTCTTGAGAATCATTCTTGTAATTCGCTTTCTTTCAAGCCACATTTGAACGCCGTGGTAGGTCTCCCGCTACTTTGCCAGGTAAGGTACCTAGGTACCTACCTCCCGTTTCCGTGGTAGTCGAACGAACACCGCCTCTGGCAGTTTGAGCCAAACCGCTTGCCCTCGGTACGGGAAGAAAAGAAGTGCCAAGACACTTCAAAAAAGATACCGTTAAATGTTTAAACTGGTGGGGTGGGTGGTGCTCGGGAACAGCCGCTTCATTGCCAAACAGTATGGAGCTTACACAAAACAAGCAACACAACATATACACTACGAATTGTTATTCGCAAGACCGGTAATTATGACTTGGTAGGTACTTCTGGGTAAGCTAGCAAAGTGACACGGACGCTATAACGGTCGACACCCAGCTTGGACTGACCGTCTCCCAAGCCGAAATGTATTGTCTGTAAGCGTTCTTCAGAAAGCCAGTATGCCCGGTATCTCAAGACCTACCGAGCTGCCTACCTAGGTCGTAAGACTTACACAAAACCGAAGTAGGTAATTATGAGAAACCAAGCAGCTGACCAAGACAGTTCAGATCTTTTGGGCGAGGCAACACATTGTATCATCCATGGATGTTCCCCGTTCCCATTTTCGATGCCTGCCGCGTTCTCGTCCTTTGGGCCCTCCGGCAGGCAGGTGCTGCTGATCAGACAGCTGCAGGTGGTCCGTGTTTTGACCCAGTGGTGGCTTTTCTCCTCCTTCCTGTCTTGGCTCGGAAATCTTGTCCATTGGCCGTAAACTGACCTGCACCCTGCGCCGCCGGTTCCCGGTGTGCTGTTTCTCTCTCGGGCTTCACAACGTTGAGCTGGTTAAGCTGTCGTCGCGGCCGGTTTCGAGTCTACATATTTTCGGCGGGGAAGAAGGTGGCAGATCGTTTCCGACACTGTTTGTCTCACTCCTCGGTAGATCGGTGAGTGCCAATTGACACCGGGGGGTTTCCTGCGCACATATCCCCACTGTCGGCCAGGCCAGGCCCTGAACCAGCATCAGGGAAGACGGGAGCTTCCAACTAGGCGCTGTTCCAGGCCGGGGTCGTATTTGTGGTCCAGCGCGCACGAACTCGTCAGTAACGTCCCGAGAGTTCATGGACAATTTTCACCCTTTAACGGCGTCTCTCTGTTTCCCGATAATCATGGGTGTTTCGGGTCGGCGGTCTTGGTGACGTTTATTTCTGGAACTTCTGCAAGGTTCTCCTTGCTCATCACTTCTTGACCTCACTCACGGTGGCGCCGATCGTGGACCCTCGTCCGCTCTTGTCGTTCTTTTCCAACTCCCCCGTCAGCAGCCGTCTCCAGCGACTTGTTACTCGCCTTGCGTCTAGTTGAACCGGGCACCAAGCATTTGCCGGCGTCTTTTCTTTGCGCTAGTCGACGAACCCTCACCAAAGCAGCAGCGCCATTGGCGAGAAACAGGAACAAAGGCCCGGAGCGGCCCCCGCCATCGCAGAGGAGCCACACTGCTTCAGGCAGTTCACTCCAACCTCGTTCACCGCGGAAGCTAGGCCAGGCTTCCGTCTCCATCTGGCGCAGTTTCGGGGAAAGTCTAACTGCATCCTGGGTGGTTCATCACTGAGCGGTGCTGGGACACGTTTCGCCGTAGCATGCTCTGTTCCTTGCCGAAGCGAATCCGAACCGTTGAATCGACACACAGCATGCCGGAGCAGACTGCCGCTTATTTGCTGCCATCTCCAGCTCGCCGACGATCTGGATTCCCTGCAGGCCCTGTCCGGTCAAATCCCCGTCTTCCCGCTATTATCTGAGTAGCATCCCGAGCTCTCCGTGCGAGTTGAAACACACGCCCCGCGAACTGAATACCCGTTCTGGTCTTCGCTTTCCCCATCCGTGTGAGTGATATCAACCATGGTGTATTGCGGCAAGGCATCACAGGGCTGCCAGAGCTGCCGGACGAGGCGCATTAAGGTAAGGTTTGGTACTACCCACTTGTTTCTCTTTTAAATGTTGGGGGGGACATGGAACAAAAGCCTGGCTGGTTGGGTGTGTTTCACAGAACCAGAAATTTGTCGTCTTTGCCAACTCGTTTATTTAGCTTACCGCAATCCCCAGTGTCGAGGGCCTCGAGAGGCATCCCATGCTGACCCGAGTTAGTGCGACAAAGTCCAACCGCAGTGTACGCAATGTGTACGGGTCCGCAAACCATGCCCCGGGTATCGAGACCAGCTTTCATTGATGTTTCGGGATGAAAGCAACAAGGTCATGAAGAAAGCGCATGCTCAGTGGGGAGGAGCTTCGGAGATATCAGAGTTGGGAGACTTGTCCGGATCTTCACCAACGTCGGCCTCGCCCTCCTCAGCAAGAAGCCGATCATCGGCGCCGGAAGCGGCCATTCCGCCACTATCCAATACAGTCACCGCGAACAGTCGAAAGACCGCCGCGGGGAAGCGACTAATTAAGGAGATATGTGCTACCCCCGTCGACAAAGGCATTCAATTTTATATCGAGCACTACATAATCGGGCTTCCAGACGAGCCAAGGGCAGGCCACGAGCTCCGAGGGATAAAATGGGTTCACTCGCGGGCGACACGGGACATCATAGCTGCCGTGGGGCTGGCCGGCCTCTCGAATCTCACGGGCGACAAAGAGATGAACACATTATCGAAGCATCATTACGGGCTCGCTCTGCACAATATGGCATCCTCCGTCCGAGACATGGGAAGTATCGAGTTGGATCTTATAATGCGGACTGTGGTGATGATGGCTATGTATGAGGTGAGCTGCAGCTGGGAGGGTCGGGAGATTGGGGACGAACCAGGCTGTGTCGAAGACGGCAGTAAGCTAACTCACCACCATTAGGTTATACGTGGCGGGAACGAGCCGTCCAGCCCCGCGCGAACGCACGTCATGGGTGGTGCCGCAATCTTGAACAACTCTCTTCCTTTACCGCAGTCACCAGCCGATGGACCGCGAGGGCTCCTACAGCTGTGCTTCTCGATGGTCTCTTCGAGACAGGGCTCCTTCCAGTTCTCCTCGCCAGAACCGAATGTCGTGATTCCCACTCACATCGACCGCCAATGCGAAGGGGCTCTCCCTGGCACTTTCTTCAACTGGATCGCCACCATCGACAACACGGTAACGGAGCGCGACCGTCCATCGGCTGAACTTATCAAAGTGATTGCACGTTTCGTTCAGCTGTCAGCCCTCGCCCGTAGCCAACCGCTCGTAGATGGGCGTCCCAAGACGGCCGCCCTAATTCGCGAGGCACTAGAAATTAACCGGGATCTCGAGGCCTGGGAAGCGCGCCAAGAGGGTATATGGGTGGTCGCCGAAGAGCGCCTCAACGACGGCTTCTTCCCTCTCGAGGCCGTCTTCGACGGCTGCTACCACATCTACGACAACACCTACATCGCGCGGGTCTGGAACCACTACCGCTGGGCCCACACCCTGGTCAACCAGATGCTGCTCGAGAGCGTGGCGCGGTTCCCGGCAAGCAGCGCGGCGCTGGTCTCGGCCGAGCAGCAGAAGCGCTCGCTCGGCTGGATCCGGCGGCTGGCGCGCGACATGTTGGTCTCGGTCCCGACGCACTACCGCCATCCGAAGCTGCAGCCGGCGCACTGGGACTGCTTCGACAAGACGAAGCGCGGCGCCATGATCGGCATCGCCGGCATCCCGACGCTGCTGTTCGAGGTGAAGGTCGCGGGCTGTGCGCCGGGCGTCCCGGCCCGCTACCGCTCGTGGGCGCTGAACATAATCGAGACCGCGTATAGGGATACTGGCATGTATCAGGCGAAGGCGCTGGCGGGGTTTCTTGGGAAGGTGGTTAAAGAGGAGGAGGCGAGGTCGGCGTCTCCTTTGGGTGTTGGTGAACGGGTGTTGAGGTGACCTCGGGGCGCTGGCGCAGGGCAGGGTATGGGGTGCGGGCGTAACTTTTGGTCGGGGGGCGGATGTTGGGTAACTGATGGCTTCCTGTTTGTGGCTGGCCGACGAGAGGGCATGGTTATGCAAGATAAGGGCAAGAGTCGGCATGTTGTGACAGTGGACCGGGGGGATGCATTTTAGAGGAGACATCGGGGTGTTCATTAGGTCCTTCTGCAAAGAGGACCACGGAGTTAAAAGGGTTTTTGTTTTTTTATTGACATCTCTCATCAATACAGCCCTGCCGTTTCGGGTAGGATTCCCAGTCGTCGCATGAATATCCATTCGCCTTCTATCCGTTCCGCTTGACCGTCTACTACAACTTAACCAGGCTAACAGAGGTTTTATCTACACTGTAATAACACAACCAGCCCAAATTATCCCAACACAATATCCCCGGAATTAACTAATCCTGGTTGATATCACTCCCGTCAACTCGGCTCTTGTACTTCTTGGCCTCGATATCGTCGTCCAGCCGCCACGTCTCAGCCAGCCCAAACGCCGGCTCCGGCTCAGGATATCCGCCCAGCGCCTTCCTGACCTTGAGGATCTCGGCCCGCATCCGCAACGCGACCTCTATCCTGATCTCCTGCGCCTCCTTCCCATACATCAGCTCCTCCGTCGGCAAATCCCCCGGCGCTGACACCGCGCCAGCCTCCTTCCCCACCAACGCCATCCCATCCACCCCTTTTCCATCACGTATCCCAGCACCGCTGGCACCACCACCGCCATTGCTACCACCAACCCTCTCCCTCTCCCTCCGCACCAACCCATCCCACCTCCTCTTCAGATCCCCAAACGTCCTTTCATAATCCAGCACCTCCCCAAACGCCACCCGCACCGTCTTGCCCACCCGCGGCAAGAACCGCGGAAACCCCCGGTCCTCGGGCATCAGCCGCTGGGTGCCGTCGACAAACATGGGCAGCACGTCCGGGCGGGGCTCGGCCTCGAGGATCAGGCGCGCCAGCCCCCACTTGAAGTAGCGCATGTCGGCGGCCGCGTGCTGGTGCACGCACCCCTCGGGGAACACGTGCACCCAGCTGTGGCGGCGGAAGGCGCCGTGGATTAGGGGAGACGGGTGGGTGTCGCGGCCGGTGGTGGTGTAGGTCTGGTGGTGCGGGGGTAAGGGGAGGGGGGTGGAGAGGAGGCGGATCGCTTGCCCCAGGGCCGGCTGGAAGGGGCCGCCGAAGGGGGAGTGTTTGAGCCGGTGGCAGGGCAGGACTTGGCCGTGGGTGAAGAAGTTGGTGAGGAATCTGCAGGGGAGGGGAGGGGGGGGAGGGTGTTAGTGAGAGGTACGTGAGTAGGGGGGTAGGGGAGAGGTGGGTTTGTTTACTTGTTGGCGAAACAGATGTCGGCGGCGCCGAGAGTCCAGCGCAGGTTGGATGGGTCAAAGGTGTAGCGAAGGGGGAGAATGCCCCATACTACGGGGTCGTCGAGACTGGAAGCGGCGGTGTGATGAGTTATATGTACTGTACAGATTCCTGGTTTAAGACCGAAACTCACACGCTGACGTGGTTTGAGACTACGGCGTGTCAGCGTGTGCATGAGACAAGAAGCGGGCTAACTGATTAATATCCCACCGGTCAAGAGGCCGCGCTGGCGATTTGCAGGATCTCTACGGCTGTCTAGGATATCGAGAAAGCGGGAGAGCCCCGTCACTTCGACCCTGTTGAACCCGTACAAGAAACATTTTGAGACGAGGCCCGTCATGCCCATAATCATGGCCGATTTCAGGCGCATCGAGAGGCTCGGCCCCTGAGGGTTGGGCGCGGGTGTCGCCATGTTCGGACGATGACGAAGGAAAAAAAGCCAAATATTCAAAAATTGCCGAATGAGATTTCACATGGTCTCAATACCTCGCGCACCGAGTTAGGCTCATCGGCATGGCCTGATGAAAACAGGAAAAGTAGATCAAAAAGGAAACACCCGACCGCCTTCAACCGATTCGCCGCAGGTTCCACAATGGCCTGCAATTGTTGGGAATGGCAGCCAATTCCCTCAGGCCCGAAAAGAGTTGCGGTTGCCGAAAGGCGGACCTGGGAGGGACTGCCATTTTTGGCACGTGGAAAATACAGGGGTTGCTCCCCCACAAACCGCCAAGCAACCACTGGGCAGGCCAGCTCCGCTTGTGGGCTGGGATGTAATGGGTGGATCCTCGAGCCTGCAGTTCATGAAGGACTGCAGCTTCCCGAGTTAGCAATCAACTTTTGTTCGGCAACATCCATCCATCCACAATTTAAAATGGCACACAGTAAGTACTCCATCAGGTAAACCCGCAGATCAACAAGCCAATCTAACCTTTTAGGCAAAAGAAACACCAGTCGACCCATCTTCACGTCCCACGAGCGGGCGATGGCCCGCGTGGCCTGGGGCTCGTCGACCGCTCGCCTTTCGCGGGAATCCTTCTTGCCATTCGCCTCGTGTTGGCTGTGTCTCGAGCCTGCGATAGACCCCGTTGCATGCGCCCACGGCGATATCTTCTGCCGCGAGTGTGCCCTCAGCAACATCCTGGCCCAGAAGAAGGAGATCAAACGAGCCGACAAGACCCGCGAGCAGGAGGAGCGCGAGGCATTAGAAGAGAAGACACGACGGGATGCCGAGGCTCAAGAAAGATCCATACGAGAGTTCGAGTTGACACAAGCCGGGCTGAGCATCAAGAGGGGGAATAGTGCAAGTAGTGGGAGGGAAAAGACGGAGCCGCCGGGGCGGGATGCCCAGGTTGACAATGGGAAAAACGGGCAAGGCAACGGCCCGAAAGCAGGCGAGAAGCGCAAGTTCTCGCTGGACCCGGACGAGGTTTCACGCATTGCCGAGGAAGAGCGGACGAAAGCGAGGAGAGCGATCGATGACGAGAAGGTGGGTTGAACGACAATAGGACCCCGGGACTTTGAAGCTAACAGGGTATGATAGGCGTCCAAGCCTACGCTGCCATCATTCTGGTCACCTACGGTCACACCGTCGTCAAATAGCGGCAATACTCTGCATGAGGTGAAGAAGAAAGTCAAGACACAGCCGACTTGTCCGGCATCAGCAGAGGATAAACCACACCACTACTCACTACACAGCCTCATCACCGTCAACTTCTCCGAAGAGGCAGATTCGAACAGCAAAACACCCCAAAGAATATGCCCGGCGTGCAAGAAGGGGCTCTCGAATTCTTCCCGGGCTACACTAGCCAAGCCTTGTGGGCATGTGCTTTGCAAGAGCTGCGTGGACCAGTTCATGAAGCCAACTAATGGAGAATCAATGCGCTGTTATGTTTGCGAAGCTGACCTGACAGAGAAGGAGTCCGCGAAGAAAGAGGGCAAGGACAAGATCCGGCCAGGCTTGGTGGAGCTGCGTCGCGAAGGCACAGGGTTCTCCGCCGGTGGCAGCAACCAAGTCAAGAAAGATGCAGTGATGTTCCGATGTTGAGAGAACCCCAGGTCCAAAGGGAGCCGAGGCTGATGGTACGGTTTCTTTTGGATTAACTGCCCTCTCAGCCACCATTCTTCTTTTGGACCGCGCTCAACCAACTCGCCGGGGTGTTCTGCCCCGAGTCAACTGCATCCTTGACATAACGTGCTCCTCGGCGGATTCCGTTGGTCCCTGATGACGAAGCCCGAAGGTACCGTTCCCGCGCCTCTTCGCGGGCTTTCTTTATCCTCGCAGATAGCTTCGCCCTAAATTGGGGATTCCGCTTCAAGACGGCCAAGATAGCAAAATAGAGCTGCACGATAAACCGGTGGATGACGTCCTTGGACAGCATGGTCGTGCCGTGGCTGAAAAAGCCTTTGAGCAACTCGCCGCCAATCCCGTCATACAGCGCCCTCCCCCCTTCAGCCCTCGCTATCCTCAGCACCGTCGCGAAGATGTTGTCGCTCCCGACCCGCTTCCCACCCTCCTCTTTCTCTTCCGGCACCGCCGACACCTGCACCCGCGCCTTGGCGATCTGGAAGGGATACGTCACAGTCGTCGCGACAACCTTGCTCGCCGCCGCCAAGAGGAACGTCGTCGCTGCGCCCGGCTCGTCCCACCGCTCCCTCGCCACCAGCGCCCTCTTCAGCACCTGCTGCAAAAAGAACGTGATGCTCGGGTTCAGGGTCAACACCAGACTAGCCGAGTAGCCCGCCCACAGGCCGAGCACCCCGCGCTCCCGCCGCATCTCGGAGACGATCTCGCCGAAGCTCAGGTCGCGCGCGGACGTCTCTGTCCTGTCCGCCGCCACCGCGCCACTGTCACTCTTGTCGTTACTACCGCTGCTGCTGTCGAGCAGACTAGCCGTTTGCCGCCGCGTCACGACGTTGCTGACGGGCGTCGTAAACAACTTGGCGCACGCCCCCGCCGCCGCGCCCACCGCGAGCTCCTCGACGCCGCCCAGATGGCGCACATCCTTCTGCATAGCCAGCCGCCGCGCGCGGAACCACTGCTCTCCTATCAGCACGCACTCAGCCACAGACATATCACAACACATAAAGGGGCACATGAGCTCACCGTATAAAACAAGAAAAACAGGAACGAATCCGCCGCCGACTTGGCCACGTCCGCCCCCAGCCCCGCGAAGAAGGCCTGCGCGCCGCCCTCGCGCGTGTAGATGGTGCGGAAGGCGTCCAGCACGCCCTTGTATGTGTCGTCCGCCTGGATGCTCCCGTCCAGCCGCAGCTGCCGCTGCACCTTGAGCCGCGTGTTGACCAGGTCGAGGGGGTAGGTGGTGACGGTGGAGACGATTGTTCCTGTGGCGCCCGAGGCGGCGTGGCCTAGGGCGGGGAGGAGGGTTGATGTTGATGCTGGGGGCATGGTGGTGGTTTTGTGTTCTGGTTTGAAAGGGAGAGGGGGTGGGGGTTCGGTTTGGATTGGTTATGGGAGGGGGGTTGTGTTACGGTTATATCTTCACCTGGGGTAAGAGTAAAGGTGAAGTGCAGGCTAGAGACGCTCAGTGGTGTGTATACGGGTCAATTGTGCTACATCAATGATGGAGGAGTGCTCGAGTAGAAACGTTCCGTTCCTGTTTAAGGTTACTTTGTATGAGCCGAGGGGTGACGCCCAGCCGCAACGACGTCATCCCGCTTGTTAGTGCCGGATATGCCGTGCATGAACACCGCAGACAACCATGAGCCGCAATGGCACCCCGGATGCATGTGACACTCCGCAGGACACCAGAAAAATGATTTCTGATAGGTAGCACTGTAGTAACACCAGGCACTGGTGATGCTTAGTAAAGGTATCGTTTTTGTTGGTTGGTTAACTTCAGTTTAAAGTTTCGATACCAACCCTTTCTCTCTCACTCGGCCATTATAAACTTCCAAACCCAACCCACACAAACCAACCCAAACATCCAGTCACAAAAAGACAACACCCCCTTCATAAACACTTCACCAAAAGTGAACCCCTTCCCCCCACTCCCCTCAAGAGACATATCCATGGACGAGCTGGGAATCGAACCCAGGACCTTTCGCACAACCGGACAGACCTCGGAGGGTCCAGGAAATGCTAAGCGAACGCTCTACCAACTGAGCCACACGCCCTGCCGAGTGGAAGTGGAGTATCACCAGTCAGGGGGTGGAGCCCCTGTGATGCGGAGGGCTGGGCCGAGGGTGGGTTTATCTAGGACGGGCCTAGAAAGGCGTGTTTATGGGGAAGGAAAAGGAGCGAGGAGGGTGTGATGGCGATGGTGCGATGGGATGAGACAGATAAAGTGGTACACTGGGTAGATGAACACCATGGAAGGCACATCGACAGAGGATCAAGCCAGCGAACAACGAAAGTAGAAACAACGGCCATCTAAACTGGCGTCCCATTCCTTCCTTAATATATATGTTTGAACCCGATATGGGATGAACCAAGTAGAAAACCGTCGACCCAACGCCCCAATATCAACCCCCTAAGTCAAGCCAAACCAGGTTCGAGACCCAATCCCAGCCCAAGCCAAGTCCGAGTGGCATCTCCTCATAAACGCCGTTAATGCCGTGTACCATAACCGTGAAGAACCCGATGCTTCGGATAAGGAAGCTTGAAATATCCCTAGTTTAAGAAGGAGGGGCTTTACCTCGGAAAGGAGACTGCCCGAGGTGAACCCCAAAAGCAAAGAAAAGAAAAGAGAAACAGTGTGGGGAAGGGTATAATACGTGCCCAGCTCTAACGCCAATCAGCCGGTAGGGAAAAAAGAAAAGCAATTGCGGGATGAATACCGCTTCATCGTCTCGCACCCATCACCCAATCTCACGCCCGATAATATTACCGCGGGCCTGCCCCCGAGGCTGCGATTGCTCTCATATCGGAGCCTGTGAATGTAGCACCGGCGCCGGCACCGGCGGGCGAGGAGCATTCTGAGCATCCCTCACCATCGCAGCAGGATGGTCCCACGAAAGCGCAGGGATCGATACGGGCGCAAACGCAGACGTAGACGCCAACGCCGCGGCCGACAACTGCGGCGAGGAGATCAGCGGCCTCAGGTTATGAGCGCCGGTGATCGCCACGGCGGCAGCCACGGCATCCGTCATCGACTCGGTCGGGTAGGCAGCCAGCGGGTTCGGAGCCTGGGTTGCAGCCAAGTCCCGAGCCCGAGCGGCAGTCACCTCCCGGATTTGGGCATAAGTATGTCCCCGCCGCTTCAAGGCTGCGATGTGGTGGTGCGCCTGGTCCGGGTGCATCATCATTCTTTGATTATACACTCGGGCCTGTCCCTGCCGGACCATCACCGCTCTGTCGCGACGTCGTCTCCGGCTCGTGGCTGGGGCGGATTGCTGCCATGCGGTCACCATCTGTGATTGGGCCTCCTCCTGCTGCTGAATCTGAGCCATTTGATCCCGTAGCAGCTCCAGCTGTGCCGCTCGGTTGTCCGACAGACTCGGCAGCGGCCGCCCATGCGAATCAACATTCATCGCGGTCCAAGTCCCCAGAGCCTGCTTGGTCTCGAGGTTAGGGAGGGAGTTGTGGCGAGGAACCACGCCGGCACCTCCAAAGCTGACAGCTGGATACGGCCACCCGTACAGAGCAGCCGTCGGTACGCTGAAAGATCGAGCACCCTACGCTCGACCTGTGACCGACGGCTGCCGTTGTGGTGGCCCACCAAGGCTGAAGCTGGACGATCGGCGCGAGAAGTCCCCGCCCATCGCGGCCGGGTCCGGTTCACCCGGCGCGTCCTCGTGGTCGAGCAGACCCGGATGCCCCTCGGGAAGCCGCTGGGCTCCGTAGCCGACGACCTTGAAAATGTTGACGCGGCCACCGTTAGTTGCCGTCTGGAGCTGTTCGTGGAGGCGAGCGAGTTGGTACTGGCGCTTGGTCGGCGCAAACACGGGCTGTGGAACGACCGGTTGCGGGTTCCAGTTAGCCAATGCACCCATCACGGCAGCCGTCTCCTCATCGCTATCGACTGCTGCCTGGTTGGCTTCGTCTTCGTCCTCCAAGGGCGCGTTGGCGTCGATGGCGGCCTTCTGCTGCTTGGCCTGGTTCTTCTTCTGATACGCAGCTAAAAGCATGTCGTATGGTAGGGACCGGCCAGGCACTGCTCGCTTCGCGCTCATGCTGTGGCTCTTACAGGTCAGAGACCGAGCACAGGGCTGACCGTTCGGCAGCAGTACACCGCACTGCCTCTCCACATCGACGGGGCCCTTTGGTTTCGCGGCCTTCGGCTTAGGCTCGTCCTTCTTTTTCTTAGCCTTGCCCTTGTCGAGCTCGCCCTCGGCTTTCCTCTTCTTGCCAGCGACGTTCGTCTTCTTCGCCTTGCCGGTTGTCTTGCCAGCATTTCCGTCTTTGGTATCGTCATCGTCATCGCTATCGTCGTCGCCCCGACCGCCACCGTCACCCTCCGCCTTGCGCGCCTCCTCTTCCCTGGCGGCCTCCTTCAACCGTTCGCGCGCCTCACGGGCCTCTTTCTTCCGCTGAGCCTTCTCTTTCTTGATTTTCAAGCACCGGGCGACGTGTTCTCCCCCCGCAGATCGGGTAATGACCTTTTTGCAGTGCTTGCATTGGAACATGTCAAGTGTGTCTTCGAGCGGGCGGCCGGTCTGGAAGTTCTCGCGAGAGGCATCGTCGAGCTGGATGGTGACGGGGCTGGGCGAGGCGGCAGTAATCGCATTGTCTTTTGATTTCTTCTTGTCCTCTGCCATCGAACGCGAGCATTAGCGGGCAGATAGACAAAAAGATATCGAGACTGCAAAAGAACGACCAAAATAAAAACCATCAAACCTTCAATGACATTGGCCTCTTTCCAATTGCCAGGCTTGGCCTGTTTTGGCGGTGCTTTCTTAAGTTTGATCTTGCCGAATGCCTGGGGTCTCGAGGGAGTAACGGATTTCTTAATTGAGGCGACCTTAATGGTGGCCTCCTCGTCTGCTGCGACCGGGCATAGCGGGTTAGCAACATGGTTTTGCGAGGAGGTAAGTTTAAGTGATGGGGTGGGGGGGGAGCGCGCGCGTGGGAGAAGCCGTACCCTTGCGAGAATCCATCGTGGCCTGGGCGGAGCAGCGGCCGTGCTATCAAAAAATTGGGTGCATTCACAAAGTTAGGCTACAGGAAAACTGTGAGAGTGTTATCATGGGTGAATAAGCTGATGTTGCCCATTTCTCGCGCTTCTTTGTTGCTCGTGGATGGCGTCTTGGTGGTTGCACGTTGCAGGAGAGGTCTCTCCGAAGCTCTGCGCCCAATTAAATCGGCGGCGACCTGAAAGGTGGACTGGTGCATGTAATCAGCAACAGGGGTGCAGGGGCATGAATGGGCACATGGGGTGCACGAATGGGAAACATGAATGGACATGAATGGAGCCGATACCTATTCTACTCTTTACTCTTCACCATAAGCAGTTAAATGCAAGCAAGCACAGAGTAAAGCACATCTTGACATATTTCACTAGTCATATCCATCTAGGTAGCTAGAAAACGCCCCTTTTGCTCATCCAGGCCATCACAGGCCATCACGGCCCTGCTTCTCCCCCTCCCATTACCAGCCCAAACCATCTCTTCACAGTCGCTCCATGGAGGCAAGCACCTCCCAGAAATTGATCATGTGTCCCTCTCCTCTCTCAATTACTGCCACCGACTCGGATAATATCATAAGAATGTCGGTAGTTACTGGCTGCCACCCCCTCATCTCCCCTGCTCGCTGCCGCCGGTCGGCCGGACCAAAATTCCGACGAGCATGCTGCCCTCGAGGCGCCCATCGGTCGTGAGACATCCGGTTGCTTCTCGGGAAAGGGGACCAGCTCACCGACGCCGCCCCCTTCCTGGGATAACCAGAGCCTCGGTGCGACCGTTGCCACGGAGGGTCGATGTGGATACCAAGATGGTTAGCAATCCCTCCTGGCAGAACCCATGCCGCTGTATCCGCTGGTGTCGGCTGTTGTGCAATGTTGCTGTCTTGTAGGCATCCATAGCTGCTAGTACTAGTAGCCGCCGTAGTTGCTCTGGCTCGGTACGGTCTGCTGGTAACCTCCATGCGGGTGCATCATCTGCTGTGTGTGGAGGTGCTGCTGATGCTGCTTGGGTCCTATCAGGTCGTTGAACCATGGGTGAACTAGTGCCTCGGCGGCCGAGACGCGCAACTCGGGTCGGACGTGCAGCATGCGCTGGAGAAGATCGATGCCGACAGGGTCGATTTGGGGCAGGATGCTGTTGAGTGGCTGTGTGGCGTACATCTGCCAGGTCGTCTTGTATTCAGGGAATTGCGAAAGGCCCGGCCAAGTGCGCTCCGTCGGCGTGCCCATGATGCGGAAGATGCGAATGATCTGGTCTTCGTTGGTGGTGCCTGGGAACAAGGGTCTGCCCGAAAACATTTCGGCCATGATACAGCCAGCCGACCAGATATCGATGCTGGTGTTATAGGTGCGGCTGCCAAGCAGAACGTCGGGGGCGCGGTACCAGAGCGTCACGACCTCGTTCGAGAAGGTGTTGACTGGGATGCCAAACGCTCTAGCGAGACCAAAATCACCCAACTTGAGCTGCCCCTTGCCGTTGATCAGGAGATTCTGGGGCTTCAGGTCACGGTGAAGGACCCGGTTCTTGTGGCAGAAGTCAATGCCCTTCAGCAGCTGGTACATGAACGACTTGATGACTGGGGGCTTCAGGGCACCCCTCTCGCCCTGGGTGTCCATGTACTTCTTAAGATCGCCGTCCATGTACTCGAAGACGAGCATCAGCTTGTTCTCTGTGTGGATGACATCGTGGAGGGCAACAATGTTTTCGTGCTTGAGCTCCTTCATAAGTGAGATCTCGCGGATCGCAGTGCTGGGTGTGCCCTCCTCCGAGTCGAGGTGGATCTCCTTCAGAGCTACCAACTCGCCTGTCTGGCGGTTACGGCCTTTGAAGACCTTGGCTAGGTTAGTACATTGGGGGGGCTAGGGTTGAAAATTGAAAGATTCGACTTACTGTGGCATATGTTCCCTCGCCAAGTTTCTCCAACTGTTGGAAGGACGCAGCATGTCTTTTGCCGTCCATGTCTCCGATAGCGAGCCGAGCGCTCGTGGGTTGCAGGGGCGGGCGGGTTGCTGGGTGGAGGCCGCCGACGACAGCGAAGCGGGCGATGGGTGGCGGTCGGAGGGAGGTTGAGTGAGGGAGGCCGAAGAGAACACTACCAGCGGTGACTATGTTGTGAAGAGAATTGCGCTGTGGCTCAGGAGGTACCCCGGGTGGAGATCCGTGAGAGGCCGTGATGGAGGAAGAGAAAATGCCTGCACCTCTGGAAGGGGAAGGCGTGGCTCTTTTTGGGGAGGTATTATGAACAGGCTGACCGCTTTGTGGCGAATTTTGCAGTCGGCGGTGACTGGGAACGGGCAGGCAGGCACGGAGCAGTGATGATTAGACGGAAAATGAAGGAGAGAGTTGCTGCTCCTGGGGTGGTCTGCCTTTTGTTCCCTAAGCTGAGATGGAATGGGGATGGAGTGAGAGTGAGATGGATGTTTCAAGCCAACCGAAACACACATCAGGTCGCAAGGGCGGCCGCTGGAATACCCCGCCCCCACCAGTCGCTTCAGCTGGTTGGGGGCCAGACAGTGTGGGTAGTCAGTGTGCATACAAATATACAGACTGTGCCGACTTCCAGCCTCCCAGCCCTGCGACGAAAAGTAAGGCTTTCCTCGCATGGCCGAGTTATTCGCACGGTGTACGCTTCTGGCCGCTCTGTAAGCGCCCTGCCCACCCTTTATAGCCAGCATTTGCACTGTCGAGAAGGTAGTTGAGTGTTGAGCTTAAAAGGCCTAGATCTCAAACAAAACCAAGAAATCCATAGTGCCAGAGACTCGCTGTTATGTACTTATGTACTTGATCCCACTTTCCAGCCCAACCTACTAAGGGGACCCCCGACGAAACCCCCCCGTCCTCAAGCTGCCCGGAGGAGCTTTTGTGTTGAGTGCTGTCCTCCTCAACTGTCGCCCGAGGTGTAAATGCTCAGGCGGCATGTATATACTGCAAACCGTGTCCTCAACCTCCAAAATCTTCCAGCCAGCTTGGCCCGCGAAAATCACATTCATAGAAACCCAATCATGGCTAGTCTTCCCCCTTTGGCTCCGTCTTCTGCACATCCATCCATTCTAGCGTAAACGCGGTAACAATCCTCGCCCAATCCTTAATAGTCGGGACATCCAAGTGGTCCCCGTCGTCCTCCATAGTATGCCACACATGCGGGAACGGCGAGGGGATCAGATGCAGCACGGGCGCGCCCCTCATCATGAACGGCACATGGTCGTCGCCCACGAAGCCGCCCCCGCTGAACTGCGTGGCCATCTTCCCGCTGTCGTGCAGAAACTGGTTGCCGGTGGGTTTGCTCTCCAGCAGGCCGAGCTGCCGCAGCCGGCCCTCGACGGCAGCCATCCGTTTGTACGCCCAGTGCGTGCCCTGGAAATACGACGGCACCTCCGGGTTGGGGGCTCCCAGCAAGTCGAGCAGCACAAATAGGCTGATCTGCTGAAGCGGGTTCTTGAAAGTCGACCGGGCGGGGTGCGTGGTGTTCTCCCACTCCTCCGCGAGCGCCCTATCCCTTTTGGTCAGCAACCCCCCTTTCATCCTTTCCCCAAACCCTCACACAGACGCGAAAAGAAAAACTAAAAGAAAAGCTCACCTCGACCCGTACAAACTATCCGTCTCCGTCCACCTCACAAACGCCTCCTCCCCATCCAACAACAAAATCTGCACGCCCTCCCCACCACCGCCCTTCCCCTCCCCATCCGCCGCCCACATCCTCCCCAAAAACCCCTCCACCTGCCTCGCCACATCCATCAAAACCGCACAGGGCGCCGCACTATCCGTCGCGCCCACAAACCCCTCCGGCTCGATCTTGCTATCATAATGCGCGACCAGCGTCAAAAACCCGGCCGCCCCCGGCCGCCCCTTCGTCCACGGCGGCTCGCGGCGTAGCACGATATTCGCGAACGGCAGGCGGCGGTCGCCGGTAGCGGGCGTGGTGTCGGTGGAGTTCTGCCAGGACACCTCCCACTGCGGCAGGTGGGTGCGGAAGAAGGAGACGAGGTGGGCCTGCGCGGCTTCTTGGCCGGGCGTGCCGGGGACGCGGGGGATGAGCAGCGGGGAGAGGAGGGTGCCGGTTTCCGGGTCGTAGTCGCTGTCGGCGGGGGCCGGGAGGGATTTGAGGAGGCTGGTGGAGAGGGGGGTGTAGGTTTGTGCGAGGGGGAGGAGGGCGAGGAGGGGGGGGAGGAGAAACGTGGGGCGCATGGTGGGTGGTGGGTGGGTTGTTGAGGGTTGATGAGGAGGTTTGGGTGGGTTGTGCGCTTCGTTTCGTTCGTGTTGGTCGGTTTGTTCGCTTGTCGCCGTCGAGGGCAAGGGGCCCGACGGACGCTCAGGATCGTGCACGACTCGTGTGGCTAGCTAGCTTAGTGTTTTAGAGCGAGACCGTCATGTCATGCTTATGCTCGGGGATGTATCGCGGCGGACGAGTCCGGATAGATGATGCGGCCGGGGTGCATTGGCGCTGTCGAGATTTACCGGACGATGGATCAAGTCGCGCCGCCAGAATTGAGACAAAAAAAGGGCAACCCTCAACAACAAAGTCCGATGTACGTGGTGTTTGTCGCTTTTCGGAGGACGAACTCCCGAATCTCTTGACACGGTCGCTTGTACGCTGATTGGTCCGTTTCACATCTCCCACGAGGCCCCGCCCCCAATCGGCCGGCCGGCAAGCGCAAGCCTCGAGCGCTCGGTGATCGGCGATCCAGGCGCGCCGGTTGCCCACCCCCTGCCCGGGCTTGGCCCACAAATTGGCCTGTGTTGATGTCAACTTGCATCGCGGGAATGCACGATCATCGAACTTACCCTTTCGCGGAAGAGACCAGATCATAGTTGTCATCATGTAGGGAATCACAAAATATTGGAACGATGTCTCCATTTCCTCATGCAAGATCGTCTCACTCTATGATCCGGGCCACCAGCAGAGGCCCAAGCACACAACTCCACTATGCCCCAAAGCGATGCAGCCCGATAGTTAAAGTACAAAGTAGAGAAAATCACACCTGTAAATCCCCCAACCAACCAATCTATCCGGGCCACTACAACATCGCTGATAGCACCCAACCCGATCACCCTTATCCAATGCTCGATGCAAATCCAAACAGGAAATCTACTCCCCCCTCCTACGCCCCCCCCTCCTTCTCCCCAGCAGCACCCCGCCGTTCCATCTCATCCTCCAGCGCCAGCCGCTCCGAGAAGCTCATGGGCACGCCGCCCCTAGCCAGGCTCGGCGCCCTATAGCTCGTCCCCATGCTCGCGGCCTGGGCGGCCGAGAGGTCCTTGATGCTCCCCACATAGAGCTCCACGTCGTCCATGCTTGCAATCTCATCGTACAGCTGCGGGTTCTTGACCGGGGGCATGACCACGGACCGTCCCATGTAGGAGCCGACGCTGTGGCCGAACAGCACCGACGAGGGGGACATGGGCGGGATCTGCGCGGCGGTAGAGGTGGATGCAGAGGCGGCTAGCTGCTGGTGTACTTCGTTGCGGAGGCGGCCTGGTGGTGTGGGATCTTCGTCGTCGGATTCGGCGTCGGAGATGTATTTCTGGGGGTTTTCTGACCGAGACGCGGAGGACCCGCCGGCCTCGTCGTCAAAGTCGAAGAGCGGGTTGAGGTCATCGTCGTCTGCGCTGTGGTTTCGGTTGCCTTCGCTGGCGGTGGTTTTAGACGCGGGAGTTGCGCCATTTGGTACCCGGGTAAGTGGGGGGACTGTGGAGGGTAGGGGTGGCGTAGAGGGGGATGGCGTGGAGGAAGACTTTCGCCTGACTGGGATCGAGAGAAACTCGTCGTCGGACACGTTCTCGTCCTCGTCCTCGTCCTCGTCGTCATATATCGCCGAGTCCTCAAGCGGCGGTCCGGGTTGTTGCCGATGTGCAAAGCACCCGGTGCCATTCGCCCGGATAGTCGCCTGAGAGTCGGTCTTGGTCGGCCGATCCGCTGTTTTTGCCGGTTGTTTTGTGCCGTTCATTTTAGCGGGCGTCTCCGTATCTGCGTTGACTTCTCTCCAAGTCGTTCCTTCTTCCAGCGGACTACGGGTGAGTGCCTGCAACGCCTGTGTAGAGGACACCTTTCTTGGTTTCGGGAGAGAGTCCTCTTCCCCTACGGCGTCGAGCAGCGACGTCCCCGAGTAGGCAGTTGACTCATCCCCGGTTGCGACAGCCGGTGCCTCCGCCTCGGGCTGCGGTTCAGCCCCACTTTCCTCGTCCGGGGCGATGGTCGGTGCCTTGGGGGACGAAGATGCAGGAAACACCTCTTCTCCCTCAAACTCGAAACGTACCCGGCGTGGGCTGCCCTTGACTGAGCTGGACGACCGCCGTAGCGCGCTTCGCCTGGTTTTTGAGTCGCTGCCTGAGGAGTCAAGCGATGACGTGGACTGGTCGGTCATCCTCCGAACCGCGCCTGGCCTGTCCTCGAGATGGTGGAAAATTGCCGGCTTGGACTCCGCCACCTTCTTCACATTATCAGCCGACAGAGCGAGTGCTGTTTCGCCAGAATTCGGTAACGGCGGAGACATTGGTGGCGGCGACATCGGCGGCGATTGCAGTGCGCGTTTGTTGCTCTCGAGCAATGGGAGGTAAGTTGGCGTGAACAGGCCGTGGAATTCCTTCTCCCTCGCGTGCGGATCCCTCGGGCTCTCCTTCGGCGTGCCCGAGGTATGGCGGAGAATGGGCGGGGGCGATTTTCGACCGTCCCAGGCGCTGCGGTCGATTGCCGGCGAGTCCGGCGCGTCACGACTGGGGCAGTCCAGCGCGGAATACCTGCCCGTGGACATGGACGCGGCGATGGCTCGGGAGACCTCGCCAGAGACGGAATCCGGATACTTTTTGAGACACTCGTCCATGTGTTTGTGGAATTCTGTTAGCATGTCGCGCCGATATGCAGCGACCTTGCCATCGAGCTCGGCGAGCTTGTCTTGCAACTCGGTAACGAGTCGGGCGGCGTCGTCCATTGTGTTGTTGCGGACGAGCGATGCCGGAGCCCGAGGCAACCCCGCGGACGTTAATGATGCGCGTGACTCGATTGATTGGCGATCGGCAGGCTGCAAAACATGACCCGCGCCGCAGTTACACTCGGGGATGGGTTACGTGAGCCTAAACAAGTCGCCGTGGAAGAGGAGTGGCCTCAAAAAGCGGGAGACGGAAGCTGTGAGAAGGGCCGGGGATGATGCAGGTTTTGTGGAAGAAGTTGTGCAGCTGGTTAGCCTAGGGCTGTGTCTCTTTTGCTGGCATGTGGCATGTGGTGGTGAGGTAAAGGTAACGTCAATGAGGGACAAACCGCTGGGGCTCTTGGGTTCCAGAACCTGCAAGTCCCGCCTTGACTTTCAGTGGAGGCTCCGCTTATTCGCGGGAGGGGCTGCTGTGGACCCCCAGAACCGGCACCAGTCGGCAACGGGTGTCCCTCGATTGGCGATGCAGCACCCGAACAACGCTCCTTCTTCGCCTGCACGCAATCTATCCGTGCAGCCCGCTAGATGAAAATCTCTACCGGTCAACCGCCGGCGAGAGAAAATGCAGCAGCCCCATTGGCACGGAACGGCCGTGGTTTGCTGCGGGCCAGAGTAGCCTCAAAGCAGCCTCTGTGCCTCTCCAACAGCCTTGCCATGGGAAGCTGGTCGTTGACTCGTTGCGTTGAACAGGGGCCTGGCATTGATGAATGAGAGTCGAGCCAGCATATGCGGCTCATCTCAAGATGTGGTAATGGGCGGGGTTATCGCGAGCCGGATGGCCTAGATCTTACCGCTGCATACCTGCAATCCAACGAATACGGCTTCACGGAACTACGCCCGACGCCACCGGCTCGTTCCCCGCCCGGGCTCTTCCATCCAAGACACCCATTAATGCGGCCGATTCTCGAGTAAGCTTAGCTCGTGATTTTGGCCCATCTATGTACAAATGCATGTTTGAACTACTTACGAGCTTGGCTGGTCAGCCTTGTTGAGCAATACCAGACTCGTTGTCAGCACGATTGAAGTCCTTGTTTTTGAGTACAATCCATTGGTAGCTATTCGTACATTAGAGCCGCTCATCATCGGCGGCTTCCTCGGGGCGAACCGTAAAGTATCCGAAACATGGAAAACCTTTTGGCCAACCTAACCGTCCCAAGCCAACGGCAACATAAAAACGAAAACATAGTAAGTAGAACAGCAAGTAGAGCCAGACATTGGCGAGGCGCAACGGCCATCAACCAGCAAGGGATGCAACATTCGAGCCTAGACAGAGATCGGCCAGCAATGAACATGAGATCCTACCACCTGGATTGGTTTCGGGAAATAGGGGTGTTCAGGCGTCCCGCATACGAACGTCTTCAGCGAGGACCTCGAGAGACGGTTCCTTCTTGATACGCACGTTGCCACCGGAATTTCCAGGGGACGTTCGATCGGCGCTGGAGGCAACGGGAGTTCCGCAGCCAGAACCTGAGATCCTGAGTGGCGTTCCGGGGTCGGGCGCGGTCGCTGATGCTTCGAAATCGGCATCCATGGCTGTTGTATCCTCATCTCTGACCGGGCGCAACACCTGTTCGAACTGCTGATCAACCTGGGAGAGCAAATTCCGAACCTCGTCTCGAGAGCTCGACAGGGCCCTGAAAATGTTCTGGTCGATGAGCAAAGAGCGGTAACCGTTATCGACCAGGCCAACGACATCCTCCACCTTCTTGACCACTTCTGCCTCGAGCTGTTCGAGGGTGTCGTTAAGAGCGCTCTCCACGTCCTTCACGGCTGCCTTGAACATGGTGTTTCGCGCCTCATCAACGTGAGCAACCACATGTGCCTTCATGCGCTTGAAACAGCCCATACCTAAGGAGGAGTGAGTACTCATATCACATTCATTTGCGTCATGTATTCTTACCACGCTCTCTAACGCAATGCGCGTAGGCGCTCGCCATCGCCGAGGTAACAGCGGGAATAAAAAGTCGACTTGCTTCCTTTTGTCTGACGCTGACCATAGCTTTGAATTCCATGGCGTCCTTGAGATCGCGTTCCAGGTTTTCCACCTGCCGAGTAACCAAAGCCAAAGACGGAGCCTTCTTCAACTCTGGGCGCTGATCCATCTGCAGACGGAACGATCTCAATGATTCCCCAAGGGCCTCGGCTAAAACATCGAGGTTGTGGGGGAAAGCACTGGAGAAGACGTACTCCCAGGACCGTGCTAGACGTTTCGTCATCGGGTCGGCGAGGGCTATGTTGGGTTAGGCATTTGGCTGGCTTTGACGGAACAGCGTGGTCAGGGTCATAAAAGATTCGCTTCACTTACCGGAGTTGAAGTCCACCGACCTCTTTAAACCCTTGAAAACACCGCTACATAAAATGTCAGGAACGATGATCTAGAGGGGCAAAGCGTTCCGAGCACATACTCCCGGTAACAAGTCGCACGGAAGGTCTCGTATGCCAGTCCTCCGTTGTTCCTGTGACAAATCCATGACTTGACCGTGGGCATGGCGGCGGCCGAGGCTTCTCTAGCCGCCGACTTGAATTTCCGAGAGACGTAGGAAGCTATAAGTTCCTGGGACCGGACAAATGAGTGTCGGATCGTCAAGACAAGCTCCTATGCAAAGGCAATGAAAGGTTAGTCCACGGTCCTATAGCAAAGTGGCCATCTATTCATATGAGCATCGATTGTTCTTACCAGCTGGAGACTATCCATAGCCTTAGCGAGGGATTGAAGCTCTTTCTCTCTCATGTTATCGGCGAGCTTCAGAGGTTGACCAGACTGCACCACTTGGAGATGAAGCGATGTCAAGAAGCGACTAAGTTCGCTGAGGAAGCGGCGGCCGGTTACTGTCCGTGTCTCTTGGACGATTCCCAAAGCATGTCTCTGCAGAGCCGGGATCTCAGTATCCTCAAGATGAGTGAAACCTGAAATTCTCTCATCGTTCTCGAGTCGACCGGAGACCTTCTGGTATGCCTTGCTCGACACACAGAAAACGAGGAGCTTTTTGGCGACATCGCTATAATCACGGCGAACATTATCAGGATCGAAGTTGTCCTCGTCGTCAGCCGCATTTTCTTGGTCTAGCCTGGTACCTCGTCAGCGTCAAGAGAACCGGGCGTAATCGATGGAAACTTACTCCCGAACACCCTCAGCGAACTGTGTCTGGATGGCGGGCCGAGAATAGCCATTGCGATATTTTATGCAGGCCTGCTTCGTCTCGGACTTGAGAGACCTGATCTCCGCCCTTACCTCCTTGAGATCCTTCTGCGTCGAAGAACCTAGTTGTCTCAACTCCTTGCGCGCCGTACGCAGTTCGGCCAGACGAGACTCGGTTTCCCGCAGTTGCCGCCTTGCTTGTTCCCGGGACATGTGCTCCTTTTCGGGCTCATCTTCCGAAGCAGCCAGCTCCTCACACTAGGTGGAGTCAGACTCTTCGGAGTTGTCATCGCTCTGGCGTATTCGCTTGCTAGATTTTGAGGCTGCTTCCCGGGTCGGCCTCTTGCGGGAACCCCCCGGGGAAAACAAAATCAGATCATCCTCATCGCTCGGGTCGTCGAGGGCTGATCGAAGATTGTTGATATCTGCCTGGCGTTGTTCAATCTCGCCGTCAATCCCAGACAATCCCTTCTTCACGGTGTCATATTTCTCTTGAAGTTTGTCGCGTTCTGTCTCTCGGAGACCGGTGCGAGCATGGAGCTGTGCGGCCTCGGCCTCCTCTGGCAAAAGTTTCAGAATTTCAGTCACTGAGATGTCGTCGGCCTTCGAACAAATAACGGTGATGCTCGAGTAATTTCCATCAAATTGCAATTGGCGTCTGAAGGTGTCTCCGAGGAGATTTTGAGCAACTTTGTCGTCGACTGCCCGTGCGATGGGCGCGACGACCCAGAGTCCCGAGCATCGCTCGATGTACTTCGCAGCGACTGCAGATCGGGCTGCATTTGAATCATGAACACCGGGCTGTACCGCGCGTTAGCATCTCAGTCATACGGGAATGCCAGAATTGCCTACCAGGTCCACCAAAACAAGGCCTGATTCGAGAATTGACGACCGCACAAAGACCTTGACGACCTTGATCAGAGGCCAGTACTCCAAGTCACTGGGCTCCTTCTTCCCACCGCGCGCTTTTTCTTTGGAATCGATGAACCGCTTGAGAAGGTCCAGGAAATCCTTGGAGGTGGGGGCGGTAACCTGCTTAACGGTGCCAAACAGATCCTTGACTGAGGGTTCTGCGACCAGTTCATCAATGTCAAACTCGCCTTTCCTGAGTTCCTCGCTCTCCAAGAATGGGTAGACAGCACGCATCTTGTGGTAAGCAACGGCTGCCTCACTCTCACCGCTCGTGTATTCTGTGCCGAGCGCATCTTGACCGTCTGTCATATCGGCAAGCATCACCCGCAGTTCCTTAACCCAGTCATCTTTGGAAATGAAGTGGATCTCCGCGCGGTACTTCTGGTCTTCTTGCTCCGACTCGTTGTAAGCAATCTCTGTGATGACCGCAGTGCATGCGCGCATGCAGTTGGTCGGAACGAGGCACTCCTCATCCAAAACTGCATTGATCACTGAGCTCTTGCCGGCTCCTGTGCTTCCAACTACGCCCACCACTGAGGGCTGAGGCGCGGCCTGAGCCTGAAGTTTATCGCACGATTTTACCCATTCGGCGATTTCGGGCACAGTTTTTGCAAGTGCAAAGGCCTTCTTGATGCTGCTGAGAATGCGAAACCCGGTTTGAATGCCGCCCTCCAACTCTGACGGGGATTCACCCGATATCAGCTCTTGAAGCTGGCTAAGCTTCATAAAGCTATTCAGGTCCGAGTCGTCCATGATGTTCCTGCTGGATATGTTAACTCTGTGGGGACGACAAGTAAAGATGAAATGCACGAGAAATCACTATTGAGACCAAGTGATCGGATGAAAAAGATTATCGCTGATTGGTAACAGCAAAAGAATTGGAACCTAACTCACTCGTATAAAACACTCGTCTGTCTGGGTCGTAGTGACACGCGATGCTGTTTCCGAGTATGTAGTGCGAGCTGCTTCAGCCGCGCAAGGGAAGACGATGACAAGCGTTGGATCAAGTTGCGAATTTGAAGCCGATGATCGCGTTGAAAGAAGGGAAAGTAAAAATCACAATAGCTGATCAGTCTGTTTCAGCTGTGATGAGATTTGCTCCCAATCAACCGACTTGGTTAAATCTGGGTATGCTTTGGATGGAATGGGTTTGAAGTTCCGACGGAAGATGTGGGTTGAAAGAGAGTCGGTTAGAAGAGTCAGAGGGCATTGCCCGGAAATGGTGGAAGGAAGGCAATTATAAAATGGCAGAAATTCCGGATTTCAGGAAAACAAAAAACCATCGAGAGGCTTTTGTATTCCTGCTCGAGAGAGTTGGGCGGGGCGGGGGATGAGAGAAGAGAAGACTTCCATAGATGAGAAATCGGGGAAGGGGCTGAAAGGAAAGCCTTTATGAACGGCTTCAAAAACAATGGTCAGTTCTGTGTTGGTTTTTCGCATTTTAAAGCCACAGCCTGTTCAGGCCATAAAAGGGACTTGGGCTTCTCGGTGGCCATCACAATGAGGATTGGATGTTTGGACCTGGAAACTACCGCGCCCTGTGCCTGGAATTGGAGTGGTTTGCCCTTCAATATTGTGGACAACCTGGAACTCTCATGGTGTAGAGTAGGTAGATAAAACGGAGGTAGAATTAGTGTTAGAGGTATTTGGCCACTATTTTAGCTCTTTCCAGAGTTTAGCTCGAGCTCAGGGGCCACTGTTGTGAATCTTTGGTTCAGGAAGGAACGACGTTGTAAGATGCGGCTCAAATCGGTTAGGACCTGCCAAGACCACATGCGCCCACAATAACTGACGCTAAAATTGACCGCCTTCCCTTTTGCATTCTTTTGCCATTGCTGGGCACTCGTCGCATCCAGCACCCACATTCACAACCGGACCGAGACGCGGTTTCATTCAACAAACCACGTCTCATTCTGCCGTGATTCGGCGCTAACAAAGTGATTTACCTTCGTCGCATCGCCGATTCGTTTTTTCCGATAAGATCGCAACGACAAGTCTCAAGATGTCGACCATCACCCCGACGGCGCTGCAGAGCTCGCAGCCGCCCATCATCCCGCTGAGCTTCAATGGGAACCAGCCCGAGACCATCCGCCTGTACCCTCTGTCCAACTACACCTTTGGCGTTAAGGAGACCCAACCGGAAGAAGACCCGAGTGTTCTGGCGCGCCTCAAGCGGCTGGAGGAGCACTACCAGGCCCACGGCATGCGGCGCACTTGCGAGGGCATCCTGGTGTGCCACGAGCACAACCACCCGCACATCCTGATGTTGCAGATCGCCAACGCTTTCTTCAAGCTCCCGGGCGACTACCTGCGGCCCGAGGATGATGAGGTCGAGGGCTTCAAGGCACGTTTGGACGAGCGGCTCGCCCCCGTCGGCAGCCTCGGCGAGGGCAACAAGGCGGCCGACTGGCAGGTCGGCGACTGCCTCGCGCAGTGGTGGCGCCCGAACTTTGAGACCTTCATGTACCCCTTCGTTCCGGCCCATATCACGCGCCCTAAGGAGTGCAAGAAGCTGTACTTCATCCAGCTGCCGCACTCGAGTACGTCCTTGCCGTCTATGTCTAGGGTCATTGCAATGCTAATTTGCCGTCTGCAGAGGTCCTGAGCGTCCCCAAAAACATGAAACTTCTCGCCGTCCCTCTCTTCGAGCTCTACGAAAACACCCAGAGATACGGTCCCCAGCTTTCGGCCATTCCCCACCTACTCAGCCGCTACAACTTCGAGTTTGTCAATGAGGACGGCGAGGTGGTTGCCATGACGCCAGGCTCCGGCCCGACCGACGGTGAAGTCCCCAAGACCAAGGTCTTGGCTGGGGGCGACGATGTCGACATGAAGACGGAGAACGGGACGCACTAATTGGTGGATGGCATCGCTCATGGGTTTGCTTTTCGGCGGGCGTCCGGCGTTAGGGTTGGGCATCATGGGACGGCGATTTACGGGTAGATATCAGTGGCTGGAAAGCAATGCTGGAGCCCGTCATATAGATGGCAGATTGGGAGTATACCCGAGATCCGAATGTGAATTCATGCCTTCTCACCCTGAATGGTGGCTACTATCTTGCGTGTGTGCTTCGAAGCACGGAACTCGAGGTACCAGATGCCTTGCCACGTCCCCGTGGCCTATCCTTGTTAGCGTTGTGCTTGGTCCTTTCTTGATATCATGCAAGCTTACCAGCTTTCCATCCTTGATGGGAATCGTTACGCTCGCCCCGATCAACGCAGACTTGACATGCGCAGGGAGATCATCAGGCCCTATCCCCCGCATCAGTCATTCCCGGCCTTAAACACTAACCAAAGTAATAAATGGCATACCTTCAGCATCATGGCGATACAACGCCTCCCCATTCGGCCCGGCCTCAGGCACGATCTTATCCAGCGTATCGCTCATGTCGGCTCTAACATCCTGCACCATCCATCCACACAAGTCAACATCTCACACCCCATTACGTCATAACGAGGTCAACACCAAAATCCCGACAGCGACCAAGCTACTATGCAGGTGGGAGAACAAAAACAAAATAAGTCAAAGACGCACCTCATCCCAATTCTCGTTCAGGCTCAGCGCGCAGCTGGTGTGTTGGATAAACAGGTTCAGCAGCCCCACCTTGTAGGACCGCAGCTCCGGCAGCTCCCTGACCACCGTGTCGGTGATGAGGTAGGAGCCGCGCGCCCGCGCCGGCAGCGTGAACTGTTTCTGCGACCACATTGTTTGTGCTGGTGACCCGGGTGGTTTATGGTCTGTTGTGGTGGTGGTGGTGCTAGTGGGGGGGAAGAGCAGGGCGAGGGGCGCCGTCCAGAGGAGGTGGAAGAGGCTGGGGAAGAGGCAGATGAGGAGGAGGAGGAAGAGGATTAGGGTTGTTGTTGTGGTGCTTGTTTCGTTGCTGTTCTTGTTGGTGGTGGTGGTGGTGGTGGTTGTGGGAGTGGGGGCTGTTCCCGATGATGGTTTGGTTGGTGATGGTGAACGTCTCGGAGACATGGTATTTCGACTCGGAGATGGCCCGGATAAGGAGGGGCAGATTATTACACAGTCACCTCCACCTCGCATGCAAAAAGGTGGAGGCAAAAAATGTTGGAGAGCTCAAATAACCGGACGCATCAATCAGGTTTTAGGCGGGTAGGTGGCCATTCACAGTACAAATCTGTTAGTACGGAACTACGAATAACTAAGTACAATTTAGTATATCCTTATCAAAGTGAAGAAAAAATAATATTCAAAAAGCTAGGTCGATATCAGTATTTCTCCTGCAATCTTTCGAAACAATTGGCTAGATAAGTCGGGAGATATGAAGCAGCCAAGGAGTTAGTTACTAATCTTTCTTTCCAAGACTCTATTGACGGGAACTCTTCTCCACGACTCAGCCTTTGTTGCCTGCTTCTTGTCAGATTGGCTGACGAAGCCGTTTTAACCAAACGATGCAACACGCGGTCGTATCATGACACACGCCGAAAATAAAATGAAGGCTTCCGTCTTACAAAGCAACGAGGCGGGCGTCGTTGGCGTCACTGGCCAGTGCCTGGCGCGGGCAGCTGGGTCGGGTGTGCGGCCTGGCTCCCTGGCTCACCTGAGTGGTAATCTGCACGACGGCTCGAGCATGGATCGACTAGATGTGGGGTTCTTCCGAAGTCGGGTGGGGTAGCTCGGTGCTCGGGGATCTGTCCCGACGGTACTCGCTCTTGGCGATGTTCGCAGCCATGTTTCGCAGTGGTTGGTCCAGCGAGAGAAGTCTTCCGGGCTCGGCTCAGGCTCTTTCTGGCGGGGCAGTTCTGCAAGCTGCATGCAGACTGGGTGCCCCTGTCAACCAGAGGCCCATCGCCCCGGGCTGCTGACAATTGCACGACGGCGACCGGCCAAAGACCGAGTTAGGGACCTCGCTCTCTTTTTCACCTTTTTTTATTAATGTAGATTCTTTCCCCCATCGGTGCGACCGCTGAAATACGGCAACCGCCACAGTCTCTAGTATAGAGCTGAAACCAATGTGATTGTTTTACATTCAAGCAACCACGTCGCCTCGTCCACGTGTATCGCTTGCTTTTCTCGCTGATCGTCACAGCGAACGAGCTAAACGCCAAACGGATCGTCCGAGCTCGCATATCGCTGTCAAGCGCTGCGTCTTCTTCAACATCCACCACCGGATGGAAACCACCAAACACAACTTACACGGTTTCACCTGACATGTCACTTCTGTACACCATTCCGACATCATAATATTTGTGCCAATGGGGCCGGCCGATTACAGCGATGGCCTGCCACAGGCGCAAAAGGTCATGTTCGAGACGGGCTCCTTCACCGGTTACCGCCATGTCGTGTCGGAGCTTGGGAGCGGCTATCTGAGTGCTGCGCGCGTCTTCGCCCAGCCATTATGCGGAAACGAGGAGGGATGGGGCCCGATGAGCCCGTTTCGATACGACTTCACGCCATGTTTTATCGACGTGTGGGTAGCTGTGGTGGCGGCCTTTGGCATCTTTGTTGGTGCAATTGCCGTTTGGTGGCTGCTTAAGAGGAAGCAATCGACACCCGTATCGAAGGACTGGCATTTCTGGACAAAACAGGTGGGTGCTGTCTTGTGATTGTGGAATTGATGATGGTGATCGTGTTCTGACTCTTGGGGTCCAGACGCTCCTCGGCCTCATCATCGCCGATGTTGCCGTCCAATTAGGTTTCCAGATCGCCAGATATCGGGATATCTGGTACGGCGACTTCAGGGTCTACACTACCGCTGCCACCATCCTCTCGCTTTTCGTCGTCTTCGCCATCCAATGGCTCGAGCACTCGCGACTCCGAAACGCAAACGGCGTTGTTCTGTTCTACTGGCTGTTCCTCCTGATCGCGCTGGCGGTCAAGCTTCGGTCCCTGATTTCGCAGCAAGTCTACGCCCAGAGCCTGCCATACTTCGTCACATATGTCGTCGGCTTCGGTCTTTCCGTGGTCGAATTCCTCTTGGAGTGGCTGTGGCCAAAGAAGAATAGCGCGTACGAGGCCTTGGTCGACGAGGAGGAATGCCCCGCAGAATACGCTACTGTCTTCTCCCGCCTCACCTTTTCGTGGATGACGCCCATGATGAAGTACGGCTACTCCGCCTTCCTGACGGAGGAGGACCTCTGGGGTCTGTCAAAGGACGACGCGACCAAGTCAACTGGTGACGCCTTTGACAAGATGTGGCAGTACGAGTTGGAACATCGGAAGCACCCTTCGCTCTGGCGAGCGCTTTTTGGGGCTTACGGCAGCCCTTACATGCTTGCGGCAGTTTTCAAAGTCATGAACGACGTCTCACAGTTCACCCAGCCGCAGCTCCTGAGGTTTCTAATCGCTTTTGTGGCCTCCTACAACAACGGGAACGAGCCCCAGCCCGTCATCAAGGGCGCTGCTATCGCACTCGCCATGTTTGCCATTGCCGTCTTCCAGACAACCATGGTTCATCAGTACTTCCAGCTGACCTTCGTCACCGGAATGAGAATCAAGGGTGGCCTGTCTTCCTCCATTTATAAGAAAGCGCTGAAGCTGTCAAACGAGGGCCGGGCATCCAAGACCACTGGAGACATCGTTAACTACATGGCGGTCGATGCCCAGCGGCTGCAAGACCTTACTCAGTTCGGCCAGCAGATATGGTCGGCTCCCTTCCAGATCATCATCTGCATGGTTTCGCTCTACCACTTGGTCGGGTGGTCCATGTTGGCAGGCATTGGCGTCATGATCTTCATGATCCCCATCAACGGCATGATTGCTCGCATCATGAGGAACTTGCAGAAAGCACAGATGAAGAACAAGGATGCCAGAAGCCGGCTGGTTGCCGAGATCGTCAACAATATGAAGAGTATCAAGCTCTACGCCTGGGGAGCGGCTTTTATGAACAAGCTGAACTACATCAGGAACGATCAGGAGTTGAAAAACCTGCGCAAGATCGGCGCCGGCCAGGCCTTTGCCAACTTTACCTGGTCTAGCACTCCGTTCCTGGTCTCCTGTTCCACCTTCGCCGTATTTGTGCTTACCACTGACCGTCCCCTGACAACGGACATTGTCTTCCCTGCTCTAGGTATGAGCCCTTCTTTACCAACCATTACCCACCTTCTTCTGGCTAACCTTGGCTTCCCACAGCTCTGTTCAACCTCCTCACCTTTCCCTTGGCGGTTCTCCCCATGGTAATTACCTCGTTCATCGAGGCGAGCGTTGCCGTTGGCCGCCTCACTTCGTACCTGGTCGCCGAAGAAGTCCAGCCTGAGGCCATTGTCGTAAAGCCGCCTGTCGAGATTTTGGGGGAGGAGTCCGTGTTGATCCGTAACGCTTCTTTCTCCTGGAATCGCCACGAGGACAAGACGGCGCTGAAGGACATTAACTTCAGCGCCCACAAGGGCGATCTGTCCTGCATTGTTGGCCTCGTCGGTGCAGGCAAGAGCTCTCTCCTGCAGAGTATCCTCGGTGATCTGTGGAAGGTGAAGGGCGACGTCGAGGTCCACGGAATGGTGGCCTACGTTAGCCAGTCGCCGTGGATCATGAACGCTACTGTCCGGGAAAACATTATCTTTGGCTACCGGTACGACTCTAACTTCTACGAAAAGACCGTGAAGGCTTGCGCTCTTCTGGATGACTTTGCCCAACTCCCTGATGGCGACGAGACCGTTGTCGGAGAGCGCGGGATCGCACTCAGCGGCGGCCAAAAGGCCCGCGTTGCTCTGGCGAGAGCCGTCTACGCGAGGGCGGACATCTATCTCATGGACGACTGCCTCTCCGCCGTTGATTCCCATGTTGGACGCCACATCATCGATAACGTTCTCGGCCCCAAGGGCCTGCTTAGCTCGAAGACAAGGATTCTCGCTACCAACTCGATTCCTGTCCTTGTCAAGTCAGACTACATCTGCATGATTAAAGAGGGCGAAATCACCGAGAGGGGCACCTACCAGCAGCTCACGGCAATGAGGGGCGCCGTCTTCGATCTGATCAAGACTGCCGGGCAAAACGACTCGGGCTCCAGTTCCCCGGTTGCGTCCCCTAGTGACAGCGACAGCGAGACGTCGACTATTATTGAGGCAGCGAGCAGCAGCCAGGACAAAGAAGAGCTAGAGGAAGCCCAGGAAAGGCTGAGCGCACTCCAAGCCATCAAACCCGGCCCTGGCAGCTCTTCTTACCAGGCCCAGAAACCGCGGGCTGGGAGCATGGCTACCCTGCGGCGCGCCAGTGCCGCCAGCTTCAAGGGCCCACGGGGCAAGCTTCACGACGAGGAAGCCCCCAGCAAGACCAGACAGGCCAAGGAGCACTTGGAGCAAGGCAAAGTCAAGTGGTCAGGTATGTGTCCAGAGGTTATTGGAGAAGCCGGTCCGCTATGCTAACCCAACACCAGTCTACGGTGAATATGCCAAGGCGAACAATCTCGTGGCCGTTGCTATCTACCTCTTTGCCCTCGTTGCTGCTCAAACGGCCCAGATTGGTAAGTTGCTCTCACGTCGCCTGCGTCCCTTCGCCTCCTTGTTCACCGCCACTTCAACCACCGCCATCAGCCTTGTTTGATCGTAACACGGATCACTAACTCGGCGCGTAGCCGGGAGCGTTTGGCTCAAGAGCTGGGCCGATAGGAACACCAAGGCCGGCAGTAACCCCGAAGTTGGCAAGTACATCGGCATCTACTTCGCGTTCGGCATCGGCGCTGCCGCCCTGACGGTCATACAGACCCTCATTCTCTGGATCTTCTGCTCCATTGAGGTACGTCTGGTCAAAGAAGCGAACCGAGTTTTGGGCTCACATGTGGTTCGCATAGGCATCCCGCAAGTTACACGAAAAAATGGCCACCGCCATCTTCAGATCGCCCATGTCCTTCTTTGACGTTACGCCGGCTGGCCGCATTCTAAACCGGTTCTCGAGGTACGTATCTGTGGCCTGACTTTCCAGAAGTTTCTCTCTTCCTTTTTCCCTTTTTTTCCCCGAGTAGGACGAGCCAGCTGCTGTGTGAGGGAGGGTTGAGACAGGTGGCTCCAACGGTGCGGGAACCACCGGCGCCAGCCATGTCGTGCCTCCGTGTCACGTAACGCCCATCGAACTCCCAATCTAGCACAGTGCAGACAGACAGCCCCAGACGTCCGCAGTTTACTGACCGTTTCATAGCGACATCTACCGTGTCGATGAAGTACTTGCCCGAACCTTCAACATGCTGTTCAACAACCTCGCGAAGTCGTTGTTCACCCTTGTCGTCATCACGGTCACGGTGCCTCCTTTCGCCGCCTTTATCGTTCCGTTAGGCCTGATGTACATGTGGATCCAGCGGTACTACCTTCGGTCTTCCCGAGAGCTCAAGAGATTGGACAGCGTGAGCCGCAGCCCAATTTATGCTCACTTCCAGGAGTCTTTGGGCGGCATCTCCACCATCCGTGCATACCGCCAGCAGGACAGGTTCGAGCTCGAGAATGAGTGGCGAGTGGATGCCAACCTTCGGGCTTACTTCCCCTCCATCAGCGCTAATCGATGGCTGGCCGTGAGGCTCGAGTTCATTGGTGCGATTGTCATCCTGGCTGCCGCTGGGCTCGCTGTCATCGCGGTGGCGAGCGGCACCAAACTCAGTGAGGGGATGGTCGGTCTGGCCCTATCCTACGGCTTGCAGATTACCACGTCTCTCAACTGGATCGTCCGCCAAACGGTCGAGGTGGAGACCAACATCGTGTCCGTGGAGCGCGTGCTCGAGTACGCGGCGCTGCCGAGCGAGGCGCCCGAGATCATCCACCGCAGCCGGCCGGCGGTGAGCTGGCCGTCGCGTGGCGAGGTTGAGTTCAAGAATTACAGTGCGCGCTATCGCGAGGGGCTCGATCTTGTGCTCAAGAATATTAACCTGGATATCAAATCACACGAGAAGATTGGCGTCGTGGGACGCACGGGAGCCGGGAAATCCTCCTTGACTCTCGCCCTCTTCAGGATCATTGAGCCTGATACGGGTAACATTAGCCTTGATGGCCTCAACACGTCAACCATCGGCCTGCTAGATCTCAGGCGACGTCTTGCCATCATCCCGCAGGATGCGGCTCTCTTTGAGGGCACCATTCGGGACAATCTGGACCCCGGCCACGTCCATGATGACACGGAGCTTTGGAGCGTTCTTGGTACGTCCCCCCGTTACACTTGCAACCAAACCCATGCCTGCCCCTCCACCTCGGTGTTCACATGGCCCTACCGTTTTATCGGGTGCACAAGACTAATATGTTTGGCGCACAGAACACGCCCGGCTAAAGGACCACGTTGCCTCCATGGACGGCGGGTTGGAGGCCAAGATCCACGAAGGAGGTAAGCAATCCGTCTTTCCACATGCTAGTTCCCATCTCGTCTCCTTCGTTTCCCGCTTTCTGTCGGCTTTTGCATGTGCCTGTCGTGTCATGTCGCGCTGGTTGCGTCATTGTGGACTGCTTGTTCCTCGGCGGCATCGCTGCGCAACACGGCTAGCGGCATTACACTTGGACTACGAAGCCCTCGGTGCGAGTGCTCCTTGACCGCGACTTCTCGGGTTCGGTTTGCCAGGCGAGTGGACAGAACACAATGCCACGGCCCGCACACGGGGGAGAGTGAACGTTGAGGTGTTCCGCGAACCGAGGCGCCGTTTTCGTCCTACCTCTCGCCTCGCCATGTGCACCACCACATCCTCCCCATCTAGTTGCATGTGCGCTCGTGCACAGGGCAGGCCCTTGCAGGATCTCCGGTACCATGGGCGTGGCCGTGACACTGGATGGGCCGGATTCCGAGCGTGGCTTGTCCCCCATAGTCCACACATCTTACCAGCGTGCTCTCCTCACTCACCGACATTGCTGTCATCCCCCAATGGTCACCGCCACAGCACATGGACTTCCGGAACCAAGTGGTCCGCCAGTTCGGCAGGTGCCAGTCGGCGCAAATTGGTGTCACTTCTCAGACCTGGCAAGGTTCGGGATCGAGATGGGCGGCTGTGATGGAACCTCACCTCTCAACAGACACGCACCACACCCCCTCCCCTTCCCCCTTTCCCCGCATTACACACACACACACACACACCCTCCCACCATGAATTCCGACCCCCCCAAAACAACCGAACAAGCCAGTCAGTCAGTCCACTAACACCCGCACGCACACAATAGGCTCCAACCTCTCCCAGGGCCAACGCCAACTGGTCTCGCTCGCGCGGGCGATGCTGACCCCCTCCAACATCCTGGTGCTCGACGAAGCCACGGCCGCCGTCGACGTGCAGACGGACGCGATGCTGCAGACGACGCTGCGCGGCCCGCTGTTCGCCAACCGCACCATCATCACCGTCGCCCACCGCATCAATACCATCCTCGACAGCGACCGCGTCGTGGTGCTCGACAAGGGCGAGGTGGCCGAGTTTGATACGCCGGCGGAGTTGATTAAGAGGCGGGGGGTGTTTTATGGGCTGGTCAAGGAGGCGGGGCTGTTGGAGGAGTAAGGTCTCTCTCTCTCTCTCTCTCTCTCTCTCTCTCTCTCCAGAAGCCGGAAGAAGGGGGGGTGGGTGCGGGGGGGGGGGGGGGGGGGGGGGTGTAAAATTTTGGTTGTTATTGTTGTTGGGAAAGGAAGTTGGGGGGGGGGGGGGGTTGCATTGGGGTCTAATAGGGGAAAAAAAGAAAGAAAAGGGGGAAAAATGAAAAAGGGTATTGTCATCATGCTGGCTGGCTTGGAGGTTGGGGGTTGGAGTAGGGACCCTGTGGACCTGGTTGTGTCGGTGTGGGTGTAGTATAAGCTGCTGCTGCTGCTGCTGCTGCTGCATGGTGAATGGGTGGGTGTAATGTACATATGGGAGCGGTACGGTTCCGCACAAAACCAGAATGCATGGTGCCAGGTGTGTGTGTGTGTGTATTTGGTCTGTATGGATGTCTGCACAGCAGGTGCTAGCGTGAACCAGTTGTTGGTGTTGCTGTTGGTGATGGTGATGCTGTTGGTGGTGATGTTGGTGTGTGTTTTGTCTTGAACCGTTGTTGTTAACATGTACTAGCTGCATCACATCACCTGCCCGAATTCATCTTCACCGCTACTCTCTCTCTCCTCTCAATTCTCTCGGTGTCGCCCCGTGTCTGTCCGGCTGTCTGTCTGTCGGTCGCCGCTGCATTGGGATGTGTGTGTGGGAGAGGGTATCACCAACGGGTCTGCGAGTCTGCACTAGTCGGAAGCGAAAGCCAAGCGAAGCCAAGCCATCCTATCCAAGGTGACGGAATTGGAGAAGTGGGAAGGTTAAGGGGATGGAAGGATGAATTGGCAATCAAATTAGAAGACCCGGGACCGAAATACAGATTATGGCGACAGACAACCAGGCAAGCAGACAGACAGACAGACAGGCAAACAGGCAGGGGGGAAAAGCCATCAACAGATACACACCACACACACAGCACAACAACACAGCACAGCACAGCACAGCACACAGCACGCATGGCCGGCTAGCCGGTGGGTTCATGCTGTGTGTGGTCTGACCGTGACCAACCGCGTGACCAAAGCTTCATGTCGTGTCAGCTAGCCACGCCGCAGCCACGCCGGCAGTTGTTGAGTTGTGTGTCTCGCATCGGAACGGGTGAGCGAGACATGCTCCTTCAGACCAGACACTTCCTCGATGGGGAACTGACACACCGAGCATCTTTATGTGGTGTGATGGGACGAAGTGTGGTTTGTTGGTTGGAGGGAGATGGGGAACTCCAGATCATGCAGGCTGCCGGCTGGATGGGCGGCGCCAAGAGACGTTGTATTGGTGACGAGGTTCGAGTGGTGTGTGTGCTCCAGTTGCCTTGTTTGGAAATAGCTTGTTGGTGATGTCGGACGGGACAAGGGCCAGGAGGGGAATGGATTGCCATGCTGGAAGTTGGAACGGTTCCGAATGGGGGATGTCGGGTTGCGGCTCAGCGAAGTGGTTGAGCATGTAAATGGTTCTGGCCCGCCCTGCTTTGCATGACCCACCCATGCGTGAGACAGGTCTAAGATGTATGGAGACGGGTGAGAGATGGGGCTCCCAGAGGAGCGACCGGAGTGTCTCCTCCAGAACGTGTGTGATCTTATTGTTGTGGCTTGAGGGGGCGGGGGGGACTGATAAGGACGGCTCAAACATCTCCGTCCCTTCCCCTTGCTCGACTCTTCAACCCCTGCTTCTCAGTCCCACTCTGGGTACCGTTCCCTTTCAGGTCCCCCTAGCTTGTTCGCACCTCATGGTTGCAGGGCGTCAGGATCAGAACGAGAAACAGGGGGGGACGTTCCAAGGCGACGTCGTGTAACCCGTCCATTTGTCCAACGATATTAATGTTCGCATTACGCAGTTGCTGACCGCGTCTGCGGGGACGGAGACAGCCCAGTGGGCTCATGCTTGGGCCTCGGGAAATATAGGAGAGGCAGAGTGACCGTCGATAATGGCGAGCAAAGCCAAGGGTGTCGTACCGTGTGGAGTTAAGCGGAAGGAGGGTGGGACAAAAAGACGTTGGCAGGTCTGAGACTGAGATCCTGCGGTCTGCTCGCCGAGTTACACCGGCCCAAGCCACTGCCGCGCTTGAAGGGTTACGCAAGGGCAGCCCCGTGGTACACGTGGTGATCGTAATGCCTAAAATGCGGATTCAGGCGGTGAGGATGAGGAGAGAACCCTGGGGGCGAGATCCAAGCTTCCGCGATATTAGCATGAAACCGACCCACGAAGTAGTTATCGTGTATAAACAGAACGGTGTGGCACCACCCGCGGAGACCGATAGCAACGGAACAACCGTGGCCCATCCACGGCACCCTTTCCCCTGAATAACGAATTGCTGGCTCGGCGAAGCGAGATGCAGCTCTGGCTGTGTCCGCGGTTGAAACACTGTGATGAAGCTTGTCAGGCACCCAAACGGAAAGTCCCAACAGGACCAGGGCGGCATGACAAGGATGGTGAGGCGGCGGCACAGCGGCTCGAAGGGGGCCGGGCTCCGCACATCTGGGTGATAAAGTTGCCAATATAAGACCCTATGTGGATCCCCTGCCGCAGGCGGGCGAGAGCATGTGAGCGGGTCCAGGCCCTGGAAGACTCGCACATCTCATCTGTTGGGTTAGGTAGTTACAAGTATGTGCATAATCTGCGTATGTACATACACACATGGCAGTTAGTTACCGTGTTTGGACGGCGATCCACTCCTCTCGGGCATGGGCCAGCTTTGGCAATACCGCGTGGGTTGTCTTGGTCGGTTAGCAAACCGTCAACGTCGACTAGCGAAGCTAGAGAGGCTCAAGGCGTCGATCCGGATACACTAAGTGAGACCCGGCGCGCCGCCTTGGCTGCGGGATCGAGAGAAACGCGCTGGTCTCTGAACGGCTTAGGGTGGGCGTCGGCGATTCCTCCGTGCCTTCGGGTTGGATGCGTGCCCCCCTCGTTATTCGTAGATGCAAGGGAATCTGGAAGGGGCATAGGGCGGGGAGACAAGCTGCGGTGCCACCCCAAGTGGCACGCTCAGCCTGGTGGCTGCTGCACGCCGAGACCCACACTCCATCCTTATCGTTGATCCAGCAGCTCTCTGTTCGAGACAAGCAGAAGTCCAGCCTTGTGGGACGGACATGCAGGCTGTGGAGACACACCGTTGGTAGTTGGCTCGGGGTTCACCTCAGGATCTCAGACACAATCAGTCACGGCTCACTGATATTGGAGCCCGTTGATGTTGAGGTCGGCGACCACGGCCACATGAAGGCAAACATGCTCTCTTCCCCGAGCCCTCATCGACGCCCGCACGGATGGCTCCAGGGGCAAACACAGTGCATCTTGGACACTTGACACATATCGTGTCAAGTACGGGGCTCCCATAGCCTCTGTCCCCGTCACTCATTCGTCTTCGTCCTGCCAAGGCCGGTGGGACACGGGGATTCGTGCAACGGCACGGTGGAAGATCCTGAGGAGGTAGGTTGCTCTTATTACGGGGGGTCGTTCGGGGCATCCCGCTCAATTCGGGAAGTCACGATATGGTAACTCGGCGCGGGATTGGCAACGATTCGAGCTTTGTATCCGTCCCTGGAGAAGGTCATCAGCGGCCTGCCACGGATCATGCTGTACCTCCATCATGGGCTCCTCCGTGGATGAAATGGGTATAGGATTGCAAGAGAACGATGGTGGTGCGGGATTGCGTCACCCCTTCGTCTCAACGAGATAGGTACCTAGATAGACGGTGACTGTGGTACGTCAGTGCAAGTACAGGCTGGGGGCTGGGACGAGGGCGAGTGCCGAGCGTCCCGGGAGGGCGGTTGTCATTTTCCCTTTTTTTGACCAAGATAAGCTCGCGGCAACCCGTCCAGTCGCTGATGGCGTGCATGTCACTGAGGGAGGTCCTTGCAGGTCCCCCGTCTGGGCCAACTCCAAACCGACCACTCGGGCCAGGTGCTTGGGTCAATGATGAATTGGGTGCCGTGCCCGCCAACAGGGCGACTCGGGTCAATTTTCCCACGTCGGACTGGCGGTGCCGATGAGGTTTGCATTTCTGGACGGGGGGGCCTGGGATGAGACCATCGCTAATTAATTATTCGCCGCTTCCCGTTCTTTTCTTCGCTTCTGTTGGCTGCAAACAAAAATCGGAGTATTTGTGCTTGTGCTAGTCAGTTAGGAGAATTCAATCGCGAGATCGACGATTTCTCTCCATCGCATCATCGTCAATCGTTCTCGAGTTAGCGCGCGGGCGCCGCGGACGCGGGGTTGACAAGGCACGCAAGGCACACAAGGGCCGTTCCGAGAACCTGGTGCCGCATCGACTGGGCAAATATGGTGGGAAGTGAGATGTTACGAAGCATTGATGCGAGTGTTTGAATAACTCGAACTTAACGGATAACTGAACCTGGGAGTTATCCACGGACCCACGGTGCACGGCAATTCGAGAGACCGGCCGCAGATCGAACCTTCCGGGCCCCGATTGTACAGTACAGACGGTACATATCTCCAGCGCACACGGTACAGATTACACCATCCCCCGCGGTCCTTCCGCCGTGCTTCCGACCTGTTTCCGCTACGGCCTCCCACGAGTGGTGATTTCACATACGTAATTGGTTCATAATCTTTTCTTTGCGTATTCGTATGCGATTCGAGGCCGGCGGCTGCTTCATGAGGATGAGGTATTCCTCCGTAAAATATGCAGAGCACTTTCCAGCTGTCAGGCATGCATGTATGTACCGTGTATCTTACATGGCGAGCTCTTTCGTACGGATTACAACCAATGCCAACCTTCCGTGGGCCCCAAGGTACCAGGTATTTCATGTCGTTTCAGTCTGTCAAAATGCTCGACGGAGGAAAGCGTGCCCGCCCGAGACATCCCGACTGCCTATTAGAGAGCCTCCCATCTTATTGGCGGCCGTCTGAATGGTGGATTCAGACCAGCAGTTGGTGGTTGCTTCTTTGGGCCATTACGCTTGGCCAATCGTCCATGCTGCATCCCCGGGGTTGCACGACCTCCTTCCTTGACACTCGAATACGTACCTCGGGGTATTATTGATGATCATACTTAGCCTAATGGCTCCCTACCTAGGGATTTGGTTATTTGCTGCCACAGAGCGCGAGGTTGAACTCGTTTCCTCTTGCCTAATCTGCGGGTTTGGGCAGCTCTGGGCCGCGCCGGGTACGGTACCTGCAAGCCTGCGACGGGATTTTCCAGCCCCCCGTCCCCCGCGATGTCGCATCGAGGCCCAAAACAACTCGAGGATGCTCGTTGGCTGCTGGGGAATGCATGGAACACAGTGGGCGACATGGGTGAACTTCCATTTTCATCGCAATGCTTGCGAGATGCCTCTCGCCGCGTTCAATCGGGTACGATCCGGACCATCGGGCGCTTCTGCAGCCAGGGTGGTGGCGACGACCTTGCGCTTGCTCAGCTCATGCAGGGATTCCGATCGGTGGCCCCGCTGCGCACAGAAGGGAGATCTCCAAGGTGGAGAGTCGAGACGGATGAACCCACAAAGTCCACTTGCCCCTTTCTCTCAACCTCACGACTACGACTTGGCCCACCGCCCGCAACGGATCGTGCAGGATGGCATGGATGGCTCCGAAGCACGTTTCTTGGCGCTCACGTTGCTGGTTGATCCTCTAGTTAATAACTCTATCCAGTGTCTACACGGTTTTCACCTCGCCTGCCCGGTCTCGAGTGATGAAACGATCGCGCAGAATAGCAACCAACCACGGCAGCGGCCGAGGAAAGATAGACGCAGCCTCGAAGACCAATGCCCTGCACGGCAGTCGCTTGAACGCACGACATTGCATTCTGGGCTAAGTGGGATGTGGGCGCACGAAAAGGGAAGCGCAAACAAGGATCACCACTCCTGTTGGTTCCTACTGTTCGCCTACTGTTCGCCTGCTGTTCGCCTGCTGTTCGCCTACTGCTTGAGGCCTGATCGAGATGATCGATTGTCACGGCAGCGGCCGGCATGCATGCAGCGTCCCGGTACTTTCGAGTTGGGGAGAAAGCTGGGCTCAACTGGGCAGCATCAGCATATTGTGTACGAAGTGTATCGGCCCGTTGTCGCCATCATGCCTTGCCATCGCGTAGCTTACCGTCTTCGCCGTCGCCGTCGCCGTCCTCGACGTCGTGGAATGTTTCGCTTGTTGTCTTGGTTTGTCATACTCGGGCCCGATCTGGGAATACCTGATTGATTGGCCGGGAGGCGCCACCTTGTCCTCTGAGAACCGTCCGGCCAAGACGTCCAGCCTGGCTCAGACGGCGACTTTCATGGGTGGCTGTATGTCCATACCGAGAATAGTGGCACTTATGTATCTATACTATGTAGAGGTGGCTACATTGGATATGTCGCTACATATGTAATTACCCATGACTTCCATATTCTCAACACCCCACCTGGCGAGCTGGCCCACTGCTTGAATGGTACCCCCGCCAAGATCTACCTAGGGGTCCATCGCACCCACTAATTCTGTCGAAGTGGGCCATGATCCGAACCCAAGTTCGGGTCGATCTTTCTCTCTGGCAATCTCCATCCATGGATTCAGCACCAAGCTTTTTTAGGAACTTGGTGTAAATTTACCCCAGTTCCCGAAACGTTCTTTTTCTTTTTTTTTCTCCGCGGGAAGAAAAGGGACGTCCCTTTCCAGAAGCCCCGCGCCGTCTTGGAATTATGGCGCCATTCGAGACAGTCACAGTCAATTCAGTCGATTAATTCAATTCCTGCTCTGTCCCCATCACCGTTCGTCGTCACTTCCATGGTTGTTGAGACGGAGCAGCGCAACATTGACCTCCATCTCCATCCCTCACAAGCCCCAACTCGCCGATGGGAGAAAGAAGGTGGTAATCGAGGGCAGGCAGATAACCGAGACACGGTGCAGAACGAGGACGATATGCGAGCCGAGCCCTGCCCTGCCCTGCCCTGCAGGGTGGTTACGAGCGTCTTGTCCTCCCCCCCACCCCCGGCCTTTCCAGCGTCAACGACTCCGTTTTGGCTCCAAAACGCCCCCGGCGAGCCCCTCCACCGTCTGCTCAAGGCTGGAAGGTACTTGTAACTACGCAGGGTACAGTGCGAACTCCCCGCAAACGCCTCTTCAGAGAGACCATTTCACCCATGCCTCATGCCTGTCGTTCCGCAAGCCTTGCTTGTTTCTGCCAGCCCGACGGAGATACTGACCAGTCCTGGTTCAGTGTGCTTCCAATGGCGCTTCCCTCTCGGCCCTGTGTTTCCATCTCGACCACAGGAAGAGCCATACACGGTAGGCATGCACGGGCAAAGGCAGGAAACTCGATTACACAGCACATGAGCAGCTGTGCGACGGCATGCTGGAGGAAGGAAAAAGGAAACAAAGTTCAATCATCTGTATTCGTATATTTCCTCGTCTCGCCGCCTGCTTCCCTCGTCTTCTCTCTCCGCCTTCAGACTCCAGCGTCTCAGGAAATCGCCAAGCTCTCTCGCTCTCGTTCTCCTCGCTTTACGAAGTAACTCGCATATGGGCCGTCACATCTCGCTAGTCTACTAGTCTACTTAGGCTGCCGTCCCGTGTCTCGGAGCACATCTTCAGCTGCACTTGGTCAATCGATGTCTTGACTCCCAACCAATATCAACTGGTCCCAGATACATCTGTACAGCTCCCTCAGAGCCTGTTTTATGCCGACCAGTGCCTACCCTTTCCATGTGAGCCAACAACCCCAGCCCGGACCCTCAAGAGCCAGTCATTATTGACTTATTGACATACAGCGCGGCATATAGACCAAAACCAGTGAAGTCGCCGTTGCTACCGTGGGGCCGTCCCAGCTTCCCGATTGACAACCAGGGCCTGAACCAAGGCCTGGTCCACCACAGTCCGGTTCCCCGACAAGTTCAAGTCGACCCCAGGCCGTCTCCACTTCACCTGCGAGCTTCCGTGGCCCCCGAGACCTCGACCGAAGAGGGGTCATAACTTACTCCGTACTTCTGGTACTTACTTACCTTGCCTCCTCCTGAGATACCTTTTCCCAGGGCCAGCCGCTTTCCTCCACGGTAGACCCTCTTCACCCGTTGGCTGCCGCCGTTTCTTGACCTTGTCACCCCAGAGGTGACCCTGTCAGCCACCTCTCACCTGTGATCCTTGCGCCCAAGGATCCTGGCCATTGACCGAAGTCCGCTTCAAGCAGGCCCGGTCCTTTGGCTCCTCAAAGGTAGGGGGCGCCCTCCACAACACGAAACCACATCCACACACCAACCCATCACACCACACACAAGAACCCACTCCCATACCTCCTCAGGACGGCACAGCTGGAAAACGGGCCTACCATTCCCGACCTGCTATTCTCGAGTGGTCAGTTGGCCCCTTTCCCTGCCTCCCTGTCTCACAGCCGCACGAACAGACAAAGAAGACTGACTGCAGGGTCCCGCCCCCCCAGGCCATCCTATTTACAATCTGATATCACTAGTTGCTTGAAGACTGGCACCCTTCGTCTCCACTGCCCTGATAAACTAGGCAGAAAACGCCTCCAGTTTCAGCGTCTGACAGCCACTGTCAGCTCTCCTTGTCGTCCTATTTCCCCGACGCCCCAATTCGTCTGGCACTATTCGCGAACCCGGCTGCTGCCGCCCGTCAAGCAACGCGCTGTTGGTCCCTTTCAGTTCTTCAGACCGCGTGCCTACCTAGGAGGATATTAGTGTATATCCTTTCACAGTTTCGGCCCCGAGACGAACAGATCCACGGAACCGAACAACTTTAACGCCGAAGCATTTTTGAGTCTCGCTTGCCTACGGTCTCAGGGTGTCGGGATACCAAGACTTGTGTACCTGCTTCCCTACCCTACCCCCCTGGCCGACCTCATCAACGAGGACCCACTACGGCAGCCCCCGTGTCTCGTGAGCCCGGGTCCCGACTCAACCCGGTTCCACTCAGCCTGTGGTAGCAAGATATATCTGCAAGCCCCCTCCTGGGTTCGCCCGGCACACCGCATCCCCATCGCTCTTCAACACACCGAGACTCTTCGAACGTCGACAATTGCTGCAGCCTCTCACCGCCGTCTTGCTCACATCACCCCCTTATACATCCCGAAGCCCGACCCAGACACCATCATGGTCACCGTCCACAGTGACTGCTGTCACACTTGCTCTCGGCCGTGGGAGGGAAGTCGTGCCGTCCCGGACAATGCTCGAAATGCGGAAGCAAGAAGCTCTCCGCCTCTGGTACGCTCGCTCCCACCTACACCTGACACCTCTCACTCTCCGGTCCCACGGCTACTGGCGGACCTGACCTAGCACAGGGCTAACCCCAACACAGACGGTTGCTAGGGCGCTACGGGAGCACTGCAATATTCCCTTCGAGAGCTTCTTCCTTGCCACACACCTGGGTAATGGGCGCTTTGCCTATTTCTCCGGCCCCAGCCCTATCACGGAGGGTCATATCCCCATTATGTTCCGGAGGGACAAATTCCTCAAGTACCAGGAGCGGGCGTCATTAAGTAAGTCTGGAGGATCCCGTGTTCTGCCCTAACAGCTACTGACTTCGGGACCTAGGAGACGGCGTTTCAGACGGGTACGAGGACGACTATAGTGAAGAAGGCGTGTGTTATTCTACACGCACCTCGCTCCCTTTCCAGGACCGCTGGCCGGTCGAACATAACCGCAGAAAACGGCCGAGGAGGCATGGTCCAATGCGCCGTGAGCTAGACGACGACGCACCGCCCGTCGTTATGAACTCGAGAAAGGCGCTCATGATTGGCGACTGCCTGGCCGTCATGGAGTTTTACGACCGCGGGTTCAAGGCCATTCAGCAGACCGCCTGCAAGGAGATCGCCAAAGCCTTCATCAAGATCCTTTGCCCCAAGAAGCAGGCCACAAATCCGTACGTGAGGGGCGATGAGTCTGCTCCGGATTGGTGGCCCAAGCCTTGGGGCGCGGGTGAAAAGGACAGGGTTCGGCATGTCGAGCCTGACCATATGTGGAAGAAAGGTGGGTGCTCGGTTGTCGTTACGAGTTCTGCCGACTTGACTGACCCCGAAGATAGAACGCGTCCACATCTTGAAGCACATGATGAGGATGATTATTGAGCCTGAGGCCCGGTCGCCCAGCGTCCAGCAGCTGGGGCCTCTCGCCGTCGACAGGTTCGAAATCGCCGCCATGGACTGCCTTTCGTCCTGGTTTATAGACCCCAAAAAGCCCAAAAACGCAAGGAAGAAGCCTATCTTGAAGGAAATCTTTAAGGTCGCCAGGATGGAGGAGAGGTACAGGAGGTGCGAGATCGGTGGGTTTCCGTCACTATACCCATTTTGACAGTCATATTGTGCTAACCTCGAGCCGCAGATGCCACCACGCAGGTTCTTGTCACGGCGGACGACATGGTCATGAATCACTGCTTCGACCCGGATGAGGAAATGGCCGACGATATGGCAGAGTCGGCCGCTATGGAAGCCGAGCGCTGCCGTGTTGAATCTCTCATCTCTCGCGTCTCGCCGACTCCTCGGACTACCGCCGTGCCTGTGCTCCCGTCCATGGCGTCAATGTCGCCTACAGGTGCCTCCGTCCAGACCCTGACTGCGCAGTTTCAAGCCTCGCCTTTCCTCCACGAGTTACCGATCCGCACCCACGCGTACAGCGCGCCCGCTATGCTCCCCGCCGAGCTCACCGCAGATCAGTACCCGTACTCCGACGGCCACGGCTTGGCCACCGCCCATCCCACGTCGACGGAGCAAATTCACGCCCTGCTCACCGGCAGCCCGCACCACCACCACGGCCCCCACACCCCCCAGCACGACACGAGCCGGCGCCCATCCCTTTTCACACCCACCACTGAGTTCGGCAGCCCCTCCCCGTCGACAATCTACCACCACGCGAGCCCCTGGTCCCAGTCGCCCCAGACCCAGGCCCAGGCCACGCCCAGCACGACAGTGACAGACTCGCCCGACACGTCCTCCTCCATGTTTGCATACGCACAGGCACACGCACACGGTCTCCCGAGCAGCCATCACCACCACCATCAGCCGTCGCAGCAGCAGCATCACCACTCCCAGCAACAGCAGCAACAGCAACAACAGCAGCAGCAGCAGGTGACCAGCATCCCAGCTCTACCGCTCCCGATGGCGATGACCCAGACGGCACAGCACCAACACCAACATCACCAGCACCCGCACAGCAGCCCGTACGGCGGCGGTACATACTACACCACCGCTGCGTCCCACGGGTTCGACCAGCTCACCGAGCTGTCGCTATCCACACAGCAGCAGCAACAGCAGCAGCAGCAGCAACAGCAACAGCAACAGCACACCCATCATATGGCTGCCCCTTATCACCACCACCACCATACTATCCCCCAGCAGTCGGCGATGAGGCAGGCTCGGGCTCAAGCTCAGGCCCAGGCCCAGGCCCAGGCCCAGGCCCAGGCCCAGGCACAGGCTCAAGCTCAAGCTCAGGCCCAGGCACAGCGGGCGCTGGAGGCGGTGGATATGGGCACCGTGCGGGCTTAGTGCCTTGTCTATCCGCCTAGGTACCCATCTACTTGTCTACCCACCTACTTGATGGTCGGTTTCGTGGTGGTCTGGTTCCTTCCATTGGCTCTACACGTGTTACCTGTCGCGCTGTCTCCTTTCGTCTTGCTTTTTCTTTACATGCACTGCGCTGGTGTTGGGTAGGGTGGCCATTACTACGTCGCTTTGCCATCGCTGTTTTCCTTCCCGGAGGTCGGGATGGGGGGCTGGGATAAAACGGTGATGGGTGGTGTTGGAGGGTGGGCTGCAAGATTGGAAACGGATATGCCCTGGTCTGGTGGTGTTTGTCGAGTTTGGGAGGTCGCATCTCTCTTTTTGCGGTTCTTTCTATCTATCCTATTTTGGTGAGAAGAGGAGGGTAATATTGGGGATTGGTCAGTTGACTTTTGGCTTGGAGGACTCTGGAAGCTCTTGGTTTCTTTTTTCTTTCCTTGGTTATGGTTCAATAAAATAGCAAAATACTCAGATTGGCATCGAATTACAAAACGTATAACTCCCAACTCTCACTGCTGGCAACCGGGGCTGCAGATTCCGTCTTGACTACTGTGTAGATGTGATGTTGTGCTGCTCAAAACACACCTCGGTCACTCTCCATTCCCATCTTTAGTCTCATACTAAGATTCATTCCGCTGCCCGGACGGGGTTTCTTCTACCTTTGATGTCACGAATATATTTTACAATCGTTCGTTCCTTCTAGTGCGCCCTCCGTACATGGCAGTAGGCACCCCGTGCCATAACGTGGGAAGGGCGCTATATTGGATTGGGAGTGGATGTTGGATGTCGCGATGAGGCCTACAGTCATCACCTCCACCCCCCTCCCCTCGTCGTGTTTACATGTCCGCACGCCTAAACAACACACACTGCCCCGATGGTGGGAACATCGAATTTCAAAATAGAATTGCAGAAACCTGCCAAGGTGGACGAAACACGGCACTTGGAAGGGCCTGTGGGGGTTATCACCCGAGCCAGGGGTAAAAGATGATGTGTAGTTTTTTTTCTTTTCATTTGGGCTCAGCCATATGTAAGCCAGAACTAGATGAGCGAGGACTGCGCGATTTACCCTTTTGGTGCTGCAGAATATTGAACTCCAGGGGCCGGGTGGGGTGGAAGGACGCGAGTTGTGATGAGGCTTGCCTTGGTGTGTTTGGGTTTCTTTGTCCTTCGCTCGGCAGTGCAGCGCAGGAAAAGGGGGAGGCGCTGCCGACTGTCGGGGATAGTATCTGTCTGTCACATTGCGGCAGCCCCGGTGTCGTTTTTTGGGACTGCTCGTCAGATTAGGACCCGTACCTACAATCTCGTCCCGGTTGCCTCCTTTGGAAGTCAAGAGACCACCCCCATCGTATTCGGGGGTTTGCGTATGCCTCGGTAGACGGGTAGGTGGTGGTAATCTTCTTCCTCTCCCCCCACATCCGCCTCCGTTTTGTGTCCCCCGAGCAGTGGCGAGGGTCGGGTTGGGCAGTACCGTAGCTTACTCGGCCCGAAACCAACGGGGTGGTCGATCCATGTGCGTAATGGCCTGCAGAATGCTATCGGCCGCGGGGGGGGGGGCCGTGGGGAGGTTAAGGTACCTCGGGCGCTCGGCGCGAGCAAACAGACGCGCGCGCGCATGCGGGCTGCAGTCGAGGCCGATGCGGGAATCGGACCAGTCGTGCAGACGCGCGGATCCTTTCCCGTTTCCTCTCCCCTTCGCCGGCCACGAGGTGGAGTGTATCTGCGCGAGAGGTGTGTCAGGTGGCGCCTATCCTCTCTCCAGCTTCCTCCCTACCCGGTAAGCCTTGGGAGAAAGCCGCAGGGTAGCATGATACTCCGGAGGTGTGGGCGGCGGCGGCGGCGGTAGAAGGGTCCTCCCCCCCTTCTAGCCCCCCCGTATCATCTCATGTAGGTATGGACGCCACGCCAATCGCGGGCGCCGGACCACCGCGGTTTTCGTTGGTATGCACGTACTGCATGCATATGCGCATCGCTGGGCCCGCTCCGATGCGATGGGCCGTCAAGCCATCGTCAACGCCAGGCTTGGCGTGCTTCCTGCAACGAAAACAAATGCGATGGTAGGCTTGGGCCTACCTTACAGGTATCCTCTATGAGGGGAAGGTGCCGTGTTCGGGGCCGGGCCGGGCGGATCACTTGCCCTGCGAGGGAGGTTTGTGGGATTCACGATGGGGTAGAGACATGGGTTAGAGCGGGTGGGTGCAGGAGACTACGGCAGCTGAGAAGGCTAAGGGGCCTTGTGCATCTGCACTGTGCTGCTGGTGTATATTTTCCCCCGTGGGTATCTTGTTTGTATCTGGCCGTAACGGAGGTGATGGGACGAAACGGCGGGCTAGGTTGGTGTTTGGTGTTGTACCGGGTAGACCTCATGCCTCGTCGTATCCTGTCCGTCCGTTTGTCTTCTCAAGGCATCTCGAAGATGATGTAACGTGGCAGGCCGGTTCTGTCCTCCCCAAGATCCTGCACTCTCCGAGTTACTTTACACAACTTGCTGGCTGGCGCCGGCTTGGTTTTGGCAATGATAATTCGTTGGTAGAGACTCGTGTTTGTGGGACACCGTTTGCCTGGCTACGGTGATGCCGCGGAGAGCGCGCTCCGGAGCATTTCGGGCCTTGACCTGAGCATGTCTGGCCCCGAGTGTGCCACTCAGAGCTAGGCTGGGACTGGTGGAATGGATTGCTTCATTATTTGTGTGGTATCTGTGGCCACGGCTCGCCTTGAGCTTCTTCCGAGGCAAACCCCATCGTGTGCGGGGAGCTACTGGGCACATGCAAGCCCGCATATATCGGGCAGCTCGAGTCACGGTTGTTGTGGCATCCCGCAGATATAGTGATTCTGCGATTTAGCTGCCCACGCCGTTTGTCGTTCGGTTTAATGCTGCCAGCCAAGCGGGGCAAATGCACTCGGAGGTTCCAAGCAGCCCGAAGTCCAAGGCTGGGTTTGGTGTATGCTGTCACATGTGGTTATAACAACGGCTGTTGATCAAGATTGCATCCAGCTTGTCCCAGTCTTTTTGGTTGCAGCAAACCCGGGCAGTGACGAGAACCGGACAGCGCTCCTAAAGCCAACAGGCAGGGCGTTAGTTAAGGGCGTTGGTGGTAAAGATGCTGTGACTAGAAGCGGCACCGCGAGCCGGGCTTGGGCTGGATGAAGTGTCAGAGCAGAGGATGTATGATCATCAACACCTTCACATCCAGCTCAGCGCATCCGTATCCCTCATAGTCAGAGCCGGCGATACCTCTTGCATGTGTGGCGTCCCGACGAAGCTTTTGCCGTGTCGACGACTCTAAAGCAGGACAAGAAGCGCGTCTCAGTCCCCGTCTGTCGAACAATCCGTATCCTCCTGCTCATACTCGGGGCCATTCTTGCTGCTATTGTTGCCCTCCCCTTCCTCCTCTGGCTCTTCCTCCTCTTCCTCTCCCTCCTCCAAATCATCTCCCCAACCCTCTCCCCCATCACTCTCCTCCCAATCACCCCCCTCCTCACCCCCATCCTCCTCCTCCTCCTCCTCCTCATCACTACTCTCCCCACCCCTCTTCCGCTTCCCCACCTCGACCCCCTCCCCCCTCCTCACAAAAACAAAACTCCTCGCCCTCCTCTCCCCGCCCCTCCACGCAGCAACCGCCACCCCGCCCTTCCGATTCTTCACCACCCCCAACGTACGCGCGTGCTCATACCCCGGGTAGACACCCGCCACGAACCGAAAGCTGCGGTCGACCTGCAGGCCGGCGTGGCGGGCGAGGTCGCGGATGTTCCACAGCGTGTAGGGCTCACCCTCGAAGAGGGTGACGATGATGGTTCCCTTGGGCGCCAGGGAGGGCTGGGCGCGGCGGAAGAAGTCGACGAGCAGCTCTTGGTTGTGGCGGACCTGGCGGTTGACGTCGGTGGACTTGCCGCCGGTGTGCGGGAAGTTGAAGATGATGCGCTTCATTGTCCCGACGGGGGTTGTGGTTGTTGTGTTGTGTGGGGAGTGGGGGTGGGGTTTGGTGGGTTTGGTGGAGGGTTTGGTGGTGAAGGCGGGGAGCTTGCGGGCGTCGATGCCGTAGAGGAGGCGGCAGTTTGGTTGGGAGGGGTCTTCGATCACGGAGATGTTGGCTGGGACGTGGGGGTATTTGGTGGAGAGCTCGGCGAGGTCTTTTTCGAGGACGGTGGCGGTGACGTTGGTGCAGCGGTGGTGGGTTATGAGGGAGGCGGCGAACGAGAGGTCGCCCTCGCCGATGAGGAGGATGGAATCGGAGGGGGAGAACGGGATGGTGGGTTTCTGGTTCTGTTGCTGGGGCCCATTGCCGGTTTTGTTAGCACCGGTGGTGGTAGTAGTGGTGTTGCCCGACTTCTGCCTCTTTGCTGCTGGAGGTCCAGAAGACCCAGGCCCGGGTCTTGTTCCCGGCTTCTTCGATGCGGGCGCCGGCTTTGACCCGGGTACCGTCTTTGCTGTCTTTTCTGATTTTCCTGTCTTTTTCTGCTGCTTAACAGCCTTGACGGCGTTCTGCAGCAGGCCGCGGCCTTTGGCCATGGGGCAGGGTAGTCAGTTAACTGATCGAAGATGATGATGATGCCGTCGACAAATAAAATTAAAAATTGGGCCGGCAGCGAGGTCGGAGGACTCGGCTCGGGTGGCGGCCGAAGTGTTCGCAGTGGTCGGGATCGGTTCGGGATGGCCAAGGTCAGCTCCGGGCGGCCGGAAATTCGGAAATTGGCCGCAAAAAAAAAAAAAAAAAAGACATCTCGTTCCCGTTTGTCGGCCCCAGCCGTCCGCTGAATTGGGTGTGGAGCTTGAATCAGGAGAGGCCGGGGTGGTATTGGACGGGGAAATGCCAAGGCGGCTCCGGAGTGAAAGCTGTGGGTTTCCAATGCCTATTTGAGGTTCGGCCAGTCACGGGAGAGGACAACACAGCAGCAAAGCAGCAACGCAGCAACAGCAAAGCAACAGACTGGCTCACTGGCAAAGTGAAAGAAACCAACGACTGCCAGCCTGGCTCCCTGGGGGTCAAAGAGTGGATGGTGTCTCAGACACCGCCGACGTCTGTTGTGTTTTTTTAGGTGGTTTTTCTTCTAGAATCTCCCTCGGTCGTCAGTGGCAGCCCGGAAGTTAGTTACCTACCTCTTGACTCCCTACCTTTCAGGTCACCTACCTCCCAATGAAGATACCTATAGAGGTAGTCGGTATGTGTATCGCCCCCCCGGGATCATCGGCTTCACTTTGCCCTGCCCATCTTCCGTCATGGCCGTGGGGGCCAATGCAACTGGGACCGGCAAGTGCAGGAATAGGCAGTGAGAGTGAACGCAGCCTCGGTCGCCCTCTTGATGATGAAGGACCTGGGAGGTCTAATTTGGATAAGAAATCCCGTCGGTATACGAAGTAATGTCGAACATCCATCACTTGCAATCTGGCAGTCAGTCAGGTAACAAACAGCAGCTGCAATACCATTCTGACCCGGCCCTGAGCTTAGCCTTGGCTTGGGGCACAAACATGAATCCGGCGAACGAGGTGTCCCAGCGCCACATGTGGCTGTATTCCATCGCTGGGCAGGGCATTCGGCTGAAGAAACAGAACGATAGCCAGCCAACAACACAATGCGTGCACAATACTATAGCATCATCAAAACAATAGGATAGACGAGAATACTTTATCCGATCCAAAATGCCCACTTTCTGCCCATCTGCAGCCATAATTTCAACATTCAAGACCAAAAAAGGCAGCCACGAAAAAAAGGACGACTTTCCTCCTGTCCTGATTTGGAAGGAGTCCATGCGCTGTGATTGGTCCGTGACTCGGTTAAGCCTCAGTGGGGCCAGGCTGGTGCCACGGGCGTGCCAGGGTGGGTTAGGTAACGGGGGGCCCGGTTGGTCTGGGTGATCCGCCCGGCTGCTGCTGCGTGTGGAAAACCAGCGCCAGCCAGGGCCGTCGTCTCTTATTGTCAGGTCCTTCACAACGGCACACAATACACCTGGAATAAGGCGATGCCGCGAGCGAGGAACAACAATTGCTGAGGACCATCCCTACTCAAAGGTCCTCTGGTAATATTGTGTCCATCTCTGGCATCTGCCAACTTGATTGTCGTCGGTTCTTGTTCATCACAGCCTGTTCCATTTCCGACTGCCTCTTCTTTTCTTCTTCGCTTTTTCGCACTGCATGAAGTGGCCGTCGTCGACGTCGTCCTCCATCCCCTTCCGACCATACCTCTTCATCTTCTTCTTCCTCTTTCACCATACCCCCCCTTCTCCTCCATCGAGGTTATTTGTGGTTTTCGGCCTTCTCACTGGATTCCGATTCCACCATTCATTCACTTCACCCGCTCCTCCCGTGAGCACATCTTGGCGTTCGACTTCCATCCTTCAAGACGGCACGCATCGTCTCTTGTTTGATTGCAGCCCCCTCTCTCCGTCTTGTCTTTTCTCCGCCCGGTCCCACGGCTTTGACCACGGCACCTCATCACCGACTTGGTGGGCCTTTGTACCGACCCTTATTCCTTCGGTCAACAGCCGGTAGCCCGCCTTGAGGACACTCTCACGGGCCACCCGCATCTCAATCAAGCCGGCGAAGAGATCATTCCCTCGTCACTGCGCCGGCACATGGGCATGGAACACCCGGATGGTCAGCTGCAGGTAGAATCCGCACGTGCTCCCGTTTATACCTTTATAAACGACGGCACCAACACCCAACCACTCTCGGAATTTTCATCACTTCCATCACTCCCGATCAACCTCAAATCTCGCATGAACACACCCCAAAATCATACCATGAGCCAGTACAGCCTGCAAGGGGCTGTCAACGACCCGGATATGGACGACACCATCCCCGAGGAAGGGCCCGCCACCCAGAATGTCACCGCATCCAGAGCCACCGCCGTCCCCAGCAACAGAGGTCGGGGACGTGGTCGATGGACCCGCCCAAGGAACACCAAAGTCACTAAACCAGCTCAGCAAAAAGCACCTTCCAGCCGAGGGCGTCGTCACAAGGTATACGACAACCTCCGCGTCCAGGCCGCCCATGAACGCACCCAAGAGCTCAAGCAGGCCTTCCTGGCTATCGGGAAGTTGGTCAAGCCGGCAGCCCAAGAGGTTGCTGACCGTTCCATCAACGAGCTGCTCGAGGACCCCGCTCTTCATAAGCAGGTGCCCCAATATGAGATCACCAAGAAGTTCCTGCGCGACCGCCACGAGGAGACCATCCAGCAGTGCAATGACCGCCTCCAGCACGGTCTCGCCATGGCAGAGAATGTATGGCAGGCCCAGCATCAAAAGGTCATCGAAGAATACACCGTAAGTCGTACCATATTATCATGGCCGCCGCTGCCACCACCTCATTCTCGGCTAACGTATCGATTACCACAGACTAAGGTTGCCGAGCTCTGCGAGGACAGATATGGCCAGCTCCTCTGCCAGCTGGGAATCCTCGAGTCTCTCTACAGAAACGGTTTGCCCGTTGATGTGAGTCTACTCTATCAGGCCACCCCCCCGGTGCAATTTCAGCTAACCCGGTCCCCATCAAGTTGCCCGCCGGTGACGACGACAGGCATTTCTTTAAGGAGATCACCCAGGAGGACGCCGACTGCCAGGGCGTCTTTTATGAGACCGACGGGGGCGTCGAGGTGCCGCATTCTGGCAAGACCATCTCCCAGCTGATGTTCAAGCCGCAGACGCTCCCCTTGGAGCCGAAGCGGAAGGCCGAAGGCCAGCCGGAGGGCCTGCCTGCAGCGAAGGTGGCCGCTGTCACCAAGGGAGACGAGACGGCGCCCCAGATGCCCAGGCACCCGGCTGGTCTCCTCGGCGCTGCCGACGCCATCGAAGAGAGCGGGGCTACGACCCCGGACTCGGGATCCGGCGCCCCCACCCCGACCCCCATCCCCGAGCCGGCAGAGGAAGTGGCCCCCGAGCCCATCAATCAGCGCGTCGTCAGCGGGGCGGCGACCCCGGACGACGGGCCGGAACTCCCAATCCCCCGCGGCGCGACGGACCCAGACGAGTTTGGTGTTCGTCTCATCTCGAGACGGCCTACCCGCATGGACGTCCCGAACAACCGCATCATGGTGCCCAACCTCTTCGAGTGGGACGACCTGGACATCGGTTTCCGGGACTCGACCAACTGCTCCCAGAAGGGCGCCACGAAGCAGCGCCGCGGGAAGTACTTGGGCCGGCCGGGTTCGAACTACATGTTCATCGACCGCCGCGCCGGCATTTGGGATAGCACCCTGGCCGCCGGGGAGCTGGACGAGGACCTGGTGAAGAAACACAAGCTTCACCCCACCCTCGGCATTCCCCTGCCGGACTCGGTCAACGAGTGGGAGCCCCCCAAACCCACCGCCGACGGTTGGAAGTCCGTCGTCCTCGTGCCGCCCAGCGGCAACCCTATCCACGCCTCGCGGACCATCGAGGCCGCGAGGATGGATGCCGAGACGGACGCTGCCGAGGCTCGAGCGAGGGTTGCACGGCTTGTGCGCATCGCCTGCGAGCAGGAGGACGTCCCGCAAGAAGACGTCGCACCGGACGCCGAGCTTGTGGAGAGCCACCGGATCGGGGTATTGGTCGCTCGGGGCCTTGACCCCGCCCAAATCGCCCAAGTCACCCCGCCCGAGCCATCGTCGCCCACCCCCGAGCCCGTCGTAGAGGACGCGGCGCTGATCTTTGACCAATTTGCCAGCGATGCCCTTGACGCAGCTGCCACCCTCGAGGCAGAAGAGGAGGCTGCGCGCATGGCCGCCGCAAAGCGAGCCCAGCAGCCCCGGCCCTACGACGCGATCCGGGACGTCTTCACCGAGACCCCGTCTGCCCGCCAACCTTCCCCGCCTGCCGCACGAGAGGCACCCCCTCCCGCTCCTCCCGTGGCTGCCGACACCACCAACCTCTCCTGCCTCGCGGATCTCGCCTTGCACCCGGAGCCTCCCGCCATGCAACCCGTCGCAGCCGAGCAGTCACAGTACGGCCAACCGCCGCTCGAGTTGATGATGACCCTCGGCGACTACGATCCGCCGCAGTTAGAGTATGCCCGGTCGGCCGAATATCCGCCACCCGAGCCTGCCCACTTTGCCCGCCAGGATGGGCCATCGGCACCCATGGAGCCTGTCAGGACCAACGACTTCCTCCGGACTGCTCTCAACCCCCAACCGGCGTCCCCTCCCCCACACATGCCGTCGGTTCAGGAATATGGCGGCGTCCCCCTCGCTCCGGCACACGGACCGATGCCCAGCCAAGGACAAACGCCGGCGGGGCGAACCCCTTTCTCCAACACCGGGGCTGCCAAGGCTCTGCCGGCTCTGCGGCCGATGCGGAGTCTTTTAAACGAGTCCCCGCCGTTTCAAGAGCCGCAGGGCGGCCCAGCACTGCATCACAATATGGTGCCCTCAAACAGTGGTGCATACTTCCCCCCGGCAGCCAACCGCCCGTTCCACAACTCCTACTCCGTCCAGGGGCAGCCACAACCAATGCAGTCCATGATGTCGCAGATGCCGCTAGGAAACCCCCACCAGTCGCCCTCTCACGCCTGCCCGCCCATGGGACCAGCGCCTCTTCGGCGAATGAGCACGCCGCCACCTTACCATCAGCCGGCTAACCCTCCGCTCGGCCCCGCCCCAGGATCTTCTCTCGGTGGCCAGGGACCCATTCACTACCAAGGAGGACAACAACCCCTCGCACCAGCCGCGGCCTCGGCACCTCGGTCCCGCCCGGGAAGCTCTTCAGCTGCGAACTCGGCGGCCTCTTCTAAATACCGCAAGCTCGAGCCGGCACCCACTCCTCCCCACCGCCTATCGTATTCGGGCAACGGCCAGGAGCTGCGCACCGTCCAGTTTGACTACCGCGAGGCCATCAAGGACTATAGCGCCGTCGAAGCCCCACCTAGGCACGGACCTACCCAGATCAGGGGCTGGACGCACAACAATATCAGAAAGGTCGCGAGGCCGACCTCGTCTTCTTCCAGGGGTGATCCACATACCAGTACCGGCACCAACTCTGATGAACCATCCGCTTAGAGCGCGGGTGGTGGAGGCGGTGCCAGTGGTGGATGCGGCCCTACAAGCAAGAAGGGTGGTGACAGGAAGCGCACAAGGGACGGCTATGACGAGGGACCGCCGCCGGGGAAGAAGGCGAAAGCCAGGTGTCCCAGTTATTCTCCCACTTTAGGTCAGGGCTATGGTTTTACCGCCGCGTTTTCAGCTCCGTTCTCCTTACATTCCTCCCCTTTTGTGGCCGTCCCGCGGCGCGAGGAGGCTAACACGAGATTCTCTACACCGCCGATGGGTCTCTTTCCTCCTATTTCGACGGCATACCAAGATGTCAACAGCACGACGATACCCCGCTCCAATCCCGGCGCTGGCCCCGTCTCCGAGGGAAACAACTCAATGGAACGGATCGAGGCATGGCATCCTGGGGGGAGCCATGAGAATCAAAGCAACCAGGAGACAAGAACGAATCCTACTGCCGCGCAGAACCCACCCGCACCCAAGAGGAGTGCCAAAAAGCCGAGAGCGCGGGCTGCTACTCCCACCCCGCCGGTTCGGTGCCCTTACAATTTGCGGAGTCGTCGAGGTGTGAAGATCGCGAGTTCCAATACAAACGCAGGTCCGGGGGATCCTCCAACCTCGGGAGCTTGAATACGAATAATACTGGAGGATGGAAAGATATGGAGGACCGCGGTTTGGTTAAATATGCCCTCGGGGCCGAGTTTATCAGGTTCAGACCGTTTCAAGCAGCGGAGAGCGAGGCGAAGTTTGAATCATGTTTCAATCACGATAGAGCGAAAGCAAGGGTTCCAAGCAGGATATGGGTGGAATGGATGGATGAACATATGACACAAGGATACGTGGTGGTTTTAGCCACGGCTGGAAAAACCATGAGTTGCATTTTTGGGAGTGTTGCATGGCTGGCCGGCAAGGTTTACTCGAGCATGGCATCAACTTTTGGCATTTGCACTGGTGGATGATACCAAATCAGCATGGTTGTTGCAGCCAGGGTTTAAAGAAATGGACGTCTCCTGGGAGCGATGTTGCGCTGTTTTTCTTTTGGCTTTGGACAGCTTCTAGGCTGTCGTATATATACTTTGGAATCCAAGCGGCCGTCTTTTATTCAACCCTCCGTTCTGACCGTGACGATAGGACCCTCTAACCATGGCAAGGACTCAGAGAATATACAACAGTCTCTCGCCCCTCCATCGATACGTCCGACTTGACATAGCCATCAAAAAGTCCAATCCATTGTCCACGCAAGCCAGGATCTCTCTCTCCATCCAATCGTCGATTTTAAAGCATATCATATCACAACGGCAAAGTTACAACACACGAGACAGACGCACGACTTTTGTTAAGATGTATTATCTACGCTAATCCGCCATCCCAGACGGCATCACCCAAGTCGTGTCCCCAGAGCAATGCTACCCACTTGTAAACCTATCTAGGTACCTATCTATCCATCTCCCCGCCCATGCCTCAGGCATTGTAGATGCCTTTTTCTCAAGATATCCCCGGTATCATCCCTAGTATCAACCCTCCAGTATCAACCCCTAATAGAGCGCGTAGCTACCGCCCCCCAAAGAGTCCCGACAACAGCAACGAGAAAGAGATGGGATTGCCCTGATCCTCTTACATGACTCCAAACAACCCTCAACCCAACCCAACCCAACCATCCCAACAACCACCCCAACCCACCATCCCTCACCCACTCAACCCACCATCACAGCACCCCCCTCCCCAACCCCAGGCCCAGCTCCAAACCCACCATCCGCCCCGCCACCCCCGGCCCCCGTACCCTCCTCCAACCCGACCACGGGCCCCGCACTCACCAGCAGCCCGCGGCCGAGCTCGCCCTCCGGGTGCAGGGCATACACGCCCGCCTCCATGGCCTCGCCGTCAAACACGACAAAGTTCTGCACGGGCTGCTGCGTGCAGCCCAGCACGTTGATGACGTCCTGCGCGAGCTGCCCGCCCAGCACGGCCGCCACGGGCGCCACCTCGCTCGCCGCCGCACCACTACTACCGCCAGCACCATTACCATTACCATTACCACCGCCGTTGTTAGCAGATGGTGCGGCGACGTTCTGCAGGAAGGCGCGCAGCACGTCGCTGCGCAGCGTCTCGGAGGGCAGGCCGAGGGCCTTGTGCTGGTCGCTGCAGAGGCGGGTGAACTCGGCGAGGTGGCCGCGGTCGGCCGTCTGCGGGGCCTGGCCGGCGTGGTTGGCGGCGAACTCCCAGGCGGCGCGGAAGCAGGACAAGAGGGGGGTGACGGCGCGGCGGCGGCGCGGAGATCGTAAAATGTCGGCGGGCAGCTGGGAGGCGCCCGACGCGAGGTACCACGTCGAGTAGAGCTCGCGCTTGGTGACCAGCTCGGTGGTGGCTTCGGCTCCTGGTTGGGGCGCGACGGCGAGGACGGAGCGGGTGCGGGATTCCGGGCCGAGCGGGGTGGGCAGGTTGGACTTGGCGCGCGAGATGACGAAGGTGTGCTCGATCAGGTCGGCGAAGAGGAAGCCGTAGAGGCCGTGCGAGTTGGCGGCGTAGAAGGGCCGCGAGTGCAGGCGGGTGGCTGTGTTGATGATGTTGAGGGTGGGGGAGTCGAGGTCGGTGGCGATGATGATGTCGAAGGGCGCGAAGAAGGAGGGCGGCTTGAACCGCACGTCGACCGTGTCGACGTGGATGCGCACGCGGGGGTTTAGGCGTTGGAGGGCGACCGAGGCGGCGGCTGCGCGGTTGGTTCCCAAGGGGGTAGTCTCTTCTGAGAGGAGAAATTGCGCGCCGAGATCAGAGGGGGTGACGGGATCCGGGTCGAGGATGGTCAGCGAGCCGATGCCGGCAAGGACGAGGTTCTTCGCGATCTCGTTGGCTAGGGCCTTCATGGTGATGAGGAGGATGTTGGCGTTGCGGATCTTCTCCTGGGCCTTCATCCCCCAGAGACGGATCTGGCGGTCATAGAGGGCAATCTCGTCTGGCAGGCGGTTAGAATATGTGGCAAGCTAGATAGTAAGGATCGCTTACCGGCGCTGATGGCGTTTCCCGGCGCCGGTACTGACCCGTTGCTCTCGGTTGGCATGGTTGGAGTCGCGGATGTCTGAATGCCAAAGTTGGCGGCAGACTCGGGAATCTGAGTTTGTTGATGATCCATCGAAAAGACTGCAAAATTGGGAATTGTGATGGTCTTTCGAGCGGGAGAATTGAGGTTTTAGTCGACTTGATTAGGAAGAGATGGTTTGTTTGAGAGTGGAGGGATAAGTTCAGGTGGTTTGGGACTTGAATTGCTCCTCGGAGACACCGGGACTTCGAGACGGGCTTCTTGCCGAAAGAAAAAGTCGAAGGCCGTTTGTTTTCGGGCGCAAACGCAACCAAGTCGAAACCGTTGGCTGATGTAAAGCAGTTGCCCGGTCTTGAACAACTTCAACCTGGAACTCGTGAAATTGGCCCGGCTGCCTGCAATGGCGGGCGGGGATGCTGCGAGCTTGGAACCCAAGCCTGGAACCTGACCCTAGAATCCAGGTAGGTGAGCCTAGAATTCGAGGCCCGTAGTGGTTTGGTTTGTACGCACTCAAAACGGTCAAATGAACAAGAAGCTGGAGAGCGCAGCAGTCACGGCCCGGCTCGTTCCTGCATCTGGTTGTGTGTCGTTGCAGCCCGGCGCGGTCTGTTGGAGCTTGGCGAGGCCGCGTTAAGAGGTACATAGCCCGGGTGTTCGCAGCACCTCATGGACAAAAAAGGCCGAACTCCAACGGCAATGGAAACTTCGAGTCCTCGGGTGGAGGAATATAACGAAAGTCATCCTGAAGCTCAAAGAAACTCTATTTACTCAATTTCCTTTTCTTTTATTCCATTTCCTCTTCTTTTACCCTCTTCTTTTTATTTGACTTAGTTTTTTTCGATCTCTTTTCATTTGTTCTTTTTGCTTGATTTCTTGCTTTCCTTTCGAGTTCAGCTTTTTTTGGCCAGAGGGTGCGCAGCAGCTCGGACGCGGGGATCTGCTAGCAATCCGTTCGGTCCACGACATATTTTAAGTTGCCCCACAGTCAACTCGGAAGCTGAGGCATGTTCGCTGCGGGTTTCTCCTTTTATTTCTCCCTTCACTCTTATGCTCTTTCCTAAACCCCGATATTAAGGTAAACACGAAGTACCTAGTACTTGAGTTTAAATGCTTCGTTTTTTTCTTTTTCTTTCGGATCCCGAGACGCAAGGCGCCAAGAAAGGAGACCCAGAGTTTATCGAGGGGTTTGCGACTTCATCAATCTGTACCAAGCACAGATTCCTTCGCACCTCCATCCCGTCTGTAATCTGTATTCGTATTGGCCATTTGTAACATGCTGCCGTTCATTCCCATACCGAGCGCCACAGAGCGGCAGCCACGGACCCAACGAGCCTGCCCGGCCCCGTCCATGACCACTTGCATTGGATGTCACTTGGTACTTGCGCTGCTGCCATTCGACTGAGGGCCTCAATTCCCCACCCGAGCTGCGCTGCCACCACGCTCTGGCCAAAAAAAGCCGAACTCGAAAGGAAAACAAGAAATCAAGCAAAAGAACAAATGAAAAGAAATCAAGCAAAAGAACAAATGAAAAGAGATCGAGAAAAGTAAGCCAAATAAAAAGAAGAGGGTAAAATAAAAGTAAATGGAGCAAATACAGTTTCTTTGGGCTTCAGGATGACTTTCGTTATGTTCCTCCAGCCGATATCTGCACTTGGAGTTCGGCCTTTTTTGTCCACGAGGTGGCTCCGATAAGTTACGAGGTAACCGGCCGGTTTGTTCAACAACTCCAACTCCCAATTTCAACCGACCCTGAGCCAACGTCAATTCCCGCTCTGTCACTTTCCGCCACTCGAAGCCCCCTTCCAGGCTGCGGCTTCGCTGTCCCATGGTTAGTCGTCCCTCTGGAATTCGGTACGGCCCGCCTAATAGCGTGGATTCGTGTCACCTGCATTTGCCATTTGCCGTTTGCCGCGTGCCTGTTAGCTGGAGGAATATAACGAAAGTTATCCTGAAGCCTAAAGAAACTCTATTTACCCTATTTCCTTTTCTTTTGCCCTCTTCTTTTTATTTGACTTAATTTTCTCGATCTCTTTTCATTTGTTCTTTTTGCTTGATTTCTTGATTTCTTGCTTTCCTTTCGAGTTCGGCTTTTTTTGGCCAGAGGGTGGTTAGCTGCTGGTTCGGAAACCGAGCGCATTTACTTCTATCCGCGATTTTTAACACATCAACTCAGTCCGGTGATCGCCCCCCACTTCCACCGTTGGAACCCGGAACCTTTCGAGGCGCCGACGGTACTATCCGCCGCTTTCTCGTCAACACCTCCGGCTCCCCCTCCGATGACCGAGCGACTGAAACCGCCTCCGCGAGGTTGTACACAGTAATCCAGCAATTCCACGACGACTTCCAAAGACTCAGCCAGCGCCCGTCTACCACCCCCCGGAGTACGGACCCGGCCGTCGGCAGAATGGCCTCGGGCTCGGACGGAGACTTGCGACCGAGATTCAACCGAGATCCGCAACCGCCAAACGCCCTCCTCTCCACCTCTGCCGCCTCGCCCGGTTCTCCCTCTCTCCCGCCGCTACGATCTCTCGATCCGAGATCGCGGGCCCCGCCCACCACGTTTACCGGATCGGGGTCCCGCTCCAGCCGCTACCGTCCCGCTGGCCGGTACCTAGACAGGGTTCGCTCGCACCTCGGCGCTACCCTTGATGACCTGAACCGAAACATCCACGACACCGACGCACAGCTACGAGCATTGGTGGATTTCACCAATAATCCTGTCATGCCGCGCGCACCTTCCGCCGTTTCAGACACACCCAACGACGTGGACATGGCCGATGCGAACCGCCGCATCAAGCGTCGAAAGCTGGATACGGATAGGACCACCTCGAGCTATAAGGGCTTCCGTTATGGCAGATACGGCCAAGTCGAGCCCGGTCAGCTGAATATGGAAATTGTGAGCTGCGACGGGGGACTCTACTCGGATGAGCACTCGTACCCACCCGAGAACATCCTGAAGAACGATTCCTCTGTCTACTGCACCAAGAGCAACCGCTGTAACATTGTCCTAAAGCACCAGGGCGGGACCGTGTTCAGCCTGCAGGAACTCGTCATCAAAGCCCCCGGGTCCAAATTCTCATGCCCGTACGTTTCACCGCACAACCTACAGGAATCTATCGTGCTCACCGTTGTCCAGTATCCGTGAGGGCATGGTGTTCGTGTCAATGGGGTCGGACGACCTACTTAACCGTACCGCACAGTATCAAATCCAGTATCTCCCTTCCCGCAGCCACCGGCGTGGGACCGTCTACTTCCGTCACGAGGAGGACGGCCTTCCCCGAATACAGCGTCGGTCTCTGCGGGCGTACAGCTACGGCGCGGATGACGACGACGAGGACGGCGGCGACGGCAGGACAGCACAGATTCCGCCAGAGTTTACTGCTTCCCCGCCCCCGTTCAATGTCACCACCGTATGTAGCGAGGACGAAAGCGACGGCGAAGAGCACTCTTCAAACCTGCCGGCCCCTCGCCAGCCGACTCGCCAACCGGCCCGGGCCTTGCCGTTTGAAAGCGACAGCGACTACGACGACGATGACGACAACGACGAAGAAAGCATCCAAATCTTTGGCGGCCCACACCGGCCTTGGCCCGCGGACGAGGACGAGCTCGCTCACGGTGGCAACGCCGCCGTCGTCCTTCGGCGGCGGTACCGCGCCTCCCGCCTCCACGGCGGCGCGCCTCCCGGCAGCAACCGAACCGGCAACAACAACCACCAAAACGGCAGCGGAAGCGGTAGCGGCAGCGGTAGCACCAGCGCCGGCGGGAACGGCATGACGCTCGAGGAGGCGCAGGAGGCGTCGCAGATCGCGACGCAGGAGGCCGTGCGGGCGGTCGGCGGCGAGCTGATGGCGCCGCTGGCGCACTTCTTCATCGAGAAGGACAAGAACAAGTGCACGGTGCGGTTCGACCCGCCCGTCAGCGGCCGCCTCATCCTGCTCAAGATGTGGAGCACGCACCAGGACCCGCAGAAGAATATCGACATCCAGGCCGTGGTGGCCAAGGGGTTCGCGGGGCCGAGGTATTGTCCCGCGGTTGAGCTAGCTTAGACGCACTTGGGGGGGGGGTTGGGGGTTTGGGATGTCCTCGGAGGCTTGAGCTGGGTTGGGGATGGTTTTATCACATGGGGAACGTATTGGCATTGCCCTGTTTAGAGGCGGGCGCTGGACTGGGTTTGGGGGTTGGGCTGGCGTCCTGGATGGGTCATGATGGGTTCGGCATGAAGGGATAATATTATATTCTACACTGGCATGGGTTCATGACGCGGATTTGCTCTTGGTTGGCCACGGAAGGAAGCATGGACGGGTTACGGCATATGGGTTCGAGTTGCGGTAGAGCCTGATCTGTTGTCGAGTTTTGTTTTTGGTCCATTTTGGGACGGGGAGCGTTGATTGATCAATGCGTATGGTAAATACGATTGTTTGTTTGTCTTGTACGGAGTGCTCTTCCTGGTAACTCGGGGGTTGAGTGGAAAGGCATACTGCATAGTCCATTGGTGAAAGGTTGGGACCAATGGGACGGTTCCCGGATGATTCATTGTGAATTGGACGGAGAGTTTTGGGTCGCGGCTGAGTCACTGCAGGAGGCGAATGTTTCCAGCTTTGAACGTCTTGGCGAGCGAGGCGCTTTGAGTCATCCGGCAGCGGCGAAAATTGGTTGAGCTGTGGTGAGAGAGGGACGGGTGTTTGACAAATTGGTGATTTTTTTGAGAAGCACGTCGGCTTCAAGTATTGATTGTAATTGTTTCGGGAACGCGTACGGTGTTGAAAGGTAAAGGCACTGAATGGAAAGGTTGAATCTCGACGTCTGATTACAGTAATTTACAGTAATATGCGTGTCCAGCGGGGGCTGTCAAAGCTTATCAACATTCAGCGCCAACTCACAGGTAGGTACACCCCAGGGTAGTCTACGAACGGCTCGACAAAGTAAGGCTCAGAATTTCCATGCATGCATACAGCTTCTTTCTGGGGTCAAATTGATGATTCAGGGGAGTCACGAGCTTGGTATTGGGCCGCAGGACGCAGGACCTTGAAGAATGCGGGCTACCTGCCCCACTTAGATTTCTGCCCAGTATCATATATATCTGCCGTTTTCTCTCGCCTCCACACCCTCGCCATTAGCAAGCAAAACGAGCAACACCAAGGCGACAGACCACGAGGTCCCCCAGCGAAAAACCAGAAGGCCCCTTAATCTTCCCTTCCCACACCAGACACATAAACAGCGACTATCAGATATCTACAACAATGGCTGTCCGAGCACAATTCGAGAACTCCAACGAGTAAGCCACACCCAGTTTTGCCCCGCGTTCCGACGACCCCGCGATCATATGCGATTGTGCGACAGCGCACACGACCACCCATTCACATATGACTTTTGGAACTATTGCTGACCACAATGCAGGGTTGGCGTCTTCGCGACATTAACAAACTCATTCGCCCTCGTGGCGGTCGGCGCGAGCGAGAACTTCTACAGCGTGTTCGAGGCCGAGCTACAGGACGTGATCCCAATTTGCAGGACGACGATTGCGGGCACACGCATCATTGGGCGGTTAACGGCTGGGTATGTCTTGCTTGTCGTTCCCCTTGAACGGGAGAACGCCCCGGCCGAATAGTGCCAATTGTATACTAATACTTCCTCGTGCTGCAGCAACCGGAAAGGCCTGCTCGTCCCCACCTCCACAACCGACCAGGAGCTCCAACACCTACGCAATAGTTTGCCCGACGCGATCAAGATCCAGCGCATCGAGGAGCGGCTGTCGGCGCTAGGCAATGTCATCGTAACCAACGACCACGTGGCGCTGGTGCACCCGGATCTGGAGCGCGAAACGGAGGAGATCATCGCGGACGTGCTGGGGGTGGAGGTGTTCCGGCAGACGGTGGCGGACCACGTGCTGGTGGGCTCCTACATGGCGCTCAGCAACCAGGGCGGGCTCGTGCACCCCAAGACGAGCATCCAGGACCAGGACGAGCTGAGCAGCCTGCTGCAGGTGCCGCTCGTGGCGGGCAGCGTGAACCGCGGGAGCGACGTCATCGGCGGCGGCCTGGTGGTCAACGACTGGATGTCGGTCACCGGGCTCGACACCACCGCGCCCGAGCTCAGCGTCATCGAGAGCGTCTTCCGGCTCGGCGAGGGCGCCGCGCCGGGGGCGGTCAATACCAGCATGAAGGAGACCATGGTGGAGTCGTTTTACTGAGCGGCGAGGCGAGTGGCGGGGCCGGTCTTGGTTAATTAAACTAACTAACCTTTCAGGCCTGCACGAGACGGGCATGACAAGGTTGGATTCGCACGATTTCGAGTGCGTTTTGGTGGCCAAACGGGCGTATATGTCGAGCTCGTTGGCTGTCTTGGTGGGGGTATCATTGATAGATCGAATAGATCGAATAGATCATTGCCCTCCCACTTCTTTCGATGGCTTCCTGGTTCGTTAACTGACGACCGAAGTTATTCTGCCAAACTGCTCGTCCGAAGCGTGATATGAGGGTTAGGGTTAAACTACTGGCTCCCAGGCTTCGACGATCTGATTTCCACCATGATTGCCAGATCGACATCAAACATATTCTGTGAATCTTATGTTCCTGTTCCTGGCCGCAAATCTCAACCCGTAGATGACGGATCAGCAGGTGAGTTCGCCCACGGTGAGCTGGGGTGCTTCTCCCAGCTTAAAGCCAAGCCAATCGAGGCCTTCCGGATGAAACCCTGAACTCTTGACCACGTAGGGACACTGCATTGGTGCAACAGCTGAATTCTCACTGAATACGAACCCCTGAAATGGATATTCGTCTCTTTAAGCATGCGGGCCTGATGGCGATGTCAAGACGATTCGAGAAAGATGGACCCGCGACTCCAGCTGCCTTGGCGACGGTTTGTTAAGTGGAGTCTGACGCGCGGAAATGAACGTCAACCTTGAACTGAGGACCCTGGAAACAGACCCAACTTGGAAGGCGCTTGCCGTTCTTGTAAACAGAGCATGTCCCCGGTTCCCACCCAAGGTTTTCCCCGTTTACCGGTTTCTTCTTCTTTCTTTTGGGCTTCTCTATTCGTACCGTTGATGCTAGCATCGGCATGGTGTCGATGCGCTTCATTATATTTGGAATCGATATTCCCTCCCACGCTCCCTAATTAGCCCGTCTGCACATACCAGCCTCCGGTTTTGCGGGGGATCTGGGGTGGTGTGTTGACGTGAACGAGGGAGCTCCCATTCGCTCACCGTTGCCGTGTCACGTTCTTCTCCCCGACCTTCAACTCTTACCCCATTCATCAGCTTACTGGCGGAACTCTATTAGAGTTCGGTCCTCGACGGCATTGGGCTTGTTTAGGCTTCGAAACTCCACCCGGATGTGAGCTGCGCTCTCGTTGGAGGATCTCGACGTATGGGAACGGTTGGGGACGTGGGAATTAATCGTCACGATTTCAAGTGTTGGAATGTCCAGCTGTCACCAGACAAATCGTCATCCAGTTACAAGAAGCTTCCAGACCAGCCCCGCCAAACGCAAACGAGTGGAGGCCAGCAGGAACCGAAGATCGGATTGCTCTGGCGATCCAGGGATACCCACGGATCTCCCGAAACATTAACGCATCATGCTAAGCTCCAACCCTGCCTTGTCCTCCCCGCCGCCCTTGGAGTTACGCCACCCGACTCACTCGACGCCTGCGCGCGCATTACAATCACGGGCAGCTACCCCGGATAATGGATACGTTTCCCCGCGGCAGCAACTCGAGAGGCCCACACCCGGTTCACCACTTCAGCCAAGCAAACAGCAGCCGCAGCATGGTCTGAACGCGCCACGCCCGTCACTCTCGCCGCTGTCAGAATACCACAGCGGCTTCGCGGACGAGGACCTCGGCTCTCCCTTCAATCCAACCAACCACCGCCGGCAGCAGTCCTTTCCTAACCTGCTGCCGTTGGCCTTCAAGAGTAGAACGCCGTCGCCGACGAGGAAGACGCACAGTAGATCGCCCTCGGAACAGATGCCCTACACCGGCGATGGGAGGAGCCCGCGAGGGGGAGGTGGAGGCCTGGTTAGCTGGTTGAGCGGCAGCGCGGGGGCAGCAGACGCACTGGGTCTATCCCACGACCCAGAGACCCGCAATGCTCCTGAGCCTGGGGGCTCAAAAGACGCGACAGTACCGAACATCACGCCCACCCGGCCCCAGCAAACCCGTGCCGGGCAGAGCACCACCACCTCAAACCTAACAACCCCCAAAAGCACCAACACCACCGCCGCGTCCCGCTTCATGTCGGCCCTCTCCTCCCGCTTCAACCCGACCACGCCCACCACCAGTCCCCTCCCCAGCGCCGCCACCGCGCATCCGCAAGATGAGCTATGCAACCTCAACATTGAAGCCGCTCTCTTTCCCTCGTCCCCGTCTTCGCCCGCGGGGGCAGCACGGGATACCTTTTCTCCCTCGGCCTTCAAGAACCTGCACATCAACGCCCTCGGTCTACTCAATAAAATGCAAACCGCCTACCGCGAGCAGGCCACCGCATTGCGCAACATCCAGAACGAGCGCTCTGCAGAGAGAGACGAGCTCGAGGAGGCTGTCACTCGCGCAGAGCACCTCAAGATTCAACTCGAGGGCATGGCACGGAAGGCAGCAGAGCAGGAGCGCGTAATGGGGGCGCTTGAGGGAGAGTTGGAGGCGGAGCGGAAAGCACGGGCGCGGGCAGAGGCGGCTTTGGTTGGGACAGCGAGGCGAGCTCCTTCATCGGTGGGAGAGGGCTCGTCAATGGTGTCGGAGGATTTGGGTGTAGAGGAGGAGGAGAGGAGGCAAAAGAGGGCGGGGAGACAACGAAAGAGTGGCGGTGTGTCGGGCGAGGAGGAGGATACTACCACAGATGACGAGAGTGCCCGGAGCGAAAGCGTCTTCTCAAGGTCCCGGAGCCCGACCCTGCCTATGCAGTCGCCGCTACAACAGGCGCACACCGTCACCAGTATGTCGGATGGGGCATCGTCCATCGTGGGGGTGGCGGATGCGCCGGGGACCCCCCACGCCGTGAGAACTCCTGGGAACGGGTCAGTGAATGCTACGCCGAGGCAGGGGGCTGGGCGGCCGATGAGCGCGTTCCAGAAGATCTTTAAGGGCATGTCGCGTGAGGATGGGTGTCCGAACTGCAAGGGGAAGGACGCGAGTGTCGCGTGGGATACGGTCGGCTTGCTGAGGGACGAGAACAGGCATCTGAAAACCAGGGTTGGGGACTTGGAGGTTGCTGTGGAAGGGGCATTGGATCTAGTCAACGGGATTGGCTTATAGGTTTCTCAGCTCGCCAGGTTTTGGGTCTCGGCGTTTGAGCATCATTGTGTTCGTACTCGACATGGTGCCGTGTTCACACTAGGTTTTTGGCGTTGATGGTGGTTTTGCATAAACGGCACCTGTTGGCATACAGGAGATAGACTAGCCAATGCTCATTGGAATAATAGAAGAGCACATGGGAGCCCTCTGTCAGAAATACATTCCGCTTCATGGTAAACTCCCTATGTAAATGTTATTTTCTTACCATCCGCATCCTGCATTGCTTTCAGCAGCCGTTTGTTATGTGCGCTACTCGTCCGCCACTTACAGACTCGGGAATCAGCCCGGCATACACAATCCACAGGTCACATATCCGAAATCAACAACGCCTCAAAATGTGCAATGCTATTCCATCTGACGTGCACGAGGTACGAATTCGCAGATTTTACGGGTAGGGCCCTCTTTCGGGGCATCAACAACCCATCTGTCGACCTCTCTGCTAACCTTATCCCACGCCCACCCATCCACCTCATGGATGGGCATATACGGCCCCAATTCCCCTCCCATATCTCCCCGTTTCCTCTTCCCCATCACAGCCAGCCAAGCTAGGCATGGAGATCACGAGCCATCCCTCCGCATTCCACCTCCCCCTCTCCCACTCACCCCCCCTCACTCAATCCCCTCTGTCCGCCTAGTGGTGCTCCTCGCTGCTGCCGCCGTGGTGGTGGTCGTCCTGCAGGAAGAAGTGCTCGTACAGGCAGTAGCCCGCAAAGGCGACCGTCGCGATCCCGAGCCCCGGGAACGAGTTCTTGAACCGGTTGAACCGTGTGAACCGGCCCGTGTAGCGCCATGCTTCGCTGTGGTGCGGGGGTGGGGTGTTAGCAGCTTGGTGTTGGGGGAGGGGGGTATGTATGGGGTTGGGGGATGTTGGAGGGGGGGTTGGAACGAGGGGGGGGAGGTTGTTGCTTTGGGGCGGTGTGATGGATGGGACGGGTAGGGTGGTGGTGTGACGTACGCCCTCTCCCACGGATCGTAGCGTGTTGAGTTGGTGGCGGCGAGGAACTTGCGCATCTCGAACCCCGTGATGTTGGGCTTCGAGTCGCCGCCATTGTAGCGCAGTATTCTAGAGGGGAGTCGACGTTAGCGAATCGAGGTATGACTGTAGGGTCGGTGGAATTGATCGCACCTGGAGGGCTGCATTGTGGCGCTGGCAATTGCTCGTCGGGTCGGGCTCCTGCTCAGCAAGATGCAAGATGGGGGGAGCTCGATCAATGACAGAGGTCGCATCACCAAAAGCGCCGCAGTGGGAGTTTGGCTCCGGGCCGGCCAGCGCCAAGCGCTTAGTCAAGCAATTTATGGTCCGTGCACACAAGGGGCGGCCTGTGCAGCGAGCGCCTCGCCTGGGCTGCCCCATCGCCAACCTTGCAGCACTGCTGTTGCATTTGGATGAACAAACCTGCCGCCGCTTCAGTTCAGCCCCCCCGCGACCTAACCTTCAACTCGACAAAACCACACTTACCATTTCCCAACATCAAAATTGCTCTCGACCCGCACGACTCGCACTCACCAAATTCCACTCCCTATCATCGTCTAGGCCCTGTTCCGACAGCGTTCTAATTCTCCAGCACAACCAACCCGAATTAACTAGGGTCTAACCAGTCTTGTCTCGCGATTGCCCAGCATCGCCCACCATCCGGATTACCGCCAACGACAGGGACGGGAATGGTCCCTTCAAGACCCCATCTTGACACGGCTATTAGGATACGGCCTTCACGATAGGAAATAGTAAAGGCAACCCACAATACGGGCGCCGCCACCACGCGATGCCTCCGCCGCTCAACCGGTTCCCGAGTGGGCCCAACACCATCTCACCCTACCATCAGCAGTTCCCCTCCCATGCCCAGCACGCGACGAGCCATCCGCCGCCCATGGGCGCTACCGCAGCCTACCTCAACGCCCAGGTCGGCCAGGGGAATCCCTTCGCCGGCAATAGTAACCTATTGGGCCTAGGGGGAGGGCTCAATGCCGGCGCCGGCTTCGGCGCTGACTCCGGCCTCGCCAGCCACGCCGCCCGCATGGGCTTCGCGCATGCCGGCAACCTACAACAACACCAACAGTCACAGCAACAAGCCCTCCAGCAACAACAATCACAGCATTCCCAGCATGCCCCACCCGTCCAACACCCGCAACATGCACAGCAGCAAGGCCATGGCTTGGTGGAGCACGCGACACGGGCTGCGCAGAAGGGGCGGATAAGAGAGGTCTGGAAACATAACCTGGAAGAGGAGATAGCGCACCTACGGGTGCTGATTGAGAGTTATCCGTACATTGCCATGGTAGGTCGATTTTCTGCGAGAAGCCAGGGGGTGGGGTAGTGACGGGCTGCTGACACGAACCCCTGACAGGACACCGAGTTTCCAGGCGTCGTCGCGAGACCCATGGGGGGCTTCCGAGGGAAGAGCGACTACCACTACCAATGTCTGCGCACCAACGTGGACCTGTTGAAAGTGATACAGATCGGCATCGCCCTCTTCAACGAAGACGGCGAACAACCCCCGGCCCGTCCAACCTCGACCGACTCGGCAGAGCTACGAAGGGCTGGCACCCAGGCGCCCCTGCCGTATGCCTGGCAGTTCAACTTCAAGTTCTCCCTCAAGGAAGACATGTACAACTCGACGTCCATCGAATCTCTGCAGCAGGCAGGCATCGACTTCCCCGCCCTCGAACGGGACGGCATCGACCCGCGCGACTTCGCATCCCTCATAATCCCCTCTGGCCTCGTATGCTTCGAAGACGTCCGCTGGATAAGCTTCCACGGCGGCTACGACTTCGGATACCTCACCAAATTGCTGTTCTGCGAACCACTACCCTGTGACGAGTTCGAGTTCGACCAGAACATGAAGCGCTACTTCCCCTCGACGTACGATGTCAAGCACCTCATGAAGCACGCCATCAAGCTGCACAACAGCGGCATGCTCACGCCCACCGACCCGACCGCGATCGAGATCATGCAAAAGTTCGAGCAAAAGTCGGGCCTCGAGCACATCGCCGAGACGCTCAAGCTCAAGCGCGTCGGCAACGCCCACCAGGCCGGCTCCGACAGCCTGCTGACGGGCCGCGTCTTCTTCGAGCTGCGCAAGCGCATCTTCAACGGCGACATCTCGGACGACCACCTCGGCAAGGTCTGGGGCCTCGGCATCCCCGACTTCTCCATCGGCGGCGGCGCCAACCCCTCCAACAACCCCGGCGGCGGCAGCCAAGTCGAAAACACCCCACCAGGCCACCACCACCACCCCAACGGCGGTGGTGGCAGCGGCCCCCTGCAGAACGGCGGCGCCACCCCGAGCACCCCCAACACGGGCAGCGTCGGGCTGGCCGGCACCCCCGCCGCCTCGTCCCACAACACCAACGGCACCACCAACGTCGGCAGCAGTGGCGGCGGCGGCGGCGGCGGCGGCATGGGCCCCATGACGCCCGGCGGGGGAGGCGGCGTGTTTGGGGCGTTTGCGTTTGCGGGGAATGCGCGGTAGTGGGTGGGTGGGTGGCGTTTGACCTATCAAGTAGAATAGAAGAAAGGGGATATCAAGGAAACGGAAACCTTTTTTTTTTCCTTGCTGCGTTTCTTGCTGCGTGTGTTCTACTCTACTCTGGGTTCTTCTGTCTCTGGTCGTCTCTGTTGTGCAGCGTTGTGCGTGGTGCGGTGTTATTAAGGCCCTTCCTTGCTTGTAGTTATCTCGAAAAAGGGGTGGGGGTGGTCGGTTGGTCGGTGTCGGTGTCGGTGTCGGTCGGTGTCGGTCGGTAGGACGGACGGATTGCACGGCGGGCGGGCAAAGGGAAAGGGAATGGAATGGCGGGCTTTCATCATTTTTGGGAGGGGGTTGTGTGTGCGTGTGTCCTTTGTGCGGGCGCTGCTTTCTGCCTTATGCTGCTGCTGCTGCTGCTGCTGCTGCTGCTGCTCTCTGTCTTGTTCTCGTTTTCGACTTGCTGCTTCGGGAGGCTGCTATTGTGTGTGGGTGGGATGACGGGACGGGGCGACGGGGGGGCGGCGGGGGCTACGGATACCCCAGCATAACATACGCGTCTTTCTCTCTCTTTCTCTCTGCTCTCTTCCTCTCCCATGAATGAGGTGTTGTTGACTTGTCCTACCCGTTGCGTTATGTGTCGAGACATCGGATCGGTTGGCCGTTGTTCGGATGCTTCCGTCCCCTTTCCTCGTCCATCCCCGTTCCTATCTATGTGCGTAAGTAACTTGTGCCGTTTCATCCCCCGGTAGGTTTTCGAGGAGATGGTAGACAAGCCTCCTTCGCCCCTTTGCTTTGGTATGTATATATGCTATCTGGGTTCGCATCCACGGTGCTGATGGGTAGGGGGTGCAGTTTTCGCTTGGTGACCCCTATTTGTACTGTGTAGAGATGGGCTGTAACTCTGAAGAACCAAGTAAAACAGCCAGCAAGTGGGCTTGTTTGTTTTTTCTGTACATTTAAATTCGCACGTACTATGTTCCTACAGTCGAGGCCAACGCACGTTTTGTTATTCACGTACCCGTCATGCCTAGGTGTACCCGGGAGTACTGCTATCAGGAGATCGGCCTCGTTCAACCTTTAGAGGACTCATTCATCGCTCGTGTTTCTCTGGTACCTATCTGGGTACTAACTGCTGGCCCTGTTTGCCTACGTCCTCGCTCGTCACATTCAAACCAACCGGAGCGGAGATAGAAACTCGTGTACGCCGCCGTACCCAATCCATGCCCACCATGCCCATACTGTCTGCCGCCCGAGCCCGTGTCCGCTACCGTATAAAGCAATCCAAAGAGGCAGCCAAATTCAACGCCGATAATGCACCCACGCCCTTGTCGCCCCGCCCGAACGTACCCTCCGCATAAAAATGCCCATGCTCCTCGTCAAGTAACGAAAACCTTCCTCCCCTCCTCCCCCGAAAACACCTCCCCGGTAACCAAATCCTTAATTTGACCCGCGGGCAGGCCCGATTTCGCCGCGTATTCTTCGAGGCGGGCCTTCCCGTAGACCCTGCCGTTCGGCAGCAGCACCAGATCCTGCTCGAGAAGGCGGCTCTTGCCGTGGTGGGCGTAGCGCACGCTGCGGGCGAGGGCGTTGAGCTCGGTCGAGCAGATTGGGCAGACGCGCGTTGTGAGCGAGGCCGTGCCGTGGTGGTGGTGTGGGACGGCGGTGGGAGTGTCACTGGAGTCGGCGGCGGCCGTGGTGGTCGCAGTCCCGTTGACGGGTTGGGATTCTTCGGGCTGACTTGGTACCTGCAGCTGGGTGCTGTGGCAAGCGGGGGTCTTGAGAGCGGACAGGCCCGATGAGAGGGCGATGTGTAAGAGGGGAGTCATTGGTAGGCCGAGGAGTTTGAGGTGGGCCTCGACAAATGTATCGGCGAGTCGCTGCCAGCGGGAGGCGCTATAGAGGGAGGCATAGGGTTCGGATATGGTCTCCGGGCGGTAGGCGAGAAGGCCAGCCATGTTGCTTATCTCAACCGGGTAGGTGTCGGTGAAGGGGGTGATGTACTTCTTCGCGTGGTGAATAGCCTCGGCCATCTTGATTGGAGAATCGGTGCGCATCATTTCTATGTACTGCTGGCATCGTAGCAAAAACTCAAGGTTGGACTGCATCTTGCGGAGCTCCTTCTTGTTCTCGTTGCACCACGTGAGTGCTTCCTGGACGCTGCCGCCCTCGAGGGACTTGCGGATCTTGCTCATGGCCACGAATGTGTCAATGTCGACGAGGTCCCGCATTTTCCGCTCGTCGGCCAGCGCCATTGCGGATGAATCGTAGCCGTGCCGGAGCATGTAGTCAACCAAGAGGCGGTCAAGACGTTGGCGGGACCAGGCCTCGTACCGAACGTCGTCGACCGTGTTCAAATCGGCGAGCTCGTGTAGGTGAGTAACACGAGAGCTCATTTGGCGATACAGGCGGTCCTCTTCCTCGGCAGCGGCCGTCAGCTTGCGCTTTAGGCCACGCATCTTGACCAGCATCTGATCCAGGTTCTTGACGGCATCTTGCGGTGTAGCCTTCCCGCTGATCAGTCCGTTGGCTGTTTCTTTGACGACGTTCTTGACCGAGGTCGAGTCCCACTCGAAGGGATAATGAACGGAGCGGAAGTTCTTGCGTAGGAGTTCGTATGGCAGTCGCAAGCACGGTTGATCCTGGAGAAGAGTTCGGCGTTAGCAAGAAGGGCACGGAGCAGAAATCGATACGATGACGTCGTCGTACAAGAAGCAAGTGATTATCATGGTTGATTTTGGCCGCTTCGAGGTCCGCCATGGCTGCGATTCTGCTCCCAGCCACTTAGGGGGCTGAAGATTTCATGCGGATATTTTTTTTGTACAAAAGGTGCGGTTGGCCTGGTTTGGGTTTGTAGGTAGGAGTATGCGACAGCTCAGACGAGTTGAAGCGGATGAAGTCGGCCCAAAGAGCCAGCCAACTTAGTGCCGATTGGGAAAGTCCCCCAGTGGCCGGGAAGGCATGAGGGCAGCTATCCGATTTGCTCTTGGCTGATGGATGGAGACAAGAACTCAGGGCCAGTGAGAGAGTCACAAGAGTGAGAGACCAACAACCCTAACCCCTGCCACCCCCACTTTCCCTTTCGGTGGGGTATCGGTTCCACAGGATGGATCGATGGATGCCCCCCGCCTTCGCCCCCATCATTCCTCACCTCAGCTCGCGCACTAGCAAATTCACGGACAAGCAGGCAGAAGAGAAGAGGGAAAACAGAGAAGCGCTGGGGCGAAGGTTGAGTGGCTCGTGACATGTCCAGGAGGTCCAATCATGTGCCAGCCTGTCTCACTGCCCTCGCGTCATGAGGGGTTGTTTCCAGGTGGGGCAGTGAGATGAGGAGAGAAGCATGATGAGGGTGTCGAGGAATAATGCGCGGCTACTGGAGGGGAAGGCGTCGCATCGCCCTGCCGTCGGCCTGCCGCCGGCCTGTTGGGGTTGGAAATCTGAGATGGTGTGCAGGGCGTGGGCAAGCCCTTCCTTCGTGTTGAGTGCGGGTGCTAGAAAGTAAAACAGCCTCATCATAAAGATCTAGCTGTCAGAAAATAACAAGAAATATATATGAACGAGCCAAGGTCACGGCCCCAAACACTACACGACTCCCAGCCAGCCCCTTTGCACGGCGGGCGAGTTCCAGCAAGGAAGCTGCAAGCTTGGTTGGTGGTTTCGCGTCTTTTCAAGGGTCCAACGATTTGGCGCGGGAGAAGATTAAAAAGGCGCCAGTGGAAGCTCGAACCGGGGTGGGTCGTGGTGCTGATCGCTGGTGCATGCAGGCCGAGAAAAGGGTGCTTCGGCAAAGGTGTTGGACCGTGCGCCCGATCCCTCCATGACCCGCGACTTTGATTAACCTTGACCTCCAGCCTCAGCTCACATGATCTCCCTCTCTCTCGCGACTCCTCAAACAGCAACCATCAACAACCGCCGGAAAAGCAAGGCGTACCTATCCATCATTCAGACTAGGTATGCTTGTATTTCTAGCTACCCCTTATTTCTTTTTTAAATCGACGCACGCCGATTTTTGCATTGATTTTCCCTCTCTCCTGGCCCCAGACTAACTCTCCCCAGCTCTCGTCACGTTTTCGGGCACGTTCTTCACATGACCTCGCTCGTCGACCCAACCACAGAGAGTAAGGAAACCCATCCCCAGGTTCGCATCTCCATCAAGAAAGAGCAGGGGCCATATCAATCCACTTGCAACGCAAGTCATGTCATGTTTTGGCGTACAACCACCATGGGCCGAGTGGCTCGAGACGCCGTCGATGCAACAAGTCCTGTGCGGTTGCCGCCTCTCAAGTGAGAGAGGACTGATGCGTGTGAAGCAGCATCGCTTTCATCAGTGTGTAATTGCCCGTGACCGGCTTGCCGTCACTGGTCTGAAGATGCACTCGATGCACACACTCTGAAAGGCGAACTCGGATTGTTTTTGGAATACTTTTGCTGCTCACGGCTTTCTTTTTGTTACTTGCGCGTTACGCGCCCTGTCGCGATGCGCGATGAGTGGGTTGCCTCTGGTAGGCAACCCGGGATGCGCCATCCTCTTACAGGAACCAAGGCACCAAGACAAGGCTCCATTGTCGCTGAATAGCCCCAACCAACTGCCGGGTTAACCGACAAGATGGCCATTAAAGACCGTTGTGGAAGCGTGTTCAGTTATATCGTCTTACTGAAGCTAACCCTCTCCAGAATTGACAAACCTACAACCCGCCATGGCCGCGACGGTTAGCGTCCCGCATCCTGAGATGCCCGAGGCCTCAACGAGCCCCGGCCAGAAGCGGAAGCGGATGACTGAGTCTGCCTCACCCGACTCGCGTCGTAGCAAGCGCGGTGCCCCGGCTGCCGCCATGTCAGTGTCGGAATCGGACACCCAGACTTTCTTGGGCGACACGGTCAGCATTGCGCAGGCTGCCCACGACCATGTCAACGTGGACGACTTTAGCGCTCTCGCCCAGGCTACCGCTGCTGACCACAACGATGCGACTGATACCTCCAACGCGTCAAGTACAGCTGCCGCGGCCCTGAACATGTACCCATCACTACATGTTCCCCAATCAACCGAGGAGGCGTTCGCAAATCAGGCAACGCCAGAGACGCACCATGAGGACAACACCTTCAACAGCCACTCGGTCAACCAGGCGCCTCCGGATGGCCTCCCATTACCACCTCCCCCGTCGACCATCCAACAACCGCCCTCAAACGGAGTGCAGCCGGAGCAACGCTACAGCGCTCCACCCAACGCCAAGCCCGCAGTGGGCTCCGAGGAATGGCATAAGATGCGCAAGGACAACCACAAGGAAGGCAAGTTAGCATTCTTTTCCGCTATACCGAGACAGTCCGTCTAACAACTCCGCAGTTGAGCGTCGTCGCCGTGAGACAATCAACGAAGGCATCAACGAGCTAGCCAAGATCGTGCCGGGTTGCGAGAAGAACAAGGGGTCCATTCTCCAGCGGGCGGTATCGTTCATCACTCAGTTGAAGGAGAACGAGACGCAAAACATCGAGAAGTGGACGCTGGAGAAGCTGCTCACAGAGCAGGCGATCGCTGAGCTCAGTCAGTCCAACGACAAGCTCAAGCAAGAGTGCGACCGCCTCTATCGGGAACTGGACACATGGAAGCAGATGGCGCAGAACGCCGGCCTGCAGTTACCGCAGCAGAAGGAGGAGTCCGGATCCAGCAGTTAGGCACTTGATGGTGCCCTTGCTCATTTGGACGGAACCGCCATCCCAGCGGGAGATCACACGGTTTCCGCGGTTGGCGACGATGCTCGGCTGAATACGGCGCCGCGTCGAACCCGTCTGTGAAGGCTCGGATCACCGATTTTTTGCGATTCTTGAGGGGGTATACCCGGTGCCGCCCCTCACCGTTCCCTATGGTTTCTGTATGGATATGGCTATTCGTTTGCTTTCGGGTTTCGGCGACTCGCCCTTGGGGCCACCGTCGCGGATGGCGCGTTAGTATCTGGTAGCCCCTTAGTTCGGTAGATTAGCGCTTGACTGTTTTTCAATTTTCTCGGTTTTGTGGGTGGCCTTTTTGGCTGCCCTCGTTTCTTTTGTCGGGAACTAGCGACGATAGGCGTCGATGGGGTGTGGGCGTGGGCGTTGGAGGTTTGGCTGGTTGCAGTTGATGTACACTCTCGTCCGTGGTCTACTACATGGGACGTTGGGGTTGGTCGAGTTTTGTGACGGGAGGAGGACTCACCTCCTCTACACGAGCGTAATGAAATATTGTTTGATGCCGACGGACACACACCGCTTGTTCGGGACCCACTCGGGATTCTCATATGGGCAATCCGTAGCATTCTTTGTGCCTTAGTTACCACATCTGCCACATCGGTCTCCTTCGGGATTGTGTCGTCGGTCTCACCACAGACAAACCAGCCACTGCACGTCGGGCTGGGCGATGGAACGGCGGGGGGGGCTGATCTCTTCCGATCGCGGGCCGGGCTTTGTCTATGGCCGCTTCGGATGCAACAAGGCGTTGATAAGAGCGGCGTCCAGACCCCGCCGGGCCCCGGGGGCGGAGGGCAGCTGACATCTGCGATGTTCTCCGACTGGTTGAGCACGCACCTCGCTCAAACATCCAGATCCGTCGTCGTGGGTACTTGGCCTGGAGGTGATCAGTGATAGGAGTCAAAATCCACAAAAGCCATCATCATTCTCTGTGTAGGAGACGGAGTTCGGATCCAATTGATTGGTATATTCATGAATTAATTGAATTGAAGAGGACCATTGGGTGTTTCCTTCCATGGCCTTGACCTCCATTCTTTCAACGACCCAAGCACTGACGTAATTGATACAGCGACCGCGGCTTCCTGGAGCTCTCCCTGTCGCACTGCAGCTTCCCCGCACCCGAATCATGGCAACTGAACCCTTGACAGGGCCCAGCCAGACCGAATGCACGCAGTGGGACTGGATGAATATAAGCCGGCGATATCCATCAGGGTCCTCCGTTGATTGGGGTTTCCTCCATGCCGTGGCTTCTGCAGTCCCCCGAGCACCTCGAAATAAAAGAAGGTCAACATCCCGCGAGTGCATCTCGATCGATTGGCTCATCCGAGTACACGTTGTTCCCCTCAATTGAGTTACAATCGAGCATCTGCGTGTGTGGGACAAACAGCAAAGACCTATCAGGGCCAGCACACGTATAGTACCTCCTCTGGTGCTCTATAAAGTATAAAGGGCGCCAACCATGTCGGCGTGCAGAGCGCTCCGGGGCAGCAACGGTCTCCTGCGCGCCGTATCCTCCCCCCGAGTTGCCAGGCCCGTTGTTGGGTCTCTCGAATCCCGTCGCCGGTTCACTGCCTCGACCCGCACCATGTCGTCCTTCTACCCCTCCTGGGAGCCTGAGGGCCCTTCGGTCAAGACCGAGATTCCCGGCCCCAAGTCCAAGGCTGCCATCGCCGAGCTCGACGAGGTCTTCGATACGCGCAGCCTAAACATGCTCACCGACTACACGAAGAGCGTGGGCAACTACATTGCTGACCCGGACGGCAATGTGTTGTTGGATGTGTACGCCCAGATCGCCTCCATCCCGCTAGGGTACAATAACCCGGCTCTACGCAAGGCCGCCCAGAGCGATGACATGATCAACGGCATCATCAACCGACCCGCCCTGGGCAACTTCCCCCCCACCGAGTGGGCCGACATCCTCAAGTCCGGCATCCTCAAGGTCGCCCCAAGGGGTCTCAACCAGGTATTCACCGCCATGGCCGGGTCCGACGCCAACGAGACCGCCTACAAAGCCGCCTTCATGTGGCGCCGCCAGCGCGAGAGGGGAGGGCCCAACGTCGAGTTCACCGAAGAAGAGATGAACTCGGCCATGAACAACCAATCTCCGGGCGCCTCCCAGCTCTCCATCCTCTCCTTCAAGACGGGCTTCCACGGCCGCCTCTTCGGCTCCCTCTCCACCACCCGCTCCAAACCCATCCACAAGCTCGACATCCCCGCCTTCGACTGGCCGCAGGCCACCTTCCCGCAGCTCAAATACCCGCTCGACCAACACGCGGCCGAGAACGCCGCCGCGGAGCGCGCTGCCCTCGACGAGGTCGAGCGGCTGCTGACAACCTACCACGTGCCGCCGTGCGCGGTGGTAGTCGAGCCGATCCAGTCGGAGGGGGGCGACAACCACGCGACGGCGAGCTTCTTCCGCGGGCTGCGCGAGGTGACGCGGCGGCACGGGGTGCTGCTGATCGTGGACGAGGTGCAGACGGGGGTGGGCGCCACGGGCCGCTTCTGGGCCCACGAGCACTGGGACCTCCCCCACCCGCCCGACATGGTCACCTTCAGCAAGAAGGCCCAGACCGCGGGGTACTACTTCGGCGACCCGGCCCTGCGCCCCAACAAGCCCTACCGCCAGTTCAACACCTGGATGGGCGACCCCGCCCGCGCCCTGCTGTTCAGGGCCATCATCGACGAGGTCGAGAAGCATGACCTGGTGAGGCATACCGAGAAGGTGGGGAACTACCTGTTTGGCAAGCTGGAGGGGCTGGCGGCGAAATACCCGGGCGAGTTTGAGAACCTGAGGGGGAAGGGCATGGGGACCTTCATTGCGTTTGATAACCCGCGGCGGGACCAGTTCTTGGCCGCGGCCAAGAAGTTGGGGGTGAATATTGGTGGGAGTGGGCAGAGCGCGGTCAGGTTGAGGCCGATGCTGATTTTCGAGGAGAAGCATGCGGATATCTTGGTGGAGGTGCTGGAGAAGATTGTCAAGTCGTGGTAGGTGGTAGGTGGTGTGTAGATTTATGCTCGGGTAGTGGCCTGAAACTGCATTGAACTGGGGGCCACCAGACTGGTGCATCGAACTGGAATTAAACGGGGTGACGGGGATTAAACGAGCTCGCTCCAAAAGTTACGGGTATGTGTGCGCATTCAAGATGCCTTTTCCACCCAGTTCAACCCTCAAGCCTTTATGAGGTGTGTTGTAATTTGTAGGCACCTCACATGCCGTGTGATTACCCGTCCAGGGTCCTACTAGAATGGTCTCATCCGCTTGCTTCCAGTCCTCATATATTATATACCAACCAGCCTACCACCCCCCTCCACCCATCCTCCTATACGTACACAGCGCTCGCACCGTTTTGCCCCAAGAACCCAGCTAGAAGCCTCAGCTGCTCTTCCCCAGCTCCCATACGTACATCCACCTCACCACCCCTGCTGGATCAGAGGCAGGGGTGGTGGGTTGTCGGAACGATATACATGAACAAAAACCAATCCACGCTGCACCAAGCAAATGCAACAAACAACCTACACCCACATATGCGACGCCCCGAATGCCCCATAGAATGCTAATGCCATTTGTTGCTGGTAACCACCTCCCTCCCGGCTCCGCCGCCAACAACGGACCGGAACCAGCGCCCCCCCGCTCCCCACCCCCCACGTTATTTTTGGAAGGAAGAAAAAGGAGCAAGTCAAGTATAATCCCTCCCACCACCACCTTGCCCTGGAGAGAGAGAAAGAGAAGAAAAGAGCCTCCGTCTAGAAAAACAAAGGGGTGAAAACTAGAATATGTAGTAGGTATCGTATCGTATCCTCCGCCGTCGTATGAAACAAATCTTCTCCCGTCCTCCTCTGCCGTCTCCCTTGCGCTGCGTGGCGCAATCCCGGGACCGACTCTGAGTCTGTCTGCCTGCCTGCCTGCCTTCCTGTTTTGTTGCCATTAAAGGACCCCCGGACAATTAAATATACGTAGTATTGTGCGCACGTCCTCGGCAGACGCAATCCCACTTCCCGCCCTCCGGCATGAATGAAGCAAGCGAGCGAGGTAGGCCTCAGTGACCCAGCACGGCCCGCTGCTCCTGCTGCTGCTGCTGCTGCTGCTGCGGTGGCTGATCCGTGTCTATCTCCATAGCATCCACCCCCGACCCGCCACTGGGCCGCCTGTTCACCGGCACGGTGACGGCAGCGGCCGCGCCATTAGTGCGAACCACCTTCCCGTCCTCTTCGGCCTGTGCCTCGTCCTCGAGCCGCTGGGCCTCCTCGTTCTCGCGCATGAGGGCCTCCTCCTGCTCGCGCATCGACCGGTCCTCCTCGGTCGGCGGGGTATCCGCGGGCGGAGGCGGCGGGGTCGGCGGGGACGGGATCGTGGTGGGTTCGGCTTCGGCCTCGGCCTCGGCCTCGGCATCGTACTCCTTGACGCGCTTGACCGACGGTGTCTCGGAGGGGGGCGCTCCGGGCGACTCGGCCTGGTCGTCGTGCTCGTCCTCGCCGTCGCGCTTGCGCTTGCGGCCTGCGGAGCTGCTGGGGCTGGCGTCGGCTTCCAAGTCGGACATTATTGCGTCGTCCTTGGCCGGGGTCGCGGTCGAGCTCGGGGCGTCGTTCGATTGGAGTAGTGCCTCTCCGGGGATAGGCTTTCCTGGGTGACGAGCCTTCTTCTTCTCGTGTTCGGTGTACTTGGCGACGGCGCGGTCGAAAAAGTCGTGAGCATACTTCCGGACCTTCTTCGCCTGCTTGGGCGGGATGGATGTCGGGTCCTCGACCCGGTTGTTCTTGTAATCCGAGGCGACAAGCTTCTTGTTAACCTCGCGGGCGAACTTTTTCAGTTCCTCCTTGGGCAGTTTGCCGTGGAACCTGTCCACCACATGCTTGACGTGAGGGAAAAGCTAGTCTAATTAGCACACAGCCGCAGAGGCCAACATGGACGAACTCACCGTGTTCTCGTAGATCTTCATCTGTTTCTCGACCGGCAGGGAACGCCACTTGTCCTTCTTTGGCTCGGTTGCCGGTGTGGTAGACCGTTGTGGTGTGTGGCCTGCCGAGTGCCGCGGCGTTGGCTCCTTGGTTAAACTATCAATGATGCTCTGCAGAGCCTTCTGATCCTGCTGCGCCTTGGCCGACGCCTTCGGGGTTTCGATGGCGGGGGTGAGGGGACGCTGCCATTGCGTCTTGCCGGTCGCATCGTAAAAGTAATAGCGGCCGGTCTTGTCAGTGTTGACAAACCAGCCGGCCGGCAGATTGGTTGGTGGTTTCCGGGGCCGCTGTTGCCCGGTGAAGAAATTGGCGTTTCGCTGTGGGATGGTGCTGCGGGGGCCTGTCGGGATCACGACGTTGGCAAAGGGGTCGGCGGGCTTTGTCGGCTCCTCGCGGTCCTTGTTGCGCCGCTCTTCCTCAAATGAGTTGCCGGGGATTGGCCCTGTATGGTCGTGCTTCTTGCGCGGGATCCGGTAGGCCGTCTCCAATTTGCTCCATTCGTCAAGCAGTCGCTTCGCAGCGAAGGCGACCTCTTCGTGCGCTGCCGAGGCCAGCGGCTGCACTGCCCCTTCAACTTTGGAATCTGAGATTTTGTTTTTCGTGATCCTCGGAAGCTGGTATAAAATGTCGAGGATCTGTAGGACGACATTGGTGTCCTCCTTGAAGGTGTTGAGGGTGCTCTTCAGGATCTGGTAACCGTGCATCCTCACGACTCTATGGCGGAGATGCTCGTCTTCGGTAGCCTGGAGCCGTGAAAGCAGTTTAACGGCAATCCACTTCTCCTTGCACTGCATGAGAGTTGCCATGACCTTGTTGACGCCGTCCTCGTCCAGGGCGCGGGGTTGCACGCTGTTGACATACTCCTCATCGTCCTCCTGGGCCTTCTTCTTGCGGGGCTTCTTGGCAACCGCCGTGTCCCAACTGTCGCCATCGTCGATGCCGAGCGCTTCAATCGTCGCAAGCGGCAGTTTCGTGGCCCGCTCAGTCTGGGTCTTGCCGCCGATGAAGCCGACGCAGTTCGACTCCCCGCAATAGCAGGGTTGCGGGTCGGCGCCATACCGGTCGACGTTGTAGTTAAACACGAGCTCCTCGCCAGCCTGAATCGCGCGGGTGGCAAAAATGCCCATGCGCAGCTTGTCGCCAACCACCCATTTGTCCACGTAGCAGTTCGGATTGCACGAGTGGTTGCAAAACCTACCCAGGTTCCCCTTCTTGGTGGCATCGACAAACTCGCTTTTGGTCAGCGACATGAAATAGAAGTGCTTGATGCCCTCCTTGTCGTACTTGACCGTCCGGTTGCGGAAAGTCGGCTCGTTGATGACCTCGCCAACATACTCGAACACAAAGTCGTTGGCCTGCAAGTCGGCATCTGTCCGCAGGCCGAACCCTTTCTTCTCAGTCTTGATGACCGAGACGTTGGCGTACTGCTTGCGCTGAAACCGTTGGTTCTGGCAGCCCTCTCCGCAATTGCAGTCGCCGTTAACGCACTCGATTTTCGTCGCCCGATTGATGCAATCCGAATCTTCGCCGCAGGCATGGTTCTGACTGTCATCTGCGGGGTGGGGGAAATCAGGGTGTTAGCAGGGGCGCGTCACCCAGCGACGAGGATGGGGGCATCGAGGAGGCTAACTTACGCCATTCTTCAGCACAGTCGCAGTCTAGCGCGTCGTGATCCGACGAGCCCATGTTCTTAGAGCCATAGAGGCAATCGTTGATCACCTGAAATGTACTGCAGGCATTCTCGGTGGCATCAGGGAGATGGTCGAACAGTGGCGGCGGGCTCCGAGACAGCTTCTGTGACGACTTGCGCGATAACTTCGGCGCGATTCCATTCTCAGGGATCGATGTGCCGTCAGTGGCAGAATTTGCGTCGTCGGGCGACATGCTGGATGGCCGGGTATCGGTTTTGGTGCCGTTTAGGCTTGTTGAATCGCTCGCGTCCTCCCTTTTTAACCTGGACCCATTGGATTTTGGCCTCTCTTCAGTCCCTGACCCCGCCACCGTGCCCGGAGCACGATTGCTTCCCTCCATGGCAACCAGACGGCGAGCGTCGCGCGCGGAGGAGCGAATCGAGAATTAGGGTCGGAATGAGGACGCTGGCGCGGGCAAAAACGAGCGTTTTGCACAGGAACGAAAAGGGGTGTTGTCGGTAGTGCGGGGAACGAGGCACATGAGGGCAACGCGAAATGCCGACGGGAGGTTGTGGGAGAGAGTTGGGGAGAGTTCGCGGGAGAAGAAAGACGGAGGCGATGGAGTGAGGGAGGAGGAAGCTATTCTGCTGCGCGCTGAGCATGCGACATGGCACTGACAACGCCAAAATCGACAGGCGGGTCCAAAGCGATCTAAAGCGCAAGCAGAAGCCACGAATTCCACCGCATCCCGAGACTAGACAGTCTGATGCTCCTTGCCCTTCATAGCAAGACGAGTCCTTATCCCACGGCCGATTACCAATTGAAGTTGTGGTGCTGGATTTGCGGTATTCTCAAAGATCGCGTCCCATGTCTGGGCTTTCGACATGGGTCCAGCGCGACGCCAATCCCACTTGCCTCCGATATTCAGAGGTGGAGCCATACCCGCGGAAGAAGAGCCCCACTAGTTGTCCGGTCCGATCATATTCCGCCTCGGCATCCCGCCGGGTCAGGTCTTGTGGCACTCCGGTTGCGGGTTCTATCCGGCAGCATCGAGCTTGAGAGAAGGTCACGTAACTCAAGCATCAAGTTGTACAGTACTCCAACCACGATAAGGACAATTTAATTAATAGACAGATAACTACCATGCACCCAATCTCTCGGACACCCGCCCTTGAGTCGTCTAGCTTATGTCACTGTGAATCCAGAGGCTTATTTAGGTAAATTAGGTATCTAAATGATGCTTTTCTTTGTGTAAGTGAGCCCCCCTCAAGACAAAGCCACAAAGTTAATCCGCCCGGCACCCAGCCAAGTAATCTGTAGTTGGCGGGTGTTTGAATCAGCTCGTTTGGGCCAAGAGGAAATTCCACGGTAGTTCCGTCATGCCATCTCGCCCGGAACCTTGCAGGCGGATCGGAGCGGTGTGCATGGATTGGCAACCGGGAACGATGTCTGGCATAACGGCATAACGGTCCAGTCCAAAACAGCCCTTTATATAGCTTGTAACCCGAAGGAACCTGGAAATAGTCCCCGCGGTCCGGTGCCAGCTCATCGTGCAGGAGGCGGGTGGAGCGGAGCCCAAGGCAGAGCCCAAAGGCATTTAAAGACCTGAGAGGGCACCTTGTTGTCGACGATTTCAGGAAAAACTCCACACGTTTCATACAGCACGCAGATGATGCTAGTGAAAGCATCCCCAAGCCACTTAAACAACATGGACCCACCAAGATCAAGCGTTGCGGCTCTTCCACGAGAACGAATCGATCTCCGAGGGCCTGTCTGATGCTCGACTGGCACTCCGGTTGCTGTCATTGGTGAGGATTCCTCACCGATGCGTCCAATGGGCCGCCTGAATGGGCCGCTCCCACCTCAGGCTGGTGGGTACCCCTTCTGACCTCCAGCGCCGGCCAGAGCCAATTGCGCTGAGTCTTTGAAAAAGCGTCGACTTCACCTCTGGTCTCTTGGTGCGACAGCCAGAGATAACCTCCAGTCGAGACCGCGGCCGATGTCTCGGCCTCCCTCTAGAGATGTCAACAACGAGGGCAGGCGCGGACCGAGATTGGGCTCTTGATCAGGCCGAAATCTGAGGGGCACCTTCCCCAGACTGCCGCACCCTATCATCGCGGGGCAGGCGCACTGGGGGGTCACATGTGCAGCTGCACGTCGCTCCAAGGTGCAGATGGTCCGCCCATTCATCAACCGATTCTGTCTGCAGAGCTGCATGGATCCAGCAAGTCGCGAGCCGCTGATGCCCTCCTTCCGGCCTGCAGCAGAGCTGGGCAGTGGCTGCCGAGCTAGGAGGACGAAATCGGACATTCCTCTCCACGCGCGTCTCCAGTCTCGGAAGGCGTCTGTTTCAGTCCGGGTTGCCCGCCGCGCTCGCCTCAACGGTCGGTGGGAACGAGTCGCATTCAGAGATGGCGGAGGTGTGTGGCCGTCCCCTCATGGATGGATGGAGCCGGAAAGCCTGCGGGCTCGCCGAGAGCCGTGCGGAGGGCCCATCCCATTCCTCGCAACCACGGATGGTGTTTCCGGGTTGGGGCGGACAGGACAGCAATCGCTCCCTTCTCATCACTGGCTGGTCATACAGGCCGCTGGAATAATGTGCTTGACGGGCGACTGGTCTTTTCTGTCTTTGGCTTGTCGACAATTCTCATTTTACGCAGGAAGACAGGCTGCGTTGATGTCCACACCACCTCGCCCCGGCCCGGCGCACGCTATTAGCCACCTGAGCAGTCAAGTGATCTTCTGGCTGCAGCTGTATGGTCTGTGAGATACCCAAACGGACCCAAAAAAAATTACAGAGGGGCAGAAATACGCGACGACCATGGCGGGCTAAAGACATGGGAGTTTTGGGGCGGCTGATCATCTGCTACATCGGGGGTGTTGATTCAGGAGGAAGTGTGGCGATGATTCAGTGCCGCCTCGTGCATCTCTTGTCCTGATGCAGGAGGAGGGAAAGAGGAAAAAAAAGGGGGGAGTGAATGCTCGCTGCCCAGGAATCAAACACCCGATTGTGGGCCGGGGCTCCGAAAGCTTGGGGCAACCGGGCAGCAGCACCCGACCAAAGTGTGTGCAGGGCAGGGCCAGTGGGTTTCGGTGGGACGCTGGTCGCTTGTTTGCAACGTTCAGGCCTCTCCGTACCGGAAGACGCGCGCTTCGGACGGCTCGCGTGTCTTTGCCGCCCTTTGTCAGATCCGCCCATGACTTGTCAACCACTCGAATTCCCGGCCTGCGAGCTTCCTGAAGTTTGACCCCCGATGTTGTCTTTACCCCGGGCGGCACTCCTGCGCTGACGGTCTCGCCTTGGGCGGATCTCGATACTCGTTTATTCCCTACCTAGTCCGTCATTCAGTCATTCCAGCTTTCCTTTCGCCCATGCAGGAAGTGCGCGCTGTAGGCAATCACCAGACTCCTTCCAAGCTTCTCTCCGTCATAAATTATAAACAGTGGCCTTGCCCTACCTGCTACAGCTTCGCCACCGCACCTGCTGCTACTGCTGCTACTACCGCTACTACTACCACGACCGGGAGCCCGACATCACGAGCGGTTCCCTCTTTCGCCGACTCATCACACCCGCGCCCCGTCAAATGAACGAATACACGACTACCGCCACCTTATGACACGCTTCTTCACTTCTTCGTCTTTATTCCCTTCCACGGCATCGGGGAGCCGATCCTAGTTATGGAGTCTGTCCTTAATGATACCGAAAAGGTGCGTTACCACACCACACGTCGTTCAACCCCCGCTTCTGCTCTTCACGAATCTTACCTGTGATATGCAGCGCTTCATTCTCGCCGAGATGATCAAGCTGAGCGACGTCGACGTCGGCGTTCTCATTCACTTGGTCAAGTCGCACGATATTCAGCCAAATTGGCTGCATATGCAGCTCCCTGGAGGTAAGTGGTGCCGTGACTGCCATGTCGAGATTCCGAGCTTGGTAAAGAAATACACAATAATTAGCCCCTCCCTAACTTGCGATCGCAGGGCGCAACATGAGCCAGTGTCTCCATGCAGCAGAGACCATGTTCAACACGCCGATGCCACCACCTTTGATATCGCCGCTAAAGCGGCAGTCACTGGGCGATCTTTCCGATTACGGCCCCAACAAAAGGCAGGCCATTGCGTCCCCAGGTGAGGTGTCTCCGCGCGGGTTTCCGCTGGGGCCCAACGCCCAGCAGCCCGCTTCAGGAGCGCAGCCAGTGAATATCCAACCGCGGCCGAACGGTTTCCCAGCGAGCCTTCCAGCTCCCACTCCGTCTGTCTCAGCCTCGCCGTACAATCCGGCCCCGACAGCCCGCAAACGCGGACGTCCTCCGAAGTCAGCTCAGAGCGCGTGGCAGGTATCAACGTACCAGAATATCACGCCCGCCCCGCACCCGTCGTCCCCCGCCTTCGCTCCTCAACCGCACAGCCCGCGCTTGCCGGCCCCGGCGGCGCAGCGGTCACCAGTTCAGGGGCCTCCCGATCCCAAGCGAGCCAAGAAAGGGTTGCCTGAGATTGCGCCCCGGCCACCACAAAGTGTACCAGCCGCAGAACCTGCCGCCAGGTTGCCAGCAGTGCCAGGGGCGGGAGCAGAATACCAGAACTGGCGGGAGGAGACCTCTCGTCGCGACTATTACCAGGTCCATGGCTCTGAGCCCCCGGCGCGAGAACGTCCCCCATCATCTTTCGCACCAATTTTACCTCGCCCACGGAGCCCACTCCCGCCCCCGAGAGAGTTGGCGCGCGGTGCGTCCGCAGAACCGCGGCGCTTCACAGCGACCCCTCCACCAAGCGCCCCGGAGCCGGTGAAGAACGAAAGCCAGCCAACGACGACCGGGCCGATTCAGACATAATTCAGCCTGTCCAGCACCGCCACTCGTCATCAACAGGCCCGGGGCAACACCTACTTCTCTTTCCTTCCGTTTGACCGAACTATACCCACAGTATACAAGACAAGGAGTTTTTGTCCGTCCTTTCATTTCTCACCGGAGCGATACACTGCGTTTCCCTTGCATACCGGAGCTTACTTGACAGCCTGACGCCTGGAAGCCAAGCAACCCGGCATGGCGGCACGACAGAACGACAGCACGAAAGCACGACAATGTAACGGCCGAGTAACCGCCATCTACGATTTCCCCCAACGTACCTTATGCCGTACGACACGGACGAACGGCTAGGAACATTACATGGCACAGCACGACACTACATGTTTTTGACGAATCGACCACGATTTTAGACGGCCTGAGAGAGAGACCATCGACTTCACTTTTTTTTCCCCTTCTTATAACTGTCATTCCTTTCTTACCAGGCATGGCCTCTCGCCATAGCCGTTATTGGGATTGCTCTGCTTATATTTACTATGTTTGACGTTTCCCAGCTCTTTTCATGATTGGTGTATAATGACACGGCCTATGGTGCAGCATTGGTTGCCTATAGAGTGTTGTCCGCCCAACCAGCGGCTAGAGCAGCGGAAAAGTGCGCGTATTGGGGTTGTAAGATAACTGTACCGAGATCAAGGGGTGGGGTTGGATCATCACAGGCTGGGGGCTAGTGTGGTAATTGTAATGCATATTGGCAGAGACATTTTGGAGTCTCATATCTATGTACCGTTTCATTCTGCCTCAAGACTTGGGGACCTATCAATTTTCTCGATCTATGTTTGTTGTGGGGAAGTATAGGTAGTTCCGTTCATCTGCAATCCTACCTACATGGGACGGGTCATGTTCGGGAGAGAAAAACGATAATATTAATATTCTCTAAGCGGCAACGCGCGCCTAGTATAGTGCTTGAGTCTTGCTGAGGCGGTTACTCGTTGTCACGGACTACGCAGCTTTCTTCAAATTGAAGACTAATTTGGGAGTTGATAGTATCTAATCAATGATGTTTCTCCAATTAATGTTTCCAAATCGTCATCCTTGACAGCGACGTTGCAGTGCGAAAGACCATCCGCTTAGCCCCCATAGACCTCTTTGTGTGCCATTTTTGTTCGATGTTTCGCTCTTTCGTTCTTACCAAGTCATTAATATCTTAGGAATTTACCACGGACACTCTGGCCAAGAATGAGGTCAAGCAGCAGAAACACGACCAACCAAATCGTCAAGAGAAAACCAGGCCAAATAAACCAGCCACATAAAAAAGCTACCTATATATGTGTTCTTTAGAACGAATAGCGTTCTTTTTGGGTTATCTCACATAACACCATCTTGGTCGGGCGTCATTTCAGGTCACGTGAACCGACCCGTGAGTGCCTCGCTCCCTTTGAGCATCAGGTCCCCTTTAGCGAACACATCGTCAACATTGTCCGAGTGGGGATGGAGCTCCAGCACCCTGGCAAGCGCAGTGATATCAGAGAAACTATACTATAGGCAAGGCAGCGTTGCCATGCCACTGACATGCTTGTAGTTTTTCCCTTTGCCGGTGATTCCCCTCAGCAGCCGATGTCCCAAGATTGCCCACGGAGATGAACTTGACTTGGTCAAACACCGAGGGCGTCGGAGATGGGTTTCTCGCTGTAAGTCGGCGGAACAACACAACTCCATCTCACTCAACACTGCCACTGGCCAGTGGATTTTTAAATTTCAGTTCGAAGCGGCCCCACAGCGAGCACACAAGCTTCAGGCCGCAAACCGAGCCGAAAAGAAAAGTGAAACCAGCGCTAGGGAAAGCCGAAGCCGTGAGCAATGACCACCTCATACCCGACCTCCCGACGCTCGCTGAAGAAGCCCAATATGACTGCTGCGTCGACGTGCCTCGGAGCATCACAGATCCGTCTTCTTTTCGAACCCGACCTGTGGGGCCCGAGACCGGAACGTCCGCGCGGTCTCCTTCCCAAACGAGACGGACACGATTCCCAACAGCGATCTCTTCGGCCGTGATGTAACGATGATGAGAAAATAAGCCGCAGAACTCCACGAGCAACCATGGTTCGGACCACAGCCGGGCAGGTTTGGCCGGCGTCCAGACCGCGAGGAGAGCGGAGCAAGACAACGCAGAGGGAAGGAAACCAAAAGAAATGCCTCAGGCCGGCCAGGCCTCGTGCATACCTGTCGTCAGCAGCTGACAGCGACAAGGACCTGGCCTGTCGACAGCTGCAGGCTGGGAAATGAATTGTGGGAGAGAAGGAGGGGGCTTGTCTGCATGTCAGACCACAGGGAAGAAGAAAAAAAACTCTGCGTGAAAGAAGCCGACGGAGGCGGCAATTGGTGGCTCGAGGTCTGTGTGTTCCCCGGAAACACTCCGACCCAAGGGTTGCGAAATTACCCACCCTCGACACCTTCGACACCTTCGCACTGAACTCCCGTCGGGACGGCGGGCGGTTCGGAAGAGGATTCTTTCTTGGACGCGGGAGAGAAGGAATTGGCGAATCAAGAATTATGGGTGTGCGGCTGAGTCGCTGCGCTGCGACCGCGACGGCCTCTGAACTTTGTACGCGTTGAATCCCACGATTGCTTGGCGACGTGGTTGCCTAGCTGCTTGGATCTTCTGGAGAGATGGGTGGACTGTTTTGATGTCTCCTTCCAAGTGCCGTTCAGCCCTTCGCAACTGCCGCGAAGAGAACTTCGAGCCGAGCGTCCCAACTCCAAAGGCTGCGTGAAACTGGAGGGGTCAACTATTCTTGGAAGGTTGAGCCGTTGTATCGGGCTGCCCTAACCAGGTGGCAGTCAGCCCGGTGTGGGGCCGCATCGGCAAACGTTTTGGTACCTGCGTCAGCGTAACCGGCGCTAATCCCGAGCAGGTGGTGTACAGTTCGTTTTGTTTCACCATCTGTCCGATCGCACTGTGGTTGAAGGGGAGAAAGGTTCTCAGACCTCCTCCCCCTATCCCGTCATGTGACTCCCAAAATACTCGGTTTATAAAGTAATCCCCTGTCTAGGGAGCAGGGCTCATTGCCAGCGCAACAAGGTTTATGAGTTTTCTTCTCGGTTCTCCCGGAATCATTGCAATTGTGATGACAGAGCACGGATGAGAGCAGGGTCGTTTACACGGTACTACACTGTTTTGGATGAGGTTCTCCACATCGATCGAGTTGGTGTCTTGGCATCTCTTTGACCGGTGTTTCTGGAAGAAAAGAGGGAAGATCCATGTATCGAAGCCGTTGTTGACGGAGCTGTTTCCAAATCAGGTCGGAGGGGATGTTGGAGCGGCTCGAGGCATGTTTGCGAGCAGTTGAAACCCAACTGGCGAAATCAAAACAATCACATGTCTGGAAAGGGACCCGGGATTGATCCGTTCAATTGTGAGAGGATGAGTTGCGGCGCAGTTGACTGACAATTCGGACGAGGGTCAAGAATGATGGAAGTTCCGAAGCAGTGGGGTCGAGGCATACTTGCCCTTCAAAAAAGCAAGATCGCGCTTCAGATTCTGCGCGCATTGGAAGGCGAACGAATGGAGAAGGAGGGGGTTCCAGTTAATATATGCACAGTCCCCGACAGGATGGAGCTGACGTACAGATTACAATGCCTCCTGTGCGCCCACTGCGATTCGTCTCTTGGGTGGAAATGAGAGATGATTTGTCCGACGCGCCGCATGCCTGGCGGTAGTTGATGGTCGATAGTTGAGGTGCGGCTTCGTCTCGCGTTGGCTACCTACGTTGTACAACTGTTGGACTGCGGTATCCAATCTTGTCCTCCATTCGCCAAGTTGACCAATGGTGCGGGATACACACAGTGATACACTTGATAGATGCCGTCACCAACCGTTCGAAACTCGCCGGTCGTGGTCGGGATGAACCAACCACACCTCGGCGCTGATTGGAGTGACCGAGGAAATCCCACCCAACAATTCCGTCCCTGGAGGATCCGGATCGGAATCAACACAAACAAATTGTCTGAAGCACATGTTGGGTGTCAAAAAGACACTCGCATGCGACACCAAGATATCGCCATCAAACAAGGCGCTCTCATCGTGCCGGATCGGCCTCGATCTGCCCTCCCTTGCTTCTTTCTGGCCAAGCACCCAAGCCCCTCCTCGCTTGGCCGGACGCCTGGAATCCCCTTGTTTCGGTCGGGGCCCGAGCGATTTGAGCACGCAACCTCAACAAGGGGATACCCCTGCACTGGAGCCCGCCGCTCCGTCCAATGTCACTCACACCCCTTCCAGTGTCCACAACCATGCCGTCCAGAACGCCCAGCAGGGCACAGCATCCCAACCTGCAGGTTCGGGGCTGGACGAACAACAATGGCCCCCAGGAGGAGGGCTCCACGCGATCCGGACGCGTTCTTGTCTGCCGTTGCTACATTTAGCCGGGGAGCCCACATCCAGACGGCCGGGCGAACCCCAGTTTTTGTTTTTGTCGAATTCTCACCATTGTCATTCTCTCAGGTCGTTCGTTTTCCCATCTGTCTCCTAACAAGCAGTCAGGTATCCTTCGTTTCAACCTCCTGTCTTGGCCAAGAGAAGCCACCTGTCAGCTGTCAGCAGAACACTCGCACACATCAGACACATCCACATATCCAAACATACACACCCCATCCGAAGTACACAAACCCGGATATCGGACGGCCTGATAACACGGCCGCCGCAACCTCACCTTCTTTTCGCCTTCGGCCTTCTCATCCAACCATTCGTTCAGGAACGACTGTGTGTAGCCCAACGCCGGGTTTCCTCCGCTTTACAAGACGGCATAAGTCTTGGAATGCCATTGTCTCGGCGCCAAACCCAGTGACCCAGTCTCATGAACACGGCTGCTAAACAACACCCCGCTTATATCGGCGACGCCCTGCAACACTTGTTGACCGGGGAGCTTTCTTCGCATCACACGCCATCGCTGGAATCGTTTCGCCGCTTTCTCCTTCACCATCGACCAGAGTAACGTCGTATCCCATCACGTTGCCGGCCCTGCGGATCAGGAGCTCGAACGCACGTTTCCGGCCCGCCAGAGACAGCAGAGCGCAAGCCGGCACTTGCAGGTACCCGAATCCCGGGAACGGTAACCGGGCTTGTTGGAAAGAGGCCTATTGTTTGGGTGTCGGAAAAGGGAAAGTAACGGGTGGAGAAGCCGGCATCGGGACGAACATTCCAGGCGGTTGGCCGCAGACGCCGTTTGCGAGCAGATCCAAAGCACCAACGACGTGGACCGATACATTCCGTCCCGCCACACTCGATTCGATTAGGCCGGTCTCACTCTCTTCTCGGTTACCCCAGGTTTTCCGGCGTTCTGGCAACCCCGGGGATATGGCGATTCCCCGCAAGGTCCCGGCTGCGCTGGGCGCGGTTGCATTCTTCCCGACGTCCGCCATCCTGGGCATCCACATCATCCTTGCTCGATCGCCCGCGGATCGGGCGCCGTCAGTGAGGACGACGGCTATCGTTGCGGCGCTCTTCGAGGCCGTCATTTTTGTTGCTGTGCCATTCCTCAGTCTCTCGCACGTCGCGCCATGGGCTCCGAGTGCCCGTTCGAAGGGGTTTAGGACGGTATGGTTCGGCGCGGGTTTGGCGTTGTGCGCAGTTGCTTCGGCTGTGTCGCTGGCGAATCTCGTCTGCCTCAGCCGGGTTGTCGATGACCCTCTGAGCACCATTTTGGGGTGGAGGGTGGGGGATTTCTTGGTGGGAGGTTCGGTTGCGTTGGGGTTGGCATTCGCGACACAGCTTGTCTTTTTCATTTTCCACTTTCTCGTTGGGAGAGCACTCGGACGTCGACCGGACGAATCGGCCCAAGCCGAACAGGGCAACAAGCTGGGCCCTCGTATCAAGACGGTACCCTACCATGAGACAACCCCGACCTCAGCCAAGGACCGCGGGAGTGCCTCCTTCGACTCTCCGACTCCTCCCGGATCAAGCGGCGACCGCTCGGCGGTAGAGACAACAGCCTCAGCTCGGTCTTCCCTCTCGAACGCCATCCGACCCATCACGTCTAAGACGCATTTGTTGTCTCTTAGCCGCCGGTCCAGTCGCCGATCCACTCACCGGCCTGCTTCTCTTGACCTGCCTGCTTCGCAAGAACGCCAATCCCGCTCGACCGAAGTGGGCTTCGACTCCTGGGACACATCCGCCGTGGACCCGGAGACCCGCCAGACAGTATTGGAATCCTCGTCACCGCCGCACAGCCGCTTCCTCGAGACCATCCCCGCCAGCCCGACGACCAGCAGGAGCCCCAGCCCGGGCACGGCGCTGGACATGCTCGAACCGCCGCGGGCGAGGCGGAGGAGCCGCAGCTACAGCCCGGTCTCGACGCGGGCGATCCAGGCGCAGCGGGTGGCCTTCACGCAGCAGGAGTCGCACAGCGAGGCGCACATCCACCCGCTCTTCCGGTCCGACTCGCCCGCGCCGCCGAGCGCCACCCCCGGGACGGTCGTCGTCGCGGCGCCCAACGCGGGCCAGGTCATCTCCGACAAGCAGAGCATCCGCAGCATCCAGAGCATCCGCCGCCTGCGCAGCGAGAGCCTCCCGCCCGTGCCCAGCCCCCTCAGCCGCGCCGGCTCCTGCGAGTCGTTCGTCGGCCGCCGGAGGGCCGATAGTAGTTCGCCGGAGCTGCGCGAGGAGGACGAGGCTGTGGTGGTCGGTGCTGCTAGCGCCGCCGCAGACACGGAGCGGAAGATGACGCCGCCGATTCCGGACTATATCCTCAATGCTGGGTCGACGTCGAGCTTGACTGCTTACAAGAGTCGTCAGGCCGACTCGTCTGGCGAGAGTCAAATTCTGTCCGAAGCTGAGCAACAGGCTTCCGCATGATCTTGGCATCAAGTTTCCCTAGAATATGACGAGTTATGACCATGATGCTATGGGACCAGCACAAGGTCTATAGGCATCCGTTTTTCTTTTGTTTTTGAGTTTGGGGTGGTCGAGCGAACGTCTCGAGGTTTGGGGGGAAGATACCAAATGATGATTGATACTTAGCGATGGCGTTGGATTAAGATAGGAAAACGGGAAATGGGGAAAGGAAAGAGAAGGACGTTTCGTCACTGGACGACGTTCTGGAGTTTGGAGATGACCTAGAGAATAGACAACTTTGGCTACCTAAACCAATCACCGCCGATCGGTAACAAAATATGTCGGTTCCTCCAGTACATATGCCCCTACCCCTCAAATGCGTGAAATAAAGAGAGCGAAAGCAAAGACAAATGAAGATAAGAAAAATACATGCTACCAAGGAGCTTGGAGGGCAGCTTGGGAGAGTCCGTTGTGATCTATGGATGCCATTAGCCATTACGGACGATCTCAAAACACTGTTGAATCACATCTGATTCGTCGCGAGTCGATTGGTGAACGGCGATGTTTTGGCGTCGTTGAGAAATAGGGTTGGCTTGGCGAAGCCATCAGCTTGAACCCAGGCAAGGCTCGCCCCCAGGGGAGTGGGGCATGTGCACTGCTGCTAGGCGACAGCGGCCGCGTGCCCCCCAATTCCCCACCTTGCTCCAACCTAACTTGGCCCTCTGCGGTTTCTCAACAGTCGTTTGCTGCCTTCCTCCATCTTGCCACGGAGTCAGTCACAACATACAACAGCCTGGGCTTCTGCAGTATCGTAGAACCATCGGTACCGTCTTCGAAACCTCTCGATTAACCGCCATCGCAAATCATCTACCGAACGAATTAGAGGATTCCAGCTGCCGGTGTCACCACGTTGCCCATCATGAAGGTGACGTTTAAGGTTTGTTGGACCCGACTACCTAGAGCTGGCCGCTCTTGCCCAAAACCCCAACCCCTCCTTTTCAGCTCCTCTTCGCATGTTAATGATCGCTCTAAGCCGATGCTAATTCATGGCCGCCCGCATTAGGATCTCAAACAGCAGAAGTTCGTGCTCGATGTCGAGCCGACCGACCTTGTAGGTTACCCCTCTTCCTGCCTCCATCCGAGCTATCGCCCCGCCACTATGACGCTACCGAGCCGACAACCGCATTTACCACGGCATTCACCACCGTATACAACGGCAGCTCTCGGACAGCTCACCGGGCCACCATAATCTTGGGACCTCCGCTCTCGAGCTAGACACTGACAGGAATTTAGATTTCTGCTGTCAAGCAAAGGATTTCCGAACAGCGGGGCTGGGACCCCAAGCTCCAAAAGCTCATTTATAGCGGTATGTAACGAGTTTCCGTGCTCTGCTCTCGGCACGAGCTGTCAGCTTACCTAGCGTTTTAGGCAAAATTCTCAAGGATGAAGACACCGTTGAGACATACAAGATTGAAGAGAAGGGTTTTGTCGTTTGCGTGGTGAACAAGGTAAGTGGAGAGTAGCCAGAAACGCCAACAGTTTATCGGAGCTGACAAAGTTCAATCCAGCCCAAGGAGCCGAAGCCTGCGCCAGCTCCCGAGGCTTCATCATCCGCAGTCCCCGCTACCCCCGCTCCGGCGCAAAGTTCTACTCCAGCTCCCCCGGCCGCACCTGCGCATACTTCCGGTGCCGCTGCAGCCGCGCCCGCTACACCAACCCCGAACCGGGCTGCCGCCCCCGAGGCGGCTCCCAGCGACCCCAATGCTCTGGCCACGGGCCAGCAGCGTGCTGAGGCTATTGCCAACATGGAGGCCATGGGCTTCGAGCGGGCGCAAATCGATGCTGCTATGCGCGCTGCGTTCTACAACCCCGACCGCGCCGTGGAGTACCTTTTGACCGTATGTTCTGTTTTGGGTTGAGTTGGCGTCGCTGCAGGGGTTAGTAGCTAACTGTCTATAAGGGCATTCCTGACCACCTCCAACAACCCGCCGCTGCAGCTCGTCAGGATGCCCCAGCTGCCGCCTCCCCCGCACCGGCAGCACCAGCTGGTGCTGGCGGCGATGACGATGGCAACGTAAATCTGTTCGATCTTGCTGCCCAACAAGGCCGTGGTGGCTCTGGCACACGCGGTGCTAGTGGAGCTGGCGCGGGTGCCGCTGCCGGTGCGGGCGCCGCTGCTGCCGCTGCCGCCGCCGCCGCCGCCGGTGGTCAGGGTCTGGGTAACCTCGAATGGCTCCGTGCCAACGCACAGTTCCAGCAGCTTCGTCAAGTGGTTCAACAGCAACCCCAAATGCTGGAGCCCATTCTTCAGCAGCTTGGTGCCGGCAACCCCCAGCTTGCCCAGCTGATCGCTCAGAACCCCGATCAGTTTCTCTCCCTCCTTAGCGAGTCGGGTGGTGATGACGACGCGCCGCTCCCCCCTGGGGCCCACCAGATCTCTGTGACGGAGGAAGAACGCGACGCCATCGAGAGGCTTACTCGTCTGGGTTTCACACAAGACCAGGCGATTCAGGCCTACTTTGCTTGCGATAAGAACGAAGAGCTGGCAGCGAATTTCCTCTTTGATCAACCCGATGACGACGAGGATGTTAACATGCCTTGAATTTTTCTATCATCATTTCGGAGTTCTGGGCGGAAAGGTTGTGATTCCCGGCCTTTGCGGCTTGTCGTGGAGATCTGGATGCGATATGGGAATTTGGGCTAGACGTTCTAGCTAGGGTTCGGTTCTCATGGCGAGATGAGTCGGGAATCGGTTGGCATGAGAATATGGAAACGGGGCTTCGTTGGCGATGGCTACGAAACGATACACCATTTACGTCGCCCTACACAAGCATATGGCGGCAGTTGCTAAATCGATGGATGGCTGCCGCAGGCTTGAGCCATCATACTGAATGGGGATAATAACGCCCGGTTCGCAATGTAGGGGAGGGATGGAGCCGGTGAAGTGACGCCACGGGTGTGGCAGGGATGGCTCGCAAATTACAGGACTTGTATCTAGGAATCAATCGATGAATTTTGAGCCTATCGAGTGAGCTTTGCGTAGTGCTGCCTTCATTGCCTTGTTGGGGCATATATGTATCTGCGTTTAGTTCACATAACTAACAGTTGCGTTGTGGACGTACGTGGGGCAACCGAATGAATGTCCCTAATCCGCAACATGCATCCTGATCTCAGTTTTCGCTAGCTCCCCGGCTCCTTTGGCTCAAGCTTCGAGCGCTGCCTCCTTTATGACGTGAAAAGGGTATCAATATAATCCATTGCCGTGTCGTGGGGTTCCGCCTCCCGCCTCCCGCTTTTTGTGGTAAACCAACCCCAACCCCAAGGGCGGACAGATCCCGCCTCGTAATGCACCGCGACCCCCGGTTATTCAGAGAAAGAGAAGTCTCAAACAAAAAGACACCGCTGCGTAGAGAAGGCGGGGACCCCCTCCACTCGAACATAATCAAAGCCCCATCGGAGCAGGCGCCTTCTTCTTCCTCCCGCCCTTCCGCCCGCCCTTCTTGGGGCCCTCCCCGTCGACGGCGCTGTTGAGCTGGGCGAGCACCTCCTCCTTCTTGCGGCGGACCTCCTCGGCCTTTTCGTCCTCGAGGGCCTTCTGGCGGGCCTCGAACTCCTCCTCGGCCTTCTTCTGCTCCGCGTAGATGGCCTCGGCCGTCTCGTACTCCTGGCCCGTGGCGCGCTGGTACTGCTCCATGTCGAACGAGACCGTCTTCTGCCCCACGAGGGCGGCGGTGATGCGCTGCGGGTGGACGCGCTCCTCGCGGTTGAACTTGAGCTTGATGTGCTTGCGCGTCTTGCCCCGGAACATGCGGCAGATGGTGTCGAAGTCGGTGCCGAACGCCTGCAGCGCCTGGTAGAAGAGGTCCGTCTCCTCGTCCGTCCACTGCTGCGGCTTGAGGTTGCGCCGCAGGTAGGTGGCCGAGGTCGTGTGGTGCGTGAAGTCGTTCTCTTCGATCTCGTCAAGGTCGCCGGCCTCTTCGCGCGCCCGCGCGTGCCGGTCGACTTGCAGCGAGCGGTGGTCGAGCACGATCTCGCCGTCGATGACTTGGTAGGTTTCGCCGATCGGGGCGCGTGCGTTGTTGTCGATGGGGGTTTCGGCGGGCGCGTCGTCGGTGGCGGCGGGAGTGGGTTGGGGGGTGCTGTTAAGGTCGGAGGAGGGTGTCGCACCGGGGGCTTCGCCGGTTTCCGCAGTTTCGTCATCTTCTTCGCCGGTTTGTTGTCGTTTCCTTCGCTCGTTGTATCGGAGACGCTTAGCACGCTCGCGCTCCATAAGCTCGTCGTGCAGGCTAAACTTCTTGCCGATGTGCATATCCTTCGCCAAGTCGGCCATCTTGACTTGGGTGATGTCGATCTCGACGGCCTCGGCATCGGGCGGCGTGGCTTCGCGTTGTGGCCTCGGGGTTTTCTTTTTGTGCTGCCCTGCGTCGTCCTCGCCGTCTTCTTCGACCTCCTCGTCCTCTACCATGGGTGCGCTGCGCTTTCGGCTCCGTGTCTCCCTAGGGGTCGCCGGTTGGTATCCTTCCTCGCCCGGAAGCGGAGCAGCCCTCTTCCGTGGTCGCTTCCTCGAAGCAGAGGGGCCTGGTTCGCCGGAGCCCTCAACAGCGGCAGCGGTAGCGGTGCGTTTCCGGCCGCGCTTTGGTTTTGCGTTTTGGGAAGCGCCCGTTGCGGGCTCGGGGGCTGTTTCGGTACTCGGCTGCGCCTGTTCGCTGGTAGGGCTTTCAGCGGGGGTCGTTGTGACCTGCGATGGTTGGTCCTCAGGAGCAGCTGCTGGGCTATCGGGAGTCGAGGTCTGGATGGTAGCTGAGACCGGTGCGGTGGTTGGAGTAGTGTTGTGAGTTTGTGTCGTGGATAGAGTCTCTGCGGAGGGAATCGAGCTGGTGGTTGAAGGACCAACAGTAGGGGCAACCGTAACGGCCGGCGACAGCCCATCTGCGCCAGGTTTGGTACCATTATCACCATCTACTATTTGGGAGCCTGATGGGGAGAGTTCTTGTGTTGTGGTATTTTCGAGTTGGCTAGCGGCCAGCTCACTCGTGAGCTCCTCTCTGGAAACCGTCGTGGCAGTACTCCCGTTCCTGCCTTCTTGAACAGACTCCGTTGTGCCGGCTTGAGGGGCCGACTCCGCAGCAACCGATTCTACGCGCTTTCCCTGCCCCTGCAAAGATGTTTCAATATTCCTAAGGGCGCCATCGGCCTGGACGAGGCTGTCGACTTCGACGGGTGTGCTGGGGCCTGGGTGCGGGGCAGGTTGGGTTGTCAACGAAGAATCCTGAGGCACAGGCGTACTGTTGGACGACCGCTCTATAGTCGAGGGACGAGAAGCATTCTGTGACCCTCCTTTACCAACCGGGCGGCGGATGGCGGCCTTTGGCTTGAAGGCAGATTTCTTATTCAACATCTTGTCGATTCACTGCCCCGCAGTCGTCTTTCGCTCTCACCGGAAACGTGCGCAATTGCAATTGCGCATTGCCCGAAATAGTGCCAGGTCGGCTCTAGAATTCTCGATTCCGGCCCGAAAGTAGTCGGCGCGGGGCGTGGTCGATTGTGAAAACCCGTCGAGGTGGGTTGGCAAGTTCTGGGAGTTGAATTGAACGAGTCACGGTCACGGCTGCAAACAAGAAGTGCAAAGGCATTTCAGATCGAAAGATGGCGCTCAAAAAGCGGGCGCGACGTGGGGCGGAGGGTGATAAGACAATGGGATGCTGAGCACTAGAATAAAATAGGCCTAGCGCCATGCCGCAGCATTCGAAAATGACCCTTCCTTGGTCGAACATGCATGCAACTCGGCGGCCCGTTCTTTCTCTCGTCCCTTTCCATTCCCAAACTGCACGCTCCTTTTCACCACCAGGCTCTTGCCTTTCAGCTTCATTTTTTTCGGGGCGTCGCCCGAGGCTCAGGTCGACAGATTACATTTCGCCCTTTCCCATTCCTCGGCTGCGATCTCTGTCTTTTTCCTCTTTTTTTCCTGCTTTTATCACCTCGTCGCTGCGCTTTTTCTGATGCCGATTGCCACCTCTCCATCCGCGTTGCCCCGTCCTGCCACCTTCGCCAAGATGGAGGACAGGAAGAGACCCGCGTCTGGCGCGGTCGATGACTACGCTCCGCCGAGCAAGCGACAAGCTGTTAATGGCGGCGGCAAGTCAAAAGACGACTCTGGCGACATGAAGGAAGAAGCCTGGATCGAGGTAAGTGTGTCACACGACAGTCACTGCGTCGTCATCCTCTCGCCATCCCGCACCTCCCCAAAACCTGACCCATGCCGCCGTCGCGCCGATGCCGCGTCCATCCCGCGGCGACAGCTGGCATCAAACGCGGCGGTTTTGCTGCGTTTCCTTGCCTTGACTGTGGCTAATGCGCGGCTTGCTGGTAACAGCACGCCTGGCTCCTCTCAGGCCTCTCCCTGTTTTCAGTGCCCTCCTTCCACCTCCAATCATTCCGCTGCCTCTTCGCTACGATGTACATGGAGACTCTTTGCATGGTCAAGGGCGACGGGTTGGCTGACATGGGCGTCTGCAGGAATACCAAAAGGGCGCCATATATCGCCAGATGCTCGAGTACAAACGGGAGAAGATAAATCTAGAAAGTCGCGTTCAAGAACTCGAGAAGGGTTCGACAGATCATGACGACCACATCCGTATAGTCGACTCATGGGTGCTCCAGGTGCGTACGTCCCGAAACCCGACCGCCACGTGGACCCCGCTGACCACGCCTAGCTGCTGCAAGAAATCGAGCTGTTAGTCCAGGGCGCAATATCATCTCGCAGCTCGGCAGATTTAGTACCGGGATCCGCCCTTTCATTCAAGGATAGCAAAGAATTCCAGAGGCACCTCGACGACAAGAAGACAACCTTCAAGTCAAAGACGGACGCCATACTAAAGCGACTGGCTGACGCGCGAGGTGAGGTCAAGCCGGAAGTAGTACAGCTCGAATCCCACATCAACTCTTTACTGGCGCGGCAGAAAGAATTGGTTGTTAAGGTTGACCGACTCGAGACACAAAATGCGTCACTCTCGGAACAGTACGACAAGGCCACCCTGAAGGTCATCAAGGCGGAACGGAAGCTGGATCGGGCGAAGAGCGCGCAAGTACAAAAACTGGAGCAACAAGCCCTCGCTGGTGCCACGGCTCATCCGGCCTCGAAAGACGAAAACGATGCCAATTCCGGCGCTGCTAACGGCGATAGCGGGGCGCTCAAGCTGCAGTATCAAGAGGCAATGGCTGTTGTGGCCAAGCAGAAGCAGCAGCTCGAAGCCGCGTTAGCCGAGAACAAGGAGCTGATTGACGAAAACTCGACTTTCAAGATCAAGAAGGAAGCCGTGACGGACGAGGAGTACGCCCGAACCGAGGTTTTCAAGCATTTCAAGGGACAAAATGAGGATCTTATCAAACGCATAAACCACCTAGAGGCGACGAACAAGCACCTGCGCGAAGAAGCGGAGAAGCTGCGTGGGGAGAGAACCGAGTGGAAATCCAAGCTGGAAGCCGAGGCCCAGATTGCCGCGTTGGAACTGGAAGATCAGCTCCAGCAGAAGGACCAGGACCTCACCCGAATCCGCTCCGCCCGCGATGAGCTTCTAGCCGAGGTCACGATGCGTAAAGCCAGTCAGGACCAGGAGAAGACGGCCTTGACCCAGATCAGGGAGCTTGCGGAGGCCCAGGTGGACCGCATTGCCGAACTCGAGTCGGAGCTCGAACGACTACGACCAAACGAGGACACTGCTATGCCGGACGCGCGCCCGGATCTCGATGCTCTGGCTGTTGAAGACCTACGACAAAGATATGTGAAACTGGAAAAGGATTTCGAGGCCATCAACAAGGAATTACCACTCTTGGAGAAGTCGTACAAAAAGTCGATGGCGCTGGCACACAAGAAGGTCATGGACTTCCAACAGCTCGAGGACCGAGTCGCGACGCTCACAGCCGAGAAGAGCAAAGCGGACCAGAAGTACTTCGCTGCGCGAAAGGACATGGACATCCGAACCGCCGAGATCCGGACGCTTCGGGCGCAGAATGGGAAGAGCTCCGAGATCATCTCGCAGCTCAAAGACGTTGAGATGCACAACAGGACTCTTATTGGGAGCCTCGAGAAGCAGATCGCAACGTTGAAGCAGGACATTTCGACGGCTATGGCGGAGCGGAAGAGGCTGGAGCAGCTGAGTGCTGATGCGACACGACGGGCGGACTCGTGCAAGTCTCAGATATCCAGCCTCGCCGATCTCGTGAAAGCGAAGGATGGGGCTGTTGGCGCCACGAAGGAACAGCTCTTAAAGACCGAGACCGAGCTGGAAAAGCTTAGGGTTGATGTCAAGGAGATCGGCAAGGACTGCAACAAATGGAAACTCAAGTGCCAGGGCAATTCGTCGGAGGAGGAGGAGGCGCTGAGGGTGAGTTGGCCCGCCCGCGTTGTGTCTGGCTGTTGTTGCTAACGATGTGTAGAATTTGGTGATCTGCTCTGTTTGCCGGAGTAATTTCAAGAACACGGTCCTCAAGGGGTGCGGCCATGTGTTTTGCGGCGGTTGTGTTGACGATCGGCTGGCGAATCGCATGAGGAAGTGCCCCAGTTGCAACAAGGCCTTCGACCGATCTGATGCCATGGCCGTCCATCTATGAATGAAGTTCTGCACAGGGCATAACCAAAGCAGACAGTCTCCAGAGGCGCAAACGCGCCCAGGGACACGACACAGCCCCGCAGTTTCCGCTCCACGGCCACGACGGTGGGGGCAGACAAACGCGGCGCCGAGCGCAGGATTGACGACCAGATGCGTGTACGAGCAAAAGCTGTTGGATCCTTTACAAATGTAATTTATTGGTGTGTGATTAGGACCCGGGATGCGTTGATCAAGTGAGGGCAAGGTTGGGCAAGCCCAAAACGGGTTGCGGGCGGTGATTTATGGTTCGCGTGGAGAGCAGGATATAGAACCGGGGTCACGAGGGGAAGCTACGATATTGTACAAAGCGAGTATTGATACCTATACAGTCTTAATCTTTCTCTGCCGTCCCTCAACGGCGACTGGTCGATCCGTAGCCGGTGCTCTCCTGGCGTGCGCCGGACCCTGAGCTGCTTGCGGTTGAAGAGCTCCCACTGTCGCCCCTGGAACCAGAGGCAAACCCGGAAGAGGATCGAGAATAGCTAGGGCTGTCGTACCGGGTATTGCTCCGCTGTCCGCGGTTGCTGCCAGCCGCATATCCCGCCGCCGCACCGCCCGCCAGACCAGACCAAAACCCAGGAGTCCACCCCCCACCGGACGACGACGATGACGGCTTCGGTCCCGAACCGGGATACGGCGGCGGCGGATCATTGCGACGGCCACCTCCACCTCCACCACCACCGCCTCCGCCTCCCCAGCCCGGTCTCCAACCCCCACCACCACCACCACCACCTCCAGCCCTCGGAGTATGATCAAGACTAGCCTCGATCGCCGACATAATAATCCACCCCAGCACCCCAAAAAACACAATCCAAAACACCACCTGCGGCCACTTCGCCGCCCCATCCCCCTTCTCCCAACCATTCCACCCCTCCCAACCCCCATCACCACCACCACCACCACCACCCACCCCGCCCTTCTCCCCTCCATACTCCCCCCTAACCTCCCGCAGCGTATACTCCACCCCACAACTCCCCCTCAGCACATACTCATCATCGGCCGACGCGTACCCCTCACAGATCACCTCGGTGCGCTCCAGCCGGATCCCGGAGGGCACCGACGCCGTGCACGCCCACTCGATGTCCTGGGAGGAGTAGGAGGAGCCTTGGTTGGTGCAGCGCATGGTCTGGATGGCGGCGCGCTTGCAGAGGGGGCGCGGGGAGAGGCATTTGAGTTGGGGGATGGGGGCGGTGCGGCGGGCGGTTGTGAGGGAGGGGTGGTGGAGGGTTAGGGATTGGACCTGTTGGGGGGGGATCAGGAGTTAGTTGGGGGGTTGTTTGAGGCGGGATGGGATGGGGATGGGATGGGGCTCATGATGGGATGGGATGGTGGTGAGGGAGGGTTGGTGAAAGGTGAGGGAGGCAAGGGGTCAACGTACATCGGAGAGGAGGATTGCATTCTTGGGGCGCGCGGCGAGGATGGTCGAGGGGAAGGCCAGGGCGAGAAGGGCAAGGAAGATGGAGGGGGTTGTTGCGTTGAGACGCATCGTGTTGGATCGAGACCCTCTGGGCTGCAACGGGATATGCGGTATGTGTGATGGTATGCTAATTTTCTGGTTGAGGTCGGTGTTGATGTTGGTTAACCAGAGGCGGCGACGCAGTGCTACTGATCGAGAGTAAACGACCGTGATGGGTAGGCAGGCGTAAATACTCGGCTGAAGATGAATGCCGCTTTGTTGCGGGTCGAAGCCAGCCTCGCCTCAAAGGCGCGGCGTGAGAAGCGGAAAAAAGACGATGCTAAAATCTATTTCGAGGTGCTCAAGATGCTCCCTTGTTTGCCTTTTCTTTGGCCGAAGTTGTGGCAAACGGCGTTTGTCATAGGTTGATTTGGGGTGTGAGCGGTTGTGGTTTGATGGTGGGGAGAGCTGAGAGGCTTTAAGGTGAGAAAACCAGCCACTGAGTGGCAAACGCGCAATTCCGGGTTGCTGGTTTTATTGACACGTCAGTCAGTTAGTCGGCATTCGAAACGAGCGATGTGTCCATTCAGGGATGAGTCAATTCAAGCAAGGCTGGAACAAAGAAAAGTCGAGATTGAATGTTTGAATGAGGAACTCCACCACAGCAACCTGAAGCTGAGACTGGCCAAGGGAAGAGAGGGGTGCACAGGTGGCTTGACTTTCTGACATATCACTTTCAAGACCGGAACCCTCAGATATCAATATCACATCTCAAACTCGCAATTCCACATTCGTACCCAGTCAAGCTAAAAGAAGCTGATTATAATGTTACGTGCAGTGTGATGCGGAGATGTAGTGTAAATAGTCATACACATCCTACACCCATCCATGACCCCCGTTCCAACTCCCAGCCCTGTCGTCTCTGTCTATCTTAAGTTATGACATATGCCGCCCTGCTACCCAAACGCCCAAAAATACAAATGATATCTTTCGCATTAATTACCCCATTCTACCCACCCCCTTCCATCACATGCATGCTTCATCACACCCAACCCAACCCCATCATCAGCTATGCTTCTCCAAGCTCTGCAAGTTAACCAGCTCCGCATAGCGGCCATTCCGCTTCATGAGCTCGCCGTGGGTGCCCTGCTCCACGACGCGCCCCTGGTCGAACACATAGATAATATCGGCCTTCTGGATGGTGCTCAGGCGATGGGCAACGGCAATAGTAGTGCGGCCCTTGGCAGCCTTGTCGAGCGCCGCCTGCACGACGTGCTCGCTCTCGGAGTCGAGGGCGCTGGTGGCCTCGTCGAGGAGCAGGATCTTGGGGTCGCGGACGAGGGCGCGGGCGATGGCGATGCGCTGCTTCTGCCCGCCGCTGAGCAGCGCGCCCTTGGAGCCGACGACGGTGTTGAAGCCGTCGGGCATCGACAGGATGAAGTCGTGGATGTTGGCCTCCTGGCAGGCGAATTTGATCTGTTCGTCCGAGACCTCGCCCGGCGCGCCGAGTACGATGTTCTCGCGGATCGTGCCCTGGTAGAGGGTGGGCTCCTGCGACACCAGCGCGATGAAGCTGCGGTACTCGTTGACGTTGAGGCTGCTGATCTCCTTGCCGTCGATGAAGATGCCGCCGGCGAGCGGGTCGTAGAAGCGCTCGAGCAGCGCGATGGTCGTGGACTTCCCGCACCCGGACGCGCCGACGAGCGCGACGTACTGGCCGGGCTGGATGGACAGGTTCAGGCCGCGCAGCACGGGCTGCTCGGGCCGGGTCGGGTAGCGGAAGTGCACGTCGCGGAACTCGATGTTGCCCTCGGTCGCCTCGAGCTTCTCGCCGTCGGCCGCCCACGTGTCCACCACGGGCTTGCGGTCGAAGAGCGTCTTGAGCTCGCGCGTCGCCTCCACCGCCTTGCCCATGTCGGGCGCGAAGCTGAAGACGGACCCGGCCGACTGCGCGCCGAAGATGACGGACGCGAAGACGATGAAGAACTGGAACATGGAGTATTCGTAGTTGGCGATCAGGGTGCCGCCGTACCAGAACCCGAGCGCGAAGGCGAGGAACATGAAGGACTGCGACGCCGCGTACAGGATGCTGGACTTGAGCACCGAGATGAGGCTGGACCGCTGCTGGATGGCGAGCGAGGCCTTGTACTGGTTGATGACGTCGTCCTCGCGCGTCAGCGCCGCCACGGTGCGCATGGCCGTGATGGCCTCGGACGCGTAGCTCGCCGAGCCGGAATAGGCGCGCTTCGCCCGGCGCTGGTAGTGCGCCAGCATCCAGAAGCGGAAGAAGCCGCAGCCGATGACGATGGGCATGGTGGCGATGCACACGAGCGCCAGCTTCCACCCGATTGCGAGGGCAACGGCACACGCGGCGATCAGCGTCGTGAACACCATGATAAGAGTCCCGAGCGTCGCACCGCTGAGGCCGGCAACGTGGGTCGTCTCGGTGCTGAGGAACGAGGTGAGCGCGCCGGCCGAGTTCTCGTCCCGGTCAAAGTACTCGACATCCTGGCGGAGCATGGACCGGAACGACCTGTCACGGACCCTGTGGATCAGACGCTCGCTGCACTTGGCGAAGACGACACCCTGAGAGACGAAGGCGATAAACATGACGATGGCGAGCATCAGGTACATGAGGGACCAGAAGGACGCCTCGGACTGGATGAAAGGGATCGACTCCTCCGTGACCGGTACCGACCTGGTTTCGATTAGCAATCCGAGTTCCGCGAGCTAGGTAGCTAGCCACTTGACGGGAGACGGGAGGATAAACACTTACAGAGCGCTGATGAGCTTGGCGAAGAACACAGCCTGGGTCGGGTTACCGCAGCCGCAGATGGCGGAAAAGAACAGGCCGATCAACATGAGCTTCCACTCCTCCCTGTTGAAGCTGGCGATCACCTTGATGAGCGTCCCGAGGCTGTACTGCTTCTTAGCGTCGCCGGTGGTCCGTCCCGCCAGGGCCATGGAGCTAGCGCTCTGCTGGGACTGGCTACGGTTGAGCCTGGCTTGGATGTCGTCCTCGGGGTCTTCGGGCACGCCGGCGCTCCCGCTCCTGCGCGACGCCTTGCGGATGAGAGCTTCCGACTCCACCTTCTCGAGGGCGTCCTCCTCCTCGGCCGTCATCTCGTTGACCGCCGCGATGGCCTGGGCCGTGACGAGGTTGTAGTATGCGCCGCGCTTCTCGAGGAGCTCGTCGTGCGTGCCCTGTTCGACGATCTGGCCCTGCGACATGACGACGATGTTGTGGGCGTCCTTGATGGTTGACAGCCGGTGAGCAATGGTGATGGTGGTGCGGCCCTCTGCGGCAACCTCGAGAGCAGCCTGCACGACACCTTCCGACTTGGTATCCAGAGCACTAGTAGCTTCGTCCAGGAGCAGGATCTTGGGGTCCGACACCACGGCACGGGCAATGGCGATACGCTGCTTCTGGCCACCGCTGAGCAGGAAACCGCGCTCACCAACGTTTGTCTCGTAACCCTCCGGGAGCGAGCTGATGAAATCGTGGGCGTTGGCCTTCCTGGCGGCGTCCTCGATCAGTTCCTTCTGCTTTTCGGGAGCCTCGTGCTCCCACTTTGTCCCGATCAGACCATGGCGGATGTTTTCGTAGATAGTAGTACCGAAGAGTGTGGGCTCCTGAGAGACCAACGCGATCTGCTGACGCAACCAGCGGAGGTTGAGGGTCGAGATGTCGACGTCATCGAGATACACAGCTCCCTCGAGCGGCGAGTAGAACCTCTCCACCAACCCGATGATGGTCGACTTGCCGCTCCCCGAGGCGCCAACAAGCGCTGTCGTCTTGCCGGCGGGGACGGTGAGCGAGACACCGTCCATGACCACGACGTCGGGGCGCGAAGGGTAGACATGCTTGACGCCCTCCAGACGGATAGTGCCGGCTACGCTTTCCAGCTTGGTTCCCTCGCTGCTCGACGGGTCGATCGGGGACTGGCGGTCGATGGTGCTGTAGATCTTGGCGGCGGCGCCGAGTGCCGTCGTGAAGGCCTGGAGGTTGGGCGCAACGTTGCCGAGGTTGAAGGCACCGATCATGACGCTCATCATGACAATCAGGACCTTACTCAGGGGGACCTCCCCGTTCACAAGGAAGCGCGAGCCCATCCAGAAGGCCAGGCCGTAGTTGAGGTAGAGGATGGTCATCATGCCGGCAATCATGACGCCGAGCGTGCTCTTGAGCTTGAAGCCGAAGATCTCGGCGCGGATGAGGTGGCCGTCGTACTGCTTGGCCAGGCGGTCCTGGGTGCCAAAGGCGATGGAGTTGCGAACGCTGCTGATGACCTCCTCGGCAATGGAACCGCCCTGGGCGTAAGCGGCGATGTTTTGCTTCGAATACCTGACGATGAACCGCGAGCCCGTGCCCATGCAGAGCATCAGCGCAACCACGGTGCTCAGCAGGATAAGCGTCAACTTCCAGAAGCTGACGAAGCCGATGACGAAAGCGGCGACGAAGGTAGCGACAGCCGAGAGCGTGAGGCCGACCTTTTCCGAGATACCCTCTTGGATCATGTTGGTGTCGGCCGTGATCCGCGTGGTGACCTCGCCAGCGCCGAGCTTGTCGAAGAAACCAATGTTCTGCCTCATGCAGCTCTCCAGGTAGTGCTCGCGAATCTTGGCGCTGATGTGCTCGCCCGTGTAGATGAAGCCGACGGTGGCGATGTACGTGGTGACGAACTCGCCGATGGCCAGGTAGACAAAGTAGAGCACCAACCTCGCCAGCTCGCCGGTGAACTCGTCGTATGACATGCCACCCCCCGGCGTAAAATAGGCCTGGAAGGTCCCTTGGAGGTTGCCGAAGATGATGGTCATCAGAGGCAGGGCGGCACCGGAGGCGATGGCGCATATGGCGGACACGACGAGGATGATCAGGTCGTTGCGGGATGAGTAGCGGTAGAGCGTGGCCATGCCCACCTTGACGTCGGGTGTATAAACCTGGTCCTTGAGGATCTTGGCCTCCCGCTCGGGGAGGTGGGCGAAGGGGTCAGCGTCGGTTTCTTCATCTTTAGGCGTGACGACTTTGGTATCGGCTTTGGTGAGGTCTACGGCGACATCCTTGTGGTTCCCGTTGCTGTTTTCTGTCGAATCCCCGTTGCTCGACCCGCGTGCTGATGGGACACGGTCCGGTGTGGGCGCCGTGGCCTTCTCGTTCAAGTCGGTGGCGGCCATGGTGTGTGTGAAGGTGAGAGGGGGACGCTCTCGGGGGGTGGGTTTGGTTTCGGGGAGAGACCCGGACACGCCTCCGCGTTGAGGGCGATGTCCCTACGCTTCCAAACGAGTCGTTCGTTTGTAGCTAGGGATCTAGTTCTATGTCCGAAGCAAAACGCGCTCAAAATTCAAGGCTCAGGTCGAGCAACTTGCTCGACTTTACACAATGTGTTGCATCAGTAGACGGATGGGATATCGTGAGTCGAGTGATTATGATTGATGGAAGGAGAAGTTTAGAATAAAAATAGACAAAGGCAAGATATCGCGGAACATGCATGGGGGGGAAAAGACAGACCGGCGAGCAACGCGCCTCGGGTCCGATGTGAACTTATTTGAAGTTGTGAGCCGGCCCCCATCCTCGGTGCCCCCCCCCCCTCCCCTCTCGTTCCACCCCCCCAACCACAACCCATATTCTATTCCAAAACAGAATAGCGCTCCAATGGTAAGGTCGCAGATGGGAACTTCAAAGCTGACTGGGATCCTGCCGATCCAGCCGAACAAATCCGGCCTGCCTGCATAGAATGTTCCTAGGGAGTGTGGGAGTCAACCCCGGCGTTCGCAATTGCCACCGGGCCGATGCTGGGAGAATTCGCCGGAGGAATGAGAAGAAAGCGGCACTAGCGGAAACATCTGCGTGCGGATATTCCTCGCTTCCAAAGCTGCTGCTGACCAGCCAAACGGCGCACCCTGGCCCGATGCCCCACCACGCAAATTACAGGGTCCCGCTCTCCCGTCACCGATGCCCGATGGGGGGCACTTTTGTGAATATTTCACCGCTTCCAACACTTCTTTTTCCAGCTAGCTTTTCGTCTCACAAGCCAACAGCACATGGTGAACCATTCGGATTCGGATTCGTCTCAAGGATGAACTGCACAACGCACCTCGTACAAATAATGTCCCGCGCTGAGTCGAGTCCGGTGGATGTACAACGTCAAGCACAAGGCGCCCACTGCGAGTGCGCTGCGACCCCTCTATCCTCTTTTTTACACGGTGATTACCATTATCCCGAATGACGCATCGGTAAGGTTGAAGGAAAGGGAGGATTCGAATGCTGTGCAACCATCCATTTACGGGTGAAGCGAGAAAACGTGGGTACGTGAGCCAAGGCTACCGGCAAACCGGGGCCCCGGGGTTTAACAACCTCCGAGATGATTCATCGGAGACTGTTGATTTTCCAGCCTTTGCCGCATCCAGAGGGCAGGACAGAGAGATACGTTGCAATCCTTCGCGAACAGGCAACGGGACGACCGAATTCAACGAGGATCAATCCGCTCTGGGAAAAAGATCTGAAAAGATCTGGAACAAAGCCGCCCTCCCCGACGCCCTCGATAAGCTCCCGTAACTTGGCACTTGGCGATGCATGGCGCTTGGGCCGGCTCGGGCCTGGTTGACAGCTGCAGTTCACAGGATGGGGGCCTACTTCTCTTTGGAGACACGACTCGATACGGCTGAAAAGCAGCTCATCCGCCGGTCATGAACGGGAACCCCAGGGCCACGGGACGTGAGGGACTCTCTCCCGGAGAGTTAATGACGCCCGTGTGGCTGAGTTAAGTGTCCTCCTGTTTCACCTTGCCCCCCGGCGAACGAAGGAAGCCTGAGCACTTCAGGTACGGACATAAACGGCGTTTGGGTTTATGGGTGACGAAGTACGCGTCCATGAAATACGCACAGGGGGAATATGCAGGACGCATCTCGGTTAGTTAGGATCCAGCCGGGCAGTCACCTCAGCCCTGCCTGCATCCTCCGAGGAAACATGGGATGATATGTCTGAAAATGGCAATTCAATCTCTTCCATCCACAGTCCCAAGTCTGGCTCATGGATTAAGGTAACCTAACCCCGATATGTCCACGAGTCGGGGAGATAGATGTTTGCAACTGCCCGCCTCTGCTTACTGTCGGGGGACGGAAGTTTCCAGGCCTTCTTCTGCCCAGAACAATCCCCGCGTGCGGCCGACATGGGTCAATCCAGACCGTCTGAGATCGGCCGCAATTGCCCGTGGAGCCGATGGCCGGATTGGAAAAACCAAGACGCCTATCGGAGCGGGGCTGTCCTAATCGGCAATTTTCGGCGGGGATGCAGCGACACCGCCCAAAAATTCCCATGGCAGAAAAAAATCCCCAGTTGAGACTGACCTGAGTGCAAGTCGCTGGTTGCTGGAGACCACAGAGGAGCTTTGTTGACGCTTTTGCACCACAACACCACCTCGAAACCAGCCCCTCCCTTACCCTCGCCGGACATCAATCGCAATCCACCACCACTAGAAACCCCAATCCAAACACCCGCCACCATGCCCAAATCAAAACGCGCCAAGGTCTTCCACCTTACCCAGGTGACCAAGAAGACACGCGAGCAAAAGGACAAGCTCTTCTCCAACATCCGCGAGTCCATCCCGCAGTACCAGCACTGCTTCGCCTTCAGCATCGACAACATGCGCAACAACCACCTCAAAGAAGTCCGCCACGAGCTGTCCGACTGCCGGTAAGGAGCCCCCCCAACATCCTCCGCCCGGACCACCCACCCCCCACCACCCCCCCTCCAAACCAAACCAACCCCAAACCCCTCCAAAAGCTAACCAACCGTTTCCCAAACCAACAGCATCTTCTTCGGCAAAACCAAACTCACCGCCCGCGCCCTCGGCACAACCCCCGAAGACGCCCAAGCCGACGGCATCCACCTGCTGACCCGGTACCCTCGCCGGCTCGGTCGGCCTCCTCTTCACCAACCGCGCGCCCGAGGCAATCACAGCCTATTTCGACTCGCTAACCCACGTCGATTTCGCGCGCGCCGGCACGGTGGCGTCGCGCACCGTGACCGTCCCGCCCGGGCTGGTGTACTCGACGGGCGGGGAGGTGCCGGCGGAGCACGACGTGCCCGTGGCGCACACGCTGGAGCCGGAATTGCGGCGGCTGGGCATGCCGACGCGCATGCTGAAGGGGAAGGTTTGTTTGGGGGGCGATGAGAGTGGGGAGGGGAATGTGGGGGGGTACACGATTTGTAAGGAAGGGGAGGTGCTCGACTCGCGGCAGACGCGGTTGTTGAAGCTGTTTAGCGTGTGCATGAGCGAGTTTCGCGTTGGGCTGTTGGCGTACTGGAGTGCCGCCAGTGGTGAGGTTACCGAGTTGGAGGGGGCCAAGGAGAGGTTGGCGATGCTGCAGTCGCAGCAGCAGCAGGGGAAGGGGAGTGGGAAGGGGAAGGCGAAGGAGGCGGATGATGAGATGGATGAGGATGAGGAGGATGACGAAGAGGAGGCGTGAGCGGAGCAGGGTGGCCATCTGTTTGTTTCATTGTGCATATAGGGTACTTTTGCATGATACCATAGCTTTTTCTGGGCTTGGGTTTTCGGATACTGGCGTCTGGGAGGCGGGTAAAGTAAAAAAGAAGGGTGGAAATAGAGCAGGTCATTGCCGTCAGTCACTCGTGCTCCGCCGTCCTAGTTTGTTGTCATCGGCTATCTAAGCATTCCGCTTCTCTTCCCCGGCAACACTGGTCTGCAAAGCTAGATTGAGACTCGAGGGAATGAATGGGATGCCACTGAATACAGGAAACTTACACATTGGCGGGCCATCAGAAAAAAACACATCCTGCAGCCCAAGTCAAGCTCACCCGCCTTCCCCTCCCCCAGGCCAGCAGTAGGAAACAAAAGAGTCCCTTACCTCTGACCTACCTTCACGTCGTTCTTATTTAGCAAAACGATTATTACCTAACACCGCTTCCTTGCTCCGTTTTTGTTACAGGCATCAAGAAGTAAATAAATACAAAGCGAAGAATGGTTACCTTCCCGCGAACTCTTGTTCGTACTCGGGGCAAAAAGGCATTGCAGCAGCACGGCCATTGCACGGCTGGCTTGCTTCTTTAGGCAGGTAGTTCCTTGGGCGACAGTAAGGATCCGGGCAGTCCTGGGCGGTTCCGGGTGACATGCAAGCCTCCTGGAGCAGTAGGCGCGGCCTTGCTCCGACGGATGAGGAGAGGTTACCTTGCCTGTCAAAAGACCGGCCGGCCGGGAGGGCATCTGCTGAATGAATGCCCTCGCCAGAAGTAGTTTGGTTTTGCCTGCGCCTGCTGGCAGAGTCGGTGTTTTGACGAGACGGCTTACCCTCATTGTCGAGATGAGACGAATCAGGGAGACGAAGAAAACGACAGTCAAGAAAGTGATACCCACCACAAGACAAGGGTCAGTCTTGTTAGTAGCGTCGCAACTTCCTGGGGTCTTCGTAGCCGCCGCCTTCGTAGCCGCGCTTCCGGGAGTCGTCGTGGTCTCTGGGCCGGTCGTAGTCTCTGCCACCGCTGCCGCCGTACCCACCATTCTCGCCGCCGCCGCCGCGGGGCCGGATGGGCTCCATGTTGCTGCCAGACTGCCGGGGGTTGCGGTCGCGGTAGCCTCCGCCGCCAGATCTGTCATCATATGAGCGTGAGCCGCCGCCGTCACGACCATACCCACCGCCTCCTCCTCCTCCGGGACCGTCCCGACGGTTGTCGCGGCCACCGTAGCCACCACCGCCAGGTCCGCTGGGGGCGTTAGGGGGGCCGCCGAAGCCACGATCGCGGTTGCCATACCCGCCACCTCCGGGACCACCGGGACCACCAGGACCACCGGGGCCGGAGCGGAACCCACCGCGGTCGCCAAAGCCGCCGCCGCCACCTCGGAATCCGCGATCGCGTCCCCCTCTGAAGCCGCCGCCGAAGCCGCCCCGGAACCCACCACCGAACCCGCCGGGACCCATGGGCCTGGCCATGGACGCCTTGGTGTATCCGCGGCCGCCGAGACCACCTCCCAGACGGCGGGGCTTCCACCCCTTGACGGTCCTGCCCCTCTCGACGTCAACCTTGATGCGGCGGTCCTTGATACGAATACCGTCACATCCATCCAGAGCAGCTACTCGCGCACGCGCCAGATGCGCATTTGTCAGTAACGCCTTACCATGAGATCTTGTTACCTTTGCGGTAGGAGGGTGGGGTGGAGGAAGGGAGAAGGGAGGACTGGCAAGCTTGAGGGCCGTGAATGTCCTGGGGTGGGTTCCGGCAAGCGGCGGGATGGCAGTGTCAGAATCAAAGTGGCAGCATTACCTCTCATATCCTTCTCGCGCTCGAACACTACGAAGCCGTAGCCGCGGTGAGGCTTCTTCTTCTTGTTCCCCTTTTCGTGGGCATGGGTGTCACGAATGATGCGGATCTGTTGAGGTCAGCCTACCATCCACGGCAAGGGCGAAGAGAGGGGAGGAGGTACGCACGCGCTCAATAGGCCCAAACCGTCCAAACTCGCGCTCCAAATCCTTCTCGTCGGCGCTGTAGTCCAAACGCGCCACAATCAGCGTCTTGAACGCATCGCCGCGAATGTTTTGGTCGTCGTGGGGCGAGTCTATAGAAGCAAAACGCATTAGCTCCACGATCAACCGACACAAAAACCGGAACCCAGGGAAACGACGCACAATTTTTCGGGCCCTCGGTAACGACTTCCTCCACCTGGTGCACTTTCTCGCGCTTCTTGCGATCGCGCGCCTCGAGCCAGCTCTCGGTGGGATGGTACTCGTACTCGCGCTCGTACTCGGCGAGGGCCGGCAGGAACTGAGCGACGCCGGATACAGCGGCCGTCTTGCGCTGCTCGGGCGCGTGGTCGGATGGCGGTACCCAGCGCAGCGGCGGGCGCGGCGCAAAGAGCGCGAGAAGGTTGGGCGGGAGCCGGTCCGTCATTGTGGGTGCTATTTATTCCTTTTCGACGCGACTTGTTGGCTGTGATCGACAGAGAATGTTCGCAGAGGGTGCTGTCAAGGGCGAAATATCGGTCGCAGGTTGATGCCGGGTGCTGGCCGTTGATTAGTATAGTGCCCGATGATATACGCGCGACCCGGTTGATTAGCTCGCGATGGGCATGGGCGAGGTGTTGGTTTGGGACGAAGAAAAGGGACCCGGTCGAAAAAGCGAAGCTCGCGATGGAAAGCATGCCTGGCCTTGTTCCTGCGCGGCCCTGCATTGGGCCGTGCACGACACACTTGAGTTGCGACCAATAATGTGGTTGTAGACCCACTTATCTTTCTGCCCGCGCTTGAACCGAACCCTGACCATTTTCTGTCGATGCAACTCGCGATCTCGGTCATGCTCTCCGGACGACGACGGCGACCATGACGGTAAGGGCATTACAACAAATCTCCACCGGCCGGGTAAGACAGTCCAGACATTCCACTTTGTCCTCTTGGCAAGTTCTAACTATGGTCTAGAATGGCGTGGGATCCTTCATCTTGCAATGCAAGAAGATGGACTTTCACTACTGCGACTGGGCGGGTAGTTCCAAGGGCATGAAGTATGTTCTCCTTGTCTTTTCTGCCGATGCTAGCAATCAGTTGTACTAACCAATTTCCAGCGGCTTCATCAAGTCCCTCCTCCCCAAGTTCGCCGCCTCCAACACCCAAGTCGAGTTCGCCGTCTCCCCCCGGCCGTCCAAGCACCCCGTCATTATCGCACAGTACATCAATGGCCGCGAAAAGGCCATCTGCGTGCGCAACATGGAGCCCTACGAGATCCTCAAGAAAGCCGAGCTGCTCCGCGACGCCAACGGCGAGAAGAACCGGAGGGTCACCAAGCCCGTACAGAGTATCAACGAGTCCGTCAGAGGCGTATGGTCCCCGTACCACGGGAATGGGCTCAAGGTATAAAAGGTTGGGTTTGTGGGGATGGCTGTATGAAAGAGCGTGTATATGGCGCAATGTTGTGTAAAAATACAAATAATCATACATCACTACTCGCTCAAGGTAGAGTAACAGTGTATGTACAGCACGGTCTAGGAAGGGATAAAAAGGCATTTCGGCGGGTTTGGGTTCATTAAGTTTCTTTCTCATCTCTATATCCTCCCTAGGGCGATCCCGTTCTCCGCCTTTTTGGGTTGTCCCAGGCGCCCTACTTGAGCCTGCCACTGTGTTTTCTCCCTTGGCGAAAACGCTTACAGGTTGGAGTTGATGATGTCGACAACTGGTTTTGTTAGCTTCAATACACGGCAGCTTTTGGATTGGGGGGCATACACTCGGGCTTTAAGCTGGCACCGCCAACCAGGAAACCGTCAATGTCCTTCTCCTTGGCCAGATCCTTGCAGTTCTTGCCGTTGACGCTGCCGCCGTAGAGAATGCGGGTCTCATCGGCGACGGCGTCGCTGACCTTGGCCTTGAGCCACTTGCGGATGGCCTCGTGCACCTCCTGGGCCTGCTGGACGGTGGCGACCTTGCCGGTGCCAATGGCCCAGATGGGCTCGTAGGCGATGACGATCTTCTTCCAGTCGTCGCCCGAGACCTTGGCGGCGAGGGCGGCCAGCTGGCGCTCGACGACGGCGACGGTGTTGCCGGCCTCGCGCTCCTGGAGCGACTCGCCGCAGCACCAGACGACGCTGACGCCGCCGTCGATGGCGAACTTGGTCTTGGAGGCCACCACCTCGTCCGTCTCGCCCAGGACGGTCCGGCGCTCCGAGTGGCCCAGGATGGTCCACTCGACCTCGCTGTCCTTGAGCTGGGCGACGCTGATCTCGCCCGTGTAGGCGCCGTTAGGCTTGTCGTAGACGTTCTGGGCCGACACCTTGACGCCCTCCTTCTTGAGCTCGTCCTGTGCGAGCTGGAGGTAGAGGGCCGGGGGGGCGATCACGACCTCTGCGGGCGAAGGGGTTAGCTAGGTCCCGCTCCCACTTTCCCAGCTTCCTTGACGCCCAAGGGGCTAACATACCAACATTGGAATCCAATTGTGCTTCGTTCAGGCCCTTGACGATGCTCTTGATGGACTCCTTGGTCCCGTTCCTAGTTATAGTGGTGGTCCGATCAGCTCTCCGGAGCTCCAACGCGGGGTTTTGTACCTGGGGTCATGGCGGGGTAACGCGGCCTACGTACATCTTGAAGTTGCCGCCGACGAAGAACTTGCGAGCCATGTTGGGCGGTTGTTTCTGATGGTATTATAATAAGATTCAAGAAATAAGAGCACAAGTGACAGTCTCGAAATATGGTTGAGTGTTGAGGTGCTTAACAGAGAAGTTGTCCGAGAGTGGAAGTGGGATGGGGGAGCTGCGGGACTAAAAAGTGGTGCTCAGCTCGGGATTTGGTGCAACCTTGTAAGTCCACACCCCACGGAATGGAGCACCTGTACGTCAGTCTTGCCAATGGACTCTCCATACTTAGGGAGGTATTCGCTGCTACATATGCGCGTTTTAAACCCCTATTTAGGGAATGAGTAAACATTGCGCTTCTCTTTAAAATTGTGCTGCGTGGTGACAGACCCGTCTCCATGTTCCCAGAATCTACCTGGTAAAACATCCAAATGCCCGTCCCGGAAAGGATCGAGGTCATGGATATTTCCCAATGTTCCGACACGCCATGTCTCCGTCCTGGAGATTTCGGCTCAGACCGGCTATTGATACTCCACAAGAAGCCGGGCATGCCCGGTCCGGCCCGGCCCATGAACTCCCGGCCTCGCTTTCGTCCTTCATCAGCCTAGGCATGCTTAGCGATTCCTAACAAAGAAGCCGCCTCTTGGCTGGGCTATCCGGTCTCTCCGCAGAAGTGTCTCCTTCAGGTCAACCGCCTGCTTCTTCACCTTGGGAGCCAACCTCGCATCACCGGCGCGCTTAACCACCCGATAAGCTGCCGAGCCCAGCCGTTTGTCCTTTGGGAGTTTAGGCTCGCGAAGTAAGGCCTGCTCGACGCCCCCAAGTTTCCTCCGCTTGTGCTGTCCATTGGCGGCAGGGTCGGCTTGCTGGGGCACATCGTCCTCGTCGTCCGACTCTAGGAATTCAAGAGGTAGGAGTTTCGGCACTTCCCTCTTCCTCTTCTCCGTCTCCAACGTAGGCTCGTCAACGCTCGGAGTGACCTCATCATCCTCGTCATCTTGCCTAGTGGGCTTTTTCTGAGTCCGTTTCCTCTCCTCTGCCTGCTGCCTGAGGAACGTATCACGCTCCTGCCGTTTCCGCTTCAAAGCAGCAGCTTGTCTGCTAGAATTAGTGACCGCCGTGAGTTGAGGGACGATTTGGGTTTGACTTACTGCTCGGCCGCTTTCGCAGCAGCCCCAGCGGCTTTCAGAGTCTCAGCTTCCGCAGCACGTGTAGACACGGCCTCGGGCGGCGCCTCATCGTCGGAATCCTCCTCATCCTCTTCCTCGTCGTCTTTCCCACCCGTTCCAGCAGCCGTTTCCGTTGGCTTGGCGATGCTGTTTTCCATAGGATCCCTGGACGGTCCCTCCCTCGGGGTCACAAACTCATCGTGCTCACTATCGTCGAATGTGATGTGCTTCCTATTCTCCTTCGGCGTCTTGAACACATCCTCGTCGTTTCCCTCCTGGCCCTCTGAAGCTGAGGTTCCAACCTTTGACCGCTGCAACTCGGCCGATGTTGGTAGCGGAATTTCAATGCTGACGTGCCTGTGCTTAGCAGACCCCGTATCCCTGCTACGAACAGCCAGCTTTGCGCTTGACAGGGAGTCGTCTTGCTGAAGTTCTTCCTCTTCTTGGGGCTCCGGTTTGTACTTGATGCCGGCTGCCCTAAGCAGTGGCTGTTGCTCATTGATGTCTTCGTTGTCGTCGATTGGTTCCGGGACGTCATCCTCAACGTCGGGTGCCTCTGGCTCAGAATCTGATGAGAGGATCTCGATCACATCCTGGGCTTTTTGGCTTTGCTCTTGCAGCTTTTGTGACCTGCGAGTGGCCATGCCGCTGAATCACTCAGACAGAGAATATCTTGAGAAGAAAAAAGAAGATCGACACTATCCCTAATTTTGAAGGGTTTTTAATGAACGTTGCCGTGTAAATTATGTTTTTCTTTAAAGCTCGGTTTGCTTCATGAGTGATGAACTGCAGAAGGCCCCAATACGCCGTTTTCCCTGAACTTTTTTTTTTTTAGTTGCAACGGTTCGGATTGCTGAAGACTGATTGGGTACTGGTCTGTGAATGGACCCACCAAATTCGGTGCCTGCCCCGACGGCTGGTCCGAGTGCCCCTGCAGCCCATGGCCATCTCGCGGCACGCTCGAAACTTCATTCAGCACACTGTGCAAGTGAGGTGCCAGTTCAAGTGTTCTTTCCATGGGTTGCTTGTTCCACTCATCACTCAACACCATCACCAACCGCCTACACCGTGTAAAGTCAACGCAAAATGCCTGCATATTCAATTCCAACTCCAAAGAGCTCATGATATCGGCTGGTTAGTCAACTATTCGGATGCTCAAACAAAATACACCTACCAGGTCGCCAAACCGTCACTCAATTCCGCCATAAGCGTTTTCAGTCATGTTCTCACTACGGGCGTCAGTCCCGGCAAGACGGGCTGCTTGTGCTATCCTCCAGCCAAATGTGTTGACTTCACAACTCTTGGTACCCCCGTGTCACGGACAAGCCCAACAACAACAACCACCACATCATCAACAGCGACAACAACGACGACAGTATGCAATGCGTTCCCCTTCACTTTCAAAACGCCCACGACCCGGACCCGCTGCACCGGTCGATCCGCTCTTCAAGGACGTCCCTGTTCCATCTGTAGACTTGTGGCGGGAGTTTAAAAATAAACGAGGGCTCGGGGACGTAACTCCGGAGACTTGTCTCCACGCATTCACGCAATTTTGCCTCGTTGCTTCCGGTGGTTTTTCTAGCGGTGAGCCGGCTATCATTTTACAAAGGGGTAAGTTCGAGGCGGCTGGCCAACCCATGACTCCGTGACTCTTACCCCGGAAACTAAAGGTCTACAGACTTCAACATCGACCTCATCACGTTACATTACACTGCCCTGCCACTCATCACTGGGGAAGCACGCCTCGGAACGGTAGGGTACTCCATGCTTTTCGTGGCCTCAAACATGGGCTATATACCCTCCACCATCACAGCCATGGGCATCGTTACGCAGTCGGGTAAACAACCCGACTTTGCAAAATCCAAGACGTGGCGTGCACTCGAGACGAACTTCAAGCGGTTGCTTCGAACCGAGAACAACCCAGACGTCTTCACCGTGCAGGGCCTCGTCCTACTGCATCAAGGCCAGCCCGATAGCTACGTGCTGAGCTTCTTCGATAAGGCCATCCAAGCAGCAGGTGGCACCTCACCGAGGACAGCAGACCAACCGGGACCAGGGGAGCAAGGCATCCCAGCAATCCGCAAACCGAGATGGACATATGAGAATTTCTGCCACCTGGAGCGTGGGCGCCTCTTGCTGAAGCGCAACCGCACAGAGGAAGCCGTGGCCTCGTTCAAGACCGCCGCGCTAGAGCTGGATCACCCCGACGGCTATGTTGAGTTGGCTAAACTACTGCCCGACGATGCGCCGGAACGAGAGACGTACCTCCTGATGGCCGCCCAGACCGGTAACTTTGAGGCCTGTCGGCTTCTTGCCTTGTACATGGCCGATAAGGCAGCAGACCCGGCGCTCCCGCGGGATGATCGTGCCCACGCTGGAAAGATGGCCCGCGAATGGGCAATGATTGGACCGGACCCCGAGAAGAGGGGGGAGGTGGAAGCGCAGGTGAATGAGAAGTTGAAAGGCACAACTCCACTGGGCTGAAGAAGTGAAGTGTTCTCGAGTCCGAACCCATAAGGCCCTGAGAGCACGAGATACTGCTCCGCGGGTTCGGTTCTGTGGCCGGGCTCTTCGTTACAGAACCTTCGCCCCCAACAGGCTCACATGTATATGCAATAGGGGAACAATAGCGGACGGAATTACTGTACTTTATTGAAGGACACTATAGGATAGAGAGATACCCACTTGGAATGCTTTCTGGGCATGGCCTCCTTTACCTATCCTTTTTCTACCGTTTCTGATACCACGACCGGCGTCAATCTCAACTCCCAAGCTCACACCACAGGCATTTCATCAATGTTTAGAAACTTAGCGCTCTCTTCACGCGAAAATGGCAGTTTCGATTACTCAAGTCAAAGCAAACGAACAAATGTGCTGATGTTGGCCATGTATTTCTCACCGATTAACCCAAATACTATTATCAGCGACCAGGAAGTGTATGCTGCAACTAAACAGAACATGCTATTGTATTGCAAACTGCGAAACCGAAGAAGCCAAACCGTCGCCTGAGAAACACGTAACCATGTATATAACTCCGATCATTGCCGAGCCGCTCATTGAAATAGGTATCAGTATCCGAGGCCGTTACCCAGTTGCTCAAAACGCCGGGCTAGGTGAACCGATCCCATCGCCAACCCAAGTAACCCCTTTTCATAACCAGGTGCCAGGTAAGTCGGTAACCGACAACTACCTCTTGACCCTCTTCCGCCCCCTCCCCTTCCCCTCCCCGCCACCGCCGAGCTCACCAACCCGGTCACCCTCCTCCCCCTCCCCATCCTCATCATCCTCATCTTCTTCTCCCCTCCCACTGCCCCCAGCGCCACCAACCTCCCTCTTCTCATTCCCCTTCTTGATACTAATCAAACACCCCTGCTCCTTCAACCGCTTCGTCAACAGCGTACTGGCCTGCATCCCCGGAAAGTCCTTCGCATTATACACCTGAAAGCTCTCACTCATCGCGGTCGCCACGATCGCCGAGCGATCCCCAGAACACATCCTCGCCGGATCCAGCACCACCAGCGCAAACTTCAACCTAAACACCCCCGGCGTCCGACAACTCAAATCCGGAAAGCAGAAAAAACACCCCTCCTCCCCCTTCTCATCCAGCCCCACAAACGGGCTCGCCACCAGCGTGCCCATCAGGCGGCGCTGCTGGCGAAAGTCCTCGGGCATGCTGCTCATGTCGCGCTGGCCCTTGTCGTCCCAGATGCTGCAGTGCACCACCGAGAACTGGTGCCGCAGCCGCCGCGCCACCTCGTCCTTGCCGAGCGCCGCGTCGTGGATGGTGAGCTGCACGATCGGCGGCGGGTCGATCACCCGCCGGTCGCGCTCGCCGAAGCCGCAGCTGCGCGCCGCCGAGGGCTGCTGGCGCACGGTGATGCGGTGCTCCGAGCTGGGCGTGCGCGGGGGTGCGCTGCTGCTGCTGGTGGAGGGGGGGAGCGGGTGGTGTTGCGGGGTCGTGCCGTTGGGTGAGCTGCCGTTGGTGGCGGTGGCGGCCGCGGCGGCGGCGCTGCTGCTGCTGCTGCTACTATTGCTGTTGGTGTTGCTGCCGCCGCCGCCGCCGCTAAGGAGGTTGGATATGCTCATGGATTTGGGTTCTTGCCGCGGTGAGGTGGATGGCTGCGTGCTCGGTGGGCTGCGCGGGAGTTGTGGTGCCGGGGGCCGGCCGTTGGGTATTATTGATGGGGAGGAATAGGAGGTTCCTGAGGGGATTTTGGCCAGTACGGGCGGAAGGGCCATGTCGTGCTGGAGAGAGCCTCCTCTTGACCGCGGTGATGGGTAGTGGATGGGTTGACGTGATACTGGGCCCTGGCTGTGGGCGTCGTGGAAGCTGCTCATCTGCCTCAAGCGCAGCTCCTGAGCCATTTCTTCGTTTGACCTGTCACTAGCTGTTGACGAGAGGGTCGGCGAGTGCCGGAGATCCACTGCCCGCTTCGACATCGGGTGAGGATCGCTGTTTGGGATAGGGAGCTGTGGTGGCGTCTGCCCAACCGGTGAAGGGGTTGCGTAGTCAGAGTAGTAGCTGGATCGCCCGCCATGATACGGGGTATCGCGGCCGTTGGAAAGAACCGGAGAAGGATTTGATGCCGCCGTAGGAATCATAGTGGCCATGGGCGGCAGCCGCGGGAGCTGTCTTGGTTGGGGCGGGTGCTGGAACTGCTGTTCTTGACCATAGTGCCCGTTCCCAGGAGCGTATGGCTCGTGATAGCTGTGATGTTGAGCCATACCATCTAAATGGGTACGGCGGCCAAAGTTGTGATGAGCAAAATCGACCGCTGCAGACATTTGGGGGGCGGTCCACAGACGACAGGCAGATGTGGCTCTGTCCTTCGCAATCCTGGTCAGTCTGTGTTGCTTGAAATTGACCGTCGGTTTAACCAGAGCTGGGCAGCCTTACAGAATGGGCGGCCACTTCCAGCAGCACAGGCACGAATCCGGCAGCCGGGTCCTGGGCCGGGCGCGAGAGTGTCTCACCGCTGGACACGAACAGCGTGAAGGTCTCGTCTAGGCGGCGCAGCTCCGGGCAGAAGCTACCTAGGTTGGTCCCTGGTCCGAATCTTCAACGGCGATTGTTCCGATCTTGGTGGGACTGAGACTCTCTCCGCGGATATGGAGAGCTGGGTAGTTGTCTCATGCAGCTGCGGGAAGCCACGTCGAGTCCGGCACGAGTATGCTTAACCGCCACCGTCGGAAAGCTGTGTCACGCGCGTCTGGTGTAGAGGTTGAGGATCGTCTCTTGCCACGACTGTGGAAGGGCCCGAGACTTTTTGTTATTGTGAGACCTGCGGAGGGGTGTGATGGTTCTGGGTGGCTTGGAGGAGGAGCCAAGCAATAGATCCGATCTCGTGTTGCTACACAATGTCGAGGGTTGTGCAGGGCGTTCGCGGTTTATCAACGCTTGAAAGGGGCCAAGGCCCGGCTCTTGATAGATGGGTCCGGCGGGGCGTCCCCGACAAGTCTGGGGAAACGGTGCAGCGGACTAGGATGGTAGCAGGATGGCTTGGGTTGCAGTCGGTCGGGATGTGTCAGAACAATATGGCAAAGCCGGGCTGGTGGGCCATGACGGGAGATTGGGAGGGGGGGACGGCGTTAATATCAAGGGACCGTATCGGCATCCTGTTGCCCACCAGGGCGGAGGAGCCAACCAGTTCTCTCAAGTATTGCTCGCTTTCCTAACTGGACGGGAGCAGTCTCTGCAGATTGCTCGGCAGGGATCTCAGGGGCTGATCATGGCAGTCAACTAGGCGGGTCAACGGGCCATGGTCAGGGCCGGGGCCGGGGCCCCAGACGGAAGTGCCGTGGTTTGAGTTCCCGGGGCACATCACTCGAGGGCGAACAAAGGTATGTACTGTGTACATACCAAAACCCACGATCTCTGGGCATGGAAGGTGATGTGCTTTTGGCTGGGAAGAAGCCATGGAAGGCCAATAACAGCGGGGGTTTATGGAAGGTATGCGGACCTGGGAATGGCTGATGGCCCGGCTTGGGAGATGTCCGAGCATGTATGGACATCCACAGTACATACATCCGCCCAGCCCACCTCATGTACATCCAGACATCCATCCGCAACTACAGGCAGCCGGGTCCGGTACTTCTGGTGAACCAGGACCAGCCAGGCGGCATCGTTCTTGTCCGATGCGACCCCCGCCAACTCACCACGCCCGCACAGCGCCTGGGTAGTAGCGGAGCAGGGGAGAAAGAGCGGTTCACAGGCTTGTCAAAAGTCAAACCGACCGGGGTACGAAGCAGCTCCAGTTCGCTGAGATGTGCCAAGTCGCAGCCGTTGCAGCAACCCAAACCTCGACTTGGACGCGCGCCAGAATGCCACATGGTGGCGAGACCTCTGTGCTGCGCGCCAGTGACCCGAGTGACTGTGGGAACGCAAGGCATAGTTGGTTAGCAGGCAGCCACGGCGCTGATGATGAACCGCGAACCGGCTGAACTCGAGATCCAGCATCCCTCGACAAAGTGAAACCCATTTCAGTCGGGTCGCTGGACCGCGTGGAGTGCATGAGTCCACGGGCCGGGTGCGCGGTTTCCTTCAGTTCAGGATGTCATCGCGCAGCTCGTCTCAAACATAGCCGAATTATTCCACAAACCCGGCATTCGCGAGAATAAGCTTGTTGGCTGCGACGAACGAGGTGGGGTGCCAGGCGATGATCTTGGATTGTTGCGTGGCCGATCTCGACCATAAAACCGACAATTTCCAGGTTCAACGGAGGGAGCGCTTCCACGGGGCGGGTCCTGCCTGACTGGGCAGGTACAGATTACAGGCAGCAGAATTTGAACTGCCACTGCCAGTGTCAGCCCGTTGGCACTGGCACGGCAGGCCAAATTTTTACAACTGCACGACAGTTCCTTCCGTCTGGGGAGGATCCCCACCTCCACAGGGAAGGGACGTTGTGTTCCATGGGATGGTGTGGGTGGGCGGGTACCCCAACCCCCGGTTACGGCAGTCGCACCACGCTTCCCATTGGCGCTCGGACGTCAATAAGAGGAGTTTGAGTGGAGCGGAAATCAGAGACCCCAAAGACGTCCGTTGTTTGGCGCCATTCTGTTCAACCAAACCTCCTTCTCACTTTTCACTTCTCTCGCTCCGCTTGAAAATAACCGTGCCGTCCCTCTGCCTTTTTGTGACACTCATCATTTTCCGCAAACCTCGAGTGACTTCCCTCGGTCTCGGTGTCACTTTAGGGTCATTTAACATTATTTGGTTAGCCAAGCCTTCAACAGTCGGTTGTCTGTATCAACAAACCAGCTTTCCCTACTCTGGGGATAGATTGCCCGGTGTTTGTATCAAGCGAACGACCTGCCGGCTTTACTGTGCACATTGCGCACGAAGTTGGATGCAGCTCATCAAGGAGAGCGAGCCGGAGTCCAATCAACGGGGGCACTGAATCGCGTATTCGATCCCTCAAAGGATGAGGGAGCAATGGAAAAAAGAACAGCTCCGGTCTGGCCAGCCTGATGTACGAGGGCCAAGAGTCGCGCCTCAAGCCACTTTGACGCCATCGCGTGGTCGGTCGGCGATTTCCTGACTTAGCTTCGCCTCGATCCTCCATCTTGCAGGAGTGTGAGGCAGATATTCCCGCGCAGGGAGGCAAACAATCACCCCCTGGAGTTGCTTTTGGCACCAAGCCTCGCAACGGTCGTCCGAAATGGCGTTCCGATTGCTGATCATTGACGCCGACTACGCCCCGCGGCTAACTCAGACACGGCCCAACACTTGCGGCTTCTTTTCTGTGTTCCGCCTCCGCAAAACTAGTGGGGAAGGGGGTGGTTCTTTACTGTGTAAGAGACGTGTTGACTTGTGCGCCTCTTTCGTACATCGACAAAAACTGCCGCCTCTCTCCGGAACGATTCGAATATGCGCACTCTCCTTGGAACTCGCTCGAGCGTGGGCCCTGAATCACCGAGTCCAGACCAAGAACGCGTCACAACGGACCTCGATGTTAAAAAGGAATTTGCCTCTGCTGTGGTACGCTCCACCACGGCAAGCCCAGCAGACTCGACGTTACAGAGGATTTGGAGAGGCACCAATGAAACAATGGCGTGTGAGTGCCGCCAAGGGTCCCCGTCTGACACGGCAAGACATGGTTCGCCAGCACCCGTGGTTGGATGGATGTGACCCTGATTCCCGGTTTCCCTCTGTGCCCCATGGAAAATGGCGGGGAAGAGGTTGAATGCCGCTTAAACTGTAAGGCTAATCCGCAAGACACACTGCCTGGTTTCGAGAAGCTTATCGGCATTTGGCCCGCTCTCCGCAGGGCGCTGATGGAAGAGGAAGACCTTCCAACGAACACCGCAGGAGAACCGCCCAGCCGCGAGCCTAGCACAGAGACAACGATGGGCATCCTGCTTCTCACGTTGTGCAGCAGTCGTGGACCCGCAAGAACCGCTGTGATGCGCAGATACCACCGCAGGGGACAGTCAGCAGAGACCAGCTTCGAGCACCAAGCAGCCCCGCCATCCCGTGCTTCCAATCCAACTGGTCGTATGTACCTTTTGCTCTCCGTTCGTGCTGGCGAGGCGGTGAGCCTGCCCGCGTCGACGGCCTCGTTGCGACCTCTTAGGAGGGAGTCTCGGTGCCGAGATCCAATCCGTGATGCGCTGATGCTCTGGCACATCTGGTAAAGGGCGAAAGGACGGCGGGACGAATGTCGCCTCACGGTCAATGTTCGTCAGAAAGTGAACCGACATCAATGCGGCTATGCTTCTTTCGGGAAGAAGTCCCCAGTGGAGCATGATCGTCCCGTCCAAGTGGGGACTCGGCAACCGGCGAGAACTTGGCGTTCTCCGTCTTGGCCCACTCTCAGCTTGGCTTGCCCTTGGGCTTTCGCTGAGGCCACGGCTGGCTCGCATTCGTGACGCCTTGGCAAAGTCACAAGAGACCGAGAATGGAACGACACAGCAGACTTGATCGGGTAGACCAACGTCTTTACACCTCAAATATTGACGGAACGACCAGATCCATAACATTAGCTTGCATGACCAATTCTCCTACGTAGGTCTTCGGCAACGCACGGATCAATCACTGGTCTCGAGACTGAGCGGCGTCTGTTTCGAAACGCCACAAACGACCGAGGCTCGAGCAAGGCGCTGGCGGTTGTCGTTTATCGTAACAAGCTCGCTCGGCATCATTGGCTGCGTTCAACGCTGGATCTCAATGTCGATGTCGCTGCTTTTCTAGACCTCGACGGACCGCCATGGACGCCACTTCTTCCCCAACGCGTGGCACCCCAAAGGAACCAGTGGATGGCTGCATAAACGAACCCCCTCGCGAGACAGCGTTCGGACTATACCCGCTCTCCCGACCTGGGCTCCTGGGGTCGGACGCCGCCAAGACGTACGGGAGACGGGGTTTCCTCGACGAACGACACCGGCCCAGTGAGAGCCCCGAAGTCCCAACTGCTCGCTCTCCCGCTCTGACTCGACACGGCACGGAATCGAGCGATTCTCGGCGTCGCAACGGCCTCATAATCATCTCATAAGCAGCCACGGCACCAGCACAACCCGCAGGTTTCTGCACCCAGCGCCATCTTCGCCCCCAAAGTTGACAAATCTAGCAGCTCGATTGTGTTCTGTGGGCCGAACAACAGGACGATATCACATCATATGTTTCTGGGTCGGTCCCGAGACTGTGCCCTGGGGGAGGGTTGCAGCTTGCCAAAGCTGACCGAGACGACGGTGCACAACGCTCAAGGAGTGCAGTTTGCACACCAGTAGCGGCCAAGACGCCCATGATTCCCTAAACTCCACCGCCATCATCAATGCCTATTCGCAAACTGCTGCATTGTTCCCTTAAATGCTACGCACTCCAGCACACACAGCACGGGAACCACCCGTTACCAAGAGACAAACGCTTCCCGGTCTTGCTGGCTAGTCTCAAGGCATCCTACTGTAATTCTAGACCCGAGTCGTCGTCAGAGTCAGGGCGGGGGACAAGCTTTGAAAGACAGCCGAGACGCCGAATCGAAGGGAAAATACCCGAATGGTCGAGAGTCTGTGGCTTGGCACCCCAGACGTCTCCAAGGACCCGGACACCGTCCGGCGGTGCTCCACGCACGGGTTCGGCGTTAGTTTCGGGTAAAGGACATGCAGGGCTCAATATCAAGGCCTCGATGTTCACGGTCCACACCTTCGGCCCATCGACAAACACGAGTCAGCCGTTCGGGAAGGCGGCAGCGGGCGGTTGGCACTCGGACGGCAGGCTGCCTGGTTGTCCTTCGACTTGTCTGCTCCGTGCATTGACTGCTTGATTGCCAGCCGTGCGCTCGAACACCCTCGTAACCCACGAGTCGGGACAGCTTCCCCGCGTCAAATGCAATACTACCCCAACGTGCCCAAGCATCCGCAAATCGCGGTCGAGAGGACGTGGTCCTTGGTGGGTGGTTGGCGATTCAGCCAACCTCGTCCGCCTTACCGGCGCTTTCTCGCTGCCGCGTCAACCCGCATCTCGCTCGCGGCTCGCCACCACCGGTAGTTGTGGGGTCTCCAGGAAAGAGCGGAAAGCCATCTCAGGAGATATCCGCGGATGATGCCGTCCAGCATCTACCGAGTGGGACAGCTCCCTCCTCAGTCCCGTTTGTCTCAACCCGTACCCATCACCTTCCTTCCCAACTCGGCATCTGGTATCCTGCCTTGGAAGGGCCGTCGGCGCATCGGGGGGCGGGTTGCCTGATCACAGTATCCAATCCGCCTTCATAGACCCCTGCCATCAAGTCGTTCTTCGGCTGCTCGACATGATCGTCCCGTCTTTGCTTCGATGCAGCGCGGGCCTGTGGCAGGAGGCTGCACAGTCAATAAACAGGTGGTTGTCTGGCAGCACTTCAATTCCACGTATGTCCTAGGATCCCGGCAACATGCTTTCACGATCGGTGTTCGGTCACGCCTCGGTCGTCGCACACCACATAGAATAATCGACAAATCGACTTCCGAAAATGGACAAGAAGAGCCGAGATGTTGCGCTGCAGAATACTACCCTCCCGCATGCGCAAGAGACTTGAAACTGCGGCTAATTCTACCCCGGACCCAATCACCAAGGAATGGCTCCCCCCGCTTGTCGACCAATATCCGGCCGCGGATAATTAATATGGCGGGCCTTCTCGAAATCTGCGAGTGAATATCACGGAGCCACGCTGTCAGCACCGAGGCCACGGCATGCAAGCGCGGGTTGACAACCAAGAGTCCGTCCGGTTTGAGCTCGGAGCATCGTCCCCTCCCGTCATCTTCTTTGCCCCATCCCGACGATCACGCGATCTCGTGGCCAGCTGCCGATCAGTTCAAGACATCATATGGATTTTGTCTGGATCATATGGACTTTGTCTGGATCCGATGGAGCATTCGGGTGGTGGGAGCGTTGCTCACCCCATCTTTCTGGCGTGCGTCTCGCCGTTTCGGTTGCGATCCCATCTTCCGACAGCGAGACGAGACCAGGGGGGTCCGATAGACGAGAGTGAAAATCCGGGTAAAATCTACCCTCTCCAGATTCGGCTGTCACTTCATATACGCTTGCCTTTCCTGGCCAGCTACGGGAATGCCTTTTCGGCTTCATATCGGGTCTTCCGGGCAAAGCCAATGACCGGATCGTCATACCAACTGCTTCATGTGAGGTCGTCTGGGTTCCGGGAAAGAGTGATGCCTCGCTACAACTACCCCGCGGGCCGGCTGCGGGAGTTGTTCCAGGCCAGCTCACACACCTGTCATATTTGTCGGCTTCGCAACCGGGAACGACTTTGATTGCTTTTCCAGCCGCCTGGAGACTTCATTCATTCATGAAGGGCCCTTTCCGTCCTGGAGAATGGGATCTGCAACGTTACGACTGTTGCATAGTACTCCCGCACCAAGGGACTCCTCTCGGCACGCCGCTATTCCCATGAACTGACACTCACTCCCTCTCCCGCGACCCCGTGACCGGAGCCCACTGGAGTACCGCGGTGGCCTTTCGGGAACACGTCTGGGCAATTATTGCTCTCCCTAATTGCCGCATACAGCTTTGATCGATCCTTACTCGGAAAGTCTGGTAACTAATGTAGCCACGGCGGCAGCCAGATGCACTCGTCGGCTCGCCATTGGCGAGCCCCAACTTCCGCCGTATTATTTCCAGAGAAACCCCATCGACAGCTTCATGAATGATCAGCCGGGAGAGAAAAGAACGGCCGTTTTTCTCTGACGTGGTACTCCGACGGGGAGGATGTACGCCTGCCTCGGGAATTCCAAAGATGCTTTGCGGCACGCCGCTGGCAGAATACCCCGGGGACACTTGGCGTCTGCGGACATTTGGTGGGCGACGGGCCGGGAAAAACCACAGCGTTTGGGATGGCGAAGAGGCTCCATTTCTCCCCGTGCCGCTGCTGTCTCATGAGCCTCAGGTTTCTGCTAACCGCTGGAAATCAGGGTCAGTGTGAATGAAATACCGAGCCGTCTTGCTCGGCTATCCCTATTTCCTGGATATTGCCTCGCTGGAGGGCGGTCGCGGGATTGTGGGTTTGATCATCTGGATGGTATCGCTTACCGCGGGATGGTTGATATCGTCTAGTTCGAGACGACGCTCTCCAGCTTGAGCGGTGCCTCTCCTTCCTGGCATAGCTCAAGTGAGTCACGAGCATGGCTGGTTGCTTCCTCCGAATACCGGACATGGCATAGAGCCTAGCCGATGCCCCACACGCTGAAGCAATTCACAGGCGTGTCAGTGTGCGGCTAGCCTGGAACGCGAAACGAGTAAACCCGGCCATGGTGTTATCGCGGGCAGAGGGTTAAGGTCCTACTTGTCTCGTGTTCACGACGCTCAATGCTAGCTGGGGCTGTTATAGGAGGGCAGCCAACATCGAAGTTGATGCTATAACCCCAACCGCGTCGGTTGCCAGCTGGGCCGAAAATATGGTAGGATATGGAATGGATGGAAGTGAGCTAGGTGGCTTTTACCCAGGCCAACTATACCCCTATTAACATATCCTTCTCGTGAACCAAGCGTGGACGCCACTTGCCACGGCGGACCGGAAGCCGGGCGTGGGTATCTGAGTCGTCATGCTGGATTGGAGTAGCTGGGTGGACAGCAAATGGGCAGCCATGGCCATCGTTCACTTTCCAGGGCGCGTGGCTGACCGGCGTAGGGGCGATTTTGAGGGCAATGCTAATTATGGGTCAATTGGTGGGGATTGTATGATTGCTGGTAGACTGACGGACGAAGAGGTGTGCCTAGGCTCAAGTCGGACATACGGCATGTTTACTCGGCCGAAAGGTGAAATGCCGCCTTGAATGTGTTCACGACCTCATCGCCGGCGTCAGTCGGTCATGATAGGGGGGGAATTGATAGGGGGGGATACCAGGTGTCGCAGTGGCTTCTGTGTTGTGGCCGGCAGTAGCGGTTAGCTTAGAGAGCACGGTTTTTGTTCGACACACTAGGTAATTCCCTATCGATAATAGAATAAAACCATTACTTTTTCCATCTCAACCTCTTCGGATGACACTAAACTCCTAGTTGTTGTTGTTGTTGCTTGCTGCTTTGGGTTCAAGATTCAGGGTTAGGGTCAGCCTATCTTTCTGACCACAACTCAACTCTGGGCTCCAGCAACAAATCGTCAACGGAACCTGGCCAACCTCGCGACAATTGCCCGCGACACGGCTCACTTCAGCCCACCACGACTACTGATTGCGATACCTCTCCTGCGCGGCTATCATCCCCGATGGCACGCTCGACAACCTAATTCTCGCCGCAGCCGCACCAATTGCAACATTTGCCTTTTCCAAAACCCGAAACGAAACACCCATCCTCCGAAAGTCAACACCCCCCAAGAATACACAACAGGGGACAAAGAAAGAGAAAAAGGAACAAGCAAAATGGCGACCCAACTCCCCCCAAACATCGACCTCACCGCCATCCCCTCCTCCGCCGCTCTCTTCTCGTCCACCAACCACCACCACAACCACAACCACAACCACAACTACAACCACCAATCCCCGAAACCAACAACAACCACACCAGCAATCCCCCCCCCAACACCCTCCCCACGCCACCCCACCCCAACAACAACAACAACAGCAGCACCACCACCACCCCCCCAAGCAGCAGCCTACACCCTCCCGCAAATCCGCGCCATCCACCACGCCCTGCAGTCCCAGGCCGCCGACGCCGCGGGCCGCCTGCGCACCCAGGTCGGCGGCTCCTACCGCGAGCTGCTCGGCACGGCCGACACCATCGTCGCGATGCGCGCGGACATGGATGCCGTGCTGCAAGTGCTGGGGGGTATGGGGGCGAGGTGTGGGAGGGGGGTGGTCGGGGGGAAGGTTGGGGGGTTGAGGGGGTTTGTTGAAGATAAAGGGGGGGGGGGTGGTGGGGGTGGTTATGGTGGTTATGGTTATGGGGGGGGGATGGGGATGGAGAGGGTGGCGAGGGGGAGGTTGTTGGAGGGGGTTTTGTTGGGGTTGAGGGAGGGGTTGGGGTTGGGGAGGGGCGGGAATAAAGAGGGGAGGGGGGAGAGGTTGGTTTTGGGGGCGAGGTTGTGCGTGTTGGGGAGGTTGTTGGTTAAGAGTTTGGCTGGTGGTGGTAAGGAAAAGGATGGGAAGGTGGAGGCGGCGAGGAAGAGTTTGGAGGGCGTGCATCGTGGGAGGCTGACGAGGAGTATCGATGCTGTGTTGCGGACTGGGAGCGACAAGGCGATGAAGCAGGGGGATGTGCTCAAGGCGCTGGCGGCGTACAGTCTAGCCACGAGCTCCGGGGCGAGGGATGTGCTGGCGCACTTTCTGCGAGTGAGGGCCGAGGCGATTGCCGTGGCCCTGGAGTTGGATGCCGAGGAGAGGGCGGCGAGGAACCCGAAGGAGGTTCTCAAGGCTTTGGGGCTGTACACCAAAACGCTGCTGGACGTGCAGACATTGGTCCCGCAGAAGCTTACTGAGGCGCTGGTTGCGCTGACGCAGAGCCGGTTGCTGGAGAACGCATCGCTGAAGGAGATGGAAGGGCTCAGGCTGGATGTCTACAAGAGGTGGTGCGGAGACGAGATACAGTTTTACACGCCCTTCATCCGCCATGACGATCTAGATGGGAAGCAGGCCAGGGAGATGCTTTCGGCCTGGGCGAAGAAGGGGGCCGAGGTCCTGCTTCAAGGCCTCGAGAAGACACTGGAGAGCATGACCGAGTTCAAGGCCATCGTCGAGCTGCGCACGAGCATCCTGAAGCTGTGGATCGCTGAGGGCGGTAAGGCGCGCGGCTTCGACCCTTCCGAGATGCTCGACCAGCTCCGCGAAGCCATCAACAAGCATATGCTGCGGGTCCTCGAAACCAAGGTATCCAAGCTGCGCCTCGTCGGGTCCGAAGTGTCGGCCGCCCTCGATACCTGGCGTGAAGGCATCACCGACCGGCACCAGAGCCTCTGGGACCTCCGCTCGTTCGACACGGGCCTCTCTAACGGCGCCGCGCAGTTCACACAAGATGTCGTCGCGCGGCTATACGGTAGGAATGATGCGGTGTCCAAGGCGGACACCAGTTACAGCAGCTGGTTCCACGTTATCGACGATGTGGCCCAGGTGGTGGACCAACTGAAGCGGCAGCGGTGGGACAACGATGTCGAGGAGATCGAGGACGAAGAGACCATCGAGGAGCGCCAGAAACTGCTCTCCAAGGACGATCCGCTGGCGCTGAACGAGCATCTCAACCGCCTGTTGGTGGAGGCGTTTGGGCGGCTGGATGACCAGCTCACGACCCTGTGGGGCTCGCAGCAGGGCGGCCCGAACAATGGCGCGGTTGCCATGTACTTTACCCGGCTACTCAGGGGCATCCGCGCGCGACTGCCGGACTTGGAGGCGGTCAAGGGCTTTGGCTTGGCTTCGGTGCCGTCACTCCACGAGGCGATCGTGAAAGCGGTGGTTGTTTCGCCGCTCGATGAGTTCGCTACCACGGCGCTGGCGCGCAAGACGGTCGTCGGCCGGAGCCTTTGGGAGGGAGAGCCGGCCCTTCCAACGTCGCCGTCTCCGGGCGCTTTCAAATTTCTGAGGACGCTGGCCATGGTAATGGGTGATGCGGGCGGGGATCTGTGGAGTCCCGCGGCTGTCGATGTGCTGAAGCGCCAATTGAGCAAGCAACTATCTGCGGCCTGGCTCGAGGCGCTTGGTGCCTTGGGTGGGGCAGAAGAGGACGAAACGAACGGCAATGCGAAGGAGGAAGCAAACGGTGACGCGGAGACCGAGGCCGAAGAGTCAGCGGAGGGCGAGGCGGACCAAAAGGCTGAGGTCGAAAAGCCAGCCGAGAAGGACACAGAACAAAAGGTGGAACCCAGCCTTGGGGAGCAAGATTTACTTGTGCAATGGCTCATGGACATCTCTTACCTGGGGCTGTTCCTCGGGTCTAACGACACGTTGAGAGAGCTAGAGAACACGGTATCAAGGGAGTCTGGTCTCGAGACGGTCGCGAAGGAGAGGCTGGCGAAGGCATCGCAGGACTACTTCAAGAGGACAAGCTTGCTGTTTGGCTTGCTGGCATGAACCCCAAGCCAGCACCCGCAGGGTATTATCTCGCTACCACTACAATACACACAACATATAACCCCCCTACAATTTGTGCTTCTTCGCCCCAGTCGCTATCTGCCTAAACATCTCCTGCGGCACCCCACTCACGAACCTATCCAGCCCAGCAAACACCTCCTTCACGTTTTGCACATCCATAACATCCCTCTCCGGCCCGCGAATCAACTTCTTAATCCCCAACAAACTCTCCCCGACCAAATGCTCCCCCAACCGCTCATCAATCTCCCGCAGCACCAACCCCCTAAACTTCCCATCCTCCCCCTTCCCACACCCCTCAAACACCTTATTCACAAACCCAACCGCCACCAGCTCCTCACAACTGATCCGCTTACTCATGATCAGCGCCTCGTTCGCCTTGGCAATGCCCAGGCGCTGCACCAGCGCGCGCGACGCCGCGCCCTCGGTCACGAGCCCGAGCGAGCTGAAGGGCGTCAGTAGGAAGGCGTGCGGCGCCGCGTACACAAAGTCGGCGAAGGCTACTAGCGCTGCTGACAGCCCGACTACGGGGCCGTTGAGGCCGATGACGAGGATCTTGGGGTGCGTGTAGAAGGCTTGGGTGAGGTTGAGGTTGAAGGCGACGAAGGATTGGAGCCAGTGCTGGTGGGTGGGGATGGTGGTGCTGTTGTTGTTGTCGGTGGAGGAGGAGGGCGACGGGCGCGAGAGGGAGACGTCCGCGCCGCTACCCGGGTGTTGGTGTTAGTTATGGGGGTTTAGGGTTGTTGGGGATTTGGTACGCGATGTAGGGATAATTGAGGGGGAAAGGGTGCGTACGCGGAAAAGAAGCGGCCCGTGCCGATGAGCAGGGTGATGAACACCTCGTCGTGGGTGGCAACCTCGCGCATTGCCTGAGCGAGGTCGTAGTACCCAGCCTGACTGAGGGCGTTCAGCTTCTTCTCATTGTTTATGCTGATGATAGCCACACGGCCCTGGTACTCGACTTTGATTGGGGAAGCGGAAGCCATTGTGAGACGGAGATTGCTCTTTTTCTTTTACTAATTTATTAAAATGAGGAGAGTAAAACAAGACTAGGTAAATGAGGTGAGGACGTGCACAGTGAATGTTGATTCAACATGTAAATGGAAGGCATGCGGATTCAAGATGTAAGCTGATCCATGGATCTTGTATAAACACGATGGAAGGTCTCCCCTCGGCTACTGTTTGCCAGAAAGGGACAATGAAACGCACTGTTTGGCGGACCTCGGCTGCTCCCCCGCATCGGTTTTAGCGGGAGTACAGGGGTCGAACGTGGGAACTGTTCGCCGCTGCTTCCCGAACCCCAGGAAAACACGGAGAACACTCGCGGGTGGGGGGGTGGAGGGGCAGCCGCTCAGCAGCTTCGGGCTCTCAGCCAGAGACTCCACATCGGGGTTTGCATCCGGTAAGACACCGAAAAGCGGCGGGGATTAAGTGATGGGAATTGGCTGGGTAAGGGTTGTCACTCGTTATTGTGACAGTTGGAAGCACGGTTCTTCGGGCGAGGGCTCTACGGAGATAGTATTGAAGTGAAGGAAAGTGAAGAAAATGAGAAAATAAAAGTGGAGGAAAAAGAAGAGAGAGAAAAGAAGGAGAGAAAAAAAAGAGAGGAAAAGAAACGAAGAAAAGGAATATATTTCACGTTGTCTCGGCCTCGTGGCCACGGGTTGACCCCCGACTTGCTCCTGCTCGAATATCAACAACCGTTCCTGGCCGGAGCGCCGGAGCAGGGCTCTCGGGGCGGCAACTGTGCCTATTGGCCAATTTGGACCACATTCAATGTTCTGTCAAGGGCGTTGGTGGAGCCATGCTCGCGGTGAAAGTGGGCTTGCTTCCTCCGAACCGGAAAGCGGGAGTTGATAAAGGTCTCACTTTCACAGCAAGTATCGGTCGGGCTGGTTTTGAGACATTATCCCCTTCAACTTCACAGACTTGTACATACCCATCCGCCATGGGGCCAGAAGCGGGACTCACGACAGCCATTGAGCTCCAGAGCTCCGACCACTCGCCGCGCACCGCCAGTCCGGAACGCCAGGCAGAGGATGGAAACGGACAAGAGATGCCCAGTCTGCCTCCGGTAGACACCGGCAAGGACGCCTACTTGTTCCTCGCCGCCTGCTTCATGATCGAGGCACTCGTGTGGGGTATGAATCCCAAATCAACACCCAAAACAACCCCCCCTCCCCGCCCCGAGGGCCCGGCTAACCCCTATCCAGGCTTCAGCTACTGCTTCGGTGTCTTCCAAAACTACTACAGCACCCACGAGCCGTTCATCGGCGAATCAAACCTGCCCACAATCGGGACCTGCGCTATGGTGAGGACCTCTATCTATCCCCCACCCTTCCACAAACAATCTAACAACCCCCTTAGGGAATCATGTACCTCACCGCCCCCCTAGTAATGTGGTCGCACCGCCGCTTCCCACGTCAAGCGCGCTATTCCACCATCACCGGCCTGCTCATCATGTGCCTCGCCCTCGCCCTCTCCTCCTTCTCCACCACCGTCACCCACCTCATCATCACGCAGGGCGTCTTCTACGCCATCGGCGGCTCCATCGCCTACGCCTCCTGCATCGTCTACCTCGAGCAATGGTTCGTGGCGCGCCAAGGGCTCGCCTTCGGCATCATGTGGTCGGCCACGGGCCTCTCGGGCGTCGTGCTCCCCTTGCTCCTCGAGTGGCTGCTCGCCACGCGCGGCTACCAAACCACCCTGCGCGTCTTCGCCTGCCTGGTCTTTGCCCTGACCGCCCCGCTGAGCTATTTCGTGCGCCCGCGCCTGCCGGTCGCGCAGGCGTCGCGCGCCCGGCCGTTTTCGCTGCGCTTTGTGGTGCAGCGGCCGTTTGTGCTGTACCAGCTGTTTAATGTCGCCGAGGCGGTCGGGTTCTTTTTGCCGGGGATTTATCTGCCGTCGTATGCGCGCGCTGTGCTCGGGGCGAGTCCCGTGCCGGCGGTTGTTGCTATGATGCTGGTTAATGTAGCTAGCTGGGCGGGTTGTGTCGCCATGGGCTGGCTGATCGACCGGTTGGAGGTCACGCGCTGCCTGATGGTGTCGGCGGTTGGTGCGGCTGCGGGTACGTTCTTGCTGTGGGGTCTGTCGGCGAACCTGCCCGTGCTGTACGTGTTCTGTGTTGTCTACGGTCTGTTTGCCGGGTCGTACACGTCGGCGTGGCCGGGGGTGATGAATGAGATTACCAAGGGGAAGCCCCGGGCCGCCGCGGAGGGCTCTGATGAGGGGGAGAGGAGTGCCGATGACTCGGGCAAGTTGGCTGACCCGAGCATGGTGTTTGCCTTCTTGGCCATGGGCCGTGGCGTTGGGAATATGATCTCGGGTCCCCTGAGCGAGGCCTTGGTCAAGGGGATGCCGTGGCAGGGGCAGGCCTTTGGCGGCTATGGTAGCGGTTATGGGGGTCTGATCGTCTTTACCGGCGCCTCTGCTTTCATTGGCGGCGGGAGCTATCTGTGGAAGAAGCTAGGGTGGTTGTAGGATGATGGTGCGGGCAAGCATTTGGTAGTAGCCGAAGAAGAAAATTGGATAAAAATGTGAGCCATGTTTTTGGGTTGCCCCTTTTCCGTGTACCCCGGGACCGATCCGCCTATATCTAAAACAAAACGAGAAGTGAGGTTTTGAACCGTCGGCTCATAGTACATTACAATATTTCGAACACATCTGTTACAACGCCGTGCTCCCCAATGCCCCTATCCTAGACATCCAGTTAGTAATTGGTGTTGTTCCTTTGCAGTAATGGTCGCGGATCCCACGTGTCCGGACCCGCGATGCTTTCCTCCTCATCTGTACTGCTATCATCGCTACTCTCGTCGTCCTCGCTTTTGCTGTACAAGAAGAACTGGACGAAAATGCCCATATCCAGGAGCAGGGTGCCCGCGCTGCCCGCGAGCCATGACAGATTGACCAGCATGTACTGCCAAAAGATCTGCGCGGCCTCGCCGCGTCGGCATCCCTTATCCCCCTCACACTTGGGTTCGAACGCCAGGATGGACAGCACATAGGTCAGGTTGCCGAGACAAGCAAACAGGAAGAACAGCACCGACACGCCCTCGGTCGACTTGCGCCGCCAGTTGAGCAGCAGCTGGGGCAGCCGCGAGCCCAGGTACAGCACGGCGCAGAGCCACCCAAAGACCTGACCCAGCGTGTTGAACTCGAGCGGATCCTGCTGGCCGTCACGCGGCGGGCCCGCATCGCCATCGCCGTCGCCGTCGCCGCCCCGCCCGTACGTCCGGCTCAACCACCACCCGGCCACGCCCGCGGCGCACACCATGAGCACGGCCAGGCTGTTGAAGGCGACCGCTTGCGTCCAGGTCGTCGGCGTAGGCGCGGGCGCCGTCTCGGGTTCCTCGCTCACGAACGGCACCGCCGGCGAGAGATGGGTCCAGGAGCCCCGCCGTTCGCGCTCCTCAATGCTGTAGTACGGCGACCGTTCCGGGTGGACAGACGAAGCGGCAGCAGCAGCAGCGCCTTCACCAACCCCACCAGTGAGCAACCCCGTCCGCTCGTTCGGCTCGCCGGCGTGGTAGTGCCCGTTTCCGTTTCCGTCTCCGTTGCCGTTGCGCCTCGACTTGGACGGTGGTGGTGGAGCGGGAGGGGCGACATGGTCCCGTAGGGTGAAGCCGCGGTAGTAGAAGCACTGCACCATCAGCACGAGGTCGGCGATGGTGTAGTAGACGGCGAGGATGAGCATGGTCGGCAGCACCCCCTGCAGCACGGCGCCCAGGATGTTGAAGACATCGCCGAGCAGCCAGACGACGACGAACTGGATCGACAGGCCCTCGGCGCTGCCGCGGCGGAAGTTCTCGACGATCTGGGGCGAGAAGACGACGACCCAGCAGGCGATGGATATGGAGCTGTGGGTGGTTTGTTAACATGGGGTGTTCTTCTTTTCCGGGAGGGTATGGATGGGATGGGGTGTGGTGTTGTGTTTTCAGTGGAACGAAGAGTGCAATGTGCTGCTGCTATAGGCGTACCCGCAAATGCCCGAGATGGCCTCAACGTCGAGGTTCAGATTCTCGGTTGGCGGCGCCATTGGGATAAAATCTGAATGCCAATGGTCCCTGTCAGGGAAAGATCGAAGGACTGAACCAGCAGAAACGGAGTTCGTCTCGAGACAAGATTGAAGAAACTTTTATCTCGAAACAAACGAAACGGCGGGTTGGGACTCCAAAAAGTTCTCTCCAAATTAGGCCTTGTCATGCGAACTCCGTTGCTAGCAATTGATAAAAGGTACGAAGTGAATGGTCTGGTCTGATGGGTGTTGCAAGAGGAAAAGTCTCGGGGGTGGTCCAAGTCAAGGGCGAGTCATGGATGTGCATTCCCCAATCAGAGGAAGAGTTGCATTCGAAGGTTTCTTTTTGTGGAGAAGGTGGACCGAGCGGAGCACTGCGGAGCTCGCTCTTTGATGACGTAATTACTGTTATGGGAACCTCCGCGTCTCCATCCATGCTCCTTGTATTAAACTGAAAGCTTGCGGAGCTAGATATTGTCTACCTCTTGGGAAAAAAGCATTTTCATACATACATAGGAGTCGATTGCGTTTTTAGTAGAGATTGTTGTTCGTTGTTTAATTCCCCAAGACTACCTCCAAGAAGGAGAATCTGCTGCTGGCTGTTCTCATTGGAGATACTTCGTACATGAATACACCGTAATTCTCGGCTCCTCCCCCACACAGCACAGAACCTTATCGATAACAACGAACAGCAACGCTGGTCGTCGTCCACTCATCGGACCTTAACTCCGGCTCTCGAACCCACGATCCATCTTTCTGCTCTATCAATCGATCAGAGGCATCGGGAACCGTAAGCTTACCTTGAGCTGAGTTCCTCCAGACAATCGATTACTCCGAAAACCGACATTACAATAACAACCGCACAACCCGAAAAACCAAAGCCAACGCGAGCTCCAATCCGGAAAGAAGCATAATCCTAGCACGACCTACGCCCGATCGGCCGGGACTTCTCGGTCCATGCCTCCACCGGCGTACATGCCACCCGCTCCTGGCCCGTCCAACCCAAACACGACTCCCTTCCAACCCCCATCGTCCACATCCCCAAACCCTTCCAGGCGAAGACGCCGCGTCGATTCCGATTCCGAATCGACCACGCCCCGCCCTGCATTCCGCTCGAACTCGAACTCGAACTCCAACTCGAACTCGAACCCCAAGCGCCCACGCTCCGAACACTACAACCCACCACCCACAACCTCAACCTCCCCATCCGTCACCACAATGTCCGCCAAAGTCCAGGGCAAGCGCCCCGAGGTGATAGACCTCACCTACAGTCCCGCGGGCGTCGCCAGCCCCGCGTCCCGTCAGTCGTCGCCCTATCACCACCAACCCCGCCCCGCCCTCCAACCACACCTCGGCTCCCGCCGATTCGTCATCAAGAACCTCCGGCCCGCATCCCAACCCGCACCAGCACCAACACCCACCCCAGACTCGGCGGCACCCGCCCCACCCTCAAAATCATCCTCCACAACAACAACAACAACGGCAACACCCCCAACCGCCGCAGCAGCCCCCGCCAGCACGGCCGTCGCGACGCACTACGCGCGCATCCTCGCGGACCTGGACGCCGCCCTGGACAGCGTCTTTGCCGGCCGGCCCGTGGCCGTCTCCATGGAGCGGCTGTACCGCGGCGTCGAGGACGTGTGCCGCAAGGGCGACGCCGCCGCCCTGACCGCCCAGCTGCGCGCGCGCTGCGACGCCTGGCTGAGCAGCCGTGATATGCTGGGTGGGCTGTGGGAGGGGTTTGATGCTGCCGGTTGGAAGGTTGTGGGTGTGAGTGGGAAGGGTGCGGGTGGTGGTGAGGGTGGGAATGGGGATGGGAATGGGAATGAGGGGGTGGGGGATGTGTTGTTGAAGGGGGTTGTGGGGAGGTGGGGGCGGTGGAATAAGGTGATTTTTGTTGTGAGGGGGTTGTATAGCTTTCTAGATCGGGGGTATCTGTTGTTGTTGGGTGGTGGGGAGGGGGCCAAGGGGAAGCAGGGGATTAATGAGATGGGGCTTTCGCTGTTCCGGAAGGCCGTGTTTGGCGGCTCGTCGTCCAAGGGGCAGACGGCCTCGCCGTACGGCAGGGCGGTGTTAGAGGGGGTGTGTCGGCTGGTGGACTATTCGCGGTATGGAGATGAGCGGGCCGATGATGAGCTTTTGAGGCAGGCGATCAAGATGCTGCGGCTTTGTGGCGTCTACGGCAAGTCGTTTGAGCCCATGTTTTTGGTCATGTCGCATCGCTACTACGAGCAGTTCGCCAGCGATGTGAGCGCCTCGTACGGCCTGAAGGATTACATCGGCGCGGTTGCGGCGGTGCTGGAACGGGAGGGCGCGAGGTGCGATGGTTTCAACTTCGAGAGCACCACCAAGCGGCAGCTGCTAGGCGATGCCCACCACGTTTTGATCGAGAAATACGCCGAAAAGCTACTCGACACTGGCAGCGTGGCGAAGCTGCTGGACGCCCAGGATGTCGAATCCATGAAGGCGCTCTACGAGCTGCTGAAGCTGTCTGGCCTGCAGAAACGGCTCAAGGGCCCCTGGGAGCTCTACATCCGGGAAACGGGCTCTGCCATCGTCAGCGATACCACCCGCGGAGACGAAATGGTCATCCGCCTGCTGGAGCTGAGGCGGTCCCTGGACACCATGATCCGGGATGCCTTCTCCAAAGACGACGTCTTCTACTACGGCCTGAGGGAGTCGTTCGGCAACTTCATCAACAGCAGGAAGAATACCTCGGTGTGGGGCACAGGCACGTCCAAGGTCGGCGAGATGATTGCCAAGTACATCGACATGCTCCTGCGCGGGGGTCTTAAGACGCTCCCCAAGTCGCTCTTATCGGACAACAAGGACAGGGCGGATGCCGAGATGAGCGGCGTGGCAAGCGCCGGTGACGAAGACGCCGAGCTGGACCGGCAGTTGGACTACGGCCTTGAGCTGTTCCGCTTCATCGAAGGCAAGGACGTCTTCGAAGCCTTTTACAAGAAAGATCTCGCGCGCCGCTTGCTCCTTGGTCGCAGCGCAAGCCAGGACGCCGAGCGGAGTATGCTCGCAAAGCTCAAGGTCGAATGCGGGTCTAGCTTCACCCACAACCTAGAACAGATGTTCAAAGACCAGGCGTTGGCCAAAGAAGAGATGGCATCCTATAAGCAGTGGTTTAGCGGCACGGGGCGGAGCGATGGCGGCGTCGACCTGACAGTCAACATCCTCTCGGCCGCGGCGTGGCCAACCTTCCCCGAGGTGAAGATTCACCTCCCCAAGGAGGTGCTCGAGCAGATCAACACCTTCGACGGGTACTACAAATCCAAGCACACCGGCAGGCGGCTGACGTGGATGCACAACATGGCGCACTGCGTCGTCGGAGCCCGGTTCAACCGCGGCTCCAAGGACCTCCTCGTCAGCGCGCCCCAGGCCGCCGTCCTCATGCTCTTCAACGAGGTCGAGGACGACGACCCCAAGAGAAAAGCCGCCGGCGTGCTCGCGTACGAGCAAATCTCCCAGTCCACCGGCCTCCAGGGCGGCGAGCTCGACCGCACCCTGCAGTCCCTGGCCTGCGGCCGGGTCCGCGTGCTGACCAAGCACCCCAAGGGCCGCGAGGTGGCCCCCACCGACACCTTCACGGTCAACAAGGCCTTCACGGACCCCAAGTTCCGCATCAAGATCAACCAGATCCAGATGAAGGAGACCAAGGAGGAGAACCGCGCGACCCACCAGCGCGTCGCCGCCGACCGCCAGTTCGAGACCCAGGCCGCCATCGTCCGCATCATGAAGAGCCGGAAGAAGATGACGCATTCTCAGCTGGTCGCTGAGGTCATCGACCAGACTAAGAGCAGGGGGTCGGTGGATCCCGCGGATATCAAGGCGAATATTGAGAAGTGAGTCTCGTGTTCTATTTTCGCTGTTTAATGTGTGGGTGTGGGTGTGGTGCAAGTAGTGCTAACGTGGTTTGATAGGCTCATCGAGAAGGACTACCTGGAGCGCGAGGACGGATCGTATACGTACTTGGCGTAGGCAACCTCTTGAGGCTGTGCTTGTGTGCTGTCGTTTGGGGTGGTGTGGATACGGGAGAGCGGGTGATGGGAAGGTGTGGTGTGCTTTGCGCCCTGTATTCATTGGAGGATGTCTGTCTCGTTAAGGTAGGCGAGACTCAATGGAACATTAGAGTGGGAGCTAGGTTCGGGTATTCCGTAGATAGATCCTCGCAGCAACTCAGGTGTGGCTATCTCATGCACGGTCTCTACAAGTTTCGTTGAGGAGGCTGTTGTTGATTCCGTCGACGACTAAGAACCACTCCCCCCCGTCAGCTGCCGTGTACAATACGGCACACACCACTGGATATACCACAGCCCGGGTATACTATAGGCTCGGTGTTACAAACCAGTCTCCAACCTTGTTCCTCACGCCTTTCTTGAGTTACGGTGACTTTGAGAGGGGCCCTTCTGCCGCTAACCGCCGACAGGTGCGGATGAGCGAGGCATATCCATCAAACTCGGTGTTCGGAAACGGCCCATCGTGATTGGTAAAGAGGATTAATGCTCGCTCTCCCCCGCCGCAGAATGGTCCAACACTGACAGCAACTCGTTGCGCCTGCAAATACCCGTGTCTTCGACGGCGCCACGGTGGTTGGCCTGCGGTTCCGAGTTCGGCAAGAGAGAATAAAGGACGAGAACTGTCCGGTTAGCGGCTGTGATCCCCCCTGCACGACCAGTTCCTGCACGCTGCGGTATGCGCTCTACTGGCGGTGCTGGTCAGGGCCAGCGGGGGTTTTTGGGGGCGATGAGCCATCGTGAGGCCATAACTAACTGAACGTCCGCGCAGCTCAGCCGGACGTTCCGCGCCACCTTGGCGTGCTTTGTACGGGTGGTAGCTATTACTGAGCACCAACTCACCACCGCTACGGTGCGGTCAGGCGGTCAGCCGTAGCACTACGTTAGATCTGCCCGAAGGACGGCTTTGAAAACGCCGTTCGGGACCTTGCAGGAGGTGCGACCCAACCTGATTCACTCGGAAACATGTTGCCGTCATGCCGTGCCACCGCCCAACCGTTAATAACCGTCGAGAGAGATTGGTTGGATGGTTGGATGGTTGGATGCTCCCAGATTCCTTCGAGGCTCCGGATAGCCGCATGGACCGTCCCCTTGACCGGCGGTTGCCCGCACAGAACCGGTCTCGAATCATCTTTGTGCGACTTTTGCAAGTTGACCGTTGACTACCTATTAATGTGCCAAGCTTGCAAATGCACGAAGGATCAATTGGTGTGCTCAGCGATGACGGACAAAATCAAACCACGCTCACGGTGCCCATAAGGCCAGCCTCAGCTCCATCACAGGTCGAGGTCTCGACCGAGTCCAGACCGATCTCAGGGTTACATTCCGTATGTGGGTCCAATTTTGAGCTGCCAATGATCCAACGAAGAGTTCAAGCGGTGGGGTCAATTAAACATCAGCGAAAAGACGAAAAATGCAATGGATGTGACCCACCTTTCCCATTTTCCTCCTCGGCACCGATTTTCTGGCCTCGCCGATCCGGCTGCTCCCTCCCCAACACCGGGCAAACCCACGTGGAACACCGCCGATCAATCACCCGGTTGTTTGCACCTCTGGATCCGAGTCCTGTGTCCGTATGTATGTACCTCCGAAGTAGTGTATTGCAGACCTCATGAGAACCTCGCACAGGAACTCCCTCAGATAAAGAGGTCGTCGGACCGTGCCTGCCCGGTTTGGAGACTCGCCCATATGTACAGACCTTCGAGTTATAGGCAGGCATGCAGGTAGGTTGTTCCTTCCATCTCCTTCTTTCTCCGGAATTCCCCAGGCAGTGAGTCGCAGTTATTGGACGAATGTTGGGCCCGGATTGAGAACTCAACGGTGCGCATGAAATCTCGCTTAAGCCCGATATTTTGTTTCTTGGTTCTCACAACTCCCAACTTGTTTTCGAAAATGACAGACACGAACATTTCTCACGCTCTACGAATAGTTATGTGCCAATTCATTTCCAACCCAGTTCCAACTTGTTTTCTAGCCGCTGGAGCCAATCTGTACCTGCGTGCCCCGCGCGCTTGGCCAGAGCACAGCGTCCGGCCCGCCATCCGATGATTGCTTCATCTCGGCTTGATATCATTCAGTCATTCAGCCATTCATCAGCCCGTGATGCAGTCCCTTGCTTTTGACACGTTGGATGAAGCTGAGGGGGCGGCCAAAGCTGGCACAGTACTTCTGTAGGTACACGACATGAGACGGTGCCGCAAACGCCTCCCCCATCGATACCGCCGTCTCCACAATTTCCAAGTATTCTCGTGGATGCCTTCACAAGCAAGCAAGCACCGCTTCGGGCAGGTCAGAATTCGTCACGCGTCTCGATACCATCGCTTCGATAATACATATCTGCGGGCTACCAATAAATCAACACACCACTGCTCTGTCGCCGGCTTGAAAGAACAGCCCAGCCCACCCCGTGCCGTCCTCGTTCATCGCCAAGATCTGAGAGGCGTTGGTGTGCCGCCAAAAGAGGAAAAGCCCGCTCAATAGACGATGGCCCCAGCTGCCCCAACCGGCCCAGCCCACAGCTCCCCTGAACTTGGAGCCCGGGGGGTGCTCGCCATTGGTTCAGAAAGCCCGATCGTGGTTTCTGCCAAGGGTCCCCAGCGGGTGGGTGGGTGGTCCAGCAGCCCGACCCCTGGAGCAGATCGTGGAAGTTGTTCTCGCCCATGCGCTGTGCCGCGTTTTGTTTCTATTTTATCATTGCTTGCTGCTCCAAGCCTTCCAACGCCCTCCGCCGCCCTTAGAACAACGTCGGTTGACAAGCCTCTCCGGTCCCTGATCGAACACCATACGGGACTTCGGACACGGTTAGCCATCACCATCACCACGACACAGGCACGGCAGGCCAGCTGAGAAGCATACAACCCACACGAAGCACACCACCCTTTGTGCCCTGCCCTCGTCGGTCAGTCGTCAGCTTGTTTGCCCAACTTGGCGGCGGCATTACGACCGAAATTCGATTGCTTGCCCGATTGGTGTCGCCCGCCTTCCGTCCGGCACTGCGTATATTTACCCGGATCGCCCATATTGGCGAACCCACTAGCACTCACGAGCGCCGAGTTCTCTGAGAGTTTCCCAGTTTCTTGTGACTCGAAACCTCTTCGCCAGGATCCCCGCGTGCTCTCCCCGCGGCCGAGAGAGTCTGGACCATCCGATATAATACGGACGACTGCTGCGTTCGTTGGCGAGGCTCGGTTGCAACTCCCGTCAACGACATCTCGACGGCCTGAAACTTAGTGTTGCAGTCCCGCATCCGCCAGACGCCGATCTGCCTGTCCGACCCGGGCAATTGGATACCCAGTCACTCGTTATACTACCGAGAGCCGTTGCACAGAGTGATGTTGCACCGGATCACTCCTGCAACTACAACGTCATGACCTCCACCGCAGTGTCATCCGGGACCGGCCACGCTCCCCGCCCGTTGTCTCGGCCGGACTGCCGCCTCCCGTCGGCGCACAAGCGGCAGACGGCACCATGGGTCGTGATACTCGCCGTCTTCCTTTGTTTCGTTTCACACACACTAGCAGCCACCCCAAACCCTGCCGCGCCGGTCGAAACTCTGGTCATCGACCACAAAGCGCTGCACAAACCGCCGCACCCGGAGGGCCAAAGATGGGCCATGTCACACGAGCACGAGATTCGGAGGAGGAAGGTGCAGAAACGGGCCACGTCGGACGAGCCCGAGGAATCAGACTCAACCGAGTCGTCCGAGCCTTCCAAGACGTCTGCAACCCACTCCGTGACGACGACATTCTCCATCGGCGTGGGCTCGCCGAAGTCCTCTAGTACCAGCACCACTGTGGCCGCCAGCGCTCTCCCCAGCATCCTCGACAGCGTGGCTGCGGAATTTTCTCTGGGCCCCAACGGCGAGCCCGCGCCCTGTCCGATCTTTATCAACTCTTTCCTCAATGACCCCGACTTCAAACAATGCTACCCCCTGTCGATGCTCTTCAGTGTAAGTGCAACGCCAGAACCCGTTCCGCTTTCCATGCCTAACCCCCGCGACAGGGATCCCAGTCCTTCTACGATGCCCAGACCTCGCTCGTCAGCATCACACGCACTCTGGACGCAACCTGCGCCGCCGACGTGACCTTCTGCACCTCATACCTGAAGCAGCTCGCGCAGAACCTCACCGCCCCCGAGAACTGCGAGGCCGACTATAACCGCCGCTTGCCCTCTGTCATGGACATCTACCGCGCCATGGTCGCCTACGAGCCCGTCTACAACGCCGGCTGCCTGCGCGACCCGGAAACGGGCGCCTACTGCTACGCCAACGCCGTCACCAACCAGACTAGCTCCAACTTCACCTACATTTACTGGCTGCCGCTCAACCTTACCCTGCCCGGCACCACCCTGCCCTGCGGCTACTGCCTGCGGCGGACCATGGCCATATACCAGCGCGCCACCGCCGACCGCACCCAGCTGATCACCAACACGTACGTCGCCGCTGCCGAGCAGGTCAACACCATCTGCGGTCCGAATTTCGCGAACGAGTCGCTGGCGGATGTCTCCGTTTCCGCCGCGCCGACCATGAGCCGGTCGGCGACGTGGCTGGGGACGGCATTGCCGTTGGCTTTTGGGCTCGTCGTGTGGCTCATTTGAATGTCGAGGGGTGATCAAGCTTTGATCTTCTTTCTCTTCTTTCTTCCATCGCCTTTTTCTTTTCTTGGTTACTTGGTTTGATGGGTTAGGGCAGGATAAAAAGCGGTGGGCCGGCTGCATTTGGAGGCTGGCGTTTTGCAGGCTTTTGTTTTTTCGAGGGGGGTAGCGGGTGAGCAAGCATGGTGTTATAGGTGCTATTTTGAGTTAACTCGGCTGCCTTTTACGGATGGTTATGAGGCTTGGGAATATATGAAATCTCGTCAGCAGCGATGGGTTTTGCGGCGAGGACTTGGGACGAGCTGCGGTATTGGTATTGGTTTGGTCCGTCGGTGCATTGGCGGCTTGCGTTGAGTTATGATACCTTCCTGTATATATTTCGGGCCGCGTGGTCTACGTACTGGATGTTTTTTGCGGTACTTCCAGTCGGTAGGTGGCTGGTTGGTAGGAAATGTAATGTTTAAGATGCCCGCTCGTTCTCGCTGTGATGTTGTTGCGTGCTGGGTTGGGGGACCCTGGTGCAGCATGGAATCTCATCTCGTTCAAGGTTCTGACCGCTGAGCCATCAACCCATTGTCGCTTGGCTAATTCTCCTCGAAAGACTCCTGTACTGTGTTACTTGTGTGTGGTGTTTTGGGTGGCTTAGGATATGGCTCAGGGGTTTGTTTACTTCCCAGGATCTCAATGCCCTGCCCTGGTCACGGTCATTGTTCAACAAAAGCTCAATGTATCTGAGGACTTGAACGTATATAACACTTCATACGTATAGTCCTGATTGCCTGCCACATTGTGGGTTCAATTGATTCTGGCTGGTTGGTAGGTGTGGAAGACACCGGGTATCCGATATTGGGCAGCGATGGAAAATGCTCTGAAAACAATGCTGTCTTGGGTCTACAGGTGATTTTAGGCACATTCTTGTATTGCACAAAGAGGACCTGTAAAAAGTTGGAAGTCATGAATCGTGCCCTAGAAGCTAACCGATAGGGCTACACGGAGCCACAGCCTGGATAACGGATCAGATGACCAGCTGACGCCAGTGATGAGGGGAATACTTATATAGGTTCGGACGAAGATGTCCTTATACTCACGGATCCGCTTAGAACCTCTGCGAGGGCGGCGCACGGTGCTAGAGCAGCTGAGATACCACGTCGTCTAAGCGTCATGACACGATTCTAGCGTGGTCATAGCTACTGCTGCCTCCTCACCGTGCATAAATACGGGCCTGTTCCGTGCTTCTACTTTCCCACCTTTTCCTTTGCTTTGCTCACCCGAAGATTAACGAGTCCGCATCGCAATGTCCGGCCTTGCATCTGCTTCTTCGTCCGGTGCCCCGACTCCCGAGTCCATGGGCAACCCCGATGGTAACTTTTCTGTCCCCCAAGGGGCGTCTCCTGACAGTCCACCTCCCCCGGGCTTTCGTCGTGCACCAATAGGTCCTCGAGGCGTTCAACAGCCGTACCTCCGGCCGTACCTCCCGCCGCAGCCGCAGCGGCCCCTTGCGGCACCGTCATTCACTGGTCCCGGGACCTCATCACTATCGCCAGACCCCACGGACCCTTCTTTGTGCCCGAAAGAGCATCATCTCCTGGAACCGGCACCTCCCGGATACCACTGGCTCCAAGACCCCGCAACCGCGAACGACCAGCCCCGACATCACCCGCCCCAACCGGCGGCCCTCCCCGACCGCCAACCGACCACGAGACAAAGGGAGCCCGTACCCGCCAACCTCCCTCCTAAACCGTCCAACCTCCCCCCCAAACCCGCCCACCACCCCCCGCACGCGCTCTGGTGCCCCATCACCCTGTCCTGGTACCCACCCCTCCCCAACACCTGCTACTGCCCGCTCTTGCCCACGGGGCCGCAAGACAACAACGACAACAACAACAACAACAACAACAACACGGCCTGGGTCCGGGGCAGCAGCGGGGTCCCGCCGCACGCGTGGCTGCTCCGCCCGCAGGGGTATGACGTGTTCCCGGCGCCGTACCCGACGTCGGAGTGCGCGCGCTGCCGGGACATGGGCCGTTTGGGGTTGGTGCGTGATGGGTGTCCGGTTCATGATGGACCGGGCTGGTCATTAAGGTAGGGCGGAGGGATGGCTACCATTGTGTGTTTGTTTTGCTGTTTCTGTTGGAGGTAGTGAGCATGGAATCTGTACTTGATACATGTGGTTGTTGTTGCGTGAGTAGACGGAACTGGGCTGAGATTTATTTTGTGATTAGATGGCAACTATGATATGAAGCAGAAATGGAGAGAACTCACTCCAACATGCTGAACCCACGGGATTTTCTTTGACCCATGCCGATGACATTGAATAAGCAGATCCCGATGGTGCTGGTGGGCGAATTACTCATCACTTCGCTCACTGTCACTGGTGGGCGACGTCGGTGGAGCGGCGCCGGCTCCGACCCAGCGGCGATGGACCCCGCTCCCGCGCAGATCGGAAATTCCGGGCTGCTACTATTCGTAGGTAGATCGGTACTCTTGATCCAGCGCAGAATCGTACCAAGTACCTATCATAAGCGGGCAGGATATAAAAAGCAAACGCCAACTCACAGCCGTCACTCACCTCTCCCACCCAACTCACGCCCAACCACCCACCCCTAAAGTCATCTCCCACCCATCAGACCGCCATCCATCCATATAGTCCAACTCTACTCTTACTCCAACACCCACCCCCAAATCCCAAAATCCAACTCCCAAATCCCAAAACTCCAAACCCCAAAAACCCAACTCCCAAAACTCAAACTCAAACACACACAACCACCACCACCACCATGCCCACCCCATCCCTCCCAACCCTTCCCCTGGAAACCTCCCACCTCTCCCAAAAGCACGGCCGCGAAACGGCCAACTACTTCTCCGGCAGCCCGCTCAACCGGCTGTCCTTCCTGCGCGCCGACACCGCCTTTTTGCGCGCCGCCTTCGCCCACCGCGACGCCCGCTTCCTCTTGCTCAACGGCCTCGCCCCCCTCGTATGGCAGGCCGACGGGACGCGGCTCGCGTTCGCGACCTACGCCGACGTGGCGCCGCTGACGGGGCCGGAGCCGTTCGCGCGGACCGAGGAGGAGATGGTGGCGGGGTTTGATTCGGGCGTGGAGGGGGTGACGGTGGTGTTTTTGGGGGTGGATGAGAAGGCGGGGGTGGTGGTGGTGGATGAAGGGGAGGGGGAAAAGCCGGGGGTGGAGGAGTTGCAGCAGGAGGGGTTTGCGTATAAGGATTTCAAGGGCGCGCCGTACTTTGCCGTGGATGTCACGCCGAGGGGGGGGTTGGCTGGTAAGGCGGAGGCGTTGGTTAAGGGGATGGTGGAGAAGGGGTGTACGTTCAAGGAGACTACGCCGCGGAGTATGGGGTTGCAGGCGGGGCAGGGTCAGTTCATCTCTCTCTCTCTTACACCACTTACGCGTCCCCTCTTTCACCCACCTGTCGAGATGGGAGCTCAGCGATATTGATCTGGTACTGACACGCAACCCCCAACCAGCCGCCATGTACGGGCAGGCGCGCGCGCTGGTGGACTGGAACGCGCGCACGCCCTTCTGCGCGCAGTGCGGGCAGCCGACGCTCTCGGTGCACGCGGGCACGAAGCGGGTGTGCCCGCCGACGGACAGGGCCGGGGTGGCCGAGGGGGAGCCGGCGCGGGCGCGGCGGCCCTGCGCGACGCGCGGCGTCGTGTCCAACCACAGCTTCCCGCGCACCGACCCGACCGTCATTATGGCCATCGTCAGCGCCGACGGCACCAAGGTGCTGCTCGGCCGCCAGCGCCGCTGGCCCCAGTACTGGTTCAGCACGCTCGCCGGCTTCCAGGAGCCCGGCGAGTCCATCGAGGAGGCGGTCCGCCGCGAGGTCTGGGAGGAGAGCGGCGTGACCGTGGGGCGGGTTATCCTGCACAGCTCGCAGCCGTGGCCGTTCCCGGCGAGCCTGATGATCGGCGCCATCGGCCAGGCCGTGCCGGGGGATGGGGAGAAGATCTACCTGGGACACGATGCCGAGCTGGAGAGTGCCAAGTGGTTCCCGTTAGAGGAGGTGAAGGAGGCGTTGGCGACAGGGACGAGCAACATGGGCGAGGGCGCGCCCGAGGGCTATGTCGAGGGCGACTTAAGGCTGCCGCCGCAGACGGCCATTGCGAATCGCTTGATAACCGCTGTGGTTGAGGAGTGGTGGGTCCAGCCGAAGATGTAGAAGCGCAGAGGGAGGGGCAGTTATAGACCGGATAGAGCATGATAGAACATAGATGGGCAAGGTGTCATGGCCATCGGACTGTGTAAATTGGAAAGATTTATGAATCCATCCAACGTCAGCCTCGAAGACAGCAATCCGGGTTTCAACATTACGACTCGCGTGCTTTTGGAGCTGGCTAGCTTGACATACTGCATGGAAGAACTGTTTACTCCCCGTCGCATAAGATTTAATAATGAAATTCTCGAATCCCGCAGCATGGGCATCCACGAAGCAAAAGACTCCATCTCAACCTGCAAGCTGAGCACAGGAGTGGTGGGTTGCCGATTCCGCAACAGCATTCAACGAGCAGCAGCCTCAGCCAGGCGGGCCCCACCAAGCCCCAGCTGCAGCCAAGCCCTAACCAATCCTCAGCCAATCACCCCACCCCAATCCACACCCCACCCATCCTCCCCCGCCCCACCCGCAAAACGTCCATAAAAAAACTTTCCCACCTCCCCAACTTCCTCCCCTTCCCTTTCCCTCCCTCATCAGCAACACCAAAACTCGCAAGAGGGGACGCCCGTCCGTCTCCCCTGCACCGCCACGTGAAGCGGAAGATAGGCATTTCAAGGGCTTTTACCCCCCCTTTTGCGACGTCTTGGTGTTGTTGACCGGCGGCTCCGCACAGCGGCTTGCTGAGGGTTAGTCTCTTTCCTCGATGATTCTTCCTCCGTTCCCGGCCTCCAACAGCAACGTCCTCCTCCGGGGGGGTGCGTTAGACCATCTCTTCCCTTGATACTTAGCTGCGGACGGCGACTCGCCGAGGTCCGCGGCCGTGGGGTGGTCTCGACATATCTTGTTTTGTTTTTTGTGCATTTGTGCGTTTGTGATGCCATGGTGTGGTCGGTGTGTGCCTGTCAAATTGCTGGATTTGTGCGGGTTGAGTGAGCACTCGAGCGACTGGGCTTATCGCGCGGTGCGATCCGGTGACAACCTAAGCTTGTTTGGATGCGAGGGCTGGAGTAAAAAGCAGTCCTCGTCGTGTCCCCTCCAGTTAAGGCACGACATGCTCCATGTGAATAGGCCCAGAAAGAGCGCGGTTTGTCGAGTGCGCATGATTGGGTTTTCTCGCTGCGAGATGGCGTGACGGTAATTCATCACGGCACAATGTCAATGCCTACCTAGCCAAGTGATGGGATGCCAGTTCGTTCAATCAATCAGGCCGCCCGTCTGGCTCGTTCTGCATACAACAGCGGAAAAGGCCATGGTCGTCAAGAGGCATGATAGAGATATCGTCACATCGGCGCCGGGAAAGAAAATCACAGAGCAACCGTTATTCATTAACTATGATACCGAGTCTTCGCCAGCCTTCGCCAGCGAGATTCAACCATGCTATGAATTATGCTCTGTGTGGCCCGAGTGACCCCAGACCCTTTTCATCACCCCGCTTAGTAGATGCGCTTGGGGGGCGACATGGTAGCCTTGATGGTGAGGCTACCAACGTTCTGCCAGCCCTTCTTGAGCAGCGAGACCAGGTAGTTGATGGCCAACATGATGTTGGCGATCAGCTGGTCCGAGGTCATGCCGACGTTGCCGACGGCGACACCCATGCACAGAACCTTCTTGAGCTGGAACTTGACGGTTGACTTGACCTCGGTAATCTTGGCGCTGAGGTCGTCGGCGTGCGAGACGGGGGTGGGGAACTTGCCGGCTGTGGACGGTTAGTGTCTGCTGTTGCCAGTGCGAGGGTGCGGCGGGGTTGATTGAACTTACCCTTGGACAGACCGGGGCCAAGAAGACGGGGGATCTGCTTGATCAGGGTGTCGGAGGCGACGAAGGCATCGTACTTGCGAGCCAGCTTCTTGATGAGCTTCTTGTTCTTGTTGAGCTTCTTCAAGTCGTCGGCGCTCATGGCGTCGACACCGCCGTGCTTGGCCCTGTCGATATCGTGCTGGTCACCCAGGATGCAGATGGCCATGTTCGGGCGGGGGACGGAGGGCAGCTTGACAGTGCCGGAGAAACCTGGAGTTTTGGTTAGACTGCAGTCGCTCCTAGTTCGGTGTCGCTCGACGTACGCTTGTCACGCTGGGGGTCATAGTTCTTCAGGCCGATCTGGAGTCTTTGTGGCTGTTAGTTGGCGACTTCCAAGTTGATACACTCATTTGTGCGGGCGGCTTACTCGACGGTCTCCAGAAAGTTACGCTTCTTGGTCTCGTTGCTGTACTCGAGGAGCTCAGCAACGTTCTGACGCACACCGGCTGTGAACTGGTTAGTCTGGGAATCACCGAGTCGTTGGTGGCAGTTATCGCATACCGACGGTAATTTTAGACATGATGGCCGTCTTCCAGTAGAATTTCTTCTATAGGTGAGGTTTATTGCGTCGTTGACGAGAAAGTTGCGAAGTTGGAGTTCGAGGGAATGAATTTGCGACCGCACTGGGGCATTTTCAAGTGTGGGACAGCGGGGAGTGCTGCAAGAATACGCTAGTCCATATTGGGCTGACCGTGGCTTTGTGGGGCAGGTGGCGACAGGTGGTAACCAGCAGCTCTGCACGAACAACATATGACCGCCGGAACATCGACGACGACATCGATGACGACTCTACCTATAGATGGCATCGACTTGGTCTGTGCGTTTTATTCGAAGAAGCTACTGTGGAGGTTGGCCCAAGCCTGGCCACCAGAAAGTTAACTTGCTCGAACGTTCATGGCACTGTTCCGTTGACTCATCTCGGTGTGCCTCGAACTATTCGGGTTTCAGGTGGAGTGACGGTGCCCTCCGGCGTTATGCGTTATGGGCGCATGAATGAGACGAAAAAACCGATGTAATTGTAAACCCCGCGCGTTGCTCCGGTGGTAACTCCCAGAGACGTCGCGGCGCCGCGGCGCTGTGAAGACCGCGCTCTTTTGTTTGATGGCCGCTACCTTCCTTGCTATTCGCCGTCATCAGTATCCGAGGAGGACTGACGCATTGGAGGCAATGGGGAAGCGGATGCGGATGAGGCGCTGGAGTCAGTCTGAGCGCCGGTCCAAGTCGAAGGTGGTGGTGGAGGCGGAGGTGGCGGTAAGAATGCCCGACTGGCATCTACCTTCCCGTATCTCCTCGGATGCCAACTGTCACCTAGAGGAGATATAAAATCGGATAGGTCCACGGGCACACCACTTTTCCAGTTCTCCTTTTGAAGCGTCTGGCTGTAATCAAAACCAGCCCGCCAAAGGAAATCCAAGACTCGCTGCATCTGACCCGTGTCGTTATCACCTTCCGGGATGTACTCGTACATGATGGCAAAGTGATGCTGACCGCTCACTATACAACGGTCGCCGAACTTGGGCAATCTGACAAATATCGGGCGCAGTCGCCGCTGCGGTAGGTTGTAGAGATACTCGCCGTCGATCTTCAGCCAGCCGAAGCACTTTTTCACACGCGGAACTGATGAGATTTGCACACTGTCAGCGTCTTTCACCTGCCCTCTCTGGCGGCCCTCGGTGGAGAAAGCCAACATATTGTCAATGGCGTCCTCGTAGCCAACCGGTCGAGAGTGTACTCGTATGGGAAGAGTGTCTGTGTCATGACTAGCCGCAGCTGCCATCTTCTCCAGGAGCGCAGCGTTTTGGGCCTCTCGCTGAGCCGCATAATAGAGCTGGTGCTTTGGCGGCGGCCTGGTATCCCAAAACTAGCTGGTGTATCAGTCCAACTGTCAAGATTGACGCGAGGGCACCAGTTAACGTACTACTTTAACAGCAAAGGGACCCTGGTCGCCAACCATGACTTTCCAGACTAGCCCGTCAAGCCCACCACTCAATAGAGCAACCCACGAAATAGCGGAGAGATCGAAAGGACACCGCCGGAGGAGGGGCTGCTGAAAGGCGGCTTCCGAACAATCGGGAGGGCCAACCATCGGCGCTTCATCGTAAAACGGCCGGTTTATGGGCTCAGCGTTGCGGTGATGAACTCGTCGAGACATTGAATCTGTTAGAAAAAGAAAAAAAAAAGCATGAATTGACCTGCGAGAACGACGATAACGGTGGTGTTTGCAAGTTGCAAAAAGAAAGAAGCCAAAAAGGATGGATGTTCTCAAGCCCCCAGGCAGCCGTCAGGGCGCCAAGAGCCTGGTCGTCTCAGTGGTCGGGTTGCCAATGAGCCAATCTTGCCCAAGTCCGGTCGTGGAATTTAACATATATTTTCGTGTCCGTCTGCGACGCAGACCCAGCGGTATTGATGTCATGAAGCCCCCTTGAACGACACAACGACTTGTAACCACATGGCACTAGATATCCCTGCCGACACGCCAACTCAGTCCCACAACCATGGACACAGCTGACAGAAGTAGTAAACCCGATTCGACCATTCTAGGCACGCCTTACACCGGGGACCGGGAACCGGGGGCTCGGGGAGGAAAAGGCGGGCTCAAGCCTTGATGATAAAGCGCCTCCTTCTAGTGCTAGCAAAGACTGCGCATCCCCGTGATGCGTACTGCCCGGCTTGTACTTGCTGGTATCCGTAGCCTTGGATGGGTTAAAAATAACAAACGTCAGTAAGAGAACGGCAACAGCTATGGCAAATATCCAGGGGATGTCCTCCGCTCCGGCAGTTCGAGGCGGCGACGAGCAGATGTACACATACCTGGATCGTATGGGACACCTTCAGGCTCACTGGAAGGCCCATTACTTGGTTTGACCGGAGCGGGATCATGGTTTGGTCTCGGTCTGATGCTCAGCCCTACCGAGCTCATGGTGTGTCGTGGGGTTCGATAGGTACTTGGTTTCTGCTCCGCAAGGCCTGGATGATGCGCCAGAAATGTGAGGACTGGAACTAGTTGAGAAGTTGAGAGTGTGATGCTCGGTTCGGATCCTGACGTGCTTCTCTTTTGGCGTCGGTTCAACTCCCTCTTATATGCGTAGGGCCCATCGTTTATGACCCCCAACGGTAGTCACTAGAGGAATTGTTTGATGCTTAGGCGGCGCCTCTGACTCTCAGTGTTCCGAAGAACCAAGGTGACAGCCATCGCACAAATCGCCGCCGTCCAACCATGTTTCTAAGCGCACAGGACCACTCCCGTCGCCAGCGGTAGATAGCAGCCGCGTTTGTACGGGACTCAGGACATGCAACGGGACGTTTTACGGCCCATGTTCCTTTGAGATCCAACCCCTTTGACCCCTGAGCAACGGCCAGGAATTGCATATCCTATCAATCTCCTCTTACGGGTCGAGCAACCTTCGGTGTTGGCCGGCTACTACGCCATCGGCGCGAGTTGTACACGGCATGCAGAGGACCGGATGGACTAACGATACGATATAGAGTAAGGAGACGGTGACCACGAGGGGCAGGCTGCCGGCTGAGGATGGAGTGGTCTCGAACGGAAACGGGTAGGCAGAGCGCAAACCCGAACCAAAATAGGAACATAATGTTTGGTAAGGGTGCTGGTGAACCACGAGTCATTCCCGGACAGGACGATCCCGTCGGGTGCTGGAGTCTCCTAACGGGAACCAACCCCCATCCGTTCGTGAGAACGACGACGGGCTAGCCAGCATCTGCGAGAACCCACCACCTTACGTCTTCCTTTTGTCAAGGTGCAGGGTCAGTATCCCTACCCAGATCCCGTGTGGCCTTTGGACTTCATGGTCAGACGCAGCCTGCCGCCGCACCTGGACCTGAAACGGTTCGATCGGGGCACGGCCAGGTCATGGCGAATGAGTCGAGCCTTTTTAAAAACGAACATCTCGATCGCGCAGGCGCAAAGCAGCCAGATGGCGAGATCCTGTCATATCCTAGCAGTGTAACCCATCGCCAACAGCGGGGACACATGGCACCTTGTACGCGAGCACAGGCTGTGGGTAGCCGCAAGACACGCCGTCATATGGACTCATCAGAGAGGATGGAGCTGGCTTAGTGGAATCTTGGGACAGGTTTCCAGCACATCGAGCTTGTGGTGAAAGAAAGAATGTCGGGAACCCCCGCCACCAGAACCATGGGCCATTGAGGCTCAAGTTCTAGTTCCCGAAGGAAATCATGGCAGGGAGACCCAGAATTCTCTGGCACGCAATATGACCGATGGCGAGTGAGAAATGTCAAAACCGGTTGATTTATGGTGCTAAAAGTGTATGGAAGAAAAGAAGAAGAAAAAAAAAGAAAACAACGCCCAGACTGAGGTGTTGTCCAGGCTCGGAAAATCGTGCATGGGCGGGGCCAGGTGTCGCCGGCACGACTCGGGCCGGCAGGAGGCACGGGCCATGCCAATTTCAAGGCCTTGGCCCCACCATCCTCACTGATAAAAAATCGCTGAGCTCGAGAAATTCCTTTTCCTGCAACTCCAAAAGTTTTGGGCTCGAAAAAACCGAAAGGTGTGCAACGCTTCACGCTCTTGCCTGAGCGACCGCGATTTTTACGTTGCGGTGTCCCTCGTAACCTCATCGGGGCACAGTCAGTTACACCAAGGTTTTCTTTCGTTACCGCGATGCCTCGCGGTCTTGCTCTGCGCATCTCTGCTTTGTTGCGAAGCGTGTCCATCCCGAACAGCTTCGGAATTTCCCAGCCCTCGACTTGACCAGAGTCGGGGCACCCTTTAGCGAAACCACGATTTGCCTACCTTTGTGCCCTTCCGTGCGCAATAGGTCAACTTATTATATCGTTCGCAGTGGAAGAACAATCCAACGGCCTAGACAGCCAGTCTTATCCACCCTGCTGCCGGGCAGTTCCCGTACGGTAGCAGGACTAAAACGGACATACATTTCATTACCGACACGTGCTGTGCGTTCTTGTGTGTACACAAGCCCTGGGTGTGCTCCAGGCTGTAATTCTATCTATCGTCCCATCGTATCGACATCAATCAACATGTTCCATGCGTCCCCGGGAATCGCTCTCTCGCACCACCTTGAATCCCGCCGTCTCTCCAAAACGCCAGAAAGGATAAAACAAAAACCATCAGAACCGCTCTACGTCTTCCCGTCAAAGATGTACTTCTCGTCGGTGAATGAGAGCAAGAACTTGGCGACCAGCCTGCCGGTGTAGTTGTAGGCCACGTTGCGAGGGTACGGGTGGTCCTCGATGTTGGGCAGGATCGGGTCCGCCGTCAAGTAGTCCAGTTCAGACCCTGTCTTGGTTAGCATCGTGCTTTGCGGGCATCCGGAGATGGTAAACTTACAGTCATCATCGATGAAGCGCCTCAGCTCCCGCACCATGTCGCCCGCCTCGCGGTCTAGCTCGCCCAGCTCAAAGCAGGCATCATCGATGAGAGGGTTGAAGCTGCGAGCAGCCGCGTCGCGCGAATGCGTTTGGTAGATCTGGTGGAACTGGAAGGCGAACTGCTTGAAGGGCATGTTCTCGATCTCCCGGTTGACCCCGAGCACGAACGACCGCTGCCACGCGGGGGCGTAGTGGCTCCGCAGGTTGATCTCGTTGTCCGAGATGACGAACATGTCGGCCGCCATCTCGACCGACTCCATGAACAGGCACAGCACCAGGAACGACGCCAGGCACGGCGCCCACTCCCTGCGCAGCTTGGGCTTGAGCGACTTGCTGAAGTTCTCGAAGAGCAGCTGCATCTCGCGGCACAGCATCTCGTCGACGACGGCCTTGATCTGCCGGTTCAGCACCCGCGGCGTCACCCAGGGCACCCCCTGCGGCACCAGCCCGGTCGACTGGAGGTCGACGATGTTCTCCTGTGTCAGGCAGAGGTGCCTCGTCATGACGAAGTGCATCGCATAGATGGACAGCGCCCGCCGGACCATGGGCACGTCGCACCGGTGGGCGTAGTCGTGCACGATGCGCAACACCTTCCTCGGCAGCTCCGTATGCTGCGGCGCCGGCGTGACCAGCTCCGCAAACCGCGGCTCGTCCACCAGGGCCTGGATATACTCCCTCAGCTTCCTCTTGAGCTCCCCCTTCTGCCCATCCCCACCCTCCTTCCCCCCTTCTCCCCTAGGCATCTCCAACCCGATCGGCGCCGCACCCCGCGACGCCAGATCCATCCCATTCCTCCCCATCTGCATATGCCAATGCTGCAGCACATCCGGGCTCCGCGCCGTAAAGAACTTCGCCCTCACCTCCAACACACTCTTCCTCCCAAACCCGACCCCAGACACCAACGCCACCGTACACGGCACCTCCACGCCACCCACACTAAAACACTCCACATTCCCCTCCACAAACCTTACCACCTCCTCCCTCTTCAAATGCCCCCTAATAAACCCCGGAAACAGGATACTCGTAAAATCCCCAAACTGCCAGCAGACCACCTGCGGCACGGAGCCCGCCAGGCGCACGCAGTTGCGGCACGGCCGCTCCTTGTCGCACCGCACCTTGCGCGCGTGGCAGCTGAAGCAGGCGCCCATGCGCCGCACCACCAGCGCCGACTGCTTGGTGTCGGTCGCGAGCGGGCCCTTGCGCCCGCGCTGGGTCGGGCCCCGGGCCAGCGCGTCGACGCAGTCGAAGGGGTTGAGGTTGGGTTGGGTGGCGGTGTTGAGGGTGATGGAGGAGGGGGTCACGATGAGGAATTTGGAGGCGGCGGATGCGGATGCCGCGGAGGAACTGGAGGAGGAGGAGCCTGAGGGGGAGGCGGAGGTGGGTGAGGGGTGCGGGGCGGTTGGGGGGGTTCGGCGTTTTTGGACGCGGTTGGTGGTGTTGAGTTTGCGGGAGGCGGGGATCGCTTTTGGGGCCGAGGTGGGCGCGGAGGTTGGGGATCTGCGCCGGTCGGGGAGGCCTGGCTCGAACTTGATCTGCTGCGCTGGGGAGTGTGGGCTGCCGGTGGGGGGCGGGCTGACGGAGACGGAGTGGAGGGAGGGGGAGTAGGCGTGGGACGGGGACCGCGAGACGAAACTCGGGTCTTCGATTATGAAGATCGGGGAGGCTTCGTTGGCGGGCGGGGGGGTGTTGTTGCTGTTGCTGGTGTGGGCATAGGAGTGGGTGTGAGCGTGGGCGTGAGTGTGGGCGTGGGAGTTGATCTCTTGGTTGACCCTAAGGTTAACGTGCTCCCATGGTGGCACGTTGATACCCGACTGCGGGTTCTCAAAGCCGCCCGTCTCTAGTGGTTGTTGCTCCTCGAGTATGCTGGTGGAGGAGAAGTGGTTGAACACGGGGTCGAACTCTGCAGCGATAGTCAGCATACCGCCCTCGAAAAACCTGCTAAACACCCACACACCCTCACCATTGAACTGATCAAACACGAGATCAGCTGGCGCGTCGGCTGGAGCCAAAAAGTCTAGTCCATGGTTCTCCAACCCATGGTTGCCCAGTCCATGGTTCTCCAGTCCGTGATTATCCAGCCCGTGGAAGAAGCTCACGTCTCCATACACACCACTCCTGCTCTGCTCGACGGCTGTTGAATAAGGGCTCAGCTGGTCGAACTCTCCATGTAAAGGCGATGGCAGAGCCGCCGGTGAAGGTTGTTGCAACTCGACAAGTTGGCCATTTTGTAGAACGGCCCATGAACTCCCTAAGCTGTGCGCCGGGCTGGACAAGAGCCCGAGTGATCCGGAACTGGGGTTGCTGATCGCCGTCCAAAAGGCTTCATCCTGATCGCCTGTTGAATCCTGGGGAAACTCGTATTCGAGGCCCGAGAGCGGCGATGTACCCGATGAGACTGATGCCGATGCCATGGCCGCTGAGGTGACGGTGCCGGTTGCACCGATCCAGCGATGTACTGTGTTTGCTTGTCTTTCGTCGTGCGTTCCGTTCGAGTTTGTGTTGTAGTTGTCCGCCACCATCTGCCGTCAACCGTGGCCAGAGCGCACCGAAGGGTGTTGTTTGTCCTCGGTCAGGGGCGGCGAAACGTCGCGCGGGGGATGGTGTTCGTCCGGTCTGACGGTGGCTGTGTGAGAGAGGGGGATCAAAGCACGGGTTTCCGTGTGTGCAAGACACCGAGTTTCGATACACAACGGGCGAATATCACAGTAAAAACCGGTAGGGGCAAGATGGATTTTCCTGGATGGGAAACCAAATTCAAGAGAAACCCTTGTCGTCGTCGCATGCGGGGCGGAGGGTTGATCTTAAAGCAGGCGGCCTTGACAATCCCCCATGCTCAGCCTCGAGGGGCTAAACTCGAACGAGCGACCGAATGGGAGGCCAGCCGGGCAGAACGTGGATGGGGGGGCGGGAGACAGGGATTGCCGATCTCCCTCTCGGCGTAAGCTAGCCCCTTTTTGATCACCGAGGCCACTCTGCCGGGCCGGCTTGCATCTGCCGTACACACCGAAGTCCTGGAAGAGCGAGACTATAAAATGGAGCTCGCCCCTTGCTCGGTGACGAGACAGAGTGACTCGCCATTTTCTTACCAATCGGGGCTTTGCCCTGTTGTCGTGGGTTAAACAAACTTTATGTTGTGAGCCTGCTACGCTGCTAGGCGGTCGCGAAACGTCAGGCCTCCCTCATCCTCGGTGTATAAGTGAGTGTAACACAGCGGGGGAACAAGGTTGCTTCTGTCGGGAAGTTGACGACGTGCTACTACTGATGAGTCCGTTTAAAGTGATACAAATATTCTGCAACATCAAATAGCATAAATGTAGTCAGACATCAACGGGATGACTTGGCTGGGGCTGAAATACGATTAAACAATGCATAAAACACAAGTACTAACTAAAAAGCAGAGTGCCTACCCAAAAACACACAGATCTTGCCATCCCAGCAACCTTCTAGCAAACGTGTTCGAACGAGATAAGCCTCCCTCCCAGTGGTCATCAGGTTGTCTCATAGCTCCGCTCCAGAGCGTCTGCGAAGAGTCGAGCGAAAAGGAAACAAACGGCATCAAACTCGCAGTAACATGACCAAGCCAGCCGCGCGCATATCCTCCCTCCGACAAGTGAGCGTCATACCAAAGCCACGGAATAAAATCCGAGGAAACAAGCCATAAACAGCGAAAAGTCATGAGCTAGAGAGCAATGTGTATCCATCGGCCCAGCCCAGCCCGCAAATATCATCGGACAAGTCCTCACTGCATCGGCAACAATGAGAGGAATCCCCGGCATAACCCACGCTTCCTCCGAAAGGCCCATCTATTGTTGCAAGGCCGTCATCATAAACAAAAAACCTCCAGTGGTCGAGTCACCGTCGGCATAAATCGTGTCGTGCATACATTGCACCAACCCCTTGGGCAGGGGGGTCCAAAAACGTAATGTGTTGTTTATCCTTCCGGTAAGCCGTCCATTCCCAGACGGCAAAAAACGTAAAACGTGAGCGTATGAGTGCGAGCGTGAGCGTATTGGCCGCAAACCGGGGCCATGCGGCCCAAAAGACACAGAGCCGGGTCATAAAAAGCATCCAAAAAATAAGAGAAAAACGTTGTGCGGTTGGTGTCGATGTTACCAGCCATGCCGTCAGAAGGACGGCAAAGAGTCATCATGGAGAGGGAGTCTCATGGGAGCGCCCCCTCTCTCTTAACGGAATCTCATGGCGCCAGAAGCCGCAGCGGCTGCTGCGACCCGCTCCTGGATCCGCTGTTCCGTGGAAACGTATAGTCTGTCAAGATAGTCCTGGTGCAATGTTAGACTCGTCATTGATTCAACCAGACAACGGGAGGGAGCCAGGGGTGATGACAATCTCTCCAGTCTTCAATCTTCATCCCCGAAGCTTGGAGAACATGTGGTGTGACAAACGGGGGTTAAAGGACAATGGAAACTTGAAACATACCATAGCTTGGGCATCCTTCACAATCTTGGCCACCTGTATCCCCGCCGAGATCAGCTGCAAGATATTCCGGTCATCCTTGAGCGGGCGGCTCTGGTGCTTGGCGGCGTGGCGCATCTCGAGCGAGTTCTCCAGGATGGTCACGAACTGCTTGATCTGGCCGTTGTACAGCACGCGGGCGGGGATGCGGCGCTTGGTGGCCAGGCGCTTGAGCAGGTACACCCACTCGGTCCACTCGCGGTCCTGGGGCCGCTCGACGGGCCGCATGTCCTGGGTCAGCGGGATGGGGAACTGGTACTTGGCCACGAAGTCGTACGCGCACTGCGACAGCCGGTCGTTGACCTGGTTCAGGACACTATCCTGCTCCTGCACCAGCAGGTGCGTCGGCAGCCGCGGCAGCTCCCGCTCCTGCATCGCCACGTACTCGGCCGGCGGCCGCTTGAGGAACTGGTGCGGGCCGTCGAACTCGTCCCGGTTCGACGGCCGCCTCTGCGCCCGCGGCTTTGCCCCGTTGTTTCCGCCGCCGCCGCTGCCGCCGCCGCCGCCTCCGCCTACGGCCCCACCGCTCATGCCACCGGTTCCGGTTCCGGCTCCGTTCATTCGGCCACTGGTCTTGCCGCCCGGTGCCGCGGAACCGAGCATGGCGTTCTCCAAGGAATAATCCGAGAGGCTTGGTGAGCCGAGGTCATCCATGGAATCCGAGGGCGAATATCTGCTCTGGTACGGCATCTGGTTGTTCCCGGGGTAGCTCGGTGGCTGGTCCCATCCCCACGAACTCTTGAAGGAAACCGGTCCTGGCGCCGGGCTGGTATAGGGCCCCTGCGCCGACCGGGGATTGCATGCTGGGATAGGAGAAAACGAGGGCTCGACGGGGGTTCGCCTGAGCTGAGGGGCGCCCACCGGCGGGAAGTTGGCCGGCAGGTTATGCGTGGATGCAGCAGCGCCTTGTGTGTATGTCACGCTTGAGAGACGGGTGTTATTCTCATGATCCTGAAAGAGAAGGGGGAGGGAGGGTCTCGTTTGGTTGGCATCTTACCTCTGCGAAAGAGACGGGGTGCTCCCCGTCTCAAACTTGGCACTATAAAACGGGTTATTGTAAATGGGGCTTGGGTGAGCCGTTAGCTGCCATGCGCTCCTCTCATGCCGGACGGTTTTGAGGTTTTGTCCACACCTTCGTGAAGAAAGCCACCGCTCGTTGGTCATGGGAGCGGTCGGGCGGTAGGCAAAGTCTGCCATGATTCCTCCTCTCACTCTGTTCACTTCTCTCTCACTCTCTCTTGTGGATCCTGTCCCGGCTGGGCTTTTGGTTTTTTTTTTTCTTTCTTTCTTTTGTCCTGTGTCCAAAATGGTATCCTTGGGTCTCCTTGAATGGCGCGATCGATCACTGTAGCAATATCCTCTGGTCCTTGGGGAATTGGCTGAAGAAAGAAAACAGCAGACGTGAAACAGAAAAGAGAACGGCTCCGGATAGTACGACTGTCAAGGTGCGAAGTCTTGATCCGGAGGGCAACCGAAGAAAAACCTGCGACCGGGATGTCCTGGGATAACGGCCACCAAACTCAAAATTTCAGGGGATCCACGGGGCGGCGAGAGCTTCACCGGGATGTGTCCTTTTTGGCGGTGGTAGCAGTTGGTAACCCGGGGGAACGGTCGACCAGACTGGCGGAGTCCACCGAACGAATTTGTATGTGTGCCTCTCTCTGGCGGGAGACAACGTGGCTCTGTTTCAAAGTCAAAGAATGTTGTCAAGCCCGGACAGGGTAGGGAGAGGCTAGGAAGACGGTCCCAAGATGGAGACATATATGCCCCCGCTAGGGCTAGGTGGCAAGGTTGACGCTGTCAGGGCTGCAGCAGGGCAGGGCAGGGCAGGGCAGGCGGGCGGCAGCAGACCGAGCAAGCGAACAACAGCTAGGGCGGCACAGCCAGTCCAGTCGTCCGCATCGAGAGGCTAACAGGCAGTGGAAGCCTGTCGCCCGCCAGCTGGACAATAACCGGAGAGAGAGAGAGTGCTACGAATAGAGAAACGGAGGCGGCAGAAGGCGTTGTTGCCCGGTGTGAAGTCGCGCATGCACAAGCAGCTTCGTGACCTCCTTGGCGCCGGTAAGGTGGAGAAACCGGGAACCGAGTTGGGCCATGACGAGTGGGCGCGAGCGATGATCGCCAAGTGGGAGAAAGCGGCCGAAGATCACTCAGATGCAAGGGCAGTCCAATGGCTAACACGACTCGGACCCGCTCCTCCGTCGCAAAAAAACCTCCCACCACATCAAGCACACCAAGCACACCAAGCACACCAGACACACCAGACACACCAGGGCTGTCGTCCGCAAGCGCCATGCTGAATGCCGTCGAGGAAACCATGGCACAATGCGCACCGTGAGGGGGACGATGGTAAGGTACCGTTGGGCTCCGATGGAATTCCCAAGCGGGTTTGCGCTGTCGCCCAACGCCCAGACATTCAGACGCCCCGGCAGTCGCGATTGGTGCCAGGACACACACTCCGTTCCGAACAATGGCGGTGACGGCACGATATGATTCGGGGGAGGAGGGGAGCGTTGGGCAGGGACGCGCTTCGCTGGGCGAGCCCAACCATCCCGCAACCGTCCGCATCTTGATCTGGTGCCACGCATCATGCGCCCGATGCTGTTCCGAGCCAGTGTGGGTTTGACGAGGGCTGCCCGTCTGGAACCTGCCGCATGTTGACACGCGGTTCGCTTTCTCGCAAACCCCTTGACAGCCGGCCCTCTTTAAGAGGCGAGAGGGACGGCCATGATGCGTCGCCCCGATTACCATCCCTGGTGTTCTTGGTGCGAATTCGGCATGGCGGACTGCAGGGTGCCAAACACGGCGCTGCCCTGGCCGAGAAGAGACCGTTGATAAAGACTCGACGCAGCGCACAATGCCTTTTCTTACCCTTTCACGTGCGCTTCCCCTAACACACTGTAACCGATCTCCGATTCACACAGCATCGACGCGGCCCGAGTTCCGCTTTTCTCGGCACCTTTCCCGGCTCTGAAGCAACCCACTCCCGGAACCATCCCAGGTGTCGCAAACAACTCCTCCTGGCTTGCGGACATTTGAGGCCGCGGCGGCCGCCGCGGCGCAACCACTTTCTAAGTGCATGGCTTGACTGCCATGGCATCCTAGCCTCGGACTTGTTCATGCTCTTTTCTCAGAGCACAAGATGGTAAGGTAGATGGCCAGCCACGGAGCCGTCCTCGGATCATAACTCTACTTCCCTTTGGTGTAAGCCTTAACCATCTGGATGCACTTTGCCGGGAGGCATCATGCTAAGTCCAGCCGGACGGGACACTGAAAACCGGTAAACGCTGCCTGGGAGTTAGTGCTGCTGTTCGGTTTACCGTTCATCCCGACGTGCGACGTTTGGACATGACGATGTCCGTCGCTGATGTCATCCATCGCCCCCCTTGGGCCGAAGAACGAAGGTTGCAACCCGTCGTCAAAAAGGACCACGACAACCCAACCGGCCATGACAGTCCCGCAGGAAACCACTTCAACTTCAACGGCAACCGGTAGTTCTCGACTCGCTTGCCGAGAATAAGCGCTCCTGCTTTCTCGGACGGAACCCAGCAAAGCCGAGGCTGCAGAGCACTGCACAGCATCTGCACAGCATCTGCACAGCATCTGCATGAGGCTGCCTCCACCTCGTCTTCACCTTCGGCAGTTGCGCCCCCAAATGCTCCTTCGGGCATGCCGAGGCACCATCGAGAGTGTGCGGTAGCGTTGTGAAGCGCCAACATGCTGGAACCATCGCGCCCAGAGAGCCACACCGCAATATCCGCAACCTGGTGGTTAGCATCTGCTGTTGTTGTATGTGAGTGCGTCTCCCAAGCATGGCTAGACCGATGGGACATCAATTTCTAACGATGAAGCAGTGACATACCCCTTCGGACTGTTCATGACTTGGTCACGTTTCAGAGCTCAACCACGACACTTGGCCGGCATGGGACATGAGATATCGAACGCTGGGATGCAGTGTTAATGCTCACCCTCTTTCTGCACCTGTCGTCGCTTGATTCCATCGTCGAGATATCTCCCGGTAACCCTAGGGTTGGGAAATGCTCTGTCGTGTAACGTTCATGCCCCCGAAGCCCCTTTCTGAAGCTGTGTTAACACATATCCCCGGATGTCTCGTATCGCTTCACTTTCGACGTACGGTTCTGATATCTGTCCCTTTGTTCAGTAAACAGGCCCCTTCGATGAACAGAGACGTCTTCATCGAGGGCCATGACGGCTTTCAAGACACGGGTACCCTGAAAGAGTTGGGTCCTGGGTTGTGTCTTGGTCTTTCGAGTCTGGCTGAGGTGAGTCCCCGGAAGTTTCGCGACATAGGATGCTGAAGCCATGCTTTATGCCCCAACAGGATTTGCTGGTGCTGTCGGTACCCCTTACCACATCTTGAACATGAGTTCATGCCCCGGACTCCCCTCTGACATGTGTCGAGGTGTCGATGTCTCATGAGACCTGGGGCATGATCAACATGTTCTTGAGGGTTGGCTCGCCCGTCCGGAGGGATGTGAGTTGGCCGGCAGCTTTGTTTGCTGGCATGCTGGGTGATTTGTAACGGAACGAGGATCAACCGGACCAAGTCCTATGAGTCAACGCTCCATCGGGCTCCTATCAGTGGAAGCATTTTCCCACCCATTGGTCTGCCTGAGGCTGGCGCGGCAATCGCGGAAAGGCTGAATATCGGCGGAGCCCCTCAACGACGCACGCAGCCAGATTTGGCCCTCTTGCCCCTCTGCCTTTCGCCCGGCACACATCTCCAGGTCAGTAAAGTTTAGACCGTGAGACGTTACCTCTTGATGCAGGAGACAAGCGACATCAATCACGACCTGCCACACATCCCGTCGACTATCAACCTTGCCGGCCAGGTTGGCATCGACTCAATTTGACTCGCAGGGGAAACGGGGCAATTGTCTCGGCATCACCCTGCCTTGGAAGCTCGAGGCTAGGCAGGGCGAGCACAGCCAGGAGTCAGTCACCTGGTGGAACTCTCAGCAACGCACCACTCTCACCTCGAGGCTGCCTTGGCCAACGGCACATCTGGGGGGCACGATACTGCTCGGGCCGACCGGTCGCCATGCGTCTGAATGGTCCAACACTGCCCACTCAAACGCCAAAGCCCGCACCAGAGGCCATACTTCTCCCACATTGGTCGACGCGCGTATCTATCTGCATCCTCTTGCAGACCACTCGACACATACGGCGCGGAGCGCGGCAACGACAATGAGAAGACAGCTGGCTCCCGTGGATCAGATGCGGCTCCATGCCGCAGAGAGTCGCATGACAGCGGGGAACGTCAACGACTTGGTGTGAGCAGCAGCGGGGTCATGGCTCCCACGAGGCTCGCGTATCTCGCTGACTGCCTGCGTCTGCACAAGCAGAGCGTTGATCATGACGGCGGCGGCGCAGCAAGAGCATCGCAGTCGGCGGCAGACGCGGATTTCGCAGGCGCACCATTGCGAGCTGGCACTTTGCTGTCCATGCCAATGCTGCCGTCAATTGATTCCGCATGAAGAGCCGGCGAATGTGAAGGCAGAATCGCCTTGCTCCCCTCACGAGATGGTCGGAGGAGTGGGCTAGCCTGTCTGCAGTGATGCGTTGGCACTTCGTCTGCTGCTCCCCGGGCCCCTGTAAATGTTGCAGGCTAGCCGTGGTTGGAGGTCATGATAGGTCCGAATGCCCTCGTCTGCCCCGCCGAGCCCCCCATCAAGCAGCAGAAACAGGAAAGCTGCACCAGTCAACAGCGGTGTGAGACGCAGGCGTGCGGGCCTGGCCTATAGGAGAGTCGGAAGGTCGCTGCCAGCTCAGCGCCGCCCTAATGTGACAGGTCGTGAACACGCAGGCCAGCGCTGCATCGTGAGAAATTCGCGCGCGGATTGGTGAGCGAAAGTGCAGGAAACGCGGGAGAAGCGGGAGGAAACATTGTGATGAGCAAGCGCCCAGAAGGAAGCGGGGCTCATACTCATTTCCAAAAGGTCGTGGAATTGCAAGGGGAAGCGACGACCGGGGACGATGCCCCAGGATTAAAACCCGACTGCCCCTTCTCCTGCCCAACTGGATGCTCTTTCCCTCTAATTTTCCAACCAGAGCCCAACGACCCGCAAAACATTTCGGCCCAACACGCATCCCCTCGACCCGGACTTTCCTCCTCGAACTGTTGCTCTCTGCACCCCTCTTGGCCTTGTTGCCCTCTTATACGCCAGTTCTCCGCCACCTGTCATCTGTTCTTGCTCTCTGATCCAGGCCACGCACCCCCCAAGACTTGCTTCATCACGCCCCAAAAGGATCTCTCTGTTGTACGGCAGCATTCCTTGCAGCACGACTTCAGTTTCAGTCCCACAGGATTTCATCTGCCACAAGGATTCGGACACGCGGGAGCCCCCGTTGTTGTCTACCACTCGGAATCGAGCAATCAGCTTGCTCTTGAATGCCTCCAGGAATGTCTTCCATGGTTATGCCCCGGACTGAGACCATGCCTGGCTACAACCACATTGAACTGGACGAGGTTCACACCCCCTCGAGGTATTTTTGCTTTCATTCTGTTGTCCTGGGAGGTCCATTGTGCTTTTGGCGTTCTGCTTTTCATGTTGCGAATCAAATCATGTCTTTTCCTATCTGTCGACCCGGAAGCCCCTCAGTGAGGTGAGCTTGAATGGTCACAACTGGCGACAAAATTCACCCAGGACAGCCACAAGGAGCCATTGAGGATCATGCGCTGCATTTCACCAGGAGCCCATACATGCCCGGACGCTTGTTTCCAAAGGACTGCCATGCACACTCCCCATGCTGGATCCGACTCGTCCGAGTCGCGGAACAAGAACAGCCAACCAGTCTCTGACTTGGAAGGTTGCTTCTCAAAAACGTTATTGTCATCACACAAAGCTCTTGAGCTCTCACCGTAAGTCTCACCGACAACTTGGCCGGACTTGGAACCACGACAACAGTCAGCTTTCTGGTTTTCTTTTCATTCATGGACAGCGCAATCAGTGCTTTCAAAACCGCAACAGCCTAGGTCAAAGGACAGGACGCCAAATGGATTTTCATTGCTCACCGGTCTACCTGTGGATTTTACCGCTTTCTGTCAGCTTAACTGGAGAGGACCGGAACCAGATAAATCGACACCGTGGACATGGTCTCTACGCGAATGGACTTGTCATCGCCACTTGGAATTTCTCCTTTTCTCATACACGGACGCCCTGACAACTACATGACTGGACACACTCGACCCAACATGACGGCACTGTATTCTCGATCTCCTGGACGCTGTCCATCCATGCACGAATTGATGCCTGTGTATTGACGACAATGCGACACATTCACCCTTCTCTGGAGTTTAAACCGACAACTGGGTCGAGCTATCAACCTGGCTCGATCGTGCACGAATGCCCTTGGATCACCCCAATTGTCACTCAAGCCGAGGAACGGATTGCCCTTGATCATGACTGGATTTTTCTTTCTGGCTCCTAGCCAATCAATTCGTTGTCTCTTTCCAGGCCGGAACTCGACATCTCCACGCTCAGTTTGGTTTGTGACCATCATCCCCTGTGACAAACCGTAGGGCTCTCAACTAACACTCAACGCTGCAGGTTCAAAGTTGTGCCATCTGATGCCATTTCCTTGGTCTTTCCTCAGACTTGCATCATGCCAAAAGTGGTTGAACAGCACACTAACTCTACCCAGCGACTACAGCTTTGCTCAGCCCAACATGCTTCCCTCCAATGCTTCCGGGATGTTTTCCTTTTGTCAAACAGGACCAGCGGACCTGGCGGGTTCGTCCTGGGACGCGACAGTTGAAGGATCACAGAACTTCCCTGAGCTCGCAGATGCTGCGGACTACTACACTGGAGAAACCGAGGATTTCGTTCTTCCCTTTGGCCAGAACACCCCCAAACCGGACCACTTGGATGCCGCGGATGACTTTCAGGCCAGGTGGGCTCCTTCCGTCGCAGTCGAGAGCAAGGCTCTGAAGGCGGAGCCCATGCGGAGAGGGACTTCGCGCAGCTCCACGGGGAGCCACAAGAACAGGAGCACCAAGATCTCCGCCCAGTCAGTCAAGAAGAACCGGTCAAGAGTCCAGACAATTCTGTCTCAGACATCTTCGCAGATGTCCAAGCTTGACATGTCAGGTAATGCTTCGGCCTACGCCCAGGGCCGCATCATGGACGTGCCGCAGTATCTTGCTCAGGACCTGGACACTCTCTCTGTTTCGCCTCAGGTGAACGGCGCTGCCTTCTACCAGGGGCTCGTGGGTTTCGCGGACGGACTTCCCTACACTGGAGACCTCGGCGCTGCCATGGCCCAGCATGTGAACCCCCAGATCTTCGATGCCGGCCTCATCGCCGCTTCCCCGCATTCGTGGGGCTCGCTGAGCCCTGTCGATTCGCGCTTGTCTTCCCCCGGACTGCAGGACGGCTCAGACGATGTCTGGTCTGCCGCACAATCCGCCTCTTCGCCCGGAGACAGCCAGAACTCGAACTCGCCGGTGCTGCCCGGCCAGTCGCCCAGGTAAGCTATGCTCTCCAACACCATGTTAACGCAGTATTTCTTACGCATTTGGCACCGCAGGTTGAGCCGCAAGCTGGATTCGCAATATGTCACCACTGAGGACCTCCACGGAAACATGATGCCCGCCATGGGCGAGGATGGTTTTGCCCTGCCCCACTCTGCCTTCGGCTCTCGCCGTCTGAGCGGCGAGGGCGAGTCTGCCCGTGACCACTACCTTTACAAGAACGCGTTCCCCCACGCGGACGGCCTCTTCCACTGCCCATGGGAGGGCCAGGCGAGCTGCAACCACAAGCCCGAGAAGCTCAAGTGCAACTACGAGTAAGGGCAACTGCCTCCCCAACCCCTGGCTTCAGTGACTGACCCCATTGCAGCAAATTCGTGGACTCCCACCTCAAGCCTTACCGCTGCAAGGTTGAGGGCTGCCAAAATGCCCGGTTTTCTTCTACCGCCTGCCTCCTCCGTCATGAGCGTGAGGCCCATGCCATGCACGGCCACGGAGAGAAGCCTTACCTGTGCACCTACGAGGGCTGTGAACGCTCCATCGCCGGCCATGGTTTCCCCCGGCAATGGAACCTGAGGGACCACATGAGGCGCGTGCACAACGACAACGGCACCACTGCCCAGCCCGCCTCTCCTCCCCCTTCGGGAGCCACCACGTCGAGGGGACGGAAGAGGAAGAGTGACGCCGCGGAGAAGCAGCACAACCAGGACAAGCCCAGCTCTCGGAAGTCCTCCAAGGCTGCGGCGGAGTCGGCAGCCCAGGCTCAGAAGCAGCCCGAGCCTGTCGCCCACCCCGAGCTTGACCAGTGGTACGAGCACCAGAAGTCGCTCCAGACCTTCCTCCAGGGATGCGTCCAGCCGGACGATGCGCAGACTCTCCAGTACATCAAGGATGCCCAGGAGCACCTTAACGCCATGGGAAAGATCTCGCATGGCCTCATCCAGGGATCGCGCCGCTCGTGGAGGGGTTGAATACTGTAAGCTTCTATCCTCCATGACCAGTATGGCATTTCGCTAATCCGTGTTGCAGCATGGACCCATTTACCATGTAGACACGCTGTGTCAGACATGACGGTCTGCAAGTGCAGATTCCCTTGCTACCTAGGCATCTCCGAGACGCCGTTGGACAGTGAGGAGATAGGATCTCGCGGCCTACCCATGGCCGCGCCCAAACACGGCACCAGCCGTACCCCGGATGGGATGTCGAGCCGAGGCCGACACCCGGGGCTAAGTCTGGCCCTGGATGTGGATGGGTCAAGACTTGGAGTATGCCGCTTGGAGACTTGCAGAGCAAGCTACCATTGTGCTGCTCTTGTCGGATGTGGACACGGGGACTTGTCAGTTGGACGGAGAGGAGTGGATGGAGGCGGAAGAAAGCCAAAAAGAAGAAAAAAAAGAAAAAGGAAAAAAGATAAAAATGTAAAGGAGCCATAAATTGGTTTCCTGATGGTACAGTCCACGTCTACGATACGGGGCAATTGGGAGGAAGGCTACGGGTTACGACTTTACGACTGATGACATTCGCTCTTTTTGACTTTTCTTTGTTTTGGGATATCCGGTTTGCAGTTAGACTAGGTACTTTGGAAGTTTGGTTCTTGAATTCTTGGACACTTGGCGTTTGGTGGGATAAGATATTGTAGCCTCAAGGCAGCACACATAACGACGAACATGAGCACTTTTAACAATTATTCCAAGCCTCTAAGCTCCGAACCCCATGTGTTGGGAGACGTGGGAGGATAGGTGAATGGGGGTTGAGTGGCCCTGACGGGGAACTGGGTGCGTTGGTGTTGATGGAGTGATGGTAAATTAAAGGGCCAACCTTGACAAGGCCGGGCGGTTGAGATGTTGAGTAAGTTTGATGATTGTTGGAAGCGTTCCGGCAGAGCAGCATGAGACCAATGTGAGAACTGAAATGGCGGATGTTATCACTCCTAACACTAGTCACCGAAGAGAAAACTCGAGCGCGGCTAAGATCTGCCCTGGGGTTATCCTATCCACCTATCTATCAACCTACATTCTCCCCCCTCTGCCCGATTACCTCCTTTTCACGCTCCAAACACACCAACAAACACCCCCTTCCCATCACCGGACAGGAAGTAAACAAGAACTGAACCCTCCTCATCCATCCCTCACATTCCCACCCCAGCTCTATCCCAATCCGTTCATCACCACTCATTTCCTCAAGCCCCCCTATCCCAACTAACTCGCACCCCCGCCCCCCCCCCCCCTCTTAATTTATATACCCATTTAGCGAGGCAGCAGATCCTCCCCCGGCACGATGGTGCCGTTCTCGATGGCGGCCCGGTGCGCGCGCGCCACCATGCCGTACGCCGGCATGTACCGGTCGATGAAGGGGAACACCTCGGCGGCGCCGGGCGTGTGCCGCCAGTCCCGCATCAGGTCGCAGATGATGGCGAAGAGGGAGACGACGTTCACGCCCGCGCGCATCATTTGGTCGTTGGCGATGTCGCGGATCTGGTGTTGGGGGGGTGTCAGTTTTGGGGGTGGGGGAGGGGGGTTGGGGTTGAGGGCGGGATGGGAGAAAGGGGGTGGACTGGGGAGGGGGAACTTGGGAAAAGGGGAGGGGAGTGGGAGGGGACTGACCTCCTTGGTGGTGGTGCCGCTAGCCTCGAGGTTCGCCCAGACGGAGTAGCCCTCGGCGCGGAGCGAGCGGGCTAGGAAGGCGGTGCCTTGGCTCACGGTCAGTATGTTGACGAGATAACTGATGGCCAGGGGTGTACGTACAAACATCAGTGACAATGCCGGCAATAATGATCTGCTTGCGGCCGGTGGCCTTGATGGCATCGCGGAATTCCGAGTTGTCCCACGCATTGACCTCGCCCTCACGCTTGATGAGAGGGGCGTCGGGGTACATGTCGAGGATCTCCTGGGGCAGGGGACCGTTCGGGCCTGGGGACAAGGTTAGCTGGTCCCGGAAGGCGCAGAATGGTAGGGTGACACAAACCGATCTCGGTTGAGGTGGTCATGATAACGGGCAGATCCTTGAAGAGAGAGCCGAGGCTCGCGTGGGCGATCATGTTGTCACGGTAAAGAGTGGCATCTAGGCCATAGTCAGCAGTGGATCAGCGAAATTCTGGAGCGGGCTGCTGCGTACCCCAATCGCGGGCCACACTGTAAAGACCCTCTTGCATGTCGAGAACCACGAGCACCTAGGCAAGTCAGCGGGGGCTTCTCGGGGCGGTGGCGGCAACCATACGGAGTCGTTCTTGGAGAGCCTTTCGAACGGGAAGCCTGTGCTTGAGTTAGCCATGTGCCTGCCACGAGCTGGCGTGGTCCTTCTCACTGTCAGCGATGGCGGTGCCGACCATGAGGCCGGCAGAAAGCAGGGCGGCAGTGAACTTCATGTTGACGGGTCGATGGGGTGTACTCGTGTTGGACTGGAACTGTGGTACTGGTGGATGGCTGCTGTGCTGTGACCTGGTTTCGAGAAGCAGAAGTGCGTTGTCGATGGCGCCTTATATACACGATTTCCGTACAGTCCCCCTCTAGTCCTATCCACTCTTCACGCCCAAAATGATACCGGCATAGAACTCGCCCATCCCTTAGCTGCATCGCGAACCCCGTCCGACCCAGCCATCCAGCCCATCCAGACCATCCAGACCATCCAGACCATCCCACGAGGAGAGATCTTCGCCGAAGAGCCCCCTTCCTCCTTCCTTGTCCTTCCTATTCCGCCGTATTCCCGCCGCCGACCATCCTCGTGCCTCCAGCCGACCCTCACCATCACCCCCAGCCATAGCATCGAGTCCTGAGGTGAGCATGCCGTGAACAATGGCTCAGCATTGGCTAATCAGTCCTAATCAGTCCTCATCAATCCTCCTCAATCCTCATCAATCCTCATCAAAGTCATGAATCATGAGTGGCGACCAGTTGCGTCGTTGATGTTGCAGTCACCATGCAGCATGCCTGCAGTGTACCGAAGCGAGGGCCGCCATGATCGCCGCTGTAAACCCCCCGTGTTGGGCGAGGCTGGCAATATCTCCCACCAAGTGTTCTGTGGTTTGGTGGTGCAAAAGGCGGCGACGACGTGGTGGTGAGCGGGCCTGTTGTGATGAGCCTGACTAAGGCAGAGGTCCGTTTCTCCACGCAGTAGCCTTGGCGGTGGGGTTATGTCAGCGATTGCAAGCACCCTCCGCACACGCAAATGCTGTCCAAGCGCCGATGGAACGTGCTTCGCGATGGCTGATTCAGCGCCCTGGCTGTTCCGGACCTGTTTTCCCTGCATGTTCTTGGCGTTTTCGTATTACAGAGACATTTGCAAGCTGGAGGTATCCTGGCGTTCCAAAGAACATCGTTTATATTGCTCCTTTATCCGCCGATGTCTTCGTAACAGGTGGGTGAAGGTGATGTCCAGCCCTAACCCTCTTGAATATCCATGACCTCGCATCATGCAACACCCCACTCCCCGACTCCCCCACTCTTCCGACAGAGCATTCATCCTCGCCAAGAGTTGCCCTCTGGGCACTGAAGAAGACTCGAGTTTGAGAATCGGGTCTTGGTCTCCCTCCCTCTCTTTAAACAAGTTTTTATGTTCTGGGGCTGTTCTTACTGCCATAACCGGCGGATATTGTTCGAGGTGTCGCCAAGATGGGGCTCCGCAGAAAGATGCGACATGTCTGAGAGCTCCCTGAAACGCAGAGCAACTCCTGTCAAAGCTGGGTGACTGCTTGAGCTTTCAGCTGAATGTTTCGCCCTGCTCCCAGCCCGTAATAAATGCCCACTCAATCCACCGACACAGTAGTGATCGGCGTGAAATGGCCGGGATGACATCCACGCCACATGTTTTGGACGGCGGCAGCTTCGAAACAAACACGCTCGGAGCAAACGTTCGCTGGGACAGTTGGGACAATTTAAGACGGTTGGGACGGCTCCCGAGTCTGTTCGCCAAAGGATTAAACTTGGCTATCGCTTGTCGCCACTAGACTCGGTTGGACTTAGCCTCAAATTGACAACACTTGTCGAAGTCTTTCGAACCTCACGATCATTTGGGTCAATCAAGAATAGTTTCCGAGCATCTCGAGCAAGAATGCACCCCTGTTGTCGTGCTTTCAGTGCTGCTCAGTGATCTCTCTTATCTCAACTACCGGGCACCGCAGCCCCTTATTCCAACCCCGCCTTTACCATGAGGAAATCGTTACATTTCCTTGTCCTTTTTGCCAGATCACTGTTGGCCCACAGTGACCTAGGTCAGACCGAAATATATGGACTTGGGACTTCGTTGATACCATCAGGCGATCTGGTCTGCCTTGTTGATCTCAAACATGAAGTCAAACATGATGAAGTGGTAAGGACGAAAACCCACCCACGTTGGAGCCCGTGTTGACCAGATACAGCAGTGTCAGGACGGGAATTGCGACAGGTCAGAACAGCATGTTTGGACACACTCATCGCCATGCTTCCAAGGCGACCACGCAGAGCAACCGATCTGCGTCTTCACCAACACACGCTTCGCCGACGGCAGGGGCATCTCGCTGGTGACAACACCCAAACGCGCCAGTTACCTCGCATCAAGTCCCGCCTTCACCAACCCCGAATCCGTCCACGGCATCAACCAAGACCTCCACCCGACCGTCCCCACCAAGTACGAGATGCGCCACATCCCCGGCAAGGGCATGGGCCTGATCGCGACCGCACCCATCCCGCGCGGCGAGCAGATCATGGCCAACACGGCCTCGCTGATGATCGACTACCGCGCCTTCAACGAACTCACCCGGGAGCAATACACCGCCCTACAAGCCCACGCAGTCGCACGCCTCCCCCCCGACCACGCCGCCGCCATCCTCGCCCTCTCCCCCGACGCCACTACCAATAACAACAACAACTCCACCACCCGCGCCGACCTCATCGACGCCATCGCCGCCACCAACGGCTTCGACATCGACCCGACCCCCACCGACCCCGACCAGCACCACAGCTTCTTCGTGCTCTTCCCCGCCATCGCCCGCATGAACCACGACTGCCGCCCGAGCGCCGAGTACCGCTACACGCCCCCCCACCTCGCCCAAGTCGTTGTCGCGGCGCGGGATATCCTCCCCGGCGAGGAGCTCACGCTGAGCTACATCAACCCGCTGATGGTGCGGGCGCGGCGGGTGGGGCGGCTGAAGAAGAACTGGGGGTTTGAATGCGGGTGTGCGTTGTGCGCCCTGGAGGGGGCCAGGCGGAGGGCGGCGGATGGGAGGGTGGAGAGGATTGCGGAGGTGAGGCGGGAGTTGGCGGTGTGGCCGGAGGAAGGGGAGGTTAGGGGCCGGACGGGGCGGGCGTCGCCTGAGATGGGGGAGCTGTTGGTGGGGTTGTATGAGATGGAGCGGTTGTGGGGGTCGATGCATGAGGCGTACGCGATGGCGGCGCTGGAGTTTAGTGGGGTCGGGGATGCGTGGACGGCGGTGAGGTATGCGAGTCTGGGGCTGGAGTGGGGGATTCCGATGCTGGGGGAGGAGGATGAGGAGGTGGAGGAGTTGAGGAGTCTGGCGGAGGATCCGTGGGGGCATTGGAGTTGGATGAAGAGGGTGGTGGGTGAGGAGGGGGAGGGGGAGGGGAGGGTATAGGGGGGGTTGGGTAGAGGGTTGGTAGATCTCAGCTATACTCGACCTATATGTATATCTTGGACATCCAGTATATCGTCATCTCTGTACTTTTGCATGTGTCGTTGAACGTTGTGTTCCTGCTGGGCTTAGCGCACTTCCCAGCCTGGTAGGTATGGTGCACATCACACTGCCTATTCGGGCAACGTTTATCCATAGCCTCATTCTCCAACTTCGCAGCCATGGAATTAATTCATCGACACACGGCTACTTTCTGCGATGTTGGCTTTCTGAACGTTTGATCTCCTGGTTACTATGCAACGAGCTGATTCGCGTAATTGAGCCTTGGAGTTTACGTACACGCATCAGCTGTTGTGTTGGCTTCTCACATTTGCACAAGCTCACCGGGCATTTAAAAGCTGTGCACAATACAGCCTCCGCAGCTTCTACTACCTTAGTGTTCCAAGAGTACATGTACCTGTGGGACAATGAGTAAGGTACGAGCGTACCTAGAAATAGTTGGCCTGAGGATAACTTCTCAACGTTATCATGCCCATCTGAGCCATTGGATGCCAAAATGTTGAGACAATCCAAGCAGGCCAGGCCTGTTGGAGGAAGCGACAAGGTGGAGTGCGGGGTACAGTGATGTCAGAGCCTAGAACCACCCGCGCTCCTCCATCCCACTGGATCCAGCCCCCATCGTCCCCTTTCTGTGTAGCCTCTGCAAACTGCATCACAAACAACCTATATACGCCAAAACAGTCCGTACCATGGCTGCCGAACCTCCCAAACCCGATCCTGCAAAGGCGATCGAAGCCATCCGCGAAGCACGCCCGCCCGCGACCGACCGATTCACGTACCTCACTATCGTCGAGACGAACCTCTGCCCCGAAGTGCTCCCGACTCTCAATGAGGTGCTCCAGGATCCGGGGCTCACACAGGAAATAGGGTGGGACTTGGTGTTCAACCTCGTTAGCCTGCCAGGCTCCGAGGAGTGTCTCGAAACGGTCGCGCGGCTGGGTAACCCTCGGGAAGTGATCCTCAAGGTGCTCGAGACGCTGGAGTTGCTAGATAGCGAAAACGGAGAGGACAATGAAGATGGAGAGGAACAAGAGAAACCCGAACCGGCTGTCTCGCCAACCAACAAGTTCATCACCCTCCTCGGCATGCTCGCCATTCTGCACAAGCGCATCAAGACCAAGTACCCCAGCCGCTTCCTCGCGCAGACCCTACACACCGTCTACCGCACCTACCGCCCCACCCAGGAGAGGACGGCATCCGTTCTCAACCTAGTGCACAGTCTGTCCGGCCAGCGGCGGCCCCCACTCCCGAGCCGGAAGTCCAGCGTGAACGTGGCCAATCCGGACCAGACCGGCGACGCTTCCAAGAATGCCCCCGACCCGGAGGCGGACCGGGACGACCGCGAGGACCCGGACGAGACCGACCTGCAGCAGAAGCAGCTGTTGAGCTTCGCGACATGCATCCTAGAGGCGTACGCCAACGGGAACGAGATGGCGTGGGCGGCCCGCCTGCTCGAGTTCTACAACCCGGAGAAGTTAGTGCCTGGGCGGCGGACGTTGATGGCTGCGTTTAGGGAAGAGCAGGAGCTGCTGTCGAGGGACTCGATTGTCGGGAAGCTGGTGGTGAGTATTCCAGTCTCGCTTTCTACCCAGGATACGGAGTCTAACTTACGCAGGCACTCATCGGCGACCTCGGCCTCGACTCATGCTCCAAGGCCTTCATCCACCAGGTCTGCGACGGCCCGATGCACAGCGAACCTCTCGAAGAACCAGACCTCTCCAGCCCGGACAAGATTGCTCTCTCGACCGGCGGCTGCGTCTGCCTGGTAGCCTACTGGGCCTTTTCGTCGACCGTTTTCGACGCCACCCACCCGCAGCCCGAAATGCATGTCTTCCCAGAGCACTTCGCCGTGCTCGACAAGTTCCTCCAAGACGACGCACACTCCCAGATCCAAAACTCGGTCGGCACCATCGAGGCCCTCATCACGATCGGCCTCTGGCTCGAGTCTAACAACCTCGTCTCCACGAACCCGTCCTCCCCGCTCGCCAACCCGGCCGCTTCGCCAGAAGATCCGACCTCGGACTTCATGCGCTACATCCACCTGACAACGCTCATCGCCCTCTACCACCCCTCCATACAGGTCCGCAACGCAGCGAGCGTGCTGGCCGGCCTGGTGCTGCACGCCAACCCAGAAGACGACGACCGCCTCAAAATCCTGGAGGACCTGCTCGAGAACTGCATGTTCGCGACGCTCAAAGCGCGCGCCGTCGCCTGGCTGCGCGAGGAGCTGCTGGCGGCGGTACCTTCCGCACAAAAACAACAACAACAACAACAAAAACCACCACCGAACCTGTTCGCCACCCCGCAGGCGCTCGAAACAGTCCAATACGTCGTCTTCCCCCCGCTCGCCTCCCTCCTCGACCTGCCCACGCTCGGCCTGGTCGAGTACCTGACCGCGAACGCACCGTTCCTGATGCAGGCCGTCAACTTTGCCCTCTTCCTCTGGGGCTCCTCGTCTTCGGGGGCGCCGGAGACCGAGAGCAGGTGGAAGCATGTCCTGCCGGCGAACATGGAGGCCACTGTTCGGGAGCGTTGGCTGGAGCCGTTGAGGGAGGTGGTTGAGAGGGTGGAGAGTGAGCGGGAGAGTGGGGAGCTGGGGAAGGAAGGGGTGGAGTTGGGGCCGTTGGGCGGGGAGTTGGAGGTGCTGAGGGAGAGGATGGGGCGGTTGTGGTTTCGGGGGAGGGATTAGGGAGTGGTTAGGGAGGGGTTAGGGTGAGGTTTATGTGTCGTTGTTAAGGGGGTTGGCATGAGGTTTCTTTTCTGTGTATGTGGATGGTCTTGGGAGAATAGTTATGGAGGGGAGGGGGAGGGGGGTTGGTTCCATCGATTCAGAAGCAGTGGGTTGACACAAGAGATGTGATATATTGCCGCTACAAGGGGCAATCAAAGTAACTATCAAGATGGTCTTGAGATAGGCAGGCCTTCAAAACTATCACCCTCCATCTGTCGAGACCACCCCCCCCCGAATGCATGATATCCATTCTTGGCAACGGTTCTGCCCGATAGGGCCAAGCCGCTAGAGCCGGGGTGTGAGGAGAGAACGTTCCGGCCACTGAACCCCTGTCGCTCGGCGCTGGCTGATGATGTCATTGTAACTTAGAAGCTTGCCGACAGACGCAAAGGGGAGCGGGAAGGAACAAGACAATCCCATTCAAGGTTTTCTTTCCTTTCCAATCGCCAGGTACGCCAAGCAAAGGAAGGGCCTGGGCCATTGTTGAATTTAGGGAACCGGCAGACGGGATAGGGTGGCACTGGTGGTCGACAGGTCCGCCACAACAAACGGCACTTGGCGCTAAACATGGACTCGGCACTACGTCAGGGACACCAGGGCATTTATATGCTACGTCGTAGACTGGGAAGTTGCATTCATTCCATACGAACACACGTCGCACCCTCACCGCCCGCGAACTTTTACCTCATGCGTTAGCTGAGAATCACACTTGCCGATCTCCAACCTATCCAACCCTCAACCCCGAACCCCAACACAGCAAAACCCAACCATCACCATCACCATCACCAACACACAAATAACCTAACCACCCCTCCTCATAATAATAACATCATCACGACGGACGCACCATGTCGGCGCTAACCCCTCCCTCAACGGAGGCGGGCAGCAGCAGCCCCGTGCGCGTCGAAACGGTGACCCACGACGACGGCCGCCAGGTCGCCGTGCTGCGCGACCAGCGCGGCGCCATCATCTACCCGTCCTACGTGCCGCCGTCCACCGAGCCCCCGGGCCCCAGCGCGCCGCTGCCGGCATATCCACCGCAATCCTCGCCATCAACAACAGCAGCAGCAGCAGCACAGCATAGCGTGGCCGGACCGAGCCAGCAGAAGGAACAGGAGCAGGAGGTCGCGCCTGGAGAGGCGAGCGACGAGGTCGCGGTTGGTGTGCAGCCGCAGGCGGGTGGGGGTATGGCGGGGGTGGTGCGGCGGAAGGGGTCGGAGATGGGTGGGGCAGGTGCCGCTGGACAGCAGGATGGGGAGGTGTTGAGCAGTGAATCGTCTTCCTCGTCCGAGTCTGATGACGACGAAGAGGAGGGAGCTGGGCGGAGGAAGACGGCGACGAAACAGCAAAAGAAAAAGGGTCAGCAGAAGAAAAAGGACGACGACGACAGCCGGTTCCGCCGCTTCCACTTCAGCAACGAGCACTACCACACCCGCGGCAAGGTGTCCAAGCGCGACGGCCGCCTGGCCATCTCGCTCAGCGACATGAGCAACACAGGCTACCTGGCCAAGGCGCTGGGCACTGCAGCGCGCAAGATGGCGCCGCTGGCAAAGCTCACCGAGGAGGCGACCAAGGAGGGAGCCGAAAAGGCAAAACACCCAGCAAAACCCCCGACCCATCCACCCCCCTCACCCACCACCACCACACCCATCGACCACCAACCCCCACCGCGCCTCAACATCGTCATCATGGTAATCGGCTCGCGCGGCGACGCGCAGCCCTTCCTGCAGATCGCGCGGCTGCTACACACGCAGCACGGACACCGGGTGCGGATCGCGACGCACCCGGCGTTCCGGTCCTTCGTGCAGGACGACTGCCCCGGGGTGGAGTTCTTCTCGGTGGGCGGGGACCCGTCGGAGCTGATGTCCTTCATGGTCAAGAACCCCGGCATGATCCCGACGCTGGAGACGGTGCGGGCGGGGGACGTGGGCCGGCGCCGCGCCAGCATGGCCCGCATGTTCCGCGGCTTCTGGCGCGCGTGCATCAACGCGACCGACGACGAGGCCGACCCCCGCAACGTGCGCATGATGGGCGAGCGGGATCCGTTCGTCGCCGATGCGATTATTGCGAACCCGCCGAGCTTTGCGCATATCCATTGTGCTGAGGCGCTGGGGATCCCCGTGCATCTGATGTTTACGTTCCCGTATACCCCCACCCAGGCGTTCCCGCACCCGCTGGCGAGTATCAAGAGGTCGAATGTTGACCCGGGCTATACCAACTGGATCTCGTACCCGCTGGTCGAGATGATGGTGTGGCAGGGCCTGGGAGATTTGGTGAATGAGTTTCGTGTGCGCACGCTCGGGCTGGATCCGGTGGTATGTGGTCTCCCCAGTCCTCCTCCCAAAGACATAGCTGACATTGGGTGTTTAGTCCACTCTATGGGCACCGGGAACGGCCTATCGGCTGCATGTACCGTTCACCTACCTCTGGAGCCCAGGATTAATCCCGAAACCACCAGACTGGGGCGACGAGGTAGACGTGGCAGGGTTCGTGTTTCTGGATCTGGCGTCGTCGTTTGACCCGCCCAAAGAGCTTGTAAAGTTCTTAGAGGAGGGTGACGAGCCGCCAGTGTATATCGGGTTCGGGTCGATCGTGGTGGACGACGCGGACCGGTTCACAAACATGATCTTCGACGCGGTTAAAAAGGCCGGGGTGAGGGCGCTCGTGTCGAAGGGGTGGGGCGGGCTGGGCGGCGACAGCCTCGACGTTCCGGACGGCGTGTTCATGCTCGACAACACCCCGCACGACTGGCTGTTTCCGAGAGTTCGGGCCTGCGTGATCCATGGCGGGGCCGGCACGACCGCCATCGCGCTCAAGTGCGGCAAGCCGACCATGATCGTGCCCTTCTTCGGCGACCAGCATTTCTGGGGCAGCATGGTTGGGAGCGCGGGCGCGGGGCCGGATCCCGTGCCATATAAGCACTTGACGGCGGAGAAGCTGGCTGAAGGGATCAAGTACTGTCTCACTGACGACGCGAGGAAGGCGGTCGGGAAGATCGCCAAGGATATTGAAGAAGAGGGGGACGGGGCCGAGAACGCATGTCGGGCGTTTCATAGGGGGCTGGTGTTGCAGGGGACTCGGTCGATGAGATGCGCCATCCTACCTGACCGGGTAGCTGTGTGGCAGATGAAGAAGACGAGGTTGAGGTTGAGTGCGGTGGCGGCCGATATGCTGGTGGAAAAGGGGCTGTTGTCGTGGAAGAAGTTGCACTTGTTAAGGCACAACGAGTGGAACGACTTTGAAGGGCCAGGTGAGCCATTGACAGGGGCGGCTGGGTCGTTGATGAGTTCGGTAGGGAATGTTTTCAGTGGCGTTGGAAAGGTGCCGTATCGGATTGGAAAGGGTGCGAAGAAAAGGAGAGAAAAGAGAAAGCAGAAGGAAGAGAGGGATAAGGAAGACTCTGATTCAGAGCCTAAACAGAACTCGGGAGATTCAAGACCCGACGATTCTCAGCAAAACGACTCCAACGAGGAAGTCCCTCACGTCGAAACGACAACGACGCATGCGATGAACCGGCAAACGACAGCGTCCACAACCGGCACTGGTCCTGTGGAAGATGTGGCTCGCCAGGTGGGCCGCGGGGCGGCCAAATCGGCATCTGCCCTCGCGCGCACCCCGGTTGACCTAATTCAGAGTCTTGCCCAAGGCTTCCACAATGCGCCTCGCCTCTACGGGGACGACACGGTCCGCCGCCCGACGCGGGTGACGGGGATGAAGTCCGGGTTGCGGGCCGCTCGGCGTGAGTTTGCGTACGGGATATACGACGGGTGGACTGGCGTCGTCCGTCTTCCGGTGCGGGGAGCCCGCGACGACGGCCTACGCGGTTTCATCCCGGGCGTGGGTATGGGCCTTACCGGGTTCGTCCTGAAGAACATTGCCGCTCTTATCGGACCGGTGGGTTATACCTTGCAGGGGGTCGTGAAGCAGGCCGAGAGGCGACGGCAGCCTATCAAGTATATCAGGAGAGCAAGAGTCGTGCAAGGGAAAAGAGAAGGGGCCCTCCTGTCCGAGGACGAGAGGAGAGAGAAGGCGAATGAGGCTGTGGCCGGATGGAGGCTGATGAGGCAGTTGTGGGAAGAAATGAACCGGGCGGAGAGAAAGGAACAGAAGGGTTTTGGAGGGAGGTTAAGCAGCAACGCGAGAAAGCTGAGGAAAAGCAGGGAGTGGGATGTGGTGTTCGAGAACGTGGGCGTGGCACAAAGGGCAATGGATAGCCTGAAGAAGGGGGATGGACTCGATAGTGTCCTAGGAAAGGGGAGTGTTGCCGTGGCCGAGCCGAACCCGGTCTCGCCGACGGAAGTAAACGACAACGACAATGGTTCTTCCACCCTCGCGGACAAGGACCCGCCTAGTTCGCCGTACGACTCGGGACATGGCATCCCAGCCGACGATGTTTTGGCCAAACCGGCACCGGACGGCAATGGGACAGAGGACGAGAATCCCTTCTCGGCCACCACCCCCGCCATCGCGGAGAACAAGGCTGAGAACAGGCAGACCATGGCGGCGCTCGGTATCCAAGCCTCCACTTGATCTTCAGCCCGCGGCTAGCCACGCCATGTGTTCATGTCTGTACCGTCTAACTTTTGAGACGGCGGCCAGCATCGCGGCTGGGGTTGCTGTGCCTCCCTCAGCCGAAACATCAGGGGTGCCACATGGAAGATGCTCTTCGCTGGTGTATCACACGGCGGGAATTGCGGCGAGGCCGACGGCGTTTGGGTTTTGCTTTTGGTGACAAATCCGGAGGGCTGCAGAAGAGCGTCGGTGTTCGGGATGAATTCCGTGTACATACAACCAAGAAAGTAGTGCATAACTCGAGGAGCCGAGTTTGGTTGTGTTGTGCCTGCCTTCCAATGAAAGAGAAATTAATTCTTCGTTTCCGCGCACCTTCCGAATGCAGCTTCAAGAATCGAAATGATTTGTGAGCTTAACGAAAAACACGAAATTGAGCAGAGGAAGGGGACGCGTTCTGAAACCAACGACCTCACATCCATCTTCAAATATTTCTGAAGTTCAGCCGGTTTGTCTTTTGTGAATGTTGATGCGCACCCCGGTTCCCTTGATGGGATGATCTGTGGGATGATCTGCAATCCCAGTTCAGACGGAAACAAGAGATGTGGGCCACTGCAGGCAGATGCTGGTTGTGGGCCCGACCTGTCGCTCACGGGTAACCTAAAATGGTGCCTTGGCAGGAACGTTGAGGTTTGGTCGGGATTTCGAGTCGCCCAGACTGGTGTGAAGGAACTGAATTCCACGATCGGTACGGAGCGAACTCCACTCCGAATTCGTAACTCATTCGCATTTCATACCATAGCGCGCCGGGGGGGGGTTACAAAATGGGCACGGTCAAGATTTTGCATGATCAAAATGACTTTTCCATATGAAAGTACATTCGAAAATGGAAAATAACCACCACGATAAACCTACAGTTGTCACGGCCACTGAGCTGGAAGCACAGGAGTGGGGCGCGGGGCGCCCCGGACCAATCATTAACATGACCAAGGAGCAGTGTGCTCAGTGCGCTCAGCGACTGAGCAGGGGGAGCAGTGTGCTCAGTGTGCTCAGCGACTGAGCAGGGTGAGCAGTGTGCTCAGTGTGCTCAGCAACTGAGCAGACTAAGCACCCAGAAATTAGATAGTATATAGTCACTCGTTCTGGAGAGCTCTGGGAGTTCTCCAGTTAGCAATCACAACTACAGTTCGCTACAAGCTCGAGAGCCTACTGTTGAGACAAGTCTTTGTTGTGCACCCTTTGGCTGCACCGAACCTAAGCACCCTTGAGAGAATACCTTCGACCGATACTGAACCCTAACAGGACGGGTCCAGAGACAGGTTCGTCACAACAGTCGAAATAGTCAAAACCATAAAAAATAGTTTCCAGTAGAAAATAATTTTTTAGCTGGAAAATTATTATTTAGTAATAAAATAAATATATAATAAAATAAATATTATTAAAACTAACTTTAAATCTATAGAATAATAACTATTTTAATTATAACCTTGAAGTAGTTTTAGTAGTAAATATTATTTTAATCTTTAAAACCATTTTATAGCTTTAAAATTTTTTATAACTTTAAAATTATTTTAGAGCTTTATATTTATTTTTAATACTACTTTACTAAAAGAACTTAGCAGAAAAAAAAATTCCTCTCTCTTAATTTATAATATATTAATTAATAGTTAGATAGCCTATATAAGCTGGAACTTTTCTTATTACTATTAATAGAAATGTAATTAGCCTAATTGGTAAAGTTTGAGTTTTCTCTTTAAGAGGTTCTGAGTTCGAATCTTCAAAGAGCTCTCTTTTTTCGTAAATCTATAAATCCGTAAATCCGTAAATCCGTAAATCTGTAAATCTGTAAATCTGTAAATCCGTAAATCCGTAATCTGTAAATCCGTAAATCTGTAAATCTGTAAATCCGTAAATCTGTAAATCTGTAAATCCGTAAACCTGTAAATCTGTAAATTTGTAAATCTATAAAAGAGGTATTGAAAAGAGGTATTGAAAAGAGGTATTGAAAAGAGGTATTGAAAGAGGTATTTTAATGTTTTTTTTTAATACTAAAAACAAAGATTCCGAAATGATTTTTTTCGTAGAAAATAATTTCGGCTTAAAATATCACTACATCAAAATGCTTTTACTACCAGAAAATGATTTTCAGATTGAAATATTTTGTTACTGAACACCATCACAAGCTAATGTTACAGGGAAATCATTTTAGGACCGGAAAACTTTGACGACCACCATTTTCAAACCCCCCCCCCCGGCGCGCTATGGTACTCAACGCTTTCCCCCCCATCCGACGAGATCCGAGTTCGCAGGTTTTACAACCCCGCTTTCGCCCTCACACTTTCCCTCTCTTTTTCATCCAATTAAGCTGCCGTCATCTCGTTCCGTCCGCCCAGGAGGCGCCCGTCATCTGGTCGAGGCGCCGTCAGCATGCGGGACGCTAGCAAAGATGAGCACTAGTGATGACGCGAACGAGGAAGCCCCCGGTCAGCCCGCCGCTGGCAATTCATGGGGGCGAGCGGCGTAGCAGCTCTCAAGATGTGTTGCCTTGGGTGCAGGATATTTCAAGCGAAATGGGAAGGGCTGGAGGCAAGGCTAGCCCCAACAAGTCGTTGCTGAGTGATGATCATATCCACTCCGCTGAGTTACCGACTCGTCCGGCGGCAGCAGAAGAGGGGTGGGGGGATCCCCGGTTTTATATGCAGCTGCTCCCAGGACCACGTTCGCATCGTGCCATTCGGAAAGCTTAGTGTAGTGTCTGCCCGATCCGACCTCACGCTCGCTGACATTGAATTTATCCCCATATCCCCGCTACCGCCGCCTCGAACTCTGTCTCCTTTCTCTTCCTCCTCGCTCGTGGACCCACGCGTCAAGACCACCAAGGGAACACAAACAACATGTCCCTCTCACAATACCGACCCCAATCCGGATAGCAACACCATCACCTACACCCTCTCTCAACCACCACCACCGCACAAAAAAAAAGATGGACAGCCCAATCCACCCCGACCTCCAGCCCGGCCCCCGGAACCGCGCGATCCCAGTCCCCTTCCCCATCCGCAACGACCCGCTCATCCAAGGCCACGACATCGAGCTGGCCCCGCGTCCCTACGAAGAGACCGTCCACAACCCGACGCCCGAAGTCCTCCCGCCCTCCGACCTCGAGCTCGCCCACACCCACGCCAAGCCCCCACAGCCCCACCCCTACGCCATCGCCGTCCCCCCAGAGCACACCATCCTGCCCAAGGCCTGGGAGAGCAAGAGCCAGACCCATAGCAGCCGCCCGGGCTCCGTTCACAGCCAGAGCGTGGTCGGCAGCCACGTCCATGTCCCGGGGCATGCGCATGCCTATTCTGTGGGGACGGTTGTGCCTGTGTCGGCGGGCTCGGCGGTGCCCTTGCAGGGGGGGAGGTATAGTTATACCGACTTTAGCAGTCCGTTTGATCGGAGCCCGTTGGTGGATCCGCCTGGGGAAGGGGGAGGGGGAGGGGGAGGGGGAGGGGGAGGTGGCGGTGGGAAGAGGGGTTGGTTCGGGGAGGGGGATCGGATTTGTGGCGTGAGGAGGCAGTTGTTTTGGGTTGGGTTGGCGATCGGGGTGTTTTTGGTTGTTGTTGCGGTTGCGGTGGGCGTTGGGGTGGGGGTTGGGTTGTCCGGGGACGATGAGAGGTGAGTTGCTGGGTTTTTGGTTCTTGTTGTTGGTGGTTGTGGGTTGGGGTGGGTGGTCGCAAGGGGTCAAGCTCGGAGTTGCGGGAAGGGGGTGGTCGGCCGTCCTCCGGGATGTCCGGCGCCCGGCTCCGGGCTTCCTTCGCTCCACGGACCGTCTACCACACTTCACCCTTCACCGGTTTCGAATCAACTCACTAACCTCCCCCTTAATAGCGAGACAACACCAACCGCCTCACCGACAAGGATTCTTCCTCTCCCCACCGCAACCGCCGGCCCGTCCACTGAACAAATATCATGTCCCGTCGGAAACCTCACTCTCTATACGTCCCCGGAGAATACCCAGAAGAGCTTTCTTCTCCTTTGTGGGCGAGGTACATTCTCCCCCATTCTCCTACCCCCACCCCCCAAACCACAACCCGGACTAACCCCACAGCAGACTACAACTCCAACCTAGGCGACACCGAAGATCTCTACCACACTCCCACCGACTCACTTAACGAGTGCATCGACCTGTGCGCCACACAGGAAGGGTGCGTGGGCGCCGGCTGGGGCGAGGGCAACGCTAACGACGGCCGCGCGACCTGCTGGCTGAAGAGTCAGCTTGGCGAGCCGAACGGGGCGCCGCTGTGGAGCTTTGTTATTGAGGATACGGGGAAGTTGAAGATTTAATGTGCTATCTATCTATAGCGAGTGGGTCGGGCGTTGTTGTATACTTTGGGATATCTGGTTGCGGAACTTGCTGGGCAAGGACTGCCTGGGAGGTAGGGCGGGAGGTAACTCGGGTGTTTGGCATGGATGGGTGTCGGAAAAATGGACGGCGGGTGGCATTGGAACAGGCGTATTGGGGATTGTAGATTTCGTGGATTTGGGCCACTGACTTGACGGGGGACGGAGCCAGCAATGTAATAATTAACTATATTCACGTCGAGCTCCCATCCCCAGGTCGCTCCCCACAGTATTTAATCCCGGGCAAACAACATTAAATGCTCGCCCCGTCACCACCTACTTTGTACTGAACCAACCTCATAGCAAGCTCCACCGGCAAAACCTCACATCGAACCTCCTACTTCTTCTCGTAATAATCCAGCCCCAGCCCCAAGCCCTCACACTGCTCAAGCTCCCTGAACCCGCTCTGCCTTGGCGTGGGCCAATCCAGCACCCTCATCGTCAGCTTCCCCTTTCTACTCGGCTCCCTGTGGGTAATAAATGTCAGCAACCAACCCCCGCAAAGCAAGCGCCCAAGTAAACAACCCCACAGAGCGGCAAGGAGTAGGGTCTCAAGAAGAAGAAAGAAAAAAGAAAGAAAAAAGAACTCACCACCGCCCCACCCCCTCCCCCCCTTCCACCTGCAACCCCCTCGCCCTCAACCAACCCCCCTCCACATTCGGATCCCCCCTCCTCACAAACGCCGCGAACCCATCCAGCACCAACCTCGCAAACCCCAAATCCCCCTCATCCCGCAGCGGCAGCCCTTGCCGCCACAGGTTCCCAAACACGTAATACAGCTCCCCCGAATGACACTTCAAATACGGTGCACCAGACGGGTCACCGTGTGGGTGGGCGGCCGTCGCGCGCGGCTCGCACACGTCGGTGCCCGGCCAGCCCTTGGTCTGGTAGGTGCGGTCGAACTCGTAGTAATACAGGGCGTTGAGACGTTGGTGTGCTAGGAGGGACGCGGCGGTGGCTTGGCCGGCGCAGCGGAAGATGCCGTCGGTGGCGAGGCGCGCGGCGGCCGTGTACAGGTCGAGGGAGGCGTTGCCGGTGGTTGTGGTTGTGGTTGTGGTTGGGGGGAAGGGGAAGAGGGCTGGTGGGGGGACGGTGAAGCCCTGCGAGGCGAGGTAGGTGGTTTGGTTGATGGGAGGTGTGGTGGTGGGCGGGAAGGAGAGGAAGGGCGCGCCGTCGTCGTGCGTGATGCCCATCATGAGGTTGAGGGGGAGGTGCGGGCCCTTTGTGGGGAGGGTGGGGGTCGTGAGGTAGGTGCCGTCTACGACGAGGTAGCGGGCCGAGTTGAAGGTGCTGAGGGTGGATGCGGGGACGGCGCGCAGGCAGTCGGCTTGGGAGGGGGCGTCGGTGCAGTTGGTGGCGGCGAGGATGGGGGTGGCGGCTACAGTGGCCTGCTCGTTGATGGTGTAGTACTGGGAGTATGTTGTGCCGTAGTTGATCCCGCCGAGGCCGCTGAGCATGATGGCGCCCGAGAACTTGCCCGCGGCCTTTGGCGAGGCGATCAGGGCGCGGACCGAGGCAGCGCCGGCAGACTGGCCAAAGACGGTGATGCGGTCCTTGTCGCCGCCAAAGTTGTGGATGTGTGTGCGGACCCAGTCCAGGGCGGTGATCTGGTCGGCCAAGCCGTAGTTTCCGTTCGTCTTGCCGTCCTTCAAGGCTAGGAAGCCAAACGCCAGGAGGCGGTAGTTGATGGCCACCAAGACCATGTCTCCTCTCGAAACGATGTTTGCGCCATCGAAAGTCGCGTCATTCGCCGTCCCTCCGGTGAAAGCGCCACCGTGAATCCACACACCAACAGGACGGAGAGCCTTCTTTTTGGGTTTCGAGTTCGGATTCGGCAGGTAAGGGGTCCACACGTTGAGGAACAAACAGTCCTCGCTACCGCTGCCCCCTTGGATGCACTGCGAGCCATATGACAAAGCCGAAGCGGCCTCTCCAGACCCCTTGAACGACGAAGAATAGGTAAACCTCTGCGGCTGCGGCGCATAGCGAATACCCAAAAAGCGAAAGGAGAGGCGATCGCGGAAGCTAGAGGGGTTAGCCGAGGCTCTTTCATGTTTGCTGTATCAGGCTCACCCAGTAAGAGTCTGATTATTGACATCCAGACTGATCTGCCACTTGGCGTCCGTATCTTGGGAGCTCTGCGTTGAGAACGGTGCGGTATTGGTGCATAGCCCCCGAAACCGCGACTTCGAAGGGTTGACATCACTGTAACGACCGGCCACGTCCACAGCTTTAGAGTCAGAACCAGATACCCAGAACTTGGACGAGGCACCAGCGACGCCATCACCCTTCAAGTACTCAGAGAACGGAAGGGCTGCAATGTTTCTTTTGCATTGTCCCTTCCCTGGCCCCCATAGCTGTTCACCTAGCTTGGAGCACACGCCCGACACATCCTGATAGGGGTGGGCATCCGTGAGGATGACGGTCTTGTCTGCGTTGGGGCTTGCATCTCCTGTAGGAACGTTACTATACTTCCTACTTCGCCGGGAGCATATGCATTGGCTCGTACCCTGGAGATCATTGCTGGTCAAGATGGTCAGGCTGGTGTCCAGCTGTTTGAGGGATTCACCTGCCGCCAGGGAGGCGAGAGCCAATGTCACGCCAACAAAGCGCATATTGTAAAGCTGGGCTCGAATGCAACAGGAACAAGGACGAGACCCGAGGAGAGCACATTGCAGCGAGGATAATTCTGGGTCCTTTAATATGAAGGCTCCGACCCCATGGGGACCATGGGCATGCAGCTCGCCCCGTTCCTGATAACATCGTAACCTAGCATGTTCCTGCCATCTTTTCCATTTTTGTTTTCGGTTACGACTAGCAGCGTGGTTCCGAGATTAGACCCAAACCGCGCTGTGGCCGCTGAAGTTTATCCGCCACTCCAACCTGCCTCCCGTCCAAGCTGAATGTTGGCCCTGGGACGGATTCCTCCGTCTCTCGCCGGGTCGAGGGGAGGGACAGAGCTAAGCTTCTTCAACCCGTGTGCGGCGAAAGATGGCAGAGGGGTGAGTGACATCGTGCCTGCATTCGAATAGGCTAAATAGGGGACGAAGCCCGGGCGGAAGAGGCTCACAGTGAGAGCGCAAAGTCGTCATGGGCGGTTCTCGAACATTTCTCCTCCACCGAATGCACGGCCACAGCTAGTTATTCCGGCCAGCCGAAGCCGCGAGACTCGCTATGGCTGTACCCGGTACGTGGTAAGGGCGGGTCTCGAGGCAGGGATGGGATCGCGGAGAACATGCCATGTCTGCCATCTAACGGCCAGTGCCCTTCGTCCAAGGACCTCATTGAGCTTGCATTGCATTGGGGGCTAGAAGGACCCCCAAGAAGAACGCCCCGAGTTCCTCAAACTCGGACATCCCCGAGTGGCTTGACGACATCCTCGTGAAGAACCATAGAAAGCCGGGCAGCCACAGCGTCATTTGTTTCATCATCGCCCTCGGACAAACCCAATTCTTTTCCTCCTGTGATGCACTTCTTGGAAGCAGTCTCATAGACAGCACCCATAGAGGCGCCCAGGTCGGCGATCTGGTCATCGGCCAGGAGCTTCTCCCGAACTTTCAAGGCGATGGACGGCCGCCCCCTCGCAGCATTCATATCAATGCCGAGGACCTTCTCAACGGTGGCCCAGTGTGCTATCTCGACTAGCAGCACGCCCAGGCTGTAGATGTCGAAGCTCTTCTTGAAGCGCTCGCGTTCCTCTGGGTTGGTTGACTGCGCGAGGGGATGTCGGTAGAGATTGTACTCGGCGTCGTCGCCGGGGCCGGGGATGTCCGTCATTTCGTCTGCCCGGGCAGGTCTGGAAAAGTCAAACCCTGAAAGGTACGGTTTTGCGTAGTCGACTTGGCCGTCGGTCGTTCGGAAGAAGATGATGTTGTGACTGCGGAGCCCCTTGTGTAGCCAGTTCACTGCATGCAGGTACAGCAGACAGTTGCTGATGGCATGCGCGAGCTTGACTCGGTCTGTGACACGGGGTTTGCGGGAAGAACGGAGCAGGTCTCGGAGAGAGACAGGCGGAAGGGATACATGTAGGCCATCGTCGAGGGGCCTCTCGAAAACAAGCCCAAGCCGCATGTTCAGTATATCTTCGTCCTCGTCCTCAACCCCGCCAGCGCTTGCCTTGTCGAAGAAACCCAGGCAATGAGGGGTCCTGAAGGCCTCGGGTTTGGGGGAATGGCTCAAGAGGGCTGCCAGTTTTCGGACCCGCTCGCAAATGACGGTCTTGGGCGGCGAGAGGTCTTCTGGCCTTTGCGGTTCGTAGTCCTTCCATTCCACCCACACCTTTTTGCTTGTGCCGTCAGGAAGGCGAAGTGTGGCCTCGCATCTCGGCTCGTCGGACTCCTCGGCAGCCGGGTCAACGTGTACCATGGACCGGTCAAGCAGGAGATGCTTCTGGCGGTCCGGGCTGCCCAACTCCAAGCACATGGCCGTGGTCTCGTCCCACGGGGTCTTCTTGGTGGACTCGATAGATTCGTTGAAAGCCTTGAACTTGGCTAGTTGGGACAGCAGCTGGAGACCATCGGCGTTGGCACGTTTTTGAGTGACTGACATTTGTGACGCTGGCAAAGGGGAGCTGGCTTCCAATTTGACGTTTAGAGCCATGACGAGCCGGGACAGATCAGTAATTTTGTGGTGCAGTTGGAGTATTCCACGATTCGAGTCTTGAACGGTGTGGTGGATTTCAACCTGCATTCGGGCGTCTAGAATATTGGTCATGCTGTCGTTGAGGGTAGAAAACCTTGAGAGGAGAAGCTCAAATGCAGTCTTATCGAAGGAAATCCATTTCAGCCTCTGCGCGGCATCTTCCGAGCTCGCTTTCAGACTCTGCATGGCCTTCTTGACGAAGTCCCTCCGCCGCTGCGGTAAGGGGAAGTTGGCGTTGGCGGCATCCTTTTCGGGATTTAGCACAACGCCATCTTGATCGGGCGTCGGCTGGAGACGCTTGTTCCGGGCCTGATGCTCCTTAAACTCCTTGAAAAGGCACTCCACCTGGACCAGCAGGTCTAGTACCGTCTGACGATGGAGGACGAACGTGTTGGACTCGAGCACTCTCTGTCTGTTCTTGACATCCAAGTCGAGAAGCCCCGATGTCTCACTCCAGGCAAACAGCCGCTGCTGCTCCATCCGTAAACGGAGGTTGAGATACTTGCAATCATCTGGGAAATTCGAGGCTGTGATGAGCAGCTGAATTCCTTGGACAGCGCCAGTGTAGACCTGGAGTCCTATGGATGCCACGCCGATGGCGAGGCCTGCAATCGATACGGGGTCCATGACCGCCTGGATTACTCGACGCCAGGAGTTTCCGTCTGGACTCTATAGTCTGCACCCTGAAGAGAACCGAGCGAGGGAAAACTCAAAGGGGGGTGAATGAGAGTGGGGAGAGTGGTGGAGAGGAGTGGTGCTGAGTGCAAAGTCAGCCCCTGACCCAAGACATATCCGTTAGGGAGGGGTTGCGGTGGTAGGAGGTTGGCGTTCTCTACATACAAGCTCAGCTAACCTTCTCTCTCTGGCAGTCTCATCAAATCCTAGCCCCGTCTCTCGAGCGTGTTGTGTGACGTCGGATGCCGATCTCGTTGCCCGAGACGCGGAGGGGGAAAGCTTGGTAATCGAGCCCTAACCCTGCCAAGGATAAACGGTTGATGTGGACAAACCAATCGCCCTTGATCACGTACGAGGGCGCTGCGTTGTGTGGTGGTGTGCGAAGACTGTGGAGTTACCTTGCGACATGCACCAGTCGAGCCCATGCTGCCACCGTCGTGTGGGTAAAGTAGCCGGACCGTGGACATGGCCGATAGCCGGTACCAACAAGGCCAACGCAAGCCGATTGCGATGATCCAGGATGCCGACGACGGCCAGATAGGTGCCCATTGCGGTTGATACCATGAAACAACCCGGATCGGTAGATCTCGGTCGACTTGACGATGTTGGAGGAAAAGTCTTGAGGGGAGCAGCTTGGGTACGAATCGGCACTGAGAGTGTTCCGATATGCACCTCGGAAAGTGCTTCGACGAAGAGAGCGTAAGGGCCCTAACCCTGGTGGATGGAAATGGAAACAGCGACACCACACCGACACTTGTCGTCGCACCGAGTCGAGCGTGCTGTCAGTAAAAAAGCCTCGGGCAAAGCTCACTCGGGATCAATGCCGGGAAACATGTTTCCTGGAGACGGGAAGCATGGAACGAATCATCAATCAATCAGAAAAGCATTCTCTCGTCGTTCCTTCCTGCCTTGTCAGCCGGCGGAGAATATATTTCCGCCCCACACTCGAGTTTCTCACGGTCCAACCAATGGCCTCGATACCGAGCGAGGGTGGAGCCGCCGTTGAAGCCGCCGTTGGAAGCTGCCGTTGAATCCATCTTCTGGGAGTGCGACTGCTGAATTCAAGTTCTTACCTTTTCCAGAAGCCCGGCTTGGCACTTTCTTGCTGTTCTGCTTCCTTCTGGATTCGTTGACGTCTGGATTGGCTGGTTCCATTCACAACCTGGAAGCCACGCCAACTCTCAGGTGACTGACTGTGTTTGCTCCCATCCACTCTGGCGAATGCATGGGCGACAACCCTGGCGAACCGGCGTCCTCCGAGTGTGCCAGCGTTGCATTTCCGCCGTTTCAAGCTGCAAGGGCCACATCCCCGGTGTTCCAGCGCCAATCAGCAATACTCAATCGTCAAGTTTCAGCTGCATCGGCCTTCCTCCCACGAGTTGTCGTCAATCAGAGTCCAGATTTCCGCAACGGCGGACATGAACAGGTAGTGCTCGGCTCGGGGTCCCGAGTATGTCGCTCACGGGAGCAGCGAAAGATGGATTGCCACTTGTGCTTGTCGGTTCCTCCTTTCCCCCCACCAGAGCTTCCTGGGATCTGCACCGTTGACAGGTCTGGTCCCGCATTGGCCCTCTGTTCGTCTGTTCGTCGCAAACTTGGTGAGACATCTTGATGCGCCCCCTTCTTCGGTGGACATCGCGACTCGGAACGGTGTAGGTACTGTGTTGAAGAAGAGACAGCCGCGCCCGAACCCGTTCACCTCCAGCACCCAACTCGCGAAGTTCCGTTTTTTTCATCGTCAACCGGCGCTCTGCGTGGAGATCCCGATTTCGCTGGCAAATTGAACGCTGTCTTGGGTTGCACGAAAGGGTCAAGAACCCGGGACGAAGGTCAGAGACACCCCATCATGTCCCCGCTGCATCCATGGCCGATCCCTGCGAGTCGTTGCCGGGGGGTGAGGGCCAGGCTGGGCCGGACGGGAGGGACGGGTCGCGAAGAAGTTGAAGCCAAATGCGGAGAGGAACTGACAACTTGCCACTCATTCATCCGATCTAGCCCATCGCCAATTCTCTTCTGTGTTGTTTCGTGGTAAACCATCTCGACGAAATCCAAGGGACCCAAGTACGGGTCTTGGGCAAAGGAAAGAAAATCAACATCCCCGACTAGGAGGGGGCAGCGCGATTCTCTCTGCCACGAGTTGGAGCATTGGCCTCGCTGATTGATGAGCTTGGTTGGGCCTTTGACCCGCCTCCTCGATTCGCTGCAACCCTCTTCTCGATCCCTCCTCCATCAACCTCGTGGTGCCCGAGATCCTCCCCCCTTCCTGCGACTCCCAGCGCGTCGTCCGGTTTAAATCCCCACGTTTTGAATTGCAATTATCTGATCTGGTGGCCGACCATGGAGACCTACTCAATGGCCGCCCCACAGCTGACGGGCTCTTCCACTAACGGCTCGCCCTCGGTGTCCAGCGACAGCCCAGGAACGGCGACCTCGTCTACGACCCCGATGCTCTCGGCGACCACTGATGCCCGCCTGGGTCAGCAGCCAGCCGCACCTCCCTCGGTCCCCGCAGCTTGTCTCGCCTGTGTGAGTGTCATTATCCCCGGCATTGTTTCTTTTTGGATGACCCCTATTTTTGGCTTTTTTTATATCCTTTTTTTTTTGGCGGTTATGTTACGTAGACGTGCTAATTAATTCCCGTTGGACGAACCACAACAGCGCGGCAAGCATCTCAAGTGCGATGGGAATACCCCTTGCTCGCGCTGCACTAGTTCCAATCAGGAGTGCCTCTATGTGCCCTCTCGTCGCGGTTACAAGGGCCCGAGAAGGGGCACGGCGCACAATCCGAACAAGCGTCATGCATCGTCTTCGCCCCCGTACCCCGGGGCCGAGGGAGATAGCTGTCCCATGCTACTGGGACACGGGGGTGTGTCGCTCGGTGCACCCGCGCTCGCGGCCTTCAACCCGGGCATTGTGCTCCCGGAGCAGTCTCCAGCCTCTTATACGACTCCTTCCCCCATGAGCAACGTCCCCCTCTATCGGAACCCGTTCGCTCAAGCCATGGATCCCAACGCTCTTGCTCTGGCGACCACCACGCCGGCCGCGCCTCCGGTTCAGCCGCCGGCGCCCTCGCTGGCGGATCGGTGCTTCGATGCCTTCTACCACTTCTTCCATGCCGGCCATCCCTTTGTGCTGCCCAAGGACTACTTCATCCGCATGCTCAAAGAGGGCACGGAACCTAACCTCAACGTGGTCATGGCCGCCATGAAATACATTGGCTCGCTGTACGTCGATGCCGGCCCCGCTAAGGCTACCTACCTCGACGATGCTATCCGCTTGTGCTACCAACCCGGCACCCCTAAGGACGGCTACCTGATCCAGGCACTGCTGCTCATCATCGTCGGCCTGGACGGGCAGTGCAACCAGGCGCGGGCCCGGGAGCTGCTTGCCGACTGCGAGCAGTTTGCCATGGAGATCGATCTCAACAAGCGTAGCTTTGCCACCATGCATGGCCGCGGCAACCCTGTGCTCGAAGAGAGCTGGCGGCGGACCTGGTGGGACCTCTACGTCTGCGATGGCATGATCGCCGGCGTCCACCGCGTGACCAAATTCCTGCTGTTCAACATCCAAGCGGACGTAGGCTTGCCATGCGAGGAGCAGCAGTATCTCACAGGGGTAGGTTCACTGGCTCGTAAACGCACATCTCGCCCCGCTAACCCTAGCCTCAGCGCATCCCCCAAACCCTCTACATGGAGGACTTTGACGACCAGGGCTTCTCCGACGAGGACCGCGAGTTCTCGTCCTTCACCTACCGCATCGCGGCAGCGCGCAACCTCGGCCGCATGATGCACACGCCACCCGTCTTGTTCCCCGACGACGCGATCATCGACCGCGTGCAGTCGCTGCTGACCAACTGGAGGATGCACCTGCCGGACAGCAAGCGCGACGACCTCAGCAAGAGCTGCCAGCTCGACGAGATGATGTTCCAGGCTCACTTCATCACGCATGCGTACGTTTCCGTAATCCTTCTCACTCACTCTTCATCCACACGGGAAACTAACCAACAACGCAACCCTCACAGCTGCACCCTCATGCTCCACCAGCCGCTCTCGCAGCTCGACACCACGCCCGTGCAAGCGGTCAACTCGTGCGCGCCGCACCGGCCGGTGCCGTCGGGCGACGTCTTCAACGCGCACACGCGGCACACGCTGTCGGCGGCGTCGGAGATCTCCAAGATGATCACGCAGGCGGTGCCGATCACGCACCACACGCACTTCTTCACGTGCGTCATCACGCTCTCGTCCATCGTGCACCTGTCCAAGTGGGCGCTCTACTTCGTCGACGACGAGGACCACCTGCGCCAGCAGATCCGGCTCAACATCGGCGCGCTCAACAAGATCTCCAAGGTCTGGAAGGCCGCCGACACCGCCTGGGGCCAGGTCAAGGGCGTCGCCCAGGAGATCTACCGCGAGAAGAAGGCCCAGCAGATCTCCCCCGCCTTCTGGGTCGGCTTTACCCAGGAGCAGATGATGAGCAGCATCAGCGCCGACGAGGGCATCATGAGCGAGTTTACGACCGTGGGGGCTGTTGGGAACGTTGGTATGGGGGCTTTGGGCGGGAGGGTCAGTCAGGGGTAGGCGGTGAAAAGGGAAAAAGAGGTGAAGGGGGTGTGAGAAAAGGGGGGGTGGGTGTGTGTGTGTGTGTGTGTGTGAAAAGGGAAAAGGGGGGGTTTGTGTGAGAAAAGGAAAAACGGGAGAGTGTGTGTGTATGAGGGGTTTGATATATTGAGATCGGGGAGGGGAACCTTGGTTGGGCTGCCTATGGGCTGGGTTTGGTTCAACAACGGCCGAAAAAGTGTCTCGGGGTTGCGCAATGGGGTCTTCTCTCAAAGGTTTGTATTGGAAAGGAAGGTGACGGGAGGGCTGTGGCAGCCGTACGCTCGAGCCGGTATTTTTTTCCCTGTCTTGACATAAGTATCTATTTAGCCCGCGGAGCTGTTGCGGAGTATCAACATGTGTGCACTTTAATCGCCGAAGTTGCTGGGGAGCGGGTCGTTGGCTTCCTTTGTCTTGATCAAACGCCAAGCCGGATCTTGGGTGGGAGAGGGGGTGTGGACATGATGGTGTAAAAACTGGGGCAAACTCGCGGGTTTGTTACGTTTCCAAATGGAGGTTGCTTAACTAGGTGGTTCTGTTAGTCCGAGATCGCCGACTTTGTTGGTGTGGTTGGCGCTGTTGGTGCTGCTGGTGTCACATGGTTTGGGCTGTGGGCAGGTAAGAATTGTACACCCCCTCAAAGCCAAATCGGGGAACACAGAGTAGACAAATCGCCGACGATGACGGCGACGGTGATGAAACATCATAGCGAAGATGGTGGCCGATATTGACTTATGTGTCATGCAGCTGCGGGGCGGGAGCTAGCCCGGTCCCGGTGTCTCAGCTCGGGGGGCGTAGATCCCGCGTGTGTGGGGGGGTTCGGTGGGTTGTGCACCGCTCCAACAGTTGGTTACCGGGCTTGGTCCGGAGCGAGGGGCTACCAAGTATGTGAATACATACATACATACTCCGTACTGTGCATCATAGTCGGCGACTCGAGTGACAACTAACCCAACACGCATGTCCGGCCATAAGCGGGCTCGGTCCCAGCGAGACCAACCTACCGGACGGTGGCCGATGCAACCCACATCCCCTTGTCGTCTGACACGCGAGTGCCTAGTCTTGCCCGCCATTGGCTGCCCCATCCCAACAACTCAGCTGCTTCCTGCCGGCGGCTTTCCGCCTTACCTGGCTGACCGCCTCGGTTCCTGCGCCGTCTCTGCGTTCGGCAACCTCTTGGTGGTGCCCGGTGGTGTGGTGCCTGACGTGAGCCCGACTTGTGTGCAGTTGGGGGCGGGATCTCGGTTTGGCTCGCTCTCGCCGTGCCGGGCATGGAGGAGGGAAAAAGTGGAAATATCGGCGGGCACAAGTGGACTTATTCGGGATCCGAGTCTTTTTTGCGGTTTCTCGGGTTCTTGTTTCTTTTTGTGATAGAGATGGAGACAGCTGTGATTGTGCCGATGACGGTCTCACAAGGCCGCGGCGCGAATATGTGATGTGACGACTTAGCCCCAATGGAATGCCTCAGCCTTGATGGCACCAAGGCATACTTAACGTAGTCGACCATCTACTGAGTTGTATCTCGTCCAAATAAATTTCTATTCCTTCTGCTGGCCAGGACCATACCAAACCCCACTGTTCCTGACCTATCCGTCCACTTAGACGCTCAACACCAACCCTGACAGCAGCCATGAGCAGACTATCCACAACCTCCTCGGGCGAGCCAGCCCATAAAGAAACCCCCAACATAGACATCGAACGCGGGGCCGCAGCCGACTCCCACCCCGTCAACACCACCGTCCACTCCCTCGCCTGGAAGGGCATCACCATAACAGTCAAAGACCGCGAGACCAAGCTCCCCAAAACCATAGTCGACAACGCGCATGGCATCGTCGAAGCTGGTATGCCTCATCCCCCCTCCCCCCAACCTCTTCAGTCATCCACCCCTTTCCTCCCTCCTAAACCACCACCCCACTAACCCCCCCAACAGGCGAGATCCTCGCCGTCCTCGGCCCCTCCGGCAGCGGCAAGACCACCCTCCTCAACCACCTCGCAACCCGGCCCACGCCCTCCGCACTCACCACGGCAGGCGACATCCTCCTCAACGGCCACCCCCAACCCGCCTCCTCCACCACCACCACCCCCCTCCGCTCAGTCACCCGCTTCGTCGAACAGGACGACTCCCTCGTCGGCGCGCTCAGCGTGCGCGAGACACTAACCTTCACCGCGCGCCTCTCCTCTTCTTCTTCTTCCGGCGACTGGAAGGCGCGCGCGGCGCGCGTGGAGGCGCTGCTGGAGGGGTTCGGGCTACGGGCGCAGGCCGACACGCTGGTGGGCACGGCGCTGCGTGGCGGGGTCAGCGGCGGGCAGAAGCGGAGGTTGGGGGTCGCGTGCCAGTTGGTGGGGGAGGGCGCGCCGAGGGTGCTGGTGCTGGATGAGCCGACGAGCGGGTTGGATTCGTTGGCTGGGTGGGAGGTGGTAAGGTTTTTGAGGGGGGTTGCGAGGAGGGAGAAGGTATGTTGTCCTGGTTTTTTTTTTCTTTCCCTTTTGCCCTTATCTGGTTCTTTGGGGGTGGTAAGAGGGGGAGGGGGTTGAAGAAAAAGGGGTGGCTAACGAGGGCATAGTTGATTGTCATTGCGTCGATTCACCAACCCAGCACGGCGACGTTCAACTTGTTTGATAAGCTGCTGCTGATGTCGCACGGCAAGACACATTACTTTGGACCGGTGAAGGATGTGGCGGGCCATTACGAGTCGATCGGGCATCCCATGCCCCTGCATGTCAACCCGGCTGAGTTTCTGCTCGAGATGGTCAACACCGACTTCGCGCAGGACACTGAGTCGGCGTTGCAGCGGCTGCATGAGATGCAGTTTGCGTGGACGACCTCGCGGGGCGCCAAGCAGCTCACTGCTGCGGTGGCGGCGGTTGAGGAAAAGGGGTCAGGGGCTCTCGAACTCGACATGGCCGAGAAGAAGCCCAGCCTGCCGAGCGTGGTGTTGACGCTCATGCACCGGAGCTTTGTCAAGAGCTACCGGGATGTGGTCGTCTACGGGATCAGGCTGGCTATGTATACTGGTAAGCATTGCCCTTAAGTGTGTTGAAGACTTAACTCACTGGATTGTCGGTAGGGCTCGCTATCATGGTGGGAACCGTCTGGCTCAGGCTCGATGCCTCGCAGGAGTCCATCATCCCCTTCACCAACGCTATATTTTAGTATGTGTTTGCTGCCCTTGATGATTATACGACCACCGCTAACTTGCCGCAGCGGGTCCGCCTTCATGTCGTTCATGGCGGTCGCTTACAGCCCTGCCTACCTTGAGGATTACATGCAATTCATAAAGGAAAAGCGAAACGGGCTCTACGGCTCGACAGCCATGATCATTTCCAACTTCCTCACTGGCATTCCCTACCTCTGTGGGTTCTCCCCGTCCGTTTCTGTGTTTCATGATGCTAACTGGCATCACAGTCATCATCGCCCTCGTTTTCTCGTCTATCTCGTACTGGCTCTCAAACCTACAACCCACCCCCCAAGCCTTCTTCACCTGGGTCCTCTGGGTGTTCCTGGACCTGCTCGCAGCCGAGAGTCTGGTGGTGCTCTTAACGTCCCTCTTCCCGTCATTCGTCATCTCGCTCGCGCTGATCGCCTTCGCCAACGGCCTCTGGATGAGCGTCAACGGGTTCATGGTGCCGCCGACGGTGCTCAACGTGTTTTACAAATACGTCTTCCACTTCTGGGACTACCAGAAGTACGTGTTTGAGAACATGATGGTGAACGAGTTTAGTGAGAGGGTATACAGCTGTGCGACCACGGCGACTGGATGTCAATGTAGGTTACTCTTTGCCTTTTTCTTCCTCCACGCTCTACCTGCAGCAAACTAACGGCGAAATAGGCATGTGGCAGACGGACCTCGCGGACCAGTGCCTCATCCGCGGGCAAGGCGTCCTTGACCAATACGGCTACAAGCCGGGATACATGGGCAAGGATATTGGCATTATGATGGGGATCATTGCTGGGTACCGTATTGCAGCATGGATCGTGTTGATGTTGAAGAAGTAAGGGATAATTAGTTAATTAATGGTTTATCAAGTTGTTCGCGTCATAGAGCGAGTTAATTCGAGATTGAGTTGAGGGTGGTTAATCTGCTGTGATGTCGCCTCTGGCAGACTTATCTATGAAGAATTGGTGAAAATTGGTAAAATTGGTAAGGAAATTGGGACCCCCCGATGTTGTTAATCTAGCTGGTTGATGCTTCATTGAAACTTCGAGGTTCTTTGTCCAAATAATGTTCAACCAGAGCCAGGGCACCTCGCTCCTGCTGAGGCCCACCATCTTTAGCGCAGCCCCACGCTGAATCGCGAAAAGTTGCCCCACTTGTCGCGTGAGAGCGCGCTGGGTTGGCGTCCGTTTGCGTCCTCGAGCGCCCGCAACCCACTACCAACCAACAGTCGCTCCCAGAACATCAACCAAACTCGGTGCCACCATCTGTTTCCCGTACGAAGCGGCGCAGACCGCCCCGCTGGCCTCAGCATGGAGTTTACATCGCCCCTAACAACACTAGGCAACATATCCACACCTGAATCTTTCTACACAGCGAGGAACTCGCCCTCCACGTGCAATGCCGCCGACGACACCACTCTTAGCAGTCCCGTGGAAGACCCCCCGCCCGAGGAGCCGACCTGCCGTGATGCAGTCCAGATGCCTCACGAACTCAAATCGCATTGCCAAATCCATCTAGAAGAACAACTCTGTCGGTTTTCCCTCTTTTCCGCTCCAATTGACTACCACCCTCCTAACTCTTCCATGCCCCTCGACAGACACCGCCGCAATCCACATCCTCTCGGGCCTCCTCAGTGACGGCAACACCACCACCGCCCTCCAACACCCCCATCACCTCCCGAACCAAAACCTCAAGCCCAAACCCGCCCTCATCCCCCCACCCTCCCAAATCGCCCTCCTCACAACCCTCATCATCCACCCCTCCTTCACCACCCGACCGCCGGAAATAAGCAACACCCACGCAGCCTCGCACGCCCTCTCCTACCTGCGAGGCCTCCTCAGCACCGTAGGCGCCGTCAACGCCAACTTCCGCGCCGCCTTCCAATTCGGCGACGCCCCCACCACCACGACGACCAGCACCACCACCAACAAAAACACCAGATATGGCGGGCCCCGCACCGGCACCACCTCCACCTCCTCTAACAACAGCAACCACAACCACAACAACAACAACAGCACCAGCGACTCGGACGACGACGACGACAGCGACGACGCACTAACGGGCCCGTTCGCACGGTCACAACTCCTCTTCCGGCGCGCGCCCGACTTCTGGGCCGTGCTGGGCTGGGCGTTCCGGTGCGCGGCCGAGCAGCCGCGCCGGTGGCGCCACTGGCGCGTCTGGCTGGGCTTGGCCGTGTCGGTGCTCGAGGCCGATTTCGACGAGCGCCTCGCCCGCGACCGTGACCGCGACCGTGACCGCGAGGGTGTGGTGGGGCGGGGGAAGGGGAAGAGTGTTAGCGCGTACCCGGCGCTGGGGCAGAGTTTGCTGGTGGGGTATTTGAGGGGGTTGGGGCGGGAGAGGAGGAATGTGTTGAAGGAGGTGCTGAGGGGGTTGTTTGCGTTTGCGGACGGGGAGAATGGGGTGGCGGATCGGGCGGTGTTTCGGGAGGTGTTTGAGAGGGAGACGGTGGTGAAGGGTGCGGGGAGTGGGAAGAGGAAGAGGGAGGATACCATGGTGGATTTGGAGAATGATCGGTTTGGGGACTATCTGGATGGGGATGAGTTTGAATCCGGTGGGGAGGAGGAGGACGGGGCTGGGAGGGTGCCGACACCCAAGGGCAGGAGGAAGCCCGGGAGGAAACCGAAGGCGGAAGCCACACCGTCGTTCATCCTGACCGACGACATCGCCGAGACGGTCTCCTTCCGGCTGCGCATCTTCCGCCTGCTTTCGGCGGTGTCCTACTACCTCCCGGACACCTTTGCGCGCGTCGACGAGCTCTACGAGAGATTCACCGACCACGTGCGGAGCCTCCCGCTGGCCATGTTCCGGCTCTTCGTCGAGCCCCACCCGGCCGACCTGCCCGAGGACGTGCGGGTCTCGTTCCTGCGCATGCTCATCGAGGAGATGCTGCCGCGCCACCACCCGGAGCCGGCCGACGTCGACCCGGACAACGCGTCGGCCACGGGCGTGTCCGTGCTCGTCCTGCAGGAGTGCTTCCTGCCCTTCCCCGCCAACAAGGTCACCGCCGAGGACAACGCCAAGCTCTCGCTCGCCCTCGAGAGCATGCTGTGGTTCGTCTACTCGCAGATCGACGTCGCGTACTCGCCCGAGCTGCGCCAGGCGGTTGAGAAGGGCATCAAGGCGCGTGAGGACAATATCAAGAATAAGAGGGGGGGCAGGCCGGATAAGGCGGCTAAGGATGTTCTGGCCCGGTCGGCCCGGAACTTGAGGGCGCTGGTGGATGTTATTGCTGTTGCTGGGGAGTAGAAGGGCGGGCGGGTTCTTGTAAGGTGTTGTGGGTCGGTTGGTCGGGTTTGGGTTTGGGCATTTTGATACCCGTCGTTGGTCTTTGCACCGTTGACATCGCATTTGTAGACTACATGGGTTTGGTTGACGTATTTTTACTGGCTAGCCTGATTTCGCAACTTTGTTGGTCGCGGAGGAGTAAAAGGTTGGGGTGGTCGATGGATGGCGGGTTGGCATGTTGTTTCATCGCGGGAGGAGTTTGAAGTCCATTATTAGTCTTAAGAGAGGAACTGAGCGGAGGGTATACAATTCGTGCCTTTTATGTTGTTTCGCTTATGTGCTATCCCGTAAATGTCCGGATATTAAGCATTCTACCCACACCCGCTTATACAATGTTGATACATGTGTCTCCGCGTCCATCTCCTGCCGTGGTGAATTTCTCGGTTGCAAGCGGTGTCCACTGCGTCGTCTCGGTCCTCCATGTATCCGTTCCGCCTAGACAATTCTTTTCAACCAACAGCCTATAACCTCATTTCTTCCCCTTCGCAGCCGGCTCCCAACCCTGAGGCTGCCACGTCTCGCTCGGCCCTCCCCTCGCCTGCTTCCACGGATCCGACCCATTCACCTCCGTTGTCCTCTTCCCCCCCTCACCCTCAGCCTCCCGCCTCATCTCCTTCCACGTCTCCCCCCTCCCCGCCAACTTCCCACCCCCACCCCCCGCCTCCTCCGCAACGACTTTACTCCCCGGCCCCACCCTCCTCTCCGTATCCACCAGCGGCGCCCTCACCCCCAACACCTCCCCCTCATGCTGCTGCTGCTGCTGCTGCCGCCCATCCCCCCCGGCCACCCGCGGCTTCGCCTCCCACCGCGCGTCCGCCTCGGCCGCCAGCACGCGCATGCGCGCCCGCCGCGCCACCTCGGCCCGCTGCTCGGCCAGCGAGGGGGGGTCCGCCCGCGTGTGCCGCAGCCACTGGTGCCAGGCGGGGGGCGGGGCGACCGAGTCTTGGTGCGTGCCTGAGGGGTAGCGGACTATGCGTCGCCAGCGGATTTGGGGGTTGTTGGTTTGGGAGTTGGTGGTGTTGGGGGTTGGGTTTGGGGGGAGGTTGGTTGGGTCCGGGTGGTGGGCGCGCGGGGGGAGCGGGACGCCGCGGTCGAGGAATTCCCAGTAGGTGTTGCCGTTTAGGTCGAGGCCTGGTTGGGGGGGTGGGTGTGTTAGTAAAGAATGGATGGTTTGGGACTGGGACTAGAGACGATGTCTTAAAGTCCATGTTCGTTGGGGATGTGGTGGGGTATAGGGAGAAGAGGAAGGGAGGCTGTTCTGTGCTTACCGACGAGGAATTGGCGCCGCCACGGTAGGCGGAGGGTTTTCCACTTGTACCAAGCCCGTAGGGCCAGGGATACTGGTGATTTGGACATGGAGTAAAGCAGTCTGGGCGTTACCACCAGAATGACTTGTGGATGGTTGTTGCTTGGTTCCCTGGCAAATCCCCCAAGTTCGCGACAGAAGCTCCAAAGCTCGAGTGGATATTTCTTTGCCCTGCAGTGACGTCGTCGCCAAGGCGGGAGGGACCGTCGCATCCGCTCCTGTGTGCTGAGAGCTCCAGCCACGATCCGATGCAACACCAGCCTCCCCCGTGCTAAATGTGGCTGTATTGGAGTCAAACCCCACGCTCCCACTGTCGAATTGCGGCGGGGTGCCTGGAATGACTTGCAATTTTAGGGGCCTCCAGGAGCCGCCGTACCTGGAATGGCGCCCCCCCTGCCCTGCCAACACACAACAACCAAGATTCCTCCCACCTCGCCGGGAAGTCCTCTCAGACTCTGTTGGCTTGTTCCCACGAACAACAACGACCTCAGGGATTTCCAATTTATTGGTAACGTTGATCATTGTAGTCACTGATCGCTCTTGCCTTCGACGCCGCCGCGTCAGCTGCTGATTCGGACCCCGCCATTCGCCATCGTCATTGGGGCGCCATTGGAGATTACGGGCAGCGTTCACTAATTAACGCCACTCAAGCCTGAAGCCTGACGAACCATTTGTATTCTTCCGTTCGACTCGATCAAACTACCTCGACCAACGCAGTCCGCGATTGTTCCCTGGGAAGTTGCCCGTCATGGCGTCGGTGTCGTCCTTAGATAAGGACTTGCGCAAGATGCGCCTCGACAAGTACACGCCCGCCGCTGCAAACGAGGCACGACAATGGATTGAAGAGATGCTAGGAGAGAGGCTGCCGGCCGGTGACTTGCTCGATGTGCTGAAGGACGGTGTGGCCCTGTGCAAGTGAGTCAACTGTAGTCACCTATCTATACATAGGTCGCAGTCCCAATCTAACTTCCCTAGACTGGTCAACCTCGCTGTCGGTCCTCCGGGCGTCAAATTCAAGAAGTCGGCCATGCCCTTCGTCCAGATGGAGAACATCTCACACTTTCTGCGTGCCAGCCAGGCGCCGCCACTCAACCTCCAGCAGCACGACACGTTCCTGACCGTCGACCTTTACGAGCAGAAAGATCCGGCCCAAGTCCTCCAATGCCTCGGCGCCTTTAGTCGTGCCGCCAACAGCGTGAACCCGGCGGCATTCCCCATGGCCATCGGCCCGCGGAGTTCTCGACTGGGTGTGGTGAGCCCTGAACCAACGGGCCCAGGTAGTCCACCCGGCCTTCGCGGCCGCGGCCCCTCCAATGCTAGCAATACCTCGTCCCTTTACGGCAGACCTGCCGTGACCCCGGCCAGGACCGGCGACTCCGGGTCCGGCCGCTGGAGCCCCACCAAATCACCAACCCAGGCCCCCGCAAGCCCCCCGGCTCCCGTCAGCAGCTGGAGTAGGAGGGAACACGAAGGCGCCACATCGCCGGCTTGGAACATTGCCCAGTACGGGTACATGGGCGGCGCAAGCCAAGGGAACCTGGGGATTGCGTTTGGTGGCCGTCGCCAGATCACTAGTGCCGGTCCCCACGTTCCGAGCATTGCTGAGAAGGAGAAGAGGAGGAAGGAACAAGAAGCCGAAGCCGAGAGGCAACGCCAAGAGGAAGAGCGCCGACGGCAGGCCGAGATCGAGGCTGAAGAGGAGCGAGCCCGGCAGGAGGAGGAAAGGCGGTGGGAGGAGGAGACCCGCCGCGCCCGGGAGGAAGAGCAGAGGCGGTTGGAAGAGGAAAAGAGGCAGTGGGCCGAAGAAGAACGTCAGTGGAAACTCACCCAAGAAAAGAGGCGCAGAGAAGAAGAGGAGGCCGAGGCCCGGCTGAAACAGGAGCGCCAGAACGCACGCAAGAGCAACCCCCAACTGCGCGGACAGTTCCTCAGCCAGTACCAAGCCGAAGATGAGACGCCGGAACAGGCGCGCATCAGGCAGCTCGAGCAACAACTCGAACTTGCACGCCAGCGCGAGGCAAGCTACGAAAGAGAGCGCCAGGGACGCTCTCTGCGGCCTGGCACCAGCGATGACAAGAAGGCCCGGTCACGGTCGCGCAGCCGAGCAGCGCAGCCAGTCTCTAGGCAAGACTCGTGGAGCGTGCGCGACGAGCGCAACTTTATCGCCAGCCAGTGGACGCAACACCAGCAGCAACTAGAACAGCACGACGAAGAACCCGATGACGCGGCAATGTCACCGCCACCCCTTGCATCGCCGCGACCGCTGCCGAACCCCGCCGCTATGGCGTCACCTCCCATGGTTAAGACCCATCGAACCGGCGAGGTGCCACCGGCCCTCCCGATCCGGAACCAGCACACGGGTTCGCGTCCCCTACCTAACCCAGTTGAAGCCGGCCCGCCGCCCCCGATCCGAAACCAACACACCGGCTCGCGGCCACTCCCCAACCCAGCCGGGGCACCACCACCAACCCTCCCAATCCGGAACCAACATACCGGATCACGACCCCTCCCAGTCCCGGTGGTGGAAGCCGCCCCGCCACCGCCCATCCGAAACCAACACACCGGCTCGCGGCCCCTCCCCAACCCTGTCCCCCCTCCGAACCCCGTCTTCGCATCAAAGTCCTCCCCCGAAGCCTCGCGCCAGCGCCAGCAACCGCTCTCGCCCCAACCACCCCCGAAACAGACCTTCGCCCGCGAACTCCCCACCTCCACCGCCGACACCCCATACACCCAACAACGCCGCACCCCCTTTTCCACCACCCCCACCCCCGCTGCCCCCGCTCCAGCACCAGCCCAGAAGAAACAAACCCTCCTCGAGCGCGAGATGGAGCTCGAGCGCCAGCGCCAGCGCGAGTGGGAGGAGGCCCAGCAGGAGACGGCCGCGCGGGCCGCCGGGCGCGCGGCGGGCGACGGTGGTGGTGATGCGGGCGGCGTGGACGGTATCGGGGGTGGTGTTGGTGGGCGCTGGGATGTCAGCCAGTGGACGGGCTTCACCGGCGGCGATAGCCAGAATAAGGGCGCGCAGGGGATCGGCGCGGGGAGGCGCCAGATTGTGGGGCCGAGGGGGATTGGTGGGCCGAGGCCTTTGCCGAATCCGCCGAGGTGATGGGGGTGAGTGTGGGGTGGGTTGGGTTGGTTGGTTAGTTGTGTTGTTGGTGTGGGTGTGGGTGAGGATGGGGTTTGGTGTGGCTCGGGTGTAAGCTGGGTTTGGTGTGGTAACGGAGGTTGGTAAGATTAGTTTGGGGTGGGGGGAGGGAGGGTTGGGAGTTTGGCGGAGGAGATGTTTGCTTTGGAGTACAGAGTACAGAATACCTGGCCGAGGGAAGGCTGAATACGATTCCGATTTATTTTCACAGAGCGCCGTCTGTGACATGCTGTGGTTGTGATATGCTGTAGTTGACTGGGGTACTGGAGATCCACGCGTGGTGCTGTTAAACTCGGTTTGGCATTTCGAACCCCTCAGTGTCCAGGAGCCAACTGCTGGAATCGCAGAGGTAAACTACCTCCACTCGCATATAGTACAGCATTAAGAATAACATAAGTACAAGAACAAAGTAAAGTAGAGTAACGTCAGTCAGCTGACAATGATAGTAAGTTTGTCGTACACATGGTTTAACCATGAACCAGGTCTTTTGAAACCCCCCTTCCTCCACACTCAGTCCCGTCCCAGGTCATGTCCACATGCACACATCCCCCCCCGCCCATGTAGTAGCATACACACCCGTAACTAGTCGTAGTAGCAGACCGAAGTACGCCCCTCGGCCCCCCTATCCCGTTCCCGTTTTTCCCCATTGACCGCCTGTCCGTACAACCCCCCAACCCCTTTTCTACTACCCCCAAGCACCGCCTCTCCCAAACATTAAAACAGGGAATAATCATGGTACAATCACAAATATACACGCCCCAATGAAAAAGGTAACAAAAACATGGGGAACGGAACAGAAAAGCACCCCCCCTTCACACGCGACTCCCCAAATTCCCACGACCCCCTCCTCCGTTACTACCCCCATACGCACCATTCCCCGTCTTCCAATCCCACTTCCCGCCCCATTTCCCAGCCGCCGCCGCCGCCGCGGCGGACCCCGGCGCAGCAGGCCGGAAGCGGCCCGGCGTGGCACCCAGCGCCTCGGTAACCGACACCTGCTGGCCGGCGTGCACGGGCAGGAGGCGGGGCGAGGCGTGGTAGGGGAGGATGGGCTTCTTCTTGACGACGGGCGGGGGGCGGGTCTCGCGGAGGATGGCGAAGAGCTCGGGGTCGGTGTTGCAGATCTGGGCGCGGATGAAGCGGGACTCGGCGGCCGGGTTGGCGGCGCCGGCGGCGCGGAGCTCCTCCATGACGGGCACGCGCGGGGTGTAGGGGATGGCGGCGAGCTGCGGGGCGCGGGCCGGGTCCGGGACGATGGATTCGTCGAGGTGCGCGGCGTCGCCCTTGGCGAGCAGGCTCGTGATGTCGATGCTCTCGCCGTGCGGGATCGGGGTTGGGTTGGATGGGGTCACGCAGTCCATGTCGACCTCCTTGCGCAGCACCGTGTCGATGTCGACGGCCGAGAAGAAGGCGCAGCTCTGGGGGAGGTCGTGGATGCCGACCTGTTGGGCGAACATGGTGCGCGTCCAGAGGTTGGCGACCTGCAGCGCCATGGCGGCGCGGTACTTGTCGTGATCCTGTACGAGATAGCGGATCTCGTCGTGGACGGTGATGGCGAGGCGTGCGGCTAGGTTGAAGCGCCGTATGAGGTAGTCCATGGCGACAACCAGGAGGTGCAGGTAGTCGACGCCGCTGGATTGGATGGCCCAGTTGATGCGCGACGTGAGGTAGCCCCCCTTGCGGATGAAGCGGCTATTAAGCGCCTCGGTAATGCCCGCGCCGAGGACGGGGGTGCGCGGGCGTTCTTGCTCGGCGAACTCCTCGAGCTTGTTGAAGACGAACGACTCGGTGCCGCCGCGCCAGAAGTTGCGCTTGTAGAGGGTCTTGCGGTTGGTCTTGGTGCCCTTGGTGGCGGCGTAGAGCTTGGTGGCAATCTCTAGTGTCTCTTTCTCGCTGAGGTTGGGGTTGAACTGGCGGAGTAGCTGGCCGGCGAACTTCAGGCCGGCGCCGTAGATGCGTCCGTAGTTGAACACCTTGGCGTCGTTTCGGGTGATGCCCAGAATGGACGCGGTCCGGCTGTGGAGATCGGTCCCGGCAGCTTTGGTGCCTTCGAGCGTCATGAAGCCGATGGCGTTGCCGCCGTGGAGTCTGAAGGTGGAATCGCCCACCACAGAGGCGATCCAGAGTTCCTCCGAGTCCACATCAGCGCCGACAAAGACATGGCCAGGCGGAGCCCGAACCATGGCCTTGAGCTCCGAACCAACACGGTTCTTCTTGGCGTTGGATGCTGTCAGCCACGTGTTTTCGACAGCGCGGCGCGTGATGGTGCCCATGGGGATGATCTGGGGCAGGATGAAGCCGCCGACTGGTTCGTCACCCTTTGATTCCCCGTTGGGTTGGGCCGACTTGTCCGCGGCGGACGGTAGGGTGTCCTCATACACCACCAATTGGGACTTGATCCTCTCCCGCGCACTGATCCAGTACGAGCAAGAGGCGTTCATTTCGAGCGCCTCCTTTGCGTACGGATACTCCGACGTCAACGTTCCCTTCTCAAAGTAGGAGAGGTACGACTTGGCCATTGGGGCGCCACACCGGGCCGTAGGGCCATCCTTGTGCGGCAGCTTGAAGTAGACGTGGTCATTGTCTTCCTTCAAGGCCACGATAGACTCCTCGGCAAAGTCGCAGGGGACCATCTGTCGGTCCGTGTACTGCTTAGCCTCGTCTCGGGGTACCCTAAACGTCCAAGCGTGCTTGTCCGACCAGAATAGCGGATGCCCATCCCACGATAACCTAAGGAGCAGCGGCGCTATCCTGGTGCGGACACTGATACTTATCGGCGCGTCACTTTTAGCAAACAAGTCCTTGTACCACTTGGGCATGCCCGGCTTCTTCTGCCTCGCGGCCGGCCGAGGCGGGTCGCCCTTTTTTTTTCCCTTGACCATCTTGATCTCCTGTCCCGACCAGTCCAGCTGTTTCAACCAGGGATCGTTGTTCCACTTGTCTGGCTCTGCCCTGATTTCTGTAGCCTTCTCCGCCAAGAGAATCAGGCGTTCTCGCACAGCGTCGGAGAGTTTGTGATAGGTCGCTTCCGCATTCGCAATGTAGGAGTCCCACGTCTTGTTGACGGGCAAAATCACGGACGAGAGGTGGCGAAGGGCGGCAAAGCTGACGGGGTGCGGGCATACGTGGAGGAAATTGGGAAAGACAACCTGGTAGACGCGATGTGTGATGGCGACATCTGCCGCGCAGTAAGTCAGGAGCTCTTCCAGCTGTTCCACCACCCCGTCCCGGTCGAGCTCGCCAAACGCATTCCGGAGCTCCTTGTCGATCGACACATCGAGATGGAACTTTGCGACGTCGCGTAGTGAGTTGATGGAGCTCCGCTCAATCCACAGCTCATCCTCCTCAGACGTAAAGGCTCCGTTGTTGAGAAGCTCGACCAGTTCGACGCTGCTAGCCTCCTTACCGATCTTATCTCGTAGCTCCCGGTTTTTCTTATGTTTCATCCAAGTGGGCCGCTGTTGCGAGCACATGCCGTTGACGGCGACGTGCAAGGACATGGTGTCGAGAAATGAATTCCGCGTCTGTTGCAGGTCGTATTCCTCCAGTATCCTCGCTCGGTCGAATCCGACATTATGCCCCACGATCACCCTCTCCTTCGTCGGATCCCCCAGCGGCACCAGCTGGTGTTTGTTTTCGGTCTCTCCGAGCAACCACGGCGACAGCCATGCGTACCACGCCTCGGGTGTGCCTGCGCAGGCCATGACCGCATATGGATTATCCTTCCACATAACCTCGGTGTCGAAGACGAGCATGTTCCCTTCTGGCGCATCGACCTGTTCGCTGCGGCCGTCCGGGTAGTACTTGGTCCATCCGCTACGACGTACCCATGATCTCGGCTTCGGCGGCAGCGTCGACCTAGCCAGCTGCTTCGCGTGTCCCAAGAATGGTTCCGCAGCGTCGACACCTAGCTTGTGGAAATGCTCATCGAGAGTCTTGCCGTGGAGGGGAGGTAGCTTGAAGGCGACCGGGGGGGTTTTATCTGTGTTTTTGTCGAGAAGATCGTGGCGGCGGAGGTGGTCGCGCGCAAGCTCGATAAGCTCGGGGGTAGGCGGGGCGGGGTTTTCATCAGGGAACAGCTGCTTGTAAAGGCTGTTGCTCAGCTGCTGGACACCGATATCGTTGAAGCGGGCCTCGCATGGAATGGAGAGATTCCGGTCAGGTGCTTGGGTAACGGTAGTCGAGTTCCACCGGCCAGAAACCAAAGCCAAACTCGAACGGCGCCATGATGAATGACGGGTGGTAGTGGTAGCGCGATGTCGTGCGAAATGGATCAAATTCGCGGCGGGCACATCTCCTCCTCGCAATCCGCGGATTGAAACGAGCATTTTGCACGGCAAAAGCGAACGGTGACGCCGCACTCAAGTCATGGTAACTCGGCGTCCTATTGCATGGGCTGTTTTTTTTTGGCGTTGAAAAAGTTGCCCTATCTGGAGCTAACGGCGAGAAATCGCAGCACTGAGACATGGTTGGAGCGAGAGGGGCCCCGCAGGAGTGGCCCTGCATGGAACATCGACCCACCAATGACGCTGAATTCGGTGCCAATCTCTGCCCAGATGATGGAAGCCGCGTGCGTCATGCTGCCCTTGGTCGTGCGCGCGTCGCAAGAGCATGGCCGCGCTAAGATTTTTAACAATCGACGATGGGGGAGCTACGGCCACTAAGCAATTCTAACGTGTTGCCAATTCTGTGTCAAACAAAAAGCTTGTTTAACGCCCGTGCCCGGCGGCCTTTGTTGGCCAGGAACGAGAACCTCGGCCTCTGAGACGGGGGGCTCGTCATTGTACATACTGTGTAGAAGACGGGCTTGGCGGTTGGGATTACAGAAACGCCATGACAGAAGCAAGCAGTTTAACGTCGAGGACTCGAGGCGGAATAAAAGGTGGCATTTAATGACGACGGAGAATGATGCATTCCATCCTACCAAGAGGGCCGATGGTACGAAGTATTGTGTAAAAATACCTAGGTTGTAGACGCACTGTACTTAATTACACTACTTGCCCGTGTAAGTGGCATCGTGATCCGTGGACACCGTTTGGTTCCGGTGTGACCAATTTGGGAATCAGGCACGCCATGGTAGAATATGGAGGTACCTCTTACTGTGCCCGGTTTCCCCGTGCCAGACTCGGAGACTGATTAAATTCTTAAAACAGATGGAAAGCCATGGATTGCCTGTGGGGACTCCCGGGCAACAGTCCGGACCCGAAGCGGAAGGAAGGCCAGCTTATGGAGGGGAGCTACTCCTGCCTTTTCGGGGACTTTCTGCTTCCTGCGCGTGGTTTTCGTTGGTTTCTTGCAGGGATTCAACTTCGTATGGGCCACGATATGCCTGGGAGGCTCGATCCTTCAATAACCGACTTATTTCGGTGTTTTGGGTTGGGCGAGGTGGGCGGTGGCCAGCTAAGTCTTGGTCCGTGGTTCCATCTCGGGTGGTTTACCCCATCGCACTTGCGATACCATCCGGACTCTCGTGTGGTATCCGGGAAGTACTTTACTTCATTGCCTTATAATATGGAAGATACCAAATAAGATAACTTGGCAGTCGAGCTTAGAACCTGCACACACTCTTCGCACCTCTAATAACCATATCCTCCCCTCGAAGTATTAACGCAGCGAAAAGAGCCCGTCGATTCATACATCGCGACGGACCACGCCTCAGGAAGCTTGACCTGCAGTGCGGTTTAATCTCAATCAGCATCTATGGCGAACAACTTCTTCGACGGAACCTGGAGTGATTTCTTTGACGGTATGCATACCTACTTGAACTAGAACCAACTCGAACCCCCAAAGAGTACAGACATACCTAACCAGCCCCAGACCCAGCGTTGCTCGGCCTCCAAGCGACCCTCGCCCTGTCTCTCGAACCGCCGTCACCTCGTCCTCAACGCATCCACCACATGCCACCAGTTAGTTCTCGTTATACGCTCGAACAAAATACAGCCCAGGATGCGAGATTCCGTTCTGGCTTTGGGGATCGGCCTGCATCTTCACCTTTTGGTGCTGCGGTGGTTCGGGAAGCAACTGGTTTGCCGCCGTCCGAAGTTCTCGGCAACGGATTTATGGTCGGACCCACTCGGCCCGCTTCCACCCCTCGGCGTCCCGAGCGTTCTCGACTCGAGGCGTCACTGGCGAGGGCCGAGAACCCAACCACTGATCTCTTGCAGCTGAACTCTCCTCCACGTCGCGCTCCCACCTTCCCTGCTATTCTTCCACCTCCAAGCCTCAATCACACAACACTCTCCTCAACGTTTCCCACCCACGGCCTCCCAAACTCCCAGCGGAGGCACAACGACATCTTTCCCGCTTCAATACCTCCTCGCGGCATTCAACGCAGTTCATCTCAGCGCCGAAGCCCGCGCCACGACCACGCGGGCGACATCACAACTTCTGTGCCCTTCACCATCGACGACGATTTTTCCCGGCAACCCGCTACCCACAGAGCAACGCCATTCTCCGACGACACCCGCAGCGTGCCCCGATTGCCAACCATGATGTCCTCGAACGCGGGTAGAAGAAACGTACGGCCCAGCGACCTGACGCTGCCCTCTACACCCAGCCAGCCAACCCAGTCGTCTCGCCCCGCTCATAGGACCACCCGCCGAAGCACGTCGCAGTCCGTGCAGCCAGAGCAAGGCGCTTCTGGCAGTAAGCGCAAGCGAGAGCCAGACTTTGACGACCTTTTCGGCGAGAGCCCTTTCGACGGCCAGGAGGTGGTCGATCTAGTCGATAAGGATGAAATGCCGATCGAGATCCTCAATAGCCAGGAGGAGAAGAAAAATTACATCAGGATGAGCTCTTTTGACTGCGTCATCTGCATGGATAGCGTTAAGGATTTGACCGTTACTCATTGCGGTAGGCTTTCTTCCCCGTTCCGGCTCACTCGGCCCCTTCTAACCATCGCTCTTAGGGCACCTCTTTTGTTCCGGGTGTTTGCACTCTGCACTCAACATGGACCAGAGCCGACGGATCTGCCCCATCTGCCGGCAAAAGATTGATAAAGTGCCTGCTGGCAATAACAAGTTCGGTCAAAAAGCAAAGGGCTACTACTCGTTAGAGCTCAAACTGATGACCAGGAAATCCATGGCAGCGAAAGCCGAGCGGTCGTCTGTATGAGGTCACGTCAGAGTCGAGCTTCAAGTTTCGGAACACGTCCACCGTCGCATCCTAGAAGATAGTGGGAAGCCTTGAGTTTCGAACTTCGGTTGATTCAATTTCTTTCTTTCGGCGCCGGCAAGCTCACGAGCGCCGGTGAGTCCCATTGGGCGGACGACTAGAAGGGGATCAATTTTTTTTATAAACACTCGACGTGGGAGTAGTTTGCTTTCAATTTTGCATGGCCGGTGGGATCAACACGGAGGCATACAGGCGGATAGATTGACTATTGGCGTTATGGGTTGGTGTTGTATACCCCGGGCGAAATGGTTTTGACACGCGTAGCATCATGGGTAGGCGGGTTCGACAGAAAGGTCTGTCTGGCATCAGGATGGGATAGGGTCGAAGAGGTTATTTGGGATTTCCATTTTCCTGCATGAGCCGGTGCATAATGGTGGTTCGTTCCTTTTCAAATTGTTCGGTTGCGATTAGGGCGAGGAACCGCTTGACAAGCGGCCGGTTTCTTTCCTCTGTAGATTCCAGTTCAAGTCCACCGATCGACACCATTTCCTTGACATGTCACCAATAGACAAAGCAGAATTGTCTTGGGTTGTTTTATTCCCAACATTGGGGCGAGGTAATCCATCTCTACTCGTAACAATCAACACAAGTCCCCTCCCCTTTCGTCCCCACACTTGTCAATATCCCCCCTCGTGATGCAAATAGGTACCCTACCCTCCTCCTCAATAGAAAAGCCTCCTCAATGGAAAAGCGTGGTTTCTACCCGCGGCTTCTCGGCGGGGGTCTGGCCCGTTTCAAACTGTAGAATCGACGTCAAGTCAGCCAACCTGTGCTTCGCGAAGTCGCAACGCAGTACGACGCGTCGTCACCACCACGCGTGGAGGCGTGTGTGTATGACGCGTCGGATAGAAGGGGAGACAAAAAAAGAGAAAAGGAACGTACCTCCAAGAACCCCGTCGCCGTAATCAGCAGCATAAACGCCTCTGCTAGCTCGTCAATCTGCTCCTCTAGCGCACCTTGCGCCTCCGCATCCCCGCCACCCCTCGCCACCGAACCCAGCAAACTATCCCCATAACCCTGCCCACCATTCCCGTTCTCATTCCCATTCCCAACCCCAGTCCCCTGGGCACCACCCCCACGCCCCCCAACCATCCCAATCCCCGCACTCCGCTTCAGGGTATGCACGACGAGCATGCGGTGCTGGGTGAGGAAGCGGCGGCCCTGGACGACGTTGTTGGCGCCGCGGGCGAGCACGGCGGCGCCGACGACGCGGGCGAGCGCGACGAGCAGGGCGTAGTGCTTCTCGAGCGCGCGCGTGTTGCGCGGGTCGACCTGCAGCTCCGGGTCGGCCGCGAAGACGCCCGCGAGCTCGAGCGCGCGGAACAGGCCCGCCTGCAGCACGTACTTGGCGCCGTGCCGCGCCTGCGCGAGCTGCAGGAGCAGCGCCAGCTTGGCGGTGAGGTACTGCTCGGTTTGGCTGTTGTGGTTGTGGTGGGATGGGTCGGAGGTGGCGGCTGTTCCTGCTTCTGGGGAGGAGATGACGGCGAGCCAGTCGGTGAGGATGGTCTTGAGGGAGTCGACGAGCACGCCGAGAAAGTTGAGCCGGTTGAGGGCGTCGATTATGGCTGTGTCGTCGTCGGCTGAGGAGCGGCGCGAGGTGTGTACGAGGGCTGAGAGGAGCACCGTCGCGGCGGTCTGGCAGGACGTGTCACTGCCGTACGCGTCGTCGCAGATCACGTTGAGCAGCCGGTCGCCGTGGAGTTGGATTGCTTTGAGGGTCTTTGTGCGAGCTGTTGCGAGGCTGCGGTTGCGCGTCCCTGTGGCGGCCGTGGTGTCCTTGTCGACGACAGCGGTCAGGTAGCGGTAACAGATGCCGTAGTAGAGCGCTCGGAGCTCCGCGCCGCCGGCCCACTTGCCGATCGAGCTGAGGCAAACTTGGAAGAGCTGGAAGAGCTTGTCGCTGATGAGGTTGCCGACGGTGAACTTTTCCCTTTCTATAGTGGAGGTGGCGTTGTCGTCATCGTCATTGAAGTCGAGCTTGAACAGGAGTACTTTGGCGACTCGCGCAAGCTCCAACGCTTCGGCTGGGCTCAACGTGCTGTAGGCTTCGAGGGTAGGGAGAATGGCTTGTAGTGCCTGCAGTAAGAAAGCCATCTTGGGTGTGCCCTTGAAGTCGTTGGCCTCAAACATGACCAAGAGCAGGTTTGCCCATGCTTTGAGCAAGCTGAGTCTCGACGCAGCGAATAGTTTTTGGCGGTTCGTGAAGGTCAAGTACTCTATCAAAATCCTCTCTTCCGTCTCGATAGCGTCAAGGTGCTGCTGGGACGCTACTTGGAACGTGTCCCTAAACTCATTACGCTTCAGCGCGATGGTTTCCCGCACTTTGTGGATGTTGTACTGCAGGCCGGCGTCGGGGTGCTCGACAGCCGACGGTCTGAGGTCGAGATCTTTGTAGAAGACAAACTGTGGCGCAGGCACGTCCCAGGTGGCATCGGGATTGAGGAAGTCGAAGAAGTCAAAGATGTTTGCGAGGCTTAAGGGTTCCTCGCTGTCCATCTTGATTTGCCCGTTCAGGGCGTCGAAAATCTGACGCTTGATAGAGGGTATCCTGTTCTGCGAAACGCTGCACAACTCCTTGCCGATGTACTCAAACACCATGGCCCGAGCGCCGAGGTAGTCGATGTAGGACACCGAAGCGTTGGAGAGGAGGAATTCGGGGTTGTTAGCCTGCAACTCGTCCCATTGCAAATCCGGCTGGATCTGGATCTCCCTCAGCAGCATGTGGAAGAGGAAGTTGGTGGCTCTCAACTCGTCCATGACCAGAGTGCCGGAGAGAGGGGACTTCCAGAGGATCTGCAAGATGCGTAGAATCCGGTACTTCAAGGTGATCAGATATCCGCGCATTCCACGCTCCTCCTCGTACACCGAAATCCCGATGACAATGTTGAGGAGATTGTGGAAAAGAGACTTCTGTGAATCAAACGCCCCCCTTGGCTCAACGCTCAGCCTGTTCAGTTCGCAGTGGAAACCAAGGAGAAGATGCGCAATGGTTGGCTGATCGGGCGTCGCCTTAAGACACTCGTAGACGAAGTCGAGGATAAACAGCTTGATTACATAGCTCTCTGACTCGGCCTCTAGAGCTGGATCCAGGGGGGCGGATATGGTAGCAGCTAGCGAAGCGGCAATGGTATGACCCTCGCCGTTCCTCTCGAGCTGGACAATCGCCTTGTTTCGGTGGCCGAGACGACCGGTATCTGGGTTCCACGCCGAGATGATTTTGGGGGACGTCGATATCTTTTCGAGCAGTTTCAGGCAAGCCAGTGTCAACTCGCCGTGCCCAAGATTGCAGTATTTGCCCAGGTCGACCACCAAGTTGAGATGGCTCAGGATACCGTCTTCGAAGGAGGCGTACGCGGCGTTGGCCACGGAAGGCCGCCGCTGCTTCTCGGACTGGATGACAGGCCGCACAAGGTGCAAATAAGTTTCTTGCAAGTCGAGAGCTTTTATCATGACCTGGATGCCCCGCAAAATGCTGAGCACCAAAGGGGAGTCTGGGGATGCAGCGCCCAAAATAACGGCATCTTGATGGATGGTGCGGATCAGGGCGGTGATGACCTTCTCGTTAAACAGCCACTCCATGACACGGGCGAAAGGGTGAAGGCGAACATATGTGGCTAGGTCCGTTGTTGGCATTGCCACATCGATGGCAATATTGCTTTCATTGCCTAGGATGATCAGGTCTTCGTTGAACGTTGATAGACAAGTCATGGCAAAATCGAGACAGCTGAGGCGCACTGCCCTGAGTTGGGCGGGGTCTGCCAGTTCCTGAGACTTTTGAGAGAAAACCCGGAAAACGAAGTCGACATAAGGTTCCATTCCCGGTGTTCGGACACTGCTGGCCAAGTCTTCGGGGAAAGTCAGGCCATCGTTCAGCCCTTCCGGACCGTCAAGTGGGGCGAAAAGGGCGGCGAGAAGCTGAATGAACGCATTCGATTCCTCGAAGCCATCACTAAGGTCATTTAAGAGTGCTTCCATGTGCCCCTCTGGGCTCAGAGGTTGACCGAGGTAAGTCATCGTTTGTTGGCTTCCGGGGTTGGTGAGGGTGTGCGTTGCCCAAGCATCGACATATCTCCAGAGTATTTCGTTCTCAGGAGGCTGCCTTTGGGTCATCAAGGCCTTGAGGACGTAGAAGATGCAAGCGCGGAGCCGAGCCGGTAACGGACCATCTCCGAGCCTGAACAGTGTGTCAACCAGCCGCATCTCTTCGTCCATCATCATCCTCTGCCGAGCGACTTCGCTTTCCGTTGCCAGCTTAGCGATCAACCGTAAATAGCACTCCAACATCAAGGCGGACTCGGGCTCTGTCTCGGCAAGGTCGGTGCCGGGTTTGGTGGGGCGCTGTATGGCGTGTGCCTGTGTCGGGGTTGGCTTCTCGCGAAGCTGTTTTGTGAAGTAATCCAGCTCTTTGAAAATCTGGGACCACGTCAAAGACTGAGAGCGCTTCATCTTGCCAGAAGATTGGTGGCCCTCGTCGAGCAGGAAGGTGTGAGCAGCTGTAGCGCATTCCTCGTTGTCGGAAAGGCACTGGAGCATCTCGCAGAATGCACTGACGAGCGGCGTGGAAGCTCGTCTCGACGCCCACTGCAAAAAGCCGGCCAGGTTGCTATCCGGATCTTCCCAGAAGGACATGGCCGCGTCCGGCCTCCCCTCGTAGGCATATGAGATAATGATCAGGAAACGCTCAAGATCGAGGTCCTGCTCGTGACTTTGACTGAGCTGTCGTTGCTCATCTTCATCTGTCCTCAGCTTGCGGAGCATATCTGGAAGATTAGAGATGGAGGCGTCCACAAACCCCTCTAGGCGCACCATGAGAATTTGCTGAAGGAAATGGCTAAAAGGGAAGGGGTCCGATGCTAACGGAGGAGACTTTCGTTGTAGCCATTGACGCATTCCCAAGCGCGATGGGTCTTGCCATTCCTGGGTCTTGCAGTCGGCAGCGACCGATAGTATGAAATCGAATGCGCCCTCCTTCAGGGCCTCGATGAACTGCTTGTTCCTCTCCTCATCTTCCTCGTCGAGATTAATTCCTTGGAAATCGTAGCTCGTGTCGTCGAGGTACCATCCGCTGTACTCGGCAATCCACCAAGCCCGGACGGCGGCACCGAGGTACGGGAGGGCCCATGAATCATCGGCTTGTTTGCAAACAACGCGGTTGAGCTGGCGCGCTTGTTGAAGGTCGCCCACCCCTTCTGTTGAGCCGAACGCTGCGATGTAAGAAGCAAGAATCGGGAACAAGTGCACTAGAAATACGTCAGGAACGCCTCGCAGTATTACACATCTAAGAAGAGGCTCGTCATACCAAGAAAGTGATCATATCTGTCGACCTTTCTGAGGGCCTGGAGGAAGTCTTGAAAGTCGTTGGCCGTCGCGTGGCGTTTTTCAACGGCGGCGTGCAGAATTGCTGCCAGACACTCGTGTTGCTCAACGAGGCTCGACCGCGAGAAGTCGAATGTCTCTTGGTTCTCTACGCCCCTCACAAGAGCGGCCTGCTGCAGTAGGTTCCGGGCCGCGGCCTTTTCCATCATGTTCTGTATCATGACCCTCACACTTTGCATGGCCTCCATAAATCTTGGGACAGCCTTCTGACCCCCACCCCCCGTACGTGACTCGGGTGGAGGAATGCCAAAGACCTTGTCCTCAGCGACAGCACCGAACGAGTCTTGTAACCCCGGCTCAAGGTCCTCATCGGCCGCTATCTCGACAATCAGGCGCATGCAGTCGAGGAGATACCTGCGCTCCTGGTGGAAACGGATGACGGCGCATTCCCACAACGGCCGACTCTGCGTCTCGGTGTCGCCTTCTGCATCGCAATCGAGCAAAATCCGGGCTGATTCGAGCTCGTCTAGATCTAAGTCGTCGGCAACTTTGAGGCAGTCGTTGACAAAATCGTCATTGATCGCGTACTCGTCTTCGCCAACCTTGACCTTCCCTAGTTCCAACCGTCAGCAACCCTCCTCTCCCTCCCCCGGGGCTCCGTTTGAGTGACACCACGTACCTGATCCTAGGGTTTGTCTATGGGCCGAGTTTCGGGGAGGCTTGTCGATTAGCTTCTTGAATGCATCGCTTTGCGCGTCCAAAAGCTGCTCCAAAGCCTGCAGGCCTTCATATCGATGCTGGCGGACGGCGACCAGCTCCCCGTGCAGGGCCTGGAGGGCTTCGAGCGCGCGCAGTTCAGACATGGTCGACGGTATGAGATGCGCCTTTGCGCATTCTTTTGATGCCGCAGCCGCGTTATTCGGAAACTCGGTGCCGTCGGACGATACCTGGTACGTCAGTGGATGCGGGTGTCGAGCAGTGTCCCAGCACGCGAATCCCTGAACGACCTGGTCGGTAAGGCGTTGTACTGTGTAAGTGTCGAGATTTGAAGATTCGACGATTCAGGCCGTCCCGCGCCAAGTTGCCTGCCGATTGGCGCCAAACCGCCGCGCAGTCAACAAAAGAATTAGGCGGTGAACCGTTCTGCCGTGTCCGTTGCGTGTTGCTGCTGACTGGAGAGCAGAGCCAGTGGGGCTTTCAATGATCGCGCACCAGCTTGGTCAGAGCTCCTTCCAGGTTCCGCCTTCCAGGCTCTTCAGACGGGACGAGCCTGCCGTTTTCCAGCCCAGTCATAGGTATGGAATGGAAGCCTAAAGTGTTGAATGTGCAAGCTCTGGAATCTCCGGGTTAGTGAAATTGAAAAGCCAGGACTCCCTTCATCAAGCTCTGGCATAGATGTTATAACATTGGTGCTGGTTGATGTTGTTTTCAACGCCTTACGGCCTCTTATTAGTTATTAGTTATCCCACAACCAATCTGGACAGGCCTGACAGGACGCCCATGCGCGTAGCTGCATCCATTTTCCGTCCCAATGCCGCGCGCCCTGCACCTTCTTGAGTTTCTCTCAACATTCTGCCTTGCCTATCCATTTTCGCCTTCAACGCTCGAGGTGAGCTATGCCTTTGCTGCGTGAGAGATTTACTGGATCGTGGCCGTCATTTTGTTCTAAACACAAATCTCTGGTCCTTTATTCGAAGAAGCAACGGCTTGTTCGGTCAACCTCCATGATCTGGATGCAAATCAAGTGAAGACCTGAAGATCGCTAGCCTCTCCGGTTGGCACTCAGGCTGAGAAAGCAGAAATGCCACGGCAACCAAAGACATACAATGGTGACACGATCAATTTTAAACAGATCGCTGGTATGTGATATGTTTGGTCAAGGACCGCTGAATCAAACACACCGTCTGACGCGATACAACCTTCGTAGGGCTCCTCACCAGTGGGACAATTACAACACGTACCGATGCCATTGGAAGTAAGCTGCGACTTCCTACTTGCTAGGTGTTCACATTCCTTAAACCATGAAACCATGAGTTAACCTCGCTCTACGATTGCAGCTCTATTGGCCTTTTTTGATGCCGTCGAACGCGGCTCGCAGAGGTAGATACTGCCGCCCATTGCTGCCATCCGTTTGAGTTGTTGTTAACCCGACTAGGAACCCCTTTGATGACAAGTCCTACCACTCACTCTACGAGGCCTTGTTCCGCTGCGCCCTCATAGAGAAGGAGAGCTACTTTAGCTCCAAAAAGTCGGCCAAATCTATTGCAAGGCTAGAAAAATGTGCTCGGGCCTTACGAACAGCTGTTCGTCATGGAGCTACCAAGATCAAGCGCAAGACGGCCAAGGCCATCATCGACCACATCGCCCAGGTCCTTCCCGGGCCCGACGGGAGCTACATTGCGCCTCTCCTCGAGGACTACGTCAAAACTCTCAGCGCCTTTCTCGAGTTCTCAGCTAACGTCGAGAATCTCGCCATAGGCGAGACCTGGGATACGTGTGTCATTTTCTGTGTCGAGGCACTTTACCGTTACCTGGAAACGGGTGATCGAGAGGGCGCGTCCTTGTCCCGCGCTTCACCGGCTCCGGGGTCGACTGCCAGGTCTGGTTCCGTTGCCCTACCACAGGGATCCGGCCAAATCGGTGGTATGATGGCTCTCGAGTTCTTAACATGCCTCAACCTACTCGTGGCCGCTCCAAACGCGCCGATATCGAGGAAAGCGGACAAGATCTCAGCCGTGGTGCTGCAGATCCTTCAGCTCCGGCAGATGAAGATAGGAGAGCTGCAGAAAGTAGCCTTCTCGACCTTCAATCTTGTCTTCCAACGCACCCAAGTCGACGATGTCGCCCTATCCAAGAGGCTGGCCAGGAATATGATCCCCCTGGTTTCGTATTGGTGGCAGCCGCGCGCTCTCTCGCGAGACGCAATGTTGAATTCTGTCCGCGACGAAATGCTCAAGACGATTTATGGGACACATCTTTACGTCGAGAGCCTGCTTCGGGACGCCACTGATGAATCTTTCTTCCAAGACGTCGAGGATTTGTTGGATTCTTTGTGGTCCGACTATTCAAAACGCGAGGACCGCGCCCGGCTTCAGCTCGATGATGTGACCTTCACTGGGTTGTGTCTACCCGAGGACCATCCTTCCACTGCCGTCTTCAGCCTCCGTCCGTACAACCAAGCAGGCGAACAGAATTGGGCTCTTCTCGAGAACCTCGCCATTCTGGAGGCTGCTTACTCGCGGCACTCCCAACGGGAGCACAGCCAACAACATCCCGGCCATGACCAGCCCCGGAAGAGACGCCGGGTAGCCGGGAGCGCCAACAGGATACTCCAGAAGATCAAATCATTGGACCCTGCGGTTCGCCTATCTGCTCTGCAGCTCATACCATTCCTAGCCAAACGGAAGCCGCTTTTGTTAGAAGACATCTCTGAGGCGGTTGCAGACTTGTCCAAGTCTGTGACTGCCAAACAGGGTGCAGTTGCGTCTTGGGCGATGGTCGCCTGTTCCAGGTAAGTACTGGGCATTTCACCGTGTGATTCCCCTGAAAGAGACTAACTAGGCAAAGCTTTGCTGCATATGAGGCATCCCAGCACGCATCTCTTAGCTCCTCCTGGAAACATCTCTGGCACCTGGGCGTACGAGCCTTGTCGCTGCCGCCTACCAGCCGTGCTGCTTGTGTCCTGCTCCATTCGGTGTTGAAAGCGAACCTCGTGCCGAGACATGAGCTCGCGGATGATGTCAACCAAATCGTCACAACCGCTGATATTAGCGGCCCGTCAGTGCTGGTCGACTCGTCGCTCACCCTCATGTTGAGCCTACTGCGCCTTCGCAACAACATGTTCCCCAATGCCAGTCAAGCCACTTCGAACCACATTATCCGGTGGGTGTTCGTCCGATGGAGCCCTGGTAAGTGAATATCAACGTCATAGCCTGGAGAACATAATCCTGACTTGTTCGGCAGCTGAGTTGATATACGCCTCCTTCCATGCCACTCATGCGACCCCGTTTGATATTGCCAATCTTCTGAAGGCTTGTTATGGTGCCCCAGCACTCACTATGCCAGCGCCACTTCGCTTGTTCGGCGGTCCCATTTGCCAGTTTTGGAAAAGCCAGACGGAAACTCATTCATTCATACGGTACCTGCTTCTTTCAGACCAGGATGACGCCGCGGCGCCAACCACGGCACTCACTGCGAACACATCTTTAATCGATGAGCAACAAGCTGAGCATCAGCCAGTGGCCGATCCATCCGGGTCCCATGCGGCAAGGCGGCTGGCGCTTGAGTTGCTCTATCCAAAGGTTGAAGAACTGCACCAGTTGACAGAGTCATGGCAAAAACGCGGAGCAGAGGGTGCAATCCCAGTTTCTACCGAGCGGCTTCAGAGCATCGTTCTCGCGTGCCTCACCGGAGCTCTCCTGCTTCCAGAACTTGTCAACTTAAATTCCTCCGCATCCAGGGACCTTGAAACCACACTGTTTGGCATCGTTGATGCCACATTCCGAGTGATCTCGGCCGCTCCCTCGAGCGAGAACTTTTTTGACCTGGTTCTGACGTCTTCGGCCGCGTACATCTCCCCACCTATGGAAGCAGAGTTGGTCTCTTTGAAGAGAGACAGGTCGCATCTGCTGAAATTCTTCGGAAAACTTTCCGATGCGTTACACGAGCGGTCCCGTCGAGAATCGTCTCTCCGAAATCCCGATGTTATTGACATTGACGACGAGTTCGAGTCGCAGACGAGCCAAAATAGCACGACATCCAAGAACAAAATCCTACCGAGAAGGGATGTCTTATTGTCTCACACATCTGAGGCTTTCTACCTTGAAACCAGTCTGCGAATACACCTCCTCGAGGCTATACGTTCGGACGATGGCGAGATCGGCCGCGTTCCTGAGACGATCGTTGACCAACTCGTCGAACTCCCGAAGGAACAGTTTCTATCCTGTCGTGTGTTCATGCAAGAGCTCTTCACATCAGATGCCATGGTTCCCCTCGACTCCGCCATCAAGATCTTGGAGACCGCTGGGCGTATAGTCAGCCGGGACGAGTTTTCGTGCTGCGAGGTGGCACTCTGCACTTGTCTCGACATCATGGACAGCTTCATCAGTATGTGGACTGATGATACTTTGGAGATTTCAGCCATGGCAGGGGATCTCTACCATTACTTGGTAAAAGTTTCCTTGCCCAACAACTCGTTATCTGCAGCGACGCAGGTTCAGCTCTCAAGCCTGCTCCTGCACCTATTGGAAGTCAAGTCCACTTATGCTTCCAGCCTCGAGTTACCGTCCTCCCGGTCAACGCTGATGAGCATTCTGCAAGACGGAGCCATGGACGTCAAGTATTTTATCGGACGCAACCTCCCCAAAATCTTTGGATTGTATGTTCTCAAGACACACGACACCATCTTCGTTGACGTCCTAGAGAGCCTTCCTTCGGACCCGCATGTCACCGAGGGAATCGCATTCCGCCTATTTGTGCTCGCAGAACTTGCCTGCCGGTGGCCGACTCTCCTCCGCCGATGCATCTACCACATCTTTGAGACTCCAGGGAAGATATCCCAGTCAGGGAAGTATGCGGCCAGCTGTCTCAAGACAATATCGCGAACGTTGCAACTCGATGGGCCCCAGGAGCTTTTCAGGCTCTTCGCCCCGCAGCTGCTGTATACCTGGCTCGAGGGCGGCTCAATTCAGGAGATCCCGTTCGAGATATTTGGTTTCCCGAGTCTCCACGACCTGCTCCAGGAAGCCCAGACCGAGGCTGCCGCCATCATGATAATGCGTGGGCAAGAGAAAGAGGCGCTTGATCTGGCGCAGGCCTTGGGTTTGACCCCCGAACAACTGGTTCAGCAGAGTTTCACCAAGATCATTACTTACAGCATCGCCCACGATATCAGCATTCCGGGCGGTGCCGACTACGTGACCGGGGAGAGTCGGCTTAGGAAGATCCTAGGCAAGGAAGGGTTTCTCGCAAACATCCACCTCAACTTCGCCGACATCATCGCCACCTTCTTTGACATCTTTGACCAAGAAGACCCAATCGAGAAGGCTTTCCGGAGGGATGAACGATTTGCCTATGCGGCAAACGCCATGGAGGAGATCAAAAAGCTCGGGCACCTACCCGCTGCCCTTCCTTCAAATCAGCAGCCGATGTTCAAGGCAAAGTATTTGCCGAGAGAGATCGTCCACCTGTGCAGCCGGACCCCTTACGAGCCGGAAACGTTGTGGACACCTGCCCTTGTCGTCTTCGTAGCCCGCAAGCTGTTGAACACGATACACCCGGCGCTCGGCCCACTCCATGCTTGCTCGGTCCTGCGCAAAATCCGCGTTATGATATGTATGGCTGGCGACCACGCAACTTCAACGTACCCTCTAGAGATGCTCCTACATTCCCTGCGAGTGTTTGTAGTTGATCCGGAGTGCGCCGATGATGCTCTGGGCATCACACAGTATCTCATTCTCAAAGGAGACAGCCACCTTAGGCAGACGCCATCCTTTCTCGCTGGATACGCCCTCTCCAGTCTAGCAGACCTCCGCGTCTTCCTCGAGTCGAGCCAGTCCAGCACGACACAAGAAAGCCAGTTCAAGGCAACCATGACCAAGGCACAACTCTTCCATTCGTGGTTCTCCAAGTACCTAGCTAGCTATGACTCTCCCGCGTTTCAGGACGACGCGCAGAAACGTGCCTTCAAGTCCATCACGCAATCAGCTGCTCATATTCGAGCTTCTGGCAATGCGGAGAAGGGCACACACGAAAGTAATCTGCTCTTGGAAATCCTCGAAGATTGGGACCGCAAGAACCAACTCCTGAACGAGCCCGCGCGAGACGTCGCTCTTTCCATGCTCTGTGGGGTTTTCAAAGTCCCTCCATCCAGCCGATTCGATGTCATTGAGAGCGATGACGACGCACTGAGCCATAGTGCCGTTGTGTGGAGGAGCTGCGCCTCGCAGCGGTTGGGCGGAGAATACCTGGCCTGGGCCGGCAGGGTTCTGGGTCGTTCATTTGCAGCGTCTGGCGAAGTCCCGGATGAGCTGCTGCGTGAGTCTCATCTCAAGGAGTACCGCAGGTTGTCGTTAGACATCGGGGGCTCAGAGGAGGGGCTGCTGAATCTCATTGAGGCGCTCACTGTCAGTGGTGATTGCTTCACAGCCGGCCTGGCAGAGGCTGCGCTGCGGACCGTCGTCTCGGATGCTGTGAGCGATGACGATCATGACCTTCTCGGCGCCTGCCAGCAGAGCCTTGCCGAGCCGTTGCTGATTTCGTCAAACTGGGATCCTTACCGCACACCGCGGTCTGATGGATACAAGGTAGATATTCCTTCCGAAACGGAAGTGTTCTCAGCCAAGCACTTTGAGAGTCCAAACTGGTCACAGCAGCTTGCCACGCTTTTGGCCCAGTCGGTGCCTGAGATTGTGACGCTGAGGGTCTTGCCCCCAATCCTCAGCAAGGTCAAAGGATTTGCGGAGCGGGCATTCCCCTTCGTTGTCCATCTGGTTTTGACCTACCAGTTGGATAAGCAACAAGGCGTAAAACGGCAGCTGTCGGAGGCCCTCAAGGGATGGCTTGACTCCGCCTCGGACTTGGCCAAGGAGAACCTCAAGCTTCTGATCAATACCATCCTCTACTTGAGAACCCAACCACTGCCCGGCGAGACCTCAATCGCGGATCGGGGACACTGGCTCGACGTCAATCTTTCGAGCGCAGCGGCAGCTGCCACACGATGTGGCATGTTCAAGGTTGCCGTCTTGTTCGTTGAGCTGGCCAACTCTGAATCATCCAGGGGCTCACGGCGCGCCTCCGCACTCAGAGAAATTGAAGATTCGAGCGAGATCTTATTGGACATCTTTGAGAACATTGATGACCCGGATGCGTACTACGGTTTAAACCAGGACGCTTCACTCTCCACCGTCGTGTCTCGCCTGGAGTATGAAAATGACGGAGGCAAGAGCCTTGCTTTTCGCGGCGCTCAGTACGACAGCCACCTGCGGAGTAGGGATTCTGCCTCGCGACAGGATGGCCAAGCGCTTATCAAGGCGCTAAGTAGTCTCGGCCTTGCGGGTTTATCCAACTCCCTTCTTCAAACGCAGCAGAGCCTGGACGGTTCCTCCGACTCGCTCGATGGAACATTTACCACGGCGAGGAGACTCGAGGTATGGAACCTTCCAGCGCCGTCAACCAACGACAACTGGGCCGTTACGGTGTACAAAGCATATCAGAGCATGCACCAGGCTCCTGATGTTGACGCCGTGAGAGGCGTAATTCACGACGGCCTGAGGAGCACTGTCCGGCACCTGACCAGCCGCAACCTCAACACTTCGACACTGCGGCATCAGCTCGGAGCACTCGCGGTGTTGGCGGAGCTGGATGATATACTGAACGTGACCGATCAGCCTGAGCTGCAAACTTCGCTGGAAAACTTTGAGAAGCGGTCCAAGTGGATGATGAGTGGCCGGTAAGACATCCCCTGCGATAATTAAAGACGTGGAAACTGACAAACCCAGATACCCCGACGTGGGCCAGATTCTATCCTGTAGAGAGACCACGCTGAGCATGTGGAGTCAGCAGCACAAGCTGAGAGCTACGAGGTTAACGCCGGCGGATGCTCGTCTCGTCCAAGTCCGTGGCATGCTGCTCTCATCCGACATCTTCCGCTTCCATCGCGCCAACCAGGAGACTCTGAATCTCTCGACGGCGCTCACAGGCCTCATCCGATCGAGCGAGTTACTGGGCCTCAGCGTCGACGCTGCGATCAAAATGGAAGCGGCTAACTCATTGTGGGATCACGGAGAGATGATCACTTCTATTCGGATGCTGCAGAACGTTGATAAGGACTCGTCACTAAAGAAACAGACTGTGCCGGTCAGCCGGTCGGACCTCTTGTCGAAGATCGGCTACCAGGTTTCTGTTGCGAGACTTGAGAGTCCGGACAGCATTCAGAAAAAGTATCTCGAGCCAGCACTCAAAGAACTCAGAGGCAAGATTGAAGGAAAGGAAGCCGGCCAGGTGTTCCATCAGTTCGCCATGTTCTGTGACGAACAGCTCCAAAACCCTGACAGCTTAGAGGACCTAGGACGTCTGCAGAATCTCAAGAAGGGCAAGGATGAAGAGGTTGCCCAGCTGAAGGCCCTGATCGCTAGCTCCAAGGACTCTCAGCACAAGAACCGGTACTCCAGCCATCTAGCAAAAGCGAGGCAGTGGCAAGATCTTGACCAACAGGAACTCCGCCGGGTTGAGCAGAGTCGATCCGAGTTCCTCAGGTTGAGTCTGGAGAACTATCTACTCTCTCTCGCTGCATCGGACGAGTACAACAACGATGCTCTGCGCTTTATGGCCCTTTGGCTGGAGCAGTCAGAGGAGGAGGTTTCAAACGAGGCCGTTAAGAAGTACATCGGCAAGGTTCCGACCCGCAAGTTCGCGCCCTTGATGAACCAGCTTTCCTCGCGTTTGCAAGACCAGCCGGCACTATTCCAGAAGCTTTTGATTGACCTGGTCTACCGCATCTCCGTTGACCATCCCTACCATGGCATGTACCACATCTGGTCTGGGGCAAGGACTCGCGTCAACAAGGATGATGAGATGGCCGTCTCTCGGCAAAGAGCAACCGATCGGGTGGCAAAGGCACTCACTAAGTCGGAGACGGTGGCCAAAATTTGGCCAGCTATCGATCAGACAAGCAGAGCGTACCATGCGCTTGCTATGGATCGTGATCCTAACAGGTACAAGGCTGGACAAAAGATCGCTATTAAGAACTCGTCCGTCGGCCAGAGCTTTTTGAGTATACTCGCCAGATACCCCATCCCGCCTCCGACGATGCAGATGGCATTGTCAGCCAGTCAAGATTACTCGGACGTGCCAATGATTCACAAGTTTGAGCCGGACATGTCCATTGCCTCGGGTGTGAGCGCCCCCAAGATCATCACCGCCGTGGGCACCAACGGTCAGCGGTTCAAGCAGCTCGTCAAGGGAGGAAATGATGACCTGCGCCAGGACGCCATCATGGAACAGGTATTCGCCGCCGTGTCCGAACTCCTCAAGCTCCACCGGACAACAAGACAGCGAAATCTCGGCGTCAGAACTTACAAAGTCCTCCCACTCACCTCCTCCTCCGGCCTCATCGAGTTCGTGTCCAACACAATTCCTCTCCACGAATACCTGATGCCCGCCCACGAGAAGTATTACCCCAAGGACCTCAAAGGCTCCCAATGCCGCAAAGAGATCTCCAATGCCCAGACCAAGGCCACTGAGACCCGCACCTCAGTCTACCGCAAGGTCACCGAGCGCTTCCACCCGGTCATGCGCTACTTCTTCATGGAGTACTTCCCCGACCCCGACGAGTGGTTCCACAAGCGCACCGCCTACACCCGCACGACAGCCGCCATCTCCATGCTAGGCCACGTCCTCGGCCTGGGCGACCGGCACGGGCACAACATCCTGCTCGACACGGAAACGGGCGAGGTCGTGCACATCGACCTGGGCGTCGCCTTCGAGATGGGCCGCGTGCTGCCCGTGCCGGAGCTCGTCCCCTTCCGCCTGACGCGCGACATCGTCGACGGCATGGGCATCACCAAGACGGAGGGCGTTTTCCGCCGCTGCTGCGAGTTCACGCTGGACGCGCTGCGCGAGGAGGCGGCGTCCATCCAGACCATCCTCGACAGCCTGCGCCACGACACGCTGTACCAGTGGTCCATCTCGCCCGTGCGCATGGCCAAGCTGCAGAACGCGCGCGGCTCGGCCGGGGACGGCGAAGAAGGCGAGGGCGAGGATGTCGGCGGGGCCGGGCGCGAGCGGAAGGTGAATGAGCCGAGCGAGGCGGATCGCGCTATCGAGGTGGTCAAGAAGAAGTTGAGCAAGACGCTGAGTGTCATGGCGACGGTGAATGATTTGATCAACCAGGCGACGAGCGTGTCGAACCTGGCGGTTTTGTATTCGGGTAAGTTCTTTCCTGTCTGGGGTGTTGCTCTTCTCTTGTGGGTGACAAAAGTGCTAACATTTCGCAGGTTGGGCGGCATATGCTTGAGTAGTGTGTGGCATGGGTCGGCAATCTGATGTATCATATGTTGTTATACTGAATAAACCAGTTCTCCTGTCACCGTGAAGTATTAACGTGCGCAAAACTAGCCACCGTATTATCAAAACATAACATATGCTCCGAGGGTGTCAAGTACAAACAATGTAATCTTTCAATTCTCTACAGGCGACATGTGAGATAATCGAATAGCTGAGTACGCCCCCCTCTTGTAGACGCCATGATTTGGAAACGGAAGCGAAACTCGCATCTTGCCTTGACGAGTGTGTCGAGCTCGGAGTCCCGTGCAAAAGAGACCTAGAGAAAAATAAACGCCCCTTTCTCCAGCCCATCCATCCTCTTTGTACATCCAAAGATATCACCGACCAACCCCCTAGACCGGCCGAGTGAGGGTGTTGCGAGTGCGCGAGCCACCCCCAATATACCCAGCGCGCCCAGTATCGGTTTCCACATGAACATTAAAAACAACCACCCCCCTACCCAACCAGCAAACCAACCCCCCCCCCCCCCCCAATTCCCCTGGATCTCTCGCAACACAAACACAATACACCTCCACCCACCCCAAGCCAAAAAGACCAACCCCCTCACGCCCCACCCCCCTGCGGAACCATGCCCTTCCCCAGCCTCGCCAGCACGCGCTCGCGATGCGCACGGTTCTTGAGATGGACCTCGAAGTTCTGGACGGTGGTGTCGGGGCCGGCGGTGTAGGACTTGCCGGGGCAGTCGCGGCAGCGGATGCGGGGCAGCCAGGCGAACTGGATGTTGGGGGGCAAGGGTTCGCCGGGCGGGGCGGCGACGAGGGGCGAGACGAAGGCGTTGGTGTCGGTGTTGATGGCGCAGTAGCGCATCATGGCCTCGAACGAGTCGGTCGGGTACGACTTGAGCAGGGCTGCTAGCGCGGCGGACAGCCAGTCGGGCGGTGGGGGCTGCGTAGGGGGTGCGGTTAGCAATGGTGATGTCTGTATGTGGAGAGGAAAGGAGGGGGGGTTAAGATGTACCGGTGGGTCTGGGTTTGCTCCGTTAGGCCCTGGTGGCGGGGCAGGGACGCGGCCTATTTGGCCCTGGAGGGATGGCACGCTGTTGGGTCGAGGCGGAAGGTGTTGGTTGGGTGCGGAGGGGGTGGACGGGGGGCCCATGGAGCCTGGGGCGGCAGCGCTCGGGGCTCGTTGGTGGGTGAGCGTGGGCGTGGCGGATGAGTGTGGGGTTTGTCTGGCCCGTAGATCGCGCATGAGCTTTCGTAGTCTCGCGGGGTTGACGTGGAGGGTGACAATGTATTGCTGGGGTTCTTCGGTCTGTTCTCGGGTGGCTTCGCGGCCGACGCGACGGGATGTGCGTGTTTCGTGGTGGTGGATAATCGCTTCGGGGGTTTCAGATCGCCCCAGGTTTGCCATGCGCTGAGCGGCCGCGCTGGCAGCACCGCGCATCCCCCTCGTCCTGGCAGTGCCCTGGAGCTGCGACATAGCGGGTGAGTCGGGAACGGAGTCGTCACTGTCATCGGAGTCAGACAGGTCGCCATCACGAGCTGCCCGCTTGCCCCTCCCCGTTAAGCCACCGCCCAACGCCCGCTTGTAGAGACGGCTATCCTCGACGTCTATCGCAGCGCCGGGCAATACCGAAGAAACAATGGATGTCCGTATCGTCCTCTGCCGCTCTTTAAGATCGGGCAACTGAGGGCCGCCGCGCCGGTTAATAGAGCGCTTCTGTCTCCGTTGCTCGCGCGAGAACATGGTCTCGGTCCTCTCAAGCTCGGCTTCCGTGTTCTCGTACAGATATGGCGCGTAATCTTTTGCTTGTTGCTGCGGCCTGAAAACGGAGGGCAAGGGGGTCGGGAGGAACGCAGCTACGAGGTCGGCGTCTTCGATCGGGCGGCCGTCGAATGGATGGCCAACGCTGTACAAGCTGCGCGTGAATAGTTGTGCTTGTTCGCGTATGCAGTGCGCAATTGCTGTTGTGAATTCGCCCGACAGCGATAGATCGCGCGCCATGCTAGTGGCGAAGTCCTCGGGCGAGTTCATAGGATTATTTACATCCCATTCAAACTGGTCGACTAGCGTATGGGCCCCGATCGTGATATTAAGCTTGACTAGGATGCGCATCTCGTCGTTCTTGTAGGCCGAATACGGGAGCTCTGGATCGAGGGCGTCTTCCTCGGAATAAGCGAAAGGGTAGAAGTCGTTCAGCTGCTCGTGTATTTGCTGCACCACGTGGTCATACACTGGTTTGTCGGTACCTGGGTTCAACCCCATATCCTCAATTAGCTGGGCAGCAAAGAGCTCGACGGACACCAGGCGCTCGTGAAGGTTGAAGGTGAATGTGTCGCGCAGCTTGATCTTGTCCCAGTCGACGTCTATCCGGACGGGTACTAGTTCCTCGTGTTGCTCGGCCTGCTTCTTCATGTCCTTCTTGGCGAACTTGAGGGCCGGTGTAGCCTTCCTACCGGGGCGCGGTTTCTGCGATGGGTATATGATTTTTGTCGTGGAGCCATTTTCGGTGTAGCCGTTGCCGTAGCCACGATAGCCCTCCCCATAGAGCCTGGCAGGGAAGGCAGCATAGAAGTCGCGGTATTGGCGGTAGTCACTGGCGCGTGCAAGCATATCTTTGGTGTCCTTCTCGAGCCGGATCTGAGCTTCCTTGAGGGCCGCGGAATGGATCCAATCGTGTGTCTGAAAGCGCTCAACGATGGCTCTATCGAGTGCCGCCTTGTCGCGAGTCGGGAGAGTGCTGGTCGCATCGGCTTGAGGAGTGGCGGACTTGGATGGTGCGGCATTGGTTGTCGGGGGGGCTGTCGCGGGAGCAACAGATGAAGATGAAGCGGCGCTCGCGGGGGCTGTTGATGATGGTCCGTCAGCGTCGCCGCCAGCGGCCGACGATGCGGACACTTGGGAAGCGGCCATATTGAATAATTGAATACAAAAAGGAGAGGGGGACAATGCCGCAAAAAAAAGATAAAAAAAGAAGAAAATAAGAAGAGAATGGCCGCGGCTACGCAGCAAGGGGAATTCCCGGATGCGCGCTTCGTTCGGTGTCGGGGTCGCGTGGATTGGAGTGTGTGTTGTCGTGAATGTCGAGATGCGACGATGCGCTGTCGCTCAACTTTAGGTCGTTCTGTTCGCGGTGAGGCTGGCCCGGGACGGGATGCGCGAAAGGTCGAAGAAACGGCGACGCGCAACTGGCCAATGGGATGACAACGGCGGAGGCTGGCCTGGTGCATTGCGGGTCAGGATCGAGAGACTTGTTTTTGGTCCCATTTTTGCGGTGGTTCAAAGTACCAGAACATGACAGCCTTGGCAGCAGCTGTGGCTCGTGCTTCTTTCCTCAAAGCAGCCCCTCAATCGGCAGTGGTCGGGTCGTCATCAGATCAGAACTTGGGCGGGCCCAGTCGCACATGCAGCTTCGGCGCAGAGCGGAGCCTGGACACAAACCAGAGAAACCCCTCCCCCGCTTCGACAAAATCAAGCAGCAGGACCTCAAAACCGTCACGGACCCCGCAGCTTGTTCCCTGACTTCTTTCTAGCTCCTCGCTGTGGTCCTGTTTATCCCCTCGGACACACTTGATTTTATTTATTTTGACGACACTCGGTCGAGTATAGCTGGTCAAGATGGCGACCGAAACCCAGGCAATCGGTCAGTGAACGAGAATGTTTATGTTCCCGGAGTCCTGCAGCTTCCCAAGCTTCCCCCGAGCTTCCCCCTAGCTCTCCCTCGCTGCGGTTCCCCCACTGTCCCAACTCTGCCCGTGTCCCTCGACCGTCGGTTTTCGTTCGTTTACCCAGGTGCTTGCTCGGTTGGCTACTCGGGTTGCTCCCGCAGCTCCCGCAGCTCCCCCTGTGCGGCCCTGCCCCGTCCCGATTGCCCAGCTCTCCCAAACCACCCTCCTCGTTCCGGTCGTCATTGCGTGCGCCTGGTGCTGATACTCGTCCTAGACTATTCCCTCAACAACCCCGACACCCTCACCAAGTACAAGACGGCCGCCCAGATTTCCGAGAAGGTCCTGGCCGAGGTGTCCAAGCTCTGCGTCGCTGGTAGCAAGATCGTCGACCTCTGCGAGAAGGGAGACAAGCTCATCGAGGAGGAACTTGCCAAGGTTTACCGTGGCAAGAAGATCACCAAGGGTGTGTTGCAGCTGGGCTCCTGTTAGAACCGGCAGTAGCAGATTGCTCACACCGATTACTCTAGGCTTCGCGCACCCCACCACCGTCTCCCCTGCCGCTTTCGTCACTCCTTACACTCCGCTCAGGTCGGACGAGAAGGAAGCCGAAGTCGAGCTTCAGGCCGGCGAGCCCGTCAAGATCCAGCTGGGCGCCCAAATCGATGGCTTCGGCTCCATTGTGTGCGACACGGTTCTGGCAAAGAAGGCCGACGAGGATCAGGATGTCGTCGAGGGTCGGTCGGCCGACCTGCTTCTAGCCACTCACTATGCCAACGAACTCCTTCTCCGATTGATGGTCCCCCCCGGTCTCCTAGCCCAAGGCACCGACGAGGAGAAAGCGAAGGCGGCCGCCGCCAAGGCCCCGTCGCAGTCCAAAATCACCAGTCTCCTAGAGAAGGTCACCGAGGCCTACGAGTGCAACATTGTCGAGAGCACCACTTCGTGGCTGTTTGACCGGAACGAGATCGAGGGCAGCAAGAAGATCGTCATTTCCCCCGGCGAGGGCACCAAGGGCGAGGGCGTTCCCGCCATTGGCGAGGCCTGGGGTGTCGAGATGGGCGTGAGTCTTGGGTCGGGCAAGGTCAAGCAGTTCGAACAGCGAACCACCCTCCATCGCCGCACCGCCAACACGTATGCCCTGAAGCGGCCTACGTCACGGAAGATCCTCTCCGAGGTGCAGAAGAAGTTCGGTACCTTCCCGTTCAGCCTGCGGCAACTCGAGGACGAGCGCGACGCCAAGTCTGGTGTCATTGAGTGCGTGCGTGGCAATATCTTCCGCCAGTATGAGGTTACGGGCGACAAGGACAACTCCCCCGTTGCCCGGCTTCTGACCACCCTCGGTAAGGCGTGCTGAGTAGTGTGCGATACAGAAGGTGCATGCTAATCGTGATATAGCCATTACCAAGAACGGCATCACCAAGCTGGGTGCCCCGCCCGCCTTGGACGTGAGCAAGGTCAAGTCGGACAAGAAGATTACGGACGAGGAGGTCCTCAAGATTCTAGAGCAGCCCCTGGCTCGGAATACGGGCAAGAACAAGAACAAGAAGAAGAAGAAGAAGCCGGCCAAGAAGGCGGCGGCGAAGGAGGACGAAGATGACGAGGAAGAGGAGAGCGACGAGGAGTAGGAGTCGAACGGAATTTGAACAGGGAACGATCTGGGGCCGATTCGCACTTCCACCTAACATGGCCTTAGTCTTGCCTTTCAGTTTCTGCCTCAACAGTTGCTCAGGTTGTGGTATCCGTTTCCAGTCTCCGGCCAACCGATGAGCGAAATCGATCACAATCCATGATGACGCAGAGACACTGGGGGTTCAGGCAGGGATGGTCCACTACGTGCAGTCGCCCGCATCATCAGCTTATCCCTCCATCTTAGCCCGAAACCAACATGATCACAACGCAATCCTGCCTGCGGGAGGGGAAGACGAAATTATAAATTTTCGATCAAGGCAAAATTGTTGAGAAAATGGCACTGCCCTAGTTCTTGTGACCTGTGAACGTGCTTGCTCTCTCGGCCTGGGGATCTCGATTTCAGGAGTGCGCGACAGAAAGCCCAACACAGGCTTTTTTTATTGTTCACGAGGAACACGCCTAGTATAAATCGAGGGTAGCCATCGAGTCGATTACTCGATTTCGATTTTCTATTGTGGGCGGCTCTGCACATTATTGTTCGCTGTTGTGGTTGTGCTGATAGTACCAAAACAGAAGCATCCGCATGAGGCGGCCGAACCCCCTAAAGGCGATTGTTTTCCCTCGCCCCCTTCTCCCTCTCCCACTTCCCTTTCCACGCACACACACACTCCACCATCTTTCTTCCATCCTCTTCTTTCACATTTACATTTTCCATTTCGCACACTTGCAAAACTCATAATCTCATTTTCGAGTTCGCAAGGAGCGATATCAAAGTGTTTCACGCGTCGCAGCGGTCAACTTCTCCCGCATTCAGGGGCATCCGCCTAAATCAGTGCGACTCGTCCTAAACATCGAAAAATCGGTGAGAACAAAACATTTCAGAACAGGAATCACGACTTTCTATCTCGAGCCAGACCTCGAGAACATATTACAAAGACCCGGAATCCGTCGGGGTCGAATTTGCGTCCACCCACGCGGGAGGCGCACACGCTGTGAGCTTAGCAGCCACGCCCCCCTGGTCGGTCGCCCAGCACCCCCCCCAGGAAAGCTAAGATCGCTCGGTCTCCCTACACCTCCTTCTCTCGCACCCTTTTCCCAACAATCACTCCAAACCAAGCGCGAAAACGCCCAAAACGCGACGTTTTTTCGCCCGGCTTCATGCCCTTGGACGGCAGAACGGTACGTAGCACAAATTTCCATGCTTTTTTGGCACTGATGCTAACACGCCCCGCAGGCGCGCGAAGACGGTTCGTTGTTGGTTCCATCATTGAAGGGGGCCACCTGCACCGCGGGCCAGTGGGCTGCTGCATCTCCTCCAGCCAGTACCCCAACTCTCGCCATGTCGGCGGACACCACCGTCTCGGCCAATACGCGGGCCACGCGATCGCGTTTTTCGAGTCCGCAGACGGCAGCAAACGGAGCGGCGACCGATTCGTCCTCGAGGTTTCAAGGCGCTGGCACCGGCACCAGCAACGGCACCGGTACCAGCACCACTACGAACGGCCACGACGGACAACGAAAAACATTCATGCAGCGCTGGCTCGAGCCTCCGGTTCAGGCCAAGGCAAGCTATCAGGAAGCTGGACTCGTGCGTCAGGGCGTATTCGAAAATATGGCGCCGCTCGGGACGCTGCCAAAGGTCGGCCTCTTTAAGAAGACAGCGCCACCTCCTCCGGCACCAGCTACCCCTGCACCTGCGCAGCGTGCACCGGTTCGCATCGTCATCAAGCAGAGGAAACCTGTCGCGCCTTCTACCCCGCCTCCCGCACCGCCTCCCGCGCCCGAAGAAGACGAGACAGAGGCGGACGAGACGGAAGACGAGGAGGACGACGGCAAAACGGAGGATCAGGACGAGGAGCAGCCCGGTACTTTGGACAAAGAGCATCACAAGGCTCGCACGACAGCTGCATCACAGCGCTCGCGACGGTCGGTCACCTCTGGCGAGACGGACGACCTGGAGTGGGCACCGGGCACCGCGACGCAAAAAGGCAGAACGCGACGGAGCATATCACGGGCGAGCACCGGACCTCTGCAGCAACCGCCGACAAGTGCGAATCGCGTCTCGCGGCCGTTTAATCAGAGGGCGTTCGTCGACAAGGTGGTGGAGGCAGCGATTAGTGAGGCGCTCACTCATTTTCGGTACCCCACAGCTTGGGCCCTGCGCACGCTCTCCAGCAGTGAAAATTCATCACAACAAGAATTTCTCGACATGATTGAGAAGGTGTTTCGCCAAACCGCGAACGCCGACGAACTCGAAGAATTCGCCCGATGCATCCGGGACAAGAAGAAGGAAGGCCAGAAAAAGAACACAGCCTTCTTTTACTTCGAGTCGCGGTCTGACGACCGCGCTGGCCTTCCCACACCGCCGAGGCCCAAGAAGGCCCCGTACAGCAACCTCGTCAAATTTGACATCTCCAGCCTGCGCCTCGATCAGGACGGCAGCAGCAAGTCTCGGAAGAAGCGGGAGCGAACGGTGGACGCTGCTCCAGAACCCGCACCCGAGCGGACCGCCGAGCCCGGGCCTGAGCCTGAGCCTGAGCCTGCGCGCGAGCCCGAGCTAAAGCTGGAGCAGGAGCTGGAGCAGAAGCCTGCGATTGAGCTCGCGCCCGAACCCGAGCCCGAGCTCCCTCCGCGCAAAAAGCGCAAATCCGGCAGGCAGCAGCCGGGGGCGACACCATATTCGTCATCCAAGATGGCATCCAACGGCGTGAATGGCAAGGCGAACCCGGAGACCCCTCCTCGGAAGCGGATACGGGCTGGCTCAGAGTCGAGTATTTCCTCACTTTCCAGCGCCCGATCCTTGACGCCGCCGGAGGGAATCCGAGAAGACGGTGAGGAGGACCAAGGGTTTGATGAGGCACCCCCCTCGCGGACCAGCCCTGCGCCGGACCCTCAGCCAATCACAGCCAACAGGCGGCGTCGGTCCAACGCACCGCGAAAGAGCCGGAACGTGTCACCCTCCCGACTCTCCCCCGTCGTCTCCAACTCCACTGCGCCGCAGCAACCGGCCGCTGTTGCTGCTCCTTCGCAGTCGTCCCAGCCGTCCCAACGGCAATCCCCCGCTGCTGAGCAGCCCGCTGCTCTCACCGAGCAGCAACCGTATGAGATGCCTGCCGTCGTCGACTCGCCCCTCTTTCCGAACCTCAATTCGAAGAAGGGTGGCAAGTCCGGCACGCCGGCGCTCGTCTTCGCCACCAAACTGGGCAAGATCGACCCCGAGGATCCGAACCTGCGCCATCGCCAGGAGGCGCGCAAGGTGACGAACACGCCATTCCCCGTGAGCAACATCAGGGGAGGCTCTCCGCGGCTTGCATCCAAGCAGGTGAAGCCGGAGGGCCAGGCGAAACCGGTGGCGCCGGCGACGCCGGCGACGGTGCCTGCATCGCGGCCGCGGCCTACTCTCCCATCCGCGCGCGCCACCCCGGCTCCGAGGGAAGGACGGAGCACGCGCTCGTCGCTCAAGCGGACGCACGATGATCTCGAGGACCAGCCGTCGCCGACAACCGCCAACTTCCCAGGATCCGACGCAGCATCCACCGTGGCGGACTCACGCGCCGGGACGCCAGCTCTGCGGGCGACCAAGAAGCCCAGGACCGGGCTTAGAGTTAAGAACTCGTAAGCGTCACCGACCACCACATGATCTGAAACAGGGCATTTTGGCTAACGATCCCGCCCTTCTAGGCCCATGAAGAAGAAGCACGGCCCGTCAGCAGGCATTCCTCGCCCCAGCGGAGAGCGCAGCAGTCCCGTGGGCAATGCCCCGAGAGAGGTATGTCTTTTGTGATTTCTTTCCCCTTCCTTTGCCGTCCATCATCCCATCCACCCTATCCTTTGTGTCGAAGCCGAGCTGTACTGGAGCCAAGGCTGGGGGTGCAAGCGCATCTTCCAGGTCCGGGGCCCGGGGATGGGCGGTGCGGCCCTCCATGTCCCCCCCAGCCTCCCACCCGAGAAAAAAAAGCGAGCCTGGCAATTTTAGCGGCAAGCTGTTGCGCCCAGCTCGGGACTGCTTTTTTACCGCAATATGGCGCACACAACTCGCACCCACCCTTGCTTCGGCTCTAGGTTGCTAACTCGCCGCCCACCTACACAGGACGATAACGACGACTACTGCTCGTCCTGCGGCGGCAATGGCGTGCTGATCTGCTGCGACGGCTGCACCAGGTCCTTCCACTTCCAGTGCGTGGATCCGGTCCTGAGACACGATGCCATGCCCGTCGAGTGGTTCTGCAACGTGTGTCGCGTCCATCGTGACCCTGCGCATTTGCCTACTCACAACGGAGCGTTTGCCGTGCTGCTGGAGAAGCTCGACGCGAGGAACTCGAGCGCCTTCCGCCTGCCGGGCCACGTCCGCGACCGCTTTGACGGCGTGCGCACCGGTGCCGACGGCGAGTACGAGGAGATCGCGAATGTCGTAAAGCCGCCTGCTCGGTGAGTACTATCCCATTCCTCTTTCGTTTACTGTGTTTGCGCCTCCAGCCTACTGACTGCTACCATAGGAAAAAGAAGAACGAGGAAGACCAGGCTCCCGACTTGCACCGCTTACGCGACGCAGAAGGCAATGCCGTCATCTGCCACAGCTGTCAAAAGGGCGCCGGTCCGAACCGTGCCATTATTCCCTGCAGTGCCTGTGGCCTCTTCTGGCACATGGACTGCCTCGACACTCCGCTGGCCTATCCGCCTGTGTTGCGCACCTGGAAGTGCCCGCTGCATGCCGACGGTCTTCTTGAGACGCTCCCAGGCATTCTCTACCCCGCCCACAAGTACCGCAAGGTGAAGGACGCGCCCGTCATCAGGCCCACCTTCACCCGGGGCTACGTCAACAACGGTTTCATCGAAGTTGACCTAGACGACAGCGAAGATGAGAGCGGGTGGAGGGACGTCGAGACTTTCGGCCGGACTGTGCGGCTCTCCGAGAGGGGTATCAAGCTCGACTTTCTCTCACGGTGAGTAACCTGGGTTTCCGTGTCATTCCAAGCAATTCATCATTCTGACTGTCTCTAGTATTCATAGCCAGAAACCAGCCGTCCCCCCGCCACCGCCCACACCGCCCGCACCGCGTCCTGCGGCACAGAGGTCCTTGGAGGAGCAGCAGGCTGCCCTCAATCTAGCTCAGCTGAGTGGTACCCGCGACGATGGCGTCGCCACTCTCATCGATGCCATGATCGTAGGTTTAATTACTCCCCGCCCGCTCCGTCCCATACTAACCTCTCAAAAGTCCCAAGCCGACCCGTCCGTCATCGACGTCATGGCCCGGGCCAACCCTAGCCACCTGGAGAGCGCCGAACTAAACCACATGGATCAACAGAGCCTGCGCGCCATCCTCGCCAGCGCAGAGTCGATGACCAACCGTATCCGCCAGCTCTTAGCATCACCCACCGCTGAGCAACCCTCCCCACAGGCCAGCGGCGCGAACATCAAGTCCGAGCAGGCCCCTGCCATAGCTCCCAGCATCACCAACTCGCAATCCCCGAATCCTGAGCCCGACAACTCGGTCAATCTTAACGCCGGCCAGAGCGCCATGGATATCGACACGACTAAAAGCCCCGCGTCACCCGCTTCTACCGACGATGTCCCCGCGATGACCCAGGGCGAGAAGACCCCCATCCAGGGCGACCAGTCTCCTGCTGCTCCGTTACCTCTGGAGCAGAGTGCCCCGATCGAGAACGGCGACGTCCCTGCGGCTCCGACCAAGGTGGCCGCTATTTCTGGCGACGAGCCGCTCGTTCTCGACGCTGGCGGCGATACGGAGAAGACGCTGGGCGAGGGGGTTGAGGGCGCCTCCATGGGCATGGAGTGATTCGCCTCTGCCGTGGAATGCACTTTGGCCCAGATGGGACCGGCAACGTCTTTTATCTTTTCGGCCCCTTGAATGGGGCTTCTAACTATTTTCCCTCTCCTGCACGGTACCGCGCTATTCAACGGCACTATACACTTTCCCGCTGAGCGAGGAGTCACAGAGGCTGTCTCAAGGCCTTGGAATAGGCTAGGCCTCCAACATACATTCGACCTTCTCCATCCGCTTAGCTCGCGATGTGGATACATCACTTCGGATCGCGGCATCTACGAAAAGAGAAGGCGAAAGCAATGGTCTCGACCCGGCTCGATCCAACCAGCCAGGGAGAGAGCACAAGAGTTTCCTTTTTTTTTACCCACCATTTCCTGTTTGTTTGTCAAAAACAATGTGTCAATAGCGATTTGCGGATCATCGAGCCCGTGTTCTTTTTCCGGCGCGCGGGCGGGCAGGCGGTGTCTACGAGGAGTTGGAGTTGGCGGATCTTTTCAGCCAGCCACCGAGGCGGTGGCTATGGCCTTCAATATGTCTTCGGGTTTTCGGTCTTCAATCTTGATTTTGATTTTCTACCCCCCTCGTCTCGAATACCCCCGCGACATACATCTCGACAGACCACGCCGGTCAGCCTGCGTCGTGGGGTTCTGGACCCAACCCGGCCGAAGGTTGTTGGGCGGGTTAATAAGCAGGCAGTCTGAAGGATGGATAAGGGGCGGACGACGTGTTGTTAGGACGGGGAGAGAGGAGATACTACTACGTACGCCCCAAAGGGTCTTTTGATGAGGTGGCATAACTTATTAGATAGACGGGAGTGAATACTGGGCAGGCTGGTCGGCAGGCAGGCAGGCAAGCAGGCGGGCACCGGGCACCTTTGTGCGATATTTATGATGACCTGCTTCTCTTTCTTCGCTTCCTTTCCTTCTATATGCTCTATAGCTAGGTGCCTGGGAGTGGGTTGTACGAAATGCATGGTTAATTATCTTGTGACTTGTGAAGCATGCTGTGTGCCCCGAGGTGATTGGTGTGACGGGAAGGGGGGTTGTGATGGCTTGAGGGGGCAATGCATGTGGCGTGGTTCAGCACCGGTCTGTCGCTTCAGCACTGGTCTTGCTGTGCCACCTGCTTTGCCTTTGTCTATGTACGGTGAGCAACGCTCCATGCCCGCCACCATCGGGCGGCATACCAGGGGGCGTGATGCATGGCTAAGGAAAAGAAAGAGGGGACCAACAAAACAAGGCTCAATGAGACATCCTTGGCCATTTGCGAGGGTTACCACAGACCTGTGTTCAGGAGAAACGGGTCTCGAACAGGAGAAGAATACAACTCGATTTAAGCTCGGTCGGTGTGATACAAGTTTCTGACCTATTTAGATCCAATCCGAATATACGCTGAATACACCCAGAACTAGAACCCATGAGCAAGATATAGGAAGACGTTTCCAATCCCAGCCAGAGCTGCCTCACTTCCTCCCCCTATTCGGATTACTTACCTTGCCTTCCACCACATCCCCCGTCCCCATCTTACCCCATCCCATCTCTACCTACCATGCCCAACCCAGCCCTTGACCGTGTCGTGTCTTGCCGGCTCGCCTCCAGTACAATAGATACATACTCAGTACCAGCATACACCCTTCAGCATCAACACCAGTAGCCACCATCACAAACACACCAAAGCAACAAACCCCCACAAATGAGCAAACAATTGAATTCCCCGACCAAATGTGATATACTGTACACGAAACGAAACCCGACAAACTCCGTGCAGGCCCCATCTATAAACAAGAAATCCCCTCTGCCAAACCACCATCACCACTAAGTTACTTACCTCCCATCCATCCACTTTTCTGCAATAATCCGATAAAAAGGGGGTGACAAAAAACGCTTGCCAAACCCACCCCCTCCCCCAAGCCAGACCCCAGACAGACGACGGTATTGGAAGGAACGCAACAAACGACGCACGCAACGAGTGAAATGCAGATAAGTAGAGGTGTAGGTTAGGTTTAGTGTATCCGACTCAAAATTCTCGAAACAAGATCTCATGGCAGAAATGCTAAAAGACAAGTAGCAAGAACGGGCCCGAAAGAGCAAGAAAAAGACTCCCAGCCCAGGTCCCCCCTTTTCCCAAACCAACCAAACCAACCCCTACCTACCTACCTTTTATCCACCCCAGCCGACCAACCGACCGACCGGTTCCTCGCCAGCCAGCCAGAAGCCCCAAAAAGGAAAAAAGAAAAGACACTGTAAGACGACGGCGAGGAGGAAGGATTTCACGCCCGGGCTTGCCCCGCCCCATCCATCACACCGAGAGAGCGGAACAAGGTAAAGCAGGGCAAGCAGGACAAGCAGGACAAGACGGGGTACTGTAGGTAGTCGACAAGCATGAATGGAATGTTCGTTCGCTTCGCTTCGCTTCCCAGCCCATCCATCCATCCCATCCATCCATCCACCCTTCTCTTCCGCTCGACAACCAAGCAAACCCAACGCAAACCGCAACCACGCCCTCCAAAAGAAAAAAAGAGTAAAAAAAAAAGAAAAGAAAGAAGCCCATCCCCTCATTCTTCATCGATCCGTTAAAAAAGCGAGCGAAGTGCACACCAGATCAGGTCATACCTCCGGCCGTGAGCCATCTATTTGTACAATAAACCGTCCACCACCACCACCACCACCACCACCACCACCACATTCCCGCGTCCCTATATAAGGGCTAGGTAGCTAGGTAGCCAGGTATCCCAGCCGCGCGCGGGCGCCATCCATCCCTCGCTCGTCGTCCGCAGCAACCCGTTGATTTTATCTCTCTCTCTCTCTGCCAAAAAATAAAACCAGATCATAAAGTCTCCCTTTCTTTCTTTCTATCCACACACACGGACACACACACACACACACACAAAACACAACACATATGATAACACCGCCCCATCACTGCCGGCGCTGCCGACCATCAGGCTGAGGGCTGCGGCCCACACGGCCACCACGCTGCCGCGCATTGACCTGCTCCTGCTGCTGTTGGGGTTGCGGCTGTTGGGGCATGTATCCTCCAGCAGCCCCCGGTGGCATGCCATACCCGGCGGGGTAGCCGCCCATGCCCGGGGGCGGGGCCATGCCCATGCCGAACGGAGCGCCGGGCGGACCGCCAAAGGGAGGCTGCTGGCCGGCGGCGGCGGGGATCTGGGCGGCGGGCGGGATGGGGCTGCCGTTGGCCATGGGCTGGTTGGTGCGGTACTGGTCGATCGGGGTGCCAGGGCTCTGGAAGGCGCCGTAGCCGCCGGCCTGCATGGAGGGGTAGTAGTTGTTCATGGGCGGCTGGGGCCCGCCCCGGCCCATCATGCTCTGCTGGTACTGCATCTGCTGGAGCGCGTTAGGCCCCATGGCAGGGTTGGCCGGGGGGTTGAACATGGTGTTTTGGGCGTTGAAGGCGGGGAACTGGTCCATGCCTTCGCTGCTGCGGGGAACCCCGTAGCCCATGTCGTAGTTGGCGGCGGTGGCGGCGTTCAGCGGGTTGTAGTACTGCGGGTTGTTACCGGCGCCGTACTGCCCGGCCTGCTGTTGGGCATGCTGCGGCTGCTGTTGTTGTTGGTGGTGGTGTTGAGGGTTGGGCGTCTGGCGCGAGCCGGGACGCTGTCGTTCAACGTTTCCATGATCACGAGGGGGCCCACCGCTCCCAGCACCACTGCTCCGCGTCGACAGGCCCACCTCGTCCATTAGCCGCTTGTAGCCCTGCCCGGGCTGTGCCTTGATGCGGATCAGGACCGACTTAACAGTCTCAACAACCTGACCCCGAATCGCTTCATCGAAGAAGGGAGTGGTCAGGACCTTGAAGATCAGGGTCGCGCCGCACGCGTGGTCACTGAGGATTGCTTCCAACACTTGGTCGTTCGGGGTGAAGAAGAGCGCCTTGAGGATGGTGTCCCTAGCCTCCGCCTCCGCCTTCTGGTTGATCACCTTCAAAACTGTCAAATACGCAACCTTATGTGTGCACAAATGGACGAGGTAAGGGACAAGCTGAGGAGACAGCACCGTCCGTCGCTGCGGGAACGTGCAGGTGTCGAGGAACCAAGTGAGCAGCAGAGCGCCGTTGGCGTTGGTGGCAAGCTGTACACTGTGCAGGGCAATCGCGGCCGCAAGCATCCTCTGCTGGTCCTTGGTGGAGTGGTGGCTCTCGAGGCAGGCCCGCATGGCGCGAGCCCCGTAGCGGCCCTGAGAAACCTCCCACATCCTGCTCAGCATGGTCTCGAAGATGAAGTCGTTGTACGGAGAGCCGAACTTCAGGCATCCCTGCAAGACGTAGTTGCCGTACTGGTCCAGGAAGAGAGGGATGGTATAAGGGCGCAGGTACTGCACAATAAGACTCATCTGCTGCGGTGTTTTGCAGACATCGATAATCTTTTGGGCCGCCCAGGTGCCATTCTTGTGCACGCCAATTTCGGCCATATGAGGGGCAATCTCGGCCAGCATCGAGTCCCGAACGGCATCGGAGCAGTGCTCGAACAGTTTCTGGACGACCGTGTTGCCCAGGTAGTCCGACGCGAGCTCGGCGATCTCGGGAAGCATCTCCATGGCAATGCCCTCGATTTCTTGCTGAGAGAGCGACTGGTTGTCAATCCTCTTGCGGATGTCCCGGAGCTTCGGTGCATCATGGACCCGGGTGTGGGCAGGCTCCTTGATCGGCGGTATCTCGTCCACAAACGTGGTGTATTGAATTGCCGACTGTAGGCTCATCGAGATGCGGAAGCAGTCTTCCTCGGTCGCGCCAAACTGCTGGATAATCTGAAGGATGTCTCCGGTCAACTCGTGAAGGGGCAGCGCCGTCGGGGTGGCGTTGCCTTGGATGGGAGCAGGCCCGGTTTCGCCAGACGCGCCGGCGCCAGCGCCTTGGCCATTCTCCTGGGACTTGGCAAACGGATCGGGGCTGGGCGAGGGGATGGCGCCGTCATGACCCGGTGTGCCGGTGCTCGAAGGCGGCTTCGCAAAGTTAATGCGAATCGGCCCGGCGCCGGGGAAGATCTCCTTGCCGTTCATGTTGGCTTTGGCGGCGATGGCACTATCAACGCGCTCAAAGTTCACGAAACCGCAGTTCTTGTGGGTCAAGACCCTGGCCGATACTATGGGCCCGTATGTCTTGAACATCTCGGTCAGTGTCGACGTCGTGGTAGATGTGGGGATGCTGCCGAGCCACAAAGCGCTGGTCGGCCCTTCCAACCCCTGTTCGTCCGCTCCCAGCAGTCCGTTGTTCCGGCTGTTCGACCTCCCCAAGGACATACCAGCGATGGCCTGCGGGAGGTCATCAAACGCCTTCTCGTCCGGCATCTGGATCTCGGCCGCTGTGAAAGAATTGTCTAGTCTCGAGGGGGTCGGGAGGTAGTTGCGGAGAAGGCGTGAGGCCGGGGTATCGAGGACACCAGCTGTCCGTGCGCGGGGTCGAGCCGCCTGATTCGCAAAGGCCTGGACTGCCAGGTTGTGGTTGTGGATTGCGGCGTTGGTGGCGGCGAGTTGGTCTTGGAGGTGGGCATAATGGTTTTCCATGTAGGACAAGGGGTCGGTCTCATACTCATCTTCTTCTTCGTCGGCATACTTGTCCTTGTTGTTAACCGAGTAGGAACGGAATCGGTTGGCGGCCTTGCTGAAGTCGGCGTAGGTGGGTATGTAAGGGGCAGCGGGAGCAAGCTGGGCGCGGGCCGGCTGGGGAGTCTCGGCGAGGCCAAGGTAATCCAGTGTCCTCATATGAACGTCCGTCTCGGCATTCCCCTCGCGGGAGAACTGCGATTGGGCTGGAGAACTCGGCCCGTTCGACCCCAGGCTGGCAATGCTGGCCAGGGTGTTTCCCCGCTCCCGACCGGTCGGGTTCCAGCTGCTGAAGATGGACGGTCCGAACGGAGAGCTTGTCCCAGGTGTATGAGAGAACGGACTCCGCTGAGGCATTGAGCCCGCACGGAGCCTCGAGAGCAGTGTTGAGGCATTCGACGCATCATTGGGCGCCTCAAGACCCGGCGAGGGGGACTTGAAAGGGGTCTGCGACGGGCTTGGCCGCGAGGTCTTGGAGGCTAGGGCCGGGATGCCAAGCAAGGCATTGCCGGCGGTGTTGGGTGAGAACCGAGACGGAAGCGTGCCCGCCCGAGCACGGCGGGTCTGCGGCAAGCTCTCGGGAGTGGGAAGTTGGACGTAGTCTGGAAAGCCGTCGGTGGGTGACTCGGGGATGTTCTCGCGGAGCGGAGTGGAGTTTCCACTGGTCGGAGGCCCGCCCCACGGATTCAACGGCAACCCCGGGACGCCTTCCTGAGCTTGTATCTCCCTTGCGCTGGATTTCGAGGCAAAAGTTAGCGGGCGATTGGCCTTGGGGAGAAGCGGGGAGAAGCGGGGCGACGACTCACCGCTTGGTAAACAAGCGTCCAGAGGCAGCCATCTCGTGCGAGGGCGAGCCGGCGCCAGAGCGTGAAGCACCCGACATCTTGGAGGTGGGCGTCAGGCCCGGAGACAAACCAAAGGGTGACCGAAGGGTGCCGCCCACAGATTGCGGGTCATTGGGTGAGGTTGCCGTGGGCGAGTTTGACCGGCCCTGGGCGGAGAGGGTCTGCGGCGGGTAGCCGATGGTGAGATGATCGCCTGGTCTTGAAGCGGACATTATCAATTATTTGATCCCGGCCCTCATCAGAAATATTTTGATGTATCGGTCCCGTCGGTACAGGCAGCACGGCAAGCCCAGAGAAACGGGCTGGCGGTGTATCTCGTTGATCACTGCCGACGTTCGAGAGACGGAGCGACGACGTGCGCTGCGCGTCGAAGGAGACGGGAGTCGATCTCCAGGGAATAGTTGCAATCTTTGCAGGAATTGAATTGAGTAACACCTAGGCCGAAGGTCGAAGGGAGATGGATGTTGTGGCAGGCAGTGTCTCCTCAGAGGACAAGGTGGCAGGTGCAATTACAAGGCCGATGTGACGAACGTCGCTGGAGGGGGTCGTCGGATGACGACTTGGTGGGTGCGGAAGAAAAAAAAAGTCGATTCTGCAACTTTTCACAAAGGAGTGTGTCAGGGCACGGAAGGCCACAGATTATCGAGGCCGGCGGTAATGCCGAATATGGTGATCGAGGTAGGTGGTGGAAGCCAGAATGGCCAAAATGGTGGAAGCAGAGTGTTGCTTGCTAGGCGGCTGCGCTGGCACTGATGGAAATGCTGGGGAACGGTTTTTGGCTTGGCTTGCTGAGCGAGTCGAGTTCACTTTTTGCTCCACTACAACGTCGTTTTCGATCGGACCACGCAACGGCCCCTGCTTCTTGCGGCTCGAGGAAACAAGAAGAGAGAAGAAGCCAAAGGTCTAGTTATTTCAATATACAGGCGTCATTAGGGGAGAATTGAGCCCGGAGAAGAACACACCGACTCTAAAAGGGGAGTGCACAACGGAGGGCAGAGGAGGGAATCCACTGCTTGGGAATACGGGAATGTGGAGGAGCAAAAAGAGGAGAGGGGGACTGGTTGAAGTCGGCGGTGGAACGGGTCAAGATGAAACACCTGGGAAGGGGGGTGTGTGTGCTGGTACATGTGCATACGCAGTCACTGGTAATAGACACAGCTCGGGCTGTAAAATGTGTAATAATACGTAAATACCGTGCGGTGCAGGGTTTTTATATTCATTTTTTTTTCTCTTGCAAGCCATCTCGAAAACGGCCTCTCGAAGTTCTCCCATGCATCCATGGCGTGTCAGTGCCCCAGCTCTGTGCCCTGTCGTTGGGATGCCCCACGCGCCCAAGGCACTGACACCTCTCACCCACCAGTGCCCACTCACCGAGACTTCGCACTGACAGGTGGTGTGGCCCAGAGCGCAAACTCACCCTGCATTCCGTCACATTTTGAGTTTCCAGCTTGGTTTTCTCCCTTGCTTAGTTACCTAACTACCTAGTGTAGACTCTTTTGCGGCACACCGCTACCAACGACGCGCGGTCCTTAGAAGACGACGTCATCGCGACAATACGGGTTTGACGGATGCCTAGGTAGCTAGGTAATTAATCACCTGATACCTATGTATACAAATTACGACTCCCCGACTTCGTACGATTTACAGTTTCGCACAAAGTACTCTGTACGGATGATTCTTCGGTGCAGCTCTGTGGGAGTCGCAATGCCACCTTGAGCATTCCACATTGCCCACTTGGTGTCACCAATCCTTGCAGCTACCCATCGACAACCTGTTTGCGCTGCTGCACGCGTGCAGCCCCCGCTTGACCTCGGACAGACACGGCCTGGTGCATTTCCCCAAAACGGCATCAGGGGTGTTCGACCTTCTTTCTTCTGCAGAGGCAAGAGGCACAGAGGGTGACTGCACTGCGCCTTGACAAGTTGGGTTGGGAAGAACAAAGCAATTTTGTGGAACTACCCGAAAGAGACAGTTGCCAGTGTAGTACCACAGTACATAACTACAAGTATACCTCGCTGTCTGGGCTCCTACCTAGGCCGGCTTGCCTTGACCGTAGCCGACCCAGGTGGCCGAGTGTTCAGCTCATTGCTATTTCTGGCAGCGTGTTATGACCATGAGGTCACTCACTCGATTCAGCCGGCCCAACGCACAGCCAACTTCGCACCTTTTACTATATATACATTAAGCTGGGCCAGTTGCCGAGGGGAGAGCGAGCCCGCTTCCGATATGCCCCTCGACTGCATGGCTCTCCCACATCAGACGAGCGGCGGACTCACTAACAACCCAGCCGCGGAGGCACGGCATGCGACTGCGCGGCTCACCTTCTACTGGCCAGCAAATATTCGAATTCAGGGGTTCCCGTAACTAACCAAAGGTTCATCTCTCCGGGCCTCTCGGCACCCCAGTAACATGTTGGCCCCGCCCACTCGAGTGACGACAGTGAAGAAGGCGTCTCGGCGTCTGTTGCCATCCCATCCATGCCGTCCCATCCCGGCCGCATAACCCGGCAACAGCACCTTAAGATGTGTCCTAACGGATCCATACCCGATCGTCAACGTCTTGGCAGCCACGCCAATCAGCGCCGCACAACGGCTGACCACAAGGGGGCCCTCCTCAGCGACCTGAAACGCCGTGTCGACTTGCCTCATTTGCTGCTCGTGCTGCTTTCTGCTTTCCCCTCAACGCCTGCGATTTGTTCCCCTGACGGCCATGCCCGGGAAGCAGACTCTTGGCCCTCCCTGCCAAGAATGTACATATCGAAAACGACCACCACTCGGCCAGGGGCTTTCAGGGGGCGGCCAGCTTGTTCTATCACCAGTTAACCGCCGCACAGTCTCGGGGGCCAACATGAATCCCAAATGTCTTGAAAGGGTAGTTTCCAGAAGAAGGGCACACCCCTCCAATTCCCCTGCAGGGACCCCGTTTGTTCACGAGGAGTTGGAGGTTCGCTGTCTCGAAGCAAGGACAAGGATGACGAATTTCGCTCTCCGCAGGGAACCTGTGTTTCAAGCTCCAACAACTCAATGCTTGAAGCCGGCAAGACGCTAGATCGACCCGGCCTTCTCCATAACTGCGCAGATATCAGGCCATGGGTGCATGGCCGTCTGGGGTGCCTGGGGTTTGGGCCTGACACCCAACCTTTGGCAGATCGTGGAACGTCGATCCAAGAATGGCTTCGATCCAACGGCCGGCCCGCTGGAGTCTCGAGCCGCCCCCGGCCCAGCCAACCGCCGATCAGTAAACGAAACATGGCTATATTGGCGATGTGCCTGGCAGCCTTACACAATATGTGCCGTAGTAAACAGCCCATGTCACTCACTTTTATCAAACCAAGGGTCCTGCGTAGCTCATAGATAACGTAGTGAGCACGGCAATGGCAGAGCCAACCACCCTTGTCGAGGCTAGAAAACCTCCAGAACAAATCATATGTCGATCCAGTTCTCGACCAGGCCAGAACCTAGATGTTATCATGCCTTAGCTGAGCTTCCACGAGCTTTCACTCGACGGGGTCGACATCCCAACTCCACCCGTCTCATCACTCCACATCACCCACGACAGAATCACATCAGCTCCAACCCATCAAAGCATCCTACCCCTGAAGGGCCGAGGGACCAGGCATAACTGGTTGAAGACGACCAACCCACACACATCAAACTAAGGCCAACGACGTATAGAGAATGACCGCCTTCTATAGGTACCACAACTCGGGACAATAAGTAACCTAACGTAATTCTATAAACCCCAGCTTGAAGTTCCCACATCGAAAAAGAAAAAGGAGAAATCAAGATATCTAAGAGGCTGACGCAAGCTACCCCTGATAGAATGAGAGAAAAAAGGGACAAATAATACCGACGATGCCCATGACAAGCCCCTTGCGAATCCCAACGCCAATTCAGTAACAAATGTTGCTTGCTTGCCCACGCCGCTCCTTCACCTGTATACCCTCCTAGGATGTGGCAGGGAATACATCAAAAGAAAAAGGCCGCAGGAGAAAATGATAAAACGGTGACGAGGGGATGTAGACAGGTGAACCATATGCTGCAGTGCGTAAAAACTCGACTAGCAGAAAAAAGACAACCCTCAGCCTGTGCCTGGCTTTTGCTTCATCCCTCGCCCACATGGGCCTCCATGACCATAGGTTCAAAACCAACCCAATCAGCCAGCCACCCGAACCTGCCATCATCCACCCTGCCCGCCGCAGCCGCCGCCAAAGAATGGACATCCAAAACAAAACACTGAATGGCTCTGTCTGTCTGTCCGTCTTTCCGCCGCCGCCGCCTGCCATACCAATATCAAAACCAACCAAATCATGCCCGTCGTGATCACATCATTGCTGGCTGCAGCTGCTGCTCCACAACCCAACCTCACCACACACACGACTTATTTAGCCACCCTCTTAAAGGCCAACAGATCCGCCAAGCTCGCCAGCGGACACCCGTGCTTCAGGAAGTCATGGTTGAGCAGCTCCTGCGCTGACGCGCGGCTCTTGACATCGACGCACAGGCAGACCGACAAGAAGGCCTTGAGCTCCTTGCTCAGCTTCTCGGGCTTCTTGAGGCGCGGCGTGCCGTTGGTGGCGATGAGGTACAGGGCCTTGAGGGGCTCCTCGTTGAGGTAGGGGGGCTCCGACTCGATCATCTCGATGGCCATGATGCCGAGCGACCAGATGTCGACCTTGGGGCCGTATTCCTTCTGCTTGACAACCTCGGGAGCCATCCAATAGGGCGTGCCGACCATAGTAGCGCGCTTCGACTTGGTCTCCGTCAGCTTGGCACAGAAGCCGAAATCAGCTAGGCGCGAGGTTAGCATGTCTGGTCAGGCAATGGCTTGTGGATGGGGTAACGTACTGATCTTGACGTTGCCGCGGGCATCCAAGAGAACGTTGTCACTCTTGATGTCGCGGTGAATGATATTTTGCGAGTGAAGATGGTCGAGGCCTTGGCAAGTCTATCCCCAGGGGTTAGTTGACGCTGAAACAGGTTACGAGAGATCCACATACCTCGAGGCAAATGGTCGAAATCTGCTCCTCTGTGATAATGGGGTTGTTCTCAATGACATCCGTCAGAGCGCCACCCTCCATGTACTCCATCACCACCCAGAGCTCCTTGTCGTTGTCCATGAGGAAAGCATCAAGGAAGTTGACAATGTTGGGGTGTTTGTTCTCCCGCATGACAAGAATCTCGTTAACGATCAGCTCCTTGCGCGGCTGATGCGCAAGGTCCATCTGCTTGATGGCAACACGGTCGCTGCCGATCCGAACCTTGGGATTCACGGGAGCACCAGGCCTTGTGCCCATGACCTTGGCCACATACACGGACCCAGAGGCGCCTTGGCCAATCTTCTTCTGCTTGGCATACATCCTGTTGGGGTCGTCCTTGGAGACAACCTCCTTCAACTTCGCCATCACCTCGCCCTCTGACATGGTCGACATGCGCACATCTTGCTTGCGCTCTGAGGGAGAAGGCTTGGCGGTTAGGGCAGCCTCAGCAGCCTTAACCCCATCCGCGTTTGCGCTGGGCTTCGAAACATTGAGGGGCTTCACCGGCGCCGGCAAGCGAGAGGGCTGCTGTACTTGCGGTTGCCCGTTCGGACCACGTGCCTGCGCTTGGTTAGGATAGCGGGCAGCGGCTGAAGGGCCGTTGGCCTGGTCCGGTCTGGGTGTCCTCTGTGCCTGGGCCGTGGGATCGCGAACCGAGGTGGAGCTATTCTGTTGTGCAAGAGGTGGGCGGGAGGGGGCGGAAGAGTTGCCCGGCGGAGCGGGCGCAGGCCTCTGTGCCCTGAGTGACTGGGCCTGGGGCGCCTTGGGCGCCGCTCGTGTGGGGTTATACCGATCAGCCTGGGACGGGGAACTCGAATAACCGCCCCCGATTTCCTGCTGAGCAAGGGGGACCTTTGTCTTAGGAAGTGACGCATTGTAAGCCTCGAGCTCCCGGCGAGCCTGCTCCTCGCGCTCAGCCCGTTGCCGCTCCAATTCTCGGGCGCGCTGCTCCTCGCGCATCCGATCGGCCGAGATGTAGTTAGGGGATACGCCTTGCAGCTGTTGCATTTGCTGGTCCATCGCCCGCGGGGACGGGGAAGCAAGTGGCTGGGGAGCCGGGCTTGGGTAAGACCCCGGGCTACGCTGGATAGGCTTCGGCTGCCGCGGCGGCGCGACCGAGTTACCACTCGGGTAGCCAAACTGGTCATTCTGCATGTTGCTTGGCGATGCGGCCGGCACCGGGCTGCCGCCGTAGGGGTCGGGGTTCTCGGCGCGCTTGGTCATATCCGAGTAGAAATCCAGGACCTCGAAAACGGCCTGGGGGTTCTTCTCCACATCCTCCTTGGTGATGGCGGACGAATTGAGCAGCCTAGTCCACTCTTCCGGCAGTCCGGTGAACTGTCCTGTTTGGGGGTTGAAGCCGACATGAACAGCGTGAGAGAAGTTAGAGGGGTTGCTGACGCCGCCTGGGCAACGGGCATAGATGCAGTCAATCCACTCGTACAGCTCGTCGTCGGTCTTGACGCAGATCCGCAGGGATCTCACGCCGCTGTCGTCGTCTCCAGGCGGGCCCGGGTACGAATTGGTCAGATTTCTCCTGATCTCAAAGACGGGGTCGCCATTGTCATCGGGAATCCGATCGACGCTAACAACGTCTGAGAGTTGGATTTTGTATAACCACTTGCCGTTCTCATTCTTGTGGAAGTCAAGAATGTCCTGGCGGAGGATGAGGTATCTGCTTTTCCATTGCTGGAACGGGTTCTTGCTCGGTAGGCCGACATAACCCTGCTTGATGATACCGAGCCCCCCGGCGCCTTCGAAGCTATTGGAGCCCTGTCGAGAAATCGGGAGGGCTATGGTGGATCCACTGTAGGTACTCGAGACTGGAGAGGCCACACTCATGTTCGACATGCTGTTTGTGAGGCTCACATTCGGCATGAGGCCAAGGCGAGGCTTATCGGTGGGAGGCCGTGGGGCAGGGCCGGGGTTCATGAACTGCCCGCTCGAGTAGACACTGCAAGGCAGATATTAGCACTGGTAAGTTAAAACGTCGGTCATATTTTCGCCCCGAGGTTGGGTACTCAAGGGATCCAACAGCCCAACAACATAACAGGGAACGGAGTAACAGAGGTAATGCTAAGCCCACACCACCCGACGAGTCCTTGCCTCGAGGACAGCGTTCGGGACTCGCTCGCTGGCTTGATGCTTGGGGGGGATACACACTTATTATGCATCGACATTTTGACGGTGTTGTGAGCGTGGTGGACACGGACGGAGGTGTGGTGTGTGGGTTGATTTGGTGCCGCAACCTGTTGTATCTGAGACTAGTGCCCTTGACCGTGACGGACTCAAGAAGTCTGCTAACGGTCAGCAAATATCGCACACATCCAAGTCCGTAATTAGGTAACTTACTGAGCACCCCGGATAGGAAACAGAATCCCGCTGGAAGGAACGGAAGGAAGGAGCAATGCCGAAAATAAAATCGTGCGCAAGTACAGTTTGGTGCTGGAGGCACTGCAAAGGGGAAGCCGGCGGTAATTCACACGAATACACCGAGTGCTGGGTCGACAATGAAGATGGTGTCGCGATGAATCGGTCGGAGGTGGTTAGAGTACCAGCAGTCGGTTCACGGTCGAACGCACAGCTGGCACAAGGCCGAAGGCAACATGTGTAAATTTCGACGGAAAAGTCGATAATAGTCGCACAGTCCAAGTAGTTCGTTTGTTTGAAGTTGCTCGGGTTTTCCTCAAAGAAATCGGGCGGAGGATGGCGGTCAGTCGAAGGGAGGGCTGGAGGATCGGAATTGTGGGTTATCTTCGGCAACGCTCAGGAGGTCGACGGTCTGATTTATTGGGTAGCAGCGCAAGAAAAATGACAGGAGAAACGAATCCCTGAAGCAAAAATGACCAAGGCACGCTGTTGTAACTCGCAAAACACGGAACTCAACGCTGCGATTGAAGGGTCGCCCGCGGGTGTCTTTCGCCAGGAGTTGACAAAGAGACGGTTTGCTTCAGGGAGGTCGGGTGCCTGTGGATCTCTCAGAAGGAAAGGGCTGGGCGCAACGCTGCAATGGCTCGGCTGCACTGGGGGAGGAGGGGTAAGTTTGCGGGACCCGCTCAGGCTCAGCTGTTGGAAACAAGGGTCCTGGGCGTTAAGAAGGTACGGCACTCGCTCTTACTGATTCCGTGGTGAGCACCGTACTCAACTAGGCGATCGTCGGGACCGAGCGAAGGCTCAAAGACATTGGTCCTTTAAGCGCGGTATGTTGACTGCGGCAAAGCAGCCTGTTTCAAACTCAAACTCAACGAGACAATGAGGTAACAGTGCTCTGTTGACAAATCGCTTTTTGATGCCTATTGAAAATTTGATACTAGCCGAAGGGCGGCCAAGCCCTTTCTGTCAAATTTACTCTGGTAAATGATATCTTCAGAGTTCTCCAGACTTGTTTGTCACCGGCAATTTTCTTCCACAAGTGGGCGAGTTACATTCAAGGTACTGCGGTCGTCATTTTGAGGTGGTGGATGTTCAGGAGAAAGGTCGTCTCAAGGTCGCCCCCTGACAGACGAGGGCAATGCGGGGCGATAAAAGAAATCTTTACATAATCTCACCATGTCTAATCTCAATGCGGTAACTAAGTGACAATGAGTGGGCTTCCAATTTGTTTCGGTGATTTTCTCGCCTTTGCATCTCTCTTCATTGTGCCTACTACATCCAGTTCACGATCCCCATTTCATCCGATGTTTCTATCTTTAGGTACTACATATGCCTTGAGATTGTATGAATCTGTCAGTATTATCCGTAACTGACTTCAATTCCACCTGGCAAAAGTTCATGTCGGAATACCTACACCCGACACCTCTTGTTAAAATGGACTCGAGCCTCGCAGCACTGCCTGCATATCCATACCGTTACAAACCACAACTCCAAGAGCTTTTTCTTCCTCCGCCGCCAGCTAATTTGCACAATGGCCCTCCCTAAGGTAGTGACTCAGCGGGTCTAGCAGAGTAAAAAGCCGTAGTCGGCATCACGACATCCCATTCTGCCTGAGAAGAATCTCGTTTCAGGCGGGTAGATCCACGGCCTCTTTCCGTTACTAACATCAGAACATCGGCTTAAAAAAAGACACCAAAGGAAAACGCAAGAAATACTCCGACATTTACTCATTGTAGGGACGAGCGCCATGCCTAGGGTACGTTGCCCAGATCAGCGGATTCAGCAACCACCCATCAGTTACACCGAGCGACTTGCCGCCAGCAGAACCAGGACCTGCACGCACAATATGTGGTAGGTAGTTATCGCCCCCGAGAAGGGAGGGGGATCGTTACACAACAGCCGCCCCCCCATCACCTCCTCCGACAGACAAATCGAGTGGTATGGAGTTATTAGCCGCTCCCAACCCGCGACACAGCCAGGCCCGCACCGGCACGAATCAGACGGGACTCGGGAGCAGCACCTCCCTCCTGCTCCAGCTTTTCCGTACTGTGTTGTATGTAGTCAACCCCGCCGGCTGGGAAACCTGCGGTTGGCCGGATTACCCGCCGCAACGATGCAGCCAGATCGACAGCCGTGCCCTCTGCTTTGTTGCGAGCCTTGTGCCTTGCTAGTAGTGGTGTGGGTGGTGGTGTTGCCGTTGTTTGCACTTCTCCACTTGCCGGCCCCCTTTGGCCCCATGCCGTATCCACTGTTTCCCTGGCGGCGGTGTTTCTGAAGTGCGGATCCGCTGTCGCAGGATCCTTTCGTTGCCACTCCGAAGTGCGAAAGCTGAGCGAGGTCCGCACGTGGTCCGCTTCCGCGGGCTCGCATTCTGTTTAGTTATTGTCTAGCAGAGATATGAGACGGCTAAGTGAGGACGGACGTTTGAGGTTTATCTCGAATACCTCCTTCGGCGGATATCCTGCAACCTCGATTTGAAATCGTCGATATGTTGCGCCATTCACCCAAAATCGTTGAAGACGGGGGCCCGTGTGGGACCCGATGTCGTCTTGAAGGAAACGAAAGGACGAAAGCAAGGATAAAAACTGGAATGTTTTCGTTTCACGCGGTTCTTGCACGGGTATAGGCGGCTTGGCCTGCAGCATCGATGCATCGACGCGGCGAGGTGCCGCATCCTGCAGCTTGACATTGCATGGACACGGGGAGATCTTCGAGATGCGACCGCTGTCTCAGGCGGCTGGGTGCGTGAGTCCACACGGTATCTACTGCAAAGCATGGGACCCAGAGGCCATGCGGACGTAACAAGGAGCACGATAACAAGGAGCACGAGTTGATGAGGCCTCCTATGCACTTGTAGTCTCGAACGGTCAGGGGCCGTGATGGCTTCACAGGGATGGCCATTCTCCATGCCGCTAGGAGAGCTCTATTGTGGTATATGCCAAGGGGGGATTTGGCAATGCGCGCCCACGCCAACTAAACAAAACGAACCATCTCTTGACTCCTCGGCGCTGTCGTTCTTAACGGACGGTAACCTCCACCTCCTGCTGGCCCTCGAAGAGAGGCAGCTCAGACTCGATATCCTGCCATGACTTGGTGCCATCGACCAACGCCCGGATGGCCGCGATGATTTTGTCCTCCTCAGCGCGCACCTGCCGCGTGCTGTCACGCTCTCTGAGGGTGATGGTGTCGTCCTTAGCCGTCTGGAAGTCGACGGTAACACCGAATGGCGTGCCCAGCTCATCGTTTCTGCTGTACCGCTTGCCGATGCTGGCGGAGGAGTCATCCACACGGCTGGAGATGCCGGCAGACCTAAGCTTCTGCGATAGCTTGCGGACGGCGGGCGCGAAGTCCTTGTGGGACGATAGAGGAACGATAAGGACCTTTGTCGGCGCTACCGCGGGAGGGAAGGACAGGACCTAATGAACGAAGTCAGCATTACTCACGCTGTGTAAATCAATGGGTGGTCTACTTACACCACGGGCCTCATCGCCACCATCGCTAGCTCGGGTCCAGTAGTTGTGCTCCATCAACGAGTAGAGTATCCGGCCAATACCGAACGACGGCTCGATGACGTTGGGCGTGTACTCCCGAATGTTTTCAACACGTTTCTGCCACTTGATAGCCAGCAAGTCCTTGCTGACCTCGACGTTGCCATCACCAACACTCGGCACTTTGACGACTGCCTTGCCGTTCTCCTCCAGCTCCTTGGCGAGCTTGCCGCGCTCCTCTTGCGTGGTGGCCAAGATAGCAGCCTCGATGGTCTTGCCGTCCTTCTTGTAGAATGGGCCAAACTTCTTCTTCTCGATCTCGATCGCCCACTCCTCGATAATCTTGGGTTCATCCAGGCGTTGCCGCACAATGAGTGGCGCACCAGTCTTCTTCGCATGGACGGACAAGTCATAGGCGCTCCGGTCGGCGCAGCCAACACACTCCACCCAGCCAGTCGAGGTAAGGAGCTCGGCATCCCAGCAGTCGCAAGCGTAATGGGCCATTTCGTTGGCCATGTGTTGCCTGAAGCGAATCTTGGACTGGTCGATACCGATCTTCTTGAGGAAGAGGTGGATGCGGGCCAGGAAGTAGCCAAGTGTCTCGTTGTCGACCAGACCGTCCTGGACGGCTTTCCCAACAGTCAACCTCGTAGTAGTAGTCTTGCCCGACAGCTGAACGTGGCGGTCCAAGAAGTCGAGCTCGATATCCTCGACCTCGTGAAACCGGTGGTGCTTCTTGTGGCCCTCCGGGTCAACAAAGTGCTCGATCTCGGCCATGAGGAATTCGCGGACACGGAGAAGACCAGCCCTCGGGGAAATCTCGTTGCGGTAGGACTTGCCAATGGAAGCAGAGGCGAAGGGCATCTGACCAGTGTTGAATTCGAGGAGTTTGGCAAAGTTTAGGAACTGACCCTGGGCAGTTTCTGGCCGGAGGTAGCCAGGGGTATTGCTGCTGGGGCCAATGGTCGTCTGGAACATGAGGTTGAACGCCACCGGAGGGCTGGGTTGCTCACCAGTGGCGGGGTTCCTAAGGTCGTACTTCTTGATGAGCTCACCCAGCTGCTCGCCGTTGTAGTTGTCGATCTGTGCCAGCACCTCCTCGTACTCCTTGACCACATCGTCCTCCAGCTTGACCGCCTCCCCGCCCTTGGCCTTCTTCTTCTTCCTCTTGGGGTCCTCCGCCTTCTCTGTCTTCTGGCCGTCGGCGACCTGTGCTAGTGCCGCCTCGGACATCTTGGGGTCCTCCGCCTTCTCTTCTACTTTCTGGCCGCGGGCCTCCTTGTCGCCCTTTAGTCGTGACTCGAGGACATCCTCCACGAAGTGGTCGGCACGGAGGATCTCGCCGTTTTTGGGGTCTTTGCACATCCAGTCCGCAAACTTGTCGACGTGGCCGCTAGTCTTGAGGACCTCGTGGGGGGTGAGCGCGGTGCAGTCGACCTCGAGCATGTCTTCCTCGAGGATGAAGTGCTTGCGCCATTGGTCGACGATGTTCGCCTGGAGCGCGCAGCCGGGCGGCCCATAGTCGTAGAGGCCCGAGACACCACCGTAAATCTCGAACGAGGGAGTGTAGAACAGGCGCCGGCGTAGGAGGGATTCGAGGGCCGCCTTGTCGAGGGGTTGGCCCTTGAGGGTAGTGGCGGTCGTAGTCATAGTGGGCGGCTTTTTCTTTTTGCTAGGCGTGTACTTTTTGAAAGCGTACGAGCGTGGGGCAGCAGGAGCGAGAGCTGTAAATCTGCGGACTGGAAACCTAAAGACCCTCGGGGCCGTGACTTTGTGGGAGTTGAGTACAATACCAACGAGTGGTGAGAGGAGAGGGGTGGGTAGAAAAGGCTTCATTAATTGTTACAGTGGTTGTTTTAGCCCAACCAGGTGAGTCACGGCCCTTCCACTTACAGATCCTCTTTTTTTCGCCGATTTCAGATCCGGGAAGCTGCTTGCCGCACCGATTGAGGGGGGACTTTGCATCTCGCCTCCACACTCCAAGCACACGACCTGCGCGCTCATACCGGAAATTCAATTAGCCGCTAAAACTGCCCCGCGACAGGAACCAGGCACTCACTCAGGCCTGAATGAGGGGCAATTCGAATCCTTGCAACCTGAAAACTTTCGGGGTACCCCTGCACTGCACGGATTCGAGACAAAAAATTTGGGGCTCGGTTCCGATAGCAGCAATTCTGCTGCGATAACAAACAGCAAGAAAAAGCACGAGACAAGTTTACAACGATGGGTTCCGGAAGAGGCTCATCTGGGGGCTCATTGTCCCTCAAGACCTCCAACAAGCTGAAACGGCAACAGCTTTACGTACAGCAAAAAAAGACGACCGGCAAAGCCCGCCACGAGGAGCGACACCGAAGGCGCAGGGAAGAGGCCAAGGACCCGGAGCTGAGGAGGCAGCGGCTCGAGCAGAACCAGCCTACGAGCATCGACAAGAAGAGGATATGGGATGATGTCGACGATGATACTCTAGGCGCTGTTGTGGATGTCGCCCAATTGAAGCGGCGGCGCTTGGAAGAGGCCGAGGCCGCAGCAGCAGCAGAGGCAGACGGTCCGATAGATGGTAATGTGGAAAAGGACGACGATGTCGACAGTATGCTTGGGTCCGACGAGGAAGCGGAAGGGGACGACGACGACGAAGAGCGCCTGGAGAAGCAACGCCAGCGGGCACAGAGACAACCCAGCGTAGCTCCATCGACCGTATCCACGAACCTCGACCTCACCCCAGATGCTCTAGCCGCCCAATTCAAGTATCTATTTAGCGACGAGCCTCCGGCGATGCCCAAAATTCTGGTCACAACTGGACTCAATGGGACAATCCATAAGGAGGCACAGGATATTGCCGCCGTTCTTCCCAATGGTAGGTACCATCGCCTGAAACCGCTAGGTCACGATCCGATGCTGACAATGCGCCTAGCCACCTACATTCCCCGGAGTGCCCATCGTTATGGTCACAAGTACAGCGTAAGGGAGATTGCAAAGTTTGCCAAGAGTCGGTCCAGCCCCATCCCCCACAGCCCCAAACGATCACTGACACGCTTCAAGACCGCGGATACACGGCGTTCTTGGTAGTGCATGAGGACCTTAAACGGCCAAGCCAGCTGAGCGTGTGCCATTTAAATGGCGAGGATGCGCCGCCCGGGCCTACCCTTACTTATACCATCCGCAACTACCAGCCAGGGAAAGCGATTCTCGGACACGGAAATCCCACCAACCACTATGTAAGGACCCTCCCTTCCCTGCACATGTTCCTTTTCAGCTGCTAACGGAGATTAAGCCCGAGCTCCTTCTCAACGGCTTCAAGACTCCGCTGGGTCTACTAGCGGCCAAGTCGATGAACACCCTGTTCCCGCCGAAACCCGAGTTGGCAGGTCGTCAGGTCTTGACACTACACAATCAACGCGATTACATTTTTTTCCGCCGGCATCGGTATATCTTCCGTGAAGCGCGGACGACGGAGAAGAATGTCCAGGGCGCGGACGGCAAGGAGATGGACGGTGTCAAGGGGATCCGCGCCGGGTTACAGGAGATTGGGCCACGTAAGTCACTTCCATACAGATGTTGAGGAGACATGAACGCTGACTTTTGCAGGAATGACCCTGAAACTCCGCAGAGTGGACAAGGGCATCGGCAGGGCAGGCAGTGAGGGCGACGATGCCCTGAAGTGGGAGTGGAAGGCGAAGATGGAGAAGAAGCGGACGCGCTTCAACCTGTAGAGAGAGGGAAGGTGTGATACCCAAAGATGTATGTTCATGTTCGATCTGAGTAGTATGCAAACAAACCACAGCAAAGTCACATAGCCAAGCTACTCTAGCACTTGCCTGGGTAATATGGACATCCAACCCCAAAGCACAAAACCCGGCCGTCGCCCTTCTGCAGTCACTTCCCTTTCTCTCCTACCGGCTGCCCTGGTGCTTTTCCTAGCGTCTGCTTCCCCCTCTCCTGTAGCATTATCACCGAGTACCTGTCCACCAGTCAGCAACAAATCCACACTTTCACGCCCCCAGCACAAGATAAAGATAGAAAGATGGAAAGCAGCCCAAAGACCAGAAACTTACGCTATGATCCCCCCCACCGCAACCACAACGCCCCCCAAACTCCCCCACTCCCCAACCCCCCTCCCACTGACCGCCCACCCCAGCGCCACAATCGCGCACGTCTTGACATGCCCAACCACCGTACTCGACACCGGCCCGGCCTGCGCGACAATAAAGAACTGCGAGATGTTGATCAGGCCGGCAAACCCCCCGCTCAGCCCGATCAGCGCCCACCGACCGGCGCCCACGCCGCTCCACGCCGCCGGCCAGGTGTCGATGAAGGGGATCGCGTAGAGCAGCAGCACGGCTGACACGGGCGCCTGGTTGAAGAGCAGCTGCATGCTGGAGAGTTTGAGGCGGCGGTGGTAGGCGCCGATCCAGACCGTGTAGAGGGAGGAGGCGGCGGTGCCGGTTAGGGCGAAGAGGATGCCGAGGGGGGTGGTTGTTTTGGGTGACGTAGAACTTGTGGTGGTGGTGGTGGTGGTGGTAGTGGGTGGGGGGAGGGAGTCGTAGTAGGAGACTAGGCCGACGCCGAGGCAGGCCGGGACGAGGGCGAGGAGGGCGCGGGGCGGGAGGGTGGCGCGGTAGAGGAGGTAGTTGAGCAGGGCGACGGTGGGGGTGAGGAGGATGCGGGCGATCTGGTAGAAGGTGATGGTGGAGAAGGCGAGGGAGAGGTTGGGCAGGATGACGTTGAGGGACATGGCGAGGGAGAGGGGGAGGATGTCGAGGAGGGCGACGCGGCGCGGGACGAAGAAGGCGAGGGCCGGGCGGGAGAGGACGAAGAGGGTGAGGAAGGTGATGAGGAAGTGGAAGCAGGCGAAGGTCAGCTGGGCGAGTTTGAGGGACGGGTCGGAGAAGATGGCTTTGTTGGTGAAGACCTGGTGAGGGGTTAGTGGTGGTTGATAGGGCATATGAAGGGAAAAATGAAGGGAGGCGTCTACAATGCCTATTGTCGCGAGGGTGTTGATGACCATCCAGATCAGGCCAGAAGTGAACGAGCTCTTTGGAGCAACCTCCTCCCCTCGAGTTTCGTTTGGGAGGAGTTCATTCTTCTCATGGCTCAGAGCAGACTCTAAATCATCCGATAGCCTTTTTTGGTTTTCTTCGTCATTCCCGGGATGGTTGAACCGAGCTATTCGAGGGTTGAGGGAGGAGAGGGACAAGGCCGAGGGGATCTCATTTCTGTCCGACATGTTGAGGCTTGCACTAAATAGTGCTAAGATGGAACGGACATGAAATGGTAACCTTCCATGGGAAATATGTAGTGTTTATATCTCAACCCCGCCTCGCCCGCGAGTGGTGAAAGCGGTTCTTCTACAATGAACTGCGGGAAACATTTCAGGCCACATCAGCCAAGCCCCGATCGTTGACTTCCAAACCGGGCTGCCAGGGAAGGCCCGGACGATCTCCCCCTTTCCCAATTTGGTAAAGCTCACAGGAAGTGGGTTCTTTTGGTGTAAGATGATTGGCCGTCCAAAGAGAACTGAAAACCTCCCTTCGACCCCAAGAGAGAACACGAGTGGGGGCGTCCCAAAATGATTTCCATAATCTGTACTAGTACTTCAAGGCAAAAGCCGTTTCTAACACCGTCTAACCCTGCTTGCTTGCTTCCCTCCAACACCACTCAGTCATTTGCCAACGTCTTTGGACCAGCGGAGATGGTCCCTTATTTCGGCGTAGTGCTTGGTCGTTTGCACGAGCTTGGCAAGGGGACCACCCGAGGCGGCCATCTCAGCCGACACGCTGTTGTCAATCATGTTATACAGGTCAAGTACCCAGTTGGCCGCTCTTTCAGCGACGACTTGTTGGTAAACCGGCCAAAGCTCGTCCCAGATCGCCTTTATCCCCTTCAACTCGGGCATGTGCAGGTCCATGTTGATGACCTCCTGGTTAAATCCTTGGTACGCCTGCCGCCAGACTGGTTCCAGCCCGACGTCGTTCAAGTACGCAAACACCAAGAAGACCTGCGAACATCCTTGTCAGTACGCAGTAACTGGCAGTTGGGCGGCATTGAAAGCAACCCACGTTTTTCAACTTCGTTTCGATTTTTCTGATCGATTCCACGTCGCTTTGCATCCCCCCCCCGAACCACTCCTCAAAGCTTTTAGCACCAATCGGGTTATACAGTCTGAAAAGGGTACCCTTCATCAAATTGATGTCACCCGTGGTCACAGCTAAGTTCTGCATGTTGCCCCAGTCGCCCATCAGTGTCATCATTCGGCCGCAAGGGGTGTTTGGAGGGGGTAGGTAGTCTTTGGGTAGACCCTTCCAGTTGACGACCTCATAAAACTGGTTTAGCTTGATGTTGTCCGGGTAGAGCTTGTGCCAACCCGTGTACAGGTTTTCCTCGGTAATCCTGGCTGCCTTTATGAACTGCGTGGCGGCTGTCTTGGCTACCTTGGGTAGTTTGCCGGTGTATGCTGTTCGCAACAGAAGGTTGGGGAGCTGGAGCTCGAGGAGATGCTCGGTCTGGAACCCTTTCTTGGCCATGTCCGCCATGCGAGTAAAAGCGAGTCCCGAGTTGGTGCAGACTTCGCTTGCCTTGCTGAAATGCCGTTAGCAGTGGCCACCTTGTTTGTAGGTTAAGGGAGGGGTGATCACTGCACTGACCCGTAGCTGCCCTTGAGAAGCATCGTAGCGAGCCCGGTGCCAGGGCGGAAAAGGTATTTATGTTTGTTACCGGTTGGATAGGGGCGCGAGTACCATACGAGCTTGCGTTTGGCCATCTCCAATACGTATTGCCTCGGCCCGCCAGGGTATAATGACCTGGGTTTCCCTGTAAGCTCCTCCGCCAGGTCCTCCGAGCCATATTCGAGCCCATCCCCGATCCCAGTCCAGTTCGCAGCGCGTAGATAGTCTTCAAGATCGTCTTCAAAATCGTCGCGAAGATCGTCGTCAAGATCGTCGTCAAGATCGTCTTCAAGGTCTTCATCGCAGAGGTCTGGGTCGTCGGCACATGCATCGTAGTCGCAAATATCCTCGTTCAAGGCCGCAGCATTGGGCGTGCAGCAGAGTGCCTTATTCCTCCACCAAGAGCAAGCACTGTAGCTGTCTCCCTGGTCGTTGGTCCACAGTGTCACCTCTGACTTGGCGCAGGTGTTGTCGGCACAGTCACCCTCGCCGACCCAGTGGCAGTTCCTGAAGGGGATCGGCCGGTCCTTCTTGCAGCAGTAGTGGTTACCGTTGCAGAACACGGTCGACAAGCCCCAGCGGTCGCGGGCATAGGCAACACTCTCCTCGTCCGAGTTGCACTCGCCGCTGCAACCGCCGGTCCAGCGGCAGCCCTCAGTCAGACTGGTGTATGAGTTGGCCTTGCAGCAGAGGGCCTTGTCACCGCGGTTGCACTTCTTTGTTGGGCTCGACTCGCCCGGGGTGCCGCCCCAGCTGGATGCCGCGATCTTGACCTCGCCCTCGTGGCACTGCCCGTTGCAGTCCCCACCAGACCCCCGCCACATGCAGCCGGTCATGCCCGAGGTCTCAGGACAGCAGATGGGACGGCCGCATTGGGACTCGTGGATGCCGCTGCAGTCGACTCCATCTCTGTCCAGTCCGACTCTCCCGAACCCGGGGTCACATCTGTCGTCGAATTGGCTCCCCCCCTTGTAGCAGTTGTGGCCAAAGCTAGCATCTATCTCGGGCATAGCTCCGAAGTCCGGGTTCTCCATAGAGAACTCGGGGTTACCGCTAAGTGCCTTATGCGCAGAGAGCTCGTAGTCATCTGTACTTATCTTAGCATATAAAAGGAGGATCGTATGGGGGATATAAAAAGGACGGCGGAGGAAGAGAAAAAGAAGCCCACCCAAGTCAGACGCCCATATAAGCGACCCCGTGAATCCTATGTCGTCCGCCCATTTGATCTTGTTTTTGAACGTCTCGGAATCATCAAACGAGACCCATTGATCATTATCCCAAGCCATGTACTTGACCGCGGCCTCCTTGTCGTGCACAGTGATCAAGTCCCGTTTTTTGCTTTTAGCGATGATGTCCTGGATCTCGTAGTGCGCAAGATCTGTAATTATGTATCGTCAGGTCAAGTCCGGTCAGATCAAGCCCGAGGTACTTCAAGATGACATGACTCCCGAGAAGCCCAGTGAACTTGGAGAAACTCATGAGAACGGCAACTTACACCCACTTGTCCCAGTGCACACTCCCGGCTTGGCTCCGCTGGTAAATGGGCACCCGGGCTTGTTACAAGTCGGGTCTTTCAGCGTAAACGCTCTTCCGTAAAATCCAAAGCCGAGGGCAAGCTTCGAGGGCGGAATTCCGGCTCGCCAGAACAGCTCCGTGGCAAGCTTGATCTCAGTCAGGTTCGTGTGAGCTTGCACAATAGGTCCGATGGGATTTGAACTATCCCACACGCCGTGCAGATCGTATGTCATCTAGAGAAACGTGAGTTAGCAACACTGGTACTGTAGGAATACTGTAAAAAGGTACCTAGGTAGCGAGGGACGGACGGTTGTTCTGACTTACGATGTTGATCCAGTCGACGTATTTGACCATGCCGGTCAGGTCAAACCAACGCAAATACCAGAACGACGAGGGAGCAGTGAACGTGATGCCTAACTTACGCCCCGAGTCATGAAACGTTTTGCGCAGCGTCTCCAGCATGAGCACGTAATTCTTGGTGTCCTCCGGCTTGCCGCCTCGATCCGGAGCGCCGGGGTATTCCCAATCGATGTCGACGCCATCGTACCCGTAAGTGTTCAGGAATTTGAGCACGTTGTTCGCGAATGTCTGACGGTTGGCTGGACTGCGTGCAATGTTCCCAAAGACAGGCTGCGTTGCAGTTCCGTTGTCGGAGAAAGTCCAACCCCCGATGCTCACAAACAGCTCGAGGGCCGGGTTCTTGAGTTTCAGGGCGGCGACGTCCTTGAACGTATGAACGGGGGTGGCGGCATCTATGGTAGTAAGCTTGAAGGTAGTGGGATCGATAAATGCGAAGGCGTAGTTGAGATGAGTGAGACCATTTACTAACGTAGCCGGGCAGTGTTAGTTGCGCCGCTCCCCAATCCATAAGAGTCTTCCAGGGTTCAAACATACCGGGGAGGTCATTGGCTGTTGTCTGATGACACAACGATCTGTCGTTCCATGCCTCGTAGTAACCGATGACTATCGCTCGGGGTGTCATTCACAGTCTCAAGACACGAGTAGATGGAATGTCGTTCTCACTCTTTGACAGTGTCTTGCCGCCCTTCCCCCTTCCTAGTGGTTTCGGATGCTCAACGCAGTTGGACTGGCATTTTCCTGTGCAGAAATCTAAATCCGGGGTAATAGAGAGTCAGCAACAGTGGCCATGAAAAGAGGTACCAGGTGCTTCTTGCCTTTGGTTGTGCCGCAAAAGCCGAATTCCGAGCAACAAGTGTTGAGAGGGCAAGTCTTGTTGACAGGCACCGCATCCCGACCACACTCGGCATGAGCATCACAGTTGCTGGTGCATCCGGTGCCGCAGTAAGTCGGCCCATAACCACACCATCCGTCCTCTACGGAGCTGTTAGTGTACATGGGGATGCGGAAGAATCAAAAACAAGACGTACTTCCACAACAAGCCCCATTCTCACAAGGTTCTGTTTATACAGTCAGCCGTACGTCACAATCAAAAAGCCAGGGAAGAGATAGGGGGAAGCACGAGAGGGTCAACATACTTCCGGGCCCGCATGTGAAGTCGTTCCGCTTGACCACCGCCGTTGACTCTCTGATTTCGCGAGCCCGGCGTTCCAAAACAGAAAACCTTTTATGGGTGGGGGAAGGGGAAGAGTAGCCGTCCCCGGCCAAGGCATGGCCTAGTAATAGCCCGGTAAGCAGAAGATGGAAGGGCTTCATTTCTCTGATGCTCTGATGTGAATCTCAAGGAACTTGATGGTCTCAATATCATGAAGAAAGTTAAAGGATGTTTGTTGGGCGAAAGAAAGAGAGACATAGTGTGTGATATTGGCAGTCTTATTCTGCGGATGTGTCGCCCCTCGATGGCACACCGGGGTTCTTCCTGCGAGTCCGCACTCAACCTGCCGAACATCTCGCACCTGACCATCGAGGGTATCACTTAGTTTGGCCTTACGCAGGAGCCGATATGTCCATCGTGCCTCATGTGTCATTCAGCTGTGACATGAACGCGTACCTTGCGGCATGCGTATCGTCAAAGCAAGTGTCTAGAAGTTTGTGTGCCCGAGGTAACCTTTCACTAGCAACCGAGGTTCTATTCAGAAGAAATTCAAATCCGTCAGTTGACATATGATGTAGCAATAGTAAGGAGACGTTGCGCAGTGGCGTTGCACTATTGAGCCGGTGTTGGCACACAGAACACAATAGGTAGCGTCTGGTCACTTCCAACTTCTCGGCTCTATATTCACATGACGAGCAAGTGGACGGCTGCTCCGGCGCACAATCGCAATTACACTAGAGAGGGGGCTCATCAAAAGACACTGCTTCGAGAAGAAACTTGGCTTTTCTGTATCCCAGAGATGGTGCCATCTTCTCCTTTTCTGCGTGTGCTCGGCGTTGCGCAAGCCGCGTCACTTGTAAGGGAACCCTCTAGCTTCGAACTTTGAGATTTATTTACCTCTCGCCTGCTTTCTCTCAGGACTGGGAAGCCCCTAACTTCCCATGTTTTATCCCTATCCTTACATCTTCACATCTTCACATACATTTTGACTCTGTCGCAAGAGTGCTAACCCGACATGTTTGGTCCAACTCCGCTGATAGCGCTGTTGTACGGGCTCTATGTAGCCAACGCTCAGCAGTTCCAAGACCGCGTATTCCCCTACGAGTCTTTAGGGCTGAGCAGCAAGTGTCTCGCTGCGATTAACTGTACTGTGCCGTCGTGCCCTAGCTGGCTCGTCCCGCACGCCGGTCTGTGAGTACAAAACCACAAGCCCGATGACATCCAACTCTTTATAACTGACCAGGTCTGATCCGTACTTTGCCCTAGAGAGGCAGCCAGTTTCAACATCTTAGCAAAAGCCGAGCTCCAGGCTCTCTGTAACCGCACTTGTCAGGATGATCTTGTTCGCCTGAGGACAAAAGTGCTCGGTGCCTGCACGGCGAGTGAAGATGTGATGGTTCCAGGCGGCATTGCGTACCCAGGTAGGCCTCGGGCTAACTACCTATCCCGGCATACGGCCTATTCGACTCTTCTAACTGTGGCACCTACCTATTGTTGGTTGTAGCTACGTTTATCATTGATCGTCTGCTTTATGCCGCCGGCATGTCATGTCTCAAAGATTCGTGAGTTTATCCCCCGGCATGACCCGAGTGTTGTGAACCGAAGTTGATGTCGAAAGCAGAGCCACAGGCGAGTATTGTGACACAATTATCGCACCATGGATGGACCAGACTGAGCCGTATACAAAGGCTCAGAACTGCTCGGAGTGCCGGGTAGCAATCCAAGCAAAGCAGCTTGCGTCTCCGTTTGGTTTCGACGAAGAAGCTGCCTCTGACTTCGCTTTTACCACCTCAAGCTGTTCAGCGAGCACCTACAGCTTTGCCAGACCCACGCAGTACGCACTTAACTCGACCACCCAACCGCCGTCAAAACCTACCTGCACTGCAAACCGAACATACATTATCCAAGCAGGGGACTCATGCAATGGCATTGCCGAAGCACGCGGGGTTGCAACAGAAGCTCTAATCAACCTGAACGGGCTGGACTTGGGTTGCTGCGGGATACCACCCACCAATACCACAATTTGTCTCCCGCCCCCTTGTAGGATCCGCGAACTCGGCCTCAGCGACACATGTGAATCCATCACAGCAGCTGAGAACATCACCATCAGCCAACTTCTCGCTTGGAATCCGGTTCTCAGCCCGGGCTGCGGTAACCTCATCAGATGGCGAGGCCGGTTCATATGCGTCAGTTCACCCCTCGGGATCATCAACGTGCCCGACGGCGGCGCCGCAACAACCCAAGCTCCCGTCCCCAACAACACGCAGGGGGGATCCAACACGTACTGCGGGCAGTGGCACACCATCCAGCCAGACGACACATGCGCATCCATCTCGCTCGCGCACGGCATCACGCTGGACGACTTCTACTTTCTCAACCACCAGGTCGACAACGTCAGCTGCAGCAATCTCTGGCTCGGCTACGCCTACTGCGTCAAGGCCGTCGGCAACATCCAGACCTACCCGGACTACCCGGTGTTGATGCCGTCCACCACTTTCACCCGCCCGCCCCCCGCCAACACAACCGCACCTCCGGCGTTCGATCCTCCTCCTCTTAGTCCCCGCGCCTCGGGGACGATCGATGGGTGTGACCAATATAAGAATGGGTGGTCGGAGCGCGTTACGGCCCGGGATCCCGACGCCAACACGTGCATGAGATGGGCCATGATGGCCGATGTCTTGGTTGCGCAGCTCAGGCGATGGAACCCGAGCTTGAACGAGAATGGCTGTGTCCTTTTGGCCGAGTTCAGCTACTGTATCGTCAAGGCCGACGATATGAACGGTAAGTGGAGTTGATGACACCCAACGCAGAGCTCTAGGAAGGCAGATGAGGACATAAGCTTGGTGATCTATCATGGACTGACAATCCGCAACGTCATTCCCCCCGACAGATCCATCAGAAACGGCGCCCCCCTCGACGACTCAGCCACCAACAACGACTCGTGCACCGCCAACCACCACCTCTCCCAGAGCACCTGCTCCCCCGGCAGAGACGCAACCGGGGGTGATCGCTAGCTGCAAGAAATGGCACGTCGTGACCGGCGACGACAGTTGCCGGGCTATCACAGATCACTACGGTATTTCATTGGATGATTTTTACAGATGGAACCCCGGTGTCGGATCAGGTTGTGAGACTTTGTGGTTGGGCTATGCGGTCTGTGTGGGAATTTAACCTAGGTACCTAGGTAATGTGGACGTACCTTACTTTACTCATACCTGCCTTGGTAGAGGACAGATGGTGTGGCTCTGGACCGACGTACTGCGGCACCGGATGCATCAGCAACTGTGATGGTCATGCCGAACGCACCTAGGTAGTCAGGATGCAGTACCTGTCAACAGGACTTGCCCTCTCAACATTTGTAGTAACCCAATGCCATGAAATGTGTCACTCAAGATTCAGGGCCAAGGCTAGACCAACTCAAAGGGAACCGCCTCGCTTGATAGCCTCAAGCCCTAAGAATTGTGATTCCGCTGCGGGTGGTCGAAGATGGGGTTGTGTAACCACAGGACTGGAAGTTCCTGATGCTTCAAGTGGTCGGTCGGCAATATTGATTTTTGAATAGCCGCCGCTCTCGCCGATCCGTTCATGGCCGCAGCGCTGCATTGGAACCATGGTGGTTGATCTTGTCCATTGATCCGAGCCTTGACCGACGGAGGGCCTGCGGCAACCTCTGTGGTGCCTCCGGAGGATAGGTACCTAGGTAGGTACCTATGCATTCAAAAACGCGGGGATTTCCATCACCCCAGCTCGTCAAGTTATTCGTTGAAAGGAGTGTGTGTTACTACTGGCGTTCGCGAGATATACTTATTGGTTCTTTATTCAGCTGAAAGGTGGTAGGACGAAGGCTCGGGTAGAATCCCGTCAAGAGGCAGTTTGTACATTCCGACGTTAGACGGGAGGTAAGAAAGCTGTACTCCGTTTGCGGAATATCTCTGCATCTTCTCAAGAACCTCTCTCAAAGGTGATACTTTCTGGTTATGTTTCGGCTGCCAATAGCTTGGACGTTTGGTCGTGTGGTAGTAACTCGGACGAGGAGGGCCTTGTTGAGATCGAGGCCAGGGGCACTGAAGAAGCTAGGCATTTCCCGAGGCGGGAGGGTAGCAGTAAGAAAGACAAGCTGAATAGGTAGTACTGCTCCATGCATTCAGCTGTGTAATAAGTGTGTCGCGTAGCCAGTTCGTCAACCCTCTGTTTGTCTCATTGCCGGGTAGGTGATGCTGTTGTGCATCTCAGCTCGCACAATGCTCTCGAAATGCATGAGCTAGACCGCAAATAGGAGAGATGTTTTACACGAGGCTTGATTGTCTCCCCGCAACAGCCATGCTTCCGCAAACTTGTTTCTTATTTGAGACGTATCAGCGGAGATCACATATTATCGACCGACGAAAGGTGATGCCTGCATGCTCCCGACGATGCGTATCGTGTTGATTGGCGATATTACGGAGCTATGCTCGTAATGCGATGGCGACAGCCCTTCCAGTGTGCGGAGAGTCGTCGCGTCGGTCGGCAGTTGCTGTCTTGCTGAGACTCCTTCCCCCTTCCCGATCATAGGAGGAGAGCTAAAAACATTACTTCCGAGATTGACACTATATAAACCCTTAACGTCGCCCACTTGCCTCAACTCTCTCTAACACACAAGTCCTATCATCAGTCCATTCACACGCGCACATCAAACACCAAGACACCCCCATCGACACCTTAGATCATGTCTACCGTCCTTCTCCCCGACTCCCGCATCACCTCGATGGTGATGGGGAACGACATCTTTGCATACGCGCAGGCCTATGACGGCGATGTGTACCAGTTTGTAGGTGCTGTTGAAAACGGAGTGACTTACTACGGCCAGAGGAGGAGGTCGGGTGTCATCATCGAGCGTTTGAGAGGCAACAAGCCTGGGCCCAACGCCCCCAAGCTCTTCACTCCGCTTGCCGCCGTGTCCTTCGCCGATGAGCTCAACAAGCCGATGGCTGAAAAGGTAGGCAACTCACCGGTATTCGGTTGTCATTCTTGCCTAACTTGGTCCGAATCTAGTTCGTCTTTTATTTGGACGACAACAACATCCTCCACGACCAGTACTGCAACTCGACCACCAACAATGAGTTCAAACACGGGTCTTTGTCCAGCCTGAAAATCGAATGTGCTCACTACTCGGCCTTGGCCGCCGTCACCATCAAGGGCGACGTTGTGAACCACATGTGTGTGTTCTACCAGACCCCTGGCCAGGACGCTGCCGTGAAGATGGTTAGTTTTGCCGGCAGGCATCGATCCTGGCACGAGGGTGAGGCCAACCTCAGGGACCCTCCCCTCTACGGCACCTCTTTGACCGCAGTGCCCCCTCGTTCCGGCTACCTTGGACGCAGTGGTTCTGGCTCGTCGAACGCGGGCCAGCCGATCTACTACCTCCAGCTGGACAACAACGCCCTCGGCAGTGGACAGGGCACATCAGGTATGGATACGTCGCAATCAGTTTCAGCTCTCTTCTAACATTCTGGTCACAGAGCCTCTCCCGCTGTCAGGCTACGATAACGACGGCAGGCCGGTGGCATTCCCGCCTCACACGAGCCTTACTGCAGTGGACAATGGCTCGCAGCTCCATCTTATCTACAAGTCCCACTCCGGAACGGTGAAAGTCATCCGTCTCGACCCCACCCAAGGCCTCCAAGTGCCCGAAGTCTTCTTCCACGACCTCAACGTGGCGCCCAGGAGCTACATATCCGCGTGCCTTGCCCCCAACACGGGCACGAACACCAGCATCGTCCTGTTCTATCAGGTCCTCAACGAGGTCACCAGAAAGGTCCAGATGACGGCCAGGGTGGTATCCAGGCCCAGCACTGCCGCCAGTGGCACCCAGTGGAATGTGTCGAACCCGGAGACTCTCGGCGTGTGAGGCACAGAACGCGCATTCGTGAGGTTGGTCATCCGGCCGCACAATATCTGACGCGGCCGTATGGGAGGGGAGATAGGAGGACTTGTTTCCGGTCACACGCTCATTTACCGCAGTTGATCCATATCGAGACCGTTTTCATCGCAAGCCGTTTCTGTACGTGATTGTCTATCTGATGCTCTCCTCGCAACGGTGCCCCCTTGGATGTTATTGAGACGGTGGTGCGTGCGAGTTCTTCCTACCTAGGTAGGTACCTGACTGATGGGGTACATATCTCTGGTCCTCAGCCAGGTCCCCAAAGACCAAACATCCTCGAGCAACCACATCGGCAAGATGCTCCACACAGCCCGTGAGTATTCTTTAAGGCTGAGCGAGCCCACGTGGCAAAAGGATATTACTTATGATTGATCTGGACAAGGACAGCTTGGGAATTCGGGGGGTGGTTGAATGAAAATGTGTTTGGGCTGTCTTTGAGGCCTGTCTGAAGCTGATTACCTACATCCATTTATCTTACTCTCCCAGACAAATATCAATGAAAAGGTCCACCCTTTTTAGTGTGTCAATTCGGGGCGAGGGACCGAGTTTGGTTCTTTCTAAATACTTATCCCGAGACCATTTCCCAATCAATGATGAGGCCCGACGGCTTGAGACACGAAAGGGGTAAGAAACCCGGGGATGATTCAAAGCCTGTAGGACTTTCCCAACCTTTCTCCTGTGCCGCCTGTGTGCCTATCACCGAACAAGCGTTGCATACTGTGCAAGATGCATTGCAAACTTGGAAGTAAGAAGTTTGAAATGTCTAGGTAGGTAATCTCGGCCCGAAGTTCTGGAGGAAAGGGATCCCTACTGTGTGTAGTAACACAACCTTCCGCGCGTCAGGGTGTTGCTCCGAGTCAGACCAAACGTTGCTGCGTGCTTTCAAACATAATGTACCTAGGTAGCGCTGTGTTCTTCAATCCTTCTTCTCCATCCACCATCAAACACTTGCTAGCCCGAGCTACTCAACAGCAACATGTTGCCTCGCGTTATCTGGACCAGAATTCCCCTCGTCAGACATTCAGAATTGACCTTTTCATTGCGGTACTCTATCGCGGCGAGAACTCCTCCCATCTCCTCAATCGGCATCAAGGCGCCCTCGCAAGCACGCCTCAATTTTGCCACCACGACAACGCGATTCTTGACAGACGCCGACAGGGCGCGTGAGAGGGCGTACAAAGAGGCGTTCGTCAAAGCCTTGGACCAGCTTCCCCTAAACGACCCCGACCGCATCCGGAAAGCCTTTACCGCAGCCGGGGAGGCCCACCCCATCCACCCGGCCGTTCATCGACTCCATTTGAACGTGCAGAAAATCGACGACGGGTTCGACGGGATCGAGGAGGCGCTCAGCGACCGGAACCTCAAGGCCGACGCGCCCTGGGGGATGGCTCTGTACCGCACCGCGTACGGCGACGAGGCTGCGTGGCGGCACATGGTTGCCAGAATCAAGGGCAGCATGGAAAGGTCGGTGATGGGTTGGGACGACATACGCGCGCGGCACCAGCTGGTCGTCATGGACGACCGCTCACAGTTCGATGGGGCGACCATCGACCAGGTCCGCACGCATTTTCGCGCGTGGTCGCTGGAGGAGCTGAAGCGCAATTGGCGACACCCACCTCTACCGGAGGAGGAGCTCGCCAAAATTGAGGCCAGTACCTTTGGGCCAGACGAGGGTGCGGGGTTGCGATACAACTACTGTTTGGTGGTCGATGATCTGTGTCTCGAGTCTGTTGAGAGGATGCGTAGCCCAGTGTTGAAGTTGGTCGATAAGGGCTGGAAACCTTACGATCCCGACGAGTTACCGATGACGGATGAAAGTGAAGAGGATGAAAACCCTGGCTGGGAAGGGGGGGTCACGAACAGCGAGTACGAGTGGGTGGGTTGGATGTACATAGATACGAACGACTACGTTGAGATTCAGGACTTGTTGCAGGAAAGCTGTTGGTGGCCTGACATGTATGTGCGGCCACCTCTCATGCGGGGGGGGTGAAGTTTGGACTCTAGATACATTTAAACGGATGCCGGGATTTTGGCGGAGGAACGGGCAATCGTCGAACTAGCGACTTACTAGCAGTTTGTTTAATATCCATCCTCCCGTTTGTTTGCGTGGTGCCTGTGTTTCTATTAATTGGTGTTAGAAGGCGTTTCAGGTTGTAGCCGCGAGATATTAAGTTAATGCGGAGGGCAATGTCCAACTACCACGATGATGAGCAAGCTATTACCCGTGGACTAAAATATTCATGGGATTGCGCAAGAAACTACCCAGTAATACTGTGTAAGAGGACTCTGCCTATGCTTTTGCGTTTGGTCATTTGATATCTTAAAAAGAAGTAGAAAAGAAATAGAGAAAAGAAAAGGAAAGAACGAAACTGGGATGAAATGTACATACCTACCTACCAGGTAGGTAGCACGACCCCAAAAAGAAAGAAGGCAGGAAAACAAGAAAACAAGAAAGCAAGTATCATGATGCGATGTGTGAATAAACGCCCAAGCCATGAGCCGTTTGCGGTCAGCATTTCTAAGACATAGGTGCTCAATGAGGGAGGCTGCGAGTTCTTCGAAGAACTCGATCGATGTAACTTGCAATCTCGGCCACCCAGCGATGTGGGGGACGCCACCAAGGGATGGAGGAAGTGGGGGTAATTAATCGTCACCATCCTGTCACAGCGTAAATTTCACTCGGGCACCTCGAGGCACGTCATCCCATTTCCGGGGTCAACCTGAACGAGGTGACGAGCACATGGCAAAAGCAAACGGGCGACTTGGTTTTCCATGGGCATTCGCTGAGGGGCAAAGTCAATGCGTTTAAGAACGATCGACTCTTCGCGCCCCAAGCGCTGGAGAGCGTTTACGCAACACGTCGCCCTGAAACAGCAGCTAATTCCGCTCATTGCCTTTTTTGGCCACCTTCCGTGTGATTGCCAGGCGAGGACAAGGTCAACCTTGGACTTGGCGTACAGTGCCATTCGAAACTGCCGATTCGTACAGAACCAACAATCAAGAGGAGGTTTGTTGAACTTGACAACGCGTGGAATATTCAGCATTCCGATTTACCGGGTCGCCTCACTCTCCTTAAGCCTTCCTCTTTCAGCCAGCTAGGGCCGGCCCATCCCTCCCTCGTCGTAGAAAATCACATGCGACTTTACGGCGTCGCACTCTTTCAAGAATGACTGTTTCGGGTGGGGCAACGTCGCCAATTGGGGTCGCTCATGGTGAGTGTGTCTATCCGCGAAAAGAAAATAGAAACAAGAGAGACGGAGGAAAAGGATATCATCAGTCGCAATCATGCTGACTCAAACTCAATGTAAAAGGCTTCCGTCGGCCGAATACTTTCTTTGAAGACTATGGCATTTGGAAGGAGGCCCCAGTGCTCATCGGCACCACCAGCTTTGAGCCCCGCCCCGATGTCAAGAACATCATGATCACGGGAGGGGCCGGCTTCATGTACGCCCCCTGAAATACCATTCGGCCGTCCGTGGAGTGACTGACCGTGTGATAGAGCATGCTGGCTCGTCCGGCACCTCACCCTCACCTACCCGCACGCCTACAACATCATCTCGTTCGACAAGCTGGACTACTGCTCCTCGCTCAACAACACGCGCATCCTCAACGACAGGCGCAACTTCACCTTCTACCAGGGCGACGTGACCAACCCCTCGGAGGTGGTCGACTGCCTGGAGCGGTACAACGTCGACACCATCTTCCACTTCGCGGCGCAGTCGCACGTGGACCTGAGCTTCGGCAACTCGTACGGCTTCACGCACACCAACGTGTACGGCACGCACGTGCTGCTGGAGAGCGCCAAGAAGGTGGGCATCCGGCGCTTCATCCACGTGTCGACCGACGAGGTGTACGGCGAGGTCAAGGACGGCGACGACGACCTGCTCGAGAGCAGCATCCTGGCGCCCACCAACCCCTACGCCGCCAGCAAGGCCGCCGCCGAGATGCTCGTGCACTCGTACCAGAAGAGCTTCAAGCTGCCGGCTATCATCGTGCGCAGCAACAACGTCTACGGACCGCACCAGTACCCGGAGAGTAAGCCACACCAGCACCCCATCACCGCCCCCTTATTTACCCACCATACTAACCCCCCCGTCCTTCTCACCAGAAATCATCCCCAAATTCACGTGCCTCCTCGCGCGTCACAAGCCCGTGGTCCTCCACGGCGACGGCTCGCCCACGCGCCGGTATCTCTACGCCGGCGACGCGGCGGACGCCTTCGACACGATCCTGCACCGGGGCCAGGCCGGGCAGATCTACAACGTGGGGTCGCAAGACGAGGTCAGCAACGTAGCACTATGCCGACGGCTCCTCGGCGTGATGGGGATCGCGCACGAACCCGTGCCGGACGACGAGTTCCGGCGCTGGGTGAAATACACGCACGACCGGCCGTTTAATGATCATCGTTATGCTGTCGATGCGACCAAGCTGCGTGGGTTGGGGTGGGAGCAGAAGACGGGGCTGGAGGAGGGGTTGAGGGCGACGGTGGAGTGGTATCGGCTGTTTGGGGAGCGGTGGTGGGGGGATATCACGAAGGTGCTGAGCCCGTTTCCGGTGGTGGCCGGGATGGAGGTGCTGTCGGATTCGGAGCCCGTGTCGGATAACCCGCAGACGGCGGGACAGGGGAGCGGGAAGGGGGAGGGGAGTGGGAATGGAAATGGAAATGGGGCGGCTGTGAATGGCAGCGGACACCACCACCACAACGGGTGAGTGAGTGCATTTGTGGGGGAGTGTTTATATGCTGGATCGCGCGGCGCGCGCTACGTAAATATGACTTGGGATGGCGTTGGCCTTTTTTTTTTTTAAGCAGGATTGGATAGTCGATGGGAAACATCCAAGATCTCTTTCTTTGACGGAGAGTGTGTCCAGTCCTTCATGTTTCACGGAAAGTCCGAGTCATTTGCCGCGACCCGAGGGACCGGGCCGTGGCTGGATTGTGTGGGACAGGCTGTCAGCGCAACGTGGCTCGGCTTGTACCTCGCAAGTCGGATCTATCTTATGCTGTGCACACAGTCGCCCAACGACCTTGTTGATTTTGTGGTCCCATGGGAACGGTCCAGGGCATCTCGTGAGACGACACTATGCAATGACCCGAGACTTGCAATTTCGCAAGGCTGCATTCGTGCGGCGGTATCCTTATGGCTGGGGCCCGATCCGATGCGATGTCGGTTGACGAGTTTGGGAATGTGCAGTTGCTGTTGGGGGGGCTTGGGAGGAGAGAGTCGGGGAATGGGGGACCGGCCTGCCGGGCCTTGATGCTCGGTCAATGGGCCAGTCTCTTGGCAGGGCTCACAGTTTTAGCGCTCGTTTGCGCCGTCAAGCGAGGGAGCGCCGCTCGGAACATGGAAAGAGATCGGTTGGGTGTCAGCCAGCCTCCCTGCGCACTTTATCCGCCTTTTTGGGTAGTTGATCCCCCCAAGCTCGAGTGTGCGACAAGCGGTCGGTAACGGTCGAGAGCCGAGCCGGATGAAAACAAGGGCTCTCACCCGCTTGGATACCGGAGTCTGCTGCGGCCCCACCTCACCGCATGGACAAAAAATCCCGGCGATTGGGGGAACATAACCGGCTTCGATCTGGGCCCTAAATTCCCAGCGCCGTGGGAAGGGGAAAAAATGTCTGATGATTGTGTTTGTCGTGGCAGCGTCCAGTTGGATACCGGAACAAGCCCCATGCAGCTCCGGTGCCCCGTCCCCGGTGTTCTCGGCACCCGCACGCACGGCACCGACTCCACTGCGAACGAGTGGTTCGGGACAAGCCGCTAAAGCACGCACGCACGCGCGCTCCAGCGAATGCCAAACGGCGCAGGGCGGGGCCCGCTCGACCTCGCTGATCTTGGACCGGTTCGGACGGCGCAGTGAATGGCACGGCATGCGTGTCCGCGCTGTCGGGTCGGATCTGCTGGGACGATACCGTGAGAGGGGAAAATGTGCTTTTTTCTGTTCTTTTGGCGGCGGGGTTACTGTGCTCGCTCGTGTCGCTCTCAATGAGCGAAGCCGGATTCTGACGATAGCTTGGGGCTCGGCTTGTGATGGAATCTGATCCTGGGCCCTGCGCGGGCAAGAAATGGAGGTAGCGCGTGCGCCGTTGAGAATACTGTGTGCCCCGCTTTCCCGACACCATGTACGACGGGACAACTCAACTCGAGGCGCATTTTCTTTTCGGCCGGGTCGGCCAGCAAGGCGCCTCGAGAGGACAAAGGAACATATGACTCAAAAAGTGCTGCCGTTTTCACCGAACGCCGGCGGCTTTCGGGGTGGCACTTGTCCACGGACGGGAGGTCTCCTTTCACTTGCATTTCCATTCTCTCGACTCGAGTGGTTTTGTGTGGGAGTGTGGGTGGTCTGCTGGTCTGTGCGAGAAGGAGCTCGGCTCCGCATCCCTGCATCCCGTCTCCGCCGACAAGGCCGCGGAGCTTGAGAAAACCGCCCCCGTGCATCCCAAACCGACCTATCGGCGCCAATTTTCAAAAGCTCTGGGATCAAAAATTGGAGATGCACGGCACATCGATTTGATGTCTTAGTAACAGCGACAAGGCGACCCGACCCGTCTGATGCGCTGGCAAGTCGGGACTGAGGCAAGAGCACGACGGCGCATCCACATTCTTCTCTCTCCCCCCTCGTCGTTTGTTCGTTTGTTCAATGGAACTTACGGCCTGGCCAGGAGAACCCAGCTAGCGTCTCCGCAGGCTGTCTGGTACCTGGCATGTGGGGCTCAATAGCGGACTTAGCAAGGACTCCAGTGGTACCGCGCCGGCGCCGGCCTGGCACGGGCTCGCTGCATCCCGTTAGTCTCGAGGGCCGCACGCCCTATTAATTGCGCGCCGAGCCAGACCTTCCCGTCGCCCGCCAGTCTCCGCCCGCGCACGCCGTCAATTTGACTGCATTCCCCTCTTTCCTTTCCCGACTTGCCTCCTGCTCCATCCAACGGACAATGGGGAAGTGACGGAGCCAGACGTCGAGACCCAGCCAGTGTCCGGGACGGCAGCGATTCACGGAACGGCCCTTGCTTGCGCTGATCTCCCTCTTGACCACAAGCCCGCCTTGAGATCCTTTCAAGAACGGCTGACCCGGCTGACCCCCCGACTCAATTCGAATCTCACCATTACCGGCACGAACATCCACCCTTAGCCCCACCACAGCGCGCTCTCTGGTCCGCGGCCAGACCCTCTCACCTCCAACACAGCCCATCGCATGCCTTCCGGCCGCTCGGATGCGCTCCGTCGCCCACTGGAACAACCGACGGATCAACCTAATGGAGAAGCGGCGGCATCGAACGGTCAAACTCAGAGCCACAGGGTGTTTATTGCAATAAAACGCTATGAATCCGGCGCAAGCGGGGGGATATAGCGGAACTCAGGACGCGGAATCGGGACACCATCCATTCACCCAACAGCCACACACAGACTCGGCATCTCCCAGCTCCGGGGTAATTCACGACGACCCAATCGAAATTGACAATAATAGCTATTTATCTCCCGAAGTTCGCGCCTTGTTGGAACAGGGCACCGGGTCAACGGGGTTAGAAGTGGACGAGGACGAGGACGGAGAGGAGGAATACGGTGACGACGAAGCGGACGCGGACGAGGAACAAGAAACTGCTCAGTCTGTCTACGCTATGAGCATGTATCCCGGCGTCGGGCCTGCCTACCAGGTTGAGCACCCATATGAGAACGGCCAAGACTCGGCTACCATGTGCGTCCCCTGTCCCATGCAGCCGGGCTGAGACACAGAAAACACACAGTACTAACTGGAGACCAGCGATTCTGCACGAACATTGTACGCCGAGGACTTCGACTTCGTCGTGGAAAATGGGCGGCAATATTGCGGCGACTACTTCTTGCCCATCGACCAGACGGAGCAGACGCGCCAATATGTCATCCACCAGGTCTTCCTCAAGCTCTTCGACCTCGAGCTGACGACGGTGCCATTGGAGAACCCGCGCTACATTCTCGATATCGGGACGGGGATAGGCGAGTGGGCCATCGGCATGGCCGAGAAGTACCCGCAATGCGAGGTCTTTGGCACCGACATTGCGCCCATCCAACCCACACATCAGGTTCCGTTCAACATCGAATTCCACATTGAGAATGCGGAAGAGGAATGGATCCGCCCGGCAAACGCAGTTGATCTGGTGCATCTCCGCAATCTGCAAGGCGCCTTCTCCGACTGGCCCTTCATCTACAACCAAGCCTTCGCATGCATAAAGCCGGGCGGTTGGATCGAAGTGATCGACTGGGAAGACTTCTTCGCCGACGAGAACTACCTCACATTCTACCCGGAAGGCTCCGCGCCGCAGATCTTCACCCAGGCGGTCCTCGACGCCGCCGAGCTGGCCGGCAAGCCCCGCGACTCGCGGCACCTCAACCGAGACCGGCTGCTCGAGGCGGGCTTCGTCGACATCCAGGAGTCGGTGTACGACCTGGGCATCGGGTCGCGCGAGAGCAGCAGCTACGGCAAGTTCTGGCTCTTCTCCCTCGTCACGGGCATCGAGGCCACCAGCCTGCGCCTGCTGACCAAGTACCTCGGCTGGGACGCCGGCGAGGTGCGCGAGCTGTGCGAGAAGGTCGCCCGCGAGACCAAGCTGGTGGCCGAGGACCCGGCGAGAGTGGACGCCTTCGTTATCAAGCTCCGCGTGGTCACCGCGAGGAAGCCCTTGGGGAATGAAAATGGGGATATGAAAGATCATAGCGGGGATGATAGCACGATTGGGGGGAGGACGATACGGTCCGAGGGGAGGGCTTGAAAGGAAGGGAGTGAGGGGAGTGAGGGAGTGACTGAGGTGAGGGGACATGACTTACAACTGCCCGCGGAGGGTTTGGATCCGTGGGAGTATGAATTTTCGACGCAAAAGGGGAAGCAAAAGGGAGAGCAAGGCAGCTCCCCGTTCCAATTCTTTTTTTCTTCTGTTTTCTTTTTTGTTATTTTTTACATTCCCCTGTAGATACCCAATTGGCCTTTCTGTGTACGTACATACATAACTTACCTCAGGGTTGCATGACTGGGTAACTGAAAACCAGGGTAATGATAGTCGGCAGTTATTACACGCTTTCTCATGGAATCGTACTTGACCACGGGAGAGCCGCACAAATGCGACCGCATCAACCCGAGCACCGGGAAGCCATGCAACACGGTTTTCTCAAGGCCGTACGATCTTACCAGACACGAGCACACAATCCACAATGCTGAGAAGCAGAAAGTCCGTTGCCATATCTGCTCCGACGAAAAGACATCAAGCAGGGCCGACGCACTCACTGTGTGATGATGGTTTGAAAATGCGGTCAAAAGAGAGGTGCGAATTCTTGGAGTGTGACACAAAATCACCCCCGCATCAATGGCCCGCATATATATATATATATATATCATTGCCCCGCCAGATGAACAGGCCATGGCACATCTCGGTTGGGCACAAAACATCGCACCCATAACACGTATACCAACAGATCCGGGAACGACCTTGAAGATGGTTATCGATGCGAAGAACAAGAAAGAGGGCGACATCTTAAGGGAGGTTGCCGAAAAGGTAAGAACGATACTCCAATATTTGCTGGTTACTTACCGAAAATAGATCGATGCAACAACGGATCTAGAATTCAGCGACGAGAGGACCGAGGAGTTGACAGTTGCTATATACCTATCCATACCATGGAGCGGTAATGTCACATTTGCAGACGGATCGCAGCCGGAACCGGGAGACTGGGTATACCTAGTTAAAGAAATTCCTGGCGAGGGTTTCTGGTTGTGGACGGACAACGTTGTATTTCGATATGTCAACAGAAAGTAGTTCGGTTCGAGAGGAAATCATATAGAGACCACTTTTCTTTTACACCTCGACGCCCAACTTGGCAACTTGGGGTTCTGTCAAGCTCCCAACAGCGGCAGGCACCGCTGTGGGGAACCTCCAGCTGGGGTGGGAATGACGCACTGACGCCTGAGCTTGGTGCTGCCCTGCATGGATCCATCCTCCTCCAACTCGAGTTGCACAACACCAACCGAGCTTCCAGCTTCCAGCTTCCAGCTTCTCTTCCACTGCGAACGGATTCAGGCAGCGACCAGTTCCGGACTGCACCACCCTCCCCAAGCCACCCGAACCCCCACCATGCGAAACACCTAAACACAAAACTCCACGATGGCGCTCGATCCGTCCAGCGGCTTCGCGGCAGCCGACGCCGTGCCCGACCTCGCCGACGCAGCATTGCCCATCTTCGACGTCTTGCCCGTACAGCTCCAATTCTCCATCGCCGCCGACTTTGTCGCGGGCCAGGCCGCCAACAATGTCCTGGTTATCGCCCTCTCCAACGGCCGCATCCTCCGCATCGACCTCAACAAACCCGAGGATATCGACGGTACGTACATACCTCACCTCCCCCACCCCTCCTACCCTCCCTCCTCCCATCAACCATAGCACCTCCCACTAACAAACCACCTACCTCCCCCCCACTACCAACAGACATCGACCTCCCCAAGAAACCGACCGAAACCGGCGTAATCCGACGCATGTTCCTCGACCCCACCGCCTCCCACTTACTCATCTGCACGGCGCTCGGCGAGAACTACTACCTGCACTCGCAGTCGCGGCAGCCGCGCCCCCTGGCGCGCCTGCGCGGCGTGGCCATCGAGTCGGTCGCGTGGAGCCCCGCCCTGCCGACCTCGTCCACCCGCGAGATCCTGCTGGGCGCCGCCGACGGCAACGTCTACGAGGCCTCGGTCGAGACCTCCACCGAGTTCTACCGCAAGGAGGACAAGTACGTCAAGCTGCTGCATCGCCTGCCCGACGGGCCCGTTACGGGCCTGTGGGTGGATGTGCTGCCGTCGCCCGTGCCGGCCGCGCCCGGTGTTGGGGGTGGGGGTGCGGCGGCTAAGGCGCAGGAGGTTAGGCGTGTGGTGATTGCGACGCAGAGCAGGCTGTTTCATCTGGCGGGTAAGGTGGGGAAGGGGAATGATGGGAGTGCGTCCATCTATACGAGGTTGTTCGAGAGTGAGCAGCCCGTTGTTCATGAGCTGAGCAGGGCGTCGACCGCCGCCGCGTCCATGCTGGCTGTCTCGCCCGATGTGGAGGAGGTGCCGCGGTTTAGAGGGGATGAGGAGGTTGCCGAGAGGGCGTTCGCGTGGCTGTCGTCGCATGGCGTCTATCATGGGAAGTTGCTCGTGGATGGGGCCGGTGCGGAGTTGGGGAACAAGGTGTTTGCCGAGGCGGAGCTGCTCCCGAGGGCCCAGTTAGCGAATCCCGAGGCGGCGGGGAGGCGGCAGGTGTCAACTGAGTATATTGACGCGATTGCGCTTACACAATGGCATGTTGTCTGCCTAGTCGGGACGCGCGTCGTCGTGGCGAACAGGCTGACGGGGTCGGTTGTCTACGACCAAACCATCTTGGACCCGGGGCAAAAGGCAGTTGGCCTGTGTGTGGATATCCAAAAGAATACCTTCTGGCTGTTCACACCGCAGGAAATATTCGAGATTGTTCCTCGCGACGAGGACAGGGATATTTGGAAGATTATGCTCCAGAAGCAACAGTTCGATGCTGCGCTCCAGTATGCGCACACGCCGGCGCAGAAGGATGCCGTCGCCATCGCTTCGGGAGACTACCTCGTGAGCAAGGGGCAACACGGCGAGGCTGCGGGCGTGTACGGCAAGAGCAGCAAGCCGTTCGAGGAGGTGGCGCTCACGTTTATTGATAACGAGCAACCGGACGCGCTTCGCAAGTATCTCTTGACCAAGCTGAGCGCATACAAGAAGTCTTCGGTCATGCAGAGGGTCATGATCGCAGCGTGGTTGGTTGAAGTGTTTATGGCCAAGCTCAACTCCCTCGACGACACCATCGTCACGGGGGCGGAGCTGTCCGACACACTGAATCCGACTCAGACGAGGGAACAACTCGACTCGGTCCGAGCCGAGTTCCATGATTTTGTGAACAAACACAAATCCGACCTCGACCAGAAGACGGTCTACGATGTGATCAGCAGTCATGGTCGGGAAGAAGAGCTTCTCTACTATGCCAACGCTGTAAACGACTACAACTACGTCCTCTCGTACTGGGTCCAGCGGGAGCGGTGGCCAGAAGCGCTGAGGGTTTTGAAGAAGCAAACCGATGCCGAGGTTTTCTACCGGTATAGCAGCGTGCTTATGACACACGCCGCCACCGAGCTAGTCGAGATCTTGATGCGGCAGAGCAACCTCAACTCGCGGAGCCTCATCCCCGCGATGCTCGAATACGACCGCAATTACAAGGGGCCACTGACCCAAAACCAGGCCATCCGGTATCTACAATATGTGGTCAACCAGCTCGGCTCGGCCGACTCTGCGGTACACAACACCCTCGTCTCCATCTACGCCTCCCACCCCTCAAAGGACGAATCCGCCCTCCTCTCATACCTCGAATCCCAAGGTGATGAACCAAGATTCGACCCTGACTTTGCACTCCGCCTCTGCATCCAGCACCGTCGCGTCCTCTCGTGTGCCCGCATCTATACCAGCATGGGCCAGTACGTGCAGGCCGTCGATCTGGCTCTCTCACACGACGAAGTTGAGCTAGCATCTATCATCGCGGACCGGCCCATGTCCAACCCGCCCCTACGGAAGAAGCTCTGGCTCGCGGTCGCCAAGAAGGTCATCTCCCAACAATCCGGCGGCATCAAGACGGCCATCGAGTTCCTCAAGCGCTGCGACCTGCTCAAGATCGAGGACCTCATCCCCTTCTTCCCGGACTTTGTCGTCATCGACGACTTCAAGGAGGAGATATGCGCGGCGCTCGAGGACTACAGCCGCAACATCGACGCGCTGCGGCGCGAGATGGACGAGTCGAGCCAGACGGCGGCCAACATCAAGGTCGACATCGCCGCGCTCGACAGGCGCTACGCCATCGTCGAGCCCGGCGAGAAGTGCTACGCCTGCGGCCTGCCGCTGCTGAGCAGGCAGTTCTTCGTGTTTCCCTGCCAGCACGCCTTCCACTCGGACTGTCTGGGCCGCCGGGTGCTGGAGCAGAGCGGCGCCGCCAAGGCGCGGCGCATCAGGGAGTGCCAGGTGCAGATCAGCAAAGGGATGGTCGGGGGGGAGAAGAGGGAGGCTATGATTGCCGAGCTGGATGCGTTGGTTGCTTCGGCGTGGTAAGCTTTTTTTCGGTTGGCGTGGAAGGTTGAGAGTGATGCTAACATGGGAATAGTATATTGTGCAGCGACTATGCGATCCGGAGGATTAACGAGCCGTTTATCAAGGAATGGGAAGACACAGAGGAGTGGGCACTTTAAGACCCAATGTGGCTGTGAGCACGAGTACAGGTTTGCATAATACGTAAGGAATATGAAACGACGAGAGAGACAGAAAGAGAGCTGATACCCAATACGCACATGATGCCAAACTACATGCTCCACCCAACCAACCACTTCTCTGTACATACATACCATGTGACTATCTGTCTCGCCATCCTACCACAACAACACTACCATCTCCCAGCCCCCTACCCCCCCCTTGACCACCTACCCTCAACTGTCTAAGTTAATAGGGGCACTCGGTCACGCCCAGCGTCGACTTGGTCAGCATCAGGATCGACACAATCACACCGTACAAGCCCAGAACCTCGGCGAAAATGAGGATGAGCACCATGCCGACGTACAGTCGCGGCTGCTGCGTGCTGGCGCGGACTGTGACAGAGGACAGCCTCGAATGTCAGCCCCTTTTTTCTCAATATCCCACCATGATACGGGCAATACCACACGAGAGAGAGAGAGAGGGAAGGAGGGTGTGTATAAAAAAAAAAAGGAACGAGAAGAACAAAAGAAGAAGAAAGAAAGCAAAAACTAACCGCCCGCATCGCCAATAATACCGATGGCGAACCCGGCCGCCAACCCGCACAGGCCCACCGCCAGGCCCGCGCCGAGCTGCAAGAAGGCTGTGTGCAGCGCCATCTTTTCGACGAGGTTGTTGGAGATGATCACGGCTGCGACCAGGCCGTAGATGGATATGATCTGGGCCATGATGGCGCATAGCCTGTTTGGGGTGGGTGGGTGTTAGTTGGGGGGAGGTTATGCATGGGGGTGTTGTGGGGGGTTTGGTGGGGGGGGAAATCGGGGGCGGGTGCGTGTATGCTGCTACTGTTTGGTTGTTGGAGGCAGAATAGAGACAGAGGAAAGGGGCTGTACGTGTTCTGCATGAGCCTGTCCGGCCGGATCACGCCCGAGGAAAAGATGGCGCCGGCTGACTTGGCGGTGCCATAGCTTGCGCCGAAGACGGTGAAGATGATGGAGCAGGCGCAGCCCAGGGCTCCGAAGAAGGACTGTGGCAGAGGGCGGTTATTATTATCTAGTAGAGGAGGGGTGTTCGGGGATTGGGGTTAGAGCCCCTGGAGAGAGACGGACGGCATAGGGTGGGCTGGCGGGTGTTAGTGGGTGACTACTCGGGTTGGGTGGGAGCTAATAGGAACAATACCATCGATCGAGGTTGACAACGTCCATTGTGGGAATTGTTTATTGCTGCTGTGTCCGTCGATGTTGAATGTTGTGTTACCCCGATGTCGTCACGGTTCACGGCTCACAGTTTAATAGTGCCACGGCTGTGAAACAAAGTTGTATGAATAGACACTACACGTGTTGCGTCCAGGAGAGAAAGGAGAGACTTGGGGAAATGGAGAAGCAGAGACGGCAGAAGCAAGCTCGAAGGGCTACAAAGTACCTACCGTTGGGCCATGTCCGGCACCTCGAGAGGGGTGGCTAGATTGGGGTAAGTGAAGGGAAGCTGACGTGTCGCGAGGCTGGCAGAGAGGATGGACGTCGAAGTACTGGACTCCTTCGCCAATCAACAGGTCTCCCTACCTTGCACCGGCCGTGAATTCAGCCGCACTTACTTCGGACGACTTCTTGTCTTGAGGACAGGCCTGTCGGCTGGCTCGTTTCCACTCGTTTCCATAACCAAGGCACGAAGGATAATTCGGACCAGGTCACAGGATGGTACTACAGAGGATCAAAGCAACGACCGCTTATGTCAAGCGGGACGCATCATTCGTGGCTTAGAACGAATGCACCTCGTGTCCAACTGCCCAAGAAGCCAGGGAGCTCGGTTGTTGGTATGTATAAAGGGAGAGAGCCGCTACCGGGCATACCTTACCACAGTGCTGTCGTGGGGTTTGTGCAACCCCTCCGTCTGAGCTGTTTCTTCAGGATTGGTCTCGGCGATAGTGCCCATCATCCGGGACGAAGCGAGTGGGCTGGCCACGCAATGGCCCAAATCCGGAGCCGGTCTTTCCCTGTTCAGCCTCTCGAGGGAGGGAGGTTGTCGGAGGTGTGAAAGTGGGCCATGAAAATGCATCGATATTTACATATGGCCGTCGCCAGTGTTACAGCCAGGTCTAGGGCTCGAACAACAACAGTTGCTTGTTGCTTGAATGATAGCTTTACTACACTAAGTAACTCCAGGCAAGAGCCAACCGAGTTCTTGGTGTTTTCCGTTTGACTGCCGAATGATCATGAGTTATGCTCCTTCCCGGTTCCCCGGTTGCCCGCTCGCTGCGAGGCCGAGACACGCAAGCAGCGAATGGACAGCCAATCAGAGGATGACGGGGAGACCCTGCCAAGACTGCCTGATCGCCGGTCTCAGATTAGCCTTCGTGCACGTGCCAGGGTTGCGTTTCACCCGTGAACGTCGCCATCTGAACCACCAAAGACCCCTTCACTCTTTCCGTAATGAAATCCAACGGTTGACGTTGTTGTTGTACCGATTTTTTCAACAACCCCAACAATCCGAACATGCCGTTGTTGAGGGAGACAAATGGCCAACTCTCAGGCAGTGGACCGAGATGGCACGACAAATACTTCCATGCTCTCCGCGTTACACCATAATGTCGCATGTGGGCCGCGCGTCATCTCCATCGCACGTCCCCTGATGGTTCGCTCTCGGAATTTCTGAAAGCCTTTGGGACTCACTCAATCCGGCCTTCTCGGCTCCAGGGAAAGCCCAGGTTAAGTCCGAGACCGCCAAGAAGATACGACGTCAGCACGAAGTACATACCTACAAAAATACTGCTTTGTCTGGGGAACTCCAGTTAGTGAGAGTCCTGGTTGGGTACGAATAGTTGACTTGTGTCTCGAGGTTTTGGCCGAGCTGAGCGCCTTGATACTCGGCCTTCCCCTGTCCGTCGATCCTGTGCACATTCCGGTTCCGTTGTCGAGCCAAGCTCGGCCCCAATCCACATCGAGTCCACTCACCTCTCTCATATCCACTCGTGCCACTACCTGGAACTAACAAGCCTTTTAGTGTTTCCCCTTTTCCGTCGCCTCTTAAGACTGCGTTTCCTGGGAATGTTCACCACAGCCAAGTCCGACGCCGTTTTCGCTCCCGGCCTCCTTCCATTGTCCCTCTCTTGGCCCATTCTCACACCACATCGGTTTCGGTGGGCGGCCCTCCTGGACTTGCCCAGACACAACAGTCAAAGCGTGTCACAAAGTGCTGATGATGACATACGCCGCTTAGTTATGCTCCTGCTGGCTCACCTGCATTGCACGTCTGAGCATAGCCTCGAGCGTTCGCCACCTGTCACCGAGCTCTAAAAGCCCGTGCCGTTCCCAAGCTGTTGCCTTTCCAATGTTGCGGCATCCTCAAGCATTCGTGTGGTGTCAACTTACGCTCGTTTTACTGAACTCGAACCACGCGCTGTGAAAATGAAGACCTCTTTGCTTTTTGCCATTGCGGCTCTACCTGTTCAGACGGTAGTATATGCCCTAGCAAGGCCAAACACAAACGATGGGCCGAGAGTGCTCGGTTTAGAAACCCAGCGCCGGGCGCCACGGAACCCGACGCACAGGGATAAGCTGAGAAAACGAGGCACTTTGGAGGTCGGCTTGGACAACGAGGTTAGTCCAACCAAAGCAGAGGCTCGGTACCCACTGACTAACACCGTCAGGAAACCCTATACTTCATTAATGGCACTGTCGGCACGCCCCCAAGGGAAGTGAGGCTGCACATCGACACGGGCAGCAGTGATCTATGGGTCAACACGCCCAGCTCCAGTTTCTGCAGCTCAAGAGGAAGCCCCTGCGCATACTCCGGCACGTATGAGGCGAACTCATCGTCGACGTACGAGTACATCGCAAGCAACTTCAACATCTCGTATGTCGACGGCAGCGGTGCGACGGGGGACTACGTCTCGGACACGGTCAGCTTCGGTAGCCAGACAATCGACCGCCTCCAATTCGGCATCGGCTACTCGAGCACCAACGGCCAGGGCATCCTCGGCATCGGCTACCCGCTCAATGAAGTCCAGGTCGGCCGCGCCGGCCTACCGCCTTACAACAACCTGCCCGCCCAACTAGTCGCCGACGGCGTGATCCAATCCAACGCCTACTCCCTCTGGCTGAACGATCTCGACGCCAACACGGGCAACATCCTCTTCGGCGGCGTCGACGCCGAGAAATACGTCCCCCCACTCCAATCCCTCCCCATCGAATCCACCTCCGGCGTGCACGGCGAGTTCATGATCACGCTCACCAACCTCCAACTCAACGACCAAACCCTCACCGGCGGCAGCAGCACCGACCCGCTCGCCATCGCCGTGCTCCTCGACACGGGCTCCTCCCTCACCTACCTGCCCGACCACCTCGTCTCAGAGCTCTACACCGCCGTCGGCGCCATCTACAACGCGTCCACCAACGCCGCGTACGTGCCCTGCGCGCTCGCCCGCTCCGACCCGTCCGCCCGCCTCCGCTTCACCTTCACGTCCCCCACCATCGCCGTCGCCCTCGACGAGCTCGTCCTCGACCTGGTCACGGCCTCGGGCGCCCGCCCGGTGCTGGATGATGGCCAGACCGCCTGCCTGTTTGGCGTCGCCCCTGCCGGGGAGGGGACGTACGTGCTGGGGGATACGTTCCTCAGGTCGGCGTATGTGGTGTATGATCTGGAGAATCATGAGATTGCGATGGCGTCGACAAGGTTTAATACCACGGCGACGAGGGTGCTGGAGATTGGGACGGGGAGTGAGGCCGTGCCGGGGGTGACGAGGGTGAGCGATCCGGTCAGGGCGACGGAGGGGTTGAGGGGGCTGAATGCTTCGGATTCGGCTGGGGTGAGGGGTGTGGAGGGCGCGTGGAGGGCGGTGCTGGCTGGGGTGGTGGGGGTGGCGGTTGTGATGGGGGTGTTGTAGGTGTGTTGAGGTTGGGGATATATTTGGTTTGAGATGGGGTTGGGCTTTGAAGTTTTGGGGTGGGTTAACTAGCGGCATTGCGTTCTGCATCGGTCGGCGTTTCTGTTTGGTGTTCGTTTCTTGAGGGCGGACGGTGGTATATTTTTGGTGTCTTGAAAAAGGGACGGCGTTGCTCCCTGCCGATACTTAGGCCACGACACGGCACCACCATCCTACGGAAGGCATGGGGTCCTGCATGTCAGATTTGGGCTTGGATCTGAGAGTTTTTGGAAAGTCCGCGATGTCGATCTGAGCTAGAAGTGGAAAGCTGGTAGTTATAACTAGATGGTTATATGGCAAGTACTTACATGGTATCTCGGAAACCTGTTACTTTCCAACTGATACTCCGTACTTCCTAAAGCGGTCTAAAAAGAGCAACGCATCCGGTGTAAGCCGCCGGCCATCCCAACACCAATCACAACCCGCCACTCCTCTCGAGCCGTGTTGATCCCACCGACAACAGACGTCATGGGCTTACCGGAATTGATTAAAACATTGTTGTGACAAGAACAATTGGTTGCCCCGGCCTCTGGCTTCGCTGTAGCACTGTCATATGCAACGAAGCTTGATCAAGGGCCTCTTGCTTGGCGGGATCAACGGACTTAGAGTGGGAGGACTTCGCGCATCGGAGTGACCAAGTGTCCGTTGAAGATCAAAGACATGGAATCCGTAGGAGCAATGATGGACCCGTACCGGGCACTCCGCCAGCTATATATATACCGCCCTCTTGACCTCTGCAAGACGTGTTGAGTCTCTCGGTGGCATCCGAGGAACCGTCTTCCCTCAAACCTACCACCTTACCAATACTTATCCATCCCTACACATCAACCAACACACCCCAACCCCAACCATGGCTCAAAAGTACGCCAGAGACCAGCCCCCCGGATTCACCAACCGCGTCGAGCGCGTAGCCATCGTCGGAGTAAGCAAAACCCAACCCCTCCCCCCCTCTCCCCTTAACCTCCCCAACCCACCACCCCATCCCACATCACTAACCCACCCCACCCCCCTCCACACAGGCAGGCGGCCAACTCGGCTCCCACCTCACCACCGCCCTCCTCCGCACCGGCCGGCACACCATCACAGCCCTAACCCGGCGGCAGGGCAGCGGCAGCAGCAGCAGCACCAACCCCCTGCCCGCGGGCGTGATCGCCGCCCCCGTCGACTACGACGACGAGGCCACGCTAGAGGCGGCGCTGCGCGGACAGCAGTTCCTGATCATCACGCTGGCGGTGACGGCGCCGGCGCCGGCGGCGATACACACGGCGCTGGTGCGCGCGGCGGGCAAGGTCGGGGTGCGCTACGTCATGCCGAACGGGTACGGCGCGGATGTGCTGGCGCACGAGGGCCTGATGCGGGATGATAGGGTTGGGGGGGCGGAGGTGAGGGTGAGGTGCGCGGAGATCGAGGCGACGGCGGCGGGGGCGGGGTCGGTGGGCTGGGTTAGCATGGTCTGTGGGTTCTGGTATGAGTATAGTTTGGTGGTGGGGCCGGTGTGTCTGGGGTTTGATCATGTGCGGAAGAGGGTGACGTTGTATGATGGGGGGGAGACGAGGGTCAACTTGACGACGTTTGACCAGTGCGCGCGTGCGGTGGCGGCGCTGCTGAGTCTGAAGGAACTGTCTGAGGATGAGGGGGATGAGGCGCCGACGGTGAGTCGCTGGAGGAACAAGCCGTTGTATGTGGCGAGCTTTTTGGTTAGTCAGAGGGAGATGTTGGAGAGTTGGAAGAGGGTTACTGGAGAGGGGGAGTGGACGGTGGAGAGTGAGCCGAGCGAGGAGAGGTATCGGAAAGGGCTAGAGATGATGCAGAGTGGCACGGATCCGATGACGGCGCGCATGGGGGCCGCGATGGCGTCCTTTGCGAGGATTTTCTATCCGGACGGGTGCGGTGATTATGAGAGTTCGAGAGGTTTGGCGAATGGGCCGCTTGGCTTGCCAAAGGAGGACTTGGACGAGCGGACAAGAGTGGCAAAGAAAATGCTGGATGATGGATATCCGGGCTGGGTGTTCCAGAGGTTGCAAAATGCTCAGGGGTGACAGGAAAGATCATCATCATTGTCTGCTTGAATACCATAAAACCAATGTTCGACTCAATTACATGCTGTTATTCGTATTGCGGATATATCTAGTGCTCATACCCGGCCAAATGGATGGTTTCGGAATGATCGTTCATCTTCCTTGACCAGGCTCGACGACTGGGTCTAGAATTGCGTTGTTGATTCCGCAGATTTGTGTTGGGCGAGCGAGTGAATCGTGAACAAATCTGTTGACTTTTCTCCACGGTTGACTGCTTCGGGTTGGCTCAGCGACTTGTGTGTGAGTCAGCCGTCGCGACTCGGTCGTTAACTTGGCCATGTGACCTCGCGCCTGAACAGGGATCGCGTCTGCCTGGATCCGTTCGGCCCATTTAAAAGTTGACCCCACATCATGACCGATTTGTCAACAATCAAGCACGTCTTTTCTCAATACCTAACTTGGTCATCACCAACAATTACATCAAAAACATCAAGATGGCTTTCAGGAATGCGACTACTTCCAATTCCGCGGCTAATGGCCTGCAGGATAAGGAAGTCATATTCCCAAAAGGTCCAGAGGATACCATCTCGGCGCTGCGTTGGTCGCCCGTGTCAAACCACTTGGCGGCCGCGTGCTGGGATGGGAAAGTCTACATCTTTGATGCGAACAACCCGACATCAACCGACACCATCAAGGGCGTCGCCGCCATCACTGTCGGCGCCCCTGTCCTCGACTGCGATTTTAGCAAGGTAAGTCCGACATGAGTCTAATCCCACAGCTCCCGATCGATCGAGGAGGATGTTTCAAATCTGGCGAACGAACAAATACGAACGGGTTCCAATAGGCAAGTTTGAAGTCACTAATACAGCATCGCACTGGCACCAGAACTAACTCCATCGCAGGACGGAGCCATCGCCGTTGGCGCCGCGGCAGACAAGAAGATCCATCTCATGGACCTCAACTCGAGCCAGACCATGACGCTCGAGGGACACACCTCACCCGTCCGCACCGTTCGCTTCGTCGACGTCCCCTCCGCCAATGCCCCTATCATCGCCTCGGGCTCCTGGGACAAGACGGTGCGTTACTGGGACATGCGCCAGCCACAACCCATTGGCGCACTCCAGCTGTCCGAGCGCGTCTACGCCATGGACGCGAACAGCTCTCTGCTTATTGCCGCTACTGCCGACAACCAAGTCCACTTCGTTAATCTCCACGCCAACCCACTTCAGCTGTGGAAGTCTATCGAATCCCCGCTCAAGCATCGGACCACCGCCGTCTCCGTCTGCACGGGCGGAACCCACTGGGCGACCGTTGGTATTGAAGGGCGTGCCGCTATTCAAATTGCAGATGAGAAGGACGAGAGGTGTGTTTTCTCGCCGTAGTACCCCTACTCCATCTGCTAACTAAATTTCCAGCTACAAAGCCTTGTCGTACAAGTGTCATCGCGAGACATCGGCCAACAACAGGAACCTGACCGACGTCTACACTCTCAACGACGTGGCCTTTTCGCCGACCCACAAGGACGTGCTCGCCACGGCCGGGTCCGACGGCACCTACTCCATCTGGGATGTCAATCTGCGCCAGCGCCTGCGCTCTTTCCCCAAGGTCGCCGCTCCGGTCACGTCACTCAGCTTCTCTCGCGACGGCATGAATCTGGCCTACGCCGTGGGCTATGACTGGGCCAAGGGCTACCAACATAGCAAGGCTGGGACCGAGACAAAGCTTGTACTGCGCTGTTTCCCGAAGGCGCTGAAGGAAGAGCCGACGACCAAGAAGAAGACTTTTTATTAAATGTATTTTTGTGGAGGATGATGGTTTGAGGGCCAAACTGCATGGGAACCTGAACTGGTTGGGAAACCAAGAGCATAAATTGCTCCACAAGGGATATCGGGGGCATGTATCTGAGGACGGAATCCTCGTTTTGGCATCTCATGGTTCTTCTCATTTGAGAGAACCGACAGCAGTGACGTGATCATATCATGGTTGTCGTTTCCGGAGGAAGGAAGATGTATTCTCAGAGAGAATATGGTTATGTGAGCATGGATTTCTGGTGGCACAAGACTGATACTAAGCATTGGGTGGGAGCGATCATGTTGCCATCTACGAAGTAGACATGGCTTTTTCTGTTGGTATTATGGGTAAAGGCTGAATATCATATGGTTCCCAACCACCTCTCGTTTCCTCTCACAATCTTACAATCCCTTCTTGAAGCGCCATAGCCCTACTGGCATTGCTCGCCACGACATTCGTGATATGGCTGACCACCACCGCCAAACCCTGGGCAGCGAGCCACCCGAAACTAGCGGGTGGCTCCCGTAGATGGCGGTGACACAACCAGCAAGCAAGCAAATGAGTGAAGGAACCACAACAGACGTAAAATAATACCATGTATTTCTTCGATAGAATAACCTGCGCCCTTGTTCCCTTCCCATCCCATCCCGACCGACGCCTGTCCTCTAGTTACCCATCGTTCGCCGCATCCCACAACCCATACCAGAATGTTCCGAGAGAAAAGACAAAAACACAGAGAGCGATATATGGAACAACCCAGCAAGTCAGCAGGTTGGTTTACATTAGAATACGATGCGGGCCCATCCCCGCGCCATACCGTGCCATCCGGTATATACCGAGAAACCGACCACATCCCGTCCATCCATCCATCCCCCAACGCATCGTACATGAAAAGAAAAAGCCATATGTGTTGGGAAAGAAAAAAAAACCACTGCATGCACCCTTGCCGCCACCTCGCTGCCATCTTTTGAAGGAGATCGAGCAGAGAGAGCCTGTAAAGTATCGTCATGAACCCCAAATCCACAAACCCCAACCCGAGGGAAAAATAATGTTTTGGGAAAAGCAAGGCAAAGCAGAGCAAAGCCAATGAAAGCAAAACCCTCGTACGTTTATGTTTTGCTGGCGTCGTCCCATGCCGGTTGTCCATGGAATTAAAAACGATTTAACCCGAAAACCCAGCGTAGGTAGAAAACACGAAGTGAAGCGGGCTTCTGGGAGCCCAACGAGATTTTGGCGCCCCCACCTGCTCAAATCAAGACCTCGCCACCGGTAAGGTAACTATTGGCTATGTGCAGCTCCCTTTCCGGCTGGATGGCCGTTCATGGATTCAGCGGCGTCTCCATTCAGATCCGGGGGGCTGCTCGACGGAGTGCTCAGAGGGCTGTTGGGGTCCATGGTCAGGCCAGGGGTTGGCGCGGCCGAGTTAACGTCGACGTGTAGACCGGGTGATGTGGGTGCTGTCGACACTGGCGTAGGGTTGTTACTGGTAGCGGCGGACACGGGGGCCTGCGAGTCCGCAACCAAGCGATCCATGGCCTCGATCTGCTTGCTCGTCGCGCCGGATTGTCTGAGGGATTGGAGGTGCGACGCCAGCTTGTTGACCAGCACCACCCTGTCTTGGCCCTGAAGTGCCTTGACGAGTTTTTCTGGCGCGTGTTAGCAAGGGTACACGCAAAGATAACAATAAGAAACTTACGGATGACGTAGTTGCCAAATTGATCTTTCATCAACTGGAACAGCGGGCTGTTTGCATCGTCTCCCATCAGTTGGTCCCGGATGGCCCGCTGCTCTTCAAGTGTGCCAAGCAGGATGCACTTCTCAACAACATTCGACGCATTCTTGTGCCTCGAGAGCGTCAAGAGCTGAGGCGTAACGACGCCGATCATCTTGGCGCGATCTTCGGGCTTCCCCTTCTCGAGGACATGCTGGATGACATAGTTACCGTACACGTCTGTGATTAGCATCGAGGAGCTGGCGTGTAGCTCCAGCATCATGGCGGTCTTGTCCACTTCGGTTCCATGCTCCAATACCCTCTGGACAACGCGGCAGCCGTACTGATGGGAAGCAAGCTCGTAGACGTGGCCCTTCAGACCGGCCATCATGAAGTCGATATGTTCGCGGGGGACCAGCACGATGGCCTGCTGGATGACGTGGTTTCCGTGCTGGTCCTTGGCAACTTTGATGAGATCTGACTCCAGTTCTTTTACCAACTCGGTTTGCTGCTCAACGAGGACGTGTTCAAGGGCCTGGTCCATGTCAGTTGCGGGTACGGGGAGCAAGATACAAGCGCCTCACCTTTTGAACAACTCTGCAGGCATACGGCTGCATTGACAAGTCGACAACCTTGCCCTTCATGGCGTTGGCCAGCACCTTTTTCTGAACCTGATCGCCATACTCAAAGAGCTTTTGCATCACGTAGTTACCAAACACGTCCTTCATAAGCTGAACTGCGTTCGGCTCGATCTCCGCAAATACTTGGTCGCGCTCATCACTGTTGGCTGTCTCGAGCTTCTGCTGGATAAAGCGAGAAGCCTGCTGGTCGCCGCTGAACTCGACAATGTGGTTCCAAATGTCCTAGGGCTTGTCAGTCGATCTTTTCTTCCTCGCGATGCCAACCCATCAACGGGAGCTTTCTCACCTTGAGCTCCCAGCGTCTCGACTTTGGGCTGTGCTTGAAGTCATGTAGCACAGGACTTCGGAGGCTTTTTCCCGGATCCTGGTCACGGGCTGGACGAGTCGGGATCCCGGCAGCCGCGAGGCCGTAGGGGGTAGGGATGCCATATCCCATGTGGGCGTTGTGCCTCGGGTCGTTGTACGAGGCGTACAGAGACGGGAACTGCTGATAGTTCTGCGGCAAAAAGGCACCGGAGAAGAAAGGGTTTATCGATTGATGGGCGAACTGGTCCGCAACCCCTCGCCGCGCGAGCTCCGCGGACAACATAGGGTCCCGTGATGTCGGGCGCGACCATCCATCTGGGTTCGGTTGCGGGGTCCCTGTGAAGCTCCTGGGGCTATTCAAGCTGCCGCCGTTGCGGTATGTGCTTCCAGCCGGCGAGTTCCGACCGGCTATTGAGCCTCGTTTCTCGAGGCCAGTGCCGTTCGAGTACGGGTCCTTCGCGAAGCCATTGGGATACCCATGTCCATTGTCCCACGGTTGCGACCCCGGATTGAACTGAAAGTTTTGCCCCCCGTTGCCGAAGGACAGCTCATCTTGTAAGCCGTTCATCGCCCCGTTGGTGCTGTCGAGGCCCATCATGCCGAAGGCCTCCGTTATATGCACCTGCCGCCCAAGATTTTGATCGAAACCTATGTTGGGATGACCGGAAAGAGAGGAACCGGCGAGGGATGGTCGTTGTGAGTGAATTGCGGGTGCCGTGGGGGTGGTGTATGCGAAGTCCTTGAAGGGATTCGTCTGGGCGGGGAGATCAGACTCGGGGATGCCGGACATCGATTTGCGTGAAGGACCGCTCCCGACTGCGTTCAAGGACGTGGGTTCCTGCGCCTGCCGCTGATTCGCTATCGAAAGTGCGGCGAATCGGTGGTCGAAAGTTTGGTTTGCAAACTGATCTCCGTCTCCCTCATCGGCATAGTTCGAGAAGCCATGATCAAACATGAAGGGGCCTTTTGAGGTATCCATGGACGCTGTCGTCGGGGGCTTTAACCCGACCAGACCTCTCTGGGGCATGGCTTTGGCAGCATGGAACAACAAAGGTCGTGAATTTGTGTCGTGCACGGAGGCATCCGACCTGCTTCGGGGCGACGTGTTGCCAGAAAGATTGCGCGCTTGTGTGGCATCGGTCGGGTTCCAGTACGCAGAACCCCACGCGTCGTGATCGGCCGTGGACGTGAGAGCTGCGGAGCCTAATCCGGCAGAGGCAAAGCCATTTATCGCATCTGTGAACCCGTCAGCGGCGATGTTCCCAGCTCGCAGCAGAATTCCACGCGCTGACAGACCTCTAGGTGTGACGACTGGCCTACTGCTCGTAAAGCCCACAGAAGCATTGTTATTCCATGGCCCCCCAGGTGGCATGTTGAAGATGGAGTTTCCAAGGCCCGGTTGCGCGGTGTGGTTGCCGTTGGGCAGGTTGGTGTAGTCGGAAAGCCGACTGCGTCGTGACTATAGCCATAGGTTTCAAGGTTAGCTCACGGTGTCAAGTGCGAATGGATCGTTGTGAAGTGGCTTCGTTGCCACCGCGCAATCGTTGGTCGTCGTCCCGATGCCGCCGGGCCGGGAAGAAGGCATGAGGAAGGTGTGGTATACACATACATTAGTCGCCATTGTGCTTGGCGATGTGTCTGTATTGGCGGAATAACTCATGAAGCGGAAAGGAGAGAGGCGAAAAGCTAGGGGTATCGACGGCGTTTAAGAATGGGCACGGAAACCTGTCCGCCCAAAATTATGGTACTCGGTGTAGGTGCGCAGGGTCAGAGCGGGATGTCGTGACTGCGTGGGGAGGTAACTATCTGGTGGCGTAGAAACTCGGTCGTCGGACGGTATTTTCCCTCGAGCGCTCCGGTTCTAGATGCTGGGTATCGAGAATAGGTTTGGAAGTTGTGACGGGACTGTGAGCGAGTTGGAGGTGAGGTCAGCACACGAGAGAACCAAGCAGCTGGGAAGCGGCGGGGGGTGTCGAGGAGGATTGGTAAGGCTGATGCGTCCCACACCTGGAGGCCAAGTTGGAGGAGGGAGGTGGGGAGGGGCGGCAGTCGGGCTTTTGACAGGTGCTTGACGGCAGAGAAGCGGGCTCGGCGGACGTGCTGGGGGTGCATTCCGTGCTGAGCTGAGTGCGGTGGGTGTGCGCTCGCTGGAGCACTGCTGCTGCAATAGGTATGCAACACTTACTCTAGCCCGGGCCCTTGGACAACGGGAGTTGCAAGCTCGGCGACCCACCGACACAGGAGGACACCTCTCTCTTGAAATGCGCCGAGATGCTCACAAAGGGCTGCGGGCGGATGAGAGGGGGAAAAGGGAGTCGATCGGGGGTTGCGCGCACGGAGGAGGAAGAAGCAGATGCAGTCCCAATGGAATGAACGAATGAAACGATGGACAAGAGCAAGGCAATGAATGGCCTGCCGATGCGAGCGAGCGTACCTAGGTTGGAGCGACGGTTTTCGCTGTCCCACCAAGCGACTGTTGTCCCGCTGTGCTTGCTTTCTGGGGTCGGAGCGACAAGGAGGGGCCTCCTGTTCGAAGGCTCGAGATGGGGATTCGAAAGTCGAAACCGGGGGCGGGATTGGCTGGGGTGCGCCGCGTCGAGTCTGCGACTGGACGAGCACACGACAAGGGGAAAGAGGGGAGGGAGAAAGACGGGAGGTGGAGGCCAAGCTACCCAGACCTTGCCTTTTTAAGTGAGCGGGACCGGGGGTTGTGTTTAAGATCCAGGGCAGCGTCGGTTGGCGGACCCAGAGACCCAAAAAAGAAGTTTTGTGGGGGATCTGGGAGTCGTCTCAAGCCGGTGGATGGGCCTTTTTTTAGGGATCTTCGAAGGCCGGGGCCGGATGCGGCGTTCGCAGGACTCGGTCGACTCGACAGAGGGCAGGGCACGGCGGGGGCAGGACAATCCCGTGCACGAGCTGAATTCAGATTGCGACGGGAACGGCGGGGTGGCTGGATGTGTGCATTTACCAAGCAATCGGCTCGATGACGGAATTTTGTGATGCAGGAATTCGGTTGCTGCTGGGAGACGAAGTTTGAGATTCAGTGCCCACTTTGATGGAATGCGGGATGCAATGGGGCTGCGCTCAAGACGAAAAAAAGTCTGGGCGAGCTTCGTCGAGGTCCGCTCGGGTCTGGGCTGGCTCGGCTGGCTGGGAGTCGGGGAGCTGGGCCTGCTGTGTGTGCGGGGGACCGCCTGAAGCGAAAAAGATAAAATAAAAAAAACGGGGCTGCTCGGTGCTGCTCGGTGACACCAGCTCGTGCAACAACTTCTCAATCGGCCGTTGTCGTTTTTGCTCGTGCCGTCTCTTTTCTCAAATCCGTGGGACCCGTCCAGTCGGCTCTCCGATGGCTGTGCACCTGAAACCCCCGGCGGGAACTCGTTTCTAAATTGTGTTTCTTGTCGATTTCGTGCAGGAAACATGCGGCAGAGCAGATCGCACCGTGCTCAGATCCGACCGTTGGGAAGACACTCGGCCACTCTGGCCAGTGTGTGGAGACGAAATCGGGGCTGAAAGTGGTGTTGGTTGGTTGACTTCGCCGTGGTGTTGTTGGTTGTTGGCTGTGTCGAACCTCAAACTGCCCAAGTGGGCTCTTGGCCGTGGTCGAGGGGCAAGCGAATGATGATCCGAGAGGCACCAAAGGGCAGGGAATGCGCGCCCAAATCTGTGCTGTGCCGCCGCTCGCCTACAATTGTTTGTTAGCGATGACACGGCATCTTATTGACCAGGTTTGGCCTTTAAGGATTAACCAACGCTCCCACGAACGCCGCACCTTGTGTTTTTCGAGATCGCTTCTTGGAACTTTTCTCGATTGATGTTTGGCGGGGAAGAGCCAATTCCGGGGCTCAACCAAAGCGACGAGGGAAATCGTGATGGAAAACGGTCGACGTGCGGCGCGAGTGTATTTGTAGGAATGCCAAAGAAAAAGAAGAAGAAAAGGCCAGGGCGACCCTATGTACAAGCATGTACATACATTTTCGAAACTTGACACTTTTTGAGTTGGTCTCCCTGGTGTTGTGCAAACTCGGGGTCAAGGACAGGTCGACTCCCTGGGTTCAAACCAAGGGGCCCGGTGCCGGTATTGTATCTGGCTCGATGGAATGGATCCTATCCTGTGTTCCCCACGCCTGCCGTATCACTAAGAAACAGAAAAGAACACTGGTGTGCACTGTGTCTGGTATGGAAAGACACACACAAAGGCCGTTTCGGGGGATACGGGCTTCGCCGACTCGCGTATAAGTGGAATGATGAATGAATCGATCCAGACAGGAGGCAGGATCTGGCGTCAGATAACGCAATGCTATGGTAGCGCCGTAGCTTGTGCTCCCCCTCAACCCATTCTGGCTCTGGCGATCTATCCTATCATTGGCATGGGCAATCCGGGGAGGGTTAAGAAGCCGCCTAGTGCTGCCTTGCATGTGTTCGGCTTCTTGTTTCGTGTCCCCCGCGATGCAAGGGATGATGTGCTCTCCGCACAAAGAATTGCATGCTCATCTCCAAAATGAAGGAATGCCCTTCATCTCCGTTGCTATGAAGGGCCGAGAAGCCTGAGCGGATCAACAGATAATGTCTCGAGTCCTCTTTTCTCCCTACATCATCTCAGCATCCCTCTCCGCTTACCAGAAGGAGCCGAGTCCGGAGTAAACCAAGTCACGTACCGCCTTGTGACACCTGCCCGATGCCACCGACTTTTCTGGTAATCTGTTTACAGTTTCAGGAAGCAAGCGCAGCCCGCCCTTGTGCCACACTCTTACCTAGGTAGGTAGGTAGCTTTGGGGGCGCTTCTTGCCCCAGGTCTATCGTGCGCCTGAGGGTGTCTCAAGTCAAACATTGCACAGCCCACCAGCCTAAGACGCTGTTGGTGCCCAGAGCATTGTCGTCCTATGCTTGACAAACGCCGCACCGTGATGGGACGTTTGCGTCCCTCGCCCAACGTGCCCCTCGGGTTGGGCTTTTTGTTGTAAGCAGCACACGCCTCATCATGTATGGCGTTGCCCAAGTTGGTTAATCAGTTGGCTGACCGGATTACAGCGCTGTTTCAGAAAATGGGACAAACTGCGACGCTCGGAAAAGCGCAGGTGAAGAGATATCGATGAGGTTCCACCACCCGAAAGGTTGGCCGGTTTTACCTTTCTCGTCGCCACTACGGACATGTGTCTTCTGCTGAGTCCCCCGAGTTTGGAAACAAACAACCGAACAGGCCTTGGAGATAACGGTCAACAGTGTCCTCGGACTTGTCACCAGTCCCTATCTTTCCTACGACAGATGGCACAAGTCTATCATCCTCGTGATGATAGTAGTGCTTGTTGGTCGTGACTTTCCGTTCTTTCCACTGCGGCCGGGGCAAGCAAGCCGCTCCCCTTCTCTTTCCCTTTCATTTTGTTCGGTTGGAAAGATGTCAGACCGAGACACAGGTGGCGGGGAGAGGACCTAAAGTTCGTTGTGGTCGTCTGCCGTACGGCCCTTAATTTGCGTTCAGCCGCCCGGCGTGATCCCGCGACTTTCTAGTGTACCATTGCATCGGAGCCATGTGGAACTCCAACATTGCGATACAAAGACCATGATGCCATATTGAAGCATGGAAAGAACCATGACGTGTTAACGGGCGCCCAAAGGTGACAGGGTGGCAATATCGCAGTACCAGGCGCCCCGGAGTTCCAGTGGCTACCCAAACTTCTCTCTCGGACACCACTCCCGAGAGCAGGCGTCTCATCTTTTCCATCATAAAATGCGCCGCTCAAACGAACCACCTGTTGAGCGGGGCAGACTGGAAGTGAGCATGCGTCGTCGAGTCGTTTGACTTCCGACAGCTCGGAGACCGAGGCGACGGTTTCCATCACGATCGGGCCAAGAAATTTCTCGATTTCCGAGACGGGTTGAACCAACAACACCTGCCTACGGAACAACCAAGGGCTGACAAAGATGACACTCGTTGGTTTTCGTCAAAATCGGGGGATAGGCTACCATTGCACCGTTGTGTGATCCGGCGTCTAGTTAACGACGGTAGCTTGTTTATTGCGAGCTCACCTCAGAAACCGAGCTCTTAGTGATTGGGTCGAGACTCGAGGGCCGGGCGGCTAACGATCTCGCTGCAAGATGTTGCGATTCCTAATCTGTAAGAAGAAAGATATGTCTAAGATCTGGATCTATAAATTGGAATTATTATGTCGTTTGCAAAAAGAGACAATTCTCTTCTCCACCAAATCTGAGTCGGGTAACGTTCAGGTAATGAGCAGTGGATTGTTTCTTCATGCTTACCGGAACAGTTGCCAAAAACAAAGGCTTGGTTTGGCTGGCCAGACCGCGGCTCCTGGGAAGATCTCTTCCACTCCGACCGTTTTTTCGACGCACGGTCCAGAATCTGCAGCTCATGGCCAGGGATCGATTGGGCGGCTCTCAAATTGAGCCCCGCCCGCATGTGAGCCGAGAAACGACACGATTGGCCAGCATCTCGATTCATGGGGCGGTTCATCCCAATTCAGCGATTTCGCTTGCTGGGATAGCGCTTGTGTGCTCCCCCTGACCGAGCGGTGGGCGGTACTTGTTGCAAGGCACCGCCTGCCTTGGCTCCTTCTCCTCACCTCCTCTTTTTCCCATCTCGACATCTCAACCGGCGTCAGGGCTTAGGGAATTGCGTTCGTCGTTCTTTCTGTCACTCCTTCCTCCTCCCGATCGTGGGAATCGCTTTTGGTATCGACTTCATTCTTTTAGTCGATCTCCGTCCCGTCCTTTTCATCGATGCAATTCCCCGAGTCACGCGCGAGATCGAGCCCGACAAATCCCTAGCGCTCGAGGAACAGCCCTTGGGTACGTTGGCTCCCTTTCCTCGTACCGCAGCCACCTGGCACCGTGTTCAGGGACAGGCAAGGGAAGGGATACCGTAATGCTGACCATCGGATCGCCTCGGGTTATAGCTTCGACAGTCCATCCCCGATCGCTTTACAGTTACAGCTTTCCGGCAACAACATTCTTTTGCAACAAAACTCACATTCATTATCCACAATGGACTCATTCACAAGGATCGTCGCTCGAGGCGACGAGGAGAAGGACAACAACAAGACGGTTGTTAACATCCTGATCGCCCTTCTCGTTCTCGTATTCGTCGGCCTCGTGGCCTTTGCGCTCCTCGTCCTGCTGCGGAGGAAGCGGAGACAGAGGCAGATGATGAACGAGACGCTGCCCCAGTACCAGGACGTCAAGCGGACGGGTAACCACCGGCGACTCACTATCCAGACTGGCAACGGCCGGTCAAGCGTCATCGTCGTCGACAACAACGGCCAACCCATGTTGGCAAACCCCCAGTCGCCACCTCACTCCCCAGACAACGTTCCCGAGATCCACATCACGTTTCCCGATGAGCAGGACGACCAGGGCCGGCCAAAGAGCGGCCGGGTGGTGGTCGTCAGGGTCGGCGAGACCAGTGTCGGCCTCGAGCCTCTGGACGACGAGCAGTTGCCCGCCTATGAGAAGGAGAGCAAGACGCAATTTTACTCCATTGACATGGACAAGATTGGCGGGCTAAAAGAGAAGGAATTCCAGTAGGGCGCCACATGAGCCAGGCATTTGAGCGACTTCCTACGGGGACCCAACGATCTTTCTCCTTCGACCAGCCAGCGAGCTGGCAATCCTTACGACTTGATGGGCGTGCGGCGTTGCGATGAACGGACAGGGACACGAAAAGAGATACCACCATACACGCGCCGGCCACTACCTTCTTCTACTTCTAATTCGCGTGTTTCGGCGTCCTACCCCGGTATCTCAACACCTGCTGGGGAGGATTTGATTTTTGGGAAAGGGAGCGGGCGGGGGGTTTTGGAGGGGGGGAGGGGGTTGAAGAACATGGAAAACGGTGCCCACTCGCATACGGGCTACGGCGCTGCAGCACCCGGGACGCACATTCGGCGGTCAGTGTTGTCGACGTCGAGGCGAGGGGAGTGCAACTATATATATCTAGCACGCAATGGGCGACAGCGTTGGGCGGGCTTGTGGCATATTTTGTACGGACATATTCTCGTATTGTATAATTACTATTCGACCTCCGCCGTTGCGCGGGCTTTTTCACCCCATTCTCCTTGATGCTGCTTTGTTGAGCAGCCTGGTGCCTCCCCGTTCTCGCCCTGAGGCCGAGCTCGGAGAAAAGATTTTAGAGGCAACTCCCTATTCTGAGGAGGGAACAGCAGGCGGGACAATACCCTGCTCGTTTCGTTCTCAGGTGCCCGACGAGCCTCCCAACCTTGATACCTTGATGGCCGTTTAGGGTTAGGGTAGTTAATGCTAAATGACGGTGGAGATGCCTTCGCGTCTCGCTGGAGCTCAGAAATTCCCGACTTCTCCAGATATTTCAACTCCTCGAAATGGCGCATTCTCCCTTTTCCCCTGCAACTCGCCTTTAGATAGTCGCGATTCCAATGGCCACTGGGGTTTCTCCCTGAGCAGTACTCAGCACCAATTGGTGTTTCTCTTCCTCATTTCTTGACTTCCCCGTTCCTCCTTTTCGTCATCTCTTGGGTATCGTCACTTATTCGTTATCCCCTTTTTGCGCCTTGCTACTTGATACCCCCGTTCCAATCCCTCCCCTTCCTCGATAGATATCCATCCCACAAGCGAAGATCGAACCCCTACCACGACAACCATGCCACCACCAAAACCGCCCCCCAAAAAGCCCGTCCCGCCGCCCGACTACAAGACCGTCGCCGCGCAGTGGGCCGCCGCGAAGCGCGCCAAGGAAATCGCCGACGCCGACCGCCTCAAGAAGGGCAACGATACTGCCGACGCCACGGCCACGGACATACAGCAGGAGCAGGACCGCATCACGGCGCGCGAGCGCACCCGCGCCCGCCTCGAGACCGCCCGCCGCAAGGCCTACCAGTCCCGCTGGTCCTGGACCGCCGCTTTCTGGGTCTGGCTGCTGTGCGTCCACGCCGTCGGCATCGCATACTTCACCAGCGGGTTCCTGCTCACGCGCCTGGTGCTCGAGGAGAAATCGGCCTGCGCCGCGCCGCCGGCGACGGCGGCTGGGTTGGGGGGTGCGGATGGGGATGGGGATGCGGATGCGGATGGGGGCTCGTTGCTGCCGGCGTGGCCGGGCAAGGGGACGGTGGAGGGCGGGTGTTGGCACCCGCGCACGTTCGACCGCGCCGTGGTGGTGGTGATCGACGCGCTGCGGTACGACTTCACCGTGCCGGTGCAGGACGACGAGGCGTTCCACAATGCGTTCCCCTTCCTGTGGGAGACGGCGGTGCGCGAGCCCAACAGGGCGTTCCTGCGGCCGTTTATTGCCGACCCGCCGACGACGACGCTGCAGCGGTTGAAGGGGCTGACGACGGGGACGCTGCCGACGTTTGTCGACGTGGGGAGCAGTTTTTCTGGTACGGCCATCGACGAGGATAACTTGTTGATGCAGTTCAGGGATGCGGGGAAGAAGATTGTTCATCTGGGCGACGATACGTGGGAGGCGCTGTTTCCGGGGTACTTTGAGGGGAATCTGAGCCGTGCGTACGACAGCTTCAATGTCTGGGACTTGCACACGGTCGATAACGGGGTCATTGAGCACATCTTTCCGGCCATGGAGAAGAGGAACGACTGGGACGTTCTCATCGGGCACTGCCTTGGTGTTGACCACGCTGGCCACCGTTATGGCCCGAATCACCCGGAGATGACCAAAAAGTTGCGCCAGATGGACGGCTTCATCAAGGATCTGGCGGAAACCATGGATGATGACACGGTTCTGATTGTTATGGGAGACCACGGGATGGACAGCAAGGGAGACCACGGTGGCGAGAGCGAAGACGAAGTCGAGGCTGCGCTATGGATGTACTCCCCCAAGGGCATCTTTGGCAGAACGAAGCCGGAATATGTCACGCCGCCGGTTACCGCTAAGACTCGTCCCGTCAACCAGATCGATCTCGTTCCCACCTTGGCGCTATTGATGGGTATCCCCATCCCCTTCAACAACCTAGGGAGGCCAATCGAAGAGGCTTTCGCTGGCGCCGCCGGCAATTCCTGGGCCAACCTCGCTGCGGCTGAGAGAACGGCGGCGGCTGGTATCAAGCGCTACCAGTCCTCCTACTTCGCCGCCCGGGGAATCGAGCAGTCCTCCGCGGCCGGGTCTCCCAACGAACTCTGGGACAAAGCTGAGAGCCTTATTTCCAAGGGCAAGAAGCAGGACTGGGAAGCCATCTTCTCGGCATTCGCTGCGTATCAGGAAGAAAACCTGCAAATTTGCAAGGCCCTGTGGGCGAGGTTTGACCTCAAGAATATGGCAATTGGCATTGCCGTGATGGCGCTCGGGGTTATCGCGCTTCTCGTTTACATTTCCAATGGAGTAGATGACGATGTCATTGACGACGAGGAGCTTGACCTCGCCGAAAAGAGCCTAGAACTGCAGGGCGTGAAGCCCGAAACATCAGCGACGCCTTCTGATAGTCTCGAGAGGCGTTTGGTCGCTGCTGCCTTCCTCGGCGCTACCCCCGGATTCATTGGCGGAGTCATCTCCTCCTACGTCTCAGGGGCTGGCGACTGGTACCGCGGATCTGGAATTGCTGCTCTCACGAGCATTGCCGCGGTTCTTGTATCCATGTATGAGGTTCAGGAGACCGTGATCAAGATCTTTCCTAGGACGGCCTGGGGCTGGATGGCGGTAGTCTTCACGGTCAGCCAGTCCATCGGCTTCGCGTCTAACTCGTACACAATCTGGGAGGATTCGATTCTCCTCTTCTTTATTACAACATTCGGTTTCGTCAGCGCCCTATCAGCGCTCAAAATCCCTTCCCGCGCCGACCGCTACCTGGCCATCTACCACTCCGTCGTCTTTGCCCTGCTTGGCCGCGTTGCTTCCTTCTCCAAGCTTTGCCGCGAGGAACAGATGCCATACTGCACCTCGACCTACTATGCCTCGTCCACATCCTCTACCTCAGCCCCGTGGCAGCTGATCATCCCCTTCCTCGTCTCCGTCATCCTTCCCTCCATCCTCAAGGCCTATCTCCAACCGACCCGGTCCTACGAAGGCCTCGCCCCGACCTGGATCGGCTATGTCTTCCGCACCGGCCTCTTCATGGCCGCCCTCTACTGGCTCCTCGACGCGGCCGACAACGGCAACTGGATCCCCGGCCTCCCCGACAAAACGCTCAAAAACATCAGCGTCTACACCGCCCAGATGGTCCTCGGCCTCGCCCTAGTCGCCGGCACCACCGCCTTCGTCTGGGCGCCCCCCTGCGTCTCCATCGTCACCTCGGCGTCCCCCACCGAACCGACCCGCGCCCAGGTCGCCATCCTCGGCTACGCCAACGCCCACGGCGCCCGCTACCTCCTCCTCCCGCTCAACCTCCTCGCCGCCTGCATCCTCCTCTCCAAGCCCATGGGCGCGGGCGCTCTCGGCCTGATGGCCTGGCAAATCCTCGCCCTCCTCGAGGTGCTCGACCTCAACGACCTCACCACCTCCCCCATCGGGCCCGTGATGCTCGCCGTGCTCGGCACATTCCACTTCTTCAAGACCGGCCACCAGGCGGTACTCAGCACGATCCAATGGGACGCGGCCTTCATCCCGCTCTTCACGATCCGGTACCCCTTCAGCCCCGTGGTGGTCGCGCTCAACACCTTCGCGGGCCAGATCCTAGCGGCGGCGGCCGTGCCGCTGGTCGTGCTGTGGAAGGCCGGCCCGCGGCGGCGCGGCGTGCTCGAGGCCGTCAGCCGGGCGCTGGGCGTCTTCGTCGCCTACTTCGCCGTCGAGAGCCTCGCGACCATGGCCTGGGCCGGCCACCTGCGGCGCCACCTGATGCTGTACCGTGTGTTTGGCCCGCGCTTCATGGTGGCGGCCGTGGTGCTGTTGGTGGTGGATGTGGTGGGGATCGTGGTGTCCCTGACGGGGGTGAGGTGTAACACGATGGCGATCGGGGAGGTTTTTGGGTGGGCTGAGTGAGTGGTGCACCTCGTGGGATCTTTCGTTTTGTTTTCTGTGTATATTCTGGATGAGAGTTTACCCGAGGTTGGATGAGGGTAGTTGAAAAGGGAGGGACCCCCTAAGGCCGACTCCTGTACATACCTTGATAATGTGTAACGTAACCTGTCAACAATTGAGTGTGTGGTGATAAGAATCGCTGCTTATTGCCTCAAGTCTGAAATACATGCAAACTTGTATTATCACAACAGCCGATTTCAATCAGGCCAGCTCTCAATCTTGCTAGGCCAACGCCCAGATGTAACGAAACATTATCAACATCGTCACCATCCATAAAGAAGTCGTTGGGGACACCATGTATTCTGTTTTGCGACATGGTTGTGTGTATGACCCCAAACCAGTCTGAACGACTTCACACGCGCGCTGCTTGGTGAAGGCAGACCATTCCCTAGCCTAGAACGCACATCTTGTTGAAGATGTGGTCAGGCCTTGCTCACCCACTCCGAATCACACACGCCGAGTCACCCACCCCAAGTCACCCACCCCGAACCCATGTCCCCGCATCAACACCGAAACCAATAAATGAACACCCCTTTTCCATCCCTCGACCGCAAAAACGCCCAGTTGAATATGGCGACCCACCCAATTATGCTAATGCTGTTGAATCCGGATTTTCCCCTTGCCGACCAACGCCGAGTTGAGAATGGCGCGCTTGAGGTATCATCTATCGTTACCCATTTTATAACCCGCTAGAAGACCCCCAAAAATGCTAATGCTGTTGAAAAAAATCCGGGAAAGCATAGGGCACCATCAATCGATGATGCATTGTGAGCTTTGTTTAGGCACTTAGGCCTTGGTGTACTGCTCACGGAAGTACTTGGCAGCGTTGACCATGTGGGTGAGGGCACCCTTGACCTCATCCCACTTGCGAGTCTTCAGACCGCAGTCGGGGTTGATCCAGAGCTGCTCAGGGCGGACTGTGGTGAGGTGTTGTTAGTACTAGTCGTTCTGTTGAGTTCGACAGTGAAGACTTACGGTACTCAAGCATCTCCTGGATGCGCTGCTTGAACTCGGCCTCAACGGGGACACGAGGGCTGTGGATGTCGTAGACACCGGGGCCGATGTGGCGGGGGTAGGCCTCATCGATGAAGACCTTGAGGAGCTTGGCATCGGACTTGGAGTTCTCAATGGAGAGAACATCGGCATCCAGAGCGGCAATGGCTGAGAAACTACGTCAGTACGTTGTCATCAATTGCAGGATGCACTGGTACTCACCGTGGAAGAAGTCCTGGAACTCGGAGTAGCAGAAGTGGGAGTGGATCTGAGTCGAGTCCTCCACACCGGCGGTGGCCAGCTTGAAGCTGTTGACGGCCCACTTGAGGTAGGCGTCACGCTCGGAGCCCTTGCGGAGAGGGAGACCCTCACGAAGAGCCGGCTCATCGACCTGGATGACGAAGATGCCGTTCTTCTCAAGGTCAACGACCTCGTCACGGAGCGCAAGAGCGAGCTGCTGGCACTGGATGGACTGGTGAACGTCGTCACGAGGGAAAGACCACCGCAGGCAGGTGACGGGGCCGGTAAGCATGCCCTTCATGGGCTTCTTGGAGACCGAGGCAGCATACTTGCTCTCCTTGACGGTCATGGGAAGAGGGCGGGAGATGTCGCCGACAATGATGGGAGGACGGACACAGCGGGAGCCGTAGGACTGAACCCAGGCGTGGGTGGTGAAGACGTAGCCCTGGAGGCGCTCACCGAAGTACTGGACCATGTCGTTACGCTCAGGCTCGCCGTGGACGTAGACGTCAAGGCCGAGCTCATCCTGGATCTGGATGGCGAAGTCGATCTCCTTCTTGATGAAGTCGTCATACTGCTGCTCGCTGATATCACCCTTGGTGAACTTGTTCCGCTGGACACGGATCTCGCTGGTCTGAGGGAAGGAGCCAATGGTGGTGGTGGGGAAGAGGGGAAGGCTGAGGTGCTTCTTCTGCTGAGCGTAACGGTTGTCAAACTCAGTCTTGCGGTCGTGCATGGCGTCGGTAACCTGAGACTGGCGCTCCTTGACCTTGGGGTCGTTGGTGCGGGTCGAGTCGGCACGCGCCTTCATGGCAGCAGCGTTGGCATCGAGCTCAGCGCTGACGGCACCGGCATCGGTCACAGCCTTGGCGAGGATGGCAACCTCCTTGACCTTCTCGCTGGCGAAGGAAAACCACTCGTAGACATCAGCGGGAAGCTTCTTCTCGCTGGCGAGGGTGTGGGGGGTGTGGAGGAGAGAGCTGGAGGTGGCAACAATGACACGCTCGGGGCCGAGGGCCTTGATGGCGGTCTGGAGAAGGGCAAGGGACTTCTTGAAGTCGTTCTTCCAGATATTCCTGCCGTCAACAACACCGGCAGCTATTCTTCATGTTAGCATATATCCATGCGTCGGGACGGTCAAGTTCACTAACAGAGGATCTGGTTGGCACCGAGCTGCTTGATGACAGGCTCGAGCTGCTCGGGGTTGCGGACAAGGTCGACGTGGAGACCCTGGGCCCCGGCAAAGGCGGGGAGGACGTCAAAGTTGTGGACGATGTCACCGAAGTAGGTGGCGACAACGACGGAGGGAACGGCGCTGCCCTGGGCGGCAATAGCCTCGTACGCCGGCTTGAAGGCGGCCTTGATCTCGGGGCGGAGGTCGAAGACGAGGACGGGCTCGTCAATCTGGACGCTCTCGGCACCAGCGGCCTTGAGGGCCTTCAGGAGCTCGACGTAGACGGGGACGAGCTTGTTAAGGAGAGTGATGGGGTCGACGGAGGAGCCACGGTCGGCCTTGCCGAGGGCAAGGAAAGAGACGGGGCCGACGAGGACGGGGCGGGTCTGGATGCCAGCCTCCTTGGCCTCGAGGAACTCCCGGACGGGCTTGGGGTCCTGGGCAAGGGAGAAGGTCTGGTCGTCCTGGAGGGTAGGCTTGACATAGTGGTAGTTCGAGTCGAACCACTTGACCATCTCGAGGGCAGGGACGTCCACACCGCCCTTCTGGTGGCCGCGGCCCATGGCAAAGTACTCATCGAGCGGGGACAGCTTCTGCGAGGTGTAGCGTTCGGGGACAGCCTGCGGAGGAAGACGGGCTGGTTAGCCGGAATGCTCGGAAGCAACGTGCTCGGAAGCAACGGATTGTTTTGACGCCAACTCACATTGAACAGCTGGATGTGGTCAAGAACGTGGTCGTAGAAAGCAAAGTCGTTGGAGGGGATGATGTCAACACCGGCATCCTTCTGGATCTTCCAGTGGGCAAGACGAAGCCTCTTGGCCTCAGCGAGGAGGTCCTGCTGGGTGATCTTGTCGGCCCAGTAGGCCTCGTTCGCCTTCTTGAGGTCCCGAAGGACACCCATACGACTAAACCGGCATTGTCAACACTTAGCCCAGGGCAATCTCGGTGCAATTGGACTCACGGGAAACCCAACACAGATGACTGAACCATCTTGAGGCGGGGGAGGGGTTGACTGGGTATCAAAGGTCTGATGCGGGGCAGCAGTGTGAACAGAAACCTCTTCCTGTGCCTGCCTCGAGTTCAAATTAAGAGAATCAAGGCTTGGAAGAAGATGAGGGATGAGGAAAGGAGGAGAAGAGGGGAAGAAGAAGGAAGAGGAAAGAACGAGTTGATGTGCAGGAGGGGGAGAATTTGACCTTCGCCGGAGAGGGCAGGGAGCTGGGGTGTGGGGCCGCAATCGGTGGGGGGTCCCACCGCAACTTTCGGAGCCCGACCGCCTTGGGAAAGAATGTCTCGACGAGTCGATGACCTTCTTTGCTATCATGAAGGGCGAGAAGGGGTGAGGGGTAAGCATGGGTGGAAATCCCAGGGTCTTTTCGGATTTCTCTTGAGCTTGAAAAGCTTGGCCACGTACAGCTCTGTTAGCCACCCGTTGTCACCCCAAGCTGTGGTTGTGCCCCTCAGGTACCCCTCCTTGGCCCTCAACGCTATCTTTGGCGCCGATGGTGTGACCGATACCCGAATCGACCGGGTTTTCCTGCACCACCGAAAGGAGGGCACCTCCGTGAACCGGGCTCCAGTCATTGCGCGCTGGGGGCGGGTCCCCTCCAATGCAACCTGGCCGACAACGCTCCGGACCGTTTATTGTTGTCAGAAAATAATCAAAGGGACTCGGATGTCACACTCTCATTGTCTCCGAGAGCGAGTTACCCGGTAACATCAACGACCTCCATAGTATCTCTCCGAGATGGTTTCGAACATTTGGTTTCAAATGGCAAAGAATTTAGCGACTTCATTCCAACCTACACTACTCCAAGAACCGGTCTCTGCTCAACCCCAGATATCCGCAAGAAAAAGCATGACATCGGTGAGGGGATGTCGTTCACTTGCGCGTTTGACACACGGGCCACAACTGGACCGTTTTTTCTCGGCCGATTTCAGGGTCGGGATGATCCTTTCTGCCTGAGGCGATAACTGAACTCGCCAACATCGGATGGCTTTGAGAGATATTGTTTAGTTGCATAGCCAAGCCATAAATGTATTTATCCGGCATTCTCTCAATCAGCGCAGCAGCATGCAGTGGACTCGGGTCCAAGGCAGATTGCTCCATCCAACCTGGCAAGTACCTGACTCAAGCATTGAAGCACGGGCGAATCGCCAACCAACCTGGCTGCTCTCTGCTCTCCAGCCTCGCACAGGCGTCGTCATCACCACCGCTGCCGTTTCCTGAGGCTGGGACTGATTGATTTCTGAATTCTTACAACACAATAATTAGGTTTTTAAACTATTTACCCTTGGTTCACGCCGCAAATCCTTGAAGAGGCACGGCGAGTCGGTCACTTCGTGTCTCCACTTCCACTTGTGCTCCCCCTTTTCCGGCACCTACCCGACCCCGATCGAGCTCGACATTACGTATACCGGCGCCATGTATTCGAATTCGAACAACTACCTCGGCGGCAATAGCATGCGCCCTGGTGCTCCGCAATATGGCAACTCGTTCGGCGCAGGCGCAGGCGCTGGTCAGCCCCAGCAGCAGCAACAGCAGCAACAACAGCCAGGTCCGTTCGCCCCGCAGCCGACGGGCTTCGCCCAAGCGCCGCTTCAGCAGCAGTATACCGGCTACCCGGGCTTGCAGCCGCCCCAAGGCACCGGGCAGCTGCAGCCGCAGTTCACCGGCTTCGGCCAGACTCCGCAGCAGAACATGTCCACCGGCGCACCGCCAATGCCAGCTATCCCTCAACAGTACCAGCAACAATTCCAACAGCAGCAGCAGCAGCAGCAGCAGCAGCCCCAACAGCAACCGACCCCCTACACGGCGGCTCCCACGCAGCCCGCCCAAACGCTGGCCCCTCCTCCACCTGTAAAGCCGCAGGCCACCGGCTTCAGCGAAATGGCGGCTTCTTTCCATGCCGGCGGCGGCGCAAAACCCCAGCCCAGCGCGGCCCCGAGACAGGCAAACACGGTTCCCAATATCCGTCTCTCCTTCATTACCGCTCCGGATCAGGCCAAGTTCGAGACCTTGTTTAAGTCTGCCGTTGGTGACGGCCAAACCACCATGTCGGGAGAGAAGGCGAGAGACCTGCTGCTACGGTCTAGGCTAGACGGAGACTCGCTTTCTCATATCTGGTGAGTGGGCTTGGAGGGATACGCTATCTACTTTGCCGCAGTGCTGACTTATTCAAGGACGCTTGCCGATACCACCAGATCCGGGCAGCTGCATTTCCCCGAGTTTGCCCTCGCCATGTATCTCTGCAACCTCAAGCTCACCGGAAAGACGCTGCCGCCGTCACTGCCCGACAACATTAAGAACGAGGTCTCTAGCATGGTGGATATTATCAACTTCAGCATTACGGAGGAGTCTGGTTCTGCTTCTGCCACAGCTACCAACGCGCCTGATTTCGGTGTGCGCCAGAACACGGCTACCCCTCCAGTTATTCAACACCCGCAGCCGCAACCGTCGAGCTCCCAACTTCTCCAGGCGCAGATGACGGGCTTCCCTACCCAGCAGACCGGGTTCATGGGACAAGGCCTTCAAGCACAGCAAACGGGTATGCCTCAAGCGACCGGTTACACCGGTCCGCGGCCGCCCATGCCACCCATGCCGACAGGGTTCGGTTCAAACTTGTCGCCCAATGCCGGCCCCGGAGGGATGATTGCGCCGTTGAATGCCCAGCCCACAGGGCGCCCCGGCCAGTGGGGCCTTGTCAACACACCCGCGACCGGGTTGCCGAACATTGATGCCTTGCAGGCACGCATGATGCCCCAGCAAGGCCGTGAACAGCAGGACTACACCACCGCCGGATTGCAAGGAAATGCCGTGATCCCCTGGGCTATTACCAAGGACGAGAAGACTCGGTACGATGCCCTGTTCCGCGCGTGGGATGGTCTGAATAAGGGGTATATCGGTGGTGACCAGGCCATTGAGATCTTTGGCCAGAGCGGCTTGGAGAAACCCGACCTTGAGCGTGCCTGGACGCTCGCGGACCATGGAAACAAGGGACGCCTAGATCTTGACGAGTTCGCCGTCGCTATGCATTTGATCTATCGCAAGCTTAATGGTTATCCTATCCCGAACCAGCTCCCTGCTGAACTGGTACCTCCCTCCACCAGAAATTTCAACGAGTCCCTCGGCACCATCAAGAACATGCTCCACAAGGAATCGGATTTCCGAAAGAACTCGGGCGCTACGTTGTTACCGCAAAAGACTGGTGTCAGCTATCTGAAGAACCACTCGTTCAGGGGTGCCGGGGCCGCTTCTGGTAATCGCAAGGATGCCACTGTCTTTAAGAACAACGACGATGCGGTCGGTTACCGATCAAGCGCGCGCCGCAGAGTCGGCAATGCGTCACCTCGTCCCGACTCGCCAGCATCCGTCGGCTCCAACGAAGAGTTGAGCCTGGATCAGCTGCGGAAGAAGATCAAGGAGAAGCAGGTGCTCCTTGACGCAATGGACTTCGCCGACGAGAAGAATATCGAGGAGGACGACATCCTTGACAGACGTGACCGCCGCGAGGCCGAGGAGCTTTATCGCCGCGTTAGGCGGATTCAGGAGGATATCGACAACCACCCGGATGCATCCTTGATTGGTGGGGACTCTGAAGCTGAGAGAAGAGCCCTCAAGCGCCAACTGCAAAACCTAACCGACAAGATCCCCGAACTGGCGTCTCAGGTTAGAAAGACTGAGAAGGCAATCGCGGACGCAAGACTCGAGTTGTTCCGCCTGAAGGATGCCAAGGCCCATCCGGGCAGCGCCGCCGCCATTGTCGGGACTGGCCCCGGCGGTGCCATTACCGAGTCTGACAGACTCAAGGCGCGGGCCAAAGCTATGATGCAACAGCGGACTGCTGCCCTGACCGGCAAGAAGATCGACGTGAGCAGTGACCAGGATGCTGAGAAACGGCTCGAAGAAGAGAGTATCAAGGCGAGAACTGAGAAGGAAAACAATGAGCGTATGGTCCGGGACGTTGAGGACAGCGTTCGTGACTTCGCCAAGGGTATTGAAGACAACCTCAAGGAGGGCGGCCAGGATTCTACTACGGAGCACGAGAAGCGCCGATGGGAGGATGCTCTCGGGGTCGAGGACGAGGTTAGAGATTTTATCTACGATCTCCAACGGACCAGCCGTGCCTCTCGTATTAGGTCCCAGGATCGGCAGGGCGGACGCCAGGCCACTCAGGAACCCGTCAGCGCTGAGGCGCCTCCGACCGCCCGAGTCGACAGCCCCGCCGGTATTTCGCGCACCGCCTCCCCGGCGGCTGCTCCTGCTGCAGGCGGATCATATTCGTCGTACAAGACTCCCGAGGAGAGAGCCGCATTCATCAAGCAGCAAGCCGAGCAACGCATGGCTGAACGGCTTGCTGCCCTAGGTATCAAGGCCCCTACGAAGCCGGGCGAGACGGCGGCTCAGCGAGCCGAGCGTGAGCGGGCCGAACGGGCCGCCAAGTTGCGGCAGGCAGAGGAGGAAGACGCCCGCCGCGAGACAGAGAGACAGGCAAGGCTTGCTGAAGAGCAAGGCGTTCCACCGCCCGCTGCTCCGCAGGCTGCCAAGCCTGAGGGGAGGAAGCCGCCTCCCCCTCCCAGCCGTAAAGTGGCCAAGGCAGACGATAAGCGTGCCGAGGAAGAGCTTGCTGCAAAGAAGGCGGAGGAGGAGCGTCTGGAACGCGAGCGTGAAGAACAGGAGCGCGCAGCACGGGAGCTTGAGTAAGTCTATGGCATAGTTGTGCAGTCCGAGTATTTGCTAACAGTGTTGTGTAGGGGCCAAGCCAAGGTTCAGGAGGATGAGCTTGCTAGGGAGCGTGAGGAAGCTGACGCTCGCCTCAAAGCGCTCGAGGAGCAAGTCCGGCAGGGCAAGTTGAAGAAGGAGGAGGAGAAGCGGAAGAAGAAAGCGGCGCTAGCCGAGGCCAAGGAGAAGGAGACTCAGCTAGCCCAGCGGAGAGCCGAGATCGAAGCAGCTCGTAAGCGCGAGGAAGAGCTTCGCAAGCAGCTTGAAGCCATGGATGACGATAGCTCCTCGGACGACGAAGGCCCAGAACAAATCACTCCTCAAGCGTCGACTCCGACGATGGGCGACAGCCAGATCGTCAACAAGGAACCAGAACGACAACCTACCCCACCGCCGGCGCCAGTGGTTTCACCGCCGCAAATCGTCACATCCAGCCCTCCGACAGATGGGGAGAGCCGCAACCCCTACTTTAGAATGATGTCCCACTCCTCGGACACTGCTTCTCCAGCGGCGCCTGCACCCCCAGTGGCCCCGCCGCCGCCGCCGCAACCCGAAGCCTCCACGAACCCGTTCCACCGCATCGCGCAGGCTCCCGCACCCTCAGCGGCCCCAGTGACAAGGCGACCTCTCGATGACGATGGTTGGGGCTCAGACAAGGACGAGGAAGACGAGGAGTCGGACGATGACAGGCCGGGCGGCAAGAGCGCCGCCGCGCTCGCTTCCATCCTGTTCGGCACCATGGCACCGCCGCGCCCGCTGTCCGCAACTGGCGACAAGTCTGCTACCTCGCCTACCGTGAGCTCCCCGGTTGCGCCGCCTCCCGACTCGGCTTCGCCACCGGCAGCAGCCCCACCGGCACCGCCGCCGCCCCCGCCGATGCCCGGTGCGTTCCCGAGCACCAGCCCGGGTCCCGGCGCCCCGCCGCCGCCACCACCACCCCCACCCCCGATGCCTTCCGCTGGCGGCGCGCCGCCGGCTCCTCCCCCACCGCCCCCGGGCATGGCCCCTCCCGCGCCACCGCCGCCCCCGCCTCCCGCGGGTGGCGCACCGGCTGCACCGGGTGGCGGCCGGCCGGCAGCGCTACTCGGCGAAATCCAGGCGGGCAGGGCGCTCAAGAAGACGGCTACGCGAGACAAGAGCGCCGCTGCGGTGGCCGGTCGGGTGCTAGATTAATTTTCATCTATTGGTTCATGCACTGCTGCTGTGCGACCCGGCAGTTCGCCCGGGGCGGCTGGCTACGTGCAGGAGAGATACGAGGTGCTTAGCCGGGGAACTGGGAAGAGTGGAGAGGGGAGAAGCCGGGGGGGGAGGGGGGAGGGTGTATAGTACGGGGTTGTATGTTGCTTGGGTTGTATGTTGCTTGGGGGGGGGGGGGGGGGGGGGGGTAGCACTCGGTTGGTGAGCTCGTCTGCTGCCGAAGGTTTATTTACCGATTGGCCGGCTACCACCTATCTTGCTGCCGCTTTTCGATTCTATTGTTTTTACATGAGACAGGCCGGTGCTGTGTAGCATACCCGTGTCAAGTTTCGAGCTACTACTCCTGGACTGTGTTCGTCCTCGCCATTACGTAACATTGTAAACATTGTAGATATGCTTACCAAGTTGGTGACGGCGATGACGACCTACATAGTGATGTTTGTGACCAGTCGACCACCTAACTGACTGGCCAACCGACCCATGAATCATGACCACGGCCCTGATGGACCGAGCAACGGTGTTAGTTATCGATGGGATGCACATCCTCCCCGATCGATCCCCCGGTCACTCGATGTCCCGATCTCCGAGATCTCTCCTCTGTCCATCCCTCCCTAGCTAGCGCCGCTCATCCATCCCACCGCAGCTCGACCTGCCGAGACATACAGGGAAGCGAAAGCTTCTTGGGGGGCGGCTTCGTACCGGAGCGCGCGCCGGGGGCCCTGCATAACCTTTTGCTGGCGCCTCTTTTCTTTCACTCTCATGTCATTCATCCCTTGTGACGGGATGCAAAGTTGTCGTTTTTACCTTTTCCTTTTTCTTTTTTTTTCTTCTCGTGCACTACTTCCGGGAGCCTCGGTCCCGAACGCGCTTGGAAAATGGGGGAGGTTGGGGAGTGCGGAGATGAGAGACATGATGTGTCACCTTGGGTACGGGATCTGTGCGGCCGGCTGGCCGCGTTGATGGCGGCCCGGCGGCGGTTCTTGGTCGTTTTTGGGCCGTTTTGTCGTTTTGTGTCTCTGTGGGCTTTTCTGACTTGTCTCTTTTTTTTTTTGTGCCCCCCGCTTTGGCGGTTTTCTTGCTCTCCAGGCTTTCCTTTCTTTTGTGGCCGAGCCTACAAGTATGCTATGTGCAGCCTGAGTTACATACAAGCACGAATAGTAAAACGTGCCCTAGTCAGGATTGTATGTGTCCCCGGATTGGGTGTGCCCTCGCCGTAGTATTCTTTGTTGGGTTACGGTTACGGGTACCTTTTTCTTTCAACCACGAGTTTGACGCAGGTGTTTGAGTTGCTGCGCGGAGGGCCGTCCGGGCCGGTCAAGTAGCAAGCAGGAGGAGTCCCAGGTCAGCTCGTCAGGCAATCGTGGAGAAGTGGATGTGTTGTTTGAGTGGGTGCAGATGGGGTCGATGCACCGGGAGTTTAATCCTTGGGGGCTGTGCAGCAGATCCCGGACGCACCTCCTCCTGCATGTGGGTGGCCCGAAAGTGGGTTTGGGCAACTTTGATGAAACGCGCTTGTTCAAAGGCAGATGCGAGTTCTTGACTGTGCACACGGGAGCGGATTTGAACCGGACCGAGGGTTCCATTGCATGGGAAAGTTTCGAGAACACTGGGGGGTGTCGTGCCACAGTCGTGCTTTTAACTGCATTTTTCTTCATTTTTCCTGATGTGTATTAAGTAGTTACTCGACCCAGAGTTTGGAGCAGCCCGGGATTAAACAAATGAAGGGCGCTGGCCCGGCCTCCGGATCCGTCGAAAGGTGCCATTGGAGGATCATGGGGCCGAGTTCTCGGCTGAGCCAACTGCCTCTCGGTACCTTCCATGGTTTAACCAGAAGTGGACAATTCCACGATGAAGTCCGTTCCTATAAATGGGAATTCCTTTCCGGGGAGGGATGGCAAGCTCCCTCGCCGAGGCCGAGCACCGAGTCACATTTTCGAGATGGGCGCAGGCGTGTGTGGGGAATGTGCACTGAAAGGGCACGCAAGCGAAAGAATTCCTGGCTCTCTTGACTCCGGTTCCGGGTCAGCAGTTTCGGGGTTGAGAATGTTCAGAATTTACATCGGAGCTCTCGCAGGGTTCGAGCTTGGAGAGCTATTGCACCCGAGCCGGCAGAGAGTGCCGACGGCTAGAGGGCCAGACATGGAAAGCCTGGCCTGGCACCCCATGGACAAAAAAAAGCCGGAACCCAAGTGCAGGTTGAGAGTTGATAGTCCAGATGCCAAGGTAGAGGTCGCTCGACGAGTGGAAACGAAAGCTATCAGGAGGCCCAAAGAAACTGCATTTACTCTCTTCAAAAAAAAATTTTTAATCGTTTTGTTTTATTTGATCATTTCGCCCGATTTCTATTATTTGATTATTTTCACTTGTTTTCGACTTCCCGTATGAAGTACACAGAAGAGTTCGGCTTTTTTTTGGCATTCGCCTGTTGTGTGAAGCCGGGCACACCCGCGCACGACTCTTTGCGCTGGCATTTTGTGGAGCAAGATGGTACTGGCCCGATGTGGGAAGCGGGTCGTTCGATGCACCGTTAGGCAAGGTAGCCAATGATGTCACATGCCGATCCTTTCGCACTCAAACTCTCCCTTGCAAGTCGGCCAGAGTCCAGAGCTCGGGAGATTGAGGGATGTGCTCAGATAAGCTTGGAGCATGTCGTCGGGACGAGAGGGGTAATCACGTCTCCATTACGAAACGGCGGGGATCTGGGTGGTGGTGGTGGTGATGGTGTTGGTGATGGTGGTGGTTGAAAGAAGGTCTGGACATCGGGCCTCGACCATCATCATACACAGTATATCTATCTGTGGCTGAGTCGTTCCATGCCGCTGCCTCGCAGACTCCAGGAAGCAAAGCGGGGTTGCGAGGCACAGTTTGGCGGGAAGCCTGAGGCGCTGGGCTTGACTTGAGCGGGCACTCGCTGAACCGGGCCTCGAACCCCGCGACTTGAGTCCACTTTGGGTCTGTTACTTGATTGGCTGGTTGGCCGTGAACGCGCGACCGAGACGCGAAGGTCCGCGTCAAGTGGGCCCTTTCGGTAAACAAATGCATGCCTTCGCTGCATCCTGTTGGGCCGCAAGCCATGTCGAGCTGGGTCCTCGGCGTCACATCGATTGCACCATGGCCAACCAAACGCCGCCCGTCCAATCTCTGCCGAACGTGCGACCTCTCCGGCCCACCCGCTCCTTGATCCCGCTGCCCGTCTTCACTTGACCTCCGCGCGTGCATCGCATTTTGGTCTGAGAGAGACGGCTTCTTAGCTGTATGTGGTTTGAAGTTTTTGCTGCGCTACACATCGAGATCATCTCGTGAGACGACTGGCCAATGCTGCGACCAATGCTGCCAGCAATCGCTCACCATCATCCCACCTGCATTGCGTTCCACGCTCGTCTCGTGTCATCCAATCCCAATTCATACCATACTAGTTATCCCATCCCACTCACAGCTTCACTGATTCTTCAGGAGCGAGGACATGCCCGCTTGGACTCCGCTTCTTTGATTCACAAATTCTCAACGCTGAACAGCTGCATCCGTCAACGTGACGGCATCGCCAGACGATTTTGCTCGATTTTGCCGAGCCATCGATGACTTCCACTCAAAGGGCAGCCTCTGCCGCATCCCTGCACCCGAAGCTCATAAATCCCTGTCGGCGGTCAGCCCTCGCCCAATCTTGTTCTTGTGCCCTTCACTCCCTGCCTGGTTTCCTGCCCCACTCGACGACCCGTCTTGGAACAAGCGTGTGAGCTGGCAGCGGGATTCATCTTTCTCTTGCTGCACACGCCCACAACCCGGGCCTTTCTGCCAACCAACCCTCTTCGACTCACTCCCTCCCACATTGCCCTGTCTCCCACGTCAGCCCAACTCTCGCCGCATAATTTTCCTCCCCTTCTAAATTTTGGACGGGCCTTCAGTATCATCCTGGAAACGGAGAGATCAAGAATTGCTGCATACTGCCGAAGTATCCTCAATTGCGCCCTGACTATCACCGCGTTCGCGATCATCCGATTCAGTTCTTGATAGTACCTCACCACTTACATACATCCCTTGCTTCACCGCTTCCCCCACAGCTCGGTAATTAAGCTGCACCCCCGGTGGAGGTCAGGACCAAGCCTTAACAACCTACCTACCTTCAGCCCTTCGACCCGACCACCTTTTTGGCAACACTACCTCGTACCAACACTACGTCAACGCTACGTCGACTAGATATCCTCTACGCCTTGTGCATGCCGTTGTCGCCGTATAACGTGGACGACTCGGTCGGCGGTTAACCGGTAGCAGCCTAGAGAACCCCTCAGGCTCCACAGCGCGCATCTTGCGCGTTTGGGCTCGGCCACCGATGGCCAGGCTATCACTCCCCCAGGGCGACGAGCCTTTTCCTATTTTCCACGACGAGTTCTTCAACCAGCCGGCGCCGATGATCAGTCACGCTCCGATGCCCGCGGCGCCGAAACCCGCCCGACAACCCCTCCAAAGCGCCAATTCCAATGTCGTCCTTAACCCTCCGACGTCCGCGACCGCGAAGCGGTCTCCCTACAAGTCAAATGCGCGACCGACTAACCCATCGCTTTCCGCACTCAACGCGTCGCAGGGCAGCAAACTCAACATGGTCCAGATGATGCCGCCCAGCAACGCGCCGCCCTCCACAGATTCGCTCGAGAAGAAACAACCCGTCATGTCGCGGTTCAAAACGGTCGCGAAAAAGCCTCAGCCCGAACACAGCGTGCAGTTCATGGGCAAGGAAAACTCGCACCCTCCGATCTACCCGGCTCCGGCTCCGTCGCAATTCACCCTGGACCTGGAAAATTTCTACCAAAAACCCTCCGGGAAGCGCGTTTTGATGGAGGCCGCCCCCATCAAGGAACTTCGGCCGGCTAAGAAGCAGAAAACCGACGAGGCTCTTCCCCCACACGACTCGTTCCCCCCGGTCGTCGACGATGGCACGAAACCGAACCACAGCTACGCGACCTTGATCGCCATGGCGATTGTCCGGTCACCACAGCGGAGGTTAACGTTATCTCAGATCTACAAGTGGATTTCCGACACCTACTCGTACTATCAGGGCGACAACACCGGGTGGCAGAACAGCATCCGGCACAACCTCAGTCTCAACAAGAGTTTCGTGAAGCAGGAGCGGCCCAAGGACGACCCGGGTAAGGGCAGCTACTGGTCGATCGAACCGGGTACAGAGCACACGGTGCTCAAGGAGAAGCCGTCGAGGAAGTCTGCGGCGCCGACGGCCGAAAATATGCCCGTCATGTCGACGCGCCTTGAACCCTCACAACCTCAGCCGCAGCCGCGGCCGCCCTGCCTATCCGAACCGATGTTGCCGCCGCAGCTCCCGGTGGCTCAAAACATTCTGCCCGCGCCTCCCCCGCCATCGTCCCAACACCTCGCTCCAGCGCCACTGCTCACGGATATTTCGTCAGACGCAACCATCCCCGCGTCCGACCCGGCCAGCATTGACGAGAGGATTGGGGCACCCACAGAGAAGGATTTGCTGCACGACTCAGAACTGTACTCGCCTCTCCCCGCAGCCATGCACTCGTCGCCCCCGATTCCCAGGCGCATGGACGCCCGCCATGATGGCACCCCGCCCTCCCAGCAGCGCATGCAGCAGCAATCATCAGCCACCAAGTCGCGCCATCGGCGGAGATTCATGTCGATGGACGACAGCGGTTATATCTCGTCTCTCGAGTCATCGGTCATGCGTCCCCAGCAACATCCGAAGCTCCTCACATCTGAGGCCGACCGGCCACGGCTCAAGAGGGGGCGGGCTGAGGAAGAAATTGCTCGTCTTCGTGCTTCCTCGTACGACAGCCCGTCCAAGGGGCGTTCATACGGTTATGCGCCGCCTTCGTCGTCACCCATTCGTCAGGCCCCCGGGACAGGGGCGGGGCAGATGCTCCCACCCCTGACGCCTGCGATGAAACTCAAGGCGCCGCCGAAGCCCCCGCCATCCGTCTCTCCTAGCACAAATCTGCGTCTGCACCGGGAGAGCATCCAATCTATGGTCGAATCGCCGGTCAGGCGCGTTGCTGCTTTGCTACCTGACGGTGAACTTGCGGCACAGCAAACCCCCGGCATGAACGGAGAGAACATGTGGTATTTCCTCGAGGAACCTGGCCATAACAACACTGGCTTTGACATTTTCGAGGACGCCCCTGATTTTCAGTCCCTCTTCGCATTGGCCGGGTCCGCCGCACCCACAGGCTCTCCGTCAAAGCGGTCAACGAGGAAGCAACGTTTTGAGCGGTCGCAGTCGACCAGCGCGTTGAACCATGTCGCGAACCCGGGCCACAGCGCCTCCAAGTCTGCTTCCTTCCTCAGGATCCCCAGTCAGCCGTCGAATCTGCTGCTGGAGACCCCGAGCAAGGTCTTCGACGGCCTCCTCTCTTCGCCCAGCAAGCTCTTCCAGGATATGCAGTCACCGAGCAAGATGCCCCTGATCAGCGCCGACAACCTGGACGCGTTCCACGGAATCAACATGAGCGGTCTCGAGGCCCCCGACTTCCTGGAGGAGACCGACTTTTCCGGCTTCGACATGCTTGCGGGCTTCGAGAAAATCGGCTCGAATAATTCGCAGGCCTCGCGGGGTACCAACAAGGGACCTCTCAGCCGCGCTTACACGTCGACTTTCTGAGCGCTCTTGCGTTCGCCGCCCTCGACTGCCTGCATTTCTGTTTGCCGCGCTGCCCCCGGGGGGTTTTGCTCACGACTGTTACGACTAAAAAAAAAGAGCGACTAATTCACATCTCTGTCCGGCGTTGTTGGTTATGGCCACGAACGACACTATTGCGGCTTGATCTCATCCTCCCCCCCACCTGGTTTGGGGGACACGCCGGGACAACACTTAACCCATCGACCATCGCGCTGCGCCTCGCGTATGGGCCTTGTCGATTGGGAATCGCTATAATCTAGTACTCTTTGTCACGATAATGACGAAATGTTTGGGCGACACGGGGAACAACGGGTGGTTATTATTATACACATGGCAAGGGGCGCATAGCAATACCTAGCATTCCGGGAGTTAGGACGGGATGGGCTGGGACTGGATTGTCGAGTTGTTTTGTACAAGGAAGGGGGTGGCTACCGTGCTTTTTTTGCGTTGTCTGGATTCTCTCGGGTTCGGCTTGGGGCTCGACTCCCTCGCCAGGTATAGGGATACGGTTTACTTTCGGTGTTTTTTTCTCCTTTTCTTCTTTCAGCGACATCACTAGCGAACGGATCTTGTGCTGGGACGGATATACTTGGGTTTGGCTCGGCTTAAGCGCACGGGGTCACTTCCAGGATAGGGGAAAGGACGGTTGGGTTCCTGGAGCGAACGGTCTGCCTGGCTGGATGGGCGCTTCTTGCGTGGGATCTTGTTTTAGCGGGGACCTGATAATTCTGCTCTTTCTGCTGCGGCGGTCAATTGACGCTTTTGATGGTGTGACACCACACACCACTTTTCCTGCCTGTTTTGTTCAAGCTCGGTCGTTGTTGTTTGATCTCCGTTCCAACCATGCAACAAGATGGTTATCACGATTTCCCCTCGAATCACATAAACAGAGGAGGCTTATGTATTGTATGATTCCCTTTGAAATTCGTCTGGGTTTAGAGTAAATAAAAAGAAGTTAAAAGAACATCAAATAAGAAGTGAAAAGATCAAATGAAACAACAAAACCGAAATAGAAGGTGACCCTAGACCAAATATTTTTTTTTTTTTTTAATATTATGTTCCAATTCAATAACTGTTATGAAGATCATTTTTAGTGGAGGACCTTAACGAGTTGCACTGGAATGGATTTGATCCCCTTAGTGAAAACCCATTCTAAAGACCATTTTCACGAACATTAGTGCTGCGGAATGGTATATATACCCGTCCGTACCACCAACTGACCGCGTTCTTTAATCTTCTCTCCTTCAGGTAGAAAGTCTATAATTGCTGTTTTTCTTGTGGGTATCTCGACTGATTCGCAAAACAACCAGTGCTCCAACATATCGGCCAGAACTCAACAAATCTGGGCGGTAGTTAATAACCAAACCCCATGTACCAAATCTATCCCATACTCCGCTGGTGAACCCAAAACGCCAAATGCCATGCCAAAAGTCTCGCTACCGTTGGCCCCAATCCTATATGGGTCCCTCACATGCTCGCTCCCAAATCCCATCGCTACGGGTTTGGCTTTGATATTACCCCAAACCGAACAGCCCCTCGACTTCCAGATGAATGGATGTCTTCTCCTCTTCCCCCCTTACTTCCCCTCCTTCCCCGTTGCTAATTCCCCGTTGCTAATTCCCCGTCCCCTTCTTCAGACAGACTCACACCAAATCACAGCATCGCCGTAGCCTACCGCCCCGGCCAGCCCACGCGCCGAGAGACCCCCACCTAGTAGATTCCCATGCGCGTGGCCCACCCGGCAGCCTTGGCCGTCACGGCGGCCGCGGCCGCGGCCTCCTTGCTCTGGTGTTTCTGTTGTTGCTGTTGTTGCTGCAGCAGCTGCTGTTGCTGCTGCTGTTGCTGCTGCTGCTGTGGTTGGCCGCCGGTGCCGCCGATGCCGCCGACGTGGATCTGGTAGGGGAACGGGTTCGAGTCCGAGGTGGTGATGGGCGGGATGTGGTCCTTGTGGGCGTTGGCCAGCGTGACCGCCTTCATGATGGTGTTGTGGAGGGTTCTCTCGGAGGCGCGTCGGACTTTTGCTCGTTCTATATGCGGGGGGGAAGAGAGGGTTAGATGAGGAGGGATAGGTGGGGGTTAAGGGACAAGGAAGGATGAGGTGGGGGTGGGGGTTCGAGGGTAACATACCGCCTTCTGTTCGCGGGTCGGCTACCGTCACCTTGACTGTCCAGCTCTCCCAGCAGACCTCGTCGTCGCCGCGCATGGCGTACCAAGTTTTGCGCCGGCGCTTCTCGAGGAATTGGATCGTGATCTGCCCGCGCCCGCCGCCCCCTCCCCCGCTCGAGGTTGTCGAAGGGGGTGTCCCGCCTCCTAGCAGGCCGAGTCCTGGGCCGCCGCCGCGGTTATCGTAAAGGTTATGGGGTTGGTGGCGCTCTGACTCGAGCTGGCGCACGAGGGCGGCCACATGTTGGTCGATGAGGGTTTCGATCTCGGCTTCGGGGACGTAGGCTAACTCGAGTCCGAGGACGTCGCGGGTTTGCGGGAGGACGGCGGAGAAGAACCGAAGGAAGAAGATGGTATGGAGAATGCCTGCGCGCGCAAAGGTTGGTTAGTGTTGTGTGTTCAAGGTAGTGTTGCGATCGATTGATTTGGCGGAGGGGCGCAGGCCAACAATCCGAGTTCTGGGCTGAAACTCACCACGAACGACGTCGCGCACCGAGTTTGGGTCTGCAAAGGCTTCTAGTATGAATTCCGGGGCGCCGCGCTGGTCCATTGTGAGACTCTTCCAGAGGCGGTGTCTTGGTCGGGTGTTGCGAATGGTGAGAACGGTCTAAAAAGGGGTTTTGCTAGTGTGGGTGTTCATGGAAGATTGAGGGGCAGCGCAAAGCGGAATTGAGGGGCACTTGGGACGGAGCGAAATGAGCTGTGACGTTGGCTCTTTGTGGAGTGTCCGAGCTTGCATCGGCCCCGGATTCCCGGCGTCGAAGCCCCACAACGAAGTCCGCTTCCTCCCTGGAAAAAGCAGCAGTTAATCGCCACTAACTACCAAGTTGGTTCATATGACACTTCAAATGCCGATACCAACCGGGCCGCCGCTTGTCTGAAATTCGGTCACGCTGCTGGAATGTTCTCTGCTTCGAGGATTCTGTCAGACTCGTCGCCGTCCGTAGAATAAGCAACAGCAGAAAATAATTAGAGGAAGTAATCTGTTTGGACAACTTGACTTGAGCGGATCCCAATTTCTCGAACCCACTGCCCGTGGACCCAGGTGGTCAGCCCTATCGATACCATCTGACCCGCCAAACCCCATCTTGCTCAAGACCGCCGTCTTTGCCATGTCAGCCTTCTCCTCCGAACCACACCCGCCCATTCCTTCATGGAATTCCTCAAGGTATCCATTCCCGACGACAAGCTATGTCTGTGCCAAATTACTGCGGGCACGCATCTCAACCCATTCCCCACGGCGCCACTGCACAAATGTTTGGGTTATAAGGAGACAACGCCCAGGAGATTCCCTCTGAATACGCCACCCCCCGCAGTCCTTGGGTGGCTCTCCCGTATCTCCCCCGTGCTCGTTAAGCTGGTCACAGAATATCCTCAGGAACTCATAGAGCGTGATTTGGTGATGTAGGTCAGAGTGCCAGGGGTCAAACACGAACTTCATGCGCTTTGCGTGGTCCAGCTCGATATGCCGAAGCTTCCGCCGTCGCCCGGGTTCGACAAATCTGCGCCCCAGCCGATTATAGTTGGTCGAGTCGGCGAACACAACGGAGAGGCTCTGGAGCATCGGGCAGTGACTATTAATGCACGTCGTCATGTGCTGTCCGACATAAGTGTTCGCCGATGGGATGGCCAAATGCCGGATCTGCGACAGCCAGCTCACATGGTCGGCGGCGTAGTGAGGGCCCCATAGGTGGTTATGGCGTTCTTCGTCCCAAAACACCGTATCCAGATCGGGCCGGAAAGGACGGAACGGTACCTCGCAGCCGGCTTCGTGAGGAGAGCGGAAACGGATGCCGCTGTGATTCCGCACGTACTCGCGCGACTCGTGGCAGGTGTGCATCAGGGTTGGGAAAGCCGTGTCGACCGTCTTAGGTTCCAGAGGTGCGTCTTGACCCGGCCGATCAATGTGTGCGGGTTGAAGAACCAAGACTTCGGGTTCGTCGTCTGGGAGCGCCAGATGCCATATCAGCTGCCGGATTTCGAAGGGGAGTGCGTTGAAGACGGTGAAGACTGGTAACATGATGCCCGTCATGACAGACCCAGTTGGGGTTAAGATAATCGAATAATCGAAAGACTATAGGGCAGCTTGGTGTTTGATATGCTCTGTGTAGGAATTCACGATCATTAGTTTTAAACTGGGTTTGTACTACCGTTGATACCGCCTGATTAAACCTATGGAAGTTTATCTGATCGTCGGTAACATTAGGTATCTTTGGGAGTTTCTGTCTGGGTCACGGTGTCTGGGTCGAGGAAACAGGGTTAGGGTCCATCCACGACTGGCTTTCCCCGGTTACCCCATCCAGCGCATGCACAGCAGCACCCCAAACCAGGATCAGCCCTACCTATCAGGGCCCGCCGAGCCGAGGTTGATTGATTGCAGCAGCGCAACAGGGGCCGAACCATCGGCGGACTGCTGAAGACTGGGCACCAGCAGCGAGGGAATGTCATTGACCCAACACCAACCAAACTTGGAACCTCCAACATATGCTCTGCAATAGCAGAGCTCGGCATCGATTGAAGACACCATGTTCGCAGCAACCGGACGATGGTTCAGGCGCAACCGCACGCCCATTGCCATTGGCATGGGCGTCGTCGGCGCCGGCTACGTCGCCACGAATTATGTCTTGGGCAAGTTACGCGACGCCCGGGAGCGTATGAGTAGCGATCGCATCGCAAAGGAGAAGTAAGTTTTCAATTCATTATCAACCCCGTTGAGAACTCGCTAACATGGCCGCGACATCGCCAGCCTGCGCCGCCGCTTCGAGCAAAACCAGGAGGACTGCACCTTTACTGTCCTCGCCCTCCTCCCGACTGCGACGACCAATATCCTCGAGGCCATGAATACGGAGAAGATTACGTACGAAATTCAGCAGATGAAGGGCTCGGCCGTGGCTAGGACCCGTAGCATTGGGTCGACTAGCCCACCCAGCATGTCCGAAACGAACGCAACCGACGACGACGGCCGCAGCATCATCACCGTGAGCGCGCAAAGCGAGGCTGGCATGCACACGACGCAAATCTCGGTGGCGACACCGTCGTCTACCGCGGTTTCGGAGGGTGGCGCTGCCGATGCGCCGCAGACGCTCATGGTTCCGCAAAAGCCACGGAAGACCAAGAGGCAGCTCTGGGACGAGCTCACGATCAGTTGTGAGTTGAATTAAAGGGGGTGGGGCTCTTCAGATCAACCCATGCTAACTTGACAACTCGACAGCGATCACGAGAGCATACACTCTCCTCTATACCCTCAGCCTCCTTACAATGCTCACAAGGATACAACTTAACCTGCTTGGCCGACGTAGCTACCTCTCGAGCGTCGTCTCTCTCGCGACAGGCGGCAACGGCACCCCGGGCACCATCAGCCTGGAGAACAACGACGACGACAGCGCCGACCAAGCCTACGGCACCGACTTCGACGTGAACCGCAAGTACCTGACATTCAGCTGGTGGCTGCTCAACCGCGGCTGGGTCGACGTGATGCAGCGCGTCGAGGGCGCCGTGCGCCAGGTCTATGGCCACCTCAGCCCGCGCGACACGGTCACGCTCGACACCTTCGCCAAGCTCAGCCACGACGTGCGCCGCCTGATCGAAGGAAATGCCCCCTCAAAAGGAGCCGGAACTGCCTGGCTCCCCTACCTCCTCCCGCCGCCCGGGATGGAGGAGTTCGTCCTGCGCGAGTCGGGCGTCCTCGACTCGGACCCCCTCGACGACGCCGCCCAAGGCAACCCCGCGCCGCCGGGCCCATCCTCGCCCTCCTCGGCCGTCTCGCTCCGCCGGCTGCTCGACGAGACGGCGGACCTGATCGAGTGCCCGCACTTCGCGCACGTGCACGCGCAGCTCCTGGACGCGGGCTTCTCGGCGCTGCTGGAGCAGAAGCTGGTGGCGGGGGTCTTCGACGGCGCGACGCTCGAGGCCGACCCGCTGGGCGGCGCGGGCGCCGCCGCCAGCCGCGCCGTGCTCCTGCCCAAGATCCTCAGCGTGCTCACCCGCCAGGCCCACGCCGTCGGCCACGGCATGCCCAACGAGTACCTGCAGGCCATGGAGGCCGTGCCCGACCTCGAGGGCTTCGCCGCCGTCGTCTACTCGAGCAACTGGCAGGCCGAGATCGTGCCGGACGACGGCGCCGCCGGTGACGTTCCCGCCAGCCCGGGGGGGTCGACCAAGATCGGCGGGTCGTCGCTGGCCTCGCTGCCTGGGGCTAAGGCGGCGGTGCCCCCCAAGGGGCTGGAGGCGGGCGAGGCGAGCTTGGTTATGGTGGATAAGACGGAGGGGGAGGATAAGGCGGACTTGTTTGATAGTGTGTGGGAGAAGGCGAGTGCTTCCAAGTAATCTCGGGTCGGTTGCGGGTATTCTTTTAGACTTTACGACTTTTTATATGGGTGTGTATTTATATATCATTTTCCGACCTCTATCACGGTCATGCTTCAGGCGGCTTGGGAGTCGGGGCTAAGAATTGGTGGGCGGGCAACAAGACGGGCATGAATAAACGTACTTAATGGGGGGTGTTGCTACGGGGCAGGGTTGGCATACTGCGGAGGCGGTTTGAATACAGCGAAGCTACTAGGACTCGGCCGGCCCTCGCTAGAGTCTAGGCGATATGCAGTGGTGTTCATAGGAGATAGGTCAAAGCTACGGTTAAGGCCGTTTGTTCGCTATTGTGATTTTTTCGAGGCGGTGGTAGTAACACTCTTTGGTATCCGTGAGTGCCCGACAGCACATAATATATTGGGTATCTATTCAACCACGACAACCGGGTTTTATCGTCCCAAGTTCTTGGAGAGCTTGGTACTCCACAGCCGTGACTCTCTTGCTCTGTTCCATCCTCTCTCTAAGGCTGAAATGTCTCCCTAGCCGTTTTCGCCGCCATTATATCCCATGTAGATCAGGTATGTATGTATCCTCCCTCGGCACGCCATTGTTTACCGGGCTCCAAAACGCCTCCTTCCCCGTCTCCCATCTCACATCAGCCCCCTGATGAACTGATCCAGCGCCAACTCAAACAACTCGTTCTTGACACCCGCACCGCCCTTGTGCTCGACCGGCGACAGCGGATTCTTGACCACTACAACACCCCAAGATCGTCAGTACGGCAAAACCCAACAACAATAACAAACCAACCCCTCCCCCCCCCCCTTTTTCCCATCCCCATTTCAGCAAGAAAAGTGTGTCCCACGTACCATACTCCAGCCACAGGTTGATGTACACCTGGTGCAGCACGTTGCGCATGCTGGGCGTCGCCGTGTCGGTCAGCATGACCAGCCGCAGGCTGCTCGCCGTCTCGTAGTAGTGCAGCTTGTAGTGGGCGGTGCGGAACGCCACGAACGCGTCGTCCTCCCCGCCCAGCTTGCGCACCATGTTGCGCAGCGAGAACACCGTGCCGAAGATCAGCTTCGCGTCGTCCGCTGATGAGGTGCGCAGTTGTTGCTGTTGGTGTTGTTGGGGGGCGTGCTGGGCGGCTGTTGGCCCTTGTGGTCCCCCTCCCCCATCGGGTGCCGAGGTCGCTGGGGGGAGCCAGGTTTTGGTGTAGATGCATTCGGCTGGGTGGTGGTGCGGGTGTGGGTTAGTGCGTTGTTGGAGATTTGGGCGGGGAGAGTAAAGGGGGCCCCTTACTATGCCGGTCGAAGATGTAGAACGAGTAAACAGCCATTGTGGTGGTGGTGTGACGGGCCGGGGAGGTCCCCTAGGCGAAACGAGTTCGCGCCGGGGACGGCGAGGTCGGGCAGGGCAGGGTGGGATGCGGGCGGTAACGGCGACGGTAGATGGTATAGCGGACCCCGGGGGAATTGATATCGATGTTTCGTTACGAGATGTCGGGTTTCTTCAAATCGGAGCGAGTTCGCGGTGGTTCGGCGAAGCTGGCTGCTGATTGATCAGTGATGCGAGGTGGGTGCCATGGGTGCCCGTCACCCCTGTCCCCCTTCCTGCAGGTTCGTCTCCGCTGCATTTGCGTCCGTGCGCCATCCCTATGAGGCTCTCTTTCAGGCGGGGTAGTTAGTGGGGGTTTGGAGGGGCAATGGAACGGGTTACGGGGGTTCCAGGTTACGGCTGCCCTACGAGGAACTGCGGCAGGCGGCTCAATGTGGTCTGGGCCCGATCCAGCCCTGTTGTAGGCAGGTACTTGGGCGTGAAACCTGGAAGCTGGGGAAACGGGAGGTGTGATGGAAAATTCCCGTCCCGAGGTTGGTAGCCCGATTCCTGGAGGTTGAAATTCCCGGCGCTCAGTTTCACCAAATCCCATTTAGAGTGCCGCTACTCCCAGGACCTGCCCTCTCGTTTGGTGGCCACTCGGCGACCCCCGTTCTATGTTTAGCAGCGTTTCGAGAAGGGAATGCGCCTGTTGGGACTGAAATCTTCGAAAATCATTAACGACCTACGAAGTGCCTTATCTGCCGCCCTTTCATACATTCCACAACACAAAGCGGCAGCAGCGGTTAGCCTTGTGCCTAACTCTCCGCACTGGACTTTGCTCGGTCGTCCGTCACGTCCCACATCCCGCATCCTCATACATCCCACGCCCCGCAAGCCCGAAAACCTGCAAACCTGCAGAGTAGTGAGTAGGGTCTCAGCTGGAACATTTCGGATCCCAGCCTCCAAACACTCGTGCCTAGAAATACCGACTTGTCCTGCTGATTCCATCTCGTCTTTTTTTCTCGTCCCTATTTTCACGACAGAACGAACCAACCTTGTCGGGACAGAAATAAGCTGGCCATGGCCGGTGAAGGGGACCACGATGTACGACTAACGACGCTGACTCTGCCCCTGCGTTCAAAGCCAGTTGACGTGGACGGGAATGAGGACGCATTAACCCCCGTCATTCATACGGCAGTCCCCCCGAGTTTGGTCTCGCCGGGCATCCAGGTCGAACTATATGGCGATCCCGTTGAGAGACCGGGCCTCATTCACCCTCGGTAGGTTTATGTAGCTCTCCCCAACGACTACCCACCATTAACAGCGCGATCATAAGCTCGGCACCCCCGAACGTGCAGAGCTTCCCGAGCCCCATGAGGCATCACCGGAGGACGCCTTCGGCCCACCGTGAGATCAAAGTATGCTAGAAGCCTGGCCGGCACTAGATAGCGTCACGCATACTCACAGGACCTAACAGGAAACTCTCAACGCACGATCCGAGTACAAGGACGAGGACTCAGACGGCCGCTCTCACCACCATCTCAATCAGTACGTCATCAAGGACGAGATAGGCCGTGGGTCGTACGGCGCCGTCCACTTGGCTACTGACCAGTTTGGGAACGAATATGTGCGTCTTTCCCCCGCCCGAGCCTTGTTGGGCCGCTAACCGACCCCCTCTAGGCAGTCAAGGCGTTCTCCAAGTCACGGCTCAGAAAACGCGCCCAGTCAAACATCCTCCGCAACGGCCCACGACAGCTTGGCCGCTTCCATCGGGCGGAATTTGGCGCCCCCGATGCCCCCATTCTAGGCTTCAAGGCCCAACAGGCCAAGGAGGCTAAAGATGCCCTCTTCCTGATCCGCGAGGAGATCGCCATCATGAAGAAGCTAAATCACCCCAATCTCGTCCAGCTGATGGAGGTTTTGGACGATTCCGAGGACGACAGCTTCTACATGGTTATGGAGATGTGTAAAAAGGGGGTTGTCATGAAAGTTGGCCTCGGCGAAGCTGCGACCCCCTATGAGGAGGAACAGTGTCGCCACTGGTTTCGTGACCTGATCCTCGGCATCGAGTATTGTGAGTATTCTGCGGCCTCCACTTTCACAAGCGGTATACTCATGCCGCAAGCGCAGTGCATTCACAAGGAGTCGTCCACCGCGACATCAAGCCCGAGAATCTCCTACTCACCGATGATGATGTCCTCAAGATCGTCGACTTCGGCGTGTCTGAGATGTTTGAGAAGTCCGAGAACATGAGAACGGCCAAGTCTGCCGGTTCCCCCGCGTTCCTCCCTCCCGAGCTATGCGTAGCGAGGCACGGTGACGTTTCCGGGAGAGCAGCCGACATTTGGTCCATGGGCGTGTCCTTATACTGCCTCCGCTATGGCAGGCTGCCCTTTGAACGGGATGGCGTGTTGGATATATACGAGGCCATCAAAACGGAAACCGCCAAGTTGCCGCCTGATGAGAATCCGGATTTTGTTGACCTGATGGGAAGAGTATTGGAGAAGGTTCCGGAGAATAGGATAACTATGTCAGAACTGAGAGTAAGTTCTCTCAGGTGATATTTTCCCGGGGGCGGCACACTTAACTCGTTCCAGGAACACCCGTGGGTGACAAGAGGGGCTACGGACCCCCTTCTCAGCGCCGAGGAGAACTGCTCCGATCCCGTCGATCCGCCCAACCCTCTCGAGCTAAACCACGCATTCACCCGGCGAATGAGCCATCTGATCTGCGTTGTAAGTTCGTTTCCGGCCACCTACCGCCCGCCGCTAACCAACCGCCACCAGATGAAAGCAATCCAGAAATTCAAGAGCCTCCTTTCCCCCCGCCCTCCTACCCGTCACAAGGGTGCCCACGGCGATCACGAAACCACCGTTACCCCGCCTTCCCCTTCACCGGTCAACGAGAAGCCCCCCGCCGAACTGCCCCCGACCACAGCGGAATTCGCCGCCCGCGTCCTGCGCGAGCGCCAGGAATTCCTCGCCAAGGGAGGCAAAGCCAGCTTCGACCTACCCCTCCACCCAACCCACCCCACCAACACCACCAACTCTTACACCACCACCACCGTCACAGAACCGACAGCCACCCAACCCAACGACGATCACCACCAACCACAACAAGAAGAAGAAGGACTGCAGGAACAACCCCCGCTCCTCGGTATCGGAACGGGCGGGATCGACGCCTTCCCGCGCGCCGCCGACGACGACGACGACGAGCCCCCCCAGCCCGCCGACGTCGTCTCTGACTCGCCTACCGTCGTCGACTTCAACGTCTACGACCGCGCCTTCGAGGCCGAGATCGAGCGGATCAGGCGATCCACTAGCCGCCGCGGTGTCGGTTCCGGTGCTGGTGCTGGTGCTGGTGCTGGTGCCGGGCCGCGCGGGAGGGGGGTTGTTGGTGGTGTTAGTACGGGTGGTAGTATGGGTGGTGGTGGTGGTGGTGCAGGCGCCGCCGGCGTGGGTGGCGTGAGTGGCGTGGGTGGTGGTGGTGGTGGTGGTGGTGGTGGTGCTGCTGCTGCTGCTGCGGGAGGCGCTGGGTTGGGTATGGGATCGGGCGTGATTTATCAGACGCGGTTTAGCGAGCATGGGGGGGTGGGTGGCCACGAGGGGACACCGAGGAGCTTTGTTGGTGCGGCCGGGCGGGAGCAGCCGGGCGGTGGCGGCGCGCGGCTTGCCGAGCTGGTTGCCCAGGCTATGGCCGCGGAGGAAGCGCGGGATGGGGTGGAGGGGCAGTGGCAGTGATGTTGTTGTTTCAGAGGGAGGGGGGGCCTATTGCGTGGTTTCTTCATGGGCTATGTGTAGTGGCGCCGTTTTTGTTACCCAACGGTATATGCCATGGTGGGATTTGGAAAGGGATGTGGTCTAGCGAAGAGTCAAACGCGGAGACGATCTGTCTTCGAGGATATCCGCGCAGCTTTTTCTTCAATAACAACTCTTGAGCGACATATTTCGGCCTTCCGGGGGAGGTCAAGGTTAATGCTTCAAGGTGGCGTAAATTCCCGCAGCCATGGCGAGTCAAAATATTCTAGGATCGGAGATGGCTCCGAGTCGATGGGCCGCCCGGCCCTTTTTGAATCCACCGTCCCGGTGAGAAGCTGCATTTGCACTGCCACAACCCCTCCCGCCCGCAACCAAACAGCGGCGCTCTCCCGATGTTGCCCTAACCGCTGGTTGGACGGTAGTCCAAAGTCTATTCAGGCATATCTGAAGAGTGATCTGAGCATCTGACGGGAGTATGTTTGAAACGGTGTTTTCGTTTCTGATGTGATGTATGTATGTCTAGTCCGACTAACACCGACTGTAGTGACGGGCTGAATCGACATTGCAACCCGACGCAATAGTCCGGACCGAATCGTTCCGATGGCGAGGACCCCGAGAAAGGCGGATTCATGGAAACTTTACAGTCATGTAACACCAGACTGGCTGGCAGGGCGCCGAGGACAGAAAGATGGCTTGGCTTGGTATGTCTCAAGATGGGCAGATGTTAGAGGCAAAACGGCTTGTCTTTACATAAATAAACGGTCTAGACTGTCTTTGCATGGGCTTGGTATTCCTAAAGAAAGTGACAGACTACGTGTAATCTGTTGAGTTACCTGCCTAAGCCGAAGATCCCCGGTTGTCGTGCTCTTATACAGATGTAGTCTTGCGGTGTGAGACCCGGATTTGTCTTGAATATCGAGTCCAGGCCCTTGGCTAAAACAATAAATGAAATCCGGAGAGCCGGGTCGGGACTTTTTCCGATTGTGATTTCCGATTGAGACAACCCAAGAATAACGCAACGGGTTTCAATAACCAAGGCCGAAACTCATTTGGGCGAGACAAGCAGTTGGCAGGAGGGGCTCGACCACAACGCTGCTGTGGTCCTGTGCGCCTGTGTAGCGCATGACAAAGCTGCGTGCACCGTGAGGCGCACAACTGAGAAGCTGAGTGAAAAGAGTCCGAAGTCAAACCAACCACCACAGTCACCGGGGAAATAATGAGCCGCAATATTGAACAGAAACGGAGTCCGCCTCTGCCTCGGGAGAGATCATAAAAAAGCTCGGTATGCTTGCCGCCCGCCACAAACTTGGCAAAAGCTTGTCTGGGTTGGCGAAGAACTTGGATGGAGGGACATGCCAGGGAGGAGCAGACAACGAGACGTCGGTCGCTGGGGCCGGATGTCGAACTTGTTCCCCGCGGCAGCAGGCCAAGACGGAGGCGATCCTATTGCGAAGAGGAAGGGCCCGTCCGTGCAATATACTGTTTTATGACCCCAGTGGAGGTCGCGGTCTGCAACGCGTCATGGCGGGAGTCGTCATCGAGTTCTAACGAATACCTCAGCCACGTGTGGACAATACCCCATCTGCGTGCTGAAATTAGGGTCTGATACAAGGATTGATACTTCCCGATGTGGCACATCGAACAACATATGTATGCCGCTAGACGTGCACACCGCAACCTCCCTTCCGGTCCTTCTCTCAGGGTAGAGTCTTGGCTGAATGCAGCCAACTGTCACAGGCATGCGGCTCGGAAGCCACCTTGCCCGATCACCCTGAGCCGAGCCTGCGCGTTGGCATCGCCGAGTTTCGCGATCGCCCGGCGCTGGGCAGGCCAAAGCCGAAGCTGCGGGTGAAACGGCCGGCCATGGTCATCTGGTGGTCTCTTGGCTGGGCAAGGTCACGGGGCGTCTTGGCTAAGGAGAAGAGTGCAGGACTGGCGTTTCGTCCAAAGAGTCCGACTAATGCTCCGGGAAAACGGCACCGGGTTAGTGGAAATCCCGAATGTTGACTCGGGGCAAGACACCGCCAAGGACCGGTGATGATTTCTCAACCACGTCGGATATCAAGAGGCGGTGGTGGGCAACGGGAGAGGTTCCGAGGCCCGCATGGGTGCGACCACACCAAGCCCTTGGCGGTTATCGTCGACTCCAGCAGCCTTGTGCGGTTTGGCCAATCCGGGCATACGCCGTGCTGACAATTGCTGCGTTAGTGTGGTGCGGGCATGGACGAAAATCAGGTGTAGTTGCGAAGCCGATGGAGGCAAGGAGGATGATGGGAAAGGAGTCGGGAAAATGCCTCATAGAGCTGGGTGGAAAGCAAGCTGATGCAAGTGGTGGCGGCTGGCTTGCTGCACGACACTGACCATCATCTGCTTGCCCTTACCCTTGCGTGCGTCGTGAGCTGCGGGCTCTGACATTGTGGCCGGGGAGGACCATGAGCGCACATGCAGCGTATGCAATGCATTCTGCAGCAAGGATGAGTTGGGACGAAGGGACGGAAAATGGGAAAGTGGTGTTTGTGCCCGGAAGGGGTTGGGAGGGGGACGGGGACGGGCCGTTGGCCAATTGCAGGTTGATTCAACCAGATTGATGAAGCACCTTTGAACACCTGTAACTTTGGTGGATGTATGTCTGTATGTACATAGCATGTCCATGCGTGTGCAGCTGTCCCGAATCACCTACTGGCTGAGCTGGAGGTGTCTCAGGCTGCCTTAGGGTAGGTAGGTTGTGCTTCGGTCAACACTGTAGTGCACTGTGTTGTGTACCTACCCAGCTATGGATGGAGGACGGGCGGTTCCTTGATGGTTACTTCGTAGGGGTCGTCGAGACGTTCCAGAGAATGACTGCAGGATCTGTGGTGAGCGAAACGCAGGAAAGAATACACAGGACTGTGCAGTCATCCGGTGCAGGGGAATCTCACCGCTCCCCATTCCCGGGAGCTTACGGGGCATTCCCCCGGTCAAAGGACGGCTGGCCGCCGCATCAAACAGCCGGGAGGCCGCCAACGCCGGGACCGGGAAGGATCGCGAGACGAGAGACGAAGCCGGGTGGAAACAAGCCCTGTGGCCAAGACTTCTGGTCGGATCTGAAGTGGAGAAGGGTTGGTGATCGCGCATTCCGCACTTGAGGACCACCGGACGTTGGCTGCCAAGCCAGGGACAAATACATGCGATGTCGTGCTGTGTCGTGGCCATCGTGTCCAGTATCCATCCAATGTTGTTGACTGACCTCGGTCGTAAACGACACAGCGACTCTGTGGAAAACGGAGAGGCGTCGGTGATCTCTCCTTTCTCGGTGCGGCCTTTCCAGTCAGTGGCTTTCCCTGCTGTGGAACGTCCAGGGCGCGCGCGCTGTGGAGCGACATCGCAGCTTGCTGCACCTCAATTCGAGTGCATGAGGGGACTTCTGCGAGCAACGACGCGAATGAAGCTGTGAAATAATGGTAGAAGGAAAAGAGAAGCTGGAACGCCGTATCAGGAAAGGCGGCTAGATTAGGTCAAAGGGCCACAAGCAGCTTGGCGGGGCGGTGGCAGCTGGCACCCCGACTCAGGCCGTGCATGATTACGTTACTGTGTAGGGAGTTACGAGGGAAGTCCTCTCGGCCCAGGCCGTCCCTGCCCTGAGACTTCCACAGTAACACGATCCGGCCGGGGGCAGGCGCAACCGACATGCAGCAGTTGCATCCTCTTGCCCTCTCAGATGTCAGCCCGAGTTAGCAGGGACCCTGGGGTACAGGAGCAAGACACTCCAGGCGAAATCGGGGCAGCCCCCGGGCGGAACCTGCAGAGGGGCGCACAGGGATTGTTGATTCCATGCAACGTCGAGACATCTTTGGAACTCCCGATTTCAGACAAGGCGGTATCCACATTACACAACCCCAACAACTGCTTCTTGTCATCCCACGAGCACGTTCCAACATGAAGGAAAACCACCCAAAGGAGCGAGGGTCAGGGGCGGGCAATGTTTCCATGGCCTCGCACCTAGGCAAGAACAGCAAGCTCCCGTCGGGCAGGAACTCTCCGTCGATCGGCCATTTCATCCCATTACCTAAACTCTCAAAGCTCTTTGGGGGGTCGTGTACCTGCCGTTGCACCGTTGTTAATTACAAGTACCAACCTACCCGTTTCCGCCACTCACCATTCCCTTCTCGTGAGGTTTCCTTGTTTCTCGCTCCGATGGTACTTGAACCCTGAGCCGTCCATTCCCTCAACAGGCTGACGTCTCTCGGAAACTTCATCGCCCAGCCCTGCTCTTGCCCCCAACCCATTCTGAACCAGTCCACCTGGTGGTCTGCGGCCTCGAGGTCGGTCGTGCCTGTCTTAGGCCAACGGCTAGCGCCCTTCCCACACCCGAGGACAGGCGCTCTGTGTTCTCTTTCCATTACCAAGTGCACTGCCGAGTCACACCGGAAACGTGCGCCGGTATTACAACACAGTATTGTGACTGCGCTCAAAGACTGGGTCTCCCCGCCGCCAACTTCGTCATTCACTTCCCGTTGCGATCAGCAGACGACGGGTTTTGCCTCCGCCTTCACGCCGTAGCCCAGCACTTTCCAAGCAAATAAAACTTTGCGCCCGCGACTTGGTACTACCGTAAACAGCAGTCAGCAAGCAGCCCAAGCTGATCGACGACGACAAATCTACCACTGCCCTGCATTACAAGTAACAACAACAACAACCGCCCTTTCCAGACCATTCACATCACCGTCCTTTTCTCACCATGTCGAGCCCCCGCCTGACCAAGCAGTCATCTGCCCTGGGCTGCCGCAACTAGCACCTACTAGAAGACACACTGCTCGCCTCCGAAGAGCAATGTTATTTTGAAGACGAATAGAAATCGAGAAACAAACCGGGACCAGAATAAAAAAAGAGGAACAACAGTCCATCCGCCTTCCAGCTTCGCAAGCTCCACTCCCCTCCACCCCACTTGGCTCACCCTCGACCGTCTGGATTTTCCTCGCACCCTTTTAAAAAGTCGAGGCCTCTCCAGCCAAAATTTCCTCCTTTCATCACGGAGGACCGAGGATCTCTTCGACACTCGACAGCCGCCGTTTTGTGATCAGTTCAGGCGACACCACCCCGGGCTTTGCCCACTCACCCAAGGCGTTTCTCGCCGCCAAGCTTGCTGTTGCTTGCATAAGCGCAGTGACTTAAACAACAAGCCCCGACTCGCTTGCGTCGCTTGCACCTCTCGCTCTCGCTCTCGCCCGGTTTACATACCAACAACCCTTGCACCATCAACGCTCGTGGACTTCCACCCCGTTTGATACCAGCAAACTTCTTCTGGACCTCGTTGCCGATCAACCGCGGCAGTTGCACGGAATTTGCACATCCAACTCACCCTCCCGTCGCCACCCATCATGACATCCTCGGGACATTCTGTGGCGTCTGCCTCGCCAAGGGCTTCGCCGCGGATTTCGCCGCGCTCCTCGCAGCCGCCGTCGATCAGATCGGTCGAGGTTCCCACCAAGTCGCCCAAAATGAACGGTCTAAACGGGCTGCCGGTTATTCCCGTCGGCGCCATGGAGCACCTGCAGAAGCCTGCCGAGAAGGGCTCCATGAAAGACAGGTTGACCCGCATGTTCTCGACCAAAGACGTCTCCCGTGCCGCGACACCCGACGCCAACGGCACCGCCCCGGCCAAGAAACCACAGGATGGGACCCCGACCACAACGTCACCGCCTCCGGCGAAGCCGACCACCGCCAAGGAGCCACCTCAGCGCTTCCTGCTCAACCTGGAGGCCCAGGGCGGCCACGAGCACCACTTGAAGTCCAGCCGTCGGCAGGAAAAGCTCACCGACCTGATCAAGAGCTTCCTTGGCAGGAAGCCGGAGCAGGTGCCGGACCACGACCTCTCCCTGGTGTCGAACTGGGTCGACAACCTGAGACAGGAGAAGGATGGTGTTTCGTCAGAGAAGAAGGCGGCAACAAATCCGTCGGCATCCCTGGTGGAGAAGTACGGCAAGTGCCAAGAGATTGTGGGGCGAGGTGCCTTCGGCATCGTGAGGATATCGCACAAGAAGCTGGACAATGGCCTGGGTGAGAAGCTCTACGCCGTGAAGGAGTTCTGCCGGCGGCCCGAGGAGACGGAGAAGAAGTATAGCAAGCGCCTGACGGCCGAGTTCTGCATCTCGTCCTCGCTTCGCCACCCCAACGTCATCCACACGCTCGACCTTCTCAAGGACTCCAAGGGCGACTACTGCGAGGTGATGGAGTTTTGCGCGGGCGGGGACCTGTACACGCTCGTCCTGTCAGCCGGCAAGCTCGAAGTGCAAGAGGCCGATTGCTTCTTCAAGCAGATGATGCGTGGAGTCGAGTACATGCACGAGATGGGTGTCGCCCACCGCGATCTGAAGCCCGAGAACCTGCTTCTGACGACCCATGGCGCCATCAAGATCACCGATTTCGGCAACGGCGAGTGCTTCCGCATGGCTTGGGAGGACGACGCACACATGGTGTCCGGCCTCTGCGGCTCGGCTCCGTACATTGCCCCTGAAGAGTACACCGCCAAGGAGTTCGACGCCCGCGCCGTCGATGTCTGGGCATGTGGTGTCATCTACATGGCCATGCGGACGGGCCGTCACCTCTGGCGAGTCGCTCGGAGGGAAGAGGACGAGTTCTACACCCGCTACCTCGAAGGTCGCCGGGACGAGGAGGGTTATGGCCCGATCGAGGCGCTGCACAGGGTAAGTGTCTCGGAACAACAAAAGATCGACGCGGGATCTCCCATGATATTAACTCTCAGTCATCAGGCTCGTTGCAGAAACGTAATTTACTCTATACTAGACCCCAACCCGGGGCGGAGAATTACTGCCTCCCAAGTCCTCAAGTCCGAGTGGGGCCGCGAGATACAACTCTGCAAGGCTGGCGAAGAGGGCCTCTAACACATGCCCCGCCAGATGGATGGCTGATGAGGCTTCCTCTTGGAAAGAAGCATCAACCACTGTCTGGCGGAACATGTTTGTGATTCATGTTGAATGAACCCTCGCACCGCAATTTGACCCCCCGACTCAAGCCCAGGCCTGGCTAACAACATATCCCCTACCCTACCCTCCCCTCCCCTCTCCCAATCTCTCATCCGATGACGCCCCCTCACAATGCCCCTGCACCACAAGAGCACAACACCACATGGCAGAGGCGACGATGGCTTATCACGTATCACGACACGGAATGCCTCGGTTCGGGCTAGCATCGGAGTCTGGAGTTCGTCATTCCCCTTTCATCGTCTGTCCGGTCGGGTGGTCTTGTCGTTTTGTTCCGTTTGTTTTATATTTCTTTTTGTTAAACGGGGAGACGGCTGGCAATCTGCTCTTTTAGTGTTGGGCGGCCTAGATACATCTTTTCAAACCATGAACATTCGTTCCCGGCGCTCAATTACTCAGCTCTCAGTTGGCGGCTATCCCTCTTGCACTATACACTTTACTAAAATGATTCAATATATCTTGATCGGCTGTAGGCAGTTGTGTCTCTTCCACGAGCAGCTAAGAAATGCTTGCATTTCTCCATGCTCTCACCAGAGAAGTTGATTGCCTACACTCGTTTTTCTTCTACACACATCTGCCCATTGGGACCTTCTCTCCATACACTTAACTCCCATCGCTATCACCCTCGATGCCTTGTTATATAGATGCCCTGCCCTGCTCATCGCTTTGGGGCCCGTATGCCCGTATGGTTACTCCACTTGGAATACTCGGGACGAGTGGCACAGGGAAGACCAGTCACCCATGAGGGCCTCACACCTCGCCCACCTTTTGATATCATTGGTGAGGGTTTCTCTTGTGTGTTATCTCTGACAATGGCTGGCTCGTAAAAGAATATTGCATTTTTGTATTTGTTGTTGTTTGCAGGTGTGAAGGAAAGATAATAGCAACAAAATAACTAGTCAGGGTCAATACGAACTCTCACCCTACAGTCCAAGGTCAAACACATAATGGATCTTTCAGATGGGGATTTCATCCGTGAACGGCGATGAACCGCGATGGTCATGTGCACGAGTGTGTAAGCGTTCTTCCAAGCCTGCTCGCCTCTGCTATGAGGCTGTCGTCTTTGTGTGTCGGGGTGACCGAAAGGAATCAGGTGATACTCCAGCCGCTGCCCAGCATGCTCGGTAACCAAAGAAACCCCGGCTTGGGCCAACCACTATCATCTTGTTGTTTGATATCGTTGGTATATCACTGGTGTTCGTCTTCGCACTAGCCCTGCATGTGTCACACATGTGTACACGTTGCATTCCCAAGTCCATCCTTGGCCAGGTTTTAGGTCTACCACTGTCCTATTGCTAGGGCCGAAGAGTAACTCCTGTTTGTTTGAGCCATCCTGACGTCAGGCCCGACCCGCGGAGGTAGAGGTTGGGGCAAGGGGAAAGGTGTAACTCGATCCTGGAACCTATCCCGGATACATGCCAACTCGACACATTTACCTAGAGCTGAAACCGTTCCGAATTGTCTTCCAAGCCATACATGATTTCATCCTGGTCGACTGCGATTACAGGAGTGACACCAAGAACAAGGTGCCGCAAAGTTTTCAGGACTTTTGATATTTGAGGTACAGTAAATAATATGTATAAGACAACAAGAATATAACACAACCACCTCCATACCTCCTTACTTTTAGATTAAACCAGCCAGCCAGCCCGCCAGCCCACCCATACCTGTCTGTTGCCCGATCAACCTCGTCACCGAGGCCAAACAGGCCTTGTCCTCCCTTTCCCTCAACCCCCCTCCCCTTATACGACAAAGGGAATATAACGACATGATTAGATCCCCAATCCGGCCCCCCCCGCCCGAGACCAAACCCGCCGGTCCGTCCGTTTTCCTGCCCGTTCCCGTCGAGTTCTTAACCCCCACCACAAGACCAGGGGAGTAAACGAAGAAGCAAAAAGCGTATGCGGTACAAAACCTGCCCCCCTCCCCACGCTCCTGACTCTCTCACCCACCTGTCCGGTCCACCAAATAAAAGACAGACCGCGACCCGAATATATGCAGGAAAAAGAAACGGCAGAGAGAGAGACAGAGAGAGAGAGAGGGAGAGATAGAGAGGGAATATCAATATCAACAAGGAACGAGCCAACGAACCCAACCTCCCCCCGACAGGTATGTACCTAGGTTAATCACAAATTCCCCACATACACATTGGAAAGATATAAAAGTCCCCGTCCTTTACGCCGCCCGACCACCACCTGTCAAGAGACACCAACCAACCGACCGATTCAACAAGCCCCTTTCCTTCTCTCCGTCCCATCTCAGCCCAGCTTCGAACGTTGGAACTTCAAACTCGGGCTACACTGCGCCCCTCCCTTCCGTCTCGTCCACCAATGATATATCACCACCATCACAGCCACCACTCCAAAAAACCACACCATAAAGCATCTCCCAACCAGAAGCAGACCAAAACACTCGGTTGGGCAGCCGGCCCCAAAAACAAGGAAGCCGGAATAACCAGATCAAGAGTGGAAGAGATCCCAAGCGCGGGCGCACAGGCTCATGAACTCCTCCTTCTTGGCCTCGATCGTCTCGGGGCTGTCGCGGCCCTCGCCGAAGGGCGCTCTCCTGCTGGCTCCCGGCGCGGGCCCGCCAAACGGCGCCGGCATCGACTGGTGGGGTTGGTGGGGCTGGTGTGACTGGTGGTGCTGCTGCTGCTGTTGGTGCGGCTGGGGCGCGGGAGGGGCCGGGCGGCCGCCGTTCCCCAGCGGCGGGCTGCCTTCCTCGTACTCGGCGCGCCTCCGCTTCATGCTGTTGGGGCCGCTCGGGCCGTTCGGACCGGGGGGCGGGGCCGGGTGGTTGTTGTTGTTGTTGTTCAAGGTTCTGCTGCTGGGTGTAGCGAAGGCCGGGTCAGCATGGGTTGGGGGTGGTCCTTGGTAGTTGTGTTGATGTTGGTGTTGGTGGTTTTGGTTAGGGTTGTGGGCATTGCCACTGTGTTGGTTTTGGGGGTAATCCCGGGGTGCCTGCGGGGGGGACGGCGGCGTCGGGGGCTGGTGGCCGCCGTAGCGTACTAACTTTGGTAGGAGCTCTGGCCGACCGCCGGCCAGCTCGGCTTGGGCTTCCTCGGCTGACTTGTACTCACGCGAGCGCGCGGACTGCGGCATGGGTGGGTGGTGTGGGGATGGGAGGGGTGCGCGGCTCTGGTTCGCAAACATGGCGTGGCCGCTCGAGTCGGGGTGGCCCGAGAGGCCTTGGCCGAAAACGTCGGCGATTGGGGGGAGGCGGTTGTTGGTTTGAGTGGCTTGCACGTGATGGATGTGTGATGTGCTCGCGAGGTTTGACGGTTGGTTGGTGATATGTCGTGTCAAGGGGTGGGGGTTGTGCCTCCCCGTGAACGTTTGGCCGAGCGGTGCTGACTGAATGACCCTCTCGTTTGCGAATTGTTCATGCGATGGAGCGACAATGCTCAGACCTGGCGGTGCGCCGCGCTTGCGGGCGAGCCCGGGCGTCTTTGCGGCGAAGGGGCCTGGCTCCTTATCCTTCTCAGGGCCATCTCCTAATTTGGCGGACTGCTGCTGTAACCTCGCTTCGATGATTTGTCTCTGGTGCTCCCTGACGCTCATGCTGCGGTTCAACTGTTCCTGCTCGGTGGCATCCTTCGGGACAAAGCCTGGCGATAGACACGCAATGCCAACCTCCTGAATCACCAAACCATCACGGGCGGTCAGCGGGCGACCGGTGGCTGGAGATACGACGCTCGTGTTCTTGGAGAGATCGAGCTTTCGCGGCCGGTGCCGGGCGGTCTGCATGCCGGGAGAACCGGGTTCCTTCTTCACGATGATTTTGGGTCCTCCGGCATTTCGGGATCTGTGCGTCGTCGAGCAACGTGTTAGTAATGCGGATGAAACAAGCACGGGTCAAGGTCGCATATATGTTCTCGGGGTTTGCTTACGCGCTGGGGGGAGACGACTTCTGTGTGTTCAAGGCCGCACCCAATCCCCTCGGGCTACCGCTACCGGATCGCGGTTGTGGTGCAGGCGCGTTATTCGAGGTTGTGGGCGCTGGTGGTGGAGGAGGCGGGGGGCCCGGTGCTGTCCTATGGGCGGTCGGGGAAGTTGAGGTCGGGGGAGGAAGGTCAGAACCGTAAGACGGCCTGTCATGAGGAGCAGGCGAAAGGGCCATTGCAACGGCGGTGCTCATGATCGGTGTGTGGCTGCGCGCGATGGTGTTGTGCAGCAGAAATTAGTTGGTAAATATCCGACGGGATTCGGCCGCGGAGCGTCGCCAGAAAACCCCGAAACCGAGGGGTGGGATGTGTCGGGGAGATGACAGACGGCCACCAAGATGGACGCGCAAACTGATCAAGCGAGGTTGCGGCGGCGGGAAAGGGGGCGTTGGTGTTGGGCCTGGAACCCAAAATCCTACGGGCGGCGGCGGCCTTCTCTGTCCGCTGTTGCGACGCCGAGCGATTCGTCGTCTGTGGACGGGAAAAAAAAACAATAAACTAAAAAAAGACGGAAGACGTTGAAGACAGTGGGTAAAGAGAGACCGGTTCAGGCCGAGCGATCTGCGGTTATGTGTGTGTGATTAATCGTGGGACGTCTGATTACCGACCGCACCGATCTCGAAGAATCGTCTGAGCGAGGGTGGTGCTCTTCCAAGCCTGGGCGCTTCCGGAGGCTGTCAGAGGCTGGGGCCACAGTGTGAAGGGCGGAGTGGATTGTTCGCTGCTGGCGCCTGCCGCACTTGCCCCTATTCGGCAGTTCGAATGGAGACCAGGGGGCGGGAACGGAACCTGCAGGGCCCCTGCGTTTCGAGGGCGCTTGGTGCGTTCGCCGCGTGGTCGGAACTCCTCGGCCGACGTTGGTTTGGGTACCAGGTAGCTCTGGCACACCACACAAACAGCTTCGAAATCCCCTTTTCGTGCGTCGTTTGATTTTTTTTTTCCCTTCTTCTTCTTCTCCTAGCTCATCGAAATGAACGCCTTGGGAACACTTGGTGTGATCGAGTGGCGTTGTTGTGTGACCGAAGCGGCTGGAGGATCCTGGCCGTGAAGCAATATTCGGATATGTGTGCCGCAGACTGGGTCGGGGCAGTGGAGGGACCAAACTGCAGGGCTGTGGTGCTGGAAAACCGGCTGCAGGAGGAGGGGAGGGGAAACCGTTCAAACCTGCAGTGCGGCGGGAGGCGGGAGGGGAATTATTATTAAGTCACAAACACAGCGGTGGGAGTCTGGACGTCGACTATGTTCGACAAGGGGCCACCGGGAAGGGGTTGCCCAGGATAATGAAGTCAGGATGATGAGGGGCTATCTGTGAGACGCGGGAAACCTGAACCTTTTTTTAGGCCGACACACACACATGTCCGGAGAGCACCCCCCGGCGACGTTGGAAACCAGCAACGGCGCCGAGGCCAGGCCCCGTTTCTCGTAACGAGAGGAGGTGGGACCACAAGGAAAAGGGCGCCGCCAGCCGCGTGCGAGATCTCTGGCGAATCCGCACATGCATCCAACATCCTCTCCCCTCGCCGTTACAAGTGTCAGGTGGGAAAGTGAGCTGGATGACTGCGGTCCAGTGGTTCTAGTGTTTGAGGTTTGCCGTCGTGGGGCACTGAGTGGAGGCCTAGAGGTCTTGGCCGAAGCTGCCCCATGTCCTGACCCCTGGAGCGATCGATGTCTCCGAATCGTCGATGAATTTCCGTCCACGGCTGCGTGACCGCCTTGCGACCAGCTCCCTGCTGTGCCCCGCGGCGCTGTCGATGACGAGTATCCTGATATTTTACTCCAAACCTGACGGTAGATATGACTCGCACAGTTCGGCCTCGGCCTCTCTTCGTGTTTTGGGAATTGAGGTGGTTTGTTTGCCATTGGTCGAATGGCGCAGTCCGCCGTTTCCTGAACCCATGCTCGTCCAGGCTCCTGCAGAGCACTTTGCGCTCCGAGCCCCCGGCAGCTGAAACTCGTCTGTGCTCCAGGAGGGGCGCAGAGTTCCATCGTGAAGGACGCTCTCAGCGCCGCCCCGCTTTGCCGTTGCTGAGGGCGAGAACGTCGCCGGCAGCAGAAGTCCTGAGCGAAGCATTAAAATAATGCCTCTTGACTGTTGTGGATATTTCTTCTTTCCCTCGATGCGGGTGAGAGGCGGGGCAGGATAAATGCTCGCTGGCAGTTGTCATAAATCTGAGCCTTCGTAATCCAGCTGAGACACGGCCCAGAGAGTTTCTCTGTGCTCTTTTTCGTCCCGCCCTTTCAAACGTGGTTAGTCCGAGTCGCATGGCCCGCCATCGCCATTGCGGAACCATGGTTGCCGTTTGCTAGAGCAATTTAAGATTCAAACAACACGGGTTGCTAGTTCTTCGGGAGTTTGGCGGTGGCTGTCTCGTCTTGATAGTTCGCGCTGAAACGACAATGTCTCAGTTACATGGTATTATCACCATGTTATCGCTCCTCGATGGCCTTCTTTGAGGGCTGCATGGTGAGAAAATGGCACCCGCGAAGCCGACTCTCCCGCTGTTGGGAGAATGCTCAAGACTTATGAAAAAGTTCGGGCGGTGGTGTTCGAGTTTGCTCCGTTTCAAAAACACACTGTGTTTGGCACTGTCGGTAATCCTTCTCTTGGAAGTACGAGAGTTTTGTGAAAATTTCTGGAGTGATTGGCGCGTTGGCGCTGGTCAACTCCTTTTCCGGATCGAGATACTTTTTTGTTTCGGTCTCAACTTGGAAGTTTCCTCTTGCGTCAGGTGGTCAGGTCACAGTTAGGCTTTTATCGCCGAAAATGATGGGCCAATCGGCTGCTCGTCGTCGGGCTGTGGTTGGTTCGCCTGAGACGGCCGGTGACGGTGAGCCGCACTCCCATTTTCGGAGATCGGCACTCTTTGACCAAAAAAGTCGAACTCCAAAGGAAAGAAGAAATCAAGCAGAAAAAGGTTCAATGAAGGAAACCGAGAAGAATAAATCAAATAAAGGGGATAGAGTGGGTAAATAAAGCTTCTTTGGGTTTCCGTATGCCTTTCGTTCCGTCCATATCGTCAATATTTGGTCGACGACATTTACATTTGGAGTCCGGCTTTTTTGCCCAGGGTGTGATTGATAGGGAGGTATAGATTACCTTCAGAATCTGGTGGCATGGTGGCGGTTTATCGATCCGTTCGAAGCTGGCGGCCCGGGGAAGAGCTCAGCAGCACTGACTCTTCTCTCTCGAACATCGGATACGGAAAAGGTATTCTGACTCGCAGAACCGGGCGTGGTTTACGACACTCGTGGTCGCGTGCGATCGTGTTGTTACCCGTTCATCGGCACCTACATGTTAATCTTCCCGGGCCGTATTGCAGTATTACATGCACTATGGGGCATGCAGCCTTTCCGATGTGCTCGCCAAATTCCGTGCCAATGACGCTTGATGGTTGTGATACCGTTGGGTCGGATTGTGCTTCGGTTGGTTGCCGCTGCCGCCGGAAGAGAATGGTGGTGTGGGTAATCCTGGCAGAGAGTCGAATTCTTGACCCTAACCGCTCCCCTCGGCGAAGAAGCCTTGAAGAACATGTGGTGGGAGTTTCAGGACTCGTGTTTGTCAAATGAGATTCTTCATGCAAGAACGTAGGGCTGACGCGAGTGGGAAGCCAAAGTTGGCGGGGTGCGGGGCACTTTTGGCGGGCCGCTCGCTGGGTGCACCCAATAAAATTTTCGAGATCCCGATACAGAATCAAAACTCGATTCTGCAGGCAGGACGGCACCTTCCACCTCAGCGCTAGAACGCATCGCCAAGCAACGGACAGATACTCACATTTCGAAATGGCGAGGACTAAGACGAAGAAGGAGGAGTCCGTTGAGCCCGGATCTGACGTTGTCATGGACGAGGTGCCGACATCTCACCAGCCCGAGAGCAGGGATGATATGTCGGTGGACGAGGATGAGAACGATGAGGTCGAAGTTGAGGACAATGACGCGGAAGTGGAGGATGATGTCCAACGAGTGAGGCTGGTATGTCGAATTCTGATTTCAGATTATCGCGGTTGTGTGAAGACATCAGATCCTAACAAGCGAGTAGCTCCCTGGCTCAACACCCACCGCCGCCTCCTTCGAGTTTCTTAACGAGGGCCACACCCTCGGGAATGCCCTCAGGTATATCATTATGAAGAAGTAAGTTATGGTCCTTGCCGGAACCGTGTTCCGATTGCTCATATGTGACCCTAGTCCCGACGTTGAGTTCTGCGCATACGCAATCCCGCATCCCTCAGAGCCAAAGATGAACGTCAGGATCCAAACTTTCGGTACGTGATAGTAGGCCACTGTGGCACCAGATGTGTTTATTAACGCCTTATTAGACAGTACGACCGCGGTTGAGGCGTTGGAAAAGGGGCTACGCGACCTGCAGGAGCTCTGTGACGTCGTCACTGATCAGTTTGTCGTTGCGAGGGAAAAGTTCATGGCGAAGTAGGCTTCACACATTCCTACTTCCTTGGTTTCAACTAAAGGACGGCGTCTGGGCGTTGGTTGAGGTCTGGTTATGCATAGTAGAGGGCACTCTTGGGTGTATTGTAGACCCATCGCGATTTGTAGGAAGTTTCCATTGCTTTATATACATTCGGACCAGGAGCATGTGACAGCTCGATCTAGTTGCGACCCTAAATGACAAACGGGTCAGTGACAAGCCGCAAGGCGAGCCGCAGATATGTTCAACTTACCTCCAGAAACCCAGTGACGAAATCGGACGGCAGTCTTTTCTCCCCCCTGAAGTTCTCCTCCTTGAAATAGGACATGAGATGGTTCGTCTGGCGCCAAAAGTTCATAGTTTCCTGCCATGGCCGAGTATTAGCAAAACTGTTCGAGAGATGCGAAAAGGCTACTAAATAGCCCTGATGGGCCATGTTCCATGCCCCCCCCCCGCCGCCGCTCCCATCCCGAATCACCCGTCCGATTGAACTTCTTACTTGATAGTCGGCGTTGCTCTGAAAAAGGAGAACATCGACAGCTGGCAGCTTGTTGACGTATCGGTGGCGCTCAAACTCCTGCCTCATGCGGGTCCGGATGGCCGAGACGGGGCGAGGGATCGAATACATGGTCTGGATTTCTGGCGCCTAGTCGACAAATCTGTCAGCTCCCTCCTCGACTCGATGCCTGGTATTCATACCGCCCGGATCCAGTCTCGATATGCCGCAAGCACCCTCCGCTTGGCGTCGGACCAATTGGCCGCTGCTGCTCGTCAGTCGCTGGTCGATTGCGGGTGGATGATGATTGTTCGATGCTTACACTGCCTTGTGGTAACGGCAAACTGGGTGGGTGAAATCGCCATCGCGGCCGGAGTAGCGTGTCGTTCGCGGTTCGGCTGGGAGTCAGCAGTCGTCTTGCGGTTGGATCCCCAATTGCTTCAATCGAGCACCAGTCGTGAATGCCGGAAGCTTGGACCACCAGCATCCCATGACGCTGGCAAGGACCCGCTTTTAACTCACTCGAGGCGGCACTGCTTAGTCATATTAAAGCCCAGCATACCCAAATCCAGCCCATAGTTACCAGCTCCGTACTTTGAATGCTGCCCTCCCGAGTCTCGCTCTCCCCTTTACCACCTAACCAAAACAAACCCACCGCCTCGTATCCCAATATCTTCTCTTTACCGTCCCGCCAGTCGACCAGCCTGCACACGCACTTGCAAACCAACGGCCGCGCACATTCGAACACAAGCAGCCATGCCCGCGATCCGCCCCTCCTCCAAGCGCAAGCCCCCCCCGGACGGGTTCGAGGACATCGAGGAGGACCTGCTGATCTTCGGCAACAAGATGAAGGACGCGCAGAACACGCCGACGGACAACATCCCAAAACACCAGGCGCAGTGGCCGATATTCCAGATCGCGCACCAGCGCAGCCGCTACGTGTACGAGCTCTACTACGAGAAGGAGGCCATCAGCCGGGCGCTGTACGACTGGCTGCTCAAGAACGGCTACGCCGACGCCATGCTCATCGCCAAGTGGAAGAAGCAAGGGTACGAGAAGCTTTGCTGCCTGCGCTGCGTCCAGACCAAGGAGACCAACTTCAACTCGACCTGCGTGTGCCGCGTGCCGCGCGCCCAGCTCAAGGAGGACCAGGACGTGCAGTGCGTGAGCTGTGGGTGTAGGGGGTGCGCTTCGACTGACTGAGGGGGGATTGCGGCGACTTGTGTGTGTGGGGGTGGGGGTGGGCTACGACAATGATACCATGGGTTTGTTCCCGGTTCTGGGACACTTTTGCTTGGGCTGGCGGATAGACAATGTAAGGATTGCCACCCGCCGTTTATATGGATACAGAAAGCTCACCTGGATCAGCGTCGGTGCAAGATGTGATATTACTAGCCGGTTTTGGCTGGGGTTTTGGGGCTACGAAATAATGGCACACAAAAAAAACATTAAGCTAGTATGTCCCGTCTCCAAACCGTGGCGCTTGGTTCTTCTGTCGTCTCCGTGCTCATGCGTTTGTCAACCAGAGCGCCTGTCGTCAGATAGGGGATCACCGTTTGGCGAACCCGGCCTTTCCACCACGCCCAAACCGGACGCTCATGGGAACGAACTTTAGTGACGACATGGCGCTGGACAGATCTTCCATATCCTGGTCTGGCTGCCGATCGGGGCTCTTCTGTCCTAGTTCTGTCGTCGGCTGGCCATCTGTTGCTGCAGTTGGCTTTTCTACGACCTCTGGTTCGTCTCCTTTGTGGTTTTGCGGCGACGACATCGGGCATGGTGCCGCTGCGGCGCTTGGTTTCTGGTGCCGACGGCCAGGGCCACGGTCTTCGAGTAGCAGAGACCGCCGGCCGTCAATACCTTCCCGCGTGATGGCGAAGAAGAAATTCTTCGGGTACATGTGCTTATCGATGAGGTGCATCTTTCGCTTGTGTGGTGTGCTGCATTTTCTGTCGCAGCCGTCCACAAAGCACGAGTACTGCAGCAGGGCATCGGTTAACTGGGGCAGCGCGGGCGTGAGAGGGATACCAGGACTTACAGTACGCTCTCCCTTCTCCCTTCGCACTTGAACGAAGGAGTCATGTGTCTCCTCAATGTGCAAGCCGACGAGGTGGGCAGACGGGAAGTTTTTGCGGCATTGAGCGCAGCGGTTGGTGTGCTGGTCCCTGTAATGGGCTTCATACGCATCGTACGATGAGAACACCACTGCTTCCTTATGGGGAGGAAGCGAGCAATGCATCTTGGTACTTCGGTCGCCATCGTTATCGGAAAAGTCAAGCCCAGCGATCTTGGCAGGCGGCGAAACATGTCCGCCGCTGTTATTGTTTTTCAACTCTCCATGGCCATCCACAGCGGCTACTGCTGTGTTTCGGCCCGCAACTGCGACTTCCTCAGGGGGGCCCTCTTCAGGTTCGCGTGAGCGCTTCATTCTCTAGGCTTTATGGAAAAAGAAGAGAGATTCGGTCTAGGAGAAGTTACATTCGAATGCCTCGATGCCTTAAAACAACGCTCGACTTTTGAGTATCCAGTTGTGTTTTGTAGCATCCGTGGCTGAGGTTCTATGATGGCCCAATTCTGGTAACTCAGGTCTGTTTGTTAAGTGGCCAGCTAAAACTTAGTCGGTCAGACCACCTCGAGGGCACCGGGATTGTCGAGTCTCTGAAACACCAAAACGAGAAAGTCCGGTTGTTAATCGTGGGCTAATGACGGGCTGTGACTTGCTGGGGGTCCCTTCTTGGGTCTGGGGCTTGTTGTGGCCGTGGGGATTGTGAAAGCTTAAAGTCGCACCCTCGCCACGTGTGACTCTCGAAAGTGCCAAGCACGGTCTCCGGGTGCCGTTGATTGGTTGCAGTCCCACGCTCTTCTTCGAGATCCTTTTCTTGTCCAATGTCATGCCGTTGTCGAGCACGGCGGGTCGCTTTGCGAATTGCTTCGATTTTTGGAATCGCCTTGTGTTTTTCTTTGCGCATCTTTGATCGCGCGCATCGTTACTTTAGTCACTCACTCCCTTCTCCTTGAGAATCCTGACTGACCCCGTCACCCGCCGGCCGTGCTTTACGCATCCTCTTCTCCAATGCGCTCATCACCTGCCAACCTGCCCGCCGAAAGCCGCACCACCCCTCATCGAAACACCGAAACCAGTGCGTCACCACCAACAAGTTATGGACCGCCGGCCCAACATCGGCTTTCCAACTGCTGCGTGTGAGCTTTGGCCATAGGCACCGGCTCCCACTCTTTCAATAAAAGCGCTGCTTCCCTTTCCAGCTTCCTACCAGTTGTGTTCTTGCTTGTCTGCGGGGCATTTATTTGTGCTGGCAGCGACAACCAACAATGGCCTCAACTACTGCGGCCGGTGCTGCCGCCGCTGCAACCCCAACCGTACCTTCGACTGACGAAGCCTGGAAGTGAGTGTTTTCGTAAAGCTAGAAACTCACAGCGCTGTACTTTTTTCACCACCGATCTCTATCCACCTACCATGGGTTCTCGCAAGCGACAATGTGCTGCTGCCACCCAGCGTGCGAGCTCGGATTTGCTAACTCGACCTCGTAGACTCGCACAAAAGTTACGTGCCGCCATTCAGAAGGAACTCGAGCACGTTCAGAAGGGCGGTCCAGGAACGAATGAGCTTGCCCGTTTCGAAAAGGTCGAGAAATTGATGCAGAAGTGAGTCGCCGAGGGCATTGTTTTTTTTTGCTCCTCCGTCGCAGAGGTGATTAACCAAGCGGTCTCAGTTACCGCCTTGCCTGCATCGAAACCATTTGGCTCGACCTCCGTGCTGCGAACGAGAAGGGTGCCGAGGATGCGCTCTGGTCTACCCATACCCTCGTCACCAAGACCTACCGGAAGGTGCTCGGGAGGCTGCAGGCCAACGACCATGTCGTCCTCAAGCGGAAACTCGAGAAGCTTTACTCGAACTACCTGAAGACGGCCCAATACTTCTACAGAGGCTATTTGCAGCGGGTTTGCGCACGCTACGACACCCCCGACCTCAAACGGATCGCTCATCGGGCTGAGCTGGAGGCGATGCCCCTACCCGACAAGGACAAGGTCGACACTACGGCAGCGCAGCTAGACAACATTGTCAAGCAATCATGCCACAAGACACTCATATATCTCGGTGACCTGGCGAGATACCGTACTCTCCTGCGTCCCAAGGACCCCAAGTGGGAGGGCGCTCTGTCGTACTATCTCCTGGCAAACGACCTGATTCCCGAATCTGGATACGGCCACCACCAGTGTGGAGTGATTTGCGTCGAGAACGGGGACCATCTCCAGGTGGTATACTACCTCTACCGTGCCCTGGCCTGCGCTCTGCCACACCCGAATGCTTCGACCAACCTTGAGCGGGAGTTCCGTGAGCTCCAGAAACGGAAGAACATTACCACCAAGCATGCATTGGTGACTTGGTTCGTTAAGCTCCATGCCTTTTATTCCCAGGGGAAGGAATTCGCTGAGCGGAAGGAGCTTGAGAGTGAGGTCGACCATCGGCTTGGCCTGGCTATGAAGACTGGAGCGGGATATGGCTCAGACTTGGACTTGCTCAAGATCGTTCTTATCAACATTACCGCATACGTCGCCGCCCAAGACAAAATCAGCAGTATGATTATTCACATGCCATTTGCTAGTGGTTGAGTCTTGCTAACCGAGCACAGAAAATTGGACTGACGAGGGCTCCCTATCCTGCCAATTTATCCTGCTCCTCAACTTGCGAACAATCACCGCCATCGCACGCCTACTTGGGGAGGAAATTACGGGTACCATCAAGCGCATGGGTGCAGAGGTCCCGGCTGGCGCGTCCGGAACTCCCTCCCAGACGGAGCCGACAACCAAATTCACACCTGCTCTCAATCGCGTTCTGACGCTTCTGCGTGTCTACATGGCCTGGCTCTGCTCTTACGGATCACAGCTGGTTGACTTCCGGGCCCATCTCGAACCGCAATTCGGAACTATGTGCACGACACTGAGCAACATGCTGACCCTGTTGTTCGAATTGCTCGGGGGTGATCAACAATTCGGAAACACGGTGTCATGGCGCTTCCCCGAGGACGATATCACCCTGGGCATCGATTGCCTCAACGGACCCAGCCTGAATGACGGCTGCCAGCTCTACTACGATGCCTTTTCACGCAAGCCTAAGCCGCGCCGTGAAGACGTCGCCGGTGCTAGCCATATTGAAGACGACGTTACCTTCACTCGCGCACTTGACGTTCTCCTCTGCGCTCTGGAATTATCCACTCCGGAGTCGAAGTTCCCGCTTATAACCTCCGCGATTACAAAAGGACGCCGTGAGCTCACTACCTTTGTGTATCTGGAGGGTGGGAAGCCTGAACCCACTCCAAGTCTGCCACCGGCTCAGCATCTGACCCCGACGACCGTTCCCGCGACCCTGGAACATACCCCCAAGATGCCAGCGGCGATCCTAAGTCCTTGCGAGTCTAACGAACTCTCCGAGGACCAGGACTTTTATGGTCCGAATCTACGGAATGCTGTCGGCGATGGGCCCCGCAACGGGCAGGCGTCGGCACCAGTTGTGCCACCAGTTGCGCCACGGCCAACAGTGCCGGTTTCCGAGTTTCCCATTGATACGCAGATGTACAACATCTTGAACGAGTTCATCAACCCACCGGAATCTGCTCCCATGCCCAAACCCAAGACTCCGAAGCACCCACCTGCACCGACAAGCCCGTACGGTATGGATTCTGCAGCCGTTGCTGAAGCTTTCGGGACCGGAGCTTCAAACAGTCCCGCGCCGGGCTCTGCCGGCGCGAAGAAATTCCCAACTCTGCCCTGGGACTACTTTTACAAACCGCCGACCAACCCTGCCTTGCGCTCGGACGCGAACGCCATGGCCGCCGGTTGGGGAGCAAACGGTGGAGGGTTTTCACGGCCGACAAGCTCGGGAAATGCAAATCAATTCGGGGCCGGAACCGCCACTGGCAACCCGCTTGCACCTCAGGCTCACCAGAGGTACGGCAGCCTAGGGAAGTCAAGGCTTGTCGAGGACCAGGTGGGGATGCTTCACCCCTCAGAGTCTGCACCAGGCCACGCCGGCCACGCCCAACAGGCTGACGGCGCACGAGGAGTGTGGTCTAACGCAGCCACGGAGGGCTTGACTACTTCTGCACTGGAAACTGTCCCTCATCTCCCGCATCAGAGCACTTGGGCTCCCCCGTCAAGCCCCTGGCAAAATGCCAATGGCCAGCTACCCCCGGCCACCACTGGCGCTGCCCTCGTTTCCCCCTTTTCAACGCTCAACTTCTCCGCCAATACGTCCAGCCTTCCACAAGTTTACAGCCCCTGGGGCGTACCCGCAGCAGCAAACAGGTTCCCCGCGGCGCAATCACCCTCTTCACCGAGCCAGCCTAGCGCAGCGTACACCGGAGGAGCGATCCCATCACCGTCGAGCAGCAGGTATGCAAGTGACTACACCAGCTCCATGGCCGGCGGGCATGTCTCGCACAACGCTTTCGCGAGCGCCTGGCCCGATGCTCGGCAGCCGCGGAACGGGTCGACCGCCCAACAGCCTCTTGGGCAGCTCGACATCTGGGGCGATCCGGTCCTGCAGCAGCCTACCGTGGGCGAGAAGGCGGGTGGGAAGTCGGTTATGCAGCAGGGTATGCCCAAGCGTTGATTTTCACCAGGACTACCACGTCTTGACATTTTCACCTGCTCCGGTGCTCGGCCCGCACGCTCTCAGCTCGCTTTCTCTCGCGGAATCCGGGCTTGCCGGCTACCGCGAGCCACGGATGCATTCCCCCGAGCCAGGTCATGGAGTTGCTAGCGACGACATGCTCCGGAGGCTGGAGGAAGCCGTCGATGGGGATAATTCCCTCGACCGACCGCCCCAACCTCTGCGGCTAATCGGTCGTCGTCTTCGGCGGAATCTCGGCCTACCGCCTAAAGCGACTTCCCGGCCCGCCCGCATGTCCGTTTGCCCGTCTTTTCGTCCCTTCCAGAGCAGAGCAACCAGCCCCTCCTAACCTAGGCCGCGACGTCGAGGGGCCACATCCAGCTTCGGCACGCTGCTTGCTTGCAATAATGGATCTCGCAATCGACCGAGCCCGGGAGCTCAAGGTTATAATGCACGGGATTATGGGGCCTCCCCCCCTCTGCCTTATGGATGCGCACCTGGCGGAAGCGCAAACTTTGCAATTTGCTTCCCAGCGTACTGCTCGCTCGGTTTAGTTCAGTTCAATCAAATTTGGCAATGGAAAACGGGACGGGCTCCTGGGCACCTCTTTTCCGGCCCTGCCACCCTCTTAGTCTGTTCTGTCTTGTGCTATACTGGTATTTGTTTTGGGTTCTGGACGCGCCGATGCATTGGAATGTTTGGCACAGAGATGGTAGCGTGGTAATGGTAGCTAGCAAGGTGGTGATGGGAGGGTGGGGGGGATATCATCAAGTTGAATTTCCGAGTAGTTTTCGACTCTGTTGAAAAGAAAAGATTGCCAGAAGAGGTTTATATATCTCCCAACGCGCACGCGCAGAAACAAAAAAGACATGATTTAGATTCAGACCGTCCGTTCGGTCCGCCCTGGTTCGCCGTTGTTGAAACCTCTCTACCATGCATGCCTGTATTTGTTTCCGTTGTTTCCCCTTTGCCTTTGCCTTCAACGCCTATTCTGCAAAATGTGGAAGGTGGAACTTCCTTTCTCTTTTGAGATGTGGTGACTATGGGAAAACTGTCCGATACCTACGCTCTGTCCCTCTAGGAATCTTAGATTCCTACAGGGTAGTGCGAGCACTCGCTTACTGCTGGCGTTGGTAGGTTTGTTGGGGGAAGGGGTAACTGTTTCGGGACCCGGTTAGCGTTTTCTTGTTTGACAAACCAAAGAGTGGTAGAGGGAGAGAGGAAGGCTGTGGGCGATGCAAGTAACCCTATATTAGGGGGCAAGACTTACGAAGGACCGAGCTCCTGGATGCTCAACCGCGCCAGCCACTGGCCCATGTCGACGCTCTCTTCCAGCGAGAGCCCGTTGACGACACCGGCGCAGAAACCACCGGCGAAAGCGTCGCCGGCGCCGTTGGTGTCGTTGATCTTCTCCTTGGGGATCTCGTGCACCGGGATCTCCTTGACGACGTCCTCGCCCTGGACGGCGACGAGAGTCGGCTCGGTGCCCTGGGTGATGATGGCCACGCGCTTGCGTTGCGTGTTGACCTTGGGCAGGTTCGCCAGCTTCTTGGCAATCTCCTTGACGTCCTGGGTGCCCAGGTCGTGGGACTCGGCGTAGGCAGCCGCCTCGGTCTCGTTGCCAATCACGTAATCCCAGTAGGGCGCGGAGGCGTCGAGGGGGTCCTTGAAGAACTGGGGAATGAAGGGTGCGGAGAGCGACAGGATGAGGGGCTTGTTCTTGGAGGCCGCCTGGTTGGCGAGCTCCATGATGGCGGGAGGGCAAACTGAAAATGCTTGTTAGAAGTTATCCTTTTTAGGGCGGGTAACGGTGGGAGGCTTACCAGTGAAGTGGTAGCCGCCGATGTAGTAGGCGCCGGCTTCCTCAACAAGAGCCCAGATATCGGGGCGCTTCAGGTGCTCAAGGTCATAGTGGTTGGCAGCACCCAAGTCGGTGCACATGCTACGGTTGTGGCCAGTAATGACGACGCCGCAGCGGCCGGTGGGAATCTTGGGGTCGACGCGGTACTCGACGCGGAGGCCGGCCTGCTTGCAGGCGTCCCGGAGGATGGCCGAGTACTTGTCGTCACCGACACCGCCCAAGTAGACAACGCTGTTAGGGGGCAGCATGTACTGGGCACCACGGGCAGTGTTCTGGGCGGCACCGCCGGCAATCAGCTTGGCATCGTAGTTGTTGAGGAGGTCCTCGTAGAGATCCAGGTGCTTCTCGGGATCGGCCAGAATAGCGTCATTGGCTTTGAGGCCGTACTTCTCGAGAAGTGCATCATTGCCAAAGCCCTGGATGTCTATGCAGCATCCTCAAGTCAGCCAAAACTGTCCGAAGCTTCCGTGACCGACATTTGGCTCCGGGTTTGGAGTGGGAGGCTAGGAGAGTGCACAATGTTCCATTGGATGCGCAATTCAAGATCATATCACTTGTACTTACCGAGGAGAGGGTTCTCCAGGCAGAGAAGCTTGTATCCCTTGGTGGAAGCCATGTTGCTGAGCCGGCGGTTGTGATGAGGGTGGTTGCGGTAGAAAGGGTTTGTGCCCCTCTTCTGTTGAGGGTTCAATGGGTAGCAACTTAAGGAGAGGCGGGGCAGTCGGCTGGCGGGGTTCAAGCCGCCATCGGCCAGTTTCCCTTTAGCAGAAAAAGCTCTGGTTGGATCGGAGAAGTGAGGCTTGGCAAAGAAGCTGGACCCCGAACATGTTGCCGATCTTGTCCGAAACATAGTGTGGTATTATCGGCCGAGAAGAGTCGGCCTGGTTTGGGTTTGCTGCGAAGATGGTGGTCATGTCGAGGTTGTTACTACCGCGCAAGGACACAAACAAGGGACACCACAGAAGGAAAACCACCCAAGGACATGTCCCCCTCGCTTGTTGACGTCAGAAGAAGGCCGGGGGCGCGATCTGCTCCCTTGGTTTTGGACATGGGTTGTATTACACAGGATTCCTCGACCATGCCGTTCATACCATGGACGGCCGGCCCATCCCCAGCTCACTCGGCCGGTCACCGCTCGATTAGGATGCCTCGCTATATCGCCTGGAAGCGATGAGCTCGCGCTGCTTGATTCCCAAGAGTATTCCCTGACTGCATGGCGTGCTCGACTTCTCCCTGCGACGCCGGATCCCCGAGTACATTGCCCTACCACAAGCTCCGTCCTGACCGCGTTTGGGAATAGTTTATTCATTTCACGCCCATGACCGCTTGCGCAAATGAGCAAGTTTCCCGTCCGCCTTCGCAGTTCCGTAACTACAAAGCAGCAAAAGACCAATGCAATCCGATGAACCCCTTGCCCAGATGTAGAACCATGAACGCATTTAATCCTTCGTCTTCTGGGTACCACGCAGCAGACCCGTCCGCCTCGCAGCAATGAGACCCGCCTTTTGACCCGGCGCGGCGTACCTCGAGATGGTCGACGCCTTACCGATATGTTGATGGTTACCCTGTAGCGCCATGTCAGATCTGCAACGTCCCAATCGCCATTGGATCTTCCAGCACTTACACCACCGTGGGGATGGTCAACCGGGTTCATGGCAACACCACGAGTCTTGGGCCAGCGGTTGCGCTTGACGGCGAACTTGTGCTTGGCGCGCGAGGCCTCTGTAATCGCTTGTCAGCGCCTTGTCCAAGCCAATGATCCATCTGCTACCCGGGCGAAACATACTCAGGAGGGGCTTGTCTGTCCTGCCACCACCGGCGACGATGCCGATCATGCCACGAGCGTCGCTGCTGACGATCTTCTTGGCGCCCGAGGGGAGCTTGATGCGGGTCTTGCCCTCATCGGGGTTGTGGCCGATAACAGTGATGTAGTTGCCCGACGTGCGGCCAAGAGCACCACGGTCGCCGACCTTCTCCTCGACGTTGGAGACCACGGTACCCTCGGGGATGGAGGCGAGAGGGAGGACGTTGCCGACGGTCAGGGCGGCGTTCTTGCCGGCGTAGACGAACTGGCCGGTGTACATGCCCTCGTTGGCAATGAAGGTCTCGGCAACCTTCTTGAACTTGTAGGGCGAGTTGAAAACCACGCGGGCGAGGGGCGCACCACGGCCGGGGTCGTGGATGATCTCCTTCACGATACCGCGGATGTATCCATGGCGCTCGGCGAAGTCGAGGCTGCGGAACTTCGCGGGGTTCTTCCGCAGGCGGGTGTTGGCAGTGAAAATGCTGCCAGCGCCCTTACGCTGGTTGCGGATCTGAAGGTGGGAGAAATCAAAGTTAGCACCATCTCCACGGCCCCAAGTTTCGCGATATTCTCCGTCTCAATCGGTCGGTCGCCGCAATCGAGGTCTCGGTGCTGATTCGAGTCGAAGAATTCGGGAACTGGAGTAGCGAGTTTTACTTACGACGCGACCCATCTTGCCCTTCCTACCTGAAAAATGTGGAAGTGACGGGTTGTCTCGGTGGTTGAATGAGGTTGAGGTTGCGGCACTGGAAAGCTCCAAATGGGTGAAGCGATATTTTTCCCAAATTTCTGTGTGGATGCGGCAGCCACAGCTAATTGGTGTGGCTTCCTGATTGCCCTAACGCGGGGAGTGGTGTGGCGCTTCGAATTTCAGAGCCAGCCACCTCATGGACAAAAAAAGCCGAACTCCAAGTGCAGATGTCGGCAATGGAAACTTCGAGTCCTCAGCTGGAGGAATATAACGAAAGTCATCCTGAAGCCCAAAGAAACTCTATTTGCTCCATTTCCTTTACTTTTACCCTCTTTCTTTCATTTGACTTAGTTTTCTCGATTTCTTTTCATTTGTTCTTTTTGCTTGATTTCTTGTTTTCCTTTCGAGTTCGGCTTTTTTTGGCCAGAGGGTGCCAGCAACCCATGTCCGCGGCTGACATAAAGCACAGTGTCCCCAACCAGGCTCTGGCTGTGATTCTCAGCGATATTGGCTTTGTTACTCTTGTTTTTTCAACGCGAATTTTCAACTGCAATCAATTCTAACTTGGAACCACTAAAGCCGCAGTCGGTTCATATTTCTATTACAGATTTGTTCAACAGATCGTTCCGAGCCAAACATTCTGGGTTGCTTGCGAGGATACGGTGACGAAGTCAAGCCTCGCAATAATCACACAGTACGCGAATCTGCTCGCCAGGCTGAAAGCTGCCAACCGCCCGCTGAGCCCGCCCAACCTCAGCTCTCCGCTTCGCAACCTCGAAACATGACCATTTCCCATGTTTGCGACAGTGACCATCAACGACGGGCCTATGCCTACGTCGGAATAAATATGTATGACCTGCGACGATTTTGAAATTGAAGGTCATCTTGGCTTAACTTCTGCTAACAAACAAACTAGGTCTGAACTCTGAAATCCTCAATGTGATTGAGAGCCCGACCTCCGCTGAAGCACTGAGTTTTATGGTCACAAAGTTTTGACACATCGCATGAGCCGTTCTGGTTGGCGGTTCTGCTGATCGGGCCTGCGTAAAAGCCAGGCTCGGGTTGCGCTCCCCAAGGGTGTTCAAACCCTTCCACGCGGCGCAGGGCGCACTGGACCGAGCTGATACCTCCAAACGACGAGCAACTTAGCCTGCTTTTTTCCCGCGAATATCTTCGCAAGGCTATACTGCGTGCAAGTCGATTTTGGCCGGTCTCAGATCAGGTTGCCGCTCTGGTCTTATGCAGAGTTGCATTACCTCTCGCGGCACCACCATGAACCACTTCCCAAGGTTCGCGCACCTGTCTTTTGGCTTCATGACAAGTGTCAGTCCCTCGTATCCCATGCTTCAAAGCAGGCCCACGGCCTCGGAAGGACGGGGAAGCACAATCAGATACCCGTTGTTGGTTGTGGTGGTCCTGCGGCAATATTCTTGAAGCTGAGCTATGAACCAACACCACTGCCAATCGTCTTTTTCTCTTCAGTCTCGCTTTTACTTCGATAAGGAGGCACGGGAGCGTTAGCGTGGAGACGCGGTGCTCGAACTTGGTTCGCCCGGGGGGAACACACCTCAAAGGTGGATGGCATCCGAATCCGCATTCTAAAAAGGCTCACTCCGAGTCCTCCCGTTGTCCTAGGCGCCCGGTTAAGAAATGATTGACGGAGAAGGCCGCCTGCACACCAGAACCCATTGGGATGGGCCCTGCGGCGATGCTGCCATCGAACTCCTAAAACCATGCCAGAGTATGGTTTTGGTTGGGTGCAACACCAATCACTGGAGCTGGATCCAAAAAGCGGGCCGGATCACGGGCCTCATCATGGAAGCAGTGCCGTTTTCGCCGAACGCGCGACAACGCAGCATTGGCGTCCCACCGCACCCATCGCCCGCTTTGCCAACACCGACGACGGCAGGTACCACTCCGACCGACCTAGACCGGTAACTGTGGGCGGCAAGGGGTAAAATACAGTATGGTCGGCCAGCCCCCTTGGTCTAATATGCGCTGAGGCGAGGCCGTCATGTTTTTATGGAATGAGGAACCCAGGTGTTGACGAGATACCACTGTCGGGGTTGCTGCGGGGATGTTTGTGGACAAGGGAATGGGTGGCGAGGGATGATGGTTTGGAGTGCAGGTTGGCGCAGCTCGAGAGGTGGACGGCTACCTACAACCAGGGCAGCTTGAGGGCTAGGTATGTGCTTGTATGGACAGCCTTGTGGGCAGAAGTAGTTGGGTTGGAGCAACATATTGAGTTGTTTGTAGTGAATCCACCTATCAAGTGGCCCAGTGCCCGTGAAGAGTAAGCTGGCTGGGAAGGCCCTTGGCCATTGTCGGGCCGGGTACGTAATTTCTTGCAGCCGATCTCTCGCTCAACCCAAAAGTGCTCCTCACTTTCCCACCTCCACTTCCTTCGCGCCAAAGCTCAACCGCAGCAAACGCCAACCAGCCAAACCCGCGTCAACAACATCCAAAAATGGCTGACGACGACTCTTCGGAGCTGTCTTCGATTTCATCGCTCTCAGAGCCACCTTCTGATGATGAATCCGACATTCAATTGGAAGAGCGCCATGGCATCCTGAAATTCTTCCACAAGGTCGACAATAACCCGGCTCTGGAGCCCAAGGAGAAGACGCCGCCCCGACCAAAGCGGGAGCCTTCGCCACCGCACGAATATGTTTTGGCTGATAACCCAGACATTGCTGTAAGCATTCATGCTCGAGTTCGCGTATTCGCCGCGCGGTGACGCGAGAAATCGCGCCTTCCATTCGCGATATCCCGAGCTGACCTTTCCTCTCGTAGTTCATTGTCATGTTCCGCGCCCGGTTTACCGATGCTTTCCCAAAGAGCCTAGCGAATTTCGGGCCTCAAGAGCTCGAGCGTGACGTTGTCGATGCGATTCCAGGCGAACGTGTCGAGCACTTCCTCTGCGCCCTTCTTAGCCTGCTCCTGAACCGCAAACAGGATGTCAAGTACGCCACACCCTTTTGATACCACTCGAGCTATTTTAGTTTTAGGATACTGACTTTGTTGGATTCACAGGCCCGGACATTACAACCGCGCGCTCGAGGAAGCTATCCAGACGCATAAAGGACAGTGGGCGAAGGACTGGGATAGCCAGAACCCGGTTGCGGGGCAAGCGACCTTTGCCTCAATGAACCCAGTACAAAGGGTATGTGTGACGCTCTGGATCTCGGTTCGCCCCGTCAAGTTCATGCCCGTTGCTAACTTTGTACACAGCTCACCCTTCTCCGCACGTTGGTGCAATGGACTCTTTCATCTTCGGACGCGGTCAGAGCGACCATTAGCCAGGCTTACAAAAACCGACACGACGACGATCTCAACATTCCTTTGAGCGTGCAACCGTGGGGCGGCGATGGCGACAAACGGCGATATTTCCTGATCGAGGGCAACGACGACACCTCATTCCGCGTGTATAGAGAGAGCAACCCGGCTGGCATAAATAGGACGTGGTGGAACGTTGCCGGGAGCATCGAAGATCTGAGGTTGCTCAGCGAGAAGCTCGAGACACAGGACCGCGGGCCGAAGGCGAAGGTGTTTGCCAAGAGGATTTTAAATAGCATACCGCGATTTGAGGCGACAGAGGAGAAAAGGCGGCGCAGAGAGTATCGGCAAATGCGCAAGGAACAGTTCAGGCGGCCGGAGCCTGGCTTCTCGCTCTACGAAGGGCGTACACGAGGGAAGCGGATGAAGTACACATATTCCGACGATGAGGCCGATTTCTACTCAGACTCAACCAACCGCCGGTCGACCCGCAATACCAGGCACCACACCCCGGCGGAGCCCAGCGGCCCGCTCACGACAGCCAGCGGCCGGCAGGTCAGAGCGCCAACTCGTTTGAACGCGGAAAACGCCAGCACCGGCGCGCCGAGCGCTTCCACGAGTGTGCAGGGAGACGGCGACGATACGGAGATGAGGCACACCACTCGCTCCGGGCGCCCCCAGAGGTCGGCTGCAGCCAACCACGGCTTGAACGGTTGGGCGGGCAAGAAGAGGAAGAGCGAGGAGTACGAGTCGGACGAGTCTGAAGAGGAGGGTAGCGAACCCGATTTCGGCGACGACGAGGAGGAGGAGCACGTCCCGGACGAGTCAGAAGTCGACGAGGAGGAATTTGAACAGGACGAGGCGTTGGATGAGGACCTTGATGAGGTTGAGAACCCTAGCTTCATCTTCAAGTTCCCCATCAGGGTCTCGTTTGATGAGGACAGCAAGGTGCGACAGATTCCTGGTCCGCCAGTCGTCGCCGAGAAACACAAGCATGCCAGGGCAGCGCACCGGAATGTTGTTGTCAGCGACGACTCCGAGGCCAGCAGCGCCAGCCCCGAGCAGCCTATCGTCACGGAACCGGAGCCACCCGCCGCCGACGTCATTGCGGTTGCGACGAAGCGCGCGACCACTCCCGATCCTACTGGAGCACAACCCAAAGTCGACGCCGGCAACTCAGCTGAGCCGGCGGAGAAGGCCGAGACTGCTGTTGACCAACCTACGACCGATGCAGGCGAGATTATCAAGTCGCCCCCGACACCCTCGAGCGAGAAGGCGACGTCCCTGGCTCTTAGGGGGAGCCCGGAGGTCGCCAAATCGACTCCTCGGGCTGTTGATAGCACCCCGGTAGAGTGATGGGCTGCCAGAGAGACTGCTAGATTATTTTATGATGTTGCTATGAGAAGGGAGTTTGGTGCTATGGCAAGACATGAAAGGCGCAGCTGGTATGCTATTTAGGCGGTCGGTCTGTCACGGCAAAGGGTGCTTCTGGACGCTGCAGAGTGGTAAAAAGCGGGAGTCGTTGATATGCCTTCAGACTCTTGGTCCGTAATAGAATTGTTTACTCAGAAACATGGCCTGCAAATATTCCATGCCCAAGGCGACATAACATAATCAAAACACGTTATCCCTTGTATGTAACATTTCTACCACACCTTCTTGGCTGGTATTTTCCAGTTATTCACCCCATACCACCAGCGCCTCAACCGGGCCCCAACCGACGACCCGTGTATCCGCGCATTCCGGTTCCAGTACTGCCAGCCGCAAAGGCCCAGGTTATAGACGATACCCTGCAAAAACGGCATCATGAGCTGTTTTCACATGTCAGCCCACCAGGTCAAAACTCTCCATGCATTCCAACCAGTCTCTCCCGCCGATTGACATGAGAAAGAACCTCGGCTTACCTGATCCCTCGCCGTGATCCACCCGACCTTCCACCACGTGTCGGCATTCCGTATGCTCGACAGGTAGCTCTGCTCGAAGCGCAGGTCGGGCATGGGCGGGAACTGGTGCCGGCGCGGGCGCGGTGTGATGCGTGAGCGGCGGTAGACCTTTTCGTCTTCCGTCTCGCCCTCTTCTTCCTCCTCCTCAGCCTCTACGTCTTGGTCGATGCTGCCATCGTCCAGGGGCTCAAGCCGGACGGGCTCCTTCTTCGAGGCGGCCGTGGATGGGTTCAGGTCGTGCCGCGGTGAGGGCTCGCGGTTGATGTGCGCGGTTTGGACCGTCTCGGCGACCTGGAGGGGGATGGAGCTGGACATTATGACGGGGTTTTCGGGGGGTTGGATTTTGGGTGGTGAATTCGGGTGTGCGTGTCGAGGACGGCGATCGAGCGACACCGGCGCCGGATGTTGTTCAGTGCACTGCATCATTCACTCCGAAGTACCTGCTTGCTCCCAGGGAACGGGTGCCCCACATAAACCATTGGCTTGGCTTGGAACAGCATTGTTGATTTCGACTCGGAGTTCTCTTTACCAATGACACAAGAACCGGAAACTCACAATGCCACGTATATGCAGATCTATGCTGCTACCCGAGAGAAAAATTCCAACCATATTGAAATCCTAAATGTGGTAGAATGACATTTGTTTGTGCTTCGAAGTTGAGCACTGCACTTGTTCCCGTCACAAGAGCCCCACCTTCAAAGAAGTGAGGGCCAACATGGAAGCCGGGGTCTGTGAGTCAGCCTGACCAATGGTGGCTCTCGCATCAGGCAGCAGGTGGAGGCTTGGGGCGCCACTTTGCCCCAGCCCATAAAAAGCTTCACAACCTCGAAACCCCTCTCACGTCAACCCCACCACCAAATTCAAGAATTCCTGGTTTCAGAGGCGCACCTAACCCGCCCAAAAAGCAACAGAAACCAAAACTCTTCCCCCTTCTGAAGGAGGAGTTAGGCGACGTCTACCTCTTTTTTTTTTCTTTACTCACGTCGGTCTTTTCGTAAACATCGTTCATCATGAGCGACCCCAACGCCAGCGAGGCGGAGAAGAACGTGAGCGCGTGTCCCCAAAATTCCCGCGGTGGCTATGATCACTGACAATGTCGTCTATTAGATCGAGATCTGGAAGGTGAAGAAGCTCATTAAGCGGCTCGAAGCTGCCCGCGGAAATGGCACCAGCATGATTTCCCTGATTATTCGTACGTCGCTTAACCCTTCGCTCGCCGAGGAGGGAGTACCGCCTTCGACTGGTCCATCATTGGGGCATCGCTAATAACATTTCTGCAGCGCCCAAGGACCAAGTCTCCCGTGCGGCAAAGATGTTGGCAGAAGAATACGTACGTCGCTTTTCAATTACCAACATCGCTTCGACCGACCCCTGCAGTATCTAACACGCGTTGCAGGGTACTGCATCCAACATTAAGTCGCGAGTCAACCGTCAATCCGTCCTCTCGGCCATTACTTCGACCCAGCAGCGCCTCAAGCTATACAACAAGGTCCCTCCGAACGGTCTTGTCGTGTACTGTGGTGAAATCTTGACCTCGGAAGGCAAGGAACGCAAGGTCAATATCGATTTCGAGCCCTTCAAGCCCATCAACACGTCGCTCTACCTTTGCGACAACAAGTTCCACACGGAGGCTCTCGCCGAGCTGCTCGAGTCGGATCAGAAGTTCGGTTTCATCATCATGGATGGTAACGGAGCGCTGTTCGGAACCCTCAGCGGCAACACGCGCGACATCGTCCAGAAGTTTTCGGTCGATCTTCCCAAGAAGCACGGTCGTGGTGGTCAGTCGGCGCTGCGTTTCGCCCGTCTGAGAGAGGAAAAGCGTCACAACTACGTCCGCAAGGTCGCTGAGTTGGCGGTGCAGAACTTCATCACCAACGACAAGGTCAACGTTGGTGGCATTGTGCTGGCTGGTTCGGCCGATTTCAAGAACGACCTGAACGCTTCCGACTTGTTCGACCAGCGTCTGCAGGTCAAGGTCATCAAGGTCGTGGATGTGTCGTACGGTGGCGAGAACGGTTTCAACCAGGCTATCGAGTTGTCGTCCGAGACACTGGGCAACGTCAAGTTCATCCAGGAGAAGAAGCTCATCGGCAAGTACTTTGAGGAGATCAGCCAGGACACCGGTCGGGTCTGCTATGGTATCGAGGACACGCTCAAGGCGCTGGAGCTGGGCGCTGTTGAGACGCTCATTGTCTTTGAGAGTCTCGAGATCAACCGCTGGACCCTGAAGGACAGCAACAACAGCGAGACCATTATCCACACGACCAAGCAGCAGGAGCAGTCCAACCGCGACCAGTTCATGGACAAGGAGACGGGCCAAGAGATGGAGGTGGTCTCGCAGGAGGCGTTCCTCGAGTGGATCGCTGAGCACTACAAGGATTTCGGCACCACCCTCGAGTTTGTCTCGGATCGGTCTACGGAGGGCAACCAGTTCGTCAAGGGCTTCGGCGGCATTGGCGGCATCCTCCGGTACAAGGTCAACTTCGAGCAGTTAGCTGAAGTAGATGACGATGATGACTACTACGACGATTGACCCGTCGATTCCCTCGCTCACAACGAGGGACCCGGGATTGAAGCCATCACGTCCGAGCCGACGACGCCACAACATGCCGACAAGGCGGCCACCGCGCCGCGAAGCCCGGAGAAGGTCCCGCCTGCGCAGCGGCGGCTGATGCAGGGCTTTTCGGTAGGCCCGAGCCGCGAGCACCAGGTGTCGCGTCCCAGCCCGCTTCGCTCTGTGATGACGGCTTCTCGAGTTGGAGGCTGAGAGAAGGTACGTACGCGGGTAGCTCCTGGCGACGGATCCTCAGGCCTTTGCTGACCGAGATGCGCACAGGAAGATGCCCGTACGATCGGGAAGTCGGACAAGGACAAGTTCATTACAGGGCATCAATCACTAGATTGTTTACGCGCTTAGGGCACGAGCCGGCGGGGTTAGTGGTGGTCCTGGTACGCGGACATCACCCCGAGCCGTGTTGTGTCTGTCCGGTCCTTACTACCAATCGGGGGGGATATCGGAACTTAGATAACTAGTTACGAACCAACACTCGTTTTATAATACTTTATCCTATGGTGAACGTGACTAGTGTTTCAATATGTCGTTGAGAGTAGACAGGCGAGGTAGACAGATGAGTCGGCGATTTATGGTTCATACCTCCCTATTCATGTCCACATCTGGACAGATGGAGAAGTTTCTAAGGGGCCGAACTCGGCGGATCCCCGCGTCTTTGCGGGGTCCGGGTAGCACTTCTCAACAATCGAAGTTCGGGCACCACCACTGTGTGAAACGGGACGAGGTGAGCGGATCGGCCCGTTGGGTAACCAAAGTTGGAGCTGGCCCAAACAAAACATCACAGGGGTTCCGCGTACGCCCTTCTCTTGACAGTTGACAACTCATTGTACCCATGACATCGGCTACAGTGTGTTATTCTCAGCGCCCTTAAACCCTTCGGTGCCTCACTCATCCGTATTCGGCTCAGAACTTCTCAATCATGCGCGTCTTGTCATCTGTCAATATGGCAGCACCGAGTGCTCAACAGGCCGCAGGCCAAGACGGCGCCAACACAAACACAACGGTCGCTTTTCTCGGCCCTGTCAACTCTTATTCTCACCAGGCCACTAAAACCGCCTTCCCCGAGGCAAAATGGCACCTCGAGCCGACGACCACCATCAAAGGTTTGCCTCGTCTCGCCCAGTCTTGTTCATCTCAACATAAACACATCCCCAAATACTAACCCTCCTCATCAGAAATCTTTGACCTTGTCCAATCCCGCCACGCGCCCTACGGCGTCGTGCCCTTCGAGAACTCCACCCACGGCACCGTCACCTTCACCCTCGACAACCTGGCCGACCGCGCCGGCGAGTACGCCGACCTGTCCGTGTGCGACGAGGTCTACCTCGACGTCCACCATTTCCTGCTCGGCCGCCTGCCCCCCTCCACCACCACAGTCACTACCGCCACCACCACCACCACCCAACCCACCATCTCCAAACAAACAGCAGAAGAAGAAGAAGAAGAACCCCCGCAAAACGGCGTCCCCCTCCACCCCCTAACACACATCCGCCGCATCTACTCGCACCCGCAAGCCTTCGGCCAGACGGCCGCCTTTGTGCGCCGCCATCTGCCCGCCGCCGAGACGGTCGAGGTCAGCTCGACGTCGCGTGCGGCGGAGCTCGCGGCAGAGGACGCTTCGGGGGCTAGTGCGGCGATTGCGAGCGAGATGGCGGGACGGGCGGTCGGGTTGGATGTGCTTGCGCGGTGGGTGGAGGATCGGGAGGATAATGCGACGAGGTTTTTTATTTTGAGGAGGGGGGTTGATGAGGGGGGTGAGGGGGAGGGGGGTGGTGAGGGTGAGGAGGTTGGTGAGGGTGGGGGGGTGAAAGATGGGGAGGGGGATGAGGATGTGTATGGTGGCGGCAAGTACAAGTCGCTGGTGTCGTTTACGGTGCCCCATCGGCGGCCGGGGGCGCTGGCGGATGCGCTGGCTTGTTTTGGGGGGCGGGGGTTGAACTTGACGAGTATCAGCAGCGTGCCGAGTCTGGTCGGGCCGTTTCAGTATCTGTTCTTTGTTGAGTTTGAGGGGAGCAGGTTTGATGACCCCGAGGGGAGGGTCAGTGGTGTGTTTGGGGATTTGGAGAGGGTTGCTGAGCGGTGGAGGTGGTTGGGGAGTTGGCGGAACCGGAGGGGAGGGAGGTAGGGTGTTGTTCCTTTGGGCGCGGGTGGGAAAGAGTGCCGATGGCTTGCAAAGGCTGGGATGCTGGAAGGGCTGCTGAGGAACGGTAGTTGTTGATTTGGAGTTACGGGTTAGGAAAACACCGCTCCCTTACGCGGGCGTGCCCATAGATTGGTATTAAAGTCACCTGCCATCAACATGAGGTTTCAGAGTAACCCAAGTCACACACTCCACGCCCTGATCTTCCGATGTAAGTACAGTGTGAGGTAGTTGAGTTTTGCTAGTGGTTGTGGCTGCTGGAAGGTGCGCAGTTCGCACACGGTGTAACTACCTACCTAGGTATGTACCTATGCATTAGATCCGCGTCACCGATTTCCAACGGACCACCGCCCACTCTACAGTTAGCCAAACGGTAACTGGCGGTGGTCCTCCGCCCCGGGCAGCCAGCTCGGCCCCATCTACTCTGGGAAGTTGATTTTATTAGAGTAGTGTAAATAGTCGAAGTTAAGGAGTTGTGGGAAGCTACAAACCCTAACCCTCCTTATCGATTTAACTTCAACTCGATCGACAACCACGATCAGTGCTCTTTCCTAACTCACCTTCTACATTTCAACAACTCCCAACCACATTTCATGAGTCCCTTTTAAATTACAGCAAAGATCAATAATGCGCCGCTCAATTCTCTCACCCCTCTTACGCCGGCATAGTCCGCGCCTCACCAAGCTCACCCTCTCTCCTCTCCCATCGATTCAACCCATCCAACACGTCCAACCACTCCTCCACCACACCACCGCCCCCTACTCCTCCAAACCCATCAAACCCATCAACCCCGAAACCTACCTCCACGCCGCCCGCAAAAAACTCTGGAAACACCGAACCGTCATCGACGATACCCTCTCCCCCACCCCCTCCCACCTCCTCACCCTCTCCCTCGCAGACCACGTCCCAGCCCTCTTCCCCCCGGACCAGCTCTCACAAGACCACCCTTCAACAGAACCCTTCAACAACCACCGCCGCCAGATTCCATACCTCCCGCAGGGCCACCACCTCGTCTACTTCCCGCTGCAGGTCCCCCCATCCCGCCTCATGCGCGACGGCACCGACCGGGCCCACTGGCCCGGCGGGCCGTTCAATCGCCGCATGTGGGCCGGCGGCGAGGTCGTGTTCCGCGACGGATGGGAGAGAGTGCTGACGCTGAATGGGCGGGTGGTGATGTGTGTGGAGAAGGCGAATGAGCCGGTTATGAAGGGGGCGGTGGGGGATGAGAAGGTTTTTGTGGAGATTACGAGGGACTATGGAACGCAGGGTGGGGGGGGGAAGACTGCGGTGGAGGAGGTGAGGCGGTTGGTTTTTATGAGGGAGAGGGAGAGGGTGGAGGGGGTGGTGGAGGAAAGGAGGGTTGTTAGAGGTTTGTTGGCTTTTTCTTTCCTCTTTGTTTGGGTGTGCTTCTGGATGGGTTGTTGGTTGTCATCTCACTGACTGACGGCAAACTAGCCCCTGCTACTCCCGAGTTTACCTTCTCTCTACGCCCTGACGCCAGGCTGCTCTTCCACTTCAGCGCGCTCACCTACAACGCCCACTCCATCCACATCGACCCGGACTATGCCCGCAACCGGGAGGGCTACAAGGGCCTGCTCGTCCACGGGCCGCTGACCCTGGTGCTCATGCTCTCGGCGCTGCGCGCGTGTTTGGCTAAGCTATCCGGGCAGCCCCCGCCGGACACCTGGCTAAACGAGCAGCCCATGTCTTACGTCAAGTCCCTTAGTTACCGCAACCTCGCCCCGCTGTACGTGGACGAGGAGATGAAGGTGTGCCTGCGCAGGACCAAGACAGAAGCCGACCAGATCAAGTGGGACGTGTGGATCGAGGGGCCCGAGGGTGGGCTGGCTGTGAAGGCGAGTGCCGTCACAACTGGTCTTGTCTAGGCAGCGGTAGTGGTTGGTGGGATGCCCTGAGGCCTAGGCATGCATAATCGGACTGGAAAGAAAAGGCATGACGGCTGTGTTATATTGTGGCAACAGTGGTTGAAACCATCAACGTGGGCTGGAGACTTCATTCTACATTAGAGATACCCCATCTGGTCTCAACAAGCATCGTTTATATACTCGCACCTTTTCATTTACCTCATTGGGTCTTACCTACCTGGTTGGGCGTCTTATCAACGAGGAACTCTAGTGACTATCCGTACGCAGCACTTTGAAGCCGTAACGTAGTTTATCTGATGAGCTAATTTCATTTATCTACGGGTATCTCGAAACTGATTGCAATCCCTAGTAAACGCCAATCCCTCCCCATCCCAGCCCTTTTATACGAATACATACTGGTACAAGACAACACACCCCGTTGTCGAACTCAAACACGAGGTGCATACACGCATGCTAAACCTCAAACCCCGCCTTCCGGAAATCGTTCACCATCTTGCGGAACAACTCGTCCCCTTCTCCCTCCTCTTCCACCTCCTCATCCACATCCCCAATCACCACACGCACTTGCGTCTGGTCCCGCTCCTGCCCCTCCGCAGGCGTCTCGACCTCCGACACGGGATCCAGCGTCTCGGTCGGGCTCTCCAAGCCACCGGCCACACCACCACCGCCATACCCATAGTTGTAACTGGCGGCGCCGTCGCTGCTGCCGTTGCCGAGTTGGTATTCCGCAAACGGCGGCTCGCTCCCCACCCTGGCCGCGCTGCTGCTGCTGCCCGGTTCCGAGTCTGTACTCGGCCACCTACTCGGCCCGCCACCACCAACCAGACCAATACCCAACCCCACGGCGGCACCACTGGCGTTGGCAACCACATCAAACCCCGGCCACTCCTCCTCCCCGGGGAACACACCCCCGCCACCCACACCCAGCCCCGCACTACTACTCCCACTCCTTTGATGACGATGCCGATACCCCCCCTGCTTGTTCCCATCACCACCACCACCACCCCCACCCCCAGCACCATCCACCACCCCCGCCCGCACCCGATTCTCCTCCAACCTCTTCTCCAACCTCCCAAACAACCCCTCCAACACCCCGCGCAACATCACCTCCTCATCCCTCAACAAATCCCTCACCGCCACGGGGCACGGATTCGCCGCACTAACCGTCCCCTGCGCGGGCACCGCCAGCGCCGCCGTCGAGGGCGTGCGCTGCAGGCCCCGCAACACCGTCCTCCACACGGCAGCGCGCTCGTCGGCGGGGCAGGGGAAGTCGGTCACCGACGTGTTGACCGCCAGCGAGTCGACCAGGAAGCGCAGGCTGGTCAGGTTGAGGCCGTTGCCGCGGCAGTCGAGCGAGCGCAAGGTGGTGTTGGCGGCCAGGGCGCGGCCCAGCACGCCCGCGTCGTCGTGCAGGTTCTGGTTGCGCACGCGCAGGTGGGTCAGGGTGCGGTTGGCGGCGAGCCCCGCGAGGGCGCGGCCGGCGCCGTGCGGGAGTTGGCCGTCGTCGAGCTTGCCCGAGAAGCCGGAGAGGTCGAGGCAGAGGAGGGAGGTGTTGCGGGCGAGGAGGTTGTGCAGGGTGGTTGTGAGCTGGGGGGTGCAGGGCCCGGGGGCTTCCGGGGAGGGGGCGGTGCCGGCTAGGCTGAGGAGGGTGAGGTGCTGGGTTGTGGTCAGGGCGGAGAGGAGGGTGAGGTAGTTGGCTTCGTGCTTGAACTCGATCATTTCTAGGTAGAGGGCGGCGGGGCCCTTGTGGGCTGCGATGGCGGTTGCGAGGTCGGCGATGCCGTCTTCGATCGGGTTGCCGTTGAGGCACAGGTGCAGGCCGCGGTTCTCGCCGATGGCGTGGAAGAGCCGCGCGGCTTGCGTGCCCGTGATTCGGCAGTGGTTGAGGACGAGCTTGTGGAATCGCAGGGGCTGGCCTTGGTCGAGCCGCCAGCTTCGGTACTGCAAGAATCGCTCCAGGTCGTGGCATGTCGCTTCGTCGAGCTGCGAGTCAGTCAGTTAGTGAGGCCACTCCATGGCTGGGAATAAAAAAATACCAACCTTGTAACCTGAGACGTCAAGCTCCTCGAGCCTCTCCATAGACTCGAGGGCGGAAAAGGGCAGCAGTGAACCCTCGATGTAACTCTCGGCCTGGATGCTGCCGCTCAGGTTCAGCACCCGGATTTCGGTGAGATATCGAAACAGTCCGGGCATAATGTGCGCCGGAAGTCGCCCAGGATTTCCAGATACGGACAGTGACTGCAGGAGCCCCGGGTAGTCGGAGAGCGGATCAACGATCATGTCTCGCAAGCTGGCGTCGTCAAGCCCGCAGTATGACACGTCCAGGGCTTGAATCGCTCCACACTTCATCGTCTCGGCTGAGAGAGGTTAGTCCTGAAGACCGAAGTCCTGGGGGGGTGGAGATGTTCACCAAGGTCGTCGACATCGAACTGCGGCAGGGTATTCCCGCTGACGATCAGGCGGTTGCACTTGGTAATACCGGACCTCAGCAGGCTCAAAATGGGGGTGAGAAACTGAAGGCCGGGCGACTGGCTATTGCTGTATTGCGCCACTCTCGAAGGAAGGGACCTGGTGCTGTTGCTAAAGTCGATCTGCCGAATCTTTTCGGAACAGAACGCGAGGGCGTGGAACTCTTGATGCAGCACGGGACTGATCCTCAGCGTCTCGATTTCGTCAGGGCCGAGGGCCACGCCTAGGAAGAAGAGTCAGCACACGGTGGGCGGGCCTTGCAGGAATAACACCAATCACTTACAGGTACGGCTCAGGTACGCAACGTTCACCTTCCTAAGGGTGTTGTCCTGGAGGCCATAGAGCACCGACAAGTCGATGTCCCGAAAGGACAGCGAAGTGAAATAGTCGTTGTACCGCAGAGCGCGGAGGACAGCTAGGAGCTGCAAGGGGGAGTACGACCCGCGCTTTCCGGGCAGTAGCCGGAACTCCGGGGCGAACCGAGTCTTCCAGTTGATCTCCCAGTCGACATCCTGGCAGTGATAGGCGGCGAGGTAGGCATCGAGGGTCCGCTTGAAGCTTCCAAAGTCCTCCTTGGGCACGAGGTACTGCGGCTCTTTTAGGCCCGAGACGTGGAAGATCTCCATGCTCTGCCATAGCTGCGGCCAGGCGGGCTTGAGAAAGCGGTCCGCCGTGCCAAAGACGCGGATGACCTGTCGGTAGTACCGGCTGGCAAGCTCAAGGGTGACTGGATTCTGGAACGGCTCGCTGTTTTCGCTGTTAGTTCTGTCAAAGACCACTAAGATTACTCTGGGGATCGTACCGGAAGGTGATGTTGAAGCGCTCTTCGTGCATAACCCACTCCCCCTTGAAGCTCTCCAGCGTAGCCAGGCCGTACGATTTGTGCCGACAAACTGCCTCCCCGCCCTTCCCTTTCTGGATCTCGACGAGGTGGCAGAGGTAGGTGCCGACTACGAGGTAGAACGCGGGGCCTTCCTGGGACTTTTTCGTAGCATCCTCGAGCTTGGGCATGTACCCCCTCCTCGTAGCACCACGCGGCACAACAGGAATGATGTTGGGTTTCCGGTGGTGGAACCGAGGTTCCTCGACCTCGTGGATCTTTTCTAGCAGCACCTTGACGCCTTGGGAATGGCGAACGGCTCCATCCTCATCCTGTTGTTGTTGGCCGGCCCGCATGGAGCGGGCGATATGATGCACCTGCTCGTTCCGCTGGGTGGGATTAGTGAAGAAGAATTCCGAACGGCAGAACGAGTGGCCAGCCAGCGGGCTTTTCCACCAAACTTCGATCCCCAACGACGGACGTGTGCTCTCTGCCGCAAACACCGACACGATAGCTTCCGTTGGGATGACCAGCAGCGGCTCGGGGGTTGACCCATTGCTTTCGGGCTTGGCCCCTTCCGACAATCCTGGGACAAGCGTCGCAGCATCAGCGCGACTCTTCGTCTTGATCAGGTAGTTCGTCGTGACGACCAGGTAAGGAGTCTTTGTTTTCAGTAGGAGATTGTCGGACTCGAGCGCGGCATATCCCTCGACGTGCTGGGCTCCCCAGTCGACAGACGAAGTGGCCGAGCTCGCGTTGACTAGGCTCAGGCTATCGGCGGTCGAGAGCGATGCCCGGCTATGATCGTCGGAGACGGTCGAGCCCCGGCGACTGGGGCCATCGATATGCGACGAAGAAGATATGGGTCTCGACTTGGAAAGCCGCCGGGCGTTGGTGCGAAAGCTATGGCCTCCGTCGGGAGTTCCACCTCGTTCCTTGGAGCTGAATGAGCGCCATGCCCGACCTTTGATGGAGCTGATGGAGAAGGATCGATGCCCGCTGTCGAAGCTTGCTGGCGAATTCGGGTCTGCCGTCGAACGGCTCGCGAGGGAATCGAAGCTCTCGGATTTGGAGATGGTTACAGCTCCCGGGATGGGCCGTTTCTTGACCGCCAGGTCCGGGGCAGCCATCACCTTTGACATGATACCATGTGCGGCTGCGTTCAATGCAGTGCGTTTGGAGGTTCAAGCGAGTTCGGGTTTTCCAGGGTGTGCGAGTCGCAAAAGGCAGGAAATGCGAAAAAGCGGATCAAGTCGAAAGAGACACCGCTCGGCAGACGGGGGTCGTCACACGATGGGCACCCGGATGGCGTGTCTGCGACTGTACGAGGCGACGAATTGGCTGGAGTGTTTTGCAGCTGGTCTACGCAAGCCGGAGCTCACATACACACAACAACACAGTACAGTACATGTACGTACATGCCGCTTCTCCCAATGGAGATAAAGATGGCTCGAGTTGACTGGCGTGGTGTGGGGGTCCCAATCATCAACACGAGAAGATGTGACCACACAAGCCACAGCCGAGGTATCTGGCTGGCGTTACTCAGTGGACAACAGTGAACGGGTGAACATCAACAGAGCAAGGGACCACAATGTGTGCTCGGGCAAGACAATTGATCCCGCGCGCACTCGGCAGAAAAAGGGGAAGCGAGGCCAGCTTGACTCAGGGTGCATTGTTTTCTTCAGATGAAGGAGGAGACTAGCTTGGTGGCTTGGTAACTCGGTCTCCAGCACAGCACCCTGCCCGCGTTCTTCTGGTTCCGTTCCCTCTTCGTATTGCCTAGCAGCATGGGGGATACCCAGGAGCGGGGGCCATCCTGCGAGCCTGCTCTCTCCCTCGCCGGCTTCGTTCACTGCTTGTCGATCCAGGGCTGGAATCAGGGCGGAGACAATGCTCTGTTCTGTTGATGCAGGATGATGTCTTCGTTTCCGGTTCTTGGAGAATTGTTGCCCAATGAGCGACGTGTTGGGGCCCTTGTCATCCAGGGGGCCAGGCTCGACCGCTCTGCCAATCGGTCCCGCCAGAAGGTCTTCGGTGGGGAAGCCAAGCTGCTCTCCCGCGGGTGCAAGAACCGGATGAGGCTTCGTCGATCAACAACTCCGCCGGAGACGTGTCGGCTGCATCTTCGTTCCCTGCTGCTATCCCTGTGTCATTATTTCGATGAGTTCTGGCCATCGGCCATCCACGTGCCGCCCCACGACGACAATATGCCCGAGACATGTTTCTGTCTTTTTGAGTCAACATTGTTGTGTCGGCCTCTTTTGAGCTTCTCGACTTTCTAAAACATTCTTCATCGTCTCGATGCGACGACAAGAGCAAAGAGGGCGGGAAAATGTTGAAAAACAACAACAAAGAAACACGTGCCTGCCATCTCATCCGCCATTGCACCCGACAAGAGAAAGACACGTCCAGACTTTTCAGCCGGACGTGGGTGCAATCGAGATTAAAGCTGAGGTGGGGAAGAATCGTGCTGGCGGAAGCTTCTGCCAAGAAATGCCCAGCGGGGTTCGACCAGACAGCTGGCTGAAGTGTGGCGCGAGATTGCAGTGAATTCCATGTTGTGTGGCTGGATTGTGGCACCGATCTTGGTTATGATGCGACCTTCCGCCTGTGGATGCATGCGGTCGGTCCGAAGTCTTCAACGATGAGCTCATGGCTTCCATCCTCTCTTCACGGAGCAACTGGACAACGAAATTACTTGAGCTATTATGGAGAATACTGTGTAGATTACCGGCTAGAGTTCGAAGAGATGCTCGAGAGGTGATAACGTCATATTAAATATCGCCTCTCTTTTTCTCATAACGAGATGACAGACGAAGTAACTTGTTACACGTGACAGCGCGAGATAATACTCGCTTTTTCCCCATCGCTTGCTTGTTTCAGGTTGCAGCCGCCAGCCGTCTGTCCCAAAGGGGCATCAATCAACACGGTGTTTACCTCATCACAAAAAAAAAGTCTTTGCGATCCGGAACCGAACAAAAAGGAGCATTCAAGCCAGTCAGGGATGGCTTGTCAGCCGCGCGGTTTTTTTGACAGCCCTGTCCTCGCCGCCGCCGCCGAGGTTTGTGGCCCAGCATCTCGGCTTGCTCGAGTGGGCCGAAAAGTACGGTCAGCAGGAGCCCAGTCTGCTGCCTTGCCTGTCCATTCGGATGGTTCGACCGCCAACCACCAGGTGTCTGTGTCAGTGTCGAATTCATTGCCGACACCTTGGACGACCGACCCGGTTATCATGCTGAGCATGCACAAACATTTGAGTTTGACGGCGCAGCTTGTAGATCGGCCAGGCATCTTCGGCCAAAGTCTTCGGGAGACGGAGACGGAAAGTCGGAACCGTGGATGGGTGCTCCCACAGACCGCTCCCTCCTTGTTCAGTCGATGACTTCATTTGCCGCTGGTCAATGCGTGCTTCGTGGTGACGAACTGTTAGGGATGCAGCAGACACTCAGCCCTCACACTAACAAGCCGATCTTGACCACCCCTTGTCGTCAGTTGTCGATGAAACACCTCCCGTTTCATCGCCAAAAGTCTGGCCCGCTTTGCTCAGCCTGGCTCTGCTTTGTCCCGCTTGGTGATACCTCATCCCATAACCATTGGTTCCCGCGCTTTTGTTTTCATCCTCCGAGGTGGTTTGTCCCACTGTCAACAGATCCCCGGGTGCTCCGGGTTAACTTTGTTATGTACTATGGAGACCTCCTTGGCTTCTCGGCATCATGGGAGGCACAGCTGAGCTGCCAAGGCCGTCGGCATCCACTGACTTCGTCAACACCACCAGTCCTGGGCCTGAAGAGTCGCCGATTTCCAGCCTAGGAGGGGCCGACGAACAAAATCCCCTCGGGCTGTGAGACACACAGGAGGCACAGTAGTAATCTGTACTGGCAGCAAAGCCAAGTCTTCCTTTGTGTCTTTTGCATGCCCAAGGTGATGAGTTAGCGCCGGGGCGGCCAAACGCAACAAAGCGGTTTCGCTGAGATGCGACAAATCGTCTCCGCTGGCGCCCGGGAGACAAAGCTGTCATATTCAAATGCTCCTGTGATTTATTTTGAGACGGGCGTGACGGGCGAGATCTCCGAGCTCTTCCGCCTTGTACCCTTGGCTCCTTCCCCAGCAAGCGCCTTCGTTGGCCCGTGCTTGGTTTCATCTCAAGGGGGAGCCTCAAGCGATTGGCGAGCCTGTCCAATCCGAATCCACCCGCTCTGTGTGCCCCTCACTTTCTGTCTCCCCCCCCAAAGAAGACTGCTGCGCCAGAGCCAACCCTCCATCAGCCTGAATTAGCGCTGCCCTCGCATCCCCTGGGGGCCGCCCCACTCTGGTCATCCTCAGTGAATCCCTCATGAGAGCGTGTCAGTGACCGACAACGCCGCTGGGCTGTTTCCCGTCAACTTCAGTTCCCTCGCCGCCCCCATCTTACCCTCCAACTTGGAAACGAGCAGGCAGCACCCGGCTGCGCTGCATAGTACAGCGTGTGTGTTGAACACAACTCCGGTACCCGTCCGTATTCTAGCTTTGTCTAACCGACGCTGGAATCTGCTGCAGCCGTTTTTCTGCATCGCACGAAATCCGGGGACAAAATTCAAAGGAAACGCAAAGGGGAGCGTGGGCGACCCTGTTCGCAGACCTGACCCTGCTTCGGCCGTCGTTGTTCGCCACGCGGTGCTCGCCTCCGCATCGTTCGATCCCCCACACCTATTTCACCCAGCGAGACCCGAGCTACATCTGCATGCAATAGGTAGTCGAGCTCAACGAGGCGCCATGGCAATGTTGGCCTCCAAAGCATACCCGACCGCGCTCGGGTCCCAACCCTCCGGCATCGTCGCGACCGGGTCCCAATCCGCATATCCACCCCCGAGACGGGCACCCACGGCCCCGATGGCCTCGCAGAATTATGCCAGCCCGACCGAATCCGAGTTCGACGAGGCCGACGGTCCCGATTCCGTCAAGAACTGGGACGAGGACCGAGTGTGCGAATATCTCCGTAGCGTCAAGTGCGGCGAGTACGAAAAGGTATTTCGCAGGAATCACATCAACGGCGAGAACCTGTTGGAAATAGATAAGGAGGTCCTCAAGGAGATGGGCGTCGACAAGGTCGGAGACCGAGTCCGCCTCTTTCTAGGCATCAAGAAGCTGCGGACGAAAACATACGCCAACCAAAGGAGACGGAATAGGGTAAGCCATCCGTCACGAGAAGTCCTGCTTTGAACGTGAGCACTGACATTGTGTCGCTCTAGGAATCGTTCGCTGGCCTTGATATGCACTATGTGCCATCTTCGCCTCGCCCTTCGGGTGGCCGCGCGGTGCCCCCGACGCCCTCCAACAAGCGATACTCGCGTCAATATGATCTCCCGACCGCTATTCCCGTCGCCGACCTTTCGAAGCCATCGTCGCGGCCAAGCTCTCCTCTTCCGAGCGCTGATTTTAGGGCCCGCCAACGATACCCGCAGGCCCAGACCTTCGCCGGTCAGCCAACGCCCGCATCCGCCAGGTTTCCCATGTCCCCGCCCGACCAGCCGCACTCCGGTCGCTTCCATCAACATCAAAGAAATCAGTCCAGCATGGACGGCTCGCTGATGGCTGCCTTGCCGCCTGGGCAAGATGTTATCCGCGTCATCTCGACAGGCGGCGGAACAAAGGTCGTCAAGATCGCCGGCTGCAACACGTGCGAGGAGGTCATGCGCGTTACGCTACGGAAGTTTGCATTGCGGGAAGACCACGAGCGGAACTACTGCTTTTGGGTACTCAACGGCGTGGATGCCGACCCAAATCAGTGCCGTCGGCTCGGCGACACAGAGCTGTGGAGAGTCATCAAAGACCACACACGGCCGGAGCGGAACCGCCTGATCCTGAGGCGTGTGCCTGCCGGCGAACCGGGCCAGCAAGAACTCGAGAGGGCCGCTGCCATCGCGATGGAAGAAGCCCAGCAGAACCACAACCGTGTCATGGAAGGCATGGATAAGCGCAGCCAGATGAAGGCGCAGAAGCTTCTGGGCGAGTCCTGGGAGACCATACAGCAACCTCCTCTCTCGCCAGTCTCATTCCAGGACCGGGAAAGGAACGTGTCGAACACGGCGAGGGATCTAGAGCGACCGGCTGTCATCGAGACAGCCCAGGCAGTACCTCGTCGCAAGGGCTTGCTGCGCCAGTTTGGCGGACTTAGGCCGCCGAGCGAGCTTATTGCCTCGGACTTGACCAGCTATTTCCCGGATCACTCTCGAGAGGCCATCGACAGGACAGCCCGCATGTCCATGAGGCGATCGCAGCGGCTCAGCAGGGTAAATCACCGTCTGAGCGTAGCGAGCACAATGAGCTTCGCCTCGACTATCCAGGATGCGCCGCCGATCCCGACTATTGCCGACAGCTGGCTGACTGCTTCCAACCAAATCGCCAAGGTTCGCGCCCGGGACCCGCGGTTCCAGGGATACCGAGATTCGGTCGCCTCCTCCGTGCTCGACACCTTGCAGGAGGAGTCATCACCCATGGAGCCGAACCGAAAGTCCTACGTCTCCTTTGCTGACAGTGGCTCCGATACCGCCGCACTGAGCATCACCGACCCCGACGGCAACGTCCGGCACAGCTACTTTGACGAGAGCACGATCGGATCTGGCGGTTCCGGCTCGCTAGAGAATGTCAACCAAGCTCTGACGGAAGACGGGGAGGATGCCGATGAAGAGCTCCAGAGCTTCCTGTCCGGCGAGTCTTGGGACGACAGCAAGTGGATGAAGGGTTCACTGATCGGCCAGGGCTCTTTCGGCAGCGTCTACCTTGCCCTCCACGCCGTCACTGGCGAGCTCCTCGCTGTCAAGCAGGTCGAGACCCCGTCGCCGGGCGCTAACAGCCAGAGCGACTCACGGAAGAAGAGCATGATCGACGCACTGAAGCGCGAAATCAGTCTCCTCCGAGACCTCCGCCACCCCAACATTGTGCAGTACCTCGGCTGCGGCTCGTCGGTTGAATACCTCAACATTTTCCTCGAGTACGTCGCCGGCGGCTCCGTGCAGACCATGCTCAACTCGTACGGCGCCCTCCCCGAGCCCCTCATCCGCAGCTTCGTCCGCCAAATTCTCAACGGCCTCTCGTACCTACACAACCGCGACATCATCCACCGCGATATCAAGGGTGCCAACATTCTTGTCGACAACAAAGGCACCATCAAGATCTCCGATTTCGGCATCTCCAAGAAACTCGAGGCGACCAACATCCTCAACGGCGCCAATAACAACAAGCACCGCCCCTCGCTGCAAGGCTCCGTCTTCTGGATGGCACCCGAGGTGGTCAAGCAGACGTCGTACACCCGCAAGGCGGATATCTGGTCCCTGGGGTGCCTGGTCGTCGAGATGATGACGGGCCAGCACCCGTTCCCCGACTGCACGCAGCTGCAGGCCATCTTCAAGATCGGCGGCGCCAAGGCCACGCCGACCATCCCGGATAACGCGAGCGAGGAGGCCCGGCAGTTCCTGGCCCAGACCTTCGAGATCGATCACAACAAGCGGCCGAGCGCCGACGACTTGATGCTGAGCCCCTTTTTGACCCCGCCGGCGTAGTCATTTTACCCAGGGGATGGCTGACTCTCTTCTTGTCTTTCTCTACTTTACAGTTTGATTCTCTTCTCTTCACCTATAGCGGTTTTTTTGCTCTTTACCACATTCACAGAAGCAGCATCTGGTTTTTGTCTTGGGTCTTCGGAAAGACTTCGTTCTGATGTACATCAAGGTGGATTTTACGGGGGTTAATTTTGATGAATATCACGAAATACTTGGAGGGGGATGATGGTGGGGGTGGGTGATGAGGGACGATCAGGAAAGTGACGGTCAGGGGGTGTAGAGTCTGGCGACGGCAGACAGTACACACATGGGCTACATGGTATCTTATCTATCCATCCACATACAGGCACGGCGATCAAAAGAACGTTTTGCAGTTTTGCTTCGGTTGCTGGTTTTTGCTGTTGTGAGTGCCATGCTTGTGTGCTATCATGGACGCTAAATCTCAAACAGAATGCCCATCTCTATCCCATCTGCTTGGTGCATACACACAACACAGCCTACGAAGTCGTCTCCAATCCTATGTTTATTATCTCAACCCGCGCCTTCCGACGCATACTCCTTCTGTGTCGTTATCTCACATCCCTGTTCAGGAGGAGGTCGGGGGGGAAGGTCGGGAGGATTGCGGCACGGCTGCTCCTTGCTTGACACGTGTGACCCTTCGGGACATGATTACTCTGCATGGGACATAAGTTCCCTCCACAAGTTGACAGGTTGGCTTTCTTTCCTCACGAGTCTCGCCAAGAAGAGGGGATGGAACCACGCTGCCGAAGAACACACAGGCTTGCTCCTACAGCCGTTTCACTTCTCCTCTTTTTCTCTCCTTCCCCTCCTCATCTCAGTCCTGCACCACGCGGAGATGCTGCCCGACTCCGAGCGGGGAGCGTGATATTATCTCCATCTACCGACGCAGTCGGGGAGGGGTTGGTTGACATGGCGAGATGGACCGGTCAAGGTTGGGTGTGATTACCCGGGTCTGTGGTAGATTAAAAGGCGCTGCTAAATATAGACTGGTTTTTGGGGAGACGCGAAGGGGGGGTGGTATCGGAATGGGTCCCCGGTTTTGAGGGAGGGTGGTATTTCTCGGGTGGTACCCTCCTGCACGAGGACGGCAGAGGCGGGAGGTGTTATCTCCGGGTTTGACATGGAGAAGAGCCCCTGGATGGAGCATGGCTGGAGAGATATGGAAGTCTGCCATCAGTGGCTTGGTTTGGGCTTTGGAAGAGGGTTGAGTCTTGGAACAACCCCTTGAACTCAACTACTAGTAATGGTTAACGAAGAGGTTCCCATTACCACAACGCAAACACACAGGGTATGGAAGGTGTGGCTAGCGCCTGGTGTAGAAAAGCAAAGTGAAAACTTTCGTGATTCCCAACCTTACTAATAGTTAAATAATATTACAGCTTTTATCACATCATTTACGACCCTTTCCGGATCCCTGATGTCCCTTCCCTCTAGCCAGTCTCTGTCCAACACGATGTTCCCTCCTTCCTAGGAGAACCTTTACGACGGCGTGCTGCTCTTGTGCAGCTTCGCCTTGATCTTCTCCTTCAGACCCACCTTTTCCTTGCCACCGTTCTCTCCATGGCTACCATGGCTACCATGGCTGCTATGGCTAGTACGGCTGGTGTCGGTACCATGGTGCTGGGTACTCGGCAAGTGCACGCCCTTTTGCTCTAGCAGACCTACACCAACACCCCGTTAGCATTTCCAGTCCCAACAGTCCTGCGAGAACAAGCAAACCACTCCAAGTCAAAAAAGAAAAAAAGAAACAAAAAAAAAAGAAAGGCACTCACGATCAGCCTCCCTCCCCGCCCCCGGCCTCGAAGCATCAAAATCCCCACCATCCGCCGCGAGCCCACTCGACTTGACATACTCCTCCCCCGTCCCGGCACCCACAACCCCCTTCCCACCAACCCTCTCCTCACCCTCCCCACCACCTTCCTCAGCAGCAAGCCCCTTCCCGCTATCCCGCCTCCTCTGCTGCTGATGATGCCCCAGCACCTCACCCCCGGCACCGGCATCCCCGCCGTGCTCGCGCGCAATCTCCTCTAGGGGTCGTGGGCCGGGGCCTTCGACTTTGATGTCGGGGGTGGTGGTGGCGTCGTCGTTGTCTGACGAAGAGGGCTTTTGGAGGGTTTCCTCCTTGGGTTTGGTGGAAGGGGGGGGTTGCGCGGGTTTGCCGGCGGCCAGGGCGGAACCGGTGGTGGGTGTGGTGGTGTCGGTGGTGTCGGCTTCGGCGGCGGTGCCGGGGATGTTGGCGGGTGCGTTGGTAGCGGCGGTGGTGGTGGTTGCCGGGGTGCGGGCTGTGGATGCCGCTGAGGTGGTCTCGGCGGCGGGAGGGCGCGTGTCGTTCTGGGCTTGGGTCGAGTCGTCGCGCATGCCGACGGCGGAGGGGGCGGTGGCGGCGGGGCCGGCGGGGTTGGCGGGCTGGTCTGCGGTTGTGTCTGCTGCTGCTGGTGCCGCTGTTTCGGAGGGGGGCGACACGGCCTCGACGAAGCGTGGTTTGGTGGCGGCTTCGGGCTCGGGTTTGGACATGGGTTCGGGGACGGTTCTGCCCGTGGTTCGGGTTGCGGTGGTTGGTTCGTTGGGTGTTTCGGTGTCTTTCTTTCCGGGGGGTTCTAGGGCTGCTTCGTTGGGTTCTAATTCGGGGGTTGGCTGGTGAGATACTTCATTGCTTCACTCGGGGTTTAACTCTGCAAACATAGTGAGCATGCGTCATGTATGTAGTTGGGCGAACGGACTGTGATTGAACTCACCACCAATGTTACCGGCATCGTATGGCTCTCCGGCAGCTACATTGCCCAGCTTGCCCGAAACGGGTTCTTCGTGGGACTGGCCCTCGCCCCAGATGGCCTTGGAGGCAGCGTGGGTGACCTTGTTGATGGTATCCATGGTGGTTGGTAGGGAATGTAAGGGATTTGGTTTTGTTTATCTACGTGTAACGTTATGCAGTCTTTCGTCGAGTGTATAGTATAAGATTGAGTAAATGCCAACTTGAATTCAGTATGCGGTACACCGAAGTCTTTATGCTTTACAATTTTTCATCCCCCCTCGGGCTACCTCATTCCCTCAACATCACCTCCAGAACCAGGAAGGAGTGACGTATGGACCCTCAAAGTCCGGGTTACATCCCACCAGGTTGTCGTACCCTGCAGTCAATTCAGTTGGATCTGAGATCGAAAGCATGGCTCAAAATGGACAGCCCTCAGCTGAACGGTGAAAGGTGAAAAAGAAGCGGGACGCCATGACGTTGCTGGGAATCGCGGGGTGGTCTTATCTGACGTCACGCTTGGCGATCACTCCTCGGTTGCGGGGGAGAGCGCCACCCATGTGAGCTTGCCCGCACCTGCCCGCGCCTGTAACATTCTCCAAACTCCTGGCTAAAAAGCTTGTGTCCCTTGGCTTTGCTGAGTTTGGCACGTGTTCAGCGATCAGGTTCCCGTCAAGGAGTTGCAACTTGGCAATTGCTTTGTCAACAGAGCTGAGAGGTATCAGCTCGTTGGTCGGCACGTGGTCGGGAAAGGTGGATTGACTTGATGAGGGTCAAGCACAGTTTTCCCCACTTGGTCGGGAGGGTCAAGTGCAAAAATGATGCAAAAGAGAGGTCGTGCCCGGAATCGAACCGGGGTTGCCGGAATACCCTGAGGCGATCAGAATCCGGAGTGATAACCGCTACACTACACAACCGTTGTTTGACCAACAGCTGATTGCTGACCGAGGGGTTGCAGCCACCTTCTTATAAAGGTAAACATGAAAACGCCGAACAACCCCTGAGCGCAACCGCTTCCCAATCTCTCTTCCCAATCGTGCTAATTTCAGAGCTACTATGAATTCATTTTCTACATAGTTTATTAGCTTACTTATCGTCATCCCCCTCAGTGGTTAACTTCTTTCCCCGCAGATTGACTATTTTGTTTTCCATCTCTCATAACGGCCTCTTGAATAAGCCAACATCATGAACTAAATCGAGATTTCAATGTCGCTGTGAAAAAATGAGTTACCTAGTCAGAGACGTAATTTATAAGGCTCGGATTCAAGTTTCAAAGCACAGCAAAACAAGAGCGCCCAACTAGAACCGGAGCAAAGATTCACCGATATCGTACTTAGCTCCCCTAACTACCCGACTCATATAATCATCCTTTCACACCCCTGCCGTCCAATCCATGGACTATGGTCCATCCATCGTCCCCCTGTAAGCGGCCCCTCCTCTAGGCAGGCGTGAGGTAGTAGTTGGAGCAGTAGATGACGTTGCGGTCCTGCTTGGTGGCATGGTAGGGGAACTTGACCGCCTTGCACTTGTCCCAGGCCATGCTGAAGAGTGACTTGTACTCGGCCGTGCGCGGGTCCCCGTTGATGTTGATGGTGTAGGTGGTGTCGCCGTTGCGGCCGAACGACGTGAAGTAGGCAAAGATGGTCTTGTTGGTGGCGAGATACGTGTTGACCTCGGCGGCGCAAACCCGGCAGGCTCCGATCTGGATGGCCATTGTGTCTGGATGGAGGCTGGTAGGTATGGGTGATGAAGGTGGGAGGGTAGGTATTGGTTTGGTTGCTTTGTGACTGGTGAGATGACGTTGTGGGCTTACTTGTTGTGTTACAAGGACGGGATTTCCTGGGGTATCTATACTCATAGGACATAGCAGGTAGATTCCCATCCCATCTTTGAGGGATTCAGATCGTAGGATCTGTTACCCTTCCCGCGGCCAAAGCCCCGTGAAGGGGCGCCTCAATATCTCCACTGCGGGCCGGTGTGAAACTGGGGGAAGCACCGCCCGAAATTTGTAGGCTGCAGCATAAAGGGCGGAAAACACCGCGATGGTAACAACCACTTTGAAGCATAGCGGGGCGTTTGCGCCGCAGGTAGTGCGGCCGCTTGGCCGCTGTTGCTCCCTCCAGGCATTGGGGCATTAGCATTGAAGTTTCCGTCAGCCACCATACGTTTCGAGTTCAAGACTCGAGACTTCAACCTGAAGCCAAGATACCTGCCGTGGGCCCGTGGTGTTGAGGTAACCTTCGCAATAATATGGCTAGATGAGACCCTCAGTCTCGGTATCTACTCCTCTGGTTTATTCGGTACCGCTTGACTTCGAAACCAGGATCAAGGTTAAAACCTTAAACTCGACGACATAATAAGGGGCTATGCGGCAAAGACAAGACATGGATGAAAAAGGTTCTTTTCGAGACTCGATAAATCTTGAGCTTTCTTGTCTCGAGTGATTTTCCCCGGAAGTTCGGCGAGTATCCCTGTCGACTGCTGGAACTCCAAGTGCAATACTTGGGAGGATCTCAACTAAAAAACTGACCAACATGAAACAAGTGGTCCGCACGCAAACACAAACAAATGGGAACTCCCGAAACTGGGCCGCATCGTCGGTCGGGGTTCTCTAGAAAACGGCGCATGCGGCGACGAGGGGTTTCTGAATCGTCGACTGACTCAGCTAGTTAACCCCTTTGCACCAACGGATGGCCCCACAGGTCAGATATGACCTTCGACTACCAAGAGGTAACGTGGTATGGACACATCTGGGTACCTGCTTGGGCTATTGAGCACGGATATGTAAAAAGTATTGAAGATCAGGAAGTATATAGCTCAAATCACCCCTCACAGTCTCTCTGTCTGCAGTCTTTTTCGGGCACCCATCGAGGGGGTGGGGGGCCGGTTTAGGTGATGAGTGCCTAGCTAGAAATCTGCGCCATTATTGACTGAGTGGGAGCCGAATCAGCGCAAAGCGCGCCAAACGGCCCTCACGAATTGGCGGCACCCAATCTTTGCCCTGAAATGCGATTTCGCGATGCGGGTAGCGTGAGAACCTTGATGGTCTGATCGGCTGGCGAGTCCATCAAGGTTCTCAAAGACGGCCTTTGCTTATATTCCCTCGATTCGCCCGGCAGGTGAAACCTGGCCTAGATTTCTTCGTCGTTTTCCCTTGTTCCTCCAAAGCTTGAACAAACACAGCAAGCAGCCTTGAACTCGGCTGCTACCCTCGACCCCCAAATGTCTCCTCACCGAAGCTCTCCCCCCCCCCCAAGTCCAACCCCGCTTCGATCTTCGACATGTGGCTGCCGCCCGCCCAACAGGCAGGCGCGTTTCGCGCCCTTATCGCGGTAGCACTCCTTCTCAACCGGGTGTCTGACAGGATTTAGTCACTTAAACCCCACACCACGGCCAATCGCGCTGCAAGCTACCACGACCCGTGACAGGATTCCCCGAACCGATTCGTTGCCGATACGCCGAGGGTCGAAACAAGGTGTGGGACGGGGCATCACTCGGCACACACAGTTCACGTAACACCCACTTGGACCGAGGAGAGAGTACAGCGGGACATACAGCAATGGGACGTGGGGGGGGAGCAAAAGAGGAGGGGTAGCTGGCCTAAGGCAGTCTGGGCAGCCACGGTTTCGTCTATTTAATGACGCCGTGGTTCCCTTCTTCCTCGCTTTCAAGATTCTTCTTTACAACACAGCTCTCAGACATTCTCCTCAAAAGACGCACCAGAAATCAATCAATTCAGAACTCACGTTCGCAAACCCATCTCAAAATGCCCGCCTGGTGAGTCCGCAAGCCTCTATCCCAGGACTTGGGATTTTCTGAGCTGCTTCCCACTGCCTCAACAATACTAACGAGCTTATTCGTACAGCAACTGCTCCTCCTGCGCCAGCTGCTCTGGCTCTTGCAACGGCTGTGCCTGCTCTTCTTGCGGCGTAAGTCGACCACACCCCGCCCTCATTCACTATTACCTCGACTTTTCAATTCGTTAACCAATAACATTTACAGCACTAAACTCGCTTCCCGACGTTTCCGGCCCTCAATAGGATGCAATTGGATGGACCGAGGAGAGTGGTAACGATGATAGCGATGATCTAGCACCCTTTGGCCAAGGGTAGCTTGTCAGTGCGCTCGCTGCGGGTTTTGAATTAGTCGCTCCTTAACCAGCAACCAATATATCACTTCCATGGACTTGACTTGCCCCTCAATGCAAATGACCCGTGACCTGATCCATGGCTCGGTTTGTTTGTATTGGTGATGAACGACAAAAGCGACGTCAATGAGGCGCGGTGCCGAAACTACCGAGCTCACGTAGAACTGCGGGGAGCAGGTATTACGTTGTGCTCAACATTGTCCGCGTGGAAGGGCTATCACAATAAGAAAGTATTACAAGAGAGCAAATAACTCGTCGAGTGTTCTTCAGCCTGCCATTCCGCTCTCCCAGCATCGATCATGCCGAGGCCTCCACAAGGCTTCGAAACATGTTCCCCGTCCCAGTCGCGTAGCCCGCGAGCTCTTCATCCTCTTCGGGGCTGTACATGCCACCCTGGCCGCCATACAAAAGACCGTACCCCTTACGTACAACCTCCTCAATCCCCCACGCGATCCTTTCCGCAGCCAGCCTCGCGCCCCCGAGATTGGGAGCCGACGGCCCCAGCTTCAGCGCCGCCAGCCGCCCGGCCACAAACAACGGCACGCCATCCTCCCACATCAGATCGTCGTTCAGACAGGGGAAGCCCCCGTGGCCCTCGATCGGGTGGCTCTCCAGCATGGTCTGCAGGAATGGCAGCTTCGCAAAATCCGACTCCACCCCGGTCGCGAAATAGATGTGGTCCATCGGCGGCAGCCCGCCCTCCCCTTCCACGGCCGCACTATCCGTCTCGACATACCACACCCCAGTCCCCTCCCCCTTCATTTCTCCCTTCACCTCTCCCTTCGCCTCCCCATTCTCATCCCCCTCCCCAACCCCCCCAACCACCACCCCCTGACCCTTACCACCACCGCGCACCTCAAACCGTCCCCCCACAATCTTCACCCCCTCCAGCAACCGCACCCGCCCACTCGCCGCATGCGCCCTCAGCAACCGGCCATACGCGGGCGTGACGCTGCCGCCGCCGCGCGCGGAACGCAGCAGGGCTAACCGCTCGGCGTCGCCGCCCTCGGCCTGCCAGAACCGTGCTTGCTCCGTGTTGCGGAACTTGCCCATCCAGCTGAGGTCGACGTCGAAGAGCTTGGAGCGGAGGGGGGCGCGGGTGGTGTCTTTTTTTTGTTTATTTCGGGTTAGTTGTTTTGGTTTGTTGGGGGGGGGGGGGAGAGGGGGGGTGTGGGGAGGGAAAATGAAGGGGGTGCAAGGGAAATGAAAGGGGAGGCAAGAGAAAAGGAAGGGGTAAGGGGGGGTGGGAGAAGGGGGGCGTATCGGGCAAGGAGGGTGGTCGTTGGGGAGATACGATAGGTTGCGGCACTAGGCACTCGCTGGAAGGGCGTGGGGGGGGACGATCTGTCTCGGGGAAGAAAAGTAAACAAACGTAAAATGTGAGACTTACGCCAGACGGTGGTCACGCCGTGGCGCACCGCTAGGTCAGCTAGCTGCGCCGATGTCAGCCCGCCGCCGACAATGAGTATGTTGGTGCGGCGGCCGGCGGCGATCTTTTTCCGGACGGGGGCAGAAGGGAAGGTCTGCAGCTGCATGGCGTGGCTGACTTGGGGAGGGGGTCCGTCGACCGGGCTGGGGTTGAGGCCCGGGATCTCGGGGATGCACGGCTTGTTGCCGGGGCCGACGGCGACCACCACGATGGGCGAGTAGCGGACGCCGTGGTTGGTTCGGACGGTGAAGATCTTCTCGCCCGCCGTCGATATCCCGGGGACGGGCGCGTAGGTGATGTCGAGGACTCGTTCCTTGCGGACGAGGGCCGACGCGTGGAGGCCGTAGCGGCCGACGACGTCGTCGCAGTGGTCACGGAACAGGGACTGGGTCGGGTTGAAATAGTCGTTTCGGTCGCGCTCGTTGATAGGGATCCGGGATTCTCCTCTGTTGAGGAAATGAGCATCTCTCTCCGTGTATGTGGAGACGAAACCTAGGTACTCACTTGCTGCCCACGTATTTGGTTCGCATCTTCTTCTTTTTGTGCTTGCTGACCTCCTTGCCCACGCAATTCTTGATCTCAAGCAGTTCCTTTTCTCGCCCCTGTCCGTAGGCCTTCGACAGGAGGCTGTCGCGGTCGTTGGGGTCAACGTGCCAAAACATAGGGCTTCGCAGGTGCTTGATGTCAAACGTCTTGAAGAGATGGTTCCACCTCCCCATCCAGGTGTCGTGTTCGGCATCCAGCACGACCATGTTGTATTCGGAGCGAGCATTACTCGCACCCGCCGCGCTTGACACACGCTCTTTTCTGTCCCGCTGGAGCGCCATCTTCTTCCCGTGCCGCTTCATCCAGTGGAAGCGCCGGTGCTCCTCGTCGGTGAACAGGGCAGCCGGGTTTTGCTCACGCAGGCGAGCTGCAACGGCAAGGCCGCAGGGCCCGGCGCCGACGATGATGATATCGTGGAGGAAAGCCCCATCAGGGCACGGGATGCCGGGGTCGGCTGACGGCTGTTCATCAGATGTTGCCATTTTGTTTACTTCCAAAATGAGAACGTAATTTTGAGTTTCAAAGGGTTGGAAAGGGGTAGGGCTGGCACAAGAAGGCAACACACTCTGATCAGCTAACCAAAATAGCCACGCGGAAGTGAGCCCGCGGTATTAATATGGCATCGTGAGAACCCTTACGGGTATGGCGACTTGAGCACCTTGATGACTGCCACCGGTCCGCGGCACTGGCCTTCGTGTCTCCCATACCGTACTTTTGCGAGAATATACAATATACACTGGGCTGCTCCTCTCCACGGGCAGACCGTTATTCTCGACCATGGTGTTTCTACTTCTAACAGCCTTTTTGACAGGAACTTCTCCAACAGGATGGAGCCTACTGCCAGTCGAGGTGCAGTCCCGCGGGTGAATATTGGTGCCTGGGTTGAGAACCGTGATGGCCAGATGGGGGGCTACCCTTGACTGAGCATGTCCCACCCGGCTACCTATCAAGGTTCTCGACCGCATCCCGCCTTCGGTCAGCCGAGTGAATGCGAGCGAATGGTGTCGGAGTTGACGATTGGAACACATCATCACTGCTTCGAGTCCAGAACGGTCGGAATAGAGCTCCATACAGTAACCGACTCGACACCCAATCTTGCATTACCGGTGGCGGTTAGTGTACGTGTACACTACTATTGTACCTACAGTATCGCACTTCAGAACGCTGTCCAGTGGCTGAAGGAGAGTGTATCACAGAAACACCCTCCCGCCTCGCAAAACGGCCCGAGGTGTCAAAGACTTAATTAAGCCCACTTGCCCAGCACGCTCATAATCACCATACCCGACACGAGCCCGCCCATACCCAGACACGTAACCAGGGCACTAGCATCCGTCAAGCCGCCACCGTAGACCCAGTCAGCGGCCCACATCTCAACAACACCAACCCAGAGCAGGATGCCAGCAGAAAAAGCATCCAGGACACCGATGGCGACGATGGTCTGCGGGTCGTTACCGTTGAAGACGTTGAGCACGCCGATGCCGATGGCCATGCCGACGGGGGTGACGAGGGCGAAGGCCGTCGCCAGGTAGATCTTCTTGGCCATGGACACGTGGAACAGCGGCTGCGCCGAGCCGGTGGCGTCGCCGTAGCTTGGGACGGGGTCGCCCTGGCCCGTGGACGAGGCGCTTCCTTCGCCGGTCTGTTTTGCGTCCGTGATCGGGGCGCCGTGGCCGTGGCCGTGACCGTGGCTGTGGCCGACGGTGAAACTCGAGTTCCCGCCGGACCCGAGCGCGGCAATGCGGGTGCCGAGGGCGAGGCCCTCGAACATTTGGTGGAAGATGATCACCACGAAGAGGGTGAGCAGGAAGCTGTCGCCGGCCACGACGAGGGTGAGACCAATGACTTGGGGCTGGTTAGCATATGGTGCTTCAACGGGGGGAAGAATTTGGGGAAAGGACTCACTCATGGAGTGGAAAATGACACCGGCTTCCATGACGTATACGCTGACCATCTCGAGCGACCGCAGGCTTTGCATTGGCACTGCGACTCCTTCCATGGTCTGGACTGCCGCCGACTTCTTTGCCTGGGACTTAACAAAGCGGAAACCGAGGTATTCGATGAGGAAGGATATGAACAGCCCGGCCATGAGGATAGCAGCCGTGGTGGCCTCGTACTTGAGCTCGCCGAGGCACTCGTTGCCAAACATGAGTTCCGCATGAGTGAACAGCTATTAGGGAACAGGGTGTCAGCGTCCCTCCTCGTAGAGCTACAGGTAGACATTATCCACGGATTCTAATCGCTTACATGCACGAGAGCGGTCGACATGATGACACCAGTGCCGAACTGCTTGATAATCAAAAGAGCCGTGTTTGCTCTGGTCGATAGGAACTTAGCGAGAAGGATAGGAGTAAAGACACCTGTTCTGTGTGAGCTACCAAGATTCCAATAGACGACGAAAGTAACATACCGATGGCGCTGGTGACCAAAATGGCAAAGAGAAGGCCGATTCTCAGGGGAATGTTATACTCGCGATCTGTCCGCTCGCAGCTGCGAGCGCCTCCGCTGCCGCCGACGCAGTGCCTGGTTCCACTGTTAGCTAATTCTCTCTACCGACGGAGGATTCGCGGGAACCGTACTCAACACCGGCATGGAAGTGGCAGTTCTCTTCCGTTGGCTCGTCGGCGCCGGCCTCGGCTTCCTCCGACTCGCTTTGGAGTTGGGCGTCGTCTCCCGACGGCGTCAAGCAATATCTGCGGCAGAGTTAATCAGAATCGGTTTGCATCCGGCCGGGACTCGAGGGCTACCTACGTAACCGAGTCGTGGGGGTGGCAACCCGTGTACATGGGCGGCAGATCCGCGGTTGCCGTCACAGTCACCAAGACTCTGTACTCGGTCGCGTCCGATGAGCAGTACCTAGCAGCATTGCAATGTTAGCTCCATCAACGTGCCGCCGAGGGTGCAGGATGCGCAGCTGCTTACACTTCAGTATCCCGCATATGACAGTCAGTGACTGACTCGATACTGGGCGGCGGGGTGGCCTCGGCAACCTGGACTTCTCCTCCGTTGGGATTCATGCACCACCTGAACAAGGGTTAATTGTCAGAGCTATATCAAGCATGGCTTCTGAGGGTACTTGAACCTACGTTTCGGAGACATGGGGATGGCATTCGGTGTAGGACGACGCGAGGTCCGAAGTTGGAATTCCGGGCGCGATAACGGTATATGTGGCAGTGCCCGCTTTGCAGAATCTTTTCTTCTGTATCAGTATATATTTTGGCCATATTGAGTGCTTTCCGGCGAGTTCTTACTGAACAGTTTCGTGCGCCTTAAAGCCACAATCGCTGATCGCCGTGATACTAGGCTCCTGCCTTCTTTCGGGTGGACTTGTGATAGTCGCCCCGGCCGTGGCCATCCACAGTGTAAGCGGCAGAGCATGGCGCTTCCACGCCCCCTGAAGACGCATTGTGGGCGAAAGTTGGCGTTTTTGCACAAGTCCAGGCAGGATTCAGCCTTTCAGGTCTCAGGGAAAGAGTGTCGGTCTTGCAGTGCGGGAACACTTGTAACTGAGCAGTGGGCCGTGAGATCAATACTGGTGCAGGTCTAAGAATTATATCAGCTTTGATCCTCCTACCGCGGTTTTCTCAGCCCTTCCTTCAAGGCCTTTCCGGACTGGTGTGGGGTGGGCATGGTGAACCTTGGTGAACATGCATCCATGTCCGGGGCCATTCGGTGTGGGTAGGTTGCCTTCCTGGTCTTGTCTCACGCGCCCACCCCCACGTTTTTTTGTCACCCTCTCTTCTCTTTTACTTCCTCTTGTAGTTTAAATTCTGGCATTTTTCTTCTCTTATTCTTACACGAGGAGTACGCTAAGCAAAGAATGGTAAGGCAAACGAGGAACGATGAACCCACCCGGAACTCTTGGAGCTCGGAACAGGAGCCGTGTGGGTGTCCATGTGGGCGCCACTCGAGCAGGTTGGTGATCCATTTCTGCAGAAGTTCGTTTGACTTTTCAGGCGGCCAAAAAGGTGGCTCGTCAGGCTGGGAATGCTCCACTGGTCCCCTCTTGTGGTGTCGGCATCAGCTGCGGAGGGAAGGTGCCAATGTGCCAAGGGGGCAAGAGGGGAGGAGGGGAGGTTGTTGAGAGAACCTTGATGGCCTCAGCTGGGTTGACCCGCCCCGGCAGTGGTTGGTTCACATCCACTCGCACAGAGGAAAAAAATACCTTGAACCCGGAAATTGGCAGGCGCGTGGGATTCATTCCCGAACCCCTGGTCAAAGAAACCGAGAACACTGCATGAGGTGGGAATGAGATGACGGGAGAGGGAACAGTCAGTGGCGTTCAATGATTCATGGACTGCATATTGCATACCCGAACATCCCTCTGCTCACCAACGCCGGCCGACGCATGCCATGACTCCCTTGCTCGGGACGGGAGATCGACCGTTTTGAGAAACATCTCCTGGGTTGCATGGATGGAAGAGGGCCATGGAATTTTCCAAGGACACGCGGGCGGATATCAGGTTGGCCTCTGGAAGGAAGGAATATCGGGCAGGCCGCAGAATTCAGGCAAACTACCGCCTTCGAGACGAAGACCGCGGTGGAAACTCTAGGTACGTATGTCTTTTCTTTTTAGTACAATACACAGTATTCAGTGGAGAATACCTATCTCCCTTCCATGTGGTTGCAGCTCTCCCGAAACTGGTTCAGACAGTAGACTTTCGTCCCCATTATGTGGTAATCGCCTAGACACGCGGATGATGCAGCTCAACGATTTGATTGTGAAGCTAACCAACAGACAGATACAGATAGGTAATAATGTGTAGCAATCAAAGCCAAAAGAATTATTGCATCAGCTCAGCCAGAAGAATCCAAATATCCTCCACACGAAGACCAGACCAGACCAGACCAGACTATCTAACTAGTACATGTACAGGTACATCCCAACCAGAACCCGTAACCTCTCACAGGCCCAGCGCAGCGAGCGCAGCCAGCCCAAGCACGGGCACGGCCGCGAAGCCCGGCGCACCAGCGGCGCCAGCAGTCGAGACAGCGCTGGTGGAGGTCGTAGACGCAGTAGCGTTACCCGCCTCGGTAGCCGTCGTGGCCACACTAGTAACCAACGAAGACGACGACGAGTCAACGACCGGCGGCGCGCTGGTGGTCTCGGCACCGTCGCCGCCGCTGCCGGTCTCGCTGGCGGGCGGGCGCGGGCCCTCGCAGTGCCAGTGGTCGCCGTGCGGCTCGCAGCCGATCGACTCGGTCGGGCTCGGGCCGGCCTCGTCGGTGTGCTCCTCTTCGTCGTCGTCGTCGCCACCGGCGGCGCTGGTGGTGGTGGTGGTGATCTCCGCGGGCGGGGCCGAGGTCGTGGGCTCCGCGGTGGTGGCGGGGGGGCGCGGGCCTTCGCAGTGCCTGTTTTGAGGAGGGGAGGGGTGAGTTAGGGTGTTGTGATGGGTGGTTGGGCGGTTGGGTGGTTGGGTTGGGCTTGCTTACCAGTGGTCGCCGTGGGGCTCGCAGCCGATGGACTCGGTCGGCGAGGGAGCGAGCTCCTGGGCCAGGGCGGGCAGGGCGTAGAGCCCGAGGAGGAAGGCGACGGCAGAGGTCTTCATCTTGGCGGGTTGAACGAGAGTGGTTTGTTCAAAAACGAAGTCGGTGTGTGCTGACACGGACAGGTGTGTGTGGGATCCCGTTAGGTATTTCAAACGAATGAAGTGAGACCTGGGTCATCAAGGTGAGAGGTCGACGGAAGCGGGAGGGCGGCTCTTAAGAGGCCTGGACACGCGGGATGCCCTCCCGTCAGTATCGTCGTCTGCTCAGCTTGACCGACCTCCACCCCGACTTACACCACAAACGCCGGCGAGAAGCGGACCAATCGGACGGAGCCAACTTGCCAAGACCAAAGTACGGCCGCCCACCTGCAGGAGAGGATTTCCAGTATTTTCCTGGCAGCCATCAAGGTCCTCCTTCTTCCCCTTGTCCAGAACCCATTCTCTGGGCGTTTCCGTGGGGGGAATATTGGATCACAGGAGATCCCAGACAACCGGGTTTTATTTACCTCATTTTGATTCACATGCGGACAAGCGTTGTTTCTGCGATGAAATCATGAAGTCCCTTCCATACCAGGCTTACCTTCGGTTTGTATTTTATACCGCCCTCGAGCAGGACTGCACGAGAGCAGGTGGCGAGGTTCCCCGCATGGTAAACAAATCAAACACCAGACCCTCTTTGAATTGCTTATTCGCTCGGCCCCTTTTGGCTGTCTTCTCGCGGCGGAGGACCCGAGTGTCTGGCACCCGAGTCGCGCTCTTCCAAGGTACCTCCCTACCTAGGTAGTTAGCGGCATCAAGACAAGACTTCAAAATGAAGGGCGAAAATGCCGCCAAACATGCCAGGGTCCAGCTTTCAACCCTCGGCTCACCCTCGGTCAAAGCCATTCAACCCGTCTTTCATTGGCGGAGTTAGGAGGGGAGAGGAGACCTCCCGCGTGGGAGGGGGATACCATCCTAGGATTCCTAGCTCTTGGCATCGAGGCTGACAGCGCAGCATTAGGGGTTCAAAACATGTAACTATGTATGTACATGTGTACCTTACCTAACCTGGTTTGCATTACGCTACCCTTCTGTCCCTCGGGATTCCTGCGGTGGCTTGAACTATCGGCCCCTTCGGCCCCCGTTCTTGCTGACCCGGGACAGTCCCAAACAACCTTGATGGATATTGGTGACAGAACCTCGAAGGACAATGTGAATCCAACGTCGTTATTGACTCCGCGGTCTCTATTCCCTGTCCTCGCTACGAATACTTTTCCCAGTTTTAAGGGCTCCCTTTAACGAGCGCAGCCACACTACTGACGCCATCTCGGCACTGGACGGCCGTCGTCGCTACTAACAGAGACCAACCATGTTGAGCAAGACTCAACCACGGCGCGCCTTCACTGGCGTTGCTGCCATAGTTTTCTTCACGACTCTTATATTGTTGATGAGCTGGGGGACAATCTTCGGCACCGGCGGGACACAGCCGGCCGTTCCACTCCATTCACCACACGGGGATAGTCCGGGAGGCGCCGTCTCTGAAGACGGAGCGGGCGAACGGCATTGCCACTTCCATGCCGGAGTAGAGTATGTAACCACTGGCTAATTAAAGGGTGAACTATGTCTGATAAAGGACTAGGCACTGCGTCGGGGGCGAGGTCAACAACAAGACGGCTTCGCGTTGTGAGCGCATCGACCGAGACTACAACATCCCGCTCCGGGTTGGAGCATTGTTTGTGGTGCTGATTGCCAGTTCTATCGGTGTGTTTTACTTGCCTTTCATTCACTTAACTCTGGGTATACTCTGATATACGTGGTCTAACGAGCATTGTAGGCGTGTATGGGCCGATTCTCGTAGCGGCCATCCTCCCCCCCAAGACGAGCGTCATCTCGGCGGTACTGAAACAGTTTGGGACCGGCGTCGTCATTTCGACTGCGTTTGTCCATGTCAGTGCCATCTCCCGGCGACGGTAGACCTCTCGACTAATGATGCTCTAATATAGCTGTTCACGCACGGAATCCTGATGTTCCAGAACGAGTGCCTAGGAAAGCTTTCGTACGAGGCAACACCCGCCGTGATTCTCATGGCTGGCGTTTTTGTGTCCTTTTTGGCGGATTATTCTGTGCAGCAAATACTCCTGTGGCGGTCGACGAAAAAAGGGGACACGACGGATGAGAACGGCGGAAACTCTACCATTTCCGCAGAACTGGTCAATGTGGCCATACTCGAAGCTGGCATCATGTTCCATTCTCTGCGTAAGTCAAAAACCCACCAGATGCTTAGTTGAGATACGGATCGGTCACTTACTTGTTTGTCAGTCATCGGCCTTACCCTGGTAGTCACCGCGGACGGCTTCTTCGCAACACTGGCACTTGTAATCGTCTTCCATCAGGCTTTCGAGGGAATAGCCCTCGGAACTAGAATTGCCGCTCTAGGATCCCCTGGTCGGAGCGTGGCTTCGTTTGGGCACAGCCATCATCACCACCACTCTTTCGAACCCGAAGGCAACGGGGCGACATTGGCTGAAGATACAGCTTCTTCAAAGATTTCAATAGCCCGTAAGCTTCTCCTCGCCAGCGGCTTCGCCTTCGTCACGCCCGTGGGAATGGCAATCGGCATCTGCCTTTTGAAGGTTTTTAACGGGAACGACCCCTCCACCATCGTCGCCATTGGGGCCATTGATGCCTTCTCTGCCGGCATCTTGGTATGGGTTGGTATCGTTGAGATGTGGGCGCACGACTGGATGACGGGCGGCGAAGTGTCACAACTAGATGCTCGGGGGAAGATATTATGTTTGGCTGGGCTCGTAGCTGGGATGGTGAGCATGAGCGTGCTGGGTAAGTGGGCTTGATATGCTCACTGAGCCGCCATCCTGGTAAACACAGAGTAGCAATATTTGCTGGGCCGGTTAAAACAATGATTCCCAACCCCATCGTCGCCACTCTCGACAAAGTAGCCGTCACTGTCTGTCTGCCTGTTAATCCGGCCACATATCATTTCGCCCAGTCAACGAATCGGGCATGGACGGTTGTTGCTGACCACCCCCTTTACGGTTCCCGTCCCGGAAGGAGAGAACAAAGCTGCTCCTCGGGGTCAATAATGACCCGAGTTCCCGCATGCTAAGACGCGTTGTCTTGGGCTGGGTAGCACACCTGCCTATCAAGGTTCTCAGCCCGCATCCGGCAGCGGCAACTTCAGCTATAACAACACCCAGCATCCCAACAGTGTCAACACGGTATCCATATCAACCACCTCAGTATTACCGAAACGCTCAAAACCCTTAAGAGACAGCAGCAACCATGGCCACCGAAGCGCCCCAACCCAAGACCGCCGTCGAGCACTTCAACGCGTCCGCCGAATCCTACGAAAAGTACACCGGCGGCTGCACCCGCGAGCTCGCCCTCGCCCTGCTCAACCTCCCCGAACTCGCCGACGCCGGCGCGCCAGGCTCCGTGGTCCTCGACAACGCCTGCGGCACCGGCATCGTGACCGAAGAACTCCTCCTCCGCCAACCCCCCACCACCACCACCACCACCACCACCACCTCTCCCACCAGCCCCAGCGCCACCATCCACGCCGTCGACGCCGCCCCCAACATGGTCACCCTCGCCCAGCACAAACTCTCCACCCTCCCCCCCCAACCCAACCACACCATCACCACCCATACCATGCCCGGAGAGCACCTCGCCTTCCCCGATCACACCTTCACCCACAGCATCACCAACCTAGGCATCCTCTTCTTCGCCTCCGGCCCCGCCGGCGCCGCCGAGATCTACCGCACCCTCCGCCCGGGCGGCATAGCCGTCGTGTCGACGTGGACCGATCTGGGGTACATCGGCCCCGTGGTGCAGGCGGCGCAACGGATTGTGAGGCCGGGCGAGGAGGTGTATAAGCTGCCGGTGGCGGGGGAGTGGTTGGAGGGGGGGTATTTGAGGCGGGTGATGGCTGGGGGCGGGTTTGGGGAGGCGGGGGTGGAGATGGTGGAGATGGTTGGGGGGGTGGATGGGGGGGTGAGGGCGCATTATGGGGCGCGGACGGTGGAGGGGGTGGTGGAGTTGTTGATGCATTCGTTTCGGGGGGTGTGGGCGGGTTGGGGGGAGGGGGAGCAGAGGAGGTTTGGGGAGGTGGTGAGGGAGAGGGTGGAAGGGGTGGTGGAGGAGTATGTTATGCCGGATGGGGAGAGGGGGGTGGGGATTCCGATGATGGCGGCGGTGGCTGTTTGTAGGAAGTGAGGAGCTGGGAACTGGCTGCTCGTTCGTTGGTGTGGGGGATTTGGGTTGTGAGAGCACGTCTCCCTAGGTATTCCTAGGTAGTTATACTCGATGCTGGACTCTTAGATGTGGGCATGGCCTCACCCTGTTTGTAGACGGCTATGCCTTTCTGCTGTATGAAGGAACCCATCTCGACGTCCAATGTGACTTGACATCCTTCCTCTCACTATCATTCGACCATGTTCCCATGGATCATGGCACAAGACAGATATGACCTCCAGATGGGTAGTCAGCGTCCTAGTAGATGTCAAAAAACACCAACGCTTGGTAGTCCCGTCCTGAGGCCGAAGAATTTCCACCCGGGGTGTAAACATGATGTAATTTGCGCCTCACTGTTGCAGCGCGAATCCATTGACGGTTTAACTTGTTCCACACTCCATATCCGGTATCTGCTTTGGCTCCCCTTAAACGGGGTAGCCCAGGACTGCCAAACATACCAAACAAAACACCGCTCACCCTCACAACTTGGTACTCTTGACCAGCCCCGTCTTGATACCCGACAACTCTCCCTGGTACCCGCCGGGCCCCTCGCCGCCCTTGTACACGGCCTTGACGCTGCGCAGCTTCTTCTGCTTCTCCTCGTACTTCATCCTCTTCTTGACGCGCGGGTTGCGCACCTCCTTCTTGCGGTGCGGCGTCAGGCCCTTGTTCTTCTGGATCTGGTACGTGATCTGCCGCTTGCCGTCCGCCCCGACCCCCTCCGCCTCGACGACGCGCTCGCCCTTGCGCGCCTTAGCCAGCGCGTCGTACCGCGCCGCCTTGTCCTCCCGCTTCCGCTTCGCCCCGTGCGCCACCATGTCGTAGTACTCGTCCTCGTCCCCGCGCACCTGCCTGGCCACCGCGTCGTCGCCGTCGCTGTCGTCGCCGCCCAGATCGGCACCCAGCTTGCTGCCCTTCTTCCCGCGGTTCTCGGCCTCGCGGTTGAGGCGGGCTTGGCGGTCTCGCTGTGAGGGGGTTAGTTGGTCAGCTCAAAAATCTCATGTAAGGGGGTAAGGGTTAACTCACGAATCGTTCGCGGTATGGAATATCCATGTCACCGCCTGCGTCACGACCAGCGCCGGCTCGCTTGTTGGCCTTCTGGACGATCTGCGAAGTGTAAAACTTAAGCGTCTTCTTCCGGCGCGCCTTATCAGCGGCCGTACGGGCGTCGAGCGCCTCTTCCTCGCCGAAATCGGAGCGGTTGTCATCGTCGGCCGCGTCGGCCGAGGCAACAGGCGCAGAAGCAATCTTGCCGGCCTTCTTAGTGCTCTTAAGCAGCGTCGACAGGTCTGCAAGAGACTGCTCAACGGCTTGGGCCTTTCTGGCTGCGTCCGCTGCCTTCTTCTTGTTCGCCTTAATCTCTGACTTGGAAAGCTTCTCGCCCCTCCGCTTCGGCACGGACGCGGCATCAAGCATCTCAAGATCCTCCTCTTCGGGCGGAGAGAGCATGCCGGTGGCAGGTACGGCCGACTTCGTTGACCTGAACTGCTTTGCTTTCGACCAGGCTTCGCGGCACTCCATCAGAGTCTCCATAACCTCATGGTCCCTGAGTTCTGACGGGTTCAGCGTCGCCGGCGACCCGTCAACATCGCGCGATGGTGACGTGAGGATGGCGAAGTAGCTCGCCAACGCAGCGACGTAGCACCCTAAGAGCCAGGACTTGACCACCTCCAGCGACTTGGCAGGTTTCCCCTCGGCCTCTTTTCGTAATGTCGGGAGAAGAGGCTGCAGTTCCCTAAACTCGTCTACCAGGTAGTCGAATTCCGGATACCGGGCCTGTAAGAGCTTGTACCTCTCCTCATGGCCCATGTCCGCCGTCACCTCGACTTCTTTCAGCACTTCGGTCACAACTTCCTCCTCGTCCCCAGCTTGTTCTTTCGGCGCTAACCATTCGCTCTCGTCAAAGGCGAAATCGGCCTCCTGCATCTTGGCCAACTTCTTGGCCTGAAGACGCCTAGCCTCTGCCTCTTCTTCCTAGAATGCATGTTAGCGCCAGCCGTGACATCCGGATACAAGGCAACCTACCAGGGCATCGGCCTCCGTCTCGATATTGTCCGCATCGTAGTACTCCTTTCTTGAAGAACCCCACCACCCCTCGTCACCCTCCTCCTCCCCCGCCTTTTCTTCCTCCTCAGACACATCCTCGTCTCTTGCGCTCGGTTTCTTGCCCCCCTTCCCCTTGGCTGGCGCCTGCTCCTCTTCCTCTTCGCTCTCGTCTGACTCTTCCTCCCCCAAGATCTCCTCCTCCGAAACCTCTAGGAAGGCGTCCTCCTTCTCCTGCCTCTTGAGGCGCTTGGAGCTCGGTTGTTCATCGTCGTCAAAGTCGATGCGATCCTGGTGCGCCCAGTACTCGTCCTCAGAATCGGCGACGTCTTCGTAGGTTTTGATGGTGAGGCGCGCGTCCTTGGCGTCGATGTCGCGGGGCCCTGTAGGTTCGGCCTTGCGCGGGGCCTTTCTCTTCTTAGCCATGTTAAGAGGTATTAGGGTTTGCGGACGTGACGGTAGTATGAGAGTCGCCCAAAGCGCGTTGGTTATAGACAAACGGTTTTACACAAACTCGGTTGTCTTGAGCTGGCTCTGTGTGGGGTTCGTCGTTGCGAAGGCTTCACTGCTCCGGGTTCACGGCAGAACTTTTTTTTCTGGTGACCGCCCGAGAAAGTGGAAGGGGCAGACCCACCTTTCCCGCCTGGCCCCACTGTTGTGCAGGGACCCGCTGCTTGTCCTGCTTGTGGAAGTTGCCCATGTGGATGAGACCGAAGAAGCCAATCAAGCCCCTGTTGAGAACGACATTCACGGGTTGAAGGCCTGAAAGCTCGCGTCTCACCGATCACAAATCATCAACGGTGTTGAACTTCTCACTCATGGATATTCTTCAAAGACTCGGTATCCCCTTACCAATTGCCACCGGAGCTTTAGGTCTCATCATAGCACTCATCGCAGGCATGGGCTTATTCGGGCGAAAGAACCAGATGCCCGTCGATGGCCGGGTATGTTATTATGTGATGATGATACTCGAAACAATACATTCATCAGTCCAATCCAATCCAATTAAATCAAAACAATTACAAAAAAATCCATACTAATAATTCTCTTCCCAGACGGTGCTCATAACTGGCGCCTCCGAGGGCATGGGCCGCAGTGCCGCCGTCCAGCTCGCTGCCAAGGGTGCCCACATCATCCTCGTGTCGCGCAATGTCGGCCGTCTCGAGGAAGCCCTCGCCGAGGTCAAAGCCGCCGCCTCCTCCCCCGCCACCCAGCGCTTCACCTACATCTCCGCCGACGTCTCGGAGCCGGACTACGCATCGGCCGTAATCGCCGAGGCCATCGCCTGGAACGGCGGCCGCAGCCCGGACATCGTCTGGTGCATCGCCGGCATGTCCACACCCTTACTCTGGACCGACGACAACGCCATGGCGGCCGCGCGCCGCAACATGGACGTCAACTACTTCGGCTCGGCCGAGATGTCGCGCGCCATCCTGCGGGAGTGGCTCAGCCCGGAGAGCCGCGCTAGCACCGACGGCACCGCCCGGCCCGAGCCCAAGCACATCGTCTTCACAGCATCAGTCCTAGCGCTGTTCGCCATCGTCGGGTACGGGCCGTACACGCCATCCAAGTGGGCGCTGCGCGGGCTGGCCGACACGCTGGCGATGGAGGTCAACCTGTACCCGGACACCCCCGTCAAGGTGCACGTGGTGTTCCCCGCGACCATCACCAGCCCGGGGCTCGAGCGCGAGAACCAGACCAAGCCCGGGATCACGACCGAGCTGGAGAAGGACGAGCCGCCCGAGACGCCCGACACGGTCGCGCGCCGCGCCATCGCCGGCCTCGAGCGCGGCGAGTACTTTGTGGCTGTCTCTTTTCTCGGCAACCTCATGCGTTGTGGTGTCATGGGCGGGTCGCCGCGGAACAGCTGGCTGTTTGATACGCTGCTGGGGTGGTGGGTGCCGGTGATTTACTTTTTTGTGCTGCGCGCTATGAACGGGCAGGTGAAGGGGTGGGCGAAGACGCATGGGCATCCGGCGAAGCCTGCGAAGGCGACGTAAGGTGTGTTGGTAAGGTGTAATAATACGAATGGGACATCTGTGAAAGGGTCAAAATGGCGGGGTTTGTACTGTATTGGGTGTTTTATTCGTTTGATGTAATTCTCGAGTTAGCTAATAGTTTTCTCTTCTTCTCCGGGTCCTTATTTTGCAATAGCCGTTCTCTCGAGGCGTGTTTTGTCTTCTCGTTCTTTTTTGGAGCCCACCCCGTCATTGTTTGCTTGCTCGAAGACAAAAACATCCATGATACATTTACAAGCACAACGTGGTAGCCAGAGCCACAGTCAGCAGCCATTCATCATGGACGGATTATAAAGTCAAATATCCCAGAAAGTCGTTAGCTCCCTTCTGACCACCACACCAAAGAATCCCAAAGCGGAAGTGAAGGTAAAGAGTTTCGATGCAAGTGAAGACAAAGGCCCCACGCACAGACCAGTCACCTCCCCCACAGACCGGTTCCACAAATAAACAGGCCCCATCCATTGGACAATCCCATAAAATTCTCCGCCGGGCAGCCACGCCTCCTTCGCGCTCCAGCTTTCTTTCACCTCACGACCCAAAAATACCGACCTTGCAGCTGACGACAGCTGCTCAACTACAGCGATCCCTACCGACACCAGCCCATCGCAGCTGTCCCGAGGACCATTTTGATATCCCGTTCGGGCACGAGCATGAAATCGTCCGTCATCCGCTCGCAACGCGGTCGACCAAGTAAGGTGACGAAGTCGGCCCCTTCGCCACGCGGCCGCACCCCGCGCCAGGTGGCAGCACAGTTGGCTGCCCAAGAAGACCACACCCACTCCCAGAATCACAACCACATCCACTCTCACCCCCACGGACACGCTCACGACTTGTCCGACGAGCTCAAGGGTGATCCGGCTTCCGTATTTGATAGCGTGAGGATGGGCGCTGAAGATTACGCTGCCGCCGCGGCTGCTGCTGCCGTCATGGACACCGACCTCACCGAGGATGCCCACGGCGAGGCAGAGGCCGAGGCCGACATGGACGACGATGACGGTACCGGGGGCCCTTCCGGGTTGCCACACGTCGACCTCACCGCTGCTAACATTCTCGCAAACGGCGGTGCCGGGCCGCCGGGGAGCGCCATGTCTCAGCCCGTCCAAGAGCAGCTCCAGGAAATGCAGCAGAACTTGGCACACGCCCAGCACGCCCACCAACACCAGCACCAGCACCAGCATACCCATCCGCACCAACACCACCAACCGCAAGCCCAGATGGGTACCCCGCAGCAAATGCAGCCCGGCCACCAAGGGATGGATGGGTCCATGGTGAAGACGACCGAGGACCTCGCACGCGACTCCGGTTACGGCGACCTTAACGTGGAAAGCGCCCTAGCCAAGCGGCTGGCGAGGGACCCGGGTCAGCGCCTCGCCCAGCAGCGCCGGCCCGAGCAAGTCCTCAACTTGGCGCGGCGCAGCAACGTCGAGGCCCTCTTTGCCCACATCGCGGGGGAGCCCGCTCGGGTCCCCTGCAAGAACTGCCACAAAGGCCACGGCCCGTGGACCAGCTGCGTAATAGTCGACGGCCAGATGTGTGGAAGTTGTGCCAATTGTTGGTTCAACGCTAGTGGTGCCCGATGTAGCTTTCATGGTAACTTCACCCCAGAGTTGACAAAAGAAGTTCCTTCTAACATGACCCGCTTGTAGAAACGCGCAATCCGCAGGCTGTCCCACAGCACCCCGCCATCTTGCCAGCCGCCACCGCTGGCCTGGCCAACGACCCTACCTACCGCTTTGCCACCGCTTCGCACCCGTTACTGCAGCCTCATGCTCCTGCGATGGGAGCTGTCAACCATCCCGGGGGGTTGCTCATCAACAACCCGGTACTCCAGCAGATGGTGAACCGAGCCATGGTCGAGGTCCGCCAGGCTGACAAGCCCACCCGCCAGCTCATCCAGATCGAGATCGCGGCGAAGCAGTTGGCCCTGCAGATCGTCGAGTGCGAGGAGATGGTGAATGGCCAGGAGCCGCCCGGCGGGCCGCAGCAGGTCATGGGCGACGACTCCGGGGCCTAGTGTTGTCCGGACTCCAGCTTTTCCGAGGCGGTGTTAGCGGAGCGACTCGGTACAAGCCTTGGCTAAGTACTTTACGACCACATCGCCGTTTTCTTGACGGCGGGCGCGCAGCTGTCCGCCAGTTTCTCAACTACACTACCAGACCGACTTTACCGGCGCTGCCAGTTACGACAACATCCTCGTACAGTGGAAGGGGGTGCATTCCACTTCAGCACCCTGGTGGTAGGAGTGCGACCTCGGAACTGCGTTTGAAGAAGGGTATACCCTTACCTCCCTTACACTAGGGTTATATATATAGGCCCTGACTACGGTTTTCTCCAACGTGGATAAAGCGATACCCCTCATGTTTCAAAAACGACATTCACCATCCCTCCCCCCGCGCAGTTGTCCTCCCCCGTTTCTATTCCCTGCCTGGACTCGCAGCAATATATATTTGTAATGCACACCGCCGTGCTGCCGACCTGTTTCTTTTCGTATATCACCGTCGAACAAGGGGGTTGAAATCCTTCTCTCATGGTCAGCTAGTGATGCATGTTGGGGTGGTGAGGCTGGAGAATTCGCGGGTTGGGAGAGATGATAGCATCCATCATCCCATCATGCAACAACATAGTCTCGGGGCACCGTTTGGTTCTTTCTGATAAACAAGCTCGGGCACACAAATAAATTGATCTGGGTTGTTTGGTTTCTTGGTGCCCGAGAGGCTTGGTTTCGGAATGCTAGTGTGAGCAGAGGGCGTGGCGGGACGCCCATCGACCGGGCTGTAGGGTCAGAAATAGCTTGCTCTCCGGTGGTGATGTTGGTAGCATGGTCATTCTATATAGGCCGGCCATCGGCCGCGGTCATGATGTGATGTTAGTGGTTGAAGTCGTTGATCAGGGGGACTAACAGGGAATTGTTCTCCGAGGTTTTCTGGCTTTGTATAGTCGAGTCGAGACAATACATTATATCAGCTTTGCTCTCTGATGCTGGGCGGCACCCCAACTCTAGCATACATAACTTCCCACAGTGCCCATAAGGTTGTCGTCCGATCAGACATGGACGGCATATGATCGCCCATCCCGCCCCCCGTCCATTTATCCCGCCATCCCGGCTGGCGATCCGGTTCCCGGGGGCGTCTTACCCTCTTCCATGCGCTCGCGGGATGAGGCGTTCGTTGTTTGCCCCAGCGCTTCGGGACGTCTAGGGTGGCCCCTGATCGGAGCTCGTCTTTCAGGGGTTCCGAGGTTTATGAGGGTTTGATATGACTCGGGTATTTATTTGCTGGCCTGCTCGGAGACCGAATGACTCGCCCCATTGCACACAAAAGCTCCTGCAAAAATGAACGGCAAAAAGGGAAATCAACGACTGCGAAGACTAGAAGACAAAAATATGAAAACCCCCTGACTGGTATATGTCCCACCCGCTTGCTTGTCTCCCATCTCTTCCCGGATCGTATCACACACGGTCAATCAATCCCGCCCACTTTCACAAACGGTATCCGTCAAATCATCGTCGCCGCCTGCTCCATTGTCCTCCCCTTCCTCCTCGTGCGGAACCAAAGTTCTGCAGCGCCATATCATCCAGCATATGGAGGGAGACGGCAGCCCGCAGATGCTTCCCTGCCTAGTAAAAGTAAAAGTAAGAAAAAAATGATGGGACAGAAAAGACTTCATACACGATTTGAAAAGACACCAAAACCAGGACGAGATTCATTATTAAACAAGATATTTTACCCTCCTCCCAATGACAGATACGGCTTCTTCATGTACCGATACGCTTCCGATTCGATTTCATGATCCGGCCATGGGTCGTAGAGGTAGTAAACAGGCCCGGGTTGCATTACTCGGCGGAGTGTCATGATTCCACCGGTTCTGGCATATGCGACCCGGGGAGAGGTATCTTCTATGCCGAGCACTCAACATAGGCGACGCGAATTTGTGGATCCGTGGCTATAACGACGGGGCTGTCGTGTTTGCCGCTCAGATGAGCCCGCAGAGACGGAGGTTTTCCTGGATGATAATATCTGGATGATGGTCAGCATTCTGTATACTTCCGCGACAAAGATCGCAACTTACCATTCACTGCCGCCATGACGAAGCGAATCTGTGTTGTATCGGTCGCGCATGTGAAATGTGTGTAGATCTGCTTGCTCTCGTGCTGGTTCAGGCTGACGAAGCGGTTCAGGATGTAGTCGCACGCAGCACCGTAGTCGTCGCCGCCCTCGTAGTCGGGGAAGTAGTTCTTCATCGGGCTGACGGGCAGCTTCTCCTTGAACCTGTCGATCTTGTTGAGGAAGAGGATGATGGACGTCTTGATGAACCACCTCGAGTTGCAGATCGAGTCGAAGAGGGTGAGGGCTTCCTGCATACGGTTGACGGTTTCGTCCTCGAACAGCAGCTGGTCGTACTCGGAGATGGCGACCAGGAACAGGATGGTGGTGACGTTCTCGAAGCAGTGGATCCACTTCTTCCGCTCAGATCGCTGGCCACCGACATCAAACATGCGATACGTAAGCTCGCCAATGATGAAGGTGGTCTCGGTGATACCAGTCGTCTTGACACGCGACCGCAGGACATCCTGGTCGTTGGGCATGTAGTCGGGCGCGGCGATACGGGCGATGTTATCGAAGTAGCTATCAAATTGTCAGCACCAGGAACGGGAAAACCGGGCGATGCCAGGGGCACCCACTATCTTGCCGAGTCGTTGAGTTGGTACTCTCGAGATCGCTTGAAGCAGCTCTGGACGCCAGCATCCCTCCAAAGCGCCTCGATGGCGTTGCCGACCTCAGGCGGCAGCACATCCCCCTCGATCTGTGCCGGCTGCATGAAGATGGTCTGGACGTGGTATTCCATCCTCGAGTCCGCCAGCGGCAGCTCCAGGGACTCCATCGCCTCGAGGATGACGCGCATCGACTGAACCGTGTTGCTGAAGATGATCTCCTTGAAGGATTCGCGCTCGTCGCGCGAGTAGCCGCCTTCGTGGATGAGCTTCATCTGCTTCAGAATCGTCGACTTTCCGGATTCACCAGCACCTGTGCCAAACTGTTAGACTTGATGCGACGCTAGCGAGCCATTTATGCAGGATCGCGAGCATCATCCAGACGTACCCAGAAGCAACATCTTGATCTCATTGCGCTGTTGCATGCGATCCTTCTTCAGCTGGTTCTCGATCTCCTCGTTCCGGGCCTTGCCCTCCTTCTCCTCCGTGCTCATTCCGCAACCCATCTTGGCGGTTGGTCGAAGGCCAAATCGATGCAAGAAAAAGTGCCGTCAATTGCGAGTATTAAGGTGATTCGGTTGATGACTGGCAAGTGTTAGTTGAATCGTGTGTCGTGGTCATGGGATCCAGTCTCGACCCCTCTGGCGGCAGACTCTTCGCTAGGGAATGGCGCCCGCGACAGGCTCGCGACGGACAAGGCTTGCAACAAAACCCAGTGACAATCAAGCCGTCGCGGCAATCGCCTGAGTCGCTGACGAGATGGGAACAAGCATAGAATCCGGGTGATCGGGTGGGTGGGATAGGCGGTGGTGGCGTTGGTTTAGCTTCAAGGTGCACTTACTGAAGTTGCTCAAGGAGGTCGAGGCCCCAAAGTTTTCAGGGCGTTCGCGGTGCTTCAATCGAAAGCCGCAGGCAATCAAGAGCCAACCGGGAAAGAATGTCGCAATAACGGCAACAATCGCAAGTTTGTCGCCAAGGTCACGGGAGTGAAACAGGAAGATTGGGGCTTCACTGCTTGAGTGGTCGCGGAAAGTGCGGACCGGAGTTGAGGGAAGGATGGAGAGGAGGTGGGAGACCGGTTCTGTTAATGTGAGGAAACGCAGAGCCATGCACTCTGAATTTCGGGGGATGCAGCGGTCCTGGCGAACCTGGGAGACCCGGCGAATCAGACACGGAAGCAAGCGGGATAAAGTGGGACTTCAAGATCCCTGAGCGGCCAGTGCCCGCATCTGTTTCCTCAAATGCAGCCAGAAAAAAAGAGCAGTCCCTGTCAACGCTGGGGCCACCAACTCCTTTGCTCTGCGGCCGAGTTGGATCTGGGGGGATCGAAACGGTTTGGATTTCAAATGCAGAAACGCCCAGAATGCATATTTTTATCTGCCTGCCGGCGACCTCCATAGGCGATGCATCTGGCCTCCAAGAAACCTCAAATTGCACATCCCAAGGAACAGCAAGAAGGGGCCACCCGCGCCGCCCAGAGCCTTCCCGAAAGAGCATGGGCGCTTTCCGCCCCTGACGGCACCAAATTCCAGTGGCGCCTCCACGGCCGAGAGTCTAACCGGAAAGGTTTTGCGGACAATTGGATTATCGAGGAGGCGTTCCGGAGAATGTCCTGCGTCGTGGGATCGGGACGATCAGCAAAGGAGAAGGTGGTCCCGATCGCTGCCATATTATATTTTCCCTGGAACCCGGCTTTCTTTTCTTTGTCCTGCACTGCGACCTCTCGGGCTTTTGTTTCCAACATTCGCTTACCGACAACCGACACATCGCAGCTCACCGGATGGAGTAGGATGGTCTCCGTTCAGCTTCCCCGGCCCATGAATGAAGTTGATTGCTGTTGCGAGAGGGACACGCTGAATTGAGCATGAGTATCTCGAGCGGATGACTACCCGAACTCACAACTCTCTGTGATCGAAGTCGACAACATCGAAATGTGCCATGCTCTCTCCTTGCGGGGACTGTTACGATACTGAAAGCAGGATCAGCGACACACCCCAGCTCTTCTGCCGCCGAGAGAGCTGTTTCGAGATGGCCTGTGTGGATTAATGATCGGCACCGTTTTGGGAAGCCGGCTCTGAGCTCTGGAATCCAGGAACCAGCCGGAGTGCAGGTCACACAACGTCAATTCCATAGTTACGACATGTTGTCACAACGCGAACTTGACAACTCGACCAGTTGAACACTTATGTACTGTAGAACCGTCTGGGTTCATCGGCAGGCGTTGCGTATCGACGCCTTATCTCCGATGTTGCCGTCACCCCTCGTGGTTGCAAGAGGCGAGCCCCTTGGCGGCTCCCTTCCCATGCTGCATGCGCGTGCTGGATCAAGTGGACCCCTTCGAAAACCATACAGATTATTCGTACAGCAAACGGGAATGAGACCGAGTCATGGCCGTGGCCACGGGTGGGTTGCCTGCTTCTTGTGTCCCGAGATGCTGGAACAGTGATAGCGTGATGTCAGCTTGGGGGCTGAGAACAGTTCTCGTTTTGGACAACGCACATCTGTAATTGGTACAACTTGAGCCTCCCAAACCACCAAAACACACCGCCGATGATGGGGAGCGTCGCCACTCGGAGGGCGTTGGATGAAATTGCTCCCATCCCGTACCCCTCCAGTTTCACGGCCCCTTCTCCACCGCCTAGCCGTCTTTGGCTCCTGGAATTTCGACACAGATCTCGCGAGTTTATGCGGCATGGGATCTGAGACGTGCCCATGGCTGCCCACGCCGTCTTCACGTGCGACGATGGACCAGGTAGCCAATGATGCCGGCTACCAACTGCAAGATGCTGCACCGACCGATCAACCGACAATTCTGAGATCTGACGAGCCGCCCATGTTCACCTCTGCCGAGCGGCCAACGTGTTCCTGGCGAGCGAGTGTCTGGTATTCGCGAACCTTATTTTCCGCTTCCCCCCCTGGCGCCCCGCAAATGGGATCGACATCAGCAGCCGATCAGGCAAACATCGATCGAAGCCACATCCAGCACATTGAGCGGACACAACAAACTTTTCGGCGAGTGATGGTATCAAACCCTCCGAGAAGAGTGCTGAATCGAAGGTTCTTCGGTTGAAGACTGACGTGGTAATTTCGCAACGGAGAGGCTAGCCGTCCAACATTTTTCGCCGATGCTGGGCTATTGGTGACAATGACTCCTGATCCTTGCTTTCAAGGGATGGGGGATGATGGGGGACAGCGTGGGACTCCACAGTTCAAAGCGAGACTTTACCCCACCCGCCCCTGGTTCCCAGCAGCAGCCAAGTGATTCGACATCCGCGTTCCGGGGCTGAACCAGGGAAGCCAGGAACGTTGGTGGAGGGTTGCGCACGACACGTTCCCCGTGACGCCGTCGGGATTTTCGTTGATGAGGAGCCGAAGAGGCTACCATAGTATAATGATGATGGAGGGGCTCGGCATCGCCGGCTGGGCCGCTTCGTACCGAGGGTTGGTTGCCGCCGACCATCAGATTGTTGGTGGCACAAAAAGGGCGAAGGGCGAAGAGCTGAATTGGCCCCACCACCCTCGCCGGGCTTCCTCGGGGTGTGAAACCTGTCTCCCGCTAACCATCACAACCCAGAACTCTGGCATTGGATTCGGCAGCATGAGCAACGTGCATGCGGCAAGGCAAGACAGTGGAGGCGAGCCGCTGGCTCCGTTTGGCTGATGCATCACTTTTCAGCTTTCTAGCCAAGGAAGCTCATCAGGAGGAGCGACAGCACCCCCACTGATGCGATGCCGAACTGGCGGACGGATGGCGCAACTTGCAAGGTGGACATTCATTTCTTTTCCGGGTGACCTGCAGGGAGTCCCCACTGCCCCTGTCTTGGCAATGGCACCTCTCGGCATCGCGCTAGGATGGGATGGGTAAGATTCTAGAAAACTGATGTGGTGATGATGTCGATGGAGCCAGGCACCTCAAGGGCATGTCGACCATGGAAACCACGAATCCTCGGCCGTCGGGTCGGAACGAAATCCATCCTCAAGTCTAAATGAACTGGATTTTCTTTATTTTTCTTATATTTTGTCCCCTTTCTTTTACTCGACTTCTTTTGCTCAGTTTCCTTTTATTTGTTCCTTTCGCTTGATTTCTTGTTTTCCTTCCGAATTCGGCTCCTTTTGGCCAGACGGTGCCAGGGGCCGGCTTTGATGGCTGGGCATCTCGGCGCCTGGGATGGATGCACTCTTTGACGCGGTGAAACCATATACGACGAGACGGAGAGTGGCATATGAAAGGGAGGTTGATAAGAGCCCGCTAGTTATCCTGGTTGAGGCAGTGTTGTCAATCTGTTACGGGCCTTCGTTTGTGACGTCTGACCCGTCAGATCAGTCCTTTCTTGTTCGGATGAACTGGGCGCTGCGTTTTGGGCATGGCCCACTTTGCTTGCTGCAGAATCGGGGAGGTCGGATACCGAGGTAACACAGCGTTTCGAGGTAACTGTAACTACCTAGTTAACTTAGGTATGTACACATGAGAGTGAGCTACCAGCCGGGGGGAGACAGGCGTCTTCCTGCTGGTCGCCGTCTGTCAAACTGCACATTCACTACACTACATACACAGCAGGTACATAGTTAACGTTACCCAAACACAACTCCAAAGCGGCAGTCCAGTGCTTGGCGCAGATGAGCGGCTGGCGGCGACAGGGGTAACCCGCATTACCCGCGCCGATCGTTGGAGGAAAGAGACGGTGTCGTGTCTCTGGGCGGCTCCCAGGTTCTGCGACACCAAAACCACTCGCATATTTTTATTAGGCTTTTCACAGTAGTGTACAGTACATACAAAGTACGAATTAGTGCTAAATAACGTTACCCCCTTCCGGACTCCGACTCCACGATGGCATCCTCCGCGATCCATATGTCTCATCTTGGCGGGCGCGGTATGAACTCCGACCCCCCGAGCCCCTGACCGCTCCCACCCCCACCTATATGAGAGAGGCTCTAATGTGTCTTATCCAGCCTTCAACCACGACAATAGTCAAGACGCTGAGGTCGAGTATGACCGGCTGCGCGATCTGGCGCGGGCTGAGGCTGACAAGAAGAAATCATGCTTCGATCGGGTACGATGCTCACCCACTCATGGCATGATTTATTCTTTGCCGCCGTTCCACGGGACGCCGTTTGATCGTTGACTCATTGTGAACCGCGGGGTATAGGCTCACGAGGCCTATGAGCGTGGCGACGGCGCGGGAGCCAAGGAGCTCTCGGACGAAGGCAAGCGCCACCAGAAGAAACAGGCAGACTACAACAAGCAGGCCTCTGAGTTCATCTTTCGTGAGAACAACGCTCCTGGCCGCATCGCCGAGGACACCATCGACCTGCACGGCCAGTTTGTCGAAGAAGCCGAGGACATCCTCGAGGAGCGCATCCGCTACGCCCAGTCCACCGGGCAGTCCCACCTGCATGTCATCGTCGGCAAGGGAAACCACTCGACCGGCCACGTCCAGAAGCTGAAGCCGAGGGTGGAGAGGGTGTGCCGGGAGGCTGGGCTGGACTATGCCACTGAGGATAACGAAGGGCGCATCTACGTCGATCTAAAAGGTGGGAGAGTGGAGGCACCGCCGCCGTTGCCCTCCCAGCCCGGGGGATACCACGGCGGGTATGGTGGTGCCGGTGGTGGCCATCACCAACAGCACGGCCATCATGAGCAGCAGCACCATGGTGAGAGCGGCGGTGGGCATCACCAGCGCCCCCCGCAGCAACACCACCAACGGCCACCCCAGCAGCAGCAGGAGGAGGAGGATATCTTTGGTTGCCTCAAGGGCTGCTGTCTGGTCATGTAAATGGGTGCTGGCAATTGTTACCTGCTTCGTTGGATGAAGTCGTGGTGGCGGGGCGTTTGTGGAGCGTATCACTCACTCATATAGACGGTGAAAGAAATAAAGGAGCATTGCTTGCGTGCGGGTGGCCGCGTGGTGCAACTTTCAGTTGTCCTAGCATCTCATGGCAGCTCCGCCTGGCAGCAGTCTGTGCCTTTCTAAAAGAAGCCACGGGTACATGAACGCTATGGGCTCATACCTTCCACAACTGGAATCCTCTTTCAAAACTGCGTCGCCTTGTGCGTCAACCCCTTTGTAGCGCTTTCCAACAAATAAAGCTACGAACATCACCGGCTCTAGTACTTCGTGCCTGCCCATCGAACAACGACATGGGCAGTCCGTGTTTCTACCTTTTCCTGCTCCCTCCCGTTACGATGCGCCTCTACCTTCAATTTTTTAATCGATATCGCCCAACCTCACATAAACCCTCACGTCCGTATCTACACAAGAAGGGCCTCTCCCTGCAGGTGATTAGCGACAACGACGCATCAGTTAAGGAACCCAACCACTCTCATAACCACCTATCCGAGCCATCAAACACCCATACCAGTACCAGCACCAGTGCCAGCAGTACCAACACCGAGACCATCCCCATACAAACCACCAACACGAATCTTAGCCGCAACACCCACCGCAACCCAACCCTCTACTCTCCCTCAACCCCAACGACGCCCAACCAACAACCCCCAATAATCGCGCCCAACAACCAACAACACCCCCCCATCCAAGCACAACCCCCCACCATGAAACAACAACAACAACAACAAAACCAACAACGACAAACCCCCTTCCACAACCCCCGCCTCCCCCACGCCTCATGGTCCTCACCAACCCACCACATCACACGACCCCACACGGCCTCCCGCCTCGAAATCGGGTTTGTCTCCCTTGCCGCCGTGCTAGCCGTCGCTTTCTTCCTACTGGCCGTATATGTCTCGGTGCGACAGCGCCGGCTTAATGGGGGTAGTGGGAAGGGGGTGCGGTTTCCGGGGAGGGTTCCTGGGGTGAGGGGGTGGGGGTGTGGTGGGATGGGAAGTGGTGGTGGTGATGGATTTGGGGGTGGTTGTGAGGGTGAGGGTGAGAGTGGGAGTATGAGGCGGGGTGGTAGTTGTGGGGAGGATGGGGCTGTGGATGGGGGAGGGGGAATGCGAGGGGGGTTTGAGGGGGAAAAGGGAGGGGAGGGGAGGTCTTTGCTGGGGTTGTTTGTGAGGGGTGGAGGGGAGTGTGATGGCGACGGGGGAGAGGACTGGGTGGCGGAGGGGGTGGAGAGGGCTGGGAGACGGGTTGCGTGGGTGTTGCAGAAGCTGGGGAGGGGCATGACGCTGGTGTCGCGGCGGGTGAGGTTGGCTCCGCCGCCGTTGGTGAGGGACGTGGAGTTTGGGTTTGGTGAGGGGAGGATGGGCGGGCAGGTGGACGGGTTTGAGGTTGGGAGCGACTCGCTTCCGGCTGTGAGGAGTACAGGGAGGCCGGCGTGGCTTCTTCGTGGCGAGTGCCGGAGACGAACATCGCCGCGTGTGTCTGCGGATGGGGAGTGTCTTGTTTGACTGGCCCAACTTGACTGGTGAAGTGCGTGAAGGCGCGTTCGGATTCCACTGTTACCAATAGCCCTGGTTTTGAATCGATTCTGCTTCTGGTTACGGGATAACAGCATACCGTAGGCCAGAAGCCAAACAAAGGAAACGTTGCATTTTATGCGTCTAAGTTGACTGATGACACAGGGTTTGTACAGCCGAGTGTTCCCACCCTCTCGCTCTTTTTCTATCCATGCCGTAGTTGGTAGACAGGCGTTCATTAGCTCTCAGTCCAACTAGGAGAACGCCACCACCCAGCCACTTCTACCGACTACTCCAAGTTCATGCCTGCTTCCTGATGTCCCGTGCCGCCGCCTTCAGGCTGTAGTTGCACTCCTCGTACGCCCGCCCCGCGCCGAAACCAACACCGACAAACGCGGGCCACGCTCTCCGCTTGAAAATGAGAACGGAGAAAACGACGCCGAAACCGAGGCCGAGAGAGGACTTGATTATGAGGTTGGAGAGGCAGCGGTCCCACTGTTGACGTGTGTGTTAGCTACTTGGGTAGTTTCGACGTGTACTGCTTGCTGTCGTAGAAGCATCTTGCGGGGGTGCTGACCTTCTCGTTCAGAAGAGCCTCGCTGACGGGGCGCGACACAGCGCGGGAGGGCGTAGAAGGGGCGGTATCGGCCATGGCGGCGCAACTGTAAGTGACGTGACGTGTGTGGGTGTCGTGGTAGGAGAGTTTGACTGGTTGTTCGGGTTCGATTGTCGCGTTAGTGCAACTGTCCTATCGCGAAGCTTCCGGAGCGACCTACCTCAAGTGATCGAGCCAATTGAGGGCAAAGTGCAATGCGGAGGGCTGTGGTGGAGGCAGGCGGCAGCTGTCCCTCGTGCTCGTCGATGAAGCTATTTTGCTCCCGGACAAACGTCGTGCCAAGATCTCGAATGCCTGTTGTAAATGGCTCGGTCGCTGCCGTGGTCTTCCCGAGGGCGGTGAGCAGTGGGATGCAGGGATGTGAAGCTGGAACGGGGCAGATTCGAGATCTGGAGCGGCAGAATTTTGGAAATTTTGGGGCAGCTCTGAACTTCTGTCAGTGGGGCAGGCAAGTCGCATCCCAATTGCAACACAGTTGAAGGGGTACTTCGTACAAGGTACAAAACAGCAACAGAGCATGTTCTCGACAATTTGGGAATAAAATACTGTTGCAATGGGAAACCAGAGTGCCGTAAGATTTCATTTTCATTTTTTTCTACCCGCATTGCCCCAGATTCTAACCCTCGCGCAGGCAGGTGAAGCCGCCCTCGTGCGCGCTGTCCGAGCACTCGATCAGGGCGACGTCGAAACGATACCCGACAGGCTCGAGAAAGTCTGGGATATTCTTGAGAACTACCACGGAGGAAGCTTTCATGCGGCCGAGGAGATGTTGTTACGATGGCTCCTCAAGAACATGACCGGATCCTCTGCGAACGCCGAACGAGTACGACGATACGCTCGCGCTTGGGACATATTGGCCGCCATTTTCGGCCTGATCCCCCTTTTCTCCTTGGCCAAATCGCTGGCCGACCGCCGATTTGTTAGCATTCTACAACAGACGCTCAAGGACGTTGCGGCGCCGCAGCAGGAAGAGACCCGTGTAGACGGAAACGACTCCGATGTCGATATGGTTGACGCGCCGACCCCGGAGAGCCCAACGAATCCTCGGAAAAGGAAAAGAGCTGGCGCGGCCGGTTTTGACGTCGCGAGTCAAAAGCGAGCGGCCGGCTGCCTGCAGACTGCCGAGGCTATCTTCGAGGCCATTGGAATCCTCCTCTCCCGATGTGAACTCAAATCTCAACAAGACGGGTCGGCCACACACCGAATGGGCGCCGAGCATGTCAAGTCGCTGTTCTCGACATCTGCGACTGAGACTATGGGCACCCTGGTCCCGTGGCTCGCCATCTGTGGTCTTGCCCTAGAAAGGCCCAAAGTTGAGCCGCTGAGGGAGCAGTTTTCGTGGCTGTCGACCTTCGCCGCTTTATGGGAGCTTCACCTTCAGGGAGCAACGGACGCGTCTGAGGTTGCAACACACCTTTCTGGAACAGCTATTCGACTTCTTGGCAAGCTGGCCGGGATCCCACAGCAAATGCCGCTGGGAATTGAAGTTGCGGTCCAGGGGCGATGGGCCCAGGATCTCCGTCGTTTCTTAGCACGCAACCTAATCTTACCCGCTAGGGCGGTCTTCTTAACCAAGGGGAGTCAAGACATCGTTAAAGTCGCTGTTGACATGTCGAGCGCCTCTGCCCAGATAACCTTCCCTGTATTGTTTGACCTGGTCAGCAAATCCCCGCTGGAAATCGGCGGCAAAACTTCCAGAAAAGACTACGAAACATGGGTACAGGCTGTCTTTGACACTATCATGCATGCTTCGAAGAACCTCGGCCGTGAAAACAAGACGGTAGCCGTCAGGACGGCCATGGAGATAGCAGCAGACCGAGGTACCGCTTTGTCGGCTGCCAGTCTCCGCGCGGTGTGTAACGACTATGCCCTCCGGACAGACGCTTATGATTGGGGCTTGCTCCTTGCCGCCGTCAAGCTTAACCCAGACGTCTTCTTGGTCACGGAAGAAGGGAAACAGCTCCTCGAGAAGATTCTGGAGAAGACTAAACATTCTGACTCACTCGGGGACGATGATTCGAAGAAAGCGGCCCAGTTCATCGTGTTACTCGCGGATGGGTACGCGCAAGCTCGTGATCTGTCGACGTTCGCACGCGTCTGGCTCAAGCATCTTGCCCCTGCCAAACCGAAAGCTGGTCTGCAACCATTGTGGGCGCAAAAGGAACTTGGTGACACGGTTGCAAAGCTGCTCCAATCGTCTCTCAACTCAACCCAGCTGGTCGAGACACTAGAGTGGCTCTCGTCCCAGACAGAGCCAGCCGAGAGCATAGCCAGGATACACATTCTTGAAGCTATCTCAGGCGGTATCACGCAGGAAGAGTTTGTGGACGCTACGAACATCAAAATCTTTCAGGGCGCTTTCTTGGAGAAGCCCTCCAAAAAGGACCTCCCTGCCATCTCTGCGTGTCGGTGGATGGTAGCTTCCAAGGCGATCGCCAGGGGTACCCTTGAGGAAGCTGACCAAATCTGGTCCCAAATCAAGTCGGATGTCAAGAGTGCTCTCCGGAAGTCTCCTATCGACAGGGTGGACACGTTCTCTGCATTTAGATGCTGCGTCGCGGCTTGGCTAGCAAACCATCCGGGGGCGGCGCATGAGGGTAATGCGGCCTCTCTGATTTGTTCCTTCGTCGAGAGGATTGACGAAAGTGGCGAGCCTATGGAACTGGACTCCGACACCAGCGAGTCTTCAGTTAGCGGAGGGGCATATCTTTCTTGGGTTCTTTCCGAGGCGCCGCGTGTTCTGAGGTACGATCCAAGTTGTGTTCTCCCCTGGTGAGGATGCTAACATAACCTTCAGTCTACTCATAGAAAAGAACGGGAGCATCCCGCCCGGGATACTATCCCTGCTCGCTGTTTCTGAAAGCGAAGATGCCGCTCGTACCGACTCAGCTATAGCAGTATCCCGTCTGCTGCTTGAACGCGAGAGCAATGTGAACAATCAGAAACTCATGGGTGCGTTACCAAGCGTTGGCATACAATTAAAGGTTGCTAACTTGACCTAGATTTGTTGATTGATACATTAATTCCGATGGTCGATACTTCGAAGGCAGGCAGGTCGGGGCCCTCGACAAAGATTGCCATCCATTTCCTGCTTAGCGTTCCCATTGAGGTCCTCAGCAGAGCCCAACGGGAGGCTGTGATGAAGGCGCTCGTATCACATTTACCAGGAGATTCGGACAAACCAGATGCTATTGGGACAGAGTATTGGAGGCCGGTCCTGAGTCTCATGGTCAAGCTAATGGGGAAGCCAACATTTTACGAGGTATGGTGAAGCTCCATGGTATGATTGATTAGCACTAACCTGGCCGCAGGGCATGAGCTTTTCGCACTTGGAATCTATCGGACGTTGTCTCTTGACAAAACGCTCAAACCGCCGGTCTAGAGGGGGTCTCCCCAAAGACGACACGCCAGGGGACCGGGATAATCTTAAGCTCCTGCAACAGTTGGCGGTGTTGGATATTCGGTACGTTGCCAGACTCATGGTTTCACGATTTAGCTAACCATCGCAGGCAAATGACGAGCGGCAGCCCAGAAGAACGCGAAAAGACCTATCTCAAGGATGCCATCTCACTTCTTCAAAGCCCATGCCAGGATTCAGGTACCGCACCACGGCTTGTCCTACTCCAAGCTTTCATCTCAACGGTACAAACCTCGTCTATCCTCAAAAAGCTCGAGGACGACGGCCTAGATCTTGGCAGCCTCAAAGCCCAACTTCTCCAGGTTGCATCGCCAGCTGTCACGGCTGAGAAGCGCACAGGGAAAGGACTGTTGGCACTCCTCGTCGCCCTAGAAGCATTTAACGAGCTGGACCGTCAGGCTGTGAAACAAGCGTTGTCTAGCGCTGTCCCCTCGCTGCTCGAGGCTAGTGACTCGCTTCTCGAGAACGGACTACAGGCTGGCTGGGAAGTGCGCATGTTCGTGTCGAATCATTTTCCCGAGGCGCTCGGGTCGCCGTTGAAGATCAAGATGTCCGTGGAATCATCACCATCTCGAGAGAAGGACGAAGAGGAAACGGAAGGCAGCGAGTCCGCTGCAACTCTCGGCAAGAGGTCTCTGCTGGGGTATGTCGATGCTGTGGTCCAATCTGCCGATGAGGACACGAAGCTTGGGTATCTCAAAGAGCTGCTCCTTGAAGATGGCGAGGATCAGGACATGCTTGGTCGCCAGCTGGTCATTTACCGTCTGATCCAACACCTCAAAGGTTCGCTACCTGTCCACGTCTACGGTACCATGCTGACCATTCCAGGCTCCGGACCATCAGAATCCCCAGACCGGTTCGACCTCGCCCAAGCCCACAGCACGCTCTGCAGCCGTCTCGTACGGACAAGCACCGCTCCACACTTCCTCCTCGCCGCGAAAGCCATCCACCTCCTCCTCGACCAGAACCCGGCTTGCATGACCCAATGGAATATCGAGCTCACCCTCAGCACCGTCTCGACACTCTCCGCCCAGCCCTCAACCCAGGCCCTCATCTCCGACTCACCCAGAATCTACCCCTCCCTCTGCCGCCTCGTCGAAATGGTCATCAAGCGCCACCGCAAACGCCTCGACGGGCACTTCCACATCCTGATCACGACCCTACAATCCCTCCTCCACCTCCTCCTCTCCCGCCCCCCCCATCCCACCACCCACCACCAAACCGAACCAACCACCAACCCCTCCACCCCCACCTCCCACAACCACACCCAACAATGGGAAGCCCACGCCAAGCTCTTCACCCGCCTGCTCACCCTCCTCTGCTCGCCCACCGCGGCCTCGGTCTCGCGCGGCGGCTCGCAAAAGCCCACGGGGCTAGACTCGGAACGCGACCGGGCCAAGCGGTACGCGGGCCAGTTCATGCCGCTGGTGCTGATGGGCTACGTGCGGCTGCAGCTGCGGCTGGCGCACCCCGTGCCGCACGGCGTGCGCGAGGCGCTCGCGCCGGGCTTGTACGCGATCCTGGATATTACGAGTCCGGATGGGTTGAGGGTCTTGAATGATGGGTTGGATGGGAGTGGGAGGGTGGTGTTTAGGGAGATGTATCGGCTGTATCAGCGGTTTGGGAAGTGGAGTGGGGTTTGAGTTGGGGGGGGGTTGGAGTGGTGGGTGTGGGTGGGTGTTTGGCTGGTTTGGGGGGGTGGGAGCTGTGTTGTTGGTTGTTGTATGGATTATATCTATCTCGTATTGAAGGGGCTGTATGTACTCATCTCCCGCTGTCTAGGTTTTTTATTTCCCTGTACGTTTTGTTTACTGTCCCTGATTCCGCCGTCCGAGTAGAAGGGGAAAAAACGGGGGTAACCATTACGCCATTGTTTTTTCTACCCAGCCCCGCCTCGCTACCTCTCCCTGCCCTCGGTGATCCTCTGCCACCGCTGTGCAAACTCCCTGATCCCGCCTTGCCCAGCCAAACTCGCATCCACCACATCCTTGGGCAGCTTGTGCGCTGAATACTGCGGCGAGCTGAAGTTGTACGCCGCCGGATCGTCGTGCTCCACCAGCCTCACCTCGGGCTGCTGCTCCTCCTCCGCGTTCTCCTCCTCGTCATCCTCATCCGTCGCCAAACTCCCCTCATCCCCCTCCTCTTCCTCCTCCTCATCCTCCTCTTGCATCCCCTCCACCGACCCCAACAACGGCCGCGCCACCTCCCGCCCCAGCAACTCCCCCCAATCAAACAACAGCGTATCCGTCCGCGGCGCCCACGGATTAACGTCGATGAGGCGCGCCCGGCCGAGCACCTTGCGCTCGCCCCACGCCTGCTGGCCGTCGTCGCCATCATCATCATAATCGGCCTCGGGGATGTACACGTCGAAGACGAAGTTGCCGTCGGGGAAGGTGAAGCGCATCTTGCGGAAGAGCTCCTGCGCGCGCTGGGCGATCTGGGGCCGCAGCGCGTCCAAAAAGGCGTAGTAGTTCAGGTCGCGCTGGCTGATGGCGATGAGGGTGCGGGCCTTGACGAAGCAGCGGAATTCGAGGGATGGGAGGGGGTTGAAGAAGGTGCGGAGGACGAGGACGGGTTTGAAATCGGGGTGGTGGTTGCTGGTGGTGTTGTTTGGGGTGGTGGTGGAGGGGGAGGGTGCGGGGACGGTGTCGTCGAAGGCGTGGTCTAGGTCGTGCGAGATGAAGGAGGAGGATTTTAGGAGGATGTAGACGTCGTTGGCCGAGGTGCATTTCATGGTGTTGGGGTGGCGTGAGATCCAGGTGGCGTCCTTGGGGGAGGACCAGTTGAGTTTGGGAGCTACGGCGCCGCCCAGGGCGCTGATGGCGGAGGTTATCTCGGCGTGAAGGGCGGGGAAGCGTACGTCTGGTGGTTGACGCGCTGGTTGGTGTTCGTCGGTTTCCGAGTCGGAATCAGAGACGTCGTTGTCATCGCGGGGTGGTGGTGGGTACGAGGAGGTAGCAAAGGAGGGCTCCCAGTCATCGTCGTCGTTGTCGGATGTCGTTGTGTCATCGTCATTGCTCTTCTTGTCGCCCTCGTCTGCGAGGATGATACCGTCCTCGTGCAACCAAGCGGCGAAGTCGGGGGTCAAGGGGATGATGCGAGAGCGGATGCAGGAGGTGCGGTATCTGAAGCTAGTATCAATATGTGATATCAGCAGGTCCCGGGGTCTTGGAGCATCACTCACTTCGGAAACCAGTAGCCGTAGGAACAATGTAGGATGTGGTCTCTTGCAACGGGTGGAAATGGTAGTTCCCCGTCTGCAACACCGAGCGATGCCGTTGATTCGATGGCGGGCATGGTGTGGTGCGAGTTTGGAGGGGTGAGGATGGAGGGGTCAAGTTGGAGGGGTTTGGAGGGGTTTGAAGGGTCTGATCGGTATCGAGGATGGATGAAGAGTGGAATGGGGAGGTGCCCGACTTCAACTGTGATATCAACTTAAACACTGGCACATTTTATACCCCAATCGCTCGTGTTATAAATTTCAATACTTGGAGGGGTAGGGTGGGTGACTCCGAGGGGCGACATGGAAAGTTGAGTCACTCCAGGGACCCCTGCATTGGAAGCAGTCATTGACACCCCAACTCGGGCATTCGATCTCCAAATCTCCACAACCTTCCACCGCCTTGTCACAGCTATCTTGCCATTTAAGCATCACTAATAAAAAACACCAAACTTTCAACCACCCTACCCTCCAGGGCCACCCAATCCGACCCTAACTATACAACCCCCCCAAACACCATGTCCGACAACGTCGGCCTCTCCACGCCGCGCGGCTCCGGCACGTCGGGGTACGTGCAGCGCAACCTGGCACACATGAAGCCGCGCGACAACGCCGCGCCCTACCTACCGCGCAACGACGCCGACAGCCTGCGGCACAAGCCGCGCCAGCCCGACAAGGGCCTGCTGGAGCACGCCCGCAAGCGCGAGGTCGAGGTCAAGGTGTTTGAGCTAAGGGAGAAGCTCGAGGACGAGGAGTACGTGTTCTATCCGGTTTATGGATAGAATGAAACTAATTACTTTGGCGTGTAGGGTTGACGAAGACGAAATCGACACCCGCTGCGACGAGCTGCGCAAGAAGCTGCTGGCCGAGATGGACAAGAACCAGGCTGGGGATGGGGGGAGGGGAGGAGTTGGGCCGAAGCGGAACTTGAAGATGCACCAGGTGCATGAGTTGGCCGACGCAAAGATCAAGGAGAGCGAGCGATTAAGACAGGCGCTCAAGATCAGCAAGGACTACGAGGAGGGGGGCCATTGGAGGAGACAAGAAGAGAGGCTGAAGAAGAGCCTCGAGCAGGAGGCGGATGGGATTGCGGAAGGGGCTAAGGACGAGGAAAAGAGCGAGAGGAGCCGGGATAGGTATTGAGATTGTGCGAGCGACGGCCAAGGCTCTGTTTATCGGCGTTATATATACGGGGGACAGGCGTTCGGCGTCTTCGGGTCGGAGGAAGCGCTCTGGTTTGGTCTTATCTCATATGGTGGAAAAGGCCTACCGCCTCTTGAGTACTCCTGTCATGGAGAATGAGTAGCCCCAGGCTCTTTCCAACCCTTTTTCGGTACCGGCGATGCTGGTGTATCATCAGCTCAGCAACCACTTCCGGCATCCCCCTTATGCAGCCATCCACCACCCTCCCGATGTTACACAGAGCTGAGTCGGGGGTCGGCTAACCTTGGCCACCAATCAGTCCGCACTCACCCCCTGTCTTCTAGAAGGACACCAGAAGGATTGCATCAGCGGCGAGCCAAGAGTTCGGTTTCCCGTAACCTTCAGGGGTACTTCGTATCGCTCACCGACAACACCACCTCTCATCTCATCTCTCATTCCATCTCATCCCCTCCCGTCCTACACTACATACATCGGCACAGTCATTTGCCACGGGATACGATGCACAACAAAGCCCATCCTCCCGAGGGCTCCGGACACCAGAACACACGCAACCCCCCCTAAGTATCCCCTTCCCGCGCGTCTCTGCCCGCGATGCCCTGTATGAATACACCCAGCCGCATGACGCAAAGCCCCCCCCAGCCAATCCATTCAAAAGGATCACGCATCTGCAGATGCCCGCACGGTACCGAAGCGGGGACGATCCGGGGCGGACTCGAGCGGGACGTGGCACGTCCGAGGCCCCCCAGATGAGGAAAACGTCCTGCACCAAGGCGGAGGTTCGTTCGTTCCTGGGGGGGGGGGTTGTCCGTCTGTGGAAGGTGAGCTCCCGAACAAGAGCCGACGCTTATGGTTATTATCTCTCCCGCGTCGGTAACGCTGATGGGCGTGCGTGCGTGCGTGCGTGCGTGCGTGCATGTACATCTACCCGTACTATGTTTGTATACGAGATGATTCAACACCCGGCCTTCGGGCGAGGAGACCTCGAGAATAAGGGAGGACGATCTCCTCTGGACAGTAGATACAGTGCTGTTGGTGGTCGCTTTTAGTTAGTCACGGCCACCATCTGACGCGGTCTGAGTGACTCAATCCCTCTGCAACCGCCAAATGAGCCCGAGACGTGGCAGAAGCGGGATGCGGCCGACCTGCAGCCCCGGCACGCAAACCTGCCGGGAGAAAAGGGGGTCGAGTCCCGGCTGGCTGCAACCTAGTCGGCAGATAGAATGCGTTCGTCGATACTCATCCATCCATTTCATTCATAGCTAAGGTACGTTTAAGTAGGTGTAGTGAAGTAAGGTTTTTCCAATCCCCCGCCTCATTCGCCCCGTTTAAGCAACCAGCATCATGAAGAACGGCTCCCAGCCGGATAGATCCAAAATAAGAACGCCATTTCCAAAAACACCGCGTCCAGCATGCAAATATTGGATTGTTTTTGGAGACTCTCGAAACAATCCATCCCGGATCCAATATATTGAGGAGTGGTCCAACCCAGCCCAGCCTTGCCCCCTTTCGTTCATTTCATACCCTCTGCATCTGTTCGTGATGTGATGTATCATGTTATGTCGTGCCCTGTAAATATGCCCCCCAGTTTCATTGCAAGATTGAGACCTCCTCCCTTCCCACGGGTACTGATATGCATTGTGACCGCTGGCCGGAATAAAATCGTTGTCAAGCCTTTCAGGCTCGTATTGCCGTCGTCTTACTTGGCCAAGGATGTGGCTGATAGGGAACAGCTCGTTCACACCCAAGGGCCCTGAGCACAAAACATTATTGTGTTTGTGTGACGAGGAGCACAAGTGGTGGGGCGGCTTTCAGTCCTGCTTCACTCAGAGGAAGCCAGATTCGGCCAAGACCCTACACAAGCAACCACGTTAACATCAAGATCACATCGGGTCGGATAGGATAGAAAAACAAGGGCAGAAATGCTTACCTCACGATCTTCTCGTCTTCTCGCTCCCTTGGCTCGATCTGCAGACTCTTGTCGTACATCTCATGAACATCGCCGGCAGCCTGCATATTGCTGAGGATGTAATCCTGCAGCTCCGGCACGGGCTGCAGAGAGTAGGCCACATTCTGGTATTGCTGAATGTCACGGATCACCTCGGCTGTCTTTGCCCGCTTGGCAAAGTTGATGAGATTGGTCTTCTTGATGATGGACGGGATACCGTCCTCAATGAAGGTGAGATCCGTGAGATAGACACCTGTAGCGGTCAATTAGCACCACGTCCCAATTATCCAGGCTATACTGGGTACCTACCAAAGAAGGGAATGCAAGGTGGGTTGCCACCGTGCAGAGCTTCCCTGTACTCGCCAAAGTTCTTGGTACTTGCCATCAGCTTACGCATGACCTCCAGGGTGGCCTGGATGCGCTGCGGGACTTGATCCCATGTGCGCTTGAGGCGGGCGATGGGCGCGGTGCCCAAGGCCGAGATGATCGAGGTCAAGGTAGAGAAGTTGTTCAGGAGCCGGCATTTCTGTTCCACAGTTAGCCACTTCCGTAAGACGAAGTCAGACGCACAAAAAAGGGAAAAAAGGGGTGTATTACATCAGCAACTGCCACAAAGTGCTTGATGACGACGACACGTTTTCTGACGTCAGTCTGTGACAGAATCATTTCGGCCACCCAGTTGGTCATTTGGTTGGAGTGCAGAATGAGGGCCTTGACATTCGGCGCAGGCTCTGGCTCGCCTTCCCCGACCTTCTTCTGCCACGTTTTGTTGAGGCATTCCGTCGACTTGATCTTGCTGTACAACCGGGACTCGATGATGGTGAGCTGCCGCGCAAACTCGGTCACATCGATGTCGAGGAACTTGAGCTTCTTCATGTTCTTAGGCATGATGGGCGATGGGGTGTTTTGGTTCACTGTCTGGACCATGCGTCGCCCGCCGAAGTCTTTCCCGCCAAGCCTCTGATCGAGGAGTGACATCAAAGGGGCCGATCCAGGCGTTTCGGCCGTCTTGATAGTGTCCTTGGCAAAGTTGAACATGTCGCGGATGAGCTGCTTCGTCTCTTCGTTGAAGTCCTCCATCCAAAAGGTGTCGAGCCAACTCTTCAGGATGTTGACGACTCGGAAACGAATCGGCTTCAACTTCCTGTCGCGCCAGGTATCGTAATCGGGCTGCGTTAGCCCTTCCGGAGGCTGGGTGCTGAACCTTTTGACGAGCATCTCAAACAACTCGCGTGCGTTTGTGAAAGACCTGTATGTGAGGAGGAATGTGTTGTTGAAGTTGGCGTCCAGCTTGTCGTGCCGCGTCAACTGTTCCACGAGAGCAACCAACGATCCACCCTTGACAGCCGGTGGCGTCACTTTTAGGTCCCAAGACAAATCACTCTCGTGATCCAGGCTCAAAAACTCGGGAGTTTCCTCGACCACTGGCGGTTGCACCGGTTCTGGGTCTTCTCCAAAGAATCGTTTCATCTTCGAGGGGTCGCCCTTCCTGTAGTTATTGGCAGGCAGGGCCTCGCCTTCCGTGAAGGATTGTGACCCCATCGGTAGGCCTGGCCTCATTATCCCCCGGGATTCTGTTCGCTGGTGCGGTCGATCGTACGGCATGGTCTCCATCCTCCTGAGCGGTTCCCGTTGGATGACTTCCTCACGCACATGTATCTCCTGCTGTTGGAGGACCATGGAGACTTGTTCGGATAGCAGCTGAAGGGAGAAGCCGATGTGGGAAGAGTTGGTCTCGAGAGCCCGGGCGCATTGCCTGACATACTCCAACCTCTCTTCCAGTGCCTGGCCCCGGACTTCCGACCATTCATCCGCTAGCGGCCCGGCGACGGCTTGGCAGCCCAGAAGCAGATCCGAGATATTGTCGTACAAACTTTGCTTGTTGGTGCTAAAATCGGTGAGCTGCGGGGTCTGGAAGCTATTGCCGAGTAGGGACAGGTCGATTGACTCGATCATGGCAATCCACGGCTTGAACATATCCAACACCTTGCCTCCGGCGATGCAGACATTGTTGCCGATCATCTCATGCTTATAGGGCGTGACCACCTTATCGCCAACAAGCAGGTTTTTCTCCAGTTCGCGAATGCTCGACACTAGCATCCGCTTCAGCTCGTCCAGTCTCTCCAGAAGCTTGCCATCGAGAACGGCAGTGGGTTCCACAACGCCCTCTTCGTCTTCGAGGAAATTGGACGTTATGGGGTCGCGCGGGGTCAAGCCGTTATTCTGCCAACTTCCACCGGCGCTTGATCCGATGACGAAACCAGGGAACAGTCGTGGAATTTCTTCGCCACGCTGTTGCCTTGCGACTTCGACGTAGCTGAACACCCCTAGGAGAACGCCGTCGGCTTCCTGCAGACATTTCTGAACTGATTCGGCGTTTGGCCAGTCGGCGGCTGCGATATGTGAGGAGATGACGAGCTTGGAGAACTTGGACATCATGTCCCGGAAGTGGGGATACAGGGCCTTGTTCGTCGAGATGATGGACGGCTGCCCAGAGTGATTATCGGTCGTGCCTGACCCAGCAGCGAGAAGGAGGCGCAGGTGATCCGATATATCCTCTGCCCGTGCTACATATTCTGACCGGTTGCCATTTTCAATCGCTTGGCGATAGCGATCGACCGACTTCTTCATGTTCGAAACCAGCCGACTCCAGGTCAATGGCGGGGTGGTACCGTCGTCGAAAAACGAACGCGGGATCGTGGCAGCTGTCGGTAAATTAAATGCGGAGCTTGTGAACGCGGTCGATGCCCCTACCACGGGGGCCTGGAGGTTACCGTTTGCAAGTGTGTCACCGCGCACCCTTGTTCCGGGGGACTGGCCATTCATCGAGTCCATTGAAGTGGCAGGCGAGATGCCGTCCCTAGCACCCAATCGGCGAGTCTTGGCCATTGGGCCGCGGGCTGCGTTCATCAAAGCCTCACCCTCCAACTCAGATGCTGAGTTCACGTCGGATTCCTCCTCTTCGTCCTGGGTCAGGCCCCTGGCAATCATTTCGGGCGGCGGTCTCGTCCTGTCCGGAATGCCGACGTTCATGCGGTCTCGGGGCCCTGTTTCGTTTAGCGACGAGGGGGACTCTAGCGGTAGTTCCATGCTGCTTTCGCCCGTCATGGTGTTGTAGTAGAAAAGTCTACCATCCGGCGTGGCCTGCGGGATCCAGAAATCGGCTCTGGAGCGGTCCCCGTCAGTCCCCTCAAGCGGAAGCTCCTCGCCATCATCATGGTCGGATATGTCGTCCTCGTCGAGCGCCTCTTCATAAGCCTCCTGCTCGTCGAGTTCGTCGTCCAGTCGCTCAGTGTCGCCGGCGTCTTCGAGGTCTGGCATCTCGTCCGGGCTCGTGATGATCTGGCAGTAGTTGCTCGGAAACCAACCTCTAACGCCATTGATCACGCCATCCCACCAACCACTTTCCAACCTGGTAATGACCTGGATGGTGTCTCCTTCGTGAAAGCTCAAGCTCGTCCTGTCATCGGCCTCGTAGTCGTAGAGGGCCCGCACGTACATGGCACCGGGCGGCGCCGAGCCGACAATGCCGTTCATGACGGACGAGGTATCTGCTGTAAAATACGATACGCTGGAAAAACCGTCACGGCCGGTTGACGCGTCCAACAGCGCCGTTGAGTCGGCGGCGGAATCACTATGGTGGCGATTCGCCCCGGAGTTCGAGTACGGGGAAGCGGTCGATTTGCTCTGAATCGAAAAGGCCGACACAGGCGTCCGCGTCATTAGCATGTTGAGGTTCGTGTCAGGCCGAGCAGCGGCGACATGGGACGAATCGACGACTCAGTGGCGAGCCGTTCGTGCAAGTCCGCCAGTTCCTCGCCTGCGGTACTCGCTCGTTGTGTCGCTAGCCGCGCAATGTGGGCTTGGGAATCGGGCTACCGACGACGACCGAGTGCGACCAATTTCGGCGTTGAAGGGAAAACGACCACTCACGAGGTGGTTGACAGAATATGAAAGTGACGGGCGGGTGTCGTTCTTGTGCGGGCGCTTGAGAACCTTGCAGAGAGCGAAAAGAGCCGCGATGGGCGATCTGACTGGTCGATTTGGGAGGGAGGGGGGGGTTGTTTGATGGTCTGCGCGTCAGGAGGTCGAGAGGGGGAAAGAGTGCAATTCGCCGAATTTCTGGTCTCGCCTGGCGGGCCGCTGTAAAGGATCCGCTCGCTTTCCAGGTCTCTCCCCGCAGATTCTCTCAATGCGCGAATCAGGAGACAGTGTTAATCCAAAGTTCTCCCACTTCGCTAACGTTATTGAGAATGACGGACATATGGATACAGAGCACAAACCGGGCTCTGCCTGCGGACAGAATCAGGAGAACGAGAGCGGCCAAGGATTGTGCTGATAAAGGGTGACGGGAGTTGCCCAGGGCTCGCAGAAGGTCCGCTCGTTGGCGACAAACTTTGGCTTGGGCGGGGTGGACAGGGCAGGGTACGGTACCGCCGCATAAATCTTCCCGGAAGGGGGGCGGCAGGAACCTCGTCCGCTCGAAGGAAGGTTCTTTCCCGCAACGCGACATCTGATCTTTGCGATACCCACAATTTCCTTCGTCGCCTGATTCCAGAAGACCCGAGCAGCATCGCGGGGTGCAATTCTCCTCGTTGACGAACATGAAACTACAATTCTCCAAGCCACCTTCCTGTACTGTAACCACACTTCTGGGCGACTTCTGGGCAGATGCCTTGTGCGGTCCTGGCCCGTCGCGCTTGCCTACGAAAAGTGACTGGCCCACGAGTCTTGGCGCTCGACCCCCGACGCATTCTCCCTCTTCTTGTGCTAGCGTCTTTCCATGCAGCCGCGCGATGGTACTGTACCGATACAGCAGCGAAGCCCAGACCGGAACACAGCACAGTCCCTCAGGGCACTGTCTGGTTCGCGGGGCCCCCGCTTCAATGCTCCAAAAACCTTCCCGGCGAAAGGTACCCGACTCGGAGCCTCTGCCGAGGTCGTCGAGCAACGTAACCCCGCGATGAAGAGATAACGTTGAGGCAGTGAGTCTTGGGATGGAGACAATGGTGCCGTCGACCTCCCTCATACGTCCATGTTTGTAGTAACCTGTTGGTCTCGAACACAGTGCTACTGTCACGAGGCATTAACGAGTGAGCTCGCAGCTCATGGATCCCTCGCTGTCCAGATGCCTCCTTCTCGTTCTGGTATCACGGCAATTCAGGCACATTGGAGATCTACCTCGAGGCTATGTCGGCTCGAGTCATTGATAAAGCGATCATCCGGCATCCGCGCTCGTCAGAACGAGGACAAGGAGTCGACAAGACTCAGAATGCAAGCACGGGAGATAGCAATGGATGCAATGCACCACGTCGCTGTCCCATCTGACAATCGAGTCCTCGGAGGTTCCTCGAGTCAAACGTCTCTTGCCGCCTCTTGCTCCGTAACTCCACACTTACCCCTTAGGTACGACGACCAAGGCTTCGTCGAGAAGGTATTGGCCCGAATTGCTGTGGTCGACACATGGCATCATAGGGTCGGATGTGGTCTTTGGCATGCGCGATGACCTAATCTACCAGCAAATGATTTGCCTGCCTTGATCTCAGCGGCCCAGACGCACAAGACCGTTTTCGCAACAACATTTTCATCTTCTTGCCCCCCAACGTATCTCTCGGGTTTCGTCTTATCTTTCTAACGGCAATGGCGGTCAAAGCCACGTTTTTCTCTCACTGGATGTTATCATCTCAGAGAGATATGTAGTTATCGTCCTTCACCTGCCATTCTCGGCGACCGAGCCTGTGGCTCGTTAACTATGGCAAGGATGAAGTCTGCTAAGACAGGTGAGCATCAAGATGTCGAAACCCCGTGGCATCGTCTCGAAACCTCACACGCGACCGGCGAGGGCTCGACGATGGCAAATATTACATGGTTACGCAGCCCCTTTGCTTAGACTTCGTTTGCTAACCGAATCAAGCGCAGCGAGGGTCGAATGGGCGAAGAACCATCCGCGGGGGTGGGAGTGGGAGTGGGAGTGGGAGTGGCAAGGGCTTGCCATTACATACGTCTACGCGACATACCTGCACCGCACCGTCACCTCGATGCCTCCCGCCAGCACGTGGCCGTTGATGTGGCGTGCGAACTTTGGCCTCCGCCCCATGAGCTGAGAGGCATTCCATAACCCAAACAGGACCGAGTGGGTGTCTTGGAACCGTCCAGCTGGAATGAGCTGGAGGCTGGAGGGCCGCTGGAGGGCCAACGGCACTGCGTAAGTGGGCTGCTTCGAAACGGCGGCCGACTTATCGGTGAGCAGCCCTGCTGAGCTGGTATCTTGTCGGTCAAGATGAGGACAACGCGAAAACGACGAAATATCGGGCACCAACAACATCGGCACGTGTATCCACGGGACCGCACCCGGAAGGACACGCCGGGATGGCGACAACCCCCCGAGCCCAACAGGTCTCGTGACCGGCCTCTCCGCCATCGGGCTTTGGGATCGGCTTCCCGCTGACAACAGCAAGTCGGCGCGATGCCGCATTGCACGACACTTTCGGCAGACAACCACCAGCTGAGGACCACGTGTATCCCTGACCAGGGCTAGGCCGTTTTCGAGTCCCGACCGTCGACGGCGGTGTCCGGCACCAGGCCGGGACGGATGCAGGAAGGGCACAGGGCAGGCCACCGCCGTTTGGGAGAGGATGGCCCGGGTCGCTTGCATCAACCCGCCACTTGGCATTTCCCTTTGGGGAGGCAACCGGCGGGCGTCCCGAGCAAGGGATCTTCCGCCATTTTTTTCTTCCCCTTCCTCAAGGTGCGGCGGTGAAGGCTTGATCCCGGCGCTTGCTTCTTTTCCCCTGAACGCACAGTTGATAGGTCAGAAATTGGCAATGGGGCGTTGAAGAACCTGCCACTCCTGAAAAGCACTTCTCACACAAACCGCTGGGTTTCAACGACGAGTCAACCTCGCATCACTCATGCGAAACGGGGAGTCAGTCCTGAGCATGAAGGATGGACAGGGCTCAGGAGCGAAGTCGATGGGGACCAATTTCCGAACCCTCGGCCTCGGGCCATGTGTTTGGAGAGCCGGATGTCACCCGGATGGAGTCGGGGTCCCACCTCTAACGCTTCCTGCGAAACACGCGCCGGGGGATGACATTGAAGGAGCAAACAAGCTCCATTCGTCTCGAAGAAAGACGAGAGGCAACCAAAGGTCGAAGTTAAACAGACCGATGGTGTGACAAAGACCAGGGGCAACACGCCGTGAATCGAATGGTTCGAAGCAAGCTGAAGGTCCCGATCGATCTGGCGATCAACCATGGTTTTGGGCGATGAACCTCAATGGTTAACTGGCCCCGCCGAGCTCGCCGAGGAACCAAACTCCCAGGGGTCTGTCGCGCCGTCCGCTCCTTCGAGAAGCGTTTGCGCCAGCCCCTCGAATCCCGAGATTCCCCGCTATTTTGTCGCAGGCGTCAAAGTTTCTGTGCGTCCAGGTGATAGTGATGGCTTTATGGTTCTACCCCGAGCAGGCATCACCGACTGCGTCCCTGTTCTTAACAATTTGGTCAGCTTTCCAAAAACACAGGGGGCTACGGGGGGGTGGCTTCGAGGGCCACCTTCCGCCCTTCCGGATTTTCCCAGCTTCAAGGATTGCTCATTGGAACCCGAAATTTCATCGTGGCCCGCCAAAAGAAAGCAAGGGCTGGATTGCCAGCGGCTGACAAAGGAGGGGCAATCAGCAATCAGCTCGGGAATCCGTAGCCGTTGTTGGTTTCCCTCAGCACACCACCAGCACCTATCAGATGGTGCCGTCATCAGGCCTTTTGATCGCGAGGAAACGGGCTCCCCACATCTCGTCCTGCATAATGCACCGGGGAACGCGCACCGACTTGGTTGCGGGCCGGCCGTTCGCTGCGACCGCTGCGACCACTTTGCGAAAGGGAAGCAGCTCCCGTCTCCAAATGCGCCGGGCTGCAGCTTTGGTGCAGGTGGGGAGGTGGGGTGGCTTCAGAGAAATCGAAGGTTCCTTGGGGAGGGGTTGCATCCCCAAAGCCGGGCCAATGTGGCTAGCAACCGGCTTCGTCTTCCGCCCCGGATTAGCGCAGCAATTTGCTGGCAGGCTGACGGCCACCGTGCGCGCAATTTCAGGGGCCGAAAATTCTCTTCATCCAAACAAGAGCAGCGCCGCCAGCCCCGTGCTGCCAGATCTGGACAGGTACAAAGTACTTTGGGTATTTCCCAGTTCCTTGGCCAAGTTACCGTTAGCAACGCCGCCGAGCATCGACCTGTTGCTGCCCCTCCAACTGTCATGGATGAAGCTGGCGGGATCGCAAAGTCGTGATTTCTCTGTGGGCCTTGGCCATCTTTGGCCAAAACGCCAAGGCGTTAAGCCTGACCGGTCGGCTCCACCCTTAAGCGGATCACAGAGCCCAGCTGCCACCGCGCAGATGGAACCGAGGGATCTGGATGACCAGAGCAGCGATGGTCTGATGACAGCCCAGGCCTGAATGAGGGGGAGGGGCTTCAGAACGTCGCGCCGCGCCGCGACCTCCGACTGGGGAGTGACCCCGCCAACTTTTTAGCGGACTCCTGTAGTGTAAAGAAACACTCAATCCTAACGGGGCCAAACGTGCTGGTTGCGCTGTCGTGGGTTGAGTGGTGGTCACGGGACAATTACAAAGTTGACAATGTGGCATTTCCGATGTCGACGACAGGAGGGGATTGGCTGTGATTGCCCGCTGCCGCAGCCCTGCTTGCGGCATTGCCGTGCATATCGACACCTCCACCCGTGGGCCTCCTGCTAATAAACGGCACTGTCGAGAGACCGCTATTTTAGGGGACGGCTGTACACAAGACAACGTGCTGGACAGCTGTGTGAGGGTGGATTACCCAGGGTTTCAGTTCGTTCGTTCGCGATGCCCCGCGATGACAGCGCAATGCTCCAACGAAGTTAGCAGCCCCACAGCGCCCCAAGCTCTTGCAGCTCTTGCAGCTCCGAACTCCACTACGACTGCTCGAGGTCACCAAAACCGATGTGGCGGTCAGTCCAGAAGCTGCCCGAGTCTCGACTCGAAGACGAGGCACCGGGTCCTTGAATCGGCGAGGGGCTGATCGTGTTTGCACCGCCGCTGCGGAAGAAAAAAAAAACCAAAGGGTGAGGGGCAGGCGATCGAAGAAAAGCAACTGCGGTGCGCTACCAAAAACGTGAACGTGGCCAATTTCCGCTGCGACAAACGCGAGCCCGGCAGCTCCGTTCTCCAACGCGTTAGGGCGGGAGGGACAGGTGATAGCCAGCCCTCACAAACTACGCGTCAATCCTAAGACGTGTACCTCTCCTGCTAATTCCACCGCTGCCCCGCGTGTCCCCCTCCGCACCCCACCTCATTTTGGCAGTACTTGCTCGAGACTTTTCGAGACCTTGAACGACAGCTGTACGGTACCCCCGCCGCACGTCCTCTAGTGCGCCGGAAGCGCAGGAAAAAGCTGTTGTCTCTGTCAAGACATTACCAGGGCGTCTTCACCGCTTCGCCGAAGGACAGCAATCGAGGGGTGTTGCCCCAAGCTCAAACGGCCACCTTGCGATGAAAGTCAACGACTGGTTGTAGATTCCCAACCACTCGGTGGGTCCGCCAGAGCTCGTTCCCGGGCTTGACTGGGGACGCGAGCCGCTAAACCGGTTCGGGACAAAGCAAAATTGTTCCACCTTTTCGCACGCAGCTCGCTGGTCGCTGGGGTGTCACCCCCACCTGCATTGGCAGTTTCCCTTCCCCCCTCCGCGAACCTCCGCAGCCCATTTTTCCCCTCTCATCCCCCCTTCTTTCCCCGTCGTCAGCGACTTCGAAAACCCCTCCCACTTTCCCACTCCCACTCCCACCACATTTTGGCCGCCCACCCTCGTGCCCACATCACAACAACACGTCTTCGCTCGCTACAGCAAGACGGCACCACCGATCCATTTGGCAAAGGCCACCTTATTCAACCCCTCGTTGGCATCTATTCCATGAGCATATCACCAATGAGCAGCTACACGACGCAAAGTCCGCAAGACACACTTTAAATCCCACGGGACCGCGCGAGCGAGAGAGGAGTCAGGCGATCTCAACTATCGTTCTGTGAGGAGGGTCCAACACCACTTCCGAGTACCGTTGTCATTGTCGCCATCGCCCTCAATCCCCATTGCAGCCGACCGGTCTTCCCCCGCTCGACGTGCAAACGCGACAATCGTTCACAAGATGCCTGGCGCAAGCGTAGCAGTCATGCCAACCTCGGCCGCATCAACACCGGCTACCCGGAAAACCTCACTCGCCCCGGAGAGAAAGTACAAGTGCCAGTTTTGCAACCGGGCCTTCAGCAGGAGCGAGCACAGGAGCAGACATGAGCGATCCCGTACGTCGCTCTCTTGGACCCCCGATCATGCCCTCCCTTCTACGATTCCACATAAGCTAACCCGTCGGTACAGATACCAAAGAGCGGCCGTTCAAGTGTATGAAGTGCCGCAGCACCTTTGTGCGCCGCGACCTTCTCCTCCGCCACGACCGTACTGTCCATGCTAAAGACGGGGGCGTCCCCCTCCACAGCGACGGCAAGCGTCGCGGCGGCCCCAAGACCGCCCGCCCGGCCAGCGGCCCATCCAAGTCGGCCATTGCCATCGATGCTTCGGCTCTCGAGCAGATCGAAGCCAGCAGCGACGGCGTTTTCGATGTCGAGACCGCAGCCATGCTTGTTGCTGACCTCCATCAGAAGGCGACCGCAGCGGCCAGGGCGAACGGCCACTACGACGGCAGCTCGAACATGTCCTTCTCGCAAGAGCCTTCAGTCACATACCCCAACGGCGCGATCGGCCTGTCGCAGTGGGATGGCTTCATGTCCCAAGAACAAAAGGCGCACTCGATCAGCTCAGCTGCCTCGACGTCGTTCGATGCGCAGAACTCCAGCCAGCCCCATCCGCTCGCCGCGCAACATCCCAATGTCATGGCTCCGGGCCTTCAGGCGCTTGTCAACTCGCTCCCCCCTTCGGCCACAGGCACACCGACTCCTCAGTCGCCTTTTCAGATGCAGCGCACCCACACCCCGGTCGATGCTGCCCAGCCCGCCGCGGGGTTCAGGGCCCCTCAAGTTCACAGCGATGAGGAGCGGAACATGATCCTCGACAACATCCGCGGCAGCGATAGCGAACATGCCATCCCAGAGGGCTTCCGCGTACCGAATCTGCCCTCGTTGAATCGCTACCTGGCTACCTACTTTGGCCTGTTTCACCATCACCTCCCGTTCCTGCACCCTGCCTCTTTTGAGCCGACCCGGGTGTCGCCCCCGCTACTTCTGGCTGTTTTGTCCATCGGCGCTTTGTACGCGTTCGACCAGGAACAAGCCTACATGCTCCACATCGGGTCCAAGGTGCTCGTCAACCAGTTCCTGCAGAACAAGGAGAACTTCAGCTCCCGGAAGTGCCCGCTCTGGACCATGCAGGGCTCGTTGCTCAACATGATCTTTGCCAGCTGGAGCGGTGACGCCAAGGGCCTCGAATGGGCGTGCTCGATCAAGAGCTTGCTTGCCAACATGGTTGCTGGAAACAGATACGAACTGAAGCTTCGGCAGGAAGCCCGCGAGGGTCGCCCCCCGACCCGCGCCGAGTGGGTCGAGGACGAAGGTTGCCGCCGTACATACTACGCCGTCTACATCTTCTTTGGTTTGTTGACGTTGACATACAACCACACGCCGGCCATGAGCTTCAACGAGTTTGAGGATCTCCAGCTGCCGTCCACCGAGGCTCTGTGGAACATCAAGGTCGGAGAGGATGCCTGGCAAGACCACCTCAAGGTCTCCCCCAGCGTGACTTTTATGATGGCTCACGACAACCTCTTCCAGGGTGAGACGCTCAAGTACAGCGCTTTTGCGACTCGTGTGATGATCAACGCGCTCTTCCTCGAGGTCTGGTACCACAAGCGCAGCCCCGAGGCGCTGCAAGACGTGGTCACCGAGTACAAGCTGCGGCTTGCCCTCGAGACGTGGGAGAAGTCCCTAGATCTCTGCGAGCCGGAGGCCTTCTCGGTACCGCTGAGCGCGCCTCACAAGGGGCATCCTCTGATCTTCAACGCCAAGGCCATGTTCCGCAACGCGCGTGCCCGGCTGGAGGTGGACCTGAAGACGGTTCAGGAGGCGCTGCGGTACCACGACTCGTACGAGGTCGCGGCGGCCATGTCGAACGCGAGAGACCGTGTGAAGCGCTCGAGCGAGATGCTCAAGGTCATCCAAGAGTGCTACAACTGCATCGAGACGGCCGTTCTCCAGGGCGTCCGCTGGGTGGCCCGCACGTCGCCGACCAACTGGAGCATCGAGCACCCGCTGTGCGGTCTGGATCTCATGATCATCCTCAGCCTGTGGCTGTACCGTCTGGAACACGACGAAGAGCCGGCCACAGAGGAGGAATTGGTCATGTACAACCGTATCCGCCAGCTGTTCGACAAGGATCTCGACGAAGGCTATGTCACGCACTTGAGCACTGTCGTAGCCCGTCTCTGGGGCTCCATGTTGGATGAGGTGGTTGTTTGGGGGTGAGTCTTTTTTCGCACTCTTCGCATTTGTTTGAAGGATATATGCTAACGCTCCTTTCCAGAATCACCCGATTGATGGGCGAATCTTTCCGCCTCCACTCGCAAGCCTTGATCGGCTATGTGGACGATGTCGCTGCATCCTCCAGCGTCTCGACGCCGTCTATGACCTCGCAGGGCGCGGACGAGGACAGCGTGTATTAAAATTGATGACGTTGACGATCTCTTATGTCTGTTGAGTATGGTCGGGGTTTCCTTATGGCATATACCTCTCTGCGTCGTTTTCCTCTTTTTTTTTCCTTTCCTTGGTATTTCCTATCTCTCCTATCGGGGGTAATGTCTTTTGTCGGTCAGGTCAGGCGCCGCTGGGTGTTGAGGCTTCGTTTCCTCGGGGATTGCTCTTCTGCTCGCTTGCTTGCTTTTCGCATCTTGCTTCCGCTGCATTATCGTTCATGGGCTCGGCAAATGGGGGCAGGGTTGGTACGGTTTCGCATTCACAGTGGTCCAGTGGGAGGACCACCGCTCCCGCAAACCTAATACCTGCACTGTTGGCTGGTCCATGTGGAGGGCTCTACTTCGTTCTCCGTGTTTCATTAACACCGCTTACTGACTATTTAATCTTGACTTCACAGCGCTTTCTCTTGTTTTTCTCCTTACTTCACTTCATCTCGGATACCTTGTTCGATATACTGTTTGTTCTTTCCTTGCATCTTTCCTAGGCTTTGCGTTTTGCTCTTTACTTTTTTGACCCATCTGTTCTGCTCCCTGTACTAGGTAGATACGGGCGGGATCTAGGGAAGGAGGGGCTCGAGAGGATGGAACTCGAGGGGACGGATGGGCGGTCGGGGTTGCTGTTGGGCGGGGGTGGGATCTCCTTTAATAGTTTGGGCTCATCTGGCGCAGGGGTAGCCGCGCAGAGCTTGTTAAACGCAAGATTGATAATTTTTACCTCGTTCATCTCTCTCCTATCCTTAGTCTTGGGTCTCTTTACTCTGCTGAATTAGTTAATGGGTCGGCATCTCCCCCCCTATTATTATTCAATGTGTTATCTCCACTATCCAAGTCGCCGAGGGCGGTTGCTTGATATTGTGTCACCTCCCGTCGCCGATTCCCGTGTTCCTCGAAAAAGACTTGCACCAATTAAGGTAGCTAGCCATTTCGTGTCGCCTACAGTATGTACATTTTGGTTCATTACTGGCGGGTTCTTGCAGCTACAATTTACTACCTCGCCCTACACTAGCCATGTCCATCTCAAATCACGGGTGCCTACTTCCATGAACAGTGATGGGACGGGTCCTTGCTTCGAGTCGTTTGCCTCGCCGGTGCCCAAGGGGGCCGAGTCTGGTCTGGGCTCTTCCCATCCCCGTTCCCCGTCTGTTTGGGCGTCTATCTTTCCAGCCCTTACCTCCTGTCTCGCGCAGGGGTGTGCTGTCAAATACAGTGATAAGTGATAAGTTGGGTGTTCACTTGCCCGTCGGCGTGTGCGACACACCTCCCATCTCAGCCCTGCGTAACAGCACCGCGCCTCCGTTAGGGGGAAAAGCCGCCGCGTGAAACAAGAGACAGACAGACAGCAACTCACAACGGCTCCCGCAAACATCCCCACCAACAACAATGACCGGCCGGCCCCCCTCCAACCCTTCTTCCCCTACCCTCCCCCTCCTCTTCTTCATACTCCTCCTCCTCCTCCACCTCCCCCCTTCCGCCTGGGAAGTCTTCCCCTCCGCCCGCGCCGACTGTGAGTGCGGCTACCTCGCCCCCTCCGCCGCCGCAAACGGCTTCCGTCCCGCTCTCTTCACCGACCTCCTCGAGACGGACTTCACCCGCCTCGCGCGGACAGCGGCCGACAACGATGACGACGACGAGGAGGGGGATGGGGATGATGATGATATCTGGACGAGCGGCACCACGGGCTGGGCGCGGCAGGCGTTCAACATGAGCCGGGCGCGGGCGCGGGGGGAGTACGGCGAGATGTTTGCCGTGGGGAACGTCGGGGTGGGTGAGGCCGGGTTGGGGTTGGTGGTGCGGAGCGAGGTGGTGGATGGGATGGTGTCGGTCGCGGAGCTGGATACGGAGCGGTTGGATCTGCGGTGGGGGACGTTCAGGGCCATGATGAAGGTTTCGAGGGTCAGGGGGACGTGTGCCGCGTTTTTTTGGGTGAGTTAGTTGCGGGTGTTGGGGGGGGGGTTGGGTGTTGGGGGTGTTGCTTGTTTCGTTTTGTGGTTCTTCCTTCTCCCTTCGGGTGAGATGGGGATGCTGGTTTCTGTCTTCTCCCTCTCCCTCTTCCCCTCCCTCTTCCTCTCCCTCTTCCTCTTCCTCTTCCTCTCCCTCCCCCCCCCTTTTATCCTGGCCTGGGGTAGTGCTGACCAACCCCGGGACCAGTACTTCAACGACACGCAAGAGATCGACATGGAGTTCCTCTCCAAGGACTTCAACGCCGCCAACGGCAGCTACCCAGTCAACCTGGTCCTACAATCGCGCGAGGCGGCGCTGGCCGGGTACGACGCGGCCAAGACGGGCAACTTTGTGCGGGTGGAGCTGCCGTTCGACCCGAGGGCAGGCTTCCACGAGTACCGGATCGACTACCTTCCCGGGCAAGTGTTCTTCTACGCCGACGGCGAGGCGCTCGCGGGCATGGACGGGCCGGCGGTACCCTCGTCACCGGGCCACCTGATCCTGCAGCACTGGAGCAACGGGAATCCGCGCTGGTCGGGCGGCCCGCCGGTAGAGGACGCGGCGCTGGTGGTGAGGTATGTCAAGGCCTACTTCAACTCGTCCTTGGGTCAGCGGCAGCGTGACTGGGAGAGCCGGTGCCGGGACCCGGCGGCGCCGAATGCGGTCTGCGAGATACCGGATGTGACGCCAGGGGATATGGGGGCTGCGGATTGGTTCTTTAGCGATCACAGCAACATGACGAATAACCAGACTACTACTACTACATCTGAGGAAAGTGAGGGTTCGCGGTTGAAGCAACCGTGGTGGCCGACCACGGGGTGTTTATTGCTTGCGGGTGGGTGGGCGGTTGCATCACGATGGGCTAAATAAATCTAGGAGTGTTGTGGTTATCCAGCTGATGTTGAAGATATTATATCACCTTTAGGTGGAAGAGGAATGTTCTTGAAGTTCTGTGTAAATAGGTAACCACTCAACTACATTTTGGGCGAAAACAAGCCACTTCGTCCCGAGACATAATTACAGACTACCACGCCTGCGAATCCCTGGAATAGAGAAAAAAAGCAATGCCTGGATAGCAATTTGCAGCGAGCACCCTACCTATCCATCCACCAAGATGATAAGAACCGAGACACAACCACCCCAGATCTCCAGACTGAAAAAGGTAAGAAAATGGGAGCGAAACAATAGCACATCGTAATCATACTGACTGCCCATCTCAAGTCGAGCGCGCGAACGTTCATCTTCCAACCATTCATACCCCCCCCCCACCGACACCGATTTATACTCGCTCCATTCCATATCCAGCAATTTGACAACTAGCAAATAAACCCATTCACGCCTCCTCATCACCAGCCTTCTTCCTCCCCCTGGTAACCCTACCCCCTGCTTTCGCCGGCGCAGGCGCAGGTTTCTCAGTGACCTTAGCAGCAGCAGCAGCCTTCCCTTTAGGCGCAGCTTTGCCCTTCGCAGCAGGCTTAGCCGCTTTGGGAGCCGGGGCGGCGGCGGCAGCAGCCTTCGCCCTGCGAGCGTTCCGTGGCGGCGGCGTGGGCTCAGGCTCGGGCTCTTCCTCCTCTTCGGCTTCCTCCTCCGCCTCATCGTCACCGTTCTTCTCCTCCGCCGCTTCGGCGGCATCCTCACCCGCCTCCTCCATCTCCACATCCGCATTTTCCTCTTCCGAGAGATCACTCCCCGACTTTTCAACCTCATCCTCGTCCCGCGCAGGAGCGGGCGCAGCCTTCGCCTTGCCCCTCGTCGGGATCGCCCGCTTCCCCCTGCCAGCCGGCTTCTCCTTCTCAACCTCCTCCTCAACCACCTCAGCCACCACCTCCTCCTCCTCCTCCTCCTGGGGCTGTTCAGACCCCACTCCATTCTCCGAACCCTCCCGACCCCCTTCACTCCCATGCTCATCCTCGCCCCCGGAGCCAGACCCCGAACCGTCATCACTACCATTCTCATACTCCCACTCGGCCACCCCGTCCAGCATCTCCTCGTCATCCACATCCGAATCGCGCTCCATATACGACTGGTTCAGCCCCGCCGAGCGGCCGCTCCGCCGCCGCTCCGAGTCGGGAATGGCCCGCCCGGCGGCAGACTTCTTGGGCTTGCTGTTCGAGGAGGAGGACTTTTTCGGCTTGGGGGTGCTGCCGGCCTTCTTGGCGCTCTTGATTGGCCTGGGTTCCTTGGGCTGGCCAGAGGCGGATTTAGATTTGGATTGGATGCGGGCCTTCTTGGAGGGGTGGTTGGGATCGCCGCGGTCGTCGGCGGATTTGCGTTTCTGAGGGGTTAAGGTCAGTTTAACTGTCTCAGTGGCATGAGAATAGGGGGGTGCGCAGGTGGGGAGGGACATACCTTCTTACGATCCATCGCCCTGAGAAGCTCGTCTAGCTTCTCGTCGACGCCGTCCGGCACGAGCTGCTTCTCGGCGATGGCCTGCGCCTCGTCGTGGGACTTGAGCGCGTTGTACAGACCGACGGGCAGCCCGACCTTGCCCGGGTAGGCGTTGAACACCCAGTTCTTCTTGTCCTGCCACTTCCTGATGACGGCCTGCGCCAGGTCGCTCAGCACCTGGTGGTTGTTGCCCCGCAGGTCCAGGGAGTCCTGTGTCTGCTTGACGCGCTCGGCGTACTTGTAGATGAGGCCGATGTTGGATTCGGTCGCGACCAGGCTGACGTAGAAGAGCATGTACCGGGCGTGGTCGACCAGCTCGTCTGGTTCGGCGCTGTAGTCAGGGTGGTGGGCAAGAAGCGACAAGAGTCGAGGCATGACGGCCTCGAGAACAGGTTGCTTGTTGTCTTGGAAATGGCGCGATCGCGACCGGATCCAGGTCTCGGTCCGCTGCTTGAACTCGGTATTTGGTTCGAACGCCATCAAGAAGACGACGGTGTAGAACCGGGACCGCAGCTTGTTGTCCGCAAGATACTTCTGCAGTTTCTTCACAAAGCCGTGGCGAACTTCTTGAACAGCATCTTGGGTTGTGAGAGCGAGCGCGTCGAAGTCTTCCGGGGAGAGCAACTCGTCGAAGTGTTTCTGCGTGCACAGCTTCAGCAGCAGCTGCGCCGCGAGCAGCCTTAACCGCGCCCGGTGATGCTTCGGGGTCTCCTTAGACTTAGAAAGCTCTCCCTTGGAGCGTATCAGCTTCATGAACAGTTTCCAGACCGCCTTTGCCTTCTCCTTCGCCTCGTCAACGTCCTCCGTGCTCCTTAGCCTGTTAGCTAGGGTCTTGAGGGCGAGGCATTTGGCTTGGCATTCCTCGTCCAAATCGGCGTCGTCGACCCAATCCGGGTCTTTGGCGCTGGCCTCTTTCCGGACATCGAGAAGAACCTGCTGGACTGCCATGTTGAGGATCTTATCCTCTGCCTCTTGAGTGACCTTGGGTGCGAGAAGCTCAAGTTGGCTCACGGCGGCCAGTTTGTTTAGGAAGTTCTTCGACTCATACGACCAGTCTTTTAGAGTTCGCTGAAGCAGGTCGGTTGCGCTGACCAGGCTCCTGTCGTCTTTCTTGGCGAGCAGGATGTTTACCGCATACTTTGCGGCCCTGGTAGGTTGGCCGTAGAGCGCATAGTTGATCATGGTCCGCATGAACTCCTTATCGGCCGGTACATCCTTGGGGTACTTGCGGGCGTATGTCGAGCACGCCTTCAACGTCTCGACGACCACCGAATCATTCTCCCGTGTCTGCGTGGGAGCCTGGTCTACAAGGTCCTTGCAGAGCTGTCCGATGTGGGTCTTGAACAGGTCCGGATTCCGTTGCGATATCTCGTTCAAGATTTCATGGGCGGCCGAGCCCATGTTGTTCTTGTCCGACCTCGAGAATTCCATGATGGAAGCGAGGTGACTGCGGTTGAACATCAGGCAGCCAGACCGGTAGAGGAGGGGCAGCAGCGTATCCCGGACAACAGGGTCCTTGCTGCCCTGGACGCGCTTCATCAACTCCTTAAGCGCCTTGTGGACCGTTTTGAAGTCGTGTTCCTGGCCGATGACAAACTTGATGAGGTTGTAGCTGCGCCGGTCATTGGCTTTGGCGAACCGGTAAAGTTCTTGCTCCGCTTTAGCTCCATCGGGGAGGAACTGAGCGATATACCGCGTTGTTTTGTTGAGGTTAGCCGTCTTCTTGGAGGCATTGTCGTCCATTACACCCCCGTTGAACTGGTCGCATTGCTTGACATAAGTCTCGAGGACATGGGCGAACTGGGGCTGTCTCGCCTGCATGGCAAAGAAGGCCTTTTTGCCATTGACATCGAGGGATTTGAGGAGAAGTAGTATCCTTTCCGCCCGTATCGCATCAGGATCGAATGTCGCCGCTCCCGCAGCTTGGGATTGAGAGCTGCCGTTGGACGTGGCATTTTTAGGGGTCTTCTTCGGTGGCGGGTATGAGAGCGGTACGAGACATTCGTAGATGACGCGGTCCAACAAGACATTGAGCTCGAGGTCGTTAGCGTAGAATGAGTTGTAGATGCGGGTGGGAACGGCCCCGAGCGCAGCTGTGACCGCCTCGTGGCCGGCGAGGAGCTCTCCGGCCGCGACTCCCCAGAGCTTCCCCAGCAGGGACATGGCGGCAACGCGGACGGCCGGCTTCTTATCACGACAGCGATCGGCTAGGGTGGATAAGACGGAGCCATCCTTACCGACACCTCCACTGGGCCCGAGCTTCAAGATGACGTCCCGAAAGCTGAAGCACTCAATGGCCTTGACGGCTGCCAGTCTGACCTTCTCATCGCCGTCCGAAAGCTTCTCTCCGATTCCCTGGATCAGCGCCGTCTCGTCTTCGCGCCCTAGCCCGATTCCACCGGCCGAGGTTGAAAGAATGTGCCCAACTGCTGTTGTCCACGCGGCCCGGATGGCTGGCGACTTGTCGTTTCTCCTGCTGAGGAAGTTGTGGAAAGTTACGTTATGAGTCTGCGAGAAAGAGATGGCGGAGAGCGGCGTGGTTAGGATGTTCGTCGCAGATGCCTCAGTCTTGTCCTCGTCGTCCAAACCCAACGGCGGGTAGCCAGCCGGGTCTAATACCGGGGGAGGGGGAGGGCCGGCAGCACCAATACCCGAAATCATGTCGCCCAGCGTCTCGGTCGCAAGGAAGCGAAGGTGTACATTATCCGCAGAGAGTTCGGCATCGACTTGTGGAACCACGTTCTGAAGGATCTGGGGCGCGGCCTTCCAGATCTCTCGGATGAGTGTGTGCGCTTTCCGCAATTCTCTTAGATCCGACTCGGACGGTGCGGAGGGCCCGTCATCATCCTCGTCGTCCCTATCGGGCCTTCCAGCGAAACCCGTCGCATCGACAATAACATCGCTGAAATACTGGCTAACGAAGCGGGCCATCTTGTCGGGAAATATTTGGCACATGTGCTTCACGATCTGGTAGGCCTCGGGTTCTTCCTTGGCCAAAAGAGTGGCCTGGTTTTCGTCCAGCTGGGCATGGTTGTGCTTCTCCCTGCCAGTCCCTGGTGCAGCCGCACGTAGGAACTGGGCCATCATCACATCGACAACCTTTGCCGGGAGGCTCGTGGCGTCCTCCACAAGCACGCCCAGGAGCTCCTGCATACTATACTCCACATCCTTGGCGACTTGTTCTCCCGAAGCCGACTTTGACCCCGACACGCCGTCGAAAATGGTGGAGAAGAGGTGAAGGAGGAGGTTTTCGCTCCCATCGACGTCGAGAAGCAGGACGACACTCTTAATTTCGGCCAGAGAGCGCAGGACGTATTTGTGCTGGTTGTTGTAAGGATTTGACGGATCAAAGAGGGAGGGAATGATGGAGGTGACGGTGAGATTAAAGACGTCCTAAGTGGTTTAGTTAGTAAGATCAAAATTCAGGTGTGGTGGTGGTCGTGATGGATAACAAACCTTTAGTTGGGACGGTGTAAAGGGCGCATCTGGGGCGCAGAGGCGGAGGATATCAACAACACAGCAGGCCGTGTAGGCACGCACACCCTTGTCCTTGTGGTTGAGGAGCTGGTGGGATGCGACCTCCTTGGCGACCTTGGTGAGCGACCCCGGGTCGGTCATTTCCTGGTCCATCTCAGCCAGCTCCTTGGTCAATCGGTCGAGCCTCTTGAGCAGTGTGTCAATCGCAATCGGTTTCCCAGGGCGCCATGTCAGCGGCTCGTTGAACTGCAGGCGGGCGATTCCCTCTTCCGGCTCCTGTTCCTCCGCCTCAACGGCAGCGCTCCGGCGAGGCGCCATGGCGCACTACGGTCTTGAATGGTATCACGATATATGATCGGTTAATGACGGTCGCGTGGGTGAATCGGTCTCCGTCTCGAGTCCGCCGTCCAGCGCGAGGAGAGAGCGGGTGGGCGGGGAATGAACCGGCGGAGTGCGTCGCGTGTGTGTGCGACTTCAACAGTCAATTGTCGCCTCGGAAAGGCGCCGCGATAATTTAACAGCGGCAAGCGGCACAGCGGCACGTCGAGGTTTCTGACACAATGTGTGGTCTGTAAAAATCAATTGCGCTGTCCGTTTTGCGGCGCTGCGTGGAGTAGAGAATCCCGGGAGTTTAGGATGCTGGGTATCGGCTGTTCATAAATATCAGAGAGGTGGAGATGTTAAGTGGTGTGTTGCGTGGTACGCGCTTCAGGTCGCGTAGCTTTCAAGTTTCGGGAGCTGCAGCTCGTTGTATCTTGAGTGGGGCCGGTTGGAGTTCGCGTAAATACGAATACAGATTACGGAATTCGGTCAAGGTCCCTGAAATTGGTCACGAGCAAGGAAAGAACCGCCCAACATGTCAAATCTGCTCATTATCCGATAAATATTGAGTCAACTGCTTTTGGTCAGAGTGAGTACCTAGGCAGTGAATCATCCTATTTACCATGGCTTAGTATATTCCGCTGCAGTCGGAGAGAAGGAAGCAAGTCTCTGCTGGATGCCAAGGCTCAGGGGCAATTGTTTACTTTGCACTTCTTTGCCATCCAGTTCCCGCAGGCAACCTTTATGCTGCTATTTTATTGTTAGGTATTTGTATCCAAGTCGGATATCTTTTGGGCATTTGCTGTATGCCAGCTTATGTATTACTAACCGGTTCTCACCATGCCCCCCGAATCTGTATCTGCATTCAGGCGCTCTGAATCCCCTCGAGCTCGTCAGATTAGAAATCGGGTTAAAGAATTATAAATATATCGATGACCTAGTGTCAAATAGCAAAGAGCCAAAGGATAGCCTACTCCCGTAAGCAAACCAGTGCCGCTTAGCTCCTGACTTTGCGTCACAGCGACCCAGTGTCCGCCGACAGGGAGGAAAGATAACATTGGTCTTTCTTCGATACCACACTTCAAGACTCTTCTCAAGCCAGACACACAACCGTCAAGTTAGTTGTAAAGAAAACATATTTCTAGCGGAGCGAATAGACTAGGTACTTAGCTTGCCCGACTACGCGGGTATCTCGGAAGAAAAGGGGTCTGCTGGCTCGAGGAAGAAGATTCCGGTCATCAGCAAAATAGATTTCATTTTTCCGTTCCTCTCATTCCCCCACAACTGTCTTGCTATTCCGGACCTCAGCCTGGAAGGGAAGAGCCGACCAGTGTTGCCATTCATCCGAAGTTTGTAAAATTACTGGCTGGCTTCTGGGGATTTCTGGTTTTCCCACCTTCCCGGCATCAACTAAACGGGCACTCCAAGTTTTCCCGGTCACTCACTTTCCGATCTCTTGCCAACTCTCTCCCTCCTCCAACCAAACTTAACCACCCGATCGTTCTCTCGGCGCTCGCACTAGTCATCACCACACAACCCTCGTACTCGGCATTCCAATCGTTTACCGGCATTAGTCCCGGGATCAAGTAAGTAATATTCTTTTTCACGACTTCATATTTCGGATTATCGGTCGAGATATCGATGGTCGAGGCAATAAATCACCCAGGCAGCAACAAGCTGAAATTCACCACCATGGATTTGCTTTGAACGGCTGATCACAGCAATTGGAACACTTCCTTTCCTCGAACCCCATCTTGTTTCGCTCATGATCTGAGATTGCTTTCTTACCAATCCCTTCACTTCATTGACTATCTTCTTGTCTGGCAATACAAATCATGACAGTTCACCGTTGCTAACAAGGAAACCTGATAGAAGTCACTCGTTTAACCACTCTAGAATGAACATGAACATGAACAGCCCCACCGAGAAAGGCGATAAAGGCGGCGCTGTGGCCAAAACCCAAGCGACCAAGGCACCCAAGCGGGCTAACCGGGATGGGAAGTCCATTGGTGCCCTCATTGAGGCCGGCATGCTGGAGGATGCTTTCAATGAGGCCCAGTGTGGCAACTGTGACAGGCTCCGCAAGACCACCTACATTTGGGGTCTCGCCTTCTGGTTCATGGTCTTTTTCTATTTGATTATCGGCGTTGCAGCTGGTAGGTCCTTCGGGTCTCCTTTTTTGTTTAGTGCTGATCAATATGTTTCTTTTAGTCACTCTAGTTCATGCCAACCAGATTGATGCTGGTGGTTCTGATGCTGGCGGCTCTCTCCAGCTTGTTGCCCGTGGTTTGGAGGTCGACACCACCACCTCTGTTATGGACTCTGCCTGTTCTCTCTCTAGCACCACTTCCTACCCAGCTCCATCGGCCGCATTTGTCGCTGCCACCGTTGACGGCACCATTGCTACCGGTGGTGTGACAGTCACTCCGATCACCGCCCAGGCTAAGTAAGTGTCTCAGCAATTCTCAGCAATCCCAACTCACACGACCATATTAACACCCATGACCCAGCTCCGAGGGATCAGTCTGCCCTAGTGCTGAGACCGTCACCGTCACCGTCACCACCCTGACGGACAACGATGCTGTAACCGCAGGTGCAGGCGGCGCTCCTCCCCAGAGCAGCGAGGGCAGCACCAGCAGCAGCAGCAGCGTCTTGGCAACAATCACCATGACAGAGGCCTACACCGTCACCAACACCGTGACGGTGGGCACCATGACCACCTCCTCCCCGGAGACGGATTCCACCACCACCCAGGTCTCAACCCCCACCTCCACTGACCTGGTCACGACCCACGTCACCTCGACCACCACGCAGTTCATCACCATGCTCAACTCCACGGGCACCACCACCACCACCACCACCGTGGACCCGCGCACCGCCGGCACCCCGGGCGATGGCGACAGCAACACGCCCTCGCTGATCTCCACGCTCGGCAGCATGGTCATCGGCACCAGCATGCTCGGCACAGGCACAGGCACAGGCACAGCCTACCTACAGCCCTCCAGCAACGGCAGCCTGACCTACAGCGTGCCGACCGTGTCGCCGAGCCAGGTGCTGCCCAGCGTGGTCAGCAGCTCGGGCTCGTCGACCAGCCCCTTCAGCCCCTTCAGCCCCTTCAGCCTCGCCATTCGCGGTACTGGTGGTGGTGGTGGTGGGGGTGAGGGTGCTGGTAAGCGCGACCAGAGCGGTGGCAAGAGCGGGTTCTACTGCATTGTCATGGCGGTGGCTTGCGCGGCTGCGGTGCTGGTTTAGCATTGTGCTGCACTGTGATGCCGCCGCTGCTGGTTTAACTTCCGGTTCTGCATGGAGATTCTCAGGGGGATGGGGGAACTGGATGGGGACCTGAGGATAGGGGGGTCAAAAAAAAGGGGGGGGGTTTTCTACTCCTTTGGGTTCAGTCGATAGTTCAAATCCTGACCCGGTTCTTTATGCCTTTGTCTTTTGCTGCCTTGATTTGGGCGATTGTGAGACTGAATGCTTGGGCAGTTGTCAGGGGGGGATACTGCTTTGCTGGGATTTACTGTTGTAGGAGTTAACACCACTTTACTTTGCAATGTCAATGATACACGAATCACCACGACACATCTGAGTTATTTCGAGTGATTTTTGATTTGAACGTGTGCGATTGAAGCCCTACCTGCGGCCTCTTATGGCGCGTGAGTGACGCGCTGGAACCGGTATCTCCCCCCAGCACACGTTTGCTCTTTCCATCAGGCAACAACCCCATTTTGAGAAAGCCATTTCTCCCCAACCATCACCTGACGCCCAAACCGGGACGGTACAGTATCCCAAGGTTCCGGCTCAACCCGAGCAACACCCGACCAGACTCCCATAACTCAAAAGAAAAGAAAAGAAGGGCCTGGATTGAAGTACAAGAGGCGCACCGATGCCATAAAATCCGAACCCCCCATGAGTTAGTTGTATTGTGGAAGAAAACCATAACCCGCACTCCACCCCCCTTGACATCCCGCCTAATGCCCCCCATGCTGCTGCTGCCTCAGCTTCCAACTATCCTTAATCCCCTTGGCGGCCAGCAACAACTCGGCCTCACTAACGCCATCCTTGATACTCCCCATAACACTCGTCACGGTGCTGACGTGGTTCGCCTCGGTCTTGTCGTCGCGGAAGCGGTACAGGCGCCAGCGCTTCTCGTCGTCGAGGCAGCACTCGACGACGCGGTCCTGCAGCGGGTCGCCCCAGCTCTTGAGCGTCTCCCACTCCTCCTCGGTCAGGTGCAGCGGCTCCTTGAGCTCCTCGTACCCGGGCTTGCCCCGGTCGCTGCCCGTGAAGATGAGCAGTCGCGCGTCGGGCACGCTGTCGTAGTCCACGAACGGCTCCGTGCGGCCCTCGGCCCGCTCCAGCTCGTTGGGCTCGACGAGCGGGAAGTTGAGCTTGAGGCGGAAGTCGACCGTGTTCTCGTGCGGGGCCTTCCACTTGAGGATGTGCTGGTCGGTGCCGAACTGGTAGGAGCTCGTGCGGCAGGTGAAGATGAGGCCGTCGTTCTGGTGCTTGAGGCTGGGGAGCACCTCACGGAACATCATCTCGATGCCGTACGAGAACTGCATCTCCTTCATCTCGACCTTGAAGGCCTGGTAGCGCAGCTCCTCGGGGAAGGCGGTGAACAGGCTCTTGTAGGGCTTCATGACGTGCTCCTTGAAGTAGCCGAGCCGCTTGTCGAGCGGCTTCGAGAGCACGTCGGCCTTGCCGTCGAGCGCGAGCAGATCGAAGACGAGGAAGACGGGCGCCTTGTCGCCGTTCGGGAGCGTGTCCATCACCAGCTCGCCGTCGATCAGCGTGCCCGTGTGGAAGGCCGCGCGGTCCTGCGCCAGCGGGAAGTGTAGGTTGCGCTGCGACAGCCACCAGTAGTCGTTCTTGCGGTCGACCAGGTAGTGGCACTCGCTGCCGTTCTCGTCCGACGTTAGGTAGAGGAGGTAGCGGATGCCGTCGGACTTTTCGCAGACGTAGTAGCTGTTTGGAAGGCGGGGACATGGTTAGCATAGGACTATAACGGGGGCCTGGAAGGTGACGGGGACGGGAATGGGACCAACGCACTCCTCTTTCCGCAATTCCTCCATATGCCTCCGCGAGAACGAGACAGGCTGGGCTCCCGGGAAGCTGTACGAGTTGCGCCCGAGTAGGTTGGCGACCTCGGTGCGCAGCTCTCTAAGCAGGTCACCTTGGGCCTTCACGCCCGGAGCCGCGATGTCGCGGAGGGGTTGCGCGCCCTGGTCCATGGCGGCTGACGTGGATGAGGGATGGTTGTCGGGTCCGGATCCGGGATTCGAAGGTCGAAGTGCTATAAATACAGGCCCAGGACGGCAGGTGAAATGATCCTCCCTTCAGTCGCCACACATGTCGGGGCGGTTGCCGAGTCCAACGCGTTGAATCGCTAAAGGTGCGTACCTCGCGACCGCCGGCTTCTTTGAGGGTTTGCGACCGCTATCTTATCGGGCCTTCCGCCCAAGAAAGCCAAGCCAAGCAGGACTCGGAAGCCAAGCATTGCCTCCCCGGTTCCCTTCCCCCACCATTCGCTTACTTGCATACGGCATGGATTGAGGAATGCGCCTCTGACAACGTCACTCAAGACAGGAGCAATTCGGTATAATTTGTACGTTGGTCCATGAACCATAATCGCTTGGCTTTCGGCTAGCGATATTCATTTCAAACACATTATAGCAGAGCCTAACATTAATGAGCCTCCTTGGCCGGGATCGCTCTTAGGCCTCTAGGTAGGTATCTCGTAGGGTATGCGAGTAGGCGCATCAACCCATCGATTCATCAATCTTTTCCACCTCCGCCTTCGCTTCCTCCCATGTTTCCTTGTTCTTCTTTGCCCACTCGATTTGGCTCTTTGCATAGGCAAGCTGCAACTCGCTGTCAGTATTCGGCTGCACTCGGGTTCCAAGAAGTCGCCTACCATGTACCGCCTGAGATCGTCCTCTTTCTCCCGCTGGAAGCGCTTGAGATCCTTGAGAATGCTAGCGCTCGCTTCCTTGACGTCCTCGGCCGATGCAACCTTTGCCTGCTCGAGCTGTACGATTGACTCGCGGGTCTTGGTGATGGTGTCCCGCCGCGTCTTCTCGGGATCCGCGTCAACCACTCCTTGGACGGCGTGACGGAGGGGGCCGAAGATCTTGTTAGTGATTGATGCCGCGCTCGGTGCCTTCCTATGGCTAGGAGCCGCGGGTGACCGCTCCGGAGTCCCGATGCTGGCCGAGGGTGCAGAAGCGAGGTCGCCGTGCGTGGGAGGGAAATCCGAGTCGATCGATGCGGTGTCCTCGTTACTGCCATCGCGGCGATGCGACTGCGCTTCCCTAGTGCTCGTTGATTTCCTCGGAGGCTGGGGTTGCTGTGTGCCACTCAGATATTGCTCTATTCTCCTTGCCTCCGCCTCGCTCCGCTCCAGTTGATCGAGCAGCTGGCCCTTCTTGTTGAGTTCGTCTGCGGTCATGTCTTGTTGCACCCGCTTCAGGACTCGGTACCGCAAGACGCTCCTGATCACACCGGCAAACTGCGCGTTCTCACGCATGGGCTCGGCAAAGCTCGCGCCGAGCGAGCTCGAGAGTTCTTCGGTGGCAATGTACGAGGAATCGGCAGCTTGTCCTATCCGCTCAATCGCCGTCGAGAGCGATTGGGTAGGCTCGGACAGGGAAAAAGCGTTATATCTCGCCCCCAACTCGGAAAGATCCGAAGCCAAGGACGACAGATGGTTCAGGGACCGCCGGTTGACCTTCTCCATGGGGCCCATAAGTAGCGATTCAAGCTCTCGGATAGAGGTCTCGAAGGCGGTAAAATAAGGGTCCAACTCCTGCTCGCCAAGGTTACTGCTGTCCGGCGGAAAGCGAGAAAAGACCTGAGCACCGGCCGTGCCGCTCGAAGCGGGTGCCGCGGGTATGGACTTGAGCTTCGAAGAGCTGGCGGGAATGGGGAGAAACTCGTGACCTGGAGTCGGATTGGCCGGGTCTAAAGGGGGTGCCCTCATTATCGACTTGGGGATGGATGCCACGGGGTGGGAGTGGAGAACCTCGTTCTTGTCTTGTTAGTCGGGAGTTGTCACTCTTTTCTCATGGTGCCCGTGACCTACCCAGCTAGAATTGGGATCCAGAAACCGCCACCAGACACCATCTGCGCGGACCTGCTCCATCCTCCGGCATCTGTTTAGGAAAACTGCCAGCATGCGCTTTCGGAGATCGATAATTTGCTGATCCTGCTTCGCGTTGGTTGGGTTGGCGGCATACTCGGCCACGGTATGTTTTTCGGGAATCGGAGGTATGATGAGGGTCGGATGCAGCCTTGTGAGCGCTTCGCGGAGGGTAGCGAACTCTGAATATCGCCGGCGAACTATAAGCTCCTAGTGGCAGTCGGTTAGTGTCTACCCTGTCGACAGAGCCCAAAAAGTCCGGCCCTTACCCCAGTCTTAATCGTGTACACAATGTATCTGCCACTCTCTGTGCTCTTCCCTGCGTCGGTAATCAAGATGGGCAGCTCCGGGTTCTCGTAGAGCATCTGCTCGACGCGGCTGTCGTATCCACCAGGCTTTGGTCGGGGAACAAGCTCGCCTTGGGAGCGGGCATTTTCCTCCTCCTCCTGGCTCTCGGCATCTATGGACTCGGGCCGAGGGGCTTCATCTCCGGTGGAAGATGGTGTGTTGGGAGCGTCATATCTCGGATCTATTTCCACCCAGTCGCTGTCAGTCCCATCGGTCTCGTTGATGGGGGGCCCCAGATCAACATCAAAAAATTGTGACGAAGACATTATTTTGAAGGTGTGTGTGTGTGTGATTACAGAGATGGGAAATTCAGACGGACTTACAATCATGAGTTATGGGTGAGGAGGGGTTAGCGGATGAGGCGAATGAGTCCCTGCGCTCAAAGCTCCCCCCATAAGGGTTGTTGTCCTCGTCATTCCACATGACGCCGAGCTTTTGATCGTGCAGGCGACAAAGATGGGATGTAAAGCTGTCTGCGCTCGAATAAAGCGCAAAGCGGAAGGCGCAAGCACAGTGGTTGCTGGCACGCGCGCAGCGCTCTGCGGCTCTGTGCAACTCTGTGCAGTCCGACCTGACGTAGCTCAGTGAGCTGAGGCTCCTGAGGCTCGTTCGCGGGGCACAACTATGGAGTTGAGAACCCACCCAGCAACCGCGGGGTTGTTGCGACTGGGGCTGATGGTCCGTTGGCTTGTTGCGCTTGACAATATTCGGATGTCTGAAAGTGTGGGCGTAATTGATCAATGGGGATCGATCCGATGTCTATTTGTTTGCATGGCTGGTCGGAACTCGGGAGGTGTTGGTGCGGTTGATTCGCCGCTCGTCTTGGGATGTGGTTGCTGCGCGGCAGAGGTGGGCCGGAGCTTGTCAGATGCGAGGCACAGTCCGCCAAGAGGATGACGACGGTCGCCTGCCTCCCTGTTGCAGTATATTACGTAATGCGCTAGCAGGTCAAAACCCCACAGGACGATCTGGGGAAGCTATTTGGAGATTATTTTCAGCTCCATCAATCAAGCTGGTCAAGAGCAACTTGGAGAAAGTCTTTGTTGTCCGTCCTACGATCTTTGTCTATTTGCTTGTTTCACAGATTATAATACCGTTTCCGGTTACAGCGGTCCGTTTTAACATGGGCTCTTTTTAGAACTAATCCCACGATAGTGAACGGTCTCTCAAAACCCCATTTTTAAATGATGTCATATTTGCTCCTCCAAGTACCGTGACAGCTCAACTCAGATCTCAAGAACACTGGTAGATGGTACTCCAATAGCTACTAACTCTGTCGAATTACCTATTCGCTACCAATGACCCCATGGTGGTCAACAGCCGATCCAGGAGCAACCCTGCGCCAATGCGAGAGCCAGGCAGCCAGGACCAGGAGGACAAGCACAACTACCCCTTTTCACCAAAACAGCCACCTAACCCCATTTCCCCCCCTCACTAAACCGCCAAACTCCCCATCCCACAAATTAATCATCCCCCCGCAAAGCCCGGCGCATCCGATAAAACGTCCCCGTAACCCTCCCAGCTAGCCCCGGCTGCCGACCGCCCTCCCTTGTCCCATCCCGGCGCCGCAGCCCAGCACCGTCCCCACCACCACTTTGCGCCTCAGGATTCTGCTCCGACGATGACGATGACGACGACGGCAATGCCGTCAGCGAGGCTCCAGAAACCTCACTCCGACCCTTTTCAGGCAGCGTAAACGAGACGCGCGGCCGCTGGCGCTCGGGGCTCGGGAACTGGAGGTCGGGACTCGGATGGTGGCGGCGGTGGCGGCGCCGGCGCCGGCGGGCTGAGAGCTGTTGGTGGAGGAGGTGGGCGATTGGCACGGTGTCGGAGGGCCGGATGCGTGCTAGGCGGGTGCGGCTAGGGTCGGGGTGGCCGTTCTCTGGGTTGGAGGCTGCGCGGGCGCGGGTGCGGGTTTGCGGTGCTGGGTGGTGTGCCCCGGTGTCGAAGACCGCCTCGACGCTGGTGTTGAGGTAGCTGGAGCTGAGGTTAGATTCGGTTTGGGATGGGGGGGTGCTATGGCGCTGGTCCCGTGCCGTGGTCTGGGAATTTCGTCGCGGTGGTTGTGGGTGTGGGCGAGCTTGGCGGTCCTGTCGAGGGGATTGCGGTTGCCTTCTGGAGGGAGTCGAGTGATTGCTTCTGCGATTGCGCCTAGGTGGTGGGGTTGGAGATGGGGGAGGCGAGAGTGATCTGGACTGCTCGGCCGGAGAAGACGAATCGGACAGGGTCCTCGCATGGCCGGAGATGGGAGATGTGTTGCCCAGGGAAAACCAACGGCGCCATTGGCTTTGGCGTTCCGCAACCGGAGTGGTTTGTGCCTTCTCCCTTTTGCTTCTTCGTGGGGTCGATGGTGCGACTGGCGGAGGCACGCAAGCGGGCTGGGGCGTAGGCATTACCCCTGGCCCAGGGTGCTGGCCTTGAAGGTTTGGTGGAGCAGCATAGCCAAAATAGGGAGGCGGCGCATCTGGCGGGCATGGGACTGTAGTCATGCCGAATGCAAGCGGGTTCGAGTGTAAGGCTGTCGGAGGATGACTCGGTTGTAAGAAGGCTGAAGGTCCAACCATCGGCGGAGGGGGGATCGCAAAGGGCGAGGGACCTGACCAAACAATAGGAGGCGGCGGAGGTGGCGGGGGCACCAGATGTATGTCTGGGGTGTGAGCCCTCCCAAGTTGCTGGGGCACTTGATCGAGGGTGTTGTTTTCTTGTTGCTGAGTCTGCCCATCAGTCCCCTTTACGCGCCGCGGAGCTGGAACATCTGTCTCGACAGGTTCTGGGTCGCTCAGTGGCCTTGGCTCCCGATAAATGGTGATCGAGACTCTGTTAGGATCCCCTCTCGTGAGTTCCCAATAACCATTGACAGGTGTTAGAGTGTCATCACAGCCGTCTTGAAGGTTGGGTTTGATCTGGAGCCGCCAGTACATATACGCCATCACCAGTACGAAGGCGACAATGACAAGGATGATGCCGAATTGTGCGGCATCGCCCAAGCAGTCCCATCCAGAACTAACCGACAATGTTAGTTATGTCTTTCTTTCCGTCAAGGTACAGAGATACATACCAATCATCACTTTCAGCTCGTCGGGCAAGCCCATCTCCTGAGCGGAAGCCAGTGTAATAAGCCGATGGCGCCATCAGTTGGTTCTATGGGTGAGCAGGGTATTGAGCAGCGGAAACACGAATAACCAGATTTCCGGCATTTAAGATATGCCAACAGGCTGTAGAAAGTTGATGGATGGTAGTAACCGATCGGAAGAGGGCTGTTTGGTCGCTGTCATTGGGAAGTGGTATTGTTTTGGCATTGGAACACTTTCTACCTTACTTGAGTGAGTAAACAGTGCGGAAACAGGATTAAACCACACTCATAGCATGTTTAGAAGACTCCCCCAAACAACCAAGCAAGGTACCTAGGTAGGTAACCATATCTTTATGCATATCGGGTGGAATTTGGGTTTATTTTCGCGAGCTCCTTCCTGGTTTTTTGTTTACCTACAGGATTCACCCAAAATAAATTCGGAGGATGATACCCATAATCTGCTATAAATTAGACAATGACAACACATATACCAGACCCGTAAAGACAAAATTAGAGATGATTTCGTGACCCAAAGCCTGATACATTTTGATTTTGGTGATGGTAAGGGCGAAGCTGTTGGAGCTTCACAGCCTTGTCGTTCAGGGGTGGTCAACCACAAACGACCCAGAACGATTGCCCAATGAAGAGCTCCCTTAGCAGCAAGGGTGGCCTGCCATTTTGATTTCTTTGCGGACCCACTGCTGCTCAAGCCTTTCAGCCTCATCGCCTTCGTTTGCAAAAGTGGACTCCTATTCACGGGCCTCGAATCTATAGGGAATAATAGGAAGCCGCTGACGCGACGATACCTCCCTTTCTTTGAGGGCCGTCATCACCTCACCCATCAGAACCCGACCCAACCCCCCACAATGCCGTATTAGCGACCGAAATCGAATCTCGATCGAACCCTCCAACCCGACCCGACTTTTGCTTTTGAAGATCGATCCTATTGCGAATGCGAATGCGAACGCCGATTCCATCGAATCGCAAACTTCACGAACCTCATCCGTTTGCTTATTGCATCGTCCTCGAGACTTTGATATCCCAAGTCAACAAAGAGATCAAAGCGGGACAGCCGACCACCGACTTGCTCCCGGATCCCTCTCCGTGATACCGCGCGCGAGACGCGTCGACCACAGCCACCATGGCTTCGACCCTTCCCAGCAGCCAAGCGAACGGCTCCGATGGACCGGCGAAAGGTCTTGCTGCCTTCGCTCCCAAGAGCAAGCGCTTCTCCGACATTCCCTCCACCATCGACATCCCCATGCAAGATGATGTCGAAGTCGAGATCGATCTCGAGGTGCTGCCCGACGACCCGACCGAGCTCTGCTCCGTCTTTGAGAATGAGGGGTCTGCTAGGATATACTGGATGACCGTCGCCCTGGCGTACGCGAAACAGAACAAGATCGACTTTGCCATTGAGATGCTCATCCGCGGCGCCAACGCGCTACAGGGCAACCAGCGCGAGAAGCTCGGCATCATCACCTGCATCTGCTGGCTGTACCTCTGGAAGAGCAGGGAGGCCCCCAGAGTGGCCCCCGAGGGGTCTATAGTTTCCGACGCAAAGACCAAGGAATACTATCTTCAGTTGGCTACCCAGAGTCTGAACGACGCGTCGCGCATCAACCCAGCGTTTCCGCCACTCTTCTTGGCCCGCGGGGTCCTGATCCTCTTGAAGGCCTCGCTTCAGCCGTCGTCCAAGGCACCAGGCGCAGTTGACTCGCGCAAGGCGGAGCAGCTGCGCAACGCCCTAAAGTCGTTCGAGGAAGCCATTCGCGTCTCGCAAGGGAAGAACATGCTGGCCGTCATGGGCAAGGCCCGCGCCCTCTTCTCCCTCGGCCGGTACCCAGAGTCGCTCTCTGCCTACCAAGAGGTGGTACAAAAGATGCCGGACTTGGTTGACCCAGATCCACGCATTGGCATCGGCTGCTGCTTTTGGCAGCTGGGCTACAAGGACGACGCTAAGCTCGCCTGGGACCGCTGCCTCGAAATCAACCCAGACTCCAAACACGCCAACATCCTGCTCGGCCTCTACCATCTGGACGCCAGTGGTCATGTGCCGACCAACAGCCCAGAATTCATCCGCTTGTACAAGAAGGCCATGACCGAGTACACACAAAAGTCCTTCAAGCTTGACAAGAACCTCCCACTCACCTGCGCCACCTTCGCCGGCTACTTCCTCTCCCGGAAGCAGTTCACCAACGTCGATTCTCTTGCGCACAGGGCGATAGAATACACCGACGTGAACGCCATTGCTAGCGACGGTTGGTATCTTCTCGCTAGGACCGAGCATCACAACGGCGATCTGGAGCGCGCGAGCGACTACTACCGCCGTGCTGACGATGCCAGGGGCGGCACTGAGGGGGGCTATTTGCCGGCCAAGTTTGGTGTAGCACAGCTCTCGGTTCTCAAAAACGATCTCGGAGAGGCGAAGCTCCGGCTGGAGAAGATGATCCAACACTCCAAGAACTACGAAGCTATGATATTGCTTGGCACCCTGTACGCGGAGGAAGTATTCGCCAACCAATCGGCTGCTGTCAAGGAGGACAAGAGCGCCGAGGTGAAGAAGGCCCTCGGGCTCCTGGAAGGTGTCCGCTCGGCGTGGAAGGACCCTAAGAAGAACCTGGCGCCGGATGCCGCCGTCCTACTCAACCTTGCGCGCCTATACGAGAACGAGAGCCCGGACAAGGCGTTACAGTGTCTTCAACAGGTCGAACAGCTTGAGATTAAGCAGGTTCCCCAGTCGGAATACCCTGCGGATACAGAGGACGAGGCGGTGACCCGCGCTGCGATCCGCAAACTCTTGCCGCCACAGCTCCTCAACAACATCGGTTGTTTTTACTCCCAGGATGGGAAATATCACCTTGCTACCGAATTTTTCCAAGCCGCCCTCGACTCTTGCGCTCGCATTAGCCAGACCGAAAATGAGTTGGACATCGACGCCCTTCTGACAACCATCTCGTTCAACCTCGGCCGGAGCTACGAGTATGAAGGCGATGTGGACAAGGCGATCACGACCTACGAGCAATTGTTGAGCCGCCACAGCGATTACACAGATGCGCGGACGAGGCTGGCCTACATCAAGCTTCGCAAGAACCCCAACAAGGAGGGACCGGATACGGTCGCCAAGCTCTACCAGGAAAACTCGTCCGACTTGGAAGTCCGCTCACTTTATGGCTGGTTCTTGGGTAAGGTGAACTCTAAGAAGAGGCCGGCCAACATTGCAGAGGACCCAGAGCAACGGCACTACAAGCATACCCTGCAGAACTACGACAAACACGATCGCTATGCCCTCGTCGGTATGGGCAACCTGCACCTCATGTCCGCGCGTGAGATGCGCCGTGAGACGGAGCAAGACAAGCAGAAGCGGAGCGCTGCATACAACCGCGCAGTTGAGTTCTTCGACAAGGCGCTCCAGCTCGACCCCAAGAACGCCTACGCCGCCCAGGGTGTCGCGATTGCTCTTGTCGAGGACCGGAAGGACTACAAGAACGCCCTGCAGATTTTCATCAAGGTCCGCGAGACCATCCAGGACGCCCACGTATACGTTAACTTGGGCCACATCTACGCCGAGCTACGGCAGTTCAGCAAGGCCATCGAGAGCTACGAGCTTGCGCTCACCAAGGAGGGCAAGGCCAACGATGCCGGCATCATCTCGTGCCTCGGGCGGACCTGGCTCAACAAGGGCCGCGCAGAGCGCAACCTCGACGCCTACAAGATGGCCCTAGACCACGCCAAGAAGGTAAAGCAAAGCCATCTCCTATGGTATTCCGCTCCCCCTGACTAACCACACCCCAGGCCCTTGCCATCGCCTCAGACCAGCTCCACTTCAAGTTCAACGTCGCCTTCGTGCAGATCCAAGTCGCCCTCACGCTGCACTCGATGCGCGACAGCGAGAGGACCTCCTTCCAACTCGAAGAAGCGGCCGAAGGCCTCGAGTCCGCCATCAAAGCGCTCGACGAGATCGCCGCCTCACCCTCGCCGCCCTACCCCAAGCACGACATGGAGCAGCGCGCCAACATGGCACGCAACACACAACGCAAGCAGCTCGAGCGCGCCCTGGCCAGCCAGCGCGAGTACGAGGCCAAGAACAAAGAGAAACTCGCAGCAGCGCTCGAGCAGCGCCAAGCCGAACTCCGCCGGCGCGAGGCGGAGCGCCAGCGCCTGGAGGAGGTCGAGCGCGAGCGGCAGGACAAGATCCGCCGCGACCGCGAGGCCATCGCCGCGCGCGACCGCGCCCTCGGCGAGCAGCGCGCCGAGGAGGAGCGCCAGCGCCAAGAGGCCGAGCTCACCACCGACAGCGAGACCGGCGACAAGGTCAAGCGCAAGAAGCGCCCCGCCGCTGCCTCGCGTCGCTCCCGCTCTGGTGAACCTCGCTCGACCACCAAGGGCGGCGGCAGGAGCCGCAAGAAGAAGGCGGCTGCTACCTCGGCGGGCGAGTCGGATGGCGAGGACTCTGCTGCTGATAGAAAGAGCCGCCGGCCGCCGAAGAAGAAGCAGCGCCTGACGAGCAAGAAGGAGACCAGCAGCAGCAACAGCAGCAAGTTCAAGTCGGCTGAGCTGGTCGTCGAGAGTGATGATGACGAGGATGAGGAGGCCGATTACAAGGGCAGTGACGATGATTTGGACAAGGCGGAGCGCGCGCTGGAGAGGTCGGCGCGGCGGAGCGGCAGTCGCACGGCTGCGGAGGGTTCGGATGGTTCTGAAGATGAGGGTTCTGAGGAGGAGGGAGGGGGTGGTGGTGGTGGTGGGAGGAGGAGGCGCACGCTGAACCGGCCAAGGAGGAGGTCGTCTGGTGCTGGTGGTGCTGGTGGGGAGGGGAGTGGTGATCGGATGGATGTGGATGATGAGGAGGGTGGGGGCGGTGGTGGTGGTGGTGATGGGGAGGCGAGTGGGGATGATGGGGAGGAGACGGTCGCGCGCAGGCCGCAGGCGAGGGCGTCGCGCCGCAGGGGGATTGTGGACAGTGATGAGGAGGAGGAGGGTGGTGCGGTTGGGGATGCGCCCACGCCTGGGGTGGCCAGTGCCGCGGACGAGGGGGAGAAGGGTGATACGAGCATGGTGGATGCGGATGATGAGTAGTGGGTCGGTTGGGGGTGTTGGGATGGGGCTGGCGAGACTGTAACATGTATTATTCATCTATGGGGTTTGGGGTTTAGTGCTCAAGACTAGATATCTTGCTTGGCCGTATTGCATGTCATTGTTCTGGAACTGCGTGTGTTTGCAGGTGTGACTTGCTTGGATCTTGTGTCCATTCGTGGAATTACTACATATTACTACTACAATACCACTATAGTCGGTACATCCTCCGTTATAACGAGCCGCTTCATATTCTATCATTTCACACATCCCCATACCTTTTCCACAGCCCATCCACCTGCCTTAACACCCCTCCCTCCATTAATATCTCTAAACACCATACATACTCCATCCAACCACGAAGCAACCCCCTACCTAACCACCCCATCCACCCCCCAACCCATCGCCATCCACAACCCCCCTCACCGCCCCCCTCACATCCCACCCCTCACCACCCCCCTCCCCCTCCTCCTCATCACCAAAAACCATCCCCAACCCAAACAGCCTTACCATCTCCAAATCCGCCCCCGTCAACCCCTCCACCGCAGCCGCGTCGGCCACGCCGCCCACCCGCGCCAGACAATCCCGGAACACGTCCCGCGGGTACCGTTCCCCGTCCGCCACGCGCCCCTCGTTGATGTCGGCTGTGCGCGAGGCGGCGTCGCCTAGGAGGGTGAGGAATAGGACGAGGGGTTTGAGGAGGGTTCTGTCGTGGTCGTTGGTGGTGGTGACGGTGAGGTCCATCAGCGCGCGCAGGTGGTGGCGGAGCAGTGATAGGAGTACGGCGTACCCGCCTAGGTTGCGCGGCCAGTCTGGCAGTAGGTCCTTGAGGTGTAGGAGGGCGGCTAGGCGCAGGGCGGGTTCGAGCGGGTTGTCGCTGCCGTCTTGGGCTGGGGCGATGGGGACGGAGGCGAGGAGGCGGTGGTTGGAGATGTAGCTGCCCGGGTTGGAGAGCTCGGTTGAGTAGAGGTTAGAAGGGGAGGGATCGTCGCGGAGAGGCCCAGGCTGGGAGAGGAGCGCGTGCGTGAGGGCTTGCCATTCTTCGGTGAATGCGTGGGGTTCGAAGACGACGGTGTTGGGGAATCGGCGGGCGAGACGGATTGCTGAAGTGAGGGTTGACAGGGAGGTGAGGGACTCGATGACCAGGGGGTGGATGTGGAGTGGGCCAAGGAGGGCGGAGATGGAGGCGGATGTTTGTTCTCGCACTTCGGGAGGGACGACGTCAGAGATTGGGCTGTATTGTCGAGTGAAGGAGAGGTACGGGCTGGATACGAGGGCGACGGCGCCTCGAAGATCGGCTCTGTCGATCTGGTTAGCCGTTGGTGACTCTCGGGCGAGAATTGCGCCGTGCTCACTTGTACATCTCTGCCAGCAACCACGGCGGCAGCCCAGCCATGCCCCCATTCAAGTCGAGGACTTTTTGGAGCCCCGACATGTGAAGTTGCCAATGATCGAGACGGCCGACATAACACTAGTAAACGACTGGTTAGCTATTGTGTTGGTGAAATCGCGTTCAGGGGCTGGACCATACATACCCCCACACAAGCCAACTTTGCGATACAATGCAGAGTTACCGCGTCGGCGGCGTGCTGTTGGTTGAGTTTCCGGTTCAGAATGGCACATATCTTGGATATGTGGTATGCGAGATCTTTCGGTTCCGTTTGCGTGTCGACGGCTACCGCAATGCTCCCGCACATGAGAACGCAGTGCTGAGCAGCCCTGTCCCCCGTGACCATGGAGTAGAAATCGGGTTCTCTCGAGGGATTATAGGCCAGGATGCTTTCATCGGGATACATGTTGCGCGGCGTACAGTCGAAATAACGGCTGAACAGTGCCCGGTCTTCGTCTGACAAGGGAGACTCCGGATCAGAGGCGGCGTCGCCCGTTGTTCCCGTGGCTGAGCTGTCGAGGGTTGGGTCGATGTGGAGTATGTCCTGGCTTTCGGCAGGTTGCCCGATTTGAAAGCTACGCTCCTCGAAGGGTGTCGGGGAGGGTCGGGATGGTGTTCCTGCCCCGGACGTCACCGGCGATTTTCCTCTCCGGGTTGCCCTCCGCCTCCGTCTTGACCCCTGGGCCCCGCCCGAAGACTCCGAATGCGCGGCATCCTTCCGGTAACTCCCTTCGCTTTGGGATTCGCTGCCCTCTTCGACGAACTTGATCTCTTGTTGTGACGAGCTCAGAGCTCCCGTTGCCCCTGATGGGCCGGGCCCGGCGGTCGTGTCGCGGGGGGATGCGTTAACAAAAGACAGCCCGTTGAACCTTTGCCTCGATACCTGTAGTCCTCGCCGCGTCTTGACCAACTTTCCGTCCTTCACTGTTGCGTTGAAGTGATCCATTGCTCCGAAGCTTGAAGTTGCGGGAAGCTCGTTGCCTCCTTGGTTACCGGTCTAAGTCTGAAAAGGGTAACTGACAAACACGGCGCGCGGTGGGACACCTGACTCATTGCAGCGGCCCGTCGGCTTGGAACCAGACGCAAGATAAAGGCTACAGCAGCAACGAGTATAGGCATGATTGGTGGCCTCTGCCCGTATACACAGGCGATCCCTTGCGGCTGCGCAAGAGGCGCCGGAACACCAAACGCGCCGAAGCCTAGCGATGCCTCATCCATGATGCTCCAACGAGGCCTCTAGTTCATCGTGTAAGTCTGTTGGCAGGGCCGCAGCCCTCCAAGCTGAACGTGGTGGGCCGGGGGGACGGCAGTGCCCTTGGCTAGGCTATACGAGGTAATGCTACCGGATACGGGGTTCTCCCTGGAGACGTTAATCGATGCTAAACGAACCAAGAATTTTTATTCCACGCGCTGCCAAATTAGTCTCAACGCCATGAGTAATCCCCACACCCATCTGTTGTCGGTCGGAGACATATTCTCGTTCCTGAAATGGCCTAGGGGACCGGCCTTGGCGATACGAAAAGGGGCCGACAAGCTGAGTGTTTAGAAGGCTGACAAAGTGCTGAGAGCGTTGATCGGCGTTTTATTGGATGCCTCATCCGGGGTGGCGATGCAGGGTACGAGGCCCGATCTGAAAAAGTACTGAATGAATACGCACATACGTTCGACTCCCGTTCCCGAGACTGTGGGTCTCACGTCAGCCTTCCCTTTCTCCTCTGCCGGCATATTCCAACGACCGACGACGTTGTACACTAGTTGGGTTGCTTTTTAAGCAACTAATATAGTTCCGAACTGTGTCGGTCCATAATTCCTCGTGATCAGTAGAACACCGAGCCGGTCATCAGCACACGAGCTGTTCTCGAGAGATCGACGGAAAGCACTTCCCCATTCTTGACCTTCGCCGCAACGTCCAGCTTGCCACTCGGATGTCCGACGACAATGGTATCACTCCCGTCAGCTCCGACAGCGAGCTGGTTGGGTATCGTCCCCGGAAGTCGAGCGGCTGCACCGAGGCACAATCCCAACGTTAGCGGCACCGACTTGTGCGCCTGCCCCATCGACAGAGCAAGACACTTGATGTGGACTCCGCGGCTCTGTTGAGTAACTTCGGGAGGAAACACGAGCACAATCTTGGGAACGCTCTGCGTGTTGGGGCTGAGGCCCATCATGGACGCACCAGCCTGGCGAATTTGCTCCAGACGAACTTTGAGCGCCGCATCCGCCTCGACAGTGGCAGGATCCAGCGACGCGGGATTCTGGACGCCTAGATCTGAGACGCGGACAAACACGCCTGGGTTGGACACATCGACAAGAGACGCCTCGATTGTACCACCGTCCGGCAGGCGAAGAGTGTCGATTTGGTTGCCTGTCGGCAAGACTTTACCGGTCGCAGCGCCTCCGGGGTTGATGAAACCGAGGTGGATTTGTGACTGCTTCCCCGGCACTCCATCCATTTCATACGTTCCCATTGGGGAATACGAAAGGGGCTCCCCGCTAACGCGGAACCTGGAGTGCACGACCTTGCGCGTATTAGTGTTGAAGATGCGTACCATGGCTGTGCGTTCGCCGGTTTGTGGATCGGTTTCTATCTGGCAGTGCTCTGACAGGCCGCCGTCAAAGGCAACGGGTCCGACTATGGATAGCATGTTGCCGCAATTGCCGGCGGTGTCTAGGCTGCCGTCCTTGACACCAACCTGTACAAAGGTGAATTCCACGCCGGCGAGGCGCTTATCCAGGCTTGGTGATAGGATGCAGATTTTGGAAGTGGACGAGATGCCCGATCCCATGCCGTCGAGCTGACGGCCATAGGGGTCAGGGGACCCCATGAGAGCAGGCAAAATTCCGCCCCCCGTTGGCAATGTCAGCCATTATGATTAGTGATACCAGGAGATTTATGGTGTGGTAATGGTGTTCCGAAAGAGCCGCCAGAGGGCAGTCCACATACATTGGGATTCAGGCGGCAAGTCTTTTTTCCAGAGAACGAGACCAGTAGAAGTTCCTCCTCGAGCAAAAATAGCGGGAATACTTCGCTTGCCGATTGGTACCGTACACTCATGATTTCTAGGCGTGGATCCTCGACTTTCCGTCCCCGACTTTGTCTCGCCGAGAAGAATGCGGGTTGTTGAGAACGAGCGCCGGAAGAGCCGAAGGCGCCGCATGTTGAACAGACCAAGGCACGCGTTGATGCAGGTGGCGGCGGCAGAAGAATCGTGTCAAAAATACACAAATGCGAAGTGTGAGATGGGAGATTTCGGGTCAAAGTTGTTGAGTGTGTGTAAGTGGAGAGCGAAGGGGAGAAAGTTGAGATTATTAGTGGCAGAAGAAGGAACGGGGCCGAGGGATGATACTATAGACCCTAACCCTACATTAGCCAACGAAGTTGCCCCTAGATCACCCATACCGACTTGTACATCTTATGCTGTTAAAGAGAGGAGGGGAATATTGTCCAGAAGTTGCGTAATACTACCCAGAGCTACCTCCGCGCTTATCAGACTCGAGGGCTGTAGCTATCTATTTTTCCGGAAGATAGGTGTCCCTCCAGGCTAACACACTCCCGTCAGTCGTGCAGTCTTCGAACATGGTCAGGGGCAACTCACCTCCGGGTATCAGCGCCGCGGCATACATAACTAGGGAAATAGGGCGCAGGTCCTCATCCGTCGACTCCTCGAGGTAATGATGCCAAAAGTTCACCACCGCCTCTACCCCGTTCTTCATCCCCTCATCGGCGCCATAACACTCCAGCCCAAGACACGTCCCAAACTCCCGGAACGCCAACCTCCTCGACGCATCCCGCGACATTAGCCCCTTGTTCTTATCCAGTATAGCCCTCGCCACCTCGAGGCTCTGACTCCCCAGCCGGACGGCCCACTCCTCCTGCCGGAAGAAGTGGCACATCCACAACCCCATCCCCAGGTCCAGTGGGTCCCGGCTGGCGTCCAGCTTCCCACCTCGCTGCATCAGCCCTTTGTAGTCGTCGATCTCGCTGCTCAGCACCCCCGACGGGCCGTGCATGTGCTCGGCCGTCCGCTGCAGCAGGCGGTAGACCACGAACCCGGTCGCCGCGTCGAGGTGGCCCTCGGAGGGGACCAGCACGGTGCTCATGTCGGTGGATATCTTCCACACCATGCGGAGGGCACCGCCGTGGCCGTCGTCGTCGTCGTCGCCGTCGTCGCCGTCTCGGCGGATGACAAAGTGTGGGTGGATGGCTTTGGCGAGCTGCACGGCCAGCTGGTTGTACTGCTCGTCGCCGGTCGCGAGGGCGAGGCGGTTGAGCGCAAACATCCACAGCGTGAGGTAGTGGTGGTACTGGCCGTCGCGGTCGGCGCCGTGGTCCGAGGTCTTGCCGATGCGGAGGCCGCCGTTGAGGGGCTCGGCGTCGGTGGCTCGTGGCAGCCGGGCGGTGCCGTCGCGGGTGCGGCCGAGGATGTCGTGGACGGTTTGGGCGAGCTGCTTGGCGAGGGTGAGGTAGACTGGAGAGGACGTCTCTTTGGAGAGGGTGATGAGATTGACGACGCCAAAAGCATCCGTCCATAGGTACCGGCCTCGGTGGCCCCCTGCGCCGGGCTTGTCGGGGGCGGTCCACTTCCGTGCCTCGTCCTCTGAGAGGTGGTCGATGCTGCCGTAGACCAGCTTCATGGCCTCGGTAAAGTGGAGCGTACTTCGATTAGTCGACATCTTTCTGGTTAGGAATTTGATGGGATTCAACATGAAAATTGTCGTGATGGTGGTGTTCGTGGCTGCAGTCAGTCACCGTCAGAGTTCCCCAAGGATACTCTTCCAAATTGACTACGATGTTGATCGAGATGTACATATACAAAACGACATAACGCATCATCGAGGACGTCACAATTGCAATCTCATTAGCTCGGGAAGTCAACCGCCGACAACCAACAAACTCTTTTCTTTATTCATCTTTCCGTTCTTTCTTTTTTTTTGTAGTGAACTGTCGGGAGGGGCTCTCAATTCCAGCGAAGGGCCTTAAAGTGATGTAGTAGATGAGGCTCTAACTTCTCGTGTGTCGCAACGATCCGATATCGTGCAACTACTGGTGATGCGACTGTTGGTGAACTCGATTCAGTGACTTCGATTTGATCGAGCTTGTGTTTCTCCATGTCGTCACTTTGGCGCAAAAGTGGCCAAGCTCTAAGCCGCTAGTCCCTTTATGGTTTAGACCAGAACTGTGCCCCTCATTGGCCGCTCTCTGCCCCGCGTTGGCAGTCGATGTTTCGAGTAGCTTCTGGAGCCTGCTAGAACACGAAATCGAGGGCGCTGGCTGCTGCTCGCTACCACCTGCACCCACGAGGGTAGCATCATCATCCCACTTCGAGGACCCTCGAGCTTTGTGACCAAGGTTGATTCTTCGATATAATTGTATCTCACCTGTCCGAGACTGTTTATGTGTTTGTTTTCTTTGTTTCTTTCAGTACACAAACTCACCCCCCCAAACACTGGGTATTTAATACCACGGCGGGTTATCGAAAGCAGCGAGGCTGCTGCCAACAAACCAGACTCCCAATTGAAGCCTGACGTCACTTGGACCCTTAAAACTCAAACAACGCAAACCCCTATTTGCTCGACTGAGCACGACACCACGAACAACACCAATCCCGCTATCCGAGACATCGGTCTCGCTTTTGTCAGCTCACGATGAACTCGAAGATGGAGTTTACCGACCGGGCCAAGAAGGCGTTGGAAGACGCCATGGTCCTGGCTGAGCAATACGCACACTCCCAACTGCTGCCTGTGCATCTGGCTGTCGCCCTCCTCGATCCGCTCCCCGATCAGAGCAAGGACCAGCAGAATGTTGCGCCCGGCACCACTAGCACGCTCTTCCGCCAGGTCATAGAGCGTGCCCGTGGTGACCCCCAGCTCTTCGACCGCGCTCTCAAGAAGAACCTCGTCCGTCTGCCGAGCCAAGACCCGCCCCCAGAGCAGGTCTCGATGGCACCCACATTCAATACCGTCTTGCGGAAAGCCATGGACCTCCAGAAGGTGCAGAAGGACACATACATTGCCGTCGATCATCTCATCACCGCCCTGTCGGAAGACAACTCGATCCAGACGGCCCTTAAAGAAGCCAACATCCCGAAGCCGAAGCTCATCCAGGATGCCATCACAACCATTCGGGGCACGAAGCGCGTCGACTCGCGGAACGCAGACACGGAGGAGGAGAACGAGAACCTTGCCAAGTTCACCATCGACATGACAGCCATGGCGAGGGAAGGCAAGATGGACCCCGTCATCGGCCGTGAAGAGGAGATCCGGCGCGTCATCCGGATTCTCTCTCGCCGTACCAAGAACAACCCGGTGCTCATCGGTGAGCCCGGTGTGGGCAAGACGACCGTGGTCGAGGGTCTAGCGCAGCGCATTGTCAATTCTGACGTTCCCGATAACCTGGCCGCCTGCAAGTTGCTCTCCCTGGATGTGGGGGCCTTGGTTGCCGGCAGCAAATACCGTGGCGAGTTCGAAGAGCGCATGAAGGGCGTGCTCAAGGAGATTCAAGAGTCTAAAGAGATGATTGTCCTCTTTGTCGACGAGATCCATCTCCTCATGGGCGCCGGCTCATCGGGCGAGGGCGGCATGGACGCAGCCAACCTCCTCAAGCCCATGCTCGCCAGAGGACAGCTCCACTGTATCGGTGCCACCACCCTAGCCGAGTACCGCAAGTACATCGAGAAGGATGCCGCCTTTGAGCGTCGTTTCCAGCAAGTCGTCGTCAAGGAGCCGTCAATCCCCGAGACCGTTTCAATCCTTCGTGGCCTCAAGGAGAAGTACGAGGTCCACCACGGTGTCAACATTGCTGATGCTGCCATCGTGGCCGCCTCTAACCTCGCCGCCCGCTATCTGACTTCTCGGCGACTGCCCGATTCGGCCGTTGATCTTATCGATGAGGCGGCAGCCGCCGTCCGGGTTGCCCGGGAGTCCCAACCCGAAATTATCGACTCGCTCGAGCGCCGGCTCCGCCAGCTGAAGATCGAGATTCACGCCCTGACTCGCGAGAAGGACGACGCGTCCAAGGCACGCCTGGCCCAGGCGAGACAGGACGCGGAAAACGTCGAGGAGGAATTGAGGCCGCTCCGCGAGAAGTACGAGCGCGAGCGTCAGCGCGGCAAGGATATCCAGGAGGCCAAGCTGAAGCTAGAGAACCTTCGTGTGAAAGCGGAGGATGCCAGCCGGATCGGCGACCACAGCCGCGCCGCCGACCTTCAGTACTACGCCATTCCCGAGCAAGAGCAGATCATCAGGCGGCTCGAGAAGGAGAAGGCGGCTGCCGACGCGGCCCTCAACGATAGCGGTGCCGACTCCGGCGGCTCTATGGTCACCGACGTCGTCGGGCCCGATCAGATCAACGAGATTGTCGCTCGATGGACAGGTATCCCCGTGACACGGCTGAAGACGTCCGAGAAGGAGAAGCTGCTCCACATGGAGAGCGTCCTCGGAAGGATCGTAGTCGGCCAGAAGGAGGCAGTCCAGTCCGTGTCCAACGCGATCCGGCTGCAGCGCTCCGGCCTCGCCAACCCGAACCAGCCGCCGAGCTTCTTGTTCTGTGGTCCTTCCGGTACCGGTAAGACGCTGCTCACCAAGGCGCTTGCCGAGTTCCTGTTCGACGACCCGAAGTCGATGATCCGCTTCGACATGTCCGAGTACCAAGAGCGGCACTCGCTCAGCCGCATGATTGGTGCTCCGCCCGGCTACGTCGGCCACGATTCCGGTGGCCAGCTGACCGAGGCCCTCCGCCGCAAGCCCTTCTCCATCCTGCTCTTCGACGAGGTCGAGAAAGCGGCCAAGGAAGTCCTCACCGTCCTCCTCCAGCTCATGGACGATGGCCGCATCACCGACGGTCAGGGCCGTGTCATCGACGCGAGAAACTGCATCGTGGTCATGACCTCTAACCTGGGCGCCGAGTACCTCGCCCGACCCAACGGCAAGGACGGGAAGATCGACCCGACGACCAGGGAGCTGGTCACGAACGCGCTGCGCAACTATTTCCTCCCCGAGTTCCTCAACCGCATCTCGTCCATCGTCATCTTCAACCGGCTGACGCGGCGCGAGATCCGCAAGATTGTCGACCTGCGCATCTCGGAGATCCAGAAGCGCCTCTTCGACAACGACCGCAACGTCGTCATCCGGGTGTCGGAGCCCGCCAAGGACAAGCTCGGCGCCGCCGGCTACTCGCCCGCCTACGGCGCCCGCCCGCTCCAGCGCCTGCTCGAGAAGGAGGTCCTCAACCGCATGGCCATCCTCATCCTGCGGGGCAGCATCCGCGACGGCGAGGTCGCCCGCGTCGACCTGGTCGACGGCAAGGTCAGCGTCATCCCGAACCACGTCGACAGCGAGGGCGAGGACGAGGATATGATGGTGGATGAGGACGAGGCGCTTGATGAGATTGCGCCGGATTCGATGGATGAGGATATTTATGATTAAGGAGGGGATGAATGGACGGGTTGTTATGTCTTAGAATGATGATGCATTATGATGATGGGATTTGGCGTTTGGAGCGTTAGCATGGCAGTGTTTTTTTGTTTTAGTGATGGTGAGGAGCGGAGGTCGGGCTGTGAATTTAGCATTTGGTCACTGGGTAGAGAGGCAGATAGATTCCTCGGACCCGCAGAGTAAAAATAAGATTTTACATATCCTCTAACCATGGTTATTGTCCGTTCCGTGATAACTGCCTACCTTGTTAGATTGATGTCGGCGTGCAGCCTCTCAGATTTGTGTGGTGCGAGGGGAGTTCAAGTTGGACAAGGTGCTTGCAAATAGCGTAACGTCCCACAATTTTCACCCATTGAGCGACGCCGATTGGCTTCCCATGCCTCCAAAAAATATTTTGGGTCCAGCCAGCAACAGCAAGAGCAGCAGCAGCAGCAGCAGCGTGGATATTGGAGGCATTGCGACATTCCACCTCGCCGTCTACTACCCGACATCGTGTCGAACCTCTCAACTACGACCGACTTCCCCGGCGCCAGCATCCGGTCGAACAACGAACCCTCCCCCGCAAGGAAGGCAGCCGGGCCCCGACGACAATGAACTCGCTACGGCCGCTGCCGCTGTTCAGCAGCCGCCTCCTCTTCAGCAATGGCGGGCGGGCGACAACAATAGGCGTGCGGTACGCCAGCACAGCAGAGGCAGCCGCCACGCCAGCACCGGCGGGGGTGCCCGTGCCGGCGATACAAGGAGAGGGAAGACCGAAGAAGCCCGGCCACCGGTCCCGATCCGTCCCGCCCCCGGGCCACGCCGAACGCATCTACGTGCACAACCACATCCTCGCCAACCACATCATCTACTCCCTCACCCCGGAGATGAATGTACGCCGCCCCGTCCCCCCTTTTCCCCTTGCCTATCCCCCAACTCCCACCCTCCACCTTCCCCTCCAAAACCCAACCACCAACCAACACTAACCCCGCCCCCTCTCTCAAAAACAGCCCACAAAAGCCTTCCGCCAATTCGCCTACACGGGCAAGAAGCTCGTCCCCTCCAAGCTGCGCAAGGACTACTGGCGGCCGCTGGCCGTCGTGGAGTTCGGCGCCGGGCGGGGGGACGTCGGCCGCAGCGTGTTCCACAAGCTGCGCGAGCTCAAGAAGCGCCACCAGCTCGAGTGGGACGACCCCGAGATCCTGGCCATGGGGCGGCGCGACCGCGGCCACGCGCTCAACGACGAGCGCGGGAACGCCGTGGCGGATATCGCCGCGGTGTTGGCGGGGCGGGGGAAGGGGAATCGGGTTGTTGTTGGTGGTGGTGGTGGTGGTGGTGGTGGTGCTGCTGCTGCTGCTGGTGGTGGGGGGGTTAAGAAGGGTGGGAAGGAGGGTGAGGATGGGGGGAAGGCGGTGAAGGCGGTGCTGCTGGATGCTGAGGGGAAGGAGGTGGGGGGGGAGAAGGAGGGGGGTGATGATGGGGCGGGCTTGCAGAGCGCTACCGTGTACTGGGCCAACGAGCAGGACAAGTACTACGCCGAGGCGTGGACGGGCAACGTGACGCATGTGGTTGGTCTGCCGGAGAAGCCGGCGAAGGCGGCGAAGGCGACGGAAGCGGCGGCGGTGGAGGAGGCTGCGTCTGCCGAGACGGAGGTGGTGGCCGAGCCGGCGGCCGAGGCGGTGGCAGAGGCTCCCGCGCCGGCGACCAAGTCGGAGTGATGGGTACATACGGGGGCTTGTCGATAGGGGAGGAGGGTAGGCAAACGGCTTGTACAATGTGTACAGATGGCGTCTGACTGGTTTCGGTTCGACAAAGGGCATCTCGCCGCTGGCTACTGTATTTGTATTGTACACTGTATATCACGCAATAGAAGGGCGTTTACAGCAGCGGCTCAAACGGCATGTTCATTATGCAAAAGTTTACCCAACCATGCTGACGCTACGTGCTAAACACTATACGCTACACCCTGATGGCGAACGACTTAAGGTATTCATAATCAGCCACATTGGCATCAACACACTCCCGAATGACCCGCTGCGCTTCCTCGCCAAACTTCTTCCGCCACTCCTCATTCTCTTCGGCCTCGGTCGGCGTTTTCTACCCACGCCAGTCAGCATCATCCATTTGGCAGGAAAAAAGAAAAAAGAAAGAAGATTGCCAAGAAGAGAAAAAAAGAGCTCACCTTCGGCTGCACCCTCGCCCTCAACTCGGTGCTCCCAATCGCATCGTCGTGGAACCCGTTCCACTTCTCAAACGCCGCCACCGCCAGCTCCTGGCCCTCCTCGTCCTCCCACTTGAGCATGCCGTCGTGGTAGTCCATCCCCACGTCGGCGCAGAAGGCCCGCACCACCTCGGCCGGCTTGTCCAGCAGGTCGTCCGCGTCCACCACCGTCACCTTGACGCCACTGCTGGCGGTGCCGTTGGTGCCGTTGGTACCGTTGGATGATTGGTGGTCCTGGGATTGGCGGGTGATGATCCCCTCCTGCAGCAGGTAGTCGAACAGGCGGCGCAGCTCGTCGTAGCCGGCCTCGTTGGACATGAAGCTGTGGAAGCCCGTCTTGGCGGAGAGGGGTGGGATGGTGCAGCGGTAGTAGGAGGGGATGGCGCGGCGCGGGTGGCGGATGAGGAAGGTGAAGTGGAATTCGCGGAGCAGAGGTAGCGGGACGACGGTTGGGTTGGCCGCCGCCGAGGTGCTGCTGCTGCTGCTGCTATTGCTGCCGTTGGGGGTTGTGCCGTTGGTGCCGTTGGCCGTCTTGGGCTTGTCGGCGGCGAGAGACGGGGCGAGGTGGGCGGGCTTGCGGTCGGGCGGGAGGAGGTAGTGGGCGATGTCTTTGATGAAGAGGCGCTTGCTCTGTGGGGTGTTAGTTACCTGGTGGTCTCATCTCCCGTCTCGCGTGAGGTGGGATGAGAAATGAATTGAGCTAACGTCGTTCCGAGCCAAACTCAACAAGTTCGCTAGCACGTCGTCGTATGTAGTATTGGCGAAGCCACTGGTACTCCTGGCCTCCTCGTCCTGCTCGTACCGCGCACTCAGACGCTCGGGGCCAAAGTAGAAGGCATCCCCAAATGGCTCGTGGACGCAGCGAAGAATATCACGGCGCGTCATAAACACCCGCTCGAAGGCAGTCGAGCAGGCTCTCGGGTGTGTGGCCAAGAAAATCGGTTTGTTAGACATATTGGAAAACGTATGAAGACGATCTCGGGAGATCAACAGGTACAATCAATTAATGGAGAGAGAGAGAGAGAGAGAAAAGGGCGAGAGGACGAAGCAGGATCAGGAACGGAGAAGACATCGGATAAGGACCAGGCCCGCTTCCTACTTTTAAATACTTAGCTAACCGCACCTACCTATCGTGACGTATACGTGTCTCTGATAGCGTGAAGAATGGCCGAGCCTGTTTCACAAGGACTCGTCTACCTTGCAGCTTGTGGCGGACGGCCTGTCGGTCGGTTCGCCTTGAAGAGACTGCATGTGGTCAAGGGTCAGACGTAAAGGTATGTACCTCCGCTCCGGCGGCCGGGCCCCGCGCAGGGACGGGCTACAACCAAGGCACAAACCGCAAACGGACGGCGAACATCCCAAGCAACCCCTCGGGGGGTCCATTTGTTCAAAGATGGCATTGGAGGCTCGAGTCAACCCGCAACACACGTGCGGATACCCACCTTCCCAGGGCAGCGAATGGGGCGGCCCTGCCGGCAAGGCGGCACCCTGAAATGGAGAAGGGAAGTGGGCAATGCTGTCATAATCCCTGCTCAGCGGGCGCACCGTTGTGATGGTACGGTGGGGGTGGCTGCGAGATCTCGACGCGATGGGAATCCCATTGGAGGGCGAAGGGCGGCCACCAGGGCGCGCACCTCTAGCTGCAGGTAATAGCCTGCACGTGCGCGGCAGGTATCAAGGTGGTCAGCTTGGGGCGCGGGGAAGAGGAAGGGCTTTGAAGGCAGTTGGCGGAAAGCTCCTACCTATTATGCTGGCAGTTGGTTCTCCAAAGCCGAATTGTTGAGGGAAATAGAGAAGCGAGCTTGAATGTGACGTCACGGTTGAGTCTGCCAAGATACCTATAAAGGGAACCGAGCTGGGTAGCCGCGGCAATGCTTCGGAGTAGCAATGGAAAGAAAGGGTGAAAGGATACAATCGAGGTGTTGGAATATCTTATCACCTCGGGGATAAAAATAGTAAATTGGCGTGCGGTCTGTATGTAAGTCGCTTAGAGGAGAGGGAAGCGGAACTTATTTGCCGGCGCTTAACCTCGGGTTCCTATGTGAGTGAGGCATTACTTGTAGTTGGTGGGGGTGTCTTTAATTGAGAAACTGACAATTGAGCCGTCATATGTAACAGCATGAGGACGGTTGGACACGGACGTGGTACAGTAGACAGACCTCGTCACTTTGAGCGCCAGGGTCAATAACCACAAAGAGACCAAGCTACAGATTACATTCCATTACCCAATGACCACATGTGCAAATCTACATTGATATATTACATGCAACACCCAGCCCACACCCCCAACACACTTGTCTCACTGTCTCTTCTTCTCCCTCTCCTCCGCACCCCCTCCATTAACCCCCCCAGCCCAAACCCCAACAATCTTCCACACAACCCACGCGAAGCCGACCAACACCGCCGCCGCCGTGCCCGCGTTCACCCACCCGGCCCTGTCCACATCCAGCACCGGCACCCTCACCTCGTTCACCAGCAGCCCGCCCCCGGCCGCCGGCCGCGGCTCGACGTGCCAAAACACCGTGTCCCCGCGAAACAGCCCGTCATACCCCAGGTGCGTCCTCTCGAAGGGGTTCGGCGGGAACACCGTGCCGCCCTGCGCGGGCTCGCACGCCCAGAACACGGCCGGGTAGGGCACGGCGGCGGTGGCGTAGCCGCCGGGCGCGGGCGCGAGGTAGCGCAGGTGGAGGGGGATGGACGCCGTCCATTCCCCCTCTTGTTGTTGGTGCGGCTGTGTAGGAGGAGGAGGAGATAGCTCGAGGAGCACGGTCGAGCCCCACTGGGCCATGGCATACTCGGGGGCCTCGAGGTCGACGGGCTGGGTGGTGTGGCGCAGGGCGGTGAGGTTCTTGGAGGCGAGGAACAGCGGGTCCGAGAGCTGGTACTTGTCCGCGAAGATGGTGCGCGGGAGCGTGAGGTAGGCGTAGGGCGTGCAGGTGGCGTCTTCGTCGGCGGTGGAGGGGGGTGGGTTGGCCGAGGTGAGCTGGAGCTGGAGGGTTGGGTGCAGGCCGGTTGGGGTGAGGAACTCGGCCGAGAAGGCCGACTCGGCATCGCGGTGGCGCGAGGCGAAGGAGAACATGGTTGGGGAGGGCGTCGAGTCTTGGCCTAGGACGGTGAGGAGGCCTGAGATGCCGATCTCATGTGCCTCAAGCGTTTTCGGTTTGTCCGTAGACAGGATGCCGACTTCCGTCCGGACCTTCGGGCGGGATGTGGCGTGCACGTGTTGGCGCTGGTAAGGCCAGAGGGCGGTAACCCGCAGAACCTTCTGAGAGATGTCGTATGATAAGTCGAGCGAGCCGGCTTCCGAGAGGGTGTCTAGCCTGGCAGAGCAGGACTCGTCGCTTGGCCCGCATAGCTGGCCCTTGGCATATTGGATGAAGTGTGACAAATCGTTAAGCTCCTGGAAGTACTGAAAGCGGTCTTCATGGACGGCTGTGAAGGATTCCTAAGTCCTGTCAGCCTGTGGCGGCATGAAGTACGGCTCTACAAAGCAGTGACTTACGGCAGGAGTGGTGCAAGATATGTCCCCAAATATGCCGCTCAGTATCGAGCATAGCCCGTCCCTGACGGCATTCACATTTATTAGCAAGTGATGGGACTACACACGGATAGGTAGGTAGTGATAGCATACGTGACAGCATGGTTCCTCCCTGGAGTGAAAAAGAGATGGAAGCCAGGAGGCAGTCTTGTGAGCAGCGGGCTGACTGTCCCATACGCTGCGGTGCTGACCCATCGGATATGGAGGTCTTGGGTACCCGCAACCACTGTCCTCAGCTCTGAAGGGAGTTCATCAAGGGCAATGGTCAACCTGTCCTCACGGACGGCGTGCACCTCAGGACCTTGGATTACGTCGTCATCGACTCTCACCGCCGATGGCTCCAGTGAGTCGCCCAACTTCTGGACATAGGTGATTCGCTCGCGCATGACTTGGGTGGGTTGGCGATGGCTTAAATGAGAACCGACTCTCACAATGATTGTTGATTCAGACCTCGGCCAGCTTAATCAGCAATTTAGCAATTAAGCAATTCAGCGGTTCAGAAAGCAACTCTGGTCGTCGGTGAGATGAGAGAGGGAGGTGTCAGCTCCCGCCAAGCTTACCTCCGCCAGCTGTCTCGGGCTGTCTCGGGCTGTCCAGGCACAGCAGCCCGCTGCAGCTCACAGCATGCCGGGGCTGTCAAACTCTCCGCAAGGGCGTGCCTTCGATCCGGCGCTGTCAAGCGCTGTTGCAAATGCGTGGACCCCGCAATCCGATTGGCTCAGCAACAACCCAGGCGTGCATCCCGCCCGGAGATCTCCTGGCTCCTTCCCAAAGCAACACCGGGGCTGTGAGGGGCTAAACCAGAAATGGTGACCGGGAGGCAGCACTCAGCCTTCTTCAGCGGGTGGCACACGGAACACACTCTCAAGACGGCACCGACGACGGGACGCCATGGGGCCTCCACGACCATTTACCCTGATGTGGCAACGAATGTTTGGCAACACATCCCCATTCTCTCCCATGTTCTGATTTTTTACACCCAAAGAGAGAAGGAGAGAAAAAGCGATGCGCCGACCAATGCAACACCGATAGAACCGCTCGGTACCCGTTCTTTCGCCAATCGCCGTGATCTAGTGATCTGGGCTTGTCTTGGGTGTTCCTTCCGACGCCTGCCCGACGCCCCTCCGAACGCCGCTCCGCCGGTTCGGTACGACGCATTGGTACGACTCGTCGGATCTGGACCGAGCATCGCATTCATCCCCATCGTACTTCGTACCCCATCCCCTCTCTGTAGACGCTTCTTTAAGTCCCGTCTCGGGCCTTCCCTTCCGCCATGGACGACCAACAGCCCTTCATGACTATCCGGACGAGGAGGCCAGCAAACGACGAGCACAGCATGAGCAGTAGTGCCGACTCTGCCGTACGTTACTGATACTGCCATGCCCGTCCTGGTTTTGAACCCGCCACGGCTAACGTCCTCTCTCTAGTATGGCTCGGCCACCGAGGGCACTCCACCGGCAACCCACGATATCAGCCGAGTGAGCTACCATGTGAAGCACATCGACAGCTTCGCCCAGGCTCTCCAGCATGTAAGTCGATCCTCCCTTATTCCGGGCCTCCTTAGGGCGGCGGGAGGGGACTCGCATCTAACTTGACCGTGTTACTTGAAGTCGGCCACCAGGGCATTCCCCAACCGCGGCAACTCATCTCAGAGGTACACCAAGGTGCAAGCCCTCTTGCTACACTGGAAATCTGATGACTTGTTTGTGCTGCCCGAGCTTGAGGACTTGGAGAAATGCTTCCGTGATTACTACAACTTCTCGACCGACATCTTCTCAATCCCTTCCGAGAACTCCCATCTGGAGCTGATGCTCAAGATTGGCGACCTGGTCAAGCAACACGAATCTGACGAGACGCTGTTTGTCGTCTACTATGCTGGCCACGCCAGGATAGACGAGTCACGACAGAGCACCTGGTGCGCGTAAGTGGTGTCTTGTATCATTTCCTGCTTTGGATATGTCTGACCGTTGGCAGAAACCGCCACCCCGGGTCTCCTTGGCTCCAGTAAGTCTATCAGCCGTAACCCCCCAATTCCCGTGAGAACCAGCGACTAACCGTGCCCAACAGATGGTCGGCCATCCAGACCCTCCTCGAAAGGTCCGTCTCGGATGTCATGATCCTCCTCGACTGCTGCGCTGGCGCTGCAAGTGCCACCTTCCCGACTGGCAAGAGCATTACGGAAACCATCTCAGCCTCTAGTTGGGATGCTATCGCACCCGATCCGGGGAGGTATTCCTTCACCAATGCCCTAATCGAAGTCCTCGAAGAGTGGCGTCAACGGACCTTCTCCGCCGCAATGCTCCACGCCGAGATCCTGGCCCGTCTAAAGCACCCACGGCCCATCCTAATCAATGGGAAACATTTCGAAGCGCGGTCCACGCCGGTCCACTTCATGATGACTTCCAACCACAGAGCACCCAGCATCGAGCTCTGCCGCCTCGTCCCCAGGAAACAGATGCCCCCGTCCCCGCCGAATGAGCTGGCCTACTGGGGGCAGCCGTCCCACCCGAGGATGATCGAAGGGAGAAACCCGGTCGAGCAGTACCCCCCTCGTCCCCGACTTCGGGATCCCAACCACCTCCGAACCCAATGAGGACGAGCCTCACGTACTGATCTCCCTAGCCCTTGAGGACGACCAACGATTGGACTTGAACGACTGGGAAACCTGGCTGGGGGCGTTCCCCGCCATTGCAAAATATGTCAAAGTCCAAGGTGTCTTCAAGAGTCACTCGACCATGCTGTTGTTATCGCTCCCCGTCATGGTTTGGGATTTCCTCCCCGATGACCCGGCTTGCTCTTTCGTGGCCTTCATCCGGTCAAACAACCTCCTTGGAGCTCAGCAGTCAACTCGTGAGCCGCAGGCTTCGCATGTCCCGGTTCCGGACCACGTCCCAGTCTCGGACCCGGTACGCGATGATGCAGAGTCCTATCTGTCTGGGACAACCTACGGACCAACTGAGAGCCTGAATCTCGCCCGGTATACGACCACTAGCTCCAACCTTCATCGAACTCACTCTGCTGTTTCTGCCCCGTACCGAGAGTCCCACGCAGACCTGAGGATGTCTCCGCGGGCCGGAGCCGCGGTGGGCTCTCGACTAGACCATACCACACCTGACTCTTTCTCGCATCTTGGGCAAAACTCCAGCCTACGACCCCAGCCGTCATCAACTAGCCTTGGTGGCTCCCTCAGGAATATGCCTTCTACGACTTCGTTGCGCACCCTCGACCGACGCCATTATGGCAATGACGTACCAGCGCCTGCTGAAGGCATCTCGAGGACAATGATCCTCAACCAGTCCCGGACTTCCAAGAAATCTGTCTTCCAATCGAACCAGGACGTCCCGAGGGGCCAGCAGATGGCTCCACATGTAGTCAAACGCCTAGAGGATTACTTTCTCAAAGATCCGGAACCGAATATAGCCGTTGTCGAACATCTTGCGTCAAATCTTGGCGTCGAGACGGCAGATATTCATGTAAGTCCCAACATCAATCTCGTATATGACTGTTGCTGACAAGTCAGTTCTGGTTCCATCATCGCCGAGAACAAGCCCGGACGGCGTTCAACCTCCAAAACCTGACGATCACGAGCCACTCGCGCCAAGCCCATGACAACGGCCGCATGATTCTTCCGGGCCATCTGACGAGACTCCTTGAGATATACCCCTCGAAGGGTGTCCTCCTTGTCGATCTGCGATCCTCAACCGACTTCGAGAGATCCCATGTTCACCACGCCGTTAACCTGCGCGCGCCCTTGAGCTTCGTCGAAAATACCTCGCTCGAGATGATCGAGGACACCTTTATGGATGACCAGAGCCGCCGCAGCTTCAGCAAATGGTCACAGTTCAAGTGCATCGTGTTTTACGACAGGGTTATCGAGTTCGACTGGGAATGCCCCGTTGCCGACGCCTTGTACACCAAATTACGGCGAAAGGGCTGGCAGGGCCAGTGCTTCATCCTCAAGGGCCATTACCGAGAATTCTCGGCCTCGTTTGACAAGTACATCAGCGGGTCCAAAATGACTAGTGAAGCCAAGGACTACCTCGACAGTCTCCGGCAGCAGTCCAGCCCGACAGAGGTAAGGCTCCAGTTCATTCCCCTTGCGTGGCGTCCTCGAAACTGACAATTATTCACAGGAGGAGGCTATCAAGCGAGACCAGGACTACCACGAGTGGTTGGGCGCATTCGCAAGCCAACAACGCACGCCGACGGCGGATCTTATCCCAACGAGAAAGTTCGAACGGAGAAGGACAGTGGAGCAACATCAAAGGGAGCTCGAGATCGAGTTCGAGGCTCGCTTCCCCGCGCTGTACAAAAAGGCGCAAACCATGCGCCCTGCTACAACGTTTGACGACACTCCCTCCCCTCCGCCGCGGTCTCCACCTCCTCCTTTCCCTAGCGGCGCAAAGCGGAGCCAGTCCTTCAAGGACGTGGATTGGGTGGGGCCAGGAAAGTTGGACGACGACGACGACTTCGACTTACGCAAAGGGCCACTTGTCGGGCCGCTTGCTAGCGGATTAGACAAGATGCGTGAAGCCGGCAATCTCCCGCGGTCCAACTCTGGGACTTCCTTCAAGAGCTACCACGACGACTACCCCGTAAAGGGTAAGTTGGATTACTTTGGCGACGACTACGAGCATGATTACGACGAGATCGACCCCAAGAGCGAGGGGTTGGGCAACGATCCTGGGTTCCAGAAGGCTGGTGTCCCAGCTGGGACGGAGGTGGGTGCTGGGGCTATGGTCAAGCACGAAAGGGGAGGAGAGGACACATTGAAGAAGCCCGCGAAGAAGCGGCCACAGATCTGGGAGAGGTTGAGGAGTGGCGGGACAAAGTGATCATCTTTGGCTGTTGTTTGGAACATTTTGCATATCTGCCGCTGCAGCCTCCGAGACGGGCTCTCGGTTTTGGATACGCGGCCGGCGTTGGAGACTTTTGATACCTGTGGTGGGAGTCATCTACTGTACACATTTCCTTTTTTGCAATACCCAGGCGCACTACATAGCGAACCCTTTGTTTCTTGGTACAACAAAATAACGCCGTTATGGCTTTACCCAGCACAACAGTTCTTCACCCCTTGATCCCTGGTGTAATTAAAGGGCAACTACGCGGACTTGAAGCGAGCGTAACGTCTTGGCCCGGCGGTACCGTTCTATCAGAGGCGAGACCCTTTCTCAACCATTGCGAAGTAAATAGTACAATATGCGCGGGATATTCTCTTTTCCAACCGAGTTTGGGTTTTCGGTCCTACACGGTGATGGCGGTGCGGCATGCCGTTGTTATACCGCTTCATGGGCGTTGAAACTTGACGAGGCTGCATCGGGTATATCCGACAATGAAAGATATAACCACCCAACCACGGCAGCTTTTCCCGCCCACCCAAGACGACCAACCGCTCCAATGTCAACACCATTTCGCACCCCGTCCACCCGTCAGTCAGCGCGGCACGGGAGCTGGAACCGAAGGGGGCACAATTCATCTCGGCGCGGAGATAACTGGGACGGCCGGCCGGCCTGACCGCTTTTCTGGCGCTTATTTGACACGCGCTCGGCTCGCCCGTCCAAAGAACGGCACGGGCGGAACAAGGGACACACCTTGTCACCGTGTCGGGTCAGGATCAATGTCAATATCTGCCCGCGCGGCACAGCAATATCTTCCATACATTCATTCTGGAAGGGTGAGTTTGACAGGGCTTGGTTTCAACACCGTGACCACCAACCAGTATTTATTTATTATTCGAAATCGGGCAGGAAGAGGGGGGGGGCTTTCAACCGAGGGACCAACATCCCGAGAAAAAGAAAAGAAAGAAAACCTTGGTTTTGCTTGTTGCAGTTCCGGTTATGGTTCCGACTCTTCCGTGGCCGAGCTATTGGAACCCGGACCGGTGTTGACCAAGGCGGAGCGCGAGTGCTATTTAGCCTACCAGGTCGGGCAGTTTTTAAGAGTGTCATATATCAATCACCCTTCCTGTTTAGTGTATACTGCGTGTGGTATGCATCTCGTCTCGCGGGCCCCCCCCATCCTTGGATCGTGGCTGGCCATTTGCCGCTGCCGCTGCCGCTGCCGCTGCCCTGCCAGTGCCTGCCCACTCTGTTCGAGACCTGCGCCGTGGGGGCCATGTCCTTGCCCTTGTCCCGGTCCCGGTCCTTGACCCTGCTCTTTCCGTGTCTTGCCTTGCCTTGCCTTGCTGGGCTGGACTGGGACATGGCGGTGCGCAATCTGCGATGCCTTGATTCGTATGGGGTTGGCCGGTCGTATCCGTCGACTCGCGTGCAGACTGCCCTGCTTTGGGGGGTTTCCCCGGCCACAGCCACTTACTTGACTTGGTGGACAGCCAGCATCGTACGTAACTAACTCCCGTTTGTGTATACCGAAGTCACATTTTCCCTGCTCCTTTCTTGTCTTCCCCCCGGACCCGGCACAGGGGCTCAAACCCGGTTTTGCGTCTCGCTGTGCCCTGGCTGCCCTGCATGAGGGACGGTGGTACTCGGCAGTAGCTAGTGCCTCCGGTTCCTGCATTTTGCTTGTGTGTGCATACCAAGTATGGGTGTATGTATGTACGTGGCGTGTGGGGGAGAGAGGGGTGGGAGAGAGAATGATGGGAGTTGCTGGGTCTCTGGCAGGTCTGGGTGTGATGGGGAGGGCCGTTATGATATCGAGATTGATATGATATAGGGCTGTTAAGTAGCTCCTTGACAGGGTTGGTTGGACGTCTTTCGCCTTTACCTGCCGCTGCGGGATCGAAAGCCGGGGGCTTGGCTGCATCCCCGTCCAACGGTTTCCTCGTTTCCGGGTCCTTTTTCTTCCTTTTTGTTCCTTTTTTGTTTTATGAGCATATGAAGTAATTCGCTAGCGTTATTTATTGGTAGCGTCGACCCAAACCCAGATGCATTTTGGCGTTATGGAGTTATGTTCCATTCGGCATTGAGTGAGTTGTGATGTTATCCGTTAATGATTTGTATGGAGTTACACAATCCTGGAGTTACCTCGTTACTTCGTAATCTGTAACTGCAATCATGTCGTTCGGTGTCTGGAAGGAAAACCTCGGGATACTCCGTCTTGGCCTGCGTGCCGGCTTCCCCCGCTGTCGAACCACAGCCTGAGGAAGTTGAAGGCTGAAGGCACCGAGCCTGTGATTTCCAACCCCCACACGCCCTGCCGTGGTTGGACAACGACTAACTAGTGGAGCCATGCTCGGCGTAGTTCAGGGGTTCGGCTGTCAAGCAGATGAAGAAAAGGCTCCGCAAGTGTACAGATTACCGCGGTTCATCAAAACCCCACTGCGGGAAGGGACGGCGAATAGGGGGGATGGGTGGGCACAGACCAGCTCTTCTTCCCTCGTGCCTGCCCAGTCAAGAAGTCGGTCTCGTCGCAACCCCGGACCCGTTTGACAGTTTCCTCGCTTCGGGGCCCCCGCAACCTCGCATCGGCGAGAAACCCAGAAGAAGACCCTCGCTCCGGGGAACGGAGTTCCAGTCCGCGCCCCGGCCTTCGTTGATGAGATGATGCACGTCAGATGCCTTGATCCTTTCATGCCCTGCCCTCCAGGTTTCTGAATTTCCAAACTACCCACCTCCTTTCGCGCGCTCCCTGGCCAACTCATGCCCGGCATTGACACACAGCTCGACTTGGTGCGTCGAGGGTAACATTGAAACTCGGAACTGCCTCAATTTTCCACCAAGGACAGACGGTCAGTGGAGAACTGGGGAGGAACCAGCAGGCTGCCGGCGCTGGGAACCGAAACAAGAAGGCCGTCTCTGGGAAACGGGGTCACTCCGCTGATGGAGCGAGCTCATCAATTCCACTCTGGGCCGGATTTGCCGCCATCATCGGCTTTTTTTGTCCTCTCCTCCTTCCCCCACCCTCCCTGATGAGCCTCCGCAGGACGAACCGAGAACCCTCCATTGACGGCCTGGCATGTGATTGTTGGTTTCTGCGGTGCGGTTGCTGAGCCCCACAAACTAAAAACTTTGACAAGCCATTTAGCGCGAGGTGTCAAATTCAGGGCTTCGGCTGTCGTTCGAACGAGATCCCCTTGTTCCCGGTCCTTGCCGTATCAGGCAATTCACGCGAGCGCCTCGTTATCTACATGGTGCAATTCGTGTAACAGGCGGTATTCGCAGCCAACTCCCCGGGTCTGGCCCCGTTCTCATCTCCCTGTGGGGTTCAAGTTCAGTGAGCTGTTGTTGCACAATGCCTCGTGACGGAAGGAGAAAAAAAGGAAAGAAGCAGAAACGAAGCTGCAAGAGGCGCGTGTCTCGGTTCCATCTCGGGCGACGGTGTCTTGGGTATGACGAGAGACATTCGTTGGTGTTTTCGGGCATGCCGGGTTTCGAAGGTGTCATCAAGGGCCTGGACACCCTCTTGACATCGGGGTTGACAGCCCGGGGGGATCGAGCCTTGTGGCCGGAGCCGCTGCTGCCATGGCGTTGATCTATCCGCAAAACCCGCCAGGTTCCCATGACACTTTCAACGGTGGCCACAACCCTTCTCCACCACCAGAACAGGGTGTTCGGATACGGTAATTTTGTAGTTTCCTGTGTAACTCTGTCCAGACACTCTTCCATCTGCAATCTGTATGTTCTCTCTTTGCGCCCCACTCCCCAGCTCAACCAGGGTGATGAAAAGGCGAGAATCAGGCGATTGTGACACCTGCCCCTCCGTCAAGGTCCCCGATTTTCGTCTGCGCCGCCAGCTTGGCGACCGACGGTTGACAGATCCACCGTGTACTGTGACCTACGGCCAGGGTACAGGAATACCAAGGAAACCGCTTCTGGGTTTGACTGTCTGTGTAAGTCATGACAAATACGGCACCGAACGTCAATGTAGTAGTGGAGAACCACTTAGCAAGTGCGTTCGTCCAGGAGACAGACGACGGTGCTTGGCAGAGTCTTCCAAAAACCACCGACGCCAATCTGGCCCAAGGAAGAGATTCCATGGGTTCAAAACACGCCAGATCGCTCGGTTGGTGTTTGATAGGTAGGAACGGGGGTGTTGTTTCCCACGCTTCCCCAACTGCCGCCCTTCCCCTTCGGTGGGTTTCAACCCCGGGTGAACAACGGTTCTGTCAGTTGCTCCCATGCCTGCAGTTCGCACCAACCTGCCAAACAGGACCTAGAAACGGCAAAAAAAAAAAAAAGGACAGACGAGTAAAGGAAATTGGATGGTCCCTATACGCGGATGTCAGGGTTACCCAACGGCCAACCCAGCCTCGTATGCGTGAGCCTCGCTCCTGCATATCGCCATCTCCGGAGCCCGGCAGGGCGGCGTACATACTGTGTATGGAGACGAAGCCATAATTGTTTCCGCAACGAGGCGTGCTTGGGCAGGTTTAGTGGTGCGACACACGCTCGCACGGGGAGCCAGAGAATGCTCTTTGTCATACCCGCCCTGCCCAATAGCCCGGTCCAGAAAGGAGACAGAGGATAGGATCAGAAACGGGGAGGCCGGCGCACCGCATACATACGGGGTAAGCGAAGGAGCGACATATGCGGGCGGCCGTCGGTGACCGCCGGCCGGCGAACGATTGGGGAAGAAGGTTGTAGCTGTCTGTCTGTCCAGTCTGCTGCCCGGAGCACGGTGCCGCATCTGGCTTGATCCCCCGCGCTTGCGGTTTCTCTCTGCGATTGGGGCCCGACGGGACGGGCGCCGGCCGACCAGCCAGCCTCGCTGGTGAAACCGACTGTCAAACCTGAACCCTCCGTCGTCCAGGCGTGGCGGTCAACGTACGCAGTATGCTTCCTTTTCCCCCACTTACCGGCGAGTTGTTATAGTTGAGACAGTGCATCTGTGAGTGCCGGTGTGATGGCTAGCTGCGGAGCTGTAGAGGGTTGGTTTCACCAAGTGGTGATGGCATGTCTGGTCTGGATCTGATTTGGCTGGCCCGTTGGTGTTTCGAGATTTGACACTGGAAGCTGAGTTCCCGAGCGGGTGTGGGGTGTTTGGCTCGGGCTCTGCGGCTGGGATACCCTTGCTCAACGTTTGTGCGTCCCGGTGATCCTTGTTTCTGCCACTTGGCACTGATCCCCGGGCAAGAGGCTTTTCCCGTTCGAGTAAGTGCCTCGCCCGCCTCCCACTCGGGCTCCATTCTCCGGGGAAACTTTCGACATTTGACAGAAGCGTTGTCCCGTACTTGTAAGCGAACGGTGGGGGGTTGCTTCTCACATCATCAGAGCGGACACCCCGACGATAAACGCGACATGGGCCGGAATAGCTTCGTCCATGCCCTCGAAAAGGGCGCTTCTCGCTTCTGCGCGAAAAAGGGGCGAGCACCAACTCTGGTGTGTACCCCCGGCCGTGACTTGCTACTAGGGGACTGAAAGCAGCCCGTTGCCCGGACGTCTCGGTTGGCGTGGGTAGCAACAGCTCGAGGGCAGGCTACCGGCAGCGAATGGGCGTCCCGTTGCAGGACCACGAATATGTATGCCACCGAAGAAGGAAACATCCCTCGGGTGCTGGATGGATGGGGATCGTGCTGGCGGCTACTTTCTTTCTTATCTCGCGCACGTCAACGCGGACGAAAAGTCTGATCAGACCCGTCGTCGTCATCCCGCCCGTCGGGTTCAACGTGTGTGTGTGTCTTGAGTCGGTTGTGTGTAACACCGTGATCAGCCTGTCAAGCGCACACCGCATGCGGATTCATAACGTCAGTCTTGGTTCTCATGTTTGTGCCGGGGGTCAGCCTTAGCCGCGAGTTACCTGAAGCCCTGCCTTCCACCCGGCCGGGAATAAGCTCAGATTGACTTTGGGCTGTCAAAATCCCATTGCGATGGAGCACTAGTACCAGCTAGCACCGACTAGCCATCGAGCCATCCCACAGGCGATGCAACACTCTTCCTGAGGATCTCCCCAACCCCAACACCACGTTTCTCGTCGCCAGGGAGTGAGGATTCAGGTAGCGCTGCCTGGGTTCTCATCTGTCGCTCGAACGCACCTGGCCGACCCCACCTTGCTGGAGGGTGACAAGCGTCACAAGCCCGAAGAGTGGCCGGAAGGGCCCCCGTTTGAGCAACAGGCGCGGCGGTCAGCTACTTGGCTCTCAGATCCCCTACCCTCCGAGCTGTGTAAGTGGCAAGGGTGGTGACGAGGCTCCCGGCCGCCGGAATATACAGTTTGTGGTAACACAACACATGGCAGCCTGTCAAGTGTAGCTGATCGCGTTTCGGGTTGCGCAACAGGATGTATGTCTTGGTGTTTTCGGCCTAGGCGTGTTTTGGGCACGAGATCTTCGGGAGCACACAAGCGCAAGCCAGAGAGTCTTCGGGGCAACCGCCGTACCGTACGGCAAGAACCCGATCCGATTTGTGCTACCTGGTGTATGTGCAGGCTCGTTTCTTCCCTTCACTCGAGCGACGGCGCGTTGATCTGTGTGTGACCGATCGAACCGCTGGTTCCGGGAGATCTAGGTCAACACAGCATTGTTTATCCATGGGGTGACAAGCACTTGGGTTTCGACATAGGTATTCGGGCTGTCGGTAGCGAACATCTGCATGCTGGAAATGCCCGAAATACTTGGTACCAGGAGGAATCGATTGGGCGACGGTTGTGGTATGACGAGAATGATCTCCTTCACCGCCGAGCTCGTTTCGGCAGTGGCCCGACTGGCAAAGGGGAGTCAATCACTTAGTTATCGATGTTGTGGAAGGAGGAAAGGTTGATGAAATGGTACTGAGACCGAGGGCAGATCTTGGTTGGTAAGGTAACAGTATTTAGTGGTATTCTATGAATATCCATCCTTCCTCAGTTGACAAAACCCATGCCATGGAGCGTGAAAACAGGAACCGAACCCTGAATACAGCGTCCTGTAATAAGCGAGCCAATCAAACACGCTAAGCAGACGTGACGGAATCCGAGTCGGAAAAAATGTATCCGTATTGTTCTGTTTTTCAACCCTGTGCCTCGCTTGCGGTTGGTTCTCAAGAGAGTCGTGATATCCTTCCCCATGCGCCCCAACATGTCACCTCGTCACCTAACTAAGCTTTGGGAGATGAGAACCAAAATATTTCGCAGATTTTACCTCGAACTTGAGAGAGATAGGTAGTTTGGATAATTTCCGATTACAATGACGCAAGTGGCTTTCGACTCTTGGCAGGCACTTGTCCAATTAACGTTACAGCTTCCCTCGCGTGCGCGCTCGCATTCACGCAGCCCGAGGTAACGAAAAATCCGAGGAGACTTGCGATTTCACCCCCGTGTCTTCCCTCGACGTTAGCTTTAGCAGTCTGCCAGGGCACTTGGGACCACATGTGATAACCCATACAATAGGTCCAGAATCTAATGTCACAGTGTCATCGAACTCGGTCGGTATCTGCACCGAAATCCCGATTCAAATATTGGGACGGAAAGATCAGACAGTCGGCGTCGAGAAGAGAGGAAGGGGAGGTCGTGATCGAATCATCAATTCGTGGCATCGTCACAATTGGTATTTTTTCAGAGATGATTTGAACGGTTCGTGTTTTGATGGCAGCCGAGGCGCCGCTCCTGTGTAGATATAGCAGGGAACTCACCACGCAGGGGCACACAAATACTGTGTATGGTCGGTCATGAGCAGCTGTCCATCCTCAATGTTGAATAGTTACTAACCAAAAGTATGAAAGTATGCGAGACAGAAGCCCCGGTCGAAGCACGCACATGCGGGGAGGGACATGGAACCCGCCTGCAGCTTGTCGGGTCCACAACCGAGGACCCTTGTCTCCAAGGGCGTGTCTTTTCAAGGGGTGTGGGATTACTAGCTCAGACGAGGAGAAGACACCGAGGGGGAGGGTGCCGACGGATGGCATCTGTTCTGGCGCCCCCTGGGCCTGGCTCGCATGCCCACCCCGGCAGCGGGCAGCCATTGACATTGATCGCCCGGGCACAGGACGGGTTCTTTATTGGACACAAGAGTAATAAAACTACCGGTTGAGCCATTCTTCGTGTTTCTGGTGTCTCAACCCGGACTGCGGCATTGTGTTAGTCGACCAGATAAGCCCCGAGGCATCCCTGAGAAGCACATGTTGAAGCACTGATGCTCCATTTGCCATGGTATAATCTGTAGAGCATTCAACCAAACTCTTGACGCCTGTTCCCGCCGGATATCGTCCCTGGACACCAAGTTCTTCCGTCACCTTCGTCCACTATGCGTTAATGGTCCGACCCTCATCATCACTTGAATCAGCGAACCACTGCCAGGAGCACCCTGCCACTCGACAACCGAAAGCGATCCGCCCACAAGCAGCTTCGGATGAGCGTCACTCCTTAGTTACAACCGCCCCCCGCGTTGTCCCGACCCCTTCCCCATCCCCAAGCCCCTTCGACTCGAAAACACCGCCAGCGTCTCTGCTCATCGAACTCTATCACCATGGCCTTTTCCAACGACAACATGTACCAATACAACGGGTACCCTCCAGCGGCTCAGAAGGCTGTACTCTCCATCTCCGAGGTACGCCACTCTGCCACGTCGCCATCTACGGCTCAAGCGCTAACCCACTGGACAGATGTTAAACCCCGCGGCACCGGCTAGCCCTCATTCAGCCCGGTACGGGGCGGCATCATCTCCTGGGGCGTGGTCCCCGAGCGACGGGGTTCCATCCCCAAGTAACTACACATACTCCCAGCCGGAGCGCGCAGGCTGGGACTACCACCCGACGCCGCCGCCAACGCGGCTCCCGCCCATTTCGGTACCATCCTCAGAGAGCCCGGCCGGAGGGTACGCCGGAGACGGTTATAGAAACAGCCACAGCTCCTGGGGCGGCGGCAGCGGAGCCAGCTCGCCACGGGTATTTGGCGGCTTCAACTCCATCGACGGCTCCCGGCACCACCACATGCCCACCGGCGGCGGCCTCGCCCGCGGCGAACGCGAGACCTCGCTTTCAACACTCGACGGCTCGGAGGGACCTGTCAAGGCGTCCGGGAAGACGCGGCAGAACTTCCCGGGCCCGGTCACCAAAATCTTCAACGAGTGGGCCGAGAAGCGGATCCTAGTCAACGACGACCGGTGCCGGTTCACCAAGAGCGAGATGGTGACCATCGCGTCCGTCACAGACGTCGAGCTGAGTACGTCCCCCCCCCAACCCCAACCCAATCCCACCACAACCACCACCACAACCACCCACAAACCCACCAACCTAACCAAACCCCCTTCCTCTGCAGAACAAGTCGAGAACTGGTACACCAACCACCGCCGGCGCGGCTTCCCCCAGCAGATGATCGACGTGCTGCACCGCGAGGCCAAGGCCGTCGAGCGCAAGTACCGCGAGGCCGACCAGCTGGCGCAGGGGGCCGCCGCCGGCGGCGGCGGGAATGCGTCGTCCCCCGGGGAGTTGTTGAGGGCGCAGGCCGAGGCGGCGGGTCTCCGCGCGCGCCTGGCTGATTTGCGGCAGTGGGAGCAGGCCGCGAGGCAGAGGTTGGCTGCGCTGAAGGCGAAGGTGCGGGAGGGGAAGAGGAAGGGGGCGGGGGGGAGGTAGTTGTTTTGTTGGGGTTGGTGTGTGGTGGATGGGTTCGGGAGGTTCTTGGAGCGTTGTGTTTTTTTTTTTTTACTTCTTCCTCTTCTTCTTTTTGGTTCTTTACTTTTTTTTCCCGGGTTTAGGTTTAGGTACGCGGTGCGGTGTATGGGTTGGCATCAAAAGGTTGGGTCGGGCTCACGCCCGGATGGGTGGGTTGAGCAGAGGAGTTGGTTGGGTTTGTTTTTGCTGTATATTCTCGTGTATGATCACATCCCAGCCCACAGGTGGTGTTGGCCAATGCAGACACCCTCAATGAGAATATCATGGTGGGCTGCTCGTGTCCTAAAACCACCGCGTTTTACACGTCTCAAGTGTGTGTTGCAGTGTGAACCAGGCGATTCTGCATGCCTGAAAAATGAGCATTGTGGCCCGGTAGGTGCTTTGCATGGGAGACTGCCCTGGGAAGGAAGGGCAAAAGCCGCACTCTTCAGGCAAGAGCAAAGGCTGCACCTTCCCGATCGTACCATTTACCCCTGAAATGTACAAAACACCAAAAATGATTCTCACCACCATCCAAAAACATCACGCAACACCTGGTGGTGCCATCGTGCTTGCCCCGGGGGCTTCGGACTCCGGTACGGGGAATCGAACCCCGAGCTTCGCGGTGAAAACGCGATATGTTAACCGTTACACTATACCGGATTGTTGAAGAGGAGCGCAACAAACAGCGCTTAAGGACTGCGCCACCCCAGACTGGACTGGCCTCTGTGGGTCCAGTGGGACCAAGCGGAGGTCAAAGGGACCACAAGACCAACAGGCACAAAAGTCTCTCAACCCTCGATGGAGGGCCGTAAGCAGGATAGTACGGATATCGATGGTAGAAACCCAGCTCAAAGGCCGCTGTCTCGCTTTTGGAAGTCATGGCTGGCATGGAGGTCCTGATTTCACGGGTTCCAGGACTGAAATATCGATGCTGCTGTCATGTTCTCGAGTGGAGCGGTCAAAGCACGTCTTTCTCCAGCTCGTTCGTGGGTTAGGGTTGTGCGCGGTGTCCTCAGACTCCTGAATCAAGGCAAGGTACCTTAGTTGAGGATGGACAGAACACTCAACCAGTAACCGCCAGTTCCAGTATCTGGTGGTTATCAATCAGTTGGTTATAAGCTCATAAACTGGCTGGCGGGGTGTTGGTGGTCTGCATTTCTCAGATACTTTTCACAACCTCTCCGCTGACCTTCCTCTCAATAGCCCCCGAGTCTTGAGGGGGTGCAAGTCGAGGGCCGTGTACCTCGCTGAGCATGGACGAGTTGGTCATCGTGTATATTTCTATTACTGTTTAAGCCTCATAATTTGACAATAAGCAGCATTTAAAACAGCTGTTGGTACCTGATCCTAGGTTTTGTTACAGCACAAATATGCAGCAAAAAAGCTTACCGCGATGTGGCGGAGAAACTGACAAGCTTCTGTGCAATTTGCTCCTTCCTGTTTGGTTTTTAACGAGTGGGAGACGATAGCAAATGTTTTTTCTGCCCTTCTTGACTTGACAACTCTCTTGGACTACCCGATCACACCAAGAGAGCCGCCTGGTTCCTTGCCGCAAAGGGCATGATTGCTTCCCTGCGTCGCCCTCTCCTGATCTTGAGGATTTTATTTGGTTTATATATCTCAAACTATCCTCTTTCTTCTCCGCTTCATCTCTGCGCACTTCGTTCACAACTTTCGTGCCACCCACAGGCAACCTGCCTCACTAATAATAACCTCCAACCCGAGTGCCGCGTAGGTTATCGCCTCCTGTCGGTCGACTTGACTATACTAATATACCAGCGGCGGCGGGTCTAGACAATACCCAAATCTGGCAGCGATCCTTCCAACCCACCCTCCACCATCCAAACGAGGCGGAAGCCATTGACATCGCTACCTCTCCTAGGAGTCCGCTTTGACCTGCCTATGCAGCCGCCAACATGGCGATGATGGCCGAAGAATTCCAAATAAGCGAAAATGGTGACCCTCCAATTCTCAAGAACGACCCGGATAAGCGTACGAGCCACTTGGTCGAGAGAGAAACTAAAAAGCAGCGCCTGCGCGAGCTTCGAGAAACGCACGACTGCGTCCGGAGTATCGTCAACCACATGGGCAAGTATTACAGGACAAGCGACCCGCCAGCCTGGCTCGATCTTCGTCTCGTGGCCGGCCAAATCTTGCGATCAGGTGCAACGCGCCGTAACTCGAGCCACGCTGCCTGGAAGTACCTGAGGGATTCCATGACGCTCATCCATGCGTGGATGGACGGCCACGATACCTGGAAGGACGCCGTGGAAGTGATCAAGATGCCTCACCTGGGGTTTCGGTCTGAAATAAAAGCAACCGAGTTCATCGATAGCAAGTCCGGCTCCGTCCCGAAATGCTTGATGAATCCCCTGAAACAAATCAAGCTTGACTTCCTGATGGATTCGCAACCGCCCAGCAACGACAACACGCCATACTTTTGGAGAGGTTCCGCCATTGATGACCCCGTCTGGCGCAACCAATTTATGCAGAAACAGACCTACTACCACCACATTCCTTTCGACGACGATCTTACAGACCTGGTGTTGAGCGTCGTGTGTCGGAAAGGCAAGGCCGAGCTCGAGAACACACAGCCATTGCCAGGGGATGCCGGGGCATACGAAGAGGACGAACGCTTTGGGCTGTTCGGCAAGGGGACTGCAGCAACGGCGGACGCGAAGCCGAGTGGTTTTAAGGATAATGATAGGGCGTGGGAGGACAAGGTTCAGGCCACTATGACCAGGATTGCCGCCACAGTCAACGATGCCCTTGCAGCAGAGAAGGCCAAGCTACTCGGAAAGCGGAACAGACAGGAGAACGAGAAGGTCCAAGTAGAGAACCCGAACAAGCGGCACAAACCGATGGAAGCGGGCCCTCAGCAGCAAAAGGTCATGGATTCGATCGAGGACAGCGATGATGACGATCGATTACCCACGCCTCCATTCGCGAAGGCATCCGCCGGCAAGGAGGACGAAAAGTACCGGGCATTGAAGGCCGGATACAAAAAGCTCAAGAAGCAGGACCAGCAGCTGGTGTCTCTATACAGCAGCCTCGACGACAACAGCAAGAAGCAAGGGAAGGATGTCGAGCAGTTGAGCAAACAGCAAAAGGATCTGCGAAAGGATACTAATGCCAACAAGCAAAAGCAACAACAGCTTGCTGAGCAGATTGTTGGCCTCGAAACCGAGAACAAGAGCCTCGAGGAGAAGACGCAGCAACTGACTGTCCAATGCGCCGCACTCACGGACGACGTCAGGAAGTTAGAGGACAAGAGCGGGCAGGCGGATGCCCAGCGTAGTGCCCTCGAGGATGAAAACAAGATTCTCAGGTGTCAACTAGTCAGCTTGATTACCCGAGTGGAGGCTCTGGAATCGGCTCCAAAGCCCACGGCGGAGCCTGTCCAGACGGCTACCTCGGGGCCTGTGAGCGCACCGAAGCCCGCCGAGGAGTCGACATCAGTCCATTCCCGGCAGCATTTTGTCGTGGAAGCGACTAGAAATGGGGCCGGCCCGGGACCGCGAGACATTGTACACGGCGCCGCGGCTCCTACGGTGCCATCGCCGCAGTGGCAGTCCGCCGGCTCAGTCAAATACGAACATATGGACGGCCTTTCCATGGATCAACCGCCGCAGCGCCACTACAAGCGCGCCGGCTCGCGATTTCCTCGCGTTCTCGATATGCCCACCTTTGATCCAAGCTGGAACCCCCAGCGGGAGATTCTCGGCTGTCGTACCTCCGGCTACGCTCGGTTCTCCCAGCGGACCACGTACTCGGACACAGTCTACGCCACCAATAATACGACGACGTCTTATCCATACCCTGACCCGGCAGGAAGGGCGCCCAGCCCAGCGTCAAACCCAGCCCAGCAACCCGTTCCAACCGATATACCAGCCCCAATCCAACCATCAGCGCCAACACCATCTCCCATGCCGACACAGAGCCCACTCCCTGTTTCAGCACCAGTATCGGCCCATTTTTCAACACAAGCCCAGCATCCAACGGCTGCCCCCGCCAACCCTCTTCCATGCCTCCGCCCAGAGTTTTCCTCTGCCATCGACCCTTCACTCTACCCAACCGCCACTGTGCATCCTCAATATAAACTCGAGGTGCAAACCCACGTCGAACTACACCAGCCAACTGTTCGATGCCCCAACCCGATCAAGCCTGGCACTAACCACAACAATAACTACAACCACAACCCCACCGCCACCATAAATGCCCTCCCCAATACGAGTGTAACATCCCACCCCCCGCTGCTGCCGGTGGCCCAGGAGTGGGTGGGGAAGGTGGATGTAGTTGGCGGGGTGGGCTGGGGGGAGGCGGTAGAAAAGCGAGAAGGGGAGAGAGAGGGCGTGTGGGGGAGGGTGCGCGAGGTGGAGGAGGTGCGGGAGATGTAGGATGTGGAGGGAGGGGGTAAAAGGGTAGAAGGGCAATGGGGGAGGCGTGGAGGGTAGGAGGTATGGCGTTGGGAAAGGAGAGTAATGGGGTTATGCCAGAGTTTTGCTGCGGTATTTACTAGCTGGCCTTATAAAGCATCCAGAGTTACTTTTTGTGGTTGATGTTGTTGACAGGTGCTGGGTCCTGTGTTTGGACCCGAGTAATGCAGTATTGACGATGGTGATATTGATAAAGAAACAACAAAGAGTTGAGAAGAAAGACAAGAGGAAAAGGGATAAGGGAAAGAGAAAAGGAAAGAAGAGAAAAAGAATGAAAATAATACAAAAGGGGCGAAGAGAAAGGAAAAAGTGAGATAGAAGAAGAGGAAATAAGGAAGAAGGAATAATAGCCAAGAAAGAAAGAAAAAGGATGTAAAATCAAGAAATAAGAAGCTATAAAAAGGGAGGTAAACTTAAGGATAGAAATAAAGCCTGTGAGGTGGGAGGTTTTACGATTTGTCGATATCTCGGCCCACTGCAGCCTGGCCGCTTTCCCTGCCGCCACGTCTGCCCCTGGATCGACTCCAACCGGAGTTATCGGAATCATGTCACGGTGCATTTCAAGTATCCCGAAACAGGCCAACCCCTGAACTCCGGGACTCCCACCCATGTCCTTGGTCCACCTCTTCACACCCCACCGAACGAAGCAACTCATCTCACTTACCGTCTCACTCAGCTTCTCACAAGCATCAGCTCACCATGCCGCAACAATGTTCAGATACCTGCTCGCCCTCGTCCCGGTCCTCCTCTTCTTCGCCGATCCCATAGCCCAGTTATTCTCACCCTCCACACCTCGGATCCGCCGCCTCCCTCGCCCGCAGCTAAACGAAGACCTCCTAGCCCTTGAGGAACCCTCCAACTACACCTGCCCTCCCAACCCCTACACAGTCCATGTCGTCTCCCGCGCCCCCTTGGTTCTCTACATAGAAGACTTCCTCACCCTCGACGAACGACGCCACCTACTAGAGATAAGGTTCGGCCCCCCTTTCTTACAACCCCTTCTCATCCCCTTCCCCCCCCCCCCTCCCTTCCCCCCTTACCTTCTCACCCTCACCAACCAAACTAACACTCCCCACACAAACAGCGAACCCCTCTACGCCCCCGCCACCATCACGCACAACGGCGGCCGGTCCACCGAGCAGCAGCCGCGCGTGCGCGACTCCGAGGTCGCGCTGGTGCCGCGGACCGCCGCCGTGCGGTGCGTCGAGGCCCGCGCCCGCGCCCTGCAGGGCTGGCGCCCGGAAACCTGGCTCGAGCGCCTGCGCGTCCAGCGCTACCGCGCCGGCGGGCACTACGCGCACCACTTTGACTGGAGCTCCGGGAGGGGTGGGTGGGGGAGGGTGAGTAGTTTTATGGTTTGGGTTGATGATGGGGGCGAGTCTGGAGGTGGGGTGAAAGGGGAGGGGGTTGATGGGGATGGTGATGATGGGGTTGAGGGGGGGAGGGAGAGGGAGAGGTTGGTGGGGGGAGGGACGGAGTTTCCTTTGCTGAGGGGGCTGCGGGAGGATGAGAGGTGGTGTCGGTTTGTGGAGTGTCCTGAAGAGGAGGAGGGTGAGGAGGAGGGTGAAGGGGATGGGGGGAAGGGCGTGGTGTTCAAGGTTGCGCCGGGCAATGCGGTGTATTGGGAGAACTTCATGGCGGATGGGAGCGGGAGAGGGTATCAAGAGTCGTGGCACGCCGGGCTGCCCGTGACCAAGGGAGTCAAGGTCGGGTTGAATATCTGGACTTGGGGTCGGATTGAGTAAACAACAACTGTCAAAGTCAACACTCGGGTTCCGCGCGTTCCCGGGCTTTGAGAGTGCCCGGACTCCTGTGTATGGAGTTTGGTTATATTTTTAGAATAGTAATTCCTGAATAACTGTGAACTGCACGTGGACCAAACCCAGAGCGACGGAAACGAAGGTAACCGTGTCTTTCGGGCGGAGATGGGTGATCTCACTCAATGCGGCATCGTATCTCGGGCGCGGCTGAGGAACTTCTGAGCTTGTGAGCTTGATTAGCTGACGCACACAGCAGCTTGGCGGTCGCTTGGGCGTTTGCAGGGCTCGATCTGTGTTCACAAGACCATTTGGTCGCATTTGGCAGTCACGGACTGAGTCACGACGGGAATTTTAGGATGCAGACAAGTCCAGCAGGTGCAACCCGTCAGCCAGTCTCCCAGTGCCCCCAGTTCCTTCCTGCTTTGCCCAGAGTGGTCGTCATGCTCATTTCCAGGCCTGGTAGGATGAGTCACCAGGCGTCTCCCTGCTTCGTCCGCCGTCTTTTGGTCCTTTCGGCGCTCGATACTGAGCGACTTGGCCGGCATTTACCCATTGTCGAGGGTTTCGATTTCTATCTGGAACCTCTTGCGCAAAAAAAGGTCTTTGGCTGCCTGAGCCGGCCAGGCTTCCCCGGTTTTTTCCGGGCAGCTTTATGACGTTTCCTGGCCGAGAAGGGCTGTCCGGTTTCTTTGGTGTCGGCGCCGGAAAAGGTACCGGCTTAGCTGATTTTCGCTCGGCTTACGGAGCAAAAACCATCCGCCTAACAAGCCCGAGATTCTCACCGGCCGAATCCGGGATATGCGTGCCGCAGCCCTGGCTTTCAGGCAGTTAGCCGGCCACGGGGTGACGAATATGGCGCGGCAAGGTCCAAGGACGGATGGACGCCTTACGGCATACTTGTACATGGGTTGGGAGCCCGGAGCCGCACCTCGAATGAGCCCGAAGTCTTTCGATTTTCAGTTATCGCCGCCCTTCGGCATCCGTCTCGGACTTGGCAACACCGCACCGCAGCATGTCACCGTCCTCCCCCGAAGATGGCCCGTCTGAACCACCATCCGGTGCCGCCACCTCCTCCACCGCTGCCGCCCACGAGCCGCTGGCTTGTGTAAGTTGCCGCAGCCGCAAACTCAAGTGTGAGATGATGTTCCGGTCACGTTCGGTCGAATGAATTCCTAAGCGCAACTGCTTACTGTGCATACGACACTCCCCCCAGGCGACCGCCATAAACCAGTTTGCGCCCGGTGCGCCAAAGCCGGTGGCGAATGTGTTTATCCTGAATCCCGTAGGAAGCCGGCCTTCAAGCGGAGAAACGTGAGAGAGCTCGAGGATAGGCTTGGTATGGCACCTTAAATTACCTACTTCAAGTTAGCAGTACCGTGTGTTGACCCAACATAGCCCAGGTGGAAGGCCTGCTTAGAACTGTTGGCAGGCAACGGGTTGGCCCGTCGGCTGGGTCCGATGGCGCCTGGACAGAGGGCTCGTCACCTACTGCGCCTGGGGGCGATCCCTCTCGGCCAGAGAAGCCCCCGCAGGGCAGCCCCCGCGACAAGGCGACGCCTCAGAAGCCGCTGTCGCCGACTGAGAGGCCCCCAAGCCGAGACAATTCCTCTTCCGGCGAACTATTGGGCCTCGGCCAGTTCGAGAGTTTACCCCCTTTCGAGATGATCGAGGAGCTGTATGTGCAAACCATGGCCCCAGCACACCCCCAAACGACTAACATCAGTAACGTACATAGTCATGCCGCATTCTTCGCCACCCAGCAGCATTTCCTGCCCATCATACACCCGGGCAACTACTTGCGGGCTTTTCACTCCCCTCCCCATATGCGCCCGCCCATGGCTCTTCAGTACGCCATGTGGACTTCGGCTTCCAATGGACACCCCAAGTATGGATGCTACCACGATGCCCTCTACCGCCGTGCTCGCCAGTATCTGGAAGCCGACGAGCTGAAGGTTGGTAAAGACCGTAAATACTGTCCGCTGTTCTTTCATCCTAACCTCGATTAGGGACACGGGGAGCACTTCATAACGATCCCCCATGCTCAGGCTTGGGCGTTAATCGCGACTGACGAAGCCCGTTGCTTGCTGTTCACCAGGGCATCTATGAGCTCTGCGAGGTCGGTTCGGTTAGCCGGCATGATGGGGCTTCATCGGCTCGACTCTCCCTACACCGACGCGGAGCTTCCCATGGCTCCCATGATTGCCCCGCCCCGGGACTGGGCTGAACTCGAGGAGCGCCGGCGTTTGTTTTGGGGTGGGTTTTGTGTCGACAGTTACGCAAGCATCAGCGCAGGATGGCCCACCCTAATCGATGTCGAACAGGCAAGTCACTCTATGGAATGCCGACCATGCTGTAACTAACCGTCATTAGATCACCACGCACTTGCCCGTGTCGGAGGATGCATTCACCAGCAGCACCGAGGAAAGGAGCTTCACGCTCCGGGACGCATTCCGTGGCTCGAACTACTCGATATTTGCCGGCAACGTGATTATCTGTCATGTCTTCACCAAGCTCTTGAAGCATGCGCACCGGCCGCTGCCCGACGATCTTCCACAAGACCCGGAATTCGGACCCTTCTGGAAGCGCCACAGGGAGCTCGACAACATGTTGTCCGACGGCTTCCTGTTCTTGCCCGAGCGCTTTCGCCTTCCGCAGAACATGCACAATCCCACTGCCGTGCAGGCCAATCTGAACTTGCATGCCGCCGTCATCTGCCTCCATATTGCCGCGCGCGATAAGGCGGACCAGTTCAAGCTGGCCGGCATACGGCAGACCAGCCGGACCAGGCTGTTGACAGCCGCACAGGAAATCATCGACATACTCAAGGCGTCCAATGATGTGACAGCCGGATACAGAGGTCCTTTGATGGCTCTCTCCCTGTATTTTGCCGCCTCGGTGTACATCGCGCAGGCAAAAGATAACATGCAAGATTTCAACCAGGCCAATTTGGAGTACCTCGTCCAGTGTATGAATTCCACTGCGCGCCAGCATATCATCACCCACGCCTACCTACAGCAACTCTTGCTCGATATCGAACGGAATGGCATCCCCATGTCGGTGGATCATCTGCGGAGTCCTGATTACACTGATAAAGCGTGCGATCATGCTGTCCCTCTCATCGCTCAAATGCGTCACACCAAGGTGCAGTCGCCGCTCCCGGGTCGCCTTCCCCTGAACGCGCCGCTAGGCGCCATTTTAAACCCCGCCGTTGTCAGATTCAATCCATGCGCCGCTCCCAACTTTACCGAGTCATATCCCACGTCCCACGACATCGAAGAGCCCGCCAGCAAGCGGATGCGTACCTCGGCCGGGCCAGGTGCAGGGCCGCGTATCAGCATGCCCACGATTTGGTCGGCGGACGGAAACGACCCCCTCATGGACCCAGCGCCCGACCTGTTCGAGTACACTGGCGGCGGCTGGTCATACAAGACCAAGTACATGACCAACCCCATCACGACCCTCCCCCACCGGATCCACCGCATGACGGCGCCCCACAGTCAACCTCTCTGCCCGGGCTTCGCCATGCCCGACCCAGCCGCCAACCCGTCCCCGGCGTTCCCCCACATCTCCCCGGAAGTGATGGTATCCGCCGCAGACTTCGGCTTCAGCATCGACGACACCTCCCCTACCACCACCACCACCACCACCGCCACCGCCACAGGCGACAACACAAACACAAACCCAAACCCAAACCCAAACACACAAACACCCATTCCCCACGACGGCCCCGACCTCGGCGACCTCGGCATCTTTGACCTCGACCAGCCGTGGTCCGTCACCGAGTCGCTGTACGCCCTGCTGGACATGACCGCCGGCGAGGGCGACGACGGCGGCAGCAGCAGCGGCGGCATGGACGCCTGGGCGGCGGCACTGAACAGCGCTGGCGCCGGCGGGGGCGGAAGCAGCGGTTCCGCTGGCGGAGGCGGAGGCGGAGGCGGAGGAGGTGGGGCTTGGGATGCCGGCGGGGGTGGCCGTCGGTCGGGGAGTGGTTGATTCAGTCCCGTTCATCCCTGGTTTTGGTCTCGGACTGGGTGGGTAGGTTTTGGTGTTTGGGTGCGGTGCTAATGAGTTAATGACATCCCTCCCCCCCTCCTCCCTCCCCTATTGTATTGGATTGTACTGTACTGTACTGTATTATTTTGTGGTGTGTTTGTACAACATCATGGCGTTTGGATCGGATGGGATATACCATGGGAAATCTGTATTGCATTGGACGGTTTCAGGTTCGGATTGGTTTGGTTCGGATTGGTTTGGTTCGGATTGGTTTGGTTCGGATTGGTTTGGTCTGGTTGGTTTTGGGGATCGGCCGGCAATGGGCCTGTATATTACCTAGACTCCCAACCCTCCTCAGTAGATGATGAGAGATCTCCCATCTAATATTATGATCAAGACCGGCGACTAAGAGACGCACAACGGAGTTGATCCGGGATACATATACAGGAATTTTGTCTATCTCTTGCGTTTCGTCTCGTTTGCTCGGCAGCCAGATAGTAGGACAGACCCCACATCTCCTGCCGATTCGTACATCTGGCTTCGCGCCTCGTCTGCCGCACAGCAGCTTAGAAGGCAAACACCTGGTCCTCCAGCTTGCTGACGGGCCGGGCCTTCTGGAACCCGAGGCTCTCGGCCGCCTTCTTCAGCCCGCCCACCATGGGCGGCGGGCCGCACAGCAGGATCTTGACGTCGTCAGCCGCCTTGGGCAGCCATTTCTGTACAACAGCCTAGTCAGCAACCCGTTTCCCCTAAAGTAATAACAGATCAAGCATAGCCATGGGAAACGTACCTGGAACATATCAGCCGTGACGTAGCCCACACCGCCTTCCCACCCGGCGGGCGGCTTGTCCAGCACGTAGTGCACGCGGAAGCCCTTGTCCTCGCGGGCGAGCTGGTCGAGGTCCTCGCGCAGGAGGATGTCCTGCTCGGTGACGTTGGCAAAGATGAGGTCGACCTGGGTGCGGTCGCCGGCGGCGCGGCCGCGGATGATGGCCTTGACGACCTGCAGCATGGGGGTGATGCCCGTGCCGCCGGCCACCATGCCGAAGTGGCGCACCATGTTGGGCGTGTACACGAAGGCGCCCTTGGGCCCGCGCACCCGGATCGTCTGCCCCACCGCCAGCGTCGCCATGTGCCGGCTGATGTTGCCCTGCGGGTACGACTTGATCAGAACGTCGAAGTACCCCGGCTGGTGGTCGCCCGAGATGGGCGTGTACGACCGGACGATCTCCTTCTTCGTGCCGTCGGGCTGGCCTAGTGTAGCGCCGATGGAGATGTGCTGGCCGATGGGAAGGCCGAGGATGGAGCTCGGGGAGGGGAGGGAGAAGCGGTAGCTGGGGTGGTCTGCTGTTAGTGTGCTGACACGTGGCGTGGGAAGGAAAAGGGAGGGAAGACGTACATGGCGACATTGTGCGAGATGATGGTCTTTTCCTTGAGCTCAAACTCTTGGAAGGTGTCCGGCTTAAGGACCACCTTGGGGACTGCATGGAATTAGCTGTCTGGGTGTTTTGAGGTTGCTTCAGACGGGAACGTACGGTTGTTGTAGTACTTGATGCTGCCCAGGACAACCCCCAACAGCAACGCGTAGGCCGTCCACTCGCGCTTCACGATGGCGGTGCCAACAACGAGCAAACCGAGGGGGATGTAGATGCCATCGACGTACTTGCGCGCAAGCAATGAGTCGGCCATTTTTGCTTCTCAATGCTCCTCGAGCTCTCTTGTGGTGGTTCGAGGTGAAAGGCGAGAGTTGCACGAGAGCTGTTTCGAAGGTAGCAATCGGGTCCGCAAAGTCGGGGCTGTCAATTGATAAAAGGAGTTCGAGAAACTTTGTCGGACGGGGGTGGGAGCTAGGGTGCAAGGGTGGCTCGAGGGTGGACCGACTTTCCTGGCCAGTGCCGGCTGCTGCCGGTGGAGACTGGGGACCGGGGCCCCAATGTTTTTGGCGGACTTGTTCAACAATTTGGCACCCTTGAGTGTCCATTCTCGGGAGCAACCGCACGGGCACACAGGGCAACCCGCACAGGCCGAGCAGAGAACACCCGATAGAGCCGACTCCGATAGGTGTCCGGCACTTGGCCCCCTCGCATGGACATGTTGGGCTTCCACCAATCTTTAATTGACCGAGAATGCACTTGATGCATCCAAACCCCGTCCTGCATGTCACTCGCTCCTTGCTCTCACCGTGTAATTTTCCTAATCTCATTGCACTCCGGAGCGCCCGTTACGCTCTTGAATGCCAACGTCGTTCTTTACGCTTCCATATCGGATCTTTAACTTCCAAGCCCGGCTTTCAGGTCCCGGGCCGACGGCGAATCAGTGGCGGAACCTGCAACGAATTTCACGCGGCACTCCACCGCAGACATTCCCGAGTACCGGGTAAAGACTTCCAAATGGGCGAGAACACGCAGGAAGAGGCGCCGTTTCCTCTTACCGACGTGGACAGATGGGTTCTGTCTCAGACAGATGAGGAGTTTACCTATCACACTTGGGACGACCTGTGCCAAATCATTCGTACGACAACATGCCTCCATTGCTACCAAGCTACCCGTAGGTTCGAACACTGACAGACAGCAGAAAACAACCGGCTCTCCGTCCTCAAGAGGAAGCCGTCTGACCTCCGGCGGTACATGAAGTGGACTGCCGACACCAAGGCTGAGTATGGGGGCATCACCAATTTCCTCCTCGCCCACCGCCTGCCCAAAGCCTGGGGCACGCCGCCATTTAAGCCGGCCTCCGACGTGCCGTTTGCAGACCCGTCGGATTACCGCGTGCTGATCAACGACTGGCCCTACGGCTTCGTGCCGGGCATCACCCACCTCGTTGTGTGGTCCCGCACCCCCATCGCAACGGACGACACTGTCGGCGACATGACGCCGGACAGCAAGAGGACGGTGGCCGAGTTCATCAAGCGGTATTTTATCGATAGCCTCGGGTCAGGCGGGGAGGACAGAGTGATCTGGTTCAAGAACTGGGTGGCTCTCCAGAGCGTCCGGACGGTCGACCATGTTCATATTCTTGTGAGAGATGTCGAGCCGGCTGTGCTCGAGGCATGGTCGAAGGAGCTTGAATGCCATAGAGCGTAGTAGTTGATGATGCGTTTGGCGTAGCAAGAGGCGGGCAGTGTGGGAATGCTAGAATTATGCTGCACGCCGCTGCTTCCGGTTGCCTGGGGGAGCCGGAGCCCCAGCGTCCGCATTGCCCCCCATCTGCGCCATCTGTTTGGCAGCACCCATCATGCCAAACGCCTTGTAGCCCCCATAGGCGGGGACCACGAGCCAAATAAACCATGCCCAGTTTCCGAAGAACGACACGAGAATGGCCACCGCCCAGGTCACCCAGACGACATCGAACATGTAGTCGGTCAGACCGGGGGCGGCAAGGTCCTCACCGGAGGATTTGAGAGTCTTCGTATTGGGGTCATAGCTCGGGCGTCCAGTCTTCTCCAATGTGAATTGGCATAGGAAGCTGGGGAGGGAAAGGATAAACCAAAGTAGCAACGAGCGCGACCTGAAAACAAAGTGCAAAAGTAGGAAAATGCCATTGACGATGACCGATCCAATGTGAAGATTATTGAGAGCTGCCGAGTTTGATTTGGCCCGGTCTTTGCGTGCTTTTTGAGCCATGTTATGTGGCGGGCTGGGTTTGGTGAGAAGAATGGGTCGGTGATGTCGTGGTCTCGAAAACGGTTTCTTATGTGAACGGATGAGAACAACACACACGCAGTTGCAGTCGCGAGGTCACTCCTTGGAACTTGGCGCTCGCGCTGGGTCCGTCCACGGGTGGCTGGTACGAGTCCAGAACACCATCAGCCACCGTTACTCAGGCAGGTACCAAGTGCCTCACACTTGGATATTATGGTAGATATTCTAATTATGAAAACCTTCAAAAAGTATAAAAAAAACCTGAGTAGAGAACCTCGGTATCAACAAGAGAGTGAAGTCCATAATATGAATACATCCACGGAAAGTCACTAAACAAACGCCTGCCACTTGCTGGTCTTCCAAACTTTTGGGACGCATGGATTCACACCTCGGGTGTCAGTTCGAGCTGTGGCTGGCAACACAGACGGGCCACCCGCCGCCGTTGGTTTGCTCGGCAAGCTGCACCAGCCCCATCGTTAAACGCGTGACCAATCAATCGCCTGTTGTCGCCGCCCACCACAACAACGCAGGACCAGGGGCAGAGCAACGCCGCCATTGACGCCTTGACAGCTTCCTGACAAGTGCACAACACCAGCCTGTCGCTTGGCCAGGATTCCATCCCGGGGTTGGCTATTGTCGACCACGCACAATCGCGACTTCTTCTATTCTTTTACTTTTGGGAAGTCATGTTTCCGGGGCTCGGAGAAATCTGAGCATCAGCCTTGCTGGCCCGCATTTAGATCCGTCATTGCCTTTGTTTTTCAAGTTCGCTTCCGCTATTTTCGGGGGTGCAGTGGCTCGAGAGACTGTTGATCTCGAAACTACTTCTGGCTGACAACAATCCAACGCCCTACCTTGCAGCAGCCCGTCGCGCCATCGCTAGCATTCGATAAACGATACGAGTGCTATTCCCGCCATAATTTTTGACTTTAATACAGCAGCTGCATCGACCATCTTTCCCGCCTGCTCCGACGACAGCCCCTCGCTGGGACGGTTCACCAAGGGACCACCAACAGCCAAGCGACCCGAGAATTTGACACCCGGTTCCGCCACCAGGCGGCCCACCTCGCGCCGAACCCGCCCCATGCGGAACAGGCGCGCGCATCTCACGTCGACAGCCGGCTTGCGCGACTCCATGGAGCATCCTCTTTGGTAGCAACTGGAACATCGAGTCGCACGCCAACCCGGTCCACCTCCTGTGCCCACTGCGAGATGGCGCCGACCAGCGCGGCAATTGCGGGCTTGCTGAAGCAGACCGTCTACTACCACCTCGACAACCTCGCTCACCGTAATGCTCTCTTCTTTGCCGAAAGGCTACATGCTCACGACCAGCGCTCGCCCGAGTCCGCATACCTCCTCGCCCTCTCCCACCTCCGCCTCGGCGATTCCCGATCCGCATACGAAGTCAGTAAACCGTCAGGATGTCGAGGGGTCCATCTAGGGTGCAGTTTCGTCTTTGCACAGTCCTGTCTGGACCTGGAACGGTACAAGGATGGGATCACGGCGCTGGAGAAGGCTCGGCCGTCCTGGGCAGCCAAGTGTAGCATAGGGAGGCACACGACCTCAACCCGGGCGCCATACCCCGACGCCGCCGCAGTAAGCTGCCTCCTCGGCAAGCTGTACCGGGGATATGATGACAAAAAGCGGGCGGTTTCCTGTTTTGAAGATGCGCTAAGGGCTAATCCCTTCATGTGGGATGCCTTTACCATCCTCTGCGATATGGGCGTCAATGTCATGGTGCCAAATATTTTCAAGCTTAACGACGGTTTCGCTCGCAGCTTCGACCAGGATCCAAGTGCGGCTAACACCGACTCCAGCGGAGGGCCTCCGGATTCTCTGCAAAGGAAAACAGGCATTCAAGGTGTCAGCCACGATAGCGACCCCTTCGAGGGTCACCGCTCTACCGCTTTTCAGGACGTTTCGAGCAACAATATGCTCTTTGTCGACCCTGGCGAGAATGACTTGACGTCAAGGCTGACAGCAACCCAGTCGAGATACGCAGTAAACAAACACGGGTCTGAGGGAATGGAAACGCCGACCGGCTCCGCCGCCGCTCCTGAGACACAGGCACCTCGCACCGGCTTCCCCCCAGAACCCCCATTAGCCCCGACCCGCCGAACGCGGGTAACACACGCCACAGAGCCCGCTTTTCTTGACGCTCCACCAAAGATGAGCTACCGCTTGGGCTCTCGGAAGAGGGAGAAAACCCAAGACCAGATGACGGAACCCCCAGAGCCGCCCATGAGAGGGCCCGCTCTTTCCCAGTCAATCACGGAGAGGAAACGCACGGCATCAGGACACCCCGTCCAGCCGCGCCCGACGAACGGCGAGGAGCCAAGGAGGAGCGCGAGGTTAAACGTAGCCCCAAGAACAACGTCGAGGACAAATATGAATATCTCCACGACTGGCGCCACCGTCACCCGGGAGTTGAAAAAGGCTAGGCCCCCAATCTCGAGGATCGGGCGCCCAGGCTCGAGTGGGACCAGCGTTGGCAGGGTTGTTAGCGGGAACCGGAAACCGCTGGAGGAGAATACTATGGATATCGACGAACCACCGCGGGCGAAGGAGTTGCCTGTTGCACAAATACCGCCACCGAAACCAGCCGAGCCCGAGCCGGTGAAGGCAGACGAAGGGTTGAGATGGATCCTGGACTTCTTGAAAAAGATCGCGTCTGGGTATCGCCTCTCATCGCAGTTCCGGTGTCAAGAAGCACTGGCTGCGTTCTCATCACTGCCCCGAAGCCATCAGGACACGCCATGGGTGTTAGCACGGGTGGCAAAAGCCCACTATGAGTTGGCTAATTATGCAGACGCGGAGAGGTTCTTCCGGCGCCTGCGCACGCTCGCCCCGACGCGGCACGAGGACATGGAGTTCTACTCGACCGTTCTTTGGCAGCTTAGGAAGGGGACCGAGCTTTCGTTCCTCGCTCATGAGCTGACCGACATGGATTGGGAGTCGCCCCAAGCGTGGTGCGTGATGGGGAATGCCTTTTCTCTAGATTGTGACCACGAACAGGCGCTGCAGTGCTTCAAACGAGCCATCCATCTTCAGCCGAACTTCTCATACGCCTACACCTTGCAGGGCCACGAACACGTGGAAAATGAAGAATACGACAAGGCCTTGGTTTCCTATCGACGCGCAGTTGCTGCGGACAAACGCCACTACAATGCCTACTACGGCATCGGGAAGGTCTATGAAAAGCTGGGCAATTACGACAAGGCCCTCAGCCATTACCACGCCGCGCTAGTGATCCACCCGGCCCACGCCGTCTTGATTTGCTGCTTGGGTACGGTGTTGCAGAGACAGAAGCAGATCGTACAAGCTCTTCCCTATTTTATCAAGGCAGTCGAGCTGGCACCTCGGGCGCCCGAGATGCGGAGCAAGAAGGCCGGGGCACTGCTAGCCACCGGGCAGCTGGAGGAAGCAAAAAGGGAGCTGATGATTCTGAGGGACGTCGCCCCGAATAACGCCCAGGTTCACTTCCTGCTGGCCAAACTCGCCAAGACAGTCGGGGACAAGAGGACAGCCGTGCGCCACTTCACCATAGCTTTGAGCTTGGATCCAAAGGTACGCAGTCAACCAAGCCCGGGGCTATCGAGATGATCAATTGCTAACCATGTTTGCTAGGCGAGCGGGGAAATCAAAAATGAGATCGGGGGACTCGAGGACGATGACTGTTTGGACGATTCCATGATGCATTAGTGCTCATGATCGAATGTTCCAACACGAAATTAATCCTACGGTTTCCTACGACGATAAACGAACTTGCCATGATTTGGGCGGGCATTCCGCTTGTGCTGGGAGGCGTCGTGCATTACACTCGGCGCGCTTGGGGGGAGGTTCCAAGTGCTCCTTTGGGACGGTCGTTCTATTCTTTCATACCAAGGGCAGCATTCTATACATGCATGGCAGAGGCGTTCCTGGAGAGCATCGAGCATGCTTTGCTTCGTGTTGTGCCCACCGTGGTGGACTGGGCTGGAGTTTTGTATGAGTACCTGAGCATCGCAACGGCCGACATGTATAATACGGAGTTGGCGGGCGTCATCACAACAGGGCAAGGTTGGGGGCCCTCAACGGGATGGGGAACAAAATGGGTAAATACAGAGCCCGGGTCTGGGCTAACTCTGGACCTGGACTACTTTCGTACATTCCTAGAACACTGCCGTCGATGTGAAGGCATGACACCTAACACCAAGCGTCACCTCTTAACCTAGTAGTTCTAGCAGGTATAATTTGACCAAACAAGCGCGTGGCCCCCTGGGATATTTGACATTGGAGACCCATATGGAGGTATCACCGAGGGTGTGTGATCAAATTCGGAACGATTCCAGAAGAGAGCCTCGCCGGGCCCGAGAAGTATAAGAAGGCTCGTATGTCCGGCCCAGTTCTTGAAACGCGTCGAGCCCCCTAGGCTTCAACTCTGGGTAGGGCGAGGAGGCTGAGACCGAATGTCAAATCAGCAAGGGGAAGGGGAGGGGCTGAGGGGGGTGGGGGGGGGGTGATGCGGCAAGGCGCTTGGACCCCACTCCGGCTCGCGGTTGGGGTCGCGGTGCCGCAGCAGCACAACAAAGTGATTTAAACCCGCCCAGTTGTAGCGCTTTCCGAGCCAAAATTTGTGGTCTTCAAAACGCGCATTAAAAGCAACCGTTTTTTCCACGGAAAGAACCAACAATCCACATCCGAAACAGGACTAGTGGCGACTCGCTCTGGATCAGCTGCCCCCGTCTGATTCCGCCGCCTGCACTCAAACTTATTTAACTTGTTATCCCCTCCCCCATCTTGCTCAAAACACTGCTCATTTTACCAATTGCGGGTGTTTGCTCAATCATCAACGGCATCAAATTTTCATCGTTTTATCAACCCAGACCATCTAATCACACCCCAATCAACCCATTACATCCATCATCATGACTGGACGTAAGTTATACCATTTCTATAACGTTGCCGTCGTCGTCGCTGGCAATGCACGCTGTTTTGGTTGGTTGTCGCGACTTCACGAGGCTGAAGTCGTGGTGGGGTTGCACGCGTTTTCGAACGCGTGCTAGCCTTGCCCGCTTTCGTCATCGCGTCGCATACCAAAGCTTCCATTGCCTCGACACTTGAACACACATGAAGCGATCGAGATACTGACGCGTCTTCTTTCATCAGGCGGCAAGGGCGGCAAGGGTCTCGGCAAGGGCGGCGCCAAGCGTCACCGCAAGATCTTGCGCGACAACATCCAGGGTATCACCAAGCCCGCCATCCGCCGTCTGGCGCGTCGTGGCGGTGTCAAGCGTATTTCTGCCAGTATGTTCCTCCCCCAGTTGCAATGCATTACCTTGGACCAAGTCGTTGACCATGTTGTAGTGATCTACGAGGAGACCCGTGGTGTTCTCAAGTCCTTCCTCGAGGGAGTCATCCGTGACGCCGTCACCTACACTGAGCACGCCAAGCGCAAGACCGTCACCTCGCTCGACGTCGTCTACGCCCTCAAGCGCCAGGGCCGCACCCTCTACGGTTTCGGTGGTTAAGCAGCTCACCAGATTTGCTTGGCGTCTGAGAGGAGAGGGAACTTCGACGACCAAGAAAAAAATATGCTTGCCGGCAGTGAGTCATGAGCTCGCTCGGACTTTTTGTCGCCGCGCAGCATGACAACGCCCTCCTCCCGACGGATGGATGGGTCATGGGCCCTGTGATTATGGCATGATCGGATACATTTTTTCACGCTTGATTTGCGTTTGGCGTTGGGATGGGGTCAGGCACAACTATGACACGGTCGATGGGAATGGCCAAGGCGTCTTTGGGAGGGTGGTTACCCGATGAGAATACATTGATTTGATCCAACCTTTGCTGTTTGCCTTACCGTGACCTCTGTGAATCATGTATTTCGATGTTCGTCTTACAACATTAGGTATGATTTGGCACTCAGTGCAATTACGTTCACAAGTATTTCCTCCCAGCCGCTGCAACCCTCTGCCGAAACACCGGACTCCGAACTTCCATGTTGACCTTGTAAAACGGGCTCATGATGGCTTTGACGTAGTTCTCGTACACCTCGTTGAAGAAATTCTTGATGGCCTCCTCCGTCTGCGGGCTTGTTGGGTTGGCGCCCACCGACGTCGAGTTGCGGGTCGCGCCCGCCGCCCCGGACGCTGTCGCCGACGGCTGGTGCAGCAGAAGGAACTTGACGTTGCCGCCGGTCATGAAACAGGATATGTAGTTGGTGAAGAACTTGTCGATTACTTTCATATACCTACATTCGGACCGTCAGCATCGGGGCGCGGCGGCGGTGGGAGTGAGGAACACGAGGGGACGCGGCGAACAAAAAGACCAGCGGGAGGGGGGTAAACACGGGGGCGAACGGTTTGGTGGAGGGAGGGAAGGAAGGGGAACGGAAGGGGGAGACGCACAGCTGGCCGTTCATCCACTGCACCTCCTCGACGATGTCCAGGCTGCTGTGCAGCACGAACTGGTTCAGGTGGTGCGCCTGCTCGGTGAAGCGCGACTGGCCGTCGCCGCCTTGCTTGCTGGTGCCGAACTCGTACTCGAACAGCGGGTTGTCCTGCGTGCCGATTATTGCGAAGTAGTAGCTCATTGTGCTTGGTTGGGGGCCCGGTCCGGGCTTGGTGGTGGCCGGAGGGGAGTCGGTTGTGGTAGTGGTGGTGGTCGAGGCGGTGTTCGGTTGATTGGGGACGTCGCGGGTTATCGTTCGATCATTTGCTGCTGCGATAACTACATGTGTATCGTGTGTGGTTGTTGTAGTTGTGGGTAGTGCTCCTCGGGGACCGTCGTCATCGTTGGTTTGGCAAGCAAGTGGTTCGTCAATCGGACGACACACCAGCTCCCGGGCTGGCGGTTGAAGCTGGGTTGCGCTAACGCTGCAGGGCGAATGTCCAGCTGGTGGGTCGCGGGGTGAGCTCCACTACCCTGGCGTGCCTGGCGGTGATTGGGCTTGGCGCAGTGACGGGAGCCGCGTTTTTCTGGACCGCCCGACAAGGCCCCGTCCTCTGCGAACATTCAATCCACCCCGGGCCGAACGGTGTTGCAGAGCTCCCACCGCAACAGACATGTTTGGGCCGTTCAGGATCACAAATCCCCTAAGCGGGGGTCTTCTATGGTGAGCACGATTTCAGCAATGACGTTCGCCCATTTCGAATTGTCGCTGACACAAGAGCAGGAAGATCCCGTGGCGCCTCTCCCCAACTCAGAAAGCCCGCCAACGGAAGCGGTTACGGGCTGTCGACCAGGTTATCGAGACGGTTACCAACGCATTGGCCAAGAAGGGCGAGACACTCAAGTCACTAGACCGGTGGAAGGCCGAGATGCCGACCGAGGCGGAGATGCTGCCGCGGGACAAGTACACCATGTTCGACCGGAAAGCAAAGAGATATCGCAAGGGCATTCACAGTACGTTACTTTCTTGGGTGCAGGCCCTATTTGCGTCGTGTGTGACTGACGTTTGGCCCTAGAGCTTCCCAAGTGGACCCGTGTGTCACAAAGAATCAACCCGCCAGGCTTTTAGACGAGGAGGGTCGGTTCTGGCGTGTATATCCTTTGTATTATACCAGTGGCAATAAACGGCGTTCTCACGGCACCTTGTGCCTATATGCAGCCTGGGAGATATTCGAGTTTGGCCGATGGCGGATGCATTGGTTAGGTTTATGGGCCTGGGAACATAAAAAAAATATACTGCCAAAGAAAGAACGCCATTATGATTTCCAGGGGTATTGCCATCGTTCCCATCAGAATATCCCGCCGCCCTGCTGGCGACCGAGCTTATTTTAGCCGCCCATACGGATCATCATCGAAGTCCCTCGTCTCACGGTCTCTAGACCGCGGCGGTTGAATCGCCCGCCCAAGACCGCCACGACCCTCATCAAAGTCCTCCCGGTACTCATCGCGCACCTGCCCTCCTGACTTTCCACGGCCGTACTGCCGCCCCTCGGTGAATCCGGGGTCCAAATCTGTCCGGATAATACGCTCGTCCAGTTTCGTCCCGCCAATGTACTTCATGCAGTCGAGCGCGTCCTGGTGGGTGTAGTACTCAACGAAGCAAAAGCCGCAGGGTGTCTTGTTGAACCGGTCGAGTCCCATGACCAAGCGCTTGATCTCGCCGCATTTGGAGAAGAGCTCGTACACTTGCTCTTCAGTAGTGTAGAATGACCTAGGTAGCCGAGGCTCTGTCAGCGCTGCTTGTTTACTGTCGGTCCTAGAAAGACTGCGATGGAATGCGATGCTGTAACTTACAGGTTACCGACATAGAGAGTGGTCGCATCCTTCAGCGGGTCCTCCTCGGGTTGGTCGTTCTGCATGTTCGTATCGTCGTCCCCATCGCGCTGCTCCTTGTCGAATCGCCTGCGTTTATTCTGAGATGTCGATGAGCCCGTATGTTAGACATTTTGCTGTAGCTTCGCATGGCAGTCTGATATCAGATACTCACTCTGCTGTTGAAATATGCGCTCGGCTGGTCGAGCCGCTCGACGGTCGCGCGTGGTCCTCGCATTGTTGTGGTGGGTGAATTGAGATGGTAGAAAAGTAGATGGACGGACTTCGGAGCTTCCTCGTTCTGACTTGGGAATTGGTGATGAGAGGCTGCCGCGCCGTTGCTTGGTATCACAGGTTGCCAATCAAAGTGGGGCCCCAGCTTCGGGGGTCGCTTCAGCGTGCCTGCCGAGAAAAAGCTGTTGCTCTGGAGCCAAGAGAACGCGCTAAACCAAGAGCACCTCAAAGCCCAGCTGCATTCTCTCGCCCCGGAGCGGCTTCCCAACCTCCGACAAACGTGCGCTTTTGCAGCGACAACCACAAGGCAAACGCCCAATTTCTGTCGGGCATTGCCGCTCGTCGCTTGTTGAGCTCAGTTCACACTAATTTCATTCATACGACAACCAAATCTTGGCCGCATCAACACCAACACCAACACCAGATGCCTAGGATCAAGAGCTTTGCGCCGAGCTGGCTCAACGAGCCATCCCCAGGCCACAAGCTGTTTTCCCAATCAGCCGATGATGCCAGGCTTTCTATGACTTTGCCATATGGCAAAAAACCGAAACCGGGGCCACGGCGGACCATAGCGCGGCGGGGCACCGAGGTCTTCGTCGCGGTCGGGAAGCAAATACGATGGGGAGACCTCGCCTACCTGAAGGAGTCGTGGGAAACAAAGCATGCGCGTTCCAGCTCTGGGACTCGCATCAAGCGGGAGAGCTCCGAGGACTCGTTCGACCACGAGAACGGGGTTGTCGGCCATGAAACAGAAGGATACCGGGTGAGTAGCATGCGCCAGGGTACAACGCGGGATATGGGCGTTAACCTTCTTCCATCACTAGATCATCAAAACACCTGTCGCCGACGATATCCGCCAGCTTGTTATGTCTCCGAATCAAGATCTCCTAGCAGTCTTGACATCGCATACTGTCCACATCTGCATCCTACCTGACTCGTCTCACCTCTATGCGAAGGACACAGCACCGTTCAAGCCCAAGTTTTGGACCCTCGGGCCGACCACTCATGTTACCTCGCGCCCCGCAGTTGTTTCGGCATTATGGCATCCTCTGGGGGTCAACGGAACGGCGCTTGTCACGGTTACTGAAGATGCCGTGGTGCGTGTTTGGGAATTATCCACCGCCGACCGCTGGACCTTCGACTCGGCGACTCTCGCGATCGACTTGAAGAGGCTAGCGGACGGGACGTCTTTGGATCAAGATTTTACTGCCTCGGTGTCGACTACGAACAAGGGCTTTTCGCCCGATGCATTCGACATGGAAGTCGCGGCTGCATGCTTCCCCGCTAGGGGCTCCGGGGGCTGGTCGCCAATGACATTATGGGTAGCCATGGCGGGGGGCGATGTGTACTCCCTATGCCCACTTCTACCTCAACGCTGGGCTCCTCCTCCCACACTGATCCCGTCGTTATCGGTTTCTATTGTGGCCAAGGTCGCGGCCACGGAAGACGACCCTGAAGCTTCCGCCGAAACGCGTCTTCTGGCTCAGCAACAGCTTGACTGGATCTCCGACCTGGACAATCAAGAGCCGAAAATTGTGGAGGGCAGTCTTGGCGAAGTGGCATCGGAGGTTTATACGCGACCCACGCGACCCGGCACGGTTCCAAAACTCCAAGGTCCGTTCGACTTCGACCTGAACCCGGAGGACGAGCAGGACGATGAGGTCGAGCTCAGGGACATTTACGTCATTGGAGAAAAGGCCCGCCTTGCCGACCTGATGATGGGCGAAGAAGAGGATCTGGAGATGGATGATGATGAAGGGAACGGCTTGTCCTTGTCAGTCATCTGTCTCCTCTCCACCAGCGGGCAGGTCAAGGTTTGCCTCGACGTGGAAGGGGTCGAAGCCCAATGGCTTCCACCCAAGCCAAAACACAGATCGAGGCAGTTTGCCGCCCCCGCCAGCACGCCATCTCTCCTTACCTTCCAGACCTTCGATACTCTCAAGCCCGTCGAGGTGGTACCTGAAAGCTGGCCCGTCTTTAGCGAGGACACCACTTCTCGTTATTCATTCTACATCACGCACCCCGCGGGGATCACGTTTGTTTCCCTGGCGCCGTGGGTGTTCCGACTCGAGAGTGAACTGCAGGGAGATTCGGAGGCCGGTGCGGAATTCCGCCTCGACCTCCTCGTCCAAGGGCAAGGATCGGAACGGGAGCGCATTTACACCCAGGGCCGCGGTCAAAACTCGCTAGCGGCAGCCACGGCCATCCGGGACCCCGACCTTGGCCACTTTGTCCTGTCTGCCACTCACAACGACCCGGTCGCCCTCTTTTTCGAGACACCGGAGCGGGACAGCGTCCCCAGGGAGTCTCCGGCAGCGGCTCTTGAACATGTGGATTCGCCACAGCCGGAGATCGGCTGGGAACCGCGCCCTCTTTTCTACGCATCGGAAGCGCTGGACCGCAAGAGCGCAATGCCGGCGTGGATCGACCACCTAAAGACGGGCAGGAGGCGCCCATTGTTCCATCAGGAGGTGCGTCTTTCGATGGCGACCCTCGAGGTTCTCACCGAAGGGCACAAGGTGCTTGCCAACGAGGTAGATACGATCAACGATGCTGTCGCACAGCTCTTTAGGAAATGCCAGACGCTTCAGGAGGAACTGAGGCTGCAAATTGACAAGGCCAACGAGGCCAAGAAGAAGGTTGACCTAATCACCGGCGAAGATTCGGCAGACGACGAGCCGCCCATCTCGCAAGACGACGTCACTCGGGACCGACTTCGTCAAGCTCGCGAGCGGCAAGAGGGATTGGCAAACAGAATGGAGAAGCTGAAGCGGCAACTGGGCAGGGCAACTAGCCGTGAGCTGAGCGACAAGGAGAAAGCGTGGGCAGAGGAAGTGCGGGCGCTTAGCGGCAGCATCCTTGGTTCTGAGGCGGATCAAACTTCGTCGACTCCTAAGGCTAAGCAGCCTTGGAAACGATTCGAGGAAATCCAAGCCCTCCGGGACACCTTATTTGCACAGGCTGAACAGTTGCAGCGGGCTCGGGAGGGAACCGACAGCGACGCTCCCGCCTCGTCGTTGCCTGGCTTGCGAATCCCCGCTGAGGTGCGCCGGCAAAAGATGTCGCAGGTCATTGGTCTGTTGGACCGGGAGTCTGCTCTCGTTGACGCAGTCAAGGCCCGTATCGAGAGACTGAGTATTGGATAGGGGGTGCGGGGGGGCCGGGTACGAGCCCATCGGAAGGCGGACAGGAGACCGGTGGGCTTGGAGAGGGACAAGCTAGGTCAGATGTCCCACGGTACTCATTGTTTTGATGCCAGTGAAGGAAAAGAACGAAATTATTTGTTTACACACAGCCCTGGATGGATCACGGCCTCTCACACTGCATGCCCTAGTGTCGCCTTTGTTTCTGACGAGAAGGCGCCTAGCTGCCTAGCGCTCGCACGGAATCCTGCTGTCGAAGCCGCTGCGAATAGGCTGTGACCCAATCATTTTGGTTGCTTGGTCGGAAACGGATGCCCTGGTCCCAGGCGAGCAAGTCGGGTTGGCTACAGAAGCCGTCGTCTGGTCTGGGCAGGGTGAGTTTTTTCCCGGACCAGGTTCATTTTGACGTCTCTGCAGCCACTCAACGGGTTAGGGCTAGAGCCAACGCAAGCGCAGGAGCTCCGTGCGACTCAAAGCGCTTCTAGTCTCTTCCTCGAGAGACACCGTTCCGACTACGTCGACACATTTTCGGGTCTGCGCCAACAAGCCATCTTACGTCCTACGATGGTGTTACCTGACACGACTGGTTGCTGTATCAACGGCTGACTACCTGCTGCCGTGTCTTGCTTTCACAGGCGGCAAATCACATCGAAAGTCTGCCAAGATGTGGCTGGCTACAACGGACGGACACCGACCGATCTTCGGAAGGAAATATGAGCCGCCGTAGTTGCCGGGTGGGCTGAAAGGGGCGTGTTCTCTTGTTCGGTTTTCGGGTCTGCAACTCCTCGGTGCACTTGCTCACCGCTCACCGCTTACACACCCACCCCCTGGCGCCCCAGTGTAACCTCCTTGTTTCCTCTCTTTCCGACTCTGCTCGGTAGGAGTTATCTAGCAGAGGGAGGATATTGACAATGGAGTTGCGTATGCTTTTCTGTGGCCGATACCCGGGCACTTATACCACGCCCACCTCCCCTATGCCCCCAGTCCGGTGTGTTGACCCCCCCTCGGCACACCCGGGCCTTCTCTCACCGTGCATCATGTCATGCAGCAAGCCTCACTTTTCTACTTGCTGTAATGATTCTGTGCCACACGGGGCTTCCACACTCCATTCCCTTGTACCTCAATTACCGAACTCGCCCTCATGACGGGCAAACTTCGCGGGTTAGAAAGGGTATAAGTATGAGTGTCCATCATTGTCTCGGGGGGCTTCATCCGGGCACACATGGTCCAGCTTTTCCCGGCCTCATAACCAAATGCTCGTGCGCCTTCCTCGTGTCGAACCTACTCAAGTTTCACTGCAATTGAGCCTTCATCACAAGATGGTCGCTGAAGCTTCTTCCCCTCTCGTAGACCTACGGGCTCAAGTTATTGGTGAGTCGTCTGCAGCCATCACACGAACCCCGGCCACTAACATCACCTCCCGTTCTGCAGAGAACTGCGAGTTCTTTAGCGGGACTCTTGTCCGGATTTCGTTGGTTGTCGCCAAGGAACCCTTGGGTACCTTCAAGGCCATTGTGCTGAAGACCGAGAACGGCACCCGAGAGGCTGTCCTGGCCGAAACGGCGCCATCGTACGACAATGCGCTGAAAGCTCTTCTTATCAAGTCCGCCGAGGCAGTCCAGAACTACATTAGCACCAATGGTTTTGCTTTGCCGTCCAGCGTCAAGAAGCAGAGCCCCAAGCCCAGCCGCTATGACGACAGTCACGGGAGCGATTCGTCCACCGTGACACTGGATGACTGCGAGTCTCTCTCCGATGACGAGACCGTCTCTATTACCTCAATCGGCAGAGTCAAGCAGCGGAGGCGCCGCAAGGCGGAGAGGGCAGCAGCCAAAACGAGCTCCGGGAAGCACAAGACGAGACAGGGCCGCACCAGGTCCCGCTCGCCCTCCTTTTCCACGACCAGGGCTCGTTCGCGGTCAACCTGCTCCAGCTCGTCCGGCTACGAGCTCCATTACGACCCACCGGCCCCCCCATCCCAACGACCGCCCTTCCTAAACGCCTTCCCCCAGCGCATGCCTCCCCGACCGCCCCAGAACACATTCTCAACCCTCCCCATGGCCCCTCCCCCGCCACCACCGCCCCCCGCCGGCCATCAGAAACACCCTCCCAACGGATTCACCCCAACCATGAGCATGCCACCACCGCCCCCTCCCCCAGCCCCCTTCTCCTTCACCAACAAGCTCCCCCCCAACCCACCCCAGCCCACAGCGGTCCTCACCATCCCCCCAACCTCCCCCACAACCAATAACAACAACAACTCCCCCACACACCACAACCTGACTACCACCACCCCCCAAACCACGCGCGACCTAATCCTCCACATCCGCTGGCGCCACCACGGCGAGCGGCGCACCCTCGAACAGATCCCCACCGGCAGCCCCATCACCGCGCGCCGGCTGCAGCAGGCCGCGCTAGCGTTTGTGCGCCGCCAGCCCGCCGCCTTTGCCCACCACGTGCCGGCGCCGGTGCCGTCGGGAGGAGGTATTCCCCCTCCTCGGCCGCACTTGCCCATGGGGGGATTGCGGGCCGCGGTGAGGGCGGTGGTGGTGGATGGGGTGGTTTGTGATGTGGGGCAGTGGGTGGGGGACGATTTGGGGCGGGTTGTGGAGGGGTTGAGGATGAATGGGGGGGGTGGTTTGGGGGGGGGGCTTGCGGCTGCGGCGGGGATGGTGAGGTTTGAGGTGGAGGTCTGGAATGAGGGCTTTGGGGTTGGGGTTGGTGGTGGTGGTGGTGGTGCTGCTGCTGCTGCTGCTGCTGGTTCTGTGTCGGGTTGGTTGGCGAGTAATGGCAGGGCTGTGACGGGGTTGGGTTCGCCTGGTGGTGGTGGTGGTGGTTCGCATGGCGTGGGTGGGTCTGGGCCGGGACCAAGGATGGTGTTTCCGTCGCCGGGTGGGATGGCGTCGAATTAGGGGCGAGTACTGTACCTACGTACCTAGGTGGGTTGGCTCGGTTCCAGTACCTTGGATGGGCGTGGCAAGGGGGGAGGAGCGGGATGGGAAACAGGGCGGACGGCGTGGTCTGCAAGTGCCGATCGCTGGGTTGGGCAGAGTGAGGCTTCAAACCATCTCCCGGCAGTTGCGGTGATCTCTGGTAACGTGTCGTCCCATCGGGTGGCAAATCACACACGACATAGGGCTACGGGCGAGATGATTGGTGTTTGTGCACATCCTGGGGACACGGAAAATATGTTGTCTGGCTTCAACGCATCTCATAGGAACGCATCTCACTGGTCTAGGCTGCTTCTAGACCTTTCCTATTTACTCTATTAGCTCTTCAACACGAATACTCACCCCCCCCCTTAGCTCTGTCACCCGACGTCATCATTTCTTGTCAAGGCTTTATTTTTCCTGTATCCGGGACAACCCCTGGGAACATGGCCAATCTTGGCGAGGGGAAAGGAAAACTGGAGGATAGAAAAGGCGTTGCCAAATAAACTCCATACCAAGCTCTGTGTGGGTGTATCAGGGCATCCCTGTCCATGCCTCCTTGTGATACTCACTCGAAACGCGCCTTTTCACTCATTTACGTGTCATTCCCAGTTACTAGCTGGAAATTATTAAGACCTACCCAGAATACCTCCATCCCGTGCCTTTGCTTTATCAGTTGACGTCGGTGCTATTATGAATGCAGACCACATGGTTGACCATGGCATTTGATCATAAAGCAAGTACTTTGCTTACCTCGGACCTCCTCGCTCTAGGACCATGTCATGTTGGTATTATATTCTTAGCGATGCCATGAGTAAAGAGAGCCTATCTGAGTGAACAAGATAGGAGAAGCCAAGGAGACCGCCAATGCTCCAGGGGTTCCGATTATCCCGCGCTCACCCACGCGGGTCCGGGCCTTCAGCTGAACCCTCAACACCAAAAAGAAAGGAAACACGAGTTTCCGCGGACTTTCCATTCCGCTCCCGCCCGCGTACGAGGCATGGGGGAAGTGCTTGGCTCAACTATAGCAGGGCGTCGACGGTGAGACGGACGGGACAGTCCGAACCATCCCCGAAGGCCCGGTCCCTGAAAGACTCCCATGGCGACACCCACCATAACGAACCGGTGACGGAACGAAACGCCGCAGCCGCACATACTTTCTCAATATCTTATCATCACCGCCCCATGTCACCGCCTTCCGAAAGCCTCCGGCGAGCAACCCGGGCGATTCGGTGCTCGTTTCGTCGCCCTGTTGTCTCATGGACCTGTTTCCTAGCACATTCACTTGCACATCCCATCCCCGCCCGCCTCCGGATGCCAGGGAACGACACATAGGGAACAACACATGTCGGGTCCTTTGCCGTATCAAGACCCAATCTCGCCACCATCATAAGACCCGGTAAATAACAACACCACTTAGACGCAGGAAATGAGGTCACCGGAGTATTTCGGCCTTATACAGTTGGAAGACAAGGCGAACGAACACCACCCGCCTCGGAAACTACCCATCACCACAATCCCTAACCAAGGAAGCAACGATAACTACCTCACCCCCAACCAACGCCCCAAGCGGGCCTGGCGCCTACCTCGGCAACCCCCCCCACCAAAAACCCAGACGGGAAGCTTTCCTGTCCGACCTTGGCAAGAAGACCGAATCCGGGTCAGGAGACGGCGGAGTTTAATTGACAGCCTTGTTCCCAATGCCGCCAGCTGACTGGACAATGCCAATGGGGGGTGGTTCGTCACGACTCTCTTTCAAGGCTTGTTGGACCGGGATCGGCGTGACGGCCAGCGGCTGAACCAACCTGCCGTGCCGGCCTGCCACTGCCTGACTCGAGATTCCCAAGGGGAGGTTCCGGCCCTCCCAGCGTCGTCCCGTATCGGGGTATCGCGGGGTTATTGGCTGCAGGCAGGAGAAAAGGGCATGGGGGCGGAGCGGCGCGGGTGATTGGCACGTTTTGCAGCATGCACGCACGCGAGGCACGGCAGATTTGCCGGAGCGAACACGATCTGGGCCCTTGTGGTGAATGGTGAGCTTTCCCGAAACCTTGGTTCTTTGGTGGGAAGAGTGTGCGGTGGGTGTCCCAGCCCGGAAGGTTGCGTGCCGATCGGCGGTTTGGTGAGGCTGTCGAGCTTGGCGGTCGTTGAGACATCAGTCACGACTCGCATCATTGTCCATCGTCAGTTTCATCTTGGCGTGGTCATTCCCTGCTCTCGGAATCGGCGGACACGTACTCTATGCCAGACCGCAGGATGGAAATAGAAGTGGAGATGGGGATGGGCTTGCTTTCAACCCCCCTCGAACTCGAGTCAACACAAACTCCCACAACCCAATGACGCACTCCTTTGCAAAGAGGTCTGGCATCATATCTCATTACCAGTCCCCGGTCTATGCTGTGTACGTGATCACCCAAAACGGCCGTGTGTCGTCATCCACCCCCTGACCCCTCCGTCGACCAGACATTGCCCAACACCAACCAAACTGGACGCTGACTCGACAGTACGACACTCAACTCAAGCAACGGCAATAACTAGCCAGTACGTTGCCCCTCTACCACCCGTCTATTATTGTCTCGCCCAACCGCAACGCCGTCGATATGCCTCGATACCAAACATCTCGCTTCCGGAAACAGAAGCCAATGTGTATATATAACCCCCGATTAATTCCAACCCTCCAAAGGAGGCAACTCCCATCCTATCGACATTCTTTTTTCGTCCGTCTAGTAGATTCCCTGCGTCCGATATTGGAAGGTATCATAACTAGTGCCACAATAGTCAGCGCCGCCCTGACAAACCTCTGGCATCATCCGTAGATAATCGACCGGACGTAAAAAAAAGAAAAGAAAAAAAAAGAAATACTCACAGTCGTGTATAATAACTGCCCACCGCCTTGGCAATGAGGTCCGTCTCGACAAACTGCTCGGCCTCGTCGGCGCTCAGCTGCAGCTGGAAGCGCTGGCGCAGCGCCGTCGTGACCTGCGTGACGCCGGCGCCGAAGCACGGCATCTTGGATTCGCGGCCCATCATGGCGACTAGGTCGATGATGTTGTCCGCCGACCGCCGGAGGGCTGTCACAAAAAAAGAACGAAACCACGTTAGCAAGTATTCCCATTGCCCACCTATGTAAGAGACAAAACATACCCTGGAAAGCCTGCTTGCAGAGGCTCTTGTAATCCTCAAAATCGGGCGAGCCGACGCCGCCCAGCACGTCGACATACTCGTAGGTCAGCTTGAAGGGGGCGGCCTCGAAGCCGACGGAGCCGGGCGAGTTGGACAGCATGAAGCCGAAGTCGATGTGGATGATGTGGCCCTCGTTGTCGATGAGGACGTTGCCGTTGTGGCGGTCCTTGAGCTGCAGCACGTACGAGATGACGCTGTAGGCGGCGAGGGAGCGCTTGAAGGCGTCGACGCCCGCGCGGAAGGCGTCGCCCTCGGGGATGCCGAACGCCTTGACGAAGTGGTCCTTGAGCGTGGCGATGCGCCGCCGCGGGTTCTGGCCCGACTCGATCGACGCCAGCGTCAGGCTGCGCTTGATCGAGTGCAGCGACACCCCGTTGGCGATGGTCTCGATCAGGCCCGACGACTCGCCCGTGACGAGGATGCGCATGAGCTTGACCCACACGGGCACGCCGGCGTCCACCCAGATCTTGTGGCAGACGCGGATCAGCTGGCAGGCGAAGGCTTCCTGCCGGAGGTCCGAGCCCGTCTTGATGATGACGCTGACGAGGTCCCAGTTCTTCATCCACCCGTAGGGCGACGACTTGCGGATCCGCTCCTTCTTCGACTCCCAGGCCTCGCCGAAGACCGCCGCGCTAGGGTCGTCGCGGTCGCCCTTCCGTTGGAGCCCGCCCGTCTTGATGTCGTTCTCCATCCTGTCGATGCCTGCGTTGGCGTTGAGGTTTGGCTCGACGGTCGCGTCGTCCGCCACTTCGGTCCTGTCCGTGTCGGTCGCTGCCTCCGTTACGGCGGCTGCCTGCGCTCTGGCCATGATGGTGTCGAATGTCGGCCCTTGCCCATCATCCAAATCAAAGCTCTGTTCTTCTAGGCTTTGCATGCTGGCAATGATGCGCGATCTGATGGCTGCTACTTCTTGCCGGGGCCGCTTGCCGCTGGTTGCGTCCAGCTGCGCGAGCATCTGCGATGCCGTCCGCATGTGCACCGCGAGCGCTGAGAAATCCGGCTGATCCACCGAGTTGTGGCGGGCGTTAGTGAGCGTCAACCTCCTCCGGTTGAGGGGCGGGCTGAGCGACTCGGAGGAACCTCCTGAGCTGCGCGGTGTCGTCTTGTCCCAGGAGCCGGGGCCCGGGGTGCTAGTGTTGGATAGGCGCAGCGAAAAGTTAGACTGGGTCGGCGTTGTTCCGAACGGCTCATCGTCGTCTTCGGGCCGGAGCATTGGCGAGCTTCCGAGGTCCCCAGATGACGGCTCAAACACACTATCGACGGCTGGCTCTGGTGCCCGAGAAGTGGTCGGTATGCTCGACTCAGACAAGTCGAAGATCCGCTTCCGTGTCCCTTGTTCGTCCAGCAAGGTTGTAAGCAGTCTCTGGTTGTCCGGGCTGTCAGGATCAAATGTGAAGTCGTCACGGAGTATTTCCACCATCAACAAGTACGGCACCTTTTCGGCGCTGTTCAAGACGGTTGCTTCGGCCGGGTTGAGCCGGACGATTCTGTGGTGGCGGCTCTTGGATGGGGAACCATCCACCAGGTCGGGGGGGCAGAGAACCGGGATATCAACCTCTGCCGGGAGATCCCGTGCGATGAGGGCGAGTTCGGCGCGGAGTGCGCTCAGCCGAGCCGGTTTTGGTACCACGACGAGACGGTTCGAGATGTCCTCAAGCGCCGTCAAGAAGGCGGTCTGGCAGCGGAAGTAGTTTTGCCGGAGCAGTCGCGTCTTTTGCAGATGCGTCATCTCGCCCTGGCTGAGCAGCGTCTTGACATGGTGAGAGTGTCTCCTCGTAGCCTCGGAGGGACGTAACCCCGCCGACACGGGCGTGGTTGGTCTCGTAACAAGACGAGGCCTGGGATCCGGCAGGGGTAACGAGGCTGAACTGATGCGCGCCTCCAGGGCGAGGTTCTCGAGCTGACTGGGGAGCTCTCCTTCTTCGTCTTCCTGCGGTGCGGGTTCATTCGTTTTCGACCTCGAAGGGGGCCGAGGCGTCTTCAGTTTGATCCTACCCGGCGATTTGCGCGGGCTGGCGTGCGTCTTGCCCTCTTGGCCGCTCGTGTTGCGCCCCTCTTTGGTGCGTCTCGGCCGGGGACCGCCGGCAGAGATGGTGTGTGCTCGAGCTGGTACGTTTTTCTTCGCCTCAACGGCGGTGGGCTCGGATATGGTCTCGACAACCGGGCGGGGTTTCCGGGCCTGGGCGATAGCCAATGGTCCAGCCCACTGCGGCAGCATAGGACATGCAATGCTCGCGAGGACGAAACTTCCCAAAACCGTAACCGGCAGCACATTCTCGGTGATCCTCTCGTGTCGTAATGTCTCGGAAACCCCAAACACAACGTGTTGAACCTTGTTGTACACCCTACGACACGTCTTGAAGGCCTCGGTCTGGGGGTTCGGTGCGAGGTCGTGGAGGTAGGTTTGGAAGAGCCAGAAGGTCTATCTGAGCATTAGCCATGGCCATTGAGCGTGCGAGGGCGACATGGGATGGCGAACCAGTAGCGCAGCGGTAACCGACTCCTCGCAGAGGTCCAATAAGAACTCCTCCAGAGCCATCGACTCGTTGTCGACGCTTATTATCAGGTGGCATAGCTGCGGTAGGAAGAACTCGATGTCCTCGTAGGGGAACTGCCGGAGCTTGCTGCAGAGGACATAGTGGATCCCTATATGGTCCGCATAGCGACTAGATTACACAGAGTCAGCGATCCGATCCGATCCGATCCGATGCGCTAGAAGGAGAGAAGCAGAAGGAAAGAAGCGGAAGTCGAGGGCACGTACGAGAGATACGACACCGAGAGGAAGGGGTTCTGATTGAAGACATCGCTCTCGAGGAACCGCTTTAGCAAGTCCCAAGACATTGGTCGCGACTGCGTCGGGGAGGGTTGCTAAATTGGGTGGAGGAGAAAGGGATCGGACGGTGGTGGCGGCAGTTGTGGCGTCGATGGCGGTGGTGATGGCGGTACGAATAGTGGTGGTGGTGTTGATAGTGGGGGGAGGGCAGAAGCATGCTCATCTCATGTCCTCCAAGCCCTGCTCATTGGCGCTTGTCGTCGTCGACGGTAATGCTATCGAATCCGGGTGTACGCAACTGATGCAGCATGACTGGCTGCGCCGTAAATTTCTCGATGTGTCGCGTCCGCGTAAGTCAAAAAAGCTGGGCGTTGCCTCGGGATGCTGAAGCTTCGGAACCAGCCGTTCGTGTTGAGGACAACTGAGCCAAAGCTCCATTTGGCCAACTTCACAGGGGGTTGCTCCGCTCTCCTCGTTCGTCAGTGTGCCCCACCTGCCAATGGATGTCTCCGGCTCGGCGCCCCGAGGCCCGATGGGAATATTGTTCAAAACTCTGGTTGCTGATCTCGAGTAAGGTCGACGTCCTTGAGCGAGTTTCGTTTCTGTTTTTCTGAGTGTTGTAGTCAATCGCCTCCTACTTTGAATAATCTGGTATTGTTTTCCTTCGTCCGTTCTTCGGTTCCTGAGATGGTTCGGCTCGGCATTCGGGGTCGTTCAGGGGCTACTCAGGGGTTGTGAAATGGGAAACAAATGGATGTCTCGCTCTGTTTGCCATCTGAAATTCTTGATATGACAGCAGAACAACCCCAGTTTCCTGTAGAAAATATGATGCAAATATACCGCCAAAAACTCCAACCCTCCCACTTAAGCCTGTGTCACCAAACAGACCGTTTTCGCTCCCGGTTCCATTGCCCCCGCTTCTTCCGTTTCTTCGGCTTGACCCTCTGTCACCGAAAGTCAGTCAAATACGGCCGCAATCTGCAAATAACATCGCGGTTGGACTCACCTTGTACTTGACCCTCTCGCTCCCATCAGGCATTTGCACAATCTCGTGCTGGATGTGGTACCCAAACGCCGGTAGCAACTTGGCCCACACGAGCCAGTACCCAGTCCCAATGGCCAGCAGGCTGGTGCCGAGCGTGGGGAAAACGTAGTATGGCACATGCTTGAGGAAGTCGTTTTCAATGAAGGGCGCCACTTGCACAAACAGAAGCGATAAAATCCAGAAAATGGTCAGCAGCGGCGAGCTGCGGAATGTCGTGCGCTGCTCGGCCCACCGCTCTGACGGTGCGAAGTTCAGGTAGACGAGGCCAACGGCGAGGAAGACTAGAGCCAGTGTTAGACGGGTGCCAGGGGGGTGACGAAAGGGAGGACATACACTTGATCCAGTTGCCACTGTAGATAAAGACGTTGGTGACGAAGCTGTAAACGTCCGGAGTTCGGCAGGCGAGGATGAATACCACCGTAAAGATCCAATGCAAGAATATGGCTCCCGATGGTGCGTTGAACGGCCAGTCGCTGGCCCAGAAGCGAGACCACGGCAGCACGCCCTCCTTGGAAAGCTCCTGCTTCACTCGCGGCATGGCAAAAGACTGCGCAAAGGCATTTCCGAAGGCGGACAGGCCGATAAAGAGTGGTACCACTCTAGTCACGAACGCACTCCTGCCCCATACGTTCTCGAAGAACTGCGCCGCGACCACAGTACCCGCCTCGGCAATTTCGATCTTGCTCATGGCGGCAAACTGTGGCAATTAGTAGGGGCCCTCCATTAACGGAACCCGTGGGCTCTTACGTAGGAAATATTGGCGAGCACGTAAAGTATTGTGACCGCCGATATGGAGATGGGTGCTGCTTTCCTCAGTGTTTTTGGAGCGTTCCGAACCTCGGTGAGAACCTGTGCCCTGTTAGTCATCCAACCTCTCTGTCCAACTCCGGCGTGGCCTACGTAGTTCGCATTCTCCCACCCGCTATACGAGTATAGCACCTGCAGCAGAGCAATTGAATACCCACCGGCTGCCCCCGTCGGGTTATCGTCAGGGGATCTCGACGAGCCGGCTCCGTGAAAACTTGAGAAGTTATCGGGTCTCGGCGCTGCCGTCTTGCCGGCGAGGGCGGCAAACCCGGTACAAACGAGCAGGCTGAGCATGATGAGCTTGAAGGCACCGAAACCATTGCTCAACCAAATACCCCACCGCGGGGCAAATGAGTGGATGAGGCAAACGACTAGGACTGTGAGTTACCGTCGAAGCATGTTTATATCGATAATGACTCACCAGTGATGGCAGCGATGGCGATTCCCTGGTTCAGCCAACCCCCCTCTTGCGGATCCCCTGTGGCAGCGCGCAGCAAATAGCTGCTGAAACTGATGCTGTTGCCCGTTGAGATGGCGAAGAGCACGAATTGGACTACTCGGAGGTGAGCGACTGGTATCGTTGGGGGAGCGGTGGGTTGAACAAACCTGCAAAAATACATGTGGCCAGATACCTTGGCCTTTGATAGACTCTCTCAAGCTGCGTGAGGGCATATGGTGTTAGCCATTTACGTATAATGTAAGAGGGGAGGAGTATCATAACTCACATAGACTTTTTCCCCACCCGAACGCGGCAAAGCAGTGCCGTATTCAAGGTAGACAAACAACCTGGCCAAAGTCAGCATAGAAACATGGCAGATACAATCTAGATTAGCCATACCCGCTGCGACAAGTTAGTCTAACTCACTCATCAACCGAGCGTTGGATGGAGAACTCACCAAAATGTCATGAACCCCCCCAAAACCCAAAAGAGCAGCGTCACACCAACGCTATCAAGAGAAAATATGATGGCCGATGGGGTCGAATATATCCCGGCGCCAACCACCCGATTAATGATAAGAAACGCCGTCGACCATGTCCCTAGTTTCCTATCTAACGCGCGTACCAATGTTAGAGAGCAAGCCCCGTCACCCTACCACCGAAGGACGAGAAGGACAAGACCAACCTTCAGGAAAAACAAAGTCGCGGTAATCATCCGACTCGTCGTCCCGGGCACCCACCGGCGAGACCCCGTTGCTGTAAATGGTCCCGCCATAAGTCCCATTCTCGTCACCGGCCCCATGAGCTTCGGGATCCTTGTCGGCCACGGGTTGCTCGAATATCTCCGGCTCCTGCATTTCGGCCGAGTTGACTCTGATTCCAGCTCAATCCTGCCGTCGTTTGATTCTCTGGGGAGTTTGACCGAGACCCCCGCCGATCCAGCGCGCGGGCGCTGCAATTGGGCGCGAGCCGCCAACGAAGAGAGTTCAGCGTGGGCTTGTTGAACCCCCTCGGTCTGGCGCTCGCAGTGTCGAATCACAAAACCCCAACACCCGCCTCAGAGAGTTGCCCGATATCGTCACCCCATCCACCGAGGCCAAAACGGGAGACCGCGAAGCCCCGGAAATCGTGGCTTCCAAGTCCCGAAGCTAGGCCAGGCGCAAGCAAACTCGGCAAGCAAACCGAAGCGGAGTAAGCACAGCTGAAAATGCAAGGCTTCAACCCCCGGGTGTGGCGGATACAAACGTATGGAGTTAACTCCAGACAGAGCCAAGGAGTGAATGAACAAGAGCAAAAGCGGAGAAAGGCAGTTGGAAAACCCACAGATCCAAACTTTCAGCAGAGCCTCATCATCTCAATGTCACGGGCGATTCGGCGAACAAGTCCCTGAGAAAGCGAGGGATGCCCTCCCCGGGCGGGACACCGACCAGGGCGGAGCATCCCTGCCCCGAGAGCCATGCACGATGCACGGAACCTGCGCGAGCTGGAGGCTGAGGAGGGCGAAAGGGTTCCATTCGCTGGCCCACGAGCCACTGAACGGTTGAGCCAAGCCCCAACAAGCGAATGCTGTGGGTGGACCCGAGGGAGACTGCGAGAGACAGAGAGCGAGATTGATTGCTCGAGCGAATCGTTTGGATTCGATAAGCAACGGAAAACGGTGTGCTGGGAGGGTGGTGGGGCAACCCCAGATTAACCTTGGAGGAAAAGACATGGAAGCGACGGAACGATGGAACCAGAGCGTAGGCCGGGTCATCAAGCCATCCGAGGTGACACTTTAATATCGTGCGCCTCCCAGTTGGGTTGCGCTGACCGAAACCTTATATTCATGGCTTCTCCCATTTCCATACAACCAGGCGACAGGAGAAGAGTGTGGTTGAGTCTCTTGAGTTCGAGTCCACGGAGATGTTCGCTGATCTCAAGGCTGCTGCCTCGTGGCTTCTCAACCCCTGTCAAAACTTTTAGCTCAAAGAGCGGGGCCTCGAAAACAACGCTGCCAGTGGCTGCCAAGATCATCCCCACCCCCTGTTTTTGCTCGCGTGCTCACTTTGACAGAGGACAACCTCCCGACCACAGATTCATTACGGTAGTTCATCAAATCACACCGTATCACGCTCGAACGACGAGAGGAAATCGGGAAAGACGACGGTAGACATACCCTCGAATGTGGCAGTTTCGTCTCCGGTTCAAACAAAGTCGGTTGCCCGATCGACAAAACGTTGCACCGGGGCAAGGGAGAGCTGCAGAACGATTCAATATTCGGAGCTTGGGCTGACTGCGCCGCTGCTTCTCTGCAACTGGCTCTCTGCAAGTGCGGCACGCACGGCTCGGACGGCTCTTAGCTGCCGACCCTCGATCCTGCCTTGCAACCCACCGCGTTCCATGCCTCGGGCTAAGAACGACAAACGGACAACAACATGATAGATTTTCCTTTTTCGATTACGCTCACATGGCCCCCACCAAAGATCCCATATATCACGGAGTATTTACAAAACAACTCATCGCTCTGTTCACATAAAAACGCCCCGTGCCTGACGCCCCGTAAACACCGACGCCTCCATGTCCTCTTGTATATGGTTGAGCCGTGCACGCTGGCTTCGGCGCTCGCGGATGACTTCGTCCCATTTGCGCAGAAAGTTGTCCTGGCCTAATGGAATGTTTGTTAGAATTCTAAACCAGCTGAAAATCGAGGGGGGGGGGGGCACGAACTCGGCGAGTTCTCAAACTCAATCTCAAACGTCTTGTACGAGTCGTAATCCGACCCGAGGTCCACCTCGACGGCTTTTCCGTGGATATCAAGGCCTGCTGACTCAGAGCCTTGGTTTGGTTCAAGGTGCGCTGCTGCCAGTTAGTAAGGGTGTCAAGACAAAGCAATATTCCGAGTAACGCACCCTTGACCCACTGCCAACGCGATCCTTTTCTCGAAAACGGCATCCCCCCTTTCTTAGGTTTTATTTTAACCAGTGTTTGCCCTTCGGCTTTGATCTCGAGATCATCTGTGACTGTTTCCAAGTCAGCAACCGCTACCACCAGTGCCCCATGACTGCGCAAACGTACTAAAAAGGGTAATATATCCCCCCGACCGCCCCAGATACAGCATCAGCCTCGAGGTGCTTGCCACAAGCCTCTCCCTCAGAGGCCCCGACAGTGCCGTCCCAGCCGTAACGAACGACGCCACATCCGACTGGGCGGTCCGCCGACCTTCCGGTTCGTGCCAAATCTGTAGCCGTGCGCTTGAGAATTGAGTGCTCGACCGGCTGCTGGCTTTGCCGACTGTCACCATGCGGACGCTGCCGATGTCCAGGACGACCTTTTCGCCCGTGAGTTTGGCTTGAAAGTCAAAGAGCTCTGTATTGCTGTTGGTTAGGGTTCGAATGCCCTGCATGAAGGGACAGCGTGTGCCGTACCTTTTAGGCTCGAGAACTGATAGATCCCACTTGGCCTGCTCTCCTGCATATACCCATTGGCGTTGTCGTTTTCTTTATCGCGGATGTACACGATGTTGGGAAATCGCTGATCGTAGGCGTAGGCGGGGATGAGTTGCGCATTGCTTGCTTTCACTGCACATCAGGTTTTAGCATAAATAACAAGAGAGGGGTGATGTTCGGCTCGTACTCCGATATGTCTCCGACTCGTAATCGACCTTGCAATGGAATCTGAGACCGCCGGCGAGTGTGTTTCGAAACACCTTCAACACTCCGTCTCGAAAGACCGGCGATGTGAGAGTCTGAGAACTTTTGACGGGTCTGCGCAAAATCGATTAGAGCTCCAATCGGCACACCCGGCTGCTGGGGGGTGAACTCACCCATCAAACACCAAATCTTCCCCTGGCAAGACGTTATCTCGCCCCGTACTTGCTCCGTCGCTCGCGGTAGAGTGAGCATGATGATGCACAACCACAGGAGTCAGAGTATCAATATCGCCCATCCCTGTATTCACATAATTCGATTGTCGTCCAACGAACGACGGCGCCGATATGGAAGGGTGGAGCGGGTTATAGGAGTACCCATCCGCAGCCGCAGCCCCTCGCCCATCCCACACTTCCTTATCTGGTGATCCCGGCGAGAGGGTCGAGCGAGGCGACATCGGGTCGGAAGCTCGATGCGGAGGCGGTAGGGCCGTAGCGTCTTCTAGGAGCGACGGGAGCCCCGTCGTTGCCGTTGCGTTTTGTCGCGAACTCTGAAGGTGCGCGTATGTCTGCGTTGTGTAACTAGCATAGTTGACGTTGGTCCAGTACTGAGGCGCGGCGCCTGGGCTGGGGTAGTCGTGCGGCCCCCAGGACGCGGCCAGATAATGCGATGGCTGTTCGTGATGGGCATATGATGCCCTTGGTGAGGCCAGCTCACTGCTGTGGCTCGCTGGGCTCATCGGTGGCCTGGGGCCCATGTCGGGATCTGTCAGGGTCTCCGCCGCCTGCACTCCGCCGTCCGACTCCCCGTACAGCGGCCTTGCGCTGAAACCGCTGACGCTGAGATGCGCCATCGTGTTCGCAACTTCGTGGATCGAGGCTCTTGGCTCTGGCCCGGGGACAGCGGCCGCGGCATACCCAGATCGAGCCGAGTATGCGCCGGAGGAGCGCGAGTACGAGCTAGCATTGGACGCAGACCGTCCCCAGCCCAGGGCGGTCCCAGGAGGGGCATGTACGTGTAACTGCGGCGGGGGAAGAGAAGCTGGCGATCCCGAGAGTGTAGAACCCGACGTGTATAGAGAGGCTGGTCGTGCAGCGGCAGGAGGAATCGGAGTTGAGGAAGGCACGCGACCTTGAACGGGGTCCTCGTCTGGGATCTTCTCGATTCGGTAGCGGCTCCCGTCGGATGCGACAAAGATGTTTTGATCGGCGAGCTGGGTCGCAGCGTCGAGGGCTGCAGGATCGAAGCCGCTCTTGAAAAGATCGGAAAAGGGAACGGTTGTAGTCTCATCGAGGACAGGCGGAAGGCTGGGAGCCGGGGAACGACCCCGAGCTGGCATTATGGACGGTGCCGCGCAAGCCCCATCAGCTCAACCAGCCATGACGATGTCGCGCTGGCATGGAGAGGGAGCGGATCGACACGTCGCATGTGTGCCTCTCCGTGCCTCTTGGCCTGAGCATATGTAAGGAATTGCTGGGAAGCCGCAAGAGCGAGGATAATCTCAAAAAGGGACTGGGCAGGGGAAGAAGACATGGGGAAGGGCAGGGCAAGAGGGTGGGAAAACCGGGGTAATTCTTGGGGCGCTCGGGAGTATGAGGAGGCTAGGTTGCCCTGTCCGCTTGCTGCCCTCGCTGCAGGCTGCTGGGGCTGCGCGAGTCCGGGGGTGTGCATCGCTGGCTCACCCCTCCCGGATTGAACCTCCCATTCGCGAACCATTTCTTGGGTTCGCGGGCATTGGAATTGAGTCGCACAGCTGCACCGTCTGGGATAGGTCGCATTGCCCCTTCTTCCAGGGCAATCAAGCCATGTTGGCGGTAAGGCTGCATCCCATGGGCAAAGCAAACCGCACCTGGCTGGAGTTAGGTGGAGTGGTGGACTTCGCAGATGGATGTCGGCCGGGCACCTAACCCTCGCTCGACTGTGGGAATGGACGAAACGAATGCCATCCGGAAGCCCAAACAGCTGTATTTCTAAATTACCTACTCGATTAATTCTTCTTCAACTCAACTTCCTTCTCTTTGGTTTCTTTTGCTCAATTCATTCTCTCTATTTCCTCTTGTTCGATTCCTTGTTTTCCTCTCGAGTCCGGCAATTGACTCCCCTCGGGCAGCAATACCTTGTGGAGGTGGCGAAAACCCCGGAATCTTCCACCACAGCACAGACATCGCTTGCCCGCATTTGACGCAGGTCGCCGCACCGCCGGACTAACCGAGCCAGCCTCCCTACCTCAGCTAGGCAGGTCAGATACCTTACTCCCCACTGCACCACCGATAACATGGCTCTTTTCGACTCTCAAGACGAAAGAGGACGACCTTATCGCCCTATCGTCGCAAGGGCAAGCGGCGTCCACACACCGCCAGATAACGTGGATCATCCGGCACCAAAACGCCGAGTATGTAATCTGTACATCGGACTAAAACCCGCAACCTCTTTGGCACAGCTGAGAAGCCAACGACAACTCGTCCCTCGTTTGCGATCTATCGAATTCCAAATCTACGGCGAGTAATTCCAGCACGCCGCCCAGTGGCATGAATTGTCCACTGCCAAAACACCATAGTAAACATCGCTTTGTACAATGCACAGCCCAACGCCCATTCCCCCGCCCGTAAATATCATTTGCCCGACCATTCATTCCTCATCCCTCGGTTGCCCGTCTCTCATGCCCTGCCCGGCCCGACCGTCGGGCACAAGCCCCCCTAGCCCGTGACCCTTTGCCCCCCAACCCCAACCCCAGGCCGCCCTACTGGCCCTTCTTCTTCCTCCCACCACCCCTCTTCTTCTTCACCCCAGCAGCAGCCACCTCACCACCACCGCCACTACCCATCTCCTCGTCCGTATCACTATTCTCCGCTTTCCCCCGCCCACCGCCCTGGCTCTGGCCCGCGCCGCGCCCGCCCTTCTCGTCCCCGTCCACTTTCCCGACGATATCCCGCAAAAAGTCCCACTGGTCGTCGCCCTCGACGACCTGCTTGAGCATCTGGGCCGACACGCGCTTGGAGTTGCGCTGGCGCGCCACGTCGGCGCTCTTGGTGACGAGCGCCATCATGAACAGCTCCAGCGCCTTGCCCACCGCGATCGGCGTCTGCTGCGCCACCTTGCCCACCTCCTCGTCCGCCTGCATGATCCGCTTGATGCGCGCCGTCGGGAACTTGGTCTTGACCGTCGCCGCCTCGATCGAGGGCGGCGCGGCGGCGGCGCCGGCGCCGGCGCCGGGGGCAGCAGCGGCTACCACCACCGATGTTGCTGCCGATGCGGTCGCCGATGCCGCGGGGCTCAGGGATCCGTTGTCCCCGGCCGTGTCCGACGCCGTCTGCGCGGCGACCGCCGCTGCTGCCGCGGCCGCGGCCGCTCTCCGGGGGGGCATCGCGTCGGCCGGTTCGTAGCCTGCGCCGCCCGCTGCCGAGTAGTCGTAGGGATGGTGCGCCTGGGCTTGGGCCGCAATGAGATCGTGCGGGTGTTGGTGAGGATGATGTTGGTAATGCTGGTACTGGAAGCTGTCACGATAAGACGGCTGGTAGAATGGCGGCAGGTGCTGCTGTGGTGGTGATGCTTGTGTTGCCGGGTATCCGGTATTCGGTTGGGAATATCCAGGGGTGGGAAAGCTTGCTGCGCGAGGGGAATAGTATTCGTGCTGCGAGGCGGAGGGTGGTCCTACACCAAACCCTGGTGGTTGGCTGGTGTTTGAGTTGTGTGTGGGTCGCGGGTGCGCGATTGCCTGTGGTGGCGTCGCAAGCTGGTATTGTTGTTGGGTTTGAGGCGCCTGACGGTGCGGGTGGTGAGCGCTCGCAAAAGAAGTACTTGCAGGAGACTGCAGGTGCAAAAAGTTTGGCTGGGATGGCTGCGATAAAAACAGCTGGGGTTCTGCAGGTTCCGACGGAGGTGTGGGGCCCGAGTGGAAGGAAGACAGATCGGGGCTCTTTGGCGCATAAGTGTCGTCACCGGACATGGCTTCAGCTCGCCGGGAAGGGCCAACTAAAACAAACAAAAAAGATACTTCGGACAAAAAACGCACTGTCTCACGGGCCTGATTTATGATAGGCTGCCGTGGTCTTGGTGTTCGCTTCTTGGACGCTGTGGGTGGGGCGCAGAGTCGCGTTTGCAAACGACAACGAGGGTAGGAGCGGGGTGGTTGGAGCTTCAAGTAGGCGGGTTAATAAGGCCGGAGCTCGCTGTGGCTGGGCCACAAAGGCGGCAGGGAGCTTCCATCTGGGAGGGGCGAAATGGAGGGGTCGGTTTGAATGTGGGGCATCAATGAGCAGGGAGCAGGCAGAACATCAGTGGCCAAAAGAAGAACAAAACGACGCCAACCTGCAATCAGGCTGGGATCGACATCGTGAACTGGCCGGAATGCTGGGATGAGCGCCCGTTTCACAAGCATCCACACGTGTGAGGTCGCCGCTTGGCACTCACAAACAAGTGAGGCCAACACCTTTCGTGATGTAGCTGTCAGGTCATAAGTCTGGCCAGCCTCACCAGCGTTTTGGTGGCACAGCAGAAAGAATACGTACGCTGACATATCTATGTAGGTACATACGGAATGCAGCGGACTTTTGAGGGCATACGGCTGGGTCTGCTGTGCCGCGAATCGTGAAAAGGGGTGACTCCCATCTGACGTATCACAGCAGCTCCAAGGAAGTTTTGTACACTCGATGCCAGAGTCTGGACTCGAGCCTGCCGCCATGACACGCCAACACACACCGGCTGTCCGAGCTCAGCAGAGGAAGTGGCATTTGAAGTTGCTCATTGATGCTTCCATGCCGGCTTAGAGGTCACAGTAAATTGAATCCACACTACACGCTGGGTGGTGTTAACGAACCAGAGCCATTGATAGTTTGTTTAAGTTTCCGATGTGTATCTTACCACGAGGTCATCCACCTGGGTATGGACCTTGAGCAGGACTTCAACTTAGAAGGATCTCAATGCTTCCCTGCAAACCCATGACAATTGCTTGGGTGCTTAGCACTCAGGGCAGCTCATGGAAGCTCCTTCCCTAGGTAGGTGAGTAGGTACCTAAATAAGGTACGTATGAAGCATCTGTCTGGACGCTGCCATTGCAGTCTACCTAGGTAGTGCCTTCCTTCCAGATTCTGCTGTTGCCTCGACAGTTCGTTCTTGCCAATTTCACACGAGAGAAGATGCAGCTGCTTTTCCTTTCAGACTGCCCGACATCCCCAAGGCTGATAACGACCACCTAGTTTCATGCTTCCCATCTTTCTAATCACTCGAACCGTCAAATACCCGACGCTTGACGAAAAGCGGCTGCTACCCTAAAGGCATTCGATTCTATATACCCAGAAAGCAAGAACCATCCAAAATGGGTCGCTGGGGTCACTGTAAGTCATTCATACATTCCATTTGGTCCGCGGGAAGTTGCGTCCTGGAGAGGCCTTGACATTCTTTCAGGCCTATTCGAGGCCGACAATGATCAAGACCTTGCATGTCACCTCGCTGTAGAGATCACTGGCGCTCAAGATGGACCCGAATTCGAAGCCCTCTGTTCCTTCGGGTACGCTGGTATCGCGGCCGATGGAAACCAGGTCGTTGACGGGCCAGTCTTGAAACGTATCCGCCAGAAATTCGACGCTGGCCTCGGCAACAAACTCATCGACAAGTATCGCGCTGTCGCGGTTGGCACTAACGATTCGTGGGAAAAGCACGAGGCTAAGTACCGTGTCATCATTCTGGGTGCACTCATGATGGGGACCGGTGCGGAAATCAGAGACCACGACCTCCAACATCTCCGCCGGCTTGCTTCCGAGGTTCAGTGCAACGAGAAGTTCACGCTTGCCTTTGCCGATACGGGTTTCCGTGGCCCAGGGAAGAGACAGTTCCTTGCCGCCTTGGACAATTACACGCCCGGAACGCCACGCAGTTACAACCAACCAAGTTGCCGTATGTGGAAGCCGCGCTCCCTCCCCCTTTCACTGCTCACGGTCGCGCCCGACACGGTTTCAGCCATAGCCCATCCCCGACGTTTTGAGTAGGAATAAATAAGTTGACATCTATGAACAGATGCCTGTGGCAAGTCAAAGCAGGACACTGGAAAGGCCCCCTTGAAGTGTAGTGGTTGTTCGAAGGGCTGGTTTTGCGACAAGGTAGGTTGCAAGCACGGCGTCCGGTGTGATAGTTGACCGAGCTAACACATGGTTAGGACTGTCAGCGAAGTCTGTGGAGTGTCCACAAGCAGAATTGCCGAAAGGCTTTGAATCGCGGAGGCGCCTTTGTGATGTTGAATGTTTAGGAAGGGTTGAGCCCGTGCACCTGGGGTCATGCTTGAATTGCCCGATTGGGCAAAGTGTTTTTTATTTCTTTTATTTTAATTCGGACCCACGGGCTGCTGTTCTCATTTGTCATTTGCGGCTGATCCTCATGAGTCCTTCACAACCCAAACTTCAGTAACCCACCGACAGCCGGGGCAATTGTTCTCGAGGCAACACCACGCGATCTTCAAAGGTAAACATCCCCTCTCTACCGCCTACCCAATGTCTTATATTCGCTGCCCGTGATGACTTTCCTTGAGCAACACAACAAGCCGAAGACGAGAACACAGCGTTGACGAAACCGAGCTTTGCCTCTGGGGTCATCTTCGCTGCCATGTCGATGCTGGCGTAAATTACTTGATCTAATCTGAGGGCACCCAACTCATATCTGCGTTCATGAACCCCGCCGTTATGGAATACGTTGTCTAATTTCATCCGTCATAGTCAATAGCCCGTCCAGCCGGTCGTCGCGGCCGCTAGACAAAAATAGAGAGGCAACAGGCCAGGCATGGATGCCCCCAATTTCTGCCTTGCTCTTTACGGTAACTTTAGCTTCCCGAAGCGTGTCGACGAGGCTCTCAATTTCAGGCGCAAGCACCTCCTCCGTCCCATACGTAATGACGATACCTTGGGTCGGACTGGATCTCTTCCACCACAGAGCGTCCTTGCAACAGCCCGGTGACACTAACGGATCTGTCGCGGGGATTCGGTTGCCCGCGAAATGTGTTCCATACCGACGGAGCTGCTGCGCGTCCAAGTAGTCGCTCACAGTATTCTCATGTCGAGTCGAGACGAGGGTCGCCCAGGGCGATATTAACACAGCAAGTGCAGGCTTGGGGGGCGGCTGTTTCTCCCCGTGACCATTTGTCCGCTTGTCACCCAAGCGGAGCAACAAACACAAAATAAGCGTCGCACCTGCAGAATCGCCGCTTACACACACGATTGACGGATCTTGCGCCACCGCTAGAACGTGCTCGTAACCCTGCAGTGTCTCCTCGACCTGCGTAGGGAACGAGGCATCGGGAACGAGGGTGTACTCTAATGCGAATATCGCCGGGTTCTTGTAGCCCGCCGAGCCCAAGACTGACAGCCAGGTCAAGAGGTACTCAAGATAAAAGTACGAGGAGCCCATCGAGAAGCCTCCCCCTGAATCCGTGTTAGCTCAGGGAAGCTAGCATCGTCGGCATCCTTACCATGGGCGTAATACAGGACAAGGTCAGGCTTTTCCGTCGGATTCTTACTCAGCCAAATGCCACGAAATCCGCGCTGCAAGCCGGTCAGGTCAGTATGAAAGACCGGAACACAGGTCAAAAACATTACCTCGCAATGCTCCCACCAGTGAATCGGAGACCCTAGGTAGCCATGGCGGAGCAACCGGAACCACAGAAACGGAAGCGACACCTCCCTCGCGAAGAACACCCGTCCTACCCTCGGCGGGATGTTTGCGAAGGCGTACCGCACACACCGGACCACGACGTCCTCAAACAGAGATGCCCTCCGCTGAAAACCGCTCTGCTTTTCGCGACGGACCAGGTATCGGTCACGAATGAACGTCACAGGCAGTTGCGTTACTTCGACCGGTCAGCGGACGTCACAAGCAGGTACCACGTGTTGCCCAGCACTCACAGAGAAACGGCAATGCCTGCAGAGCACACCATACCGTCTCGAAAAAGCCCACCCGCCAGATCAGCTGGGGTGCCAGGAAAAGGCAAAAGACGGCGCAGTCTAGATACGACACGGGTCCAAGGTTCATCTCACCCCGTTCAGGCGGACGAGCGGGATGTCGTGCTGTGGTTTCTCGGGTGTTAGTCACACCAGTCTCACTGCAGACGCTGGGAACGATGCTGCCTACCGCTCATTCTTTTTGCTTCGCTCCGGCATTGGTCGGGCCGGGGGTCCTGGGGTGCGGGATGGTTTGGGTGAAGCTCTGCCTCTGCAGGAGGAGGATGACGTCGGAGCAAGACGCAACGCAGCGGTTGCTTGGCATCCCTCTCGCGCCTTGGCCCGAGTTACTCCGATCATGGACAGAAAATCACCACTGCTTTGCAAGAAGGAGAAGGGCGACACCGACAGATGCGGCAATCTAATGATCCCAACAGTTCACCATTGCCCACGAATACTTCGTACGATCTTGTACCGGAAAACACCAACAATGCATCTATGATGTGCGATTGCATCTCCCCTTCCACCCTTCATCGCCGGATCATCAACAGAACCAGGGAGACAAGAACCAGGCTATTTATCCTCGCAGCCTACCCCTCACTCACCATGTTAGCTCATGTATTCTTGGCGACCTTCAAGATCCTCTCCTCCATCTCCTCAAACGCCGCCAGCACATTCCCATACTTCTGGAACACGCCATCCCGGTACCCATCGTCCACCTTCTGAATCGCGCCCTCCTCCTTCCAGCGCTTCCCGATCAGCTCGTCGAAGGTCTCGCCCTCGGCGCGCTCAAACGCCCACACGGCCTTGTAGGCGCCGCCCAGCGCGCAGGCGTTGCCGCCGACGTCGAGCTTGTACACGCCGTCGGCGCCGCCCAGCACGTCGCCGACGATGCGCGCGATGGCCGGGTTGTGCGACCCGCCGCCGACCAGGTAGATGCGGCGCGGCTGCGCGGGAAGCCGGCCGCCGCCGCCGTCGCCGCCGGGCGGGCTCACCAGCCTCTGGCTGCGCAGCCGCATCGACAGCGCCTGCGACTCGACGATGACGCGCGCGTCCGTCTCGGCCCGCCAACCCGGCTGCACGCCTGGTTGGCCCTGCTCCCGTAGTGCGTTGCCTGTGGCCGCGTCGCACGTGTACCGCCAGGTGCCCGCGCGGATGTTGGGCACGATCTCGGGCAGGTAGAAGTACAGGCCGAGCTTGGCGCGGTCCGAGTCCGAGCGGACGTCGAGCGGCGGGGTGGCGAGCGCGTGCTTGTTGAAGGCCGCCCAGGGGTCGCTGGCGTCGCTGGCGTCGGCGCCCTCGGCCTTGGGCAGCGCGTCGCGCACCTTCTCGCGGGCCAGGCCGCCGTTCTTGTAGCACAGCATGAACATGTGCTGGCCCGGGGTGGTCGGATGGTTGAAGAAGTGGTAGCTCGGGTCCGGCTTGTAGACGGGCGTGCTCATGAGGAAGGTGGTGCTGGTGCCCAGGCTGACGATGGCGTCGAGCGGGCGGAGCGGGAGCGCCAGGATCGTCGCCGGGTTGTCGCCCGTGAAGGGCGCCACCTCGCAGTCGGGGCTGAAGTTGTACTTGGAGGTGAAGTAGCTGCTGACCCGGCCCATGCTGCCGCCGCCGTCTTGTCGGACCTCGCCGAGCTTGCTGCGCAGATCTGGCACGCCGTCCTTGCCCGCCGTGAGCTCGAGGAGCGGCTCGGACCAGTCGTTGCCCGCGATGTCCCAGAGGTTCATGCCGCAGACGTCACTGATGTCCATTGGCGCCACGGCGCCGAGGAAGAGGGAGGCGAGGAAGGACGAGGCGAGGGAGATGCGGGCTGTGTTGGCGTACATGTCTGGGAGCTTTCGTCGGAGGCGCATTATCTGTGTGCCGGTGAAGCGCTACTAGACTGTCAGCCATTGTTTCCTTCTGGAGGTTCGTACCTTGAGTTTCCTGTATCGCCGACTTACATGATGCGCAGCACTCCCTGTAACTTCAGCCAAACGGTCTGCAGACCCCAACTTCGCATCGAACTGGTCGCACTCCTGCTGCGTGCTGTGGTCCTGCCAATTCGGGGCATACGGGTGTGAGAAGGCCTCCTTGAGCTGGTCGACTAGCGGCTTGTCCGACTTCAGACCACCGAGCAGAGACTCGGCCTGGCGGCCCCAGTAGACACTACCGTGCTGCTGGCAGGAGCCGCTGATGCCCCGGATCCGGTTCATGGGCGTCTTGTTCTCCTGCAGCCGCTGCAGGACCAGGTCGAGGGACTCGAGCCACATGGCTACGGGGGCAAAGACCTCGCCTTCATCCTCGTTGACGAGCACACCCTTCTTGACGTTGTACTTGGAGCCGAAGTCTTGGTCGAAGTCGACTTTGGCGTCGGCAACAACGTTGAGGTCGGACTGAACGACAATTGCTGTAGGCAAGGGTAATGTTAGTGGGTTGGTTTTGCCCTGGAGGGTAGGTTTGTTCTGGAAGGCGCACCCTTCAGCTGCTGGGTCGAGAGGTCGAACCCCAGGTAGAGGGGTCCGTCACTCATGATGTCGTTGGTGTACTTGGAGCCGTCTTCGTAATTCGTGAGAGGAGAGATGGCGGGGCAGGTCTAATCAAGTAGTTCCCAGGTTTAAAATCACACAAATTTGACAAGAACGAGAGACACCACGGAACAATTCAAGCAAGACAAGAATTCCTCAAGAAAAGAATTAGAAGAGGGAGGGAACTCGTGCCCCTTTCAGCCGACGTGGGGTCATCTTCGTCATTATCCCAAGCCATTCAGGTACACGGCATGGCGGGGCAGCCAGCCCCACGCGTCACAGCGAACAGCCTCGTCTGGTGGTATTTAGCCTGAAATGGGATTGGTGGTCTCGACCAATGCCGAATTGGCGACTCGCAGGAAAGGCTCCAGTCCCGCGCGAGTTGAGCGATAGGCGCGCTTCGCATTCTCTGGCATGATGTATTTGCCGATGTCGCTCTTGGCTTTAAGAGGGTCCGTCTCGATTTGGACGGGTATGGTATGAAGAGGATACTCGGCTGATGTTGATAGAATGGAATCAATTCTTTGTGAGAGTGGTGCTGTGTAGAAATTGGCCAGAACAGACCAGACTCGGTTTCACGAGTTGAGACGAGGGGGACTTAATGCAACCCTAACCCAAGCCGTGCATTCGCCCCCTCGAGCTCTGGACCCTGGCTCGCCTGGACCCCTTGAATGATGAATGACAGCTTGCAGCTGCAGGCCCCTTCTCTTTTGGTAGAGCGCCAATGACAAAGGGAACTAAACTGCACGACCCTTGGACTCGACGAAAGGGCGACAGAAAAAACACCCAACCACCTGCCCACGACGACTGTTCTCTTTCACGACAGCGCCATGGACAAGCTGGAACCTCGAGCAACGGCCTGAGGAAAGAATGCGCGCCTCGGCAAATTGGCCAAAAACATTGACGCCGGCGCTAGTGGTCCTGGGACTCCACGCACTCGCCGCCCATGGCTCCAGGTCCGGCTCTGAGACGGCCGTGACCGCCGCGCCGGCTGCTACAGAGGTCTGCGAGTCAAGAACCATCAATTACATCACCCACACCCTCCCACAACAATGTCTGCGCACCTCGTGGACGAGTCCCACCCCGACCGCCACCGCCGACGACTCGACAATCCAGCCGACTGTCACGACTACCACTACGACAGTCACCGAGAGCCCGGGATCCACCCAAGACAATGCCACGGTGCAAGAGAAGGATGCCCAAGAGGAGGAGCTGGCCGCAAGCTCCTTCATGTCGTTTGAGGAGTGGAAGGAGATGATGTTGCGGAAGTCCGGGCAGGATCCCGCCAACATCAAGGCCCAGAAGCAGCGCGAGCACCGGGAACGGGACCCGAACATGAACAGCGGTGATACCGACAGCTTTGGTGAAGAAGGGGAGATCGCACTTGATTTTGACGCCCTCGCCGAGAAGGTGTCCGAGATCACGTCGTCCACCGACAGAGGTACCCCAAAGGCCAACGAGGTGGTGCAGGAAGAGCAGATCTTCTACGACGACGGCAAGACGCAGTATTACCGGAGCAAGGATGCTGGCAAGACTTGCAAGGAGAGGTTCTCGTACGCATCTTTCGATGCCGGCGCCACCGTCCTCAAGACGAGTGCCCGTGCGAAGAACGCCAAGGCTATCCTGGTCGAGAACAAGGACTCGTACATGCTTCTTGAATGCCGCACAAAAAACAAGTTCGTCATTGTCGAGTTGAGCGATGACATCCTTGTCGATACCGTCGTCCTAGCCAATTTCGAGTTCTTCTCCAGCATGATCCGCACCTTTAGGGTCAGCGTTAGCGACCGCTATCCCGTGAAGCTGGACAAATGGGTAGACCTGGGCACCTTCGAAGCTCGCAACGCGCGAGACATCCAGGCCTTCTTGATCGAGCATCCTCAAATTTACACCAAGTACATCCGCATCGAGTTTCTGAGCCACTGGGGCAATGAGTTTTACTGTCCGGTATCATTGCTCCGCGTCCATGGCACACGTATGCTGGATACGTGGAAGGAGCCGAGCCATGATGACGAACCGGAGCAAATCCAGGGGTCAACACAGGAGCCGGCCACGGAGCCGGCCGCGGAGCCGCAGCAAGTGCAGGAACCAGCAAGCGGTGACAACCCATCGGTGGTCGAATCTGAGGAGACCGCCCAAACTCAGGAGAGAGCCCCTCGCGCCTCCATAGAAATGGGCCTTAGCCCCTGGCGCCCCCTTTTTCAGGGTAACTTCTCGCTTCAAATTTGCGAACTGCGCTCGCCAACGACGGCCGAACCCACGCCTGTTGAGTCTGGCTCGGGTATACCACCCAAACGACCTGTGGAAGCCCCCGATTCAGTAACTCCGCGCCCATCGGCGCCCTCAGCCGGCGACAGATCTCGGGCCCGGCCCGGCAGTCCGTCCCCCCCCGAGCCTGCATCTCCTGGAGCGCCCGCTTCCCAGGGGCAATCAGGGGGTTCTGCTCCTTCTGGCGCCTCTTCAACGCCACCGCAGGGCAGCAATGATAATGCAGCCAGCGGCTCAGATCAAAAACAGTCCGATGGCAGAGCGGATGCCGCGGATAACTCGTCCACCACCACAACCATCCCCCGCAACAAAACCAGCTCCGTCTCCTCCGCATCTGCCTCCCCTACCGTGCAAGAATCTTTCTTCAAAACAATGACCAAGCGCCTCCAACTCCTCGAATCTAACACCTCCCTCTCCCTCCAATACATCGAAGAGCAGTCGCGCTTCTTGCAAGAAGTACTCCTCAAGATGGAGCGCAAGCAGATAACGCGAGTCGACTCCTTCCTCGACACCCTCAACAAGACGGTCCTCTCCGAGCTCCGCAACGTGCGCACTCAGTACGACCAGATCTGGCAGAGCACCGTACTTGCCCTCGAAACCCAGCGCGAGCAATCCCAGGGCGAGATCGTCGCCCTCACCTCCCGCCTCAACATTCTCGCCGACGAAGTCGTCTTCCAAAAGCGCATGGCCATCCTCCAAAGCGTCCTCCTCCTCGCCTGCCTCGTCCTCGTCATCTTCAGCCGCGGCGGCCTCGCCGGCCTCGACAGTGCCTCCTTCCCCGCCTTCCCCCCCGCCTCGACCGGCACCGCCTACCGCCGCTACGGCTACGCCCGCTCCGACTCCCTCTCCGGCATCTCCATGCCCGGCTCATCTCCCCCGCACCAACGCTCCAACGGCCAGCCACCAAACGGAGCGACCCCCACCCACAACCACAACAACAACAACAACCACCTCGCCACCTCCGCCCTCCCACGCCACCTCTACCCAACCTCATCCTCGGCCTCTTTCAAAGACAAAACCCTTCCTCTAACCCCACCATCCGAGTACAGCAGGGAGAGCACACCGGCGACATCACGCCTCCGCCACCACCTCCACCACAGCCCCGAGGGGCCCTTCTACGAGAAGCAAGAGCAAGATCAAGACCAAGACCAGGATCAAGATCAAGACCAGGACCAAGACCAGGACCGAGAAGAGGGGCATGCGCAAGAGCAGGACTACGGGACGCCCTCTCGTCAACGCCAGCGCCGGCACCACACTGCTCCAGCATCGACAAGGCCAGCGTCAGGGGGGCGACAACCACCATCAGACGACGCGGACGCCGAGGTCTCCTCCATCGAGATAGACGCCGGCGCGGCAGAAGAAGTCATGTCTCCGCCACAGGGTAGAGGGGAGCAAGAGGAGCAAGAGGAGCAGGAGGAGGAGAAGTCGCCGCTGCTGAGGGTCCGATCAAACATGTCGCAGACGGGCGGGCTTAGGAAGCAGTTGCCGGCGCTGCCCGAGGATCCGAGCTAATCATGCCGGTGCCCACGTATATATGTAGAGACCATAATTCGCGCGTTGCCAGCCTTTATAAAGACTCATTTTAATCTCGGTTTTCACTCTTATCGACTTCGTCGTGATGCATGGCAAAGAAATGGCCGTATCAGCACAATCACGCTCCGTGATGAGCTAGGGAAACAGCAAGATGGGAAGGTAACGCTAATTGAGAGGCCAAAAGCTATCTCCGGAATTCCTAATTATGCTGGATAACTGCCCGGGCCATACTCAGTCGCAATCCGACTGCTCAAAAATCAGGCTCTGCGATATGGGACGACCTTTCCTAGACTACCAAGGCTTCAAGAACCCCCATAGTCCAATCCCAGATGTCGTCCCGCTCCTTCGCCTGTTGTCCCCATCTTATCTTCCACCCACACCTTCCCTTTCCCTTTTTTTTCTGGTTTGCTTCGCGAAACCGAGGCTAAGTAACGCTGCGATAACATGTTTTCGCTCCGTTCCCGCCCAAGATGTGAACGTATCTGTTAAGGTGTATCTCTCAGACAGCAACTGAATTGCAATGCAAATGGTGTCCACCTTTGTCGACTTCTGAAATATGGCAAAGCAAGCTAAGCCAGCGCATTCCCCCGGGTCGAATATTAACGTGTCTCGGTATCCCACCAAAATTCCTGTGATCTTCGATGTCGGCGTCCCCTGTGGAGCGTTCCCGCGAGGTCTACTGCTGCTGTCCGAAGTATCCGTGCTGCTGGGCGTGAGCGTCGTAATCGTACTCCTCCAGGGCTGCAAGCCTGGTGCCGCGATCGTACTGAGAACGACGGCGGCGCTGCTCATCGCGGAAGTGCTGGCCAGCGTTGGGAGTGAAGAGCCCTGAAACGTTAGTATTGGCCAATGCGAAATGCTAGGCCAGGGCCTACTACGCACCGACATGCTCAGCGTTCTCGCAGCTGCGCTTCATTTTGGACTGATTGTCAGGCTCCGGGAACGGCTCCTCTTGGCCAGCCAGATCCGGTCTTGGCCCATTGCAGGTGAAATAGAGCTAAGATTATCAGCTATAGTGTAAAGCGTAACAACAAGGACAGGCTCACCTTGGGTCGGTAATGAGGCGCCTCCAGCATGACGGAGCTGTTACGGAACTTTTGAACCAAACAATCCTTCCCTTGGATAGCTTCGGAGCGTCAGCATGCAGTTCAGGCTTCTCGAGTAAATATTTTGAACTTACTCGCGTAGGAGATCTCGGCGACCTTGTCGCTCTTGAAACAGTTCCAGCGCTGGTTGCCTCGGGCATTGACGAACTGCTTGCAAGTCAGATATACCGGCCTGCAGGTACTAGAGGGGTTTAAGGTGTGGTCAAACATACATCAATAATGTCCAAAGGCTGCTCGATTGTTAGCGGCTATGACCTACACAGATTTAAGAGAAATGACTTACATCCACGAAGTTGATGAATGCGTAACCAACACTGGAAGCAGGACGTCAACATGGCTAAACGGGTGCGAAGCTTGGGCTAATACTCACTTGCAATCGTTGGCAAAATCGATACGCAAGTACATGAAATCATACTTGCCCCAGCTCGACTCATCGACAATGCGCTTAAGCATAGCCTGGTCGACTTTGTTGGGAATATTCCGCAACATGATCTACTCTTGTGAGCTGCGGCACCATAAGTGAGGGTAGGGGGAAGCATACAGTGGTTCGAACGTCAATGCCGTCTCGGATGCGGTTGACATCAACATGGTTGTGATGACCGGCGTTATTGAAGTACGGGGTCCGGTTGACCCGCATGGCGGTATGGCGGCGTGTGTCAAGGCCATGACGCCCATATGGCTGCATGCTTCTCGGGCTGGTGAAATCCCCGTGCATTGCCATCGGGGTATCCGGAGGTGTGGTATTGAACAGCGGCGCCATGATTGGCATGTTTCCTGAAATGGGGGTCATCGGTGCTATATGGTTAACACCCTGGCCGCGTGTCGGAGTCTGATCAAGCATGAGTCGACTCGGTGCGGCAGCTTGGAGACCATGATAGACAACCGGATACATGGCGTATTGCTGAGGGGGACGAAGCCGGGCGGGTGATTGATTAAACCGGCTAGATGCAAAAGGTCCACTAGGCTGCTGAGCGTTCTCTGACGCACCCATCCCTTGGAAGGCGCTCGCGATAGTGTGGTCGGTGGTTTGCTGATCGTTCAGCGGAGGGTTGTAGCCCTCGACCGGCCGAGACATCGTTGTCGACCCGTTCAGCTGACATAGTGACAAAATCAGGTGAACCCCCTGTGGCGAGAATGGAGGTTAGCGTAATCTGAAGAAGGGGGTTGTGGTATCTTACACCCAACGTGGCCCTGTTGAACTTGTGAACAACGGAGATGGCAATATCGGCGTCTGAAAACTCAACTGAGGCTCGAAAAGTGTGGTCGTTTGTCTCGCTCTGCCGCAGAAGCGCGAATACCTCACCTTGGGTTTCCAAGAAAGTGTGAACGACAGTCTCGACGTGAACGGCGCCGAAGTTGACACCTTCGTCAAATGCCGTGATTTGAATCTTGCCGTCGCAGATCGGGTCGACTTGGGTCATTGAACCACAGGCCTAATACTCGTCAGTCAAGAGGAAATGGGAGTCTGGAAAACGGTGAAAATCCTCACCCTATGGAATTCGATCGCGGAGATATATTCGGCACACCAGTGAGGAGAACCTAGCTGCACGTTGTCGTGGGTGTTGCGAGCATCCCGCACGTTGGGAAGGTGTAGGTAGACCCGACCTTCGGCCGCGATCAGGTTGCGTTTACCCTGACAAGGCGATCCAAGCCGTTCCAGCTTCTGTGTTTGTGTTATTAGTAACGCATCGATGAGTTGGCAGGGGTGTCTTCTTACCGCAAGATATCCTTCAGCATCGGTAACCGTGATGGGGAAGGACGGCGAGTAGAGAACAAGGCAGCGAGATATTCCCAGATCGCAGCTAAATTTGGCTGTGGCATGGGGCGCAAAAAGCTGGCGGTTGACACCGTGACCGGCATTCACTCCGGGCGACGCATTCAGAGATCCATGGGCTACGAGGGGAACTGAGAGAGGACGGAATGCCGAGGCGGTTGGTGACAATTTCTGTTCGCCCTTGATAGTCGAGTTTGAAATGAAGGGGTCCTTCTCAGAGGTGGCTGAACTTGTATTACCAAAACCATCGGCGGACCCGACATGGTAGTGGGCAGTGTGGGTGGAAGGGCCGTCGAGCCCGAGAGTGGTCAGGAGCCTGTTGGATTTGGCCGAGTTCTCATCGGGAGAGAATACGGTGAGTTTGGTATCCGGGGTTCCCTCATAGTTGTAAGAGTCGACACCACCACTCGACGAGTGGGGGGAAGACGGGTTGAACGATGCATCCCGCACATGGGCCATGGTGATCGTCGCCGTGCTGGCTCTTGTCGCCGAGTGCTTTCTTGGCAGCGCTTGATGCGGCACGCGTGTTCGAGGAAGTCGACGACGATCGATTAGGTATCAGGTAGGACCTGACGAGAGAAGATGAAAAGTGAGGGTAATTCTCGCAGGCGGGCCTGTGATGAAGGAAAGAGGAGATCGATGCGTGATCCAAAAGAGGTTTACGGAAGGAGAAATGGGGATTGCTGCCCAGTTCTCTAAAACCCTTCCTTAATCGGCGGGAAAACCAAAAATTGGAAGGAGCGTAATCTGAAAAATAGAGTTCCTGAGGCAGGAACTGAGTAGAAGTGGAAGGCAGGGCCCGGATAGTTGAACAACTGCGATGGTTTTGGAGATCGCCCCGAGTTTGAACATTGACAGAGGTTCGCCGCTTTGGAAAGGAACAAGAAGTGGAGGGTAAAAACTAAAATGCAAAGACTAAGGGAGGAATCGGATGAGAATGCTAAAAAAAAAAGGTGGGATAATAGAAGTATTCCTCAACCTTGGGGTTTGATTCCGACTTCACCGAAGGCCCGCATTGGGAACACGATGTTGTGGAGGAAAGGTCTTTTGAATTTCTCTTCAAATGCCTAGTCGGGTTGCAGAAGAAGACCAACGGAAGTCTTATGGGTGAAGAGGCAGTTGGGACTGCCAGATTATACCGGGTCAAAGGTTGGGGAGGTGGTAAAGTCCAACAACTTGGGGAAAACTCTCCAAGCGCTATATGGAAATCTAAACGTCAGAAGTTCCAATTCTTTATTTGTGAGCGGGCATGTGCTGTCAAGGACTGGAATTTGCTCCAAGACCTGCCAATGACTGACGTGCTCTCCGATGGGCCTTGGTGACCAGCAGTAAGATAGGTACCTAGATCATAGGTAGGCCCAAGTATCCCTCGACCATACACGCACGGTACGTGCATGTAAATATGGGCTTGTATAATGCTGACACTTCATTCGTCAATCTTGCCAATAGAGATAACCGCTCGTTGAACGACTGAACTAAGTAAATAAAATAAGTCGAACATCATTTGCCAACCCCCCACTACCTACTTTTCATACGACACACCACCGGTGCCGTGCTTTATCATGGGACCACGCGCAGCTACGCACTCTGGGCGTGCGCTTTGCTTCTGTCGCCCGCCACTTTACCGACTACCTCTTCTCCCTTTTCTCTCTCCTTCTCGGCCACGCGCGTTACCTCGAACGTTAACCCAGCTTCCGCCTCTCTTTGCCGGCATATCCTCAGCCGCCACACCCCCTCCTCTATCTGGGGTCGAGCATCAGCCCTTAGCCAAGGGAACACAGCTCAATTCCGTCTTGGGCAAATCCTACGTCATTGACGAAGTGCTTTCTCGGCGACGTGACTCGGATAGGCTTTTGTGCGTGTACCGAGCTAGGTAAGTTGATCCCTGAGAGTTGTTTGGCGCATGGGTTGAGGACAAACTCGGAGGATCTGATTCTTACCCTGTGTTAGTCACGAGGGGAAGCTGTTCATTCTTAAAGACATTTTTCCCGGCCACTTTGAGTACAATATTTCGTTGCAGGAGCATGTAAAGCACTCCCCCCATGTCCGAACGACGGTGGACAGCATTCCTGATCGGTACATCTTGGTTTTCCCTCATCTCGAGAAAGACCTACACCATATCAAAACCGCGGCCCTATCCCCAGCCGCCAAAAAGGGAATCATACGAGACTCTCTTGTCGGTCTTGCTAACCTACACGACAAGCACATAATCCACAGTGGTTAGTTCGTCGTCGCGTTCTGGGATATTGTAGGAAGTGTTAATGTAGTTGGTAGATATCAAGCCCACCAACATCATGATGGACTCGTTCAAGCAAGTCAATGGCGAGCTTGGGTTTCGCAATGTCCAGATTACGGACCTAGAGGCCGCACTGGTTCTCCCTCCGGAGGCCATCGGAGTAACGGACCGTTTGTCTGGCAATTGCTTCTGGCGAAGCCCAGAGGCATGGGCTCGGGGGGCCCAGAACACCCCATCCGACATCTATTCCTTTGGGATCGTGGTGAGTCTCACTTGAGCTTACGAGTTCCGATCATCATACACTGACAAGTTGGCACTCAGGCAATCTTCACCTGGACCGGCAGGATGGTATTCTGCTCGGACGAGGCAACCCGAGCTTCTTCCGAGGCGCGGGCGCAGCTAATACTCCGGCTCCATCTTTCTTACTTCGCCAGAGAGATGGAAGACTTTGAGGGGTTCATCAACTACCACAGCGGACACCGGGATCCATTTGTCGAACGTCTCAAAGCGCTCCTCTGCACGTTCAACGAAGAGAACCCAAGGCTGCCCTTCTCTGGATGGCAGCACATAGATTCACAGCTGAGGGATCTCGTTTGCAGGATGACTTGTATGGATCCATTGCGGAGGATCACAGCGCGGGAGGCACTGCAGCACCCCTGGTTTGCTGAAGATGCGGAAGTTTAGCTGTATCGTGGGTGGGTGGGTGTAGAGGCAGATTCTCCAGCAGTTGTTTGTATTGTAATATACAGTATGGTACTTGACGTGCCCCTGATGAGCGGTGACGGTCTGAGATGTTACCCGTGGTGGTAGTTATGGTGAATTCGTGATTGACGAAAAGCCAAAAAGTACAGATCACGTACAGATATATAAATGAATACAGGTATATAAACAACAGGAGATTGTCTAGTGTGATCCGGTCTCTCCGGTGTCCGGGGTAGCTGCCAAGACACGGAGACGGCGGCTTGGCAACCGGTCCACCTTCCCCCGCGGCGCCGCAAGCTGCAGCCGGCCCTTCGAGCAGCGGGGCAGGTGCACAGGCCACTAACCGCTCCCCTGGTCGCACTCGACTGAGCACCTCGGAGCTTGAAGAGGGCATCGTCCAAGAAAACCATCCTCCGCAATTCAACAGAACCCGAAGGGCCACACATTAGGAAGTGGTAGTGGCGCTGATGCCCCCGATCCAAAATGCCGAGGAAAGCCCAAACCTGGGACGATTATGACTCGGCTGTCAACGAGGTTCGTAGGTCGCGATCGCAAGCTGTTGCCTCGATCGTACCCCTTCGTCCCTCGTGCGCTTTGCTTACAGGTAGCGTCGAATATCACAGATAATCCTCGCACCGTCCGACCCCGAGTTTCTCGACCAATTGATTCCCGTCCTCAAAGATGCAACCGCAAGCAGCCGCATCGGGTCCCTCGTGCAGAGCCTCTCCCATTACGCCGAGGAGCGCGAGGGAGACATCGAGCGAATCGGCCTAACAAAGCACGAGGAATTCCTGGGCTCCGTCAACCAGCTGCAGAAAGTGCGCGAAGGAACTGTGGCCTTGACGGCCGAGATCCTGGACCTCAACCAATCGATCCAAGCCAGCACCGAGAAGCTCGCGGAGCAGAAGCAGGGGTTGGTGGACACGCGCGGGGTGCGCCAGAACATCACCGAAGTCTCGGACGCTCTCGAGGAGTCGCTCAAGATTCTGCATGCTGTCAACAATGCCCACGACCTCATCCGGAAAAAGAAATACTATGCCGCCCTTAAGTCCCTGGAGGACCTCCAAAACGAGTACTTGGTACCCATCATCCAGAACAAGTTCGCGACTCAATACAAGCTTGCCGACATGATCCAGAAGTCGATCCCCGCTTCCCAGAAGGCAATATCGGAGGCGGTCATGTCAGATCTGAACACCTGGTTGTTTATCGTCCGAGAATCGTCGCAGTTCTTGGGTGAGGTTGCCTTCTTCCATACAGAGGAGCGAAGGGTCAGGCAAAAGGAGCGGATGGAGGGGAACGAGTTGTTGAGCCGCTTCAAGCTGAACTCGGCTATCGAGCTGGTTTTCGATGAGAACGACGAGTTCGATGTTCTTTTCAACGAGGAGCTCCAGGTCGACTTTACGCCCTTGCACGAAGCGTTGCATATCCACGAAGCGCTTGGGCAGGTTGACAGGTTTCGTGCCGAGTATGCAGCCACTAGAAGGCAGCAGAAAGACCTGCTTATGCCCAGCTCCGAGAATTTGTTTGCCAATGGTGACAACTTGTCTCTCAAAGCCCTCCTGGAAAGTGTTGCCGGGTTTGCCATCATTGAAAAGGCCACCATGCAGCGCGCCCCGTTAGTTCGCTCGACGCTTGATGTAAGCTTTCTTGATACCCTGGATTAGGAACAACAACTGACGCAATGCAGGTTGACGAGCTTTGGGATTCGATGTGCCAGGCCGCTATCCGAATCACCTCGAGGTCGTTGGAAAGCGTAGACAATGGGGAACTGCTAGTGCAGATCAAGGAGGATATTGCCCTGTTTATCCAAACCATGGAGGTGAGTTATGGCTGCGTCACACACGTCGCTGTTTCTGACAGTGCATTCAGGGCTGGGGATATTCCGCCTCCCTAGTGAACAATTTCCAGCTTGTACTATTTCACAAGTATGCGGAGTTGCTGCAGCGTCGGTTCGGGGCAGTGTTCGAAGAGGTGAGTCAAGCGATGCAGGCGACTTTGGCCGGAGCTAACACCCGTCGAAGGCTGTTTCGACGGACGATTACATGCCTATGAACATCAAAACACCTGCCGACTACGAGCAGGTTTACTCTGCCATCCTCTTTGACGAGGAGATGCCTCCAGATGATGTCACGTACGTAACCAAAATATGCCTCGGAGGATACTTGGTGGGCTCTGACCGTCGACTTGTTGCAGGCTCCCCATCGTCCTACCGTTCTCGAAAATGTATCCCCAGTGCTGCATGCACATTAGGCAATTTGAGCATCACTTCCGCAAATTCACGCGGGAAAACTTCGATCGCCCTAATATTGTTGATGAGACACTTAGAAAGGTACGGAGATGACCATATAGACCAAAAGTTTGATCCTCGTTAACCTTTCGCCTAGACACTGGATGAGCTCCTCACAGACATTGTTTGCAAAACCCTCGTGGAGCGGCTGAACTCTCAATATCTCGGGCAGATCGTGCAGATCCTGACCAACCTCGAGCACTTCGAGGCTGCTTGCCAAAAGCTAGAGCAGCTGTTGATCCAGGGCCGATCCTCCACGTCTGCAGGAGGCCCAGTAACCCTGAAAGCAACAGAGTTGTTCAGGGGCCACAAGAAGACAGCCGAGAAACGCATCTTCGAGCTCGTGAACTCCAAGATCGACGACCTCGTAGACACCTCGGATTACGACTGGTAAGTTCACCCGACTCGGAGCCATCGGCGGATCTGTTACTAACGCAGCGGAATAGGACTGCGACGACAGCACCTCAAGACCCCAGCAGCTATATGGCGACCTTGACCCGCTTCCTCGAAAATATCATGGGCTCCACCCTCCTGGGCCTGCCCCGCGAGATCAAAGAGCTCATCTACTTTGACGCCCTCAGCCACGCAGCCAACAAGATCCTCGTATGGACCCCCCCCCCCCCCCCCCTTTACCCCCCATGCTATGCAGCATGGCATGGCCAACAGCAGCTAATCCCCGGCGCGCGCGCCCCCCAGGCCCTCCCGCTCTCGCCCGACGTCAAAAAGATCAACCCCAACGGCGTCGCCGCGCTGGCGCTGGACGTGAAGCACCTGACCGACTTTGTCAGCAGGCTCGAGAACGCCTTCATGCTGGAGCAGAACCTGGACGAGCTGCAGCAGACGGCGGCGCTGATGCAGTCGGAGGACCACGAGGAGTTCTACGACATCTCGATCCGCAACAAGAAGTACGGCCGCGTCGACGCCATGAACGGGCCGATACTGCTGGAGAAGTATGTTTCCCAGCATAGATGCCGGGAGAAGTTGGGATATGCGTGCTAACCCATGGTTGCTCATCAGGATCACCCAAACGGTTGAGAACCCCAGTCGGACGGCGCCGCTCGCTAACTTCGGATCGCGCTTCGGCTTGAGGTGATCGATCATTGGCCTCCCTTCTCAACCGACACGATGTTACGACAACACATACGACTGCCAGCTCTTGCTATTTCGGGGAACGACGCAAAATGAAAGTCATAATTCAGTCATGAAAACTAACCCAACACCGCCACCACCGCCGCCGCCCAGATCACTACTACTACTACTATAGAGGAAAATCCCAGACCGACAAGGGAATGAATGCTGAACACACTGGGCGGCTCTGTCGGGGGAAGATCGAGGAAAAAGCCCGGCAAAACCAGCCTGATGATACCCAACCTTGCTTCTGCGCCAAAATCATATTCCCCCAATTTAGTACGATGAATTAACAGCTCGGCTCCTGTGCATCCGTTTCGCTCTCCGTACTCGCCGGCCACGACTCAGTGTCCAGAGACGCCGTCGCAGCGTGCAACGCAGCGTCCATGGTGCCTTTTAGGAAAGGGTCCACGGGCGCCAGATCGACGACCGACTGCGATTCCGCACCCGCGATGGCAGAAAAATAGCCTGGAGCTGCCCCAAAGGCAGCTAGATTGGGCCTCTTGCTCTTCGCGAGGAGGTTATCCTGAGGCGAAATGTCTTGACCCGGTTCAAGCTTGACCCTTTTCGCCGAATGTACAGCGCTGACCTCATGCGCCGCCCATGGCTGGCTCTCCGGCGCCGTTTGATGCCCAAGCCCATGTCCCACCACAGGTCGATTCTCCCCCGGGTTGGCCTCCTAAGCGCCCTACTGGTCCAGTTAGCTCGGTTTCATATGGCAGTCGGAGGGACAAGCGGGGGCAAAATGAGTTTGAAAATGAGTTTGGGTGGCTGAACATACCTGCTGAGGAGGCATCGTCCCGTAGGTGTACATATCGTCAACGTTGTACATTTGGGCTTGAGGCTGGCCATACGCGGGTGCTCCCGGCTGGACTTGGCCGGGGTACATGGGCTGGGGCTGGCGGTAATCGGCTTCGGGGCCCATGTTGTGGCCTCCGAGGGTGTAATCCGGTGCAGCCATCGGATGTGGGCCGGCGTGGTTGGGGGCGCCGACGCCGGGGATCTGCGGCTGGGGCGCAGTGGGTTGGGGGGCGGCAGCGGTCTGGTTGCTTGTCCGCTTGGCGTGGGAGGAAGCTTCCTCACGCGGGACAATGTCGATGAGGAAGTCGAACATGTCGGACTTGGCCAGCGCCGAGGCGATGTCGGACCGCTGAAGGGTGCGCCGCTTGTTCTCTTCGGCATGTATCCAGGCCCGCATAGTGAGCTCGGTAATGAAGATGTCGCAACCCTTGGCGAAAAGAATTGGGGCTTCGGCCGAGATCATTTTGACCTCCGGGTCGGCCTTCATGACCTTCTTGATGCGCGCAAGTGGTAATTGGTGCATCTTGTAGTCGTGTGTGTCGCTCTCCAGGTGGCTAATGGTGTGTTGCCAGTAGGCCGTGAGGACATCCTTGTAGTGGCCGGTCAGGCCCTGGTGCACATTCGCCCAGGTTCCAGTGTACAGCTCAGAGGGCGCAAAGCCTTGAGCAGAGATCTAGAGTGGTGATGTCAGTGTCGATGTTTGTCGTTTGGGCGGAATGGAGGCAAATCGTACCGCGGCGCTAGCACCGTAATGCCCACCCAAGCTGAGGTCGTAAACGGGCATTTGCCGGGCCTGCTGCCCGTGCTGCCCGTGTTGGGCCGAGGAGGGGTTCGGATCCATGATGGGCTTGGTTTGTCTTCCGAGATTAATGCGGGAAGGCGTCTTGGGTGCCTTTTTCAAACGCGCCACGAAATATATGCCGATGGAGGTTGCGCGGGGATTATGCCGATGTCGCCCGAATGGTCTCGGTTTCTCCGCCTTTCTGGTGCACTGTGTTTCGGCAAGTGGGCGCTGGATTCACTTCACGCTCTGTTAGCCCCGCGCATTTGTTTACTTTGGGATTGCGGCCGCGCCTCTCTACGGTCGCAACCAGCCTCCCGTGAATGCCCCGTTGATTGGGCGGAATGGTGATTGGGTGGGCGCGTCAAGGTGGGAAGGGGAGCGAATGGGTGGAGTTCAAAAAGGTTGTTTGAACGACTCGTCTGGCCGAGGACGCGAGCCACTCAGCTCTCGTTGCGAGCGGTATTAGATGATTGGTGAGAATTGAATTGGCGGATTGGATGAAGCTCGAGTGAGAGGCTTCGAGAATGGCGCAGCAGTTGCCGGTGATAATGACAGAGGTGAAAATTCGTAGCACGTACCTTGCAATGGAGCTCTCACGACGCGGTATTTGGATGAAAACTGTCGAGGTCTTGAGGAATTGGGGAAGCGGTGATTTGTGCAGGCGGTCAGTCAGCTCGGAAGGTTGGGCATCAGCGTGGGCGGACAACGTGGGCGGCCAGCAAAGTGTGGCGCAGGTCCCGGTTTCCCGTGGGAGAAGCGTGCGGGGATTGGCTGACTTTATGGGTATTTTCCCGAAGCTGCCCAACCGCGGACAGCTGGCCGGTCTCCAGCCTCATTTGTTGCCCTATGACGACAGACAGCCAATGAAGCCTGAGGCTGGAATCGGCCGGCGCCAAATCGACCCGGGGCAGGCCGGGCATCATTGTTTCTCCTCCTGCCGAGTGCACGGACGTTGGGGGTGCCGGGCGTGGGCTGCATGGGCTTGCGCATCCACCTGCAGTGGAACAGTTCCTGATTGATAGCCCCACCTCAGATTTTGTCGTCTTCATTTTTTTTCCACCTCGCTCAACTTCCTGCCGTTCTCCTTTGTTAGGTTCACAAATTCGTGTCACCTTCATTAGGCAATTATGGCGGTCACTTTTGGCTTGCCCGACGATGAAATCGACCGCCTACTTTCGGAAGCCGAGGCTCGTCTTTCCGGCAATGGCAGTTTAGACACTGTCGCTGTCTCTACCTCTGCCGCTGCAGCCGCAGAGACATCGACCACGGTCGTGGCGCCTCCCGCGCCAACTGCTGGGGAACAGACGTCAGTCCTGGAGAAGAAGTCTGAGAAGCTGACTGTCCGGGTTCCCCAGCTTTCCCAGAAGAAGAAGGTACGTAGCAAGCGCTGTCGAGTCCACCATCCCCACGTGTTCCCTGATGAAAACAAATCCCAAACTCTATGACGCCAGCAAGATCCCGTCATGGGACTCGAGCTGGCACCATAATGATTACCTTAGTTCATAGTTACTCTGACACGGACACCCTCTTCAAATCTTTGTTGATTGCATACTCTGTCGCTTGGTTTGTCCATGGTGCTGACCGAAGATAGGGACCGAAGGACACGCTGGGCGCCGATTGGTTTAACTTGCCGCGCACCAACCTCACGCCCGAGCTGAAGCGCGATCTCCAAGCCTTGAGGATGCGTGACGTGGCTGCCATGGGCAAGCAGTTCTTCAAGAAGGACTCCCGCAAGGACCTCATTCCGGAATACAGCCAGGTCGGGACCATCGTTGCGGGAGCAACAGATGGCGTAATCAGCCGTTTGACACGCAAGGAAAAGAAGCGGACGATCGTCGAGGAGATCCTGTCGAGCGAGAACGTTGGCAAGCTCAAGAGCAAGTACCAAGATATCCAGGAGCAGAAAAGGAGCGGGAGGAAGGGGCATTACAAGAAGCTGGTGGCCGGCCGGAGGAAACGCAACGGGTGAAGGACGGGCGGAGCCATGCGTGCAAAACGATACCCATGCCGGCCTCCGTATCAGGTTGGCGCTAATGAGGCATAATACCCGACGGTGTTGCGCCCACTCGCGCACCGCGCGTACCACGAGTTGACGGCTCAGCTACAGCTGGGTCTCCTCGATGCTGGTTCCATGTTCCCGAGGCATCACTGTCATCTGCTCGGGATTCAGCACAGTGTGCTGGCATATCAGAATCATGCAAGAAGCCTTTGGACTGAGAATGCCCCGCTGGCGTTATCAGCCTTGGGCAAAAGAGCTAGGGTCAGTTAAGGGTGTTATCAGATCGCCCTTGACAACACACAATTCAAACAAGTGTCGAGCCGATTGAAAACGATGCCTATTGTAATCCGGTGAGAGCTTGTGTTTTGGTTGCTGAAATTTTGGTTTGGAGCAAGCTGCTGTGCTTGATTTCACGAGCGCTCTTATCGATAACAACCCTGGCCAACATCACGCCAAAAACTCGGCTGAACAGTTCGAGGTGGGTGTTGCACTCGACATCCACTGTCGTCGAGGGTCACAGAGATGAATCCGCCGCGGTTAATACGGCCATTGCGGCCTTTCCTCCAGGGGCAATTGGTGAGAATCATGTGTGCATATTCTTGGGACGTGGGTGGTCTGACATGGTGGGAATGATAGCCCCTCACAGCTCCTCGCTCGGCCGCGGTCGGCATCCCGCGCGCCTCGACCCAGCTTCGGAACTATGCTTCGGTGTGAGTAGACATTCTGGCTAGGAATCATTCCGACTCTAACTTTACTCTTCACAGTGAAACACCGCCGAGTGCCAAACAGGACTCGAGGTCAGCCAGTCCAGCCCCAGCCCCTCGATCCGACACCCCGAATCCCCAGCCCCTCAACCGCTCGCTCGCAGACGAAGACTGACACCCCCAACAGCGCCACACCGCCCGCCGAGACTGCGAAATCCGACAAGCCTGCGAAATCCGACAAGCCGCGCGTTTCCCGCATGCCCCGCGCCCTGGAGGCGCTGTACCTGAAGCCGCTGCGGCGCGAGGTCGAGTACGGGGTGCCGTCGTGCAACCTGCAGCTGCGCTCGTACTCGGTGCGCAACCTCGAGTTCTTCTGCGACTTTGCGCTGCGCGCCGCCTACTACCTCGGCCTCCCCGCGTTCGGCCCCGTGCCGCTGCCGCGCATCACCCAGCGCTGGACGGTGCCCAAGTCGACCTTCATCTTCAAGAAGAGCCAGGAGAACTTCGAGCGCATCACCCTGCGCCGCCTGATCCAGATCCGCGACGGGAACCCGGAGACGGTGCAGCTGTGGCTGGCGTTTCTGCAGAAGCATGCTTACTATGGGATTGGTATGAAGGCGAATGTTTGGGAATTCAGCAAGCTGGGTATGTTGTCTTCTTTTTGTTTTGTTGCATTTGCCTTGACTTCTAGGGAGCACCGTGACTAATTATTCTTTTTTTTTTTCGTCAACAGCCGTCGGGCAGGAGATGGACAAGAACCTCGAGCAGACGGAGAAACTGATGGAGGACAAGTGGGATCACCTGAGCTATGTGGAGCGGCGGCCAGAGTACCAGAAAAAGAAGGACAGGGGCCCTCGCGAGCAGCTGCCTGCGGCGGAGGAGATGTCAGAGTACCTGGCGTCAGAGAGGAGGAAGATTGCAGGCGGCCGGTAGAGAAGGCCATGTGGATGTTGCTAAATGTATCGATACTTCAAGCCTGTATTCTCTGTAAGGGGTTGAGTTGTACAAATACCGTGTAAATCTGCCCAACATGATTGTTGTAAGAAACCCTGGCTGTAACATGAACCACCTTTTACTAGATTCTTGTTTACACCAAGTATAATGAACCGCACGCTTCAGGCGTGTGCTGACGGCTAGGTGAGTTGCAGTTTGTAACCGTGACCCTGGTTTCGTGAAGTTCCGGCCTTTGCCAACCTCGAAAGTTTTTTCGTCACTCACATACTTAACCCTGAAGGGTCATCTCACACCACCAACCTACAACAACACAATCGACAGTTTGTCTGGCCGGCGCATACACATACGCCCGTTTTGATATTTGGCTGGAAACCGGTTATCTTGCCGGCAAAACGTTATGTACCGTAGTTGCAAGGCCGGGCGCAATGTCTGGCAGCAACTGGCAGCCAGTGGGCTCGGTCGGCCGTTGCAGAGAGCAACGGCAACCATAGCAACAGATGGGCATAAAGGGAAAATCACAACGACAAAAACTATTACCACAGCAGCAACGACGACAACGACGGTAACAACTAGGGGTTTTGCTTCCGGGACCCCCAGGGATATCACTTCTGAGACAAAACCAGAATCGCAACCCACCCAGGATAGGCCGGCCATCTCATCGCCATCACCACCTAGCGATGTTGATGTCTCAGAAAAGGCATTTTCAGGGGATGTTCCGGGAGTCATCTTCTCGGGCATACAACCTACGGGCGAGCCTCACCTCGGCAACTACCTCGGGGCGCTGCGCCAGTGGAAACGGCTGCAGGACACAGCTCACCCGAAAACGAAGCTCTTCTTTTGTATTGTTGACATGCACGCCATTACCACACCACGACCCCCGGAGGAAATGCAGGAGTTGAGATGGAAGATGATGGCCAGCTTGCTTGCCGTGGGGCTCGACCCGGATCGGTGCACCATCTTCTTTCAGTCGACCGTACCGCAACACGCCGAGTTGCAGTGGATCCTGAGCTGTACCGCCTCGACCGGTTACCTGTCGCGCATGACGCAGTGGAAAGTAAGTAATGGGCTGAATAGGGGTGCTCTGCGGTTCGGGGCGGGTGCTAATACGGTACGCAGAGCAAGTTGAATCTCGGCGAAAATGCAACGCTAGATAACCTCGGGGCGAAGGGGCTTCTCAAACACGGCCTGTTCTCGTACCCTGTTCTCCAGGCGGCTGACATTCTTCTTTACCGTACCACCCACGTCCCCGTCGGCGAAGACCAGCGCCAGCATCTCGAGTTCACCCGAGAGTGCGTTACCAACTTCAACCACACCTACAAGACGAAGTGTCTGGTGTCACCTCAGACCTTGATTTCTCCTACCCGCCGCGTCATGTCCCTGACCAAACCGGGCGATAAAATGTCCAAATCAGACCTTTCGGCCAAGTCGCGCATCCTCATCACCCACTCGCCCAAGGAAATCGCTGCGAGGATCAACGGCGCCACAACTGACTCCCTCAACACGGTCACCTACGAACCGGAAGCCAGGCCGGGGGTGGCCAACCTTATCAGCATCATGTCCGGCTTCGACCCCCAGGGCCGCTCCCCCGAGCAGCTGGGCGAGGAGATGCAGGGCTACAAAATCAGGGAGCTGAAGGAGGCTGTGGCTCGGGTTGTCAGCGACCAGCTCGCCGAGGTCCGGGAGCGCTATGCAGCCTTTGAGTCCGATAAGGACAAGCTACGAAAAGTCTCGGTTCAAGGTACCGAGAAGGCGACGCTCCAGGCGGGGGAAACCATGGCCGCGGTGAGAGAGGCCATCGGCTTCTCGGATTGATCCTCGCTTGGGCCGGCGGTTTATGTATGAACAGGTTGGAGGTTGGGGGGGTGTGATTTTGTATACTAGCAGGATAGACCTTTGTACGTTTCCCGGGCTCACTGGACGCCGCCTGGTACATTCTAGTGGCAAATGGGTATGCGGCCGACGGGTGTGCGTCCCGGTATCACTTCACCCCCCTCACATAAAGTAGAGCCTCTGGGAGAGAGCTGGGTCTTGGAGGGGCATGGCTACCTCTTTTATTTAACCCACCCAACGGCAAACCCTCATATGGTGTCAAACTCGGATAACACCTCACGAGGCAGTGAGATATCTCTCCGCCCTCACCACAACAAGCCCAAGCCCTACCCACAACACTGTACACACTTCCACGGACACAACAATATTGTAGGACGTAGACGGTAGATGCTACAACATTTCTCCAGTTTCCCAACTCAGTCACCCACAACCCATGCCTCCCGCCCTCAACGCATCTCAAGAAACGTACGCAAAGTTCGCCCCCCGACACGCCATCCAAAACTCCCTCACCACCTGGTTCGTCGCTCTCGCACCTCTCAACCTATCGTCCAATGTCAGCCATCATCACCCCCTGAAACAGCCCCCTCAGACAACCAGATAGACAGGCGGGCGCAAACAACACCCGGGAAAATAGGGGGAAAAGGAGAAGAAGGAAAAAAGGAAAAACTCACGCAACAACCCTCCTCAAAAACGCCATCCTCTCCTCCCCGCCCACCCTCTCCGCCCCCGGAAACCCACCCCCACCACCACCAGCACCCCCCTCCCCAACCCCAACCCCATTATTATTCCCCTCCCCCTCATTCCCAGAAAACAGCGCCCCCTGCAACCAGCCCTGCGCAGCCGGATGCGTGGCGACCAGCTTCTTGAGCGGCTCGCACAGCTTGTCGAGCTCGGAGCGGGCGGCGTGGCCGCCGACGTTGCGGACGAGGGTGGCGGCGATGAGCGGGCCGAGGTGGGCCATGGCGTTGGCGATGGTGGCCTTGAGGTCGGCGGGGGCGGTGGCGATTATGGTCGGGGAGGTGGTCAGGGGGATGAAGTTGGCCTGTTTGTTTTGGGAGGGGGGGGGTTAGTTACCCTGGGGTTTGTGAAGGGAGGAGGAGGGAGGGTTAGGGGGTTGTTTTGGGGAGGGAGGGACCGGGTGGGAAGGGCAGAGCGAAGACAGGCTTACCCAGAACTCGGCTGCTGCTCCCTTGGGAAGAGGCTCGTTCCCGTCGAGGACCTTGATGGAGAAGAGGAAGAAGAATTCCAGGAGGTGGGCGTGGTGCGGGTGGAAGAGCACGTCGGGGTATTTGGACATGACTTTGTCGGTGAAGGCGATGCCGTTGAGGGAGATTTCCGTGTCGGCTTCGGGTTCTGTAGGGGGTCAGCACGCACTTGGGCTGGGAGGAGCAGGGAGGGAATCGACATACCTGGCAACGCCTGAAGGATAGAGATCACCCACGGTAAGAGCCGTGCAAGTTGCTCGGGTACGTAGGCCTTGGGACCGCGATAGAGACTGCCCACAAACGAGCAGGCTGTGCTTAGCAGAGTGCCTACCCGCGGCGTCTCAAATCGCTGCTGGACGAAGTAGTCGGTGACTACATTCGGCGGGAACACGAACGGCCCCGGCTCGGTCTCGGAGAAGCCTGCACGGAAGATGTTGCAAATGATTTCGACCACCTCGCCGCTCGTGTTAAACACTCGCTGGACTTCTACCAAAACCCGCATGATATTCTCTTGCAAGCCCGCAAGCCTGCTGTTGGCGTTCTGCGACTGTGGTTCACTGTCCAGATCGACAGGATACTCCTTGACGTCCTGCATACCCTTGGCAATGCTGGCAAGGCACCTCATTGATCTGAGGGCGATTTGTAGAGCGATTTCCTCTGTTGGGGGCGCTGATTGGGGGTTTGGCGGGTCAAGCCCCCTTAAGAAGTCCGGGTGTTGGAGGTTTAGGAGACCGGGATTTGCCTTGAGCTGGACAGCAAGCTCAAAGTCTTTTTTGAGTATGTTGTAAAGCTCCTCAAACACGCCCAGTCTCTGGTTCTCATCTTTGATGGCCTGGATGATGGATGCAATCGCAAGGACGATCCTCTCCTCGGCCAACGAGTCGAGCACTTGACTGCCGCGGACGGTCTGGTAATGGCTGATGAAGGCACCAGCCTCGCTCGTGAGAATAGAGCGGCACGAAGAGCACAGGGTAGAGATGGACCTTGCTGACGGGCCTCCGAGAACAGAGTCGCCGACGGCAGCGAAGAGCAGATTCAGAGCGTTGGGCAGATACTGAGCATTTCGCTCAAAGTATTCACAGTACCGCTCGATGAGCGCCAACCCTGTCTGGCGGAGGCGTAGAGGGATGGGGCCTTGGGCCTGGCCGAGGAGATCGAAAAAGGGAGAAGCAAAGACCTTGCTTAGTTCTTGGTCAAACCTGGCCTCGTCCGAGATACAGTCGGAGAGAGCACCAAGGCAGAAGGCCGAGGCCTCGAGCTCGGCCCAGGACTGGGCAGCAAGAGCTTGGAGGAACAAATGGGTAAAGAAAGAGACGAGGCGCATGCCTTCGAGAGTGAAAACCGACTGTAGCATATCGGTGACGTCCTTCCTAGCATCGCCGAAAGCGACACGTTCGGTCGAGTCCCACTCGGCAAAGGTCTCGGCTGGTGGCCATTGGATTTTGCGCCAGCAGTTCATCACCACGGTCTTGAGATGTTGCTCGGCGTAGGGCTTCCAGTTCTGAGACTCCTCCTCGTCCGAGTATGTGCTGTCGATCATGGTCTCGATGAAGGTAGACCAAAACTCCAGAGCGGGGACAAATATGCTATCCTCGCCGACGAGGTAGCCGTCGGCCGCAAGGAGCCCACTCAGGCTCTCCAGGAACCTCTGGGAGCGGCCATCAGTGCTGCGCATGAGATCCTGCACCTTGGCGTCCCCGTAGGCGAGAATCACTAGGCCGAACGAAATGCCGTCCTCCTCATGGTTGCCGTGGAGGGTGCGCTGGTAGTGCTCGGCAGCCCAGGGACTCTCGAAAAGGGAGGCGAGCGTGTTGTAGTGCTCGTCGGTGAAGAATGACGAGTAGTTGCCGAGGGCGTCGCTGAAAAGCTCGGCGGTTGCGTGGAAGAGATCTCCATCCGCGAAGCAGTTGATGGCAGGGCCCACGAGTTGTCTCAACGGTGCAACTAGATCCGGGATTGGGGATGCTCGCTGCGCATACAAAATCCAGGCCTGTCGCTGTTAGTTGGTGTACCAAGGCTTCGAGGGTTGGCGCTCACTTGAAAACAGCCGAGAGCCTCCCCCTGCGTCTTGAGATCGGGGCTATCCTCGGGCATGGAGAAGCCTCGGGCGAGTAGGCAAGTTACATCGGGGCCGTTCTTGACGAGGCGATCGTGTACTTGGATGCTGGTTTGATCAGCACACATCATTACCGCAGAGTACGGAAGCGGTTTACTCACAATTTAGGGGCGCTCATGTCGGTTTTGCCAACCTCTTCGACGAACGAGGTAGCGAACCATATTGCCACCTTCAGCCTCTGGGGCCCCAGCTTGCCGACAAGAATTTCGGCTGAGAGGGCATCGTCTAAGCTGTCCGCTGGGGTGCCCCGGCCTAGGTCAAGGCAGTAGATGAAGTGGCGGATGCAGTTGGGCCACAGATGGGAGAAGTGCATGAAGTAAGTAACGAGGGCGGTACACAACTTTTTGATAACAAAGTTGCCTGCTCCGTCGGATAGTGATTGGATGGTCCAGCCGATGATATTCTCCAGAAGGCCCCTTGCATCATCCTCGCTCAGACCGGAACTAGGTCGAAGTCAGTTCAATGCCTCCTCCTCAATTCCCGACGAACCATGAGTGCATACCTATCTCGGTTGAGCTTGATGATGAGTGTGAGGGCAGCATAGAACCTGATATTGTCCTCGCGGTGGGCGATCAAGCTCTGGGCCAGCTGCCATCCCTCAGGAGACCTTTGCAAACGATGCAACACCTCCTGGATTTTGGAGATTGTCTCGGGAGGGTTTCGTTGGTAGAGTGCCCGGATCAACTGCCATGTCGGGTTAGTTAAATCTGGTTTCTGATTTCACCCCCATGAGATATGAGATATAGTCTGCTTACTGCTTCGACCTCTGCGAGGCTTGTCGGTAAGGGCAACTGCTCCATCGCGTGGTTGCTCGTTTAATTCTGTTTCGTTCTCGACTGTTGGTTTGAGACTAAATGCCCTCCGATGGGATACCCCATAAAAAGAACCTACCTACCTGCTGACCACAATCCCAGAAACGCAACGTCACTCCTGGGATTTGGATTTCATGGTATGATGTGGAGTTTGCGAACTTTGCAGGTTAAATCGCTATGTTTTTGTGTGTTTTTGGAGGTTCGCACTCTCAGCGTAGTGCTCTTCACTCAGCCCTATGCGCTGTTGGTACCAGGTGAGTGGCTGTACAGATTATTGTATGTACATGCGCACGTCAGCAAGGTACTGAGCTAGGTGTGTGTGAAAGAGTCCTTTTGTTTAACGTTTGTGTTGGATCCTGCTACGCTGCCAGCAAGAGACGGACAGGGGGCTGGACCTTCGTGAGTACAAGTATCGAACTGGCGAAGTGGCAGGGCGGCAAGCTTCCATGGATGCAGCAGAGGTTGCTGCCCACATTGAAGCCCCACCATGCTGAGAAGCAGTGGTGGGGTCAAATGTGTTCATGCAGTTATCCGTGATCGTGCCTTAGTCGTCTTCCAACGGTTCCTTGACGACAGATACAACTTAGAGATGCTCGTTACCTTTATTTTAAAAACAAACGTAATTCTAGCTTTAGTGGGAAAACAAAATCAGGATGTGTAGTGACCGTCGCACCTCGCCTTAGTAGAGGAGGAACCTTACACCCGACATGGGATAACCAATCTGGAAGCTTCCCACCATCTTTTCTACTGATTAACCCGATTTGGTAGTAAAGGTAAGGCTAGCAAGACTGCCAAGCTCACAGGGCGCACCTCAACCTCGAATATCCGCCCCGCGCCTGTTGCCCGATAGTCTTCAGGTACCACCTCCCTAATTCATCCTGCGTTTACTGGCCCGGCACAACCGCCCGCTCCGCTTCGGCTCTCACTAGGGCGACATTTGGTTCGCCCCATCCCCCCATCTACCTGCACCTATGCCCCATATATGGGTGCGGCAGAGCTCGACATTATCGTCACTCCTGCGCAACCCCTCCATTTCCCTGTCACGACCCCAATCTTATCGTCCAGTATCGGCTATTCCAGCAATATTCCGAACCAAGAGAGGAATCCACACACGACCCACTCGAAGTAGAACCCCGTCTGTCGAAGAGATGGAGACAGTCAACACCACTACCCGGCTGGCCACCCTCCGGTCCTTGATGAAGGAGAACGGGGTCGATATCTATGGTATTAGCCTCCGCAACTCTTTGAACCCCAGTGACTGATCTTCGGCCACACAGTTGTGCCGTCCGAGGACAGCCACGCCTCCGAGTACATCGCCCCATGCGACGCCCGCCGCGCCTTCATCTCGGGCTTTACCGGCTCTGCGGGGACTGCCGTAGTCACACACGACAAGGCCGCCCTCGCCACCGACGGGCGATACTTCAACCAGGCCGGCAAGCAGCTGGACGGGAACTGGCACCTTCTCAAGACGGGCCTGCAAGATGTCCCTACGTGGCAGGATTGGACGGCCGAAGAGTCGGCCGGCGGCAAGACCGTGGGCGTCGATCCTTCTCTGATCTCGAGCCCCATCGCGGAGAAGCTCGACGAGAGCATAAAGAAGAGCGGCGGTGCCGGCCTGAAGGCGGTCAGTGAGAACCTGGTTGACCCGGTGTGGGGTGGTGATAGGCCTGCCCGGTCCAGCAATCCCGTCAAGCTCCTGGTCGGGAAGTACTCGGGCAAGGACACGGCTACTAAGCTTACCGAACTCCGCAAGGAGTTAGCGAAGAAAAAGGCCGCCGCCTTTGTTCTGTCGATGCTGGATGAGGTCGCATGGCTCTTCAACCTCCGCGGCAGCGACATCACCTACAACCCGGTGTTTTACTCGTACGCCATCGTGACACAGGATTCGGCGACGCTATATGTAGACGCTTCCAAGCTGGACGACGAGAGCCGAAGCTACCTGGACCAGAACAAGGTCACCATCAAGCCGTACGACACCCTGTTCGAGGATGCCAAAGCCCTGGCCAGCGCCGCCGAGGCCAAGGGGACGTCCGAGCCGCCGAATAAGTACTTTGTCTCCAACAAGGGCTCTTGGGCACTGAAGCTGGCTCTTGGGGGGGACAAGTTTGTCGACGAGGTTCGAAGCCCGGTTGGGGATGCCAAGGCCGTCAAGAACGACACAGAGCTCGAGGGCATGAGGCAGTGCCACATCCGGGACGGTGTTGCTCTCATACAGTTCTTTGCCTGGCTGGAAGACCAGCTCGTTAACAAGAAGGCGGTCCTCGACGAGGTGACGGCTGCTGATCAGCTCGAGGCGTTCCGAGGGAAGCAACAGGACTTTGTCGGGCTTTCCTTTGACACTATCTCATCCACAGGGCCCAAGTGAGTACTTTTTCCTGCAAATGTGAATTTCCGCCTACTAACATTTTCCAGTGCCGCTGTCATTCATTACAAGCCCGAGTCAGGGTCTTGCGCCATCGTCGACCCGGAGGCCATCTACCTATGCGACTCAGGGGCTCAGTTTTTGGACGGCACCACCGACGTCACCCGGACTCTCCACTTTGGCACCCCCACCCCCGAGCAGAGGAAGGCCTACACGCTCGTCCTGAAGGGCAACATCGCGCTCGACACGGCGGTTTTCCCCAAGGGCACAACCGGCTTTGCCATTGACTGCCTGGCCCGCCAATTCCTCTGGGTAAGCTCACCCTGTTTCTCCCCACCCCACCGTCTTCACTCTCCGAGCAAGCAACAAAGTACTAACACCTCCTAGAAACAAGGCCTCGACTACCGGCACGGCACGGGCCACGGCGTCGGGTCGTACCTCAACGTGCACGAGGGGCCGATCGGGATCGGCACGCGCAAGCAGTACGCCGACGTGGCGCTGGCGGCGGGCAACGTGCTGTCGATCGAGCCGGGCTTCTACGAGGACGGCGCCTACGGGATCCGCATCGAGAACCTCGCCATGGTGCGCGAGGTCAAGACGGAGCACGCCTTCGGCGACAAGCCCTTCCTCGGCTTCGAGCACGTCACCATGGTCCCCTACTGCCGCAAGCTGATTGATGAGGCTTTGTTGACCGGTGAGGAGAGGGAGTGGTTGAACAAGAGTAATGAGGAGATTCGTGAGAAGATGCGGGGGCGCTTTGATGGGGATGAGTTGACGCGGGCGTGGCTGGAGAGGGAGACGCTGCCTTTTTGAGGGGGGCGGATAGAGGGATGAGCGCGTTTTTTATGGATAGAGGGAATGGATTGATTGGGTATGACATAGCATGGCAATGGCAATGGCATTACACGGTCTATTCTTTTGATCTCTGGTCTATGCTTGGGTTTGTGCCGAGTCTGAGTGATGGGTAGGTGAGTGATGGGAGTCCGAGTGATGGGAGTTCGAGGGATAGGTCGGTAAGAGTGGGAGAAGAGAGCTAATTAGAAGGACATGAAGGCCGAGAGGGCGAACGCGATAGCGAAGGAGAGCTTGAAGGCCGTGTGCTGGTTCAGCAACGCCAGGATGCGCGACGTGCTAGCCCGCTCCTTGAGCTTGAGCGTCGAGACGAGGTCTAGCCCGTTGCGCGCGGCGACCTGGGCCGGTAGTTGTCAGTAACCAAGCCTAGGTAGGGTAAGATGACCGTACATACCTGGATAACCACCATCCCGATCCCCGCCAGCAGCACCAGCGTCTTGGAGAACACGCTCACCAACATCCCCGCGACGAACCCTACCCCGTCATATTCACATCAGCACACGCCCATCCATCCACCCAGCACCTAGGTATACGGCAATGAGAGACAAAAAAGGGGGGGGGGGGGGGTTCCCTACCGGAAAGACTGCCCCCCGAAAGCTGTTTGACCGTCTCGGCATCGAGCAGGTCCTTGCGGCCCTTGGAATCGCGCCCGCTCGAGTATGCCCGGCCCTGTGAAGGGGACGATACTGCTACGGGGACGCTGTCGAACCGCATTGGCCGCTGCTGGTGCACGGCGACCAGCCCGGTGGAGAGGCCGAGGCCGAGCGGGAGGGCCGCGTGCCGGAGTGAGATGCGCCGGAGGCCGGGGGCGGCGGCGGTTGCGGCGCTGCGGGTTAGGGTGCGGGCGAGGGTGGAGGGGGTGGCCATTTTGTTGGGTTTGGTTGGCTGTAGTTAATTGGTTCTGCTCTTTTTTCTTTCTTTCTTTTTCTTGAAGGGGTGGTTTCGGCTTCCTGCATGCGAGAGTGATGGGTGTGAGTGCTGTATGGATGGGGATGATGGGTGCATGGGAGACGGGGGCTGTATTGGTACGTACCATGTTGTGACGTAATCTGACGGCCGGCCACTTGAGAGCGCGACCGTTTCGCGTTTGAGTGCCCATCCCTGTCGCGGCTTCGATTTAATCCCTTTCCACGAACGAGGACGGGAGGGGCCCGAACGATGGATTGTTCATGTGGGCCTCCGTGGGTCTTGACGCGCCCGCATCAAAACTCGGCATATGGCTAAAAGTTTTTATCCATCGTCGCCGTCACCAACCGTAGCTGTACGGGCCGAAGAACGCGATGGATATCAACGATCTCTTGGCGCAAGACGTTTCTGGTCTCAGCGATATGTCTGATGACGAAGACATCCCCTATGAGCCGCTTGTGAACCTTGAAGGGATAGCGAAGGACGTATATGACCCGTCCAAGACGTGGCAGGAAAACGAAGGCATTCCGGATCCTGTTCCCGACCCCATTCCCGATACAGACGATGAGGACCGCGACCCTGAATTGCGAGCTACAATGCCGCGGCGCACTACCAAACGAAGCCGCCTGACATCGCGAGCACCGAGATCAGCCAACAGAGTTCAGAAAAAGAGGCCACAGAAAAAGGTTGCGGGAGCGCCGGCACGCACCAGATTGGTATTCTCTGCCGGTATGGCTGCCCGGATGATGGAACTGTTTTCTGGAGAGGTGCGCGCTGGCAATTTCGGGAACAACAAGACCGAATATCCGCGGCGGATTATGGAGCGGGTACGCAAGACGATGGAGTCCGAATACCCTGGGCACCCGTGGACCGTGACGAAGCTGGAGTACAAGCTGAGGAAAGAGGAGAACCGATATAGACTGTTGCTTGCTCTTTTGGCGATGCCAGGCGCCAAATATGACGAGCTGAGCGGCCTACCCCAGGCGCCAGAAAACGTTTGGGCGAAATTCCTTGCTGAGCACCCAGAGGGGCGATGGTTGCAAACCCAACCACTGGGCGATCGTACGGCTTATGCAGATGTCTACCATCGCTGGGTTGCAACAGGCCAGTATATCGTACCGGCGAGCGCATTGGTCGGCCGCTTCTCAGACTCCGATAGCGACATGGACTCCGACCTGGACTCCGATGACATCGACTCCGACCTGGACTCCGACGGCATCGACTCCGACCTGGACTCCGACGACATCGACTCCGACGACATCGACTCCGACGACTCATACAATAGAGAGTTGGAGGCGAGGTTAGCGCGCACGATGGCCGCAATGGCGCGCGCGATGGAGCCCGAGCCGTTTCCCGGCGCCAAAGATTGCCGGGTGGCTTGTAAGGCCGTTCAACGGGACTTTGCGGGGAAGATGACGGTCAAAGAAATGGCCGAAGTTATCAGCAAATTTGTCGACCCCAAGTGCGCAATTGCGTGGAATCGGCTATCAACAGAGGGCCAAGCCGAGCTCGCGAGGGAATGGCTGGGAAAATAATTGGGTGGATGTGGACGAGGGTACCATTTCGATGTATTTGACTGTATAACTCTGTACCTACCTAGATATTGATACATTTCACTCACTCAATTACACATGCACTTCGTACGTGCATTACATACAAAATAGGTTGTGGTTTGGTCCGTCCCGAGTTGCTGTTGAGACAGTGATGTGATGCGCCAGGGACCGTGCACTACAAAACGCGGTGGGGCCCTGGAAAGTTGTTGTCTTCGCGTCAGTCGCGTCTCGAGCTTCCTCCACCCCACACAGGAACCCTGAATTTCGCGACCATCCCCGTTTCCTCACAATTGTCCTCCCGCTGCAAACCGATCGATGCTCTAAATCCCCGCCATCTTCGAACCGCATATTATCCCACGAACACCCGACGCAATGCCTCGCCCAAAACGGTCGCGCGTCCCTGCGACGCGGCCCACTAAGGCCGTTTCCCCAGTACGCGAGGGGCCGCAGTCATCTGGAACGCCACCCATTGTGACGAAACCAATTGCCGCGCAGCCCGAAGTCCCCGGCAGCGATATTTACGATGTCAGCGATCGCGAGAAGGAGCGCACGAAACAACGACTCGCTGGGGCCGCAACGGCCGGCTCGCAGACCCGTCGTACCCGCGCGTCCCAGCACCTGGACGTGAACTCGGACCAAGCGAGGGTCCTGGAGGACTCGAGACGCAAGCGGGACGACGCGATGAACAGGTTAGATGATCTTACCTCAACCTCACGACCGGACGAAGCGGAAAACCTAGGCACCGGGCACAGTGGGCAGGCTCCAGCGGCCAGCATGCAGCCTCGGTTGACCGATGTCTCGGGTCTCGATTTGGATGACGATCTCTTCGCCAACCTCGACGATACCCTAGACGACACGGAGGAAGTGATTGAGGCGACACAGACTGGTTACCGCTCAGCAGACACGTCATCGTTTAATGTTGCGATGTTCAAACGCCGGCCGAGGCAGTCGAGCGTTGCTGGGAGAGATACTGCGCCTATCCGTCCGAGCAGTAGAGGGCAGAATACACCGAGTATTAGTCATACTCTGAATTTCGGCAACTTCAGGCGGCGCGCCCGCGAACCGAGTATTCTCGGGACCGGGCGAAAGGCTCGGACGGCGAGGTCTCTATCGCGGGCTTCGCAAGCGTCGCGGAATGCGAGTGTTCTTGGGGATGGCGACGATTCTGGTCCGGACGGCGAGTCAACACCACTTGAGAAGACGAGGAGGCAAACGCGCGCGTCGCTTGCAGCAAGCCCCTCAAGGGTGGTCTCGCCAGTTTCGCCCTCGCGTAAGAGGAAATCCCTGGAAAGCCACGAGGATGGTCGAGAAAAGCGAGCGGCGGTGGAGGCCGATTCGGAAGAGCTGGAGGCGGAAGAGGTTTATCAGTCAATTGAAATTGAAGTCGAGCGGACTCCCAGCCCACCACGCGGCCGCGGTCGCGAGCGGGAGCAGGAGCGCTTCTCGACACCGGTCCAAGAGGACGATCCCGACATGGCGCCTCCTATGAGCAGCTCCTCAGAAAGCAACAGTCCAGCTGCCTGGCCCTCACTGGACACACTAGCACACCGCACCTACACGCGCAGACCGCCGGCAAGAGCACTGAAGACACCAGAACCGCTCGACTCCGGCTCGGAACTTTCCTCTCCCCCATCACTCACCCATTCACCAAACTACAACGCGCCAACCAAGGCGGTCCCAAAGAAGAAAGCAGCCCCCCCACAGAAAAAGGTCACGACGGCGGATCTAACCTCTCTCCTCCCTCGCCGGCGACACAAGACGTCGAATCGCGACAATGACAGAAACGACCCCTTCGACCTGGACGCCTCAGAAGATGAGCGCTACAACGCGGCTGGCAATGGCGCGGATGAGAGCTCTGACGTCGACTCGCGGGCTACGCGGCGGAGGAAAGGCCAACGGCCCCTCGCCAAATCGACTTCCAACGGGAAGGGCAAGCAGGCCGAAGCCGGGAACGCCGCCAGCAAGAGGCGTGCTGTGAGGACGTATGGGTCGATGAACGAGAACAAGGAGAATAACGAAGCCGCCGAGGAGGAGATTGTGGTTGCCAGTGGGGACGAGGAACTCGACGAGGAGGACGAGGCGGAGCTCCCTGTGGCGGAAACGAGCCAGATGATGGTGGAGCGGGTTGGGGAGGAGTTGCAGAAAGCGGCGAAGAAGTTCAAAGAGGTGGATAAGTGGGAACTCTCGTTTGAGCAAGCGACGCAGAGCTCGTCACCGGGCCCGTTTGCTCGGTGAGACATCACAATGGCGGGTGTTTGGTTTTTGTGTGTGTTGAGTTCCCCGATACGATTTGGCTTGCCTGGCTAGGATTCCTATATCCGGTTTTCTTGTCGAGGACGTGGATAGTAACGGATTGTTTTGAGGTTGCAGTTTGGAAGGACTTGCACTGGATACCAGCGTTTGCTTAGGTGGAGGTTTTGGCCTCGGTCAGGGTTGTTTATTCGTATTCGACGAAGTTTATGTTCATATTCGTCATGCCTCATGTTTCACGTCGTCACAAGCGCTTTCCACGCCCCCTTTTATTTTTTCATTTCAAAGGCAGCATGGCCTTATGAGTTTGCTGCCAGGCAGACGCTGTCTAGCGAGTGCTCAACAACCGGCAGCAGGTTAGCTACCTGGTTGGAGTCTCTTAGAGCGATGGTAATCGCGTCTGGCATCATCCCGCTCATGTAAAGATTCTGCCGTTTTGTTAGCGCCCGCTCTGCTCAAAAGTGACAAACGACGACCTACCTTCTTGACATTCTCAAACACATCCTCCCGCGCCGTATACTCCCGAATCACCACCTCCTTCTCAAAATCCACATACACCCTCGTATCCCTGACCCTCACCACCACCCCATCCAGCCTCATATACAGCCGACACAGCAACAGCATCCTCTGCGCCATAACCCGCACCTTGACCGTCATGGCACTTATCCCATTATCATCCAACTCACTCTCATACAACACCACCTCATCCGCAAACAGAATCGGGTCCCTCCTCTTCAACAACTCCAACGGAATCTCCCCCTCCTCCCCACCACCCTTCAACCCGCGCCCATCCGCCGCTTTCACCTCATCCCCCTTATACGCGGCACTATAGCTCCAATCAAACGGCCGCACCACCTCGGAGATGCCCGCGCTCGTCCGCTCCCGCGAGCGGCTCCACTCACGCGCGTAGGCCACGCGCAGCATCCCGCCCTCGCCCGTCTTGTCGACCGTGTCCAGCGCGGCCTCGGCGCCGAACTGCACGGCCCACCCCGTGGGCGTGTGCCGGATGGCGACCAGGTTGTCGCCGAAGATCATCTCGGGGATGGGGATGGTGAGGCGCGCCGCCAGCGCGTCGATGGGCCCGGCTTTGAGGATGGGGAGCTTGCGGGTGGAGATCTGGAAGGGCGGTTGGGTGTGCGTGCGGGTTGCGAGGTCGGGGTTGCTGGCGGTGGGGTAGCCGTCGAGGGGCGCGGTTGTTGGGGGGTCCATTTTGGGGGGTTGTGTTGTTTGCTGGGGTGAGAAGCTTGGTTTTGATCGCGATATCTCTCTTCGGTTCGGGTTGGGTCGTGACCGTTAGGAGGAGGTGGTGGTGGCTGTGGTCACGGCCGGGGTTGGGATCGCGTGGCCAGCGGCGGGGATGGAGGGGTCGAAGTTTGGTCGAGGCCCGGCCTGCGTTGAGCGATGGCTAAAGAAGCGTCGGGGTCGTAGCGGTTTCAGATGGTCAACAATGAGGCCAGTTTGCGATCTAGCACTCGGGGATAGATTTCGGGTCCGTTTGGAGTTTCTGGAGAGCTGTCGGTTCGTGTCTCCAGAAATTGTAGGTTCTCAGTGGAGGACGAGCTCCTGGCGGGTGCCCAAGAACTCTCGGCCCACTATTTCCAGAGCCAACTCTTGGAGAGCCATTCCGCAAAAGGCAACTTCAAGGTTCCAAACAGCAGTGTTTAAAATGGGGATTCGGAATTGGATCTTTCTCAATACAATCTATACTAAGAACAGTTGATAGTTGGGTGCGTCGTTAGGAAACAAGGGGCGATCTCGGAAAGGTTAACAGAAAAAGCCCCAGGGCACCTCTTAACAATTGAACAGGTCCTTGCCTTGTGCTTTGACCACCGCCACTTGTATTTTCTAATGCCAGTGCCATCAATTCAGTTTTACCAAACCCCGAGCAATATCATTCAGATGCGGTCCTCTCTCTTGAAACCCAAAATAGCTTGCGGCAGGCAGGCTGAAGGGTGCCAGCGCTGAAACCTTGGCGGAGACAGTGGGGCGAGTTCGTTGCTGGGCAACGGCTCATCCCCAGCAAGCGTAAATACTGCGACAATCTCCGACTTGGGGCATCCTGGATCTCCAACCTTCACTGAAGTTGAGGGCCATCACAAATTCGCCCTTCCTTTTTTCTTCTTCTTTTTAATCAGCGCCGACACCCTGCCGCACCCTCTAACCTAACAACAGCAACACAATGGCTACAACGACGACAAGAACGCTGGAAGGCTGCTTCGACCGCCTTTCAGTCAACGACGAGAATGATCCTGGTGAGAACACGCGGCTGTATCAAAAGACAAAAGTATGCATCATCGTCTGTCTGTTTGCCAATTGTGTTTACTAACATAAGGGGCAGCCGGTCAACCCCAGCCAAAGTGCCAGGCCAAACCTGCTCAAGGTTGCTCTGCAAGCACAACACGCCAACACCGTTATCACAACCGTCAACCTTCCCTCGCAAGCGGCCCAACGAAAGGGCACCGCTCCCCCGACCAACCCCGTCTCACCGAAAAAGGAGAAGCCGTCATCATTATCATCACGCCCCTCCGATGAAGATGGTCTCGACAGCACCTCTTCCTACGTCGACCAACCTCTCGTCCCGAAGCAATTCCATCTCGGCATGTTTGAGATTGGCCGCCCTCTCGGAAAGGGCAAGTTCGGCCGCGTATACCTTGCGCGTGAGCGCGGCACCGGCTTCATCTGCGCGCTGAAGGTGCTCTACAAGTCCGAACTGCAGCAGGGCACTGGCGTCGAGAAGCAGGTCCGCCGCGAGATTGAGATCCAGAGCAATCTGCGTCACCCCAACATCCTCAAGCTGTACGGGCACTTCCACGACAGCAAGCGCATCTTCCTCATCCTGGAGTTTGCTGGCAAGGGCGAGCTGTACAAGCACCTGCGCCGCGAGAGCCGCTTCCCCGAGTGGAAGGCCGCGCAATATATCGCCCAGATGGCGGCGGCGCTGCGTTACCTGCACCGCAAGCACGTCATCCACAGGGATATCAAGCCTGAGAACATCCTGGTGGGCATTCACGGCGAGATCAAGATCTCGGATTTCGGATGGAGCGTACACGCCCCCAACAACAGGCGCAACACCCTCTGCGGTACTCTCGACTACCTCCCGCCAGAGATGATCAAGTCCGGCAGCAAGGACAACTGGTACAATGAGAAGGTTGACCTGTGGAGCTTGGGCGTCTTGATGTACGAGTTCCTGGTCGGTGAGGCGCCGTTCGAGGACACGCCCATCATGACGCACAAGCGAATCGCGAGGGCCGATATGACCATTCCGGAGTGGGTGAGCAAGGAGGCCAAGGACCTGATCAAGAAGGTATGTCGTATTACTTTCTGACCTTCATTTGTCATGTTCCCGCTAACGCAATACAGCTCTTAGTGCTCGACCCGGAGAAGCGGCTTCCCCTTGAGGAGGTCCAAAACCATCCCTGGATCATCAAGCATTGTGTGAAGGGCGAGCGGGCGGCCAACAGGGAGAAGCCTGTCAAATAAGTTGAGCATGATTAATGAGGCGTCTGCGATTTCGGGAGTCAGCGAGTGGCGTTTGGGGTTGGGTTCACCGGGGACACTGTCAGGAGTTCATTGCATGGCGCAGCCAATCCGGCCTTGTTTGTTTTAATTTCCACGCCCTCAGCCATGCGCTGTAGGCCGCGTTGCATCGTCTGTTTCCGCAGGGAGATCCGTTACAAGTACAAGCATTTTTACATTTACAGTGGGGAGATACCACTCAGAGACTCAGCGATACACCTCTTCGAATGGCCTCTTGTCTGAAAAGCACGAATCCCACACCTCGTTGACGACCTTGGTCGCATGTACATCGTCCTTGCACGCCGGCCGCGCCATGACAGACTGTATCGCCCGCATCCGCACGCAGTTTTGAAATTGTTGTGTCAGTGTCCAGTTGCCGCGAGTCATGGTCTCTCTCGTCCAGCGGCACTCTCCGCTAAGCATCGACGCGCGGATCTAGAAAACACCCATAGTCAGTCTCGCATGCCCACACCACCACCCTCAGCCCACAGCGCCTGGCAGCGGAACTCACCTCAGTACACGCAGCATGCCTCAAATTCCCGCCCCCCGTCCAATCCACCTTCCACCTCAAATGATCCCACGCATGCACCATCTCATGCGCGAGCGTATCCTCCAGATGCCCGCGATCGCGCATCTCATTCGCGCAGATCAGAATCCCATGATCGGGACTGAACCCGCCGCCCTGCCTTACCACCCGCCCGTCCTCGGCCACGCGCGCGGGGCACCGGCGGCACACGACGTTGGCCTCGTCCAGCGTCCCGTTCAGCGCGGCCACCTTGTCGCGCAGGAACCGGATCGTTGGTGAGTATTGGAATAGGTAGGCCCGGTCCGCCTCGCACCGCGCGCAGTCGCGGGCCTCGTTGGCCTTGTACCGGTCTTCCCGGTAGTGTTCGACGCCTTCGCGGGTCACTTGGCCCGTCATGATTCGGAAGTAGTTCAGCCACCACTTCACGGTCGGGTCGTAGCCTGTGCGCGCGGGGTCGTTTTCGAGGAAGCGGGGGAGGGGGGGTTGGTTGGGTGCGGGTTGTTGGGGTTGTTGGGGTTGTGAGTTGGGGGCGGAGGAGGGAGGTTGTGGTGAGGTTGAGGAAGGTGGTGATGATGGTGGTGGTGGTGTTGCCATGGTTGCTGGGCGGAGTTGGGAGGGACGGGTTGCACCGGAGTGTTATTGTTGAGTGGGAATTTAGAGTAGGTCTCAGGAAGTTATTCGGAGGTTGGGCGGTGCCGGAGAAAAGGGTATCGTAGTTGTCGTCTACGGTTTGGCTGCGAATGTTGAAGTTTCGCGATCTGATCTGCAAGTCGCTGCGAGCGGCTCCACCGCCGAACTTCCAGTTCCTGGGCCCCATCTTTTTTCCCTGGCAGAGGTGGAGCTTCCACGCCCTTTTCCACGCCAGTCAGGCGGTGAAGCTCAGCAGAAGGGCGCGTTTTTGAATGGACGTTTGAACCCCGGATTTCCATTGGCGCCCCTCCCGATGTCGGCCAATCGAACGGCTCACTCTCTCCCCAGACACGCCAGAGTGACGCCTGCCGTCACAGCGGTCCCACTGATCGGTTGGCGAGCAACCAGAAAATTACAGCACCCCTGTGAAGCCTACCCGAGGCCCGATGCTATATAATGGAAACGAGTTGGTGCCCGTGTAAGAGAGAAATCCCTCAGAAGAATTTGATGCTTCATGTTTTTGCTGCTGTACCCTCGTCCTACTTGCCTTTGACTGACTTTTGAATCCTGCCGATTTAACAGCCATGAGGGGACCACGCCCGCTTGGCGTTGTGATTAAGCTGGGTGAGTAATCCCATCTCTCACTCAGTCCAGTCCAGAGTTTGAGAGACAGGGGTCTGGTGTAACTCAACTAACTTCCCATTTCCAGGAACCAGCTCTATCGTCGACGAAAAGACCCATGAGCCTCTCCTCTCCATCCTGACGTCGATAGTGGAAACGGCTGTGAAACTGAGAAAAGATGGACACAAGGTCATCATCGTCTCGTCTGGAGCTATTGGTGTTGGGCTGCGGCGAATGGATGTCGACAAGAGACCAAAACACATCTCAAAGCTACAAGTAAGTTGCTCCCCCCTTCGTAGTCGAACGTGTTGGCTAACCACATTATAGGCCCTTGCAGCCATCGGCCAATGCCGGTTGATGAGTCTCTGGGACAGCTTGTTCACCCATCTCATGCAGCCCATTGCCCAGATCCTCCTGACACGAAGTGATATTGCCGATGTGAGCGAGTTGTGATATCCTTGTTAGTGTCTAGTCACTTACACCACCCACAGAGGTCACGGTATCTCAATGCTCAGAGGACCATCAACGAGCTCTTAGACATGGGTGTCATCCCTATTGTCAACGAGAACGACACCCTGGCCGTGTCAGAAATCAAGTTTGGCGACAACGACACACTCTCGGCCATCACAGCCGCCATGGTCCACGCCGATCTTCTCTTCCTCATGACCGACGTCGATGCTCTGTACGATAAGAATCCGCGGACCCACCCTGACGCCCACCCTATTGAAGTGGTCGAAGACATCGGGGCGCTGGTAGCAGACGGTGCGTGCTTTCCCTACCGCCTTCGGCAGCAGTCAACTAACCCTCTCCCAGTCTCATCCGCAGGTTCCTCCCTCGGCACGGGTGGCATGTCCACCAAGATCGTCGCCGCCCGCCTAGCAACCTCAGCCGGCGTCACAACCGTCATCACACGGTCCTCCATCCCCGGCAACATCGTCAAGATCGTGAAACACATCCAAGCCAGCCGCTCCCCGCCCTCCCTCGCCACCAAAGCCAACCAAGCCCCCGGCACGCCAGGCGGTCCCCTCTCCCGCACGCAAAGCACCGACGCCCTCCTCAACTCGGCCGCCGCCGCCACCCAGCCAGGATCCCCCCACGCCGACACACCATCAGCCGACCGCAGCCTCACCTCCACCCCCATCCCCGGCCCGCCAAGCAACAAGATCCCGCTGCACACGCGGTTCCTGCCGTCGCCGCACCCGGTGCGCGACCGCTACTTCTGGATCCTGCACGGCCTGCGCCCGCACGGCACGCTGTACATCGACCAGGGCGCCTACAAGGCGCTGGTCGGCAAGGCCGGGCTGTTGCCGGTGGGTGTCGTTGATGTGGAGGGGTCGTTTGCGCAGCAGGAGGCTGTGAGGCTTTGTGTGGTGGATAGGAGGCGGAGGAGGGGGAAGAAGACGACGGGGGAGAAGCTGCTGCTGCAGTCGTCGCCTGGGCAGGGGGTGGGGAATGTTTTGGTTGAGGGGGAGGGTGGTGGTGGTGGTGGTGGTGGTGGTGGTGGTGGTGGTGGTGATGAGGGTGAGGATGGGGAGGGGGATGGGGGGAAGTTGTGGGAGGGTGAGGCGCGCGAGGTGGGAAGGGCGTTGAGTAATTACTCGAGCGCGGAGATTGCGCGGATCAAGGGGCGGCAGAGCGTGGAGGTGGAGGGGATCCTGGGGTATGCGGACAGCGAGTATGTGGCGCACCGGGAGAGTATCAGCTTCTTTGCTTCGGTGCGGGAGAGCAGGCCGGTGACGCCGGTGAGGGAGGTGGTGGATGGGAAAGGGATTGGGGGGTATGAGGGGGAGGGGGCAGTCTTGTAAGCGGGCACGGGGTTTCACTTTTTCAAGAAGGGGAACGTGGATAGACAAAAATAGATCTTTTCCTTGGTATCTTCGTATAGCTGACTGAAATCACATTCAAGTCATGTTTTTGTCTTCTGTCATTCCGTCCAGTGCCCACCCGTCTCGCATGGGAATCTAAAGACCCTCAAAACGCCTGACGCCGTGTATTTTTACTAACCATACCACCGCTTAACACCCACTCCATTAACCGGCAAAGAGGGTGTCCTCATCACGGAGGTATTCTCCACAGTCCGATTGCCGGAAACACACGACACCCGTAGGGTCCAACCGCCTCACCTCGGCCGTACTCCTCGCAGTCTGCTCCACGTCAGCCATGTTTATCCCCTGAACAAACCAAGGGGAAAGGGTAACTCACCACGCCAAACCCAAGCGGCACATCCGCCATGCTGTACACCACGCACCCTTGATGCTCAGGGCAGTCCTCCGACCACCGGCCGACATGCGCCTTGACCACTATATCCCCCCACACAGTCAGCACTCCCCCCTTCCACAATTCATATCCGCATATATCACCACCGCCCCCAAGACCCAAGACAGACCAACTCACCGTTCGACCCGTAGAGAAACGGCTGGGCTCCGTTGTCCTTGACCCAGATCTTGTGGCGGGCGCCCGCCGCGATGATGGGCAGCGCCGTGATGTGCAGACGGAACTTGCCCGTCTTGGTCACCTTGCCGAGGCAGGTGCCGAGGCTGAGGAGGGCGTCGCGGCTGATGCTGGTGGCGAGGTTGGCGATCGAGAGCTTGACGTAGTAGACCTGTGGGCGAACAAGCAGTGTGAGTATGAATGTGAGAACGAAGGGGTGGCGTGTTGTTGAATTGGGTTTGAAGGAGGGGGGTGGAGAGGCGTACGCGCGAGTGGTTCAGTCGGAAGACGTAGCGGTCGCCGTCTTCGAGGGGCGCGATCAGACTCTTGAGGTCGGACATGTAGTTGGCTAGCTAAAGGTGAGGGTGTTAGCTGGGTTTGTAGCTTTTGGTCCTTTGGGGACTCCAATTGGACGCGAGTGAAGGGGGAATTGACAGGCGTACCTTGTCCAACACCGTCTTCATTTCTTCATCTGTTAAGGGGCGCATATTGACGGTTTGTGGGAGTGGATGTTTTGACTTGGAAGGTCGTGTGTCGATTGCTGCTCTGCTCTCTGCAGCGTGCTCGAGGCTTATCGCGACCACCAGAAAAAAAGTTGAAGCCAATCACAACCCCACACTGCAGCGTTCGCTTGGCAGGCCCGCTTTTACCCGCCTCTCACTCCCCCTGGCCTCAGCCGCCGACATATTGAATCCATTGTGTTAATCGAGTCCCCTTCGGTAGAGGACAAAAATGCAAAAATATATCCATCTATACCAGGTTCGAAAGAGCATTGGAATACACCCGTAACCTGGGGACCTTTTACAAAAGGACGCACACTGCGAAGCAAAGTCATGCTACAAGCCCATGTGCCCGTCCGACGAAGGTCGAAGGACGCTCACGCTTCGACGAATCACGGGCTCGCGGTTTCTTCCGTCTCATGTCCGCCGCCAAACCAGGAAAGGCATCATAAACATATTTTCTTTTAGGCCCAATGTAACACATACGAAGGCCCGCTGGCCAAATGGTAAGGCGCCAGATTTCGGCTCTGGAGATTGTGCGTTCGAGCCGCACGTGGGTCGCTCTTTACTTTTGCTCTTTGTTGTGACCGGCGCCTTCCTTCCTTGTCCAATTCTCTTTCCGCTCTGATCGATGCCCCGAGTCCATTCTGTTTTGCGACCGCCGATTGGAAGGGGGTCGGGTCACTTCCTCTTTCTGACTTCTTGTTCGGCCACCCAAGTCCCCCACCCTCCAGCTACCTTACCGTGCCCACCACCAGGCAGTTGGTCTTCCCGTCTGGCTGCCGCCTTTGCATGAGCCGCAATCAAAGAAAGTTTTAACAATGGCAGATCATTTCCTTGGTTCCAATATTTCGGTGCCTCTGAAGATGCGGCTCTCGTTGATCAGCGCAACCAAGATGCGCCCCGGATCGCTCCTCCTCAAGGGAAGCGGCTGATCGATTGGATCGGGGCGATCAGTTGGTGGAAATCACTCGAGTGGCCCAAGCAGGTACGGCAGGGCAAGCAGCAAGAGCTGGGGCGACGACCGGGTTTTCGGGTCGTGGTGACGATACCTTCCTCTTTGGATATCGTTGCAACATTCTCGAAATACCCGGCGCCCCTCCCATCTGCTCTTCACATCTTCCGCATCTCGAATCGTCCTCAATATTGCGCAGTGAGATCCTGGAGGATTCCAGCAGACGCGGGGTTTCCTCTTATTCTCCACGACTCTGCAACGCCCAGACACCCGCCAAGCACAGCATCATGACAAACATCAGGCTCCTCGTTGGCCCAGGCTCCCTAGTCGGGAACTTCGGGCGGCCTTCGAAGGGCGGGTCTCTCGGAGGGCATGCGCCGTCGAACTCGTTTCCGGAATGGTTGCGGCTCGCCGGGAGCCCAAGCCCCCAGGAACCTGCCTTGGCCCTCCTGCCAATTAACCGCTATGCTGGCTCCCGTTCTGGGCGCCGAACGGCACGGCCCTGCCACTACCCCTGCCAATGCCCCTGTAATCACCGGGACTCCCATCCGAGGACCTCGACTCGGCGTGGTAGCCACTCGCGTACCCACCGACCCGGTTGTGTGCTGCATGCGAACCGGGTTAGCAACCCTCCCGGCTCGGGGAAAACCGAGCTGGACGAAGTATTCCGTACACGACAGAGTATGGCGTGCGCGGAAACCATGGCATGAATTACAGCTGTCTCACGCACCGCCCTGCGTAAGCCTCGGCGTCTTGCCTCGTTGAGGAACGGCGACCACCCCCCTTCTGTGAGTCTGGACTCGACCATGGTGGTGGTCAGCTGTCCCCACGCCGCACCTGTTCCCGTGGCCTCCACTCGATACGTTCGTCGTGGGATGTCCTTGCCTATTCCCCGGATGCATCGCTGGAGTTGCATCCTGCTCGCGATGGCGGACAGGGTTGCCGCCGTTCCACCTACCGGAGATTTTGGGCACCCTGTCTTTCATTTGCCCCTCCACTAGAGTTGGAAGCGTGCCGGATTACCTGGCGCCGAATTCAGGGAAAGGGGGGTCCGCCACGGGGGTTTAAGAGGGAAGGTGTATCCTCAGTAGCCATCTCCTCGTGTGCTTGTACGCCGGTAGAGTCGAGGTAAACTAGTCTCTGCACTCCAAGATGAGGTCCTCCTCTCGCTTCGTTGGCGCCCTTGCGGCGGCGGCATCGTGTAAGTGCGAGTCGAACATGCTACGTTCAACCTCCCAGCGACTGACACTCATCTTGTAGTCCTGCCGTCTGCCCTCGCCCAGAACAATGCTCCTGTGACATTCACCGACGCGGACTCCGGCATCATCTTCAACTCCTGGGGCATCGCCGACGGGGCTCCCCAAACCCAAGGCGGTTTCCAGTTTGGTGTAGCTCTCCCTGAGGATGCTCTCGAGACTGACGCCTCGGAATTCCTCGGTTACCTGGTACGTTCCAAGAGACCACATAGATGTCGCCCCCAGAGGCTAACTGCCCCAGCAATGCGCGAGGACCGAAGGTGCGGGATGGTGCGGTGTCTCCCTGGGCGGCCCCATGACCAACTCGCTCCTCATCACGGCCTGGCCGCACGAGGACACCGTCTACACCACCCTCCGCTTCGCGACCGGCTACGTCATGCCGGATCTCTACACGGGAGACGCCGAGATCACCCAGGTCTCTTCCACCATCAACGCGACCCACTTCACCCTGATCTTCAGGTGCCAGAACTGCCTGCAGTGGAGCCAGGACGGTGCTGAGCGCAGCGCCTCCACGAGCTCCGGTGCCTTGGTCCTCGGTTGGGTCCAGGCCTTCGGCGAGGTTGTCAACCCCACCTGCCCGGACCAAATCTCCCTCGACCAGCACGACAACGGCATGGGCATCTGGGGCGCCCAGCTCGATTCCAACGCCGCCAACCCGTCCTACACCGCCTGGGCTGCCCAGGCCACCAAGACCGTCACTGGCGAGTGCGACGGCTCGACCCCGACCGACGTCATCAGCGTCCCCGTGCCGACCGACGCCGTGTTCGACTACATCGTCGTTGGCGGCGGTGCTGGTGGTATCCCCGCTGCTGACAAGCTTAGCGAGGCCGGCAAGAAGGTTCTGCTCATCGAGAAGGGCTTCGCCTCGACCGGCGAGCACGGCGGCACTCTCGGCCCCGAGTGGCTGGAGGGCACCGACCTTACCCGCTTCGACGTCCCCGGCCTGTGCAACCAGATCTGGGTCGACTCCAAGGGCATTGCGTGCGAGGACACCGACCAGATGGCCGGTTGCGTTCTCGGTGGCGGTACCGCTGTGAACGCTGGTCTGTGGTTCAAGCCTTACTCTCTCGACTGGGACTTCATCTTCCCCACCGGCTGGAAGTACCGTGACGTCCAGGCCGCCATCAACCGCGTCATCAAGCGCATCCCGGGCACTGACGCCCCCTCGACCGACGGCAAGCGCTACTACCAGGAGGGCTTCAACGTCCTCGCTGGCGGTCTGACTACCGGTGGCTGGAGCAAGGTCACGGCCAACTCGGCCCCCGACAGCAAGAACCGCACCTTTGCCAATGCCCCCTTCATGTTCTCCGGCGGTGAGCGCAACGGGCCCCTCGCCACCTACCTGACCAGCGCCAAGAAGCGCAGCAACTTCAACCTCTGGCTCAACACCTCGGTCAAGCGTGTCATCCGTGAGGGTGGCCACATCACCGGTGTCGAGGTCGAGGCTTACCGTGACGGTGGCTATGCGGGTATCGTGCCCGTCACCAGCGTTACCGGCCGTGTCGTTCTATCCTCGGGTGCTTTCGGGAGCGCCAAGATCCTGTTGAGGAGTGGTATCGGCCCGACTGACCAGCTCGAGGTTGTCAAGAACTCGGAGAAGGACGGCCCGACCATGATCAGCAACTCGTCGTGGATCAACCTGCCGGTTGGCTACAACCTGGATGACCATCTTAACGTAAGTTCCAAGTGAACCCCGAAAAGCAAACCGAGAGCAAGTGCTAACTTCGTGACAGACTGACACCGTCATCACCCACCCCGATGTTTCGTTCTACGACTTCTACGCGGCGTGGACCGACCCCATTGTGGCCGATAAGGACAGCTACCTCAACAGCCGCACTGGCATCCTTGCCCAGGCCGCTCCCAACATTGGTCCTATGTGAGTTGAACACCGTCTCCGATTTACTCCAAACAATCAGACTGACCAGACCAGGATGTGGGAGGAAATCAAGGGTGCTGATGGCAGAGTCCGCCAGCTCCAGTGGACTGCCCGTGTCGAAGGCAGCCTTGACACCCCCAACGGCAGTATGTTCCCGTTCCCGTGCCCCTTCTAAAACTAGAACGAGCTACTAACCCCCATCCCAGAGGCCATGACCATCTCCCAGTACCTCGGCCGTGGCGCTACCTCGCGTGGCCGCATGACCATCACCCCCGCCCTCACCACCGTCGTCTCGGATGTCCCCTACCTCAAGGACCCCAACGACAAGGAGGCCGTCATCCAGGGTATCATCAACCTGAAGACGGCCCTCAACACCGTCGAGGGCCTGACCTGGACCTTCCCCAACGCGAGCGTCTCTGCCCGCGACTACGTCGACAACGTACGTGTTTAACTCCCTCTCACCTCCTTTTAACCCCCTGTTCCCACCAATACTAACACCCTTCCGCAGATGGTCGTCGCCACCAGCAACCGCCGCGCCAACCACTGGATGGGCACCAACAAGATCGGCACCGACGACGGGCGCAGCGGCGGCAGCGCCGTCGTGGACCTGAACGCCAAGGTGTGGGGCACGGACAACCTGTTCGTCATCGACGCCTCCATCTTCCCCGGCGTCCCCACCACCAACCCGACCTCGTACATCGTCACGGCGTCGGAGCACGCCTCCCACCGCATCCTCGGCATGCCCGCCCTCAAGGCCGTGCCCCGCTACGGCCAGTGCGGCGGCCGCCAGTGGACCGGCAGCTTCGTCTGCGCCGCCGGCTCCACCTGCAAGGCCCAGAACGCCTACTACTCGCAGTGCTTGTAAGCATGGGGCGTAGCATAGCATCATGGTGTTGGGGTTTTATCAGGGGTTGAACTTGGGGGGTTGGTAATGTGCATGCACATACGCATACAGATTACAAACCCGGGTTTCGTTTCATGTCCATAGTTATGTTTGATCGTACATAAATTCGAACTTGATCAGTTTTTGCAAAGCTCACAGGGAAGGTGTACAAAGTGTGGGAAGAAGCACGATTAAACTATGCGAACATGAACTGGGTATCCCTTTCCTAGCTCCAGTCATCAATTAACTAACGAGGACCGAGGCAGGAGCGCAGACCGGCGGACACGTATCGCGACACCGCCCGGAAGGCTGGGTGCGTCGGTCCAGCGCGGCCCACACACTATCCTCCATCCCAAACGAAACCGATGGCCCTAGATCCGACCGTGACATTGTCCCTACCACAAGAACGCCGAGCTCTGCCAGACATGAAAAGGGAAAAGAAAACAAAACGCCAAACAGTAAACACAATTTTGATCCAGATCGTATTAACCTCCGTCCGGATATGATACCCGTGCGCCCGACAGCAACAACGCGTCAAATGCCGTCGCCAGGCCACCCTCCACTTCACAACATGCCAAAGCCAGTGTTGACACCCGTCAACGGACAGTTAGTAGTCCGCATCAACAGTAGCCGGGTCGAAACCACAAGTGTGCTCAAAGACGACCTCATCCAGCCAGCAAACCGGCTCATGCCGGCCCTTGGGCGAGCGATGAACCGCCTCGAAACGCTGGAGCTCGGTAAAGTTGAGGTGGTCCTCGGCCAGTTTCTTGACCCAGGCCAGCTCGTCGTCGTCGTTCGCCTTCTGCTCCTCCCCGAGCTTGTCGTTGCCACGCTTGTGCCTGACGCGATAGCTCAGGTACAGTTTGAAATGTTGTCGCTTGCGGCTGCGGCCCTTCTTGTACACGCGACTGTTGTCGGGGTCGACAAAGTCGTATGCGGTCTCGGACGAGAAGCAGTCCGAGACGGTCGTCAGCAGCATGTCGAGGAGCGAGAACCCGATTTTATTGCGCCTGTAGTCGGGATGGACGAAGACGTTGATTCTGGCGGTAGCTCTGCTGCTACCGAGGCCGCTGCCTCCGAGGCCGGGCTGCCAAACCGACAGAAAGGCGAAGCCGAGGATTTCGCCACGCCTTTCCTCCTCAGTGAAGGGGATCTGCTTAAACACCGAGAATGAGGTGTTGCAGCCGGTCAAGCCCAGGTTTCTGGCTGAACCGCGGACGGCAACGAGGAATGGCATGCCGAGTTGCTGCGTGGTGCTGAGGATCTTCTCAAACTCGTCGACTCTGAGATGGTGCGAGTCGAGAGCTTGGAGGCCGTGTTCCACCTCCCAGTTGTAGATGGCCCGAACCGCCTCCATGTCATACTTCTCGGCCGGACGCAGGAAAGAGGGAATCCGTGGAACAAACCGGTGGAATTCGCGCCTCTCGATCACCGGCTCGTCGATTACGACGGCCAAGTCCTCGTTGAATGCCGACGGACCCTCGTAGTCCGGTAACTTAGGGTAGTTACGACGTCTGTCTCTACCAGAGCGCTCGTTCCTTTGCTGGTTGAACTTTTTGATCGAGAGGGTCGTGCTCCAAATTTGGCGCCGCCACTCCTCCTGCGGATTCTTCGGTCTTATGCCAACAACTGAATCAGGATGGCTGATGGGTTCTAAGAGGCGCCCTGTGACTGTGTCGATGTCACACCTCCAGTGAACCTGGTCGCCTTGGTCGAAGGTTACTACCGGGTTGTGACGGACTCCCTCTAGCCAAGCGTCAACAAACAACCTCAGATAGGCCAATTCCGAAAAGGTCTCATCCTCGTTTCGGCCACTTTTGGTCCGGACGCCGTACATGGTCCACGAGTTTGCTGACGCGTAGATCCTAGGCAGCAGGCCGATGGTGTTTCTAACGTCCTCATCCTGTGTGCCAACGCCGGTGTCGCTCACGTTGAATCCGGACCCCAAAGACGGGAGGCTGTATGTCGATCCGGCATAGTTCATATTTGGTCGTGGCAGTCGGTAATCACGCAGGTCGACGTTCATTTCCTCGAGTTGCGGAGGAGGTATCGCATCTTTTTCCCTCTCAGCAGTCGGTGCGTCCCCCCCCTGGGGACCACCTCCACGCCAGGGACCACCTCCGCCCCGGCTACGGCCTCGCTGGCCACCCCTACGCTGGTTGCTGATATCCCTCTCAGTCGTCCGCTCCTTTCCCCTCCAGGGACCACCTCCACCCCGGCTGCGTCCCCGCTGGCTACCCCTAGGTTGACGGCCCATATCACTGATATTTGTTGCGCTGTGAAGCGAGGGCGATTTAACAGGGTGGCTGTAGCCTCGTGCCTCTGGCCTTCTGTACCTAGGATTGGGGTTAGCTGGCAATAGTGGCTGGCGAGTTGGTGGACGATAAGTCGGCTTGGATTCGTCAGGCTGGCCCCATGACTCGGGATTAGTCGTGATTTGGTCGGGCCACTGGGCCGCCGTGGGCCAGGCTGTCCGTGCCTCGGCTTGAGGATAAGCCGATGGATCAACGATGCCCTTTGCGATACGCTGGGCATCCCAGTAGGTGTTGGTGAGTCCAGGCTGGTTGTTGGGTCGTGCTCGCTGTGTTCGGGCCACCTTGACGTTATGGGACTGCGGGTCTTGAGACGCGGCGATGGACGAATTCTGCGGCTCGACGTTGCTTCCGGATGAGTGGTCGATGTTTGCGCCGTGGTTATCTTGATGAGCGGGACGCTGTAGCCCTGATGTGGCCTTTGGCTTTATAGTCGCGGTCTTTGAAGCATTCCCAAAGCCGATAGCTGCGAGGAACGCGTTCTCGAGATCCGGTGAGTCGAGGTCTTGTGCCTCCACGGGGCTCAAACCCGCGTTCGGCTTGGTGGTGTTCATACTGTCGTAGACAAACTAAGCTGCGGATGACGCAACTGGTTCAGTCGGTGAGCATCTACGATCTATCCATATTTTGCGACAACTCTGCAGCGAGGAGGGATGGACTTACGTGATGGCAGTGGTAAACAGTACCGATTTTCAATCCCTTTACGAGGTTTGGAATATTGGAGAGCAAATCCTGGATCCCGTGGCGGAAAACGCGATTTCTGTCGACGCGAGAATGCCCGGTTGATTCCCACGATTGTTTGGAAATGCCGAGAAACGTGGCGGGAAAGACGAAGAATTAATCGAGGGAAGGAGTTCTTTCTTACCAGATGGTAAACTGTGCTCGATCAAAGGCGGATCAAAAAGATCCAAAGTGCGCAGAAATGTACGGAAAAGTGAAGGTTGAGACGGAATGATGGAAAAGTCTGTCGATTTTCCGTAGGTAGATGAATGATGAAAGCGTTAGGTGTTGTGGGTGGTTTAGGTGATTCAGGCCCCAAGGCCGAGTGGTACTTAGAGCACAGTATACCAACCTGACATCAGGGGGAGGCCCTAGCGGCTCAGCCATCCATGGATACCTCGGCACCTAGAACTTGAAATCGGGAAGGTGCGGTGAGTGAGGTCGTCATCGAAATACCCAGGGCAGTTAGGCTAGGAAGAAGTTAATCAAGGACACTGAGCACATCACTCACCGAGCGGCCGCACTGAGTGGCTGCAGGGAGCATGGAAGGGCCACTTAAATGGCAATAATGACGGAATGTCAGTGCATTGCAAGTGCATTCGTTAATTATTGAATTCTTATCACCTTTCTGCTAGTCCTACCGACACTTCGAGGGGGGGCAATCCTGATTTCTAGGTAGGTACCTATCTAAAGCCACCTGCGAATTACCTGTAAAAGCCCGATGACCTGGGCTAAACGACCTTCATGGCAAAAAATATGGATTAGTCGCAATGTTTAGAGCTTAAATAGATAGTAGGCAATCAAAGTTGTAATTTACATGTTATTGGGCTGGTAGTTTGGATGTACAGAGCGCGTCCTGGGCAAGTGTGGGTTGACTTCAAGGCGTCCACAGTTATTCATAGGGGGAAATGGGATCCAAGTATTGAACTAACACCACTTTCATAGAACGAATGACTATTGTCATTTATGGAGGGATATTTGTGCTTGGAAAATGAGGTTGGATGTTAGGCAGGCGATGAGCGATGTTGCCAACTATATGTCACGTGGGAACCCCTTTCGTTTGCGTTCAACGGTGCTTCTTTATTCTCCACAAATTGATTGGCTTGTGTGAACCAGGCACCAATCTCACGATGCATTTCCTCTAACCGATAGCATAACCAAGAGTATGCTGCGAGTGCAGGGTATCCATGGATGTGTATGTCTGGATATTTTTTGAATGATAGTTTGATCCCAAATGTTTTACGACTGTGGTAACTACCTTGATTATTCGAGAAGTTGTCCCATTTAGCCCACTCGTTACTGTGACCCCGCAGCGAAGCAAAAGATGCTCTCCATTCTGCGCAAAGCGAGGCTCAAGGACAAGGAGTTGCGCATCTTGATGCTGTATGATGCACACAACTTTGTCCACTCAGTCATGCCATCGCTAATCTTGATGCAGCGGCCTCGACAATGCGGGAAAAACAACGATTGTCAAAAAGATAATGGGCGAGGATGTCAACACGGTCAGCCCTACCCTCGGCTTCATCATCAAGACGATTGATTACGACGGGTATGCTCGCATCTCCCGAGTTGCTCGCCAGAGGCTGACTACTGGGGGTTACACGTGCTAATCTCTCCCAACGCCAGGTATAAGCTCAACATCTGTCAGCGCAGTCTCTACTCCGCTCTCTGTTTCCGGCACTGATTCGTTATCTAGGGGACGTCGGCGGTCAAAAGACACTCCGCTCATACTGGCGCAATTACTTTGAGAAGACGGATGCCCTAATTTGGGTTGTCGATGCTACCGACAGGTTGCGCATTGAGGACTGCAGAGAGGAGTTGCACGGCCTGCTTCAGGAGGAGGTAAGAGTCTCTGTTGTTACCAAGTCGGGGGTGCGGATTGCTGACGGATAGAAAAGCGTCTTTCAGGGGCAAGTCTGCTCGTGTTTGCCAACAAGACCGACGTCACGGGGTGCATGAGTGGCGACGAGTTGTTGAAAGTTGGTCTCGACTCTCGACCTCCGGTCTAGTCTGATGTGCACTGACATTTCAATTCAGGCTTTACGGCTCGACGAAATCCGGACGCATAAATGGAACATTCTCCGGTGCAGTGCCATGACCGGCGAGAACCTCAAGGAAGGGTTGGCCTGGGTTGTTGAGGATGCCAAGGCCCGTCTCTTTCTATACTGATAGACTTCACGGGTATCCTCGCCTCATCTTTTCCTCTCTCGGCATCAGAAAAGTTGGCAATATCCGGCCCCCTGCAAATAATTTCGGATACTCCCAGTTCCCCCTTTGTTACTGGGGCAATCAATGTAAACAAACGGTGAAGTGGGTCTGGAGAGGTTTGTGGCAAAGCAAATCCAACAAATCCAACATTTTGTCAGTTGGGAGCGAGGATGGGTTGGGAAGGTTCCATTGCTTACGTGCGAGAACAGATCCCGCCCAGAGTGACACAGATTCTGGTCCAGAAATATCCTGAAACATTGGGTAGATTGTCTGATGTTGCAGTGCTTTGAACAATGCCGGTGCGAGGGAGGGCACTTGGCCAGAGCGTCGGGAGAGCAACGCAGGGCTCTCCTGCGAGACAGGACCCAGCCCAGCCTATCAGCGGGCGTCGTTGGGGCTGAGCACTGGAGCCAACGCCAAGCCCCCAGTCCCGTCCCGTCTGAGCCCTGTGGGTGCCCCGTCGCCGGTCCGGCTGGGCACATCAAACTGCCCCTCCGGGAATCTGCCTGTTCAGCTTGCTTCCAGTCTTTCTAGGATTCGGGTTTTGAATGTTGACATCCAACCCGTCCTCCGAGGATCCCCCCGACACCTCCTTCCGTTCGTGCCCCCGTGCCCCCCCAATTAATACTGCATACTCCCGTTGTGTGTCATGCCGAAGACGTCGCCTCGGAAACAGCCATGTCTGACGAGGTTTCCGACTTTTTGCGCTCGGTCGAGCTGCTGAAGGAGAGACGAGAAGAGGAAGATGAGGCTCGGTCGCGCGAGCTCGAGGAAAAGATCTTGCAGGAAAAGAAAGAACGCCAGGCCCGGCGCGCAGGTACGCCCAACTCCGCTGCCACTTTTTCAGCTCCGCCTTTCCGTTCAAAACATCGCATCGGATCGGTGCCCGCGTGCCTTCCCGCAACTGCGCACTGGGAGACCCACGAGAGCTCAAACCAACTGCTTACCGGATCTGCTTACCTGCTTGGGCTGCACTGTGTCTGTTTTTTTTTTGGTCCAAAACACTAACAGTCTGCTTCTGTAGAGCGCGCAAGATCGATTTCACCGCAAAAGTCATCACCCGCAAATACTCCGCCCCCAACAGCACATCGCGTTGGCATCCTTCCGTCTGCTTCCGGCGACACAACTCTGGAGTCACCAGGTCAGGAGAGCTCCGGGAGCCCTAGGCAACGCGCCCTCGAACCATCTTCCGATGTCATGAATAATAGCGCAGTCGAGCAATCGAGCTCCCCGACAAAAGAGAACGACTCCCCATTCGACTCGGATATCAAACGGACTAGCATGGCCTTGGGCTCGCCGTCGATCGGCATGCCGTCCGCGCGATCACCGCTCTCGTGGCAGAGGCGACCGACCTCGCAAGCCTCCGATCGCCCGAAAAGCCGACCTCTCTCCATGGTCGCTGCCGAGAATGCCGCCCGGAACGTTCCTAACAGCGCCGAACCAGCCGAACAGACCATGTCCCGGGACCAAATCGCCCAGTCCCTAGCAGGCAGGGACCCGTCGTGGTTCCGCCAAACCGCTGACCCGGGCCGGGGATCGGGGGCTTTCAGGAAAGCCCAGGTGGAGGACGAGGACACAGTGGACATGCCCTCCATGCGCACCCAACTTCCCGGCATGTCGCAAGAGTCGACGCCAGAGCCACCCAAAGAGAGCTCAGCTGCCCGACCAGTGACCCCCACCGACCTGCCCGCCAAACTTGGCTCTCCGATTCCCATGGCCGGCTTCCAACGCCTGGATCCGCCAACTGGCGAAACCGCAGATGACGCGGACACAGCCACGGCTAATCGCCAGTCCATAACCTCGCCACCGGGCCGGACGTCGCCCACAAGACCGCGCTCCCCTACCAAAGGGATGGGTGGTTTTGTGCAAAGCGCCATGATGAAGCGCTCGGATAGCGTTAAACGATGGAGCGTTAACTCACCCGCCAGCTTCCAGCGATCGGATTCCGTTCGGTCCAGCGCAAGCAATGTGGACAACACGCAGCGTCCCACCACCCCGAAGTCGGGTGGGCGCCCAAAAAGCATGCTGGTGCCTACCCCTGCGCTCGGCTCGGGTGATGAAAAGGAACCTGAGCCAGAAGAACAGGCTACCCCTGCTCGGCCGACTACGCCAATGGAGTCAAAAGTGAACGACGAGGAGGAAACAAGTAGTCCTCCCGTAAGCCCCTCCAAGACGATGGATTCCCGAAGGTGGAGCCCCACAAAGAGCTCTAGCTGGCTCGATGCTGCACTGAACAAGCCCGAGTCACCCAAGGCAAAGCCGGCAGCCCCCGCGCCGGCACAGCCGGCTTGGATGGTCGAGTTGAACAAAGCAAAGGCTCAAAAAGCTACCCCGGATCCCGCTCGTGGTGCCTCCTTGCCAAAGAAGCCCGAGGTGAAGACTGGTGGGCTTATGAGGTCCACTCCCATGGGCGCAAGCCTCAAGCCAAGCGCTCTGGGCGGCTTTCCAGTCGTCCCCCCTATCTCGACAGCCGACGACAAGCCAGTAATTTCCGGGTTGCGCGGAAGCCTTCGGAAAGCATCCCCGACGACGGACGGTCCGAGTGAGGGCCAGGGAGAACTCCCAGCCGCGGCCAAGGCAAAACCCGACATTCCGTCCAAGAAGGATTTCCGCGCCAACCTCAAGCCCCGAGCTCCTCCACCTGAACCCAAATCAGGGGACTCTGCTGAAGAGTTGAAGAACGTTGTTGGGAGCCTACGGAGGACCAAAACACAGAACTACGTGGCACCGGATGAGCTGAAAGATAACATCTTGCGCGGGAAGGCGGGGTTGGCTTTGACTGGTGGGCCCAAGAAGACGGAACACAAGGATGAGTTCAAGGAGGCGATCCTAAAGAAGAAGGATGACTTCAAGAAGGCGCAGGACGAAGGCCGGGGTATCGCTAGGGAACCGAGCACTGCCAGCGATAACTCCGTTCCCGAGGGCATCGCAAAGAAGCTGGTGTTGCAGCGGACGGGGACGTTCTCTAAGCAAACCCCGACCACGCCGGACTTCCCCATGCAGAGCCCTTCACTTACCGGATCGAACCGGTCTAGCCATGCCTCTACGCGTTCCAGGCATGATATCTCTAGCTTGGGATCCGAACCTGCTTCGAGTCTATCTCCCGAGCCCGCCAAGGAGGCGACGGTGAATCCGGTTGCCCCGACGACTCTACAGAGGTCAACCGATGCCGCGAGCCGCGTCGGAGGGAAGGTCGGAGGCTTAGCAGACCGGTTCAACCCTGCGTTGGCCGGCCTCCTGGCCAGGGGGCCCCCACCAGCTTCCGGGAAGTCGGACGGTCCTGGAACATCAGCAACAACCGAACCCGCCGGCCCCGGCCCTCAACTAACGCACATGACGAAGAACCGAGCCCGTGGTCCTAGGCGGAAGGCTCCAACGTCTGTCGCTACAGCGGCCGATGAGCCGAAGGAGACGTTGGTCCGGGCGGCTTCTGAGCCGGAGAAGAAGCCTATTTTCTCACCCCCCGAGCCGAAGAAGACGATGTCGTTCCCGTCGCCCAAGTCAGAAAGTCCTATCCCCTCTCCCGCTTTGGAGCAAGCGGTGGCCTCCCCGAAACCAGGGAAGCCTGTTATTTCCCCTAAACCTGAGAAATTCACGCCTACGATTCCCGGGGCCCCCTCGTTGATGGAGCGTAGAAAGTCTCTGATGCAGGACAGGACAAAGCTTGCGGGCGAGGTCATCTCTCTCGTCGACTCATCCGGGCGCATGTCCAGGGAGGAGGACCCGAAACCAGTCGGCCAGCCCATCGACTTGGTTGGATCTAGCCCGATCAAGACGCGTCCTCGTTCACCCACCAAGGTTCATGAGCAGGTGGCAGCCCTGACGGCGCTGAACCAGCAATCACCCAAGCCTGCTGAAGCCAGCGGCGAGGTCGCTTCGCAGCCATCGTCGCCAAAGAAGCTCGACATGAAGAGGATGTCGAGGTTCCTAGATGAAGAGGGTCAGCCGAGCCCAATGCCTGAACCTGTGAAATCGAGGTCATCTTCGCCGGTCAAAGGCCGCTCCGACTCTATCACGGCTAGACCCATGTCTCTAGTCCGGGACCGCGCCGAATCTATCACGGCAAGGCCCAAGTCTCTGGTGAGGGATCGCTCCGAGTCTATGACTGGGAGGCCGCTGTCTTTGGTCAGGGATCGTTCTGACTCCTTCAGATCGAGGTCGTCCTCCCCGGTAAAGGACCGCTTTCCCGGCCTTGAATCACCCTCCATCGGGAAGCACGCGGGAAACGAGCAAGGTGAACTGAAGCCCGCGCTTCCGATCAAGAACGGCGCGGCCCCGTTTGGTGGCATTGGCCTAGGCCTGACGCAAGCAGCAGTAGCACCGAGGCCGACCGCCCAGAAGCCCGCAGAGGCTGAACTACCGCCACCCTTACCTCCTAAAACTGCAAGACCGCTCCCTGCACCTCCTGCCGTAATCTCTCCCCCAGCGCCTGCTCCCCGCATTCACTCCCCTACGCGGTCACCAGGGAAACAGGCTGCGGAGGCATCAGATCTCATCCACGAATTTTTCGGACCCGAGCGCCCGAGGCGCAAATACACTGCCGACGCAGCCGACATCCTCCTGAGGCGGCCAGTGTCAACCGCCAAGATTCAGACCCAGCGGGCTCAACTTATCCAGATCACGGCCGAGGGCAAGAAGATGCCGGTGCCATCGCACCACGAACGGGTCTTGTTCGAGCGCGAGATGTACCTTTGCCCGCACAACTATGTCGATAGCACAGGAAGGAAAACGACCGAGGTCTATTTCTGGGCCGGCGATGAGGTGCCCGAGTCACAGGTTGACGACGCTCACCTTTTTGCGGCACGAGAAGCGAGGGCCTATGGCGGAAAACTGGTCAAGCTCACCCAGGGCAAGGAGACATCCGAGTTCTTACAGGCGCTCGGCGGGATCGTCATTGTCCGCCGCGGGTCGAGCAACAAGTACGACTCCCTCGCGCCCAACATGCTCTGCGGCCGGCGCTACCTAAGCCAAGTCGCGTTCGACGAGGTCGACTTCTCTCCACTGAGCCTCTGCTCCGGTTTCCCCTACCTCATCGCCCAACAGGGGAAGTGCTACCTCTGGAAGGGCAAGGGCAGCGACGTCGAGGAACTGGGTTGCGCCCGGCTCGTGGGTATGGACCTCGCGCTGATGGGCGAGCTTCTCGAGGTGGAAGAGGGCAACGAGCCCGATAGCTTCTGGCAAATCTTTGGCGGCGGCACGCGGCCCAGCTCGGCCGACCACTGGCGGCTGAAGCCCAACTACGACAAGTACTGCAGCCGGCTGTTTTGCGCCAGCGCAGCCGACAAGCACCAGGTTTGTCTTTCCCCTTACTTCACCATCCCCTCACAAGATACTAACACGACGACCAAAACAGATCGCCGAGCTCTCCCCCTTCTCCCAGACCGACCTCCTCCCCTCCAACATCTACGTGCTCGACGCCTTCTTCGAGATGTACATCATCGTCGGCGCCCGCTCGCAGCACCAGTACGCCGCCTTCCGCAACGCCCTCGACTTTGCGCAGGAGTACGCCATCCTCGCCGCCGGCATGGAGGACCGCCCCTTCGTGCCCATCTCGACCGTCGTGCTCGAGGGCATCCCGCGCGACCTCAAGAGCGTGTTCCGGAAGTGGCGGGACGGGAATAGCCCGACGGTGATGCACGCCAGTCCCCAGGGCGTGAGCGGTGGTGGGGTTTCGGGTGGTGGTGGTGGTGGTGCGGGGCCGACGCCGAGTCCGTTGAAGAGGGCACGGAGCTTGAGGATCGTGCCGCTGACGCAGGCGCTGCGGGCGCTGTCGGAGTAACGTTAGAGGGTGGCGAATAATAGATGAGAGGGGTGATTGGTGGTCATGTGGGGTGCTGTTGTTGGCTTGATGTCATCATCATTTGGGCGCTTGTACGGCGCTAGCAGATAAGGGGTGCATTGGGACAGGGTGCCGGTTGTTTTCTGGCGTGGGAGGCTCCTTGTTAGATGGCGGTCATGGATTGCAGACCTGCCTGCAGCATAGCATGGTGGCGTTAATCGAGAATTGATGCTCTGGTAATCTGCCTTTGGTGTTTGCATAAACGTGTGTTCGTCAACATATGTAGAACTAGATGGCATCGTGGCGTTGACCTTTTGTGTCTCCCAGCGAGCCAGGCGTGTGCATGCCCGTATTTCGTGGTGCGTTGCCAGCTCGATGGGGCTTTATACCAGCGCCTTCCTCGCCGGCAAACCGATAGCTTTGTACCTGTCCTGTATCCTAACTCCCAAACGCCAGCCATGCCCGAGCCCAGTGCCATACCCCATCCCCGAACACCAATCAGTAAGCAAACCCAATCAACCAACCAACCCCCGAGTTATACCTTTCCCACAAGCATCACCATCCCCACCTCCCCCATTCCTCATCCCACCTCCTACACCGGCCCCTGCCCCGCCGGGCCCCCACTACCCCCCCCTTCCGCCCCTCCTCCTCCCTCCGTCCTCTCCGCCGTGGAGCCTTCCGTCGGCCCCCCCGTCGCCGCCACCACCCCGTCCACATCCCCCCTCAACTCGGGGAGCGCCCCGCCCATCTCGCGCGCCAGCACGTCGCGGAAGTCGCGGAAGGCGTGCATCTTGCCGCGCGCCAGCTGGTTCATGCGGCGCACCAGCTCGGCGAACTCGCGCGTGTAGATGTCCGGGTTGCGGCCGTTCTCGACGTACTGGATCAGCGGTTCGGGGATGGGCTTGTCGGCGGTCGGCGTGGGGAGGGATTGCGCGTTGGTGTGCAGGGTGCGGAGGGTGGCGTCGAGGGTTTGGCTGTGGTTGGCGTGGTTAGGTTTTGTTTTTGGGGGGTTGAGGTTGGGGACTGAAATGGGGGGGGGGATTGACTGTGCGTGCGTACATGTCTTGGGCGAGCACGTCGCGGGTCGGGCGGCCGGCGGCGTCGTAGTTGGATACTTGGACGAGAACCTGGAACAGGTCTTGGATTACATTCTTAATGTCCTCTACGCACGCGCGGGTTAGTTAGTTGGTGGTTTGTTGGGGGACGCAAGCGTAAATGACGGACCTTGGACGTTTTGCAAGTCGGGATTTATGGGCGCCATTGTCGTGGTTGTGCGCGGTTGTGGTTGCGATACGCAGGTTCGTGATGGCGGAGGAATGGAGGTGGAAGCTTGGAGGAGTTGCGGATGGGCAAGGCTGCAGCATGACCCTGGTCAAAGGAAAACAAGCCGCCATGTGATTGGCCCCAGCTTTCAAGGTGACGGAGCTCCCTCAGCAGCCTTGTAAGTTACCACTGTGCTGACCAAACACCAGAGGGTCTTCGTCTTTTTAACCCACTTTCCACCCAAAATGGAACCCAGACAGACTTATCAGAGATGGTGATTATATGTAATTTCAAGAAAGACAGGTCAATAACGGAACATGCACTATTAGAACAGAGTTCTCCCAAACAAGCCCCCGGCCAACGACAGCAATGGAATCATGCGCCTTGGCGACGCCCTTATTCATTGAACCAAGGGTGCTGGAGTGCCTCCCTGGCAGTGATCCGCCTTCGAGGATCGAGGTAGGTCATCTTGCAAATAAGGTCCTTGAATTGCGGGTCCACCGGTTGCCACGCAGTCCAGGGTTCTCTCTTGTCTTCGGCGTTGAACGACATGAGAAGCCCTCCAAATCGGTTGACAAAGGGGTCTTCCTCTCCTCCATGGTAATCGATGAAACCGTTGAAGTCGTCGACATCATTGATAAAGTAAGATACGTGGCGCCTGAGGATCATATCCGACGGGTCCTCAGCTTCGTTTGCCTCGTCCGAGTAAAGGATCATTCTATCTAACCAGACATATATAGCCTAGACCAAGGTTGGAAATTCGTTAGTATCTTGGTATCTAGTAATAAGGGCTAGGAGAGGGACAGGGTTCTAGAGCTTACGACGATGCCGAATGAGAAGATGTCGGCGGGGGTATGCTGTGCTCCTCTTGCCCAGGCTTCGGGGCTCCTCCAGAACGGGTTCCCAGAAAGGCGCTTTCCGAGACCTCGAGACTTGGGAGGTATAAGAAAAGCCTCCTCCAGATCTGTGATCTGTACATTCCTAAACCCGATAGTCCCGTTGCTCTGCTTGAACGTGTCCATCATGATATTGGAGGGTTTAATATCTATCGGAGATGTCAGCGACCAAATATTGATGTTATCTAGGTGGGTGACTGACCTGTATGGTAGATGTTCTTATCGTGCAGGTCAGATAAACCTGCGAGAGCGTCCCTCAATATCATCTTCTTGGTAGAGGGAGGTATTGCTGCTGTGTTGATCGTCTGTAGGTCATACTGAATGAACGGGAATACGAGCATACGGCGATCGGGGATGCTGTCGATAAGCGTTCGGATATGGGCCGAGCTGACGAGTTTCTGCAGATCCAGATTATACTGGAAGTCGCCTGGCAGGATGTCCTTGAGTATATACTCTTTTCCTTCGTGGCTGACGTAGAGCATGAGTCAAAATAAACTATGTTATACTCAATCCGACTGAACTTACCCCGCGCGGTACAAGCAACAGAGTAGGGGTCCCCTCGACCGCTCGTAAATAATCTCATTAATCATGTAGGATCTCCCAGAGGCGGCCGTGAGTTCTGTTCCTTTGGGAAGGGACTGTTGGTAGGGCCCTGTTGAAGGGGGAGTCGCGGTCGAAGACATGCCGATGGATGAGATTCGGCTTCGTATGGGAGCACGAGGGAAACAACGTGACGGAGGGTAAAGGTTGGTCAAAAGAAGGGAGAGAGAGGAGAGCTGATAAACCAAGGTCGGTCGTGAGCGCAGACGCGCAGACAGTGTTACTACGGGGGATGCCATGGCAAACGAGCGGCAATCCCTCATCCTGTTTTCGACATGAGGCGAGCACCACAGCGGCGTCCACCAGCGTTATCCTTCACAGCGGTATCGATCTTGTCGTCTGCGCCGAGCAGGAGCTTCGCAATAGCCTCGTACCCATTCGCGACCAACGACAGCGGCGTTTGGCACACTTGTGTCACAAGGCGATGTTAGGATCACACCTCAGTATAGATGGGAAACGGGAGTTGGGAAAGGGAATAGTAAAAACAAAGCGCGTACTCGTTCGCTGCCGTGTTAATTCTCAGAAAACGCCTTCAACACGTGACTCAACGGGTCAAGATTCATGCTTCGCGGCCCTCCCGGAACAACAAGCGCTTCTTGTCTTCGTTGTTGTTCGAAGGGGGCGGCTTATTGTCCTCAAAGCTACCATTTCTGGCCCCTTCTGAGAGGACACAAAACTTTTATGAGCTAAAACCATACAAAAACAACCAAACACCGCCCCAGCCAACCAACGCCAGTCATGATCGAGAACTTGTGCAGAACGATCTGTCCAAGCTACTGGGCTGTGGTACCACCCACAACATCCAGACATATATCTTTCCGTACGCCGCAACAACAATGCATAGCTAGGCCGAAATATTGTACAGCACCGAGGTACATCCCCTCTACTTCCGCGTCTTCGGGCGCGCGAGCATGTTCAAGCGGCTGAGGCTGATGCCCTTCCGCTTCATCGGGCTCGGCGTACCAGGCGCGGAGCCCGGGACGGGGAGCTTCCGCGGGCTGCTCAGGGTGCGCTTGGCACTGGCGGCGGCAACCAGGCGCGGTGCGAGCAGCGCATCGCCTTCGGGAACCTTCTCCTGCTTGCGCTTCTTGGCCGCTCGCTCAGCCGCCTCCTGTTCGGCCTCTTCCTCGTCGGTGCTGACCCGGTGCCGCTTCTTGGTCGTCATGCCGTGGGGGAGGGCCTTGAAGACGCTCCGCGGCGCCTCGTTCTCCTTGTTGACGCTCGAGCTGGAGGCCGAGGTCGGGAAGCTTCCGGGCATGGTCTCTGTCGGTAGGATCGAGGGGCGAACCGCCCGGACGCTGGCCTGGCCGGGCGAAGAGCCGAACGACTTGGTGGCGCTGCCGAAGCTGATGGTGTGGTCGCTACGGAAGGTGAACTCGCCGGGAACCGGCGCCTCCACAGAGGCCGCTTTGGGATTCTTCACCGGAGGTTCTGGGAGGGGACGCCGCGCTGAGATATCCGGATACGTCACGGTACCCTCCGCGCTCTCCGCACTCTCGGCCAAGACGCCTTCGAGGGACGGATAGTGCACCTCTTGTGGGAGCTCTTTCTTGCCTTTGAGAATGCTACATTTGACGGGAGAAGGGGAGTTCTGCATCAGCGCGGCTCGCTCAGTGTCTGGCGTAAAGGCAACGCGCTTGGTGAGCTTGCGGCCGGGCGTGGTCATTGGTGCCACAGGGAGCTGTTTTGGCAGGCGAGTCGGAGCGGGGGTTTTGGAAGCAAAAGCCGAAGGTAGGGGAAGAGTGCTCTTGTTCTTGGACGCACTCGCCTTTGCACCACGGAGCATCGCCTTGACTCTATCAAACCGGGTTTGAGGTGTCCTGGACTCGCTGGCGTCGGCCTCCTTATCGGTAGCCAAGTTGGCTGTGGGAAGGTTATTTGTTGTGGCGGACCGAGGGATCCCGCTGACCTTGGCTTTCGATGGTGACCTGAAAAGCGAGCTCTGGCCGGGTGTCTTAACGCTAGTCGCCCTGGACAAGGACGACTTGGTCGGGGTCATTAAAGAGGCGAGGGTTGACTTTGACCGGGGGATACCCAATCCGGCCGACTTGGGTGCCGGGATCGAGCTGCCGTCACGCGAGACGGGACGCTTGCTTGACGCGTCTTCATCCAAATTCTGTCGGGCGCGCTTCGCGGTCGCCACCGGCTGGTCAACATCGGCTGCTGGCGCCGGTTTTACGATGCTGGAAGCTGGGGTATGGTGTCTTGAGTTCGGCGTTTCCGAATCGTCGAGGTTCGCCCTGGACTGACTGCGCTTGACACCTGCCTTCAGCGGGGTCGTGTGGCCAGGGTGGCCCCTAAAGGCTGACGGGTGGTTCGCGATCGAATCCATCTTCTTGAATTGGGCCATGTGCGCGGCGCTAAATCGGCTGGCCTTTCCCTTCGCCTGCGCAATCTTGCGTCCGCCGCCGTTCTCCTCCTCCTCTTTCTCAGCTTCACGTTTTGCCCTCAGGTCCTCTCGAATCTTGGCGGCCTCTCCGCGTAGTTCATCCATCATGCGCTGAGCGTCGGGTCCCAACCTCGTCTCGGCGTTGGGCGTTTCGCGCCCGACACGAAATGTGAATGAAGACGAGGGTACCGTAACACGAGAAGGTGTAGTCTGGGCTACACCGGGCAAGCCATCGTCGCGATCAGCTTTGGGTTTAATGTCCGTGAACCCGAGCCGGAGGCCGCTTGATGGCGGAGCCATGGTATGGTGGACTCTGCTCGGGTGCATTTCTGACATCGGCGGCTTGATGGGCGACGAAGCGCGAGGGGTTTTGGGTCCTCGTGCTGGAGATGACGCAACGGGATTGGGGGCATTGTGGGCCGTCTCGGGGATGATGTCCGCCGATTTCTCGACATGTGTCGACTCCTCGTTGTGTGTCGACTTCTCGTCGTGTTTCGACTTCTTGTTGTGTGCCGGCTTCTCATCGTGCTCGGCAACGGAAGAGAGAGCGGGGGTGTCGGGGGCCTGTTTAGGTGCCTGTTCGTCGCGAGGTGTCAGTCAGCGCACTCCAGCAAAAGAATCGACGCGGACTGCCGCTAGCTTGATTATCTCGGAGGGTCGAGGATGGTGGTTTGTTTACCTTGGTCAGGCTGGCCAAGCGCGCGGAACGGCGAGCCATTGTTGTCAAGGTCGTTTTTGCAATCAGATTAGTTATTGACGTTTGCAATCAAGAACGTCGAAGGGCTCGAAGAAGAGGAAAGCATTGAGAGAATTGGAATGCAACTGGAGAGCGTCAGTCAATCCGAGCGCGACATGAAATGTGTGGAAGATTACAGGGTGGGGTGAGGTTTGATTCGTTCGCCCTTGTCGGAAAGTAAACAAATCCTTGCCGATTTTGGCGTGTGCAACACGGTACATAAACACGGTGTGTGTGGTTTTCGCACGGAGCTATCTTTAATGATTCGGCTTCGATGTTTCCGTTCAGTTTCTTGAATCGAGTCTCGATAAATCGACAAATTCAATCGGCTGAGTTGGGCATCCGTTTTGCTTGTAGTTATAGCAACCAGCCCCAATTTAGCTTGCGAGGAAGGAGCATACAATTTTACACAGTGCACTTCTCCCCTCGATCACCGGCCAACGAGGTTGAACGCGCATCAGGGTTTGGGTTTCCTGGCGCGTTCAGTAACATCATACTGTGTAATGACGTTTTGGTCCCTCGGTTCCTCGGGGTCAGCATCCTGGTCGAGGAAACCACACACAACAACGTAACGACCCAGACAACTGGACCGCCGGATCCTCTTGTTGCATCTCGGCTCTTTCCAACTTAAGCACTCGCGGCGCTTGAACCCGTCAACTCTGCCGGCCGAGGTGAGGGGGAGTTCAAACATACTCTCTCGGCCGAGTGACGTGACCAGGAGTTCGTTGTCTTCCTTTAAAAAAATTAAAATACCTGACTGTACCACCCACGCCCACGGCCTGCCCCAGTAAGTGTGAAGCGAAGCTTGGCGATACCCACTGTCGCCACTGCATACTTCTACACAACAACCCAACAGAGCCGACGACCCGCCCTCGCCACACCGCCATTAAACGACGACCAGCCATCGCCCAGGGCCGTCGACCTACTGCGCTAGGCAAGCCGACGGCCTTTGGCCGTCAGCTTACTAGCTTATAGTCGCCTGTAGCCCTGAGCTTGATGGCTTGGTTTGTCTCTATAGCTCGGGCTTGGTCGTCGGCGATATACAGTAGCATCGCGGTATACCTTCACTAGGCACTGGCTGACAGTTATCTATAGAGGGGAGAGGTCCGATTTGTATATACTAAACTATATAAATAATAAATATCTATATATTGTAGATATCCTACTATTAAGTATAAACCTCTACCTACTCTGGTATAACTAACTATAGAAGATGATAGGTAATATCTTTAGTGTATACCGTATAGTTAACGTTGGCTTAGATATATAGAGCCTATAAGTTAAATATACTGTTAAATATAACGTTCTAGATAGTCTTAACGTAGCTAATAGTAACGTATATAAGCCTAGCTATAAAGTCTTTATTGGATATATCCAGTATAGCTTTGTTAAATATTACACCCTATAATTTATATACTATAATAGTATATATAATCGTTAGAGGGAACTATATATAAGTATAGTTGCTATTACCCCTAAGGAAGTCCCTCTTACTACAGAAGATAGATATAATGCCGGCGAGCTCGGGGTTATTGAAATAGGGAGGGCCGATATACTAATCAAACTTAATCAATACAATAAAAGGAGGTAGTATATTAGGGTCGGTACCAGTCTACTATACAAAGTTATAGATTATACTAATAGATCTATTAATAAGACCTTTATTAATCCAAATATTCTCTATTAGTATAACCCGGGTACTAAATACTAATAGTATCTTCTTATATAAATTGCTAATATCTATAGCCTTAACTTTACTAGCCTTTAGGCTAATATTATTAGTAATAGCTTAGTAATAGGGTAGGTTCAGACCTTTAAGATAGGTAAGATTATAGTTATTAATTTAGCTATTCTATAGGTAGATATAGAGGGTATTATTAAATAACTTAACCTTCTTAAGGGACAATACCGTCTATACCTAGCTTAACAACAATCTCTACTACTAAATAGTTAGATTATTATAATATAAATTATCCAATATATCCCTAAAGCTAGCCTATACTTCACCCTACTATCTAACCACCTCTCTAAGCTTAATGGTACAGTCAAATACCCGGTATACATTACACCTAGATATCTTAACCGCACTTAGTATAACATTATTACTATATAGAGCCCTCTCGGTAATAGATAGTAACTAAAAGAAGTCACCGATTAGGACTATACTGTAACTACTAAATAGCTAATTATAATATTAGGGCTAGATCTTACCTATCCTAATACTGATAGATACTAGAAGCCGGAAGCTAATTATAGATTTCTCATTAATAACGAAGTAGACAACGTCCTTAAGCTTAGCTTATAAGTTTCCAAACTCTATAGCGTTAAGAGTATTAATCTCACCCTTCTTACTTACCAGTAGCCGTAGTAGCAAATACAATATACTACCAGCAATATTGTTAGTAGCTATACTAGTCGGAGTAGCCTAAACGACTAGCGAAGCGAAACTATAAGCCTATATAAGCTGGTCGAACTAGGTAGATAGAAGGTAGATAATATATAACTTACCAATACTACCTCTACTATCTACTTAAAGAAGAATAGGATCCGGATAGTTACTAGCTAGATAGACTTTATAGTAGGCTTTAAATATATTAAATATTATATACTATTTAATATTAAAACTATCAGGTACACTCACAGAGATATCTTTAACCTCTATATTAGCTATACTATACTCTACCTTCTTAAACTTCTAGAAATCTGCTACAATAGGTTCCAGTTTAGGGTAATAACCGACATAAAGCTTCTATAAATATAGTATATCGATAGAACGGTTACCGAGGATATCGATATCCTCCTACCTAGCTAGGTAGTTAGGTAGCTCAATAGCTAGTTCCTCCCAATCTCAAAGTTAGAGCTCCTTATTAAGGGTATCTTTAAAGATATCCTCTAGCTCCGGGATAAAGATATCCCTATAATAGTTATCTGGGTATTAGTAGATCTCGAGGTAATATTTATATACTTTACAATATATATTAAAGATAGAGCTATCGACTATCTTTAAATCTTTAGAGTTACAATAGATATAGTTAAGTATTAACTTAACCTGATAAAAGTCCTTAAACTAATTGTCGGCTACCTATAGGTTAGGCCTATAATATAGAAAGTAGTTTAATACCTATAGTTTCCTATACCGGATCCGATACTATAACTATAGGCCCTATATCCAATCGATATATAATAGGAAGTTAAAGTAGATAATATCGGCCTATAGCTTGAGTTATTTGAGATATTTCTAATACTAGAACTGTACTAAAACTGTTTAGTTCTCTAGCTGAATTATAGTAACCTACTGGAGGTTATATAGGTAATAGTCCACTATCCGAACTACCCGAATACCCTCTTAAAGAGGAAGATATATCAATAGGTAATAAATTTCCTATACCGACTAGTCTCGCTCGGAGATTAGCTTATTTATAAGCTTTAAAGTAAACAATACTACCGGATTACGGTTCGAAAGCCTAGATAGGAGCTTATAGGAGAGCTCCTAGTATAACTTACTTTTAACCTCCCCCTTAGAGCAGTACTTAGCGATATAGTTAAGTACTACATTAATATTAGTATAGGGGTTAATATCTATATTAATAAGCTAGCTAAGATTAATAGTATAGTTATAGCTATTAAGCTAGATATCGTTTCGGGTATTATTAAACATCTAGTAAGATAGGTTTATACTATAGGTAATATAAGCTTCGTTATAGATCTTATAGGGAAAGTGTCACGGACTGGGCCGCATGCATGCGGACCAGAGGGGAACGCCCAGGAGGCGGCCCGGACCAATCATTGCAACCAGGGCATGCAGCACCCTGGATAGATGCCAAGGAAGGCATATCCAGGGATATGAACGGTATGGACCATAGCGAGTATATCCGCCCAGGATATACTCTCGTGGAGGCATATCCACCCAGGAATTAGATAGTATATAGTCACTCGTTCTGGAGAGCTCTGGGAGTTCTCCAGTTAGCAATTCACAACTACAGTTCGCTACAAGCTCGAGAGCCTACTGTTGAGACAAGTCTTTGTTGTGCACCCTTTGGCTGCACCGAACCTACGCACCCTTGAGAGAATACCTTCGACCGATACTGAACCCTAACAGGACGGGTCCAGAGACAGGTTCGTCACACGTTGCTAACTCCCTTTGATCTGTTACAGTTCAGGCTCGAAGGTAAAACGACATGGCAACTCAACCGACGCCGGGCCAGATCACGGCCGCGCTTCAGAGAGTCACCGAACGACTCGACGAAACTGAAGAAGAGCTTGCGAAGACCAAGGCCAGCAACGCGGCATTGGCAGCCCGACTTGCGGCGACCGAGGTCCACACCAAGGACCCGGCCAAGACGAAGGTCAAATTGGAGCAACCCGAGAAGTACGGGGGCGACCAGGAAGCCTTGCCAGGTTGGATCACGGAGATGCGGAACTATCTCGACCACAACTCGCACCAGTTCGCCACTGAGGAATCCAAGACCAGATACGCCGCCACCCGACTCAAGGACAAGGCCCTCAAGTGGTTCACGGGAACACTGAGTGATTTCCTCGGCGGAGCAATCCACAAACCCTTCACCAAAAAGGTCTTCGAGAACTACTCCGAGTTCGAGAGTGAGATTCAGAAGGTGTTCGGCGACAAGGACGAGAAGTTGCACGCCCAGGAACGGCTAGGACGGCTGAAGCAGACTAGGTCAGCCACCGCCTACGCCACGATTTTCCGACAAGACTCCATGAAGGCAGAGATAGACGACGAGGGGCTGATGCACCTGTTCTACGGAGGACTGAAGGAGGAGGTCAAGGACGAGCTCTACAAGGAGAGCCGACCTGACACGCTCGACGAGTACATCGCCATGGCTGTCAAGATTGACGACCGACAGTTCGCCCGCAAACAACAGAAGAAGGGCAGCGAGACTCAGCGATCCGCAGGCTACCACAAACCCAACGACAAAAAGAAACGCCAGCACCAGAGCACGTCGTACGGCACTCACTCGGGACCCATGGACGTCAGCGCTGCCCAGGCACAATGGGCAGGAAAGAGAGATGGTGCCAAGGACAAATCAGGCATCACTTGCTACAATTGCGGCAAGAAGGGTCACTTCAAACGCGACTGCCGCAGCAAGAAAGAGTGGAGACCGGTTCCAGGGAAGGAAGCTGCCACCATCGACCAAAACACGGTCGGAAGAAGAACCCGGTTTCTGGAGGTCGCAGCCGCCAGCTACACGCAGGACGACCTCGAAATCGACATTGACCGAGTCATCGAGCAGGACGATGAACTCACCGACTCGGATCAAGAAGACTTGATGAGCAGCAACCACCAGGAGGGAAATGACACCGCCCATCACGCTTTCATCGAAACGGATGACGAGGGAGAACTGGCTCCCCC